CAAAGACTCAAACCAAGCGAGACGTTGAGCAACCAGGTTAAAGACACCAAAAGAAAATTGAACTAACAAACATTCTAGCTCGAGCAGTTCGCCAGCGTAAACAGACGTCCTCCCTGTCGATCAACCATTCCCGGAAAAATATTAGCTGCCTTTTCAAATGCCTTCCTTTTCTTTGACTGATAATATAGAACATAAGCTATCTACCGAAAGTCCAGATAAAGAATCTCAGAGGTTTGCAGGAATATATACAAATATTTTATGCATAAATACTATAGAAACATCAAAAATGAAAAGTTAAGGGAGTTTAAACGCAAATCTTTATATTATTGGCCGGAAGGTAGCCAAATTTGGAAATATGTATATTGATATACATGTTTTCTTTTTCCTCAGAGAAAATTTTTGAAACGAGATATGATATTTTTCTTTCTTGATTTTTGAAGCTTAAGAACTACTCTTTAAAAGCCATCATTATAAAAATCTCTGGCATGAATGGTTCCACCAGAAAATTTGCGTCAAAATTGACCGAAAACCGAGAATTTTCGGAAAAATTCTGAAATTTCGATTTTTCGAAAACCATCAAAATATTCGCTTAAATTGTCTCTTATGGATGTTTTTTCACCAGAAATGGCAAAAAAAAGGCTAGAAACAACAAACCGTGAAAAAATCATCCAAATTTGGAAATATGTATATTGATATACATGTTTTCTTTTTCCTCAGAGAAAATTTTTGAAACGAGATATGATATTTTTCTTTCTTGATTTTTGAAGCTTAAGAACTGCTCATTAAAACCCATTATTATTAAAATCTGTGGAATGAATGGTTCTTCCAGAAAATTCGCGTCGAAATTGGCCAAAAATCGAGAATTTTCGGAAAAATTCTGAAATTTCGATTTTTCAAAAAACCGTCGTAATATTCGCTTAAATTGATCCTTATGGTTGTTTGGTCACTAAAAATGGTAAAAAACATCTAGAAACAACAAACTGAGAAAAAAATATTTGATTTTGGAGAAAAAATCATCCAAATTTGAAAATATGTATATTGATATACATGTTTTCTTTTTCGTCAGAAAGAAATTTTGAATAGAGATATGATATTTTTCTTTCTTGTTTTTTGAAGCTTGAGAGCTACTCTTCAAAAGCCATCATTACACAAATCTGTGGAATGAATGGTTCCACCAGAAAATTTGCGTCAAAATTGACCAAAAATCGAGAATTTCCGGAAAAATGCTGAAATTTCGATTTTTCAAAACCGTCGTAATATTCGCTTAAATTGATCTTTATGGTTGTTTGGTCACTAAAAATGGTAAAAACAGCTAGAAACAACAAACTGAGAAAAATATTTGATTTTGGAGAAAAAATCATCCAAATTTGAAAATATGTATATTGATATACATGTTTTCTTTTTCGTCAGAAAAAATTTTGAACAGAGATATGATATTTTTCTTTCTTGTTTTTTGAAGCTTGAGAACTACTCTTTAAAAGTCATCATTACACAAATCTCTGGCATGAATGGTTCCACCGGAAAATTCGCGTCAAAATTCACCAAAAATCAAGAATTTTCGGAAAACCGAAAACTTTCATTTTTGGGAAAGAAAGTTCCACTTTCATTTTTCTTCATCAAAGAAAATGTTTATAAACAATATGCAGGGTCGATTGCTCTGTCTTTGCCTCAACGATAAATAAATTACTTTTGAAATTTTATTTCTTTGTTTATTTGGAGACTGGCAGAAAGTGATGTACTAAAGAAACATGTGGAAAGTTATTGAGAATGATAAAGCAGTGCCATACATCCGAGACGAGGGAAAAAAATGCAAAGAAAAAGAAAGATAGTGAGAAAGGCGCAGAAAAGGGGAGAAAAGCAGGACATGGATACTCGTCAATCGAGTAAGGGAGTCTTCGTTGTTTCATTCCAGCTGGTAAGTGTAGATTTGCAAGGTTCCAATGGTCAAATCAGGCTTGATCTCCAGGGCGACATCGAATTTGGGATTCTTGATTTTGTATTTTTTTCCCTCGTCTCGAATGTATGGCACGTCTGTATCAATCACTTGCCGAAAGTCACCGCTGCCGCGGAAGATTACGGAGACGTGGCGACTTCTTGTCATCGAGCGTTCCCGAACTTTGACGGTTCTTCCTTCGTAATTTTTTGATCGGCATGACGCGAGGTTGATTTTGTAGAAGCATGGATGGTCCTGCATTCCAAGTGGATACGTGATGACCTGAAGAAGGTCCGTCTTGAATCCGCGCATGACGACCGGACCTCTCCAGTCAAGAAGGCCAGGGAGAGATTTCGAGCGTTTTATCCATCTCTCAAGGTATTTCGTCGATCCGCTCACTTCACGCTCCATGGACCTCGCTATGTCCATGTGATTGTATTCAGCTTTATTCTCTTTTTCGACGTCGCTGTCAGCAAGATTCATGGAGGAGAACTTGTCATTCATTTTCTGCTTGCAAAAAGAGTGTTTCGATTTTGATACTTCTGCCCAAAACTCTCTGCTTTTATCAGTATCTTCATTTCTAGCGCCTCCATTAGGCCATATGGCACCTGCAAGATTTAACGCAGCTTAAATTTCATGCACTGGATTTTATTGAGAACAGCTTGCCTAGGTGCACAGGGAAAGACAGATTGCAGCGTTTAAAAAGTTTTACTCGATTCCAGTTTCATGAACGATGTCCATAAAGTTGGTGTACTCAAACGGCAAATTGCAGAAGGAGCATCTTTTGAATTCACGTCGGATTTTCTCGTAGCATTTCGTGCAGTAGAAGTGTTTGCAGGGGCTGTGTGTCTAATAAAAGCGTCCGTTAAAAATGTGAAGAAAAAAAGTTTAAGTTACCATTGGTTCTTCTTCTCCATGGCAAATCATGCAGTTTTTCATCTCTTCATCGTCGATCTGTCTCGCAGCCATTCTTCTTTGTCGAAGTTTCGTAACCAGTGATCCAAAGCAGTCTGCAATCGAAAAAGTTTTGCAGAAATCCGAAACTGTAAGTGGGTACGAAAAATACTCGTCGTCGCATTTGATAGCCTGTTTCTCGAAAGCTCTCCATTCTTCGGGCGTCAAAGGGACATACGCTTGTCCTTTGCACAATTCACAATGTGAATATCTTGTAGCTTTCGTTCCCTCTTCGTTCTTTGCATACTTCACGTCGGGATGAAAAACACCGAAATTCCGAGTAATTTTCTTATTGCATTGCAGGCAGAAAATTACAATCTCATCTTCGGTGAAGTCTTCATTTATAAGGTAGTATTTCCGTGGCATTTTAGATGAAAAGTTTGCGAGCACGAGTTTTTTTATAATTCGAGGTTGAGCCCAAACTCTTGATGGCGCCGAGTTTCGCGGCGTGCTTTCAGATTTGTGGCGTTCTTTCCGGTTACGCAGTGTGCGTTCAGAGCTCAATTGCGACGCTAGAAATTCAAAATAAAAAGTCTGGGTAGAGAAGAAAAAGAATGAAAAAGTACTATTTGAATTTTTCCGAGATGGAATCGTCTGACAGCGAGGTCGAAGAGGTCGAACAGACAAACACCGGACTGGAATTTCTGCTCAGGAACGCCCGATCTCACCCACTCCCTCAATTACGTCCTTTCTTGGAAGAAATCTATCACTTCTCAGAGCGCGAACCGTGGATACTCAAGTTCAAGGGATTTTTCCTGGTTAAAAGCGACTCAGGGATCTTTCAACTGGTCAAGTTTCCCCTTGGACCTCGTCATTGCTGGACCTTGGAAACGACCATTGGATCGGACCACCTCACCGATCTGGACAACCGTCTCTGTGCGCGAATCGCGGAGCAAGAAAACAAAGTCCTTGTCGTTGTTGATTCAGCCGTACTTATGGTCAACTCAGTTCCTCGACGACGATCCCGACTTGAAAACGACGGCTACGAGCTTGCCCTCTCGATTGAAAACGGCTTAGCTGTATTTTACTCTGTTGGAACCTACTCACTTGTTGTCTAATACAGTTTTTCTCCATACCTTTTTGTTGATTTTTATTTATAAGCAGGAAGTTGACCTTGTTGTATTGGTTGAGCCGGTGGCGCAGGTGAACTCGAGTGGAAAACGATAATAAAAAGAGCAATCGTTTTGATTGAGCATGAAGAGATATAATTTGTATTTTCCTGGATTAAATCCATGGATAACTTTGGGAGAGATCCAGAGATTTGGCGGCGATTTCAAAACCTTATTCAAGGACGGAAAACTCGCAGAGTCTCGATTTATTTCTCATATTCATAATCTTTCATTAGTGCATTCGGCGTTTAGCAAGGAAGAGATCATAGCATTTTACAACCTTGACATTGTCAACGTAAAATCTAAGTTCAAACATACGATAAAACTCGTTCTTCTTGAGGAAAGTGTTCTGAGAAGAACAAGCGTTATAATCGAAGAGGGTGAATGCTATTTTTATCTTTACCCATTTGACACATTTCTCGCAAAATTATACAGAAAGAAATCCAATATCAATAGCATAAATGATTTCTCATTCAAAATAGATGGTCTGAGTCTTTTTGAAGGACCAAATGATGTTTTTTCGAAAGATCTATCAAAAATTGCGAAAAAACTTGCAGCAGAGGTAAATTTTTTCCAATTAATCACTAATCACATGAATCTTTACAAACTTGAGCTACTACAAACTTTTTCAAGCGATAAAAACTCGAGGATCCTCAATTTTATTGTTGATAAAGACGAACTTCTTTCCACAAATAAGCTTAATCTAAGATATATTTTTGATATGAACAGTTTGGGCAATGTGTACAAATGTTCGAACTCCCTCTGTGGATTTGAAACCTTTTTCGAATCATACTTGCAGAATCATGAAAAGGGATGTCAAAGGCGAGTAAAAAAGATCACTCCTAATCAACGAGTCTACGGTACATCAATTAATCCGATTGAAGAGGCGATTCAAGCTGGGTTTCTTTCACCTGAGATGAGAAAATACAGAAAAACCAGATTTAGTAAGTTTCATCTATGATGACAAAAAATAAAAGGTTTAAGTCACTTTTGATATCGAGACCATGGAGCGTCAGATTGAAGAAACCAACAAGTCAACAACAGTTCACTCTGAACTTCGACTTCTTTCAATCGGAATAGGAAGCAACTTCGGATACCAGCGATTCTTGATCCGACGGAATGACGAGAATGACGGGGCAAAAGAGCTTGTTCAAAGATTTGTTGACGAAATTGAATCTCTTGCAGTCGCTGAAGAAAATTATCTCCCATCTGAGCTAAGAGACTCGATTCAAAACCTCCAAAACATCGATATGAATTCAGGTAGTATTTTTCTCCCAATAGTTGCTGACAATTTTGAAGTGCATGCTGAGCAAAAGATGAAAATCCGATATTTACGTCGAGAACTCACAAATTATGCAAAAATGGACATCTTTGGTTTCAATAGTGCTAAGTTTGATTTGAAAGTCTTAAGTCCGTATCTTATCCCAATTTTGATGAAAAAACACGGGTCCAAATTTACAAGTATTAAAAAAGGCAGTCATTACTTCTCTATGTCAACCCCGAAATATCAATTCAAAGATGCAAAACTTTTTAGCACTCCAACTGATCTTGCTGGATATCTTAAACAAGGAGGAGTCGACGAAGGAAAGGCGATTTGGCCTTATGAAAAATATCATAGCGTTTTTGATATCATGAATGACAAGAATTTTCCTCCTCGAGAGGATTTCTTCTCGAGTCTTAAAAATAAAGCTATTTCAGAAGAAGATTATGAAATTTTCAAAGATGAATTTAACAAAAATCAAAGAAGAGACCCCCATTATTCCATGGCTCATTGGCTTCAGCACTACAATTTGGCAGATGTCACTCCTTTTGCGAAAGCCATCGACAATCAATTCAAATTATTCTTTGAGACTTTCAAAATTGACCCTTCTTTTTGCATGAGTCTACCAAAATTTGCGATGGCGTGCGTTTTTGAAGGGTATTCGAAAGATTCACCGCTCACATGTAAGTTATTTTTTGTGAAATTGATTTTAATAATATTTTTCAAGTTTCCTTCCACCGTACTTGTCACAAAGAACATAAACTTCTCCGCGATAATATCATCGGTGGTCTGGTAAACGTCTATTCTCGCTACACTGAGCTTCGACCCGAGGTGGACGCTCCGAGAAATGCCAAGTTCGCGCCAAATGGGGATCCTTTTACAAAGATAGTCTTTTTTGACTTCAATGCTTTGTACTTGTACGCACAGAAGATGCTATTACCGTCCACTCCAGGTAATTTTTTTACTGTTTCTGAGCTCACTCTTATGATAAGGTATCAGATGGCAGAAAATCGACAATACCGTCTTTCGAAAATCCATAATGACGTCGGACAACTCTCTTGCTGCGCTTCAATGGCTTACATACATTGACGAGTTCAGCCCCTTGTTGGTTCAGACTAATGGAGAGCGGGTCCGACTTGAGCATCAGTATTTCAGGGGAGAGCACCAGGTCCTTAATTATAAAATTGACGGGTACGCTTGTGTTGATGGACAGCATCATTATTTCGAGTTTTTAGGATGTTATTTTCATCAATATTGTGTTGATTGCAACCCCGGTCAGATTGACCATGGGTTTGAGAAGAAACGTCGAATTTTGTCCAGAAAAGGGACTGTTCACATCATGCGAGAATGTGAATGGGTTCACCGACGAAATAAATATTATGTTGACCGAGTTTCTAAATATTGGGGACATATTTTCAAGCTGAAAGAATCAGAAAAAAGCATTCTTGAAGGAATAAAAAATGATGAGATATACGGATTTATCGAGGCCGATGTTTCTTGTCCGAAAGAAGTTTTTGATCAGATTTCGTACATAAATTTTCCTCCGGTCATTCAGCGTATGAAAATCACTGACGAGCATTTGAGTTCATATATGAAAGCTCAGTTTGAGAAAACTGGAAGCAAGTGCGACCAGGAAACTGTTGTTCAGACTTACAATGGTAAGAAAATGTTTCTCTTGACAACATTAGTGAAATTTTATCTTGAACTTGGTTTGGAAATAACAAATATTCGATCTTTTACTCAATTTCGAGCGACCAAAAGTCTAAGCGATTATGCCAATAATATAACCAATGGTCGCGTAAACGCCCTTGATGCCAATAACTCTGCTCTCGCTTTGGCTTTTAAGACCATCGGAAATTGCGGAGGATTTGGGAAGGCGATCGAGCAAGTTGATCGTCCAAATACAAAATTCAACGACGATAAACAGCTCAAGAAATCTATTGTTAAACCAACTTATAAATCATCGGAGGCTCTCTGTCAAGAAAACGGAGAGTATGAAATTTCAGAGGTCATTTTTGACAAGTTGCGGATCAAAGATGATAAGCCAACTGTTCTCGGTGTGGCTATTCTTCAAAATTCAAAACTCCATTTTCTCTCCTTTGTTTACAATTTTCTTCACAAATACCTGAGACCTGGGTCCTACAAGCTAAACTACTGTGATACTGACAGCTTAGCAATATGTAAGTTTGTATTTTCTGCCACTTATAAAAATATTTCAGCGTTTACTCGAAGCGGAACGGATGGACAAACAACAAGGTCACAGATGGAAGCCGCTCTGCTACCATGTGTTCGAGAGGAGCTTATGGAAGAGTTTCTTCAAGTTTGGCACAAATGGATTGTTCTTGAAGACACCACTCTTAATCATAAAACTCCTGGTCTTCTCAAAGGTTTGATCATTTTGCATCTGGATTTTAAACTCTAATAGCTGAGTGGCAAACAAATAACGGCGCCCTTGTCTGCCTCGGAAACAAGATGTACTTTGGCTTTGATGAAGAAAAGAAAGAGAGCAAGCGATCGACGAAAGGAGTTCCTCATAATCACGAGCTCAAACTTCAAGAATTTCTCGACTGTTTAAAAGGGACCATTGCCACAAATAATACTTGTCAAGTTCGCATGTTACGCTCGACCAACGACAATATTGTTAAGCGGATTTCGATTGAAAAAAAAGTTCTTTCGAATATTTTTGTTAAACTTCGAGTCATGTCGGACGGCGTGACATGTAAACCACTGACCCTTGACGGTAAAATCCTTTAATCTGTTCCATTTCAATAAATCTTGGTGCATATATATCAACTGGCTTCACTCTTTTTTGCAAAATGCCTTTTTATCCATCAGAGCGAGCTGATCTTGAAGCGCTTCGAAAAGAATATGGAGGAACTTACCTTCCTCTCGCCGAAGAGGAGCTCGATTTTTTCCGACAAACCGAGAGAGTTGGTCAGCTTCACAACAGGCTAATCATACCTCCTCCGAAACCTGGGCGAATCGTTGAAACTGCTCATTTGAGATTACTCTTAAATAAAAATTTTGATTTGAACAGCCTCATCGAAGACATCTTCGATGTGATTTCTCCAGTATTTCGAATCAAAATTGATTTCGGTTTTCTCATGGAAAATATTTTGACTGAAGATCCAGATTCCCGCTACCGATTTCACTGGCCTCAAATATCAACTGGACTTCCGATCGAGCCACACTTGATTAAAGACAAATTTTCCAAGAAAGCCTTTCTTGAAAATATTCCAAGCTGGTCCGAAATTCCTCAAATGGTCGAGATCGAGCACGAGAATCAATCAAGCTTCAGAAAGAGCGGGTTCAATCTGACTAAACTTCTCACCTGCAGCGTCTACGTTACAAAGATGAAATGAAACCAAGACGCAGCGGGACTCTCAGTGTGACCTTGTTTCTACTCTGCGCGCCCTCTTTTGGATACTCTACTCGATTTAACATCTCAAATTTCTTAATTCTCATCAAATCCAAAAAATGAAACTCAAATTTTTATATCTATCATTATGATCGCTTCTGCAAAAATGGAAATTGAATTCTAAAATGAAACACTATCATTAAAAACATTGTTGTTATCACTTCGGGATATAATTCTTATCAAATGAAAACTGTTTTGACAACTTCGTCTTCTGTATCAACCGCTTTCTTAAAATGAAACAGTATATTTTTTAATCGTTATTGTCATTGGCTTACCGAATACATTCCAAATTTCTGAAATCTCTTTGCTTTGATTGCATAAAAAAAAACGCTTAATACAATTTATATTTTCACCAAATTTTATTTTCACCAGATAGAAATTGAGTAGAAAAAACAAAGAAGTATGAAAGATCAGAAATTTTTAGGAGCAGAAATTTTGAGAAGCAGAAACAGAAAAGAGCCGAAATTGAAAAAGCTTGCATTTGATTATTCAGAGGCTCCGAGACTTTTTTTGGTGGTGGAACAGCTTGGTAGTCCTCGTTGATGTAAATCGTTCCTGTTTGCTCGGGCTGCGTTAGAACATCATCGTCGGGAGTTGTACGCAAGTTCCATCCAAGAACGGACGGAGATTGGAAGACATTTTCTTGACCGCAGATGGGACAGTCATGAGATGGCTCTTCTTCAGGTTGGAATGGCATAGTGTACCTGAAAATGTACGCTTTTGGCTCATTTCTCATCTGTTCAGAGAGTGTTTGAAGAGCCTCGCGTTCGATCTCGATCAGTAGCTGCTTCTTGGTGTGGCGAAACTCGAGCAGGTGAAGGAACTCGACTTCGAGCTGATGTTTAGTTGAAACAGGCAGACGGAGCTCAATTTCTTCTCCTGAGAATCCATCAGGAAAAAATTTATCGTCATTCGAGATCACTGAAGCGTCGATGTAGAAAACTCCTCCTTTATTGGCGGTGTGAAAATCAAAGTCTTTGATTGTAACGATCATTTTTGCGAATGAGAGAAGAATCGATTTTGCTCCTGAAGTTCAAATGCACTGGTTAACCAGTGCTCTTTTCCTAGCCTTGACACCGCTTCTACGCTTCCTTTGTTTATAAATAAAAGATCCTGCTTCAAAAAACTACAAAAAGATTTATCACCGACATTTATTTTCACCGAAAAATATTTACAAAGGAAAGCACGACAAAATAAAAGTAAAGTAGAGCAAGCACCACAGTTTATCTAAGAAAGTATAGAAAAGCAAAGCACCACAAGAAAAGACAGTTTCATTTGAAGATTCAATGATTATACTTTGTCACCTTCCATTCTTCAAGCTTGAATATTGGTGATCCACAGTTTGAACAATCCTCTGGAGGAGTCTGCTCGAGTTGCATCGGGAAGTTGTATTGAAACGTCCAGCAACCAAAAATTGCTTCCCCTTTTTTTCCCTCGGAAGTGAGCACTTTTTCAAGAAGAATTATTGGTACGGGCTTTTTTGAGTGACAAAATTCCAAAAGCTGAAGGAATTCCGTCTCAACCTCTTGTTTTGTCGAGACTGTTATCCGGAGATCAAGCTCTGCTGCTGGGAATCCACCAGGAAAGTGAACGTCGATAAGCGGCATGCACATGGCATCAATGTGAAAAACTCCTCCACAACCTTTATGCTCAAAGTCGAAGGCTTCAATTTGAACCATAAAATCAGCTGAGGAGACTTCGGAACATCGGAACATTTTTTTTGTTGAGAATGAGATCAACTAAGAATTCTTCTATGAGGTTCAAAAGCGCTGGATACTCAGTGCCTGCTTTTGACCACTGATTCTACTCGAGCGGAACTTCGCGTCTTGAATGTTTATAAATAAAGGAACCTGCTTGAAAGAACGACAAGGAAATAAAAACACCAAATTTTATTACTCGAGTAAAGAAGCAGAAAACGATCAGAAAAGGAAAAGATTAGATGTCCATTTGTTGCTCGGAAGCTGGCTGAATCGGAGTTGGTTGTTCGTAAGCTGGCTGAATCGGCTGAATCGGAGTTGGCTGGATTGGAGTTGGCTGAATGGGAGTTGGCTGGATGAGAGTTGGCTTGATAGGAGTTGGCTGAATCAGAGTTGGCTGAATCGGAGTTGGCTGGATCGGAGTTGGCTGGATCGGAGTTGGCTTGATCGGAGTTGGCTGAATGGGAGAAAGCGGAGCCGGAGTTGGCTGAATGGGAGAAAGCTGGGTCGGAGTTGACTGAGTCGGAAGTCGACTGAATCGGAAAGTGTAGGAAGCGGGGATATTGTGCTCTCTTTCCCAGTCGGATTGCTTTGACTCGGAAGTAAGGTTGACGGACGCAGGTTGATGAGATTCTGTGAAGGAAAGAAGAGTAGCGAACGTTTCAGAAATTTCAGCTGCAGTCCTTTCATACATTCTCAAGTTGATTTCTGAAGCAGGTTGGGTATAGTCAAAATGACTCTCAAAGCCTGGGATAAAAGTTCCCTTGACTTTGAAAAATCCGCCTCCGTTGTGTGATCGAAAAGTGAAAGATTTAATCGTGACAAACATCTTTTTGAGAATGACGAAAATGACAAAATCAAGTCCAGAAGTGCTAAAGCACTGGTTAGTCAGTGCATCTTTTACTACCAGTGATTCTTTTATGTTTACCTTTACAATAACGTTTTTTCGACTTGTTTATGTTCGTCAATCGTAAGTTTGACAGACACAATTGACCATATAACAATGTGATAGTCATCGTCGTCATCTAGTGGTTTGTTGAAATCGAATGTGAAGGAGAGCCATCCTTGTGATATTTCCTCGCCCTCAAATTCATGAGCGAAAATTGCATTGCTCTTGTACGCATCCATGGATGTCACATAAGACAAGTTGCTTTGAGAGATTCTTCCAAGAGCATTTTGAAATTTCCAATAAGGGAGAATTGGATACTGATTCGTGATTTTCTAGAAACATGATAAATTTTTTTATTCTTCTATGTTATCTTACCTGAGGATATCCATGGAGCGACTGCCCATTTAATGTGACGTTTATTTGAGTAAGATCCTGATGAAAACTGAAATTTGTGGACTCAAAAGCATCCGATCCAAACAAGGCATCTGTTTTGATGAGTCCAAAGAACATGTACGCGGGAGTATTTCCACCAGTAACATTGAGAAGCTGAACTTGCTTACGACCTTTTGGTAAAGCCATTGTCTTTATCATAGTGTCATTGAATTTGTAGGAGATCGGTTTTGATTTGATTCTCGCAAAATGATTTCTCAAGCTTGTAGAGGACACATATTCAACCATTGCATAGGCATCTGTTATTTTGAGAGCTTCTCCAGCCGGCAACTTATCATTTGGGTCGCTTCCAATAAAAATTGTAGAGAACTCATGCTTTAGACGGTAGAGCGTCAGTGATAGATCAGTGTTGAGAGGAAGAGGTTTATTTTCAAGGAAGAATCCGTGAGTAGGTAAGAAGATGAGTTCGTAAACATAATTCCCATCGGAGTTGACAAAGCAGCCTGGTCTCCTACCGTCTCTGATTTCTTCCTTAGCCGCATCTGTCGCAAGTGTCTCAAAATTGTACTCGTCATAGTACCCTTCGATCTGGAAAGCAGTCATCACATATTGAGGATCGTAGTTTGTCAGCTTTGTCAAATAATCAGCTAGCATATAATGCGCGCTAAGAGAAAAAGTAAGGCTAATCTATGAACAAAAACTCTTACTTTGAATTGGAGTTATCAATTATCTGAGAATTCACGGCAACTTCTGTTTTTCCAAACTGTTTGCTTGCGAATCCATTGCAGGGGATGTAGTTCTTGTCAAGTTCGATCGTGAAATGAATCGCAATGTTGTTTTTGACGAGAAAAAGGTTTGGATCAGCATCGAAGTGGAAATGAAGACGTCCGGTTAAACTATCTACCTCTCTGGGATAGTGACGCTTTACGACTTTCTGGTCGTAGTACTCAACTTCTATCATAGTTTCAGTCTAAACAAGTAAAGATTGAAGATCGTTTTTCACCAATTTTAATCACCAAATTTGAGAGAGTTTGTCAAAAAGAAGTTGATCGTTCTCAGTAAGATTTTTAGAAAAAATAGAGGAAAGTTTTTTCATAGAATAAAGAGAGCGAAAGATAACATAGAAACAGACGTAGAAACCACAGTAAAATGACGCATCTGATTGAATTTTTTTATAAAAATATTTTTTACGATCACCGAAAAAGTCGGTTAATTCTTTTGGATATTTTCCTAATTTCAAACTATCAAAAATCTCGATTTTTGACTTTTCAATACGAAGTGCTATCCAGTGAGAACCTTTTGACTTTTCCGGTGAAAGATTAACAACGAGAAAAGCAGGATATTCATTAAGAGTGGAAAGAGTATCAATAGAGAAAACACCAAGGAAATTTTGTACACGTTCTAAACGTTTAGCAATATAGTAAGAGTTCATGCTCTTTTCTTTTTGGACGACTTCTTTGACTTTTTCAAGTCTTTTGTTGTAAAATTTCTTTTTTTCTTTGGTTTTGAGGAAGGTTTTTTTCTTGCTGGAGTAAGTTTTAATTTGGTTGGAGCTTTTTTTGATTTTCTTTTTCCTGCGCCCGACTGAGATTTGGGAAACCATTTTTTTGGTCGACTTTCGAGCGCGGAAATAATGGTTTTCATTCTCTTGTTGTAATCTGGATCTGCAGAGAAAATTGTTGGACAACGTGTTCACTTTCTAAGTCGATTGAAAATGTCGTATCCCGCCAGTTATATACGTTTAAAGGGAAGAAAAGGGAGCGTTGGTCGGAAAAATGGCACCACCTATCGTTTGGACGGATTTGACCCATCATGAGCGTATTCGGTTCTCCATAGCAAGAAGCAATTGAGTTACACGTTATGAAAGCAATGCCAACGTCACGTGGAGTGGTCATAAGATTACAGACAGCGCTTACAATTTGAACACAGTATTCTTCGTTGTTATCAAATAAAATTTCAGGGACTTTTAGTTCCTTGCTTCTTGTTCCGAAAAGATTCAATATCATTGGCGACAAGATTGAGTTCGAAATAATACTTGATTCGAGGTTGACGATTTCCTTCTTCGTCAGCAATTTTATACCAAACTATACCAGCTCTTTGACGGATGTCCGTGATGATGTAAACTTCGTCTGACCAATTTTGCGTGTATCCTTTTTCGAAAAGTTCTTTTTTCTTTTTTACTCTCACAACGTTGCCAACTTTTAGTCTGGGCTTGACTTTTAAGTCAATGTCGGGATATAGTCGAGTGAAAACCTGTGCTCTATTTTTTGATGAGACTTGGTTTGGAGCCATGCCAATTGAACGATGAGGAGTTGAATTATATCCTTTTGTTATAGCCGGAAGAACATCGATCCAAGTTTTAGTCCTGTTTCTTTTCATGAAAAGATGTATACGTTTTCTGAAAGTTTGAATCGCACGTTCTGCTATCGCTGCCTTCATTTTACTTTTGATACTATAGTGATGCAGTCCATATCGATCCAGAATTTTGCGCACATTTGAGTTGTAGAATTCCAGACCTTCATCTGTAATCAAAGAATTCGGCCACTCAATAAAATCTTGAAATATGTCGTTGAGAGCGTTTGCCACATCCTTCCCAGATTTGGTTTTGAGAGGTCTTGTCCAAACATAACGTGAAAAACAGTCGATAATGAGAAGAATAAAAACGTGATGTCGATTAGAGTATTTGAATTTTTGGTAGTCAATAAGATCACCCTGGAATATTTTGAATGCAGTGTCAACAATAAATCGTCGACGAGGAAATCGCTTTTTGGATATGCGACGATGAGTACTAGACACTTTATTCTTCCGGAGAAATTCCGCTACTTTCGCTGAGAATGCTGGAGCGCTTGCCACGTTTTCGTACAGGGCTTGAATCTGATCCTCCAGAGCTGACTTCTTCGGAGGTTGGACTTTCGGATGAGCTTGAATTTCTTCTTCGCTTCGATTTTTTTGATTTTGAATCGACTTCGTCTGAGCTGATGTTTTCGCTATCTGATTCGCTTGAGGTTGAAGGACGTCTTCGCTTACTCTTTTTTGATTTTGATTTCTCTTCCTCGTCGGTTTCCGAAGACGCTTCGCTTGAGGTTGAATGTCGTCTTCGCTTCTTTGCTTTCCTTTTTGATTTCTTGTCGTTACTCGACTTCTTGTTTCGCTTTCTGGATCTTGACCTTTCAACCTCCGACTCTGACGAGTCTTCGGTAAAACTGTCGCATCTGATCTTTGATTTGACTCTTGTTGACTCAATAGTTTTGCACTCCGGGTATTTCTTCTCATGTTTCTTTTCGACTGCTTCGAAAGTATTGTCTCTGGCGATAATATCGAAATTCTGCTTGAAATCGTTGTATGGTACGATGCAGGCCTTCATTCCGCTAACTGAGAAAACAACCGGATAATCGGTGAATATATCTGTATAGAGACGATAGCTCGAGGCATGGCCTCGGGGTGATTGATCCAGAAACATGTACGGATATTGTTTGTTCTTGTTTTCTTCCGTTGCTCTTTTGTAAGCTTTTAGAAGTCCAGCTTGACTACATGCACGTTTATTAACTGTCCCATCAAGACAGTTTCTGCATAGAAAGGTAGCGTTGCAGTTGAGCTTGATGTTTCTCCCGAATTTTCCTTGAGCATAGTTATTTTGCGTCATTATCATCACATTTAAATTCCGCTTCCCACTTGTCACTCGAAACAGATGATCGATCGCTTGACTTTGAATCGCTTCTTCATATAAATCATCGAGTACAATTGTTGAATGTGACGGAATCTCGTCAATTTCCTCTTGAGAAGGAAGTCCAACCCTGTAGCTTACAGGGACACAAAGATCATCCCACTTCACTGGTTTTTCTTCCAAAAACAAGGATAATAATAGAAAACTCGTTTAGTCTTCTTTTGAAATAGATGTCTGTTCAAAAGAACTTGTTTTGCGATATAAGTTTTTCCTGCTCCAGAAGATCCACTGAGCAAAATACGAAAAGGATATGTGAAGGTTGCGTCTGGTAGAAGTTCTCCATTGATAACGGTGCTCATTTCTCTTTTGCTTCAATTTTCTTTTGCTCATCCTTTTTATTTATCAAAAGAAAGCATTGGATCGGAACTGAAAATAATCAAATCTTAAATTTTATTCTCATATCGTAACGGATACACAACGGAAGTTGTTGATGACATATTAATAAACACTGAACTTCCGAGTTTATATTTATAAATACCGGAAATAAGTATTTATTCACCATCGAAGACTCGATGGCGAGAACATGGAGGTGGACCCCGGTCATGAGTCCGACGGCGAGCTTCCTGACGAGGGGCCAATTGAGGACCCTCTTGTTCCTCCTGAGGACGAAGATGACGAGGCCGAGGACGACGATGTTCGTGAGGTCATCGACGATCGTGAGGACGACGACGTTCATGAGGTCGTCGAGGAACCCATCGAAGTCGCCCCCTGGGATCTAGTTGACCCCGACTTTTTGTCAAACAAGCACCTTGCGGATCGAGGATTCATAAATAAGGGAGAGAAAGCCGGCGAAGCGGAGCATCTTGCTTACTCTACGTGTTGGTTGTCTGCAGCCGGTATGTGTATCTTTGTTCGAAATTTGCGAACGCCGTTCGTAATCTTGTGAACGCCGTTCGCAACGGAGAAAATCTTACCATGAGTGTTCGTTTCAAGCATTTTCTGGTATAAAACTCATTTGGTTGACAGGAGCAGTGTTTCTCTAGCGCTCGGACACGTGATGAAAAAAGTTGTGAACGATTATTGGTCAAAATTTTCTCCTTGTGAACGGTGTTTACAAGATAACGAACGGCGTTCGCAAGTTGTGAACGAAGCCGCTTGCTCCCTTAAAAATAACTGAACTCGTATTTAAGTGAATCTTCTTCTCATTGCAGGCTGTATTCGAAAGCTGAAGCCGGCCAACTGTCTCATCGCAGAGATGCAAAAACTGACATTTGTCAACAGTAAGTCTTTTTTTTTTATTCCGCGACGCATATTTAACAACCTGCTAAGCGGTTCAAGCACTCGATGATGTCGTCAAGGAAACAAAAAGGTTACTCTGGGAGAGCGGTTTTAGATGGACTAAAACTGGACTCGGAGTAACCGAAGGTCTACGAGGGTTATTGAAAAATTTTTCCGAAAGGTGTGGTTCATTAATAAAAATATCTTAATCAAATTCTCAATATGAAATCTTTTATCGTTAGAAGAAAGATTCTTAATCAAATGAACAATGAGTATTTTTTCAAATAAGAACCCCAAATAAGTGACGGTGAAAATAAGCAGAAGATCTTGGAAGATTTTCGTTGTTGCGAGTCTTGCATGGTAATTCGCCCTTTTTTTTTTCTTGTTCTAAGATTTTTAGGAGCCCTTCTTCTGTGAAATTTTCATTGAAGACGCCTTGGACAGCAAAGATATAAATTTGCAAGAAATAGTCGCGAAGGGAGAATGCCTCCTGTGTGGCAATGAGGAAATACGACCGGCAGAATATTTATTCCTTGTCGTGAACGGAAGGAAACGCATGAGATATATATATATATTTTTTTTTTTTGCAAATATGAACGCTTATATAATATGCCAAAAAGATATTTTGAGGAGAATGGACGATGGGTGCAGCGAAAAGATGTGGTGAAGGGCGATTCAATTCGCCTGATGGGTCATGATTACAAAATGATTGGTAAGAGAGATTATATATTCGGAACATTTTTATTGATTTAGCAAAAAGCACGTATAAAATGCAAAAAAATCAGGAAGCTCACACTTATGTTGACTTCCAGGTGGGCTTAAAATAATATCGCACGAGTTTTATCTTCATAGCCTTCTTTATTATTTTTACGTGAAATTATTCAAGCCAACATAAGAAAAAAAAGGAAAAAAGAGCGCGAAAACTTCTGGCTCGAAGACTGGATGACTATCTCCGCTCGACGGACGTCACGTGGGAGCCATCTTCTGAGGATCACGTCCTACTACTCTCCCGAGCGCGAATTCAAGATTGAGAGATTTATTTTTATATTTACTTATTTGGTGACTGAAGTTTTTATCTAAATATTTATTTATTTGGTGACTGAAGTTTTTATCTAAATATTTATTTGTTTATAATAAATTATATATTTTCACTTATAATAAAACAAGACTGATTTAAACCGGAAGTGCACCGGAAGGTCACCGGATGTTATTCTTTTCCGGAAGTTTACCGGAAGAGAATAACATCCGGTGACCTTCCGGTGTTTATATTAGTGTCCTAGTAGTCGGCTTAAATAGATAATTACGACGTCGCATTATTATCATTTCCCCGCCGAAATTAGCGTTAATTTGGATTTTACTGGGAACTGAGATTGTGCCTCTAAAATCACGGATAGAGAAAGTAGATTACGAAACCGTTAAAAACGCTTCTGACAACGATAAGCTGCGAAAATCTGCACTCCAAAATCTGAATCGCGCCGCAAACTCGCCCGAGCATACGAATTAAAAACCCCTAATCGCTCTCGATTCAGAATTGAAGAATTCAGAAAGTACGATGATTCTCCTCGCTGCGCCAAGGTTAAAAAAAGGAAAATACAATTTTTCCTGCATTTGTAGGAAGCGCGCACTAGGATGAAATTACGACGTCGTTGCGGCGAAGCGGCCGTCATTTCCCTCTAAAGTTGAAAAATAAGCACGCTCAAGCAAAGCCTTTCATTTTCGGACAAGAAGCAACAACGGCCTCTAGAACCATTTCAACGCTCGTTTCGCAATGTTCCCTTTCCATTCCCTTTCCATCCATTCTATCCATCAGGTGCAGAGGGCTACTAGGTTCGCCGAGCTAGCGAAATTCAAGTTATCGGAAGTGCGCAGATGTTGTTTGGTCGAATAAATGCTCGCACAGAACGTGCACTTCACTTCGCCTTTCTCCGAAACCTCTCTTTTTGCGTCATTCAGAAGGGATTTACCTTTTCGCGCAAAGTCGACGCTCAACCTCCGGATCGCCAATTGATCAAATCATAAAACAACAGAAAGAAGCTCCTGCGTCCGAAATTCGCCCGAAACTCAGCACTCGGCAAGAATTGTTGTTTTGAGAAGAGGTTGGCTAAATTTCAATTTCAAAAAATATATTGCGGCGGCTTAGCCTCACCCAAAGAACACAAATACTGCAACGGCTCTAAGAGCAATTTCTATTTTGCATTTTACATTTGAAGAAATTCATTTACATTGGCGCTTTGTTAAACATAAGTCAAGTCCTTTTTTCCGATCGTTTCGGAAAAAAAGAGAGCTTTGACGCAATTGTTATATTTCGGTCAGCTTCGGCGTAAAATGTGAGTGGTGATAGCGGGAGTGATAAACGCCGCACGCGTTTATTTTCTGATCAAGTTTGGAAAGGTGCAGATTGAGCAGTGACACGTTAGAGGTTCCAACAGGCCTCTTTTTCCGTCCAATTCGTGTTTTCCCTTTCTTGCCTGAATGTAACCATAATCTCCCTTTACGTTCTTCGATTTTATAAGTTAGGAAAGGCGAATGAAACGTGAGTGCCTTCCTGGAACTCGTCGCCACAAGGACTACTTTCTATTTTTGGCCGGTTTGAATGGGGCACACAAGATGGTCGAAGTACCCGAGAGATTTTAGAATGCGCGGCGTTGACCACCCTCAGCTTTATTGACAGGAACAACAACTGATATTTGGAAATTATGTTGGCGCTCGATCGGAAGCCGCTCCAAAATGCAGTTGCGAAAGATTGGAATTGCATCAACTCAATTCAACTAAGAGCGCGAAAAACGAGTAATTTTGAAAATTTGCTTCTAATTTCTTTATCAAGCGGCGATTTACAAGAGACGACACGGGAGCGTCATTCTAATCGGGAAGTGTTCCGAAGTCGATCGTCCTGATACTGGCGCACAACTAGCTCACTTCCGCGCTTCACTTTTTTAACTCAATCGAGCGCGTGAAAGTCTATTTTCGAAAACTGAGCGGGACAAGCTCTCGAACACGTTTTTCTTGTGGCACCTTTCAAGCTAATCCAAGCTCGTCGCGCTAAATTTGCATTTTACGAATTCGCACTTTTCCGCTCGCGCATAATATAATTCCGAATCAAAATTACATCTCTGTATTTCTCGCTCTCTTTCTTTGTTTTTCTAAAGTCGCTAAGTGAAGTTCCTTGGCGCGGGCTGGAATTTTGTAATTTGGAAAAGAGCTCGAACGGCCGCTAATGCGCAGGCTCGGGCAATCCCCGCAGCCAGCAATTTGTTAGGAACCAAATTCAAGGCACTGACGCGAAATAAAGAGCGGAAACGGATCGACTTACTTATTGAAGACAACCCGCCGTGAGACAGTATTTAAGGACTGTAGCGATCCAATTTGAGGAAGTTCTAAAGAACTGACGGGGCGAAATTATGCGTTAACTTTTGCTTAAGTGCGGCTTTGAACTATTATTGAATAAGCCCAGAACTTTGTGAAATCAGTTTTGGGTCAGTTGCACTTTCGGGTTTGGTTTCTGCCCCTCCGCAAACTGTTCAAGCAGTTTCGCGAAAACAGCATCGCGTGATCATGCGATTCCATTGGCAGAAAAGGCGTTCTTGTCTATGTTTCTTAGAGTTGTTAAATGGCGGTGTTTGCCGAGATTAAAAACGCAGCTGGCACGAGATTCGGCAGGTGCCGCATCTCGAGCTATGATCGAAGTCTTAAGGGCACAAGAATATAAGCTCTGTAAATATCGCCAAGCATAAGAAACGCGGCTTGCCTTTCATGTCAAAGCTCGACTTGCTCACCCAAGATATCTTGCCTGCTCTTTAGAGTGCCTCTGCATCAAGTCAGAAAGAAAAGAGTCAAGTAGGTTATGTTTTTCTGCAGAAGAAATTTATTATTCGGAGACGTATTTACACAAATGGCAGCACGATAAAGATAAAGTATAGTTGCGCGGGTTAAAGGGTTTTCAATCTTTCACTCAAAAACGAGTTAATTGTGGCGGCTTAAAAAGCGCAAAATGTCTGTAAGTCACAGAAGCCCGCCCCAATATGCTCGCCATGAGATTTCCTGCCTTCTAGTGGCAGTTCGAAAAGAACAGGATGGGGGCATATTGGCGACGGCTTCGCTGGGAGCAATTCCAGAAATTTGTTAAAATTTCACGCACTCAACTGTAGAATTGCTCGCGCCAGTAGAAATTTAAGCGTGTTGGGTGATTTTGGGCGTGGGTGTTGTTCTTTGGAGCACTCCACAAAATAATGCAAATTTTTGGGTCGAAAGTACGTAATTACAGTACTTACAATGTTTATCATATAAAAGGACGACCAATAAACTGTGGTTAAGATTTTACACTGAAATGGTAGTAAGAGCCCGCCTCCGAAACGTCAGAGGCGTTTTTAATGAGAGCATCGCGCCGAGTGACTCGAGAGCGTCCGAACATAGCTTGGCCAGCGTAACACTGCAAATTATAATTTCGGGGCTGGGCACAAGCCAAGCTGGGGCCCTCGATCGACGCGAGCTCCGAGAACAGAGAGTGTAACTTAAATGATAAAAGTAGTGGTGTCGTTCGTAGGTTCGATAGGCGCGAGTCACTTTGCAATGAGCCGCAGCGAGTTATAATAATTAATGGTCAGAAAATTAAATAGGTTTTGGGTTTGAACTTAGAAGAAGGCATTGACGGACCGGCTATTGAGCAGTAAATTGGTTCACACGGACGATGTTGAATTCATCATTCTAAAGAAAGAGTCAGTTTTTTCTTGTTGTGTTTCAGGCGAACTGATTACGAATTATTCCCCCAGGTGGATTTACACAGTGAATCCAACCGCGGTATTCCTAAGTCGCCTTTGCGGAGTTGATGCGATTTTCGCACTTTTGAATATTCAGAATACCCCGCGCGCGCAGAAACAACCCCGAAATTTCAATTCAACTTGCTTATGCTTCTTGCAATTTGTATTCTAACTTGGAATTTTCCCTCAATTACGTGCTGACAACTGTTGAATTTCCAACTACTCGCCATCGTATATCACGTGACATCGCTGTTTCCGCTTTCGAGCTCTTTCACATACAGCTCATCGAGAGCCGAAATAAACGAGAAAACAAGGCATTATCGAAATTGTATGTACGAGCGTAAGATATCTCGTTTCATACGGCCTCGCGCCACGGTGGTTATTTTTACATTATGGTGCGCTTGTCAGTGCGAATCGGCTTAGCCTTGCTGCTGTCAGAGCTTACGTTTCCAGCTGCACTATTATCACGACTTCAAACTGTCGGTAAATTAAATTTTCTATCAATCTTAATGCCCGGTAGCTAGTTGGCTGTGTTTTTTCAAGCGACGTCGGATTATTCGATTTTTTTTCAAAATGCGCGCAAAGTACTTACACTAGCAAGTATGAGCATCTCGCGTGGGCATGGGTGAAACGAGGAGTAGGGTCGGTTGAAAGTGAGCTTATTCGCAGTCGGCATCGTTGTAGCCTGCGATTTTGCATCTGTAGAGCTTGTCTCCCTTCTTCCAGAGCTTGTCGTTAGCCCATTCTTTGGAGAATCGCTTGTTGATGTACTCTTGGCCGCAGTAGGCGATGTATCGTTCACTCCAGTTCTTGAAGCCCTTTGCGATCTGTTTCAGCGCCTTGATCGGATCGTCACTGATTCTGAAATTTTATTTGAGTTTCTGTGCAACCGTCTCGCCTAGGGCTACTAGAACGACAACAGAGCCGTCCTTATCGCTTTTGATAACGCGCTAAATTTCGCCTTATTCGTCATATCAGTGGTCCCTTACTGCGTAAAACGTGCTTTTCGGTGTAGGAATGATAGCACTTATTAAGTGGCCTGTAAAACTAAGAAATTAACATATATCTAATGCATTGCAAAAGTTTCATCGCCAAAGTTTCAAAATAAGCAGGGATTGTATAATATTTACCTTCCAGCGCCTCGTCGCACTCGGCTATTAGATGTGATGTCGATAAGTTCATCATCATCAATTCCTACGTTTCTGAACCATCGCTCGATGTCGAGGATCTTGTTCTGCAAGTCAGTGAGTTCGGTGTTGTGTCGGATGTATCGCCACTCGTCGTGAGTCATCTGCACTCGCTGGAACTTCTCCTCGAAGGTTCGGGTTCTTCCATCGGAGTCGAGGTCAGGTGTAAGAGAGGGAATTTCAAATTGTCGGACAGTGCGCTGGTCCTCCTCTTTCTTTGATTGCTTGGCCTCGCTGACGAACTGAAACAAAGATGTCACCAAAGATGACGTGGTCGACGAAGATAACACAATAGTTGCTTCATTTTCGAAGCTCCCGGCTGCGCCCTTATCATTGATATTGAATTAATATCCCCCCATTTTATTTAGCTCCTTGATGATGCAATGAGCGGCCAGATGAGTGGCGACTCACGTTCTAATTCGGAAGAAATCACAAAGCTAACAATTTTCTCGCTTATTTCCATTTTTAAAATGCTGATATCTCCGCTTGAATATTTATATTTTTGAGCGAGAGTATTGATTAACACCTATGCAGAAGGCGCACACTCTTGGCGCTCTTTATTGTCAAGCACTATCACTTCTACTATTCTTAGAATGCTATCTTCGATGCACTTAGTTACTTACAATTTCGTACGGCTGAGGACCGCCATTTGGCACGTTGGGATCGTAGAAACCGCATCGTCTATCTCCATCGGGATTGGTGCGTTCGAAGAGCTCGAGCATCTTGTCGGACTTATTCTTGATGTTTTCGATGAGCTCGTTGCCTCGTTTCTCCCTAAATTCAGCAGTTGCTACACTACCTGAGTTGTTGATGATGTTGTTTTCCATCCATGTGATGGCCAAGTTTCTCAATCTCGAGATTCGCTACATCAAAAGTTAAGCTCGAAACGAAAGCTCGATTGTGGTACCTTGTTGGGGTCTCGCTGGCGAGCAGCCTCCGTGTTGCTCAAAAGAGCTAAATAAAACCAATATCGGCCGGTCATTTTCTTGGCGTTCTGATTGTAGGTGAACATTTTAGTGGTAGGATTAGGTATTTCCGGGTGATAGGATTAGAGGCTGCACGTTTCTGGAGCCTATTGCGCGTGCATGGCCCGCGAATTGATTTCCCCCGTTAGTGTGCATACTAGAAAAAAAAAGAAGAAGAAGAAACATCGTGCTCTGAGAATTGGGGGAAAAAGGAGTGGAGAGGGGACTGATTTATTTAAACAATGAAAATATCAGGCAGCGGTTGGTTAAGACTCGATCCCTTGATCAAGCCTCACTTCGCACGCTTTCTGAGATCACTGTGACAACGCGAGAGAAAAAAGCCAGAGAGAAAGATTATGCTTTGGGTTACGATCGAGACTACTTCTAAAATTGTTGTGCTCAACCACACACGCCTAGTCAGATTTCTGAGCAGCGCGCTCCCACTTACTGTTGTGCCTATCAACAAAAATTGCAGCATCAACTATTTTATTCAATATTATTGTCGAATGAAACATCACACGATTGCGTCCTGTTTCCACTAAATGCATGGCCAATATTATACGCGCGTGCTGATAAATTACCACATTATTGGCTTTTTAAATATTTAACGCTGTGTACTAAAATCAAAATCACTGAGACGATCTGGCAAATCTCACGGATCACAGACTCTCACCCTCAGATTTTTAGATTAAAGCTATATTCTGCTACTAGAGCGCCTATATTGTCAGAAGATACGCGAAACAAGCAAATCTACGTACTAAAGCGAGAAAGAACTAAAGAAGATGAAGTCTATGCTGAGACAAGTTCGCGAGGCTAGGGCCAACGCGAGGGAAGCTAGGTAAGTTAACGCCATGTTTAAAAATTATTATTCACTGTTGTTGCTGTTCGTAAGACCTAGCTGTGGCCAAAGATGCTCTTCGTAAAATCTCTCTGTATGCAAAGATAGTTCTTTGCGATTTTTAAAAGTTCTCGTTCTTCATGTTCACCGCTTTCCTTAGCGTGTAGTCGCTAGAGTCTTGATAGACTGAGGATAAGAGTGTTGGATTTGTTGTTTTTTCTCTGGAAGGCTTCGCAGTCTCCGTCAGAGGATCTCCGTGGGTAGTTCTTGTGTTGAGCTCTTTTTCGGATCTCTCAAATCTCTGTCCCACTGGTTGTTGTGCGTAGTAAAAAAGTGACGGGCTTGTAGCGTTTAAAAATTGCGTTTCAAACGTTAGCGTAAAATAAAAAAAGTCGTGGGTCCTTTTCTCAAATCCCAGTATCCATCGGCAATGAAAAATGTGGCTGGCACAAGCCGTTGCAGAACCAGTTTCGGTCGGTGGGGGCGCCCTTCCGAAATCGGCCGCGGGGTCTCCCACCGAGATCGCCGAAGCTGGGTCCAGCAGCTCGCCAGCGCCACCGACCGGGCGACCTCCATCAGAAATCACGAGAACACACCACCGTAATACCTCGCCTAAGCAGGATAAAGATCAGCCAAGATTACCCAAGAATCCAATTCACCAAATACAATCACCCAAGCCTTTCTCTTCCTCGAATGTTCACGTGATTTTATATCCCCGACGCGTGTCTTTGGTCGATTTCAGCAATTCAATTTCTAGCCTAAAAATTTTTGGTATAAAAAATCAAATCGCGATAGATTCAGTGCTTTTCACTAGCCAGCAAAAATATCATAATTGGAATAATTTTATTCTCCATTTTTATTAATTTTTTAACGTAAAGAAATAAAATGCTTAATTGAATTAAAATTTAACGCGGTTCGATATTCTGAAATGCAAAATTATTCAGAGACCTTATAAAAACGGCTGGTACGGGGCCATTTTACATTGAACTACTTGGTAATTTGTTTGATAAACGTGAGAGACTGGTCGGAGATTTTATCGGCCTGAGAACAATTGAGCTGTGCAACTAGAGGCATTGACATTCCAAACTCTGTTGGGAGAAATTATAAGTAGACGCGAGAAATTGCCCTTTCTCGCTCCTCATCTTTACTTACGAATGAACCCCTTTCTCGGAAAATTTTGCCAAGTTGGCATAAAAGTTTTCGAACTAATTTGAGTTGAGCCTTTTTCGTAAATTTTGGAGAGAATGTTTGAAAGTGACACTTTAGGCGGAATCTGCTAAACTCGCTCAGGAGCTGTGATCGCGCCGATGTCACTGCGTCATCCCAAAAATGTTCGAAATTGAACATCTTATAAATGCGCCTTAACCTGTCTCCGCAGTTTCGGCACTTTCGGTACTGAAATAGGGATATTGGCGCCGGGGATAATAATATACGTGTGTGACGAGAAAGAAAGAGCGAAAATTTATTTGATCATGCGAAACGGCGCTGACAGCGAATGATAAACAAAGTTAGAATATATATTTAGGCAAGACTGTTACATAAACAGATAGAGTTCCATTATTAGGAGAAGCTCACACGTGTTTTTTGTCAATTGATTTGGCTAACTCAAGCAAAGTGCTTTTCGGCAAAGAAAACAAAAGTGTGAGGGTGGTTTTGTTTTGCGAGGTCGTTGCGTAATCCCTTGATCTGAATCGGAGAATAAATAAAAGGCGAAACTGTTTTGACACTCGGAGGGCTTTGTCACCGGCCACGTCCCAACGTTAGAACATCGACCCTAATCTCCATTTCCTGGCAAGCGCGTAATCAAGCCAACTTTCATTCTAGCGGCTCTGGTAGGTCTTTTCCTGGGCAACGTGTAGAACATTCTAAAGCTAAAAGCGGGAACCTAAAAGTGGGATTATGATTTAATCCACATCCAAAATCCATCTCAAGCTGTCTGGCGGGCGAGATTCGCTGTAATCCATACTTCGAAAAAAAGAAATTCCCGCAACTCGTACTTGAGACGCAAATAAGCCAAATTACAAGAACTGAAACTCGACAAACTGAGACGAGAAAAAACACTTGTACAGACTGTTTCATTTCTGGATTGAATTCATTTCATTATCATTTGAGCAGTGACAGGCAGGTGAATAAATTTCAGGATACTTGAGCTACTATTTCCGAATCCTGAAATATCGGAAAAATACAGATTTTTTTTGAAATGCCCCTTGACTTTTTTAAAGAAATGAATTCGGAAAAATACCAGTTTTCGCGGATTTATTTTTCGTTGCGCGAATTCCAGTTACGGGAATACAGTATTCTTAATACTTTTATGTTTTTGAATTTACAATACTTTAACTAATGGTCGGTAAAGTTGGCTAAAATGACGTGTTGAAAAACGTAACTTTCTGTAAAGTGTGGTGTTTAAAATTTGGTCTTCTTGACCGAAATTCCGACGAGCGTGGAGGGTTCAAAAGAGGCTTGCAGGAGATTGAGGGTCGTAGTTAGTCCTTACTGGACTGAGGCAGGTGCGTAACCTAGCAGCTGGCAATGCAGCGAGGAGACATTCCGGGATGATTTCGCGCGAAATTCGCCAACAATCAATCAAGACATTCTCCGTACCGCGGCCAGAAACGATGACGCAACTGAGGTTGAGGAGATCATTCAGTGCCTTAAAGAGTATTTACGTGGCATTTATATTGAATGTATGGCGTGTGTTTAAGCAGGAAAGGATATGGCGGAAAACTGGAAGTCTCGGTTCTGATAACCATCGAGCCGGAGAGAGGCAGCCTTTCGACCAGAAAACGAGCTCAGCTCCTTATCGCCTTTCGAAGGGAAAGCTACCGAATTCGCCCATTTTAGCACTCATTTCAAAAATGGCCTTTTTTCAATGCTCAAATCGGAGTTTACTCAGCGGTGTATTTCCACTTGCACCGCACCAGCTGCTAGTACTTAATGCCCGTGGCCAACTCCTTTTCAAAATTCGCTGCTCAACAAAAGCTGCCAGGAATATAAAAGAGCATGCATAGGGAGAATACCTTAACTAAAGACAAAAGCTCAAGTCTGAGAGTTAATTTTACGATTGGCAGGGTTAACGATCGCTAAATCGTCGATTTTACTAAAAAGAGAATTCAAAACAGGAAAATTACAACAGGAAACAGTAAGTTCGAAGTTCATTTTTGATACTTTTGAATTAAAAAAAAAAGAAATAAAAGAGAGAAAAAGAGAGAGTGATTGAGAGGCAAATGTAGGAATAAAAATGGCGGCAGATGCCACCGGGCATCAGTGAAGATTAATCGACAGGTTCAAGCATCTCGTTGATTTTTTTTTCTTTTTTGAAAAAATGACGCAAAACGTGAGAAGCATAATTTTGATCGACGCACTGTCGCTTTCGCGAAATCTGATAAGCCCTTTCGAAAGATTTCAGCAAATTGCTAGAGTACAAGTTTGTGCTCCCTAATTTGCAATTTTCAATTAACCCAAACTATCGGTGGAATTGCTCGAATTCGCTATCTGAGCTCATTTTGTTTCGGAGTGAGGTGTCTTTAGTTGCGAAGAAAGAGCGTTAAGTGGTAGTAAATATTTTGTGTATCTAAGCGAGGTCAGTCGTCGCCTGAACCTTGCCTTCGCCACGTTCTCCATCTTCCATGAACTCGACAAGTAGTCAAAAGAAAGTTCAACAAAAAGACTTTTTTCGTTGTTTAATTTTCGAGGTTGCTTTAGTTCGAGTATGCCCGTATTAAATTGTACAAGTAATTGTTTGATGTGAGTTGGGTGGCGAAATTACGATTTGCCTCGTTTTCAAAACCACCCGTTCTATGCGTTGTCATAGTAAACATGAGATTATTGATCAGTGTTCGATCACTAAGCAATCGACTACGGGTGCTGAAAACGCAGTTGCAATTTCTTATCGAAATCTACACGTCAACCTGAAGAGTTCATTTTACTCTAAAACGCTAAAACGTATCTTTCACATAATACTTCATATTTTCAGCAAAATCAAAATTGGGAACAACAAAAATTTTTACGAGATATTAATATTCGTACTAATCGCCATTTTCTTAGTGGCTATTTTGGTAGTCCTGGCCCTTATCTGCCAGACGCTATGAAAAAACATTTGTCGAAAGCTGACGCCGACTTTTTGGAACTCGTCGATAAGCATATCTTTTACATTTTTTAAAGAGGAAGTATTGCGCAAGCTAGTCCCGGTGGAGTTAATCCTCTTCTCTGCTGATTCAACTTCACTAGAATGCAAAAGGCGAGAAATGAGTAACGCCTAGAGAGTCTCTAAAAGAGGGTTCATGCCGTCGGTGACTAGGTGCGAGATAGGATGTAGTTAATTGGTACATTGGCGGACGTGGCTGACAAACTATTTTCGCAGCTTAGAGCGATATTCCGGAGACGAGATAATTTTTTATAATTGTTTGACTTTCGTAAAATGCCGTATGTGGAGATTTCAGAGCGTTTCTATTACGCCCAATAAAATCAGTGTTTCCTACGAGTGTTCGTTTCTACTAGCTTGAATAATGGTAGCTTGCAAATATTCTTTTCCGAAGTTCGAACAATTTATCAATCTATTTGAGAGGGGGGTCCTTAAATAATTTTGGCTAGAAACATTATCCGGCTTAACTCTCTCTTGCGAAACAAACTTGAGTGCGTTTGGAAAGACGGTGAAGCGATTAATCTGAGCTCGTCAGTTCAACTATCATAACCGACCAAACACAGAAACAACCCCCGGTTACTTCTAACCTCAGCGCTTCTAAAAGATCAACGCACGCGGCGGCTTAGAGGAACGCACAATTTTTTTGTATCGAGAATTAAAGTAACCTTGACTTTAAGGGCGATGCCGAAAGCGCTGGGAGGAGCAATCGGCGCAAACAAGGCCCGGGACAGACTTGGAACGAAGAATTCGAATGGTGAGTGTTTGCTATTTTAAAGACGATCGATCTTGTGCCTGAGATCCGCCCGGATAGTGTTTTGACGGACTGTGAACGCGGATCCGCTTTTCATCCCTCTTTTTTACTGTGCATGCTTCATGTCTGTAACGTTTCTATCTATAGTGTCTAAGTCGAGCTCTGACTACAGTAAAGTCCACCAAAGTGAGTTCACGGATCGAGAAATAATCATCAATTTAAAACTTACAGAAATTAACAACTGCTCAAAGTTCGAGCCTCAAACCACATTTAAAGTTGAATAACTTGAGTTTTAAATCGAATAACTCGTAACCCAACTATCAATTCTCGTTCTCGTCCAGATTTAATAAAAATGTTAAGGCGACTTCTACGAAGACGACACGGACTGTAAGTACAACCATTTCGCAATAAAACAGAGCAGAAGCAGGTGAAATGAAGAATACAAGTTTACCAGGTTTTATTTTCAAGAATCTAAAATCCGAAAATCCGAAAATTGTAAATGTCCGTGCAAATTTTATTCAGCTCTTGATTTGTGCGCTCTGAATGTCGAAGAACTCGAAGGTGAGACAGTTGTCGTGCACAGTATTGTACATTCACTTATCTTGATGTTGATTTTGACGTGTGATTGGCGTTGTGGATGAGCTGCAAATTGCTCGGTGTGAATTAGAAGTTGCCCTCGTATATCGTGAGTGGATGTGTTTGGCCTCCGTGTTGTGTTTGCTGTCACAACTGGTCAGCATGGACACGGGTACCCCATTCCACGTGGACGAACAAGAGTTAAATCGGCCCAAATTTTCGAATCCAATTCTTGATTTTTCTCTGCAGACAAACGATCACTGCCCAAATACGATTTCTTCCAAACGAGCTCAGTCTAATCGGAAGCATCCCCGCGCAACTTTCTTCTTTTCTAAAATTCTCCGTTCAGTGTTAAAAATTTTGAAACTGAAATTTGAATTCTTCGCTGTCATAAATTGTAATCTTGTGATTCTTTTTCAATTCTGGTTGTTTTATCAGCTTGAATTTAGCGGATGACCCAGCTCGCGCTCGTCAATTAGAAGTTATTAACCAAATAAGGGGGCTCATCAAGGTAGCATTTTTTGTTCTTGTTGTCTCGTCAATTAATAAACGGCAGCCCCTGCTTTGCATGAAATATTTAGTCGACAGAAGAACTGAGCTGGCTCGAGTTGCTAGAACACGTCGGAATCAGCGAGGACGAGTACCTTCAGTACGGAGCAATCTGGCGCGACATTGCCGAGGCTGATCACTCGGCCTCGCTCCGCCAAAAAGACCAGTTCATCTTTCTCGACGATCTCAAGGATCTCTGCGAGCGGACTAGACATATTTTTAAAATTCCCAATTTGGATAGTGACAAGATCGCGCGGCTCGATATCCCCGTGATGAGCTTCCACTTTGGAGACAAAGTGCACAGGCTGGACGTCACCAAAGCCTTGCTCATTGAAGATGATGGGTTAAAATTAGTTCTGATTGTTTTTTCGAAATTCTAAGTCTTGACCCAGTTTTTACCCAGCCACAGCCGTTGATCAAATGATGGATTTATTGCGAAGGGTGTGCACGTGATCGATCAAGTACACAGGATTTTGTTCTGATGATCAGCTGCACACCCTGCTATAAAGAACCGCGACAATGAGTTAGAAAAGCGCAAGGCAAGTGTTATGATTTAGCAGCGCTCCCAAGCAGGCTGAAGAAAAGAAGATTCTAACACTTGCGCAAGATTTATTTCCAAATCGAGGAACACCTAAAACGTCGTTATCCGCCACGGGCTTAATCAAAAGCAGCCGCAAAAGTACCAAGCGTTTAATTTTCACTAACCTTTCGGTTTTGTTATCACACTGTGTCGAATCGCCAGTAACCGCCGCAATTCTCACAGTATTCTCTTACTCACTCTTTAGAGTTTAGATTCGTTAGTTTTCTCAATCCAAATAATTATATAAAGAGTAAAGCCCGGCTGTGAGACGCGCGAACTTATGTGCGAGTACGAAATTTACAAATCTTCCTTGCAGCCTGCCGACGTCTCCACCTCCCGCCTTGCCTGATTCTCACCACTGACTAACCACTTACACTGGCTAACCTCTCACTTTGTAATTCTAATAACAATTGGGCCCGAATTTCCTTTTCATCTGAAATTAAAACGAATCAAGTTGTTTTGCAAAGTCGGCCCTAAAAATCCCCAAATTTTCAGGACCCTCAAATTTTTTTTACGCTGCTCATTATTAATTTATTCATTCTCATTGCCCCCTGTTTATACGCCCAAGTTAACGATAGTTGACTTAACTTACTTGGAATGCTAGTTGTTAAAATAAAAAAATGCCTTATAAATTATAATTAAAAAAAAAACATTTTCTGAAATAAAACATCTGATACGACCGACCTCTTTTTTTTATCTGATACTTCTCCCTTTTACATTAATTCCACTCAGGAGTTTTTGCCCATTCGAGATAGAGAGAGAAAAAAATTAAAAAACGAAATGCCTGTTGTTTTACCAAAACGGTTTCGCTCCCATGCAAACGGTATTTTCACGCGCGGAATTTTAAAATACAATTTTGACCGGCAGACGTTTTTGCTTGAATTCTTTTTAGAGCTCAATCTAGCAACTCGTGGGCCTCTGCAACTGATTAGAGCGGTATTTATAAAATGAGATTCCGCTCGAAATTAAAACACTTACACGGGCACTTTTGGCAATCTATACGCGAGAGTCGCATTTTGCAAATGTGGATATAAAGACCTAAAAGCAAGCTTAGAATTTCGTCACTCAGTCGTGTTTTCTGTCGAATAGTAGTTTGCAAAAATGAATTCGCTTCTTATCAAGGTGTCATGTATAAGTTGACGCGCTATTCTCGAGAAAATGATCTTGCTTTCTCAGAAGGAAGGTTGCAATTAGAATTGGTACAGACCAATTATTCTATAATATAGCTAGAATTCGTCTGATACCAAACCTTTTTCTCGGTTAGGAATTAGGGCTAGGCTTTAGGGTTAGGAGCATCATACCAATTTAAGCCAAATTATACAATAATTGGTCCTGTACCAATTCTAATTGCATACTTCCTCTCAGAACAGTCGCCAAAAAGAACAGCCATCGCGAAAAGCGGCAAGGCCTGCTCGTAAAAATAACCTGCATCCTCGGAGAATAAAGTCAACAAAGGACCCTACTGTAGGAGGACTAATTCTCTCCATCATGTGAATTAACGTCTATCTCGAGTAGATCCTTACGTGGTTGTCTTTGAAAGTAATCCCACTTTGTTTCGTCAGATGCAGCGTTCAGAGCTATTTTACCTTTTCTACCGAGAACAAGGCACGGGAAAGTCTGTCAGCTTCTGGTAGTGCACCAACAAGTTTGAAATTTCAAGTTGAAAATTAGATAATGAGTCGCAATTTAACCTTTCTGCGCACAGGTGAAAAAGAATTTAGCGAGCTTTAAATCGTAAAAAGATCGCTGAATTCCCTCTGTGAATAACCGCGCTCTGGGAATAAACCTGGAAACAAAAAAATTAATGAGAAGGAAGCAGAAAATCTACTCAATCTTCGTAAACAGTTCTCGTTTATCTTTTAGCCATGACGAACAAATTAAAAGACAAACAGCTTAATGTTCTCGGCATTATGAGAAAACTGGGAGGAAAGCAAGACGAAAACTGCACTCTTGAAGGTAGGCAAAAAAGGGACCAGAGGAAAAGCTGAAATTTTATCTCGATTTTTGATCACGTGATCTAGTCTAGTGTAGGAAAAAGAGAGGAAAAACGCTTTCCGCTCTTCGGGAGGTCTCTAAAATTCGTGTCATTTAGCGATGCGATTGCAAATTGAGATATAAACCCACTTTCTTATCTTATTTATACTTTTGCTTTGGAAAGGCCTTTTTGCAAGTTTCCAGCGAAACTGGAAATTTCTCATATAGAAATTTTGAATGCACTTGGGTTTTTATTGCAGCGGTAAATCATCACTGCCTGAAATTACAGGAAACGCGTTTAGCTTTGATAGTTTTACTGTTTTTTTTTTATTTTTCGTTACGGAATTTCAAAGTGATTTAAGAACTTTTGTTCGATCTGGGGATGAGCGAGGATCAGTTCCTTATCTTTGGCGAGATTTGGCGAAAATACGGGAGGCGCGACGAGGCAGGAGCGGATTTGGCGTTTGAATTACGAAACTTTGTCAGTTTTATCATTCGCGCAATTATGATTTAGGGCGAACGTGCGCCAGATCCGGTGAACTAGCATCGCTCAGGCAACGTGATCAATTCATTTTTCTCAAAGATCTTCCAGCTCTCGTCCGCGACGTCGGCAAAAAATGTTTTGTTTCGGCTTCCACAGCTTCATCCGTACTTTCTCAAAAATCAAACACAGTAGTAAGCCAAATTGAGGAATAAAAGAGTCCGGCAGTGATCGATTCGTCAGTAGACTTGATCTGCCTGTCATGGGATTCTATTATGGCTACACAGGAGCAGAGGAGACTCCAGCGGACGGTGAGGTTTTCGTGGAAGAAGAGCCCAAACCAAGCTTCTTCCAGCAGATGTGCCTCAAGTTGAGGCGGTCTTCCAGCGAAAGTGAGTACGAAGACGAAAGCGAGCTGGAATCGACGGCCGAAGACGAAGACGAAGTCGACCCCGATCTCATCCTCAAAGTCCACAGACTCGATGTGACTATGTTTCTGCTCAAGGAGAAGCAGTCCTTCAAAGACATGAACGAACGTGACCAACGATCTGTAAGTCATTGAAAGCAAAGCGATAATATTCTCACTTAAGATGGAACGATCTCTGCATGAGCGACTTTCGCTGCGGTGGCCGACCAGCTCCGGGTTCCTTCATTATCTTTGAGAGCTTTTGAGGCGAATTCCGAATTCTCTTGCGGTTTTATCTTACTGCGCTGCCGTTATTCGCGGAATCTAACTAGCACATTAGTCTCACAGTTGTGAGCTTTATTTTCATCAAGCAGGAACCCAAAAGTAGAGAACTGCTAGACTCCTACGTCACCTATAATGTTCGCTCCCTGCCAGAGCAGCTACAGGTAATTGGAAGTTCTGCGCTTTCTTCCGTCAGAAAGGCTTTGAGTATTTCACCAAAAGAGATGAAAATAAAATTATTTTTGTTCAGGCATCAATTTTTCCGAGAATGAAGACAACCAGCTTCGCCAAATGATATTTCGGCAGGCAGCAAAGAGAGTTTCTTGTGTTGTTAACTTCTTATTGTGGAATAAATCGATTTCATTAATCTGCATTTCCACAACACGTGACATCTCTACCAGAATCTGTATCGTTTTGATCAATTTTGAGCGATCGGATTCGCTCTGCCTTGCAACTATAACACGATGACTGCCCAAAAGTTCAGCTGTGTTCCCTCATCCAGAGTAAAATTGGCTAAACTTAAAAATTTGACATGGTGTGCTCATAATTGTGCCCTTTGCGCTCCCCTCTGCCGCGCGAAATTGATCGGCTCTTTTGGGGCTCGCGAATTGCCCTTTTCTCGTGATCAAGAGCACATTACCCAGTCAAAGACATCAACACGTACTTATGCGTGGATTTCTTCGACCTTCTTCACTACCAAAAAAGATCATTTGAAAATTTCGTGCGATTAATTTAGTGCTGGAAAGATGCACCGTGTCTTTTGGAAAAAAGGGTTGCGCCGTTCGTTAACGAGGAATAAACGAGCAGCAGCTATTCGTTAGGCACGTTTTTCATCCCTTCTCTTCATAATTTTCTCTCAATTATCAGAAGCAAGGACATTCTCCCTAGCTTCCGAGTCTTTCCCTTTTCTCAATTGAAGCTAGGAATCACCCATAATTTTTCTTTATTAATCATCTAGTCGCAAATTTGGTTTCCTCTAATTGAAATATAAATAAATTCATTTCCTGTAAGACTCACTTCTTTTTGAGAGACAACATAGACTGATGGGTTTTGGGAAAAAGAAGAGTGGGCTTTCCCAAGTGAATGCTTGGATCAAATCTAAATCGAGCGCATCTTCTTCGGCCTCCTTCGATTCTAGACGTGGCAGGGAGTCCATTTCTTCTACCGGTGTGGGCAATTTGACCAACGAGTTTTTGGATTTTTGGACGAGACGCCAAGCCCTTGGCACGTCGCAGCTGTCTGCAAGACAAAACTCCTCAAGGCGGGGTTCATTGAGCTGAAAGAGTCAGAAGCATGGAATATTCATGCGGGAATGAAGTTTTTCTTCCAGCGGGAAGCGCTCACGGCAGCATTCGTTGTTGGCAGCAACTGGAAACCTGGAAACGCATTTTCGCTTGCTGCTGGACACATTGATTCGCCGGGAGTCCGACTAAAGCAAATATCCGACAAATCAGCTGAAGTAATTTTTATCTACTCATTAAACCTTGTTTCCTATTAGGTTCTATTAGGGTTCCATCAAAATTGGCCTCGAAATGTATGGCGGTGGGCTTTGGCACACTTGGTTTGATAGAGAACTGACTCTAAGTGGACTAGCCATTGTAAAAACCGCGAATGGTTCGTTGGAAAAGAAACTAGTCACTCTCGATAAACCTGTTGGGAGCATTCCGAATCTATGCGTTCATTTAGGCTTGGCTAAAAGATTTTACTTATTTGCTTGAGCAATTTATATTATGAAAGCCTAAAAAGGACTCGAAGAGTTAAAGGAAGGCTTCAAACCTGGAAAAGAAGACCATATGAACATCCTAATGGGACAAACTAAAGGTGCTCGTAACGAAGAGGATTCAACTTCTTTGATCGGAAAGCATCCGCAAGAGCTCCTCGGAATAATAGGTAACGTTACTTATCGGAAATACAAAATTTAGTTTCATAGCTCAGAATTTGAATGTACAGGCTAAAGACATCGTCGACCTTGATCTATGTTTCTCGACCTATCAAAACGCAAACATTGGTGGAATCAACGACGAGTACATTTACTCCGGGCGCTTGGACAATCTAACGACTTGTTATGAATGTCTCGAAAAAATTGATGCACAGACATTTCTTTTGATTTGTTGAGACTTGAGTAGACCGCCTTAAAAGCTCTTACTTCTGCGGACTTTGCTTCAAATAAGACTTCTTGTTCCGGAATAATTTTATACGACCACGAAGAAGTTGGAAACACAAGTGCGACAGGAATGTGCTGATTATTTCTCGCAAGACGATTTTATAAATCAAAGTCACACATAAAAAGGCGCCTGTAGTGCAATTACGGAAATGGCCCTTCGACGAATTTCAAAGTCCTCTGATAATATATTTGCCTACGAGCAGGCCATGTCAAAATGTACGCTTCCACTTAATTCATCTCCTTTATTTGTTTAGCATTTATACTTTCATGCGACATGGCACACGGGCTTCATCCTAATTATCCGAACAAACACGAGGAAAATATGAGACCGAACATGGGCGATGGCATAGTTCTTGAGTGGTTTCAAAGATTATTCAAGTACCTTAGCTTCATTAACAGACGTAATTTATAAATCTTTGTGACCCCTGAGTCTTAAAATATACCAGCCAGCAACATTTTTCGTCGACAGCAATGGGAAATGCGCTTGTACGCCAGATCTGTGAGGTAGCTGGGATTCCACTTGTAACCAACACACCTCGTCAGGTACGGCATGAGCCCCGCTGCTATAAAACATTTTCCATAGGATCTAAAATGCGGCGCAACTCTAGGACCGAAATTAGCAGCACAACTGGGCCTGCGCGTCGCAGATATTGGTGTCTCTCAGCTAGCGATGCACTCTTGCCGAGAAATGATGGCGACCAAAGATGTTTTGCACTTGTCTACATTTTTTCTATTTTTCTTCAACAATTTCGCACATTTATTGAGCAAACACACTGGCAACTAATTTTTAATTTTAGCAAAAATAAATATGGTTGTTTATTAGAACCGAGCGATGGTAGTATAATTGAAGAATGTAGTGCAGTCTGTCATCTTGTGTTCGACCAAAATGTCGGAAACACGCTGGATAACATTGAGAATTTTTTCAGTTTGTTCTGGATTAAACAGTTTCGTAAGTGAAGGATGGACGTGGTGCTCGCGGTGAAAGTCGCCTTCCAAATTTTCGAAGATACAGTCGATTCGATAAGGAGGGAATCTGAGAAATTCAAGCATCTCGGAGACGCTTTTCTTCGGATCCTCGACTAGTTTTTCAAAGCAGATTGTTTTGAAGGGGCCTTTGTACTCGTGAAACCAGTCCGTGAAAAAGGCTAGATACTCGCGTGTTGAAAGAGCGACGAAATCGTTCCATTCTTAATCAGTTTTTCAGTTTTGAGCAGCTAGAAAGCTAAAAACCTTCGAGTTTATAAGCCGATGTGTCAACTTCTGCTGTCTTCGAAGCAACTTCGCGGTTGAACTCAGCAATGAAAGCGTAGAATGGATTTCGTATCACCATCAGTATTTTGCTGTAGGCACACTTTTTCATTGTATGCTAAACAAAATTTATTCGATAGAAGATGTGAATATTTTACCCAACGATGAGTTTTTACAGCAATAGTCTGCCCGCTGTTGCAGTCCAAATCTTCAGCGAGCCAGCCGGCTTTCTTCAGTTTTGCGCTGCTTTTCGCATTTCCCGTCCAGATCCCTGTTGACATGTGCAGCAAATGTCTAGACCATGTGTTTCCGGAACCAGGAAAGCTCGTCAGTGCTAACCAAACGATGAGAAATAGACGAAGTTACCGATAGAAAAACTTACCTGTGATGGGTTTAGGAGTTTCGAATAATTTTAGGTCATCGTTGCAAGTAGTAAGGTCGAAGTTTTCTTCATTCTGTACGATGAACTCTCCGGAAACAGGCTCGGAAATTTGAATAGGAATATTTTGAGTCAGCTGTTGTGGCAGTTGACTAAGGATATCATTAATTATCTTGCTTGAAATGGGTTTTTACCTTTCCATTATTTCACCAACAAAATTATCCGACGAGTTGAGTCCTTCCCTTGGAATCTGAACAAATCCTCTGGAATTATCAACGAGTAGCTCTTCGACGACCGTCTTTATCTCTCCAACAACGTGATTTCTAACTGTCTTCGACTTCTTTATTTCGTGCTCAATAACCATGTTCCGCGCCTGCAGCATTATCAGAACAACCAAAATGACAGAAATAGCGTTTTGCATCGGACTTGACGTAAAGTTCCGCGTGGTCGACATATTTTATATACTTTTCGCTTTTTTCGTCTTCGCTTGTATTTTCCGGTTATTACAAAATTTGATCATCGATTGCTTTTTTAAAATTTCTCTTCATGCATTTTAAAAATCGTATTTTTTTACGGCGAAAAAGGTTGAGGCATGTTGCGGTCTGAGGGTACAAGTCTTGCCGCGGGCAATTTCAGCCCTTCTTATTGTGAAAGGAAATCCTTATAGTCGGTATGCGAAACGAATCGATCTTGCTATTTCTCCCCTTTCGAGTCCCTAATCTTATCATTTCATGTTCTAACTCGACAGCTGGGTTAATCTACGACAAGATAAGCTAGTTTCAATTTCATTCCACCGAAGGTCGTGTTATTTACAGTCGATTTAAAGTCAAAGTGGCACATCAAAATTTTCACAGTTTCGCAAGTAGGTAAACTAAGAAGCATAAACTAGGTAAATCAGCATAAGGGTAGAAGTGAAGTTAGGGTTTGTTTTCGCAATCGCTTGTTTTTCGTTATCTAGTTTTCGTTTCAGATGCGCGGCTTTTCTAACTGCTGTTGCCGGAGTCGCCGCTCTTTTTCCTCAGAGGATTTCCTCGAAAGGCTGCCTGAATGTTTTGATTTCGCTCCTTTTAGAAAGATGAAATTATAACCTGGATCTTGAGCGCTGCGTCTTCCGTTGCTGGATCGTCGAGATCTATATCGATCTCCTCCTGAAAACGTTAGTTTTTACAAGTTTTCTTGGCAACGCACCTGTGGAGGATCCTGGGTTCCAGTTGGCGAGCCTTTCAGGGCTTGAGCGTGTTTAGGCCTTTCGTCGCATTCTTCTATCATTCTAGAGGTCGGCGATTAGAAAGAGGACCCGAGTCAATTAAGGAAATCTGTTATTTCTACTCACATATACAATTTACAATATTCAGCACAACAAATGTTTCCGGGGAAAGCATTAGTCATTTAAACTTTTCGTATAAAAAAGAACACGGTGAATTAACATCGCAGCGCACACAGAAAACGGGCCGCGCTATCCGAGCGGGTTAAATCCTGGGCCTTACCGGTTAACCCGATCAAGCAAAATAGCGCCTCCCGTGGCTAGCCATTGAGTGCACAACGAGGGTTAATTTCGAAAGGATTATGGCATGCACAGTCGACTTTGCGTGCAGAAAGAAAATAAAAATATTAAGAAAGAAGTAAAGTAAAAATAGAAGAAGTTATCATATCGTGTGGAAATGTAATGAACTGGAGCAATGTTGTATCTTATTCAATAATGTAATTTACATCGGGTCGTTTTTTCTGATCATAAAACAATAAGAAAGGTTGCTTATGGTAGGAAGGAAAAAGTGAAATTGGCTTTATAGACGACTAAAATAATCTAGCTCAAATTCTAACATGTCTTTGATACTAGAATCGGGATTATTTAATTATTAAGAGCTCTTGGGATATTGGGGATTTCGAGTGAATCATTAATTTTCTTTCTCTGATGAGACTTCTGTTGGCTCAGGTGACTTTGGCTTCTCTTCTGCGGGACTGGAAGCATTGTCGGGGACCTCTTCTGATTTTGACTCTTCAGTTGGCTCATTTTCTGGCGCTTTTGGCTCCTCTGATTTCACTACAGCGGGCTCTGGTGACTTAGCAGGAGTTTCTTCTTTTTCTGTTTCCTCAGATTTGGGCTCATCAGGCTTCGCTTCCTCACTTTTTGGTTCTTCTGCAGCAGGTTCCGTCTCTGCTGGGACAGGAGATTTAGAAGTGGAAGAATCTTCCTGTGTGTTGTGTGCTGGAGTTTCAGTTTTTTCTGGTGCAACTTTTTTCTCTTCAGCAATGTTAGATGCTTCTTCGACTACTGCAACGGGAGATTCTTCATTGACTGGTTCTGCGACGGGAGTTTCCTTTGTGGGTGTTTCAGTTTCTTCCTTCTGCTCTTCCTTTTCAGTAACTTGGGCTTCTTCAGCTGGGGCACTTTCTTCAGGGGTAGGGGTAGCAACTTTTCGTTCGGCTTCTAGCTCTTCTTTTGCGTCTTTTTTTTCTTGCGATTCTTCATCAGGAGTTGGTGTGGCTGGGGCGGGAGTAGTCACCCGCTCAATGACTTCCTCAACAAGATCAGCTGCATCCTTTTCTTCGGTAGCAGAAACAGCTGTAGGAGCGTCATTTTCAGAAGTTGTTTCTTTTGAATCTGACACTGCTTCTTCGCTTGGTTCCGCGCTCGGCTCGGATGGCTTAGCTTCCTCTTCCTCCTTAGCATTTGTCTTTTCGTCGGAGGCTTCGACGGCATCCTTTACAGATTCGGCCGACTCTTCCTTCTTTTCCTGGCTATTAAAAATTTACAACATTGTTTAACACATCGAATCATGCTATATATTTATATAACTTGAGTATATCTTCAATTTTGAATGCGTGATTTCCGACAATTAATATTAGGACTGATTAGAATTTTCAGCACAAACCTTTGGCCCATCTCCGCTCGAACTTGATGACCTCGGAAGGCAGCCTAGAATGTAAGTAAGTTCACTGCAAGAAATGGATTCCCTACTTGAATCTTGGTGGCGGCTTCTTCGGTGGCTGGGTCATTCAGGTCAATATCAATCTCTTCTTCCGCTGGTGCAGGTTTTTCTTCTTCTGCTGGTTGTTGATCAGCCTCAGCTTTCTCCGACTCGACAGTAGGTTTTTCTTCGGAAGGAACTTCATCTTCGTCTTTAGAACCTTTGAGTTCTTGTCGCGTTTGGTGACCCCTTAAATACAAAAGTATAACTTAAAACAGATTGAATTGCGAAAGCACCTGAACGCAGATTGAATTTTCACTGCTGCTTCTTCTGTTTTAGGGTCGTTTAGATCGATGTCGATTTCTTCTTCTTGTGGCTTTTCTTCGACATTTTCTTCCTAAAAAATATTCAACTAGTGTGCTCTACAGAGGGTAGCACAAACATTTCGCCCTATGAATTGCCTTTTTTCCCAGAATAACTGGTGCGGGGTTCTCAATCGACAATTGTTTAATTTAATCATTCTCTTTTTTTTAATAATTATCGCAGAAATCACTTCTATAAAGTTAAACCACCGCCTTAACATCCTTAAATTGTTGCTTTAACTTTGTTCTTTAGTAGGGATCGTTTAAAAGTTCGTTATCAAAATCGATTTTTTCTAATTTAAAATGAGATCCAAACTAGAAATAGAGGACTCGAGTTCGTAATCAGACTTCCAGTGACCATTCACCCAGCCGCCCGTCATTTTCTCTGTCAGTTAAAAAAGTGCTATATGTAAAAAGATGTGTCGATTTTTTTTCTCTCGGTTCTAGCGCTGCGGCCGGTATATGATCAAGTGTGAGAGGGAGTGATGGAAAATTAAAGATTACCTGGTTTGGAACGGCCTCAACGATTTGCTGATCCTTGCTCTCGTCCCCTGGAGACGTCTCTTCGCTATTCATGTCTCTGAATTGCAATTTGTTAATTATTTAATCATTTTTAGAAGAACATCCCGGGTAAGAGAGAGTTCAAGTTTTTTATTAATAGTAATTTGCACTCGCAACAAGGAGGAGTATTTACGGGGCGTAGAGGAAGAGTATTCATCTAACCAGGCTACTCTGACAAAAATGGCGCAGAGCGAGATTCGAGAGATGAGATTTGAGATGATTGAGAGCTAATTGAAATTCAAGTGGACTAAATAAGCGCGTCCATCACTTCCTCCAAGTCAGAGCTCGATTTCGATGATCGTTGAAAAATGAAAATTTTGCGAACGATGAACATTTTATTTCATCGATTTTTGCATTCTTTGATTTTGAAAAATAAAATTCTTGCAAATTCACGGGAGTCACTTAATAGCGCCGCCTTGCGCCGCCTAGCGCCGCCTTGTGCCGCCTTGCGCCGCCTTGCGCCGCCCTGCGCCGCCCAGTCCTGCTTAAAATTTTCTTTCTCGAAGATTTTCGGCGTTTCAATGATGATTATTTTCTGTTTTCTTATCGAAACGTTTATTCTCGTATATTTAAATAGTCTGACCACCAGAAGAAAGAAAACTAATAATTGAGGGTGTGATTAGCGGGAGTCTAAATTATCTCCATATTTTGGCATAAAATCATCAATTTATTAAGCACGCGACGGGCCAGAGGCCCTTACGCGCGCATTTTCTTGTAGAGAACTCATGGGGTTGGCGGGGCCCAACTCTCGCTCTTGTTCCGATCATTTAGTTTGGTCAGGATTTGGTCAGACGAGACCCGGTTTGTACCGAACCGGGCGGCGCAGGGCGGCGCAAGGCGGCGCAAGGCGGCGCAAGGCGGCGCTATTCAATACCCCCCAAATTCACTGCAATCAAAGTCAAAAGCGATTTTCATTAAATTCAAAAGAAAATTTATAAACTAAATCCAACCTTGTAGATCGTCTTTGCCTTGGAAAATTAGAAAATAAATTTTGTTCTTTTTTCTAAGAAATAAACTCACTTTCTGACTTGGTGTCCTCTGAATGCAGCTTGGATCTTGACGGCGGCGTCTTCGGTGGCTGGATCATTGAGATCAATATCTGCAAGCTGTTGAGTTTGTTTGAGTGAAAGGAAATCTACCTGCTACTTCATCGGAAGCTTGCGTCGCAGTGTCAGGCCCCTCAGTTGTGTTCGTCGTTTGGCTTTCGGTGACGCTTTCGGCCGGAGCAGGCGAAGCAGCGCTAATTCAAAAAAGAGTTATCAAACTGTTCTCTGAATAACCCGTTCGTACCTCGGTTGAACTGGTGATTTGGATTTTGACGCTCCGCTGCCCATGTCTTGCTAAACAGGATTTGGTAAAAACTGTAAGCGAAACGTTAATTTACTGAAAAATTAGCAAAAGTGATGCCACTCTCTTGTGAGAAAACGCGCGAAAACGTGTGAAAAAAGCCGGCTGCGAACGAAGTTCAATAACAAAAAGAAACACAAGCCGGAAAATCAATTAATAAAATCAAGCCCTATTCACTTATGATTAGGAGAGTCTTTTTTCTCAACTGTAAATGAATGCGAAATTGGAAATGAGTAAATGAGAGATCGTAAAAATCGAAAATTTAAAAGTGGCGCAAAACAGTCATTTTTAATACCTCTGAGGAGGAATGAGCTCTCTGCGATTCTGGCAATGGCTTTTCAAATTTCGGGGGTAAGGTTTCTTCGTTGATCGCGGCCGAGCTGCTGAAGGGGTCGATCTGAGAGGCTGAGTGGACTTTTAGTAAAATTTACTTATTTATCTCGGCTGTACCTTCACGCTGTTTGAGGAGAGCTTGGAAGTGGGCAGCGGCGAACTTTGGCAGATCATCCGGCTTTTCGAGGAATCATCCACGGCACTAGAGAGCCTCCAATCAATCGAGAATCGACGCAAAAATACCTCCATCCCTTACGGATAAAAAAATTAAATATCTTAAAAATTCGTAGCTAATCTTCTATTTCTCGTCGAAATGGACAACGCCGTTCCTGTTCTTTTAAGACAGCGCGCGCCAGGGATTCAAGCGCTGATGGGAGGCCTGGCGGTACTTGCAATTGACCGTGTGACATTACGGAAGACATTTTCTAAACGCAATAATCTTTGTTAATAAAATAAACCCGTCGCACGGTCCAAACAGTCGCGATAATAAACGAGCGCTTGATGAAAATTAAAGAGAATATAAAGATAATTATATCATTTTCTTGGGTGAAGGAAAATACAATTTTTCCTTCAAGGAATCTCTTTCCAAACCGCTAATCGTCGCCGTTAAAGTCTGTGATGCACTCTCTCTCTGTTGGTAATAAGGCTATAAAAAGTATTAGGCGCTATAAGAATGAGAAAAGGAGGAAAAAGATTCGAATGATGCGTCAAATAGAGCGATCGATCGGTCGTCAAGGGACCTTCCATGGAGCTAATCCGCCCGAAAGCCTTCTTCCCAACACACCGGATTAATTATCATTAAACAGTTATTAATGCATCTATTGATTTAAAAAATATCATGAAAAATATCGAAAGAAACTCTCTCAGAAAGTATCTCTGTTCTAAGTTACCTCGAGTTCCCTCGAATTCCAGAAAAAAGTAGCGTCTAATAAAAAAAATGAATAGAAAGAAGGCGAGAATAGAATACTATCAGATCGACTGTAATTGGCGGTAGGGAGTGTTTGAAGCTTCCGCTCGAATGGGGTGAATATTTTTTCTTGCGCCGTTACCAGGTAACATTATTTGCCCCGGACTTTTGTGATTTTAATGTTGATTTATAATAATGCATCAAGACTGGGAATATTTTTATCAAGATCGCTGTTGGAGTGTTTTAACAACTGGAGCACAAATCAATTAAAAATATTATCAAAACGTTGGATAGTATTTTCCGTATTTGCCTCGGCTCGTCTAGCCGAGAATCAATAAGAGTAGATATACATTCAGTGGCTAAACAGAGCTAAATAACTAACTCCAAGTCTCCACAGACAGAAGGACAGTAATACGACGTGCGGTCTTAGTTCTCACAATTCCGCGCAGTTCTATATTACAAGTGTCAATCTGCGTGAATAATTTACTTTTTGTTCGCGATTTTGAAAATCAATACCGGCCTTTGAAACTCTCTCACGTGCTTTCTCTACTTTTTATGGCGAGAATTAAAAACAGTTTTTTATATTTGCTCTTGATTAGTCTGTAATTGTGTTTCCACTCTGGGGGAACAAGTTAACCAAACACAACTCCTGTAAGTGCTCGAGTCAAGAGGCTGAAAATGGTTCAGTGAAAAGGCTGATAGAGGATGTCACTTGGCTGATCCGCAGCGTGGGGTAAGGCACCCTGCCGATCAGCACTTAGCGATAGGCCCCACATCGCTTCTCTCCAAATCGCTGTTTGCTCCTGGACAAGAAGGATTGGACATGCACGTTTCAATGAGCTAAATCATGGCGGTAATAAGCGCGAAATTAGTTGGAATTATTTTCCGCGAAAATAAACCTTCTGTGCGCAGGGCACTTTCGCAATCTCGGCTAAATTATAATTTCAAATGTTCTCTCCTCTGACAATTTGCTCGGCCAAATTGACGCTCCTTTCTGTCGAATAAAATTGCGCTGAATCGTGCTGAAAAATATAGAAAATATTCGATCAGCGGAAATTCAGCGCGAACGCAAATGAGTTTTAATGATGAACTTTTGAACTTTTCGAAGCTCGAGCTCGACTTTTCCGTCATGGCTTGCATCGGCTACGCGGTATTTGGGATTATCTCTTTGGAAAGGGCGAAAGTTGCGGCGGGATGAGTAACTCTTTGCGGATAAGACGTGTTTCCAACAGTAGATCGCTAGTATTTTCTATATCATGCAGTATGAGAGTGTCACTCTTCGCCCGGTGTGCCCAAATGAATATTTGATTCACTCAATTCAGCGCCCAGACATGGATCAATGTCGCATGTGTCAGATTTTTGCTGCTCTCCTCATCTAAACCGGACTTTTTCAAATACCCATTTAGACATAAATTTAAAACTAACGACTTCTCATTCAACAACGCGAAATTAAAAGGATCATGAAGAATGAATCTTATTGTTTATGGCGCTGTTCCCCAGCTGAAGCTTCAAATACAGCTTTTATAAATAATTAAAAGCAAATTAGATTTTTATTGGCACGTGATTAATTGATGATAATAGGTGGATCTTCTTCTTTTAGCTCATTTGTCTTAATTTCTAATGAAAAAGAAAACTTGGATTTTCTTAGCAAAAAGTTCATCTCTTATTTATTAGCTTCTTTTTCTTAGATTTAATCTCTTATTAGTAGAATTTTTCTCTAGTAGTATTTTCTTTCTTTTTCTTTTTTGTTTCTCGTTGTTAGCATAATTTTATGTTTGCGCAAAGAGAGGCGCAATCTCTTTTTTTCTCCATTTTTTCAATTTTCCAGTCACTATAGAAACGAGGCGCGCCAAAAATCCAAATGGTCAAATTATAACTTCGTTATTGATTCGTATTCGATTATGTTTTCACTTTAACAGGAAGCAGGTCTTTCGTTCGCACATTGAAAAATTTCTCTTACTTATCAGAACTTATGCCGCATAAGTTATTAATTGTTTGACTCTGTGCTTGTAACAGTGCTGTTTCTTTCTCTTTCGAACTGTTTCTTCCCCCGTTTCTTCCTTTCACAGGCTCAAGAGTCTGTGCACTACAACTGTATTAATTATGCAGCCGATATTAAAAATGCATTTTCTCCTCTGTAATTATTCAAATTCTGTCCAAGTCACTCGCCGGAGAAAACACGCATCATGAGAGATGCAGAAAAAGACGATTACACGTGCAATTGTTCTAGGCTTAACCCTTTTTCCCACATCTTTCTTTCAAAGATCAATTTCAATTTTTCTGATGACAGGGGTAACAAAAGGCATTTTATTTCAGCCCTGTTTTTGTGTTCTCTTTTCTTAGCTATATTCGCACTGAGTTAAATGCACGCTCATCCAGATTATCCTCCTTAGCGTTCGTCATCACACAGCGAAATATACAGTCTCATTATTCTCACATACAGTAAGAAAAAGACAAAGAGCATCCATATTCTGTAGATAATGGACTGTTGAACTATCTTCTATGGCATTTTCGTGGCGAGTTTAAATAAGTTTATTGAATATTTTCAGTGGAGAAAAATTTGTTTTATGAGGTCGAAATTTAGGCGTAAGTTTGACTGCCGAATATGTAGTTTGTTTTGCCTGCGTCGAGATAGGCTTCCGGGTCTTCAAAGAGGTTGGTTAGAGTTAGGGGCAGAGAAAGTCCAGTCGTGATGGTGCCCAACGTTTGAACAATGTTGCTGCTGGGTCCGAAGATGTTGGTCGCTGCTGACTCGCTCATCAAAGAGCAGAAAGTGCATTCGGAGCCTGCGAGCCAGCGTGCTGGGACTTTAGTGCTCTTGCATCGGTTCACTGAAAATTTCATTTTCGTCACTATGTTTCTTCTTTTTACTCACAGAAGAATCTGCCGCCAACGAAATTTCCCTGCTCGTCATTGAGGCAGGCTTGTCGCTGCTTGCAACCAGACCAGAAGGTCGCTTCGCCGGCGTAGTTAAATCTGTACTTGACTTCGCAGACATCTTGAGCGTCATTGCAAGGCTCCATAGTTCCGTTTGCTTCGCAATCATCATAGGACACTCCGGAACAGGTCTTACAATAGTTGTTATTAGGCTTGGCGAGGTTGATCTTTTCCTCGAAGGTGGCGAGATTCGCCAATGGCCTTCGTTCTTTTTCGGGCTCTTACCAAACAAACGACCTAAGTAATGAGTGAATCTAATTAAAGATTATGAGCCCAGTCCTTGTCCGTCAATTCCTTCTTCGTATTCTCCAATCACGTCGTCGGTCTCATCAACATTGTAGTCTACGTTGAGGAGATCCTCCGCGGTGACAGGCGCATCTTCAGCCGACGACTCGACTTGGCCCTCGTAATTCGTTCCATAGTCGCTCAGATCGATGCCTGAGATGTAGGATGCATAATTCCCGAGAAGATTGGCGATTTCCTCTATTGTCTCGGCTCCCAATACTTCGAAGTCGTCGTAGTTTTGAGCAAGGGCGAGAGACGCCAGAACGGCAACGGATTTAGAGAAAGACTTCATTTTTTGACGGAAAGAACACTGAAGAAACTGTTATTTCATGAAACACGTACTCTTGTTATCCAATTTCCTGATATCACAATTAAGTCAATTCTATCTCTGTAAATCAAAAATAAAATTCAACGGACAACAATCATTTTTTCTTTTGAATCTCTTTTATTAACAAATATTTTCTCTTGGGTAGATTAGACATGTTCATAAATTTCCCTTACCTTGATCTTATCGACCAAGGAGAACTTGAGTACTGCCTTGCCTCAGCGTCTGAGCGCTTTTAAGAGTCCACCGGTCGGCAAACTCCTTTGAGAAAAAATGTCACCAATTGACGTCATCAAGGCACAACAACGCAACTTCCTTGAAACTCTTGAATAACTTTAAAAACTCACAGAAATGTAATTATAAGAAACCGGAACCTAATCTTGCTTTATTCTCAAATGATGCTTTTTTGAACTTTATTTGTGTAAACAGAAAAATTATTCTTTTAAATTTAATAGTCCCAGTCCAACAGATCCGTATGATAATACTGTGTATCCGATGATAAGGGGTTTTCCGGAACTTAGCTTCAGACATCTGCGGCTTTTGACTGCTGAATTTTCGATTTATGCAAATTTTGATTCTGTCAAAAAATAGTACCTGCTCTTTTAGGTCTGAGGATCTGTTTTATGACGGTCGATGAGAGTCGAATCATGATGGACGTTCTGTTTTCTTTTCTTTTTTTAGAGTTTTAGACTTTCTTGTTAAGTTTGTTTTTTTTTCTATAAAAGGGTTCTCGTTTTTCTTAACTCTTTTATAGACCTGCAGCATGCATTTGGCTGGTCTCCAGAGTGACAATTGCGTAATTTTGCTCACGAGTCCAGACGATCTCTTTTAGCTCCTTTTCCCACATCATCTACTCGAAGACGTCTGAATTGATACAGCACCTACGATTTGAGTTCCTGCCAGGGACTTCCTGGTGTATCGAGCCATCGCATTGTAAAGACTGGCACGTAAATTGTAAGGCTTTAATACGTGACCTGGTTGTATCTGGGAAATATCTTATCATTTGGTGAATACGTATGATGCACGGCAACATTGGTTTAATGCTATTCTTTGAACTTTGTGGTGAGAATGTAAGGTGGTCACGAACGATCAGACTCAGCAAAAGTGTTATCCGCCAGAAAGCCGGGTAGATAAATTCGCCTTATTCCAAGAACGAACTTGAGTCGATCTCAGTTGGAAGAAGAGAACTGGCTTTTGAGAACACCAAGAAGAGCAGCACTATGAGACAGGTATTTAGATAAAATATATCCGCTTCGTTAAATAACTGAAATTAGACCAGATAAACTTTAAATTTAAAGGCTTTCGTCTTTATTGCATTGGCGATAGGAAACACAGAGTGTAAAGCAAATTACAGCGACAGGAAAAACTTATGTTTTGAAAGGACTCGGACAAAGCTAGAAAAGGTAAATCGTCGCCGCTTCCAAAACTCATCAGCTTCAGGCTTGCGCTGCTTCTACTGCGTGCAATGAGGTACTGTAAGCGAAACCAATGATGTAGGTATTGTATTAGTTAGGTTTTGCTACTTTGCTTTACTCGCAGCTCCGCCAATACACTCAGTTTCAATGAGAAGACCGTAAGCATTTAAGGGTACAGACTGTGTGCGGCGCGGCGGCTACAACGCCTGGTACACTGGTTTCTACTTCAATAAAGACGACGGCAAGTGCGTCCCCTTGGATCATTACTGCCACGTCAGGAATGTTTTTCGACATAATTTTCATTATTATTATTTTAACTAAGCTTAAACCTTTTGTCTTTACCCGATTTTGATTGAAGTAAAAACTAACTTTAAGTCTTGGTAGGAAAAGGGAGTCGCGTTTAGTTCGTTTATTTCGACATTACTGAAACTGAACTCCAATCAGAGAGAAAAGAAGGATAAACAAATCGACGAGATACATCTTCACAGTCGGCGAGAATACTAAAACAAGGGTGAAGGAACAAGGGTCACAGAAATGTAATTCCAGTTAACTGAGTCAATAAAATGGGCTTGAAACCCTCGCAGGTAGAAAACTGGTTCTCAAATAAAACCAAGTGCGAGGAAGAGTGCGTCGACCAGGGATACAACTTGAGGGAGAATAGCGATGGGTGCAAAATAAACACTTATCTCTTCGAGGATGAGTGCGTCGCCTTAGCAGATGAGCTCGAGTCTTGTCATGTAAAGGTTCAAAGTTAGCAAATCATTTATACAGTGGAAATACAGGAATTTCCATGAGCAGTTCTAAGTTTCGCGAAAAGTGCGTCTCTTTTCTTTGAACCTGATTTGGAGCGAAGACCTTCACTGGCGGCTTGTGAGCGGGAAGCGCGCTCGATCTTCAAACCTCGCGAATGTCACTCTGCCGACTTTGAAGGGAAGCTGAAGCGCATTTCCGCCGCATCGAATCGCATCGTCGCGCTTGGAAAAGTCGACAGGAGAGGCGCTGCGAACAAACCTGTTCTCGTCAACCTGGACGTGCGTGACCTCTTCAGCACGCGGAAGGAGGCGATTATGTATTTGGAACTGAACGAACTTTCGAACAGCAATGTAATGCGCTGTGAAGAGCGCTTAGACTATGTTCTCGTCATCGGCTATCTAACCAAAATAGAGTAAGTTTATATTCTTTCAAAAAACTTGGCCCAAGTCGGATTCCTTGCTCGGTTACTAAGGTTGGGAGCTCACACCAAGAAACATTGCCGGCCATGTTTTTTCCTGATTTATTATCAGTTTGTCCTCCTATAACTGCAATCCGTAGCAATAGAAACTCTAGTGCCCTTGAAGCAACCCTGATACCGCAACACCGAGGCGGTTTCAAATCAAGGCCCTTCCAAATTTCAAATTTTCCACTTGGAAGGAAGCTATGATCATAAGACTCGACCCCACGCCCGTCGACAATGCGGGGGCCACCGCGCTGTTGCTTGCGCCACAGCGTCCCAATTTAGGTTCTTCAAACTTTCACTTTTATTTGAAGGTGATAAGAATCGTGATTGTCGTTTTTGATTTTCATAGAATTCGAAATAGAAATTACCCTCCCATTGCCTAAAAGTGGGAAATGAAGCTGCTCTGTTTTCCAAAATTTATCAAAATATGAAGTGTCACTGAGATAAAAAAAAAATTAAGGCGAACGACAGGAAACGTGAGATTCCGGGACGGTGGCTACGCCCGATTCTCCTCATCGAGAGACGATCTTTTAGACAAATTCAACGTGATAAAGAAAGCTCTTCAAAATAGAAACAGCTAGACTAAAATCAATACACTGCTTGACTGCCAATAAACAAAAACTCTTAGTCTTTAATTTATATTTTTGTACAGTATTTTTCTTGGGATTCATGTAAACAAGGGTTGAAGCGTATTAAAAAAATGAAAAATATGATTTTTAAGAAGCTCACGGTCTTGCTTCAAGTACAGAATCGGTGTGAACAGTTATGATTATGTAGAAACTAAAACTTTGCCTAGGTTCGTATTCACATGAATAGTTAATTTTGTGAGAATAAATAAACATACGTAATACAGTTGGGATCAAGAAAGTGGTTGAAGGAATAGAATAGTTGTCGTCGTAGTGATTGATATTGAAAAAGATTCAGTCTTAGCCAGCAAAGAAAGCAAAATGTGACGATAGCTTCAAGATAAATGTGAGAACAAAACTAAGAATCCTAGATTCAGTAAGATAATAAGAACAAGCATCAAGTAGCGAGTCTAAAAAAATGATTTTAATTCGGGAAACTTTTGAAGAATCATACCCAGTCTGCTTCAGTGTCCGTTTGAAGGGGCTGCAAAGGCTGCTCTGTAAAGGAGTTTTCCTTTTTTGGCGCAAAGCGAGGACCTTGGGCAGCATAGCTCATGTCGAGATCCTGTGCAATTTGGTTGACTTCCGAAGAGGATGGTCCCTGGATTTCAGAGCCAACGGTAGATGACTCTGATGCAGGGTTTCGCCTTCTCGTGGGAGCTATTTTTTGTTATTATCAAAAAAGCATTTTACCTTGCAACTAACCTTTTTGCATTGAGGAAGGACCTTGATTACCAAATTCTACATCTTCCTCCATCTGGGCTCGTTGTCTTTGTCTCGGCTGCAGCTGATTCATTTCGGACTCGTAGGGGGAGTATCCGCCATTCGCACTGCCCCAATTATTTCCTCCTTGATCATCGTCTTCCGCGATTTCACTATCTGGAGGTTCACGATGTCTTTCGCTCTCCGAGTATTTGTTTGCGCGACGGTTGTAACGATTGAGTGAGCTTGAGGATGGAGACTTGCCACCAGAGAGTTGAGACTGTGCATACGAATTCCGGCGTTCATCACGCCGATCTCGCGATTTGTTAGGCCGCCTTCGTGGCATAACTCTACTCAAATTTAAAAAAATAAATAATTTAATATTTTCACCTTTGACCATGATCACTGCTATTCATTGACTGCTGATCGTCATAAATTTGGGAAGAGCTGCCATCGCGGAAGTTAGCGTCGCCGGACTAGGAATAGTGATCTCCAAGAATTTTGAAGTGAATTTACCTGTGGAAATGTTTCGCTGCGCCTAGGCTCTTGGTACTCGCCGTTAAATTCGCGTGCGTTTTTGGCGTAATCAAGACCTAATCGATTAAATTAGAAGTAAAAAAAATCACATTGCAAAAAGATCTGTCACTGGCGAGCAACTCACCTGGCTGGTGATATTCCGGAGACATTTCTTTCGCCACGCAACGGGCAATCTTCGCCTCGTCTTTGGCTAATTCCGCGACTTCGTCAGCCTGACTAGCCTTAGCCACCGCATGCTGCGTCCTACACTTGGGCCTTTAAACACTGTTCAGTGCTTGATCCTACCTTGTCATCGCGATTTCAGCCTTTTGCTTGGCGACTTCAGCAGCTTTGCGCGCCATTTTCAGCGCACTCTCGATCTTCTCCTTCGCTTTTCCCGAGCGAATGGACAGTTTGGATTTTTTTACGACGCAGAACTGATTATGCTTGTATTTTCCTTCTTCACGAGAGCCGTCTTTGAAGGTGGTTATCCCGTAACCGTGACGTCTGTTGTTGAGCCAGAGGCCTTCGTACTTGAATCCGTCCGTTCTTTCGCAAATTCCAGACCCTGTTATGTTAATTTGTCAGTCGAAAAATAAATATTGCTAACCATTTCGTTTGTCGTTTTTCCATTCTCCATAATAGAATTCTTGAGTGCTGTCATCAATGTCGAAGTCCGCTTCACCGTAGCCTTCATAGCCCGACTGACCGCTGCGCATTGACGCCTGAGTGGTGAAAATTATCAAAGCTAAATTAATGATTTGAGTTTACCATTGAGTTAGTACTCGAAATCCGGGAGACGAAAGATTCTCCTGATATAGTTGAACCGGCTGTGCTTCGTGATCGTTTCATCCCAGTAAATGCCTTTTTTAGTTTCCCTCCTCGGAAGAAACCACGTTTCTGACTACGACCTCCACGTGCATCATAATGAGATACTTAAATTTCTATGCATATTGTTGAAAATTATGTGAATTACCTGAATCAGCATCTCTAAATTGATCTGCTCTACTTCTCGCACCTTCTCGTTCGTGGCCGACGGAGAGAACGAATCCTCCTCGGGCACCCATGTGGTTCAAATCAGTTCCATTTAGACGATCTTAAATAAAAGTAAAAGTATGTTGAGAAGTGAAATTAAAGAAAAGATGAAATCATGCCTTCAGACATGCGCGCAATCGACCGTTCCGTAAAAGACCCGATTGATGACCGCCTTGAGGATGCACGAGACGATCTCGACCTAGAACGAGAAAAGTGCTCCGACTCAGAAGAATCAGAGAAATCCGCCCAAGAGACGAAGGAATCCTTGCTTTTGCTCTTCTTCCTTGTCTTCGTTGGTTTTCTCGTTCTTGAACGACCTCTTTCCTGGCTTTTTGCCCTATTAGCTACCGCTGGTGGAGCTGAGTGATGAGCTCGACGAAGAACTCTTGGCGTGAGCTTATCAACACCAGACATGAGGCCGCCTTTTGCGTTGTCTCGAAAATTTCGAGCTCGTTCTAGCGACAGGTCTCGTGCTCGACGAGCTCTTTTGAATGAGTTGAAATATTTTTCTTTACAATTTTCTTGGTGAGCCAATGATAAGATTAACTCTCCTTGACAAAACTTCTTCACGTTTGCCTCTTGTTGCGCTTCTTCCTCGTTCAGACAAAGATCTTATCCTCGCTGATGTTACTTTTAGAGCTTTTTTAATAGGAGCTGGTGTGTTCGGCAGTGATACTCTCGGAATTGAAGGCAGCGTGAGTTCTGGTGCATCTGCCCAAGTCGGCCTAAAAATTTATGGCTACCTGACACAACGGACGTTTTTCTTACTTTTGTGGTTTTGAGAAAACCTGTTTTCGCACCACCGCTGATTGTTGCCACGGATTATTTGGATTGATCTCAGCCTTGATGTTATTCTTCGCTGGCATCGATATAATCACCTTGGAAGGCATTTTTTTATTTAAAAATCACGAATCGGGATATTGCTTAGATACAAGACTCTCTTTTATTAACACCCTCACACTGTAAGGTGTAGAAAAATGTGGATTTCCGAGGAAGTCAGACGCCCCTGCAAAACTGCAGAGTTAATGAAAATTTCCATTACAGCCTTTTTCCTTTGAAAGAGACACCATTTTCGTTGCCTGGTCTTTAGCCTCCTCAGCTGTTCGAGCTTTGATAACCGGGTTTTTGAAAACTTTACGAGCTTTGGAATATGGATCCAGATCGTCCTCATCTGATTGCTCGAGGTTCTCAGGTTCCGGGTTCTCCTGCTTTTCTCGTTCTATCTTCCTCCGCCGGATTTGGCGCCTTCTTGCTAAAGGTATCCAGGGGATGTCGTCTTCTGAAGTGGTTGCTGTAAGTATAAATAGGCAGCTGAGAAGTCCTTACTTTAACAGATGTTAGACAAATATTCTCCAGCGACGAGAGAGACTCCAGCAGAGCCAAGAAAAGCGATAATTTGAGTATTATTTTGCTTTTTGTTTAGAATTTTCACTTCCATGCGCGGGCTGAAAGGTCAACCGGGGCCAACTTTGGTCACAGCGAGATCACACGAGCGGCTCAAGTCCCTCTCGCCGAAATATTTGATTATCCATGATATTCCAACAAACAACAAGAGGGGGACTCTAAACCAACCGATGCTCGAGTGACAAGAAAAAAACAGGGGTCATCGATCGAGTCGGGTCCGGACGGCAATAAAAATCGTATAAAGCAGCATTTCACTTTATAAGCTTTGGTGAGCCTTACCATCTGGATTCGCCATGCTCTTCTCGGTGTTGATAGAAGTGAGTGAGTTCGAACGAAGCTCATTGTTCACCGTAGCAGCAATACCGTAGGGGACACTTTGTCGGACGCCATATCCATGGCGCATACCGCCCATCCACTGGCCTTGGTAAACGCCACCATCGGCATAGGTCTCTGTACCATAACCATCTTGGAGACCGTTTTCCCAGGTCCCTTCGAATTTAGCGCGACTAATAATTTTATTGTGTTTGCAGTTCTCATCAGAAGGAATTACCTAGTCGTGCTAGAACGTACGCCGTATCGGCCTTTGAACCCAGCGTTCCACTCGCCTTTGTAGGTCCATCGGCCTTTGGTTTCGACGCCCAAGCCGCTTCGTTTGCCCTAGATATGGATTAGATCGCTTCAAGGTCGTACAGTTTCGAACCTTTTGCCAGGTTCCCTCGAAAGTATTGCCGCTGGGCCAGGTGTAGATGCCAGTAACTTCGAAGCCATGGTTCCAACTTCCACAGTATTCGCCTTGGTTCTTCGGTCCGGTGCTACAAATCGATCAACGCAGGCCCTAGATAATCCTCTAATCACTTTTCACTTTAGAGTGAGTCACTCGTCACTGTTAGCGGCAGTCTGAGAACGTTATCAGCAATAAGTAAGGCAATAACGTTGATTGATGGATTTAGCCGTTGCTGCCTTGAACTTAGTGTGGGCCGCTGCAGTTGCAGTTACAGTACTCCCAACTTAGGAGGTATTAGGAAGCTCTAGCGTGTCTAACTGACTATGATCGATCCCTGCCAGATACCATGGCCGTGAGCCTTGCCATCTTCCCACCCACCACAGAATGTTCCGCCGTCGTCAAAATCTAAATTGGGCTGCATCGCTTACTTTCGAACAAAATTATTTACAAGCTGCTAATTCAGAGACAAATATACCTCTGTATCGCTTGGACACCGAATCAACTTGACAATGGATATCTAGTTTTTCTAATCACCGAACTCGCTAATTATCCTAATTGTCTTTCGCGAGAACAGTTATTGCGCGATATGCAGCCCTGAAAGCGAATCTGCCACCACCAGCCGCCATTAATGAAATTCGTTAAATGAAAAGTAAAATATCTCTTTTCTTTCCATTCACTTCTTTCTCTCTCTGCGGCCAGAATTTCGTTTTAAATTATATTTGTGTCTTCTATTTATTCTCCTCTATGTCTTCTCGAGGGACTTCAGGTATTACTTCTTCTTCGGAATTTCTCAGTTTGGATTTCTATCTTCTTGTGCTAGCTGAACATTCTGGTCAGTCGCAGGGATTTCGATTTAAATTATTTCAATAAATTGAGCCCTTTTTTCGGCAGGGTGCTAAAATCCTCCCAACTAGTGATAAAAACAGCTGCCTGTTTAGCCACTATGCGACCTTTGCCGCGACGACTCCCAATCAGCCGCCAAATGTGACCACTGAGATCCCAAATTGAAACAAAAACCTCGCCCAATACCTTTCTTCTCGCCACATAAATATGCACTCGTACTTAGTACTTTCTTATGCTGCGGGAAAAATCGAAAACCAGCACAAAAATTGATGATAGAAAGCATCGGGCAAATTTCAATACAAATTTCAAACGGGCTGATTATTAAAAACTTTTGCAAATCTAAATAAAACAAGTTATAATGATCAAATAGTCATGATTTTATAATTGTCGATTTAGAAGAATTTGGTGAAGAGTTTTTAATCTGCGAGTCTTTTCCAAGTGACAACGAGTTTCTAACTTTTGTGCGGAAAATATTGGAAACACCGAAAGATCGTAAGCAGTTATGCTATTTTTACGCTCTTACCGGAAATAATGAATTCGTTTTCTCTGAAATTTCTCTCCCCAACTGCGCTACTTGTGCCTAGAGAAAGAGTCGCCTATGGCTCGAGCAGTGTCAACCCGAAGCAAAATCAAAAAGAGCGATAAGCTTAGCAACTGATTTTTCCACCCACGATTAAATAATTGAGCTATAGAAATATTGCGCGATAAATGTGAGCAGTACTACAGTCTGGTGAGAAAGTTCGGGCTAATGGTTTTCTGAGTGTGAAAATTGGACCTCTCGCCGAGTCAAATTTACATAATTTATTTATAAGTTAAAGTAAATGGCAAAAATACGAGAAATGAACTTGCCTTGTTTTGTTCTCTTTTAATCAGCAAGTTTGAATGGGGGAACGAGTTCGATCTGTAATCGGGTGTTGAGATTATCTGGGAAACGAAATCTTTTTTTTTCTTTCTTTTGCTCCTGCCCTAGGTTAGTGCCAGTTCGATACTGTGTCGCATGATGTAATCTAAGCTACACGAAAATATAAAATACTTTGCATCGCACAAAAAGCCTTTTGGGAGTATTATGAATGTCACTTTATTCCCATATGGATAACGAACGCTAATAAACTCTTGTGAAAATGTAAGCGTGATTAACTTTAAAGTCCCGGGCTCGATTAAAGAAATATTGTAATCTACTTCTTGTAAAAAACAATTAAATTTATTTGCACAAGCAGTTCGTGGGGTGTTCGTGATTTCGTGATTTTATGCTAAAGGTCAACAGTTTATAAATTTGAACTTTGAAAGTGCACACTATTTTTTTTTTGATGATGAAATCAAAGATTCGACAATTGAATTTTTTGTCTTTCCGAGATTGAGGGCAATTCTGCTTTCGTAAGATGCATGCTTTGGGACGTTGACCGTCGCGTCTTATGTTGACTGAAACTTTGTCCTTTCGCTAAAATTTGTAATCATCCTATTCCGGCTTTTCTTCTTCTAATCACATTATTGCACACAAATGGAAATAAAATCAAAAGAGCAGTTTGAAAAATACAATTCAAATTCATCTGCGCATCAAATTTGCTGAGAAGGGCAGAAGAGGTGGAATGGAATCCCGGAGATCGACTTATGCAATCGTTTTCGGAGTATTTGAACAGGTCAAACAAGCATGGCCCCATCCGAAAAAGTCTGCCGAAGGTTCCTCTTGCATATTTCTGATTTGGACTTGATTCGAATTTTATTTCTTCTTTTTTTTTACTGTTTTTGAGAGCCTATTTGAATAGAGAAACCGGAGTGCGTACAATATGACAGGTAGGAAATTTGTATTTGCATTGTTTTTGTATGGCCCCAATGTCGGGCAAATATCGAGCCCGGGAATCAAAAAAGGGAGAGAAAAAAAAGTTGCTAAAAAATGTTTTTAGCAACGTTACTTGCTGGTCTTATTGGCTTTTTATGGGACAGACTGTCGTTGATACCATGGTATATTTTAACGAATCAGAGGAGAAAAGTCGAGTATCAAACTCGGCAGAAATCCAAGCTTATGCCAGGCGAAGAGAACATTTGGATGTCCGGCGATACAGAGAGAGTTATTGAGACATACTATTATGGCGAGCGCACTATGGACAAGGTCTTTCTGAAAGCGGTCGAAAAATTCGCCGATTTGCCCGCTCTCGGAACGCGAGAATTGCTTCAAGAAGTGGACGAGGTACAGCCAAATGGCAAAGTCTTCAAGAAAGCTGTTTATGGCGAGTACAAATGGATCACTTTTCGAGAGTTCGGCCAGAAAGTCGATCAGTTCGCAAAAGCGCTGACTGAAATTGGCGCCAAGAAAGTCGCAATTTATATGGGTAAATAGATTTTTTGGAATTTCTAGCCAACGATTTTTTCTTTTTAGAAACTCGTGCTTGCTGGCAAATTGCTTGCCAAGCGTGTTTTCAGCACAACATAGACATTGTCACAGTTTACGCCTCACTTGGAGACGAAGCGGTCTCCGCTGCTCTGCAAGAGGCCGAAGTAGATTACTTATTGACCTCAGGTGACCTAGTCAACAGGTCGCTCGTTGGTGTCCTCAAAAAAGTGCCCTCGTTAAAGGCTGTTGTTTGGGCGCCATTTGACTCATTTTCTGCTAAATTGAAAGTCAAGGAAGGAATTCTAAAAATCTCAAATAATCAAAAATTAAAATCAAAAACTGCAAACTAAAATCCTAAAAAAGCAAGAAGATTACCCGAATACTAAAATCATCGAATGGGAAGACATGTACGCGATCGGGAAGAACTCGAAAAAGCCAAAACCAGATGGGCCGACTCCAGAAACAGTCAGCATGATTATGTACACAAGCGGCACTTCTGGCAAACCTAAAGGAGTAATGATCAGGCAAAAAGGAATGGTCGCGGCATGCTCTGGAATTGGCGAGCGAATTCAAACTGGGCATCGCTTTAGTCCTGACGACACTTACATTGGATACCTGCCACTTGCTCATATCCTTGAATGCATGGCTGAGAGTTGTGTCCTTTGGAATGGAACTAAAATTGGCTACAGCTCTGCCCTTACGCTAACTGATTTATCATCAAGGATTAAAAAAGGCAGTCAAGGTGCAATCGATGCTTTCGCTACTTTTACTTATCAAATTTTAGGTGACGCTACTGTATTGAAGCCTACACTGCTTGCCGCGGTTCCGGAAATTCTGGAAAGAATTCGAAAAGGGGTCCAAGGAAAAGTCAATAGCGGTTCTGCTTTCGGGAAATGGCTCTTCAATTTCGCTTACGATTACAAAGTCCGTCAGCTTGAGATCGGCCGTGACACTCCTATCCTTAACAAACTCATTTTCTCCAAGACCTCAGCGATGATGGGAGGAAAACTCAGACTTCTTCTGTCTGGAGGAGCTCCACTAGAAGAAAAAACGCAGCGCTTTACCCAGGCAACTCTCTGTGCTCCTGTTCTTATCGGGTATTTTTAGAAGTACGAGATATGGCTTTTAACCCAAGAATTCAGTTATGGATTAACCGAGTCTTCCGGAGGCGTTGCTGTTAGTGACTGCTTCGATAATCAAGTCCGTCGATGCGGAGGAGTCATCGATACGTGCGTTTAATGTTTAAATTTATAGAGTCTTACTTTCCATTTCAGACTTATGGTCAAGCTCGCTCCTTGGGAAGAAGCGGGATATTTTCCGACAAACAATCCTCCACAGGGAGAAGTTCTTTTCGGAGGACCAGCTGTGACAGTAGGATATTTCAAAATGCCAGAAAAGACTGCAGAAGACTACATTACTGATGAACAAGGACGAACTTGGTTCAAGACCGGCGACATCGGCCAGTTCGACCCAGATGGAGCGCTCCGAATCGTTGGTAAGCAGTGATTTCAATGAAATCAAGGAGGAATTATCTTGTTTATTTCAACTTTCAGATCGAAAGAAAGACTTGGTTAAACTGAGACATGGAGAGTACCTTGCACTTGGAAAAATCGAAGCAGCGTTGAAGACTTCAAAATACTTGACGAACATCTGCGTTTTTGCTGATCAAAATGAGCTCTCGGTTGTTGCCGTCGCCGTTGCTAAAGAAGACGAAGTCCTCAAAGCAGCTACGGTACTAAATCGAGACTTGCGTTCTTCTCATGATACCATTTAGGAAATGTTCGTCTCTGGCGACTTTGAAGCAGTTTGCAAAGATGAGAGGATTATAAAGATGATCACCGAAGACGTTTGGAAAGTAGCAAAGGAGATTAAATTGACAAAACAAGAAATTCCATCGAAAATTTTCGTGGAAAGCTTACAATGGCTGCCCGAGACTGGACTCGTTACTGATGCATTTAAACTCAAGAGAAAGGTACGATTCTATGATTTTCACTGATAAACTCTCGTTCTAGCCACTGAATGAATATTACGCGAAGCAAATTAAACAGCTGTACAAAAAATGAAAAATGAAAACGTTCTTCAACTTTGCTACTAAGTAACCATTACTAACTTATGTAAAAGTGCTCGAATAAAAAGCTTCCTGCAAAATTAAACGGCAAAATGATTAAAACTATCAATGATTGTCTATCATAGATTTTCTTACTAAAGATGTTTTATTTTTTGTTTGAAGCGCAACAACTGTGGAACATGAAAAGTGACACGCTTCACTCTAAGCCTGGAAACGTGATAACGATATTAAATTGAGTTTAACGGTCGTTCCTTGGTACTGCATAACGCTGGCTTACAAGGTTAATGAAATTCTTGCGCTGCCGGCATTTTGAACGGAGGTAGGGTTTTTGCGCGCATGATTTCGATCTTGAATTGTCAATTAGATTAAATTAATGCATTTAAGTTAGTTACAAATATCGCAAACACCCAATTATAAGGTGTCATTATCTTCACATAAAATTTCTCGTAAACAATAATAATGATAATAATATATTTATTCAATTTCTTAGTCAGTTAAGTTAAGAAAGAATTCGTTTGTTTATAGTTTTGTTGTCACGCCGAAAATCGGTTCATAATGCATCCGTCTTCTTTGTCATTTTTTTTTCTATTGATATCTGTACAGCTGTTTGCGCGCGAGGATTGTCGGAGAGCTGAGTCGATTCGGGTTTTCAGTTTTGCTTTTTGATTTTACGCAAGTCACGGTTTCGCACAGAAATTTTGGCCAAATCGTGGACACCGCGCTTGCCCTTGCAAAATCAGTAGCAAAATGAAATTGTAAAACTTTTGAAATTAAAATAATCTATTTACAATGGATCAAACTCGAGCACTCGCCGCGGGGCAAGTTTCACTTCTTTTTCGCGAAATGCTACCAGCATGATTTTGGTTTCTCTAAAGAGCCGATTCCGTTCATTTCAAAACTTGAAATGAAACTGAAAATCGCTCATTAGTAGATAGTGCCTTTCTTAGATTCTAGGAGACAAGGAACTAGTAGCAGCCGCAAAAAACTATGCCTTCTCCTCGATAAGCTTGCGTGCCCGAGCGGTCCTTTTAATTCAAAGCCATAATTGAATAATTATTGATACCCGAATCGCTGGATATAACCTTGGGATAGTTGTCGTTTAGCATGGATTTTAGTCAATTAAAATGTTAATTGTCGTCGAGTATTTTTTCAAACATCCTTGGGTGGTTTCGTCCATCCTTGTTCTTTGCAGACTTTACCGCTATTTCTCTCGATAACGTCGCAATACGCAGGGCACTTGCTCGCTGGAAATTTGCTACATTGCAGCCGCCATTCACGGAACTTTTCGACCAGTGTCTCAAATTTTGCCGTAAACTTGTCCAGCTTCTCTTGGTCTGCTCCGCATTCCAGCGATAAGGACTTTCTCAGAGAGCGTTTCAGGTGCGACTTAACACATAAATGAATTCAATTTTGCTTCTACTACAGTTTCTACTCAAGAATCTGCTACAAAACTAAATCTAACTAGAATAAAGCAGAAATATAGACTCGAATTATAATTGTTTTCGATGTCAACAAGATCATTTTCAACGGAAATCTCAATTACAAATAGCTTGCTTAAAAAATACCTTTGTAAACTCAAGGAAATAGTCGGACTCCTGAACCATTGGTTTCGAGCGAGTCAGATCGTTCAGCCTATCTCCAACACCGGTACATGTCAAATATTCTTCGCAGTTATCGAGCGACGCGCAGCCAGACGCAATCTTTCCGACCAATTTCAAATAGTAGTCAACGACTTTACTCCGAACCGTGGTCACTTTGTAGTTAAATTTGCTCTATTGCCAGTTATTGAGTGTAAATTTAGAAAATTAATAAGCTTAAAATTTAGAAAGTTAATTTTGAAATTAATTAAAATGTGGATATTACTAATCGAATAACTTTGCCTGGTTGTCTAGTTCCGGGACAATGTCGGTGTACTTGGTGTGGTTCGCCATGTTAAAATAGGCCCACTCGTCAAGTAAATTGAAAGACTTTTCAATGCGTCGTTGAAAGGGTGTCTGAAATTGGTCAATATTCTCCTTGTTGATTTCTCTCTCTCTCTCCTACCTTCTTAGCATCGACAGATCCTAGTGCAGCTATGCCAAGCGCTATAGAAGTCACCTTCATTCTCTCTTGAACGTGTTTTTAGTCTCTCTTTTTGATTTCGAATTGAAGTGCTCAAAGCGTCGACGTTCTTCGATAGTTTACGGAATGGCGCCCGACTCTGGCGCTGGAGAGCTTTCACGAGCACGCTAGAATCGTTTACTCGCGCTCTTGCAAGCCTGAAGCAAGGAAATAATAAGGATATGCTTCTTCAGAAAACATTTGAAAAAAAAACAATTTCAAAAATCTAATTGAGCAAATATTTCAAGCAAAGTGGGCAAAACTCGGTTGAACGGCGGCTAACTGACCAATGGAGAAAATATTGAACTAGGAATTGACAGGGAATGTGTCGCCACGCAGAACTAAAGCTGTTCTATCATGTTTGTCCTGTCAATCAGCGTTATCGAGACAACACTCTTGCACATGCAGAGCTCGATCATCAGCAAGAAATTACACTTTCTAAGCGATCTCTCATGGGCAAGGGAAAACTTTTTTTTTATCAATTTGCGAAAGAAAAAAGTAAAAATCTATAAAGCAAAAAGAGAGAAAATCATGCAACGACTTCTTGAAGTTTTCATTTACTTTGTAAAATGGACGCTTCTTACTATTATTGCTAATTCATTAATAATAGACAAAGGCTAAGATAAAGGCTTATCGGTGTAAATTAAATAGATAAGTCACTTGATAGTTTTCCCAATAAATCAGACAGCTATACGCAAGAAAATTTCCAGGGAGTGCCGAAATCATCCGAGGAAAGGGCTTTCAGTCGATTAACCTGTAGTTAGATAAAGATTTAGATTATTCGAAAAGATGGACGATGCACAAAGTCGAGTTTCGCAAGTGAATATTTAAAAGATAACCAGTAACGTGAACATAATATTTAGACCGAACACTTTTTTCTCTGTTTAAGTTGAACACTCGTCGAAACAGCGGTTCTATCGAAAACTGCACCACTTCTGTTGTTCCCAGATACAACTCTGCGGAAACAAGTGCTTTCTCAGTCATTTAGCCATTCAATTTCTATTTATCAAGCAAATAAATACTTTGCTTTTTATCATCGAATTATTTATGGAATTTTATAGAACTTCAGTTTTTAGCTCCACAATGATTTTGTTCCCAAAGCGTAAATACGGCGACCAGAAAAGCCTCAATTAAAAAGATGTTGAACAAGTGTAATCGAGGTGAGCGTTTGTAAACTCAGAGATGTGCTTGAAACACCAAGCTCTGTTTCTTTGCACGGGAGATGATCTTCATTTGCGCAAACGTGTTAATCGCGGCTTTCATGCAAACTAACAGCACGTTTTTTAAGCCGGCCTGAAGAACCAGTTCCAAGCCAAGCAGAAAAATCTTCGAGTTGGGTTACAAAGTTCTTCCTTTTTTTCTTTTCTTCGTTAAAAAAAACGAGTTAAAGATAATTTGATTGCCGCGAAGAAAAAAAATACCGCGACAATATAATTTTAGCGGAAATGAAGTTTACCGCGTTCACGTCTCTTTCTAACCCCCGTTTGCCTTTCCCATCGACTAGTTTTGAAAGCAATGGACATTGAAAATGCGCGCAAGCTCGCAGTTAAACGAATCCAAAGAAATAAATTCAAAGTTAGACTAGGAATGAGCTTTAAAATAGCGGATACTTCATCCCAAAATGTAATTTATTTCCTCTCTAAAAAAGAACAGGAAGAAATCAGAGACCGCGATTCGTACATGCTGTCCGTGAATGAGCGCTTCAACAGAGCACGGTAATTGAAAAAAATATTTTTCATATTTTCATCCAGCGCTCTTCTAGTTTCAAATTCGAAAAGTTGTACGATCAATCAGGGCGCACTTACTTCCATGGCTATGTTTCCACGTTAGAGTTGACAGCAAGTATTTTCGTGAAAAACAAGCTCCGACACCTTCGAACTACAAATAACCAGCGAAAAAAGCCTAATCAATATTAGGCCGCGCCCTTTTCGAGCTATAATTTAAGTTAAATTTCTATTTGTATTCCGCTTCACGTGTAATTGCTGTTTACTATCCGGTAAAAATTAAGAATAAGTCAAATCCTAAATGATAGATGAAAGAAAGATTCGTCAACTCGTGAAAAAGCCTATGAAACGTTTCTCGAGTGAGTGGGTGGAAGTCGCCAAGTCGAAGCCGCTGGAACTGCGAATACCGGAGGTTCTAGTCACCTTTGGCTTAATGAATTTAAATTTATGAAAATTCTAGCGAACGAGGCTCCTTCCCCGAGCGGAAATGGGCGATCAAATTGAGATGTTTCGAAAGCACTTTCTCCCATTTAACACGTGACAGATCAGGAAGAGTACTTTACTACTAATGGAAGTCTACACACGCCTGCAATTATAACTAATTGATCTTTGGTTTTTTAAATAACACTGCTGTTTTAATCAATCACTATTATTTTGCAAATAAAAAGAACATATGCTCAAATTACCTCTATGTTAATTAGTAGCTTATTATTGCAACAACAAGGCGAGGCACCCGCCATAGCAAATTGCTTTAGATTTTGATTAGAAAATATTGAAATCATTATACAATAAAAATCCGTTCTTAGTTCACCCTGGAAGTGAATATGTTACTGCTAGTGAATATCTTAGGCTGAAAAGTTTCACCTTCTCTTTTCAAGTGTATTTTCAGAATAAAAAGTCTTTCTTGTGTGTAATGGGGGAGAAAGATCAGCATCCACGGACCGCTCGATCAATCGGATCAAGGTTTTCCGGGCATTCAGGCTTGCACCTTCCGTCTAAAGTTTATCCATCAGGTTTACTATATGGTTGATAAGCGGCTGGTTACCTGCCGTTGTTCCGTTTTTGCATTCACAAGTCTTCTTCATTTTGTTATAAATCATGTCTTGGAGGCAGATGCAATTAAATGAACCTTCGGAATTAAAGCACTGCGCAGCTTGGTGCAGACCACAAGGCCGCGTTCTTTTTTCGTTTGCCTCCGCGCATTCATCGATGTCGACGCATTTTCCGTTCTCGTTGAGCTTGAATCCTTTCGCGCAGCTGCACATGTGTCGTCCAAATTTTAACGGAATGCAGGTGCCGGCTCCACAGGGATTCGCGCCTTTGTAAAGGATATGATCAAATTAACTGTCAGTCGATCAATATGAAATTATCACTTTCCTTGTGTGCAGGCTGTGGGTGATCGTGGCTCACATGCTCCGCCAAGAAGGCCTTCTTTCCACCTGTGGGTAAGCGGACATCTTGGTTCGCATTTGAGCAAATTTCCTATTTGCACTTTGCGAGTGCTTACTGGACATCTGCACTCGTAGGAGCCTGGCGTGTTCACACACAGCAGTTTGCCACAAGGGTTGGTCTCTGTTTTGCACTCGTTAACGTCCTCGCAGATTTCGTGCGTTTTCCTCCTGTATCCCTAAATTCCGCGTTCATTTAGCTGTTCAGTGAATCCAGCTATTTGTCGCAAAAACAAGCGCTCGTTAGATACCAGTACCTGTTTACACTCGCAAATGTATGAGCCTCCGAAACGGTTGATGCAGAAAGCATTTGTACAGGGATTGCTTAGACATGGTTCAAGACGAGTCTAACAGTTAGATCGAGGGGTGAGCGCAGTTCCGTTGCGGGTCTTATGTGAACCGTTCCTGGTCTTGCAGTGGTCGACGTCTTCAAGGTGGCGACGCCACTGATTAAGGAGGCCCTTTCAAGCGGTCGTGTTCATCCCTTTTGACCTTTTGTGTTATCCTGCCGCGGGTGGCCTCGGTGGTGCCACTTTCCCAAAAAAGAGAAGTGCCCTGGTTTAATCGACCGCCGTCTTATCGCATTTTCTTGTATTCGGGGAGGCTGTATTCACTTTGCTCTTTCTGGGCAATGATCGACCGCGTTCCTTATCACGTGGTTGGCAGCTAGTTCCATAGGCGTCCGGCTCGAAACGTTCGTCGGAGCACTCGCAGCGGTAATAAGTCAGAGTCGTCAGGCACATTCCATATTTGCACCGTCCTTGCTCAGAGAGATCGCAGTAATTGCGCCTTCCGCGAAATATCACACTTTGGCGGCATTTGGCGCTAAGAACGTGTTAAAACATGTTTAATTATAGTCTTATGATTTCACACTTTAGGGCAGCTCCTTATTCAAGACGCCACTTTACCTCGGACTGGGGTTCGTTGAAGGTGTATCCAACCACTTCATGCTAGCTCAGCAACGACCATAATTTAGACTAGTTAAAAAGAAGCAAAAAAGACAATAAGAGCATTTCCTGTTTGCAGAAATTGACGCAGTAGCCTTGATTCCATCGAATGCAATCCTTTCGAGCAGGATTTCAAACAAATTTTAGCCGAAAATTAAATAAAATGTTTATGCGCTTGTGAATCCTTTGCTTGTTTGGGTTCTGAAGTTCTAAACCAGAATTGCCCCAAGTCTCGTCTGTGCAGAGAGGTGAGTAAGTGGCCACCGCCTTCCGGTTCTCGTCGTAGTAATCATACACAGAAATTCTAGACTCAAGTATCAAAGTGGTTTTTCAGTCTCAGCGGCACTTTCAGCGCCAATTTTACGTAAATTTTAATCGGTCAAATTTTAATGCTGAAATGAGAAGCTACAATTACTGATATTTTAGATCCCTGATTTATGAATGCTTGAACTTCAACTGAGCTCACCTAGCTGGTGCTTCGTTCGAAACTTCAACAATTGGTTTTATATGAAGCGAGAGGCAAATGTCTTCTGGCCCAACTGTATTCAAATAAAAGACGATTATTGGCGAGTCTTACTGTGGCTTCGAAACTGTTCAATCGCAGCATTGCAAAACTTAAGTCAACGGCCCTTTCCTTCGGAAATCTCGTACTTCCTTATTCCAACCAGGTGTCCCCCAGACACCACGTTTTTCAGTGATTCGTAGTCGACCCAGTAGCCAGAGGTGATCTCGACTTCGACGATAACCATGTTGGTCCAAAGCTGACTCGAGGCGGCAGATTTGTATCTAGCAAGATCTCTTATTAAATTCCGAGATTATGAGCTTTGGAAAGTGCATAAGGTGACACGCTCCAAGTGTTACTGCATTTTTTGATGAATTTTGATTTGTTAAAATACCTAGTGCAAACTGTCAGTTGTCGGTCTTTCTTCAATCTGCACTCGTTTGGTTTTCCTCTGACGAAAACTTCCAGGTGCAGGCTGAAGAGGAGCATCATTTTAAAGTGTACAATCAAGCACTCAAGAATTACCCTTCTAACGCGTACTTCGTATTTGGTACGTTGTACGATTTTGAAATCTTTTAAAAGTTGTCCTTGATTCATTTGAAACGCCCAGATCTCAGCTGTGAACATGGAAACACATGTAAATACCTTACAGCTACTAAACTGTTCAAAGGTATTGTATTCTTTTTTTGTTCAGAGAACGGAACCACTTGGTCCTCACGCTCATTACAGAGGAATGTTTTGTTTTGAGGGAAAGCGAAGGCGAGTTCCTCAATTTTAGACTCCGCAATAGATGTTTTTCCTGAGACAAAACCTATTATAGTAAAGAACAACCGGCTGCCTGAATCATTGCACAACCCTTCCCTTCCGCCTTGATGTGCAGCTCATCGACACTTCGAAATACGATAACAATTTAATTTTATATTTGAACAGACGGGTACCTGCCGGTAACACGAGTCTGTTGAAGCAACATGGAATTATCGCGGCCGATCTGAAGGGACTACTCGAGGGTCAACGTCAACTAACTGCCACCTAACAAATCGGGAATTTTACGAAAGCGCCTTCGTCAAAAAATCCCGATAATTTACTTCCCGAGAATGTGGCTGACCCTCCTTTGTGGACTGCTGCGAGTCTTTTGAAGGGTTTTTTTCAATAAAATTAACACTAATTTAGACACCATCCGAGAACAGGCGCACGTTTGCGAGAATTATAAACATGAGGTTTTTAAATTTACGAATGATTCGTGTGAATTCGGACATGTTCGTTTTTAGCGCTACCCTTTAATTGTTCTTTTAAAAAATCCTTCCCAAAAAGCAATGTCATTTCGTTAGTGCTCATTCGCCGCGAATTGCTTTTCCCGTGTCCTTGCGTGTACTGAAATTATAAAGTTAAGCTTGCTTCACACGGGTCAACATTTAACAAACATGGAGGATTCCTTCCAATGCGGCGACTGTATCTTGCGTGTTTCGCCATCCACCTTCACGCGGATATTTTTCGTCCAGCAATGAGAAAAAGAAACAAATGAAAAATATCACGGGCCTAATCTGTTTCTTTGGCCAACGAGCCAGCTGATCATATATTTGCAATTCTTCTTGAAATTGATGAAATCCGCGTTTTGACTCTTCAGAGCCGATAAAGCTCAGGCAAGTTCAGCCAGCAATTTTCAGCTAATTTCCCTTTTATTTCAAATTGAATCTGTTGAACACGTTCCTTTCTTGCGCCTTGCGATTGGAGCGAAGAGAAATTCCGTCGAAGCAGAAAGCATCAGTCCTGTTTAGAGGTTAGCGTTCTTGCTTAAGCCCAATCACTTCTTCTTAGCATTACGAGATATTTTCAAGCTAACCAGACCTGTGGCTTCAATTTGAGCTGCAATGGATCCTTTTCTGATGTCAAAGCTCATGTAAGTGTTTCTTGGATCCAGTTCGATTGTTTTCCTGATAACACCAATTAGTCGGTCGACAAACCCTCCGATCGATCTCCATAGCTTTTCGTCATTATCCTGTTCTTCACTGAAAGAAATCTAAATTTCATGTTCCCTTAGAATTATCAAACCATTTGTTAACGAATTGCGCGAATGTCCGAAGCGCCAAAATGGCGGAATGGGGGTTGATCATTGTCTCATCCGCTATTTTTTCGGTGATGCAGCCCATAGCTTTTCTGATGACATTCTACTACGCACTCAAAATTGATCTTTCTGGTAAGAAATAGTCCTCTGAAATTTAATGAGTACGATCCTTGTAAAACGAATTTCTTTCGACATAGTCTTTTCCACATTTAGTGGCGTCGATGATGTTTCCCAAGACAAACGAATTCATTGCGAGTTGTCGGCTGTGAGGATCTTCGTAAGAATCATTTCGAGGCACAAAGCCGACCATTTCAAAGCAGCCGTCTTCTTTCTGCGCGTTCTTTAGCCACTCAAGTGGCTTGATTAGCAAAAACTGGGAGTCGACGAACACGTTCTTCGAGGAGCGATCTGCGCGAGCCAGGACTTTCACTGCGAACGATGTTAGCCATGTGGAAGTGTCATCGAGCGTCGACTGCTGGCAAATCGGGTGTGAAGGAAGTAGAGCCTTTTTCATCATTTTTTAGTGTTTAGTCTTTGCTTCAAGAATTTCATCACTCGACTTGATTAAAGCGGTTCAATACTAAATGCAAACTCTCGTACGAGAGTCAATTATAAATTTAATTATTAACACTGTGTTTGGCTAAACAAGGAGTGCCTCGTTTTCCCTTCTATACGAAATAAATGCTCTTGGTAAGCCACTTTATTATTGTTTCTACTCTCATCAAGTAATGATTGAGAGTTGTTTTTCAGTAAATACCCGATTTAATCTAACAGTATTTGATGTTCATTGGAAACTTGTGAGCGCCACTGAAATTTTTAGAAGCGAGATTCCTAGTTTTTTGATCGATATAGCTCTCATAATAACTCTTATTGTTTGCTAACACCATGTTTTACAATAAACGCTCTTTTCTTCGACGGCCAATGTCGTGAAATTAACGAAAATCGCATGGCAAAAGAGGAAAACATATTCGAAACGAGGGAGCTATGTTTAAGAATCAAACATCCCAGATCCTACTGAAAACTCAACAAGCGAATAATATTTTGGTATTTTCACCATAACCAGTGATTCCGCATTTTTGCACGAAAAGTTTGAAGCATTAAAAGTCGAAGACTATTATTGAGAGGCAAAGCTCTAACTTGATCATTGAATATCTTTGAAAATGATTCCTCATCAAAGCTGTAATTGTGATAAGATCGAACGCAGAACGGGTCGGGCTTGAAAATGACGAAACTTCCATCGAACATGAGAAATTTTATCTGTCTAAGGAGCAATTTTATTAATCGAACACTTACAAGGACTAACCTGCTGATACCAAGTTGTGTATTTCGAATGGCCCGTTGTTCTAGCTCGCGGTCATCAATGTCCAACCTGTCAAGATACTCCAGCACGAGCACATTTGGGTAGAGTCGAGCGAGATTTTGTTCTCCACATCCCATCGGCTCCTCTAATAGTGCATCGATATTCGGAACGATGGGTCCGAGAATGTCTCCTGACGCAGAAATTCGGATTTCTTCGCTTCCTTCTATTGCGTCGGAAGGAGACGGCAGAGAAATCGTCTCGCTAAATGTTGGAACTTGGTCCTTAAGAGTAACTCTACGGGCTCCGTCACACTGAAATGTCATTCATACTATCAGTTCTGCAGAGCCCTATCAAATCAAACGGCTCATGGAGTCCGTCTTCCTCTCTCCTTGAATAGTAACCGTCAAATTCCGTTCAACGCCATCGAAAACGAGCGCAGAGCTTATGGACTTCCTCCTGGTGCAGTCGTTAACTGGCCGGCCAAACATTTTAACCGAGATCGGGAAGGTACCACCTCGCTGCGTCGTAATCGAAAAGTGCTCGTGCGTGAGTTTCTCGGCTGGACAGGCGCAAGTGATTCTGTTCGACTCTCCTTGATTCTCGAGTCCTTCTGGAGTTTCGATCTGGAGCTCCAACGAGTGGCAACTTGAGTTGTCGTGGATCAGCAATGACACTTTTGTAGGAATTGTCTTCAATTATCATTTGCTGCATTTAGCGCTCTTTGTAGAGTCTTATCGGTGTTTGCAACAAAAATAGCATATTTCAACCAACACTTTGTCAAGTAAATACGCCAATTCTTTTGAATTAGTTATAATTCATAACTTATTTAATACTTTGTAACGGATCAACGACAGTTCGATGACGAAACTTTAGTCAAATAAATAGCGTAAATAAATAGCTAAAATTGAGCTTTCTAGTTCGCCGAAACGACCAAAAAAACAAGTGCGGCAGTGGGCACAAATTTCAAATTTTATTTTGAGTGACAACCATGTTGTCTATCGGAACAAAGGGCGAGCTTCGCAAAAATAATGTTTTCACTGAAAAGATAATTGTATAAAATTCCCTTTGAAAAGTTTAATCCCTCCCTGGAAGAAGGAAACTTTCCCCCGCGACCACTCGTCTGGGCAGGGTTAAATCAATAAAGACATTTTTTGAGACTTCCAGTTCGAGCTGCGGCTCTAGAATTCCAACGCCCAGAGTCGGGTGTAGACACATGACGTTCCCAATCCAAGTTGTGGTACTTCCAGGCACCTCTCATGGTTACCCTGCGAACATTTTGAATTGACTACTACTTACGCGCTAAATCAGCTTGGATCTTGCAAAAGTATCCTTTCCTTAAAATTTTCAACACGCTTTCCCGTGAGTGGAATAATGTAATCCTCCCAAAGCCATGTTTCTGGAAAATAATTGCGAACTTGGATTTCGTTCGTATAAACTCCTTCTGCCGTCGCAAAGAAGCCCTGTTCGCTGTTTTTCTTGAATATTTTAAATTTATTTCGAGAACGAAGAAAAAAATTCTTGAGATTGCGAGCTCGGTAGTGATTTGATTAACAAAATCATGATTTTTCCGATCGGCTATATAAAAGCGCCCTTTTTTAGCTTTTTCAAGCAGAATAAAGTGAGAGAGAAAATGGCTTCAATACTCGTAGAAGCAAACGAAAGATACATAGGATATCTCAGCTGGAACGATGATGACGACGACGAGACTAGAATCGCAAATATAGCCCATCCCCTTTGCCGGGTAAAAGTGCTCATTGGAAACCGCTTCCATTACATAAACATTTTCAACACATGGGATGATGAATTCGAAGAGCTGCCGACAGCAAGCAAAGTCGATCCGTTCCCGAACAGAGAGTATTCCAAAAATGTGCTGAGAAATCTCGCTGAAAGATCGTTTGAAAGAAGGGGATTTCTATTCCATTTTTTCTTCCAGGAAAATCTTTACGGCTTCGATTTAAAAAAGTACCACTGGCGTGCAACTTCAACTGAGGTATTTTTACGATATTTAAAAATGCGATTATTCTTTATTATTTCAGCTTCTTGCTGAGCTTGAGCTAGGTATTCGGGATCAGATGGGTCCCAGAGAAGAGAAAAAGAGAAAGAAGAGTTCTAAATCTGAGCGTGAAATCTTATGCGAATCTGAAAGAGCGGAATCGGAAAATAATGGCTACCACGAAGTTATTGAAATCATTGATATTACTGATTAGGCAAAAGCTGCCTAAGAACCAACACTTGTACATAGAATTCATTCCACGTTAATAAAGAACCACTTCTTAAAATTGCCTCCAAGTTATTATGAAAAACAGCATTCCTGAAGTGCGAGTTGCCGCATGGGCCGAATTCCAGAGTTTGAAGTAAAATGGTTGTCGGCGGAGCCTTCGCATTGTCGGACAGGAATGTGCAGGTTGCTCCAAACGTTGAGATCTCCTTCGAGAAATGCATCATATGACAATTTGTAGTCCGAGAGTTTGTCACTGCCGTCCTGATTTGGGTGCTTGACCAAAATTTACAAAGAATGGGGAAAGGCCCCTTGTGGTATAAGCTCAAAAGACCCATTCGTGAAGTGATCGCTTAAACCTGTGCTGAACCTCGCTAGCATACGTGAGAGGCTGCAAGGCGTCGCTTTCGTTTGATTCCCAGTCGTATAAATTACTTGAATTGGGCTGATTACTACTTCGCGAGCTAAAGCGCTGACCCTGAAACAAACAGTCAGAAAGCGGATCAAAAGGCTTGCGCCGGCACTTTCGCACCTGCATTGATTATAAACGAACATTGAGCTTCCGCCGAACGCTCGTTTACAATTTGACCTCGCGCTCTTCGACTATTGAAAAAAACCAACCGTAACAGTAAAATAAATTATAAAAAATAAAAAGGCCCGTAACTTAAGGGTGGAGCAACGTCCGACGAGAAATCCAAGTCCAAACTGAATGGCTCACTAATTTGACGGAATTTTCAAGCTGAATCGAAACCAAGATTGAAAGTGTTTTTTGAGATCCCGTTTCTTGAAGAGTTTCCTTTCTGTCGCGCGTAATACTCCAATGTTCGACTGTTCATGACACTGTAAGGAACTGTAGGCGAGTTCTACTAGTCTGGCATCGGTGGTTTGAGCCGGAGAAGCCATTTGACACTAATGTTGATAAATAAAACTCGTTCCCTGGCGGCACGTTGCATTTGGTGAAATCCAGGCGAGCGTTGTATGGAAATTCGGTTCGATTTCTGATCCCGTCAATTATATCTTTCTTGCTGAATGTGTTTTGGCCTCGTTGCTTCACGTAAACACCGCGGTCGACCACGCCAAGGAGACATAGCGACCCGCCAGGTGCGCTTAATTCCACTCGCACCTCTAAACTACATTTACAAACGAAGCAGGACTCCGACCAAAAGAAAGAGCGAAACTCGAATATTACCGTCTCCAGGCGCAGCTGTTTTGGAGTCGAAGCTAGCATCGACCCCGAAGGGAAGGCATCCCTCAAAGTCGATTTCGGAAATGTCGGTGACGAGAGAAGACTCAAGAGCAGACTTCTCCAGTGTCATGGTAGCAATAAGCTTAACGGAGTTCCTGTTTGGAATCGGAATATCGAGCCTGAACATGTAAAAATCTATAATCTAAGAATTCTATATCAAAAGATTAACCGTAAGGTGAACGAGCCACTCGTCGTCCGGACGCGACCGTCTTTTGAAACATCGGCCTCATCCCACTGATCCTCTGCTGAGCCACGCGATAATACTGCATGTGTGTTTTTTAGCAAACAGGCTCTTCGACTTTTAGCTCTCTTTAAAAAGAAAGTTTTTTTCTAAATTTAGGACTAAACGTGGAAAACACGATCCTTTCGATTCGTAGAGCTATTTCGGGGGCATCTTTGAATTTAATTATAGTAATCGTTAATTTAAAAGTAACCCAAAAAAATAACTTGGAAAACCCCCTTTCCGGCTGTGATGATTGAGTACGCGAATTTCGACACGTCGTTCTACAATTTTTATTTTAATGATATGTTTTAAGCTGTGATATTTGTGTGTATGTTCGACCGTTAGCGCGCGATCCTTAAATATTTCGATATCAAGAGAGAGCACGAATATTTGCGGTGAACTCATGTTTTCTAAGAAGTTACATTTAACGAGCACTGGCCATTCCCGTCACACTCGGTGACGTATCGATAATGTACATTGACCAACGCGGGCGCATCGCAAGAAACCGCTGTGATGGGCTTTCGAGGTTAAATCGAGGTCTAGCGAAAGCGCGAAAGATCGAACTCAAGGACTCTACTTTCTCATTTTGAAATTACTATTAATAGATTCAAAAACAGAGGTAACTGAGACGGGTTTCAATTGAAATTTGCAACAGAATTAATCTGTTGTAAGCTCATAAAATTGACCAAGAACACTTGACTTCGATTTAACCCTTCACGGGTCGATTCGAATGTACGATCCGCCGCGCATTTGATCCTCCATCCATGCTTTTGCTTAGGTTCGTAAATATAGACTATCGATTTCTCAATTTGCGAGTTCTAACTGACTCCTGTGTTTAAAGACAACACAGGTTTTGGATGCGTTCTGCTTTGGCTAAAACAACGAACAGTTCCTTTCAGTTTGATTTTTTCCGAGGACTCGACCATGATTTGATGGTGACCTATTAGGTAGAAGTGAAAATTTATATTTACAATAAGCGACTTTTGATCCTTTGGATTTCGTCTTCACTTCTTTCCTGTTATAATTTTGTTGTCTGGTGCGACCTCTACACGGATTGTGATGATTTTCGAGTTTTTAACTGGGGTGAAAGAAACAGTGATTTTACCATTTTCGTCGGTCGTGTAGTTTTGATCTAAAAGAAATGAAGAATAAGCTTGAATCGTCTGCAGACTGCGGCAACCTTTTTTGTAAAAATAATCCGCGAAATCGGACTTAGCATAGTCGATAAGCACCAAAACTGTCTTCCCAGCTGCAGGTTTGCCGTTGTCGTTTCTTTTGATAAACACGTCTGTAGTGTAAGGACGGGTGTCGTCAAATTTGAAAGTGTCGCGGTAATTGGCGAATGCGATCTCGAAATGCTGTTTAGAGATATCGATGATCCTCTGATGCTGCTGGATAACGCCAGTTCCTTCTTCTTCGACGGCCAGTGAAACGTTGAACTGCTTCCCCCACAGATCACGTTCTGCCTGGATCATCTTTCCACTCGTTATCAATTATTCTATTGCTATTCAAAATCTTGCTCTCCTCGCTATTGATTGATTTGATAACTGTAACAGACTGACGGAAATGTCGAAATTGACGCAGCCATCAACATCGAGCATTTTCTGCTCGTTAATTGCCACTGCGCTTTTGTAGAAAAGATGACTCTTGTGGATCAAGTTGACATTAATTTCAGCAAAACCAGTTACGGGCGTCTGCCAAAGAATGTACTTTGCGCAAGCCGTAAGACGAAGGTCTGCAGTCGGAATAAAAAGTGATTAATTCATTTTTTCATGTTTAGAGAGTCAAAAATTTTTTATTATTCCGATGCTGAGTCTGCACGAACTACGTCGGGCATGTCAAATGTGATGTCGAATTTGGGAAGGTGGTATTCCTCGATGTCGAATACAGTTACGTACGTTTGACGATACCCGTCCAGCGCGACTTTTATCTTCCACTGTCCATGCGTGGCCGAGTCGACCAGCTCGAACTCGCCTTGGCTGAAGCCTTTCACGAGCGCCGCGTTTTCTTTCTTGTTTATTTGAATCCCTTCCGCGCTGATGAGAGTAACATCGCAGAACCCGTCGTAAAGAGAGAAGTCGGTCCTCATTACGATTACCCTGTATTTTACGGTCTTTTCGCGAGCTCTTTTCTGAACGATTTTAGAGTCCTTGAGAAGTCAAATCAGTGGAGAGTGAGTACGCGCCTGACCAGGTGAGTATATTTTCTTGTCGGTTTGGGTGAAAACCACGAAGTTCTCCTTGCGCACCACAACCGAGTATTTTTCTGTTGTCAAGAGATCGCGAAACATAGAACGCCAGATTTAACGTTTTTCATGGATTTAGGGATCTTTCCTGTTTTACTGTCAAAGCTTTTGAAATTCCTTTATGATGAAATCTTACTAACGACAAATTGATCGGATCAAATAGAAACCTTCATAATAGTGCATTTATATTTCAAAATCGAGTAAGAAAATATTAAAGCCTTCCTTTTAATTTCATTTTCTTGCGGGTCCAAGAGAGTGACCTTTGCCTCGCCGAGGAAATTATTGGGCACTTCTGTTCCCGATATTAGAAAATCCCGTTTATCAATAATGCTTTCCGCGGGAATACCAAAACTGCAAAAATAAACACTCGAAATTTGGAATGCCAAGTTTCTGATCCAAAATTAGTCAGATAATTCTTTTTTTCATGATTTCTTTTCAAGTCACATTTTGGTACTGGGCCTGTGTCTATCCACTTTGTATTTGAAGCATCCATCAGTCCTAGTCGACCAGCTGAATTCCTGCCTAAAGGCAACTCTGTTCATGAGACAAGAGCCGAAGGTGTCGATTTCTCCAGCAGCCGGAGAATAGGGACTATAAGAGCAGCCTTTTCGATAAAGACGGCAGTTTTGATCTTCAGAATCGACATAGAACGCGTCGCAGTCTTCGCTTTGGAAGCATTTGTCCCAGCAGTCGTCAATTGAATACGGACGTTCGTTGTAAATCATAAACTCCTGGCAGAGGCGACGAGATCGCTCATCAATCGGACCGAACTCGCTTTCGTCAGTTTTCATCGGGCCCGTCCAACTTTCGCGACATTTCGTCGAGTTCATTTCTAGCTTCAAAGTGTAGTTCGAGCTTGCCTTGCCAATGTTCCAATTAAGGCAGACTATCTCGGTTTAAACAAAGATGCTCGTTCGTGAGTTTTACCGCGGCTTCATGAAAATGGAACCGCGCATGCTTATTTAGAAAGGAACGAAGTGAAACCGAAACTGCGTGTTCGCCACTCACATCGACGTGCCTGTCCATTGTGGCGAGGAATTCCAGCTGGCGGCCGCAGTGTACCACCTGCCAAAGCAGCACCACCAAAGATGATACTCGCATACGAGCACGCTCCATTCTTCCAGCTTCTCTTCGTCTTTTCGTAGTAGAAGCTTTCTCTCGCTCTTCCTCTCTGCTAAAACATTTGAAAATGTATTTTATAGTGAATCTTTGAATTGTAATCAGCTAAAGAGTGTTGTATTTGTATTTTGTGTCTTGGGATTGATCAATCACACCTAATAAAGCCAAAATCGTGCGAAAAGCAGCTCCGCGACTCCAGAAGGTTCCTAAATTCTCCAAAGCCTTCTTCTTTCTAGCGATGAGAGATACAGTGCGATATAAAAGCGATAATTGATAGGATAAAAATTGAATTAGAAAGACCTTCTCATATTGAAAGGAATTGAAAATGTCAAAGCTCAGCGGGTCATCGCATCGCCATTGCCATGGAAGTCAAGGCGAAAAATCACGAAAACGAGAGAAGTTGCTTCGGAATCTCCACAGATGCTTCTTGGCATGGTTGGCGATATTTCGCTTTTTAGTTATTTGATACTCTCCAGCCATAAATAAAGCGGCTATGGCCAAACTTTCCAAATATATTGGAAGCTCCTTCAACGCTGGAAAACCAAGTATAAACTAGGAACTTAAAACACGAACTTGCAAGCTTTTTTTTCAGCTTTAGACGGTTGTTATGTTGAAGAAAAATCAAATGGGAAGAAATTATCGGAAATCGCGATCGATTTTACAGCGCCATTTATCGACGACTCTTCGTCGGAAGTTGCCAAAAATTTTTCGTACCAAGGATAGTTTTTAGTCGTAAATATATATTTTATTAAATCAAGCATGGCTATCTTATGCGAGGAAACTCAACATTCAGACGATGTATTCAGCCTGTCAGGTAATTCAGCCGTGTCCGATATTGATTCGTCTCAAAGTCGGAATCAAGGAAGAGTCAATTGACTCAAAATTGCTCGGTGACTAGAGCAAAGAGCAAATTATTCTGTTGAGGCAACAAATGGTCGTTTTAGGAAACAACGGTATCTGAAGCGGAATGATCCAGGAAGGTACAGTGCAAAAGGAAACGTGGGATAATTCACTGTGCAGCGTTTGACTTCGATGACACATTTGATTACAGTATTTATTTTTCGATGATAGCTTTTTAGACCTGGCGCGCTTTCTATTTGAGCAAACTTATATGTCAGAGTATTTGCAGGATAAAAACTGCCGCGTATTCTTCTTTTACCTCCATTAACTTTTCTTCGCGCTTCTATAATCAGAATTATCCCACTTGGAGCGAAAATTTTCGAGAGAGAAGGAAGAAAACAAGCTGGATTTTCAAAGTTGCCGTCGAAAAATTATGAGAAACTGGAGAATTTCACCAGTCGTCAACTTACCACGTAAGTTGCCCGTTTGTATATTCATATCTTTGCCGCGTAAATAGAGAGCAACGAACATAATAACCACGAAACACAAAAGAAATAGGAACATATTTGTTCAGAGAATGCAAATTTTCTCATAGCCGACATAAAATTTTTATTGCGCGGGTTTTCGCCTTTTTGTCTTTCTATAAGCCTCCTTATTCAGCTATCCAAAGAAAAAAAATAATACAGAAGTTATTTGTCCCGCGCGGAGGGACTTAATCACTGTCACAGAAAATGGCCACAGTATACCGTTATATACAGTGCATTAACATTTTGCTTATACATTTCGTCTTCCGTCTTTTGACGAAATGCGGTTCAATGGGGGTAGTTAGATATCCTGGCGGTCGGTCTCTGAAGCTGCGACTGTATCGTGAGAAAAACACATAAATCCCTTGTCAGTAGAGAACATAAAATAATTCATGAACGTCATCTCGAGCTCAGATCTTTCCCACTTCTCTTTTCCCGCTAGACTCAATTTTCCGGCACCAGAAAAGATTTTCATTGCGACTTAACAGTAGTTCAAAAAAAGAAGAGTTCTGAGTAGTGAATTGTTATCGAATCTCTGAATGGTGGTCCTGTGGGGACTCTTGAGATCTGTTATAAAGAGATAATAGTTTCTGGGACTCTGAAGAGTGCGCCGCTCGAGAGCTAGAGCGTGGGAAAGGTTGTGGAGCCCGTTTTACTATTATTATTGAGCAAGTGAGATGTTTATGGAAGAGCAGCCTTCGAAAATCGCGAAATAAATCATCAAAGAGAAGTGGTGAGCATACACAACGGCCGAATTTGTCTTCTTGACACATCCGGCGATTAAACGTACGCCACCTGCGTGTGCCCTGTAACATTGTTAAATATGTTCAGTACTTCAGCCGTGCACTTTTTCCGTCGCAAGTTTTTTTCCGAATTCCCATGCTCATCACTTTTTAAACAGAGCAAGATGGTTCTTCGTACTTATTTGATACCCAAAATTCACAGTATAAAAAGTGCGCAATAATAACGATCGGAATTTCCGATGTTAGCGTTTTCGCGCGTTTTCAATTTACAAAAGACGCCGGAAATTTGTTCTTTCTGCGCGAGAATAGGAAAAATCAGCTTTTTAAGAATAGTCAAGGACATGAAAGTGAATTCGATCATAAATCACTTTTTTCAGAATTTTATTGTTTTTGCTTTTTGAGCGATTGCCCCTGTCATTTCAGAGAGATCGAGCGACTCTTAAAGCTTCAGAAGATTCAACTTAGCTTAGGGTCCTTCAGTAGCCTTCCTTTCTAAAGAGGACTTCGTGTTTTAACGCAGATGTTGATGATCAAGTCGAGAGGCTCGACTAACAAGTCTCTGACATTTACAATGATGCGTACGCTCTAAAATTTAGGTCTTAATGTTAATTTGACTCGTGTGTGCCCAACTGCGTTAACTCCTGCGCAAATGCCTTGACCATTCTGACGGATTGCTTCTGAGAGTGTTTCTTAAATTTTCTTTTTTGTTTCTAATTTTTACTGCGTTTTTTTTTTTCTTCGTTACCTGTGCTCTATTCGGGCGCAGCAAAGCGCTAACTCGCCACTTTGTGTGGACTTTTTGGATCCTTTTGTGAGCTTCTTTTGGAGCATTTTTTTTATTTTTCAGCAACGCGCGACGGGTCATTTTCAAATGTCCAAATAGGCTTGATTGATCCTCAAATTACCTCAGCATTATTCTCTTCAGAAACAAGAAGCCCCTCACAAATGCAGAAAACTCGTTGAGAAGGAGTCGCACGAAAACGATGAGTGAAACAGGAAAACTGAGGAAGTCGAAGACACTCAAGGACAAAAAATCCATCAGCTGGTTCAACTTCGAGAGAATTTTCAAGTTTCGACGAAAAACGCCGAATTCTCTTCAAAAGGTTTGTCATTTACTTTCTAAGAGAATGTTCGAACTACTAGTAACTTAATAATTTGAATAAAAAAAATTGTTTCAACGTAAAATCTAGTCTACAGAAAAACTGCCCTTGTCAGAATCAACAAATACGACCCCGTCGAAGCCGAAACGAGAAGCTCAGTTTGAGGTCAAGAATGAGAGGGAAACGCAGCCGCAGTCAAATGAAAATGCGGACTCGCGGAATTATTTCAAGGAAATCGAAACGCCGCAAACTTCGAACGCCGGAGTGACAGTAAGTAACGACACTGTCCGTCGACATCATCAACTTTACACGTCTCGAACATCGTTGTCCACACAAAGCCGGGTTGATACTAGCAGCAAGTTCAACAAGTCAAACAAAGCGTAAAACTTCATTCATTTTTATGTTTCTATCTCATCACTAATTTTACGCCATAATCTTTAAATCGTAACTCGTCCTCATCCCCAAACACAGTCTTCAAAAATTAACACCATATGTCTCACAGCGGCCTCCACGACCATCTCATAACTCTCAGAGCAAAACCTCTTGGTCGGTTCAATTGCGCGATCGCGTTGGTCCTCGGCCAAGTCGCCCCGAATCTTCGAAGCCTTTCCTCTCGGAAGATGCGCGCAACTACTCAAGCCAGTTGAACCTAAGATGCAGGTGAGGGAATCGAAAGAAGAAACAAGTTCATTTTATTCAGTATGCCTATCCTCAACCCCGAAGGATTGACCTTTTCCTGCTTCCCCCGAGAAATGGCAGTTGATGTTGGCTTTGCAAAAGCTGAAAATGATCGCTGGAAACGACACTCAATAGCTGTAACATTCCAAGAACCTGAATCTCAAAATACTGCGACCATGGTTGTGTCGCCGGCGACGGAACCTGATCCAGTTCTCAAAACGCGCTCGAAATCTACAAAATCTGCTACTCGTCCAACTTCCTCCGTGATCCCGAGCGATATACCTGAAGAAGCCAACTTGAATTCGCCACTTTTGCAAAGAGATTGTTTGATCAACAGGAAAATGTCAAAATCTGTTCAGGAGAGGTTAAAAGTGCCGTTAAAACAACAACTGCCGCGTAGATGAAAATAACAAGGAGGTCTTCGACATTTTAGGAAAAAAATTATTGTCTATCTTAAGCACGGATGATTAACCGAACTGAAAGGCTGTCGATAGCGAGAATTTTCCCCAAATGACTTCCGACGGAGTGCTCCAAAGCCAAAAACCGTTGCGCGCCTCTTCAAAGATCGAGAGGCTCAAGGCAGAAGCACTTTGGGACTATAAATCGTACGACCCAGAGGAGCTTTCTTTCTCTGTTGGCGATACCATCGAAATTATTGAGCGCTGTGACTCTAATTGGTGGTGGGCTAGCTCTGAAATTGATATAGGCTGGAGTTTAGATTTATACACGCTATCAAAACGCATGGCATTAAAACTCTGATCAGGATGGGTACCTGCTCCGTTTCTCAGACTAAAAATAAATCAGAAAGAATCGAAACGACTTTCTAACAATACGACGATCCGCGAAAAAGTTCTTCATGAATTACTTCAGAGCGAGCGCGACTATGTCAGACATTTACGAGGTGAGCTATCCGCAAGACATTTCCGTCGATTTATACGTTTAGCCAAATACTCTAACGGTAACAATTCAGGTGTGATCAATGGCTATCTCATAACCTGCGAAAACAAGAAAGAGTTCTTTTCGGAAGATGACCTCCTGCTCATTTTCGGGAATCTAAAAGAAATAATGGTCTTTCAGCAAAACTTTCTCCAAAAACTAGAGACTGCGTATGAACAAGAACAGTCTGTTGAGCATATAGGCAATGTGTGATCTAAAATTCTATTCTGGTAATATCAACTGGTCATTTTTCACACTCAATAAGCTAATGCGTTTTTGGAAAATGCCGATTCCTTCGAAATCTACTCAGTTTACTGCAATAACCACCCCGCCGCATGCGCGAAGCTCAAGTCGCTTATGGAACTTGTGCAGTACAGGATATTCTTTGAAACTTGCCGACTCAAGCAGAAAATGATCGAGATCGACATTTGCGGTTTTCTTCTCACTCCCGTCCAAAAGATATGCAAATACCCGCTGCAACTCAGCGAGTTGCTGAAAAGCTTACCGCCTGCTGACAAAAACTACGATGTTGTGGCCAAAGCCAAACACAAGATGGAACAAATCGCACTGCTTATAAATGAACGGAAGAGACGATTCGAGGAACAATCAAAGATCATAAGGTGGCAAGCGAATTGTCGTAAATGGAAAGGCCCTGACATCATTCAAAACAGGTAAAATCAACAACGAGGGCAATTTAAACTTCAAAGAGTTCGTCCTGAATATTATCGGAACTTATCGAACTTTCTAAGAGAAATTCGTGTACTAAGATGGCTGCCGCTTTCCGGCCTCTGAGCCGGAAACGCCACAAGAATAAACTTATGTGCGCGCAGAAAACTGCTTCCGGTCTTTTTGACATCGACATTTGCGCAGACGAATATACTTTGATCCGTCTGCCATATTCGATACTGTCATACACCAAAAATAGCACGCGAATTCCCAGCAATGAGCTCGTAAATTATCATTTTGCTACTGTTCAAAATCTGTGCTCACGTGTTCACCTACAAAAAGGCCCTAAACTTATGCAAACGGAACGCTCTTAGCGCATAATAATTGATATTTAAGTTCAATGCTTGTACGCTCAGGAGCGGCGATCCTATCATTCCAGAACAGAAGAGAACAACTTCATCGCCACGCTTTTCTATTCAACCATCAGATCGTTCTCGTCAAGCAGGATAGGGCAGACTGTGTGACTCTGCGTGAACGAATCGACCTCCGTTACGCTCTAGAAGCACCGAGTTCAAAAGGTACGACCGGCTTTTGGTTTAGGGAGGCTAGATTCTCACACTCCTATAATCTCTTTAATTTTCATTGTGCTGCACCTGTCTGAAAAGAAATTAAGCGAGCTTATTTAGGGATAACGATGATCATTGAGGATAATGACGGGCTGGAAACCGCGCAAATTACTCTTTCATTCAAACGGGATCATCTTAAATGGGCGACCCTTATTAACGCGGAGATCGTCAACTCGCGTAAAGCTCGAGCGACCCCGAATTTTCATCTTATAGACAAGGATCGCCCAAGGTCTACCGTAATGGTAAGTAGCCAGCGCTTTTGATTTAAAGTTTCACGATCGTCTTAGCGGGAATGGAAGAACCGAGACTCGCTAAAGCAAAATTGGAAAAGAACCTCTCTGAGCAACTTCGTCAAAGGGCTTTCATCATTTGACTCCGCGCAGCTTGACGAGGATCCACAAATAACCTAATATCTTCAATATTTTCCGTATTTCAGAAACATCAAACCTTGAAGCCTCCCCATTTCCGCTGATTCAAACACTGTCAAGTTCAAAGTAAATAATCTACATATATTCACAAGAGTTGTTTTTTTGGGGGAGACACGGCTAAACAGGCTCTTGTATATTTTCTACGCCCAAGGAAAAACACTAATCAGGATATGATCGAATGGACAGTCAATAAATCTTGTTGAATCCGCAGTAATTATAAAAATCAACGGTCAGCTCTAGTAAAATATCTGTAAAGATCCTACGAGCTTAGCACTTGGTCACAACAGAAAGTGCAAAAATATTTCATTCCAAGTATTTCTATTATAGAGAAATATAACGCTATGGAAAAGGTACTTCGTCGGAATTAGATTTTTCAGGAAATATATGAAATGTTTCACTAGAGAACTTATTTAGGAACCAGTGGCTAAATTGCCATCAGTTAGTTCGAAATGTTCGATCTCATCGCAGACGGGATTGAAGAGAAATAACTCGTCAATAATTCTATTCCAAGATCACTCAATTCCAGGAAACTTGGCTGAAAACAGTTACTAGAGAGTAAAGGCACTAAATCTATCATAGAGATAAATAATAATAGCTAAATAAAAGTGGTCGTGGAGCCGAAATCGCACGCAGACGAAGGGCTTGAAACAATGCTGGACGGCCACGACGAGCCCAGAACATGGCAAAATGGGGTTTGCGCTCCTGTGAACCCAGCTCGTTGCTGCTTTTCTAATGTCTGCCCTTGCCTGTCGGCAGGCTACTTGGCGCGAAAAATTGGCAGTCCTTCAGGCACAAATATTTTGTATTTTAATTTAAAGAGTTCATTAAGCTTTGGTCGCCGTTTTCGGAACACTTTTCTGCTACCCGCTGATGATCTGCCACATCAGAGGGAAAGTGAGAGAACAGCTTGACCTGGACGCTGGTCTAATCGAAGGTAATACTAAGCTTCTAGACAACATTAAACCATTTGTTTGAAGATATCTCGTGCAGCTTGTGCCTCCCCGGCTGTGCATTAGAACAAGCTTTTAATGAGCTACCGAACTAGAAAGAACGAAGACACTGCTTCATATTCACAGAAAGTGTAAATAGTGAAAAAATACATTTAGTTTGAATATATTCTACAGAAATTGTTCAAAAGTAGGCAGCAGTAAGGAAACGAAAATGAGATGAATGAATCACAGGAAGAAAATTGAGATTGGAACTAAAGAGTGTCTGCGGCGTTGTTGGACGGAGCGAAGTATTCTGGGTAGCAACGGTACATTAAAATCGAGTCTGGCGGAAGGTACAGACTGATGGTATCCTTGAGTTTGTAGGAAGTAGCTCGGTGGTTGGGATCTTAAATCGGCTTATTATTTGGTCCATTGGTAGAAAATTGTTTTATCTAAATTAATATGAGTTGAAAGTTATATTCCGGTCGGAATCTTAGTTTAAAGCCGTTCCAAAAGATCGACGCAGAGGTAAGATCCAACATCAGCCTTGAGACCAGCGTCAGCGAGAGTGAAATGCATATGTTGAGGCCGTCCGTCAGTTCGCTTCGAGACAGCGGCCACTGCGTATTCGCCTCCTTGCAGCGGTCTCTGCCACACTTCCATTCCAGGAATCAAGCCAAAACTATTCTCAACTTCGGATAGCATGTCACTTGTGGTGGTGTGGTTCAGAACGCGTCTTCCTTGAATTCCAAGAGGGTCTGTGTGTCGGATTAACGGATGATAAATCAGGAAAAAAGGTTCATTTGGGTTTTAGGGCTCTACTGTCCTGGCGGCGAGCAACGGTACATTATAATCGAGTCGGGATCGACGTAGAGCGTGATGATGTCTGTCATGTTCCACATCTCGAGAGGAACCGACGAGTCAAACAAGTCGACGCAGGTATAGAGTCCGTTGCCGATGTCTTTGAGTCCAGCCTGAATCAGTGAGTTACAACGCTGCTGGCGCATTCGAAGCGTACCTGTTTGAGAGTGAACTGGACCGAGCGTGGAGTTCCGTCAGTTCTAGCTGATACGACCCCAAGCGCGTACTGCTCGTTGACGATCTCTCGAACCCAAACAGAGTCGCCTTTTCCAAGCCCGTCCGTTTCATTCAAAACTCGACGACCCTGAATTCCCAAAGGATCTAACAAACGAATTCTCATTTGAAGAAAAGCTCTCGTCAAAAAAAGACATTCGAGGTTCAAAATACTCCTATTCAATTCAAAATAAGATTCAATCCGAAACTTGATTAACAGCGATGACGGCTGTGTTCTGATAAACGTCTCGCATTTCTTTGGACATGGTCCTTAGATCAGTTGAGAGGAAGAGGGGTGCAGCGACGATGGACCAGATGCCGAACTGAACTTGAGCCTGGTTGACAGTGAGCGCGTAGTTTCCGCCGATTAGCATGTCAGGGTCGTTCCACTTTCCAGGACCCGCAGCCTTAACCAGAACATCCGCGTGATCGCCCCACCACTGCGAGATATCAACGATATCATCCCAGTCGTCTTGAATATCGCCGTAATTTCGCCACACATTGCAAATTTCACCAAGCAAAGTGTAATTCACCTGTGGAGGAAGACCACCTACAAGAAAATCGTAAATAAAGCTATCGATTACAGGCATCAGAGTTTTATTAATTTTACCTTGATAGGCAGGCCAAGAGCAAGAATAAATAATCGGTCTTCCAGTATTGTTAAGAGCGTGGCTCATCGCTGGATATCCAACTTTCTGCTGGTCATCGTCAGAGTAGCACCCGTCATACTTGAGCATATCAATTCCCCACTCAGCAAACATATCTGCATCTGTTTTCTCGTAGCCCATTGATCCTGGGAAGCCTCCACAAGTGTGGGTGCCCATGTCACCATAGATTCCGAGTTTCAAGCCCATGGAGTGAATCTGATCAGCCAACCATTTGATTCCATGCGGAAATCGAGCAGGATCGGCGGTGATTTTCCCATCCACTCGATCTCTCAAAGGCCAGCAATCATCAATATGGACGAGTTCGTATCCAACTCCGAGCCAACCGTCTTTTGCCAGTCGCTCGGCCTGTTCCATGAACAGTTTCTCACCGATACAGGTGTCAGGAAAGGTCTTGCAATCTGTGTTGCATCGGAATCTTTCCCAAGCGAGCCAGCCCATGGGAGGGGTTCTAGCGACGCCATTATTCATCGCCGTCGCCAGCGCAATAAAAGATCCAAAAATCTTCATCTTCATTCTCTTCAAAGAAAAAAAAACGAATGCGGTAGAAGAATCGGGTGCCGGGCTATTAGCACATTCTAACAACAACTAAGTGTGAAAACAAATAATGAGAAAATCGTAAACAAACGAAACGAAAGGATAAAAGCGTCAATTCGATTTGTCAACATAAAAGCTAAAGTAATATTATTTATAATCTGCTCATGAAGTGGCTCCTTATCCTTTTTATGTAAGTATACATGTATTTAGTGCTGAACAGAAATATCTTTGTTTTTCAATAATTAAAGACTCGAGACTCGCGAAGAGGGACTGCCCGAGACAGGTTAAAAATTGCATGAAAGAATTCGCAGTGAATGAAATTCAGAACTTGGAAATTAAATGTTAATAACTCGGGAAAGTTTTTGGACACGGTTGAGGAGTAGATCGCCTTTGCGGATAACGTCCTGGTATTGCTTGTTCTTGGCGTCGGGACGGTTCGTTTCGATAATTCCGTTCACTTGATTTTCGTTAAAAAAAACTATTGAAGGAAAACTGCTACCTTTGTCTATTTTGGCGTGGATTCTGCCGGCCGTAATGAAATTCGAAAGCTCTCGATCGAGAAATTTGACGCTCACTCCAAATGCTTTTGACATGTATTCGAGACTCATTGAGTTGTAAGCCTAAAATCCGGTTGAGCAAATTTTCCGGTTAAAAAATTAGTTGCACCTTTAGTTGTTGATTGTAAGCGAGAATGCGCATTTCTCTCGTGTAATATTTGTAATGCTCGTGGGTGAATCGGTTGTTTTTCAGGTCCTGTTCAACGAAGGCGAGTCCACGGAAAAACTGAAGATAGAGCTTTAGAGAAGGACTACATCTTAGTTCAAAACGAACCTTATCAAACTGACTATTGTAGAAGGCGAGCGCGTATTGCTTCGAAGCCTGGTCGGAGTGGAGCACTTCTAGGATTTCGGACCCGTTCAAAATATCGCTCCAGAGCTGGTGTCTAGGAAGGGCGACCATAGAAACAATTACAACGTAGCGGATAAACTCTTCGTATTCCATGAGCTCGTAGGAGGTAAATGTCGCCACTGCGCCGAGGAAGAGCTCAGCAGCTCGTCTTTGTAACAGTTTAGTAAGGGAATTTTGAAAATTTGCGGTTCAATCGTGCCACGATTCGCGTTCATGACTGACATAATTTCCGAATCTGTCATTTAAATTTGCGCCGTTTTTTTATTCCAGCTCGAAGCCGTAAACGGTTTACTGACAAATGTGGAAGTTTTGTCATTCACAATCAGAATCGTGTTATTTCTGCTTACTTGAAATCTCTGATCGTAATGCAGTAGAGGCCTTCGTACACCTTTAGTCTGTTTCGTCGATCCCAGTCGCCACCTTCATCGATCATTTTCTTTGCTTTTTCGACGTTTTCTGTAATCAGTTTTCTATCGTTGTAGAAAAGTCCAATTCGAAGAATCGCAAACGTCAAGTCCAGTCGAATACCAAGCGTGACGTTCTTCTCCAGGGCGAGAACTACAATTCAAAAAGAAAAAAAGACACTTGAAACATTTTTTACCTTTCTTGTAAAGAGCGAGAGCTTCTTCTTTATCGCCGATTTGCGAGTAATACGTAGCCTTTTCGATCATTGCATCGCGGACGTCTGTGCTGACGTCGCCTAAAAGATCCATTGCAATCGTGTTTTTCAGCAAAAGAAAGTACCTTCGACTTGTCCAGCGGCTTCAATCTTTTCGTCGAGCTTCTTGAGCTGTTCCTTGTTTTTCGCCTTGAGATCGGATAAGATCTTCTTGTCAGGTGTTCTTTCCAGTTCGGCGCACATGTCCGCGTAGAAAGGCGCCATTTCTGAAAGTAATTTGAACATCCAAGAACATCCGATGCACCTTAAGGACTTGCACCTGCTCAGTCGACTATAAAGTAAGAATTTGCGGAGCAAGAAATCAAATCCAAGAAATCAAAATGACCAGCGTCTCAAAAATCATCAAAATGATTCGAACGCGGAAAGACTCGAAAAAGAAGCCGATCCTTCGAAAGCAAAAAACCACAAAAATAACGAGTTACGGCGGCACCATACGAAGACAGAGCGTCGAATGGCGCAAGAGCTTGACTTCAGCGTGTCAAGCTTTCGACGGCTTCGAAAGTTGCGACTCCGAGTACGGCTGGGAACTTCACAAAAGCGAGCTGAACAAAATCAGGGATGAGATTTCCGTACAAAAGAAAATCGTCGACGATTTACAAAGCGAAGCCGCACATTTGCGTTCACTGCGAAATCAACTGCGTAGCAGTTACTACTGTAACAATAAATCTATAAATTGAACATCTACCTTTGGCTTTCACTTCAGCCATGAGTTTCTCCTCGGTCTTTGCGCAGTTCGGATGCGATTTCAAGAAGAATTTCCACTGAGCCACATCGAGATTTGGAATCTTCGGGATTTTCTCATCATCTGTTATTTTCGCCGGCATTCTATAAGGAGCGATTTCTGTTATTATTATCTTAAACTAATGATTTTACATAGTTTCATGCAGAATACAGTATTATCAATAAAAACCCAACAGATGAGTTTCAAAAGGGTAAGGAGATATCCTTAAAAAGAAATAAAGACTAGACTTATTTTAGCTAAAATCTGACTGAAGTTGTTTATCTTCACAGAACATGGATCCTCTAAATATTTTTTAAAGAAAATGCAGTTTGAATTTAGCGATGAAAATGTGAAAAAAATGATTCTAGATTGATTATTTTTTGGAGATTTTAAATTTGGCAAACGTTGGCGAATACTGAAAGAGAGCCAATGAGCAGCGCTGGGTGAAATAGAGGCAAGATCTTTGGAGATTCGAACCCGTTTAGTTTGAGAAGGAAAAAAATGTGCGATGGCGATCAGTAGACCACCCACGCCTGGTTTTTGAGCGGCTGTGATTGGCCTGCTTCTTCTGGCGAGGTTTGAAGCACTCAGCCGATCAGTCACAGTCAAGTAGAAACCGAGATAGAGCAATCCCTGATATGTCGAGCACATCACAGAAGCACGCGAACTTCGTAGCGGAGCCAATGGGCGAAAAAGAGGTCAACGAGGTGGCAGGCATCGGGCCCACCTATGCCAAGCGATTGCAGGAGAAGGGATTCGAAAAGGCCTACCAGGTACAGCTCTAGAAATAGATCCAAGTCAATAACAATCGCGCAAATTCAGTTGCTGGCCCAGTACCTCCTCCTAGCCAAGGACGAGGAAATGTTCAAAGAGTGGCTGAAGGACGAGATCGAAATGAAGGGGAAGCATTTGAACGACTGCTCCAACTGCATCACCGAGTGGTCCCGCGCCTTCATGTAAGGCAGCCATGCTGCCTAGAAGACAACAAATATCCTCGAAAGGGGATTATTCACCTCACTTTACCAAATTGCGGAATGCAAGCATCACCTCACTGACCAAGAATAAAACATGTATCGCCTCCTCTGACCGATTTCTCGACTCTTTTTTAGCAGTTACGCATTTAAACACTGTCATTAGGTTAACTTTCTGTCCGAATCGCGCAATAAGCAGAATTCTAATTTATTGAAGGTTCAATTCATGGGTGTTGTTGTTTGTAGACGAAGAAAGCAAGAGTTGAAAGAGAAATGAGCAGGGAAAGGTTCGAAATTAGTGAAATTCTTTTGGAGGACTTCTCGACGCTCTCCAGTTTTCGGTTGAACTCGGCCAGATGATCGAGGACATTACGGCCGGCAGGACCGGCTTCATGAAGAACAGTGGTGTCCAAGTCGGAAGCTTCCTCGTGAATAGCGTCTCTGAAAGTCCATTGTTAAAAATACACACTACAAGTGTCGCTTATTACATCAATCCCATTTCTTCACGATAATCGTTCATCCTATTGTTGAAGAAATTCGAGTCGTCGAGACTAAGCTTTTCAGGAGGCGTGTTGAGCATAATCTTCCGTTCTTCCGACATTTCTATCGAAATCCTGCTGATTTAATATTTTCTTTTTGGGCTCTCTAACTCACTATTGGCTGGTCTGCGTCGAGATCGCAAATGCGCGCCATCCGTTTCTACGAAAGATCGAACTCATTATAAATTTCTAATCTGCGTTTTTTATCGTTGAAATACCGATAGGGACATTTTGCGTTTAGTTTCTTTTATTGAGCTTGAGGGTAAATGATGTGGCAGCAATTTCTATTGTTCAGAACGACTCGTTGAGTGAGTATTGCGGTAGGTAGGCAGGGATGAGAAAACAAGGACGATTGTATTCAATTGTTGTTGAATCGGTCAGGTTCGTGCAAGTTGGCGAGGAAACTGAAGAGAGAGTGGTTGTCCAACTCGCGCGCCTTCTCCAGGCGAGTGCCATCATCGAGGTGGCGCCAGTAATTCAGCAGAAAGCGGAAGGCCTCGAATCTTCTTTATCAGTGATTTAAACAAGCCATTTCAAGTACTACAGTGTAGTAATGCATGAAGTTCAAATCACTATCCTTGTTGAAAGCGTTGTTCTGATAATTTCTTCTTCTCGGATTCCGTCAACCGAAGAGAAGAATCGGACTCCGATGACTTCTATCGTCGGGTTTTCTACACCATCCGGCCCAACTAAACAGTCGTTGGACTTTCGTTGGACTCCAATAGTGAGTTTTTTACTTACTTTGGAGTATTTTGAAGGTTAGTCGAACAATTTGGTTTCTGTTCGTTACATCGCTGTAGACGTATTTGACAATTGGGGATCCGCTCATTCTCGTCTTGTTTAATTGAACTTCACTCCGATAAAATGTCTCTAACGAAATGTGAAACTGAGATTAGAATAAGGGAAATTTCTATGGGGAAAGTTCTGCTGTTGGCGCCCTCTGGTGACGGGAAAATCCCGTCCGACGGCGCGTGATAAGACTTCATCGTTTCTCATGCTCAACTTGAAAACCTCTTCCGACTTGGCAATTGTTGTTGACCGATTATCGGAATAAGAAGAAATTACTTTGAATGTGGCCGATATCAACTCGATTGTTGCTTCATCGTTACTTCGTTGACTCCTTTGAGGAGGGATTAGTCTTTTGGAATTTAGTTGAATCCCAGGCATTTGGGAAAACTAAAATGAGCCACAGTAGTGTTTTGAGAACTTTCTATCTCACAGCGCTAAAACCGCTTATTTTCTGAACTTCTAACAAGTACAAAGATTTGCTTAGATAACTTGAATCAATAAACAAGATATTCGGCGAAATCAAAAATTCGGGTGCGGATCCACGAGATTATGAAAGTATTAAATTTTACAATTTTAAGCAGTGTCTTTGCGGCCGAGCAGTGCTGGTCCGAAAATAGTCCTTATTCGGGAACAGTTTCTGTGACTAGATCAAGAAGGGCTTGCCAAAATTGGAGTTCCTCGTGGCCTCGGAAGGTTGCTCACCGGCCGAGTACAGAATCGCGAAATTATTGCAGGAAAGTAAATGATACTCGACCGGGGAAGCTAAAGATACCTTAGGAATCCTGATAATGATCCTGGAGGACCATGGTGCTATACTAAAAATGGAGACCGTACGTGGGAATTTTGCGACATTCCTAAATGTCGGCGTAACTCAGCCGCAGTAGAAAAGGATCCGTGCGATAAGAGCGCCTTCTATTACACAGGCTTTACGAACACCACTAAAACTGGCCGAGAGTGCTCAAACTGGCGATATTCACCCCATAATTATTGCCGGACGTTTGACAAACAAAGATCAGGAACGTGGCTTCATAGCTATCTTATACTCTTATCTATATGAACTTCTCTGAAGCCGAGTTAAGGACCTTTCTGCTTTGTTGAATACGATGACTTTAATTGGAGACATGGAGGAACAATTCGAAAAAGGGAACAGGAAAGCTGTACGGTCTTGCCGGAACCAGAAATGCAGAAGGATTCGAGAGAATGTCCTATTGGTTGTTTGACCGATGATGTCGGGTCGGAATACCGAGGAAAAGCGTACATGACAGCCAAAGGTTTTTTGTGTCAAAGATGGGACGTCGACTATCCAAATCGTGTTGAGCACGCGCCTGATGCTGACGATAGATCTCACAACTATTGCCGCAATCCAAACAACGATCCTCGTGGTCCATGGCAAGGTTCTTCGTTATCAAATTAGATAAAAAGCAATAAAATAAGATTGAACCTAAAATAAGTGCTACACATTTGACCGCATTTCGAAGAAAGGGTACTGCACGCAAATCCCTCTCTGTGAATCGTCCGGTAGACGTCCTCCAACGACAATAAGACCTTCAACTACGACGCGCAGGAGACAGCCAAGTTGGGTCAACCCAACATCACGTCCAACTACAACAACTACCTCGAGAATAACATTCCCTCCAAGAAATTCTGCGCGTCCCTCTTCCGCGAGGATTCCAGCTAAATGTGGCGATCCAATAGTCAAAGATCAAGATATACTCGCTTCTGTTACGAACTTAGTTTAGGTTCATAAACGCAATAACTTGATTTACTTTTGATTTCAAATTAGCAAAATTGAACTGATAAAGACAATCGAAGATGGAAACCAGGTTCACTGAGAAGATCAAAACGGATACATGGTGGAATTAACGCTATTGCCGGGTCATTCCCATGGATAGTTTCGTTGAAAGGTCCCTCATGAACGGCTTTAAACTCCTTTCATAGAAGTTCTATCAATTTACTTTAATAGCGTGTTCAAGTTAATAAGCCTGAAAAGCAACAGAAAATTGTGCAGGAACGATTCTAGGACCGCGGCTTATTGTTACGGCGGCACACTGTGTTGCTAGTCTAACAGTTGAGACCATCCGTCTTTTTGCTGGTGCCTTTTCGATCCGCAAGTATGGTTATATTTTTCTGTGTTAAAAGATGTTAAAGTTGGATCTGATGGCGTGGAGCTGACAGCAAAGGAAATTATTGTTCATCCGGATTTTTATCAAGCATCTGGAGGCGCACCAAGGGAAAGGGCAAAAAGTCTACTGTTTTACTCCTCTAGTAATCACAAGGCCCCACGGATAGATATGACGTTGGTCTTGTTTTCGTGGAAGATATACGCTTCAATAATTATATCCAGCCTGCCTGTTTTCCCAGGTATCATCAAATTATGTGATCTTCCAACTTTGACGCTTCAAAGGCCAGAGAGCTTGGAGCAAATTGGGAGATTATCGCAAAAGTCATGAGAATATACAACTGCTCAAAAGTTACTATTCTAACTCAGTAAAGATGATAGAACTTTATCAAATAACTTTGTTCAAAGATTATTTTTTGTTTAGCGAGGAAGACTCAAAACCAGAGGATGGCGATGTGTGTGTTATCGCCGGCTGGGGAGCTTCTCGAAGCCAAGAATATTATCAATTTGTACTGCACGATTTGTTTTCTTTGTCGTAATGAGTTTTTCGTAGTTGCAAAAGGGCGTCATCCGAATTTTCGATGACAATCAATGCAAACGTCTGATTGGAAGCCGATTCCGTTCTGATCAAGAGATCTGCGCCGGCCGCGTCGACGGAAGGAGCGGTTGAAAATATGCTTAGCGAGCAAACTAATCTATTCAAGTGATTGGTACGCCATCAGCAAGCTGCTTTCATGGCTTATTTGCGGAGAAAGTGGCTTTGTACAAGTCCAATAATCAGAACAATAGAATTTGGCGGCTATTCAACCAGCTTAAAAGTGTTGATAGTTGTCATGGGGACTCGGGAGGGCCACTCATGTGCTACCGGGAGAAATCTTCTAAACCTCGATGGACCCTTGATGGAATAGTCAGTTGGGGAGCTGGGTTTTGTGGTTCAGCTGGCAGTCCCGGGGTTTACCAAGAGTTTGCCTTTTACAGGGGTAAGATTAATCGCCAAGAAAAGCGAGATATATGTTGTTTCAATTTATTTAGAGTGGATTTTCCAGGAAGCAAGGAAGTACAATAACAGACGGCAATAATAAGGAAGTTATTCAAAAGAAGGGTCACACTGTAAAAAATACCAGTATTAGTTGCCATTAGCAGAACTAAATATACATGAAATTAGCACTCATTTGGCGTTTTTTTTTTTGTTAGACAGGTTTTTCTGTTTTCTGTGTATTTGCTGTTTGTGAGATTTTTAAGCATATCGATCAGTTTTCTTGCGTAGAGCGACAGCTGCAACAATTCCAAAGATTTCAAGGACCAGGGCACCAGCACCGACTCCACCAAGAATGAGTCCAGCTTTCTTCAATTGATCCTTAAAAATGTTAGAAGACTAGCACAGAAGAAGAGTTTCTGAAATAACCTCGCAAAGGTCGTCTCTGTAAGAGACATCGTTGATTGCACAAGTGTCTGAAGTAGGATTACAGCAGGTAGCAGGAGCATCGACAACTAGAAGTCAAGTTTATAGTGGAATTTAATTGTCCTATTAGAGAAGAAAGGATTTATGTAGTCATTGTACTCACAGAGCCGAGGGATTTGGATTATTCAAAGTGAAATCCCGCTGTGCAAAACAAAAGAATGCGGATGGGAAAATGTTTTTAAGGTAAAATAACAAACATGCCGCTGGACAATGACAATAATCAATCAGCAATACCTGTAGAGTTGGCCGGGCTATTCCACTCGCAGCAATCAAGAGTAGTTCTCATCGTGTCAACGAAATCGTTGTTGAAGATCAAGGCGGGATCTTGAGGATCACTGGTATCGTTCTGAATTTCGTGTAAGACAGTTATCACAAGTGTTGTGACGTACCGTGTACATGTTGAAGCGATCCCCCACGAAGTCGTCGATTATCGGATACTTGACGAAAGCGAGAATCACAAGAGCAAGTTCAGCTAAAATGCATCGGTACATATCAATTCCTTCTTTTTATGAGAACATACCAATAATTAACAAAATAACCAAAATCATATAAATCGTCAGCATAAACTTGTTCTTGCAGCAGCCTAAAATTGACATTCATTTTTACAGTAATCGCTAATCTGGTCTTTTCAAAACCACAAAAGCTTTTACCTCCAAACGCTCCTAGAAGAGACAAAAGAGCAGTGAAAGAGCCAACAGCAATGGCCAAGTAAATGGCTCCTTCAAAGACGGTCATCATGTTTGTGAATTCCTCAGGAATGGGTTCAGTACTGTTCTTGCTAAATGTCTCCCGGGAAACGTCCACAAGCTAACAAAGCGAGTTAGTGCATCCATTTGACAAAAAAAAACTCACCTTGTAAAAGCTCTCAGAGTCGAGGAGCAGCCAAAGGCTCAGCCCTAGAAGACCGAGGCCTCCAATTCCAATGAGCAAGTTCAGAGCGACAAAAATAATCTGCAGGCATTTTCCCATTCTCTCTTTTTTCTTCTTCGTTGATTTCTCCTACTGATGAGATGATATCTTAGCTATTTAAAATCGGCTAAGCTCGATCAGAATCAAAAATCTTATTGACAATAAAATAAGTCTTTTTTCACTGAGTGCGCGGATAGGTAGCTCGACTCAACTGTGGCTCAATTGCTCTATCTTTTTCCGCTCCTACCTGGACAAGGCGTAGAGAGCGCCAGAGATTTTTAATGCGCGGAGAGGACAAAAGCGCTTTTGCGTAAGTCGCGGACGAAGACGTCAACCGTAAAAAATTACCGTCATGAGTAAGCCGATGAATGATACTCTGACTCTCATCAAATACGGTTTTTTTATAAGATTACCGTGATATCATCATCGGCTAAGATACTGCCATGAGTAACGATGAGAGTAAGTTACCGACATCAAGAACCCAAATTCGGGACCATTAATTTGACTTGCCTGAAACTGGTGTAAATCTAAAAGTGGATTCAATCTCGAAAAACGAAAGTCAGTTAGGGCTTTTCTGTTGATCTTGATTTTGCACGAGCGCGCCAATTGCTCCTTATAAGCGGTTGGTAACCACAAAAAAATCGAATCTCGCGAAACTTTCTTTTCTGCTTTTAATTTTGTCGCTCTTTTTCGTCGCTGAATCATCAGAGAATGACAACTGATCACATCTATCAGGTACATTCAGCGAATGCCATTGACCGTACTATGTTAGTTGTTTATTAAACATCATCTTTGCTAAAGAAGTACAGAATCGTATTTAGGATCCTGATGACTTTGTCTTTTTCGTAACCCAAGAACAATACGATGCGGAAACGAGGCTTCTTCGTCGGTCTGCCGCGAAAGCACAAAAACGCAAGGAGAAAGTCAGAAAAACCAAAACCTCCGATGATTCAATTAAAAAGAGTCCTCAAAAGAAATCGAGAATGCGCACAAGATCACAGGAACTTGCTCGAACTCTCATTATGACTAGGTAAATGATTTACCTAGTAAATTTACCGTAAATCCTACTGGTAATAAAACAGTCCGCGAGCAACAAAAAGGTCTCTAAAAGAGAATCTGCCCATGCGCATGGTTGTGCCCTTCTCATCATAAAAACGATTTTGAGCAGACGACCAAAGGACTTGCGCAGGAGTTCGACTTTCTTAGAGCACGCTGCAGCTGCTCGGTCGAGTCCGGCGATCGCGAAGTTCTTTGGCAGCAAAGACCCAAGATATACTAGCTGGCAAATCGGACGAAGAACAGATCCCGCCTACTACGCAGAATTGGATTTGATATCAGTTTTGCGAAGGATAGCCGAAGCTAGAAGCGACGATTATTTCGGGAGCGAACACTTCCTCAAGCCAGTAAAAAGGAAATGGGTTCTTCATACGTTGGTTCTCTTCTAGGACCAACTTTGTGAATCAATTCTATATGCTACCTAGTAGACTATTGCAGTAGAAGCTAACAATTAAATACAACCCAGATAAGATTCATCCAGAATCCACTTGCTGAGAAGATTTACAGCCTATACAAAGAGGAAACCTTCGCCCGTTTCGCGAGAGAAGAAGAAGATACAATGATTGTTGAATATTGTAACAAACATTTTCCATTGTAAATACTCGCCATTATCATCTTTAATCATGCCATATAAAACCTGTACAAATGTCAATACAACTCAACAACATAATATTTTTTTTGTGTTTTATTCATGAGTTTTTGCGTTTTGAGGAATGGTTAAAGTATGCAGAGCCGAATGAGCTCAACTAAAAGCTTAGAAAGTAAAAGTTTGAACTCATTAAGACTCTGTGTCGCTGCCTTCCGGGTTAGATAGTAAGTTTAACAAATAAATATATATTTTACGATAAATCATCGTCGATGATGGTCATTTCTACGGAACTAAAAAGCTAACGACTCTAAAAAATATGTATCAAAGGTAAATGGAACGTGTAAATGGCAGTATATGAAGCCAAGAGGCAGGTGCGGGTTTTCATTCATGCGGATTCTTGAACTCGAATGTGGGCTGTCGCGGCTTCGTTGATTATGTGTCAATAGTAAACTAAGAATAACTGTTACAGAAGACAACAGAAAAATATAACTTACAATATTTTGCTTTCTTACAAATAGTTGCGAAACTAAAGAGGAATTTCGATGAACTAAAAATATTTATCAAGATTTGATGAGCAATGCTAAAGTACCAGAATTTTTAAGGCTTCTTTGGCTGAATCATCGATAGCAATTTCAGATTGATGGGGAACTTTCGCGTGTTGTTTCTTCCTTGGGAATTGGTTGACTTTGAACTGTCTTCGTGCTACTCGATGCTGAAGGTTTTCGCGCATCGGCGAGTGGTGTAGAAGTCCTACTTCTTTCATAATTTTTCGATGCTTTGGGTCCTCGCTTCTTTGCAGTCCACTTTTTCTTCGCCTTGCCTTTTTGGTCAGCCTTATCTGGCAAGATCGGACTTGCTTCTCTCAAACGTGGAGGATGAAGACTATTTCTCGGGCCGGTATCATCTCGACTAGGGCGACGGCTTTTGTCATCCCTTTTTCGACGACGGTCAATCTCATCTCGACTTCCACGACGGCTTTCATGACGGGCCGAATCGTCGCGACTTCCAAGTCGATTTCTCACATTTCTCTGAGGAGAGCTTCGTCGGCTGGACCCCGTGGAGTGCTTTCTATCACTATCTCGTCGCTTCCTCTCATGACGGCGCGGGCTTTCACGCTTTCTTTGTTTCTCTTGGTTTCTTCCATCACGGTTGCCAGGTCGTTTTGATCTGGGAGATCTCTCACGAGAATCCCGACGACGGCGTCGCTCAGGGCTCGCTTCACGACTTTTCTTTCGCTCGGTAGAAGCAGGTTTGCATGGACTTTCAGGTATTTCACCTTCTTCCGTCTCAACAGGCTCAGGATAATCTTTGGTAGGGGTTTTTGAACCACTACGATTATCTTTATTATCGTTTATTTTTCGCGAGATCGTGGAGGATTCAGCCACTGTTTTCGTATCAGAAGGGATATCCAAAGTTGCACGACTAACGAGAGCGGAGGTGTCCATCGACGATGGCATCGTAGTTTCTTCAGGTTTGTCTGGCGAAGCCGGGTTTGATTTTTCCTTAGTCGCCGGTTCCTTTGAGATCGTGGAAGATTCAATCACTTTGTTCGTATCAGAAGGAATATCCCCTTCCATCGTGGAGTCCATCGAGAGATCTAAGCCAACCTCGATGATCATAGCATCGAATGCCTTCTTTTCTTCAGGAGACATTTTCTCGCGTCGGTTTTCGAGGTCACAGTCGAATCCTATTCGTGACTCGATTTCGTCGTCGACAGGACGTTCTTCGGCGTTCATTTTCATCTCCGACGGATTCTCCGCCGAATTAGAGCCTTTTCCCGAATCGTCCTTTGGTGGAACAGCCTTCGAATCTTCAGGTAAAGATTCTTCGTCAAGTGTAGAATCCCAGCCAGGAGGATCAGAACCTGAATCCGACTCATTCGCCGCGAGCTCCTCTTCCATTGTCGAAAACTCGATTTGAATTTGATGCGCAAGCTCTTCTCGTCTTCGCTTTACATCCGAAATCAAGCAGTATTCTTCATGAACGCTGCTTCCAGTATCATCAGAACTCGATGGATGCTTTCTTTTTCGCCCATTATCGGTTTCCAAACTATCTTTTTTATCGAGAAACTTGATTCTTTCTTTCGTATCAAGCTGATCAAAAGGCAACATTTGAGAGCCACTAGTGCCGGTGTTGAAAAATACATCTGTATCATCCATTTCTTGAAGCTTTGCCAAATTTTTCCTGACGTTTTCCCGACTTTTCAAGGAAACGTCATCCATTGATGGTTTAAGGTCAGAAGAAGTACCAAGTTCCTTTGGACTTGACTCCGTCGAGATAGTACGGACTTTGATAGTCGTCTGCGCAGCTGGATTTTTCTTTTCCAACTCTGCAGACGAGTAAACATCATCATCGCTCTCTTCGTCAGAGCTGGAAGACACATAAATTTCCGACTCTTCTCCATCTGCATCGAAAGAGGTTGATAAATCCGGGTTTTTCGCCTCATCCTGACTTTCTTCACCTGAGACGGTATCGATAAGACTTGAATAAGATGCTCCACGTTCCAACAAAACGTCGAGACTTGGCGCTACAAGTGAATTCATCATTTCTGATGGCTGGGCTTTGTTTTTGATGCAGGCTTCTACACATGAACTTCGACCTGATTCATTTCCAACTTCTAACTCCTCGTCAGAAGAGGAATTGATTGAGGAATCCGAGTCGGACGGATCTTGATTCTCTTCTAGTGGCGCTTCGTATATAACAGTAAATTTCGACTGATCACGTGGAGGCGAAAGTGCGTTTTCAGTCGACGAAACACTTGATTGACTTAATGTTAAGCCCAGAGACGCCGGAACCTGAGATAAATATTGCGCTGAGGAAATCTATATACAATCTACCTGATCTTCTGCGTTTTTGAGAGGCACCGGCCCATCTCTTTCATCGTCACGAACGCTCTCTTCCATTATAGTGCTCAGATTTTTCGGCTGAGCATCGTCGTGATCATTTTCTTCCTCCAAAGAAGAGTCCATTGAAGTGTCGAACGAGGAATCCATAGATGAATCGAAGGATGAATCTGCTGTCTGATCAAGATCTTCGTCATCTGATTGATGCGATCCCTTTTTGAACTTTTTCTTATTTTTCCGCAGCTTCTTCGGCTTTCTACGCTTCAGTTTGGCTTGCTTATTCCCATCGATATCGTTTCTTCTGCCTGCTGGACGTGTAAACAGGTGTTCGTTTTGACTTCGTGTTCCATCTACGATAAGATCCTCTGAGCTTTTGGGTGTGTCATAACCAGTCACCTCTGGTTCGGCTACTTTAGAAACCGAGGGGCCAGCCATTTGCCGGTGGTCAACAGCTGCCGATTGTTCCGGAATATTTGATGGTACTTCGTTTGGAACTGTGGTCCACGAAGCTTCATTCCTGTTCTGACGATGAACTCGTGGCCAGAGAGGGGTCAAATATGTGGAAGAAGGAGGTGCACAAAAGTTGCCGGGTGGAGGCTCGTCGAGACCAGAGTATTCATCGAAAAAGTTCTGACTATGGCCAACGGTTCGCTCATCTCTCACGGAATCGTATCCATAGTTCAATTTCATCGCATCATCATGAAGCATGTTTGTTGGCATAATAATACCTTCCTGTTCAATGACAGATTCATTAGCAGCTACTGGACTGTTCGATGATTTATCAACTGTCAAGTCAAGTGGTTCTTCTTGGACCTGTGGAAAAATCGGAGGCACAGGACTATCCGTGTTGCAGCTTTCGCTATCTTGAGTTGCAGCCTCTATTTTTGGGAGAAGGGAGCTTTGAGCAGCTTCAGTCTCCTTGTTTTCTAATTGCGCTTCATTGCAACGATCTTCCTCAGGAACACCAGAAGATCTACATTCTTGGGCTTCTTTTGGGATATTTAACTAAAATACAATGATAATGATTCTCTAGAACCGATTTGTTTACCAAGATGGTTTCCGCTTTATCGGATCCTGTGGCTCTGCTCGTATCGTCTTTTCCCGCATTAATTTGATGCTTGAGTAAATGTGTTGAAGCAAATGCCTTAATATAATTAGGTAAAGATAAATTAACAGCATTCATTCACTCACGGATTCAACTGAGCTTTGGTTGCTGGAGTTATCCGTTGGCTTCGTAGCCTGGCTCACATCTGCTTCGTTTGTCCCCTGTTCGTTGTTGAAAAGGTTTACTCTTACAGCTTCAACTCTAGCGTTTTGCGCGTCATGGGATGTATCTGCTTCTCCACACTTGGGTGTTTCTTCTTGGGTGCCTTTAGACGCAGCGAGTTCTTGAAGGAGCGGAGTGTCGATGACACTGTTGGACCAAAGATATTCCAAAGTTGCTGGGCTAACGAGAGCGGACATGTCCATCGTATTGTCTTGAGGTTTGTCCGGAGAAACCGGAAGTTTCTTTGTTTTTTCTTCGGTTGGTGCCGTCGCCGTTTCCTGTAAGGAAGCAACACTTTCTTCCGGAGAAATATCGGTTGCCTTCTCAGATGAATCCCTAGGCTGCGATTCAGAGATAACAGTTTCAATAGCTGCCTTCTCAGTCGTTTCTTCTGCAGGAAGAAAGACGGGGCGTTCCTTGCAATCAGTACTTTGGGAAATGTTCGAACGAGCATCGCTATTTGGAACGCTATTTTCCGACGAAGACATAGCGTCAATTTTTTCAGCAGGTTTAGCCAATATTCCGTTTGTTCCGACGAGGGTTTTATCGCAACTGTCGAGAGTAGCAGCAGCTCGTGGATCCTCTGTTTGTTGCTCCTTTTTGTGTTCTAGAGATTGTCTGTCGGATCCTTCTAGACTGTTTTCATTGCCTTTGATACACTCCTTCATTGAGGACATTTTCTGACACATAAGAAGGCCGATAGCCGCATCTTCAATGTTCTGCATTTCGGTTGAAGAGTTAACACCGGAGAAAAGCTGAGAAAAGTTCTCGGTCGAGTTGGTTTCTGTAGACTTTTGCAGATCTTTTTCACGATCTTCTGGCTGCTTCTCGACTTTATCATCGGAAGAATTCTCATTCATTGAGTTAGGCGAACGCTCCGGCGCTACAGACGGTTTTTCAAGAATTTCTCCAGCTGGCTTTGTCGCCTTCTCCTGACTATGATTCTCTTCAATTGGCCGCAAAGGCTCACTGACAGATGATTTTGCCTTGTCTGACGATGTTATTTCTTCGGTAGCCTTCTCTTCTTGTGGTTGACATTTGGAATTCTCGCCAGCGTCATCACCTTTTCGCTCGTTTTCAACACTTTCAGTTACGATAAGACGTTGTTCTTGCGGAATCACTTCTTTTGAGATCGGCGTATTATCAGAAGTGGTTTTACTCTCTTTCAGCTGACGAACTCCAACAACCGGAATGTCGAAATTATCAAAGTCACCGGCCATAGATTTTAGTGCAACTCCGAGTCTTTCTTCTGAGGGTGTTTGAACAACCGTGGAACTCTCACTCGCAGTTATACCATCCTTTGTTGATGCGTTTTCCGAGCTAGAATGCGGCGGCGTCAGCAGAGTTTTGTCTTGCCCAGGGTCTGGAATCGGATCGTCATTTGACTTTTTCGGTACTTCCTCAGAGTTATTTTGAGTAGGGATTGGAGAAGTGTTGGGATCTCTACCATTGAAGAAGTCAATCGTTTTACTTGGTGTTTTCAGATTTTTCAAAAAGTCAAGATTGAGAGGAGCAGGATTAGATTCACTTGGTGCACCCATCAATTCATCGGGAATGACGTTTCGTGGAGGTGTTGTCGGGGGAGGAGGCAGTGGAAAGTCTTGTTCGAAAACGTACTCGATCGGCGGCGCTATAGCATCTGCTGAGTAAATATCGAGCAAATTTATCTCCTCTGGTGGCTCATTGCTCTCAAGTGGCAGTGGACGGTACTCATAAGGCTTGCAATCATTCTGTTGGGAAGGCAAGTTGTTGTGCGCCTCAGCCGAACTCATAGACTTTTTAGAAGTGACTTTGAAAGACCCATCAGCTTTTCTTTCCAAAATCAGAACATCTTGATCATCAATGACTTGGTCGTCGGGCAACATTCTTTTAGACAGGTCTTTCAGTCGATTTCCCGGAGTAGGCCGAGGCCGAAGAATTCGTGGATGAGTTTTTCTCGACGGATTTAAAATCGGATATTTGACATATGGGAATTTTCGACGAAGTTTGAACGGAAGATTCAATCCTTCTCCTTGCGAGACGACTCTTTTTATTGGATCAGAAAGTGGATCGCCAGAGTCAATGAATGTGAGAAAGTCGCCGTTCTCTGTATTCCATTCATCAGCATCGGTTGTTGTCGGTCTGGGATCGTAAACGAATTTATACTCCTGCTGTTTCACAGGCTCATCAATAGAAGGTTGGGCGGTAGTCGTTGGTTGTTGAAATAGTTCTTCAGGTGGCGGGTTAGCAATCGGGACGCAGCTCGGAATATTCTCAACAGGAGGTTTCGGAGCAGTTTTTTTCGGGGCTTTGCGTTTTGAAGCAGATTTCGCCGGGGGTTTCACTGGCTGAGAACTTTTACGTGGCTGAGAACTCTTCTGTGGCTGAGAGCTCTTCTGTGGTTGAGTTCTCTTATGTGGCTGAGTACTCTTCTGTGGCTGAGTACTCTTACGCTTTCTGGACTCTAGGAACATGGATCCAGGGTCTACCTTCATTTTCAAACCTTCAAGCTTGGAAGGTTTTGAGGGAATCGGTCGGGGTTCACAAGTGTGCACTTTTTCCTTATCCAGATGTCCATTTCGGCTTAAGAAACACTTCTTGACCTTGAGGCCATCCAAATTAGACATGAAATGCATCACTGCATCTTCTTTTGGATCCTCTCCTTCTTTCTTCGTCGGAATTCGAACATTGCGAGGTCCACGCGGTTTGAATGTCAACTCGAAGTTTTCAGGAAGGAGAGCCTTTTGCACCTCCTTCAAATTCATATTTTCAAGGCATTTTGCTGGCAGTGTGGTCGACTGGACAATGACAGCTGGTTCAGAGGTCGGCTGAGTAACGGTCAGAGGTACTTCCTGGGAAACGATCGCTGGCTGACCTGGGAAGACCTCAATATTTTCAGCGGAAGAAGTCGCCCCTGAATCTCGTTTGGCAGAGCTTGGCGTTGCTTCGGCTGTCTTTTCCACCAATGCATTAATTGGAGCAACGTCTTCTAGGGTGAGATCTATCGTTTTATCCGGTTCGGATGATAGATCTATCGTTGGAACATGCTTATTTGCTACTTGTTTCGCTTTAGAGGGGGTCGGTTTCCTTGGCTTTGGAAAATTCTGCTTTCTAGCGAGATTTTCTTGACGTAGAAAGTGTTTCTTCGCATTGCCTGTTTGCCGAATCATCGCATCTCCTGCTACGTCTGCTTTGAACTGCAAATACTGCTGCATCACTTCGTCGGAAAACGCATCGGTGTTGATCCTGAAAAACTTATAATAAATGGCTTTGGAAGATTACTTACTTGTCGATATTTCCTTTGTCTTTCATGCCCGAAACACCGCCACTCTTGTTGATCAGTTCCTGAAGCACGTCTGGAAAATCAGTGTCTGTGAGATTATCCAGAGTGTCGTGAATAAGTTTTTGTCCGACCGGTTTTGTTGGAAGTGTTGTTTTCGAAAAGGAGCTGCTGGCAGGCTCATTTGGGTTTCTTACTTCATCCGGGCTAAGAAAGAGTATTTAGGCTTACAATCTGATTGTATTACATACCTTTCTCCTAGAATCGTTGATTTGCAAATACACAAGTCGTCTCTCTTTTTGACATAAGTAGTCAAATCGTCGACTTTGGCGGTAAGGGACTTCAAAAAGTCAAGAATCTCGGTTACTTTTCCATCAACTAACAGTAGATCGCTTTTATCCGGGTTTTACTTGTTCCGAAGAAAACATGTTTTGAAAATTATAAAGCAAATAAATCCGGTCCTTTTCGAAGCAACATTGAAAAGCTGAACCTGCGTCGACTTTGGAGGTGTTTCGTTTTTATCCGTGGACGGGGGATTTCCCGAAGTTGCGTTTTCGGACATGCTCTGATAAATATTTCAGCGTTTTTTTAGGTACTAAGGGGATTCTCTAGCAAGGGAATGATTGAAAAGGAGCGAAATAAATAAGTAACTTGGGCATGTTCTCGAAAAGCCTCGCCAAGGTGAAACATTCAAAAACACCGCTATTCTTTCGTCATTTTAACAAATTTTACCTTGAGAAATGATTTGCAGGCATTTTCGATTATGCGTTGAGATTTGGCATCACGAAGGTTTAAATTGGAGTCGATAGAGTTTTCATCGTGCGTTGTTTCTTTCAGGGGAGACGGTTTCATTTCTTCGTTGAGCGGAAACTCCGCCCAACTTCTACGAGCTGCTCTTTCTTCCTGATCGCTAAAAAATGAGGACCAGAGATTCTTCCCTTTTTTTAAATGAGCGCGCTTGGCGCCGCGTCCAGCTGGATGAACTATTTTTTGACCAATCGCGCGCCAAAAGCACTCAATCCCGCTAAGCTTGAAATTCTCGCCAATCTTGCCTTCTTCTTCCGCGAAAAATATACCCGGGGAAACGTAGCCCTTCCAGGCTCGAGTCACCATTTTCAGATTAATGCTAATTGAGTAAAAACGAAAAAACTCAACAATAATAATGCCTCATTGATTTCATCTATCTCAGTCATAAATAAAATCGACTGTATGAAGGGGTTCTTCATCGCTAAGAATAGCATGAATCGGTTTGTGTTCGGGACTGATGTTGGATCAATTTGCGTAGATAAAATCGGGAAATCAGTTGGCAGTTTCTGCTTCTTGAAAAATGTTTCGCTTTCGCCAGTCATTAACGATTTGAATCAGTAAAAGACGCATTTTTTATAAAGAGAGTATGGGCAGAGCTGGGACGCCACGGAAAACTACAAATTACGGGATGAATTAGCGACTTGAAATAAAATTGTCAAGATTGGTTTGTGGAATCAAGGAAGAAACCGCTCTTTGTATGAGAGGAACGGACTTTAGAAGTCATCTAATTCATTCCGTCTAAGTAGAAAGCCGAAGAAGAGCAAAAATGTGTTAACACGGCAGAGAAGCTACACTTTGTCACCAGAACAAAACTGCCGGCAGGTTTCTTTTGATAATTCAAGCCTCGCGACTTTATTTAAATTTGAAGGTGGGCTCGATCCAGAGCTTTGCGAATCGCGATAGCCACCATTTTGATAAGTACATCAAAAATGCGTTGACCACGCGGCCGAGGAGACTGAGCGAACTGGACTCGAACACCGGTACACCGAATGACCGATCGCATCAAATGTCGGCTCTTTCGCAAGTGAGGTTTACGGACAACTCCTTGGATCGTTTCCGTCCTCGGAATCAACGAGGGCAGCGTCCTCGCCTTCCATCAAAGAACAGAGACTTCATCTCTGCACAGTACAAGAGCACTCAAGGTAGAAAACGAGTCACTGCTGCGTTTGTAAAGCAACAATGTTTAGCGCTGCAGAGGCCGAGGAGTCTCTCGAACTCGGAAAGGCCCGAGAAGATGAGGAAGCTGATATCTGCGCCGATGGTTGTCGGACAGCACGGTCGAGAGCGCGAGACTTTAGACGAGTCGACCCGAGAGAGCTTGCCAAAACGAAAGTCAAATGCAACTGTCACTTCTGACCAATCTAACCGTTCTGTCACCAGCATCAGACAAATTTTACATCGACTCTGTCCCTCGCTTCGCTAACACACTCATAAAACCATTCGTCTCCGAAACGACCGTTTTCTACCTACACTTAACCGCAAGTTCAAACAAAATATAGCCTGCAAGAAATAAAGACAAGACAAGACTAGAGCAATCACTTCAAGAGTGACTGCTTTAGTTTTATTGAATTAAAATTTTATAAATGGATTCAAGCGTATTGCTGCTTGAATTCAGATTTTATTTGATTCCGTACAGGAATAAATAAGAACTTGTGTGTCCCTTTTCGAGGAATTGTACAAACACGATCCACCTAATTAGGCGTAAGTACAAGATTCAACTTCGTGGGACACACGAAGTCGGGCTCGCCCGGCGCTGGGCGTCTTTTTACTTTCTGCTGCGGACTAGCCGCAGACTTTTCTTCGCCCACTCTCTTCTAGCATCTCTCGGAGTGGGCAAAATCGTTGGAGAGGAGACCAGCGGGCGTTTCGAGGACAGTTAGGCCCACTGGATCATCTTCATTGATTCGGTTCCCTCTCGTTTCGGCCCTTCGGTGAAAGAGCATCTCGCAATGCCCCTTCGCCGAAGAGACCCGCAGAGGGAGGGGCTCTGATAAATCGTGGATCGCGAATTCTAAAATAAAAAAGTTGAAAATCAAATTTAAAAAATCGAGGGCTCCGCCGGACTCGGCAGCAAAAGCTGAAAAATCGCAAAAGCGTCTTACCTGTTGGACGACAAATGGCGAACTGACGAATTTCCCAACTTTGGCTTGAAAACAACCCATGTTCTAGAGAATTTTCGCTTTTTCTTCTCCAAACTCAAAAACACACCATTTTTGATCATTTTTCGGAGTTTTTTCGCTATAAAAAGATTTTCCACCGTTGGAAATCTTTGTTCTCTCGTTTTCAAGTACAACTCTTGACTATGCTCCCGCTGGCGTTCTGAAAAATAAAATTTGAAATAATTTTCACTAAATTTTCACGGTCAGAACATAATAATTGAGCTGGTCTGAGGTTGAAAGACTAGTTTTGCAGTTATTTTCAAAGCTTACTTTACTTGCTAAAACAAACAAAAATACATGTCAGGGCTGATAAATAGATGATATGGCAAAAGAGATAAATAAAATCAATTTCATATCGAACTTTGAAGTGTCAAGAAGAGAATAAGAAAGGGGCCGAAAGGACCAGCCAAACCTGGCTAGAATAGTTTTAGCGAGCTCCGAGGCTGGCAAGTATACAGTCAAGCTACAGGCACCGTCCGCGATCTCAAAAATGCATGAGAACGGAGATAGACCGGTCGGTTTTTTCAAAAGTTCCGAATCTCGGAACTAGAATACGCATAGATTAGAGATATTTATGATGGGCAGAACTTAAGGCTTATGGAACTGGAAGTTGGTGCGGCAATTAATATTATTCTTGAAAGAATTGGGTCAGTTAAGGAAATCCGAATGCTATTGAAATGAAAAAATATAAAAGACTTTGGTAGGTCTTCCTTGATTTCTTTCGCAAAAGAGAGTGATATATCTAAATTTAAGTAAACAGGGAGTTCTTTTCAAAAAATATAGAATTGTTAAATACATTAAAATTATATTGTTTTTCTTTTTTCCATAAGTGCAGTTAAAAATCAGTTTTGAACGGTTCAGGACTTGTGAAAAATGTAAAAGTTTCAGGAGTTGAGTCTGAGTTTTGATATAACTAAAACTCTGTTGATGCTGTTGAAAGAATGAAACGTCAGGAAAGTTAGTGTATCTCAAGCTTTGCCCTCTTTTTCGTTAGAAAGAGAGCAAACTATTATTATATTTGTGGGATACGATGATACTTTTGTTTCTATTCGTACATAAGAAATCGCTTTGGATGCAAGGGTTGGAACTAGTGGGATGGTCAAGGTAATAAATATGAGAAAAACACTTGTTATCTGTTCAGAATTTGCTTAGGTCAATTTTAGTAGAAGCAATAAATGAAATAAGTGCAAATTGCCAGGGCGCAGACTCGACTGCGCAAGTGATCAATTTCGTAAATGGAAGATAATGACAAAAATAAAAGGGAATTTACAGTCGAGAATTCTCCGAAAGTGCAGTAATGATGTGACTTTCGATGGCATAGTAAACTTGCATTGACAATAAACCACATTTTATATCTTTTTGGAAGCGCGTTTCAAAGTCAGATCAAATAAGGGTCAGATAAATGTCAGTTAATTGGGGATAAATAAGGGGTGGAGGGTAGATATTGTTTTATGCTCTTGGAAGGCATTTACTGGGTATTTTTAGGGATGAAGATATATTTTCAGCGGTTTGAAAATATGGAGGAGCACGAGAGACGAGTCTTTCTCTAGGAATTGGATATCGTGGATTCATGCGTAAGCTGGCGGGTTTGTAGTTGTTGCTGTTTTGGAATCACCGTCACAAGGCCACTTTAGGGTCGATGAGTTTGTTGGAGTTCGCGTGAGCTGCTTTTGATCGGATGCACCCAGTAAGTCTTCTTACTGCTCAGTCTCCTAAGCCAAGAAGGCGCAGAAAATCGTTCAAAACTGCAAGTCACCCAAACTGCGGTGGTCGTGGCCGTGAGGGATATCGCGCGGAAGTGGAATAGCAATGTCTACCCAACGGGATCATAATTCTATTCAATTTACTAAGAGTAGAGAGAATCAGCTGATCCCAAGCTTTAGATTGACTGGATTGGTTTATGATTCGGATGGCTGTAGGTGGTTTATTACTAGGCTCTTGAGCCATTCGTTGAGCGGACCCCAAAGTAAGGAATGTTCCCATAATCGCTTGTCCAGATCCTGAATGCGAAAATAGAATTCCAATTTACTGAGATATCTCACCATGAGATCGTCAGCCAACTCCCAGCTGACTTGGTTGCGAAGCTCTTCGAAGTTGTGTGTGTATTTTGGTCGCACGCGCGCCGCATGTCCCCTTTGCGAAGCTTATCAAAGTGTTTTCAACTCGAATTAACCGTAAATGTATCATATGCTTAACGACTCAAAAGAGACGATTATAAGCCCGTACATAAGGCCTTTTTCAGTGTCTTCGGCCAACGGTTGGGCTTCTTCGATGTAACAGAAGTACTCAGCGAGGCCAAGCTCTTCGACTTGTCGGAACTCGCACGTTCTGTTCAGTATATCGGAGAAGGTGCAAAGCTGGTGATTGCCGCCTTGGTCTTCAGATACGTCCGGTGCTGAGGAGTCTGAGGAGGACTCGCCAGCAGAAAGTCCAAGCCCACTGAAAGTTAGCTACTCCCTAAAAAAGGATTCTTACCTTGATTGACGCGAGGGATTGAGACGATTCATCAGACTCACGAAGGGGTGCCGCTTGTACTACGACAATTGATTATTGTATTTTCATCGACACGATTACTTACCAGAATTTCGCTATTTCTCCCGAGCATAAGTTGCATTATCAGTCCAATTATATTCTTGAGCTGATAGCCAAAATGCTCCTCCCCGTCCTTACACGAAGCAATCAAATGCTTATTCACGTAAATGTGTGGAGATGAGATGTCGTATGATTTCCCGTAGAGCGATGGTTCATCATCTTTGAAGGGCGTCAAGATCAGCTCAAGGACATTGCTGTTGATGAAGCCCGACGGCGTTACTTCGAAAAGAACGCTCTTGGGTGAGATTTCGAAGATGGTGTCCACTCCGGACTTGACGTCATTTGTGCGGCAGAGCTTTTGCAGCTTCGCGAAATAGGAATTGAGGGAACCAGTCGCCAGCTTCGAGGTCAACGCTCGCGCCATCGAAACAACTTGCACTGGGTCACGTGCTTCCCGTGCGTTGATTATAACTGAAATAATTTTCATCGAATGGAAAAAAACAACAAATAGAGTTCAGTTGAAGAAAAACTTACACTGAAGACTACGCAACTTACACTGTAGCGAGACCAGCTGTGTCGATGGCATTAGGTTTTTAAAAGCAGTCATGTAGAAGTATTTTTCATCTTCGGAAAACATCCAAGAGGAAAAAAAAGCAACCTTCTGTATCTTTTGGGCTTCGACGAGACTGTGCATAAATTTGAGCTTGTCGCCTAGTTTCTCCGCTGATACTCGGAAGTTACGTGTTTTACTCGTCGGGTCGATCTCCAAATAGCCTGGGAAGAGGTCGCCATTGACGGGAGCATAATCCCCTTCAATGTACGCCTGAAACTTGAAATAGCTAAGAATGGAAGTCACGCAAAATCTACCTTGGCTTCATCAGTGACCAAGGGCTGCGATTCCAAGTCGTCCATTTGGTTTTCCTCCTCGGTTGCTTGCTCAGGGTATTTTTGCCGCAAGAAAAACATGTGCGAAAAGTAGATAGCCACGCAAATCACCAGCAAGAGCACTAAAATAGATCTTATCGGAATTGTATGCTATAAAACGGGCGCACCTATTATAACATAAGTGAGCGTGTGTTCAGAAGGATTAGTGATGTTATACTCCTCGTAGAATTGTTTGCACTCCTCGATTAGTGGATCCATTCCTGCCACCAATTCAGCACGATGCGTTTGATTGCAGAAATAGCAACGGTTCGAAAGTGTATCTTCCATGTGATCCTGGCATCTGACACCCTTTTCTTTTAGAAATTCGTAAGCTTCGCTTTCTTCCATTTGAAAAAATGCCTCTATTTTTGACTTTTGATTGCATAAAGATCCTTGGCACTTAACGTGTGTGAGATGCTTGTTGTCGGATTTATCCAGCGGACATGAAACGTGAGAATAGTAACAGTAACCATAGCCCTTGAATTCTTCACGGCTGCTGATGTTGAATCTGTACTTGTCTGGACTTTCATCGATTTCGAAAGACTTGAATTTATCCGTTTTTTCTGAGACTGATCCCGAAGAGTTTGTCTCGGACGAGTTCTGAGTCTCAATTACGTAGTTCCTTAACTCGAGTGTACGTAAATGAAAAGGATCTTTTACTAACCTCCAATCACACACGGCCGAATAATTGGCGCCGAAATAATCTTCAATGGTTTTTTTCATGTTTCTTGATTCAGGCGTGTCTTCCGGAGTCTCTTGATAGATGCAGAAATCCGTCTACAAAAGATAATTATTCAAGAAATACTCTCTGTATGTTATGAAAAATCTTAACACGAAGAGGACCAAACGTACAAGAGCGAGCTTTAGAATTTGCAGAGTTATTAGCATGGCCTCCTCAGCTTTTAATTCTAACGGCAAAAGGCAAGGGAAATACACGCCCGATAGATTTACCGCCCACGATAGAGCATTATGCTTTCGTAAATCATACGAAATAAAACCGAAATCGCTCATTGTCCCACGACTGTTTTACAGAATCTCTGTCGCTTTTAGACGTCTGTAAATTTTTCCCTCTTACGATATCACGCATTTTTCAACTTTTAATGAAATTTTACCGACTATCATTTCCATGGTAATGAAGGAAACTTACAGTAGCGGTGTTGTCTTGGCCAGAACTCAAGAGGGGGAAACTCAGGAGCCATACGCCCCTCATCGTTGCCAGCTGAGCGTAGTCCGAATTCGACTTTTATTCTAAACTGAGGGATTACTGTCAGCATTACGAAAATAAGGAAGACTCTTTTAAAAAACAGATTCAGTAGATTCAGCAGACAAAGTCAACATGAAAGCTCATTTTCCTTGAAGCTTTGAGAACAAGTTGTTTCTCGACTTTCTTGTAAGCTGTATAACTCGCACTTAAAAACAGAAAACAGCAACGGTTTGTAGAAGCTGCGATAATTAGAATAAATCGCACGGAGGAACAGAAACTCTGAATTGAGAGCGTAATTGAAGATATCAGAGAACGAATAAATAGGAAACATATTTGGATGAGGGAATAAATAAGAGATTCATTGCATATCCGCGACTAGAAACGGCCCCAGCAGGAGAGTCTTGACAAGGATTTTGTGCTTGTTTCATTCAATTCTGGAGAAAGAAATGCAAGCGAATCCATTCCTATCTAGCTCTTTCGTGTGGTTGATGAGGTTGTTGAATCTGGCGATGGTTTGCTGCAGGTCGCCGCCGAAAGTGCCGACGTACTTGGTCGTTAAAATCGCATATAAATGGCCGAACAGCAAACAGTCGAGCTCGGAGATGCGCTCGCCGAATAAATACGTCTTCTCTCCAAGAACACCCGAAAACACAGCGAGTACATTTGCGAACTCGCGGAGTACGTCTTTTCTTGTCATAACGTCCCACTGAAAAAAAACGTTAATTCATGTTTTGTCTTTTCTCTCTTTTTCGCTTTTTATGTAGCTGCCTCCCACGAAGAAGGAGGATCAGGATCAATCGCAATTTCAATGCCCCTGGCGACAAATGAATTCAGTAAATTTTCTTTATTTTCCTAGCCGTTTTTATTTAGTGGCTCGGCTTTTTGGAGAGTCCAAAGTTGATAATTATGATTAATAATTGCTTTTGGCTTCACTCACATTGTGGAGAGCGAGGTGTTTGAGCACGTTATCGCGTCTATTTTTAAACACGAACCCACGGAAAAACCAGTAAACATCCAGTGGTTCGGTGTATCTCTTCTTCGTCACATTGAGCACAGTCGTTTGGTCCAGCCATGAGTGATACAGTTCCACGCGCTTGAGGACGTCTTATGAGGTTCAATCTGTATTTAAAGAAAAGCTGAATGAAGGAATCAACCTCGCCTATTAGACTGAAGAGACGTTTCTCGAGATCACTGTCTTCGGGAGAGGGCGTGTGCACGATCTCCTTCTTCTTCAACACTTCCTGAATCTCCTTGACGCCAGAGTAGATCTTCGACTTGTCGGAGAGGACAGGAACATTGCCGTTTCTCGATCTCCACTCTGTGTTCGCCGCTTCTACGATTTGAAACTCGATCCCGAGTGTCTTCAGCAGCGTCTGAACTTACTGTCTCTTATCTCTGTTTGTCTGTTCGTCTAAGCACAGCAATCTGTGTAAAAAACCTGCCTTAGAAACTCTCTTAGTAGCCTCAACCAAATCGGTTAACGAAACTGAAAAGCGGCTTTGCGAAAGTTACCATCACAATTTATTTTCTTCCTAGCGAATCAAATTAAAAAAACCTGTCCCGACTCTGTTTACAGGTATCCGAGCTAAGCTGGTCGTGTCTTATTTACCTGTACGGCGATGCAGTCGGCCGATTGCTCCAGCAGCTGTTGTTTCTTTTGGAAAGGGACGAAGAGCTAAAGATTTCTCTAAATCGAGCTGATTCGGATGTTGAGAATTACTTTTAGTCCCACTGAAGCGAAATCGATCGCCCCTTCAATCGCTTTGGCGGCCTTTTGACTGTCGTACTCTGGCATTGCTGAAAAGTGGAAATTGAAATTTAATTTAATTTGTAATAGTAAAAGCTGCAAGTTTTTGGAAATTAAGCGGCTATCATAAAACAATGGAAATTTAACGAGCAGAAGAATGACATGGGTACGATAATTGAAGGGTTTCTGTCTTCCGACAGTTAAGGGATCCCCCCCTGATTTCGCCAACTTTGACCTCTATCTACTTTTTTTTGAGCTTACGTAGGAAGCTGGTTTTAGGCGCATTAGAAAGCCCGCTTTAAAAGGAGCAAATTCTGGTAGAATCAGCTTGCCAGCATAACATTCGATTATGCATTACAGGCCGTCAAAGTGATTAAAGTTGGCGAAAATGGCTATTTTTGACCATTTTCAAATCGTATCTACTTTTTTTGGGGCTTTTTAATCACCAATATTTTTGCTTCTATAGATAGCTAAGAGCCTAAACTTAATATTCTGGTAGAACCAGCATAACTGGATGAGTGAAAAAAATTTTCCTAGTTGTAGAAGTTTTTGGAGCCATTTTTGGCATTTTTTTGGTGGTTAAATGCTCTCTAGCGCCAACAAATGGCCGAAGATTCTAGTGCGGATATCATATTCGTAATCAGCGCATTCTAAGCTTTCGATCAACCCCTTACTTGTCCTCTTTTGATAACGATGAAAAATTGAAAAAAATCGCGATTTTCACGCTAAGTACAAATTACATGCATTTTCCCAAACTTTGGAGGCCAAAATTTTTGGGATGCATTTATGTAGAGGGGTACTATAATATATCAAAATGATCCTCAGAACACGAGGAATCTAATGATAGGCGAAGATAAGCTGTGCCAAGGTTTTGAAAAATCGGGGGGTGATCCCTTAATGTTACCGATTGACCCCGACCTACTCCAGCAGATTGCACTTTTTGCATAAACAAAATATCAAATTAATAAATAACCGAAATTCAGAAAAATTAAAGCTTTCTTGAAATTCAAATGAGAGTTCACGGGATCTCCCTCTTGTTGAATTCAGGCTCAGATTTATTTTCTCGATAACTTTTCATTTTTTTTTTATTTCTCTTTTTGTAACTCATGTGAAAAAAATTGCTGGCAGAGTTTTCTCAAGCGTAAAGATCTGATGGTGAGGTTCAAGTGCGATGTTTCTCTTCATTTTTGGCGTTTTAGCGCCTGTGATTGGGCGAATTCTCTCTCTCTCTCTCCTCTTCTCTCCCTCTGCTCGCCCGCCTCATCGAAGTCGTCAGTACAGTTACAGTCAGGCAAGAGAATCAAGAAGAACGAAAAAACGCGAAAAAGTGAACTCGCCGATTCGAAAATTCAGAAATTTGGAAACGCGCCGTAGAAGCGGATAGGAAGGGGCTCCAACTCGACACTGTAATTCGTGTCAGTACTGTAATTCTTTCTGTTAGCAGCGTGAAAATACTGTTAAGATGTATAAACAGCATTTCGCAGAGTGCGAATTAAAAAAGAGAATATTTTCATCCTTTTTTTTAAATCGAGATAGTAATTGAGATGATTGATGCTGGGGATGAGGTCGGCTCGATTGAGACTGACTGTAACTGACTCGAAAAAGTTCAACTTTGATTGAGCTGAGTTGATAGTAGCAGCATCGTTAATTTTTTTCGCACAGTCCCGTTTTAGAGAAGGAACATGCTCGGCCACTAGTCCGAAAATAACAAGCAAAGGTGATTTCCGAAAGGCGACGATATAAAATTTTCTACGCTCTCGTAAAAGAGATAATCTCAAATAGAGTGGTGTTAGTAATCTCCTCCAAACATAATCGCGCCGTGAGTGTCTGGCATCAATTTTGTCTTTGTCTTTTCGAGCTCTTAAAAAGCGGGAGGAAATTAATAGCGAGAAGAGGAAAAGAGAACTAACGAGGGCGACTTCACTAGAACTTGTTTTTTGTAGCAGTCGATGGAATGCGGCAATGCTGACAATTCATACAGATCGGGTCAGTCACGCGCTGTTTTCCACTTTCACAGTCAATTTCAGATACTCAACTAACTGACGGCGACAACGAGGACTCTGCGGCGAACGGGGAAGTAACGCAGATATTTTCGCAGGAATGGCTCACTGATTGTCGCGTTCTAGCTATTTGTAGGAAAAGGACTGCTAATTAGAATCGTCGAGCCCTTAACATAACCGCTTTCTAGATTTCTATAGAGCCGTTCTCAGACCCCCGAAGGATTCAACCGATACAAGCGCCCTTCCACAAGAGGTAAATTTACAAGCAAAAAAGTTAATTATCTAGTGACTAATTCTAATGTGTGAGTTGTCAATTCCTTCGAGTGCGAAGGGATTGGCAGCTCTTTCATGCGAGTCACGTACTGCGAGCTTGCACTTGTCTCTTCGCATCGTTCTACTTCTGCCTTGAACTTTCAAATATCGAATACTTACGGTAATTAGGACCAGATGTGGACTCGGACATAGGATTCACTTCGCCGACGCCTGTCGGATCGTACAACTCAATCTATCTCCATGACACGACCGATGGAATGGACGGCTCTGATGGCGACTCAGAAAGTCGGTGAGCGGACATAGCCCGTAGGAAACGCTAGGATCATATCGATCTGCTCATATGACACAAGTTGTTTAGAAATTATTTAGGCCAGATGTGCTTTTCCGCAAACGCAAGAAAACCGGCAAAAAGGGAAACTCTTCGCAGGGCTACTTTGGGGCCGGATATCACTCCAGGTAAGATTATTACTCTACTGAAATTGAAGCTAAAAGGGTCATTCCGTCGAATAATCTTGATTTATTGTCGCGTTTCTAGCGACATCGTTAGATTTATCAGAAAAAGATGTCCCGCTCCCCCGATAAAGCCCATATAACGCCGCCGTTCCGGGTAATATTCATAGAAAGGAATTTAAATTCGTTAGTCGTAAAAGTCTTCGAGTCCGCGAATTCTTTTCGATGAGCAAACACTTTTTCTATCTCCTTGGGTAAGTCGCCGTTCGTTCTCAGTGACTCAGAGAAGGCGATAGCGCTTCTGAAAGAAAGTGATAGCGACTTGTTGGCGGATTCGGCTTGTTTCGTTCGCAATCTGTTGATTTCTATTTCAGCTCGTCGCACTTGCCCTCTCCGACAAATGAGATGGTCGACACGAAAAACGAGCCGGAGCCACTCTCCAACGAAGAGGACAATGCGCCGCTTTTCCCGTAAGTTCTTATTCATTTTGCCAACAAGATGAGAAGCGATCAGAGCAGAGTTATATCGCTATATAGGTTCTCCATTCCGAACAAGAAAGTCCTACTAAAGACGAGGCCGAAGCTGGTGATTCTAGAGCAGCCGAGCAGACAGCACAGGGCGCGCTACGAGTCAGAAGGTTCTCGGGGAGCAGTAAAAGATGCGACGACGGACGGATCCCCAAAAATTCAGGTAGCGGAAAGTTCAAATCTGAAACAGCTATCATCGAGATTCGTTTAGCTTCTCGGCTACAATGAATCCAGCGTGGACGTATTTATCTTCGTCTGCAATGACAAAGGGTCACCTAAGCCTCATCTTTACTTCTCAGGTATTTGAAGATATTGAAAACGGATAGCAAAAAGGGTTTCAGCTTGCAAAATCGCCAGCAGGACGTCAACGCCTTGCGATGAAACGGAAATAACGATCGAAGGGATTCGTACTCGTGCGATCAAGATCACTCTGTACCCGAAAGACAACATGATCGGCACTGTCGACTGCGTCGGAATTCTGAAAATGCGCAACGCGGATGTCGAGAATAAGTACAAGCAACAGTTGAACAAGAATATGACGAGGAAGAAGAACAACTCCATTGTTCGGATGGCGTTTCGAGCCACGATTCCAGAGTTCTCTGGCGACGAGTCCGTTCGTAAACGTTAGTATTACTTTCGTTCCCTGGTTAATTGACAATCAATTATTTTAGATGTTGAAGTATTGTCGACGACAATTCAATGCTCGCAACCAGAGGGTCAGCCAGAAATACTCGATCTAAGCACTAGCCAGGGCAATCCAGAAGGCGACGAGAAACTGATCCTTATTGGGAAGAATCTCAACAAGAACTGCGAGATCATTTTTTCGAGCGAGACGTGGACTGCTGCCGCTCGAGCAAACTCGGACTTCCCATCTTCCAAGGACCATTTAGTCGTTTGGACCCCGCGTTATCACGACACCCAGATTCAGCACGATGTTCAAGTCGAAGTGAGAATCAAGCACGGAGGTAGAGTATCACTATTTTTTTTATTTTGTTCTATCCTTTTTAAAAGGGAAAGTGTTGGATCCTTACCCGAAGCCTTTCACCTACAAAGCTAATACTCCTAACAATGTGTTGGGACTTATCCAAGAGCAAATTCAAAAAGGACTTCAACTAAATCTCAACCGGTCGTCTCTCCTTCAGCTGGAGAAGATTATGACCCTGGCGCAGCATGGCTCGCTCAGTAATTCTTCATTCCAAGACGATGATCAGATGGATGCCAAGAGTGGCTCAAGCTCGCTTACACCAAAGCAAGAGCGCGATTTAAGCAATCAGTTCTCTCCAATTTCCGCTGGAATGGGATCCGAGAGTGGTGCGTCTCGCGCCGAATTCTCGCCAATCGAGAGTCAAATGTCGTCTCAACTCTCGTCTCCGCGAACTGGCGTGTCCGGATCTATTCACATTCAGTCTTCGCCCATCGATTTCAACAAACAGCCACCTCACCCAGATCTTGCTGTAATCCCATCCCCTTTGTTCCATTTCATATTTTCATTCTAGGATCAAATCGATACACAAGAAACCCCCACAAACGAAGTTATTCCAGAGCCGAATCAGTTTTATCCTGAGCCAACTGGATTTAACCTTGACGAACATTATAATGATCACTCCTTTTCATCTCAAGAACCGCAAAGTAAGTAACGGAAACATAATCTTCCGTAATGTTGCCTCGGCAAATCATTTTTTACTTTTTAGCTTCTCTTGATCCTACTTCTCCCTCCGCCGCCATCGCCAGCTCCTTCAACGATATTCACTTCCAAGCTGAAGATAGACTCGATCAGCACAATTACACATCTCAGAATTTTCAGCAACAATCTTCTAGCAATTCATTGTTCACTTCAACCCCTCAAGTTCAACCACAACAGCAGCATCCTCAAGTTCAACAAGCACCACCCACAGCACAAACCCAGGAACAAACCCTAAACACTGACGATTCGTGTAGCAATCCAACGTACGCAAAACACAAAGTGAATCTTCTCCCGGAGGAAGATGTCTACAATTCTCTTCAAACCTCATGTTCTTCTATCAAAGACGAAAACAAAGGTAAAGTAGTCGGCTACGTTCTTTCTCCAGACACGCTTTCAGAGCACTTCAGCAATGTACCATTTAATCTCGAAAACGAACTGATGCAAATGAAAGATATAAAACCTCTAACACAGACGAGCACCCAGCAAGAACTCTCATACATCGATAACCAACCACCGAACCCATCGTCTTTTTCGCAGATGCCTGCCAGGTAGGTCTCCTCCGTTCTACCGATCGCTCATAGTGAATTAGTAGTAATATATAATTTAGCTGGACTCAACCTTTGAAAAATGAAACTCCGATCGAGCTGGAGCCGGAAATCCAGCAAGTTCATGTCAATTTTGCGCAACCATCTGAGCAGAGCATCTCTTCGCAAATGGAGATCCAGCAACAAACAGAGATTGCGAACAATCAAGATGTGCCATGGTCCACCAATGTGCAACCTACTGTTTCCAGTGAAGTTCCCTCGCAGTTGTCAGGTGCTACCGGCTCCATATCTGTAACGCCAGTTAACGAGAACCAGTACGAGCCAGTTCCAACGCCGCAGACAGATTCCATCAGCTGGAGCAAAACTTCATCGAGAGCGCTGCCTGAGACAGACGTAATTATGTCCACCCACTCATCTAATCCGGAGACTCAGCAGGAAAGTACGATCTCCATGACCAGAGATGAAATCCACCAAGCCATTTCGAATGGAACGGCTGTTATTGTGGAAACGAAAATCAACCCACACCACCAGTCCGACGTAAGCTCTCACGAATCAACTGAGTTTAAAATATTTTGAAGCAAACTCTCGGTGGTTGGAGCAACGCGCCGCCAGCCCCTTCCCAGGCATCCGACCAGTCTTTCGAATCGATCTTTCAACAAGCTACTCCTTGAGAAATAATTTGTTAACCCTTATTCAATTCAAAATTCCCTTTGTCTTAGAACATAACTTCTTCAAATTCACGGTGAGTCTTCCCTTCCAAGTTATTTATTTTCCCGTGCAAAATTCAATTTTTCACCCTTAAGGGTACTACCTTCGATTTTAAAAATAGGCTTTATCTCCAAAGGACATAAAAGTGGTTCTCAAAAATAGTTTCTACATAAAAATCTATCTAAGTTTGATATTGAAAGAATTTTGAAATTCTTGACCACTCCCAAGATATGGGCTCTAGAAGTTTTTTCGGAAAAAATTTTTGGTCTTCGATTTTCTTGAATAAGGGCTTTTTTGAAAACTTAGAGCAAGGGGAGTATTTTGGTGGGCTTTAAAATGCTCTCAGTAACATACTTTAGATTCTAGAGGCAAAAGTGTGTCGCAAACTTTTGAAAAATGCACAATTTGGGTAAAATTACCGATACACAATTTTCAAAAAATTATTTTTAGTGTTTTTCTGCTTTCAATCGTCAAATCCTTCTGACAGATTGAAGATAAAGCTCTATTGTACATTTAAAAAATTAAAGAAGGCCATGTTTACAGACTAACTTCCGAGCTATTCGACCGTGAATATAGTCAATTTTGACATAGTTGACCACTTTGACCTAAAATTTAACCAATTTTTCGTTGAGCACTCCAAAAACGCTTCTGACAAATTAATGATCTAAGATAGATCTACTTAGAAACCCCATAGGATTTCCGCTATCTTTGACATTTTCCGAGTTATTCAATGGGAAAGTTGCGGAAATCGAAGGTATTACCCTTAAACTTAAAACATCAATGACATGTTAAATACTCGTTCTTTCATGTATGCCCGGCATCTTGGCTCAGCAACCTGTGTAGAAAGCCTGACAGAGGTTATTATAGAGCTAAAACGATGTCTCAAATATTGGCAGTTAAATCTTTCTAAAACTTTGACGACGCGTCTCTTAACTCTTCCTCAGATTTTTCTACACTTGTTGCTGAGGCAAGCCCGGCATCTCTTGTTCAAATTTGAAATCTTCCCAACCTCCTCACAACTTTGTGAGTCTGTGTTTTGTATGAGAACAATCTTCTACAGTCTCCTAAATTCAGTTATCTCCCATAAAAGGCACAGAGCATTGAAGGGACCAGATTGCAACATCATCGTTCCTGCATTTGATCTCAATTGACTGATACATAAAATAAAATATTTGATTCTGAGTGGATAACACAGCCATGCTAGAATTCTTTATTGTTATTTCTTTCAGAAGACCATTAATAGCTCCCAGCATCTTTTCATAAATCTTCATCGATTATTGCGGATTCGTTAGCTTTCTTGAAGTTAAGATTGTCTAGCCGCTCTAGTTCTCTTTCCGCGATGAACCTATGGCTCTGACGCAGCGTTCTTAACCTTTCTTTGAGCTGTATTTTCTTGCTAAATTACCTAAATGAATCGACCGCACAAGGGTATTTCCTATCATTTTTAAACTCGCGAGTTTCGAGCTCGTCCAGTTGCTCGATTTCGGCTATTCGTTTAATCATCATAAGTTCCATTATTTTAAGAGCCTCGATCTCAAGATCATTTTTGTTTCTCAAAGGGCAAGCGTGTGGCATAAGTTCCACGAGGAAAGGAACGACATCGCATTGAGGTCCAGTTTGGAAAATCTTAAGGGAGGTCGAAGATTTTGCGATCTCGTGCTCCGCGAACTTGTCGAAGAGTGTTTCTAAATATCGACCGGTGTGTAATTCAATAGTCTTCGTCCGAGTCACTTTCAAAACTTTTGAAGACGAAATCGACATCGTGACTTTCCCCTAAACTCAATGATTTCGCGCAGCGTAAGCTTCAAGAAAGTCAGCTGATTTTGTCCCGCTCCCAATGAAAACCCATAATCTACCAGCATTTGATCATCACTCCGTTCATCGTACGATATCAAGAGTTGTTCGCCTCAATATTAGTTTAATCTTGCTTGATAAATAGTTACCTGTTAGAATATCTCTTATTGCTTCACAGATAAGTCCTTTTTCCGGCGACATGCAATAGAATTTGCAGTTTACGTGCCCGACATCGCCATGATTCAGCATATCGAACCAAGGAGCTAGGCCGCTGCTGTCGAATGGGGTTCCAATTTCGAGTCCTTCGATTTTCATATCGTTGTATTTCTCATCGTAAATGTAAATTTGCCGAGTTTTGATCGTCGCTGCGGCCCAACGAAATTTTATCCACGAACATTCACTGATGATTTCACGACTAACAATTATGATTGGAGTTTATCTTGGACTAGAACCTACTGATAGGTCTCGCGGATGTTCTTACGGATACTTGTAAATATCTCATGTCTATCGTAAAGTTTATTCAGCTCTTTCTCCACATCCGTACGAACTTGCGTTGTCAGAAGCTTTTGGTACTTTTCAGGGAGAAAATACGGGACGCTGTATTTGATTGGCAAAGTTTCGAAGTATTTTTCGAACTTGGATTTTTTGCCATATCCCTGCGTCGATTCAGTAACGATCCAAAGTGTCAGCAAGTCAAATGCGTCGACGTTTCTTTTAACAATCGTCAGGTTGTTCAATAGAAAGCAATTTACCGCCCCAGCCGCCCGGCAGCCTCGCAAAAATAGGTAGCTTCTTTCAAGTTTTCTATCACAAATCTGGGGGTGACAAGCCATTCGCTATTTATGTGAAAGATCTTCTTGCCCTTTTGAACTCTCTCGATCGCTTGAACGCCTCTGCCAGTGTACGGAAAGTTCTCCAAATTGATTGACTGATCTACATCTATTTCCAGACTTCTGTCGTAGCGATGAAACATGGCATTCACGCACTAGCATATTAACAAGTTCTAGCGTTTTTTTTTCTTTTTTCACGCGTTCCTGAGAGCCTTCTCTACGAGGCTGTGTTCGTTGAGCATTCGTGGAAAAATAGTTGATTTAAAATATTTTTCGAACTTTGGGAGGTTCAACTTCGAGTAAAGGCGAAGCTCGAGTACTCTCAGCACCTTGTTATCGCATCACGACTTAGTACTTCTCACATACATCGTCAATCGAGACGCACTGCCAACTAATGGAAGAGATGAGTTTAGAATGAACAACAAAGCGTTTATTCTAGATACAGGCGCGAATTCGATAAAATGTGGCTACGACTCGGACGAGCAGCCATTGGTACATCCTTATTAAAAAATATTTTAACTGAATTATTAGCTTAGCACTTTCCCAACTCGATCTGGCGACCCAAAACGGGGAGACTCATTGTTTCCGATGAAGTTAACGAGAAACGAAATGGCGGCTCCCTTTTCCACCTTTCTCCTATGAAAAAAGGATACATCGTCAACTGGGACGTCCAGAGAACAGTTTGGGAGCATGTAATACGCGACAAGCTCAAAATGGACCCTACTGAATATACCGCCGTTATAACCGAGCCACAATTCGACCCCCTTGCCAATCAAAGAGCTCTAGACGAGGTGTTCTTCGAAGATTACGGCTTCAGCGCGATTTACCGCTCAAACACTACTTCCATAGTTGCCGATAGATATCAAGGTAGACCTGCTTCGACCTCTTCATCTAAAAACGTGATTTTCAGAGATCTCCAAATCTTTCGGCTGCGTTGTCGTCGAGTGCGGTCACAGTTTTACTCATATTGTGCCGTATTGGGGAGAGAAGAAGCTCAAGAATGCGATTATAAGACTTGACATTGGTGGGAAACTCATCTCAAATTATATGAAAGAAGTGATTTCATACAGACAGCTGAATTTGATGGAAGAATTCCGAATGTGCCAGGAAATAAAAGTAAAAAAAACACTACTTTCCTAAATAACAGCTTCTTTTAGGAGAAACTTTGCTTCCTGTCGAAAAACTTCAAGTCTGATATGAGTAAGCGCGAGCAACTCAAACGCATCTTTGTCTTGCCAAATCTATCTGCAGAGTCGCCCGGTTACTTTTTGCCGGAAAACGAGCCTCCTCCCTGCAATGCTCAATTCCTTTCCTTGTCTCGTGAGCGATTCCAAGTTCCCGAAATACTTTTCTCGCCGCACGAAATTGGAATCAACTCACTCGGACTCGGCGAAGCCATTGTCGAAGCAATTATGAGAACGGACGAGCTTCAGAGGCCGATTCTCTTTAAAAACATTATGGTAAAGGGATGCAGAAGAACAGAAAAGATATGATATATACGTTCTACTAATTTACTTTTACTTTTGAAATCCCGAAAAAAGTGATCGGAGGAACGTCAACACTTCCGAATTTTCGTCAGCGTGTTTTGGAAAGCGTGAGAGGATTGACAACCGACGAATACGATGTCCGCGTCGGCGAGTCAGCGCAGCCAGCCGATTACGCATTTAACTGCGCGCGCATCCTTTCGCAAGGAGTTGGCTTCGAAGACGACGTTCTCACCCGTACGCAATGGCTCGAAGAAGGAGAAAGAATATCCGACCAGTTTTTCTACCAAATCTAATTTCATACAAACTTTTTGCAATGATCAAACCACCGCCTTCTATACTTTTACCAAAAAATCTGCGTTTTAAAAATCTGAATAATTTAGCTCAATAAAGTTAACAATTTTCTTAATTGAGAGTTACTCTGATTTTCATGCAACAATTCGATTCGAGTAGACTGCGTTTAGTTGAATTTAAATTTATTCTTCGAAGATATATGAACTCGGAAGACAGGTTTTGGGAAGTTAAAACTTTCGGGAAACTAGGGAGTATATTCTTCTTCCTCGCTTGATTCTTCTTCGGACGAGGTTTCCTCCTCGGATGAGCCAGACGAGTCGTCTTCGTAGGAGGAATCGTCTTCGGAAGTAGAGTCAACCGCAAGTCGACCGAAGTTGATTTCCGAGTGCGTCCCGGAGTCTGACGAGTCGGACTCTGAGCTGCTTTCCTCGCTCGAAGAGTCTTCTGACGAAGAATCCTCGCTAAAATTCGATGAGTACCCTGAAAGCATGAGAGATCGGCCTCCTTACATTTTGTCTTCCGATTTCTTGGCGGAGGCGGCGATGTCGCGACAGTACTGGCCGGCTCGTTTCAACTTGGAAGTGAACTCACTATCGTTGTAAATTCTTCCGGACTTGCCGTTTTCCTCAAGCAACTCCAAAATAAGTCGATTGACTGTCGGTCGGATTTAAAACAAAAAAAAAAGATTTTGACAATGTCAGGAAAAGTAAATTATCCAACTGCCTTGAAGATTCTTGATTGAACCGCGTGGTAGCTCCTGCCTCTTTCGGCAAAGTGCGCATTCGATCGCCCGCACGAATTTCTTGGAGCAAGAACTGATCAAACAATCAGCGCAGAAAGTGTGTTGGCAGCTCAACATTAGCGGGTGGAAGAACGTGTCAAAGCAGATTTTGCATTTGACATTGGAAGCGTCTACGCGCAGCTCTTGAATGCTTTCATCAGCTTTCTTCGGGTTTAAACTTATTCAGCAGTAATATAAATAAAAAACCAACAGAATCTTCACCCGAGTCCCTATTTGATTCATCGCCGTCCGAGCACTCTCTGTTTCTCCCAGTCCCTCGAAGTACGAAATCGTCTCTTTCACCGCTTTCGAATCACTCATTTGGAGCAACTAACTCGCCGAACAGACATAGCTGACGCGTTGCGGGGAGCAGTGTTTTTAAGATGATCAGATAAAACAAACCGTTACCTATTTTTGTTGGCACTTTGACACCAGCGACGTCATCTTATAAGGAAATTCTTTTAGAAACCCGGTTGGCTTTTTGTTCGAGTTTAATCGAAATATCTATCAAGAATATGCTTACCAGATATTTATAAGAACACTGTTTCTGATATTACATATGCCAAATTTATAGGGCAAGATAAATCAAAATAATTCTGATGCATTTTCAATTAGAAGCAAAAGACTGTATAAAGCGCCGAAAGTGATTAACCCTTCGAGTGTGTTTTCTCGCAGGTATCTAAATTAAAACCATAAATTGTGTTATCTGTCCTGTCGCTGGGATTAGTCTTTCTTCAAAATCAATCTGGCCGGCGCCAAAAATGTAAAACGCCACTCGGTCAGAGTCTGCTCCTCTCACTACCGTAGCAATACAAGAGAACAAGCAAAATAGTCTGAAAGTTTTTTTTTTGCATTTGAGCCAGTTAGAGCCTGAACTTAGAAGTCAGAGGAAGGTATTCGATAGATAGGAGTATTCCTATTATAAGGCTTGTTCACAAAGGGATGTAGAATAAGGCAATTATTCCAACAAGTGCAAAAAAATTAAGAAACTATTGTATGTTGTAAAATCTCGAAAAATACTTATGCGACCGGTATTATCACTCAAGTCGGTTGAAGACGTTAAGATTTTTTCCATATCCCTACCAAAGATCTCAAAGCGAAGCCATAATGAGCGATGACAACCCTTTAGCTGATTTCGGCTTCAATGTAAGTTAGAGAACGCCCAAGTACGCCGCTTTCATATTATTTAGTGTTCAAGTTTAAGACTGCGGAAGTTGGAAAAAAGATCGCAATGTAAGAAATTTTCTGTAAAGGGTTTTTATTTTAAATTTAGCAGGACCGATTTTCCCGAAACTGAAGGTTAACGGGACTTATTTAACGAAGGATCAGGCAGTAAGAAGTCATTTCGAAATTGCAATTTTTAGCTTCAAACTCTTTCTAGCTAAGCTTGGAAACAACGTACGTTAAAGAGTGTTTCGACTGTCAGGAGCAACAAGAGAGCTGTCTTCTCATAGTTTGAGTTACAACTGATTCATTCACAGATGTTCAGGAAATTACCCACTTTCGTAATTTTTATAAAGATCGAGAATATTTCCAACTTTGAAACTCAATTCAGGATTCTATTCAATAGGCGCCGCAATACTTATATTTCGCCAGCTGATCAAAGGTCTTTTAAATTTAAGCGAACTTTCGAGAAAATCTTTTTCAGTGATAACGAAACGTCTTAACAGAATATTTGGAGAAAAAGTTAAGTGCTATTCTTTGTTCCTTGGTTCGAAATATATCTCTTCTATTTCAAGTCGTCAATGCTTTTTTGAATTTGTCTTTTCAAATACAGATTTTTCCTCCTTGATTTCAAAGGTGCTTCGCTTTGACCACCCCTGAGCCAGGAACAGCAGTCGGCTATTTTTTTCGGCTGAACACTAATTCTTCGGCGATTAGCTTTTGTCGCCTCCTGCAGCAGCACACAAAGGGCGCCCGCCCACCGCCATGAGCCCGCCTAGACGCCTCCTAGTGTGCCTTGTTCCTCTTCTCCCCCTTGTGAGGGTTTGTGTCTGACTTCACGGAGAATTGTGTGCCTAGACCTTAGGGCTCTTCATCTGTGAAACGAAAAACGAAAAATCAGAGAAACAGAAGAAGAATAAAAGATCTACTCGTCAAGGAATGATTCTACTTGAGTTAAAAAGAATCGTCTTTCTCATTTCCTTTGGATTTATCTTTCCGTCGTGTGTTTGTGGAAGCGCTTCCTGTGGAAAGGCGGTACGTTTCTTGTATACATATACAGTGGTGAATCCTCGATTGGGAAGGACGCGCTGAATCCTCGATTGGGAAGCGGCAGCGCATATAGCAAGCCAATCTCTAGAGAAGTGCGGTGCGGACCGAATCCTCGATTGGGAAGCGGCAACTCAAAGTGACCTTCCCAATCGAGGATTCACCACTGTAAATGAGAGATTTTATTTGCATCGACTTTTGAGAGAATAGAAGGTTTACTCTAGATATCCGACGGCATCTATGACTTCGAAGAACCAGACAAACTCACCAATACTGGGAAGAGACTTGATGCCGACGCGGACAACGGGTAATGTGCTATAATATCCTATAGTACTATTAGAGATTTTACTATGGGAGAGTGTCCTTTTTTGTCATTGAAAACCACGAAAGTTTGATTTTGCGTCATTTCTCATAAAACGAGCGAACTTTTCATCACAACACTCGCTCCCACGCTTCCCGCTGTTAGATTCGACAAGAGTCGATTTGTTCTATTTTCAACTAATCTCTCGGACTCTTCTAATCATGAGGAGTTTAGATAAAACGAAAATAAAAATTTTGAAGGTTCTTCAAGGAAAATGGACAGTATGTTAACCCCGTGGGAAATTCCAGTACGGCGGCAGCGGGCATGGTCCTTGACGCCTTCGAATGTCTGATGGATGAAGCGCTTCCTAAATCCTTTCCGTGGCACGTGGCAATTTATAGTATCAAGACAAGGTTTCTTCTTTCCAAAAAACTTTATAAATTAAGATGACTGGAACTAGATCAAGAAAAGTTCATTTACCGCTTCGCAGCATATGAGTATACTCATTGCGTCTGGAAGGCCATGAAAAGGACATACCAGTTATTTACGTCTATGACGGGATTTGACGCGAGAAAAGGCCGCATATTAATGAACATGGAATTGATTGGAATAAGCATAAATGCATCTTTATGGGTTTCGAGGCAAAAGAAAACCAATTTAAGAAACAGTTAATCATGTGCTCCGGTGTACTGATCCATCCGAAATGGATTCTTACGAGGTACTTAAATGGTCGAAGAAAAATAATGACGGAGAATCTAGTTCATTTATAACTAAGTTCTTTTGAAATATAAAATCATGTGAAAGTAGAAATTCAGCGGGTCGTGCCTTATGCGCAAGATTGTGATCCTTGGAGGCGTGACGGACATTCAAAGACTCAAGCACAAGCTGAACACTGGAGAAGCGCAGCGCAGATTCCCGCTCTGGAGTGGTCGCCATAGCCGGAAAGAGGACAAAGGTGCTTATCGCCCGCCACAGCACGAAGAAAGGGCCAAGTTCAAGCACAACATTGCATTGATAAGGGATGAAAAGACGTCAGATACTACAGTTCTCGCGTCATTTGAACTTTTTTTATCCCTTGCCAGATCGAGCTGGACGAACCTTTTGAAGAAAACGAATATGTCAAGGAAGAGTTAATTATAACGCTCAAAATAAAAATAGCATCTTATCGAAGCTCTAAATCAATAGACACAATTTCTTAACTCGCCTCTTAGCCAATCTGCTTACCAGAGCGTTCTTTCGATCTTGACGTTGGGACCACCTGCGTTGTGACAGGATACAAGAGCAAGCCCACCATCACCACCATCTTCTCGAGTCTGATGCATCAAATCTCTTCCGTCAGGCCCCTGGATGTCTGCAATGGCTACACCTACGAAAACGGGCCCACGAAAATGCAGAGCGATCGGCGAGCAATTGACGGAACAATGTGTGTTTCTGCTGGATGCGTTTGCATGCGAAACGGAATGCCTTTCGGTACATCCTTCTTTCGAATACTTTCAATAACAAATTTAGTCTGCACGGTTGAAAACACCGACGGTTCGGTTCAATACGTCTTGTCAGGAATAAAAATAAGCGACGGAAAGAATACGAAGCGACAGACAAATCTAAGACGACTGAAAGACTCTGCGTGCGGCCGATGGCCAAGACTCTTTGTCCCTGTTGCTCCGTATGTCGACTGGATTCACTCGGTAATTGACGGAACGTTTCGCTACTCGCCAAAAAGTGATGCCTCAAGCGATCTTGACGAGCAAGAGCAAAGAGAATTTTTCAACTCGGACAGCTACGACCAGGTGGACGACTATGACATAAACAACAGTCCGATCGAAGAAATGGACGACAAACAGCGTAATCCGCAACGTTCAGAAACGCTACGACACCAAGAGGTTCTAATGCAGCGAAAAACTAGTTTGTTTTTATTGTTGCTGACAAGCACAAGTGCTTTCTCGCAAGAAGTGTCTCAAAAAGAAAATTGCCTGTTAAAATAGATACTGGAGGCTCGAATATTGATGAATTAATGAAAAACGATTGCTGTAAGCAGTTTTTCAAAGTTTCTTATTACCAAAATTAACCTAATTATCATCTCGATTGAAGTTCATCGCTTTTTAGGTTTTGCTTCCGCAATCGACCGGAATCTACAGTCACCATTCGGCACTCACTGAGGAAGACAGGCAGCTGCTTGAGCTAGTAAAGAAAATGAACCAGGAGAAAGTAGTCTCGAAGGGATGCTTGGACGACAACGACCCGATCGGGTTCAATTATCGTGGAGGAGCCAATTTCATCAATGCAGGTAAGTTTTTCTAAAAAAAGCGCAGTCGCGATGAAGAAATATTACAGGAATTCCTTGCATGGACTGGTCTGAAACACGCTTCAAGAAAGAAAAACACCCAAACAAGGGTTTAGACGCCAACTATTGTCGAAATCCAGACCGTGATCCCAAAGGACCTTGGTGCGTTTACTGGGCGCCGGTCGAGCTCAAGAAGAAATTCGGCTACTGCGATATTCCCAAGTGCAGTTAACTTCTATCTTAAACACGTTGAAACTCAAGCGCTGGAATTCATTCATTCATCGACCCGAAAAAAAAAACAAGAAACATGTAAATTCTCCTCGTTATGAATAAATAAAATAAAAGCAAAAATTCTCTTCCAAAAATACTTTTGAAATGTTTTATTGGGATTAAATCAATCGTTTTACGTTTGTAATGGAGGGCACTCGATCGAGAAAACGTTTGTATACAATTGTTATGACAAGCTCAAAACACTGGCTCCGGGTGGCTTGTACGATGCGGTTAACGTAGACGTTAACTGCTTCTGAAAGGTTGGCACCACCTTTCTAGTCTTTTTTTATGAAAAAAAGCGCGGTAAACCTCACTGGATGCTTAAAAATGCACGTTACCGGTGGGTTTGTTACCATAAAAATAGAAATTACGACCGCCGCCTTTATTATCACCAACAACATAATCTGCGGAATTCCGACACCCTTAGGGCTCTTCAGTTTGTCAGCACTTTTGTTTTTTTTTTAAATAGCCGAGTAAAACAAAAAACACCAACATTCAAAAATCGGGCGGTTAATCGCATTTTTGCAAAAATTTTCCAGTAAGCTACTAATTTACATGAATAATCTGGCGAAGCAAAAGCATAAAAAACACTCGTTATTTTTACTTCAGTCATTTTATTGGGGCCACAAACAACAATATAGAAAAACAGTACTTTAAATACTGTAGCTTAACAATCTTAACCTACAGTATTTGGACTATATCATATAGTCTATATGCCTTCTTAGCCAATTCAGTATTTTTGCTTTCTTTTTACATTTGGAAAAAGGCTCGGTCAGCGGTAGAGATTTAGAAGTTGTTGGTATCGGACATTAATAGTTTTAGTGCGAGCCTAAAGGCATACTATTGTGATCTTGTTTTAAACGTAAATATATTCGAGTCGCTGCTCAACAAGACGAATGCCATGGTAAAGCGTCGTGCACGGAACCCAGGCTCTGAAAAAAATCTAGCGCTCGAGTACAGCGCCGCGCCACCATCCTCGTTCTTTTTTTTTCGTGAAGCCGGTACTCCGCCGCTAGCGAGCAAAAAACGAAAAATAATAAAAGAAATTCATCCTTATTTATTAATCACATGTGGTGTTTATGACATATGAACGTGAGCAAAACAGAAAGAGATATTCAATAACCGACGAGATAAGAGATTCGAGAGCATTCCCAAATTCAACGCAAATACAAGAAAAATTTTCAAAAGAAGGTAGCGACAAACGCATGGTAAAAATCCATCGACAAGCTAATAGTTCTAAATTACTAATAATTACAAAAAAGAGAAACGGAATTGAAAATTCTGCCACTTTGTAGAACGCACTTATTTCGAAAATCTTGTCAAGCTAATTGCGTTTTCTCTTATTAAGACGCTCACGAATTTTTTTACATCTCAGAAATCAGAAGTATGATCTGACAGAGAATTCAGGCAGCAGCGCAGTTTAACTGCAAAATGTGTACGATTTCCTTTCATCCCCGCTTCGCCAGTTTGTTCGGCCGCTTAATCCGCGGTATTCTGCAATATGGCTGGATTCCAGGTATTTTCATGATAAAATTTACAAGTTAGAAGTAACTTGCTTTGTATAGTAGCTCGAATAATCGTAGCTCAATTAATTTGCCCGGTTTGATTGGGATAATGGACTAAACTTTATCCACCTAATTTTGAGTAAACTGACTCACTATTTATGCAACATAATTACACGAACATCAATTAAAATAAAACGAAACTCCGGAAGAACTTCATTGAAATGTCTATCATTAACAGTTCCCGACTTTTTGATTAGCTATGCTGTTTATCTACATGTCGCCACCTCAAAACGCCGTGATTGTCGAACGAAGCGAGCCGCTAGCAACGGAAAGCAGCAAGCTCAAATTCCAGAGTGCAGGAAAGATCTGAATTTTGCGATCGGCAAAGAATATTATTCAACCGCAAACAGAATTTCACTCGCGGTCGCCCACTATTGCCCAGATATTAAATGATTCTTATCAAGTACGTGCGCAAGGGGTTAGATTAAATAGTCTAAAAATTTTCAATCTTCAAGAAAAATTAAGCGCAGAAAATTAAGGGAAAATTAAGTCAACTCACTTTAACAAGTTCTACTCCCGAAAATCGTTGAATTCCTTATTGCCTTACTCGATTTAAGATAAATCTTTAATTCGTGTAAGGAGAGAAAAAACACGCCGTAAAGCGACCGCGTGGGAGGCACGTTAGCGGTCGACAAATTCCATAAAAAAGCATGTATTCAATCTCGATTAAAGAGGCTCTCCATGTCGCTGCATCAAACATTGAAACAACTGTTGCGTCTGAAATTGCGTCGCCGGTTGAGCCTAAAAGCAACGATGCTAGTAATTACGCGGCATCGGCGGATTTCGCGGCCGAGAAGGCAAAATTAGATCAGAACTACGGACGCGCTCTGGGACAGCTCCCTCCACTAGGCACGTGTTGGAAATATCACATTTGAGCTTCTCAAAACAAAAAAAAATAATTTTTTTTAACTCGTTATTAAAAGATTCTCCTCCCATTTCGACCAACTTTGTCTTCCACAACAAAATGCCTAAATCCGGATCAACTACGATGAAACACATCCTAAGGAGAGATTTTCAAAAGCAAACATCTAATTTTGAAGAAATTTGCTTTTAAAAATGCTTCTAAAGCGTTTTGTCGAAGGAAAATAACTTTATCCTCGATCACCAACGGCTTTGTATCTCGGACGATTGCTCAGCTGGTGCTGATGACGGAGCTAACGGAATCAAAATGGTGAAAGAGCATTTAATTGAGAAGCGGGCGGCTAATCCCAACTCAAAATACTTGTTCCTCAAACATCATCACTGGCTTAACATGACCGAGCTGGGTCTGGAGAAAGCCACTTTCATTAATGTCGTTCGCGATCCAATTACTCGATTCGCTTCTAGGTAAGTCATTATCCTTTCCGACTACTAGTCCAATAGAAGCTTCTTTAAGATACTACTTTAATCGTTTCGGCTGGGGACTGAGTTCTGGAGCTCGCCGACAAACGTGGAAAAACGACCAAGAAAAAGACCAGACTCTGGATGAGTGCGTTGCTAATGGATCAGAAGAGTGCATTGAATCGCTACAGGTTCAAGTTTAATTACTAAATCTGTCTAACTGTGACCTACAAGGTGATGGTGCAGTATTTCTGTGGCACTGACGCCGCTTGTGGGACAAAAGAAGGCGATGGCATGGAACACGATGCTGGGGAAGTGAAGAGAACCGACTGGCAAAAGACTTCAAGAGCCACCGAAAAGGCCAAACAAAACATTCTCAAGGATTACTACATGATCGGCGTCTTAGGTTTCTTAATGTTGAGCTTGTAACGGAAAATAACTATCACTAGAGCATTTTAACGAAACGTTGGACTTATTCGACAAGATGCTTCCCGAGTTTTTCCGCGGGGCAAGAGCAGCATCTCAAAGCGAACGTAAGAGAATATGTTTGTTTTAAATAATCACACATCCCTTCAGAGGTGCTAAGCAAACGAGAATCTTCCAAGACGGCGCATAACGCTGGCTTCTCCAACCAAACACGATTAGCACTTGAGAAAGGACTCCTCCGCTACGAAATGGATCTTTACAACCTCTGCAAGGCAATTTTCTACCGGAGGCTCAAGTTCCATGGAATCGAGCTCTAGAGACCCTTTACTATGAAATTTTGCAACTATGCTTCACTCAAGTTAGTGTAGTGTTCTTTCCATTGCACAGTTAGTATATAATAACCAATATAAATATGCCTATCACAAATATTATAAAGACAATAAAATGTTCTTCAAATACAAACGTTTCAATTATCTCAGAATTGACAAGTTTGCAGGAAAATATAAAAAATAAAATTTATTGGGTTAAATATAAAAATACGAGTCATTTGAACTGTATGTTATCTGGGCACACTTCAAAATCGAGTCGAAATAAATACAAAGATAGAACTAGTCCTAGTGAGATCTTGAAACGAGCAGCGATCTTCTATGAAGATTCTTCATTGAGAGATGGGATGATTTCGTCTTCATCGTGGATTTTTCTGAACGAGCATTTTGCTAAGTCGTTTTTTTTGGAAATCAACAACGAGTATTCAGAATACTGTTTTCTAAAGCAACCCGAAAATAAATGCCTTGCCTTTCAATAACTGGTTCGTCGGAAGACTGCTCAGAGCTTTCTTCTTCGTCCTTCATTTTGCTCAAGTCAGCGTGAGTCTTCTTTCTCTCAAGAACGATTTGTCTGCGTTCTTCCATCATCAGAGTTTTTTCACGCTTGAGACGGAATTGTTCCTGAAGAAATTATAAGGACTGAGGTCAGTTGAGCAATCCACGTTTATTTTCATCATTTAAACGTACCTCTCTTCGTTTGGCTGCAGCCTCCTTCTCTTTTTCGATATCTTCGAGGTTCTTGATCGGCTTCTTTTGAATTGGTGGGAGCTTGGAAGGAAGGCGAACAGGAGAGTTGTCCCCAATCGTGTAGGAGAAAGCTGTGCTTGTCACTTTTGGCTCCTTGATTTGTCTCATTCAGGTTTTATCGAAGAACACCGAAAAAAGGTCATTTTTGTTCAATTTCTAAACCTTGCCTTTCTTGCTCGAGTTGTTCAAGAACTTTTCCCATTCGGACAGTTTTAGCTATAAAATTAGTCTTAGAAAAAAATACGTGCAGATGGAGGAATTTTTGGAAACACTTACTTGCTGTTTCGTCGACTTTTCTGCCGGCGATGCAGAAGTCCGGCGTCTCCGGCCGAGAAGCGTTTTCGATCTGCGCTCTGGTCATTTCGTCGCCGAAGTCTTCCGTGATGATCTGAGTGACGGATTCGTCGTCTGAGACGTCTCCGGCGACGCTCTCTTGGGGGCACCCGGAGTCCTTGCTCGACACCTATTTATTTAAGTCAATCAAGCACTTCTTGCGTTGCCCGAGAAACAATCATTAAAAAATGTTACCTTGGAGGCTTTGGAGACAGCGGAGTAAACCTTGGTCGATTCTGAACGAGCAGAAACAAGGGGACTTTGCGTGGAGAGATTTTCTTCAATCTTCTTCGAAAATCTTGGAGTCTCCTCTGGCTCGATGGCATTCTTAGCCGAGAAGCAGCAACCAAAAGGCATTCTAAACTCGGATTTCGTTTTTTTCTCTCGCCCGCAAAAGCAGTTCCAGGAAACTGCCCGTCCAAGCCAAAACAAAACAAACACAAGGGGTGATTCTCGAAAAAAATCACCTTCACTTCGAAAACAGCGCGGAAATACAAGCAGAATCGACAATAGCCCGAGCGAGTGCCTCTTCAAAGCAAAAATAAGAATAGTAAAGCGAAAGCGCCCTCGTTCAATTTCGAAGCCTATTCAGAAACGCGCCGCCGGCAAGTACATCCCTGGGAGCGAGGTGAACGAGCGCGAGATTTATTCAGATTTCCAAATAAAGAGCAGCGAAGAGATGTGACATTTTGATGAAGCTCTCGAATAAACTGATCCCAAGTCCACTTGACATTGAAATCAACTCAAACGCAACGTCTCTTTCTTACCAGTATTTCAACCCGATTCAATCGACCCTGCAAAACTATAGAAATCTCTTTGTTTACTGCAGTAATTACGAGTTTACGAATGTTACTGCGTGTTTGGATGCGTGAATGGAGAAAATTGCCCTGTGGCGCGGTCTAGGCGAATCAACGCGCTTGGGAGATTTAGCGGTGCAAAGTTCGCGACTTTTTCCGAAAAAGGAAAAGAGAAATGAACCAGCATTTGATTCTTCCGAGGGCTGGCCTTCCAAAGAGGTGGCAGAAGTTTGGCGACATGATTCTTCTCCCGGCTGGCAGAGAATTCACCGCGGAAGAGCTCGGGAATGGCGAAACTTGCTCATTGAATATTTATTAAGTAATTTTTTGGTTTTACGATTTTCACCACTTTGGAAGAAAAAATCAAAACGCACTACAAGGTGAATCGAGTGGCACAGCAGCAGATCATCACGGTTCGTTTAGAAATGACTCCGCCTTTTTACGTTTGATTGAAGGACGATGCTGTGCGTACCCCCGGAGCGACGCTCCTTTGTGGGGATGATCCGTGGGTGCTCCAGAAAGAAAACGGCATCAGTTACGAATACAATCTGACGACGAACATGTTCTCCAGAGGGAACATCTCCGAAAAGATCCGTTTTTCCAAACTTCAAGTCGACGGGGAAGTGATTCTCGATCTCTTCTGCGGCATTGGCTACTGGGTATTACAGGTGCGTTAAAACGCTCAATGAAAGTTTACAGATTTTCGAAGATGGCGAAGCATCAAAATCCAGCAAAAATAATCTGCGTCGATCGGAATCCAAACGCCACTGCTGCGCTAGAACGAAATATTTCTTTGAACAAACTAAATAAAGAAATATTCGAAATTCGGACGGACGATTGTCGAAATGTGAAGGGACTCAATGCGAACAGAATATTTTTGGGCTTGATACCCTGCTCCTGCTTTATGATCAATGAGAAGACTTTGGATCTGTTTGCGAAGGCGAGAACAAGCTGGATTCATATCCATCACAACTTTACTGAGGATTGTGGGCAAAAGGGAACAAGGGCGGACACGAAGCTTATTACCAGTGACTGCCTTGAAGAAGTCCGTCGCTCGGATAAAATAGGTTTCACAAAAAAAACTGTTCCGTTGTTAAAATCTCTTTCAGAGGATTTGAAGATAACCGACGGACGTGAGAGTTGTGAGTCTGAGAATAGTGGGCTGCTGCAACTGGCGAATTTATTTGCAATATCTTTGATCGGAAAACGAAGTGACGTTGCTCAAATCGTCCTCGTCAACTCTTCAAAAGTGAAATCTTACGCTCCACATGTCTATCACTACGTTTTCGATCTTGAAATCATTTGGAAGTAGCGCGAGAAACTAATGCTTAAAAATGCACTATTCAGAATGAATATAAATTTTGTCTAACTGGGCAGAAAACTTGGGCCTCGAACGGACTTGACGAAGCGTGGGCAAAGATGGTCGATGTTAAACATGTCGAAGAAATGATCTTGGAGGATGTGGAAGCACACAAGGACTTCATCGAAGCGGCCAAAGTTGTTGTGCTGTTCCTCGTTCAATGGGTACGTCGTTTCACAACCTCGGGAGTTGACGTTCTGTTAAGATCTCTGCAGGAGCGATGGTCTTCGGAGGCGTTGTTCCATACATTCCGCAGTATAGAACTATTGCTCGATCGGGCAACACTGATGGCTTCTCTCCTATGGTCTGTTTCGTGCTGTTGATGGCAAACTCTTTGCGAATTCTCTTCTGGTTCGGCAAGCATTTCGAGCTGCCTCTTCTGGCGCAGGTAAAAAGTCGGCACTAGAGTTCTCGATGAGAAGTATTTCTTCAGAGTTTCATAATGGTCGTGGCGATGATCGCGATGGTCGAGCTCTGCGTCCGCGTCAGGTCAAAGCAAGAAACGGCAGCGAAGGAGCATCATTTCTTAGGTAGTAAGAGCGTCTATTCACACGTCAAATATGACTTGAAGACTTCGACATGCGATACTTCTGGCGGTGGTCACGATTCTCAGACTTTATGCAGTGTATTCTATCGATCTGGCTCACTCTTTCTTACGTAACTTGGGTTAGTTAGAATCTTACATCTGTTTTCTTATGCTTTGTAGCTATTTCTAGGCTTCGCTTGGTACGTGGAAACGCTAGGATTTCTAGCAGTCTTCATTGAGGCGATGATAGGGGCTCCCCAATTCCTCAAAAATTACCAGAATAAATCCACATTGGGCATGTCTGGTGAGTTTCTTAAATAGCTATTCCTGCCTAAGTTTCCTTTCAGTACATATGGTGTTAATGTGGACATCTGGGGACTGTTTCAAGACGATGTACTTTGTCCTTAATTCGGCGCCGCCGCAGTTTTGGATTTGCGGTCTAATTCAAATCGGGGTCGACTTGTCTATTCTCGCTCAAGTCTGGTACTACAGTATTCCCAAATACACGATTTCGTACTCCAAGCCGCGCCTGGCTGCATAGAGCCAAAATGAACCTTAATACTTATCAAATATTGCGCTGCTAAATATTTGAAAAAGCCTGCCCTTTTCTTTCCAAATATCCTTATTCAAGGAAGTCATTATTTCTGTTAGATTTCTTGCTAATTTCTTCCTGAACGAACCAATTCAAACTGCAATACTTATTCTGTCTTTTCTGTAAAATAATATATATTTATAACTTCAAGAATCAAACTCGGGAGGGATTCTTTTGATCATTTCCGACATTTATAAACATTAATTGTTCGAATTCTAAAACATGAAGATCAAGCGAAGTGGCAGTTGCGTACAGTGCAATTGGCATAGGTGATTGATTGGTAGAAAGGCGCGAGAGTTGGTTATTGCCAGAGTCTGTGATTTCGTTTGTGCTCGGCGTAAAGCTTTCTGAGTAAATATGAATGGTACTTTTCGTCAAAGCGGGAAAGTCCTCGTCGTCTTCGGCGTGTGAAGATTTCAGGGACCTTTCCATGGGCGGCGTTTTCGAAGGAGCTCGTCGAATAGCCAAATATTCTAGTAATGAAATGAATAAATAGAAACATCCTCACGGATAAAAATATACCTAAAGTCTTCTCTGTAAGCGTGATGCAGCCGCTCGACTGTCACGTGGCTGACCTGAACGAAGTAATCTTCTGGTTTGTGGGAATGAAGCGGGCTGCTGTCGTACATTTCTTTTGGAGGAATCGGAAAATTTGGTTTCAACTCGCTAATAAATAACTGTTTTTTTGGTTCCTTTCCTGGCAGCTGAATATGCGGAATGTGTGATATATTAGCCTGGTTAATTATAAACTTGGAGTCTTGAGAGCTTGTTTCCGCCTTTGTGATGAAGTCGAAGCGTAATTGACATGGCCGGCAATGGTAATTGAAGGTCTTCCAGTGGTGATCGAAGCGTTGCCGATTGCCTATCCAGGCGACATAATCAGCAAAGGCTGGGAATGAAATGTAGTATTCCTCAGGTTTCTCGTAATAATCCTGCTCAAACTTTGTAGAGATGAAGCTTCCATACTTTCGGAACCAGTAAGTTTCGCCGCCAGTCTTTCGATTCTTCGGGAACTTGTCCCGCCAAGCCGAGACTAGCCGAGAAAAGGGATGCCGTGCGTTCATGAACTTGGTGTATTGCGGGTCGTTGAGCTTTTCGAGCGCGAGTCTTTTTCCCTCCTCTTCGCCATGCTCCGTGGCTAGCTGGGAGAATCGGGGCAACTGGTTGTACACATTCGATTTCTTGAAGTGGTCTGTATCGTAGATCCCGTCGTATTTGAGCACGGCCATCATCTTTTGCCAATTCGTCGTGGCTGCTTTCGGAGCAGCGCACATAATTACCTTGTACTTGTCATCGTAGAATACTTGTGTAACGGAGGAAAGCGTGAAATTCAAGTTCTCAATTGTGATCGGCCCAGACGCGTCAGTAAGCCCGCATTCTTCATCGTAGATTCGTTTTCGTAATTTGAAGCGATTCGCGACTTCTTCAGGGGAAATGTCTTAGACAGCTATAGCGTAACTTTTGAGTTTATTTATTTCTCACCTAGTGCTAGGTCAATGTCCTTGTCTTCCATCTGCTCTTTCGTGAGTTCAGTTTCGTCTTCGACTTCTTCTTCGAGAACCTCTTCATTGAAGGTTTCTTGGTCTTCGATAGCGTCCTCGAATTCCTCGCCCCAAGTCTCGATTTGCTGAAGATCTGGATCTTCTTCTAATAGTTTTGCCAGAAGGGATTTCCTATCCGTTTTGGAAAGCTTCCCCACATCCAAGTCTTCCACGACATTTTGATAGTTAATTTCTGAGATGGACTCGATTTCCGCTTCCGACTGGCCGTAGAGAATAGCTCCTGTGATCAGAATGAAGATAACTAATGCGATGTATTTCTTCTGAAAGGAGCTTGGTCGCGCTTCTAAAAATATTTTACCTTGCTGATAAGAAGTGTTCACTGGATAAAGTATTCACTTTTAGTACCATTTATCGATAATATGATATCCTCGCCATTCAGTAGAGACTGTGTTTCATAGGAGGTGGTATCTCTCATTGTTAATCATCTAGTTTCTAGCCCTACAACCTTAAGTTTTTCTGTTATCATATAGTGAGAGAGAAGCGCACTTGCGATTCCCCCAGGGCAAAATATCCCGCAGCACTTCCATCCCTTTTTTAAAATGAATAAGCTAAAGCCCCCTTGCTTGCAACGATACAGGAAATTAAACTACTACTTTATTAAATTTATCTCTTTAAAAACATCATCTACTGATTCAAACGACTGTCATTCCGGCTACAGTAGTTCATACTTAGCATGCAGATGCTCCATTGTTTTTGAGAACTTTGCATAATTCAAGAATACGCAAAAGTTTTTCTCTTACTTGACGAACTATCTTCAACCATAAAACACCATCCACGATAACAATTGTGAGGTAACTAATGATGCAATAAAACTGACTGAAAGCCAGCAAAATAGTCAATCAATGGCTGATCATTTGCTCAATTACCAGCCAAGCGAGTTTTTTTATAAAAAAGGATATCTTTATTGTATTGTACAGAAGTTAACGAAGTTTGTCGTCGGTGACGAAAAGTGGAAAGGTGGCGTTTTAGGTCTAATTTCAGAAGAAGTTGTTTAAGAACTTGTTGCGGAGGGTGGAAGCCGATAAGATCGGTTGGAGGCAATTGTCATCTCATGTCCGATGAGCCCATTAGTTTCCTATACATTTTGTTGCCGAGGTAAGGCCCGAATTCGTGAATCATTTCGTCCAATTGAATAAGTTCTTGGTTTTGGTTGATTTCCGGGCATATTCTTTTTCGCAGTTGGTCCAAAATGTGTTCGAGTCCATCTGAGTGAATTGGGTCGGATTGTAAGTCGTTTTGGAGATTTTCAATTCTTTCGGATATTTTAGGTAATCTATTCGAAAAAGGCGTTAAAAAAACATCAAAAAACTAGGAGCTTACCTTGGAATAATGATTTTTCTAGTGACATCTGAGCCTAACTCGGATAAACCCACAATCGAGCCGTAAAGTTGTGCAAGTGCTGCGTCCCTTCGATCCAAAGGTTTCTGCAATGATTGCACAATTCTATACGGAATTAAAAAAAATTGCCAAACAGAAACTGTTTACCTAGTCTGAAGCATCGATGTAGTAGTAGTGAAGTTTTTCGAGATTTGAGCGAGAACTCGTGCAGCGTACTGCCTCAGTGCCCAGTGGTTTTCGCCAATTCTCTGGCATAATTGTCTCGATACAACGCATGAAATAACGACAGGAATAATTTCGTGAAGATACATATCTAAAAGAACCTTTTTCGATGTCTGACGAAGATCGCTTACCTAGTGACAGCGTAGGGTTGTCAAGAAGAGCTTTAACCATACGCATGAGGTAGATAATTAGTGCTAAAATTGGGATGAAGCGTGAAATCAGAAGAATAGGTCGCCTACCTAGATTATTTTCGTTTATATTGCATTTGATTCCTTCAGAAATGAAATTCGTGAAGCGAGGTAACATTGCATGAATGCCTGTATCTTCGGCCAGCGAATTCAAAGCTTCTTTGCGTATTTCTTCGTTTCTGCCAACTGCAGCCTGCGTTATCTCTTGATAGTACTTCATCTGTTCTATCGAGAGTTCGTGGCGCATCAATGGCTTTTGCTCCAGCGCTTGGGTCTGCCCCTTGTCGCCTGCTTTCTTCTCATTCTTTTTGTCTTTTCCTTTGTCTTCTTTTCCAAGATCTTCTGGTAGTTTCTTTGCCGAAAGATCATGAGGCGGCTTCTTGGCAGGAGCTTTAAAAAAGCATAAGAAATCGACTATAGTCTATAGAAATCCTTACTATAGTAAGGAGCGATTTGCCTTACCTGGATTTTCTGGAATGTTTGGCTGGACCCCGTCGATAACTAACCAATGCGCACGGATTTTGACTGGCGCTGGTATCTTTGATATCGAGTTGTCGAGAAATTTGACGAGATCAATCTCTCTGTCTTCGTTGAAGTGAAGTTCACGTCCACCCCCAGAGGCGAACCTCCACGGCAAGTAGTCTGTACACGTAAACCCATAGAGGGTTCTATCCTCCTCGCTTTCAGGGCAGAGTCGATATCTTTCGGGCCAAGCCGAGATCTTTTCGATTTGCGCATGAATTTCGCCGAGTCTTGTATTATTCTCTGAAGAGAATTTTAACGCTAGTCTGGCCAAATACGGCGCTTTTATTAGACATATCATTAAGAATAAGATACCTTCTTTACCTTGAGGTGGAACTTTAAATTTTCCGCCACGTGCCTTGCCGCATCTTCTGGGATAGACGTAATCCCCACCGATTCACCGAACAATTTGATTGTCTGGACACCTATAGAGTTTTCATCGGTCTCCATCTAAACAATACGCGCTCAATTAAATTGCTAGTCCTATCACTTCTTCAATAGGAACACAGGAGAACTGGCCATGACAGTGATTAAGCATTCTTTTTACATTCACAATAAATAGCTGCCATTAGAGTACATGGCGACTATTCTATTTATCCATTCAAAAGCTATATTTCAGCCATAATTTGCTTGTCAATATAAGTGCTTCTGAAGTCTTTCAAAATCCCCAACTGATTGTGGTAGAACTGCTTGAGAATGGGATTTTTGACAGTTTTGATGAAGGAGTGATAGTTACTCTCCAGTGACTTCACGAACATTTCGAGATGAGAGAAAATAATACTTCGATCTCTGGCGGGCCAGTCTTCGAACTGAGAATACACTGTGTCCAGAGGAAATGGCTCGTTTCGGTTACAAAGAGACCAATATCGTAAAAACTGTGCACGAAGAAGACTCCACGAACAGCCGGAGAGGCTGATGGCGTAGCCAGTTTCGAATCCATTACCCTTTGCGATCGGTAGCATTCGCTCTTCCAACACCGTAGTTGTCGGTATTTCTACCAAGTTGTATGGATTTTCGTTCCCTAATTATCAATAAAAACTGCCGAAAAGAACCGCCACTGCTAACCTAGAATGAACCCGTATTCCGACAACAAGAATGAGTCCGAGTGATTGCCGTAAGATATAAACAGTTGCTTGTTCTCGCCGATCGGACTCAATGTTCGAATCGTCAGCCGATCGTCGTAGTAACATGTTTCGGTGTTAGCTTCCAAGGAATGATTGAAATGGTCGAGAAGCGGGGCGAGTCCCCAGTTCAAAGTTGTATCCCACTTACTGTCGACGTGCTGTTCAATCTCAGGAGTCCAGTGCGGACCTCTCAAATAGATCGTCCTCGTATTCAGTTGCGCGAAAGCCAGTCTCAGTGCTTCTTTCAGTGGTCAAAAGCTGGCTTATATGTTACAAAAAGGACAAGTAAAGTCATCCAAAGTAAATCCAAAAGGAAATAAACTTTTGATCCATGACAACGGCAGATTCAGCGTCATTCGCGAGCTTTTGAATAATTTTTTCGACGGTGGCCTTTCTCTTCATCACTTTTGGCCTTAAATTTTGATCTTTTAGGTGTAACTGGGCTGAAGCTCGACAACGAACCTTGGCATACTTGGCGAAAGTCGCTCTCAGTCCAGTAGAGAAAATAGTTTGGGAACTCTTTCGGCAAGCTGTTAAAGTATTCCGGATAGTGGTCTTCGCAGTAGAAGGCCAAGTAAAAGACAAGAACCCACTCATTCGAGAGTTTCAATTCTAAGCGCTGCTTGTTCAGCTCTTCAATCTGATCACACAATTTCTTCCCTGTCAGAATCGTTTCTATCGGAAGTGAAATGATTTCATCGCCTTCACTAAGGGTTGCATTTGTCTTCAAGCCCCTCCCAGTCGTCTGAAAGTTCTCAACTTCGAGATGATTGATTCTCAGACGCTCATCGTTCTTCCATTCGTTCTTTAGACGCTCTTTCAGTTGATTTGCCATTCTGAATCGCAAAAGATGTGACGCTCATGTTTCGTAAGTGTGTATGATAGACATGCAATAGACTCGTTTTTAATTTTCATGAAAATGAGACGTGGCAGCAGTGAAATAGCAAACATTGGAAATTTGGAAGTACAAAAATCTAAAATGGCTCAAGGATCCATGAATTCGCGGAGCGCCTTCTTTTTGCGACGCTCTCTCATGCGCTTGCCACCTTTACGCTCTGAGTAGCCCGGGTCGTCCTTGAAGCAGAAGCGGCAAATCCAAATTTCGTCTTTCGGCAGCCGTCTGAAAATAAACTCCACACACTTTCAAAAACGTTTCTTACCGAAGAGCGACGCAAAAAGTGTGGAAGCCTCTATCGCAGCGGTCGCAAAACAATATTTGTTCCTCGTTTCTGCTCTGCGCACAAACGGTACACGTTTTGCACTCTATGCAGGCCCACGAGTAGGTCTGTATAACTTCATGTTGATCATCAGTGAGACCCAAGCAGGCCGAGTGCGAAGAACGATCGCAAACTTGGGGAAGAAAATGAGCATTTTTGCAGCAAAGCTTGAACAATACCTGTGCATCGGGCAAATTTGTCGCCTTCTGGATTGTACTTTTCGCGGCAAGTGCAACAGACATCGTCAGAGACACCTGATGCAGACGACTCCTTGTCCTCTTCGTGTTCCTCGACATCATTCTCCTTTGCGTTTTCTGATTCTTCGATTGTCCCCGCTTTTTCTTCTTCTTCCTTCACCTCCTCTGTTTCTTCTTCTTTTGCGGCTATCTCGCTCTCGTCCTCTGGAGACATTTTTAGTATTGCATTTTTCGTCAACAAAGCGCCAAATTACCTGAGACGAGCTCCTCCATCGGGTCCACTCTCAGCTCATCGTCGTCAAAAACTGTCAGTGCCAATTCATTTCCTTCAACTGGCAAGACTTCGAGGCAGGAGCTGAGGGGAAGCTTACGCAGTTCTGAATGATTCCTCTAAGAGCGCCAGAAAAAAGTAACTTACGCTGCGGCGAGTAGGTCTTGAAGTCGTTGTGATACTGTCCAGAGAGAACCGGGACGGGATAAGGTGACTTTCTTGTCTGCCAGTCTTTTAGTTTCTTGAATTGTCGAAGAGGCAAGTGAAGTCGGTTCGTGTTCGGCTCGTAGTAGGATTGGCAGGACTCCTTTCGCATTTGATTGAGCATTTTGTTGAAGGAAGCGACCGATTTCGTCGCCTTTTAGCTGGGCCGGCATTTCCTCCGCCGGGATCTCCACGATCATTGTTTTGTGCTGGTCTTTCATTTTGTATCGGATGTACTCTTCATGTTTGCTCGGGAACTCGTCCTTCATCAAGTCGAGCGCGTCACCCATGAGCATAGCCGAAACTCCGATCGAGTACTGCGCCTCGTTCAGATACTAAACAGAGCAATTCTAGCGCGAATGGTGTTTCAGTTCTACCTCGAGCGCGAAGAGATGCTTGATCTCCATTTGGTCCAGCTTCCTAGTCTGCACTGTGGGATACTTGCGCTTGAAATTCCCCGAAAAGTCCAAAAAGGCGAGCAGTTGCTCAGTGAGCACGAATTTGTATCCAGACTGAACCACGCTTTATTCAAAATGATTGAGAAATTTCTAGACTCACATCTGGAGGCCACTCGTACTCATTCAACTTTTGCGTGTAGTACTGCGTATTAATAACATCATTGTTGGCGTTGGCGATTGACCTTCTCAGAGCAGACATGCGAAAAACTCGCCTTTTTTATTCGCGAGATTTGGATTGAGAGCGAGACAGAAAGAAAGAAAAATGCGCCTCGGCCAATTGCCCGCGCGCGATGACTCACTGCGTTTTACCCCGCGTACTCCACCGCCCTTTTCGTCTTTTCCTCGCTGGAACGTTTTCTTCCTAATTTACTTCATTATCCGAAACGTCTATCATATATTTGCTGTTATACGAAAATATATTCAAGATATTTTTGTAATAAACTAATCCTAACTAGCCTCCTAAGAAGACCTAAGTTCGTCCAATTTTTAAACTAAATTCTAGTTCGCCCATCATGATGATTGGGAGGAAACCCCGAATTTTGTTTGAGATTTCTATAAGAAGCGGAAAAAAAGCGGAGAATAGAGTCGCTGTCGTGGAGCATCTAAAAACCATAATGAGAGCGGGCGCCGTTGAGCACCGACCTAATCGAGCGACCGAGCAATTCATACTTACCTGGGCGGAGGGTAACCTCGATCAAGTAGGGGGTTCCCTTATGGCGAGGCCGTACCATTGCACACCGGCGCGGCTGACCTGTATCTCTTTGCCAAATCGGTGGAGTGTCCGTCACAATTTCTGATAGTGGGGTTCTGCGTTCGCGCGAACCCCTTCCAAACTCGAAATTTCCCTCACGGGACAAATTTGCATCTGCAGCTTTAGTTGCAGGTTCCTCAAAAGGGCTCTCCACCGGCTCATCATTTTCACAGGGCTGAGGTCTCAGAAATCTGCCTCAAGAATCCTTAGTTTACCAACTGATCAATAATATAAATTTGAAGAAAATTGATAGTATTTGGCAAGCAAAATTCTGGCTTTTAGTGTGCTCTTCGAAAAGGTATTAGGGCAGGAAAACATAGAAGACTACCACTTTCAATTTTTCTTCAACCTTGCAGGAGAGGGAAACCGAAGTAGTGGATATCTGTGAATACAGAAGAGGAGTAGTCCACTGAAGACATTTCCGGCGATAGCAGAACTCTCGCTCGCGCCTGCCGCCTCGCGGTTTCTGCTGGTCTTCCCTGTCTTTTTTCAATCTGAACAAAGTAAACTTGAAAACGCGCAGAAGAGTTGCTTTTTGTCAGATCAGAACTTCGCTGATGAATGAACTTGGACCAAGCCAAACAATAAGAGAACGCATTGAAGCAAACTAGTTTTGTTAATAGGAAACCACAGCCCTTGGAGATACCGCGCCTGTATAAATTTTCTTAAAAGAGAGATGGATCATGAACACGAAGAACTTATTTGCTCAACTCTTAGGAACTTGCTTGGTCAAAAATCGTGTTAGACTGAGAATGCCACCGTCACTGATCTTCGCTGGATTAGTAGCGGTGTAAAGGTTAAGACAGCACTATTTGTTCAGTGATTAGAGCGTCAGTTGTAACTCTTATGACCAAAGAATCAGAACATGGTCCTTCATGGAACAGTGGAGAGCTGTCAAGTTTCGGGCTTACATTTTAGCTCTATATCATCTATTCAGCTCCGAAAGAATCTGTTATAGCTCGGCAATAGATGTTTCTTGAGGTGGCGGACAAGAACATGATTGAAATCCTTTACTCCATCTACCACCCGTTTAACTCGAAAGACCACGTCCTTCGCTATCGAAGAAAGTATGGAGACTCGTTTGTCAGTCTCTCCACAAATTACACCCGTGCAAAAGCTATCTGGCTTGAAGATCCCATAGTGCAGCGAAAGGGAACGGGTCTATGAAAACGGCCTGGGAAACATGAGTTTGATACGTTATTGTTAGCGCGGCTGAATAAAAGATAAAATTAAAAAAGCGATAATTTATTCAAGGATCCGAAAAAAGTACAACCAGTTCCGAGAAAAGTCGGCATACTTGAGCGATGGTAGTGATCGTCACCTTTTCCAGTTTTTGCAAAATGAACTCGACGTTCAAGCACATCGAATCAGCAAACTTGAGAATAAACGAGCTCGAATCGAAACAACCAGCGCGAAAAAATCTCATCGAAAGAAATCCTCAATGCAGCGAGCTTCCAATACCGCGAAATTCACGAAAATGTTCAGCGCCATGAGCGACTGTGGGAAACTATCGACACTTTCGCGCCTTTCAGATATTCTCGATTGCCGCCTTTGCTACTTCGTGTCTGTCTTCTTAGCAACGCGAAAATTTATTGGTAAGTAAATAGCAAACCGTGCAAATTGTGTTTCGTTTTTGTTCCACTATCCGGAAGACGACGCCTCGTCAATCACCTCAAGGAGTTTGAATAATATTCAGTTGAATAAATACTAGCTTTTTGTGGCCTCAGCTATCGGTTACAGTAGCGATCGATGCATAAATGCCTCCATCAGCAAGTTTCCGAAATTTGCCAAAATTGAAAGCAGTGTATCAACTGCTACTTGAAGTAGGATCGAACATATAATCTCTTAGATTTCTTCTCTCAGCTGCCTGAAGATGTATCGAAGAAGATACTGGAGTATCTTGGTCCGCAGTGCCTACTCAATGCGGGCATGGTTTCGAAAGCATGGAAGAATTTGGTGGAAGACAAAGACTTATGGAAATCCCAGATCAAAAACGCATCTTTCCCTATGCCAGTGTACGATGAAAACATGATCGCAAAAGACTTTTTCATGAAACACGCTCGACGCTTCCAAAGATGGAAATTGTTTAATCCCCTTACGCGAACAATTTCGAAGTGGCCAGCAACTCTAGGTGAAAAATAAAAATGACAAGTTTTTGTGCATCTTTTATTTTTAGTTGTCAAGCTCAATGATAGAATTATATCTGGGAGCAAAGGATGTGTTCGTATTTGGGAATCGTCAAAGGTATCAATTAACTAAAAGTCAATCGCAACGAGCATTTGTACTCAGATAAATATCGAACCAGAAGGAGTTGTCTCCATCGGAAAAGCAGATACAAATGCATTTATTCCTCTCAATAATCAGCTTCTCATATTCTGTTCAAATGGCTATTTGAAGGTTCTCGACTTTACAGGTAATTACTGATAGCAAATTACAGGAAACTATTGATTCAAACATATTCAGATTGCGCATCACGGAGTATGGAAGAACCCAAATTTGAACAGAAGCTATCAAAGCATCCACTGACTTGTGCTTCAAGATGGGTCGATAGAGCAAACGAAAATAACGGAGAAGTCATCGTTGTTGGAGATGGGGACGGAAACATCATTATTTATAATTACGAAGATAAGGCTATTAAAATGAAGAAGAAAATTCACAAAGATGAAGTTTTAAAAGTGTCCGTGCATTTCGCTTTTGATATGCAGGATGCTATAATTGTCTCTGGTGGAAAAGACTTTTCAATCAAGGTTTGACCGTATCATACGCTTTCAAATATAAGGAATCTTAGGTGACGAAGCTCTCAACTCTCACTCTTATGCATTCGTTTTCTATTGCATCTGCCTTAACATCCTTCCACGTTCTCTCTTCTGGTGAAATTATTATCGTCATGAAAAACTCAGTTGCTAGGTATATTTGTCATGTCGAATAGTACATAAAAGTCTCCTATTAGAAGCAATCTCCTCCAAATGAAAAGCGAGCCAGTTTGGGAAACAAAAGTATCAACATATTTTACCTCATCCGAAATTATCTTTCAAGATGGCCAAAGATGCATGGTTCTAATTGGAACTATCGAGGGGAAAATCTATATCGTAGACGCAGAAAGGTAAGATATCTTCCCAGAAACAAAAGTTGATTCGTATTTTAGCGGTTCGATTCAAAGTAAAACAAGAGCTCATCGTGGCGAAGTAAAAAGCATGCTGCAAATCGAAGACACATCTCTTCTGTCCGCCGATGCCGGCGGAATAGTATTTTCAACCTTTGCATGAAGAGTTTGTTTATAATAAAAAATCAAACGAGTGAATTGAACTTTATGACTTGCAGAGAGGATCGAGTAAAAATGAAAGCATTCAGTAGGTTTTGAGTTTTTCTTAGGCATCTTTGTACCAGAAGAGTCGTTGTTGTTAGCAGAAGGATCACTAAAGTGATGCAAATGCATTTGGTCCGGTTTGTTTTTTCCAAAAGATCGCTTTGAGTTACAGTCTATAATGGTGGAGAGTAACATAATTTGCACTGCTGAAGAAGAAATTTGTGGCTTTCATTTGTCCCAGCTTTATGAGAATTTAGCTGTTTATTGGTACACTTAGTGTACTTATTAGGAACGAGTTGTTTACGGCGAAATATTGAAGACAATAAAACGCTCCAATAAATTGTTCACTAGGAAATGTCGTAATCTTGCACCGCGAGTGAACCTTGTAGAACCTTTCTTGAAGTTTCGGCCCACTCTGTTCGGGACCCGGCCCATCTCATAAAAACGGGCGGTTTCAGGTGGGCGAACCCCATGCCCTTCCCGGCTGCTTCTTATTTGAGACGGCATAGGTGTGAGATAGCATCAGAGACCGGTTCCAATCGCACAAATACGCGAAAATCTGCGAGAGAAATTGCTCAAAAGCTGAACCGTTTACGTGTAATTTTGATTTTAGAATGCCTGAAGCAAAAACTGATTACAAGGTTGCCGACATCAGTCTCTGGGAATGGGGACGAAAAGAAATCGTCATTGCAGAGAACGAGATGCCTGGTCTGATGGCTCTTCGAGCTGAGTACGGCGAGTCCAAGCCACTCAAGGGCGCTAGAATCGCTGGTTGCCTCCACATGACCATTCAGACTGCTGTTCTTATCGAAACTCTCACCGCTCTTGGTGCTGAAGGTATGACGATATTCTGAGTGATAGAAAGCCGTCTAATCAAAAATTTTTAAGTCCGATGGTCTTCTTGCAACATCTTTTCTACTCAGGATCAAGCTGCCGCTGCCATGGCTAAAGCTGATATCCCGGTCTTCGCCTGGAAGGGAGAAACCGAGGAAGAGTACCTTTGGTGCATTGAACAGACTGTCTACTGGCCAGACGGACAGCCACTTAACATGATCCTTGACGATGGTGGAGATCTCACTAATCTTATCCACGACAAATACCCTGACGTAAGTTATTGTCAAAAAAGCCTGATAACTTAAAACTGATTTAGCTCCTCCCCGGAATCTACGGTGTCTCTGAAGAGACCACTACTGGAGTCCACAACCTCTACAAGCGAGTTAAGACCGGCAACCTCGGCCTCGCTGCCATCAACGTTAACGATTCCGTCACGAAGAGTAAATTCGATAACCTTTACGGTTGCCGAGAGGTACAATCGAGAAACTAACCCAAATTAATATCTGTTAAGTCACTCGTTGACGGAATCAAGCGAGCTACTGACGTCATGTTGGCGGGTAAATGCGCCATTGTTGCTGGTTACGGTGATGTTGGAAAAGGTTCCGCCCAGTCTTTGAAAGCTTTTGGCTGCAGAGTCATTGTCACAGAGATTGATCCTATCAATGCTCTCCAAGCTACTATGGAAGGCTTCCAGGTAAATTTTCATCATTGAAATAACGATTACCAGTTTTACAATAAAGGTCGATACTATGGACAATTGCGCTCACCTCGCTAACTTGGTAGTCACCACGACTGGTTGCAAAGATATCGTCACTGCTGAGCATTTCCTTGCATTCAAAGAAGACGCCATTGTTTGCAACATTGGCCACTTTGACTGTGAGATCGACACTGCATGGCTCGAAGCTAACTGCACCGAAAAGGACACAGTGAAGCCACAGGTATTTCAGAATGATCATTGAAAATGGTTGCATTTTTGTCATAGGTCGACAGATACACCCTCTCCAACGGTCGACATATTATCTTGCTCGCGTCAGGTCGACTTGTGAACCTCGGTTGCGGTACTGGTCATCCTTCTTTTGTTATGTCTAACTCTTTCGCTAACCAGACTCTCGCGCAGATCGAGCTCTGGCAAGAAGTATGGGACTTCCATTCAATCATATTTCTAACGTCTATGTCTTAGCGTGAAAACAACAAGTACAACCGAGGACAAGTCTACATCCTGCCGAAGAAATTGGATGAGAAGGTGGCTGCCGCTCATCTGGGTGGTGTCTCTGCTGTGCTCACAAAACTATCTGGTGATCAGAGCGAGTACCTTGGTATTCCATCTGAAGGCCCTTACAAACCAGAACACTACCGATATTAATTCGCTGTCCTTGTTTCCTGCAAATATAAGTCTAAATAACTGACAACTAATCAACAGTCTCTATTTTATTGAGTGCGTTTGCAGGTGTGAAGGAATTCAAACCCAGTGCAAATGATTTTTTATTGGAGAAAACAGTGCTCCAAGATTCTATGTTCGTTTTGCTTTCTCGAGAAGCCATAGAGCATCTTCGAATCTAAATTGGTTGGTTTTAACAGTAGAAACCTAATGAAAAACCGTGGCTTTGCAAACATGTGATCATAGACACAAATCATCATGAAGAGAAGGAGCACGATTAATGACCAAATGATGGTCCCACGAAAGAAGCTCCAGAAACTACAGCAGCGTGGTTCTGTCGCCACGTTATTGTTCGTTTTTCTTGTTCTGGGTAGGGGCAATCCACCTGTTTCTTCGTCATATACTTTCAGAGTTTTCAATCATGATATAAATTCATATTTTTACTTATTTTATAAAGTTTAGTAGTGCTCGGTAAAAACGCATTCCTCTATGACTTCGGTTGAAATAGTACGGCTCGGCAACATCTGCGTTAGTAGCAAGATTGTACATTTTTTTCAATTTAAAAGTTTGAAACTCTCTTTACTTCAAAATATATCAGCGAAAAAGCCGGCCTTTTACATCTGCTCATTGAAAAACAAAGGCATCAATAACAATATTTTAAAAACAACTTCCTAAATCTGTTCGGGACGAATATTTCCCTGCAATAGATTCAAATAGCGATCCTGCAAAAATTAACGCTAAAGTTGAAACTTCATCGGACGAGCACGCCGGATAAGGTAACATTCATGTTATTTTAAATGAATTGAAATAAGTTGAATGTGTATTCTCGTATCTGTGAGAGGCAGCAACAGAATAATGTACATAGAACGAGCGCTAAACGGAAATAAGTACCAGAGTCGGAATCTTCATCATGAATTCGCCATTGAATTATTGTTTTCGAGCTTTAGAGAAACCTGTTCTCTCAAGGTTTCAACCTTTTTCTTAAAATGTATTTAAACAAGTGCGAGTTTTTGCAAAAAATACCGTAAAAATATGAGGAATAGATAGAAGGTGGTCTAAATCATTTGGATCGGGCCCTTCATCCGAAGGGACATTAGGGTCATAAGATGGAATAGTTTTTACTCGTTGTCGTCGACGGTTGTTCGCTCGATTACGGATCGAGCGTGCAACAAGACCAGGACACTAATGACTGTTTTATGCGAGCGCTTCAAGAAATATGATCACCTTGTTAGCTTTAGAATGGGACCAGGTGTCGGTTTCCATTATGCTCGAAATACTCTGGGTGTGTTTCAAAGGCGCATGTTTTTTCAAATTGAGAGTTGCACCACGAGGAGGATAGTCATTTAAACTCTTGCTGCTTTCAACGTCGCTCAGTTCGTCGTCGCCATCGCAGGCATCATTCTTATTTGCGGATGACGTTCACCCCGGAGAGTCTCTATATAAGTATTTCAATTTTAAACTCGAGTATAAAAATTGTAACTTTTGTACAATTTTAGGAAACTCTAAGCGCCTGAAGGGCGCTTTTCACAGACGATGACGAAAGTAAGAGTGGAAAATGCCGTGAATCCGGTTCCTTGTAGCGAGATTCAGAAGGCGAGGAGTCATCTGTGCAGCTGGCCTCTCCAGAAGGGCACATCTCGACGTCAACCATATTTTCGAATACGGGTTCGACATCTATACAGTGGTAAAAATACAGCAGATTCACGTCATCCCACCTGAATCCGCCAAATCTTGGTTCAAGCCCATCTCAGCGTCCGCGTGATATGATTCGCTTTCTGACTGTTCACGGGATGCGAAATGAAGAAAATGAATATCAGAGAGCAAATCGATTCATTACTATAATCATGATTTCAATCTAACTGTATCCCTAACAAATGTCGCTGAATGCGCTCAACCTCGACAACCATCATTTTCTTTGACTTTCTGCGCTTTTGAGATCTCTGTTTACCCAACTTTTCATCATCAGAATCTTGAACGGATTGCTGGGTAGTTCTGTTATCTTCTTGCCGCTTCCTAAAGTTCTTCTCAACCCTTTCAACATTTCACTTCTTTTAACTACAATCTATTGAACCAACCGGTCATCAAGGTCTTTCTTCTTTTTATATTTCTTACAAGACGCGCCACTCAGTAACGTTGCACCTGTATCACCGGCCGAGATTGAGAGCATATTCGTCTCATGAAGAACGGATTGCAAATCTACACGCCACTTGGTATCTGTTGTATTATTGTGCTGTGTCTGGTATGCCATGCGAGAGTACAATAGTCTCCTGAATATGCCTTTTCACTACGGGAATAAAAACTCAATCGTAACTACAACTGTATTTAACTGTATATGGGAGAAAAGAGAAAATAAACAGAAAAACGAACAGCGAGGGCTGGAGTACGTTTGGCCGAATTGGAAATAAATAAATTTGGAGAAGGAAACATTGAGTATAAACTAAAGTTGGTGAGTGAGTAGTAAGTAGGCCTCTTGCAGAGCAGGATCTGCTCATCAGGTAATGTTTGATTGAAAAGAAAACGTATAGTCTTGAACTTGATTTTCAGTGAGGAGGATTTGTTGAAGGAACGAGGTGAGCGTACATAACTTCGTAAAAGACTCTTTACATGTACTTGGAGACGTGTTCTCGAGCAATGATGAGCTTCTGGATCTGGCTAGTACCCTCGTAAATCTGGAAGATTTTTGCATCTCGCATAAGCTTCTCAACAGGGTAGTCGCTGTTGAATCCGTTGCCTCCAAAGATTTGAACGGCATCAGTAGCATTCTGGTTGGCAGCGTCACCAGCAAAGAGCTAAGAACGTTGTTTTTTACTGTTATCTTACAGGGCCTTTACCTTGGCGATGGAGGCGAAATAAGTGTTTCGTACTCCGGTATCAATCTGCCAGGCGGACTTGTAAGTCATCAGTCGTCCGAGCTCAGTTCGAGAAGCCATCTCAGCCAAAAGGAATGAAATCTAAACCAGGTTCTTTTTATTGTCTCTGGATGAAAAACTTACCGCCTGGTGCTGAACAATGGGCTTTCCCATGGTTTTTCGTTCAAATGAGTACTTGGTGGCTTCATCAAGGGCTCGCTGAGAGAGTCCAGTAGCGGCGGCAGCGACTGGTGGTCGGGTGTTGTCGAAGGCAGCCATGGCGTAGAGGAAGCCTTTACCGACTTCACCAATTACGTTCTTCTCTGGAATTCGGACGTTCTCGAATCGAATACCTCGAGTATCGGAACATCGCTGACCCATATTGATTTCCTTTCGACCAGGCTGGACACCTTCCCACTCACGCTCAACAATGAAGCCAGTGAAGGCCTTCGAAGATGGGCACTTAGGGTCTGGGTTGGTTCGGGCGAGTACGAAGTACCAGTTGGCGACGCCACCGTTCGTGATCCACATTTTCTCACCATTGAGGACCCACTCGTCACCGATCTTCTCAGCCTTGGTCTTGAGACCAGAAACATCAGATCCGGCGCCAGGTTCAGTAACACCATACGCGGCCTAGAAATTTATAAAGGCATGTTTACTAATTAAATTTTTAACCTGGATTGGCTCAGCCAAGAGTCGACCAAGATACTCTCGCTTGAGCTCATCAGAGCCGCCAACGAGCAGAGGCATGGAGCCGAGAGAGTTGGCTTCGATGGCAGTCTCCATACCGGTGCAGCCATAGGCGAGCTCTTCGGCAATGATGCAAGATTCAAGACATCCCAATCCGAGTCCTCCCAATTCAGGGTCGACGTGACCATTAACTAAAACAATGATCAATTGTTGTCATCAATAGTGCTTTGTTTACCAAGACCGAGCTCCCACGCCTTCGTGAAGATCTCCTGTGGGTATTCCATAGTCTGATCGTACTCAGCTGCCTTGGGAATCATTTCCTCGCGGGCGAACTTTCGGGCAAGGTCTTGGAGGGCAAGGGTGTCTTCATTAAAGTTGAAGTTCATGCCACAGGGCTCGGCGCTGACGGTCATTCGGCGAGCAGCCTGGCGAAGGAGCGATCTGGCAGCCATTCTACTGAAAAATAAGTTAAAGATTTTCATTTCGAACAGAAAAAGTTTAAGTGAATAAGGGGAGCAGAAAAAAGAAGAGTAAATGGAACAAAATAATTGAAATCGGAGAACAAGAGTAGGTAAAAGTGGAGAATAGAGCCGAATCTGTTAAAGAAAAATTTTGAACGCGGTGAAGTACAAAATTGTTTTTTTTATAAAAAAAAACAATCAACTACGCCGCGAACAAAACCCATCTTAGAACAGGATCAGCTAGTTCGTAAATAAACGAGCAGTCAATTATGACTGGGCTGTAAGATAGTAGTAAAAGTTTTCAATGTTGTAAGGACGATTTCACAGAGAAGTTGATCAGTATTCACCAGGGAACAAGTGATGGAGTGCGGATAGCGATGCTTTGGCACGTGCGAGCTTTTTGTTTCTGCCAGATCCTTTGAATTTCTGCGCGCCGAGATTGGTGCGGACTTGGATTTGAATCGTGTACATCTTCACACCAGATGAAGTGGTTTCACCAAGCTCTTGGTAGCTCACGAAGCCTAATAAATGATGTCAATACTTGTATAAGGAAATAGAGTACGGAGAAGTTTAAATAATTCTATTATAGAAAGAAAATGGATTGAGTCTTGATTAATTTTACCTGGAAACCGCTCGTTAATCTTCGTGGTGGGATGTGTTCCATCCAAACAGAGAACGCGCTCCTTCTCTTCTTCGAGATTTTCCACTCCGAAACGTTTAATAATCTCATGCGCTGCTTCTGCCTTGGCGATATTCTTTTTGTAACCCTCGCCACTATTGGTTAAAAGTTAATAAGTTCAAGAGAAGGATAATCACTTACCAGAACTGCTCCTGCGCGATTGTCACTCGGGCTATCCATTTCGCGTCGTGCTTCTGCTCAAGTTCGTACGTCAAAGCTGGCCGTTTCGCATTCAAAACGTGAAGCGGACTACGTCCATCTTCCAACTACGACTTAGATTAGATTACGGAAATAAATTAAATAATTTAAAAATCAATTTAAAAAATGTCAAAAAACGGCGATGATCCTTAATTATTATTTCTTTCTAGTCATTGACTATGATTTATCTCTGAACCCAAGAAAAACTATCAGTACACGTACTGAAAAAGAGGAGAGTCGTGTGCATTCGAATTTGCTCTCTCCGCAAGCGATTTGAGATTGACGTAAGCTTCCAGAATACCCTTCACCCGCCTTAGTTCAAACACGCCAATATTTATCTTCTTCCTATGGAAAAAACGCACATATTATTTATTCCGAATTAAGATTAATTTTCTCATGACCAAAAAAGATACTCTTGTTCAAATGAAAATATATGACAAAACGATAAAGAATTGATTATGAAAGTTCTTGTTAGCAACATGTTACATAACTAGTAGAAAACCCATCCCCTCAAATCGTTATCAGCTTTACCTTGGGCATGTCCTTTTTGAGCAAGGGATAGTTTTCGAGGACGTTGAGGGCACATTTCTGCCTCGCTATCTTTACGTTCCAGCTTTCACCAGTGAAGACGTTTCTGCTGTCAAGTTCACATCGTACAATACAATGTCCTGCTTCCGCTTTCACTGTTTGAAACTTGAGCAGCACTTTCTGGGCGAGCTCAGCAATGGGAGGAAGTCCATTTGCTGTCAGTGGAATTTCTTCCAAGAAGACAGGGTACTTTTCGAGCAGCTTTTGCGCAGCACGTCGCTTGGCCAGGTTCAAATTAAAACCCATCCCTGAAAATGAAGATTTATTCTAGAGGAGTTTAGCAACGAGCCTGAAAAGATGATGATTAGCATAAACGATGCTACACCGTTGACTGGTGTACCGGGACAGCCAAAGCTGTAAGCTTTTTTTATTCAATATTAGATCATCGCACGGTTATATAAATTTTACATAATATTGTCCTGTGGCAGCTAAGAGGACACAAAAATTCTCTTTTAATAATTTTTCACTCTAATATCACTTTTACCTTCGAAGCGTGTGTTTCCGTAGACCGCGTTGACCTTGAAAATTCCGTTTCCAGATTCAATTGTGTCAATGGTAACATCTGGCAATCGCTCGTGAAGAACAGCAAGTGGATTCCTTCCATCTGCCAGAGTCACCTGACTGTTTTGTAAATGCGGATTTTCAGCGAGCAACTTTCGAGCGGCATCGGTTTTGGCCTCCTTCTGAGTTGCCCCGAATCCTGAATTTACTCAAGTCAAACAGTAACAGTTTAAACAGTCTCCGAGGCGCTAGGAAGACTTTGGGAGCTGCAGACGACGCTTACCCTCATAATCACAGTTACAGTACGTGGCAGTAACTGCGACAGAAGGTGTGCTACTTGCGTCATCTTTGCTTGCAGCTTCTTTTTTGATGGTGTACTGAACTTGCCGAGGAAGCTTTTCGTTCACCTCGCAGAGAGGATCCTTGTTTAGAGAGTTCAAGTGGTTGACTTGGCGACGGTTGTTTTTCTGCTTTCGAAGATCTTCGATGAATGGGATCCCTAAATTTTCAGTTTGAAACGTAGATCTGGTGTTTCTCTACCTTCGAGAGCTTTCTTGGCGGCTAGATTCTTGGCCATTCTTTTGTGATGGCCAAGGGCGGAGAACTCGTGCTCCTGGAGAATGACGGTCGCCTTGATCATTCCTTCGTCATCTCTTTCGTTCACTTTCCACCGCGCAGAAGCATTCGTCAGCTCATTGAGCTCAGCAACGGGGCTTCTACCGTTTTGTAAAGTGTAATCTATCGGATTGTCCAAAAGGCTTGGGTTGAAGCGAAATGCTTCCAACGCTGCTTGCGCTTTCGCGGCTTTTTTGTTCGGTCCACTGCCCTAAACAGAGTGCTCAATGAAAGTTTGGGGAAAGGTGTCTTACCGTGTATGTTTGATTGTTGATTATAACGGAAACAACGAAACCGGTGGAGGTTTGTTTTTCCTCCCATTTTAGAGCACGGCGCCTCTCATTTAGCAGCATGACGGGGTTCTTGCTTTCCCTAGCCAATGCGGCTGATGGGGACAAACTCGCCATGCTAAACAAAGAAAAATCAAGAAACTAGTTTTTATACAAAAATATATTTTAATGTTATAAAAATTGAATAGTATTAAAAGAAACAGCAGCAGCAGATGAAGAACAATGTCATCGTCCCTCGTCAGCCTTGTCTAGTTGGGCAAGTGCGAGATCGTTGAGCTCGAGGCCGACGCGGATCGAGCGTGCGGTTCGATCTATGCGACTCAGCTCAGCCATTTTTGATTTTAGAGCTTGATGGGTCGCCGACTGTTTTAGGGTTTTCGATTTTAATGTTTCCGATGGTTGATCTGTAGTAGATTTGAACCCGTGACAGAGCCTGTTGTAGAACGACGCAATTCATGCAGATGCCTACATTGAGCGTGACTTGTTTTCCAGGGGATTCAGCTGGACTCTCTGGGCGCTTCCTTGGAAACTCAGATTTCCTTAGCTTCATTATTTCTGTCCTGAATTTAGATTGACGTTAATAACGTTTCATAATCTATGAAACTCTCAAACACGACGCTACCTGAGCTCATTCGCTTCTTTTGCCGCACCCATTAGCTTTTTGCGCATCTCGTCGATTTGGTTTTGTCGTTCTTTGGAGTCGAATTAAATAATGGACATACTTTTACTCTCACCTTTGCTCTGTCCATGCATAAGTCTTTCCACTTGTTGCTTGAGCAACTCGATAGATTTGTTCTTATCGCAAATCTGATCTTCGTGTTTACTGTACATATCTCGCAGCTCTTTCTGATGGTTCATCTCCACCTGTTTCGTCAACTCATTATGCTTGTCAGTAAGACCTGCTATTTCGCGCTCATAAGCTTCGGAATCTGCGATAGACTTGTCTGACAAAGCTTTTTTCTCCCGCCGTATGGTTTCTTTAGAAAGATGAAAATCTCCGGTAATAAAGTGGATTCAAATAATAAATTGTTTATATCTTAATCCTCTCCTAATTCAGCCATCAACTTATGCTCCTTCGCTTCGTACTCTTCCTTGATTGCAGCGATTTTCTCCTTTTCTTTATCTCGCGCATCTTTTAGCCGCTCGATTTTCTTGTGCAAGTCGTCATGCTCAGGGACCAAGCAGGCTGCCCTGCCCAGATGCATCGCATTGGAGCTACCTCGCGCCGCCGGTCTGCTACTTTCCGCTTGCGAGAGAGACTTGCGCGACTTTGAGACGCTGATCGAGCGCTTCTATTAGCCCAGCTATTTTCTGACAAGCATAATGCACTTACTGAGTCCAGCTTTTTTATATCGAGCCCGAGTTTGGATTCGGAGCGTCTGCTGCGTGCTAGAATCCGTTGCGTCTGCATCTAAAAATATGCACAAAAAAGAGATGTCTTTCATTGAATATTTATTATAAACGAACTAATATAATACCAATATAAGTCATAAAATTCACAGTTAAACCCATACCCATACGAAAATACTGAAAAAACACATTACTGAAAATTACTCGAACGGCGAAAAAACTTCTTGAAAGACTGTTTCTTAGAAGTTTGTTTTCATAATTAGTCTAGGTAAGATAGGCTACAAGACATGGAGCGGAGAAGGCAAGTAGTGTTGGCAGATAGGAAAGTCTTTTCTTTGATTCGTCGTGAAAGGTTTTGCGTAAGTTGTCAGTTGTTGTTCTTGTTAGTTTCACTTTGTTTAAACCAGTTTCTTAGCTTCGAAAAAGGTCCTCATGTGGCGGATCTGCCAAATACCAGCAGAGATCAGAATAACCGTTTGAATGAAAGACCACCACAGAACTCGACTATTTGTGCTCCTAAACAAAGAGTATTAAGGATACGAGAAATTAATCAACGTTATTAGTGGGATTTTCAGTGGCAATTTGCATTCAAATCCGCAAATTATGCGAGTAGAGAATAATAGTAGAGAATAGAAAATAATTTTATTCAAACCCCAATCATTTGAAGATTAGCCAGATGATTATGCTAATGTTCTTGGTCAGCTGACTTTTACATAAAGAGGCTCAGAAATGACTAGAATACATACTCTGATGTGGAGCGGAATTTTTCTTCTCTCACTCTCTGATAATTTTGTTCTTTCTGGATTTGGGTGACTTGATCCTGGAGTTGTCGGACACGCAATTGAAGTTGAGTCAGCTTTTCTGTGGAGGCTACTTTTTTGTAGTCGACGGCCGTGTCTCCCACTTGTAGGTCCAAATGGATTCGCTTAAATTGATTCTCAATCGATGACCAAATTCATTTGTAATTACCATTTTTTCGTGAGCAAGTAGAGCCCATTTGGTGGAATTCGAGTGGATGCAGATCTGATGCTCGCCTGGGTGGTGAGCGGTGAATGTAAATTTACCTTCCGCACCATAATCTCGCTTCAGCATCACCTAAAGTAGGTTAGTTTGATGCGAGGATTCCTGCAGCTCTTACCTTTTGCTCTGGATCGGAAACCTCGACATGCATTCCCATCCCTGGTGCAGATTTTTGCCATTCTTTTGATTTTTCGTCAAAAAGCTGGGTATTGTACTTGCCAACTACCATCGTCTCCTCAGGTATTTCTTCTACGAAACACTTCGTCTCTTTCTCGCCCATTTCAAAGAACAGGCCGTTCGCAACCTGAGCTGCAAACAAGATTGTCGGCACGATTTTCATCTTGTCTCTTAAATATTTAAGTTATGTTTGGTTACAGAAGTTATATTATTTGATTGAACTTGGTAGAATTGATCTAGTTTTACGAATAAATAAATAGACACCGGAAAAAGCACTTCGCACTTTAGAAAAGAAGGTAAAATGATTGTTAAAAATGGAAGGGAAAGGGTCAGGGCAAGATAAAGAGCTGAGATAGACTTCCTTGACGTTTTTAATCAGTATTATAATTACAGTGTAAAATTCGGGTCCTCCCACGAGATAGAAAGCGAGAATTTTTATTTGGATGATTATTAGTTCATCGCGTCAATTTTCTTCTCGATCTCGTCAATAACGGACATGGCTGCTGCTGGGATACGTGTGCCTGGGCCGAATACAGCTGCAACTCCTCGTTCGAAAAGGTAGTCATAGTCCTGTGGCGGAATAACTCCTCCAGCGATCACCAAAATGTCGTCACGGCCCAGCTTGGCGAGTTCATCAACAAGCTGTAATCATGTGTTTTTTTCGAAAAGGAAAAATGATCTTACTTGGGGGACGAGCGTCTTGTGTCCAGCAGCAAGTGATGAGGCACCAATAACATGCACATCAGCATCAACCGCCTGTTGGGCAGCTTCAGCTGGGGTGGCGAAGAGAGGTCCAATATCTACGTCAAATCCGAGATCGGCGAAGCCAGTGGCAATCACCTAATGAGCGATAAAAAAAATACAACTGACGCGCGAGATAAAGAATCTTTTTTTTTTATATCGCTCTCCTTAGCTCCTCGATCGTGTCCATCTTGTCCCATTTTGGCGACAAGAATTCTTGGTCTTCTTCCTTCTTTTTCTTCGAATTGCTTTGCGCGGTTGATGGCATCAGTAATTTCGCTTGTTTCGCCATATTCAGACTTGTAAGCGCCAGATACCATTCTTTCTGCAGCTTTGTGTCGACCAAAGACTTCTTCCATCGCTGAGGAAATCTCGCCGAGTGAACATCGAGCTCGAGCGCACTTAATAAATTTCTGTGTTCTGAATTCACACGGAAGAATTACCTCAACGCAAGCAGCGAGTAAGTTCTCAGACCCCTGTGCAGCGCTTCGAAGAGCTTCAAGGCATGCTTGAGCTTTTGCTTCATCTCTGTTCGCCCGGAGAGACTGCAACTTCTGAATTTGAGACTCTCGGACTTCTGTGTTGTCGATTTCCAGAACGTTGACAGGAGATTCTTCTTCCAATCGGTATTTGTTGACGCCGACAATAGTCTCGGACGCGGAGTCGATTCGAGCTATCGAGGTTTCATTATCAGAAATTGCTTACTTATATAAACCTTGTCTACGAGCGGCAGATTCTTCGATCTTCAATTTTGGCATGCCAGAGTCAACTGCTTTTGCCATTCCTCCAAGTTCGTCGATTTCTTCGATGATGGCCAATGCCTTTGAGTAAAGCTCGTTCGTAAGGTTTTCCATCATGTATGATCCAGCCCAGGGATCAGCGATGTTCGGGATACCAGACTCTTCTTGAAGGATGATTTGGGTGTTTCGCGCGATTCGAGCTGACTCTACCGTCGGCAGGCCAAGAGCTTCGTCATACGAGTTCGTATGGAGTGACTGTGTTCCGCCCATCACAGCTGCCATCGCCTTGGAAAATATTCAGAAATTTAACTCGGAATTATTGAAAGATATCGCGTAATCATTCAATTTTTGAGATGGAAACCAATTAATTTAAATCATTTACCTCAACGGTTGTTCGAATGACGTTATTAAAAGGATCTTGCTCAGTAAGAGACCATCCTGAGGTTTGACAGTGAGTTCGCAAAATGGCAGACTTGGGATTCGAGGGGGAGAATCGCTTTGTAACAAGATCCGCCCACAATCGCCGGGCTGCGCGTAGTTTTGCCACTTCCATGTAAAAATTCATTCCATTGGCGAAGAAGAATGACAACCTTTAAAAGTAGAATCATTTAAATTTCCATAAAATCGATAAAAAAACGTACCGAGGAGCAAATTCATCAATTTTGAGTCCTGCCTCGATGCCTATCGATTGAGTTGATTACTTTAATCGGCGATCATCCTCTCATTGTTATGAATTTTGAAACAAGTATAATGGAGAAGATGAATTTTTTAAATCAATCAACGCTTCCTGTAGCGCAGTATTGGAGTCCGTTAGCGATCGTAAAAGCGAGTTCGAGAACGCAATCGGCTCCAGCTTCTTGCAAGTGATACCCAGAAATGGAGATCGAGTTAAACTTGGGCATGTTCTTCGAAGTGTAAGCAAAAGTATCGGCGATGATTCTCATCGAGGGCGCGGGTGGATAGATGTAAGTATTTCGAACCATGAATTCTTTCAAAATGTCATTTTGAATCGTTCCAGTGAGTTTCTCGGAGGGGACGCCTTGTTCTTCTCCGGCAACGATGAAAAAAGCCATGACGGGCATGACCGCGCCATTCATCGTCATCGAAACGGACATCTTTTCTAGAGGAATTCCTTCGAAAAGACGTTTCATGTCTTCGACTGAGTCGATCGCTACGCCAGCCATGCCAACATCTCCAACGACTCGCTCGTTGTCTGAATCGTAGCCTCGATGCGTTGCCAAGTCAAAGGCAACAGAGAGACCCTAACTCGTAAATACTAATTCTGTTGTCTGAAATGGAAATACCTGCTGTCCCGCAGCAAGATTTTGTCGATAGAAGGCGTTGGACTTTTCTACGGTCGAAAAACCAGCATACTGTCGGATGGTCCACGGTCTATTTGTGTACATTGTCGGGTAAGGTCCTCGTGTGTACGGGAATTTGCCCGGGATTTCATCTGGTACATCTTCTACGTCTGCTTTCGTGTAAACTGGCTTCATGGTGATGCCTTCTGCGGTTTTCCATTCCAACCCTTGGGGATCGCGCCCTTTGAGCTGTTTCTGGGCAAGTGCAGCCCACTCTTCATGGAGAGGCTTCTGGCTGAAGCGACGGTATGCTTTGCCAGCCCTGCGTAGCATTCTTTTACAAAATTAATCAGCCCCAGCAACAAGGAGAAGTTATAATTTAAGTTTATTTTAAGAAAATATTTAAATTGGCAGTTTCTGAAAGTACTATTTAAAAACTACATGAATTGCATCTTTGCTCCATGAACTTTCATATTTTGTAAAGGCAGGTAAAACTAGAAAGAAAAGAAGAAGCAGCAGGCTTAAAACTGGTCGTCAAGTAGCGCTGCAGCGTTGTCATCCCATTCATCGTCGTCCTCTTCTTCTGATGCTGTCAAATAAGAAGAGTCAGTATAATGAATTGAGTGGTCAATTTTACCTTCAGGATCTAACTTGGATCTTTTGGCCGGAGGATTAGAGGCTCCAGACGAGTTCGAATCAGACATAGCCAGGTCGTCATACGCGGCGTTGTTGACACTGCCAGCATCTATCAATCAAATAACACTTTTTGCAAAATAAAGAACAAACCTGAACCCGACTCCGACCCATCGTCATTATCATCATTTAATACTCCAGGGACGAAATCATCCATCTCTGTATCTTCGTCATCGCTCGAGCTGAGGATTTCTTCCACTTCTTTGTCCATTTGACTGATAAACTCAGCCGAAAGAGCGTCCGATGAATCTGTAACGTTGGGAATCGAGAAACGAGGAGCACGTCTTGCTTGTTTGGCCTGTCTAGCGATTCGCTCAAGCTCTAGAAAGACATTTAACAGATGTCTAAATGAGAAAGTTTAATTTCTAAACCTTTTGCATATAATATGAAGCATATTTAAATACCTTCGGCCTCTTCCTCTGTTCCCTTCGTATGTATTTCGAAGTCTGCCTCGTCCTGGCGTCTCCACTCATGATAGGTGACCCAGAGCCACGCTGGATTGACTACGAAAATGTTCGCTTTTCTCTTGGCGTCATTATGCTTGGCGGTGCCAGGCCGAGCGCAAATTAAATGAGTCGTATTTCTGAAAATAGCACGATTATGGGATTAAATCAGCTGCTTTGCTTACTTTTGAACTCGCTCATGAATAACCGCGCCCATCGCGCGCGCATTCTTTATGGCACGGTGTTCTTCCATCGGACAGCCGGTAGGTACCACGCCAGAAAACACCAAATGACAGCCTTTCAGAATATTTTTTCGGATTCCAACGCATATGTTCCTGACGTCTGAACGGATAGAGATGGTTTGATTGTTTTATGACCTGGAATAACGCACCTGGTAAGTGATATCCACTGGGAACGCGCTGCTCTTTCGTTAGAGCATCGTACTTTTTGTAATAATCCTCGTGGATGTCATTCAGTATTTCTTGAAGCCTAATATGTATATAATAAGTAAAAGAAGAAGGAAAATCTCTTACCTTACGAGATAGACATCTTTGTCGTCATCGACTTCTTCCTCGGGAACTTTAGCTAGCTGCTCGGCAGCATCCCTTGAGTCCGAGTCCCTCGTGTTCTGATCTTCTTTTTGGACTTCTCCAGAGCCCTCAGACGATCCAGAAGTAGATTTATTTAAATCAGAAGAGGAAGAATCGGAGGAGCTATTCAAGTTCTTCCCTGATTCCAATTTTTTAGCACTTTCAGCGTCGTTTTCAGGGCTTTTCACATTTTCATTTTCGGCATCAGTTGAAGATATGGCCTTGTCTTTGTCAGGAAGCTCGTGCTGGGTTTGAGAAGTAGGCGGCAGTGTTGATTTGAAAGCGTGCGGGTCGTTGATATCTCCTGTGTCTGTAAAGAAATGATACTTTGGAGAGGCTAGCGGGTAGGAACTATCTGAGTTAGTTCAGTTTATCTTGAAGCCATTCCTTTTTAACAAGAATACAGTTGGGCGAATACCTCCAAACGTCTCCTCTATCATCAATGATTGCACACATCGAGTCCCCACAAGGAAACAAATGCTCCAAGTTGCCGGATTTATGGAAAGGGTCGACACATTCATCCCGCGATAAAATCCGATGTGAAAAGAACGACTTGCTCGAATCTAGATTCAATTGGCGTCGCGTCTGATCTTCAAGAATTTCGGCGATCTTGTGGGCATATTGGCGGGAGCCGAAAGTCACAATGTGTAGCTCGTATTTCTCCGACATTTCATGAATGAATTTTGCGCAAAAAGGTCTGAAATATGTTTCAATAAAGCTGCAAATAATGAAGAGTAGAACCTTAATCTAGTCCAGAGCCAGGGATCCTGCCTGGTCAGTTGAAAAGAAATCGTATTTTTCGTCAGTTTCTTAGGTCTATTTTGCGTCGTATGGATCACCGTCTGATCAAGATCGACTAAAAGCACGAGTTTCCTGCTGTCGTGCAGGCGTTGGATTTCTTCGTGAGCTGCCCGCTGCGCCTCGCCTTCCGAAATACGCAACTCGGGCAGACTATGCACCGCCTGCACGTTCGCATGCATCGGCAAGTCGGCAAGGGTCTTCTTTGGTCCGAATCCGTTCGTCGTGTCTTCTTCAGCGTGCAGTTTGCGCAGATCGCCGCCGCACGCTGCACACATATCCTTCATCACCACTTCGTGCGCGCATGGCTTCAAGCTCAGTAGCTCTTCCCCACAAGAAACTGGACATTCGGGATCAATGGTGATTTTGGTGACGAATCCACCGCCATCGGGAGCCTTTAGCTTCACTTCTTTTCCGTCACTTTTCTTCCGGAAAGTTCCCAGCAGCGAGTTCGTCTTCAAAAATCTTCCTTTTAGTCGCTTGTTCCATGATACAACTATTCCATCTTCTGGGGCGAGCAACTTCGTCATTTTCTTTTCTCAGTCTTCTTATTCGCGGGCTCTCAACAAGAATTTAAATGTAATGAACGAATTAATACTTTTCAACTAAAAAGAACACCGTCATTTTTAAATTTCTCTTCTTTTAATCGATTTTTTATTAAAAAATAGCTAAAAATAGAGCCGCACCTTTTAGCAGTTACGTAGAATTCTGCTCGCCAGCTGTTCTTCTCCCCGTTCTCTTGATCCTTCAAAAACAAAATAAAGCTCAGGGCACTTTCTCCACGCCAACGCGCGCGCACATCGCCCGCGCAACGCGCGCATAGCCGAAGTCCCTCGCAATTTTCATTGAAGCCTTCAGTGCCACACTTTCTCGCGGTATTCATCCCAAAATATATATTTTGTTAGAAATATCAGGTCGTTTCAGAACAGTGATTTTTCAAAAATTCGCTTTTTCGGCAATAATTTCACTTTGGTCAACTTTGAGTGTCACGAATGAATTCAATTAATTTCGTTATTTTTTTTTATTTTATCTTAGTCTCTTCATAACCAATAGAATTTAAGGAAGCAAGAAAAAACCTTCTAAATCATCGCATCGGCAATTCCAGTGTTGATCTGTGATTTCAGAAGAGATGAATATTCAGTCTTGGAATTTCAGAAATCTGAATTGGTCGACAAGACTTTTGAATGAAGGATGATTTGAGAGTTGAGGAGAGGAAGCGGCGTGTCGGTAGATTGGGAGCGTTAGCCCGTATGAACTGGCTGGAGTTGCAGGAGGAATCGCACATGCGCGCCGTGTGGGGAAGCATCTTACAGATTTGAACAAAGGTGCGCCTCCGTCAGTCCTTATATAGATATACCAAATGTGTCACGTGCTACACCTGAAATTTGGAGCCAAATCTGAAACCTGCCGAAAATGCTCTGCTTCAAAGCAAATCATCCGAAGAAGCACTTCCTTCCTCAGAATCGCTCTTTTTCGCAACTGAAAACGGAGGTTCCTTATCGATCCGTGCAATTGTCGCCTTGTGTTTATGCAAGAAGAGGGAGAACAAGCGGGAAGCTAGTCCAAACAAATTATAATTGTTAGTTTTATTTTTGTTGTCGATTTTCGAGTTTTGACGAAATCCGCAAATCGCGTTTGATAATTTGTCGCAGCCAGGTGTCGGTCGGCGTTTGATTAGGCGGAGATCGCTGCTCCGGTGATAATTCCGAAACGAGACATTTGAGAACCCTTCTTGCCTCTCTAACTGAACCCGCTCGTTTTACAATAGCCAGATCTTTGCAGATCTTTGCAGTCAACTAAAAACTTCCTTGTTTTCAGATTCGGGACTTCCTAATTTGTTCTTTGATTGTTGTTGAGAGGTCGTTTTCAGTTTATTAGAATTGTATTCAAGTGCCTCAATCCGGTTGTTTTCTTCACCAGAAATGCAAAATTCAAAGCTTGAGTTTGAATTAGCGAGTATTTCTCGTTGGTGATGAGGTCTGTCCGGCCGAGCAGGTGCCCGACGATGGGTCGTTGGCTCTGGGAAGACGAAACAGGTGCCAGACTCAGCGGAGACTTGCCAGCTGTCCCAGCGTTACTTTTTAATGACGCGTATTAGCGAGTTAAGAACTTTTTCCATTACAGCTACAAATCAAAACAAATGAAAATTTTTGCAAGAACTCGGATTTGATTTTGCTTTATCTGATTACTCGTTCGATCAAAATTGCTTTGCGATATGTTCTGATTTTAAGAAGACGAATTTTTCCATTTTGAGATTTTTTTATTTTATATATTTTGCTTTTGTTGCCGTATTTACAGGAATTATTGAACAAGGTGGGCATTTCAGTGAAAAATTCGCTACGTAAGGTAGTTGTTTGTACAGGAAGAGCGAGTATCGTATAGTATTGAGTGTGTCGAGGGTCGGCAGTAACATCAAGATTTTAAAAAGAACCGAGCGATTTGTCGTCGATTTAAATTTGAAATTATTTAGCGTTTGAATAAAGAAATAAAAGAGAGAAAGAGGCGAGAATAGTTTACGCTGAGCAGCTTGAGCTGAGTTGAGCTTGCATGTCTTGCAGCGCGCGGATGTATCTCGAGGCGCTCATCAGGACGTCGATGGGATCGGCGTTGGCAGGCAAGAAGTCGCGGGGGAGAATCTTCATGAGCTGGTAAAACATCATCTGCTCCTGCTGCTCTTCGCTGACGATCACCGGCTTGGTGCAAAACTCTTGGGGGTAGGCGAGACTCTCGAGTGAGGCGCAACTCTCGGAAGCGGCGCTCATTTCAGTGTTGCTGTACTGTTCAATGCTGTCGAGCACCATTTTTCAAAAAGGATTGAGTGAATTTTTTTTTGTTTTCTGTCGAAGGACGATTTTCAAAAGTTGTGTGGTGCTCCCAGAGGCCCAGCGCTTTTATGCGATCGCGAGGAGCGGAGGTCGCGCGAGCGCGCGCCACTCTGTCTCGCACCTGCACCAGCGTCGCTGTGGCGCCACTGCACTACACAATCCAGATAGACCATCCCAACGCTACGGCACCAAAGCCACCAACGATCCTTCGACCTTTTCGGTAATCTTCCCCTCGATAATCCCCAACTCCTCAAACACACAACAGAAACTCCCCAAACTAAGTTTTGATTCGTAGTCTATGGAGGCATTTTACATCATCTGTTCGTGGATTCTAGTGGTTTCCCTCAATTGCGTATGAGAATTTTCCTCAAGCCTGAAAGATTAATTCTTATAATCTTGCTCCTCATTTACGAATAAAGTAAATAGTCTTTAGTAATAGCCAATTAGCTCCGCTTGGAACTGAAATTTCGATGCGTTTACTTCTAGGAGCATTAATTATGCTGGCAATCACGAAAAAACGAGCTCGGCAATAGTTACGATTTTGTACCAAGAATGGAGAAAAGGGTTAATTTGGAGCACTTTATCCCGTCGAGAGGGACAAAGCACTCGCTAATGAACTAATTAGCTTGCCAATCGTTGACAGCTTGCCAATACCGTTAAGAGGTGAATCCTCGAATACAATCCTTCTCGGAAATGGTGTGTTTTTGGGTGGTTAACCCAAATCTGGCTTTACACTAGAACGTCACATGTTCTTATTCCATAATGAGTCGAAATCCCTCATCTATCGATTAGGTACATTTCTAAAGAAGTTAATCTTGAGACATTTCTCAGACAAGAGGATTCGGTGGCAGAAAAACACGTGTGGTCGCTCATCAAACTGCAGGTTTCAGCTTGACCGGGAAATATTATTTGACAATTTTATGAGCAGCTTTTTTCCTTCGTATGTTCAGATGAAAAGCTTATTAATGGGCTTATGCTCACGATTGGATACCGATTCACCTTTACTGAATGTTCTAGAGAGCACAACTGTGTTGACAAAAGACTGATGTCAAGAGGTTGTTCCGACCAATTGACCTTTCTTGTTTTATCCTTTTTTCAGTGGTGTATCGGTTTTCTCCGGGAGTTTTGGTTTGCGCGCCGCGACCGCCAATTTAGACTTCTTTTGATCCCCTTGTCGATTGTATTAGGGGCAAGCGGCTCGCCAGATCATCACTGAAAAGATTCCGACTACTACTTGTCCAGAACTGCGACTACAATTTCTCCGTTTTCCCCGCCTTCGCCGCGCCTCATTCTTCAGATGTTGAGAAAAGTGTACTCTTTAATCTTCTGAATGAAAGTTTTCTGAATGAAAAAGCGTGATACCTGTACATGCACACGAAGAACAACTTGTAGGTGAAAGTTCTGTGCGATTCCATAAAAACAAAGAAATATTTTTTGAAAAAGTTTTTTCAATTTTCTACCTTTGGAAAACACAAAGGAAAAGATAAAGGCTCGGATCCAGCACTAAGATGTTGGATTAATGAGCTGGAACGGGCTTTTGCTTGTGTTGAAAGGGCTCAGGATTTACGAGATTTTACGTCGCAATAGGAAGCCCGCACTTTGATCTTCGGCTTGGAAGTGATGGGAAGTGAAAAAATAGGTCAAAGGTTCAATTCCATATGGAGCTTTTTATTTGAGATGTCGCGTTCCCAGGGCGAGTTCAAGGCATCCAATAATTTTTTATTGAATCCGGCTTTGCATTTGTAGTGATTTTTGTCGGGAAACGCAATCATACAATAACAAATACAGAGTAAATCTACGCAGCAGAGCAATCGCAACAATCATAAGTGTAGATATGCCTGAGGCCGCTTGAGAGATTCCGAAGGGATTTCCGATTCCAGCTAAATAACCGCTCCTATCGCTCAGTAAGAACTCTCAATATTTGCTAGAGCTTTCTCGCTCCCTGGAAGCGCTCATCTGAATTCAGACGCCTTCAAAAGGAAACTCGAGTGAAGCGCTAATGGTGCTTGAAGCGCGCGTCGCATGACAAATGACAAAAGAGGGATGAAAAGGGGAAGCGGCTAGTGTGTTTACTTCTTCAAATGATAATTGTCTAGAAGACCGAAGTGGCCGAGCACGGCGCATCTAAGTGGCGGAGAAACACTTCGCCGCGCTCATTAACGAAATCATCAAAAAGAATCACTTCTAGCTCATTCCAAATCGTCGCCAACTTGTGTATCCGACCACGTGATCCGAGATTCCAAAGTTTCATTTCTCCAGCTAAACAGTTCACGCGTTTTTATGGAGCTGCTATTTGGGTTCAAACTGAAGAGCTCGTAAAAATCTTATGCAAACTGCTCGGAAGCAATGAAATCAGCATGCGATTTGTGTTGATTGATTTATGACAAGGAGATGATTGACATTGAGAACGGATTGACATTAATTCTTTTCAGACACGTGTGGAGAATAAAAATATCCCGCAGTGAAGAGTTGGGTTGAGAAAGCTCCTGCTGAGCACTCATTCCTGCAGCGCTCAGTCCGCGTGGGAAAACTTCTATAGCGTTGATTAGCCTCTATCTCTGGTAATTTTTGATAATCGAAAAATTATTCTAGTTTCTAATTTTAACAATTTTAACGAAAATGGGCAGAAAAGAGAAATTGCTTTGAAGTTTGAGCGGTAATTGATGACGGCTTTATTTAGTAATTATTAGAAATCGTAAACGAAAACCAACCCCACCTGGGGGACACATGTAGTGGGCGATTTCAAAGGCGGCAAACAGCCGCGCCACATTAACCGATGCGGAGGAAGCGTCCGATGGTCGCCACTTCGCCAGCTGGACCGACATAATACCAAGTGACGCAAGGGACGAAGGCTATTATTTTCGATTATGTCTTCTCGCTTTTAAGACTAGCCGACAATATCCAGCAGCTCCCACTCAATTGAGAATAAATCTTCTACAGTCTGAAAACTTCATCTTCGTTCGTAATCGCCAATCCTGGATTTCGTCTATCTTTGTCGAATTTCCGGGCCAAGTATGCGCGGAATCGCTACTCACATCTGTTGTCTGGCCATCATCGGAATCTGGCATCCTGCTTCTGCCCCCCAATTCACGACAAACGACATATGCTACTTCCATCATCTGAACGAGGCTGAGCTTCTTTTCAGCTGGCCTTGACGGAAGCGACAAAATAGCATCTGTACATCCCACGTGCTCTCATCGAGAAGATCTATTACGCCATGAAAACGTCAATTGGCTCAACCTGGCGAGTTTTTAACGACAATCCAGAGTTTTTTGAAACAGCAAAGCGAACGAGTACTATTTTGATAAAGAGGACATCTAAGTCCGTGGCTATTGTTTTACGAATCCTGTAAGTGAGCTCTATATCCGGCTCGAGCGGTTCTCAGCTAATCCGAGCAAGTTATTTCTCGCTTATTCGCTTCTTTAGTGTTTTTGCGCCATTCTGCTAACTTGGCGCTGCCTGGGAACGTTTTGAAAATCGTTTTCGCGTCAAGTGCGACTCACGGCTTACTTTTGCTTATTCAAAGGGGCGATAAAGCCCTCGTCCAGCTGTTCTGCTCTTCTTTCTCCAACTTCGGATCAGCCTGTGAGTTTCCGCTCATCATCGGCCAGCTCTAGATATGAATCTAGCAGGTGCGCTTTCACCAAAAGGAAAAATAGCTGAATATATCCTGGAGAGAAGTATTCTCGCAATTACTGTACATTTATGGTCAATTCGATGGCTACCCTTTGATAGAATAGACGTGAAATGGAGATTTTTCGGAAAGTGTTGGCAGTGGGGTTGAGTTTGGTAAAAAGCTAGTCACACAACGGTGGTGGTCGAATCTGGCCTGGCGCCTCACTGTCGCGACAGCACCTGGATGAGCTCTTTGGAGGCGCAAAGCTAAGGACGCCGACTTGACGGCGCGGCCCGTGTACGGCTGCGCTAACTTAGCTCTGCAGCAAGTAGCTCAAGAACGAACACAAAAGAAACCAAAACTGCTTCTTTCAATCGAGCCATTACTGTAAAAACTCTTTCTTGAGTCTTTAATTCCATGCAACTAGTTACAATAATGATTCTTCTATTTCATTATGTTGTTACAATTAATTGTCAATTGCAATCGTTCGAGTTGTTCGCTTGCTAAAAAGTGTTTTAGGAAAAACCGCTGATGCCGGTAAAAAACGGTTCGCCTGAGTAAAATTTTGGCTTATTATCATGTGCTGGTTAATTTTGATTTCAACGCTCGTGTTTAATTTATCAGCGGATACTTTGATTAAAATTTGTCGGTATTTTAATGTTATACGACATGGTGTAAAAGCCGACTTGCCTTCCTCTCTCTCCTTTTCCACCAGGTGCAATGTTCCGAGGAGAAATTTGTTGATATCTTGTTGTTACAGATGTACCAAGAATTCATAAATTTGGGCAGATTTTTCTGCAATAAACTTTCGACATGGACAAGACCATAAAATTCGTCAATCTGAATAAGAATTGTTTCCAGGGACAATGTCGAAAATCGTCTGGAGGACTCTTTAGGTCCTCCAGAGGCTCTGAGCTGGGCGCTGGGTTGGTGTGGTAGTATTTGAAAAGTCAGCTTGCGATCTGAGCGGTACCACACCCAGCGCGGCGCCTCCGCCGCCGCCAGTCCGTCGCCAGAGATAGCACTGCACCTGCAGACACCACCTGCACCACTGGCGCCAGGAGAAACACACACCTGGTCTCCGCCGCCACCATGACCAGCCACTAAATGGCCAAATACTTCTTCAAATCCGATATGCGATAGACATGCCCCTTGCCATTGTATCCATAAGTAAATACAGTGACACTGAGTCGGTCCTAAATTTCGCTGCTAGTGTCAGTTACAGTGATATTTGACGAAACAATGACCTGAAAATCTTTTCTGTGTTAAAATCGGCGGAAATCGTGGTCACTTCAATGGAAGTTCAAACTGTGCTGAGAACTGTAGTTGATTGACAAAGAATAGAAAAGGCTCGTGCTGTCAACGGTGTTCCCTGATTGCGCGGGGAGGCATAAACGCACAACAGGTGCCGGGATGCGTGATTTCTGCTTATCAGAAGAACTGTCCTCCATATTCGATTCTGGCTCACTCTGCCACTCGCACTCTCGAAGGAATTCAAAGTCAGAAAGAGAGAGGTTTATCAGACTAATTCGAGGCAGAAGTCGGATGTGATGAAAAGTGCGCGTCTCTTTGATGCGCCGCGCAGGTGGCCGCTCTAGCAGAACACCTGGATCAGTTGGTGATTACCGGATGATCCCGTTTCAATTATTTCCATTTAGCCAGCCATTTGTTTCAATCACAAGACTGGAATTGTGAATTGCGCTAGTTAATCTCGCTCGTGATTGCGATTAGCGCCGGCGAGATGTATATTTTGGTTATCAAATTTTGTATTCGCTTGGGGAAGACTAATCCTTCATAGCAGTTTGGATTATCCGGCTCGTGAGCTGCCATGCAAGAAAAGAAAGTACCTGAGCCTAAGCCGCAGCTTATTCCAGCGGAGGTCCTCGAGAATGTCCATTCGAAGTCCACGGGGAGCCACTCGAAGAATAGACGGCTCACTGCTTCTGTCGTAGCTCAGTCGCTTTTTTTTTGGCTTGGTCTAGCCAATCTCCAAGTTTCCATTTAGTTTTCAGTTTTGAAAATCAAGCCGAATTCTTCTTTTCAAAAAGGAGTAAGCGGGGATAAGTCTAGACATTGACTGAATTTTCCGGGGGAGAATTTGCAACCGGCGCCCCCAAAGAAAGCCGGAAAATTCTCCTTCCGCCGAGAAGGAAAGTGGGTTTTTCTTTCGAATTAATTCGCAATCGAAGAAGCCAACAATTTGCGCGTGATTAACGACTCGATTTGCATGCAAGTGCTCTCCACTTGACACTTGAATATGATTTCCAGTTTTCAAGAATTAGAGAGTCAATCGCCGGTAATTTAATTTATCGACTTAGATTTATCAACATTTTTCGTAAACGAGTTTTTTTCTATGAAAGATTATTGCTTTTAATTTTTTTCAACAATCTTGTAGTTATTGCCTCTATAATTTGCATAAAAACTCTCAAAAATCCTCTCGAGGCTTGAAAAATTTGCATTAGCGTTTCTCTCTTATTTGCGCATAAAACATTTTTAAGATTCTGATAGAGTGCCGTTTTATTAGCTTGTTCAGTGATCTACTAGATTTGGGGACTCTAGTAAATCTTGGACTTACTGTATTAGCTTCGGCAGTTCAGTATTTGCGTCAAGGAGAAATTACCAAGATAATTTTGACTAAGCCTAAAATTGCTTCTCACAAATATAATTTGGACTTTTGAGTAGTTGTGGGGCTACTCAGCGGATTAATTCGGGCTCGCTCACCTGGACCCACTTTCGAGCATTTTCTGAGACACAAGCAAAACATAGAAAGAAATAGAATTTTTTGAGGCACAATGCTTGAGCTAATCCGCGTCTATTTCAGCTGCGAAAACTTCAACTTTTACAGCTTATAAAAGCAATTTATAACCTAGTCACTTATTCTGTGTTTTATTCAAGATAAAATATTCGATGCGTTCCACAAGAATTGGCGTGGATATTATTTTGTATGCATCCAGTAGGGATTTTATATGCGTGGAAGCACTTGTGAAATTTTCGAATATGTATTTCCCGTTGAGGTGGAAAAACAGTCGGCAGCGGCAGGAATGCGATAGCCGGAAGTTGCATCTGGCAGTATTCATGGCTCATTGCCCGTGACAGTATTTCAGACTTGTACGAAAAATAAATGCGGCAGACTGAGGACGAGGCTCGCCGAACGGAATCCAGCTGGCAGCTTGTTTCTTTCCGTGGCCTCTGGCAGACGATGAGGGAGGTAGTTTTACTTTCTATATTCCATAAAATTGTGAAAATAAGCTCTTGAGTAAGGCAGAAGATGCTTGATGGCTTCCTGCTGGGTCCCATTGTGATAAAACCCTATTCATGGCGATAAGAATAGAGCAGCGGGATACTGCAGCTGAAGCTGTGATGAACTACCGGAGATGATAAGAAAGCTAAGTCTCTCCGTCTGCAGCGCAATGTCTTATTTAACAACGAGAGCTACAAATTTCGAGTTTTAACTGGATGAAACTGAGGGAACGAGAAGAGGGAATTGAATACGGGCGGGGAGAGAGGAGGAGTTTGCAAATCAAGAGTGGTGCTTCCAGTTGTAGTAAGGCAGATTTCCGGCGTGCTTAGCGCTAAACTGTTTGCTTCGACGGGCAACATCTTAGAGTACTCGTCTCTTAGGCTAGATCCCATCGATCACACTCGACCTGTCACGTGATTCAAACAGAAACAACTTCCGCTTGTCGCGCCCAAGCACCGGAAAAGATCGAGAGGTTCCATTCCCGTTCCCATTCGTAAACAAGAAGAAATCACTTCCGTTGATCGATATATTATCTTCGAAGTAGTAAAAAATAATTGCTTGTTGAATTCGAAAATGATGGGTGCCAGTGGTTGAGCATATTGCGGTTGATAGCGGGTTCGTTTATTTATTTTTTGTTGCTGTATCAGAGCATATGAAGAATACTAAACTGAGCATCTGTCTGCTAACAGATGGTTCATCCAAAGAGCTCATCCGAGCTAGTCCCTGCGGAGCGCCCAAATGGACGCCGAAATTGGAACACGTGTGCATGAAAAGTGATTTCCCCATCGGACGAGCTGCCACTGAACTTATGTTCGTTATCAATTCAAATCCTCTTTTTTTTCTTCTTTCAACCCCCTAATTGCCTTATTCGAATCAATTCTTTTACAGCTACCTTCCCACAACGAAGCTCTTCTTTCGAAAAAAGAGCCGACGAGTGAAATTCTAGCGCAAACAATTCCACTCCAAGGTTCAGAGATTTTTGGGGAATCGATTTTGCGCCTCGGTGGTTACATTTTCGCGGATAAATATTTTCGGATAACTCTCCCTTATCCAGTGTCTCCTTCATCCCTGACTGGGTTTACCTTGTCCCGCGCTGTTCTTCCGTTTCCGACGATTTTACGCTTTTGGAGACACTTTAATTGAGCACTATTTCACATTCAAGCGAGGAGGATTACTGATTCCAGCTGAATTCGAATGAAGAATCAAAAATTAATCACGGAGATTTCAATTTTTTCACATTATCTCGATATAAAACTGATTAGCTCGCTTTTGCTCAAGAATAATTCAAACGTGCGTATATAAAGCGAACTTTTTGATTGCTTTTTCATATCCGAGAAAAACATATTTTGTGAACGTTTTTTTTTCTCTATAGAAGTTTGACTGTAACTGAATCAACAATGGACATTATCGCATTAGTTATTGCGGTTGTACTCGTCATCCTCCTTCCAACAATCCTCTACATGGCTTGCTGGGCATGCTGTATCTCCTGCTGTATCAAATGTTGCTGCCCATCACGCTCGAAGACAGTAAAAATTGTCAACGTTCAGCCCCAATGCCACCTTAGCGAATCAACAGAATCGTACCAAGCAGACCAAGTCGACAATATCAAAGAGATTGAGAAGAAGATGAACAAGCAGCAATTGTCTCAACAAGAAAAAAGCCCTTTAATTCAGTGTATCTAAAAACGTACCTGAAGTATCTTAGAAATGGTCTAAGATCTAAAGTTTTAAAAACTTACTTCGTCTAGCTTCTCATACAGGAACTTCCTATTTGATTATATGATAGTATATTCATATTGTATGAATCATATAATACGCTCAACTTTTTTTGAACAAGACATTCTTTGCTTCATGCTGTTCACAATTGAACTCACTATCGCAGCTTTTACTTTCTGTCTCACCATCGAAAAGTCTCATCATTTTCTCGTTATCAATGTTAACTTATCATCTCCAGCTCTAATCTTCAATAAATTTCTGGAAAAGATATCTTCCAAATAAATCCCAGTAATTATTATTATTGTTAATAAGTACTACAATCCATTAAATTGTAGTACTTATTCGGTTGTACTTAGTTACAGTAGTTCGATGATTGTAAAGTGACGTCGATAATTGGTCAGAGAATGAAGTGGTAGTTTGACTATTGTGGGAAGAGAACTGCCTATTCCCAGGGACGATTTACGGCGTCCACAAATTAAGCGGTCGTTATTTTCAAAATTTTAATCGAGCTCAAATATCAAAGTGAGCTAATGTTCGCAGGTGCCTTGCAGAATCTCGTCTCACACCCTGAAGAATGCTCTTTCAGAATAATTTCAAGACGAGAGAGGAACTTTTCAGAGCAGTCGAAAATGCTGATATCAGAAAAATCAGAGAACTTATCCGAACTGGCGTCGATGTTAAAGCCACTGATAAGAAAGGCAGAAACATTATCATGACTTCTATGAAGCTAAAGAAAAAGTCAGAATTTCAAAGGTACGCTTCACAAAAGTAAAGCAAACGAAAGTCTGTAGCGTTAAATTAACGTTTTTATTGCTCTAAACTCAACTTCAATAAAAACCCTAACCCTCACCCTAACCCTAAGATCTTGATTTGAGAAATAATTTTCACATTTTATCATAAATCTATTTTTATTGTATTAAAAATGCCGTTGTAAATTTCAAAATATGAGAAAAATTCACTAAGTAATGAAGAAATACTAAATTTACAACAAAAAAATTAAGGGAGTTGTTCCGCGAAATACGAAGAATCGACCGCGGATTCTACACTCTGCCCGTGGTGAGTCCTCTTTGTTTTCAGCAACACGCGCCGCGCTGTCTATCACTGTTTGCGGGGAAATAACTTTTTCTGACTTTTGGAAGAAAGTTTAATATTTCTCTGACTAAAAATCCACTTCCACTCGAGTTGTCGAGAGTCTTACGAGCTTCAGACTAGATTCTGCTTTTGACGAAAAAGATTTTTTTTTTCAAAAAATTGAATTTTTAGTTGGTGGAGATGGTTACGCTCAAAGATATCGATGGGAGAACTGCGCTCCATCATGCTGTTCTTGAGAGGAACTTGGCGGCAATAACGATGTTAGCTTCAAAAGGCGTAAGTCTTTTTTCTTGTTGATTTTTAAAGTGGCTTCCCAAGATTACCTGATATTTATTACTTTTTTCTGAAACTATCATTAATCTAACTCGGCTTAAATCTTTCGAAATTAATCGCTTTCGCCTTGTGTTTTAATGGCTCCTTGGAGATAACAAGGACCACTCATATCAACTTCTATTTATTGTCAAAAAAAGAACAGGATTAGAAATATTCTCAGTAGCTTTTACGTCAACCTTGACAGTAGCGAAATGCATAGGCAAATAGTAGTCTCGTTAAATGTTTTTGCTCGGGTCAACTGTATTTAGAAAGGTGCACTCTAAGAAATTTCCAAAATATCAAAACGGTAGTTTTTATGGTTTGTAGATCGAGCTGGATGAGAAAGATGAAAACGGCGATACCGCGCTTCATTTGGCTGTTGCTGAGCCAGAGAATTTGTACATTGTCAAGGAAGGAATTTCAGAGAGCAATAAAGTTTAAAAAACTGAATAAATAGGAGAATTCTGTAAAGACTCTTCTTGAATTGGGAGCAGCTAGGCATCTGAAGAACGATTCAAGTCTCACTCCGCAGAATATTGCTGAAATCAATTCGCAGACAGAGAAATCAGAAGAAGCGCGCAAGAAATACGCTGCAATCGTCAAGGTAGATTATTTATCCAGGTTTACCGATGTTTACCAAGTGTTCTTTGAAGGCATTTCGACAAAAGAAATTCGCAAAAGTAGCAAACGCTCAAACAGCAATGACAAAAAGGTAACTCCTGAACCGAAAACAACGATAGAAATAAAATAGCACGGAAATGGGCGATCTTGGAGCCAGGGATCCGAGATTTTGTCGTCTGGACGATCGCCCACTTTTCAGGCGCGATTTGAGTTATCGCGCAGGAGCTAAAATTCTGATCGCGCGCTCAAATGCGCAGCGTTTAGGCGCGATGGCAAAAACTCGCTCTCTCGGTGATGGGGCGATGAATTTCGATCGCGCAGCCCCATCAGGCCGACAAAAAATACTCGCGCGTTCAAATGCGCAGCGTTCAAGCGCGATGGTATAAACTCGCTCTCTCGGTGAGGGTGCGATGATTTTCGATCGCGCAGCCATATAACGCCGATAAATAATACTCACACGCTTCAAAATGGTCGAAAATCTGCCGAGCGGGAGTGCAAGGTGGCGCTTGGTTTCAATTTTGCCGACCTAGTCGGCGCACGAATCAAATGATCAGCGTGAGATTGCTGACTAAGTTGACCGATTTTTTTGAAAATTCAATTTTTGGATGTCACACGAAAAATCTGCGGGTTGTCCGGAAAAAAATGCCGGGTAAAACCAAAGGACTCGAAATCAACAGCCATGGTTAACACTTTAATTCGACTAAGTTGTCCATCTCCTCATAAGAGAGCCGACAAACAAAATGTAAATTTGTACTGACCTCCCGCAACGTAACCTACAAATAAGTCGTGCTAATCGCTGAGAGTGACTCTTGGCACCGGAAATATGCGTAAAATCTGACAATTTTTCAAAAGAAAAATTTTTAAGGTAATTGGATTCTGATGTTAAGCCAACTTATGACTGAAAAATATATTTTTATTGGTTTTTGAACATGCAGATTTCGAAAATTTCATAAAAATTATATTGGATATATTGAAATCGCCTTATAAATGCCTTTTTCTTCTTCTAATTTTGGCTAAACATCACGCGCCATCGTTTAATCGTGTAGCTTACTCCAAAATGACAGTGTTTTATCGAGAATCAAGGGGTCCCCCCATGTTGAAATTTTCATGGGCGAAAATATGGTGTCGCGCACAGCCAGGGTGGCCGAAAATAAGTTATCGCGCTCTCGGGCCCACCGCGATGAATAATCATCGCTCCTGAAGCGCGAGGGCGCAGGGAAACCATCGGCATATTTTTGACTAATCCAGCCCGCCGATGGGAATTTTTCGCGCTGCGCGCCTAGGAGCGAAAATGATTGTCGCGCGCTGAAGAGGAGCGCTAGGTGCGCGATCGTCCAGACGACAAAATCTCGGATCCCTGCTTGGAGCCTTCAAAAACGCGCTCTACGCAGGGGGAAACATCACGATGATGAACTACAAGAACGAAAATGTTATCCACAAGGCAGCCTGGTTCGGCCGTTTGAATATCTTCACATCGATTCTGGAAGGGCCGCAAAATGCACAGCACTTGCCAGGATTGGTAAATGCACGTGATAGCGCAGGGTGCACGCCACTGCACAACGCTGTCATCAGAAACCATTACGACATGGTGGATGCCTTGATGGAGAATGGCGCGGATCCAAACATCCAGGTTTGAAAAAAATTTTCCGAAAAAATAATAATTGAAATGCGCAAAAAGGACAACATGGGAATGACTCCAATCATGGAAGCGGCTTTCTGGGACAAAGTCGATCTCCTCGAGCTACTACTTACTCGAAAGCCGAAGCTCTCCTTCAAAGACAAGCACGGTACATCATTTGCATCGCGTTTACCATCTTTTAACGCGATTGTAGGCCGAGACGTTTACGAAATCGCGCGACGGCGACGAGCTCGGCGCTGTTTTGTCGCTCTGCGATCTCGAAATTAGCCCCGAAGAAGTCATCATACCTACGCTACTTTGAACTCCGACTGATAATAAACAAAACACCTTACTTTTTAAAGAGATTTTAAATATTATTTATTCATTCATTTTGTCAGTTGAAAGATTTCAATGTTCCAAGATGTTTTAAAATTTAAATTGAACGAAAAAAGAAAGGAAAACGAAAAGTTTACGACCGATGCAAGTGTTTCTGTAGGACTAGAATAGACGCAAGAATAAATAAACTCGATGATTCGGAATTTGATTTGTGAAGCGACTTTTTGAATGTTGTCGGATCATTTTAATGCATTAAGAAAATGATGCCAACAAATTATAATAAAAACAAAATCGCATTAGATTTAAACGAGTCAATTGAAATGGTCGTTCTCGTGGTCAGGGAATGCTTAATCCGTTTACTTGGCTAAGCGGATGGCAAAAGAAGGAACATAGAAGAAGAGCTAAAGTTTAGCTGCTAAACAGAAGAATATGTATGTGTTTGCAAATAATATATTAAAAAAGAAACTTGGATAAATATATCTGAAGTAGGGTCAGCAAAGGAAAGTGCTTGAGACGGAAGTTGTTTTGTTGAGTCTGTTTCATTAGAAACAGAAGCAGGATTCAGTGTATTATTGCACGTTTAGAGCTAAAAACGCGATAGAATTGAGCATTTATTTTTTCTTCCTACCTGGTTTTATCAAGTCTTGAAAAGATGCTTATTTCGAGAATTTCGGTGGAGAATGATACTCCTGAAAACGAACGATTAAAGAAGAAGGGAAAGCTGTTTTGGTACCTGACTGTTCTGGTGGTTTCCTGGTGAGCTTTCCATCTTGAGTCCTGGAGGCATCTGAAGGTAGTTTGGCGGCAAAGGGGTAGATGTAGGGCTCATTGGCGGGGTCGGGAAGACGCCGTGGAAAGGAGAATAAGGATACACTGCCTGAATTAATTATTGAAATCAACGAGGGAGGCATCTTTCGCACCCTTTGTCTAGTGACGTCCGCAGTCGGCATGAAGGCATTGTGCGCAACAGGCATCATCATTGGCGCATGAGCATAAAGCATTGCTTGTTGCTGCATCGCAAAGTCAGTAGGAATCAAGGCTAAAAGACGCGTGAACAAACGGGCACAAATTACAGCGTTCTGTTCTGGCGCATTCTGAAAATAACACCAGATCAGAACAAGCTTAGAAACGCGGCAAGTTAACGAGAACTTGCCACGCTAGCTGCTGAATTCGCACCGGTCGATGACCTCGATGAAGTCATCCCTTATTACCAAAATTCACCATACATAAGGCAAAGTCACCTGATCTTAATTCAGTACCACCAGGTTTTGTTCGGCTGTTTTTCTTTTACAAAAAAAAAGCGATCCTCAGCCGGATAAAACAAAATCACCAATTTCGATAGAAAAAAAAACAACCCGACAAAGCATTATGGAAGACTAAAGAAAGATGGCCTTGGCGTACAGTTATTTGGAAAAGTTAATATATACATGGCTGAGGAAGTGTGTTAGTAAGCGAATTCAGCAGCTACTAAATTATTGAATGCATACTCATTCCAGGAGGGGCCTGCACTCCGTTACGGTTAAGTGTGCCACCCATTAACACCAAATTCATTTCATCCCCCGAACATTGGAACACCTCAACATATCTAAACTCCAGTTAGAGATTGAGTCCGAGCGTTATTTCGCGCAACATGTCAAACCTAAGCGGGCGAATTTAAAAAATCAAAATTGCGATCTAAAATAAAAGAAAAATACGAGTTAAAAATTTTGGAGAAGATTCGAAAAGAGCTCGCTTAGGTCGACAGAAGCATTTTGAAATGAAAACTCATAGATTGGCATTTGCCTGCGACGAGTTTTTCGCCTCCTTCACCAGCACCACCAGCACCGATCACATGGAGCTTCGTGTGAAGTGGCAGAGGGGTGAACACTTTAACCTACCGTTCGCCCATATGTTTCTTATGACAGCCCCCTTTGTTCACGTCGAGGGCGACTCGAGATGCGAACTCAGGCGCTTGAAGTTGAATGAAGGCATCGCCAGAAGGTCGACCCTAGAATACCAATGTTACTTCGTCAATTTAGACAACACTTGAGGTCATCTATTTTCAGGCTTTGGCTTATGAGTGGGCTCATGGATATTTATGGAGGCTGGTCCTAAAGGAGCTTGTTTGCAAAACAGACTTTCGGAGGGATCGGAGTTTTTGCTCCGACCATGCCTAAAATGCCACTTTTGGCAGGTCACTGAGCCAGCTCACTGGACCAAGCGCCTTCGCCTCATGGACGATAAACAACCGCTTCGACTAAATATTTTTATTCTCCTTATCAACTCTTTGTGGTTTGTGGCCGGCTTTACAAAGCTATATCTATCTTATCGAGCTAATGCCGTAACAAAGATAATAACACGAGAATTAGCGGATTGAGTTAACTCAGCCATGAAAGTAAAATAATATAAATTTAGAGAAGCATGACTAACCTGCTGATTGAGAACCATGTGAACTCCTGCGGGGAGAATGAACTGAGAGCTTTCTCCGAGAAAGTTCATTATATCTTCTAGCGTGGCTGAGTAGGGCATTCCTCGGAGACGGACACAGTTGCGTACCTAAATTCAAGTGTTTCTATTTAGACTTTGATAACAATGAAAAATGTGATAGATATCAATATAGCAAGTTCTTCTCATAAAGAAAAGAGTCTATTTCCTAGCGGAGAAAGAAAATTGCCAAATAGATATTTTTATCTACGACGCAATAATCACATGTGAGATAATCAAAAAGCAATGGATCAATTACAACAAAAAAAACTCATGCAACAAACAAGTATTTGCGAAGTACCTCATCGTCGGGTATCATAGGCGGCTGAAAGGTGTCAGAAATGGACGTTTTAGTGAACTTACGGATGATGGAATGAATTGCTGCGGTTGGGCCATCATAAATGTGTGACTTCCTGGAGGGATAATTGGCGCCGCCATTGCTCTGGTGAGGACCTTAAGTTTGTCTCTCTAGTTTTTTGATCGATCAAACTGTGACACGAGCTTTGTACGCGTGACGATAGAGGGTTAACGGAGCCCAAGCACGTTAAAAGAAAAATGAATTTTGGAAACTTGCACTTTGGAGATTTGCGTTTTGGAAAATGGAAGTTGCCGAGCGCGGAGGGCGGCCGAGGAAGTTTCTTGCCCCCGAGCCAGACGAGGTGGTGGCGAAGAAGCTTTCGAACTACTAAATCCTCGAGCTACGAAATCGTCTCGAGCGGAACAATTGGCGAAACACGCCTAGTTCTTACTGCATCGATCAAGAATGCAATGATGGAACCTTCTTGGAATGTGCTTTTAGCATTTAAATAGACTTTTCTCAAAAAGATTTGATTATGCTCTTGAAAAGATTCTGGAAACATCCTCTGACTGAATTACTTTCGAAAAATTAGGCTTTATTTACCTGGTGAAGTTCAGCACCGGTAGAGCGGAACACCTCCACATATCGATCTCGCAGGTTCGCCTGAACAACGATAAAGGTCAAGCACATCCGCGAACCATAATCCTTTTAGAACTAGAAGTAGGCACGACTTCTCGGAGAAGTGGAATGGCGTTATTCCCTGATGCATGAATTTTTCACAGAATGTGAATTTCGATAATTCGAATGACAAACCTTGTGGCGACCAAGTGCTTGAACCGCATCATCCTCACTGGCGAGCAAAACAAAGGCATCCCCTGTCGGCTTGCCCTCCGCTGTCTTGATCAAGAAAATGCCGTCTTTTCCGTTTACGATATGAATGTCACACAAAAACTCGAGGATGTCTTGTTTGGTGGCGGAGAAAGGAAGCCCTCTCATCCTGGCGATGGCGGCGCTACCCTATCGAGCAAGTAAGGTTTATTTTTGTTGTTAACTCATGCCTGTCCAAGGAACCTTTCTACTTGAGGGAGTGTTCCGGCGTTCATTTGGATAAAGTCAATGGATGGAGCTTTGAAAACTTCAATGTATCGGTTGCCCATGTGCTGACGGTGCCGTTGTAGTGCAAGATTTCTGATTACCCGGTTCAAAAAAACATTCCAATCGAAACTTTGAATTTGAGTGGTAAATAGTTAGAATAAAAAACCCTGCCTCCGATTTTAATTTCATGATAATTTCAAAATTACGAGTATAGCTGAAATATTGAGCAATAAGAGCTAAGAACCGAACCTGTGTTCTGAGTTTTCAAATCGAATAAGTGCTTCTCCTATCAAAGGTTCATCATGATTGTATATTTGGTGCTGAGAAAAAAAAATGTGGATGAAACTTTATCCTGATCTGCGTCCATTTTGATTAAGAACGAGCGAGACTCCACCAGAAGGGATGTTCAATCCACGGAAAAATTTCGCGAGGTCGTGATCTGAACACTGCCAAGGGATTCCGCGCACTCTTACACAGGTGTCTTCTTCCACGATTTCATGACCACTTCAGAATCGATAAATCCAAATATTGCCTTTTCAAATGACTTACCATGCTCTTGTTAGCAGACGTGAACTGATCATTTCCATAAGATTATTGAAGTCACATTTGAAGTCTTCAAGTAGCTTTTGTTCAACTTTGGCCATATCTAGCAGCTTATCTCCTGTTGATCTTAACCTTAGATGCTCTATAAAAAATTTATGATCATCGACGAAAGTTTTTCTGACTAACCTAAGATGTCTTCGAAATTAAAGTAAAGAGGTGTGTGTGGGATGGACTTTCTGAAGCATTTTCGTAGGTCCACAAAGTGATGGAGACACTGCGGCAGTGTCCGACCAAACTTAGCAGCCAAGGGATGCAAATACTGACGAAGCCACTCAGGTCCGTCTGTTACAGTTAGAAACTTTCCAGAAAGGGCTTGGACATCATTGGCGAACTGGTTCAGAAGACGGCGGCTATTACAAGAGGGGGAGTCGCGAGTCAGCTCCTTTTTCCACACGATTTCGCCTGTTTTTGTATTGTACAAATGGTACTTTATGAAGCCAATCGTTATTTTCTGAAAAAAAAATAGACATTTGTTGATAAATCCCTGCGTTGATAAAAATGGAACTGAAGCAAGAAATACTTTTACTTGAGTTTATTTACATGAGTGGTGAGCACCTACCAGGGCCGCCAAAAATCAGTGGTATTTTCAGTGGACTGAGCAGTCTGCAGAAGAATTTGTGAAAGTCTGAGACGTTCAAGAAAGAGATTTTGGTTGTACAAAATAAAAGATGAAGAAGGAATTTGATAACCAGGAGGACTTTCAGTCGAAGATTGAGGCGAAGGCGTGCTACCGATTGAACGTGGTCGTTTCTCATCAGGTGTCGTCGAATAATTGTCGTTCAAAGCTCGTTTAGGTACTCTGATGTTGGGGAGTGGAAGGGTCGGTATAGGAGAATCGGCAGTCAGTGAATTAATGGCAGCTTCCAAAAGACCTGCTCTGGAATGAAACCTCTGTCGTACCGGTGAGTGTCCCATTGATTCGAGTGTCGTTTTCAATGATTCAAAGGACTGGTTTAACTTGTTCCTGTAAGACGCGCAAGCTTCTTTGTTGCTCAGTTGAGTCGAAGGGTAGTTTTGGAAGGAAGAAGTCTTGATTGGCATCTTCGTCAGCATCGCGATCGCCCCATCGATAATTCGAAAACGATTCCAGTCCGAAATGTCGGGAAAGTTAGGTTCGACTAGCCTTCGAAGTTCCGAAAAGCGTGAATTCAACTTGTTTCGGGACTTTTTGGAGAAGTCAGTGTTGGTCTTTGGGATGTTCATAGTGATGATTTTGCTTGATTGTTTTTGAGAACTGATTTGAGTTTCTCGGAAAGCAGGGTTGCTTATAAGTCGAAAATCAAGCGGCGCTGTTTGGGATCAAACATAAACATCTGTTCTGACAGGAGATAGCTTCCTTCTGAGGACAGGGGAAAGCAATCAAGAGATGAGAGGAAGAGAGAGGTCAGAAGTCGGTTCATTAACGCGCGCAGCTGCGAACGCTGAACAAGCTGATGGCACCTGATCGCATGAGGATGATGGTCTCAAAGGAGCCATCTTGTAAAAGTATGAATGCATCCTGTGATCTTTAGTGACATCAAAGAATTCAATTGATAATTCAAAGTTTCTCTTTGAAGAATAATAATTTTGAAAAAAATAAAAATGAAAATTATACCTGGGGTCCAGGGTGGTCAGGGTGAAACTGCAATATCTCTGGATTAGCGCAAACATTTAAGAGTAGCATTCTCTTTCAAGAAGCAAAAATATATGTATTTTTTGTAAGTTAGGTTTTCAACAAAAGAAATCTTGAGAAGCAATACCGGATTCCGAAATAGTTTTTCAAGTGGCCAGATCAGCCACACGATGGATCCCACGGACAATGGAAACTACAAAGTCAAACAAAACTACAACCCTGGACACCTGTTGAGTTTCTCACTTCCTGCAGCAAGAAGCAATCCGACAAATAAGCACTTTGCAAATTTTCGAAGATATCCGAAAATGAGTTAGCCCAGCTGGAGAAGGAGCAAACACCAAAACACAATTTTTGGTCGATACTTTCAGAGTTTATTTGAATGAAGTTTCAATTGACAGTCTTTCGGTTTATTTTGTTAAATTTACAGCATTTTTAACCACTGAAACGTTCTTCGACCAGCACAAGCGACACCTTGAAAACTTCGCTCGCGATTTTACCGATTCCCGTAAAGGCTTTCTGGAAAGCCTCCTGGTTTCGTTCTTTGAAAGCACGCTTCATATCGGCTTCCTTTGCCTCAAACTCGTAGTCGTAATCGACCACGAGTTTCTCTTCTTGTACTTCACAAATGTAGAGGTCATCCTTCCGTCGGCGGAGAATCTTGACAGGATAGACTGATCCGGCACTATAATTGTCGATGCATTTCGTCCGGAGAACAACCTTCTTTGGTAGGCTACAGTCGATAGACTCTTAGAATATATTGAAACAGAGCTTATTCAAAAATTTACCTAGATTCTCTGGAATGGGAAAGAGCCGGCTCGATGCAATGACCAAGCATTTCTCCGTGTCAAGCTCTCTAACCAAGAATCGACCAGGCGGCAAGACTCTTCCCAAGTATCGTGGTTTATCTCCAGGAACGAAATCAACTCGACCACGTCGCCACCCTGCATCAGGAACTGTCGGGTAACTCTTGTCTTTGATGATCACGTTCATGCCCTTTTTGATGTTGTCTTCATGTAAAGGGACATTTTCTGAAGAGTTCATGGCATCCTAAAAATGATGAGACACGAATTGAAGTTATCCTCAAACATTCATCATTGCATACCTTTACCAGATTATTGAAATCTATCCAATCTTGTTTGATACACAGAGTGATCACATAATCCCTCTTACCACTGTCGTTGAATCTGAAAAAATTTTATGTATGTGTTAAGAATTTAGGACCTAAATTTTAGGTCTTACTTCTCTGAGTTAGGGATAGCCATCACTCGAACATTTAGAAACATGCATTCGTATATCTTCCCGCACTTGAATACTGAGGTCAAGACAATTTTTCTCCCGTTGACTGTGCATGCTAGAAAAAAAGATTATTACCATACGTATGATTGTTATTTACTTGAGAGCTGAGTGCTGTCTTGTTCTTTTTGAGCGACAGCAGCATCATCGACGGTAAGGTCAATCTGCAATTCCAAGGGGCTTGGAAGATCGTGACAGGTTTCTCGAGAAGGAACCTCTATCAACGGAGCTTCTGGGATCAGCAATGGAAGATCAATGGAATCACATGGAAGGACAACCGAACTCTTGCGTACGGTCAAGCTATCCATCAAGCCGAACTTAAAATCGCTGCGTACGACAGCTTTCACAGCGAATGCATATTGGTATTCTCGGTCGACCAGTGGACGATACTAGGACTTTCTCAAGCGTATAATTTTAAAAGAACTTACTTTGTAGACACGGGAGCATGGATGAAGTTCTGTCATCCCGTAATCGATCAGATGTACACTGACGGTCTCATCTGAAGATCCAAGTTGGAACCCTTTGATCTGGCCACGGACAGGTCGAGCTTCGAAAACCTTCGAATGGACAACGACAATGTCCCCGATAATTGGCTCCACAATACTTTCGGTTGGTGAAATCTCGTCGGACATACGGCGAAGTGTTTCAGAGTCTGTTTTCAGATATCCCTCGATGTACGTGTGTTCCTTTACTTCATTCTTCGACATTACAACGAGTTCAAACGGGTTGATCATGTTCAAGGGGTCGTCGAGTCTTCTCAAGAGTCAACAATATTTGATATTATATCATAACTTTATTAACTTTAAAATATTTGACTCTCTGACCTGCGAGGAATGCTGTTTTTGATCATTCGCAAATGTTCTTCTCTTTTTCCCTCCAAAGTGCTTTCTATGCTTTCATCAAGGTTCTTTTTCTGAAATTTTAACATCGAAATCCAACAATAGAGAAGAAATCCTTCAAAGATTTGAAGAAAAAATTCTTATTTTACCTTCTTTTTCGAGCTGATTGATCTCTAGGACCTGCAGCGAATTATTATCTTTTCAAAATCTACTTCAATCTACAAAGCAAAATCCCGATAAACGTACCTCAATCGGTGCAAAATTGACGATTTTTAGCGGTGATTCCTCAGTGATCACGTGCTCGCCTTCTTTCTCGTCGCTTGAATTTATAGTCTCTTCATGCTGAGGGTATAATCGCTGTGCTGATTCCAATGAAGTGTTCGTCGGCCAAGAGGAAGCAGATTCATTTTGAACCGGCAGAGGACCGGGCTCAGTAGGGAACTCACACTCCTCCGGATCAACAATTTTCGATGGAGTTGGCTGAGCACTACTGGTAGGGTAAATCGCTCCGAAGTAGCCATTCTTCGATGCAAGTTCTCGTTTGTAAGTTAATGTTATCTCATCGCCTTCACACAGTTCGGCCACTACTGCATCGTCACAACCAACAATGTACGTCCGTAAAGCAAGAGGAGGGAACTTCAAAAGTGTCTCCGGAAGTACATAGTATTTGTCTGTTATGCGTGTCAAAAATGAGTGACCAGAAGGTTAATAAAATTAACGATAGATAAAACGCATTCCTATCAAGTCGTCAGTGTTGCCGAAATCAACGAAGAGTACTTGTGGCGCAGTGCTGTCAATATCGACAACTCGTGAACGAAAGTACTGTTTCTCAAATTTCGAGAGAACTCATTTTGGACTCGACAAGTAAGCTTAATTTAGAAAACTTATCAATAATTTCATATTATTTGATGAGCCCGTTCGTAAATCGCCAACTTTCGGAGGACCAGTCGGCTGCTTCAGCGTGCTAATCGACTTCGACATTGCTTCGTTGATCTCATCGAGTACCTCTTGGTCCTCTTCGCGCAGAAACCAAAAGCCCTTCTGCTCATCTGTTTTGGATGTTATTTCTCCTCGGAACTCTTTTTCGAAAGTAACTCTCTGCGGTGGAAGTTTATGCCGAAGAATCTCAGAAATCTATGATAGGATTGCGAAAAATATGCATTTATATAAAGACCTAAATAAGTAGGTCTATTTTTAAATCTTCGAATCCCTTAACGAAAGTGGTCGCTCGATAGGCCCGCTTTCCTTCGTTCTCGAAGAAAGGAGACTTCCAGTGACGACTTCAATTGGCCAATTCCAGTGCTTAACCTTCTTCACATTTTCCATCTTCATTCGATGATCGGACACTAAAAAAATCAAGCTTTGCTTCAAATTTTAGGCTTAAGCTTACAGTGAAGCTTTTCCATTTGATCATCAGTGATCTCATAACACTCAGGCGTAAAGATCACCAACGCAGGTTTGTTGTTCCAGAATTCTGGCTCGATCTTTCTGAATGGACATTTCGTCGAATTGACCACTTCACTGTATCCATAGTCGACGAAGAAAACGAGATGGCCATTGTTTTCTTTCTTCTCAAGATAAATGACTCGGTTCCAGTTCTCAGACTTAGCAAAAAATCCGTATATGTATTCATACAGTTGACAACTTACGTGGAAACACAAGACACGTTGAAAAGGAAGAGGGCTCGCAATGTTACTTCCTTCGTTTCGTTCAACGTAATAGTTCAACACCCTCGCGAACATCTCTCTTTGCTCATCAAGCTCGTCCGTCGTAAAGCTCCAAAGCCCTTCCGAAACTTCGAGTAGAAAAAGACTCGAGAGATCTTTCATCTCTAGTTTGAGTATTCCATACTCTTCTCCCGATAACTCCATCTCCTTTCACGCGCTATCAAGGTTTATTTTCCTTGCTCTATTCTCGACCTATTTCTCTCGATAAATGTGAAATAAATGCGTTGCCTGGCGCTTGGGCAGTGGCGTTCGGCTCGATTTAGAGTCGTCTTGCCTTTGGATATTAAAAACAGAGTTCGGATCGAATTCGGACTTCTTTCGAGAAGACACAGGTTCATAATTCTTTGCAAAGACATGATTCTAGCAGGTCGACTCTACTCAGGACTGTTCATAATGAGTGACGCGCTTGATGTAGATCATCTAATTGAGCAAATTACCCGGAAATTATTCATCCAATAGCTTCAGGTTTCTGGTGAGACTTTTCGAACTCAACAAACTTGAAAAGAGTTTTCAACTTGTTCAAAAATTTTATTGATCAACAAGAAGGTTAGAGAGGCGAGATTAATCATTAAAATTTTGTACTCTTCCTTGATTTTTTGCTTGCGATTTTACGAAGAAAACTAAATCAGCTTGTTTTATTAACGATTTGCTAACTGATTGTTTTCTGTTTTGAAAAATGATTTTGAATTTTCGTCTGTCAGAAACTGCTGCCAAGAGTCGTCTGTATGAGAGACAAGCTGAACAGAGTTCGCAAAGTGGGAGTTCTGTTTGGCCTCAAACATCAATATCGAACATATTGAGACAATATTCGAGTAAGCAAGAATACAAGAATTAAGACCATCTTAATTGAATCCTTAATTTGTTATTATGTTTTATTTCATAATCATTTCAACAATTTATAAATCCTTTTCTCTGAAAGCGGAAAATTTCGGACATCAAGTTTCGAAAATTTGAGATAAATGTCTATGAATATAGATTTATCTGATTACTGTTGCCTGTACGTCGATAAATGATACTGCTCGTCTGTTGTCGTCGGTATTGATCGTGGTGGGTTGCGCCGTTCTGCCTCTTCCCACCTCTTCATCCCTTCTGCCTCAAACAAGGAAAAGAGACACGCCGGCAGCGAAAAACGCGCAGAACACTCTCTCACGCGAAATAACGATCACTTCAACTCCGACAGAGACTTAGAGTCAAATTTTTGACTGGGCAAGTCAGCTAAGAGAAACGCAGAAACATAGAAGACACCGAAGACAGGCTTATTTCAGAAGTTTGAAGCTTCCCTCGAGTGGGGACAGCCGCAAATGAGTCACTTTGAAAATCCAGATTATGATGGCTACGAGGTAAAATTATATTCTAAAAGTACCTAGTGTAAAAATATCCATGAAGGTTTTAAATTTTATTTTTTATCGAAGCTTCAGTGCTTTGAACATTATTTTACCAAAAACCTCAAATAAGTAGATTAAATTCAATGTTATAATTTTTAAATTAGATCAAGACATCAAAGGTTGAAATTTAGACGGCGGGACAGTACACAGACGGCGAATATGGTGGAGGAACCCATATGGCAGAGTCTTCGGCAGACTGGGGCGGTGGTGCTTATGAGCAACAATATGCCGGCCAAAGGAACGTTTTCCAGAGTTGACGATGCTCTAAAAGTTAGAGCACATTGGTGCCTTAATCCGATCCAATAGGATCGGCAGTATAAATTTTTAATTTTCGTAGAATTGAGGAGAGCTGTTTAAATTGCTTGCTCTCCAGGACTAAGACATAATCAATAAAGCTTAGTTATCCGCTCATTAGTACATTATTTCGACTTGTCTCTTCGAGAGTAGCACTTTTGAATCAAAACCAAATTATTGGAAAATCGTGGAAAAGTCAATTCGACAGAGCTAGCGATGTTGGATCAGGGGCCACAGAAGATGGGGATGAAGATGCTGATTATATTGTGAAAGATGGCGACGATGGACGATATCCGGAAAAAGCGCAATTGGAAGAAGCTGGTTATAGATACGAGGCCGCACTCAGATCATGTGGCCATGGGAAAATGCAGTGGATGGTCAGTGTTACTGTTAATCTTCAGTTGTTGCATTAACATTCTAGATTTTCGCTGCTCTTTCTATCGGCCTGGCAGCAGAGTCTATCGAGCAATTTGTTATTGGTTTTATTCTGCCCTCAACGCAAAAAGACCTTTGTCTCACAGAAGAACGCTCCGCTTGGCTAGGTAATTTGCGACTCTCCAAAAATGCTCTTAGTTAGTTAACACGTGAAATAAGGATCGATCGCTTATTTGGGCTTGTGCTTTGGTGCGTTGATTTGGGGAGGAGTGAGTGACAAGGTTGGAAGAAGACATTGTCTTCTCGTTTGCCTCAGCATATCCGGCTTCTTTTCGATCCTCTCTGCCTTTACGCAAGGATTCGGTAGTTTCCTTTTCTGTCGCCTTGGCTCCAGCATCGGGTTAGTAGTGATTGAATAAAGTCTAATTATATGTATCGTGTAATTTTCAAATTGAGCCATTTTTCAGAATTGGCGGCGCCGTCCCTGCTGTATTCTCATACTACGCCGAAGTACTCCCTCGGGAGAAACGCGCCGAACATCTCTCCTGGCTTTGCCTTTCATGGGTATTTGGTGGAGTTTATGCAGCTGCCATGGCCTGGGAGATCATTCCAAACACTGGTTGGGGTTTTGCTTATGGGTCTGAGTACCAGGTAATCTGAAAAAAGACACATTGCGTAATTATGATCTGGAAAGAGCGACGATTTTCACGAACTCGAAAGTGAACTCATTTAGTTGCTTGTTCCCTGAGAATTTGACATTGACTGCCATGCTCGCGGTCACTCTAAGATTATTATGTAACAATTATACACTGGTTTAGTTCCATGCTTGGCGAGTGTTTGTTGTTGTTTGCGCTCTTCCATCTGTTATCTCAGCTACTGCTCTTACGTTTTTGCCCGAGTCCCCAAGATGGCTCCTTCGATCAGGGATGGTTGTCAATTTAAATTGCTCGCTTTGGCTCTAAAGAAAGTTGCATAACCGTGAAAGGGAATCCACGCGAAGCGCTCGCCACACTTCAGCTGATCCATGATACAAATTACGCGGCCCGCAATGAAAGTGACCATAAGTTGGTGGCTGACATGTCTGCAGAGCCGCAGCCCATCGATCCAGGACTGACGGAGATCTCTCGATCAACGGATTCATTCGCACAGCGCATCGGCGTAAGACTCGTCACTGCAGTTGATGAAATTCTAACGGGAACGAAACTCATCGCAGAAGTAACTCAAATTTATCCTTACTGTGGTATTACATGGTTTTAAGAAATATCGCCAGGAAACTATGTATTTGGCCATTTGCTGGTTTTGTCTCTCTTTCGCCGGCTTCGGAGTTCAGACCAGCGTTCCCAACCAGATCCGATCACTGAGAAATCTCAACTACGAAACTCATCGCCAGTTCCGGGCAGACCAAGCTTTGAGTAATATCCGCATCAACACCACTGTGGAAAATCAGGTAGCTTTTGCATAAAATAGAGTCGCCGTGACTCGTAATTAAGGATTTCCGAAATATGTCATTCGTCAGCGTCACATGGCAACCGAATGGTGGTGTCAGTTCCGAACAGAGCTTGAAGATTCGCCATGTTAAATTCGAAAGATGTACTTTCAAGAGAAACATCTTTATCAACGTCCAAACTCCGAATACTCGATTCGACAGTTGTACCTTTGAAGAGACTGTTTTCGAGGATACCGATCTGAAGTCCACTGAAGACCCCAAATTTCAGGAATAGTTATTATTTGTTTAGTTGTTCATTCATAATTCAGCTAATTCACTATTTTGATATTTGAACTACTTGGATAATAAAATTAAAGACATGTATTTTCGACGAAAAGACAACAGTGAGGGAAAGTCAAGAGGTAATACAGTAGTGCGCGTGTAGAGCTTGTAGCTATATACCTAATTTAGTGCTCACCTCAAGATGACGATGTAGCGGGGGACGCGGCCTACTGGGAATACATTGTCGCCTTGCTGGGATCAATGGCAGCATTACCAGGCATCGCGTGAACACATCCATCGCCACACGACAGCCCTAATTGTTCAATAAAATTCGACCTAACTAACCTATTGCCCTCTTAAAAATTTTTAATTTCCTAATTCGACCCTGAAAAATTTTAAAATCATTTGAGCCATGTTGACGCGAGTAATAAGGCCTGGTAGCATGCGGATTTCTGATGGGCCGCATTGGCCGTATCAACATGCTGTGCGGTGGACTCTTCACTGGAATGATATTCGCCCTTTTCTTCCGCTCGCTCAAAGCGCCGAGGCAGCTCTTCTCGCGATTCTTTGCCTGTTTTCAGGTGAATGACAAAACTCACTGATCATAGAAAGAAATAACGTTTCTAAAGGCTTGCTGGTTCCGTCGTGGTCAGCTGTGCATGTGCTCACGGTGGAATCTTTTCCCACAGATAGACGATCGACGGCGCTGGGAATTTTTATCGCTGTGTCACGTGGTGGCGCACTTTTAGGTACCTAATTGGCCAATCCATTTAGCCAGGAAATTTTAGGCTCATTATACGTTGTGAATATGCCGCTGTGGGCGGGCAGTTTTCTAGCAGCAGCGGCGCTTCTTGCCGGAGGAATCTTCGCCATTCGTATTCAAGACACCGGAAATCGACCCTTGCTTTAGAAAAGCTCATCTCACTCTTCAAATATACTGTCAACCTAATATTAGACTATGGCTACTACTTCATATTTCAGTTATTCAATTGTTTCCGAACTCGACTTTTCAAAACCATATTTAATCCCTTTTCACTACACTACTTTATCGACTCGTTGCCGAAAGATACTTCAATAAACTCATGTCTCAAATATACATAATTACACATATATATTTTTACATATGATATGATCCTCCACTTTTCGCACATTGATCCTTTCCTAATTCATGCCAAATATTTTCGAAATCGAGTAGTTTCGAAAGAACCGAGAAGCAGGTCAGAAAGTTTTATTTCGTTTGTTCTACCCGAAAAGGCACTTACCAAAAATGGAAACCTGAAAATATTGACCATGTAAATAGTACCCGAAGGACAGTCTACTTCGATTCGTCAACTCCCATGAAATCAGGTCTTCTTCAATTTCCTAAAGAAAAAGTGATAAACAGCTAGAATAACCCAACAAATTACTAAATGAAAAGGAAAATTACGACTGACACCATTTTCTCAATTTTACAAATATTGCGAAAAATTACCACGAGGGACCTCGCATGTTGGGAAAAAACCCAACAATATTTTTGGACCATGGGAATTGCATTATTCTGCAATATTTGACGACTTGTGAGTGAACATGTGATGAAATCAGTTCAGTCGACTGATGTTCATGCTCCGGGTTCATGCGTTCGGAACAGTTACGAGCTTTCACTCCGTACACGCCTATGATTTCTTAGGGTAAGCAAAACGCTACGTAAAAAATTTCAATAGGAAATTTCTTCAAAGAGTTCCCTTTTTGCTGATTTCAATCAGCGAAAACTAACTGCACATGATTCCATTTTTATCAAGATCGTCCCAAGCGGGATACCGTCCATGGTGCGCCATCTATAATATTTCTCTGGTATAAAGTAGGTTCCAGAAAGTTCCTACCCATCAAAAATGAAAGCCTATACAAATTTTCCTCCACCAACTTACACTCGTCAGGAGTTGCTTATGATTGAGCCAGTAGGAAGCAGAGTTGAGGAGAAAAGCTTCGTCGACCTCTTCGAAAACTACATTCTGACATACGTCGTCCTCAGGAAACAGGCTCATCCTGTCTTCGGCATAGTCAACTTTCTTGGCATTGCACCTATAAATGATGAGTTTCGTGAGTCTCGACGATACAAAATGGGGACTGTATCTGATGATGGACGAATTCAGCGTGAATTCGATGCGAACGGAGGGTATGCATTGCCAAAAGATGTGGACCGCCTTGTCCGTGAAATGGATGAAAAAGTCAAACGGGACCTGATCAAGATGCAAAACAGAATCAAAGAGGAGATGTTTGAGGAACTCTTCGAAGAACCAACGGTGGTCAAGGGATCTGCAAAGCCGAAGAAGCCCTTAACAGACGAAGAGCTAGTCACCCTCTTCGGTGAAGATGAAAAGCTACCAACGAAGAAGGCCGACAGGAAGAAGAAGAACTCGAAGAAAAGCAACAAGAAGAAACCGAACGCCGGTAAAACTCCAAACGCAATCAGAAAAACCAAGAAGCCCACCAAGCTCTAAAGATCTCTGTCAAACCTTTCTCAGCTGTTCACTATCTTTACTGAAATAAATTTGGATAATAAATAAGAGCACACCCTAGTTTTTCGCAGACAGAGCCAGAAGTTCTGACGAAATTGCTGCTCATAGTGCAAAATCGCTGTTCTACAAACAAGGTCAGAAACGATGCACACGCAGAGTCCACGCGCCAGCGCAGTGTTTTACCTATTTACTCTCAAATATTTTCAACTATCCGTGCTCATTATAAAACCAGCACTGATGAGAGGGATCTTCACTAACTCAAAACTACACTCAACGACAATATTCATTTTTGAAAGAATTAGATTCTCAAAATGTTGAAAGTTTTCTACGACCTCTCCACTAAAGAGCCAAATAAGACGACCCAGCTTCTTTTCAACACAATCAAAACCTTGCTTGTGTTGTATACTTTCGGAATCGTCGTTTCCGTCTGCAGTGCTGCTAGCTACTTCAAGGGACAAGCGAAAAAAGGTGAGCTAGTCATTCGATTTACCTTTTTTCCTGATAAAACACAACCCTTACAGTCATTTTAGCAATCATGACCACTCTATTCGATCTGACAACGGAAAAGACCGAGCTGAAGAGAACTTCGTCGGCAGAATCATTTCGCGTCGAAACGATCAGACGTCGAACTATCTCCACTTAAAAAAATAAAACTTCATTACTGTGACTTCCTATTTGCACAACCCTGACTTTGCTGACCTTTTAAAATAAATCTCCAGCGGTATTAGAAACAGATCAAACACACTGAAGCCAGTGAGTTTCCCCAATGAATGTTTTTTGATAAAATTTTGTCTTTTATTGGTGAAGTGGCAATGAACTGAATAACAGGGAATGTGAAAAGTGAAGGAATAAAAAAGTGAACTATTTTCGTTTGTGAAGGCTCTTCCTTTTCGGGGCCGGGGAATCGGAAGACTTTGGGCTGGAAAGCGCGCGGAATCGCTACAAATCGTAAGAAAATGTTCAGATTTTGGGTTTTACCTTTTGAGAGACAGCGTAGGGGTCGACATCGTCTCCAGCGCAGTGGATTCGGTTCTCAGTTATTGGTCGAACTGAGAAGTTGTCAATCGGATCCGAGTCTTCCGGCGGAGGAATGATCCTAAACACTGTTACTGGGTGCATTCAAAAGCTGAATCTTACTCGAGCTTGCCTTCATTGGCCATTTGCAGCATGGCCGCGAATTTTCGACTTCGTTCCCAGTGCGGAACTCCACGGTAGAGGTCCTTGCAAGTGACGACATCGCTGCTTTCCACTTAAAAATTTTGAAGTGAACGTAAACTCGTTGAAATATTGACTCACCACAAGAAGTGCTTAGCATTGAGCTAGGGTCGGACCCCTTACTAAGGTTTCCTTAGTTACTAAGGGTAAGGGTTTTGAAATTGATGAAAATCGAGAAAGGCCTAAGGAAGGACTAAGGGCCTTCCTTACTAAGGCCTTAGTAACCTTAGTAAGGATTTGATTAAGTACGATTTGCAAAAATGCTCTTATTGACAAAAATAGCGATTATTTATGTCAACGACCCTTTATTTCGAACAATTAGGTATTTTTTTGCTGTCAGTAAGTTGTCAAGAGACATTTTTACTAAATTCCTTCACAACTTTTCCTTAATTCCTTTCCTTACTAAGGCTTTTGAAAAGGTTTTTTGACAAAAAGCGTTCTCCAAATGCGTAGGCCGTCGAAAAAATCCTTTTTAAAATCCTTAGTAAGGAAAGGAATTAAGGAAAAATCGCTAAGGATTGAAGATCCTTACTAAGGATCTCTGAAAACTAAGAAAGGAACTATGGTAAGGATTTTTTTCCGCAGAAATCCGAAAAAGGGTAAGGAAAAAATCCTTACCTTACTAAGGAAAGGACCCTTAGTAAGCAAAAAATTAAGGAAGGAAGTCCGACCCTAGGCATTGAGTCCATGTCGGCGATAAGGGTGCGAATGTTGAAGTCGGGCAGTTTCGCTTCTTCCTCTAACTTCGGGGCGATGGCTCGCTTCCACTGGAGAACATTTGCCTCGATCTCCGTGTCAGGCAGGTGGCCTCTCAAGACTCCGCCTCCTCCAAGGGCCACTTCTTTTAGACGAGTCATATTCAGGTCGCCTTAATTTCACAATTTCAAACTTGCTAACTTTAAAACTGACTAACCAATATAGACATCGCCGTTTGCCGCAGTGGTTTGTAAGTGAGGCTGCTCCAGCTGAGTCTCATCAGAGTCTCTGTCATCAACTGGCTCTGGAAAGCAAGGCGGTGCTTCTTCAAACTGCTCTGGAGGCTGAATGCCAGTTGATTCGTGGACGATTTCTTGTGGCGCAAACTGCTCCACTTCGGCTTCGATCTCGGCAACGTCTGTTCCGGCAGCAAAGTTGTTGGTAATCAGCTGCTGCACATGTTCCGTCGTTCGTCTCTCGTTCTTTGTCTTTCTTCCCTTGGGCAGCGGCTTTATCACGCAGTACTCTCGCATTGTCTTGTTGAACTCTTTCTTCTGCTTGGCGATTTTGGCGTCGCTTTGCTGTCGAAGAGTTTCAACCTTCTTCGCTTCCAACTTCATTTTCCAGCTGTCGATCACTTTTACGTACTTTTCTGGCTTCATCATTGGCCAGTTGAACTCGTACTTTTTCAACGGGCGCTTGTCGATCTGATTGTCGAACTTCCATCGCTCTGTGTTGAAGGAAAGCTTCATCTCTTCATCGTAGCCGTACATTCTGTGCGAAACCTTCGATCCCATGAATTCGGCGTATCTTTTCGCAAAATCGGGCTTCTCCTCGAACCAATTCCATTTATATTTCCTTTGATCGTTTGAAAGACGGGCGGTACTTCTCTCTGGAGCAAGAGAAGAATTCAAAGTCGCTTCAGGAGCAATGGTTAAATTTTCAGGGGGTCGGCTTTCGACAACCTTCGCCTCCTCTGCCTCTGATCCCTGTTTGCTGACAATTTCTTGCGGCTCAAAATCTCCACCGGCATCGAAATCAGGCTCAAAGTTCTGGAAGCTTTGTTGATCGAAATTCGCATCTCCATCGTTAGCTCCCTGTCGCTGATCTCTGAGACTCTCGTCCAAGAATGCGTTGTACTCGTGCGCTCCTGGCTCTTGATGACGTTCTCCGAATCGCTTTTGCTGATCTCTGCTTTGCGGATAGACGTAGCCATTGTCGGTAAACGGCGCTCGGTAGATCCAGACATCGTTTCGCTGGCAGATGTAAGCGCCAGTGTCGATGTCGGTTATCTCCTTGCCCCTCGCTGAGCCTACAAGGTCGCCGAAGAAGTGATCGCGCTCAGGGAGGTAGTCCTCTTCTTTGAGATTGTCCTCGTGATCGAACTCGTCGTCCTTGAGCTAGGTCTAGGATTTGGGGTGACCGTTGGTGATCCAAAATAATTTGCTCAGGATGGATCACCAAAAAATGGTGATCGGGTTCTCCGATCACCAGAGCTTGGTGATCGAGGCCAGATGTGAAAATCAGTGCCTGTTATTTCTTCGATCAGCTTAATTGATAGGCTTATTTTGCCCAATATATAATAATATGACCTTTTGCGTTAAAACTAGCAAATCTGCAAAAATTTTCTGCTAACAATCACCAGCGGATCACCAGGATCGAGTCTCGATCACCAAGCTCTGGTGATCCGAGAAACCCGATCACCACCTTTTGGTGATTCATCCCGAGCAACTTTTTTCGGATCACCATCGGTCACCCCCAATCCTAGACCTAGTCCTTGAGCGTGATTGACTCGTCGTTCTCAAGCAAGTCTTCGCCCATATAATCGTCATCCTCCAAGAACTTTTTGATGAACTCGGATTCCGCGTCTGCCTCGTTGAAGCGCCGCCTTCGCCTTGCCACAGCTTCGCCGCCTGCTCCTTCGTTCTCCTCGCCGTTCTCGGCGCCGCCACTGGCCAAGAACTCAACCAAATCCAACGCCTCTTGATGAATTGCGTCGATCTTCAACCCAACTGTGTGCACAGCGCCTAGAATTACTCGATAAGTAACAAATACACAGATGCTTGCGATACCTTGAATGACAAGCGCGGCTTCAGTGAAATTAACCTTCGCTTTCTCTTCATAGTCGCGCTTGAAGTCTTCCAGAATCGATCCGATGTCGACGTCGAAGCATTGATTTTTCTTAACAGGACGAAAGAAGACCGACCACGATTTCGATGGGTCCGGATTCATATCTAAAATACTCAAGTAAATCGGAGTAGGGAAATTAGAATGGATTAAATAATTTCTTTTAACAAAAACTAGCAATTATCCATAAGCTTCTCTGTCTTTATGAGTTCTCTGAATATTTTCTGATAATTAAAAAGCGCGGGAGACGCGGCGCTTTGGCTGTTTGCCAATTCTGAATGAAGAAAACAAGAGATGGATAAAGGGGAAATTTTCGAGCGGGGTACCACCCGGCCAATCACAGACCCGCGTAGGCGCCTCCCTTGCCTTCCCCATTTGAACTTGAATTGTCACATGAATTAGACATCATGAATCATAAATAATCCTTTGTAATAAGCATTATATGCCATTGATCAAAGTTTCAATGAAAAATCTTTAAGAATAGAAAAATTTTTTGAACGAATGTTTATTATAAAATCAGATTAGGCGTTGAACTTCTTGAAACAGACAATTGGTTTCCAATCTCTCGGAAATAGTACAGTACAGTCAAACAGTAAAGATTACTTACAGCAGCCAATCACACGCTTTCTTGAGTAAGATTTCGCCGCCCGACAAGGACGGCAGTTGCAGACTTCATTCGAATTTCCTAAAGTAATTAATAAAGGAGAGTTAGTGCTGCCGACATGCCTGGCTGAAGTCGCTCCTGCGGTAGGTGACCTTTGCGCTGACAAAAGCGACTTGCGATTGGTGTCGGAGCTTGATCGTTCGCGCGTAGTGAATCGAGTCCACTCCCTGTTCATGCGGCTCCGCTCGATATCTTATCGTATTTTCACTTTCTTCAATTACAGTCAGCTCGATGAGCGCCCCCTCTATCGTCGAGTCCGTGTCTTCCAAGTCCACTAAAGAGGAAGATAGGAAGCAGAGATTTGAAGAACCAACTCAAACCTGTTATAATCCAGTTTGTTGTTCCGGTCGGGTTTTTCTTGAGACACATCGCCGTCAGAGTCACTTTCGCCGAGATATTCAAAGCGGGCAGTTCTGCAGTGTTGGTGATGACACGAACGTTTTCGTTGAGAGCGTGTTCGATCATGTCTATTCCACCGGTGGAGCCGAGAACCACCTGAGCAGATTCGTTCTTCTGAACTGAAATCATTTCAGTAAGTCAGCAGTGGAAAACAACCGCTTACTCATGCTCAATCCAGCGTCTACATTGTACGTGTTGAAGAAGTTTTCTAGCGACGAGTTGGAAATGGTCTTTGGCGGGCGGCGGTAAGGGACGATGTCTTCGCTCTCGACGAGATCGAAGCAGCTGATGCCACCGGAGAGATGTTTGTGCTGAAGTACCGACTAAATATGAGAGCGTTGCTTTCAGTGCTATTCTAGGAATCACCGCGCTAGAATCACCGCCACTTTAGAAGTCACTCTTGATTTATTTGAAAAAAATATTAATACAGAGGATGAGCATCAAGTAAGTCAGTAGATGGCACCAAATGCGAAATCACTGCACCTGGTGGCTTACCGATGCTGGCTCTAGGTTTCCATTATTGAATACCTTCAGATTTGCCAGAGCGAGAGAGGGATACTTGCCCGTGGCGTCGAGCTCATCGACTAGCACGAGATTCACGTGACAGTTCTTCGTTACGTCAGGAAGCTTATCCTTACTCTTGTGCCTTGTCTTGGGATTTGCTAAGTCGATCGTTTTCCAAAAGTCAAGGTTCAACAATTTATGCTTATAGAACGAGATTTGAGAAGTGACTTTGTGTGAACCTTGACAGAAAGGCTCTAGCTCGAATCCATTCCTCTCGGCGGGCATACTTTTGAGAACGACGCCTCTGTAGCCCCACTTGCGGTGGATAAAGTGCTGTCCGGGCGTGTGTCTGGCTGCTGGGCCCCCAGCCGCTCCCAAACGTTCAAACTGTACCAGTGCATCTAAGAGTGAGCGAAAACTTCAAAAATTATCTCTTGGTGAAAACTTACTTGACGAGTGGGCCGCTGCTCTCTGAGTCCCCCTGATGAACGAATTGTTCATCTGAGTATGAAAAGAAGATGGTGCTGTAAATACAAGCCGTAGCAGTAATTTAGTCTACTCAGGGAATTCTTCTAAGTCGAAAGTACACTTCCTAGTTACAACTAACGCTGTAATGGCGATTATCAAGTGTAAGTGTTGAGGTCACGGACTGAAAGAGTCTAAAGGTTCGCAAACTATATCTCTCGACTTGAAGCAACTCAGTCCTTGCTCGAAAAATATTAAAACAGGCAATTCAGGGCAGCGCGAGGGTCCGGGGCGAACGATGAGAAGCAGACTCGATTCAGAGCGCACCGAACTCGGATCATCCATTGGTTGGCATGGGGCCAACTCTGATACTGAATGCGCGCCAACAAGCGCACTTCTGAATCTGCCTACACTAGAACACCTTGCGCAAGTATTGCGAAATTCGTAACCTGCTTTGGAGAAATTTAGAATTACAAAATCGCCTTCAAGAAACAGATAATCAAAATCTTTTATTTATAAATCGTAACTTTATTTATTGTCATCCAACGAGACCAGCTCATTATTTGATAAAGGACGAACATGATTAATCTTAGATCGTTGCTGAACGACGCCATGGAGAGGCGAATTCTGTCGGATTTCTAATTCTTTCGGATGCTCCTTTGTTGGATTTTTGAATTTTGACTTGACAGCTTTCTCCTTGATTTTTAGACAGGGCTGCAGTTTGAAAGTCAGACATCGAAAGATATTTACTCTGAATAAGATTTTATAACTTACAGTTTTGGTTGAATACCTTGTTTCGACGGATAGCAGTTTTTCTTTGATACTTGTTTGGGTGAAACAGTGAAATATCGCGAGAAAGAGCCCCTGAAAAGCGTTTGTAAAGGCGAACAAGTACTGAAAGACGAAGGGCTGAAAATGCCAAAATGACAAGAGTCCAAAGAGCCAACTTGATCCCGTGACAGGATACAAGAACAAAACACTCCGGAGCATTAAAAATATCTTCGACCGCATTCCAAACTCGTCCGACATAATTTTTGCGACAATAAGAACCATAAAAACTAGGTTTGATATTAGAATAATAATTGCCGGAATCGCGAACGCCCAAATCGAATGATCTTCAGGACTTTATCTGTTAAAAATGAGTAATCTTTGAGAAGTGTACGGTCAGTTTTAACAGTCCTAAGCCAGCAGAGCTCTGGATCAAGTTCATAACGTTTGACAAACACGCTTGAATTAGCAAGAAGTAGGATTAGTGGTAGTCCCCAGCCGATAAGTGCAAACACACGCATATTTGAAAAGTGAAAATTTTCGGTCACGCTCGCATAAATGTAGAATGTTCCAACCATCATCCAGCAGATTGAAGTGAGTGAGGCGTAGTAAAGAAGTATCATCTCCAGAACGCATGTCCATCGTTTCAACGACGCTTTCTCGAATATTTTACTCGCTCTACTGATCAGTTTTGTGACCTACCTCGAGTAAAAGAAATATGAAACAATTCAGGAACATAGAAATTGCCAGTTGTTGATGAATTCTTGTCTGAAGATCTAAGTGTCCTAAAAGGCGGTAGACCAGCAACAGAGCCAGAAGACTGAAAATTGACAGATAAAGTCCTGCTTTAGTAATCGCTGATAACGAGATCTCAACAGGTGGAGGGATATCTGTTTCGCTGAATTATGTTTTTTGATAATTAAAACGCAAGCAACAAACCTTATTTGAAATAATATCGCGAATGAAGTCAGATGATTACAGTATGCATTTAGATGAAAGTCTTCAGTAACAAACGTCTCGCATCCATCCTATAATAAACTCTCATGGATCAAACAAGATCACTTACTTCCGACCAGGTTCGAGTTCTATTGTCCCAAAATCTAAGTGTCGTCAGATTTCTTTGGTCTTCTTTGTGATATTCCTCAGGAAGGTGGTATGTAAAAGTTATATTCAACGAATTTTGAGCAACTGTATTCGGGTGGACAGCCACTGATGTTATATTTGTCATGAATTGAAGGATTGATCCTTTTTCCCTGTACTTTGGATAAAAGATCTTCAAGTCAGAATGCGGGGTAATCGCCACTACCCTCTTATTAGAGTTCTTAAAGCAAAAGATCTCGCATCATTTCTATTTTTGTCAAACTCTTCCTCAAAAGAACCGCCACTGGGAGTTGAAACGGACGCGACAAAATTATCACCCGAATTCGCAGCATCATTTTCCGATAGAATTTCGATTCTATACATTCTTCTATGTATCCCGACCGTTCCACGAGCAGCAAGTGCAAATGAGATAGAGAAGCTCTCCACATTTTCCATGAGATCGACAATGGTCGATGCTGAAGTTAAAAATTAAGATAATGGGGCGTAAATCAAAATTGAAACCTTCAGATTGACGTTTCAAAGTTTTCCATAAAAGCTCCATCTCGAGGATAAAATCCACCAAATCAAATACGTGATCCCAAACGAATATTGGGAGTCCCGTAATATTTATTTCGCTCAGAACATCCAAGTACGCCAGAATGGAACAATATGAGCTGACAAATTCAGCACTTGGAATGGAGCGAATCTCCCGCAAGTGATCAATAATAATAGACGGGGTTAATCTTTATCTGCTCAAAAAATGTGTCTAAAAGACTCTTTAATATGCTCGTTTGAACATTTCCCGGGAGAAATTAGTGCAGCTATCATTTTTGCCAGGTCTACGTCCCTTGAATTGAGTTTGCTGTAATGAATCCATTGCGAATCAAGCGACACTCTTCTATGTCTTTCCAGCTCGTCGAAGCGATCTATCTATGGTTGAAAATGCTCTCTTTTATACGATACAACCCTGCTTTTCAACCGTAGCATGAGGAAAGATCTTACACACACCGACATCATTTTTCAAGTATGAAAGACTTCTGCATAAATCTCTTCTGTCACATCGTTCGACGCACTCTCCGAACGTTATTCCTTCCAATAGCTCGTCATAGTGATAAAGCTCTAGGCCGAAAACGTAATTATAGCCAACTAGCTCGCCATTAATTTCGTCCGGACGGGATTCTATCCCTTCCAAAAGTAGCAAAAATGAAATTAAAAGCATATTTGATCTCTTTTGTTGTGGCGCAAAGAAGCTGTTTGGTATAATTGGATCTTCGTATCCGGTTTTGCGAGTACAATGATCTTTAGAATTCGGAATGGGGTTGTCACTGTTTTCAATAACTGAAAATGTGCCTGCTTCTTCCGATTTTGCTAAGAATGAGACATATTTTACGATTTCAAGCTTGTTTTATTCAAATTTGAAAGAGAATTTAGCAGTTACAGGCCGAAATAGGAGTCAGATAGAAAAATGAAGGGAAAATATACGAACAAGCAGGGGTGACGCGCAGATGTTGTCTAGCGTCGGTTGGTGTTGGCGTAGTGACGTCCGCTGGAGTAGGAGTCGGTGTTGGAGTTGTAGTGCCAGGCTAGAAGTCTTTTAAAGCTGAGAATTTATTCACTTTACTTACTTCGATTATCCGAGACGTAGTGCTCATGGTTGCCTTCATTGGCGTAGTGGCTTCCTTAAAGAAATTTAAAGACTACATCGAATATTGTTCTTACCGTTGCTGTTGTTGTAGTAGTAGCCTCGGTCAGTGACCGTGTACTGGTTGCCCTGGGAGTTGGTTCCTCGGTATTCGTTTGGCATTGTCTTGAGTAGCTCGGGTAGATCGAAACCTGAATCCTATTTAGCAAAAAAAACGGGGTAATCTGGCGAAACCTTTTGCTGTTGGCTCTAAGAGTGAGCAAAAACAGCCAATGCCTGGGTTTATATACGAAAAAGGGAAAGCTCAAAAGGGAAAATTCCCCTTTTTTCGACCAATCACGTTACGTGCTGCGAAACAGCTCCCCCTTTCGATACCAGTCGTTATCGAAGTTCAAATCATCCCAGCCTTGATCTGTCGGACCGACGTCGGCAAATCTTCGTTTGAGATTCTGCGCATTGCGATAAGGGTTGATATGGGTGGCGGGCGGCTTCGTTCGCAAAGGCCATTTTGCGAACGGCGTTCGCAAATTACGAACGGCGTTCGCAAAATCGAAAAATTTTTGGCCGAAAATCGTTCACAACTTTTTTCAAAATGTGTCCCAGCGGTAGAAAAAGACTGCTCCTGCCAAGCCAATGAGTTCTCTCCAAGAAAATGCGCGAAGCGCACACTTACGGCAAGATTTTTTTTCGTTGCGAACGGCGTTCGCAAGATTACGAACGGCGTTCGCAAATTGCGAACGAAGCCGCCCTACACCCGTTGATATCGACGGGAGGAATGGCTTTGAGACGAGCTCTCATAAGCAGTTTGACTTCGGAACTATGCTTCGTAATTTGTTATTGTTCTAAGAATTTCTGGAAAAAATCTCTAGATATGTTTTGAAGGGGAGATCTCGGATCCAAGTTGAACCAGTTCAGAAGGATGCCGAACGCGAAAGGGGTTGAAATTGAGTTTTATATAAGGAGTACATTTTCTGAGTCAACTGGTATTTCGTACTGAGACAGGTGTAAATTTTGATAAACCAATACATTTATCTGATTTTGACCCCGATGTAAAGATCTTACTGATCAAGAGGCAGCGACTGTCATCTCTGTCGACCAAGCAGAAAAAAGTTTATTTGGAAATGACCAAAAGCTTGGCTTTATGCAGCAGATTGCTAGCTACACCAGCTTCTCGCTTAGTACTGGCGAAGCTGAGAAAAACGCAGATGATGCAAAGGCAAAGAAAGACGAGCCCTGCAAGCTTGGCACCTTGATGGGAGTCTATCTTCCTTGTGTTCAAAATATCTTTGGCGTTATTCTCTTCATCCGTATGCCCTGGATCGTCGGTCTCGCTGGTATCTGGGAAGGCCTTGGCTTGATTTTCTTCTGCTGCTTGACAACTATGCTCACTGCTATCTCAATGAGTGCGATTGCAACAAACGGACGAGTACCTGCTGGTGGAAGTTACTACATGATTTCGCGATCACTCGGACCTGGATGGGGCGCGGCGGTTGGAATGATGTTCTACTTTGGAACCACCATTGCAGCTGCTATGTACATCATTGGTAAGAAGAATCACAAATGATCCAATCTATTTTTATTATAATTATTCAGGCTCGATCGAAATTGTGACACTTTACATGGGCGTTCTCAGAATATTCGACATCGAAGGCGGCTCCTTCATTGGCGCTTTTGGCATCTCCGGCATGTACGATAATTTCCGAATTTGGGGAACGATTCTCCTTATCATCATGTGTCTCATCGTTTTGGCCGGTATGAAATATGTAAACAAGTCGGCCATGCCATTCTTGATCTGCGTTATCGTTTCAATTCTCGCTCTTTTCGTCGGATTCTTTGCCTCGGCTGCCGGTCCCAATGCTGACACTGTCATGTGCATGGTTGGAGATACTGTTGCTAAGGTTATTTGCTATTTCCCTCTTTTTATTACTTAACTATTTCAAGCGACCACGAGATGGTTTGTGCTACAAGTTCCTCGAAGACATGCCAAATTTCAATGAAGCCAACTTCTATGACACAGCAACTGACTGTACGAACACAAACGAGATCTGCTCTCCGACCGTCCTCTCAACCGTTCTTGGTAGCGCCGACACTCATTTTTACCAAGCCAAGTGCCACTACCACGGCAATCAATGGAAATGCAAGACTCCTACTGGTACTAAAATCAATGTGAACCCATTCGAATAATAATTTTAGAACTTTTCAAGAATTTCTGCAAAGCCGCCGCTGAGGAAGACTTCGACATGGCAACTTTTGATCCCCAGGACCCTTTCGCTGGTTGCCGATATGAATCCCTTCTTGCTGCACCGGTTTGGAATAGACATGGTGTTCCTGGTCTTGCTCGAAAGATTTCTGGTGATGTTTATTCCGAAGAAACCTGGAACTGGCAGCCGGAGCATTACCGAGAAGACAAGGGTCGAATTAACATTCCACAGCTTCTTACAGGTCATTAGACTTAGATTGAATGATAAACTAAAAATATTTTTTAGACCAGCGTAATGATACCAACAATGTCATTCACTGCACAAATTATGAATTTATCGACTTTCCTGATCGATACAGGAACAACCATCAGCATCAGTGGAATTGCAAAGACGACGCTTGGGTAGCACATCCGGATAGACGAGACATTCTTCAAGGCTCAGTTCTATAAAGTCGGCCATTTATACTTTCTTTTGTAAAATGAGCGACTATATAAACTAGAGACAGATATTTTCGACAACAAGAATGCTTGTGAGGGTCTTGATGAAACTAACACTGAAACACCTTTCCCATACGTTACATCAACTCCAACTTCTGGTGCCGGATTCACCACTACTATGGTCCTCATCGGTGTCTTCTTCCCTTCAGTCACCGGAATCATGGCAGGATCAAACAGATCAGGCGACTTGGCAAACGGTTCAAAATCCATTCCCATTGGAACTACTGGAGCTATCTTAACAACTGGCATCGCTTACCTTGCTAGCGCTCTTCTTATCGGTCTTACATCTGATGGTGCCCTCATGCGAGACAAATTTGGTGATTCTTTGTACAACGGGAATGGAAATCAGGTTCTTTATTTTTTTATGTTCGATCTTCTAAAAGTTTAGATTCTTATGAATGCTTCGGTTACCTGGCCACACCCTTGGGTTATGCTGATCGGATCATTATTGTCTTCGATTGGGGCAGGTCTTCAATCCCTTACTGGTGCTCCTCGTCTTCTTCAGGCGATTGCTAAGGACGATGTTATTCCAAAATTCGAAGTTTTTGCTAAAGGACGCGGTGAACTCAACGAGCCAACTATCGCCATCATTCCAACATGTAAGTAGAGTTACAGAAGATATGTTCTCACTTCCTTCTTAGTCATTATTTGCTTGGCCTGCATTTGGATCGGTGAAATTGAAGCTATCACTCCTATCCTCTCGATTTTCTTCCTTATGTGCTACCTTTTCGTCAACCTCTCTACGACTGTTAACAGCTTGATGAATTTGCCTATGTGGAGACCAACATTCAAGGTAAATGCTTAATCACAGAAATTTTCGACATAAAATTATTAGTACTATCATTGGACCGTTTCTCTTCTCGGCTGCCTTTGCTGCCTAACGATGATGTTCATTACCAACTGGGCCGCCGCCACGTCGATTCTGATCCTAGCCTGTGCCATTTACATTTGTGTCACGGTTTTCGGTGGCCAAAAAGAGTGGGGAGACTCCATCACCGGCATGTACACCACTGTAGGAACCGGTTGCACACATTTCAGCTTTGATAAAAAAAGTGTGAGAAAAAAGAGTCGTCTGCAACCAATGGACAGCAATAAGTGCCATCCGTCAATTGAACCAGCATCTGTCGAGCCACACGAAGTCCTGGAGGCCACAAGTGCTCGTGTTCAACAAACTCGTTGAAGATGATAGCACCACTACCATCAAGTACCCCAAGCTCTTAGGTCGGTGTTATTTTTTTGAGACATAACCGGATTCACGGTTATCGCTGATTTAACTCCCCTTCAAACAGTGTATTTTAGAGTTCGTGGCGAGCTTGAAGGAGGGCAAGGGTCTCATGATTATCAAAACACTTATCCAGGGAGAATACGAAGAGTACTCAAACGAAAAGGACAGATTCAGAATATTTCAACAAGAATTATCTCGTAAATCATCCACTAAGGGTCGTACTGTAAGGCCCTTACTAAAGTGAGAGTCTCTTACTCTAAGTTCACCACACGAATTTCGTATAACAAAAGAAGCTGATTTATTCAAAGCATTCTGGGAGGGAGGGTCGAGAATCAAAATTCTTGCGGTCAGGAACATCTTTGTTGCATTCGTTCTCAAACCGCTGTTGCTCATTGATTACGACGAAATATTTAATTCTGAATCTCTAAATACAGGAGAAGATCGAGCGCGAAATCAGAGAGCAATTGAAGGAGAAAAACATTATTCCTGTGGAATGCTCTGTTGCCGTAAGTAGTTTTCGGAGTCAAACTTCTTGTTGTCGTTAATTTGCTAAGTAATTTCACTTCAAAGACGATTGAATAATTCAATGGAATATGTATCAATAACAATTAACACTTGTGAGATAATGCCGGAGACAATCAAATTAGTGCCCCTCTATTTTCGTCAATACGCGTTAGGGTTAATAGAAAACATCACCAACGCGTTTGTGCGAACTATGAATTTATCACTATATTTGTTACTTCTAAAACCTCGTCGTTTACAACCTCGATCGTAGGCAAAAGAACTTTTTAAATTGAACTAATCCATTTTGGATTAGCTTTCTAAAGGTAGCGTTATCGGGGTAGCTCTTGTAAGAGAAGGATTTGTGAAATGATTGCTCGGAAGCGGGCCTATTTTTAGCTTTGATCAGCGCTTCTAAAAACGTAAAATTTCAAGGTTTCGCCGAAGATCGCCGAAGATGTTCCACTCATCTGTCAATGCTCCGGCCTTAGCGGATTGAAGCCCAACTGTATTGTGCTGAACTTCCCTACTGTGAGCATTTCTAGGAAAGCGGTTCAAGGACTTTATTCAAGTGACTGAAGATCTTCACTTTTTCGAGTCAACTACTAGTCGAAAATTTTGAACAAGCATTTTCTATAATTAAATGATTCCTAGGTTCCGGATTTTTGCTGTAATTATTTGCTTACGCTAAACTTAGTATGGTTAAGTCTTTGTTGTAAAGGAACCGTTCTATAAGAAAGGATTACTCGTTTTTCTACAACACTGCCCGTCACGCAGCCCAAACAGATTGCGCCTTGATTGTCTCCAAGAACATCGACGAGTTCCCAGGGCAGAAGGACGTTATGCAAGGAAACATCGACGTCTGGTGGATCAGACAAGACGGAGGAATGAGCCTGCTCCTTGCCTCGCTGATCAGACGTGTCCCAACGTGGAAAAAGACCAAGTTGCGTGTATACGTTACTGCTGATCCTTCCGACAATTCCGAAGCTATGCGAAAGGCGCTTGTCGAGTACCTTTCCGATATGCGAATTAGCGCAGATGGTAAGTCCTCGTCAAATTGAAGTATGAAAATTGCGCCCTCGCGATCTCTATGACAGCAAGTTCGTGAATAACTTCGGCGCTAAGTCCCTAAACTATGACCAAAACTAGGCTTCCGAAAATTCTGGAGTAACGCTGAAAGTCGTCTACAAGCAACAGATACTGTACAATTATCCCCAACACGCTCTCTAGGTTACGCTCGTTTTGAAAATTCAGTGACGTAGGAGATCGCGTGAAAATTGAAAATCGTATCGCGCAAAAGCTGATTTCATTTGCTTCACGGTGCCCTGATGGTAAATTCAGAGGCCGAGACTTAACCTTGATCTACTGAAACCATCAGATAAGATTTTAGAACAGTTTTGCTCGTTTCACAGCTAAACTTTCTATTCAGTGAACATCGTCGAAGTCGAGAGCGAAGACACGGATGCTTACGCTACTCCCGAAGGCACAACAAGAACTGACGATAGCAAAGATCTCGATCATGTGGTGAATCTTGCCCGCAAGAGCGTTGCCGTCGCCTGGACTCCAGAGGAATCGCTTGAAAATTACTCGCCTTGAGAATGAACCACACGGTGAATTCCTCTCCATAGTGAGACATAGCTCCGTGTGCTCAATTTAGGGGATTTGATTCGATTTATTATCAAGCAGGGCGTGATTGAATCCAATCACCACATATCAAAAACCAACGTTGTCGGGTCTCAATTTTAAATTCTGTATTTTTGTTGAACAAACTAGCGCCAATACAAGATAACTCCAAATCTTAAGCGTTTTAACAGCAAAAAGCCTCCTTCGATGGTCTACCAACTTCGTCCTCCTCTGGTACATGGTCCGGCAATCAAGGCAAACCGAAGCCACGAGCCACGGTCATGAGAGTAAGTTTAATCATTTTTTAGGCAAAAAATTTTTAGTATTCAGCAAACAAAATTTCACTGGTGGGTAGAACTATGCGGGCGCAAGCCTCAAAGGGCAGATACCTCGTACTAAATGTATGGGAATGAGGTCTCTCTGCGCAGCCACCCGCAAATGGTTTACTCCGCCGCACTTATTTTTCCAGTGCTTTCTTCCGAAGATAGTAAATTGTATTTTAAGAAAATCCACGAAGCGTCTGGACTGAATCGCCTGATCAATCAGTACTCCGGTGAATCCGACCTCGTCTTCATCAACATGCCTCCCTTCCCAGTCGAGCACAACGAAGAGCGAGAGCGAAACTACATGCGCTTCATTGAATCGTTGACAAGAAACATTCCCCGAACCATTCTCGTCCGAACAACTGGCAAAGAAGTCATCACCGCTTTCAACTAAATATAAATCTTCCACTTCTTCTTTCTTTAATATTTATTGCTAAAAATTATATATAATAAAAATTCTCCTAACATATTAAAAAGAATCTCGCAAAAGAAGATGATGAGCTATTTTTTTGGGAGATATTGTTCAACCACTGCTCGTTGAAGATAATCTCGCTAATGAAAATTTTAGAAATCGGTAAATTGAAATTAAGTTAAAAGATGTTTTGAAACTCAAGAAACGTGAGCGGAAGTAGCCGAGGGATGAGTTAAGCGGATAATGGCCAATGACACTTTGTAGTGTGCATTTGATGGTCTTTCTTGACGATTGTGTGGTACAATTTAAATATACTAATTTAATAGTGCGAACTCTAAAACGAAAAAACGTGGTGAAAAATATTCGAATTTGTCCTGAGCACTTAAACGCAAGTCCAATTAAACGAATTTTGAATTGCCGCTGAATATCTACGAGATTCTTGTTCGCAGCTTTATCCGTCCTTTTCTTTGGCAGAAGCGAAGAAATGCGTTTGTTCCCAGCCTGGAAGAAAGCGATGGAATATGATTCGCGCGTGACATCACTCAGACTCTGGGAGAGATGAAACTGAGTGGAACGTCTTGCGCGAACGTGAATATAAAATTGTTTTGCCAGATTTAAACAGGAAATCTAAATATTTTCTCGGCTGCGGCTTTCTCAGGCGTAAACACTTCTCCGAAAGTGATGTATGATCTTTGTTTAAAACATTTAGAGCGCTCCAAGTTAAGCAATTTTTCTCTCCAAAGCAGTTCTGAAAATGTTTAGTAAATGGGTAGAAAGAGAAGATGGAAGCGCTCATCTTCTCTTCAGGCGGATTTCGCGGTCAATGAATGACGTCGCTGCTCTGCCGCAAATGATTTCGGAAAGTACTTTAAGCATTCCCATCCGAATACCCTACTGAACGGCTTGCTCGCCCAAAATAGAGGAAGCGACTCTCGTCGATACCCTCCTTAGTTGAATAACTTTCAATTACGGTACCCTCTCGTTTCATCTTTTTGAGAAGTATTGTCTTCGAATGCAAGAAAAATGACGATTGCTATTTTATCTGGCTAAGAAAAAGAGTGGACACTGCTGTTTTGGATTGGAAGAATTTTCGGAATTGGCTCTGGAAGTTGAAAGTTGCAACGTTAAAGTCCATCTCATCCATCATCGTCCGGTCTAACCATTCCGGATGCAGAGCCAGAAAAAAGCCGAGTTTTAATTGTAAAACGGTTAGATATGTTTCTGAAGGTAGCTGAAAGTGTTCTGGCTATAAATCCACAGTACTTATTATCTTGTCCAAAGAGAGAAAACTGTTCAAATTTGAAATTATCGTTGTTGAACATCGATTGAAACATTCGCCTTCCGCTCAAAAAGAAAAGTGAACTTCTAACATTCGAATTGCGCCAGAATTAGAACCAAGAATCTCTTATCTAAATCACTCACCAAATTAAGCCGCAGTTTATAAAAATGACGATTTCAGAAAATCAATCCATGCTGCCTGTTTTGATGTTTAGGGGATAAAAACTCAGAGATCGATTTTTGTCGTAATTTTTGTTGCCCCAGCAGACTCTCAAATTTTGGCCAAAATATTCTTCCTGCATATTAGAGCATATTAAGAAGGAGTCGCGCGGTTGATTTCTCTGAGAGCGAAAATGTCTTTCAACGTGCGATTTTTCATACAGTATATAATATAATATAATATAATATAATATAATATAATATAATATAATATAATATAATATAATATAATATAATATAATATAATATAATATAATATAATATAATATAATATAATATAATATAATATAATATAATATAATATAATATAATATAATATAATATAATATAATATAATATAATATAGGGAATGATTCTAGAGTTTTTACTCTAGCTAAAATCAAAGCAGGATGATATAAAATAAGTGGGCAGTGAGTTAACAAAGCCCTGCACTAAGAGCTATCAAGTTCTTTCAAAAGAATTCAGAATTCCTAAACAGGCGATCGAAAAACTTCACTGAATTTTGGGGAAAACGTGATTTGCTCTGTGTTTGAAAATTATTTCTTCAAGCTGATATAAATAAGCTTTGTTTGGAGCTTGAGATATTTTGAGTAACATTTTCCCCCTCTTCCTCGCTTGAGAGTTGTTTTAGAATTCGAAATTTTGGCTTCGAAGTATTTTTAAAGCCCGGAGATACTTTTAAGTGGGGGCTTTTATCCCAATGATTTTGTGGTTGTGAGATTCTTGATGATCTGGCCGAAATTCCGATTTGAAAAGGGTCGAGAGTAATCACTGCTATTTTTAATAGGATTAGCTCTTTTTCGGAGATTCGGGAACGCAGACACGTGCTCAGTATTGAAGTCCTCATCTTGAAGGGCGCAAATCATAAACTAGAAAACGATTGTGTAAACACAACGACGGCTACTTACAGCTACAAAGAGTAATTTACACGCCTGTACTGTCGATAAAGCAGAGTTTATTCTTCACCCCCTAAAAGCCGCGCCTTTTTACGAAAAAGACGGAAATGCACAAACGTGATCAGCTGCGCTATCTGAATATTTTCTTTCAAACATGAAGCTGGTTCCGTTTAAACGGATCAACGCAGCTTCCAAAAGCACCACCCGCTAGGTCGCTTTTAAGCTGAAAATATAGGGCCTTGTTAGTCAAAGCTGCCAGCTATTTTCAACAAAGAAACTTTGTTAGGCCAAATTATTTTCTCATTCATTTTGAATGGAGAACAAGAAAAAATAACTCATTTGTAATAAGTGTACTCGAGAAAAATATTTATTTATTTATACGTATAACTTGTTGCGAGTTATGTAAATTAATGACTGCTCACGACGCTTTGAAAATACACAGTTTTCCTTCTACCTTTTTGACTCTAGCAAACACTGTATGTATTCCGAAATAAGAATAGTTCTGTCTAGCAGAATACAGAGTATAAGCGTGCATGGGCGCTCGTGAGCTTCGCTGGACGCATCGTGCGATCTCATGCTTAGCGCGGCGGGTCGTTCTAGCGCCTCCTACTAGCGCGCTCTCCACAGCGCTCTCGTTGCGTTACGCGGCACCGGACCAAGCTTGCAGGTCTTTATTGTCCGAGAACTCGCTCTCGAGATTCATTAAGCCTTTCCTTTTTTTCTAGCAAACGTTTCAATTTTTTTTTTTTACTCCAAACTCAGATCAGCTGCAAAGAAGGATCTGTGAAATCTGCAAATTTTCGAGTTGAACGTTTTTGAAGAGAATACATAAAGAAGACAAACATGCTTTTGTGACGGGTTTAGAGATGATGCTCAGAGATGTTTATCGACTAGAACTATCCTAGAATTAAAAATTAAAGCTAGATTATTTTTATAAAACGGAAAAAAAAGTTTTTTTCTTAGAGAAATCAGCTTTTTGTGAGATCATTTAGCAACCCTTATGATCAGCTTAGCTCAGTTATTGCCTCAGTCGCATTCGGAAATGCCCTGACAGCCAGACTCAACGCACCAATTAGCTCAAAAATCAACATTTGCGAGGTGTGCAAATGCCTTGAGTACGGGTCCACCATTGTCAGGTGTCCTTTCAAGCGACTTGATAGAAAGACTTTGGATTCTCTTGATTTTCCGGATGAGATGCACAGCCTTGATCTTCGATTCTATGGCATCCGCAAGACTGAGCCTGAAATGTTCTATCAGGTAAAAACGAAAAGGGCCGAGTCATTTTCACTAACGCTCTCCGATTCTAGCTCCACAGCAAAAACATTTCTGAAGTACATTTGGGGCGAAATAAGATTGGCAGGCTCCAAAGTGGCACTCTTGATGGCCTAGAAAGCGTAAGGTAAGTGCTCGCGCTCCTTTTTTATTTCCAAAATGTATTTTTACCTGCGGTTTTTTCTTTCGTCGAACATTATTTTGTCTTGTTTTGCTAATTATTTTTGGACCTTTGATGAGTTATTAAGCGCCTTTGAAGTCTCAAATTATTAATACTTCTTGTTATTAACTCTAATTTGGACTCGCGAAAAAACACTACAGATTAGTTTGTCAAATATTAAGATCATTTATCAGAAGTAAATAATGAGACGTTCACAAGAAATATTGCTCTTATGGGTAATAAATCGTGAGCACCTGCAAGTACTTATTTATTGATTAGCTGTGTTTTTTTAATTAATATTAATTTTAATTAATGAAAAAACGGCTTGGATTCAAATAGGAAGAAGCAGAAATAGCTTTAGGCCAAGAACAAAGGGTCAAATTTGGTGTGTAGAAAATGCTATAATCTATTAGATTACATGTTATACCTTGGGGTGTCAATTCGACAATGTTGAGACCGCTTTATTTTTTGATACACGTGTAAAAAACACAACCCGCCGTAGCTTGAGGGGGAGAAATCTAATCACTTTGTTTTCTTATACATTTTGGGAGTGTTTCTTCGAGGGCGCGCAACGAGATCAATCGCGCGACTCTCGCTGAACATTGTTCAAATCACACCACGTAAGAGTGCTTGTCCCGAGCGCAATTTAATTTTCTCCTTCATTTTCCCAAATGATTACGAACGTCTTCAGGTTTCTCGATGTGACGTCTGCTCGCGTCGGCGCGATCGAGAACCACGTCTTCGACGGCTTGACCGCGATGGAGTCGCTCTGGCTCGACGAAAACAGGATCGGTCTTTTGCCAAAGTCGATCTTCTGCGGACTAGAGCACTTGAAGGAGCTCAACTTGAACTCAAACAGGTAAAGTTGACAACGGCCAGGAATTTGCTCCAAAATTGTCGCCAATTACTAAAACGGATTTTTGCGTAATGCCCGTTTTTACGAAATTACAATCAGCACTGACTTAGAAGGACCACTTGCGCACGTCCGAGAGCATTTGCGGACAGTAGTACGAAAACGAGTTTAGTTAAATCGTTGCCGTAAGCAAAGGTCGGAGCTGGGCGGCTAAGATGCATCAGCCGTAACCCTTCGCGTTAGATTAGAAGGCAAACGACGTTTCGCTTTCAATGTAGATTTAAGTGTAAGGGCAGACAATTAAAAAACTAGTGGCGGTAACAATGGGAAAGACCCATGACGTGCGAACGACAGGTCCTTACTGAGTGCGGTTTTTAGGATTGGACACATCATCCCAGGCACCTTCCAAAACTTGAAGAATCTCGAGTACCTCTACATCGACTCTAACCGGTAACGCTATCGCCCTGTGCCCAATCTAACGGCGCTTTTCAGACTCAACCGAATCGAGCCAAACACATTCTACGGACTCGACAAGCTCAAATACCTCGGTCTCAGCAAGAATATGATCAAAACGCTCAAAGTCGTAAGTCAGCCAAAAACACCACCAGCATTATCATAAATACGATAATGAGGGCCAACGGATGACCATGAAAGCGCATCAGTATAGTCCTTGAATCTGAATTGAGCGTCCACGACTGCTTATTTAAAAAATTTTCGAACATTACGCTCAGTACGCGAGTAAACATGCAAACGGCGCTGATTACTGACGGAAGTAGCCGTTGGGCGCTCAAATTAGCGCCCAAAATGTCGACTTCGAAAAAACGTTGACATGAAGGGATCGTTTACTGCTCGTTACGCGCCTTTTTCAGGGGTCATTTGGTCACTTGATGAACATCAACTACCTCGACTTGAGCAAGAACCAGAAGCTCGATAACGCGCTTACCAAGGTAAATCCTAAGGCAATAATTACGCTGAAACATAATTATCAATTGACCTCGCTTGATTACATTTGCAAAAAGATTTCATATAAACAAGCTTTTTAATTTCAATGATGGAACGATTAACTGGTTAATTTTAGAGTTTTTGGTGTAGTTTTTAGCACTTGTTTAATTGGGGTCGTCAGAAGATTTATTTTGTAGATTTTTTTTCGATTGAAAATAATCATCGTTGATTTTGTTTATGCTGAGGCATCGAAATAGAAATGGTTTTGAGGAACTAAACTTTAGCAATTAACATTTCGAGTTCTGCATAACGGAATTTCGAGAGCACCGTAGTCTCTGGTCCATAGTAAGTGATTAGCTGCAAAAGCTATTGTTTAGCGTGTGAGCCCTACCTGTCGCAGCTGGCAGCTTGAATACTTGGATTGCGAGCCGATCGGCCAATTCGAAAACGAAAACAGTCGGCTCTTCACCAACGTGACTCTCGACGAGCAAATCCACGACGACATGTTGTGCGAGCCCGTTGATGAGATCATGAACTTTGAAAGGTAACGAGTGGAACGACGGCATTATAGGACAAGCCTGCTTCTGCGGCGATATAAATGCTGCACAAATGCCCAAAGCATTTTAATAGTTGCTTGCTCGAACTCTCCCTTTTTAATTGGAGTTAAAACGTTTAAAGTGGCCCCTGCGACTCATCAAACGACGAGACCCTCTGCTGCGGTGGCAAGTCTCACTTGCGACAGATCTTCGGCCTTCCCGAGTACTACTGGCGGGATTCTTGCTGCGGCGAACAGCCTTATTCTAGCGCGCGGGTCTACAAATTCAGAATCGTTTATCCGCTCCTGTCGATCGTCGGAAGACGATAAACAATCATTAGTGCGTAATATCTGAAAGAGACCCCGATAACAGTTCCATGCTTATCTGCTGCTCTGGACAGGTCTCCCTCAGGCGACAGAACACTGAGTGCTGTGGAACGACAACCTTTGACTCCGAAACTCACCAGTGCTGCCGCGATACGGTAACAGACCCAAAAGAAAAGATGGCCCTCCAATGACCCAAAACAGGAAAAAACAAAAACAAAGCTCACATGTGCGTTCAGGTTATTTCCAAAGCTGTCGGCTGTAACATGCAATACTCGAAGTTTCTGTTCTCGATCCTCTCCAATCTGAACACGGGCGATTCGGACGCGTGGAAGCACTAATCAGCCCCGCGTTCATTATTTTAGTTTACAGTCGCCAACTGTGGACTAGAGGATTTGTATATTTTGTATCTAAAGCTTAAGCTCACAATTTGCCTTCTATCCTAACGACCTCTCTCTCTATGACCCTAACAAGGCGGCCCGACCGGCGATAATTTTGCCATATCGTCCGGCAGCAGCCCTTTTCCCCTTTCAGAGGTTTAGTTCGCGCCCGACGTGAAAGATGAAACTCCGAACACACAAAAACAACAACAAACGCAAACAGCAAAACTCAGCTCTCGCGCACTCAGCACTGGCTCGCGATAAAATCAACGACAAATCTTCGGATTTTCGACAAGCTTGACGCGACAAGAAAAAAACTCGACAACAACACTTCTGTACATTTTGTAAAGTCTGTCCACACATTACTTGCATTCCCGATTGACAATGGGTTGAATACATTTCCAATTTTGCTGGAGCAGGACGTTTGTCCGAGCTTCCGCAATTATCTAACCAAAAACTCAAAGAAATAGTCTTTTTTTTCATGAAATCTAGGGCAGTGTATTCTTACAGTCAAGAATCAGTAATTCTTTTGCAGTAAGCACGTTTTCTTACCAGAAGCTTTTGTTGTTGAGCTTACCGCAAGTATTTTGGGGCGGTCAAAGCATTTAAAACTTTTATAGAATAATTTCATAATAAAGAACTCGTTTTAGAGGAGTTTTGTTATTCAGATAAGCTTCACTCATACAAAAAAAAACAGGGCACATTTCAAAGTACAATGTATTTCCGAGAAGCGCAAGAATTTTGTCTTCCTGCCAAATAAAGGTCATTTTGATTAATATTTTTATTAACTAAATTTTCCGCAAAAAAAGTAATGCTGTCAGTGATCGAACAGCGGATTTAGTTTTCGTAAAAAAGTGAATTTCCGACGTTGTGTCACGTTGATCAGTTTCTCCGTTCAATGCCTAGTAGGTACCCTTTAATCGATCGTACTCAGTCTTGTGGCCACACATCCGTTATCTAAGCGCATTTCCGGTAGATTTCAAACTTTCCACAAAACGATTTTTTCCATCGTTGCCTTTGAATCTGATCCATTTACTTGACCTTCTTTGCGGTCACAAAGCTCGAATTGGAGGCTTATTAGATGGCAAACAGGATTCTCATCTTGGCGGAAAAATTAGAAAATAACATTTTTTCTTAATATTTTTTTGGGAAAAAGAAGTGTCGTCATCTTGAATATGAAAATGTTTGCTCCCAAGCCGTTTGTCAAGAGTTATCTCAAAGAGATGAGGAAGTTGGATACAGACGATATGCGCTGACCACGTTTTTTGCTATTTTGCAAAAGACCTTCGAGTGATAACTAGTGGCCTCTCACCCAGAGCCGCTTTCGTTTGTTTGGGAATCAACGAAATTCGAACTTTTTCCTTCGTGGGGTTTGTTGCTTTTATGACTTCGTTCGGCTCAACTTATCTCGTCTTGTCAAAGTCTATTTGGACTGATGGCTGTGTAGAACGTAATCTCCCGCCAAGACGGTAGAGTATTTGATATAATCTCGATAATCTCGGAGTCGCGAAACTTCGCCCAGCCCTCTAAATGTGTTAATTTACTTTAGCGGCGGCGTTTACAATAATAATTCTTGGCATTTGTCGAAATTCTTGATTGAAACTGATCTTGGGCATTCGCTGCTCTGGTATTCGATTTGAAATACTCATCTGGAGTTGCCAACGAACGAGTAAGAAGTACAGTATAACGACGCGCAATTGATTCTCTGCGCAATAAAATCTCAGTGCGAGTACCTTTTATGTTAATCTCGACCCTTTCTTGGTCTTGGGATAATGCGCACATTCCGGCGCTGTCCTTGCTCGCGTTCCATTACAGCTTATCAATTCCTATCTTTTTGCGCGGGCGAAAATGGTGGGTAAAAGAGGACTGACAGTCCAAAAAATTTCACATCTAGTAGTGTGAAGACGTTCAAATCGTGCATTCTTAATTGAAAGAGAGTCACTGAGATTATTTTACGGAAGGGCTTGGGTTCGTTAAGGGGGTCCCCAACGAAAATTCCGACTTTTAGAATATCGTTGGGGACCCCCTTAAACTCAGACTTGCAGCAATCACAGCAATTTGATTTTGAGCCTTGATTTGATTCTGGACTTTTGCTATTTTTTTTAGTTAGGGTTGAGATTTTTGTCGATTTTGGTGGAGCAAAATGGCGCAAGCAGACCACCGGGCAAGACCGCAGAGCGGCTGACCGCCCCTTGGTTCCGCATTTTTACCCAGTCACAGATACAAGTCATAATCGCCTTACATTCGATCACTCTCTTTCTGTTTTTGGCGTTGTCCCTTTCGGCTGATCGCTATTATCGCATCCTAATCAGATCATCATTATTCTGGCTATTATGAGCAAACATACTTTTTCACGCTCCGATATCTCTATCAACAAACAAAAAGCAAGCTGTGCACGATCTTTGATAATCAATTTTGATGACCCCGATTTCAAATTGGCGGTTTCATAATATACCAACGTAATTTTTAAGCGGCTTCTAAAAATCAACTCTCACCAGAATATAATAAGAGCTGCTTATCCGTGTTGTAAAAAATGCGAGTGGCATTTTACGCGCGTATAAAAAGCGCAATTCTCACGTTTTTAGAACTCCGTCTCACTTTCTGACCCGAGCTCTTCGAAGGTTGAAAGTTTACGGATGATGTTGTGCTCGCCCAGTCCACGTTATTTGAACATTATTTGTTGGGGGCTGAGCAGTTGTTCGACAAGAGCAGCAACTTGCGCAAGGCGAACCTTTGTCTCATGATTTGGCGAAATAAACTTTGTGGCGAGTTGGGGCACAACTTGTGTCTGAGATTGGGGAAATGCGATTTGGATCCAACCGCATTGGATTCCAGCCCAAGACGCTCATCAATTTTATTTCAAGTGAACGGAGCAGACACCTGCTTCCGATGGCAAAAATTAGGTTACGTCCCGATCGTTAACTGCCTTCTGCAAGGAGCCATACGTGACCCTGGATAACATACCCCCTAAATTTCCGCGCAATTCGTGGTATTTCGCCCAAGTTTACGTTTCCTAACTTTTCCGAAAGACCCCGAAATTTACGCTTCCTCGCATTTCCCCGCGTTTCCAAATTTCTTTTCCTAACTTTTCCGCGCGCGCCCAAATTTACTCGAGACCCGCTGAAATGCGCGTCAACGCTAATGATTTCATTAATAGCGCCAAATTAAACCAAGGGATTTCAGTCTTTTTCATGTACTTGAGGCGCTAGAATTGGAAATTTTTCGTGGCTTGGACACATAAAAATCGTAGCATTCGAGTAACTTAAAATATTGACGTCTGGATTTTACTCCGCAGAAGTCGTTTTCATCTATCGCACTAGCATAACGTTCTATCAAATATTGTAACAATAAACAATAATTTTATCAAAGATAACATGAGATAGGGCTGCCCTATAAGGGAATCTGGCTTTTTTATAAAAAATCATCCTTTTTTTGCCCGGAGCGAGCAAAACAAGACTTTTGCGCACTCAGAAAGTTCACCGACGATCAGCGCTGCGAGCGTAAATTTGGGCGCGCGCAGAAAAGTTAGGAGAAGAAATTTTGGGGCGCGCGGAAAAGTTAAGCGGCGTAAATTTGGGGGTTTTGGAACAGATCAGGAAGAGTAAATTACGGAAAATGTACCGAGGAATGCGCGAAAACTTGGGGGTGGGGTATGTTATTTAAATTTGCCCCTGCGATTCGGAAGACACCTAGAAATGCACCTTCTTCTTCACAAAATTCCAACGCTTTTTCCTGAACTTCACCCTGCGAGTCGTCTATAACTGCCGAGAATATACAGTGGCGTTTACGGTTAAAAACGTCCAGCTGGGCTCGGCAACCTGTGTAGAAAACCTGAGTCAGGCTTTGAAGAGCTAAAATGAAAAAGCGGCTTTTCGCCAATAGTTTTAAATACATATGACTCATCGTGCTGCGAAGCCGCTTTGCGGCTTCGTTTTCAAAAAAGCCGCTGCGCGGCTTTTCATTTTAGCCCTTCAAAGCCTGACTCAGGCTTATACAACCAAAAACGCCACTGTGTAGTAGAGCAATTTGCAATCTTCCCTGCTTTCCATAAATAGTTCCTGCGAATGAAAGTGTAAGTCGGAAGACGACATGGTGCAAAAATGACAATCGTACAACGTTTTCAGGGCATAATCATTGTTTTTATTACGAGATATTATTTAATTGTCCTTGCCGACTTTTTGAACTCAAGTTTGACAGTTTTTCTGTCATTTCCTCATGGATTTCTTCGAGTCGTCTTATCTGCAGCAGGAAGCTGTTGATACATCCTGGCTCTGGTCTTCTCGCATAATTTCTGTGCCAGAGCTTCCTGGAACATTTCTGCACCTCCTGCTTCGATTTCTCGAACTATCTTCTTCTTTATCCTCCTCGGTTCTGAGGAGGATAAAGTTTATCGCACTTCTAAGCTTTACGTTAAATTGCGAAAACCGACTGAATCATTACGTACCGATATCCACTTTCCTCCTTTGCGCTTTTTCGCACCATCCTCATTCTCTTGTTCTAACAGAAATCGGAGCAGTATCGCCGCTACAATGCTCGTCATGATTTGACACCACCAGAACATCCAATCTGGATGGCTTACACTGCAAGGGCGATCCTCAAATTCGCAAACTCACTCATTCTGAAATTATTAAAATAAAAATCTTATCGGCACCGACTCTAGAGTAGGGTCAGTTACTACAGGAAGAGGAAAAAGGAAGAATCAAACTCTCTTGTCTCTGAAAAATGATTCGAACAAGTGAACCTTTTGACTCGAAAATGTGGCTGTTCTGAGTTTCCGAATCGAAACTCTGAGCGAATGAGAAAACGCGGACGGACAGCGTGATGCTCTGCCTACGCTTTTGAGTCGAAGAGTTGGTCTGGGAGACGAGTGGACGAGGCGCCATCCGGCGCTCTTCTTTTTCTCCCACGGATTCCTCCGTTCAAGAAAAATTCTTTTACAGAAAACACTCGGAAACCTCGAGTCTGCTCGCCAGGTATTGAAATTGCAGTGTACAGTTGAAGTAACATGTAAAAATATTTTAAACATAATTTGTGAAGAGCTTAGTAAGAATGCACAGTTCAATCGAGAAGAATGATAAAACGGAATTCAAACAGAATTACTCTCACTGTGATATTATCACTAGAATTTGCTTTGTTCGAGTTTCAAGCCATCCCATGGGTTTTGACACGCCTGATGTTTAACTGGATACCGTTATTTTTGAACATTTCGGACCACAAAACCAAGTTAACCGGGATTAACTCGTTCTTGCAATCAAAATCGGGTGCTCATGGGTGCCAGACAAATTCTCTAAGCGTTTTACGCAGTCATAAGCCGATATCGATTACAGAACTGCTCGCTACTATTAGTAATAAGATCAAATTAAAAAGGCTTTCCGCAAATGGCCCATTTTAATCATCTATTTCGGAGCAAAAGAAAGCTGCGTGCTATTTCGAAGAAACAAATTAGGAACACAGAAATGCTTAAATTAACCTCTGATACTATCAAGGAGAACGGTCATATCACTAACGATATCCTCAAAATACACGTGGTATATCGTGAGTGATAAAAGTGAGATAATCTCGCATCAAGCAGGCAGGAAATTCATCTTATCGCGATTTTGACACGGATCAATAGTTGAAAATCTAATCAAACAAGGGAACTAATCAACGCCTTTTTTTGAAAAAAAGTCAGAGCTTTCACAACGGGGCGCCAAGACACGCGCCCGCCTCGGAAAAAGTCGGTGGGTGGGGAAAGGTTTCAACCCGCCTCCAGCGCGAAACAGAGACATTCCCAGCCACAGTCCGTTATCTCTAGACTCTCATTGGCAGAGAAGATAAACATATTGAGAGAAAAACAAGGGAGAGCGAGGAATTCCTTTTCATATGAAAGAATACAGAAGAAATGGCAATTTTGAGAGATTCTAGGACATTTTACTGAATCAATCTGAATGACATCATTCATCAATAATTAGTCATTGGAAATTTTGATATTCTTAACTTCGGTAAAACCCTTCAGTGGAAAATATACCAACCTGGTGTGCCCAGCGAAACAATCCGAGAATCCGAGTTTTGCAGGTAGAAAGTGGTCTTTGTTGGTGAGAAATAATCTCTTCAAATCGTTTTCAGACATCTCAACATGCGAAAGTATGATGTCGGGCCAGCACGACATGAGAAAAGTGACAGATCGAGTGATAAAGGATTATTCAAGGATGAAAGAGAAAGCTGCCCATTACAAGAAATCGGCGAAGGGATGGATTTCTAAAATTCAACTTGAACAAAGTTACTGGTCGTTCAAGATCTATTTATTTTTGGAGACGGCTGAGAAGAACAGTTCTAAAAAGACGGATTAATAACAATAATCATAAAATATTAAAAAACGTGAGAGTCGATTTGAAAAAGAATAGTTTACAAAATAGCTTCGAGAAAGCTAAGCACCGCTTAACAGTGTTCGATTGCAAGTCGTCCTTGAGCTATCAAAGGTTTTCGAGGACTCCGAGCTGGCGATAAAGTATTTTTGTCCTCGGGTTATGCAAGCGTGCGTATTTCAAGCTAGAGTAATGGATTTTAATCTCTCTCTTATGTTCGCTTCCCGGTTCGTTGTTAGCTGGTTTGTGTTTTCTATCGTATTTTCTGGGGATTAGGGCGAGAGTTACTGAACGCGGGAGCACGTGGTGAGCCTGAGAAAGTTTAGAAATCACCGAAAAAACAGATCCATTTCGCCGAGTTGGAGAAAATCGCGATGCAGCAGAGGATGCAGCAGCGCCAGATCGACGAGCTTAGAAAAAGTAACCAGTTGCTTGGGGATTGGGTCTCAACATCTCGCTCTTGCTTATTTTCGGCGAATTAAATTTTCGATAAATTAAACAGACTGAGACTTGCGCTTCTTGTTGCATCAAGTAAGCTTGTTGATAGACGCGTGCTCTTTTAATTGATTTCACGTTGGGGAAAATCTTCAGCGCTCTTTGAACAATCGTACTTACAACATGATTACAAAACTAAATCCTCGAGACCCAAAACTAGTATGTTCTTGCTGCTGGTCAGTGTGCTGGTGCTCTTCTTTCTCTCAGGAATAGGCTTCGATCATGTTTGTCCAGGAAACGATTCCGCGGATTCAATTGAATCAATCGAAGCTGTAATTTAAAAGATTTCCAGCTTTCGCCCAACTCCAAAATTTACTGAAAAAAACAACCGTTTTGTCGAAGCCTAGCAAGGACTAACCTACCAAAGCCGAGGGGCTGCTCCAAGCCATTTCGTGTAACAATAATAAATCTTGCCAGACGTTCCATTCAATTTCGAAGTTTTTGGCGAATCATCGTAAACAAAATTCGTTATGCGCCAAAGCTGATGTCATCAGTTGTTGTTCTTGAGTTGTTTTGCAGGTGTTTTCCAACGTTGTTCTTATAAAGATTATGTTATTTTGTGAAAGTTCGTATTAACGTTTTTTTCAGTTGTGAAAGTAAATAGATCTGGATCAGCAGTTTGTGGAAACCTTGGTTGTTTCTTCGTTTTTTCTCTTCAGGGAAATGTTTTCGGGACTCGTTTCGGGCGAAGCATTTGTCTAATTCAATCATTTGCTGAAGCTGATTCAATATCTCACGTAAGGGGAGATTAAGGGGATCATAATGGAGATTTAAATCGTGTGATTTTTTTCTCTGAAAAGGAACTTAAAAATTCAGAAAATGTTTTTAGCAAATAAAGAAACCATTTCTGCTCAGAGTTTCTAAAAAGGGAGGGAGTACCCCAAGAATGTAATCAAAACAGCGCTTTGCTTGAAAAACAATTAAAGCTAGACTCCCTTTTTTAGTATTTTACATAACAAGCTGACCCCTGGTTGGAATATAAGACAGAAGATGCTCCGTTTCCCACGACACGCAAAAAATTCCAAAAGAGGGTATAAATTATGCCTCGGCTTCTTGTACGCCGGAAAATACCAGCGCACTAGCCCGTGTATTAGAACACATCATTTTTCCCCTCTTTTTTGACGATAAATTGCCGGCTACGCCCTCGTTTCTAAAATTCATTGTCGCCGAAGATGATTTTCATGTTTTCGGCGAAAATTTCCATTTGTATGTTCGCTTCAATAATTAGCTACAGCCTAGGAATGTTCTATAATCGTCTACTCTAGCCTAGCATCCCTCGCGTACTGAATTTCCAAGTGCTTCTTCGCTGAGCCGAGGGAGGGCAAAAGCATTTGTATTTCTTAAACGGAAGTCGCCGTCGGAATATCCTTCCCCGTCCTGTCTAAGAACGTTTAAGAACACTAGCCTACTAGAGGAGACTTGGAGATCTAGCCGGACTATACTTTGGCGCGATAAAGAGTAGATAGCCAGCCGCTATTAATAGTAATAACAAAAATGCGTGAAGAAAAGGATACAAACTGTTTCACCAAGGGAATTCGTATTTAGAGTAATTATTACTATCTTTTGCTGTTAAATTATGTTTGAGAAACATGTTTTAAGTATGATTCAATAGAAGTTGTTCCTTTCCCAAGTTTCCCAATTGCTCAATTAATTGATTTTTATGAATATCTAATACAGAATAATTATAATTATAAAGATCGATTGAGATTAAGATCGGGTAATCATTTGCCTGTTAGAGAGCTATTTCGCAAGTGTGAATGATTGACTCGTAAAATTCTTATCGCATGTGCGTTATCGACAAAAAACGTTACAGCGATACTATATCGGTAGATTTTATCAACATGTGATGACAGCCTCGAAAGCAAGTTCTAAATCACCTGAGTTGGTTCACTGCAGTATTTTCATCAAAGATTCAAGACCTGCTACCTTCGATAAGGAAAAAGAACACGCAACACTTGAATTACACCTAATGACACATTGCTATCAGGCCACAGGGACCACAAGTTGCACAAATAGCTTGTAGATTCGCGGTTTTCCTTCACTACCGGTTTCGGATAAGTATCCTTCATAAGGTTTAACAGGGCAATAAATACCTATTCCGATCTAGTGGCAAATTACCGTTAAACGAAAAACCGCGCCTGAACTTGACAGCGGGAAAAACTCAGATTTAATCGTAACAGAAATCGCAAAAGGGGCGCCAAGGATAGTCCATCCTGGATGGCCATAAATAAAAAATAAGAGAAAAAAGAATGCCACCAAAGAAAAGAAAATTGTCTGTTGTAAGCAAAGAGACAAGAGAACAACTTATAGAGTTCTTTGATGAAAATCCGTACCCAAGCACACAAGAAAAGCAAAAACTCGCTTCTGATCTTGATATTCCGATCTCTTCTGTCAGCCAATGGTTCAATAAACGAAGATTTGATAAAAAGTGAGCTCAGAAAGACTCAAACTTTGAATCGAGTATATTCATTTAGGAAAAAGAATGAAACTCTAGGAACGAGCTTCACTGGAACCCCTCGTCGCGAGTCTGCCAGAACCTCTGCTCGAAAGGAAACCACTCCAGGGGACCAAATTTTGGAGAACGCAGCAAGTTCGCCGGAAAGCGACCTGAAGGCAGAAAAGCGATCTCGCTACATGCGACTATTTAACGACCATAGAATGGCGAGCCGCGAGCATGCGCAGGACATCATGGATCTCCAAGAAGAAATCATGAGGCTTCAGCAAAAACTTGCAGAAAAGATGCGTCTCCACAAATCCGAGACGGAGATGATCGACAGAATCAAGGAGAACGCTCGCGTCGAGAATATCGAACTCTCAGAAAGTGATGACGATCAATCGGAGGAAGAAGACAACATTGTCAGTTTGCTCAACATCAAAGGAGAATCTATTGACGCATATAACTAGAGCGAAAAACAAGAACAAGACAACAAGAAAATCTTTCAGTACAATAGTTTCTTCATCTGTTTTACCATAAATTAAATAAACTCAATAGAAGATCTGCCAAAAAATGAGTCTTTCTTGGCGAAGCAGAGCAACTGAGCCCAGGGATCCGAGATTTTGTCGTCTGGACGATCGCCCACTTTTCAGGCGCGATTTGAGTTATCGCGCAGGAGCTAAAATTCTGATCGCGCGCTCAAATGCGCAGCGTTTAGGCGCGATGGCAAAAACTCGCTCTCTCGGTGATGGGGCGATGAATTTCGATCGCGCAGCCCCATCAGGCCGACAAAAAATACTCGCGCGTTCAAATGCGCAGCGTTCAAGCGCGATGGTATAAACTCGCTCTCTCGGTGAGGGGGCGATGATTTTCGATCGCGCAGCCATATAACGCCGATAAATAATACTCACACGCTTCAAAATGGTCGAAAATCTGCCGAGCGGGAGTGCGATGGTGGCGCTTGGTTTCAATTTTGCCGACCTAGTCGGCGCACGAATCAAATGATCAGCGTGAGATTGCTGACTAAGTTCACCGATTTTCTTGAAAATTCAATTTTTGGATGTCACATTGTTAACACTTTAATTCGACTAAGTTGTCCATCTCCTCATAAGAGAGCCGACAAACAAAATGTAAATTTGTACTGACCTCCCGCAACGTAACCTACAAATAAGTCATGCTAATCGCTGAGAGTGACTCTTGGCACCGGAAATGTGCGTAAAATCTGAGTATTTTTCAAAAGAAAAATTTTTAAGGTAATTGGATTTTGATGTTAAGCCAACTTATGACTGAAAAATATATTTTTATTGGTTTTTGAACATGCAGATTTCGAAAATTTCATAAAAATTATATTGGATATATTTAAATCGCCTTTTTTCTTCTTCTAATTTTGGCTAAACATCACGCGCCATCGTTTAATCGTGTAGCTTACTCCAAAATGACAGTTTTTATCGAGTATCAAGGGGTCCCCCCATGTTGAAATTTTCATGGGCGAAAATATGGTGTCGCGCACAGCCAGGGTGGCCGAAAATAAGTTATCGCGCTCTCGGGCCCACCGCGATGAATAATCATCGCTCCTGAAGCGCGAGGGCGCAGGGAAGCCATCGGCATATTTTTGACTAATCCAGCCCGCCGATGGGAATTTTTCGCGCTGCGAGCCTAGCAGCGAAAATGATTGTCGCGCGCTGAAGAGGAGCGCTAGGTGCGCGATCGTCCAGACGACAAAATCTCGGATCCCTGACTGAGCCCCTATACTATTTGAGCACAAAACAGAGTAGCCACCAAATACCTCTTGAAAATGAAATACTTATGCATGTAAGTCACCCACTAGAAAAGTGGGATTTTAGAGCAAGGGTGATAAGAGCAAACTTATAATAAGAAAAAACGTGAGGAGCTCTGATTGACGAACAGCCGAATGAAGATAGCGAAACCCAGTAGTTAATCTCCAGTGGTGCCAGTTATCACCCCTTGTCAAGGCGTCGTATTTCATTGATAGATCTTCTTTGACGAGTTCCTTCCTGCTCTTACGTTTTATTTGAAGTAACCCTAGTTTCTTAGATCACCAGAAATAAAGAAATTCAACAAGCAATTAAGTTATTATTTGATTAACCCTTTTGGGTGGTTGCTGGACAGGCGACCCGTATTTAGAACGATCACAAATTGGAGAAAAAACAATTAATATCAGTATGGGCAACATTGTTAAATTGTATGCTGTGCTTATTTTAGAAAAACTTTTCGGAACACTCGTCGGCACTATCCATAATCAGATGAAGACAATTTGTCTATTTGGGGGTTAGTCATCGACGTTCTCTTGAGTTTTATCCTTTGAGCTGGTCTCTAATTTGTATTGTAGTGAACCAAGGACAAAGTGTTATTCAAGTCTTATCTTTTTATACATTTTTAAGGGGAACAAATTGAGCAGTTTGGTCGAAACCAATTCGTCCGATTGTCGAATTGAAGTGGACATTGATCGTAAATAAAGAGAATACCACTGAAAATTTAATAAGAATGTGTAGAAAGAGATGCAATTAGAATGTAGCCTACGCTCCGAAAGCAATCGCAGAATAAGCTTTGTTAATACTTACCTAGATAAAAAAGAATAACATTCAAGCTAAAAATATTTGAACAAAGGATATCCGGAACACAGGCATACATCCGATACACAATGATAAACGAGGTACCAAGGAAGCAATGCTAATTTAGTGCACGAATCACTGATTTAACTACATTTTTGTCCTTATCTATATTCAGGGAGAATTCAGTTTTGCCTAAAAATCGTCTAAAGAAGCGAGCAAGATCTGCTCAAATTCGACGAGATCAGCGAAGTCCCTTAATTCATATAGTACCCAAGTGCTCTCTTCGCTTCTAAATCCTAATTGTGCAGCAGTAAGCGTTTTCGCTGGCTTCATGTTTGATTCGGCTAACGGATTATGCACCTTGAAGAACGGTTACACCCTGCATTTGCTCTTGTGCTTTTGGAAAAGTGAGGAAACAAAAACTTTTCATAAAAGTTTTTTCATATGATGATTTTCATATTTACTGTTTTTATTGGAAATAGGTTTGAACAGATTTCGTTCTACGATGAAAGGTATGCGAATTCTCGGAACTCGAAAATGATGATAAATAAATCTCGTTGACAGAAAGATGTAAAACTTTGATTAGAAAAAATAGGCTGAAGTTAGCGAAAGACCTCGCGGGACTATTCTAGTCCCTAAATACTCGTTTTTCGCTGCGGAAATTGACTGAAGAATATGTCAGCCCGAAGTGTGCAAATGAATCAGCATCTAGCGGTTGAGTTTCGATATTTACAGGGTTTAAGAAGGAACATGAACTACTGCTATTCTATTAAGAGTACGCTGGAAAAAATCTGACGCGGAAAATTGCACTGAAAGGTGGTTGAAGAAAGGTAAAATTGTCACAATGACGGTAGAGATAGGGGCCGGCAGCCCGAATTGGAGAATGAAGGTTTTCCTTTTTTTTTGTCGATAACGAACACGAATTGCACCAACCAGTTGAAGTATTGCGGAATTTCTTCAGGAGAATTGAGAGGCTCAAGGTCGCTTTTGTATTCTTAGTGGATGTGCTTCCGTGTTGAATACGAACTCATCGAGCGAGATCAGGTCATCGTCCGAAAAGATCAGATACAGGTACCTAAAATACTCGATTAGGGTAACTCTTCTCTTATCTATTGCCAAAAGTCAGTGATTATGTTGGCAATGATGACGACTGAGAGGATGAACTAGCGTCCTGTTGAGTTACAAGAATGATTTGATAAACGTGACAGATGATAATTTCAAAAAAATTTTTGCGGGTCTGAAAATCGTAAAAATTCTGAAAGTGCAGTTTTCTTCAGCTTGTTGAGACGAGTCGAATGGTGGGTCAAACTCTTGATAACTCCAAGGATTGACCGGTTAACCGGCTGGTTACCGGAAAATACGTTTCCGGTCGCCGTTTTTGTTCTAGAAATGCTAGGATGATGAATGAACACGGAAACTGATCCTTATGGTCAGTTCTACTGTGGGCAAAAAGATACTGGTCAAATATATAGCGAAACTTTTTTAACGATAAAAATTCTAAATTTTGTATGTATTTCGTTGTTGCTGCACCTTCCTAATTTTCGGTCCCATTTTCATAAGAAAATAGAATTTTGGTGATAAGCATCTTATGGTTAGAGATATGATTCTCATTTTTTCACCCACACAAGAACTAACTTCAAGGACCAGTTTTCCGCTTTTTTGTCATTCTAGCATTTCTAGAACAAAACGGCGACCGGAAATGTATTTTCCGGGAAATTGCCGGCTAACCGGTTAATCATTGGAGTCATCAAAAGTTTGACCCATCATTCGACTCGTCTCGACGAGCTGAAGAAAACTGCACTTTCAGATTTTTATGATTTCCGGACCCGCAAAAATTCTTTTGAAATTATCAGATTGTGTATTATGCGAATGCTGATGTTTGAAGGGGAGTAGAGAGTTCATTAAAAATATCAATAATTAACAATAATTAGTAGCCATTTTTCGGATTAATTTGAAACAGTTCGTAACTGTCTCATGGGCATATATTTGCGGCATTTGTGCTGACCAAAAAAGCGTGCATATCCCCCCTACCGCGCTGCACGGTAGTCGACCGCGTTAGGTCGGTATAATATCATCAGAAAAGCATCCACAAAGTATTACTAAGTAAGCAACTTTGATGAAAACAGCCCCTAAACTTTGCGAGCAGACGTTGCAATTTTCAATTAGAAACGTATAAACTGGGCAGAACGATTGCCAGCTATTTGACAGAATAATAGGTACTGTGGAAATCGTCGTCTGTCCTTAAACTAGGTATCTGATGCTCGGTAATTGGCATTGGGTACGGGGACACGCGCGAATTTAAATCATATCCCTTATGCTAAATACTACCCTTTTCGAAGACTGTCGCCGCGCGTCTCGCAAAAACGATTATGATTACGATTTCGGCTTTCACTTGAACAAGTATTTTTGTAACAACGGTGGAAAGAAAATCTGGGACCCTTGTGCCGAGCATTAATACGCTCTTTTTTCTGAACCCTATCCAGCTCAGATTCTTCGGAAACCATCTTGTTTTTTGGAAGATAGATACTGTCTGAAACGGCACGTATTTACTCTCTAGGGTCTCCAGAACCACCTCTAAAATGGTTTACAAATGCACGGAGTACACTTATCTCATCGAGCACCCTTGAATCTAGCCTAGATAAGGAACCTCAATCGGCTAAGATTGTTAGATTCGTTCGACTAGGCAGATAACAATGAAAAGAGTCGATCGACTTTTACGCGTCAGGACGCCTGAGATCCATTTGACAGGAGTAGCCGAGCGATTTATCTCAAGCTGGAAGGACTCCTCGTTATAATGTTTCGTGAAAGCGTGATCTGCGCTGAGATATTTCGTAATGATATATTATCTCCCCTCAAGCTCCTCGTTACAGTTCCGCTAGAAGTCCGGCATTTCCAGCCGCTGCTCCTTATCGAGCATCCTACACCACAACTGGTTTCTCGGAATGCTCATTTGACGGCTGATTATAAATGTAACCGTGATTCGTCCAAGGCTGTTATTTTTACTTTCCATCAATCACGAAATGCTCAACTTCATAAGAATCTCTAAGAAGGGCTTAGCGTAAATATCCATCACTTAGTAAAAGTGCTTATGGTAACATCAAAGGCTCAGTGTTAGCTGAGAATATTCCGAATCATAAACACGTTGAAAAGGCACGCAACGTTTCATGCACAAATTTGAACCCTCGCTAATGCCCTCCACTTTTTCTGTGATGCCCGGTTCGAATGTTGGCAATTTAGGCTCATCTCTCAAATTCTGGTATGTCGTTGGTGAACGAGCGAGCCTTGTTAATTTTTAGCTAATTAATAGCTTCTACCGCTGATCGTATTTGTCTTTACAAGTTATACGCGTTCACTCACAGCTTGATTTGTCGAATTAATTATCTGGAGAATCAATTATGAGCCGTTCTATATTCCCAGTTCTTTAGTACTTATAATAGTATTATCACATGTTTCCCGGTCTAACGAGCGACTAACTGGGTCAATGTCGTCTTCATTCTTTTCATTGAATCTCCGTGATCACAGGCTGACAGAAATCAAATTTATCAACGAAAAATTGATTCTAGCTTCGAATTTCCAAACCAAGAGGTGGCTTCTCAAATATAAATTGATTAAGATGTTCAGAAAAGTGTCTTGTTATTATGGAAGATTTACAAAAGAAGGTGGAGCGATATCTAGTTCCGGTCTCGTTGTCAGGATTATTTGTTCATTCCCTGTAAATTTATACTCAGAAAAAGTCCCCTTATTTAGCCTTTGATGACGAGAGATATCCAAAGCAAAGAGTCTATTTTTGCAAACAGAGGGTAGGGGTAAATTACGCGACTTGAACAGTATTAAATACTAGGTATTACTTCTCCGCTAACTGAAATGAGGCAGTCACTTTCAGCTGCGCTAGCCTAATTATTATTTCGAGAGCAGTCACAGATAAGCCTAGCAAGTGAACCGCTTTAGAAGACATTTTCTTAGAGAATCGGAAACTTGATTTACTCAAAGAAAGAATCAACAAAACCTTTCATTTGATCAAAAAGGGCTTAATAGATCTGTTGCCTTGTTCAACTGCCAGTTCATAGTGGGCTTACTTGAGTGTCTCGGCTAAGAAGAAGGATTGCTGAAGGTCATCTTTGGTGCTCGGCGCTTGGTTCACGTTTTTGATCCCGCTAAATCCGAATTCGGCACGGCAGTGTTCTTCCAATGCCTAAAACTCAGATAAGAATAAATACTTCCGCTATGTTTGTTTCGCATGAGCCCCTGACTCTAAGTTGTCTGAAACACTGAAATTTCAAAAGCAGTAGTTAATTACGTTTCAGCCAGGAATATATATTCAACAAAAATAGAGGGCATGTTATCTTTCATCCGATCCGCTCTCTGGCTAACTGAACGGTTGGCATTATTCAAAACGGATCCTGCGACCCTTTATCTGTTCTTTCAGGGAAAAGCTTTCGAAGGCTAAGCCTATAAGCCCTAAGTATACGTTCACATGGCTTATATTTTATATGTATCGAAGCTATAAAATGAATAGACATACCTGCACCGCATCCCAAGCCCACTCACGATACTTCTGGTCCTTGGTGTATCGCCACATGTAGAAATAACTCTCGACGACTTCCGGTCTAAGAGAAGTTAAATCAAATAGCCAAAGCGTCTCAAGAGCTACAAAACGGCGTCTCGCCTACCTCAGAATGTAGTAGGAGTCTTGAGCGCGATTCTGGCGAGCGTCCTCTCCAGAATCAAAGCGGAAGGACTCTGGGCCGAGATGCGTTGGCGTCCGAACGTACGACTCGTGGCATGTACTCGTAACAGCGGCTGCCGTCTTAAATATCACTAAATCAACGCTATTTTCAAGAGAGTGCTTCCAAAAAGGTCCCGCACTTCACAGCGATTTAAAATTTCCACAGGAAGGTGAAATTCCTCGTCTAACACATTTAGAGCGTCCTTGACTGGAAGTTTTACTTTTTCCAAGTATAGCGTTTGCACGTATCAATTGATTCTATGTTTCACGTGTGCGTTTTCGCCGAATTCTCTAAGTACAAAATGGCCTGAGAATTACTTTATCGCCACGCGTGAAAACACCGGAACGACTGTTTCTTACCTCCATGAGATGGGCGCGCTTTTCTTCTGAAATTGCAGGGTCGACATGAGCTGACATAGCGATCATCCCTCCAGCGAAGCAAGTCAAATGCGCCATAACGGGCTGCGTCCTGCTCGACTTATACTCGCCAATATACGTTAATCCACTGCTGGAACGCCTGAAATCAACGAAATCAGCTCATGTTTGACTGAAAGGCGGCGAAAAAATTCTTGCGGTCGGCGGCACTCCCGAAAAATTGCCATCATCGTGAACTACTTGCATATTTCGGGAGATATGTAGCCAACCGCTCTCGGCTCTCTACAAATTTGCACTGTAATTGTCACGAGTTCACGAAATGAATTCGAAATAAGAGGTGCCCCGTTATCTTTAGCAAGCTTATCAAGAATTTAAGATTGGGCCGCGAAGGGATCAATGGGAGATTTTTGGAACTGATACAGTGATGCGACAGGAGCTATCTTTTCGAGTTCAAGTTTTCATAATATCTGGTATCTGAGCGAATCATTCAATTAGAAGGTTAATTGCATTGCCAATGCATACTTTTAGATTCTTTTTACTATCTTGACAGCTAGAATAACACTAATTGAAAAGAACGGTGTTTCCAGTACCCTCAGCCCGTGCGGCAATTTGCTCGTCTTAGCATTTTACAAAAATACACGGAGCAAGGCGAAGACTCTTTTCAAGAGTTCCCAGATGGCTAGCGTAGAGAGCTTCTAAATTTGGTAAATCGACTCCCTTCAGGCAGAGATTTCCAGAAATACGAAACACATATTTCGCGTTATTTTAAGCTTTTGCAAGAACATGGGGAAATCTCATTCGTTCATGTTTATATTCCTGGAAGATACAATTAACTGACCACAGAGTTGTAATTCGTGGCGAAAGCATTAGCTCTCTCATAAATTTGAAATCAGAAAATGTGTTTTATCAGATATCATTGTACTTTATAAGCCACTTCTGGGAACACCATCATACAGTCACGACTGATGTCTGTTGTTGCATAAGCAGGTGCTTTTGGTGCATGAAAATAAAGTGTGCAAAACAAAAAAAAATCCTAAGTTAAATTCCAAGGTTAGCTCACTCAAATCAGCTGAGTACCTTCAGCTGGAGAAGATGGTTGATCGGTAGGTTGAACCGGTTGACTTACTTGATCAAATTGGCTTCGATCCCTTCATACGCGTCCCAGTACATCTCGAGGGCGGTTTTATCCGACTTGTTTGTGTAAGCGAATGTCTTTGAAATAGTGCTCATGTGTATGTTTTACATTTTTATTGGGTGTATTCTAATTTCATCCACGAGCGCGCGTCGCCTATTTTATCGGTTATTTAAATTTAAACAAGTCACCACATCGCCACTAACACCAGCTTCGCTGGTTGAACATCTTGAGTTCGATGCTCCATCAGATAGTAACAGTACTTGGGCGTTGATGATCCAGATTATTGTATTGGAAATTCCCGAGGGTAGCCACGGGGGATGCATTTGTCCGTGCGAATATCTTATCATTTAATCGCGCGATTTTAAGGATGTGATGAATTTGATCCAGGCAAATCGCTGGAATCCGAACTTAGAAGAATAGATAGCACGGCGATTAAGAGTTTTGCACTTTGTTGAGCGATCAAAATGAGCCTTTCCTTGAGAAGGTACTCGTAGAAGGAGTCGCCAAGCGCTCCAACGGAGACGAGTTTCTGACCCCACTGCTTGGTGGTGGGGTGAATGTAGACTGGATACAATTTGTCGTGATCTCTCGGTGTGCTCTGAAGCACGTCGCGTACGGTCGTCACTTTCTGCAGGTACGAAGGATCGTTAAAGTGTTCAGTGAGCTCCGAGTATTCCAGATGCAAAGTGCCGATCTCGGCCAAAATGGAGCACCCCTGCGAGAGATTCTTACGGATGTCATTAGGAGCTTCCCCTCTAAAACCACGATTGCGGTAAAATACCGATAAATAAACTCGCATGCCACCCGGGTCAAACTAAAAACGGATGCGAGTCCAAATGCGTCTTCAAAATAGAACGAGGCTAAAATTAGTCTGCCCCTTTTTATGGAGATCTAAGAAGACACATCCTCGAATTGTAAGTGGCTCTATTCAAAAGGCACCCTTAAATTTAGTATCGGAAATAATAAAACATGGTAAATCCATGTTAAATCCCTTTCCTTTGAAGCCCAATTCCAGTTTTTCGTTCGACCGGTAGTCGGATTCACCATCGCCATCGGAATGCCTCTGAAGTTCGGATCAATTAAATTGTTTCCTTCCTAATTCCTATTTTCTCTTCCCTAATAAAATGGGCCCTATCTCAATAAAAATAGAATAACCATCGAGATAATTACTAGTACGTTTAGTTATACACAAAATTCGATCTGGAGAAGAGGCTAACCTTCAAGATGGAAAAGGAGTTTTTAGAACTCTTTAATGTACGACGCCTTCGATTTCGTTGTAGGTCAACTAATCTCATTTCAAACGAAAAATTCCACACGTCTCAAATCGCATTTTCCTTCTTAGTTTACAAATTTAAGACGTGGTCCTACTGCAAGTGACACAACTCATTATGCATTCCGGTGGGGCTCGGCCTTTTTATTACTCTAGCCAAGTCACCAGTACTAAGTGTACCGGTTTTGGTTATTGAACGGGAGATTATACGGGACTTAATCCGCAGTCAGATATTTTCTACAGATATCTGATGTGGTTTCGTCGCATGGAAGACATTCTATCATCAAACGGCTAAGCTATTTTAAGAATTCTAGCAGACGAATTCTGAGTGCGGCAAAAGAAAACCTTTATTAGAACAATTTAATGTGAGTCTTATCTCAGCGTGCACATAGACAAAATGACCCGTCATCAAACGAGGTGATGTCTCCGGAGTCAGGACCTTGCATTCAAAATATTTGATTCACTTACGAGGGAGTATTGAAAGCGCCTTCCAACAGATCCGCCACGTACTTTGCCTTGTCGTAGAAAACCTATTATCAGGCTCAGTTGAATATTCCGCCTAGACTTCAGCGTTAATAAAAGCCTTTCCTGTTCGCCTGAAAGCGTTCCAGCCGCTAAGAAGCCGGCAACAAAGCGGATGACGGTTTCAAAAACAGAAACGTCAGTCTTCGAGTTGAAAAAGAAGCTCTTCTCCACCCATTCCTTCGCTTCATTGAACTCGTCAATCATTCCCATTATGTACAAGGTGTCCAACGCGTCCACAATCGTTGCACCAGTTTTCCCATTTCCAAAGATTCCAGCGGAATGTCCCTTTCCGGAAATCGGTCGTACTTCGTTTTCAGTCCATGCTTTTTGCTTGTAGCCCTGCCATGCGTGGTTCATCATCTCCTTCACTACCAAAAATATTATCTACCGACAGTTATCCAATCTGATACAGGAGTACTAATAACCAGGCCGCGCTACAAGGGTATTATAACTAGCTTTGATATTTTTGAACACGCGATAAGCACGGAGATTTCTGGCCGCCAGACTTAAGCGTTTTTGAAGAGCAGGCCAGGCGAACACGTTTCCATATCATACACTAATTTACATAGCAATGAATATTTGGAAAGAGATTCTCCTCAGCCCCTTCCACTCATTTCACCCGGAAAGTCTATTTTTATAAAAAAGAATATTTCAATAACATCAGCTTACGAAACTCTTTCTAAAACACATTCAACATTTAACTACTGTTGCTAACTAAAAAGTGTCATTTCGAAGGAGTTAGAAACACTCTTCCATAATAGAAGTGCGATGGTATTTTCTGTATGCTCTCTCTAACGAACGTTTTGACAGATGATTATTTTAAACCGTGTTTGACTGACAGGAAAAGGCCCTGGTGTTACGTGAGTGCCCCCATAAAAATCCCTCGTCCAAGCAAAGACGGTCGAGTTTTATCCGGCAGCAGTGGTCACCAACCAAAATAAATGTCTGGTTCCATTTTTTTTTCGAAAAAAAAGCTGCGCACGTTTGGAAGGCGGACTGGTGGTGGTAAGTCAGTGATAACAAGACGGCTAGCTATTACGGAAGAAGGCTTCGAACGCATTTTTTATCGGATGATCTGGTGTAAATAGCAGTCTTTCCGAGATAAGCTAGCCGTGAGTTTCTCTCTATTCACATGGGAAAGAGTTTCTTTTCTAAGAAATAAAATCGAAAGCACATGAAGCCAGAACGATGACATGGCCATGTTGATTGCACCGTAATCAATGAGAGAGAGAACTTTTGCTAATTTTCCAGGTCATTCTTTGTTTTAGGTGCCTAATAGTCCTAAAGAACACTTAAGAAGGTGCGGATAATCATCATGCAGAAACAAAGTCTGCTTTAGTAAAAGTTTGAGCTTTGATTATTTCGTAAAAGTAAGTGGAACGTGGCACTATATAAATATTGAATATAACGTGTTTTGCTTATATGTCAATACATGACGAGAAAATTTTTAAGGTACCTTTATTTCTTTTATCGAGTACATCTGGATCTGAAGGAGTTCCTCTTGTATAATCGTAAGCCTTTTGACTTGTCCTTTTGTCATCGGGAATGGGAAGTACTGGCTTCTCATCAACGGCTTTTGGCGCTTCATGGATTCCTTCGTCCAACTCATGCTCAAGATCCTCGTGCATCTTTTCGAGCATCTTCATGTATTCCATGATTCTGTCGCGACATTCAGGATCGCGTAGATTCTCACAGCTACTTTCTCGAGCCTAATTTCATAGTTTTAAACAAGCAATAGTAATGCTGACAACTGCCAGTTGCGTCCCCAACGGTATCATGTATTTTACGTATATAATTTATTTTACTACAATGAAAATCGTTGTAAGAAACGTATTGTCAATGTAAACGTACTCTTTTCATGAGCTCTTCAAATTTGTGTTCCAGATTATCAGTATTGAGTGTTTCATCGTTAGAATCTGCCTCAGTTTCGCTTGGTAAACCTTCACTGCTTCGACTAAAAGAAGATTTATGAAGAATTTGAGCGTCCTCTATCGATATTCACCGTTTTAGTGACGGCATTTCGATCATTTCTTTGGTGTGATAAAGCAGTACTCCTAGAAGGGCCAGAGCAGCGAGCAGCTTCAAGCGCTTGCCCCTGAAGAACCATCCGATCATTCCCCCTTCTTAAAAACACAAAATTCCAAAGAAGTAAAAAAAAAAGAGTTAATCTAAGCATCGTCGGACGCGTTATCATTAAGATACTGTCCAAGCAGATCCGTCGTGCCACGTGAAGACTGGTCAAGAATACGGACGAGCTCCGAACTGCCAGAATTCTCGAGCATCGATACTAGTGTTTGTGCAGGCGATGACATTAATCCGAGCACTTGGCCCATTTCCTTCTCGAGCGAGAGTTTTGCCCACTCCAGAACGCCGCGCGGGGTATAACACTCGTCCTCAATCACGCCGCCCATTAGAACCATATACGGATGATTATCAATAGCTGTCAGTACTTTCTTCAGATTTTCTCTATCACCCTTCGTCACGAAGAACAAATTGCTCTCTTCTCCTTCCTCAGCTCCCAAAAGCACTTGTTGAAGCGGCTTTAAATCGGGTCGTTTAGTGTTGATTAGACAGTGGACGATGTGATCGGGAAATTTGACGATGTTCGCGCCGCTTTTCATCAGCTAAAAATCGTTTCTTTTTCTGAAAGCACATATTTCTTGCCTTAAACTTTTCGTCATAATAAATGTGCTCTTCCATTGTATCGCCAGGGTCGCCAGCCATCAGCACTAATCCCAGAAAACCGTCCTTCCTAAAGACACATAACTAGCCTTGCCGATAAGGAACACTCAACTTACGTGGCTTGGAAAGCTTCTTCACACTTTCGAAGAAGAATGTTATCAGGCCCGTAGACTTCGGTAGCCTCGATCGCCTCGCCTAGCTTGGCGTTTGCTTCCAGATGCCGCGTCGAATACGGATGTTGCATTTCTTCCTCGTAATCTTAAACAAATGATTAAGATTGAACCAAAATCCCTTGTTCGATCTAAAAATGGAGACCGCGCTATTGCATGGAATTGAAGTAGCTTGCGGCTTTATGGCACTTATTGAGTCGTCTCAATGATCATTTGTACCTGGGAAGTGGTGCTCCGTGGGATAGTGCGGCTGAGTGATCTCATTCAGCAACACTTCTTCTTTGTGCAGCATGTAGAGCTGTCGCTGGCGTTGGTTTTTCCTCCGTATCGGGTATTTTCGCGGGTGCGCTGTTCGCATATCCTACAATTAACATGTTGGAGCTCGCAGATTGCGTTTAGAGGGTTCTTTATTATGAAGTCAAATCCCTGGAATGACTGTTCAGTGCTTAAAACTTACATGCGAGGAGTCGACTTGATAAGACCTAGCTGAGGAAAGCGAAGGCACCGACCTGCGCAGACCGATCCGATACATGCTAGAACGGCGATACTGTTAATCGAAATATTATTCTTGCAGTGCCAATAGAATTAATCTATAGCTGTCAGCAGAAAGTGTTTGCTTAAGAGTTTTGCCGTCGCTATCAGTAATCGATAAAACGTCGGAAATGTCGAGAGAGTTTTTGACAGCGTAACGAAGCTTCAGTCGGTTCGTGAACAGTGAGCTAGTTCAAATAACTCGTTGGATGACCTCGAGAGAAAATAATCCCTGATTGATACTCTAAGGCAACGGGAAAATCAAATCAGGGCAATTCGATTTGCCGTGAAAATTTTTAACCAAAAAATAGCTCTTTTATTTTTATTCAATTTTCCCGGTGCTCAATTAAAACGCGCACTGCATCAAAACACCTTTCTCGGTCTCCAGCACTCATGATGAATTATTACGGAAGGAAAGGTGCGGAGCGATTACGTTCCCGAGTTTCAAAATAAAAATTATCGACCTGGAATCCTTTCAACTGATCTCCCAGTATCCCAAGAAACTCAGGATACTTAGGAGAAATCAATTTTTTTTAAAATTCTTATTAATGAAGAAGCTCTTTTGTTCAGGACCCGTCCCAATTCGGCAACTTGAAGTTCTTCTAGCCTTTTATCTACATTCTTAGCCGCGTGAAAGACTGTTCCAACAGTGCGGTTCATTTTGTCAAACGCTATTTTTTCTCCAACAGCACTTGAAAGCAAAAATCTCGTTGAAAGAATTGCTCCGGACAAAAGTGCATCGACAAGGGGAGTATGGCCATTTGCGTCCCGTTCGTTGATATTAATTTTTGAGTGCTTGACGACTTCTAACGCCTTCGGTAATTCCTTCATCGCCAAAAGGTGTAACAGAGTTTTTCCATATTTGTTCCTTATTGTAAGATCCGCAGAGTTATCTTTGTCGGGCTCAATAGAATCGTTATTTGATGAAGAAAGAAAAAATTATGACCGATGGCCTACACTAGGATTCCTAGTAGGAAGGCCACTATTGTAAGATATTGCTTTAGCAACAAAGTGTATCCTTTAGCCGACGCCTGAAGCGGATTTTAAAAATCTCAAAAAATCGCCGTCGGATTGATCGACAACGAGGGCAGCTTCCATCAGCGGCGTGTTTCCAAAGCTATTCTGAGCGTTAATAACGCCCCCGTTAATCTCTAGGATCAGCTCAAAGGCGGCGAGGTCGCTGAAAAGTTGGCTAGAATACGATGTTATCAAAGACGTACTTGATGCAAGCTGCTATGTGCGCCGCGTTCATCCCTTCGTTCGTCATCGCTTCTGCCCGGGCCTTATTATCCAACAAAATTCGTGCGTTTTCGTGGTATTTGGAGGCAACTGCACGAACAAGAGCCGTCGCGCCTAAATGACTTCGTCATCCCTTGTCATGCAAAATACAAGATTTTCCCGTTCAAAACCTCACTTTCCGATGTTTTGGGTGATGAATAATGTATTTACCTAATGAATCTTTGGTCTCTAAAAGCTCGCGCAAGAGAGGCAGGTATTTCCGAAGTGCGGCCGGGTCATTTTGGGTGGCCATGATGTGGAGAACCGTTTCGCCACTCACGTTGGTGACGCTTTTATCCAGCTCCGGATGAGATATCAGAAGCTCCAGCGCTCTTGGATGTCGACTGACAGGGGTTAAGTACTCGCATTGAATTTAAATGAACGGTCTAAGCAAAGAAAAACCCTCGCCCAGCCGCTGTTAAAGGATACTCAATGTCTCCAACGCCGCAATTTACATCACACGAGGAATTCGAGAGTAGCCAGGAAGCAAGTTCTGTCTTCTCATCGATTATACTCAGGATCAGGAGAGTTGATTTAGCTCTAGGAGCGATCTTTAACACGCAGCTGAAGGAATAATACCCAGAATGCACTTACTCTGATGATTCGATTGACATCGAAGCCTCTTTCAACGAGCTCGGGGAAGATTTGGAGCTGGCATTTGATCGGCTGGAGGTATAGTTCCATGATCAACTCATCACTTATCCAATTCGAACCGTTCAGCTTTGAGATCAAATAACTCATCAGTTCTATTGGTGATGATTCGCCAATTTTTCTTTGTTCCAAGTTCATTTTTCTCTAGCAAGACATTTCACGAAACCTATCTAACGAGATCATATCTACTGATTTTCCGCTGTAAGCACATCACCATTCCTGTATTTCCACTACGGATCGCCAAGATGAGTGTGTTTTCGCTGAAGAACGGATGCTTCTTTAGAATCTCTCTCGTAATAACTTCATGATCATCTCTTTCGCCGTCCAAATTTTTCGGCAGTGAGGAAAGAAGACTATCTGACAAACCGGATGACAATTTAAAAATGAAAAGAAGCCAAAGTTATTATTAATTTTAACGATTGCAACCCAAAACGATATGATTCTTCGTTTTGGTCAAGTTGCCCTGACTTGCAGCACCTGGAAGGGTTTGCGTCTTAGCTGAGGTTAGATTTTTGGTCAAAATATTTGTCGAAAGGAAACTTTTGCTAACCACATCGCAGTTGATAATATCCGAGGCCGCCTACCATCGCCAAACCAGCGGTCGCAAAACGTAATCCGCTGCCTATCACGGATCTCGCCCTGCCCCCGACACGATTCATCGTTCTAGCAATCTTCAAAGTGAACGAATTTGAAATAGTTTGAACGGGCGGGAAATCGCGTTTTTAGGACATTCATGAACAGAAATTATTATCTCAAAACAAGGTCTTAGGCAAGAGTCCCTCTTTCTCCAGATATCCTTCAAGATAGTTGAGAATTTGCATTCGATCGGAGTCGCGCTGCTCGTCTCGCCGCATTTGATAAACACTGAAAATGCAGTAACTTGTCACATTTCAGTTTGGAAAGCGCGACAGGCCACGGAGGCGCGCATCCGAAATTCTCAACATGACAACTTACAGCGCTTCAGCCATACCAACAGCAGTTTCACCGCCGGGTCCAAGTGCTAAAATATCAGCCCCATTCTCGACGAGGAATTTCGTCGACTTTAAAGCCCCGTCAGATACGGCATGATGCAATCGTGTGTACCCTTGCCCCGTTCTCATGTTCACGTCGAATTTATCAGCAGCCACAAGTGCATCCTTTATCAAATTAGCTTTGCAATGGATGGAGAGCTCAATCTTTCTCAATCTGTACATAAGTTCGAGTAGAAAATTCCAGTTCCTGAATAAATGTTCTCTTGTTTTAGTGCCATTCCGAGCGCATCAACAGAATCTTCAGCAGTTGCCAACAAGTCGATATCTTTTTGCTCCAAAAGCCACTGTAAAACATCTCGCGAATCGGTCCACGCTGCCAGATGCAAAGGAGTGAGATTGTTAAAGTAGCTAGAGAAGAGTGGATGAGTTTCGCATTTTCGCCCGAATTAGCTAACCTCAAGTTGAGTATGCTACTGGCCTGCTCGCGAGTGAAACAAGTTTGGAATAACAAAACAGGAGACATAAGAAAAATAAAGCTCCAGCCGCGCGGTTTTGACTGGCATGAATTTATTGAAATATCTTCGGATTTACTTTTGTCGCCATTCGCTTGTAACGCTTTTGCAAGATCTACACGGTTGTTGGCCGCAATCCAATGGAAAACAGAGAATCCATCTTAAAGTATTCTTGGATTAAAATCTGGACGTATTTGCTTTAAATTTTGTCTATTTAAATGTTTTAGGCTCTTGGAAGCCGCGGCGCTCCTTGGAAATAAACCGCCATATCAAATTGTATAATTTTTTTGGGGATTTCATAAAAAAATCATAAGCCTGTTAACGCTACGTTTTCAGAAGAAATGCTCGTTTTCATGTTTCTCGAGAGCCAAGAATTCAATTACCTGTATCTGTGATAAAAGAAGATCTAGAGACAAATTTGAAGAGGTCTTCGAAGTCTGCTTCTGCGTTACTCAGCTTTGAAAGGAACTCTTCTTCACTACATCCTGCCCGAGCACTTATGACCAAAAGTTGACAGTAGGACTTATACAAGAAGTAGCCATAGAGAACATAAAGACACAAGGATAACCACAAAAAGACAGGTTTCTGGGAGAGTCGGTCCTTTACAACGATAGAGCCTTTGTCCTGTTTATTTTTAAAATAAGCTAAAACCCGAAAAATCGGAAATAAAAATCAGCGACAATTGTTTTCACATTGATAATAAACGTTCCTGCTCCGGTTATTGCCGTTCTATTAGGGAGGTTTTGCATAAGATGTGTTGGCTGCTGCAGTTGCGCTAGTTTTGTGAGCTTTTCCGCCTCAACTACCTCGGCAAGTTTGCCGCTGGAGAGTCTTTTTGACAAACAGAAACGCGCAACTGCGAGGCGAGCGTGTAAGGCCATTCTGAATTGATCTTCTACTGCACTGAGCTGGAAAAGAATGACAACAAAAAATCGTCGCTTCCATCCTTTGTGATTTCAAAGAGCTGGAAGTTCACGGAAGTCAACTAAGTCGATTATTTTATTTGGAATTGCACTTTAATGAAGCTCGCGCTCTAGGAGACAGTTTGAATATAAATTTGCGTGAGAAGCCACATGATGGTGTTAGTAGAACCTTAGAGCAGCTATCACTGTTTAATCAGGAGGAAAAAGAGGAAATAAACCTAAGACGACTATTTATGAGGAGCGGGTGTATTTGCCCCAGATGTGTAGGATGAAAACCGAAGCGATGAACATCAGCGACATGACCAAAACTGGCACTGGGCCGACCTAAGAATTATCTGTCAATAGGGGTCGATTCACAGTCACTTGCCTTGATTCCGGGGCTGTCTTCAGTGTAGAACTTCCACATGCCGTTGCCCATTTGTCCAGAAGGATTGGTGGTGGTCTTTGCTTTAGTCTGTCCGCTAAAAGAATAAATAAAAAAAGATCATGTTTAGTTTGAATTTACCCAGCTTTTCGCTGTCTGACTTGTGGGCCTCCAGCGGATGGTCGAGCACTAGCTCCAGCTGGGGGTTTACCGACGGTAGTTCCAGAAGCAGGGCCGGGCATTCTCTTTTCTGACAAGTCTGAAAAAGATAAAAACATAAGTCGCGAGTAATTTAAAAGTAAGGAAAGGCTGGAATCTATGTAAAGGCGGCAGTGATAGATTAATCCAGTTTCAGGCAATTTTCCTAACAGTGAATGAAGAAACAATGGTGGTTAAGCTTTTAGTTTTATGTTTTCGCGCGCTTTTGTTGTCGCTGTCGGAAAACGTCGTTTGCCATCGCTGCTTCGTCGTTCTTGTTTTGGGCATTCCGTTTCTGGCCGAGTTTTGTGTTCCTGCAAGAACTGTTAGAATCCCACTGGAATGAGTGTCACTTACTTTGTCCGGACGAATTCGTCGATATTGGGAATTTCTCCACTCCTGAACTTGTCAATCAGGTCGTCAACTCTAACAAACGGCCCATGGAAGCAGACTGGCGGGGGCATCAGTTTCAATGCATTGTGGGCGGCTGAAAATTCATTGTTGGTCACAATTTACCCTAGTGCACCTTACCCTGTGGCATGGGGAATTCGCCGCCGGAAACAGGGTGCGACCCCGGAACTGGAATTCGTCTGGGCTTGAATGGAATCATATGGTTGGTGTCTGGCTTTGCGTATCCAATGTCATCAACGGGAATGTTCGATCCTCCATTTTGATGATGCACGGTTTGATTCATGACCTGATGCGGTGTTTTTGGCGCCTTCTCAGCAGATGGCTGAAAATTTTGATTACTCTCTGATTTACTTCTCTGGAAGTAGCCACTTACAATGAGCTCCGACATCAATGAACCCGCATCCTTATAGCCCATAGAGCGCAGTTCCTCTCTCGTACACGGGAATAGATCCAAGAAACGATACCTAAACAGCTTTGTTACAATCTCCGCTCAAGTGCACAAGCTGACCTGTCTATCAAGAGCGCGGACTCGTTGCGTTTTTCCTTCTGCGTTCCTTCTCCCAACAACAACTCGTCGGTGACCGGCCTTAGAATTCTTTCTAGGCGTCTGTTCTCGACCTAGAGTGAGTGGTATTCAACTAGTTATCTAAAATGAGCTTACCTTGAGAATCGAGGTAAGATCGCCAACATGACATTCGAAATCCAGGTACTTATTCCATACACTCTCCATCTTGTCCGTCTCCTCACTCAAAACTCGCTCGTATAGCACTCTTGAAAAGGGGATCAATGTTAAGGAGCACAATGAGGATTTATACCTTGTATTGTTGTCATCGTTCATGTTCGACATAAAGTCCATGTATTGTCTAACATAGTCGGGCTTGTCCGCGAAGCGCTTCAAGCCAAGCTCGAAGATTTTAAAAGCTGACCAAAGTTTATATAACTCATTGTTATCTGAAGATAACCTAGAGAGACAGGATTTTCTCTCGCTCACGAAACTTCTATTTTAGGATTTGGAATTTATAGATTTAAACTTTTCCTAGATTTTTATCCTTGGCGCAGTAGTACTCCATCCAGGCAGCGGCAATAAATACGTGGTACTTTATTCGGCCATCTTCTCGAGCCAGCCGGAAAATTTGACGCGCGGCTTTGATTCCTTCAGTTCTTCTTGCAAAGCGCATGTATTGAATAAAAGTCAGGGTAGGGTCGAGCTCGTTGATATCCGTGAGTTTCGTGTAAATGGTGCTAACGATTTCAAAGTTTCCTCGGCTTTCTTCGAAGTTCGCGTAAGCGAAATGGATCTTTCCGGGGATTGAAAACATTGACATTAGAAAAAGTAAGTGCAAAACTTAAAAAATCACTCAAATAGGAGGGTAAAGAATGCTAATTTTTGACTGGCACTTATCATGAGTGTTTTCAACCCATAACAGAGGATTCCTTTTCATCAGCTGTCCAGTCGCGCGCTTGTAAAGTTCAGCGGCTTCATCACCCAGACGTTTTCCGGCGTGCATTTCGCCCGCGTCGATGAACTCTTGCGAGGATCTAACCAGGAACTGCGCCGCTTCGTACCACATTTCAGGGTGGTGGCCGAGTACGAGCAAACACTGTTCGTAAGCGAACATCACTCGCCGCGTCTGGAGGTGCTTGTCTTCTATACGAAGATTGTTTCCCTTTTCCCACTCGATATATTTGCGCCACGATTCGACGACCTTGCGTTCGTCGATGCCGCCGGTCGCTGGTTGAGCTGGCGCGCTCTTCATCAAATTCCTCTGGAGCACCTCGAGCTCCTTCGTCGCCCGCCGAGCATTCAGGTACTCTTTGTTTTTGTCGTCAATCATTTTCTTGGCAATCAGGGGATTAATCGACTGCTCGTATGTGTTGTAATCCTTCCACAGATTCTCGATGTTCGACATAGGCCTGAAAGAATTCATCTTATTCATCGGAAAATAAAAGAAATCTACATTCTAAGCAAATGGGCTAAATTCGAACAGAGCAGTTGCTAGATTGCTCCGTTCAAAATCAACCCAAGGACAATGCAGGGCTCTTGATTCCGGGCTGACTTACGTGACGACTCCCCTCTGGAAGATCTTGCGCACATGAGAGATTCTCTGATTCTCGGCAAAGCTGCCTTGCACTTCGATGTTGCGCATGAAGTTGATGTAATCATTCCAGATCGGGTAGCTCTGGAGATCGAGGCCGATCTTATCAATGGCAAAGTCGTACGCTTTCCTCATTTTCTCGCGATAGGTGGGATGTTTATCCTTGGTCTCGCGGATGTACGCCAAGTAAACCTTCCACAGATCAAGATTTAGCACTAAACGCCCGCTTTATGACAATTCACTACGTTCTCTAAACTCCACCGTGGGAAATAAGCAAATCTACTGTACTTTAGTGAGAAGCAATCTCTCTTGTGCGCTGTACCTGAGACGAGACAGCGCTTGAACAGCTTTTCTACATTTTCGTAGTTTCCGTTTTTCATCTCGTGTTCGATGTACTGCTTCCAGAATTTCCCGCAAGTTGGAAATTTCTCCACCATTTTCTCGTAAGTCTTCCTCGCCTTTTGAATTCGCTGATTTTGGGCTTCTCTGAACAGCACATTCCAGGCGTCGTTCTGAATTAATCCATCTTTTAGTTACTATCGTAATTTAATTATCATTATTTTTAATAAAAACGCGAAATATAAAATCTAACGAAATAATCTACTCACATCCCAAGGAGCCCAATTCAGCTTTCTCTCCGCTTTTCGCGCCTTTTCCGTGAGAAAACCATCTTCCGCTTCCATTTTTGGCGGTTTTTGGCGAGCGGTGAGCCAAAACCACTGGCAGTGGAGCTTCTACGGGCCTTTCTCTTTTCGTTTGGAGACCGTTGTCGAAACCAGCTCGAAACTCCCGGACTCGTAAGCAAAGATTCGACGTGGTCGGAGGAAATTCGTAGCCACTTCAGTGCACTCATTGGCGAGGCGCGCTCGGCCTACGCGCTATGCCACGAAACAGAGCCGCTAAAAACGCGCGTTTTTTTCCCCTCTCCTGCCTTTTTTCTCTCCTTCATTCCTTACGTGCTCGTTATGCTCATCCAACCGGCAGAAAAAGTATAAAAAACATTAGAGGATCACTCCATGCTAAGCATTAAAGATAGGACTTGTTTAATTTCGCTTTATAATTTCTCAATTAGGCATCAATTTTTGCATTTTACTAAGTACAGTGGCGTTTGCGGTTGCCTCCCTGTTGGAGCGTCCCTCGTTGCCTCCCTATCCAGACGCTCTTTTTCTAGAAGGGCGCATTAAATCGAACCAGAAATCGTCCCGCGTTGCCTCCCTCTCTAGACGCGTTTGGATAGGGAGGCAACCGCAAACGCCACTGTAAGTATTTCTTAAAATAAAGCAACAAACATTTTTTATAATCGAGAATATTTTATTGAGCTCTTATATCCACAGCAATATTTTTCATTACTCGAATTCATCCCAAGTCTGAGGAACATATTCTTTCGATGGAGTTCCAGATTCGCTATCGTTAGATTTCCGTGGACACTGAATTCGTTTATAAATCAGTCAGAATAATAATTTTTACCGAATCCGGGGTACTTTTTCTTCTTTTTGGGTTTGGCCTTGAGTGAATCCCCAAATTTAGTGATGGTTGGCAGTTTCTCAGCAAACGTTACTTTCTTGGCAGTTTTCTGAGGGCTTCGCTCAAATTCATCCCAAGTCTGAGGTACATACCCTTCTGACGGTGTATCAGATTCGCTGAATTTAAGACGCTTCCAAGCCGTCGATTCCCCTAGGCCAGCAATTTGGAAGGATTGGAACCAGCGGCTAGAGAAGCGCCTCAAAGTCCGTCTCTCGCAGAAACATTCGACGTCCATAATTAGTCTAAAAACAGTCACAATTAGTCTTTGTTGATTTACAGACGTATTTAGATTCAACACGAAAACTAAAACATCTTTTTGTTGTTGATTCAGAATATAAGATGGTCAGTGGTGATGGTTAGCAGTTTCTCAGCAAACATAACTTTTTGAGGGTGCTTGCTTTTCGTGTCTCGAATCGGTCCCGAGTCTCATTTTCCTTCTCTTCATTGGAAGTATCGAGCATCGAAGTCTCAACAATCGAATCGTTGACACGCATGCGGCATGCCTAAACTCATTCAAATACCCAACTGAAGCTCTTTCTAAAAAACCTTTTGATTTTTACTCATCTCTCTTTCATGGATAACTTTCTTGTTCGCTGCTGGACAGAAAATTTGGAAATTCAGAAGTGTCAGAATCCGTTTTTTTTGTGCGAATGCAAATTCAAATCGTTGCCCGCGTGGTGCTAAGGAGGTTCGATTTTTATCTCGACAACAACAATGAAAAGAAAACGGTTATGCTTTTGAACACACAAAGAAATAAAAAAAAACAAGAATCCAGTCAAGAAGATCGCTTGAAATTCTCGTAAAATTTGAGGGCTTGTTTATGAAAATGTCGTAGTTTTGAAGTTATTTTTCGAATTCTCGAAAGTGGTAAGAGCAAAATTCGTTGGCGATTGTGGAGGCTCGTTTCTTTCCAAGAATCTTCTCGATTTGCTGAAAGTCCTCGATCGGCAGCGCTTCCTTGAGTTGCGCTTTGTATGTCTTGCCGATTCCCTTGATGTGAAAATCAAATGTGAAGAATCTCCATTGTCCATTCAGAAAGTCCAGAAATGCTTTCTTTGGATCGCCCTCAATCTTGCGGATGTGTCGGTTGATGCTAAAAGCCATATTTGGATTCTTTGGATGCAATCTCGAGCTGAAACTGAAGGCGAAAAGGTTAGGATCCTGGACTATTCCGTCGGGAATCTTCTCGGCGCTTTCTTTCTTCGACTCTGCAACATCAACAGCGAACGTCTTCTGTTCTTGTTGAAGCTCTCTTGACATTTCTTCTATCTGGACTTGCATTTTCATAATCTTGTCATGTCGTTTCGCGAAGATGTCTCTCGTAACTCTTAGGTGCTGGACGTATCCTTCGACACTTTTGGATTTCTTCGCTGGATTTGTCGTGTCATCGACGTCGATTTTTCGCTTTTTTGATGATTCTGATTGCTGTTGATTCATTTTTATTTTATGAAAAGTTGAACGAAAATTTGCCTTTTTACATAAGTTTTAGATAGATGGCGCTCTTTCTAGCAGATGGTAACAATCTAGGGAAACGTAAGATCTGTGATAAAAGACTCCAAGCCGAGAATACAGATGCCATACTAAATTTTTATGATAACAATCAGGAAATCGAAAAAACCCAAAGAACAAAGATTTAGGATACATGAAGGATTCGCGTTGAAGATAACTTTTAAAGGTTACTGAGGTACTGTTGGAGTTGCTACTTTAACCGATTTCTTTTTCCGACGGATCATGAATAGGCTCACAAAAAAATGAGGAAACAGGAACAACCCAGTTACGTCTCAACCGCGGCGGCGAACTTGATCCGCTCATTCTGCGGTTCATTGGCGATTTTACCGAGCACCACCAACAGAATGGTTACAAGAATCATGTCAGCGCGACCAACAAGAGTGTGGACAGCTTCCGATATGACAGGATACGAAAGAAATAAAAACCCACCGATGCGGGAAACTAATTGCGTGTCGAAGCACTTTTGAGCGGAATCACTAATTGCTTGTAAAAAGGGAATGTTCTGTTATAATAAGCTTAGCCATAAGGAATTTCCTTAATTGATAGTCATTGGAAAAAATGCGCTTCTTTCATGTAATAAAATGGCGAGGAAACGCGCTCAAAAAAAAACTAACTTTTCGTTTAAAAAAACTCATCGTTTGTGTCTTTGATTTCGCAATGTTAGCTTTGGTTAACAGAAACTTATTCCTATGCTTGGTTTATTAGGTCGTAAGAGTACGCTTGAAACTGATGAAGAGTTTCATATTGAAGAAATAATACCTTGGTATCTTTGATAGAAAATTGCAGTAATTTTAAAATTAGCTAGTGTTGAGCCAATTCATTGACACATTAAATTTCTCTGCGACTTTTTGATTTGTGCTTTTTGACGAGCTAAGCAACGAGCTACTCCGGCAATGGTAAGAGTAGCCAAGAAAAGCGAGCTCGTTCCTGAAGTAAAAGTCCTCGAGCATGCTTTGCGTGCTTTTTGAGATTGAGTACAACTCCGTGTCGTTGGAAGATCGGCCCTTGCTCGGAGGGAGACAGTCCAGCTCTTCGTTTTCCATTTTGACGCAATAAAATCCGTCCTCACGTCTGGCAAAATTCGCTTCTTCGAAAAAGCTCTCGACTCCGAGGTACTTCTCCAGTCGCTGGAACAACTTCCAGGGTTGAGTTTTCAACTCTTGCCCGTCGAAAATGAAAGGAGCTTGTTTGTAGATGCCGAACTCGTTTGGACCATTGGTGAAGGAAGTGTTCACTGCCGAGAATCGGCCGATTCCGAACATTTCGAAAACATCCTTGTGCTTTTTGTACTCTTCTTGGCGATCGCGCACCATCGGCAAGTACTTTTCGACCATCGAGTTGAACGTCATGTTTTGGAAAGGATAGGCGCTAGACTCGCTGCCCAGAAACATCCGGTTCACGGCGTGACTCTTCTCGGCCCACGAAGCCATCACGTGCTTAAAGTCCGAGAGTAGCCTTTTCACAGGATCGCAGACGATGAAGATCACTTTCAAGTTCTCAAGCCACGAGTCGATGTAGCTTTGATGGATGAAATTCTCCTCGCTCTGGAAATTCGATTATTGGACTAGCACTTTATTGCAGAATAACTTTCCTGTATAAAGTTGATTATCTTTTTTATTCCCGAGTTGGCTGTTTTGCCAAAGAAATGGATCTTCTTCTGCTGCTCCTGTAATCGATGGATCTTGGCAATATTGTCGACAATGTCATTTTTCTGCTTCCACATCAGCCAAACGTGATTTAAATAACTTTTGACGTCGAAAGTAGGGTTCCCAGTGTCGTGATAAGGCGACTCCATGAAGCCGTGTATCACCTACAGTGGATCATTGAAATAAACAGTCAATCGGAGCATAGAAAACCTGTGGATGGTGACCGAAGAATCTGATCAACGCCTTTGTGCCGCACTTTTTTGCTCCAGTGACAAACACAGTCGGTAGTTGCTCCATCAATTCTTTCTTCAGTGGGTCGATATTGCTTGACGCCTTTCTCTCAAACATAGAGTTTCGTCGCTCATCTTCAATGAACTTGATTGTCATTCGAAGCTCGTTTCTCGATTTGCTGCTGCTCATGACTTGATTGTATTTTTCGTTCTCATCGAAACTGAGTTTTTCTCGCCCAAGAGTTTTTCTGGCAAGATTGAGCATTTCTTCACTCGGTTGAAAAGAGCTAGAACGCCTCTGAACTCCCTCGTCGGAAGAGTCCATTTTTCGATCTTTGTTCAACTCTTCTTGTATTTCTTTCAGATTGAGAGGAATGATTTCTTCTTTTTGAGTCTCTTGAATCTGCGCTGGAAGTATTGCGCTGCTGCTGCTGTTTATAAATAGTACCCATAAAGCAATATTTAAAATAGCGCAAAAAACAAGAATTAGGAATCGCTTTTGCTTGATCATTGTTTTGTTAAAAAGAAAAAGTTTTATATAATTGTTGAATGATAGTTATTAAAGTTTGCAATGGTGGCATGAACGAACGCCGTGAAATTCATACGATGACCTTTTTTCTTTAGCCGATTTATCAAATTCAGGGGCCAATTGGCAATTGTGGATTCTTCGGTTACCATCTTAGCCGGTTTCGTACAGTAGAACCCAACCTGCATACTGTTAAGGTGCGATTCTTTTGGAAGAGCCGTAAATGCAACGCCCACTTATGAAAATCTCGTTTGTTGACTTTGCAAATAAGTTAAAAATTCGCGATTTCAAGAAGTAGAAATAGAAATAGCTGAGAGATTTCAGAAATGCTGTATATTTTGCTAAGTACTGTTGTTGCTCTTCTTCTGTGTCGCCTGGTCGTGCTCTGGGTGAGATATGAGGTGATGCACCCTCTGCGAGAGCATGCTTACCCGCTGAGAAAAGATAAGAACTTCGAAGTCATAAAAGAAGCTGCTGGAAACGGCACTCTGCCAAAAGCTTTCAGGCCGAATTCATTTCCACTTTCTTCATGGAGGAAAAGGTTTTTATAATTTTGAGAAATTCTTGTCTAAATACATTCCCGAAAACCTTTTCAAGTGGAAACGTCATTCTCGCCGATTACGAATTAATCAAAGAAGCGTTTTCGAAAAAAGAACTGTCAAATCGTCTTTACTCGGAGAAATTGGACCAGGACATGGTCAGAAAGCGCAAAAACTACGGCATCAATGAAATGGTCGAGCGAATTCTTGGCCCGGAAGATACTCTCACGAAAAACGGCGCCGGCGCATCGATGGGAATCGGCGATGGTTTCTACGACGAGACGCACAGGAACTTGCGTGTCCACTGGCACGATACGATCAAGCGCCTTGTCGGGCGGAATCAAATCTCCGAGATCATCCAGCACAGTTCCGCCCAGGTCAACCGCTATCTCGAACGCGAAGGGAGCCAGGACGGCATTGACCCACGCGAGATCTTCATGAATGGCACGATGAATGTCGTCACTGGTTTTTCTCTCGGAATTCTGTACGAATTCGACGATCCAGGTAATCAGAGTTCTTTATTCTTTCGAGAACTTGCAATTTAAGATTTCAAAAACTTGGCCAAGTACGTTCGAGTCTTCTTTGAAAATATGCGAAATATGTACGTCAATAAGATCATTGTCGATATTTTTCCTCTATGGCCTCGGGTTATTTTAATTAGTCGACTATAGCGGAACAAAACTATTAGCCCGTATAAAAGATGACGCAAAACTGGCTGTACCAACTGTTCGTGAGAAAACCGCTGGCTGGAATTACAGAAACGGTCCCACGATTCACCGAGTATATTTTAACCAAGGTGAAAGAACACCGAGCAACTCTGGATATTGCTAACCCAAAAGATTTTCTTGGTAATTTTGCATAGAAGTTACAATCAAAAAAATGATCAACTAGACATTTTGCTCATCGCAGCTGAAAAAGACTCGCGCTTGGGGCATTTTACGATCACTTCTTCGATCGTTGCTCTGTATTTGGGAGCAAGTGACACTCTTTCGTAAGTAGCAAAAATGCAAGAATAAGGCACCAAAAATTGTAGGAATCAAATGAGATGGCTTTGTTTTACGCTGGCAGATCACCCGGAAGTGCAGGAAAAGATGTTTGAAGAAATAAAGGCATCGATCGAAAAAGACTCGGAAATCATGAAGGAAAATTGCCCGTTCACCCGCTCCGTGCTTCTGGAAAATATGCGATGGCATCCTGTCGTCGACACATTGCCGCACCGAGCAACCGAAGATATCGAAGTACAGGGCGTCCCAATAAAAAATAAAGCGGTTGTACAAGGTTTTTCTTTTTGCTTTCAGTCAGAATATCAGGTTTTTATTGTTTTCAGCTTCACTGACTGCAGTGATGCACAACCCGGCAAACTTTCCTGAGCCAGAAAAGTTCATCCCTGATCGTTTCATCAAAAACGGAGCCTTTGAAAATGACGTTAAAGTTTGCGGATTCTCGCTAGGACTGAGAAATTGCATCGGCAAGCAACTGGCGATAGAAGAATACTTTATCTTTTCAAGCAACATGGTGAAGTCCTTCAGACTAGAAAGGTACTCTTGAATCAAGGAAAAAACAACGATACATGCTTCAGAACTGCTGGCAAAAACGAGATCGCGAATCACACGGCAATCTTGATGCCGAAAGACGGCAACAAAGTGCGCTTCATCCCTCGCAACAAATAATAAACAAAGTTCAATATTACGATATTCTTTATTTGAGGCAAAGTGAACAGTTGAAGCTAAGTGTTTGTTTGTTGAGAGTAGAGCACGCATTTTTTGGGTTTTTTTTTATGATTTTGTGATTTGAACTTGGTCGCTCCCGCTCAGAATAAATTAGGCGAGATGGCTAGGGTGACCTTAGCCATTGAGTAGGGTCGCGTTTAGATGCGGCAAAATCACCCATCAAGTCTGTTTTTTTGTTTTAATATTTTCGGTGGCCATTTTCACTAATTTTGATCAGTAAAATAATTTGCATATGAATTCGAAAAATAATGAAAGAGTTCATATGCGCTCACCGGATTACCAATACGGAAGAGCTCATTATACAGTGTGTCGAAAAAGATACAAGTTATTTCATTTTTTTCGTAGAATTCGTCTTAGTGGGCGCCTCTGCTGTCGGTAATTTCAGCAGAGGAGCTAAGGAGGTTATGGCGGATGTAACGACTAGAAGACTGAAGCGAAAAATCTAGTTATGCTGCTATATCAATATATATAGAAGGAGGAGAATTTTGCAGTTGAGTGTAGACTTCGGTGGCAGATACAATATAAACAAGGTTGGTACAGTCGCTCACGAACTCGTCAGTCCCTTGAATTGATATTATTAGGGAACAGTCTTTTTAACTAAGAGGTTACCTCGGGTTTAGAGTCGGGCTTTTGACTAAACTCGTCCTGTTGACCCTGTAGCAAGCTTTGATTTTCTGCTGGGTTTAGATCATTTTCCATTATTGTGACATTACCGTCCTTCCTCGACTAAAATATTGGCTTTAGTGTTTGAGAACACAATGGTATTTACCGTGAAAGTTTCGTCAATTGACTGAACACGGCCCGGCTGATTTTGTTGCTCATTTTCCTTCTTTTTCTTCATGTAAATACATCCGATTGCGGCGGTCACAAGCGCGATTCTAAAACACCATCAATACGGTATTACAGGGAGGCAACTTACGTTCCGATGATGAGAAGAATGACGCTAGTTCCAGCGGTGCTGGCGGCATCGACTGGATCACTTTTGGGAGTGCTTTCCATTTTTCTGCAAGCGTTGATCTTGAGCGACTTGATGTGTTTCAACTGAAAAGAAAGTGAGAACTGTTTCGTTACATCTTCGCTTACGATATAGTCGGTTCCCTTGAAATAATTGACAAACTGGTCCTTCGCCTTTGCCGTTTGCGGATTAGACTGATCGACGATGAAATCAACGAGGTGCTGCACTTCATCGGAGGGGCAGTATTCTTCCTGGCAGATGACCTCCGTATGATTCAGCCATGTGATGTAGATCATGCCAGCACTGTCTACTGAAAATAATACAAAATGATGTTTATGGTTGATAGTACCTTTTGTAAAGTTCTGGACTCGAATGAATCCCATATCGTCGTCGCCGTAGGTTTCGCGGATAATCTCCATCGTGCTGTACTTGTCACTGATCATTGGTTTCTGATCTCGTGTCAACTTCAAATTCCTGTTAGCAACTTTATACATTTGAATTCTTATACCAGTTCGATGCTTAGCACATGACTTGGCTTCTTGCAATCATCGACGAAATCAACGACGAATTCGAATTTGATGACTTGGTCTTTGCAGTTCTCAGCGCTAACAGTGAATGAGATATCAGAAGCTTTCTTGTCTTCCAAGCCACTTGCTGATTTCATTTCTACAATAGCATCCCATGTAGCAAAAACTGTCAGTTCCTCGTTGAATGAGTTCCAGTTACTGATTGAAGCATCAACTGCGAAAATAACGATAAGAGCAATTATCCAAGAACGGAATGAACTAACCTTTGTTTGGGATGATTTCAACTTGGTCCAAGAATTCTTTCTCAATGTTCTCCAGTAAATCTTCCTTGGAGAATCTCTCTTCGACGTTTTCTTGGATGTTCAAGGAAACTTTTTTCTGGAGTTTCACTTGGTCCAGAACACAAACCGGTTTGCTCGTAGTCGGTTTCATCGTTGTTTTTTCAGTAGTTGGTGCTTCTGTTGGGGTCTTGCAGGAGACCGAGTCGATTGTTGAAATCTCCCATGCGTCCTTGAAATATTTTGAACGGAAGTAGAGCTCTCCGTTTTCGATGAAGGCGTATTCGCCTTCAAGCTCAGAGCATTTTGAATTCGCGTTGTCGGCATCCGTCATCACAAGGACATTGTCACTGACTTCGATGAGCTCGAACGAACTTGGAACCCCGGCTCGTTTGATTTCCTTGAGAGCAGTGAGTGTCTCGCTGAGTCCCCAGCGGTCGGCGGGTTGCGAGTTGAACTTGAAGTTGAGTGTAAACGCTGGATCGACGCTGTTTTCTTTTGCTTCTGAAAGGTCGAGGACAACTTCAAACTCATCGTTTTCTTGATCCGCCAGGATTATTCGCAAACTGTCCTCTGCAATGTCGTCTAAGTTATTTTGAGGCAGCAGGACCTTTGCTACGTTGTCATCTACGAGGATAAGCTTGTCGTCGAGTGACCCGAGGTCGATAATTTTCATGTCAGCGGATGGAAGGTCAATTTCGTTTACTTTGCCGACTTTGAGGGAAACTTCCTTTTTCAACTTCTTTTTCTTGAGCTGGCAATCGACTGTTCCAACAATTCCACCAACTTCAGCGCTGCGGTCGGAAATGAAGTCATATTCAGCAAGATCAGCGCACAAAGAAGATGGAAGACCAAATGCTACGCCATCTTGGGTAGAGTCAACAAGAGGGAATGGAATTTTTTCCACGAGTTGCTGTCGCTGCTCAAACGATAGCCCGCCATCAAATGTTAAAGACTTCCCAGCAAACGGCTCATAAGCAGCGGGTTCGAGCACGAGGTCGTACTCTGTGTCTCCATTGCTGACCTTGAGCGTCATTTTTCCAGCTGCATTTAATGGGATGAGGAACGAAGCAGTATCTTCATTGACGGCGACGAATTGCGAAGGAACACCATCAATGGCTGATCCAGAGCCAAGAAGAAGCTCGACTGTGAAGGGTTCACCAGCAGTGTAGGTTTGAGTCTGAGTAGCTGGTGCTTTTGGTCGTGGTGGCGGTGCAACCATAGGAACATCGCAAGCGTCTGGAACAGTTAGAGAAAGCGTGAGAATGCTCTGGCCAGATGTAGCTGCGGCTTGGCGGAGGTCTTCCTTTGGCTCGCTCTCGCCAACCATCGACATGCTACTGCCAGTCATGAACGGCCAAATGTCATCGTAGGCGGACAAACACTCGCTTCCTTCACGATACACAAAGTCAACGACAACCGTTCCATCGGCAGCTGTTTCGTCAACGTGCACCACTCGCCAGTGTTCAATATCGGTTGAAGTGTAACCAACAAGCGTGTCAAACAACTCCCTAATCGACTGTTGGAGAATGTCATCATCATCGACGGTGAAGGAGACACGGAGGGCGGACGAGTCCAGCGCATCCTGAGGCATCTTGTCGACCTTGAATCGGAAGCGGTGCATCGCTGGTTCCCAGTTGGCCTCGTTGCCGACGATCCAGAGGAACTGCTGAGTCTTTGGGGTAACTTGATAGGTCCTTGTCGAGACTGGAATGGGGAAGAAGACGAATTCCTAGGAAGAAGTTAACAACAAGAATGTGGCGGATCATCTTACATCGTCATTAATGGACACCCAGTCTTCCTTCCTGAGAGCATATTCGCTCCCCGGCGTGTTTGCATATTCTAGAGCTTCTTGAGGTGATTGAGCTTTCTTTCCTTTGAGTGCTTTTTTCGGATACCGAAAATTCCAAAAATAATGAAGGGCGAAGTTAAGGACTATTTTGAGAGTAAATAATTCGCATTGAAAAGCGCACTAAAATCGGCCGCCCCTTTCCTTTTGAAAATTGGGACGCTAGCAACGTTAAACATTTGAGCACATTCCTTTTCGACAAACAAAATAAACGCAGCCACCACCGCGAAAATTCAAATATGTGATAAACGTTGTTTGAAGTGGAATAGTTCAAAGTTTCGGGCATTGTTGGTAGTAACCTTGTTGAGTTCAAATTTCGTGTTTTCGGAAATAAAAAATGAGCGGGTCTTTGTGTGTTTTCGCGTGTAATTACGCGCTCTACGAAATTTAGGAAAAAATGCGCTTATTCGGCATCCGTTCCGAGGTAGTTGGTGTATGCTGTCTGCGAGTCGTCCTTGACGACGCCATCTGGAATCTGGAACACTTCTAGCTTGCCTTCCTTGCGCGGCCGCAGCATTTTGTAAAAGAAATTGTTCGCCTGTTGCTTGTCGAAGGTGATCGTATCCGCCTAAAGTGGATTAATTAGCTCCTCCTCAAGAGCAGCAGAAAACGACATCACATCAAATAACCATTCAGACACATAAATAAACGATACTCGGACATACTGATCGATACTCAAATTGAGCCGACTGTGAATTCGCCCTAATCGGCCGAATGAAAATAAATTATATATCTGGCGCGTTTACGCAGTAATATTTTAATTAAGCTCTTTGAAGTACGAAAACACAAGTATACTTTTTACAACGGCCTATATAATTACGGGTAGTAAGGAAATGTCAGATTCTACATTTTGCTGCCTTCTACGTCTAGCTAGTAGCGTCGTCTAAAGGCTCTAGTTACTACTGGAAATTTTGCCATTATTCAGGTTTCGGACCTTCCAGCCGAAAATTCGTGGAGATACTTGAGAAGAGCCAGAGCTAAATTGACAATGGAAGCGCCAATTGGCCCCTGATTAGCATTTCTGACAGTGAAAGGTTTAAATTCGGCTGCGAATAGCGGGGGGCTGTCACCAATCTCAAGCCACTCGCCATTGTCCCTCCCCAAAAAACTCTGCTTCAATAAAAATCAAGTGATTCTGTTTCGGAAAGAAGAAAAATTCAAAAAGCTCTTGTATATGACAAGTTGATTTTATAACTTTATATTCAGCGCCATTTCCAAAGAGCGGGAAAATCCGATTCCGAAATTTCTTTTAGCATTTTCTTGTTTTCACGCGATATAATCTGACTAACTTGCGAAAGCGAGAGTCTTTTTAGATTTATCTGGCAGGCGTGAAATGACGGTTACATTTATATGCCGGTGCTGGTGAGCTTGGTTTCGCCGGTGAGCAGGCCTCAAAAGTGGCCTGGAAAGAGTTAGGCTAAGAATAGCGGGCAGGATACTTGATTCCCGGCGTTTCTTTACACACGATGGTCATTTTGTGATTATCCAAGCTCAAAGTGCTCGGCCGACGGAGCTCGCACTTCCCCGTGAGCTCAATCAGACGGCTAATTATTGATTAATCTGCCGCCAAAAATTACCAACAATCAGCCACCTGATTTCCGCCTCGTTTGGCCCCCGCGTTGGCTCCGCGAGTTCATGGGAGCTTAAATTCACAAGCAGCGCGAATTTGACATTTGAAAAATGTTTCAGCCAGAAAGTGGAGATGTGCATTCCAGCTTTTGGACTTATCGTGCTGGCCATGTTCGATACCAAAAAGATAAGTTTTCGCGGTCGGCTGATCTATTTCGGGGCCGCATCTGGCCACCTCGGGTACTCAACTTCAAACAGCAACCAGCACGATAGACTGGGTGAATGGGCTCCTTTCAAAGCGCATTGAAGAAGGACAAGGAGCGGATGACCCTCGGTTCGCCGGGATTTCCCCCTCATCCTCGGTTCGCCGGGAACTTTTGGCCCAAATCCCGGCGAACCGAGGATGAGTATTTCGATGTCTTTTTTTTTTAAGTAACCCTTCAGTAACCCTAACTAACCCTAGCCTATCCCCCTCGGGTGACGTTGTTCTGTCATTTTGCCCAGTGCCCCTAACCCTTACATTTATTAATATAAAGTGAGCGATAATAAGCTCATCCTAGACCCATTTTTTTAATTTTCTAGAACATTTTTCGCCATCCTCGGTTCGCCGGGACTTTTTGGCCCGAATCCCGGCGAACCGAGGATATCCCGGCGAACCGAGGGTATCCGCAAGGAGCTGTTATTACAAACGGGGGAATTCGATTTGCACAGGGATGAAGCCCTCAAAGCTAAAAGCCAAATCCGTCCCGTTCCGCCAATTTCCGATTCCGCCCACAGTAAGCCTCTACACTTGCTCCAGACAAGGGGATTATATAACGTTCCTTCCCAGCCAGGGCAGCCAGGGATCGCTTTCATACCGCGTTATCAGTGGTAATACGGGCCAATTAGCGACCCAGATAAGTGGACTTTAATTGAGGACCAGTATTGAAACGGAATATTGGGCTTTGGGCAGATCCACTCAAGATACGTCAAAATTCAAAGGCATTATTTTTTAGACTGGCGCCTTTGAAAGTTCGTAGCTCCCAATTTCTCATGCTACTTTTCTTGTCTTCACCAGATTTGCCATAATAATGCTCGCATGTTTTGCGTGACTGTCATCGGACAGAGCCACTGTTATCGTGTTTAACTTGTGTTTTGCATGCGATGGGCGTGTTTATACTAGTAACAAAATAACATAATTTAAGCTCGGTTTAACTCATAAAAGCAACAAGCGATGATCAATCACATGCGCCCACAATCACAAATACCCACTGTCTTATCAATCTTTGTATGGCACTTGCGGACCAAGGAAGTCCTTTTATCTTTCCCTCTCCTTAAACTAACGTATTGGAAAAGGAGAGAGTTTATATAGTCAGTGTTTGGACTTTGCGAAAGCCAATTTTTTCGTGGCCACAGGGTTTGGCCCTGTTCTGCACTGGATAAGTGTAAGCGGATTGTTACGCTTCTACACCGCCTAATGTTTCATCAAGAATTGTGACTCGACTTGCGACTTGTTTAAAAAGCCGACTTTGATAAGTCAAATCTATCTTGTTTTCCCCGAGACTTTGCTTTGACTTCAATTTCCGGAGCGGGTTAACAACCCGCGAAGTGGCTCGGCAAGAAGCCTAGATCTCGCTAGCCCGACCTATCGATCGATCGCCTCTTTCTTTTCTTTCCGACTTTTTAGATTTTATTTTCAAAGCCATTAAAGCTTCTCTGGCGACTAAGGGACTATTTTCTTAGTTTTTTAAGAAAGTTGACTTTCCAACGAAAATGTTCGTCTTTTGCCATTTTGACGTTGTGAATCGATTTGGGAAGATTTGAAAATCCCGGAAATAAGACGTTGAAATACGGTTCGTTGAAATTAGCTAACAATGGAACCAAGTAGGCTTGAGCGTTTTTTTTCTTTATATGCTCGATTCAAAAAGGCGCTCAAAACTGTATTGATAATTTAGTTTACAGTCGGTCTACGTTGGTCTACCGCTTTCAGCGAGAGTTGTTATGTTCAATGACCGATTGAAATTGGATTAGATGGGCCATTATCGCCAACTGAAGCGAATTAGCTGACTACGTATCCGCCTTAGCGACCAAGTGACTCGTTGGCGATGTGGATTTCTACCGAGTTGAAGCACTCTTGGAATGCCGCAGTGATTGTACAGGGGCATTTGACAGAATTCTTGTCAGAAGTGTTCGTTTAAACACTTTGAAGGAAGGCGCCGAGCGTCTTATCGAGAAATTTCTTACTCTGGGAAACGCGAAATTCGGCAGCATCAAAAATTGCCCCCTTCATCTGCCCAATTTGATAAGAATGAGCCAGGAATGCACAGCGAGGCAATATCTGAAACACGCAGATGTGCACTGTGCAAACTTTTCGCGAATTCCGATAGTTATAAATTGCACCCTGCCAAAATAAATGCAACTTGTGGGCATAGCAATAAACGGAAACAATTTTAGTCCCGCAACGGCCAAAGCAGCTACAAAATAAACATCACGAACATGGATCTTTCAAAAACCTTTTTTCGTGATCATAATTACTGCTGAAAGGGATTAGTCGCGAATATTTCGAAGAAGGTTGCTTTTGTCGCGAACAATTCCTCCAGTCATGAAGCACGTGGAAAGCGACAATTATAGCGCTGGAATGCGGCGAGTAGCGGTGCTGCCTGTGATCATGTTTATTTTTGGTAAAAAAAAGTAGTAATGGGCGGCGAGTAGTATAAATTAGCGAGGACTGCGAATCAATACCGAAGTCCAAGATCGATCTGTCCTTTGTGCTCAGATCGATGAGGGATCAGCCCTTTTTTGAAAAGAAGAAAAATAAAATAAAAATCGTAAGCGGCGGCAAAATGGAATTAATACAGCTGAGTACGAGTGTTTCGCCTATTTGATGACAAAGGGACCAATTTATGGATAAATATTTGCCCCGGATGGGACGGTATTTTGTGTTCGATTGTTCGGACACGCTGGCCTTTCTCGGGGACACGGTGCTTTTCTCAAATATCTCCAGAATGAATGAAATTCCACTTGGCAAATAGAAAAAAATATTATGCTCTAACTAGCACTTACCTTGGCATCGGCAACGCCGAGCAGTGTACTGAGAATTCCCACTAGAATCTTCATCGCGTTATTCTTTTTTCGTCAAGAATCTCTAGGAAGTCCCAGCGCCGGGAAAAAGGAAGTCCTCAGCGTTCCCGGGGACGAACGAACGGGGGAGGATGATTTCTCTTGCGGGTAGTAAAGGATAGGGACGGGCAGTGACGTGAAAATCTCGGTGAGATTCGGAGCGATCGGGCTCTCTATCGCGGGAAGGCTTCCACCCTTGCCGCTGGCGACAAATTAGCGACGCCTGACCAGTCAGTATCACAAAGAGCTTCCAACAACTGACACTGTCGGCAGGTCTCTCTCTTTCCTCGCAGTTGACCCTGTTTCCAAATTCGTCTTTTTCGGAAAATAAAAAAAAAGATACGGAGTGGTGCACACACACCAAAAACGCGAGCTTCGGGAAAGCTCCGCAGCCAGATGCGCGAGCGCCCCCTCCCAACATTTCACTCGCTCCGGGCATTTTTTTTCTTCTTTCTTTCTTCACGAGCTTGGGAAAGAAGAATGGCCGCGCATTCTCTTCGGCCGTGCACGTAGTTGGTAACAAGCGATGGTAATTATCCTCCCGTTTGTTGATTGAAAGAGTTAAATGAGCAACAACAGATTAACAAGCCTGTTTACATCAGGATAAACAACTTCGCAACGAATTCACACATCTAAGGCTGCATTTTGTTTAGCCAAAGTCTCCGCCGACATTCCATTTGCCCTCGTTTATAAACGTGGAGTGAGCATTCATTTGCATTTGAAAGCCGAAAGTTTAGATAAGCCCAGTTTCGCATTGCCAAGAACTTAAGGCCCCACTGAATACAAAAGCGCGCAGCTGTAAAACTTTTGAATATCCAGTTGTGAAAGAATAGCGACTTTATTTATTTGCGCGAATTATTGAAAAATGGCAGAAATTCGGACCTTGAATTTGTTTGCGAAGAGGATATCAAATTTTGTTTGTACAAGAGTGGAATCGAACTGAATGTGTCCTGCGTATAAATTAGCTCATCACGATTACGGGTACTTAGTGGAGTAGTATTCGAGGGTGAGCTGCCAGGCCGTGACAGAGTAACGTCAGAGGGGTGCACGAAACATGAGAGATGATGATCGAGGCGCTTATATGCTGCTACCAGGGGTCGCAATCGATAATTCCGCCGCGTATATTCATACATACACTACAGTAGTACGCACTACCTTCTGAGCCCGTCTCGCTCGTCTGTTCCAAGGAAGGAAAAGTTAATTCCCGCCACCACAAGCGCGTCAACAAGGCAAACACATATTATACAAAATTGAATAGCAAATGTTGGCAAGAATCGCGTGTATATTTAGTTGCTCAAACTCGCATTGACAGTAAAGCCCCGGTCTACGAAATCCAGAACAAACGTGAGAAGGCGCATTCAAAAAATTGACTAGATTTAAAATTTGGAATTTCAAAGCAATTCTTGGCTCGGGGATATTTTCGATAATTCGCGGTGATTATGCACTTAGACGCTAATTTGTAATAGATTAAAATCAGGCTGGACAATGGGCAGTGCATTGAATGCGGAATTGACTAATTCCAATACCAGACACTTTTTCGACAAGGAAAACATGAAAATGGACAAAGGCAATAATTTTTTGAAAATTGTAATGTTGATTCACCTGCGGGTCCAAGCCTTGTTGGCGCGTGCCTTTTCAAACTCATATTGTTTTATAAAAAAAACGCGAGGACTATCGAACTCGAATATTACTGTAGTGGTGACTAGTCTAATCAGAAGAAATAAAAGTGATAGAAAGCGGCCAGAGGCCAGGTGGAGGCACCATCTGCTGCTTCGTAAATGTTCACTGAAAATGCCGATAGACGACGGATATGATCCATCTTCGCATGTCGCGTTTATGGGCCCTGCTCTTGCTGCTCAATAATGTACAGGATTCGACTACTGGAAGTAAGCTGAGCAACCAGTAACCAGCTGTTGGCCTCCGGCCAGTGGATAATTCTCTTGGGGTGGTGCAACAACTGTAACTTCAAAGAGAAGAAATAAGATGCTTGAATCAAGAGCATCCCCATCACAATATATTGAGAGCTCAATGAATATTTTAATTTCAAACAAGAGGATCATGATTTTCAAGCTGCAAAAATGCCAGCTGTTTTCGCATTTTTGGCGCAGCATTCGAAAACTACCGTAAAGCAGTTTGCGCGCGTGTTTTTGTTCAAGAGCGCTTTGTGTAAATTGGATGGATTACAGCAGTAGATCTTCTTTTATATGTTCATTTATAGTGCAAAAACCAACACGCGAACGAGAGCGCTGACATTTCTCCGGAAAGCACAAAGCAATATCAATTTCGGGATTGACTAGAATTCATTTCTGCTTGCTCGAGAAAGAAAAACATCGCCGGCTAAACTCTAGCCACGGTGTCCAATTTTCGGTGAAATACGATAATGCAACTTGCACGGAGATTTACTGCGCCATTAATTTTTCCTTGATGACAATTGAGGGAGTTTCAAACGAGACGACTCAGGGGAGGAATAAATTCAACTCATGACTGCAAGTCGGTGAAACTGCTGACTCAACGGCTATTTGCATAGAAATGCTCGTAAAGTGATTAAAGCACTCTCTTTTAAGAGAAAAGCACTTGGAAATCGAATCAACAGGTAGCCAAGATGCAGCTGGAGAAAATGTCAAAAACATTCGCACCGAGAGATTTTAAGTTCTTTTGAAACTTCGTTTATTCGAACTTGAGAGTGAACTTTTGTGAACTGAGAAAAAATCATGAAGTGACAGAAAAAATAGTGATAAAATAGGTCCTTAGAGGACATGGCTCGGCGTTCGTGAGAGAGAAATTCTCCTTTTCTCTATTTTTCTTTTGCTCTTTAGCTTACTTTCTTGTGCACTCATCGTTGTCTCCAATAACCACTTGAAGCCTTCGTAAATTCCTAATCCTTTTGTCCCGACTGAAGGCTGCACGCGCCAATCAACTGCTTCCAGCTGATCAAGGCCTAGGATTGCCGGTATTTTCTTTGGTGACACTGCATTCTTTGCATCCTGAGCCGCAAGGTAATAAGCATAATTTATCTTCAGCTAACCTGCTTGTTTGCGAAAACCAAGAGCACGGAGCACTCTCGCATTTCTCTCGACGTAATGATTTCGCAAAATTCTCGTCTTGCCAGATTGAGCCGGCCATGATCCGAAGAATCGACGACGTAAATCAGCCCTCTTGAGCCAAGAAAGTAGTGTCGCCAAAGCGGTCGGATGCTCTCCTCCTCCGATGTCCCAAATGTTGAGCGAGAACTTTGTTTCCGAATGGAAGACTTCTTCAACGTTAAAGCCAACAGTTGGGATAGTGGTGACGGCTGATTCCGTCATCATTCTGTACAAAAGCGTCGTCTTCCCGGCAGAGTCGAGCCCGAGCATTAGAATTCTTGCGCGGCGCTTCTTTTTCTTCTTCTTTCTCGATTGTCCGAGACCCATCTATGAACGATGCAACTGTGACTGGCTGTGTAGAAAAATGATTTGTCAATTTAGTGAAATTCTAGTTTAGTTTCTGTTGGCAGTAAATTGAGTCTCAGACGGAGAAAAATACAAGACCGAGAGAGAAAAAAGAGAATATTTAGGCGGAAGCTCATTTTCTCGGAATTCAGTGGCGCGTTTGGAAAAATAGAATTTGCGAAAGTATTTTCACTAGTTTTGATAAATAGTACTTACTTGAATTTGGCATAAAAGAAGAAACAACGAAAAAACTTTGAAAAGAAATGAACTTAAAAGAAAGCAAAAGAACTGATGATTTTCGTTTCTACTGAAGCAGTCGAGTACTGTAAATAAGTTGGTACATGTAGCTAGTGTGTTTGATCGGAAAGAATTAAGAGTTTTCAAGGGAGATCCAGTTCACGTCGAACTCTACGGAACTTTCTTCGGAAAACCGGTTCCATTTGCGAGAGCGTCGGTTGAAGAGGGGAGGCAGGGACGATATTGTAAGCTGAAGCTTTCCCTCTTCCGAGACGGGCTTTTGAAGAGTGGCTGGCAGACTTGGGTGAACTTGCTTCGCTGCTTGGCTTCTTTACTTCCATCCTCCATGCTCTTAAAATAGTAAATCTGGTTTATCAATTTTATTTGGCTTGAAAATTCTTCCTTGATTTGAGTGCTGCACTCACCCGCAACATAAGGTTTATGCTTTCCTTGTCGACGCGTGGGATCTGGTGAAGAATTTTGATAAAGATGTCTTTCTGCGTTTTGAAAATAGTGAAGCCAATGCGGGTGAGGGGTGAAATGCATTCGGAATGTTCGCCATGGATTGAAAACGCCCGCAGGATTGTGATGAGGCACTCTGCGCGCAGCTCGGTAGAGAAGTTTTGCTCACGCTCTAGCGAAGGCATCAGACTCTGCAAAACGGAACAGCTAAAAGTAGGCTTTATGTAACGAATTTGTGAAAAGAACTCAAGTTACCTCTTTTGCATAGTTTTAGCACAAAGCCAACCTAGCGGAGTACAGACACCTTCTAGTAATACTTTGAGATTGGTTTTGATCATTTGCTCGGCGACGGTGGTTGGCTTGTGGTCACTCTGTTGGCTTCGTAAAACGGCGACTAGGAATTCGCTGTAATCCTTGGTCAGCGTTTGCGTTCGAAAGTAGTGCAGCATTTCTTCTTTTTCATTGTCGAAATCAGCCTAGATAATGTGTCATATACACAGAGCAATTTTCAGAGTGCTTACTTCTTCTATCTTCTGCCAGTTCTTAATTAACTGGGTCACACAACAGCTCATAACGTCGGAAATGGTTTGAACGCCAAGGTCAATGTTCGATAGGGGGCAGTGCTGGACAAACGGGACAAGAAGCTGGCGGATAACAAGACGTTGCCTGGTACACGGCAGTTGAGATAGATTATTTACGCTAAGGCGCTCATAGAGCTTTCGAGAGGGTTTTTTTGAACAACCTACTCCTAAAGAATATTAGGAATTATTCGATTTATTTTTTTTAAACCCGCGCCTGAGGCATGTGGTAGAGGTCGGGCCAGATTTTGGCTCCATTGGCGATTACTAATTGGATTTGCTGCTGTGCATTTTCGAGCACGCTTCTTAACCGAGTGTTGGGATCTTTTTTGTCTGCTTCGGGCATGTCGGAATCTATTTGGTTAACCTAAAAACGGGATGAAATCAACGATGATTGCGCGAAGTGCAAATTACTTGAGCCCAGTCAATTGCTTCAGTATCCAATGCTTCCTTCGCAGCAGCCGAAATCGAAGGTTCAGAGTAGAGAGATTGAAAGTAGTGGTAGACAGAGAGAACTTTTATTAGACATGGAGCGCCGACGGAGAGTGCTTGGCGGACAGCTTCGTTTCCTGAATTGCCGGATCCGGCTTTGCACCTCCGTAACACAACGAGCAATAAGGCGACTGCAGATGTGATCGAAGCTCTAAGTAACATTGCATGTCTTTTCTTTGATGCTAGATTAGCCCAAACCTATTTGAAGTGAAGACGTGATCGTCACTTAAGATTTCCTCTGGAGTTTTGAGATGTAGTCCCATCGATTCAGCGAATTGTTTTGAGCTTGTTATTTCTTCTATTTTCGGAGTGCATTGGTCGAACATTGAGGAAACTGCAGAGAGAAGCTCGGTAAGAAGCATCGGTAATAAATGCTGGCGCTTTGGCAGCCAGCAGAGGATGACAAGAACTTCAAAGAGCAGCACGCGCGGACCTACGTGAAGCTTTGATGCTTGCCACTTGGCGGCTGTGTTGTGGATCATTTCGAAGAGTGGCTCCATAATATCCGCGTTGCTGCTTGTCAGATGAACAAGGGCAGAAGCAGATTGCCTGCGCAACTTCGCAGACAAGTTATCCTCGCCACTGATGCTTTCGCAAGTTGAAAGAAGTGTTTCCACGCATGCTACAGTCACGCTTCCTTCAAGAAGATAGAGCAGTTCCATGAATCCGCGGAGAAGCTCGATTTTGAACTTGAGATCATCATTCGATTTCGGTTGGAACTTGAGTATCTCTGCAAGGACCTCGGGCAAATTAGTCGCAGTAAGTTTGGTTTCTTATTTAATCTTTGATCTGATGTGTTGAATAATTTTTATAAAAGTGGGGGAAACAAAAAGAATCGAAACCTATCTAACGTCCATTTCTTTTGCCTTGAGGGCGGCAGAAATAACTGGTATCGAGCCAGTAATGAGGCTGGAGGAGACTCTCCTCGTTCCACTATCAGGTTCGTAAATTGCTCGTCTGACCATTTGTGACATAATGCATCCAACATCTTGTGGAACTATTCTTGCCAAAGCTGCGAACGATGAAAAATTTATAAAGTTCAATATATGCATGAATTTTTTCTAAAGAAGTGAGTGAATCAATCAGTTTTCATCGTTTCCTTTCAAAAGTGAACATGAAACATTGATCAATTTCGTGACAAAGGATCTTTGATGGCCGTCAGACTCGAAGCCCTGAAGAGATTTGACGTAGTCCTTCTTGGCAAATTGTTCGGAGGCGAAATAGGTGAGGCTATCCAGCAGTTTCGGCATTAGCATGTTAACAAATGAGCTCATTTCATCTTCGATTCCTTTCGGCCTTCTTGCGGCGGCTTCTGATTCCATAAACGCACTCACGGCTTTTACTATTGATTGAAAAGCGTGAATTCCAGACTCTACAAGGAACGGACTTTTCAGCGAAACGACTTTGATTAGAAACTTGATTGCATCGCTGCACTGGAAGAGGCTCTTCAGAGCGTCGTGTTCACAATTCTTCGGCGAGTACCAGCATTGGGCGATGAGGCTGCCCATCGAATCGGAGAATTGCGCCAAACGACCGACGAGAAGGAACTCTTTTTCTGATGAAAATTTGAGCGCCTGGTCGAGCACTTGATCGATTATCTGCAAGTGATCGTCGGAAGAAAAGATCTTCCACAGCGAAACTCGCTCGGAGGAACTGTTAACTAGATAAAAATATATTTTCAATTGGAATCTTTGAAATAAAGGGGAAAGACTATGAGAGGCCCCTTAATTTTTACCTTGGCGAGAAACCGAGACAATGAAGATCTCAAACAGGGTCAAACATATGTTTGATTCAGGAGTGCCAATGAGTGCGATCGAGTCTCTGAGCAAGTTCCAAATCTGCTTGACTGAAATTAGCTCGAGGAGAATATCGTGCTTACAGCTTTCCACAAGAAGACCTGCATTAGAGAGAACTTCGTCTTTTTCTTGAATTGAGTAGCTGGAATTGCCGCAAATGTCGAGTACCATTTCGATTAGTCGATGATGTCGATCGACTAAAATATAGTTATGAAGAGAACTATAACGGATTGAATTTCTTATTCGTGAAATAAAATAACGGGGAAAGTATGTTAACTTTGAGAGAAAGCCCGAACCTAGCGCAGTTGACAGGTCCCGATGTCTTGTTTGGTTGTCGATGGTTTGATGGTTAATGTGGAATTGAATCTCGCCGGTTATCCTCAAAATCGTCAAGTAGTACTGTCCATCTGCAGTATCAATGAGTTCCGAAAGTGCGCGCCATTCTTGAGGCCACTCACGGATCGCCACTTCGGCAATGATCCTCGTCATCTGCCGTTGAACATTTTTCGTCGATGCAAGTAAATTCATTAGGGAGCTCTTGACTTCCTCCTTCTCCCTGCTCGAGTAGTTGTTCCACTCGACGCGCAAGACATCGTAAAATAAGCCAAGGGAAGAGCTACGGATGAAATCGTTTGGGTCGGTCAAAAGCTGGAAGATTATTCTCAACTGCTCGGATCGCTCGTTCTGGTCGGATTTGAACTTTTGAATGAGGTTGTACGATTCCAGTCGATCTTGATAAAATTAACATTTTACCGAAGAGTGTCGGTTTACCTTGGTTGGAGCAGTTGGGCTCGAGTTGAATGAGAAATGCCTTTTTAACATTTTCGATGTTCATTCTATCGCATACCCAATCTAAAGACGCGAACATTAGCAAAGGAACAAAAACGATTACTTCTTGAATACATGATCAATAAACTTGTTGTTTTTCTTAATCTGACTGGGCGTTTGACCCCTCGTCCACGAGGGTAGCTCTCCATCTTCGCGTTCTGTAAATTTAACTTGACGATCTCGCGAGTTTTCGTCGAATGGTTCTTCGAAAATGATCCCCATTTCTTCCAGCGCTATGGTGAAGTCGTCTTCTTCAAAAGTTATACTCTCTTCCTGCGAGCTTCAAACACAAAGTAGCCAAAAGAGAAGATGAACGAAAAGACTTACTGAGGGATGAAAGGATAAGAAACGTTAGTGATGCCTGCCATCTGCATTCTAGCGCCCAGAGCGCGGCCCACGACATAACTAGCGATTCTATCAGTTTTGTCGAGAATCTGATTGCTTATTGCTGTTTCTTCGGAACTGGCCGAGGCGATTATTCCACTTCTGTAGTGCTTACAAATGCCCTCTACGAAATCATCTCTCCTGAAATAAAAAAGACGGCTTAGAGCTTCATTTTTAAGGAAACCTGGTACCTAATTAATTCGACAATATGATGAGATGCATGGGCGGGCAAATTCGTCACTTCTATCCGAAGACCATGTGGATCAAAGTTTTTGATTGTTTCGGCGGTCATAAAACGCTCTAGCCAAGCGAAAAAAGTACTGACATGAAGAGTAGCAAACCTTGATTATTAGCTGGACCAGCTCCCCAGCCAAGGTCCCGATGTGCGATGTTCATCTTTTCCAAATTTCTTGGGTTTTTGTTTCTAAAGTCTTTTCTGATCTTCAAGCCCTGTTCCTTTCCACTTTTGACCTCGATAAAAGCCGCTTCTTCTGATAATTGTGAAGATTTACGAGAAAGTATTCTCGTCGAGCGTAAACTTCTCGGTAGCCGAAGCATTTTTCTATAAAACGACAGAAATTAGATTCGATTTTGGCATTTTGGCAGGAGCTCGGACAGCAACTTTGGGAACTCATTCAACAGGCTATTCTTTTCAAATTCGTTCTTCTTCCTTCATTGAATGATTTCTTTCTTCGCATCTTTCTTGTCAAGTTGAATTCTCTTGAAATGGAACTTGCCATCCTCGCGATCAACAGTAACATCGTCGTGGTCTACTTTCCCCATGTTCTTCAACGAGCTGATTTCAGCCTGATTCTCCAGATTGTTCTTCGTCAACTGATCGATTGCCTTTTGCACGGTCATCAAAGTAACTTAAATACAAAGTGCCGAATACACGTGGCCTCGGAATAAGACTTTGAATTAGTCTGTAATGATAACTGTTCCTGAATCGCCCAGGGTCGAATCTGATTAGTATGAAGAGTGCCCGCAGCGGCCAGGACAGCTGGAATCGCCCCGAGAGCGCGTACTTCATCTTGCATCTCTTTCTTGTGTTCGCTCTCATGGTGGCCTGATTTGTTATTAGCAACGTTATTCTAAGAATCGATTAGCTAGAACCTAAAATGTTGGCTAGAATTCGGACAGTGTTCTTCCAAATCTCAAACATGATCTCGATGTAGGCTGATCGCTGTGGAAGCTCTCCACCGTCCTGCAATCGAGGCCTGAGCTCATCTTTGTACTTTGGATTCTGGCTGATTTCCCAGCAGCGTTTCATGATTCCACAAATTGCAACGAGCATGGGTTCCGTCGCGAAAGAGGCAGTGTGGCGAGCTGAAGCTGGCGCGATGAATTTTAGCACCTCGAAAATGATACTTTTGGACATGTCCCGGTTCCCTGATTCTGAAGATAAAATTACAGAAAAATTTTTCAAGTGATAAATTACCTTTATTAGTAGGCCCTGGCAAAAGAATACAATTACAGTGGAGCAGAAAATACTCGCGGATGTTATCCAAGATGACGATGGGAAATTCACAATCGCTGTCGTCTGTCTTCAGTCCAACTGGGTTTTCAGTCATTTGATCTGTAATAAACTCAAGAAGAGGTGGAAGAATCTCGCTGTTCGACTTCTCCAGCGCCGTGCAAAAGACTTCTGGCGAGACAACCCAAAAATGATTGAACAAGAGCGAAATCCAGCCTTCTTTGTGGCCAATTTCGTCGAATTTCTCAATTAGATAGAGCAGAATCGCGGAAATTGACTCTCCCTTCAGCATTGTCTTGTTTTCCTTCTCCCAGTAGCTCTTTTCGCAGCTCAGAAGCGCTGCAGCAAAGAACGAAATCATATGCGAATCGAAGTGCTCTCCAATTTGGAGTAGAGTGCCGCCCTCGTCGATGCAGTCGTCACCCACGAATCGAATCGGATGGCACATGTTGTGGATCAGCTGCAACAAGATCGACAATCCGCCACGCCATCGTTCGCGGACAAAAGAATGGAAAAAATTATTTAGCTTTTTTTCGTATTTCATCCAGTTGATTTGAAGGTTCAAATCGGCGCCACCTTGGCCAAAGATATTTCGCCAGCGACGGAGACCATCCATAAGGTGCTCATCGGAGAGATTCTCGTCCACCTGCATCAGAAATGTGACTACTTGCTGTGTGCTATTTGAGGTTCTTACGGACTTCCTAATCGATGCAAAAGCAAGAGGCTTTTTTTATCAAAGATCCAGGTTCTTTTTTGTCTAGAGTTCGTTAAGCAATTTATTGATAAGAACGTATCCTGAGAGCGGATCGAACAGAACTCTCTATGAGGTCTTTTTGCGTCGGAAAACTTCCAAACGGAGAAGAAGTGCCGGTAGAAGGATTCATTCTGAAGCAAAGAACCGTCAGATTCTGGTAATTTGGAACAACTTGGAGTGATTTTTATTATTATTGCAAAATATGTAACTTTGAAAATGATCTTTTTCATTATTATTATTAAATAATTTAAATATCAAAAAGAACATCTTTAAAAAGGAAATGGAAGCTGAAGCATTCAATAAATTCAATATTCATTTTTTTGGGATACGAAGGCGAAAGTAGAATAAACAAGGTCAATATAGAAAATAAACAAATGCAAAATATAAAAATGAAAACAAAGATAAGTCTCTATGTTAGAGGTAGACGATGAAGATTTGATGAAAGAAAAAAGACAAACAAAAAATGAAATGATAAGAATAAGATTTGTCATTAGGTGAAATCGAAAAGCGTATTTATATAAATAGCGAACAGAAGAAGGAAACAGCGAGAGACGACTACTGATAAATTCAATACAAGATGCCGATGATGAAAATTATAAAATTGATCTGTTAAATTACTGCATTTCTCAATTGTCCAGTGCAGAAGCCAGAGTCAGAAGCTGTTTCCTGACCTGTGTGCCTGCTTCCAGAAAAAAACGATTAACTCTAACTCTGACCCTGTAGACAAGTTGCTGTAGCGTGAAAATAAAAAGACCCTCTGACAAGTAAAACGATCGTTGTCATCATTGATCTTGAAGAATGCGTACTGCATTGCTACTGCTTTAAAAAACATTCGACCATTCTCATTTAGGAGTAGGATTCTTTTGCGTTTTGGTTTTTTAGAAATAATTAGTAGAAATAGTAAAAGATAAATAAAAATTAATCAGAAAGCAAGTCTGGTAGACTCAACTACTTTTTCAGGAATTAAAATTAGTTTAAAGACTCTAGCACCATCACTTTCTCTTTTTTGTTAATTATTTTTAAATTCCAGGGTCGAGAAAAAAATTTATGATGGAAAAAGAAGATGACACACAAAATAAAAGATAATATAAAATGGACAGTATGAGGAAATAATTCAGAATAATAAACAGAGAAAAAAGCTGAGTGCAAGTTGGCAAGAAGAAATGATTTTTTACTTTTTTGAAATTAGAAATAGTTTTTTTGCCTTTTTGCATTTGAATGTAAATTGGAATAATTTGGTTTGGAACTAGAAAGAGATTCTTTTGGAACACGAAAGCATCACTTCAGATTATTTTTGGTTGACTGATAAGAACAAGAGTTTTGCAGGTTTTCTTTCTCCGACTGGTGACTTGTGGCTTTCGCTAACTTTGAGGAGGCTGCTGAAGAACAAGGAAAGAGGATTTTTCGGAGATTTGAAAAACTGACGGCTAGTCGTTGTTATTGTCATGATGGAGGTGAACTCAGCCGAGTAACTCGTCGTGCACGAAGGAAAAGTCGCGGAACTCCTCCTGCTGCGCGTGCGAGATCTTGAATGAGTTGGCTGGCGAAAGGGTCGGCGAGCCGGAGGTAAATTCGCGGTCGAAGTTCTCCACTGAGAACGGGCTGGTGATTGTCGGGACGAAGCTGGGGCGGATTTCACGAGCTTCGAGCTTGGCCCAGTTGATTGACGAGAAGAACTTGTGGTTGCGGATTTCGTCTTCGCCGCGCGTGCCCAAACGCGCGTGCGGATTCTTTGTCATCAACTAAACGACGGAAAATTAGCGAAACAGATCATTTTAGTTAACCCAAAATCGTACGCTCAGTAGTTTTTAATAAAAATTATTACTGAATATTAAGAAGAATAAGTAGAAGGCGTTTACTAACCTGATTAAGGATTTGGACCGCCTCTGTCGTGAGCCAAACCGGAAAGAGGACTTCATCGTGCAATATACACTCGAAGAGGTCATCTTCATTGTCCGCCTCGAAAGGGGGCACGCCGGAGAGCATTTCATAAAGAAGGACTCCAAAGGCCCACCAGTCTACCGGCGCGCCGTAGTCTTGTTCTGAAGCACTCGTTATTGTCGCCCCAACAAAAGACGTTCAGGAAATACCTCGAACAATTTCAGGAGCAATGTAGTCCGGCGTCCCGCAAAATGTCGTCGCGAAGTTGTTTCCGTAAACATTTTCTTTGCACATTCCGAAATCGGCGATCTTGATGTGTCCCTCGCTGTCGAGCAAGACGTTGTCCAGCTTGAGATCGCGATAGACCACTTTGCGAGAGTGAAGATACATCAGTGCGCAAGCTACTTCGGCCGAGTAAAATCGCGAGCTAGAATTTACAATATCAGAATTTTTTAATTTCATAAAATTTAAGGGGGAAGACATCATCGAGGGGATTTTTTTAGAGGAAAGTATGATGAAAATTTCTATTCCCGATGTCTACCCCCTAAACCACCCAGATTCCCACGCTTTTTTCTCAATAAAGAAGGAAAAAAGCACACCGAAAAAGAAAAGTCACCAGATAATAAAATATGTGTTTCTTTAAATTCATACCGACTTTCCGGGAACTTGTCAAAACGATGAACCGAGGAATCCCAAATTGAAAATTTCATTTTTTGAAAGCTCAAATGTTGAGAAAAGTGGCAATACTTACCGAGACTCGGAGAATTTCCTGTCGCGCTGGATTTGGAACATCAAATCGCCGCCTTGGACGTACTCCATCACGAAATAAAGACGTTCGGAGTCTTGGAAAGAGGCGTACAGTGTCGTCAAAAAGGGATGAGAGAGTTCGAGAACCCGGCGTTCTGTCATTGTGCATTCTACGTCGTCGTCTTCGATAATTTGGCCCTTTTTGAGCACCTTGATCGCGTATATATTCTTCGTGTCTTTATGCTCAGCCAGAAGAACTGAATCAATTAACTTCAGATTTTACCTTTTCCACCCTTTTTTACCTTTTCCAAATGAGCCTCTTCCAAGTACTTTTACAAGGAGGAAGTTCTTTATGCTCATCGACTGTGTGCTCGATCGGACGCCCTTGGCCGATCCCGTCGACTCTACACTCGGCAGTCTACTCGGCGGATCCTTGATGTTCGTAAGAGCCTAAACAAAGAAATACAGTTATGATAACACACAGGGTTATTCTGTTCCATTCAACAAAAAGGATGAATAAAGGTTGCAACAAGCCTTCAGTAGAGTTTGAAGAAAGCCCCTCAAAATAGGGCTCTTCTTCGATCCACATGGAGGCAAATTACAGTACTTCCGGAAATGAAGTTCTTGATCAAAAACTTTTCCAACACTTGGTTTTATTATTTTGTTCGCACATTCACACTGAACTCTTGCTCAAACTTCAATAAAATGAGAAACAATGAAAACAAGAGTTGCTCGATTCGACATGCAATTTAAAACATTCAGGCTTATATTTTTGACATTGAGAAAAATTTTGCTACCTGGTCGGAAAATTTATTCTCAGCTATCTATTTTGATAAAAATGAGATTAGTAAATGGGCGTCTAATGGGGTGGCTAGGAACTTACCTCGCGGAGTTGCTTTGGATCAACGCCGCAGAAATTGGTTACGCGCTCCTTGCACCGCCGATGGACGTCCATTTTGCAGCTTAATTTTTTAATTGACTCGATTGCCACTTGTAATCATCCTTTTGTTCACCTTTTGCATCTGATGCCTTGATTGTAGAGACCCCAGAGGAGACTGCCGCAGTGCTCGCAGAATGTCGGGCTTTTGTAGGTCTTGTCCTTCCATTTGTGGTGCACCTCGAGCTTGAGACGCGAAATCTTCGCATCGATCTCGCTAGTCATGTCCGTCACGTGCTTCGAGTCGCCGGAACACATCGTCACCACCAGGTGCAGACATTTCTTGTGGATCACTTGGCAGCACGTCTGACATTGATAACCTAAAACCGAAACGATAAAAACCTTCCTCTTTCCTACTAGCTGTACTCTTTTTCTCTCCCTTGCTACTCATTATTTTCAATCACTACTAGCGTCAATAATAAGCAGCGGAAGTAATCGTCATGCGCAACGATCAATGATCAGTGGTAAACGAAAAAAGTACTATTTTAAAAGATATTTGAGTATAAAATTTACTTATTCACTCAGAAAAATACTTCCAATTGAAAGTAACTGTTGGAGATTCGTTTTGAAAATTGCCTTCAGAGAAGCATGAATATTCGACTTGGATCAATTATCCTTCTCCGCAAATAGTCATTTGTGGAGCATAAATGATGGGTGCGGGTGTCGAAGGGTTTGAAGTATCAGTAGGGTTTAGTATTAACCTTGCTTGTTGACGAGGCCCCAGATGAAGCTTTGGCAATGAGAACAAAAGGTCGGCTGCTTGAAGTAGGTGGCCAGGTATTTGTGGCCGTTCTTGCGATGGACCTTGCGGCGGACGGCGTCTTTTCGACGTTTCTTGCGATTAGCCTGCACTCAGGAATATATATAGATGAATTTAAAAAACTTTTTGCAGGCAAAATTCTAACTTTGCCTGTTTTCATACCTAGCAGAAAGCCCGTAAAATTTCGAGTCGCCTGGACTAGATTTGGGCCAAAACCGTCAGACGGTGACGTCATAAATGACGTATAAAGTTGGCAAAAATGGCGATTTTGGCCAAACTTTGAGTCAGTTTTTAGGGGCTTTTTTAAAGGAATTTTTCGGTGTTTTATAGCTCAAATTGATCCTTGTGAAAAACTGAACTAAGGTTTTCAAGATTTTTTTATTTGGTTGAAAATTTTTTTTCGGGAAATTCTAGAGCCCAGATTTTCAAAAATTTTAAAAAAACCCTTAAAAACCTTAGTTCAGTTTTAAATAAGCTTTCATTTGAGCTATAGAACACTCCTTAATTCCATCGGGAAGGCAATTAAAATTTGACTCAAAGTTTCGCCTATTTGGGACCTTCTGACGTCATTTGTGACGTCATTCTCTAGAAAATTTCAAAAACGATTTGGTCAAATCGACTCAAAATTTTACGGGCTTTCATAGGGGTACAAAATCCGGCCAGGTCAGAAATTTGCCTGCAAAAAGTTTTTTAAATTCATCATAAGTATTGATCGGACTGTGGGAATTAGCTCGAGCGGTACTCAACTACTAACCGCCAGATTACTTTTTTTCGATTATCAAATGTAGAATGTTAATGCTAATTGACGGGCAAGTGCGGTAGCGCGAGGCCAGATTACTCTAGTTCTGCTCTATAGATGTATCTTTTAATCCCTTTTCCTCGAGCTTGTCGTCCAACTGGCGCGTTTGAATTTCTGTATCCTTCATCGGACGATAGAGATCGATTTTCACGAAAATCTTGCCCTTCGGATCCAGATCAAGCCACATGGGGATCTCCTTGCGGATCTCCAGCTCGGGCACATTGACAGATGTATCTGCCACCCAGTCGTCGTCTGTTAGGTCTTCGTGAAAGATTCTTAAATCAAAGATTAAAATTCAAACATTCGAATTATGAAACGAAAGAGCAATTAACGGGCGAATTTAGTCTTTCTAGGTACAAAAAGCGTCAAAAACGAAGCCAAAAATGGGTAAAAATATCCAATCTTACGGATATTTTCGTCTTTTTCCTGCGAAAAGCTCACGAGAAATTAGATAATCTCTCAATTTTGGACCTTTTTGAGCTATTTTTGTGACTAGAAAGGGCAAAAATCCTAGAAAGAATACAATTTCGAAAGTTATAGTTACCGGAAATGTATTCTCGTGCATTTGGAGACTGTAGGAGTGAACTTATTATTGTAACACCATTTGGGCGATCCGCCTTATCCATGTTATTAGAATAAATCGATTGCTCGAGCTGCTCCTGCTCAAAAAGCAGGTTTAGTTTTTATTTCTTTCTTATTTCTACTTCGATTTGCAACTTAGTAGAAAATAGTCGAAACTTCAAAAGTAAAAAAAATAACACATTCCTTTCACGGCTAAAGTTCGATTTATGTGACGCTGCTGGGTCGAACCCGTCTTCGTATTTTCATCCACGTCGATCGAAACTAAAGAAGGGTCAATTATGCGTTTTACAGCGGTGAAAAAAGGGTGAGTGACCTCTAAAAAGACGTCCAAGAGCAGTGCGTGTCTGTATCTTACCGTACGTGTTCAGCTTGACTGTCAGGACGTCGATTCGTTGGCCCATGCGCGCCATTCTCGGCGTGGGGTGCAAATCGCATGCTTCCAGCACGGTGATCTTGATCAAACCTGTGAATTCTGAACAGACACAATTCAACTTTATTCAGCACGATTTAAGGGGGTAGACAAGCCTATCAGCGATTGGATTTTTCTTAAGACTTTTTTTCCTAGGCTTATTATAAGAGCCACTCCCTTATTTGATCCAACGAAAAGAACAAGAAAGAAAATTCAAAATTCTAGGGCATTAACCACCTAAATTCATTTGTTCAGACTCTAACCCTCACCCTAGATCGAAAGAAAAAAACACGGCGATGTCCTAAAGAAAGCTAGTTTACATCAATCAAATTTAATTTTCGCCCAATTTGGAGAAAAGAAGAAGCGTCTGGTGCCCTTTCGCTACTCCAGGGAAAAGAAGAGGAAAGAATCTCAAAAATCGCTCGATCATCCAACTTTAATCCCCTTTTTCTCCCCTGACCTAAATCATGCAGTACTGTTCTTCGTTACAGTTTGAGAGATTGAATATTAATCAATCCTCTTGAGCAAGTAGTGGATACAAGTTTAATTTATACACTGGGACTTTACAAATCCCTGTTCCAAACAGTAACAACTAGTGCATTACAGCCTCTCTGAACGGGTTTTGTTTCGGGTTGTTACAGTAATCAGAGCGTACAAATTTCAATTATAGGTCCACTCCTCGCCCTAATTAGTAATAACCGTAATTCTCTAATTATGAAACAGTAATTTAAGCTGTAGATATCAGTCATCGAGAAGCGGCTTGCTTTTCGAGCAATACCAATTGAAAAGCCGCGCTAAGCGCGGCTCATGTTCTTTTTCCGAGTGGAAGCCGCAAGCGGCTTCTCGATTTTTAGCTATAATTCTCTATAAATCTGCTCGAAAAACGAGATAATTGAAGTCTACCCCCTTAAAAATATGTTTTACATACCCGACATGGCCGAGGATTCTTCAGTTCTGAATTCGAATTTCTGTTCTTTCTTTCTTCAGTTCTGTACGCGTGTTCTGTCAGCGGAGGCGAATATACCTTCTTCTCATTTTTTAATTGTCTAATAAGGCAATATGTAATGGGTATGAAAATGGGGAGCAATATGCACAGTTGATGCTTCGGCAAAATCGATTTTGAGTAGTACAGCGGCGCGTTTCTCCGCTGCCCGCTCTATTCCTGTATCTTTCGCCAGCACAAGACTCATTCACTAAGACAGTAAAAGGCAAGTAACATCAAGAAGCACAATTCGGAATTCGAAATGAAAAAAAAAACAGTCGCGAAAAAGAAGAAAAGGAAAAAATGTAAATTGAAAATGTAAAAATCACAAATGACAATCATCATCATCGCCGTCGTCATTAAATTTATGCGAAACGTATTGATTGAAGTTATTTCTTTCGCCGTGATTTGGAGAAGGTGAGCAGACGTCAGCGCCAATTGTCGAAAAATGAATATGAGACGCGGATGATAGTTATTACGAATCTGGAATGATAATTGGACAGCATCAATCAATCGGAACGAAATTTACAACTATGAATTCTAAATCGCCGAATGGATAGTTTTACAAATAAAATTCTTAATTTCAATGCGTTTTCTTTTTTACATGAAAAAATCTAAAGCTCGAAAAAATTCGGGTCTTTCTTTTTTTTTTCTCGCGGGTTATTTTTCGTCCAGCCAATGTCGTGGCGCTACTAAAAGCTTCACTCAAGGGAATGTTTCACTCCGAGAGCCACAATTCAAATTCTCGCTCTTTCAAGAAGAAAAAAATAGTGTTAGAGGAAAATCGAATGCGCTCTTTTCTTCTCTTTCAGCGCGATTGCGCTTAGTTGCTCGACTGTAACTTTGAGATTTGCAGTCGTGGGGCAGCGGCTTGGAAGTTTTCGCGCGGCTACTAGGAAAAAGCCGCAGTGCGCGCGCGGCTAGAAATTCAAAAATCATTTTAATTGTTACTCATTGAAATCTCACTGATAAAAAATTTTCAACAATTATTTAAAATATATTAATAAATCATTTTTCAAGATAATTTATCTTTTTCTTTCATTTTCTTCCATTTCAAATCGTTTTTTTTTTCTTTCTTTCTTTTCGAAATTCGAACTAAGTTTTTGAAAAGAGGTTTTTTGTTTCTCGCAGTTGGTTTTTTTTTTGGTTCTATCTCGGGTGTCTATCTTGGGTGTGTTTTTTTGCAATTGTTCGGTGAATGGGCCTCTTCTTCTTTTTTCGCCCTGTGAAATGTTTTTTCTCTGAAGCGGGGAGCTCCGACGAAAACTCGGGCGCCACTTTCTGCGCTCCGCGAAAATGGAAGTAAAAGATAAAAAAAAAAGCTGAAAAAAATCCGCGTTTCGCAAAATTCAATTGAATTCAATTTTGGAACTCTCCTTGGGGAGTTGTTCGGAAAGTTTCGCGCTGTTTCTTCAACTTGTCCATTTTAACTTCAATCAATTCATATTTGACAAAAGGGTTAATTACAATCAACGAATTTTAACAACAGTATAGGCTATACTATACAGTATACAGTGTATAGCCTTTACTGTATAGGTAGATTCTCAAGTCTCGAATCAAAATTTGAAGTTGAAGACTTGAAGAGTCTAACTCTAAAAGGGGGAAAAGCAGCAGGTGCTGGGCTCGGCAACCTGTGTAAAATACCTGAGTCAGGATTTGAAAGAGTTGTCGAATTGTTTTGGGAAGCTCTTTCGAATCCTGACTCAGGTTTTCTACACAGGTTGGTGCCTTGCTCTGGGCCCGACAGTATGTATCTGTTAAATTCTCTCGTTGGAATCCTGAATAGTTGTAGAGTCTACACGCGGGTTTTCTTTCTTTCTTTCTTTTCAGTTTTTTAATCGGTGAATTAAGCGGTTTTAATTAAATCGCGCGCCGCATGTTCTTCGATTTTCTTCAGAAGAAAATGTGCCGACTGAGTTACATCCTCTGTAAAAGACATACTTTTACAAGTAATAATCACATGGACATCTTCGATCTGACGATTTGAGAATCTGCCCGTTGATTCGAAAGACGCGCTCGGAAACTTACAAGTTTAGTAATTACGATTTGAGTTTACGATTATTTCATTCTTTTCTCTTAATCTTTTCATTCAAAATGTCGCTGCAAAATTGTAGATGCAAAAATAAATGAAAAAAAAAAATAAACGAGTCCGGGTGATCGATTTTTATGTCGTTTATGCTGTCTCTCACTGTAAGATGGATTCATCTGCACATTCAGTTCAGTTGAGCAGAGTTAGGAGTGGGTGGAGAAAGAGAGGTAGAGTGCAATTTCCTTTTGGAAAAGGAACGTTTTCGATGAAGATTTTTTTCTTGTGTTTTTTGATGAGTTTGGCATTATTTAAGTTAGGCCCGTGGAAAAGTTCAAGTGCCAATAAAGCCATTCGACAGGCGGGAACAAAATCAATAATTCAAACCCAAAAGCTCTTAGACAAGCCTCACTCTTCTTTGAGCTTGCTCCCCCGCCGCACAATCCCTCACCAATGCCACCATCCGACAGCGTGTGGTCAAATGCACCAGAAATTGAAATAATCCGCTACCACAGCCTCTCTTCTTACTGCCAGCATTACAGTAAGACAGTAACACACAAGGCGGAATGAAAAGCGAATGAATGAATGTTGATGTGTGTGTTTTCATTGTTTATTTTTACATAGTGGCATGGTTAAAAAGTCGAACAAACAGTACTATGAGCAATTTTACTATGGGTATTGAAATCAACGAGGATTTGAGAGTTGTATCTTGAAGCACTTTTTAGACCAAGGAACGAGCTTTTTACGAACAGGAGCAAAAAAAAGATAAAATTTCTTTTTGAAAAATTGAAAATTTAATCCATTTTGCTTTTGATGTTTTCCTCTCCTTGATCTAAAAAAGTCCCTCAGTTTCAACGATTCAGGCGAGCGCTTGAGTCGTGTTGTACTTGGAAACTGCCTTGGTGCCTTCGGAGACGGCGTGCTTGGCGATCTCGCCGGGGAGAAGAAGACGAACGGCGGTTTGGATTTCGCGGGAAGAGATGGTGCTCTTTTTGTTGTAGGCAGCGAGTCGGGAGGCCTCGCTGGCGATGCGCCGGAAGCAGTCGTTTGCGAACGAATTCATGATCGACATTGCCTTAGAAGAGATAGCCAGATTTGGGTGCACTTGCTTGGATGGGTTTTTGTTGCGGCTTTTGGCTAATACAAGGCCGAAATAAAGGACCCGTCCTTAAGTACTTTGTAGATATAGATACTGAAGGACTCTTTGCGATGATTGTTCCTTCGCATCTTTTTCGATTTTTCCTTCTTTTTTGAGCGCTGTTGCTCAAGGGCTGCTAATTTGCGGCTTTTTCCCATTTTCATTTTTGCCATTTTTTTGCTTGTCTGAGGTCTTTTTTCTGTGCTAAGAGGGAACGTGAGGAAAATAAAATCGAATCATCATTCGAAATAAAAAGCAAGAGCCGGGCTTCTTTCGAGCTTAGCAGGATAAATTAGAATACGGCGAGATCTGCTTAGCTCTTTCAATTCTCTCAAGTCAAGAATAATTCTATTGCCTAGCTGGTTTTCCTAGTTGCAAGGTAAAGACCTTTAACTTGAGTGTTGAACTTGAAAAACCAAAAATCGGTCGGTGCCTTTTTCTCTCGATGTGAAGAAGAAATCCGTCGAGACGGTCGTATTTATACGCTTCTGCTACTGAGAAAAACTGGAAAACTACCTGCGTCATATCATGCTCAGTTTCTGCATCGAAGCCAGTTCCCATACCTTCTTTTTAAAGACATAAGCAGGTTTTAATTCAAGAATGCGTCTCAAGAATAACCAAACATGCTACGAAGGCTTGTATTAGTAATGAGTTTACTCTGAGGAGCATACTGTACGGACCCTACAGTATGCTCCTTTCTGTGTGATAAGGTGAAGTTGTTTTTTTATTCGAAAATGTGAACTTTCTTTTTATAAAAATAATAAATTTGTAAAGGCAGTTGTTAAAGTTGGTGCTAATTTGACAGTGAAATTATATTATCATTGATTGTGATTCATTATTCTTGAGATTGGCGTTCTGGAATTTTATACCAATCGTAGGCCAAGGCATCTTCCGCTGTGATCCGTGTCTCTACATCCGCGTCCATCAACGCCCTAAATGATGAGTAAAATCAGATGCTGGAAGCAGGTTTGTATTTACAGGGTTAGGGCCTTGAGATCGGGATGAGAACAAAAAGGCTCTCTGTCAGGAATAAGGTTCTTCATGTCTCGCTGTCTTGCAAGCATCACGTCTTTTGAAAGGGTTGAGGGAAAAGGTCTTCTCATGGTGACTATGATGAAAAGCACAAGCCCCAAGCTCCAGCAGTCTGCGATAAAGGGCTGGTAAGGCGTCTCGCTGATAAGTTCTGGAGCCATGTAGGAACGAGTCCCGCAATAATTCTCGGAGAGAGTATCACGGTCAGCTCGTCTGGCGAATCCAAAGTCGGTCAGCACGGCTTTCAGGGGCTTTTTCTTTATAAAAAATATATTTTCAGCCTCAGATTGAAATTCATTATGAAAATCTACTAGTTTCGAGGCCTAAGATTCTAGAACACCTTGCTCTCTAGAATCTAGAATCATTACGTTACCTCTTCGTTGAGTCGCAGAAGAATGTTGCTCAACTTGATGTCTGGGGTCGGCAACTTGCCACGAAATGTCGTGGCAAGACAAGGCAAGGCAAGTTACTTGCCATGGCAAGTTGATGGCAAGACAAGTAACTTGCCATGGCAAGTTGTAGAAATGGCTAGTTCTGGCAAGAAAATTTCAAGTAGTTTGCTAGTTTCTAACACAAGCGGAGATTCAGATCTTGTCCGATGGGTCTTTGAGTAGTTCTTAAACCTCTGACCGACTGTCTTGTTGTTCATTCTCTGTGAAAACGACTTGATTTTCGTGAAAAAATGATTTTTGAGCATAAACTCTACGGAAAAAACCAAGGAAAATGGACCTAGACATGTACTTGCCATCAACTTGCCAGGAGACTTCCTTTGGCAAGACAAGGCAAGGCAAGTACTTGCCTTGCCAAACTTGCCATTTACCTTGCCATTGGCAAGTTGGCAAGTGGCAAGTTGCCGACCCCAGCTTGATGTCTCGGTGAGCAATACCATTTTTATGGAGATAAACGACTCCCTCCGTGATATGTCGGAACATTTTTTTGCACATACTTGGTCGAAGCCGTCCATGGTCTGCGAGATAGGTTGAAAAGTCCTCCTCGTAAAGTTCTAACAAATTGTCTCGTATTTTTAACATGTCAACCGTTTGTCAATGTACCTGTAACGATGAAAATGGTGTCGTTAGGCTCATAATATCCGGAAAAAAGTGAAAATGTCAGGTTTTTATGCCAAACAGTTTCGGCGACCTCAAGTTCGCGGAAGAGTTGGCGCTCTCCCTGGCCTCCTTGGAAGTCTAAAAACAAAATAGACAGACTTCAGAATAACGCGACTTACCGATAAGTTTGATGGCCACGGGTTTAGTTTGTCCCTCGTCGCCGACTTTCATGACACCTCTGGAGACGGAGCCATAGCCGCCTCTCCTAATGAAGACGTCCATTTTCACCCCAGCTCGTTCAAGAAATTCAGCAATATCCTTGGGGGCGTTGTTTTCCGACATTTCTGGCTTTTATCTGACTGCAGAAAGCTGAGTTGCGAACTTCCCGGAAGAATAAGCCAATCAAAGACCGTCTTAATAACAATAACAAATGAAGTCCTTTTAATTCGAACAAATTAATCAGACATTGTAAGTGAAGCCAAAATAAGAAGAAATAATCATTGAAGCTTAATTTAAGTACAGAAAACGGTCAAATTACAGTCAAACGGTGTCGTAGTCGTCGATGGAATCGTCGAAAGCGTCAGAAAGCTCCGAGCTGGATGTGTCGTAGTCGATTTCGGCGGTGAAGTTTTGCGAGAGAACAAGCAAATCCTGAAGCCACATAACGCGCTCGCGAAATTCTAAAAGCAAATCATCGAAGTTCTAGTGCGCTAGACAGAACCCTCATTTACTGCGTCCATTCTGTCGAAAAGCTCAATCGATAGGGCCTGTGTTGCGTCAACGGATTTCAAGTGTGCGGAAGTATTGACGAATTTCAGATCGGATTCGTCTTTGAATTGGCTGTAGTGAGTCCTTAATTGCGATCGTTTAGTTGAATTTAAAGAGCATTTTTGAGTAACTTGAAGTTCTCCAAAGCATCTTGAAGTCCCATGATCATCCCACTGAAGTCCACGAGCGAGTTCACAGTATCAGTGACAGTAGAGTTGAGCTAAAGATCGTTTTTTTGTTAAAAAGAATATAATTTTTTCGTACTCTTAGAAGGTTGTCCTCGTTGTCGCTGAGCTTCTGCGAAATATCGTTTTGGTATTCTTCTAGATGCGTAAGAATGGTGGAGGTGGAGTTGATGCTGTCGTAAATATTCTGTAATTGTTCGTCAAAGTCGACCATGACTGATGGTTGCGCGGAAGGGACTGGAGTTGTGTCCAGTCCGATTCCAGGTGCTGCTCGATCTAACACCGGATGAGCGCACTGTTAGTAACTCCAGTAACGATTTGGAAGTCCAAATCCAACAACTAACTTATTCACTACTTTCCTTTATTGGATCGGAAAATGCACTCGAGATATTCGTCGATGCAATAAAGGACGACAAGGGCGAAATCAACGAAAACAAGGAGTCAAATTGATCAAATAACAAATTCTAGGGGCAAGTGTTCACCCAGGCCCATGGGCTCAATACGTGACCAGATCGAGTTCAATTCGGTTCGAATGCGCGTGTACCGCTCCCCTACTGTTCGGCGAAGGTTTTCAAGCTTTTTCAGCTTGAAAGTTAATCACTCAACACAGAGAAACGAAAACCCATGGCGCTACCTGGTTGAATTGACGCGATATTTTGGCCTCAAAGTTGCGGATGCGCCGCGAATTTACCTTTCCCAGGGAGTCGCTGTCGGCCAAGCTGACTTCGAGGAGACTCAGTCTGAAACAGAATAAGCGCGAGCGTGAGGATTATTTTTCACCCTGGGAACAGCGCCCTTACTGAGTGGAAACTACTGAGCTAATGAAAATTATCCCGACGGCCATCGATCATTTGTCGATTGATTTAAAATTTCCCAATCCGTTTTTCAAAAACTCACCTGTTATTTTTTTCTTGTACTCTTTCTTCTATTCCGTCTAGGCGAGAAATGAGATGAACGAGTTGGCCTCCTGCCTCTTCGGATGTGAAATTCTCCGGCCTTAAAATCCGTTTCAAATGAGTTGAAAACGTTGCGAGTTAGTATTGGACTGGTAGACTGACAGAGTCGTATTCCTTCAATTACTAGAACAATTAGCGAGTGTCTTAATTAAATTCCTCGTTAGGAAAGTGTCTGAGATGGCAACCAGATGTGATAAATGGTCGATTCGAGATTATCGCTGTCGCCTTCAGAAAGCAATTATCGAACGTACTTGTCAGCCGCTGACGTTTGATTCATTCGATACTCCATGCTGTCTATTCGAAAGACCAGTTCCTGGATCAGCTCCTCCTAAAAGTTCAGAGTTCATAACTAGCCCAAAGTTGCTTTCTAAAAATTCAACCATTGTGGAGTTGCCGACGATAGGAGCATTAGACGACTGGTCAACAAAAGTGACTGTTTCATAGTCAACGAAGCTGCTTCCGCTTCCTTCTGTTCTCTCCAGAAGCATATTTCGTGTATCTTCAAAATTATTTCATCAGCGAAACTCGGCGATAACCTTACCAGTTTTGAGCGCCCCAAAGTCAGCCCGAGAGTTTTCCAGGTCCTCCTCAATGACTGCCATGCGATGCTGCATTTGTTGATTTCGACTTTGTAGCTCTCGAATTTGCTCGGTCTGCTGTCTAACAACTGCCAGTAGCTCCTCCGTAGACGGGCCCATCGAAAACTCAGCATCGCGTCTTGCTCTACTCGACTGTCGAAGATACTGGCGCCCACGGCGTCGATCACGGCTGATTCTTCGGATCTGCTTTTCTTGCTTCTTCAATTTTTCCTAGTTTGCTTCTGCGTTACTATCTGAGAATATTCGGGGGCTTACATTCAACTGCTGGAAATAAATTGAGCTTTCGCGTGAAGATTCTTGAAGCAGTTTCTTTCTCATATCTTCGCAAATTTTGGGCATGAAGAAAGGTTCATTTTTTCAAATAGTAATCATTACCTTCATAAATCCAGTTAAGTGACTTTATGTGCTTTGGATTATATCTCGTATTTCTTGATAAAACATCGCCCTTTTTCAAAGATTTTTTAATAAGAAGATTCGATAAACTCGATCTGTAGGATGAACTCTGTTCCTGTCGGGCTATAAGCCGCCGTAGTCGATTCTGGTTATGTCTTTGTAGTGCTGTTTGTCCCTTTTAACACTGGTCAAATACCTAATTCGATACTTTATTGACTTTATTTATAATCGCCGGGAATGGATTGATTGCGTTCTTATTTTTATACAAAAGAAGATTTTCTCTTTAGTAAAAAATAACCTTGAAAATTTGAAATAAAAAATAGCCAAATGCATCATGCATTGGCATGTTCTACGATAGATTTCTTCGACCATTTTCTGCGCTAGCATTCTCGTGAAATCACTACTGGCCCAGACGGCTTCGAAAATGAAGCTCAGCGTGAGGAGAAGCCTCATTTTTTGTTTGACCTTGAATCTCTCTGATTATCTTAATTAACATCTGAACATTTAACTGATGATGCTTGTTTGATGGCGCCCCCTTCCTCACAAAGTACACGCTAGCAAGAAAAAGAAAGTAGAAGAAGAGTTCAATGTGAAAATCACTTTAGGTGGGATCAAACGGCTTCCAAAGGAAGAATAAATGCCACCTGGCTTCCTAATTGAAGAACACTGTATATCACCTAATCGAAGATGGATGGATCTGAACTTTTAAGAAGGCAACTTGAAGTTGAGCAAAGAATTTCTTCCCTCGCCACCGTCTAAAAAGTCTTCGTAGAAGCACAAGTCAAGGAACTTATCTGAGTTAAACTCTGACTTTTTTCTGTATGGAAAGCTTTAGCTTCTCGGCGTTTTTTCTAAAAGTAATCAAAAATTTTCGGAAAAAATCAAGAAAAATTTTCACCGCCGCAAATTGTGCCCTCCGGCGACTACCCTTGAGCGTGTGACACCAACCGTCAGTTCATTCATCACTTCATAGACTTCTCTTATAGGTATGATAATTTTAATCAATCAAAAAAATTCTTGAGACCCTTGCGGATAATCTCACCAATGAGCGGCCGCCCCTTTGAAATTTCGTAACTCCGGACGCGAATGTCCTTCCCTTTTTTCAGACAGAGAGAAAACCTTCCTTGCCCTAGAAATTCATGCTCTTCTATGTTGGATCTAATTTTTTAGAAAAAAAACTTGCCATGGCCGTGTGCACAAAGATCATTAATGTAATGGCGGACTCGTGGCTGTCAGGGATGCGTTTAGTAAACACCACGGAAACAGTGTGCACGCCAAAGATTCAACCTTCAGTACATTGGGCTGTAACTAAACTCCCGAATCCTGCGTGCTTTCGATCGACCGAAAATGTTATTTTAAATAAGAAATTTAGAATCTAAAAATGTTTTCTAGCAGAAAAGAATGGACAATTCTGAACTGGAGAACGATGGTCCTAAAATTGATTGTGGCCTCAATCAAGTCTCGTCGGAAATGGAGATTCAAGAGAATTCTCCGTCACTATATGCTGCTACTGATGTAGACTTTCCTTCTGGCATGGGTGTGCACAGCTTTTCAATGCGTTCTAGCGTACCAGTGTCGCATGAAAGTGAAGAAAATGCACCTCCTTCGATCGAGTTCGATGCTTCAGAGACCCTCGCTTCAGAAACTAACGCGCATATAACTGATGGATTTGGCGAATCCGAGCCTCTACTTACTGGTCCGCTTTTCGACTGTTCCTCCATGGAAACAGATATTCACGGACTTGGAGAGATTGATTCTGATTTCTTTGCCAATTGAAGGGAAAACGTTCAGTCTTCCTTGATTTCAACTGCCAGTTTTTCAGCTGCCAAATCAAAGAAACTCTTTACTTCACTTTTACTATCACTTTATTCACTATTACTTAACTTTCACATTCACATATAATAAAAGAAGAACCCACTCAAGAGAGAGAGAAAATGCCACTTTTTCTTACAGTGCGAGAAAAACGGATAAGCGCGTATCTTGGCAGGACGATAATTGTTGAAGGGTGTTTTATCGGAAACAAACAAGTCACATCTGGAGTGGGGAGAAAAAATCACGACCTTTTCAGAAAGAGCATAATTAGCGAACGAAGCAAAATATTTTGACTTTGCGCACGTGAAATTGCGAACTGTCCCAAATTGAATGCTAAAATGCTTGTAGCTCTTCTTTTAGGAAGAGTGGTTCTAGGGAGCAGTGATGTTTTAATGTGATTGAACATCACTAGAAATCTGAAAAGCGTCGGGAAGAACGAAAAGTGAAAAAGAAATGGTGCAGGCGACAAATATATGTAGTAGAATACAGGTGCGACCGCACTAATTTAACCCGTAAGCGTAATTCCTTTGCAGAACAAGCAGTGGCACAGATGGCGCATTTCACCGCCGCAAACTATTCGCCAATCACTTGTGGTCGACCTTTTTTCGAAAAAACGAAAAAATCGCCATAAAACGAAAAATTTGTTTCGAAAGCGCGGATTAACCAGCACAGCTGGGACACCTAACCCGAAATAGCGCACCTGCGCTTCCACCACCGCCAAATACGCACAAGCGCACCATTTTGAGTCCTTTTAATTGTCAATTACTGCAACAGTGTTACGGCACTTCTATAGTGCCTCTTCTACAGTAATGACGAACAAGCTTGAAAACTTAGTTTTGAACAAATTTTCCTCCTTTTTCGCCACTTTAAATTTCCGTATTGTTGGTTTAATATTGTGCCAAGAGCTAAAATGGGATCACTAGCGGCGCTGGCCTTTGAACCAGGCCAGGTGCACCTTCTAGAGTCAAAATTCGATCTCGCGCCGCTGCATATTGTAAATAACATATTGCGCATATTTATATGTCGATTATTTATATTCGGCGGGTAATCTCTTCTGGTTCCACCACCTGCACCTTCCATAATATAATCCTATCGAGGCGCAAACAAAATAAAAATAAAACTTGCTTTTTCGAAATACTCTAAATTCGAATCTATAAAACTCGCTCGACAAATTAGTCGGCATAAATGCGAAATAAAAAAGCTACTAATACAGTAATCTTCCTTTCCATAAAAAAAAAGGATCTTGGAATTTTGCGAGCTCGAAAAAAAAAAGCCTTAACGTCTGTTTTGGCTCTTTATGTCCTCAATTTTCCCTCGATTGAAGCAACTAACACCCTCAGCTGCTGGCTGGAACGCTTTGATCGGGTGTTGTTTTGCTTTGGAAAGCTTGAAGAAATAAAGAAAGAGGACCTTTTTATGGCTTATCACGCGCATGGCGTGGATCTCGGATCAATGGCTTGTGAAAAATCTGCTCTCTTTGCTATCTGTTATTGCTTTGGATATTATTAAATCCATCTCAAAGGGGAGCAAAATTCAGCTGAAGGGAAAGCCCTTGAAAATCGAATTGGGACGCGTTGTGGGAGAATCTGCTCGCCGCAAAACAAATGTTTATTTCCGGTGGAAAAGCTATTTTATACAATTGCCCATTTTTCGAATTTGGAAAAATATCAATCCGCGCCGAAATTCATCAACTTGAGAATCAACTCACGTGCGCGGCTTTGATCGCTGAGAGTTAATGGCAAGACATGTTGACAGTCAATAGTCTACTGTCGTTTAAAACAACACTGAGTCAACATTTTTGACAGTCCATCTTGAATTCGAAAAAATGACAATATTTTACAATTGGAAAAGTGCTAATTTACGATTGAATAATTCTTTATAAAACCTAGTAAATCAAGAAAAAGACGCCTTTGCAAGAGGGAATTTAATTCCAGAGGTGCTCACGTTGATCGTAATAAACTGATCATTTCGGAAGATGAAAGCGACGATTTTTTCTTTATTGGAGGTTACTTCTCGATTGGCAGGAGGCTTAGCGTAAAATCGGAAAAATAGCTATTCAAGCGAAAGAAAAAAGAGTCTGGCCAGCTTTAGAATTTCTGAATTGTACATTTTCAACCATAAAAGAGGGTTCTTAGCTTATAACCCCCCTAACCCTAATGTATGTTTTTTTGAATGTCTATTCCCTTAGACCTAAAATTTTTGAGGAATAAACTTGATTTTCATTTGTACCCGAAGCTGTGAGAATAAAAACAAATGTCAACAAATGATGACACGTGGGCCTGACACGTCTAAAATTCCGAATTTTTGTGGTCTTGCATTTCGGTCATCACTGGCGAGGTATTATTGGCATCACTGGATTCTTCAAGAGATATTTATTAGTAGCCTGGACAAGTTTTACAACGCCGCAGAAAAAAGCGGTGAACATCTCACAATTCCTGCTTTTATCAAACGATTTCTAGCCATTTTTATTAAATCGATCAGAAAGTCAGCAAGGCATCGCGGCGCTTCCTGTTCCGAGCTAATGATCAAACGCCAATCAAACGGTTTTCATTTCCTTCTTTATGAAATAAGAAAACGGCGAGCCACGGTGCTAAATGGTGATAAGCGGCGCTGATAACCGCCACTCTTCCGATCTTCGCCTTCTGCGCCGAAAGGATAAACGCTAATTGCGTTTGAAATACCGCCCTAAGGTGCACTACCAACTGGAACTTCTTCCTTGAGATAATAAACAATCCTCATTCATATAAAACACAGCCTTCAAGAAAACAGGAAGGAGGACCAATATCTATAGACTAACCCTAACCCCAAAGGTTTTTCTTTGATAATTTTTAGGGTGCTTGTTAAATCAACAACACATGTTATAGTACAGTAATGTACTGGTCATTTCCTTTCTCCAATTCGGCCTATTTTTTGTGAGCCCTAAACTCCAGAAATAGGTAGCTCAGAGGAAATCGAGGCTATAATGGGCTATTTACCGAAATTAAGGTGCCCTTAGAAGGTGGTAGAATATGTAGAGCGTAAATTTCAAGCGTTCGGAATCAGATAAAGTGCCAGAAAGAGGTGAGTAATTGTTATCGGGAGACATTTTGCAGTTTATCGTGACACCTCCAGGCGAAGATCGCATCCGGAATTGCTCGCCAATTAGCAGCTCTCCATCATGATAGATTGGTCACTTTTAGAATGTCGCTACATGAGGAATTTCAACACGGGGAAGGGAGCAAACCCGCGGAAACGGAAAAGTGTAAACACAAATGTAAAATCTAATTAGATCAAGATTTTCGTATTTGGCGATTTGAAAAACGCCGTGTGAAAATTCAGAAGGCGCTGAGACGTCGTTTTTTGTCATTTCGATTACTCTTCTTCTTGTTTTAGGAATTTGTGTTTTCTCTTTCGGCGAGCATGTCGCTAGAATTAGCGTTGCAGCTGGCGGCGGCTATGGCGGTTGTGGGGGTGCTGTGCCTTAGCTCTAGTAAAGTAATACACACAGCTGGCCAACGTAAATTGTTACTATTTCAAATAGTTAGTTGACATTTTCGCTGTCAGCGCCGAATTCGCACCTTAGACCGCCAAAACAACTAAAACACACCTTCTATGAAACACCATAAAAACAATTCCAGAGCACTAAACAATTACTCCACAATTTTTAATTTCAACTGCGCAGATTCATAAACAAAGCGCAATTTCATTTGATTTCTTAGATTTTCCAGAGTGAGAAAATCTAAAAAAAGAGGGCTGAAAGAAAAATCAGATGGCGGGTGTGAATGAATATTCAAAAAACGTTCACAAGCTGTTTCTTTTTTTTCACGCCTGTTAAAAAGTCGAGCGCGTAATGGGTCAGCCATCAGATTGAAAATTGAAATCATCTTCGTTTTCTCGACGAATCGCTACGAAAATGGGCCACCTGCTAAATCTAACGATAGCTTTAATGGAGCCAGTCACTGATGGAGACGAATGATACGAGATTCATAGAGAGTACGAATTTCACACCTCCACCCCTAATCGCCCCTAATCAAGGCATAATATTTTTCTACTTAGCCACATTGTCATTCTTCATGACAGTTGCCCAAAATGGCCCAAAAGCTAACATGTATAAAAGTAAGTTTTAGAAAGGGCCCCTCCGCGCTGAGCTCCTTGCAATTCATGAATTTAATTTAGTAATTGCGGTTTCGAACCGCTCTGGGAAGATTTCCGGAAACGACATTTTGCATCGACAAAGAGAAATGTCTTGTTACAATTTGTACTGCTGTCAATCGGGAGCTAGCGGGGCCGACCTTCGCTTAAAAAAAACACCGGCAGCGAATTTAATCAAACATTAATACCCATTTATTTCGAGCATCTTTCGTAACTAGTACAAGCAGAAGTGGGAAAATGAATGATTCAAAGCTGAATTTGAAGAATTTTCAGGCTGCGAAAAAGGTTGTTTTTGATCGTGCCGCGGTGGAAATAGATCGCGAGAGAAAACAGAAAATAAACTGTTTTCACGCATTTTGACTTTGATTCAGCTGGAAATTTAGAACTTCGAATAATCGCTTGTTATGAGAGGCTTTCATATGGAATTGGGATTATTTTCGCCCGCCTAAGATCGCCTCCCTTTTCGAGGAAATGAAAAAGAACAGAAAGATGAGAGTGAGGAGCTGCTCATCTAAGCGCTCAAATGTGGTTTTTCGCGCACAACCTCTAAGTACGCTTAATTCTCAGTTTTCATACCAAGACATTTCTTTCTTTCTATAGAAGATAGAGACTCTGTATCTAAACGAAACGAGCTGCTTTACATAAAACTTAAATTGACACGATCTAACGTGTCCATCCACTAATTGCAATTTGGTTTCAATTGGCGGGGTTTGCTCTTCGTAGGTAATATAATCATATAATAGAATATTGATCCCTAAACGCCAGCTGTGTCGCCACTAGAAATATGAAATCACGAATATGATGAATCGTATTTTATTCAATTTAAAATTACTTTCCAATTCTTTAGTCAATAGTCTTTTTATTTGTTTTCGGAATTTTTGTTAAAAATAATTCATTTAAAATATTTATTTATAAATCAATTGTTGCTTCGATACATTCGACGCTCAATAAAGTTGATGAAAGTCAAAAATTGAGGCAAGTAAGAGTTTTATTGTCAAAGGAAAATAATTAGGAGGAGAATCTATTTCTTCTGCTTTGGGATTGGTCTTTCTGTTTGCACAGGTGGCGCCCTCGCGTTCAGAATACCGCTCGGTTCATGCTCGACGATTCTGCTTGCCTCGCGCGCGCCCCCGCTGTCGTGTGGCGTAGCCTCTTGCTATATCTATACGAGTGCGTGTGGTGCTTCTTCCAAAATACAAATTCACCTAACGCTTTTTTCTCATCGTAAATACACTTTTCGAAAAACAAGAAAAAACAAAGTCGAAACCGAAAAATGCCGAGACCATCGAGAGACTCTTACGGAGACCAGAAGCCCCCATACTCTTATATTGCCCTTACTGCGATGGCGATTCAATCCGCCCCCGATAAAATGATGACCTTGGCGGAGATTTACAAGTTCATCATGGACCGCTTTCCCTATTATCGAAAAAACACGCAGCGATGGCAGAACTCGCTCCGGCACAATTTGTCCTTCAACGATTGCTTCATCAAGATCCCCCGCCGAGCTGATAAGCCTGGTAAGGGTTCCTACTGGTCTCTCCACCCAAGCTGCGGCGATATGTTCGAAAATGGCTCGTTTCTTCGCCGACGAAAGCGATTCAAGACCGTTGGGGGAAAACGGGTCGCGATTGACGACGGCTCACCAGAAGCTTCACCTCTGAAACCCGCTGCCCCTTCTTCTCTCAACTCCCCGTACTCACTTTCAAACTACGAAAATAGCACCATGCAAAAGCCTCCAATTGGAATGTCCATTCTTCCGAAGCTCTCCGAAATCGCTCCTCCTCCAGCGCCAGAAAGTCCGCACTCTAATTCGTCCGAGAAGAAGTCCTTCTCGATCGAATCACTAATGAACCCAGGGTCTCTTCCAGCTCCAAATCCAATGATTCCTATTCCTCAGATGCCCATGCCAATGCCTGGCACTCTCTTGCCGAACCCAGCGATGCCAGGAAACGGCGCTACACAATCGCCGGGACTTTCGATGCCGCTCGAGATGTCGTTGATTTACCAAAAAGCAATGATCCAGCAGCGGCTGCAGCAGCAACAAGCGCTAATGGCCGCACAACTCCAACTTAGCCAGCTTCAACGAGCTCAAACGATGCTGCCGACTTCGAGTCCTCTTCCCATTCCGACTATTCCCGCGCATCCTTTCCCAGTCGCTTCCTCCGCGAGTCCAGCGATAACGCAGCAAGCACAGGCCCTACAACATCTCCTAGAGGTCCAGAAACGCGCCCGCGCCATCCTCGAAAGTCAGAAAATCCAGCTACAGCTAAAGAACTCCTCTCCTGGCGCAGGAAGCCTAGATTCCTTCACCGCCAGTGGCAGCGCATCGAGCGGCAGCAACTCCGACCCGGAAGAAACGATCGTCGAAGTCAAATGCGAAAATTCCATTGCCGCCATTTGAAACTCTTATTTTCTACACTATTTTTTCTCATTACATTCTACACACTGCTCTAATCAAATCTGTATATTTTTACTCGATTTTTTTCTCGATATTAACATTTTCTGCGTATTTTTTTTGCTGAAATGCTCTAATCTGCTATTCACCGACCCTAATAAACTCATCAATTAGGAACAAATCAATGCGGTTCTATCACTCTTTTTGGGGCTCTTGTTTGACAGAAGGCCACTTTTCTTAAAATCGCAGTGGAGTTGAAAATAGGCAAGAAAGTGGTGCAATGGTGGTGCTGGTTCCTTTGATTTGTGTTGTTTTGGAAACAAGCGCAGATGGTTGCGGCTCGAGCTCGGAGGTTAAAAGAATTTTTTTTCGAAAACGATTCAATTTACCCGATTACTGCGCCGAGCGGGCTGTAGACACTACACCAAGATCTTATTTCAAATTTTGTAATTTTTAATCGTAAAAATACAAACATTCATTTCTATAATTCATAATTCCAAAAAAAAAAATGTAAAAACGCAGCTGAGGCGATATTATTTGTTTGGTGTGAGTGGCGCTCTCTTTTTTGGAATGTACTACTGCCTAATTTCCATACCATACAAGCAAGCAAGCAAAAACATTATCATCATCTGCAATAAAAGAAAATGAAAATTGTTCAATACTGCAACTTATCAACAGGCCCGTATAGCAATAAGCGAAGTTTTTGAGTGATTTTTTTATGTATTGAAAAAAGTGTTGATTGCCTTTTGTCGCGCGCAGGTGATGAAACTTTTTTCTAGCGCCTAGGAATCAAAACTGACCTTAATTTCATACCTCTTCAATGAAAATATTTGCGGAACGGTTCTTCACTCTTGCGCAAAAGCTAACCGCAAGAGTTATTTCTTTTTCGCAGAGCAATAAAAGACGCTGCTTTTTCCAAGTTTATAGCGACAAGCTTGTGGATTCAGCTTGGAAAATGGTAAAATTTGTAATCTTTATTTGTTTCTTTACGATTTCACAGCTGCATCCCAAAGCTCCAAAACCTAGCAGACAAGGTCATCATCAAGGTCAGCACTCAAGACATCATCAAAAAAGAAACGCTTTTTATTTTAGAATACAGTCGATGTTTCAGTAAAAGACATGTATCGAGATGAAAGTCGCTTTCTCTGCAATTTTTTTCTCTTTCCAGAAAGCTTATAATTCTCCCTGTAAAAACTGATTTTGATGAATTCGAAGGTACCTCCATTTGAAGAAAAACGAAGATGATGGTGATAGTAATGACATAAATGAAGATCAATATCCCGGCCTAAATTCTCAAATTCAATAACTTCTTTAAATGCCATCAAATAAAATAAGCCGAGTTTGACCCGATTTACCTGAAGAGCAACATTGCACAAAAGGCTGGAATCAGTTCGCCGTGGACATTTCCACTTTTCGAAAAAAATCATTAAATCGCTGCTGCTCATTGAATCTTTTTATCTCCTCCCATTAAATGACTCGCTTTGGGGCTGAAGAAAAACACATTTTAATTTCTGCACATTCAAATTGGTGACACGTGAACAGCAGGCAAATTAGTGTAAGGCTTATTGATTAAGAATTAATCACACTCTTTCATCCCCCCCAACCATTTCTCTTTATTATTCTGCCTCTAAGTCTAAAAAACGTTCCACTTTAGTAATACTACTGGGGGTTATCCAAGACGAAAATTGGAACAGACATATGGAAAATCGGTTACTTGAACCACTCATCGTCAATAATTTGCTGGCTAATCGGTTTCATCTGATTTATTTTCTAAGTTGCGATTAATACTAACATTGACCGCCTTTTTTCCAAAATTACTTTACTCATATATTTTACTATTGATAGTGTTTCAGTTGAAATCGGAAATTTATATCTTGAGGAAATTTTGTCGTCAGTCCTTGTTGTCTTCAGTACCATTTTTTCAAAGGAAGTGCTTTTCGTTTCGCAATCGTTTTCGACTTTTTCGATGGGTTTCTCACGGGTGTGCTTTTCGGTGTCAAGGAAAAGTAGCGGACACATGCCAAGTAAACAGCCGAGGACGATTCTAAACGAAATCAATTGAAAAATGCAACAGAAAAATTGACGAAACTTACCCGAACGCCTGCCCAGAGTTTCGCGCTACTCTCGCATGCGTAGAATCTGCTTCTTGAGCAGAGAACTTGGGAGCTGGGAGTCCCATTCGATCTGCAACCAGTTCGATGTAGCCGCCTAAAGAGAGCATTCCCATTTGCCGATTTGCTACTCATTTTGCTTACCGAAGAAGATTCCTACAACGTCTGAGATGGTGTTACCAAGGCCGGCTGCAGCAAGTACCGATATGTGAAAGTACACGCCTATATGAATCATGCTTTTATCACGAAATATATATTTGCAAACCTAAAGTTGCCTCAAAGTAGTCTCCAGCGATCAACATCACAAAATTATCTAAAAAGCCGAATCCAATGAACGGAACAGCATTGTGGACGAAGCAAATTCGCAGTTGCGTATTCGATGGCTACGAATGTTCGATACAATCAAAGACGAAAACGCTAGAATAAAAGAAACCTTGACTGTAACAGAAGTCCGCGCGTGCATTGCGATATTCTCATCACCCTCTCGACGAAGTCGTCGGAGCTCATGTTCGATCGCCTGTCGCTTCTTCACATCCAGAGTTTTGCAGAATTCTAGTTTCGAAAAAATCCTTTTTCGTTCAATTTTTCTCTGGTTTACCTTTGACATCATAATTCCCAGCTGATTGCGAGGACTTGAAAAACGAACTGTTGAAAGAGCCAGCGGACTGGTTTCTCAAAGACGCTTGCAAAATTTTTCGCCGGAGCATTTTTTGCGCGAGACTGAAAAAGGAACCAGCGAAATCGAAGAAAAGCGGCTTGAGATCTGCATCTGCGCGCGATCACCGTTGAAAAGCCGAAAATACGAATTTCTTTTTAGAATTAATTATTATGTAATAGACTATTAGTAGTTGGCGAGCGTAGCTTCTATCAGCGAGACACGACTGGTAGTCGCGAAGACAGACTAATTTTGATGTCAACAAATAAACATACAAACTGTTAGAATATAACTCTTACTGCGATGGAATTAATCTACTAAAAGAGAGAGTTATAAATTATGGCGGTCTCTACACTTGCAGAGGCACTAGCCACTTTTCAGGTGTTTGCCACTTTTTTATTAAGTTCATTTTTTATCTTGTAAACTAGCTCGAATGCTCTTGGACATCAGCAAAAATCGAGCTGAATCAAAACATCGCCGTCTTCGAGGATTCAATCACAGCTGACAAAATTTCAGATCAAAGCATTTTCCTTTATGTAAACGACAACAACAACGAAAACTGTCGATTCAACAGCCTCTCACACGAATGGACCTTCAACGAATGCGCGAAGAATGGCAAGAACAAGATCATCTACGATCGTAATCATGAAATATTTTCATCGCCAAAGGTGGCTTACTACTTTTTGTCGCTATGAATTGAGTGATTTGAAAGGTTCTTTTCGAAGTGGAGTGTTTGACGGCAACTTCTTCTAAAAGCGTAACAGGTTTTATTAAGTATAAATTAATTCAAAATCCCATTGACGAACTAAGTTGACAACCCTTTTCTCCATGCTGACCAAACTCCCGGCTTTCCTCCTTTCGACGTTGGGTCAATATCTGATAATCCTGACGAGGAACTTGAAGATGTCCCGAAGCTTTCCAGTTTCACTCCACTTGTAGGACTATCGATCTGCATCTGGATTAAGAGTATCCTAGACTGTTCCTTTAAAATTCATCTACACGAACGGTGGCACTGAAGTACCAACTGTAGGAAACAAGCTTCTGGTCGACGACGAAGTAACTGTGTCACTCAATCTTGAGGGCTTTCCTGAAGGAGTTGGAGGTGCATTAGGCAAATGCGGAGTGAGCTTAGCTGGAAGAAAGACAACAATCTTCAATGACGGATGCGCAACTGTAGAAGGAGTCCGTGCAAACGCACTCAATAGCTTTGACTTTGCTCTGCCTTTCTGCAGCGATTTCTCAACAAAGCTCATCGGTAATTGATTTTGGGATGCAAAAAAGCGAAAACACAGTTTTAGAAATATCCTGCACTGGAAGTTTTTGCACAAGTGATTTTTGCGAAGGAGAACTTCCTTTATGCCCGTCTGTTCATAATTTCATATCTTGCTGAAAGAACAATCGCTACTATAAAACCTGCAAAAAGTAATAAAATTTCCCTCTTGTCTTGAAAGTTTTTGATATCTTCCATAGTCACATGAGGGCTTGATATTTTCATCACGTGATTTTTACGCTGAGTAAAAAGATTAATGATTATTGTCTTGGGGGCAAAATCTACCGGTAGTGTCGTTTACTCGTCTTATAAAATCACTTAAGAGCAGGCGGCAAGGATTATTGTTCGTCTCATTGTCCGACTAGAAGCGTTTTGTGTGTCCAAACTACTTAGACCCCGCGCACTCGTGTGTGCCCAAGGGCGTCAAACAAAAATATTACGAGAAGTAGATCGGACGAATAGTTTTATGACTTTTATAGATACTCGATCATCTTCGAGGACAGGAACCTTCTGAGCGAAAGAAAGAAATACTCGAAACATCAAAAGAAAAGAATGAGCCAGAAAGACAAGTCAGAACTCATTTATCGCAGAGTTCGAGAGATTTACGAAACGGAAGAGACGTTTGTCAATAAGCTTAGGAAAGGTCAACTTTGTCAGCTTTATTTGTTTTTGCTTAATTACGCAGAAAGCGGCTAGTAGTAGAGACCGAATTAAAGAGAGTTCATCAGCGCTGGAAAGAAAGGCATCGAGCAGATACCCGAGCTGAACAATGGCCTCTGTGAAAAAATCTCAGACGTTATTCACGCCTTGCGTCCGGGTATAAAAGAACTAAACGTGTACAAATACTTCATTCTTCTATTCTAGTCCTTAATTTTCACAATGAATATCTACTTATCAAGTTGAAAAAATGTGATGGGCAAATGGATGCAGGAATGAGTTAACAGAGCTCTGTAGTAAATTCGCGAATTAAAGTTAGTCACAGTATTTCTGTATTTTCTGTCTACGCGAGTAACTCAAGGATCAGACATCAGAATGTCAAAAGTTGCGGATATCTTCTGTGAACTGGACAACGAAAGTCTTTTTGAAGAACATTACCGGACTTATATCAAGCACTATGCAAAGTACACTCATTTTACGAAGCTGATGAGTCGGGAAGAATACGCGCCCATTCAAGAGCTGATTCAAAATAGCTTGAAACTCAAGCTCGGCCACGACGCATATCTTGTGGAGCCAATTCAACGGGTCTGCCGATATCCAATTCTCCTCAAAGCCGTGTTAAAAAGTGCGGAAGACACGAACTCTCCGGCAGCGGCAAAACTCGCGACGGCGACGGAAATCATGGAGAAGCAGGCAAGAGTGATCAACGAGCTGCAACAGACTGCGGACCATTTTATAGATGCGCGCGATGAATCTGTTGTCAGAAGAACAGTTAGAAAAGCTCGCGGAAAAGCTCTTCGAAGGGATAAAATTCACAAAGCAAAGGATCACAATTTTGTGTCGAAGTTTTTCAACCAGCCGACTTTCTGTGCCCACTGCACCGATTTTATTTGGGGCATCAACGCTAAGCAAGGATTCAAGTGCACTTGCTGCCAAGTCTCCGTCCACAAGCGATGCTACAAGTACATCAATTTCAACTGCACAAGAAGAAGTGATGGAACAATCAAAGCCTCACTAGAAACCAAAGCTCACGATTTCGCAGAACAGAACTATTATAAACCGACATTTTGCGGACACTGCGGCGTCCTGCTTGTCGGATTTACGAAACAAGGCCTGCAGTGTCGAATCTGCTCGCTTAACGTCCACCGCAAGTGCAAAGATCTGGTGGTGGGCTGCATTCCAGAGTCTGAACGCAATGAACGCTATGGCCGAATCAACCTCAAAATTGAAATTTATCAACGACGGTGCCATATTGATATTTTTCGTGCGCATAATCTACCTCCGATGGATGCTAATGGCTTCTCCGATCCCTTTGTCAAGATATCCATAGCTTAGGGTTTTAATCTTTTACTGATATTGACAAAGAGCAAACAAATAACACTTGCACATCTTTAGTAACAGTTTAAACGACTTTTGATCGTTATGAATTCACTTGAAAAACCCTAAAATAAGACCCAGAACCGAAAAATCAGAAAATCAAAAAAATGAAGACAGAAATAAAGTCAAAGAACCTCAATCCAATTTGGAACGAAAGTTTCGTTTTTGAAGTCGGCCAACTAGACGTCTCATCCCGAATTATCGTCTCTGTCTACGACCACGATTCCTTCGGCAGCAATGATTTCATCGGTGCAACTTCTTTCTCCATTTCCGAAGTTCAAAAAAGCACTGTCGACGGGCTTTATCGTCTGCAAAATCCAAGAGATGGTCGCCTTTTCAATCATTTGTTGGAGCACAATACGAACAAGTATGGCGAGCTCATAGGACTGATGAACATTAAAAAATCCGACGATGATAAATCGAAAGTTGCTCTTAGCGACTTTGACCTTGTATCCACGATTGGAACGGGGAGTTTCGGACTAGTGCTTCAAGCAAAGTTGAAATCTGGACGAAATGTTGCCCTCAAGAAACGCGGTTAAAATAATAACTTTTCATCGTAAACAAATGTTGAAACTATTAGACCATCGAAAGTCGAAATAACCCGCATAAAAGTGCATCAGCAAAGGAGAACTCAATACCGAAGCAGACATTGATGCAGTTATCGAGGAAAAAAAGACGCTTCAGCTGTGCAGAGAGTGCAATTACATTGTGGACATTTTAGCTACGTTCCACACACCTGAGTATGTGATGCTTGCTCTTGAATTCCTACCGGGCGGCGATCTGTACTTTCACATTATGAACTCTGAATTCAATGTCTTCTATTTGAACGATGTGCTCTTCTACACGGCTCAAATTTCCGAAGCCTTGGATTTCATCCACACCAACAAGATTATCTACCGGTAAAAAGAGCCACTATATCACCAAGTATTTTCTAATAATGATCAACACTCGCGAAAGAATGAATTTAGCGATTTGAAATTGGATAATGTCGTTTTGGATTCGAAGGGATACGTGAAACTGGTCGATTTCGGTTTGGCAAAGAGCGTGGAGGAAACAAACGGAAAGTCGAGAACTTTTTGTCAAGGGTCATTAAATTTGAGTTAGCTGCAGTCTTGTTATTAAATGCATTTATAACAAATATAAATGCTCAATTATTTTTGACCCCGAGATAAGTGGAACACTCGAGTACATGGCTCCTGAGATTTTGGCGGGATTCGAATATTCCTATTCTGTCGATTTCTGGGCACTTGGAGTTTTAATCTTCGAAATGATCTACTCGATACGACCATATCAATCCCACGACGAGGAGAAACTAAAGCAAATGGTCCTGGAGGACCCGATTCGCTTCCCAAGACAAATCGTAGAAAACACCATCCCTTCTTCTGTTCAAAGTCTGCTCAAGCTGCTTTTGACCAAGAGTCAAGATGACAGACTCAAAAGCTATAGAGAAATGAAAGAACACGCGGCTTTTGAAAATTTCGACTGGGAAGGGTTGAGAAACCGGTCAATCATACCTTCAGTTATTCCAAATGTGGAGTCCAATTTGAACTTCGACCCTGAGCTTGCACATTACAGGAAGTGGTTTTGCATTTTCTTTTTTTGGCATGGATCATGATTCATGGACGATTTTAAAAACCAAAAAAAAGTCCTCAATTATCGCAAGTGCAAAATGTAAATATCAACTTGGATCTGTTCTTCGACAACTTCGAGGAAATTTTCTGTGAAGACTTATTGATAAATTCTGCTAAATAAACGTTCTTTGTTCTCACCTTCCTAATTTCATAAAAACTGCGGTATTTCCAACGTGAGTAAATGAGTAAGTCAGTGGGTGAGGTATTTCTCGGGAAAGCACCTGCATGAGTACATTTTTGTTCTGCCGAATGTTCGTGCCCTCTGGCGTGGCGGATATAAACGTGCGATTGTGTTCCAAAAAGATCCATTCACGAAGAAAAAATGAAAATTTCTGCATTATTTTTGAACGTTGTCGTAAGTTTTAAATCTTCTCCAGAGATAGAAAATTGACCCTCGAGATAATTAATAAAACGAGTTCAGTTTTCTACTGATCCAACTTCGACCGAAGCTGCCGAACAGTCCAGTACAACTGTGGTTACAACGACAGGATCAGATTTAGCTGCTACAGGAGCTTCATCTTCTTCGACGGAATTGCCAAGTTCGTCGACGACAACAACAGAAACGCCAGCAGAGTCTGAGCCATCGGTTGTTCCCGTTTGCCCGCCCCAAAGTGTCCCATCCGTAGAATATGATATGAAAATCAAGACCACCGGAGATCTCTTCGCCGGCACAGATGATCCCGTCTACATCATGTTCAACGGAGAGAACGTTTCAACTAAACTGACTCAAATTCCGGATGACCCACAACCTTCTGACTTTGAACGAGGGCAAACAGAGTAAGAAGAAAAAAATTAAAAATAATTTTCAAAAGTTCTTCTCAGCGAATTTACAGTAACAGTCACTGGAATCGACGAAATCAAATCGGCGACAATCATCAAACCAGGAAACGACAGGTGGTACGTGGAAGACTTCTCGCTCACCGCTGGAAACTCTACTCTCGAGTTTGATTGTTTTAAAACGCGAGTCGATGGCTCCCAAAAACCGCTCGTTTGTACACTAAAAGAAGATGCTGCTGATGATAAATCTGAATGATTACAGACACTTGTGATAATTTACTTGAATTCTAAATAGAATTTCTAAGAAAAAAAATTGTTAATCTCCATTCGATCTTTCAAGAGAATCTGGGCATATCTTGACCTGTTGTTGGTGCAAGAGTTTACGAAGAGGAAATTGCGAGCGAAGTTGACATAGTTTTAAGTTCTGTCGATTTACTGTCTTGACACAACGTACGCATTTAGCACCTTCTCGGGGAAGACTACAGTTGTTGGCACATTTCGAGGCGAGATGAATCTGCATTAAAATAAATTCCCCTGGATAAATTTGGAAAATAAGCAGACAACGGGAAAATAAATTTTTGATAAGGAGAGACACAACGCGTGCCTGTTTTTGATCATCAGGAAAGTGTTTAGATAAGCTTCCAGTCTATGAATTTTTCAAAACGCAGAAAGCAAAATCAATCCAAAAAAGTTGGCACTTGGCTAGACTGAAGCAAGTGTAGAGAGAAGTTTGTGCGTTTACTCTAGTATCGAGATACGCTTCTGAGGCGATAACCCCACTGAATGTGAAAAGCCCTTTCGATTAATAATGTATTTCATTTCGGTCGTTTATTATAGTTAAGAAAAGATGCAAGAGTAAAGAAAAAATGTGAATACTGCACCAAGGCATGGACATCAGAGATTTACAAGAAAAAATTAGCCAGCTAGCGGCAAGCACAATTAATGACTTTGCGAATCAAGTTCAGGTAGTAGCAACTCGCAGCGTCACTCCCCTTTTCTTGAGCATTTAGACACTCCTCAATGATTTCAATTCAACTCAAAATGCCATTCCTTCCAATGAAACAGGTGAATTTCGTTTAAAATGAGTGCTTTTTCGAGTGAGTTTCGAACTTTCTTTATAATCGGGTCAAAGAATTCTTCAAGAAATTCTTCAAGAAGTCAATTTGCTTTATCGAAACCGCGTAAAGTTACTGTCATAACTATCCTTCAACACTGAATATTTTGGAATCCAAATCATGCCCGAACAGAATTTTCCCCTTCTGGCAATAATTACGTTTTTATTCTTTCGAAATAATGCTTTTTGATTATTTAAAGATTTATTTAATATCCATTGACTACATAAACCCTGTCACTAATTGCTTCAAGCTATAAACCTGACTTATCTTTTTAGAAATAGAAGCATCCACAGAAGAGTTTCTATCAGGAGAGTCAGGACGTAATCTAACAGAAACAAACGAACACTCGACTGGATTTCATGGAACCACCACGCTTATTATTCTCTTCGTTCTTTTAGGCATCGTTCTCGCCGCAGCTGTTGGCACACGAATATGGTAGACTAGAGGACTTCATTGAAAACCTGGTCTAACAAATCTCCTTCAGGAACAGATGGCGGAAAGCAAAGTCAAAAGAGGAGGACCGTCGACAAGTTTACTTGTATAGTTGGTACTAACATGGCCTGATGCTTTTTGCGAGATAAACTGCTCCATAAACCTGCGATTCATAATTCTGCCTCATAAACTGCTCGTTTTTGTAAATATTAAAATAAAAAAACGACAAGATTTGTATGAAAGCCATGTATATTTATCCTGACAGAGAAGAAGAAAAAGGGTGCGACAAAGTTGTTCATAAGATTTTAGTTTTCGAACTCATGAAATCTTATGCTTTCGTGTTTTAAAAAGTTTGTTACGTCCAGAATGGAGGAATCATTTATTTAAGCCAATAAATTAAATTTAGGTAAAGCTGTAATGAGATAGGGTCAAGACAACTTAGAGGGTTCTCAATGGAGCAATAAATAATATTCGATATGTCTGTGATAGGGCTTTAAAATCTTTTCAAAAAGAATGATCAGAATCTCAAAATTGATCATTCTAAAAATTAAATAAGAAGTTAAAGCCTTGCCTAATCTGTTGCTTTGTAAATGTTCTTTACTTGAACTTTCTCAAGTCCTCAGAGCGAACGACCTTCATGGTCTTAGAAGAGGCAAACACTCGCTTGGTGCCGACTGTGACCAAGAAGAAGACGGGAACGAAGAGGCCAAGGATTCTCATCAAAGCGAGTTGTCGGTTATCCTAAACAATTGATTGATCTACCTACAAAAATCTGCTTCTTTTACCTTGGAAACATCGGTGGAGTATCGCAGGAAGGTGACGATATCTTTAGCGATCTGGGACATGTATGGTGGAGTGTCATCACCCATCTCCTTGTAGTCAACAGTTTCGTTGTAGATAGGCTTAAATAAACACTGAGGAAGGGATTTATAGAGTTGCATCAGTACCTGAGCCATACCAATAGCACCACCAGCGAAGTAGGCATTGTAGTTCATGCCTTCAGCGACTTGGACACCAGCTGGGGGATCGCAGTAGCCAGTGAGAAGCTAGAACATATATAGTTAATACAATTGTTGACTGTAGGGATGACAGTGGAACTGGACTTACAGAGTAGAGGTAGTTCTCGTTGCCTTCTCGGGCCCAGCAGATGAGGGAAAGATCTGGGGGGAGGGCACCAGCGTTGGCGGCTCGCGCGGCCTTCTCGTTAGCGTATGGCTTGGGGATAGTGTCAAATGGCTTGCATGGTCGAACGACGGGGTTGCCTTCATCGTCGGGGGTGTCGTCGACGCACTCGAACTCCTTGGCAATCTTCTTGACTTCTTGCTCGGTGTGGGACTTGCCGATCAACTCTCGGAAGTAGAAATACTGGAGAGAGTGGCAGGTGGAGCAGACCTAATTGACAGCGAATTGAGAATCGTTTCGAGTAGAGAGATAAAAGCGCTTACCTTCTGGTAGACGTACCAGCCTCGTCGGAGGGCAGCGGCATCAAGGGCGTTACCGAACTTGTTGAAGTCCCACTCGTAGGTAGGAAGGTGGGGTCCGCCACCGGATGCCTTGGCCTTTTTCGATTCCGTGAAGCCTGAATAGGATTTTTTCAAAATCACTTGATGATTTTCGGCAATTTTTTAATTTAATTTATCTTGAATTTGAATGCATAATCTTTGGCAAGAAATCTGTTTTTCCTGAAATTGATTTTTTGGGAAATATCTAATCATTCGTACCGTCAAGGGAGACGAAGAATGTTCCAACAGCGCCGCCGGCGAGTGTTCCGGCTGTAAGTCGGCGAATCGCTTGCATTCTAGAACCGAAGAATTATATTCTCTTGCGACTACGTCATAACGTGAATAGTTTGCCCCCGGGAGCGTGCGTTAGCTATGCAATGAGTTTGAGTGTTGACTCACACTATTGGTCTGATCTTATTTCACGCGCCCGAAGCGAGAAAAAAGTCCTTTTTTTCAAGAGTTTTTTTATGAAAAGAATATTATGTTGCAGTATAAAAATAGAAGCTCAGTTGTTAAGAATATATAAGAATAGCAAAGATCATGTAAGAGAAACACCAGTAACTTCTTGGCAGAGTCCGTCACCATGCGATCGTTCACTGAGGAATCGAGACATTCCTTTGACTCTAAAGAAAAAGGGATTTACTTAACTAGTAGAGTGGAAGCGCCCTTACCTTGAGAAATATTGTCTTGCTTGGAGATGCTTTCTGTGAACCTTCTGGAACATAATGGGACCGTAACCGTCCTCGGGGCTGGCCAGACTCGCGTGCGCTTCTTCTTCTCTTTTGGTGATAAGGAAGCAATTCCACGGGCTCCAGTTTTCAGATTTTTTCCACTTGCAGAGGGTGAGATCTTCCTGCGTGTGCGAAAGGGCCGACTTCATCGACCAAATATTCAAAACGAGATGTCGAATGTCGCCTTCAGCCATTACATAAACAAGCTAGAAAGAAAGAATCACGTGTTATATAATCGCGCCGCAATAGCAAAAGGTGCTCTTACATCTGAGTCTGGATACTTCTTCTTGAGTTCTTTCATCACTTGCTTGATGTCGATAATATCAGGATGAGGATTTGGATTGACTTTTCCGCGGTGCGCAGCGGTGAGCTCGAAGTTAGGCGGAGCAGCGTAAGGCCAAATTGCAAGAGGCCAGTGTGACAAGTAATTCGACGATGAGCCCATTTTGACGACCTTGCTTCTGAGTGCCTCTGCGTCCTGAAAGAGAAAGAAGTGGTTAGAGAAGACGAGAGGAGGTCTACGTACCTGAGGAACAGTGAGATGGCGGGCCGCTTCTGGATTGAACTTAGGATCTCGACAGAATTGCAAGTAAAGATGGAGAATACGCGCGCGTAGTCCATTGAGCAGCGACGAGTTGACGCCGCGTACAAGCATTTCGGCCTCGCGCTCGGCCAAGCCAATCAGTTCTTTAGTGAGTTTACAGTCGGGCACGCCGGCAACAATGTTCTTAAGGGTGAGCAGCATGTCGATGCGCTCTTCACGATTGAGGCCTTCCATTTTCAGTGCGTTGTAGAGATCTCGAAGCTCCTTGGCGCGGAGCGTGTAGCCCGTTTCCATTTCAAACTGGCCGGGTTCTCCGGTCCAATTCACCATTGAAATCCACTTGCCGTCCTTGGCCTTCCATTTTCGTGGGGCAGCACAGGCGTTCAAGAACTTGGCAATTTTCAGGTCTTAATAACAGGGCTAGAAGTGGATCGATTCGTGCAATTAACCTTTAGTTTCTTGATTGGCTCGGATTTTATGTCGGCCAATGGCGGCAACAAGTTGTGCAACTTGCTCTTCGAGAGTCGCCAAAGCAGCCTTTTGTTCCGCCAGGGTTTCGGAGTTCGCCCGGATAAGGGCTACCTGCTCATTTCGCCAGCTCGTAAGCGCCGCCCAAACCAAGTCGAAGTCTTTTTTAGAACGCGGGTTCAATCTCCCTTCCAGATTCTTCTGGCGCCGTTTTCTACGTTCTTCTTCGATGCGCTCCTTTTCTTCTTCGAGCCAGTTCTCATACTAAGCAACTAAGATTAAGAACTTGATTCAATGAAAAAGGCCTTACCGCTTCTCGATCTTCTTTCAACTGCGCAGTAATGATTTTAGCAAGATACCGCCTGAAGTATTTCTGAATAACAACCGCCGCATCGTTCCGTCTTTTTGCTATCGTATCTGCAAGAGTGTATTCACCAGGCGTGATGATGATGTCGTCACGGGTTGAGACATAATGGCCAGGCTAAAAAAAAACATAATTTTCCGCCGCTAAAAGGCGTTTTTTACCTTGGTCATCTGAGTTGAAGCATCCTGCGAAGTTTGGAAAGTGACATTTTTGTACTCGTATGTTTGAGTATCACGATTGTTTCGCTCGCAGGTGATCTTCTTGATGGCTCGATTGGTTTGCGTTTCGGCATTGTGAAACTCTGATTTTTTTTAAATACAAAGATGAGATCATTATCATTTACCGTTGTGGTTGAGTTTGTGCCTCCAGCCACCAAGCCATTGTTTTTTGCCTGTGTAGGGATCGATCTCCACTTTAGTGGGAATATAATCTGGCGTTTCGTTAGTCTCCTCCTTGATTTCAATTGGAGTTATGGGGAAAGAGATATGTAGTTAATTCAACCTGAGGAGTTATTGGCGTATTATTTACAGGATCTTCGTATTGGACTGGGCTTGGATCGTCAGGCAGCGGATGGACCGCGCCATTCTCATCCCAATCTTGCGTTCCCTCCAACGGGTGCTCCATCTTAATGAAAAAGAGGATTTTAGATAAAAACTTTTCCGGGTTGATAGTTCTAGAGATGGTGTATTTAGATTTTTTGTATAAAATTAAATCCCAGGCTTTAAGATATATAAATAAAAAAATACAGAAAAAATACAGAGAAAATTTTTCAATGGAAAACTAGTAAGAAGAAGGTTAGACAATCATTTCCAAGTCGCAGGCATATTCGAGCATTTTTTCTGTAACTTCCTTCGAAGGGATGCCTTCCTTGACTTCTTCACGTGGGAATACGATAACGTTCTCGTCGTAGTCCCATTTGTGCTTCGAGCAGATCTCCTACAAATTAAGATTGTCGGAAAAAGGCGAAAAAAATGAACCTTGAGTTGTTCTGGAGTTTGGAGGCTCATCAGGCGATGAATTTCGCTGGTCTTCATTTCTTTGTAAGCAGATTCAATATTTGCAGCGATTTCGTCACGAACAGTTTCTCGTATGAGCTCCATGAAGTAGCGATAGTCCGAAACGGGGAGCATAAAACTGCGATCAAGTATCTACGCGTTTTAGAACTTCATTCGAAAATTATCCTCCTACCCGGTTATATCGCCCTTCCATCAAGCATCGTTCAATTTTTAGCGGCTGCGTGATAAATGGGCTTTTCTCCATCTCTTCGAAAGTGAACCGCTCAACTTCTGTATGAAACTCGGCGAATTTTTCTCTGCCAAAAGGCTGAAATTTTCCAGCATAAGGTTCATGGAATAGAAAATTGTTCAAGTTACCTCATGAGATTTAGTCCAAGAATTTTGACTCGATCATAGGACTTTGGAAGGACTTCTCTGAAGTCAAAGTGATAGGGCTTGAGCTGGGCGATGTATCTATGAAAAGCTGGAATGTCACGAATTTCGAGGGAGTATAACGCGCCAATTTCGAGCATCTGTCGCGCGACCCGGAGTTCCTAAAAGATGTTGAGCTTTTAGACTTCAGCTAATTATCTTCAATAAAAGAACAGAAGAGCATGCTGGTCGATAAGTGGGTAATTGAATGATAAATGTATGACGATTGGTTTATCTTAGAACCTGTCACCTACCCTGTTCTTATGATATTTATCATATTTAAATTTCGGTTTATTACTCTTTGGCTCTTCTTCCGGAATGTCCATCTTCTCATCCTCGGCCTCACAGCCATTGTCCTTCAAAGGAAGGAAATTCATGCCCGTGATGTGAATTTTGAGTTTGGCGAGGGTTTCACCAGCTGCCTCGAGATTTCGATTTTTAATTGAGAACTCTGTGAGCAGCTGATTGATAAGTTCCATTGCCTTTCGATACTTTTCTTCGGCCGGATCAAGTGGCTTCAAAATCTTACTTCTCGGCGGTCGTCTCGCCTTCATTTCTTCCGACATTTCAGGCAACTTTCTGCGTGCTTTTTCCTTTGATTTATCGTCTGCCATTCTGTAAAATGTTAACGTTTCACTTTTTAGGTAGAACGACGCGAAGTTTATGACTTTGAAGAGAAGTTGGTTAGTGAATAACCAGTAAAATAAATAAATAATAAATAAAAAATATACAGAAACGAGGAACAGTTATTTCGTAAGGAAAAAAGTGGCTCTTTCTTGCTAGTAATCTTCTTGATAGATGAATAGTATTAAACACATCGTCGTGGTTTACATCTTTGCAGCTTTGTCGACTACAGTTTTGAGTGTCTCCCAGACCTCGTTCGCTGTCTGGGTAAATACAGTGGGATCAACGCCGTTTGCTGGGAAGGCAGAAGCAGTCACTCCGATCCAGTTCTAAAAGGAAGTGATTCTAGAGAAGGGCGGCTATTTCTCACGTCATAAACCATGTAGCCGAGCGCGTATCCATCGGGAACCACTGGTCCAAATCCTCCAAGCTTGACGTGTGGCGAGTTGAGAGTGGATGTAGACATGCGGAAGTAGTTCATTACTTCAAAGGTCTTGTCCAGCACGAATTTCGGCTGAAATAAATGATAAAAACAGAGATTAATTCAGATATTTACTTGTTCAGCACCCTTGACGGTTGCTTGGTATCGGATTCCAAAGAGATGTCGATCGAATCCTTCGCCAGAGAGACAGTCTTTAGTCATTACATTGTGGACCTTGATTGCCTTTCTCAAAAGCCTGTCGATTTCACGGCAATCTTCTACATTGTTAAAGTCGGCGTTGACGTAGAACTTGGCGAGTTCGACTGCTTCATGAGTGCAAGGACGAATAGTTTCAGTTCGCCCGTGCTGGAAGGCGCAAGTTGATGCGGACTCGTACGTTGCGCATTGATAGCCTTAGAATAATACGATGCTTAAAGGAGAGTCAGGGAGGCTTACCGTGCAAAAGTCGATGCGCGATTTGAAGGGATAGCTGAAGGAAGCCATCTGCGCCCAAGTTGCGCGAGTTCATCCAAGTTCTGTTGACTTCGAAGTTCTGGCCAAAAGAAACTTCAAGCCCGTTGATTTGCTCGTTGTGATAGTTGATGGCACTTTTGATTTCGGATTTTAGGTTGTCAGATAGGACGAACTTGACTTCCGTGGGCGCGTCGGTAGAGATAGGTGAGCTCATTCCTTTGATGTCCGGGTTGAGGGTGCAGTCCGATTGGATGTGTTCCTGAACTAGAAAAAAGATAAAACTGCATGCAGAGAAGAAAACAGTACCTTTGTTGAAGTAGCTCAATACGCACGCTCCATCGCCCCAAGCGTGCTCAAAATTGAGGCCTGAGGTTCCATCAGGTTTCACGATGATGGAGAAGCTTTTATCCACCCATCGATTTTCCGCTGGGCCCCAGAGCATGGTCGAAAGAACACCAGTAGTGTCAGTTGCTAAAAGACAAAATAAGCAAGTTTTATGCTTTATTCTTTCCGCGTAAATGATGAAATAATGGCGATAACTGGCTCACCACAAAAAGTTTCGTTTTTAACGTCAAGTCTTACTATAGAAGGAGCAAATGTATGTGATCACAATTTTAGTTTTACTTACTGTCATCCTCATCCAAATTCAGAAGGAACATAGCATCGTCAATCAAACTCAGCGCGAATTCGTTTCCTAGTTCGACCAGCTCTTGTCTATTCGCAGTCCATTTATCTCGATCAGTGTTTGCCAAGGCAGATACAGCGAATTCCGTCTTGCCTTTTTTCTCGGCATCGTCGATAATCTTCTCAATGTCGGTGTAGATGTCCTCGACGGATCGAGCATTTCTGTCACCGTTCGGGCCTTTGTTGAGTACGTCTAGAAGGTAGAAGCGGCCACGGGTGAGGACGATAACGTGGTTCGCCTTTTCGTCAGCTTTTCTTATCACATCTTTTTCCGCTGTTGGAATACGCGTCGAGTAGAACAAGTTTTCGATCTGAGACATGTCCAGTGGGAAGCTTCCGTTGGCAGCGTAGGGCAAGTATCGAATCGATTGATTGTCGATGCCCTTGGAAGCGATGGAGATGCGCATCTTTGGTAGAAGCTTGGTGAGTCGCGCAACATTGTCGCTTGGAGGGTCTTTCATGTTGAAAACCTCTGGCGGCAGGTGACCATCGGCGAGGGTGAGATAGTACTTTGCCGAGGCCCAGCAGTACATTGCCGCGCGGGATTTCTGATTGTTCAGTTTTGGATTCGGGTGATCGTTCCAGACAAGCAAAGGGTTGTAGTTTACCGGCAGCGAGCGACGGTCGGACAAGTACATGTCGCTCCACGGAGCCCAGAGATGCGAGCTCTCGGGATGCGCCTTGTCTCTAGCTCGCAGCTCAGCGTCGAGCACAGGCCCATCGTTCTCCACGAATTCTGAAAGATTCGGAATTAAAATTTTAGAGTACTCTAGCAAATCATTACCATTCAAATAACTTCTAACTCGTTGAATATCTTCTTTCGTTATTTCTGGGTGTCCTTCGAGCGCTTCTAGAGAGGTGATATATTTGTGCAGGGATTGATTCAAGGAAGGAATAGGCAGCCGCGGTAACGCACCCTAAAATCCGCTAGAAAACATGGACGTTTTTGTGACAGTTTACTTGGAAATGAAATGTTGGCAAAATCGTCCGGGCAAGATGGTCTCTTGGGTGAAATGCTTTGAGGTAGCTTAAGAAGTAGTTTGTTACTTTTTGAAATTGAAGCGTTTTTTGTACCTCAAGGTAGCATGGAGCTGGCGTCTTGATAGAGGTCTGATTCGATTCATAAAATTGACGATTTCAATCTAGAGAGAAATTCGCTTTAGTAAATTCTGATAAGTTTCTAGGTCAGGATGAGTGAGAGCAGCTTGAGTAATAAAAATACAAGAGGACGCGCACCCAGATTATAAAATCCACAAGATCGAAGGTCGTTTACATGACTCCTTGGCGCAACGGTAGCGCGTCTGACTCCAGATCAGAAGGTTGCGTGTTCGAATCACGTAGGGGTCAAATCCTTTTTATATTTTTTTGTTTATTTTTGCTAATTGTAAAATTCACTGAAGATTTCATAGGTTTTTCCATTGATGAGTAATTGTAGTAACAGTGAAGAGAGGTTGAAGAAGTCTCAGGGAACGATTCTTTTGGCAGCGTTAAGTTTGGTTCAAGTCTTCCTTGAAAATCGGTCTGTTTTCATAATTGCGTTAATTTTCATCCTAATAATCTCTTCGCGGCTTTTCTACTAGAGCGTCCAGGAAGGTTTTTGACGCGTGTTGGCACCGGCACGTGACGAGATGCGGCTCCGCAGGTAGCCGCGGCTATCTGTCGAAGTTTTGCGGCTTAAAAGGGCTCGTTGTCGGGTAATAGAATCGTTGTTTTACCTTTTGGCCTTTTTCTCCTTTGACTTTTTGAGTTTGAGAGCAGCGTCACTATTGCTTCTTGGTTTCACTAGAAAAGAGAGGCTACAAAGGACACCAATAAATATGATTTCTAACCTTTGTAGATCCTGACCAACCAGTTTTCGGTTGTGTAGGCTTCCTCTAAGTGCTTCAACTGAAAATATCCAGATAAGTTATTCATGAAAACGAAAATGTAACTAACTTTTATATTCTTGACGCCGATTTCCGTATTCCTAGTCCGGTCAAAACCCTGCGGTCCATTCATATCTCCATGATCGAATTCCCCAAACCTGTATTATAAACGGATTATTTTCTAGTAAAATAAGCATTCGGTACCTGTAGAAGCTTGTTTTGTACATGACACTGTCTGTGAATGTTTTTGGCGCGCTCGCATCGACTTTGTATTCTCCCTGAATCCGTCGGATAGTTCAATCATCTTTGATCATGAAGTTACCTGTGGAGTGAAATAGTTGGACTCCTTGATTTCATCTGGATGCTCTCCTTCAGCGATTCTGACCATCCAGAGGAACTTGTTGATGTCATCGCCCGAGTAGCCGATGACACCACCGAAGATGACGAGAACGTAGTCAACATTGAGCTCCTGCATTATTTCATAAGCTTTATCTTCATCACTAGCCATTGCTTTGCCCACCATGGCGATGTGCGTGTTGTTCCAAGTATTGTTATCAACGAGGGTAGATCGATCGGCCATACCGGCGATTTGATAGCCGTAGTCCCACCAGGACATGACTCGGGACTCGTCGGGGGTGTTCGTTCGGAGCCAGTAGTATGCTTCGCGAAAGTCGTCAAGAATGTTTCGTGTTCCATCGCGGTTGTGGGTGGAAAGAACGACGGAAGGTGAGGAGTAGGCGTTGGAGGTGACCCAGGTGCAGTGAGTGCCGAACATGAACAAAATCATCACGAGCAGAATGCAAATAATCGAACGCAGTTGATTGGCCACAGCGATTTCTTCTTCGGTTGGAGCTGGTGCGGATTCATCCTCTTCACTCTCGGCAGGAGGCGGCTTCGAGGAAATGAAACGGTTGAACAACTCGCTAAACACGATCGCGGAAAGAATACAGACGATAGGAGTAAGGGTGAGCATGAGGCGGACCATGACGCCAGCGAAATAGGCAGAAAACACGCCGTAAATGATGAGGAAGACGCGGGAGTCGTCGTATTGCTGGACACAGAGCCACAGTCCAGCGGGGAAAACGGCGACAAGAATGTGTAAGTCAAAGAAGAAGGAAGTCCAAGTTGTGGGCTGATGTTCGGACACGGAAGAAATGATAGGAATATGAATGCGAGCGTAACCAGTGTCCCAAAGCGAGTAAAAACGACCACTCCAGGGGGCGACGATCCCCGAGGCCGTCAAGAAGATGATAGCGGCGAGACCAAGAGCGAATACGAGAAGACTGAATATCCAAAAAAGCCGCTTCATTTTTTGCTCGCCTAGGCGATGTTTCAGGAAACCGAAAAAAGCGATGACTTGTACGAAGCCGAAAACCCCGAAAGAAGCCATGTGCTCACTTGTGCGAATCGGCTGGAATCCAACAAAGGGAATGTTCATTGCACACAGTTGCCCGATCGTGTAAAATGTCGTGTACGCTGTGTAATGTCGAAGTGAAAAGCGACCGATGAGGATCAGGACGAACACGTGGAGTGGGATGATGTTGATTATGTACACGTATCCACCCCAAGCAGATACCATGTAGAAATACGACAAAGCGCAGAAAGTAGCCCACTAAAAATTAAAGTGAAGAAATTGAGTTGGCAATTCATAAGAGACATACCATTATAGAACCACTTTTCATCGCCTTGATCCACAAGAAATAGGTAAACTGGAGAGCGAAAATAGCGATTCCTTCATTGTCGTAAGAGCCAGCCACTGATCTTGAGATGTATCCTTATGTAAAAAAAGTTTAAAATGGATAGATAATCTTTGTCTTACCTGGTGCAATAGAGATAAAAGCAGCAGCAAATAAGCCTGCTCCATCGGACCAGAGCTCCTTGAAAAAGATTTAGGGGGTGTTTCAAAGAGCATGTTACCTTAGTCAAAAGATAGGTTGAAAGAGCTGTTAGCCCAGAAAACAGGGGAGCGGTAAAGACGCAAACATCCTTTATAAGTACAGAAAAGCCGAGAAAATTGGAGATCGAATGGATGATCCCTGCTGTCAACATGAGGCCAGGATAAACAGTGCCGCCGACAATGCGGCCAAGCGGATACCATGCTCTTTCGTCGAACCAATTTAAAAACTCGTAGAATCCGTGTTCTGTCAAACGCTTTGTCGCACGGAAGTTGAACCAGGGATCGAACTCGTGGATGATCGATTCAAAGCGGATCACAGCAAAAAGCCTGCGATTGACGGGATCATCATTTTTTATCAAAGGAGTTTCTTCTTACCTGGAACTGAATCCGAGAATGCACACTGATGTTAGAATAACAATCGTTAGTAACGACTTGATTGCTTTGACGTTGCTTTGACATTTCAAGTCGACGATCGGTGTCACGGGATCAGACATTTCAAAATCATGCAACGATTTCTTAAAAAACGATGTTCGCTACTTATCATTAGGATGGGAAAATACGCGACTTATCACAGCTACTGATAAATTCAAAAATTGTTGATAGAACAATTACAAATTAATTTCACTTTTTTTAAACATCAACGTTTATTGGGTGTTTTTTTTCGGTATTCAATGGCAGTAAGTGAGGTGGCAAATAAAATTGAGCTAAATGGAAAGCAAGAAGAATTCTTGCTTTTAATTTTCTTGCAAGTTGTTCTCCGTCGTGGACGACACGGCTTCGGACAGACCTAAACAATCATTTCAACGATTGGTTTTAAGAAAAAGTCTCGTACCAGGAACGGAGTGATCATTATCCGTGTTCTCCCCAAAGAAATGGAATCGTTGTCCGCTGGACTGGACGGCTTGAGGAGCAGGGGAAACAAGGGCCTGGTTTCCTTCGTGCTGAGATCTCGTACCAACAAGGGTGGGCGTATGTGGCACGCATCCGTCATCATCATCGTCATTTGTGACGTGGATGATGCCTAAAAAGAGTTGTGAAGAAGCATTTGAAGAGGAGTTTTTTACCAGGAGTAGTTGGGATTCGAGCAGGAATGGATCTTGGCCGAGAGAGACCAGTGATTCCCTCCAATGGTGGAGGCACCGAGCGAACTGGCGGATCCACCTCAACAGTTGTCGAGACAGTTGGAGCATCGTCGATTTCAATCGACTCGTTCGCCGCTGCTTGTTCATCCTGCTCGTCGTCAAGGATCTCGACAGGCTCATTATCGATGTCGTCGTTGTTATCTTCAGTCATGTCAATAACTTCCGGCGCTTCTTCGGCTGCGGGAACTGCGCTTTCGTCCTGACCTTCTTCGTCCAGCTAAATAACAGTTAACATAGTTCAGCTAGAAGGGGTTACTTACGTTTTCGTTGAGATCGTTTTCCTCGTCGATGGTGATGGGCTCTGCTGCCGGCTCGGCCTCTTCAAGATCATCAATAGGAATTGATGTCGACGGCTCTTGGGAAGAAGAAGCATCTTGGGACTCCTGAGACTCTTGATTGATACGGAATCGCTTTGATTCGCCGTCTTCAGAGTCATTGGTGTCTGATCGACCGCGTTTTTGAGCGCGTGGTGGGGAGCTGATCATGTCCGATTGAGTGGGACCAGACTCGACTTGGATCGTCTGCGCTGGAGCAATCACAGTTGTCGAGCTTGATACAGCTTGGGACACAACTGGCTGTGTCACGACAGGCATTATTGGCTCGTCCGGTTGGCTGGAATCTGGAACCATGGTGACGGATGAAGAAATCGACGAAGCCTGAGGAACGAGATTCGAGGCGCTGTCCGCTTCGGCATTGACGACAGTAGAGTTGGAAGAAGGCATGGGTGAAATGATCGCCTGGGCAGTGGTGCTTTCCTGGACGTCTTCAACGCGAGTCGGAACGACATGTCCGATGACGCGGCCTTGGGGCTTCTTGGGCTCGCGCTGCTGCGGAGTCACTTCAGCGACGGATTTCGGCTCTGGATTAGATTTTCAGTAAAAAAGTTGTCTAAAGCATTGAACTCACCTGTGGCAACCTTAGGCTGAATGGCCGGTTGCTCTTTAGCTTCTGGAGTGATCTCTCGCTCCTTGGCTTTCTCTTCGTCCAGCTCCTTCTTCAGCGCAAGAATCTTGCGCTTCGCGTTTTGCATGAGGCGGTTTTTGTCCTCTTTCGCCTTGTTTAACTCTGCATCCATCTCTGCCTGTCGCTTCTTTTGGGCTTCGATATCGTCTCTTCGCGCATTCACTTCTTTCTCGAGCCGCTCGTTCAGGTTTTTGATTTTTCCCTGAAACATTTTTTTCATTATGTCCATTTCCGCCTTCGTGTCGCTCTGCATGCCGCCGAGGATGTTTTCGTCGCCTTCGGTTTGCGTATCTTTCGCGGTGCTGAAATACCATATAATTTTAAATAAACCTTTCTAAAATGTACCTTTCAGGCTTGTTGCTCGCTTTAGCCGCGTCTTCTTTGAGTTTTTTGTTCTCATCCCGATGCTTGACAGCGATCGTTCGAAGACGCTTGACCTTGTCCTCTGATTCCTTGAACTTAGCCTGGAGAGTCTCCAGCTCTGTTTTGCTCGACTAAGATGATGATTTTTATTTCGGAAAAGTAAAATTGGTAAATTACCGCGTTATCAGCCGAGCTCGCCTCAAGAGTTTTTTTGTCTTCTTCAAGCTTCGCGATCTGAGTCTTAAGCGCTGCGGTTTGACCCTGAAATAACCTCTGAAAAAGAGTTTCCTTTGAAGATAAATATAGTAACCTTGAATTCGAGAAGCTCGTTTTCCTTGCCCCGGAGCTCGGCATTCTTCGCATCGACAGTCTTTTTCCACTACGATTAGGTATCAATAAAAAGGTAATCATTTTTAGTGCTTACTGTATCAGACTCCAGTCGAATCTGCTTGACCTTTTCGATCGATATCTTGCCGTGGTTTGCCTTTTTGATCTCTTCCTGATGCGCTGTTTTGAGTTTTTGGACTTCCTCGGCGTGCGCTTTCTTTGCCTCAGTGAGCTCCTCATCTTTCTTGTCCATTGTCTGCTTTGCCTCGGCTTCAAGTCGGATGAGTGGGCGCAGTTGGTTCTCGAGCTCGGCGATTTTCTGCTCGTTGGACTTGATCTCCTCGAGTGCGCGGTTCTTTTCATCGCGAAGGACGCAGTTGGACTCTTTAACAATGTTAAGTTGGTTAACAGAGTCGACGAGTTTTCGGTGCTGCTCTTCCGTCATCGATGGCTTTTTGGCCAAAGCCTCAAGGTCGGACAGATGACGTTTTAGCTCGGCGATCTGATCTTCCTGCATGCGAGTACGAGTCTGGAGTCGAATGACCTCGGTTTTGGCCATGTCTCGCTCGCCCTCGGCGATAGAAACATCTCGACGCATGATCTGTGAGAGTTCAAGAAGTCCAGAACTGTCTTCAGTGATGCTGATCTAAACAATGAAGATAAGTTGACGACTTCGGACTTGTGAACAAACCTGGCTAGAATCGAGATTGGCAATTGAACCTCGTCGTCTTGAGTCAGTGACTTCTTTGTTTAAAGCTTCGAGCTGCTCATGAAGAATATTATTCTTTCGGCTCTGTTCCTCAATTCGAGTAGCGCCCTAAATCAATTGTCATCAAAGCACAAATATCGATAAAGATACCTCCTCAACGCGTTTCTGAAGCATTTCTTTCTCTTCCTTCCACTCGCTAAATGCTGCGTCATTTCGGGCCTTTTGGACGAGGTTTTCTTCGATGAGTTGGCGATTTTTCAACTTTAGCTCATTCTGCTCCGCCTTGTACTTCTGAACCTCCGAAAGTGCTTGTCCACTGGCAACTACTTGGTTCATGTAGTTGTCGTTCAAGTGGGAGAGCTCATCGGCCTTCGCGTTCAAGTTTTCTTTCAAGCTCAAGATCGTTGAGTTGAGAGAGTCGATCTAATTTAAATACAGTTCTTATCGAATATTTTAAGCGAAAAAATACCTCAGTACGAAGATTTTGAATGTCTTCCGTGCCAGACTCCTTTTTGAGTCGCTCGATTTCGCTACTTTGATCAGAAATAGTTTGATCTCTTTCGACGACTGTTTGCTGCGCCTCCTCGATTTCTTTGTCTTTGCAAAGCTTAATTTTCGTGAACTCTTCGATGCTCTCATTCATTCGCTTCTCAGCATCCGACGCGATCTTTTTGAAATCAGCAATTTGAACATCTTTTCGCTCAAGATCTTCTTTCAAAGATTTTATATCGACTTCGTATCGCTTGAGTTCGTCGCTGAAGTCCGAAGCTGGCTTCATTTGGGAACCGGGTCCTCCTGCTCTCGTCGGACTCTTCGAAAATTGAAGCATCTGCCGTTGCTTGATTCGTTGGAGCTCTTGAGCGAGAGTCGAGTTCTTAAAAATAAGTTGACTTTAACCGTTACTTTTTTAATAAATAACCTTGTTGCGCTCTTCTTCAAGCTTTTTAGAGACGGTTTCTTCCTGCTGCTTGAGTTTTTGAATGGCGTCGGCATGCTCCTTGTGGATGCTCTCGATTTTGCTCTCATAAGCTTGCGTCTTGGCGATTTCGGCGTTGAGATCACTCTCGAGCTTGATAGTGGTGGCGGTCTTTTGCTCGGCGAAATGCTGCTGCAGTTTCGTCATAGTGTCGAGCACGGCGCTCTGCTGGAGTTCGTTCTTCTCAATATTCTTGAGTTGTTCTTTCAAGTTGTTGATTTCCCACTCCAAGTTGGAGTTCTTGCTCTTAGAAGCGGCCAGGGCAATTTTGAACTGCGACTTTTCTTCAATTGCTTCCATGAGAGAAGCGGTGATGTTGGACGAGTTCTCGCTCTCCTTCTCGAGCGTTTTTACCAACTGCTCGTGGGATGAGTTAAGCGTCTCTACCTGCTCCTTGCATCGTTTCAGCTCGTCCTCTTTCGTTACAAGAACAAAGTCTTGGTTCTTGATAGTGACCTCGTACTTGCTGATCCTGCAGGCTAAATCGTTGCGCTCCTTTTCGTGATTAACAATCTCCGAATATTGACAAGTGTTTTTCTTTTGAAGCTCTTCGATTTTGAACTTGCACTGGTCCAGTTCGCGCTGCAAAGAAGCCACAAGTTCCTTATCCTTCGCATTCGAGAAGGATTTTCTTGGAGAAGGCACCAATGCGGAGGTTTCTTCGATGGAACGAACACCATCGTCCATCTCATTCTCTTCGTCTTCGATTCGTCGCCGTTCGAAGTACTCGTGCCAACTTTCCCGTTGCTTTTTGATTGCGTTCAGCTCAGTTTCGATGTTGCTACGTTCGATCTTCTCAAGCTCGAGAAGATGACCCATCTCGTTGAGCTTTGTTTCCAGCTCTTCCGTGTTCAAGTCAGTAAAGGCCTTGTACTTGAACTGAAGGGCGATGAGCTCATTAGTCTTGTCGGAGAGCTGCTTCTGGGTGTCAGTGATGATGTTATCTAAGTTACTTCCGTCTTCGATTTTGTGAATCAAATCGGCATTGCGCATGTTGAGCTCCTTGATTTGAGCGACGAAGATGTCATTCTCTTCAGCGAGCTTTTGGCGCGATGTTCTCACTTGATGACACTCGAGTCTAAGCGCGCCCAATTCTTGATTCGAGTCTGCCAACTGATCCGTTAGACTCTGGATAAACCCTTGCGACTTTTCATACTCGTCGCGCATTCGCTGGAGCTGGGGCTCTTTGTCTTTGATCTCGCCCATGATTTGACGCTGCATCTGCTGATATGCCTCGTTTTCCGCCTCGAGTTTTTCCGCAAGCTGGGACTTAGTGATGTACTCTGAGTACATCTCGGTGAGTGTCATGCCTGATCGGAGGAGCTTGATGGCAGCAGCAGCTATTGGACTAAATTCCTCTAGCTCGTTCTTGTCAAAAGCTGGCCCGGTTCGTTTAACCTCGGAGAGCATGTCGTTGGCAAGTTTGAGCTCTTCCTCCATCTTGGTTTTTCGCATTTCGAAATCTTTCTCGAGTTCCTCGCAGCGCTGGACGGTCTCCTTCAGCTGCACGTTCTGCTCGAGAAGCTGGTGCATATCTGCACGGAGCTCTTCGACAGTTGCGCTACTTTCTTCGCCCTTCTTTCGATGCGTTTCTAGCTGCGATTTCAGAAGATCAACAACGCGGCCCTGAGTGAGAATGTCCGTTTTGTAGAGCTGCTCAGAGTCGGCGAACTCCTTCGCTCGCTCTTCAAACTCGTTTCGTTGCTGGAGAACCTGGTTGGTTTTGTACTCCAGGTCGCTTTCCAAAACTTGAATACGGTTCTCCAGCGATTCGATCTCTTTTTGTGCATTGTCAGCTTCACCCTTTCGATTTTTTCGATCCTCATCAGCAAGTTTTTTTGCAGTTTGATATCTCACCTTAGAGATTTCGGTTAGACAAATTAATGTAAAGAGAGATACTATCTTACCTTTTCGTTATCGAGCTCCAAAGTGAGACTTTGATTTTCGATCTCTAGCTTTTTTGTCGTTGATCTCAGTCGCTCAATAGTGAAGCCATCGTGTCTCCGTTCGATTTCGAGAGTGTCCAACTGTCCTTTCACCTGGTTTTTCTCTTTCAACAATGTATTCGCCTTCGTCGCTGTTGACTCGTACTCTTCCATCAGATTCGTGAGCTCTTCGTCTTTTTGTTTGAGCACTTGCTCCAGCCGCGACTTGTCTGTCAATACTCGATCTCTAAAGATTTAAAGTATATTATTTGAAAGAGATGGAAATTATTTACCGCTCGACTTTGATTTTAGTCAAATCGCCATCCTTGTTGTGCATATTTCGATGACATTCCGCAATTTGATCTCGTAGTGCGTTGAGCTCGGAGAGAAGGGCAGTAGATGCTCGTTTGTCTTGATCATCTTGTTCGGCAGTAGATTGATTCAGGGCAGCAGAGGACTCGGTCGCTTTTTCGAGCAGGTGTTTTGTCTAGTTAAAAAGAAGATGAAAGAAGGTATTTAAGGAATTATAGGTTCACCTCATCTAACTCATTTTTAAGTCGCTGAACTTCGATCTTTTTTCCATCATCATCAGCATCTGGCAGTGCTAGTTCGAGCTTTTTGATGATATTAGAGTTTTTGATCGTCGATAACTCTATTGGTGTCAGTAACTTGCCGAGTTTATCTGTCGATAGTTGGGCCGAAATCTTTCGCTTCGGTGCCATCTTAAAATTATAAATTTGAGTGAAGCATAATAGTAATGATTGTATAGTTTCTCGCAGTTGTTGAAGATGAATGAAGGGCAGTTAGTATAGTATACAGTATATGGATGGAACTTTGTCTCTTTGTAGGTCTCTTTCTGAAGGATCTACTTGCTTCACTCGATATAGCAAGGTCGAATTATTAAACTATCTCTGTCCGAATGCCGATTTTAAAGACGAGTTGCTGACGTGGCCTGTAACGGTTGATCGAAAAAGATCAGTTTTGCGATAAAATGGGTCGTTTCTGATTTTTCGTGGTGCTCAGACGCCAACTTGGAGACGTTTTTTAGCAAAAATAAGACCAATCCAAGAAGCGCACATGTTGGCCAGCTAGCTTCAATCTAAAATAAGTGCAGTTGACAATTCTTGAACTTTATTTATGTATTGAATGGATACGCGAGGAATAGACAGAAAGAAGAAATGTGGTCAAAATGAAGAAGCAAGAATGAAGAAGATGAAAATGGATAACTCATAGTGGCGAACTCGCTCAATAGTCGTTGTAGTCATCAAGCTGGGCTCGATAGCCAGGCTTGTTTCGATAAAGAACATAGTGCTGAACGATGAAAAGTGCATCGAAGAGAATGGAAAAGAGCCCAAGGCCGAACTTCGTTGGATCGCCAAAAATGTTGCTGAAGTCGTTGTTGTTGACGCCTTGAAGCATCATTTGGAGCATTGAAAGGGATCCTCCAGTGAGATCAAGCAAGACGTTGCCAATTGACCAACCTTCAGTTGATTTTCGCCTTAAAATGGAAGTTTTAAACAAAGAGCTAGAAAAAATTCATTGCACCTGTAGTTCATGAGAGCCTGTGGGATATATTTGACAATTGTAATGGCGAGTTTGACGGAAGACAAAATTATCAGGTAATCTAGCCAGAGCATACTACCAACGGCGGGAGCGATACAGCCCAAAACAGCAGCAAGAATACAAGCGCCGGAAAATAACCAACCGAATTTGCTTACTTTTTGACCATTTTTGTCGTAAATGACAATTTGGAAGCCAGTGAAGGCAGAGGCGAGAAACGCGTGGAGAGAAAAAAAAATCTAAAATGATTTTGGAAATACTGAAATCAAGGAAGAGTATTTACATCATTCGGCAAGACAGGATTGACACCATCATGCCGTCGCTCTTCATATTGTGCGAAAATATTCTTGCTGAAGAAGAGCGCCAAATTGTACGCACTGTAGCACGCGAATCCGATGGTGTTGAGCAACACAAAATCAAAATTCAATCCCTCAACATTTTTACGCTTGAAATTGAGCCAGATTTGTGGGTAGAAGGATACTGTCCAGGCGACAAAGTACATCCATCCGATGACCTCGTTGAAGACATAAAGTGATTCGGATTTGATAACGTTCACTCGGGTCACGTCATCGGTCGAGTTTGTGTCGTTGAAATTGATGAACTCTTGGCCGATGGAGACAGACTGGAGGATAATGGATGAAGTGTTACTGTCCAGATGAATTTTGCAGTTGTAGGAAGAGAGTGACCCAGAGAGACATGTTATGTTCACTAAAGTTTCCGATAAGCTCAAAGGAAAACTAGATTATAAAAATCGAAAATGCTGGCTTTACCTATCGAATCGGTATAATTTGTATAGATGTATGCGTCTTTCGCTTCGTCTGAAGAAATCTCCCAGCTTCCATTTTTCCCATTCTGTATCCTTATAGAACCAGGTATCGCCACATCCGAGCCGAAACCGAATAAGAGCGTTGAAATAAAATGCAGATCCAACATCCGCTTCACACGAACTCTTAAAACTACAGGCTAAGTCAGAATCAGCTTCATTCCTCAAGACTATTGACAGTAATATACAGTGAGCAATCAGAACAAGGGACGTCAACAGGAAAGTCCACTGTATTCCTGTCTATAGAAAACACTCCTTGGCATCTACATTGATAACTTAGATATCCGCTATCTTCGTCATCGGTTTCAAAGTCGAGCAAATCAAGTGTGCCTGAAGAAGGAGCACTTTTCTTGATACCAAATCGTTTATCATAATCTACAGGGGGATACTGGAACAAAAGCTATTATAAATATTCAAAAAGGCATCTGTATAATATCAAATTTCTATCCCCTATTTGCTAATCGTAACTCTTCATCAACAAGAGTCTTGTAGGCAGTAGTTAACCGGTCGAAAAGTGAGCTACTGTATTGAGTGTTCGAGTTTTGAGAACCGCACTTGTCCGGATGAGCCGACCTTGCTTTATTTCTATAAGCAGTTTTTATCTCGCTTGTGCTCGCGTCTGACTTGACTCCCAAAATATCATAATAAGACATTCTGAACCGTTATCACATTTATTCACGGACACAAGTTTTTTTTCGTTTTCAGTTGACTAAGAGTTTTTTCTACGTTCTGGCAGCATTGTCAAAATGAGTCTAATTCCGCCTTCAAGGTCTACAGCGGCCGCTGAAGGCGGTGCGGATGTTAGAAAGTCTTTTTAAAGCCGAACTTCTTCCTTTCGTAGAACAGGTCAGTCTTCGCCGAGCCAAGATTGACAATCTTTGGGCAACCATCTCTGTCCTACAAAAGATAAAGGTAACTTTCCTTCAATCATATTATTTTTCACCTTCTCGAGCTTGGTGCACTCACGGCAGTAGTACGCGTCCGAAATTCCTGGGCCACCACAAATCACACAGCGACCCTGTTTAATTGAAACATACAAAAAAGTTTGACTTGAGCTTGATCTACCTGGAAGGAGCCGTAGTTACATTCGTCACAGATACGGACAAGGGTCGACGGTCGAACATAGGAGTCGCAAATGACACAACGACCATCACACTGGTCAAGGTTTATTAAATACTACTAGAAAAAGGGTATTGACATAACAATCATTCGAATGACCGAAAAATGTCTGGTTTATTGAAATTATCGAGCGTAAACCTCTTCTTATCACAAAGTCTTCCGATGGCAACACCAGCTTGCTTACGACAAAAAATCAAATCTGGATGATGCTTCGCCATCACCAAATGTCGATGACAATAATCTGATTAAATTTTTGTTACGTTTATTGTCTGTATAAAACAAGTCTTGCTGATTTCGAATTCTAGTTTAATGAATTCCAGTTGAATCCTAAGCACAGGTTTTTAAATAAAATCCGAGCCAATAAATAAGTTTTTTTATAAATTAAATTATCGAGGGGGAACAGGTGAACATTCTTCTTTTTTTTTTTGTTTAGATTTCATAGTTTTGAGGGAAGGCATGGACGTCTCCAAGAACAACCAAGGATTTAGCGGAGGCAGCGGCTTCGGCGGCGAACGCGCTAACTTCATCGGCGATAACACCAGAGACATCAGAGACCTGGCCAGTGGCAACAGCGGCGACGGCAGCCTTGTCGCCCTAGAAGCAATTAATAACCGGAAATTATTTTGAAAACGGATAAAAATTATATCACATAGTTTTGAAGGAACTTCTTGTGAAAAATTAGGACTTCGAGAGAATGCCGAGTTAAAAGAATGGACTTACAGATCCGAGCGCAACAGCCTGGGCAAGAGCAGCGCTCGAGACGGCAGAGGCAGCATCGAAGGCGGCAAGGGAGCCAAGCTTGGTGGAAAGCTCAGCTGGAGAGTGAGCAGAAAACTGGATGACCTGGTTGCCAGAGTAGCTGATGACCTTGCCACCGAGGCCAGCGGCGACAACAGCGGCAACACCAGAATCGGTGCCAGTGGCGTTGATACCGACGACGGCGACGGAGGCTCCTGGTCGAGCGATGCGGACCTAGATCACAAATAAAACAAACAAAAGTAGATGAATATAGAACCTGTCCAGCATAGAACTGGGAAGCAACACCAGCGTTGTTGGAGAAGGTGTTCTCCTGGAGCTGGGTAACGATCTTCTGGAGGAAGCTCTCAGAGACGCCGGAGCCAACGACGATCATGTCTTCAGTACCGTAGTGGCTGTGGTGGAAGTTTCGGGCCAAGTTCTCGAGGATTTCATCTCGCTCTTCGAGCATTCGCGGGTTCTCGGAACCGTAACCGCCAGTGAAACCGTTGTTGTTGGAAAGACCACCCTGATTAAAATTCATTTTCAAAAAGGATGATGAAAAAGCTTACAGTGAAGGAAGCCTGGTGGAAAGCGTTGTCAACTGGGCAGGATCCGTTAGCCTTGGCCTGGCTCCATGGGTGGAACATCTCGTATTTCAAGAAGAGAGGCTGGTTGATAGAGGGGACCAAGACATCGGTGGCGAGCTCCTCGATGGCCTTTGGACCGGCAGAGATGGAAACGACCGTTCGCTCTCGGTTTCCAAAGGTCTCGAACTCACCGCCCATCAAGTTGACCATCTAAAAAGGGAAGTCATGATTTCGTTGGGGTGAAGTTGGCATACTCGCTGCTGGAGAGTAGCAGTGTTTCGGTAGTTGGAGAGACCGAGGGTGTATCGGGTGAAGGTGGCAGCGCCAATGTTGGCAGCGGTTTCATTGGCCGCACCAGCCTTGATGGAGACAGCAACCTAAACAACGTTGGTAGGTATTGAAAAGTATGCTTGTCAATACCTGGCATGCTGGGGAGGAGGCGGGAAGTGCGATAGCGGTGATGCCACTGGAGTACACCTGCGTCGACGCGTTTGCCTGGACGAGAGCTTGAGCACTCTTAGTGAGGGTCGTACGCATCTCTGAAAACAAAACTCTCTGGTTACTATTGTTACTATCAATCCTTCGAGTAAATTAAAATCTAGGTTAAATTCCAATCGAATCAATGATTCGAGCGATGACGAGCATTAGAGAATCTGTTAGTCATTTTTGTTCAGTTAGCAATAGTAAACATTACACATGAACAGAGACAGAAGAGAGAAAGACGCATTCATGGCGGCCAATCAGCGTCAACTCGTTGCCGCCTCAATCGAGTGTGCCCAAGAAAAAAGAGCTATTTTAGCATATACAGTTTTTAATTAATCAACACTACTATGCGACTTGGACCAGTGGGCTAAAAACAAAGACTTTTCTAGAAAGATTCCTGATATTGATTGCACATTTTAATTTAATCAATTACAAACAATTAATCAGAGGAAACAAGAGGAGCCGACGCGATCTCTCGGGATCAGGCGAAGATCAGAGCCATGCTTGAGGAACACGTTTCCGGCTGATTGCGAAGGATTGATTCCGATACCGTCTAAATGGAGTTAAATCTCTACACGCGAATCTCTTTGCGATAAGTACCGTTAGTGATAATCGCTGACGTGGCGGCTGGGACCTTGAACTGCTCAGCGGCGTATTTGAGAACAGCAGTGAAGGGAGCTTCTTCGGGGACGTTCAGACTGAAAAGTAGTGATTGGAGACATAGAGGAGTACACTCTGGGACTTACACTTTGAATGGCAAATTTGGATCAGAAGTCAGCGTTATTTTAAACTTCACTTTCGACTTTGTTGCCGCAGACATTCTGAGTACTGTTACAGGACTTTAGACTTTAGTTCGCTTGAATTGAATCTACAGAATATTGTCAAACAGTATGTCAAAGGACTCAAAGTATGTTTCATTCGAGGATGCGGATATATAATTCGGTCGAAACCCGTGCCAAGGGACTATGAGGGCGCTGCCATCTGAAGGTCCCAAAAACTGAAGAATCTTGAATTATTTTAGCACGAGTTACTCTATCTTACGTGGAGTAAAATGAGGATGAAGTCGATAAATGCTCCGATTCCAGCCATTCCACATGTTGACAATTTAATAAGGCCAATCACAGGATATCCGAGATAAAAACGATCTAAAGAGCAGTTGAACAAGAGTTTCTTTAACAAACTAATAGTACCTATACCAAAGACACCAAGAAATATGCTAAGAACGACGGCAGTGGCGTAATATTTTCTATTTGTCCAGCGACAAGGAGCGAAGACTTGAATCGACTCTGAAAAGACGGTCCCGTTGAATTGCTTCTCCTGGCCGCCATCTTCTGTACAGTTGATGCCTTTTAGCGGGGCACAGCGGAGTCGGAGCTGCTCTTCGCGAGGGCATCCTGCGTATTCTTGAGTTTCAAGATCGATCGGGGGCAACTCGCAGATAAATTGATTTTTTCGTAAGTTCCGACATTCAAGAGCGCTTGCGATCGCTAACAGAAAACATATTAGCATCTGAATAAGTAATATAATGCAGTAGCTTGTACATAAAAAGAAGAAAGATACGCAACGGCTTTGAAGTTTTTCAGATTTTTTTTTGGATTTTGGATTACGATCATTAACCGAAATCATCGGATCTTCAATTAGAAAAAGGACAAGAGGGCAGTATGAGGAAAGGAAAGAAATAGAAAGAGTGAGGGAGAGTGACAAATTTGAATTTTTCCTAACGTACACAATAATTTAGACCGACGATAATGAAATTTTTGTTTTTTCTTTTTTTTTTCTTGATTTTCGGGTTTACAAGATTCCTTGGCGTCGCATGTCGTCGTATGTCTTTCGATTGACAACGTTGCCCAGCGAGTCCTCGAATTCTTCGTCCATGTGCGGGTTGAACTTTTCCGACGCTTTTTGTTCCTTGAGCTTGGCCCAGAGCGCGAGGGCGTCTTCGATCTCGGTGACGTTGGCGAAGTGGGCAGTGTTTGGGATTCCTAAACAGCGCATACCGTGCGCGTGTCGCCACTCGCTGAAATGGCGCTGGAAAGCTTTAGGCCCTCGGTAAGTTTGGTTTCCGCAGATCTGGCACTTGTAATCGATGTTGAGCCCGTGCAGCTTGTAGAGCCAATACGGAATTGGTTTACCGTCCCAGCCGAGTGGCAAGTTCTTCGGGTTGTAAATGATGTCGTCTTCTTCCTCTTCCTCCTCTTCTTCGACGAATTCCTCGTCTTCCTCGTCCTCCATTCGCTCGTCCTCAGTTCGTGCTTGTTTCCGCTCCACATTGTCGCGTGTCATCTCGCGTTGCTCCCCGAGGATTTCAATGAGACGATAAATCTGTGCTTCAACAAATGCAATCTCTTTCTTTCCATTTCTTGCCGCCTCTTTTCCTTTGCCACTCTTCTTCGCTTTGATGGAAGCGGGGATTTGATCATCGGAGAGGCCCTTAGTCGAAAACAATCTCTCCGCACGGTTAGTCAGTGTTCCACCGCACTTGAGCCCAAGTGCCATCAACGCCGATTTGAGACGATCGAGGCCGAGTTTTTCAAGCTCCTCAGCTGAGTTGATATTCGTCAGATCCAACGGAGCGCCGGATGATTTGAGCGCAGTGTTCGATTCAGTCCAGCCAGGAAATTGACCCTTGGCCCATTGTTCTTCAAAGTCCTTTTTGGTCTCAAGAACGTCCTGTTCGAAGTCGATGAGTGGCTTGACTTTTTCGGCGTATTCGTAGAGATAACTCATCAGGTTATTGACGTAATCCTTGTACGCGAGCGAGTTCTTCTTGTCCTTGGAGATGTCGAAGAGCTTGTCAAAGATGGTGAGGTAGTCGAGATACTCGATTTTGCTGATTCCCTTGATGTTGACGTAGCGATTGTAGTGCTCGTGCAGGTCAAGGAATCGTCCGTATCCTTCCTCGTCGGAGAACTCGACCATATTCGGGAGATTATCGTTTTCCTTGACTTGGATGTTCATCTGCTCATATTGGAAGCAAAGTGGCTTGCCGGCGTCTTGGGGTCGCAGGCGGTGGAATTCCTTTATGTTACGGAGACGGGAGTAGAACTCCGGGAATTCGTTGGGGCCGGCAATCTTGTTCATTTCCTCCTTTCGAGAGCCGTCCTCGTCGTTGTAGTCGTCTTCCAACTGCTTGGCGCAGGCGAGGGATCTGTCCAGAAGGACCTTGATTCTATGATCGGAGTTGACTTGGTCCCGGTGGGATTGTTTCTTTTCGAGGTTCTCGACGACCATCGCGCCGATGATCCTCTCACGTTCCTCATGCAGTGATCGTTGCTTCTCGAGAATGGATAAGTCCATGTTCTTAGTTTTTCGAGATTGATTTACCTTATGTTATTTACTAATATCGAAATCGAAGTGTCCGAAAAGAAAATTGACTCTGAAAGTATAAGAATTTAAACACGAGAAAGTTAAAGATAAAACGCGTACTTTGATAGTTGATAGTAAAAACTGAAAAGTAATAACGAAATTGAATGATTGTTGAATTGAAAAAGGCAGGAATGTTAGCAAAAACGGAAGCGGAAGAGTCACAAGAAGATAAATAAGAAAATAACATGAATATTGCGAAGGGCATTGCTAACTGTTTATAAGATTCGTTTTATTAATTGAAGGAGCGGGGAAAAAATGAAGGATTGAGGCGATTTACAGTAAATTGACTTTTTAATGACAGTTCAGTACACAATCGAGTTCAGATTTAGATTCAGATTTTATTTTTTGAAGAAAGAAAAAGCGCGAATATATAGATAGAGAAAGCACCATTTCAATATTTTTATGCAAAGTGTATGTTTTCTTCATTTTGTTTTTTTTTAATTTCGAGGTCAATAATATTTACTCCTTTTGGTTTAAGGCTGGGTTAGTTCGGTAAATGTTACTTTGAATAGAAAGAGAGATTTTTGAAAGAGGAGCAGAGGAACGTGCTTTTGGCATTTTAAACGTTATTACAGTTATATTCTTTCCCTTTTTTCATAATTAACGTAGCCGAAAGGGCGAGATTCCTTTCACTGGCATTGGCTGATCTTTGTAAAAATCGATAAGAGCTGGAACACTGGAGAATTCTTTGACAGCGGTGGTATCTCCCTGGAGCTTCCAAAGGCCCATTGAAGGTTTTATGAGCAAATGAGTGAGTCCCAATTCTGAAAAAGAACGAACTGTGAAAATCTATTTTTTCAAAAAGAGACGCACCTTTAGTTTGAACAGACAGCGCGTAGCTCCCCTGCTCGGAAGACTTTCGAACAAGAAATGAGCCAGCAGGAGTGCCTTTTAAAGCTTCTTCTGCATGGATTCTTTGAAAATTTGGTTTGTACCAGAAGTGGTCGCTTTCAATCCCAGATCCATCACCATCCATTGATTGTGAGAAGCTTCTTGATATTCGTTTTGTAATCATTTCCTGGTCAGACTTCAGGCTCTTTTTGAGCTTTTCCCAATCCATCAACGACGAGTCTAAAATTCATCTTTTACCGAATGAGATTCTGAAGGAACTCACCTCCAGCGACGCTCGGAGAATAAGGAGCAAATGCATTTTGGTTGTATAACATTCGTTCTAGATCTGGAGGAGAGGTTGGGGGATGAGCACCAGTTGGTAAGGATGCACCTTTAGTCGAAGAAAGCTAAATAAATCGTTAAAATACGAAAAGATACAAGTAGATTATCTACTTCTAAATCACTTCGGCGGTAAAAATCAAAAGGGGCTTCTTCAAAGCCGGGAGTAGGAGTCGCGTGATCGAGCAACGCTTCATTTGTTCGTGAAAGATCGAGTCTAGTAAGATTTTACGTGAAAGAAGCTAAATTATAACCGGGATTACTTTGGAATGGATATCTTTGTCGGCCTCGGCGTCGGCGCGGCTAGCGTTGCAGACTTGTCGCCCAGCACCACTGAGGGTCGCGCTACGACGCTTGGCATGGGCTTCAAATCGGAATGGGCTCTTCGGTGCTGATTCACAAAAGCAGCGGAAGCAGCAGGAGCAGGACGGTAGGGAAAAACATCCCCAGCAGGTTTGGGGTTATTGTTGTTTCGATTGCTTGAATACAGAAATTAGTTCTCGCAAAGAAAAGTTCTCGTAAACAAGTCAAGTCTCAAAGTTTGAGACTCAAACGGTAAAGACATGGAGGACTTACTGTGTAGCAACACGGGAGAATTCAAACTCATCAGACACGGAGCTTCCTTTTTCGTCGGAGCCGCTATTGCCCAGCAATTTATCAATAATTCCCATGCTTTCTCAATTTGTCGAAAAGGACATTCTTTAAATTCAGGAATAAGAAAGATTGCCCATCAGATTTGAGAATAAGAAGATTTGAAGATTTAACAGGTCAGTAGTAAACACAATTAGAATAAGGAATGAAACACATTGCACAAAACGAGAAGAACAGTGTTTTGAATTAATATAGAATTATGATAGGCCAGTACGAGATGAGGTTTTGTTTCGTTCGATTATTTGTATCAGCCGAGCTCGATTTTTCTGCGAAAGACTTGCTCCAGATTGGCGGACGAGAGCTTGCAGGGTCTTGGCACCAAACATTTTATCACTCTCCACAAAGCCTAAAAGAGTATAATACTGAACAAGCTGGTCGTTTTCTTACTGTTTAGCTCATCTTCTGTCAAGTAAAACGCTCGTATAAAAGTTTCGGTGTACGTTCGGATCGCAGGAGGAGATTTGACTCCAGAAATTAGCTCCAATCTATGAAGGCATTGATGATAGTCGAAGTTCATCTGTGCACGCCCTTCTGCAGACATCTTGCTGATTTGGGAGTATCCTTCAACGAGGACAACGCCGATCGCTCGAGCTACTTCCACCTAGTTTATCATATTTTGCCATAGTACTTCTTAAAAGTGTAATTACCCATATTATTTCGTATAACTGACTGGAGATACGAAGATTGCGACCTATTCTTTGAATAGTTCGTTTTATTTTTTCCATTTGGCGAGCAAGACGATCCACATATTTGCTAGAAACATCGGAAATTGTCGATGTATCCCATTTCGTTGCGGCGATATCACTGAAGATTTCGCTCGTTTCCAATACATCGTTGCAGAAAGGAGACAACGTCATCGTTGTGATCTCTAAAGAGAAACTTCATCGTCATAGAATCGCTATTTTATGACTGACCAGAAACATTTTAAATCGTTAGTGTTTAAATGTCCTCAATAAAGTAATGATTCACCAATGAGAAGTAAATAGGGCCGAGTAGCTACGAACTAGGGTGAGCGGGGGATCGAACTAATAGGGTGTGCCTCTGTAGCTAACCTTGCGGAACGGCTTTGATGCTGTTCGTATAGAAACGCGTGAGTATCATCATTCTGTTTTCAGGAATATACGACTCCAAGTGGCTTTTCAACTTGGTGAACTCTTTCGCTAAGTTACGAACTGACTCGACGGCGACGATTCTGTTTCCAAGGCCCCAGAAGTTCTCGGCAGAGAAGTCAACGTTCCCACTATCGCCGCCGATCATCTGCAAGAAGTTGCCCTCTGTCATTCCAAGAACGCCAGTTTTGAATCGCTCCCGGTTGGTGAAGAATCTGTGGACGCTCCAGAGGTAGACTTCGTAAAGAACAGTGATTCCCTGGATCACTTGTACACCAACGGGGTGGAGTACATCAGCCATCTGAATGTATTGCCCGCAGAGGCGAAGGACAGTCATCGCTGTATTCGTCATTGTAATTGAAAAGTTTCCATTTTTCGATGTTTCCATAACTGGCCTATCGTCTTCATCTTCTATGACAACATCGGCGAGGAGATCTGGATCTTCATCTTCTTCATCTGAGCAAACGTCCAAATCTTCATCATCATGAGCGTTTTCGATGCCCTTGGCGATGGATTCTCTGTCAAACGGGTCGTTTCTTGAGCAAAGATACTTTTTAGAGCTGCTTGATCCAGTCCCGGAGCCGGTTTTGGAACGTCCTTTGGAGATCCGTTTTTTCAGAAATTCAAATTCTTTGAGTTGCGTAAACTCGAAGTTCTGCCGCAGGGGGCATGGCTCCCACGATTCTTGAGTGAGGAAGAGTAGGAGTTCCTCGACCTTGCGATTGTGAAACTCGGTGAAAAACATTGATGCAGACTCTTTTAGCGAGTCCTGAAGAGCATTAGAGTCACTTTGGCAGAATTCATATCCGACTTCCGTCAATCGCTTAACGATGGTGAGTATGTGAAGAAGAGTGGTATAATCTGTGTTTGACAAATTGTTAACGCGTATGAGAGTGCAGCAATTCTTCTGCACCAGTTCCCAAATCGCACTTTTCCGCTGCGAGAGCTTTGAAAAGGCGAGATCGCGCACTGCAGTGTCCGCCTTTCTGTAATAGCTCTGGATGGAGGTGTAAGAGGAGAGAATTTGCCAGACGATGCTGGCGAAGAGGGTGAGTGTATTGCACAGATCTGAGGGGTTTGAATTCGCTCGGCGAGGTGAGGATTTGGCTGGGCGTCCTCGCTACTGTTTGCGATTATCATCTCTTGGCCGGTGATTTTGTTGAAGCAGTTTTGCAGACTATCTTTAGTGAAGTGATTGATTTTGTCCATTATCAATCCGGGCGGGATTTTCAGCAGCTCATAAGCTTCCACTAGGGAGGTAAAACGAATCTCGTCAAAGTTCGAAATCAAGGAGCACAAAATAGTGTCCAAACTAGCGATGGCAGTTTCGGAAGTGTTCGTGAAGCGCGTCGAGAGCTTGAAACAACACGGAAACTGCTTGTACGATTCAGCTATGTCGCGACAGTTGAGCATCAACTTGATCGCTTGGGTGAAGTCGGAGGTGCGTAGGAAATCGTTGAGCGTCGCTTCTAGCTGGATCAGAGTCTTGATACCGTACAAGATCTCTCGAGCTGCGCGCGCGTTCTTTAGACTTTTTTGCTTTGAAACTATGAGCAACGGGGAACGGCTCTTATTCTTCATCGCGGAGACTTTTTTCCGCGTCTCGTACGCGTGCATCATCGCTCTAGAAACGGGTAAACAGGAGGAAGTGAAGAGGATAATTTACGATTTGAGGAGATTGTTGATGTTGTCAATTTCTGACTGGTGCTGGACATAGGCTTTCTCGTTCTTTTGGATTGTTTGATTCAAAGTGTTGGTGATCGATTTGAGCTGGTTCTTCATTATCTGGATTCGCTCAAATGAGACTTTTTCGTCCTCTCCTTCGAACTCTCGCAGCAATTTCTAAAGAAAGATAGGCAAGAAAACCCTACCAATTGAAAAGTTACCAATTTGATTTCATGCTCGCTCAGTTCGAAGATCTCGTTGTCGAGAGAAGCAATGACAGCGGCGTCTGTTCTCGCTCGATACGTCAGATTCACATTTTCAATTACTTGCTCGATCTCCTCTGTAGGCGCTTTGATCAGAGTAGGAGCGGGTTTTTCTTTTTCCTCAAACGGATTCTAAATTATTCGTAGCGTGTCTTTTTTTGAACTCTTAACAATCTACCGAAATCACATTATTGAGGTTGTCATCGAGGCTTGGGATGACAATATCGACTTCCTCATCGTCTTCCTCGTCCTCGTCTACCTAAAATAGAATTGCTCGATACTGTTCTCGGAATCCTGTCTTGCCTCTCTGAACGGATTGTTTTCGTCAAGAGAGTCTTGAGTAGCAGCAGAATCGTTGAATGGGTTTCCTGCTCTGTCGTCCTCATCTTCTCCGAAAGGGTTTCCCGGAGGAGCGGGCCCGCTCATCTTGCATCTTAACAACCTGCTTTCAATTTTCGTGACTCGTTTGAATTTCATCAAATTCGGGTCATTATTTTTTCATTTAGAGTAAAAACAGTATTCAATTTCAACAAATTTCAATATTTCATAATTACAGCAGTAGTAAAAATCGTAATAATCGATGGTTTAAAAATCGAGTATTAGAAATTAGAAAAAATCTGACTTTTTTAAATAATTTGAAGGGTTTTTTTAAACACGATAACAAATGCCCGGGCTATTAACTTGTTTCATACTTGTTTATTTTTCGATAAGTTGTTCTCACAAAAACAAAAACTGCGAAAAGAGAGTGATTCCAAGAAAAAAAGGTTGAATTCAATTAGTCTAAATTGGTAAAGTTGTATTGACAGGGGGTTTTAGAATAAAGAAAAAAATAGAGAGCAGTGCTGAATAGAAAGAGAAAGTCTCGGAAACTCATATTTTCGAGAATTTTTATTTGTAATAATTGAATTTATATTTGATATTTACAAAGGTGGAAATTTGTGGCTATTGGAAATAATCTAAATATATATATATGTATATTTAAAAGAAGGTCTGGAGGATCGGGATCAAATTAGTCAGAATCGTAGTGTCGATTCTGACAATTGACAATATCAATGTTCTTATCTGTTGGTATTTTTTGCCAAAAATGGAAACAGGGGTCGATAAGTTCTTCAACGACAATAAATAATAAAAGAAATAAAGAAAAAAACGTGTCTTCTTTAAACACTATCAACAAAAGAAGGTCAATGAACTTTACTTGTTGCAACCTTCGGTTGAAGCTGGTTAACTCGAAACTGGTACTGTAAAGGCAATGTAAGCTGATGTTGACGATGTTTTTTTTATAAAAAAAATACAGAATGCGATTTTGAAATTTTAAGGCATTGGTTATGTCTCAGACTATATCTTCTTTTTTTTGTTTTGTTTTTCATACCCTTTGACTCGTATTTTTGGCAAAGCGGTTCTTCTCAAATTAATGAGCAAAGGGTACGCTGGAAGAAATAGTAGTAGTTTGTTTCAATATGTAAATGATCAAAATACAAATTGAGTAAAAATAGTAGTAATAGAGTTGAGTGCGAAAGTTTTTTGTTTCAATGAATGATATGATAAGAATAATAAATGATAATGGAACTTATAGATGGAGTGGAGATACTTTGCTCAGACTTTTTCACTTTTTCGTGTGTAAAAAGATGTTTTGGACAAAATTGGACATTGGAAACCGGAAATCATTTTGGAAAAATTCAAATTTTGAATTTCCTTTTTAAATTTGAGAAGAGTAAATCTCAACAAACAGGCGATGCAAATATTTTAGTTGTAATTTTCAACGAAGTAAAAATGTAAATTCTTATTAACAAGTCTTATCTGTAGGCAGAGAATCGAAGCGTAAAGTTGTGGCAAGATATGTGAATTGTAAAAACTGGTATAAGAGCTGAGAGCGGCGGAGCCAACGTTATCTTTTTCCACGTCAACAAAATAGTATTAACCTGTTACTGCTGCTGAATGCCTTTTCAAACGCCTCATCACTTACAATGGCACTTTTAAAAGCAAGAACAAAAAAATACTCCGAATTAACATTTGATTCTACGTATTATTCTTAGACTTCGAAATACTTAGGGAAGTCCCACAAATTCCTATATCCCGCTCGAAGACAAACTTGATAAAAGTCGAAGCTCCAATTTGGCGAGATGAGATAAGAGTGCTGCTATGTTAAATCCGTAAGAAAGTGGACCAAACTTCATTTTCACATTGCCAAGGCTCTTAGAAAAATCTGAGAACAGAAAGAACTATCCACTGAAGTCAAACCTTCGAATTTTTAGTTGGGCGTTTCTAGTTCCTGCTTGGCCAGAACAAAAAAATAGTGCCGAATGTAAGTAAAAGTTTACAACGGTCTTGATATCTGCAAACTCGAGTAAAGAATAGTAAGTCAAATTGATGAGGTATATTTGGAAGTCATAACAGCCTAGTCAGTCAAAAAAATATATTAACCTAAAGTAAAATGCAACTTTTTCTTTTATCAAACAACAGTTTGATGCATTTTTTCGCATTTTTACGGCTGCAAAGGAAATATCGGTAAATTCCATCTTTGCAGAATATAATAAATGAACTTATTAGATATCCGTTCATTCAATTATTGAAGACGTTTGCCTGTATCCATTTACGTTCTCTTCGAACTCGCTCATGAGATCTCCCGCGTCGTTTAGGTCAAAGATTGGCTTGGCCTTGTGCCTGCTTCGTTTAGCGGCCTCGCGAGCCTCGTGTCTCTTACGTTTTTGTTCTTCATCTTCAAATAGAACGTTATGTAACCGGATTTCGGTATGAATCTGTTTGAACACCCATCTATCAACGAAAAGATGAATACGGAAATTTGACGGTGAGGATGAAGTGTACACCAATGTGGGCCAAATGGACTGGATTGCCAGCATTAGTTGCCCACCCTGGTGCTATCGAGCATGATTTTTGTTGTTTGTTTGTTTTTTACAAAAAAATTCAACGACGACGGTTGAATTTTCAAGCGATGGGTGAATAGCTGCCAAGCGATGCGGGGTAGTAGTGTGGTAGTGTAAATGATAGATTTATTAGATAGAAACATAGAATAAATTAAATGATTTCTTGTTATTCTGATTCTGCTTTCTTGCATCTTTAATCGTTAGCGGAGTCAGAGCTCAAGGTCTTACCATCTTCCTCCGGTAATCCAAGAATGGGACCCTTTGGTGGCACATGGCTTTGAATTGATGGCTCGCCAAGGATAGCTGAGAGGACATTATCTGAAAATGGTTTTGGCGTTTGAGTCCTTGTTTATTTCTTGATTTTTCCTACCAGTTGGCGGCGGAGAACTTTTGGCATCAGGAACATCCTTTTTGAGAATCTCTTCTCGCCTCCTTTTCTGGTCGGCCAGGAGTTTGAACTCGTTCAATGTTCGGTTGTCATCAGACACGCTTAGTTTCTTTTCTGGGCTGGGGTCTGTTGGACTGCCGAAACTCCATGCGCTGCCTTTTCTTTCTGGCGTTGATCCTTTGACAGGCCGCGACGATCCTTTTTCCGTCGTGTTGTTGTTGATCGGCTTTGCGAATGTAGGCTGCGAGGAGGAGCCACCGTTTGTCGCGTCGCTCGAGATCTGTTGCTCTTTCGGCGACTTGGCAATTTCGGACTTGATTGTCGGAGGCAGAACGGATGCTGCTTCATCATCTTCGCTCAATCGAGCATCAGCATCAAGAGGCGTCGACTCCTTTAGCGAGACACTCGCCTCGGGTCTCTTTGCGTGCCCATTCTGCTGCGCCGTGGATTCCGCAGTACTGGGCGGAGTTAGACGCTCGACTTTTGGTTCAACGACTTCCGTCTTTGGCGACTTCTTTCGCTCAGCCTCGTTGATTGGCGAGAGACTGGGGCCTTTTGGCTTCTGCGTCGTTTCTTCTTGCTCAGTTTCCGTCTCAGAGTCACTGGAATCGGATCCGGACTCGCTTGAACTGGAATCGGAAGAACTCGAGGACGACTGAACCGAATCTACGGAATCTTGTTACTGTTATAATACAAGACGTCATTGATATCTTACTGTCGAGATTTCGTTTGTTGTTTGCTCTCGGCTTGATTCCAAGTTCCTTGTCGAGCTGGGCAACTTGCTTTTGCAAGGTTCTAGCATTGTAAATTTTAAGGGGCTGGATGACAAGCTGAATTGTCTTCCAAGCATAATGACAACCTTATATTTTGATTAAAAATAAACCTCAAACCCTAACTTCGTTAGACCATTTTTTCATGAAAGTTAAAAGCTTTCTTTAGTTTCTACGGTTGCCGCGATTCGAAATTTATAAATAATTTTTCACAAATTTTTTCATCAAATTTCTTAAATTAGCTAAGCTAGAGCCTTTCCTGCTGATTTCTGATGATTTTTTCTTCCAAGTCTTTAGCAAGTTGCCGACTAAAGTTGCATAAGACAATAATCAGAGAAAAGAAAAACTACCTCTTGGAAGGGCGGGAATCACGTGACTCACGAAGAACTCGTTTGACAAACGATTCTAGAGCACGGAGAGTAACAGGTCTTAGCGTTTCGAAATCAATTTCAATTTCGTCGGGTTTGGTATCCTTCAGATTCGGCTCGTGCTTCTATTTAGCGCAAGAATCATTAGTTACTTTGCACTGACAGTAGCAAACCTGGATGATGGTGACAACTTTGCGCAGTTTTTCTTTGGGCAAGCGGTTTATATTTAGTGATAGTTTTCGTTTTTCGTCGTATGTCATCTTCTCCTTCTCTTCTGGATTCTCGGGCTCGACAGTCTCCTCTTTAATCGCTTTCGACGAGGAAGCAGCTTCCGGGACTCGATGCTGGAGCTTCGTCGCCTTCTTGGCACTTGGATTTCGCTGCTTGGGGATTACTGGTTGAGGAGGTTGCTCTAGGACTAAGAGGACAATAAGTACTAAAACTAGGAGAGAATATGCTCACCTCTCGGAGGATTCTTTGTCTGTTCCCGATGCAGGAGCTCTGCTTCCGTGGGCTTGCGGACTCTACCACTCCTCGACGTTTCATCCCTCCTTACTTGCTTGTTGTGTTTTCTTTGGTGCGATATCAGCAGTTTTTGCTGAATAAAAAGGTTGGCTAAGAGTCGTCTATTGGCCTCAAAACCTGTCTTTCGGTCAAATCCGCAACTTCATTGAGAATTTCCGTCAATCGTTCGCTAATGTAATCGAGTTCCTCGTCCATCTCCTCCTCCGACGTTGGCTTTGGTCGTTTCCCTGATTTAGTCGAGTGGCCGGAGCGCTCGCTCGCTGCGTTAGAATTTTCGTTTTCATCATCGAAAACTTCTTCTTCCTCCTCTTCTTCTTCTTCGCCTTCCTCGTCTTCCTCTTCGTTGTCGCCCTCAGAGCCGGATTCTCCTCCGTCCGATTCTGCTTCGGACTTGACTTCCGTCTGGCCCTTTTCTTCTCGTGCAGCCTGCTCGATTTCCTCCTCTTCTTGGTCTTCTATAGTTTTCAAATAAATGCCCCACCTATAAAATGAGCATGAATGATGAAGACAATTCTACTGTCGCATTCTCGTGGAGAGAAGGCCGCTTACTTTTTGTGAAACACATTGTCAAGCTTTTTGGCACATTTGACGACGGCATTTTGCGGCGGATTGTAGCGATAGCAGTTGTGAAACATCAGTTCCATGTCCTTTTCGACTTCCGCGGGAGTGTTGTACTTGCCGTCGATCAATTTCTGCCGTATCGTGCCCATGTCCATCGGTTCGGTGATGATTTTTGGGTAGTCCGGGAGTTTCAGTTTTTTATAATCTACGGGTTCATAGAACAGATATGCTATACCTAAACAAAGAGGTTAGCAAAGAAGACGAAAGGGTGGGAAGTTACTTTGATGCTCCGGTGCAAAAAGCGCATCGATGACACCCTTTGCGCCGGAGATCCATCTTCTCCTCTTCTTTGGCTTCTTATTGTCCGGCTCGGAGCAAAGTGAACCATCAGTGTCGACAGGAGTGCCACTGGGTCTCTTCACGCCGCGGCGTTTGCTAAATTGAAAATATGAGAAATACCAGCACCCAGTATCTTTCGTACTTGGCGGCCTGGAAGTTTTCCCGAGCGTTGCTGCTCGAGCTACTCGAGCCAAGCCTAGAAGTGATTGCTTCGTCAGAGTTCTGAGTCGCGTTGTTCTTTTCCGCGGGCTCCTTCCTCGCCGCCGGTGGACGCTGCTTCTTTCCCGGCCCCTTAGACTTTTTCGTCGACTTGGGTGGGTGCGGCGGTTCGGCCTGAAACACACTGTAAGACGCGGAAACCAGGAAAAGATTTTCGAAATTTCAAGTATTTTCAAAGAAGCTTTATTTTCGTGAATAGCGCCAAGTACCTCCAATTCGCTTCTAAGCGTCGGATCAGAGTTCATCTTCTTGACCAGATCCTTGAATGCCGACTCGACCGCCTGACACATCAAGGTCACATCGTCCGTCGGCTTGTTATAAAGATAGCAGTTGGAAAACATGACTTCGAAGTCGGATAGCGCCTCCGCTCCACTAGAAAAGACCATTTTTAGCCCAGAGTAGGGAAAAGAAGGATTGCTTACGAGTTGTACTGATAAGTGTCGAACTTTTTCCTGATCGTCGACAAGTCCATGGGCTTTTTAACGACGTCATAATAGTCCGGAAGGGAGAGCTTGACTGGATCAACGGGTTTCTGAGAGAGTTTTTATTTTTCGCCAATAACAGTCGCTTTTTTAATTTAATTAACTGGAGATTCTATTTATTTTTCTAAAAAATGGTTTAAAAATCCATGAATGGCTATCATTTTGACTGATTACTGAATTTGACGTTCATCCATATATAACTGTATAAAAAAATTTTCACGAGTCTGCGTAAGACGAAATGAACATTTTCAATTTAATGAAAATGAAGATTTACGAAAATGACTTTCAAGAGATTTTGAGTGACACTGTATTCCGATTATTTTAATTAACGACGATTATTATTATCGGACTGCTGAGGAAGATTTGAGGATTATGAGTTTTGTGTTTTGTCTGCACCTGGAATGGCCATGCATGCTGGTGCTTCTGCACTTTCACCAGTATTTCTTTTCGGATAAAATCGAGTTGATTCGTCCAGCGCGGCCTGTTCCCATTCGCAGCCTCGGTGCTCATTGTCCAGAGTTAGGGAAAATGATTTTTTAGAGGGACATCACAAACTGGCGATCATTCGACGATCTGAACCGCGAATCTTATCTTTTCGTTATTTCGCTATTTCTATTGTAAATAAACTAAGACATGAAAAATCGTGATTTTCATCTTTTGCAAATTTTTAATAGCAGAGAAAGTTGTAAGTAACAAGACAAAAGAATATACCTTTTTATGGTATTTTCCCCCCACGCGGGCCTAAGTCCTCGAAAAATGAAAAAAATGCGGACTTCTCTTTCTTTCTTTTTTTACTTGAATGTGGGATTCAGGGAAATTTATTATGCTGAATTAACGAAATTGAAAATTGGTGAAATTGAAGCTACGGTTTTTGGGGTTGCAGCAGCGCGGATATTAAAGTTTTTCTTTCGTAAGACACTTTTTTGCGCGCTTTGAATAATACCGCAGTTGTCAATGGGACGCGTGTTGTGTGGAAACGAGATCCTGCGGCCAATCGCGTCGCGACGTCGACGCAACGCGCAATCGCCAATGATTTCCTCCGCCCACGCTTGGCAAATGGGTAGTAAACCGCCACTACAGCCATAAGGGGGCATCTTTGGCGTCGATGATCTTTTTGAAATGAAGCTCAAAACAGGAAATTCAGCATATCTGGGTTCCAAGTACAATTCTCTCCTTTACTAATTAATTTTATTAATAAAGTTCAATAATAAAGAGGTTGATTGACTTGAAATTGAAAGGAATGGGCATTTTGAGCAGTTTCAGTAGTTTATTCGATGGCTAGTGCAGTTACTGAGCAGGGAGATGTTGAAAGAACATGTTTCCAATTTATTCCTCTTGATGCTGGATGATTCAAAGTCGCTCAGCAGCAGCGGAGGTGACTTGGCGCTCGTTCTGGGTCATGACGCAGATCTGGCAGAAGAAGGAAGCGAGAAAGTCGCTAAAAAGGTTTATTGATTGGATGAGTTTGTGAAGATTATTACCAGAATTGATCCTTCGGAATGTTGAATTTCTTCTTGATCTCTCCTCGTTGTCGCCAGACCATCCAGGTTGGCAGCTTGGGAAGAAATTTGAACTCAAATCATGATAGAAATAAGCTCACCATTAGAAAGAAGAGTCCAGCGAGCTTGATGCCGATTCCAGTGGCAACAAGTTCTGCTGGTGGCTTGAAAGTTCCGGTTTCAATAGCGGTCTTGATACCTCCCCATGCCATTTCGATGGTTCCAGCACAGCAGAGTGCACCGCCTACAAACTGACTGCAAGGATGACACAACGCGTGGCACTTGGCTTTCCTGTGTTGAAAAAGAAATCACTGAATAACTTGTATGGGGAATTTCTAACACTATCCTTCGCCGGGATGGAGATAATTCTGTGTGGTGTAGACAGACCAGGCCGGGTTGACGATAGCACAGATGCAGATTCCGCAGGCAGGGAGGCTGTCGACGCAAGAGAATAATCCATGCTTGAAGTCGTTTTTGTGCACAGAAGCCTTTGAACAGGTCAGCTTTCTAATTGCAGAACAATCTCTCTAGTTTCGTAGAAAATTCTAAAACATGATTTTGTGCATGTGAGAACCTATCCTGAAGGAAAGAGGCGGGCTGCTGGGTGACGATGCCAGTCAATGTGCAGGGTTGAACCAGAGGAACCGTGTCATCTGCTGGTGCAGAAGGATCGGAGAGAGTTCAAAATCACCGTCTTTCCGTTCAAAATGCGAATGTAAAAAGGAACTTGCCAAATAGCAGTTGTTTACTCTAACATACCCCCCCCCCTAAATTTCCGCGCAATTCGTGGTATTTCGCCCAAGTTTACGTTTCCTAACTTTTCCGAAACCCCCGAAATTTACGCTTCCTCGCGTTTCCCCGCGTTTCCAAATTTCTTCTCCTAACTTTTCCGCGTGCGCCCAAATTTACTCGCGACCCGCTGAAATGCGCGTCAACGCTTATGATTAATTAACGGGCGCGTTATGCAATCATAGCGCCAAATTAAACCAAGGGATTTTAGTCTTTTTCAGGTACTTGAGGCGCTAGAATTGGAAATTTTTCGTGGCTTGGACACATAAAAATCGTACCATTCGAGTAACTTAAAATATTGAGGTCAGGATTTTCAAAATGCAATGCTCCGCAGAAGTCGTTTTCATCTATCGCACTAGCATAATGTTTTATCAAATATTTATAAACTTCACTGTAACAATAAACAATAATTTTATCAAAGATAACATAAGATAGGGCTGCCCTATACGGGAATCTGGCTTTTTATAAAAGATCATCCTTTATTTGCCCGGAGCGAGCAAAACAAGACTTTTGCGCACTCAGAAAGTTAACCGGCGAAGCTAATCAGCGCCGCGAGCGTAAATTAGGGCGCACGCAGAAAAGTTAGGAGAGGAAATTTTGAGGCGCGCGGAAAAGTTCTGCGGCGTAAATTTGGGGGTTTTTGAACAAATCAGGAAGAGTAAATTACGGAAAATGTACCGAGGAATGCGCGAAAATTTGGGGGTGGGGTATGTTAGAAAATGAAAGAAAGTACGGTGATTTTGGACTCTGGCGCGGTATTCTGAGGATACATTGGCGGATCGTCCCGGCTGGTGAAATTGGTGTAAGCCATTTTGAAGTTCTCTCTCACTTCACAAGGCTGGGCAACTTGAAAACCCTCCACTTAATCTTTGGGGAACTAGCCAGCCCTGGTCTCTGAAAAATGGTCCACAAAAAACTATAGTTTACATATGTTTTCTTCTATTTTCGGAGAGTGTGATGCAACCTGATGAGCGAATAGGCTTTTATACCGACGATGAGTCGAGTTTTCGTTCCGGGCGGCGCTCGTGGGACAAATTCGTGTGTGGGATTATCACTGATAAAATTCTTCGATGGAATCATCATGAAATCCACTGTGCCGCAATGAAAACTCAACTGGCAATTGCTCGTCTCGATTTAAGTGAAACGTAAATTGTTTAGTTGTTTATTCACAGAAATGGTTGGATATTTTCTTGATGGAGTTCGTGTCGATGGCAGTCAGCGGGTTGAGTTGGTACTGTAGTTTTGAAATTGTTCTAGTGCTCCGGGAAGGGCCTCGTCGAGCAACTACAGTGGCAAGAGTCAAGTACTCTCAGCTGCATTTCTACCCAGCGTCTGGCGGAGATAAGCCTGAAAAGACAAGTAACACGCCCGAGGCTACGACCCTACTTATCCCACCGTAAATTTGAGCGTTTCCCCTGTCCGCAGACATACTTGAACTGAGCAATAATGCACGAGTCCTTAAAGTGACGTCTTACCTTAGAACATTAACAGTTCGAGTTTTCGCGGGGCGACAGGTCGATGAAACAGAAGAAAGAATTCCACAGCTTGCGGCGCTGTTCTGGCTGCATTTTCCCGCTGCGAGGTAGCGCGGGTATGATAACGGACCAAGATCAACCCAATGGTACTCGACCTCGCATGATAGCTGCTGTGCTCTAGTTTAAGAATTATTCGACTTTTTATGAAAGTCTGAAGAAGCACTTATAATTAAAGATTTTTGAAAGAAAGAATTTTTGAACTATTTTCCTTTTGCAACCATTTTTGAACCTTCGCTTTCGCTTTTTTGCTAACCTAAAAATAGGGATTGGCTGAATTCGACCAACTAACCTTAAGTTACCTTGAGAGCCGACAGATCGAACGAGTCCTGGTAGTCGCGAGACGAGCTTCGTCGCCGCGGGAGTTTATCATTTCCGTCGACAGATAGGAAGGGCCCAAAGTGATGTTGATTCGGTAGAGGGTTGACAGCGAGCTTAGCAGATGCTATTTACAGCGCATATGGGGTGCCAATTTACGTAAAAACTATTTATACCTTTGTCGCCACCTCGCTATTTACATTTGCTCTTTTCTGGGGTTATTAATTATAATCAACACTTTATTGAAAAATTCTAGCTGTGAGGATTAATAATCCCTAGGCTCAAGAAAGAAGGAGTCGGAGAAGTGACCCAAGTCGGAATATCTTTTTGAGAAGTTACAAGAAGCGTTTCAGAAGCAGGAGAGTAACTTTTCATCGGATCATAATTTGTTTATTTCAAAACGTTAGTTCTTGAATGAAATATTTTCCGCATCCATCTACTAAGCTGCGAGAAAAGATAAGGCCTGGTCTTCTTCAAGTCAACAACGAGCTCTCTACAAATCGTCAGAAATCACTCTTCCTTGTCTTTTTTCTTTACCTTTTCCGGGTTGCTGAGCTGCTCTCTATAAGAAAAAATGAAACGAAGCAGATGAATACCAGCATACTGATATGCACGGAGATTGCGAGCTTGCAGCAGAAGCAAGATTTGGGCTCACACGAGAACTCACACGTAGACGCAGGGGCGCTAGACACTTCAGAAATCAGCACTGAGACAGTAATTAACTCGTTCTTCAATAAATTTCCATCAGGACAATCAATCTGTTACAAATTAGCAAGAAAAAATGCAATAAAAAAATCAGCCAAATTGAACCTGTCTTCTAGAGTCCAGACAGAGCTCGAGTAATCGGGACAAAGTTGTATTTTTTTCTAGATATGCTTTTTTGGGAATAAGATTTTTCATTCTCCGATCACTTGCGAAAGAGATTTCCAGTTCGAGAACTTTTTCAAATTGATTATCAAATTTCGAGATCAAAAAATGGACAAGCAGTCGCAACCAGTAGATGCCGAAATCAACGCTCAAATGGCGAGTTACGAAGAAAAAATCCAAAGGTTAGGAGACTGAAAATTTTAAATTCCATCTTTTCTTAGGATGCAGCATCTCAGCATCCGTTTGATTAATGATCCCACGAATGAGAGTTTGCAAGAACTCGGAGGAGCTATATGGAGACTCTGGAAAGCCAACACCGAGATGAACCGAGCAATCGAAGCGGGACTTCCAAAGTATCTTCCAACTTTTAACCACTAACGTAAAACTTTCTTTAGCAACGCTTCGTCTGCAAAAGTAAACACTGATGAAGAAAAGCTACAGTCGAAGAAGAGGTAAAGAAGGAAAGAAGCCGCTAGAACCCTGGTGCATTGCTCTGCCCCTCTGCTCATTTCTTGTCATAACTGAATAATATTGAGAGTAATAAAAACCCTTTTTTTCAGCAAAGAAATAATGAGTTAAATTTTATTCAAATTTCATAAAACAGGAAATAAGAAGCTCAGTCGTTTGATTTTCGAAATCTAAGCCCAAGAATTGTGGATTTAGGGTTTGTTCTGTTTTTAATCATGCTGTCGAAGGCACTCTTGATGGGAGGGTTGTTGAAATTACAGAAGTTCAAGTGTCTAAATCCGTTTTTGAAGAGGTTGAAAAATCCACAAGGCCGTACTTTTTTTATAAATTATTAGATACCGTATCTATTTTGACTCTTTTGCTGCTGCATTTTCTTCTTTAACTTAGTTTTGATAATCGGAATCCATACCATCGCGCAAATAAATACTAAAATTGTTTACAGTTGGTAATGGTTAATTCAAAAAGATGAAAGTGTAGCCGAAAAACTTCGAAATCTTCAAAAATCCAGGCATTTTTTGGCGAGAAGGAATGAAGAACCTTCCTTAGAAAATCCCATTTCCGCCTGTTTAGGATCATTTTTTCGTGATAGCAACTTACCTAAAAGACCAACTGCTAAGCAAATTGGACCAGCCATCATGATATTTTTCCTCGTCTCTCTATTTAAAAAGTAGAGCACAGAAAACGCGATTCCGAGCGCAATAATTCCTATTCCAACCGCAAGCAGCCCCATTGCCTGAATGAGTTATCAGCGGAAAAGCAAGAGCGCTAGAACTCACCTTCCTGAAGTAGTGCCTTCTCTCTAGTTCAAGCGATCGTGCCATCTTGCCGTTGCCGTTTTTCGTCTTCGTCTGAAATGTTTCGGTCATTTTTTTGCGTGTTTTATCGGCGAAGTGACCGAGTAAAGAATAATTATTTTGCTCTTGCAATTCGTCTTAGCAGGCTATTGTTTTTTCGCTGGTAAAAAGTGTCACCTCCTTTCAATTTTTAATGAAAATCTTTAACACTGTTTATCGCCCTCTGATAAATTCTGGTAGAAGCGGTCTTGCATTCTCAATCATCTCGCAACTGTCAAATGTCTATTTTGAGTTAAAAGAGTCATGCTATTATTATCGACTTTTGCGTGTACGATTTATTCCCTCAAAAACACAGTCTTCAAAGTCGTTTTCTTTCAATTTATGAAAATCTTTGAAACTAATCATGAATTAAAGTACATTTAATCACTTATCTTTCGCATTCAATTCTCTCCTGTAGTTTTGGTGTAAAATTACTGATCTCAAAAATAAATAAAAAAATGAAATAAACGATTTAAAATTTCTTCAGAAATTAATTTTTACCGTGACAATGCCGAGCTGCGAGTGAATCTGCGGCAGCGAGTCTAAATCTGGCATTTTCAAAGCATTCGAGTTCTCCTCTATGTCTTCATACCGAACTCGGTCTGTCTCTGTTCCTTCTATTATCATGCCGTTTCCTGCATTTTTCATCCCGGGCAAGATTTTCTGCCGCCGGGCTCACGTGAACCGCAGTTAAGTTCTGTATTTTTTTGCTCTCTTTTCGAAAATCACAATTTAGCGATGATCAACTAGCGGGTGTTTAATTCGCCCTGGGTCCGAAAGGCCCGCAATTTTCACACTAATGAGGCAGCTAAAAAGCAAAATTCTCTGTATTTTCTCTGTCAAGGGACAATGTGAGCCCGCATCTGATGACTGGCCGCTGCCTCTTGTGCCTAAACCCGTCAGGGTTGAATATTAAACGAGATTACGCTAATGCGGACGACCAGCAGAGAGAAAAGAGAACTTCTACGCCATAACTTCGCTGTAAAAGTAAATTTTCCCTTTGTCAGAAAAAATCACAATTTTTGAAACTTGCTCGAGTAATTAAAAATTTAGTTATATTGAAAAAGGATGAAGGAGCTTCCAAACGAAAAAAGCTGTCCAAAAGAATCAATTCTAGCTCTTTTCTCTCCATGTCGACCGCAAAAGACAGTAAATCCTTCTGTATTTACATTATATACCGTTGTATGAGCTCGAGATCGCAAAGAAACCAAATCACTTTTGAAGGTTATTTTTCAAGGTTCAGTTATGAATTCTGACAGAAATTTAACCGTAGCCTGACATGATAATCGTGCATGTCGAGATTCGACAGGACTTTTTTCTGGCTCTGGTATTCCGAGCGCGCTTGAAAGATTTCATATCTAAAATCATCATTTTCAAAATTTGAGAAAAATATAGAAAAACTAGAGACCGTTCTTTCTCCTCGGCCCGGATTATATCCATCCGAGATTGAAACTCCTGGTGGTCATGCTCTGCCTTGAGATGCTTTTTCGCTGGGTTCTTGTCTTTCCCGACGAAATGCCATCCGATACCCTTGAACGGCATAATACGATTCTTTCTTTTTCTAGGGCGATTGGCTTAGACTTTATTTTTTGAAATTTCGAAAAAAAATATTTTTAAAATTATAAAAATTTTTGCTTCCATTGGGACTAGATTAAGGATAAAGCTTTATTTTCTTCTACTAGAATAAGGGTCTCACTATGCTTACTCTGGATTTAAGTGTTTTCAGTCGAACTCAATTTAAAATTCGACTGGATAAACAATCATTATCATAAATCGACAGACGCGGTTAATTGTAGAAGTTTCTCTGTATCTGTGTGCATAATTTTCCGCCCCGTTTCCTTCTGGTCCACTTTTTGGAGGTTAACTTCTTCAAAAAATTAATTTTGGAATTTGTGAATCTCTCAGATTGAATCAGAATCAAACAGGCGGGTCGGGCGCAATGACTGGGGCGAAAACTGCGGAAGGTTGTTGAATAATGCACCCGCAGGTTCCTGATCATATATTCACCTGTAAGCGATGCAGATAAATAGTAATGAACCTCTCACATGCTCCCTGCCCGTGAGTTTGCGAAATCAAACATTCATTCTCATATTCGCGCTTCTACATTTATTCGTAGAACTATTCACTTATCACGTGTGCTAGAATTATCAAAAACGAAAGCATCTTAAGCAAATCGAAGCGTAAACGTAACATTTATTAATGATTCAGTTCTTAATTAAATTAATTATTACTTAGCTGAATAATTAATCAAGCTCTTGACTAATTTATATAACGCTATAGAAGAGGGCCATCTTTTTGAAGAAGGGGAATAACGAAGAAATAGATTTTTGGATTTATAATTTCCGAAATTAAAAATTAGTTAAAAAATCAATCAAATAAAATTCGTTAGTATAATTATTATTGAGCAAAACAGTTGAAATTCAAAATTTTTATGAACAGAACTTTAAATTTTTATGAAAAAAAGACCAATGCGAGGCAAATTATCTCAATGAGTTTCTTATTACCATTCTACAGTAACTGAAGTTCAGTCTTACCTTGAAAGTCTTCTGGAGAAGTTCTATTGTTTCGGCACCGGCTTCAACCCCATTGGACAGTGTCATCGGCGAAAAGTACCGACGATATTCTCTTCGAAATAACTCCTTCAATTACTTCAAAAATATGCCGTTTTCAGAAGAATCGCTTCTTTCTCGGTTCTCTTCTATGTCTCCAAAGACATTTTTTTCATCGAATTAAATTTCTTTTCTTTCCAAAAGCGGTTTTTCCCGTACAAGCCGATGGATGAATGTTTGGTTCTTTCGCTTTTAGATTCGTTCGGTTTCTTTCCTTCTCTACAGCACAGCTACAGTGCGCTGCGTTTTTCGTTTTTTCTGTGTCAGTTCTTTTTTTTTCTTTCTTTTCGGGACCTGGCAATCTCGGTCGTTCTACACTTGCACACTCACTGGCCAGATAATTGAATATTCATTTTTGGTAAAATAGAGTCTTGGTCATTTTAAAATTAATAAATCCGCATTAATAAATGAGGACGTTGATTGAGCACCTGTCTCAAAGAAAGAGAATTCCGAAATTATCTTAAATCGTGCGAAAGGGCTTACAGCGCCCTATGGAGTGCCTGCCACACGGAGGAACAGACTTTCACTGGATCAACTGCGTGGATTATGCCAAACACCCTTCACTACTGACTCAATCCACCCAAACAACAAAACAGCAGGCGTACTATTCGACAGCTTACACTCCACGCGCTCTAAGTTAATGAAATCCCATCAAAGTAAGCTTTTAGAAAGCCTTTGAATCGGACGATTGTGCAAAATTATAAACCTGCACGCGGTATATGTTGAAATTCATAATGCTCGCAAAAATTCAAAACGCAAAACAACCAAGTCAAAGACCATGATTTTAAAGGCCTTTAATCTTAGTGGATGATAATTTTTAGTATTTTATAATTTATTTTACAACATCACCAATCCTTCTTGGATTGGTTGATGGCAGTTAAAATTATTGGTCAGGTATTGGATCTGTCTTCGTATCTGTTTTCCTTCTTTTTCACGCTTATTTTGCTTTATTCGTTGCCTCTTAGACAATTGCCTCACGCAATTGTCTTTGCTTTCTTCATTGGTCTTTCTTTTCTTGCAATCCAGTTTTTGACCTTCTTTCATTTGCATTCGGGCTGCCGCTTTGGGACCCCAATTAGCAGGCAGCGGAGGAAACCTTGAATTTACAGTCATTTCCGATCACAATAAAGCCGGTTATAATTTCGATGCTAGTAGTTTGTATGCTCACCTTATAACATTCTTGATAGCTTTTAATCCCTTATCTTCAGCTTGCTCAAAGGAAACTTTTGTATCGCCCTGCTCATCTGAGAGGATTTTTCTTTTCACGTGATGCTCTTCAACTTTCTCCAACTTGAAGTCGTCTGTTTTCGATTTAACGTACGCGCGAAGAATGTCCCATATTACGTTCAAAGGAGCATCAGTTTTAATTATGTCTGTAGTTGCGTGAGAAGAAGATACTCTAGATTAGAATTAGATTCATTGATGCGTTGAAGATTACCTGTATCCAGCGTTGATGATCGCTGAGCGGAGGACTTGCTGTTTCATAAGCGAAAACTTGAGCACTATGCCAAAGTCTTTTTGCATATGGTAATATAGCGGGACGTCGTTGAGCTCTTCCAAACACGCCTCTAGCAGGCCGCAGAGACGCGTTTTCGTCGTCCAGACACTTTCGTCGCTGTCTTCGATTCTCCGTTGAACTGCTCGGACGAATTCGTGATTGTGCAGTGGACCTAACCACATTGGGCCGCCTTGCTTGAGACTCGTCGCGTAAGGAATTGAAGAAGCTGTGGGTACTTGAGGAGGGACGTATTTTTGTCCGTTTTCGGTCTTTTGAAGCTCGCCAAGGGTGTAATGCGTGTAACCGTGAGACTGAGGATCGCGGCAGACATAGCCAACTGGAAAAAATTAGAAATTCATTTAGATCGGAGAAGGTATTACCTTTTGTGCATGATAACTTGACATGTTTTTTGCCGTGATGGACTCGGACAAAGACGCGGATGAAAAAGTCCAAGTGGAGGGAAATGAGAGGTTCGATGTATCGGCCATATCTATTTGCCGCTCTTTCGATAGAATAGAGGACGATCCGTATCGCTTGCTCGTGGCAGAAATGAGATTTGAGAGGGAAGCTGCCGTACTTGGCGAAGCAGGCTTCGGGGTGGTTGCCGGCTAGAACGCCCATATCTGTGCACGTGACCATGAGCATGCCACCGTAGTTGACGGCTATAGATTGTTTTAAAGATTTTATGAGGAAATGAAAATTACCTTGAACAGCGGAGTCCAGAAACGGCGTCGCAGAGCCGTACGGATCCAGATCAATTACTGGGACATTGAGTTTTGGAGCCCGTCGGAGCGCCATTAACTCAATTGCGTCTTTGTTAGCGACTTCGATCCTGCTTGAACAGTCGTTGAATTTGGCGTTTCTGTGGATTTCTTGGACGGCGCTGATGGAAATGTCGTTGGCGATAACTTGGTCGACTGTTTCGCATTCTAGCGCGTAACGGCACGATCTAAAGAATAAAGATTATATTTTGAAGCCCGAGAAAGCCACGTTGGCCTATTTCTTGATAAGTACCTTAGACCTGAAGCAGAAAGTGCCTCTAAGCACTTAAACTTCCAAGGTGAAGAGTTCGGATCTTCTGCGCGCTTTTCTTGATCGAGTTTTTCGATGAGCTCCTTATTCTTCTCTTTGTACTGGACAGCGAACTCCTCAAGGACGGCGCAGGAAAGATCTCTGTTGAATACTTGGGCGGGGTTGTAGAAGGCGGGAACATCGTCGGCGTCTTCATTGCTCGGATAAACGATGCGAGCTTTTCCCTCTTTGATGCATTTGAAGCCCTCGGGAAGAAACCCAGGAAGCTCTTTCGCTTGGGCTGAGTCCGAATTCACCATCTAAAACGGAAAGAGTTAGAGATGGATAGTAAAAAAATAAGTCGGCTGGTTATAAGGATCAATGAAATAAATGAACTGTGGAGTTAAAAGATTCGGACGCAGCGGTTCAGCTGAAGGGTCATCACCTTGTGGAAGCTCCACGAAGTGGTGTCGGAATCACCGATTCCAGGTGAGGTCCTTCCCCAGTTCTTCCCTACTGGGAAACGAAGTTTTGACAACCCTCCTCTCGGAGGATTGCCTAGTCAGACACGGCGCAGGGGATTTCCTGAAATAAATGAATTAGGAATTAGCCTAAATAGATGGAAAGTATCTTACCGTGTCTGACTCTAGATATCAGCAGCTTGTACTGGCGCTTCTTCGCTGAAGCGACAAGATCGCGACTATAAGCCGCAGGTTGCGTCTTGCAACCTGTTCAGTCTTGACAGCCTTACCGATGGATACTACATATCCCAGCAGTACCCAAACGCAAGGAGTGCACGTGACCTCATATTCAATCTAAAGAAAAATGATGTTGAGATGGGTTAATAGGGAGGAAGAAAGAAAAGATAATATTTTGCAAAACAAAATGGAAAAGGGTTGGGAAACAGAATATTTGCTGTCGAAAACAGGTTTCCTGGATTAAGATTCGACGACAGTGCGTGTCCTCTCATGTCTCTCAAGCTCTGCGGATATTTTCCTGCAGAGATTTTGAAGATCTCGATCTTCGCGAGGCAGATCTTTGGAAAAGATAGTTGCCTCTTTCGTTTCGCATTTTTCACGGCAAAGTCGATCTACCAATAGATACTACAATATCCCAGCAGTACCCAAAGGCAAACGAACCGTGATCTCATATTTTTCTGAAAGATATAAAATATTGGAGATATATAAACTTAATTAATAAGAAAAGGAAGCGGAATTAAAGTTGCGAATGGGCAGGGCAAATATTTATACAGTAAGCATTGATAGTGTTAGCCTCTAGTCTAAAGTAGTCTTCGTAGTAAGTTCTCTAGTGGATCAGCCAATCAGTTAATCCTAAAATCTCAAAAATGATTTTGCGTGCTTATCTGATCTTGACATTGACCTTGACTGATTTTGCCTCGAAAGCAGAACCCACTTGACCATGGTGGCGCCACCAATGAGCGCGTAACTCCGCGCCGCCCACGCTATTGAGCGCCATGAATGAAAAAAAGTCACTACGAGCGCGAGGCCCTCCTACGGGCGAATGAAAAAAGGGGTCGAAAAAAGCGATAGCGAAAAAAATAGAATTTAAACCCGAGTGAGTAATTATTATCATAAATTTAAAGGGGACGAATTAAATAATTGGGGAAGGAGAAAATAATTGAAAGAAGAATAAAATTGCCCTTTTTTGACCATTTTTAAGAAGAAAGATTAATAAAAAAAGCTGTTATTTCATTAAATTCGTCGGTGTTATATAAATTATGTCTCTAGGAAATTGATAGAGCTTTCATCAAAGAATTCATCTCGCTTTTCTAGCTCGGTGGCTGACTCTCCGAAGAAGATAGAAAAAGAGGATCAGCACATCCGAGGAGGAAGAACATCCTGCCAAGTGGCTTAGAGGCAAAATACTCCCCGAGTAGCCTAGAACAAAAACCGAGGAAGAAGAAATCGAAAAGGACGAAAAGAAGATACAATGTCTTCAACATCCTAAAAAAGAAGAACTGCACTTCACTTATTGATCGAAAATGACGATGAAAACGAAAGACAAAAGAAAAACCTTAAGAAAAAATTAGACGCGAAAACCAAACGTGCCGAGCAGAAGAAATAAAAAACACTGTTCTACTAAACAAGAAGACGAAAAAAAAATAAAAAGAAACAAGAAGAAAAAGAAGAGATATTTCAATTTTTGAACTATCAAAAATGGAAAAAGAAGATCCAGTTAGTGGCCCACAGATTCCCCCTAGTGGTGAGTTTTTTAAGGGGACAGGGGTCGAAAAGGCTTCTTATATCCTCTATAAATCAGTATTTTATTTGATAGTTTCGAAGCAAAAGATCAAGTTTTAAATAGTTCCTTCTCCTAATTCTATCAAGAATATCGCATTATCTCAATTTTCGTATCAAGATTAAAATTCTAATTTGCTCATTTGCTCGAGCAATGAATAAAATACACAAGTTATCGTCACGGTTATGGTCACATACTTGATAAGAACAGAAGTAGAAGTCGAATTTCCCAAGAAAACTTGGAATAGAAATTCATCAGTGCATCTTTTCGAAGTAATAAAAATACCTTTCTAGGGCGAATTGTGGCCTTATCAGAGCGACAGCAGATGGCGCTTTTGAAGAAGATAGAAGACAAGCGAAAACTACAGTTGAGCTTGAAATGCCAAACAGATCCACAAGTAAGCCTCTTCCAAGACTAAAAAACTACTGAAATTAACTAATGAAAAGCGACTTTTCGATAATTTTGCTTTTTGTAAATTACGAAAGCTGATTCATTTATAATTTAACAAAAAATTCCAGGAATTCGTCAAGCCAAAATTTTTTAAAGAAGCGGTAACAAACAAAATCTTCCTTCTTGTCATTTTCTTACTCGTAGAAAATTCATTCTCGCACAGAGTCACAGAGTTTCAGTTAGAATGTAGCATCTTCCTTTCAAGTGATCAAAAATCGGTTATCGTCTATGCTCGAATTATCTATTGCATGGCTTCACATACAGTATTCTTAGCGGATACCTTCATTGAATTTTCTTCGAAAAAAATTCTGAAAAAGGGTATCCTCCCGACCGGGAGTCCCTGTTGGAGGCTCCAATGTTACTTATGTTATCTCATCGCATGCTCTACCTGTCCATACCTGGCCAACTTATAATAAATATCTCTAATAAAAGCTCTAGAATAAAAAAGCGTTCAACAAACTGAACAAACGAAACGACCGCGGAGAAACTGCGCTCCACCGAGCCACAATCAAGGGCGACCACAAAAAAGTAGTCGAGCTCCTCGGCCAAGGAGCCGACGTCAACGCCAAGGACTACGCCGGCTGGACGGCGCTGCACGAAGCTTGCAACCACGGCTACTTGGAGATCGTCAGAACTTTGATCGAGCACGGGGCCGATGTTTCCGTCAAGGGACTGGATGGAGATACGCCGCTGCACGACGCGGCGGTCAATGGACACGAAGAAATTACAATCGCGCTGATTCAGGTTAGCACAAAATTTTCTAAGCGTGAGTCCTTAGTCTCTAAAAAGCATATTTTCGAAAGTTCTCGTCTAAAACGCTAGAGCTCAAATTCACGATCTTGCATAAAGACCGAGACTGATATTATGAAATTATCGATCTGTATGTATCTAGTCGAACCTCCCTGTCTCGTCACGTGACTATCCGTTCCAAAAGTAGCGAGAAGCTTGAGTAAGAGGAGAATTAGAATTAACGAATTGAATTAGCCCGTGATCTACTAATTAGCGCGAAATAGAATCTATTCCAACAAATATCGAATTTTCGCTTTTTAGTCTGGCGCGAACCCAGAGGCGGAGAATGACAAGAAGGAGACGCCGCTTGAAGTTGCGGAAGACGCCGAGACGCGACGCTTGCTTCTAGAGGGAATTCCCATCTTCAAAGAATACGAAAAGACGCGAAAAAAGACTTTGCAAGCGGCAAAAGCTGGCAATTTTGCCGATTGTCTCACCACCGAAGCCGACGATCCTCCCAAATCTAGCACAAGGTAAATAACCCAGCTTTTTCAAACCAGGAAGCAGCGGTTCTTGATTAATGTCTACCAGACAGAGACCAGCCGACCGTAAGTTGATTAGAGTGAGGCGCACGTGTGAAAGTTAACCCACGCATGCAAGAATTTAAATGCAGACATAGATCAGACAGGACGCAGACAGGAAATGAAGTTCAATTTTTGATGGCGATATTGAGCATAGATTGGTGGTACCAGCGGGGCTTTCGTCCCCTGCGCCACCCTGAGAGAGACCTTGAAGGACCCACTAATGCCTCCCAAGAGCAAGCAAAGCAAAGTAGCCAAAAAGCAGCGTGTTACTATCTTCCTCCATCCGGCCAAGCTCCTCCATCGATGGGAAGCTACCCTTTCGAGAACTCGTGCATTTCGATAATGCATGAAATCGAACAAGAAATAGAAAAAGAAGCGGAAAAATTAACTTCGGTTCTTCCGGTTCTTCAGTAAGCCTCCAGTCAAATGCAGGTCATCCAACTAATTCAATGAAAAAACTTTTTTTCATTGAAAACTCATTTTCACTACAATTTAATTAACGTATTTTTGAGAGCTGAATCAAATTAAGCAATTTGAGCGATTCCGAATTCTCAATTCATTATATATTTATCTAAGTAGATAGATGCATCGTTGCATAAAAAGATCATTTTTTGCACGAAAAAAGAGCATTTTCTCGTTTTTCTCTTTTTTAAAAGATCGATCACTACTGGTAGTTGATCGTCAACGATAAGAGATGATAAATGCGATTTTTTGAAATGAAGTGATTCATCTTTTTTATTTTAGTCCGAGAAAAAGGAGCGATTCAGTCTTTTCCGCCGAAGAAGGCCCCTCCCCATCAAGCTCGGAGACGCCCAAGAGCACTGCCGTACAGCCTACAGCAATACCTCCAGTATCAGCAGAAGACAGTCAGAACAATCAATCGGCCATGGCCAAGGACAAAAAAGAAAAGAAGAAACGGGAGGAGAAGGAGCGCGAAGAAGCGGAAGAGCGCAAACTCCGGAAGCAGAAGAAAAAGGCGGAACGCGAACGAGCCCATCGCGAAGCAATCGAAGCAGGAAAACAGCCAATTCCCGAGACGATCGAAGAACGGGACAAACGATGGACGGAGGAGATCAAGATGAAAGTAACCCTCGAAGCGCAGCAGAAAAATCTGCAGCTGACGCCTGACCAGTTCAAAAAAGTTGTCGAACGGAGAATTCAAAAACGAAAGGAGAGGCATCAGAATAAAGCGCTTCTTAGAGAGCAACAAAACGCAGCGCTTCTCAAAGCCAAACGGATGAAGGAGCAAAAGGAAAAGATCGCCCGACAACGAGGTCTTCCTCCGCCTTCTGCCAACGGTGCGGACCCGCCGAAGAGGGAGAAGCTCTCTTCCTCCGGCTCCACGGACTTGAAAGGACCGCCAGAGAGCGGCGATCAGACCGGCACTCCGAAGAAGAAACATAAGGGAGAAAAAACAGTGAAGAAAGAAGGTGGAAACGAAAGTGGACGGAAACCATCGCTCAAGTTCGACTCCAACTTCCTTGACCAAGTCGATCTCATCAAAAAGTCCAAGGAAAGCCTCAAAGCGCACAAGAACAAGCAAAAAGAAATTCGCGATCGGGACCAAAAACGATACAAAGGTAACCACGATCTTCTTTTCTCCAATTTGATCCTTCCGTAGCTAGTTAAATAGAGGGTTGCCAAGAGATTGCCCTTATAGATTCTATAATAAAGAATGCACATTGGCTAAAAGTAAGGCAATTCCTTCAAGGATGTCTGATCTAAAGTTAGTTATTCTTTATGTGAACGTGGTCTAAAGTTAGTTTCCCCTGAGGACCTCCAGCTTTAGACTGATTTCGCATTGAAGACGAACTTATTTTAGGCAACTTTTATACGAAACGATAGCCAAACTTTTAGCCACTTTATTCGCCTATCTTTAGGCCATCCTCTATCATAAAACTAACCCCTTTTCTTCCTCTAGATGATTTTGAGGCCCAGCATAAGTATTACGGTAAAACGAGTACGCCTGATTCACTTTTCATTAATTTTTCTTTGAATTTGTTTTGAGAGTATGGACATTTTATTAACTCAAACGTTTATTACTTCTCAATATCACTTCTGACCATTTCATTCTAGAGCTGCAGCGATTAAAAGAGCTCGACAATGCAAAACGCAGCGAATTGAAGGCGCTTTCCGACTCCAACGTCCAAGAAAAAAAAATCGGCGACAAAAGACCGCGCCTCGGCTCCACCAACGATTTCCTTGCTTCCTCCAAAAAGCCCAAAGTGGACATTGGGCGACAAGGCCAAAATGAAAGCGGGGGAATCCAAAGTTCAAGCATTGGAAGTGCCACTAGCACTTTTACGCCTCTCGTTCCGAAGAAAATCGAAGCCCAGCAACCGACTCTCAACTTTAAACCAAACGAAACTGTTACTCCATCTTCCCAAAGTCTAACAAACCAAGTTCAGTCCAAGCAACATCAAGCAAATACTCAAAATTCGAATAAAGGTAAAAACACGAAAATAAAAAAGCATGTTTCCGCCCGGGCTCGAACCGGGGACCTTTCGCGTGTTAGGCGAACGTGATAACCACTACACTACGGAAACTTGAAGGGCCATCATTAGCATTTCTTTTTATTGAAGACGCAGCGAGCCTACCTCAAGAGACAGGCGCGAAAGACGCAATTTCTCCATCGAAACAACCCCCAAAACAGCCGCCGAACGGGCTGCCTTCCCGACGAGTCTCAGTAATTCAAGAAACACCACTTAATCAGGAATGGGTTGGCATAATTTTAAGCGAAAAATGGGAAAAATTTTAAATAAAAAAATAAATTTTTCCCGCTCTTGAATATAATTTTGATTGCCATCCCCCAAAAAGCAAAAAGAGCAGCCGAAGACTGGCCCACCATTCAAGCCTAAATTCAAATGGCTCACGGAAAAGGGCCACAATCAGCTACAAAAGCGCATCGAAGCGCAGCCGAAGACGCTGAAAGTCGTCACCTTCAATCATCTGCGGCTAGCCGAGTCGCATAACGAGCAATACGCCGGAAACACGACGAGAAAGACGGTGCACGACGAGCAGCTGAATGATTTCGACGAACGAAACTGCATCAATGAGCGAATCCAGCAAAACTGGAGGAAGATCCGACCCGTTATCCCTGACGCGCCACACGATATCGAAAACTTTAAACTACTAACTGGCGAATACCACTTAGAAACTTCCGTCCAGGACAGGGCCGCCTTCCCTAAACTGGCACCGCCGCCAGAACTGCCAGAAAAATTGCAACTACTTTTTAAAAATCAAGAAAACGAACGATGGAAACTCAGACAGGAGCAAACCGTTGTCCTCGAAAAACTGCGCCTGTCATACGAGCAACGAGTTCTTCGTTGCTACACCGAGGCAAAACGACTAGAATTGGGTGTTGCTGAATACTCCGCTACCGCGTTTTTGCAGCAAATGAACTTTGATAACCAGTACCAGCTTCCAATAGATGAAATGCAGAAAAAAGATAACAGGTTTCATTCTACTTTCAACAGATTAACTGAGAATGAACTAGACGTTTCTTTGCTAGAATTCAAGAATTTGGAAGAAATTAATACCGAAAAGCTTATTTTACGCCACCTTCATAGCAAAGAAGGGTCTATTTTTGCCCAATCCTAGTTCAGTGTAGTAGAATTAACATTTTTTTAGAAACAGATACACCCCACGAGTGCTCAACAAACTTCTTGACGATGCTAAACACGATTTTAAACTGAAACAGCATAAAATAATTGAGCGACAAAGGATGGACAATGAGACCTGCTACATGCTTCAGGTAATTCCACATTCATTCGAATCATCCTTCTTATCCTTCAGGTCACTAACTGGCAGCTGAAGGCTCAGCAGTTCAGTCGGGATAATGCGCCAAAAACTATCAACGATGTGCCGGAAGAATACGTTCCCAAAGTCCCTGTCATTGAAGAAGCAGAGCTGCCTATTTTTTAAAATTTTATATATGTTCCTCTTTGTCTCAATCATTTACAACACGCTCAAGAAAATTGCTTGTTTGATAAACGCTTTCTTTTTCAGAGAAGCGAAATGGTTACGATTGAAGTAAAAGAGTCGATTGAAGACAAAGTGTCGGCAAGCGGTGATGCTAGTCAAAGCAAGACCCAGCAACCCGCTGCCCCAAACGGCAATGGAAAAGCCGAAGACATGACTTCTGCTGATTATTATTTTGATAGCTACGCGCACTTTGGCATTCACGAAGAAATGCTCAAGGATGAAGTCAGAACAATGACCTACAGGGACTCAATGATCCTCAACAAGCACCTCTTCAAGTAAGTCACCCTAGTAGTGTTCGATATCTATTCATTTTTCACAGGGACAAGATCGTTCTCGATGTGGGATGTGGCACTGGAATCCTCTCAATGTTCGCCGCAAAGGCAGGAGCGAAAAAAGTTATTGGAGTTGACATGTCCGGCATTATCGAGCACGCGCGAAAAATCATCAAGAAGAATGGTTTTGAAGATACGAGTAAGTCAAAAGCTTCTATTAATTCTTGATTAAAATACTAACAAAATGATCAGTCACGCTGATCCAGGGAAAGATGGAAGAAATCGAACTACCAGAAGGTATCAAGCAAGTCGATATTATCGTTTCTGAATGGATGGGCTACTGTCTTCTCTACGAGACAATGTTACCGTCCGTCCTCTATGCCAGAGACAAATACCTTGCCAAAGGAGGCCTCTTGTTTCCTGACAAATGCTCGATGTACATCACTGCTATCGAAGACGCCCAATACAAAGTAAGACCTAACCAAAATCATGGTATAAATCAACAATCCAGGACGAGAAGATCCACTTTTGGGACGATGTGTACGGCTTCAACATGGAGCCAATCAAAAAGCTAGCGTTGATCGAACCTTTAGTCGATGTGGTTGACGGCAAACAAGTCAACTGCACTCACGATCGGTTGATTTCTTTCGATCTTCAAACAGGTACTTATTACTAGAAGATTATCAGGATTATTGCTATCTCATTTCAAGTAACTAAAGAAGAGTTGTCGTTCCGCGCGGACTTCCTGATTCAAGCAACTCGCAAGGACATGGTGCATGCATTGGTCGTTCACTGGGATTGCGAGTTCACGCACTGTCACACTTCCATCGGCTTCAGTACCGCCCCGTCCGCGCCCTACACGCATTGGAAACAGACTGTTTTCTATCTCGACCAAGATGTCTACATTACTCCCGGCGACAAGATTGAAGGAACCTTTGAGATGAAGGTACACTTCTCTCCTTCTTAACCACGGCATAACGATGATTTTTAGCCGAATGACAGGAATGAGCGAGACATGGACATCGTGCTGTCTTCTACGCATGTCCAGAATGACGGCGTTTCCTTTTCCCAGTCTATGGCTTACAGCATGCACTAAAATGTCAAAAATCCGATATTTAAAATGTGCGAGGCTCGCACGAGAGCCCAATCACTGACATTTTCCGCATTTAAAACCCGCATCTTTTTCGCGCCAGGATTTAGATGCATATTTACAGAGTTACTTTCATCCTCATCCTACCTGTCAGGCGTGAAAATTTAACCAAACTAGGAAAATTAACTCCATATGATGACAAACTGCCTTTTCCCATCTCTTCAATTCATTCAGCTCCGGTTTTATATAACGACTATTTGAAACTGTCGATGCTACCAAAAATATCCGAAAAACATCTTTATTATATTTTGTTCAAATTTCAGCATGCCACCTCGAGCAGACGATCATCATAATCGTCGTGATCTGATTCCAAATCACATTCTGCGTGAAGCCAGAAGAAATCGTCGGGTAAACGCACAACTGAACCGAATCTTCTTCGCCCTTGATTTCACACGACGCTTTCTCGAATCACGACGAACTCCAGAAGAAAACAGAGACAATCCAATAACTCCTCGCCATGTCTACCGTTTCTTGATAAACGCGGCTCGACATTTTCGACGAATGAACGGAACATGCACAAGACTTCGAATGAGAGGACGATAATTCTGTAATTTACTGTCAAGCGGTACAATGTGTAAAAAGGAGCCCATGCGTGTATCAAATAAGATGATCCAGTAAACACGATATCAAGAATTGCTGTTGAAGAGTTAATCTTAAAACTGCCAGCGATCAAATAAAAAATAACAAACTGCCTTGCCTCGAGTCTTATTATTTTGAAAAATAATAAACGCAGATAGGGCAAAAAATGTACCTTTGTCTTACGTCTTTGTAAATTTGATAGAAATGCTCTTGAATTAATACATATTGAGGCTGTACTTATCTCCAGTGGTCGTCTTATAATTTGAATTGAGGAATTGCAAAAAAAATAGATTTTCATACACTTGGTTTGTTTCTATCAAGGTAATTCGACAAATTTAAGATGTCGGAAACAGAAGCTGATGAATTTTTCGACGCAGTAGAAACCCTTGATCCCGATGATCAGTCCAATGAGCCGGTGAAAAAAGGGTCTTCTCCAACTCCCGCTAGTCCAGCACAACAGGCATCGTCCCCAGTTGATCCTCCTCCTGTTGAGGAAAGATGGAGTATCATGATGGTACGAGTGTTCATGTTCCAGTCGTTGCATAGTCGTTTTAGAAAAATCTTGTGCAAGCTGTGAAGAATGCCGATGACAGAAAAAGAGAGGGCAATCAATCTTTCAAAGAAGGGCGGTTTCCTGATGCAGAATCAGTTTTGGGAGGGCTCTATTTCAAGACACCTTTAGATTTTTAATGGAACTGAAGATCAAGCCTAAATGAGATTATCTCGCAGCGCTGAAGTGTCTTCCTTCCAAAGAACTATGGTAGGACTTCAAAAATTTTCGACTATTAATTTGATAAGCGAGGAGTACCGAAAACATCAAACTGAAAAAGGGGAAAGCTCGTTCGAAGAACCAGCCGCTGATGAACGTGCAGTCCTCTACGGAAATCTCTCCGCAGCGCTAAAAAAGCTTGATAGAATTGAAGATGCTATAAAAGCTGCTGCAGAGTCGCTACAGCTCAAAAGTGACTACCTCAAAGTCAGAATACGCCGTGCCGAGGTTTCTTGTTCTTTCATTTTGCTCATACTGATGCTAATGTTCTAGCTTTACGAAGAAAATGACCAACCACATGAATCGCTCGAGGATTGGAAAGTCGTCGCCGAGCAAGATCCGGCCAACAATGATGCAAAAAGAGCACTGAGGAGGTTGCCGCCCAAAGTCGAAATCAAGAACGAACAAATGAAGAAAGAAATGATGGATGGACTGAAAAAACTTGGAAATATGTGTCTTAGACCGTTCGGCCTTTCTACTGAAAACTTCAAATTTGAGGACAATGGCCAGGGCGGCTATAACATGCAATTTCAGCAATAAACTCTTTTCTTCACCTATGCCTAAATGAACTTTGTATTAGAAGGCGTACACTTAGAATGATATCCCGCGTAACTGTGCGCTATTTCAAGCCTAACGCTCCTCGGATAAAGATTCCTACGACGAATTTAATCGAAACGGCACCAAAAACAGATAAAGGACGCTTCTGGCGACAGGGAAAGGCACTAGTGAAAGTAAGTCCGGAACGCTGTCAATAATAATTTAAAGTTGAAGCGTAGAGACATGGGACGTCCTTCATTATGCTGCGGCTCGTTGTCAACATTTCTTGCTTTTCGGTGCTAACCAAGGCATATTTGGACTGGATTCCTTCAGGTAGTAGAGATTCCAGTTGGATTTTTTTAAATCTATTTTCATAAGGCCATATCTACGATCTCGTGGAGCTAATAAAGAAGGTTGCGGACGAAGGCTACATCCAGAGTCTATTAGAAGGCGAATACGACTTCGGAAACGGTGTCACAGTCAGTGGCGAGGTTGGTGCGCGATTTGCCCTCTCACAAATCATCTTTCTTCTTATCTGTAAGTCCTTTCAGTGAAATATAGGTTTTTATGTTTAGTTATTCCGAGAAATGCACTTGCCGTATGGATGATGTACAATATCGCCAACAGTCCTAGTTATAATGCTGCCAGATTTCGCCGGACAAGTATTGCATACGGAATTTTTGCGTTCATTGGTGCATTTTTGACGATCCAAACCGTCCTTCTCAAGCACACTTCAATGGCTGACTTTGCAGCAAAGGAAATGGGGCTAAAATTCACAAGACCATATTTACGATCTCGTTTATGAAAGTCGGTTCACTTGTCGACCGAATGGTGAAATCATATCAAAGTTTCAATTAATCCCAATCGAAGAAGTGGATAGATGATACGCATCAAAAATTTACTGAAGAAGGGAGATCAAAGGAAGACATCGATAAAGCCATGCTGCCTCTGATAGAAAACTACATCTATCTAAAATATCTGAAGAAACTAACTGTTGATGATTTACGTTCATACTACGAATCGAAGTGGATTGAAAAAAGCGAATAAAGAAGTTCAAATATATTTTTTACCATTGAGTTTTATTAAAATCAATGTTCCTCGGTTTAGATGGTCAAAGTCGTTCGCACAAGACCTTGTCGTCGAGAACCGGCACCTGGGGACTCGCTGTCGGTTTTTTTCACGGCATGCAGCGTGTTTGATGGTTCACTATCGCTCTGGGGCCAAATGATCGAGCTCGACGATCCGTATAATGAGTTCAAGGCAAAGATCGAAGATGTCGCTCAATCAGCCTCGGAGACATCAAAAAAAGGCAAAAAAGGATCCCTTAGCGTGAAGTGTATGTAACAGTAGTTAAATGAATTTAAATTCAGAGTTCAACGATGGAGACGGATGTTTACTGAAGTACAGCTGCGATCAGACGTGGTACAGGGGGAGAGTAATGAACAAAATCTTCGAACGAAAAGCTTCTTACAGAGTTCACCTTATTGATTACGGAAATGTAGAAATCGTCGACCAGAACTCGATAAAAGCCATTCCAAATGAAATCAGGTACTGATCTTTGAATTACGCCGAAATAAAATTTCGTATAAAGTGAAGATGCTTATCCGGCACATGCTTGTAAGTTTTTCCTTTCTGGAATTCATCCAACTCGCAATTGCTGGAGCATAGAAGCCATGCACGCAGCGGAAAAGTTTTCCGTTTATCGCTCCTTTACTGTGAACGTCATCTCCGTGTCCAAAGACCGCGTTTATCACATTCACTCGCCGGAGATCAACGCGCACCTCCAATCGTAAGTTCTTTCCACTTTCACCGGTCCTTCTATCCCTCTATTTTAGGATTGACCTTGGCCGGAGTGTGACACGCTCCGAAATCACCGGTTTCATCAGCCACCTTCCCCTCGACGACCCTCTTAGTTTTTACCTTCAGCCAAATGAACACCCTTCTGGGGAATCGCTCCAATCGCTTTCTGCTGCTATCAATAATGTTTATAGTACTACCACTGCACCCGAAAAACTAGCCAGAGAATTCTGCGTTCCAAACACCTACTGCATCGCACTTTTTGCCAAAGAGTAAGTTGAAATGAAAGGGCTAGCCATTAAGAAACGAGATTTTTCGTCATTCTTTTCTGTTAAAATTTTCTACGAAAAATCTCGATTCTTCATATCTGCTTTCTTGAATTGATTCTGTAAACGACTAATTTCAAATTTCTAGTCGATTTGCTCGAGCACGAGTTCTGTCGGTGGATCAAACCACTGACATGGTTAGGATATTATTTATTGACTATGGAAACTCAACAACAGTTCTACGCAACAGCCTCTGCACAATTCAAACACAGGTGGGTTTAGCTGATTGTGACCCAGAATAAACTAGGTTTTTAGTTCGTCGATTTAGCACCCTTCGCCGTGAAATGCCGCATTTTCAACTGTTCGCTAACATCGTCCCGCTCTTCAGTAGATGTGTACCAGCACGTCAAGGAGATGATCGGTTACGAATCGCCACATCCGAAGCAAGTTCACTGCACGGTCGTTGGCCCATCCTATCTAACCAACGACGACTTTTTAATTCGCTGCGTAGTGCTGCAGAGCCACGAGCTATCCTCCGGCATCCGTCTTGAAACACGTCCCCTGGCGAAAGGCTGGTTGGTGCGCGCCCAGGGCGATGCTACGACGCGTCCAAGAGCGAAAAGTCCCTTCGCCAAGCGACTCAAGTACCTGACCAAGATCAACGAGCGTGAAGTAGAAAGCCAACAATACATCAAGTCCGAAACCATCCCATGTCAGATAACTGCCATTGAGGAATCATACTTATGGGTGGTCCAAGCTGAAACTGTAGCCGCACGCGATGAAATGACGAAAGCGCTGAATGATTTCGTCGATGAAGGAGAGAGCACATCGAAGTGTTTCCCTCGAATCCCGGCATTCAAAACGGTCGTGTCTGCATCGGCAAATGGTCGGTCGACAACAAATACTATCGGCTACGCTTTGACCAAGAGAACGAATGCTTCCGCTTTCTCGATTATGGCAATGCTGCCATTTTGTACAACGACAAAGACACGCACGGCGGCTGTGTAGAAGAACTATGCCGCCTTCCTGACGATTTCCGAGCCGCTCCTTTCGCCATTTGCACGATTCCATGTGGGTCACCGACGCAAGAGTTCCTCACTGATTTAATGAAGAACGAGGAGCTATTCGACGTCACCTTTAGACGACTCAAGCCACCTGGAAACGGGCAAATGGGATGGCTGATTGACATTCCGATTTGGAACCAATCGAACCAGAAGTTGACCGATGATCACGTCAAATTCGTTAACAACCGCTTCTCCGTCAATACCACTATGGCCGGTGTGATACGGCATATAGGAATGGATAAAATAATACAATAATGAAAAGCTAATATTATCATAATCTGGTTTAATCTCTGATCTTAGTAATTGAATCTGTAATTATCTAATTGAAAAGACAGCGAGCAAATGACAGTATATCTGACGTTCCAAGAAGATGATTTCAAAAAAGAAGAAGTCCAGGAAACAATTTTGAGAATATCTGAAGAAGGGCAGCTCCTTTCCCTGGTAGAAGAGCCTGTTGAACTGGGCCAGATTGTGCTTGCTATTTACCCTGCCGACTCAGAGCTGTATCGGGCGCGCATCAAGAGCTTCGAAGAGTACACAGGCCTTATCGAAGTTCAATTTATCGATTTTGGTGATCGGGCGTTTGTTTGCATTACAGACCTGTATTTCTATGACTGCGAGCGATTCATGAATGAACGGCCGCTCGCTTATCAAGTACATGTTAACGGGCTCCAAGCTAAATCTCTAAAAACGAATGCATGTAAGTTCGAATCGCTCTTCTCTTTCATGTTGCTAAAGGAATCCAATTAACTTAATGGTAGCAAGCTTTTTTAATGGTTTTGTGATACGCTCTGTTAGATACGTCTATTTTAGCCGCGTTGTATGAATACTTTGCCGCCGCTTTTACTGGAGTGCATATCAGTGCTAATATCACGGAGATAGATAAGCATGGGGAGATCTGGGTTGACCTTGCTCATCCGAACTCGCCGTTTGATCTGCTTTACGAGCTGTTCAATGGTTACAAAGCGGTCCAGGTACATAAAAAAAGGTTTTTCTGCAAAAGTTAACATAGTAACTCCCTTATTTTTTCACCAGAGAAACTTTTTTCAGAGCGCTAAAGGGTATCGCTAAGTCACATTTTGCAGAAAAGTCAAATGAAAAAGGGCCTTCGCTACATCTTATAGCGTCTGATAATTGTTTAGATGCTCCCTCCTCAAACCGTCTCCTACTGTTTGACCGACGTTCCATTCGAAACCGACTCCCCCAGAGCGAGTATTTCAAACTTCACCGCTTCACCAGAAGTAAACAACAATAACCAAGGAATCTATCTAACCCAAGGTCCGGGTGAAAAGGCTTCCTCGAAGGAGGATAGCGGCACGTCGCTTACGACATTCCATATATAATTGAAAAACATTTCCATTCAAACATGAGAGAGGTAGAAGCGTCGGTCCTGGCATCATCCGCCGCTAGATCAGATCAATAAAATCTGTAAATCATAAAATCTTCAAAATCAAGATATTTCTTTCACCCGAATCCAAGCTGAAGATGGCTGTTATTACCCAGTTCTGTGCGAAGGCGCCGAAAGTGAACATGCACTTACATCGCCCTCGTTGCCCGAATCTTGCTGATTATGATTATCAATCATCCTCTCCATTACGCCTCAAGCTGTTCTCACTCACTCATCGAAATAACCTTAACTTCGAGCCCCAAGTTCAAAAAAACTAGTTATAAAATTAGTTAAAAGCTCAACAACTTTAGTGTCTTATTCTTCGCCTAGACTGACTGTTATTGTTTTTTTTTGTAATTTATTATACATAATTTATTATTTATTGTTCGGAGATCGGACCACATTTTTTTTCATTGTGATCAAAACTGACTAAAGACAGTAAAGAATAGACATTAAGAGCTGGAGTTTTCTTGAAACTTTTCTGTTAAATTCAGCATAATAACTTCCTTTTTGTTGGACTAAATAAAATAATGGTGTAGCTATATTAGATTTTAAAGAAAAGTATGAAGATAAATTTCGATTCATCATGTCTTACCCCAATCATGCAACGTACTACATAGTATCTACATAGGTATATTTATATATACATATTTATCAAAGTAAGAGTGACTAGTAGTGACAAGTATTGGGTTATTGTAATTTTGCCCTACTCGTTCAAAGAGTGAACTCATCTGTACCTTTCTTTTTTACTATTTTTATGATTTCTCATGCAAAGTTTCAAAAAAGTAACTGCAAAAAACCTAAAAGTCAAAGTATAATACTATTCAAAAGTTTTGATACTAAAACGAAATACTATTTAATATAATTTTATTGCTAAACGGATAAATCATTCCTTTTCTAATGCTTGATTCTTTTAGATGAGCGAGTCGGAAAGGCGGCCCGAGCGGTCAGCCAGGGATCCGAAGAAGCGACTGGGGCGATCCGAGCTGGGCAGAGGCTCAGACTCTGATACTGAGTCGATACGTTCTTCTAGGAGGAGCAATCGGCCAGCGGCGACGAACGGAAGTGACGAGCCGCGCTCTAGAATAGACCGAAACGAACAAGGCGAGATTGTCGAGTATAGACACGACGATGGCCAGTCTTATAAAGGTGAAACCCTTTAGCTTTTGCCTAATTCAAATCCATATTCAGTTGGCGATGCTGCCTACATCACGACGCAGCGATCCGACGTGCCGTACGTAATTTCCAAAATTTCGGAAATAAAAGTGACAAAATCGGGCAAGCCAGAATTTGTATGCCGCCCATTCCACCGTCCCGACGACCTGCCTGATCAAATTTATCAAAAGCTGACGCTAGACCGGGAGAAAGAGTTCAGCGAGGACTCCAAAATGATGGAGAAGATCAAAGAGAATACCTTTTCGAAACGCGAATTGTTCATTTGCGATGCAGAAGATGTCCAACGAGATCACATTCAAAGGACGCAGATTAGAGGCTTGTGCACGATTCATTATCATAAATCGCTCGACGAAGTGGTGGACAAGTATACCGTGGAAGACGATTCCTTCTTTTGCATTTTGGGATACAATCCTCAGAAGCGTGTCATTGCATGTCTCGACAAGGGTATTAAATTTTAACATGCGTTTCCGACTCTTAATAAATCTTGATAGAATTCGAACGAGTGAAGCAAATGCACCAGTGGACCGCTGCCGAGCGAGGAATGTTCAACGCAGCGGAAAATAATATGATTCCAGAGGCGGTACCTTATGTACCTCAGCCCGGAGAGGATTCTGAAGACGAGACCGCATTTGAAACGCTTACTTGGCGACCAAACGTCGCCGATTCTGACCTCGTGATGTACCTCCGCGCTGCGAGAAGCATGGCTGCTTTTGCTGGTTAATAATCTTTTCTTCTTACTCAAACGACTGTTGAATGTTTAGGAATGTGCGATGGAGGGGCTTCAGACGCGTGTAATACAGCCACGCGCGATGCTACTACTCTAAATGCGATAGACGTTCTGCAGAAGTGCAATGGAAAAGGAAAGGCCTTTCAAATCAATTAGATTTTTTCATGCTATAAACAGCCAAGAGATGTTTGAAAAGCCTTGCTCCAAGTTGACTTAGCTCTGGAAAAACTGTGCCAGAATCCAATGCCTTCAATTCCGCAACGCATGTGGACGGATGAAGACATCCGCGCGTTCATCAAAGGATTAAGCACCTACGGAAAGGACTTTTTCTACATTTCAAAAGGTAAGGGTGTCAATCTCGAGCACACGGAGCCAATCAACACTCACATCACTAGAATACCTCCCGCGAAAAGACACTGCGGAATTGATAGAATTTTATTACCTGTGGAAGAAAACGTCTGAAGGACTCTCTGTCCGCAACAAATATCGCCGCGCGCCAAAGGTGAGCCCAGTCTTATTTGTCTCTTTCCCGCTTCATGTAGTAGATTATCAAGTGTCATTCCCTTACGTCACGCCCTTTACTATGAACTAGTACTATGACTAATTAACCATCTCTTTTTCGTAGAAGAGCATGTACAATATGAAGTCTCAGTATCCACGAGAACGGCCGGTTGCCAACTCTTCTGAGTTCTCTGACGATGACAACAATTCGATTGATTCTCAAATCGACGAAGATAGCCATATTTGCCGAAACTGCTACACGGTCAAGAGCAGGTACAGTTAGCATTCACTTTTATACAATAAAAATAATTCTCCCTGAAGATAACAAAGACTCAAAATTCTAAAATGACTTTTCAGTGACTGGCACCATGGCGGAAAAGAAAATTATATGTTATGTAATGCGTGTAGAATTCACTACAAAAAATATGGAACTCCAAAAGTATGCGTCGATCGGCCGGAAACGCCCCAACTGCTACGAAAATTGAGACAGCAAGACCATACTCCCGTAGAGCAGGTAAAATATCACGCTTGAATAGTTTATATATCTTTTTCTACGTATCACGAGGAATGCTCATTAAAACGATAAATCAATTAAGAACGAAGTAGACTATAGCATCGCTGCTGACGAATCGTCACAGCCACTTCCTGAGCCAACGCCGCAAACAGCACCAAAGCTGGAGCCACAAGTCAAAAAAGAAATAAAGAGCGAGCCGGGTGATGATTCGGGTCAGAAACGTAAACTTTCTGTTCCTTCTGAAGAGCTAGACACTAAGAAACAAAAACAAGAGGCCAAACCAGAGGCGCCTACCAAAGAAGAACCTAAGGTACCTCCTGTAGCCATTATGCAGATAGATCATTATTTTCCTCTCTTTCAGCCGGCTGTAAAGCAAGAAGTGGTAAGCAACATTGCTCCTGAATCGAAACCAAAAGTCACAACATACGCAACGAACACACCATTTCTACCAGTATCAAAGTCTCCAACCGTTCCTCCTTCATCTGGTAATCAAAGTCTTTAGAAGCATTCAAAACTCAATCGCATTCTAGTAGCTTCCAACACGCCACTCATAAATCTACCATCGCATCCAGAGAAAACGCTTATTCCTCCTCAACCTGGAGAAACAATTACATATGCAGGCAGCTCGCCTCGGCAGCCAGCAGCTCCTCGGCCAATGTATTATATTCATCTGAATTATCATTTTAAATTATTTTTCAGCACTTCTCAGAAGCAAGAAACTGCACCAAAGCCAGTTTCGATTCCTGTTCCCCAAAACTCGACCCCAATCGTTATTCCTTCCGATCCAGTGACTCCAACGCCGGCAAAGCCAGTTCTCGGTCAACCAAGAGCCGGTGTCGAACAAGGCCCCAGGCCGGACCCTGACGAAGACCATCCCTGTGGTCCGTTTTCTGCCCAGGAAGACAACGCTCGCACGTATCGAACGATCGAAAAAATTCAGTTCAAGAAAGCTTTTTTTGGTAAATCTCTCTGCCAAGATCCATTTTTATATTTTCTAGTCCGCAATTGGGAATACTCGGATGGGAACAGTTGCGCTAGAACAGATTTATTCTACTGCGACGAGCCTGAATCCTCTGGGACGACAATTTCCCGACGGAATCCTACAGCTGCTACGCACTCGCCCGCTCGTCCTGCTACTGGACGGTGAGACTTTTCAGAGCTTTCGTCTTTATTAAAACTGTTTTAGCACGCAAGTGGAACGCCCAACCGAACGACCTCAATCGAACGGATCCTCACACGCTCATTCACTTTCCGGGCGGGGCGTTTCTCATCGTCCCCCAACATCGACTCCTCACCGCACCCCCGGCACTCCCCAACAACCCCACTACCGCCCGCCGTTACCTCGCCAGCCGATGTCACCCAACTTTGGCAGTGCTCACGAGCGGAGTCCACTGACGCCCAGCCTCCTTGGCCATCCCGCCGTAAGTGCGGCCAATGCGGGCATCCTCTCTGGCGCCCATCACTCACAACTGGCCCAGCTCCACCAGCTCCAAGAGATGCAGAACCAGGTTAACTAGCATCCCCTTTGCAAATGTTATTCTTTACCAAGGCTCTTATCGATCAGCAACGACTAGCATTGTCAGCAACCGATCCGAGATTGTTAGCTGACGCGCACAATATCTACGGAGCTCTGAGGCTCCCAGGAGTTCCTCACGCCGACCTTCTGCGGGATCAACAGCGTCTCCTTTCTGGTCAACCCTTTCCCATACCTGGGCTTCCTCAACATGGCCTCACGCCCTCCGCGATCTCCCTGGATCCCCACCTTAGGTATTCAATTTCTCGTGCTTCACTCTCCCAATATTATAAAACACATTAGAAAAAACTAGTTAGGCATCAAACGAAGTCAAAATTTCATATTTCAGGAGAAGTGTTGGTCAAAGCATGATCGACAGCCGCCTCCTAAACGACGTTTCGAACAACCGGTTGGTTGACTTTACTTTAAAGGCTTTTCGTTGCGCCTTCGGGTGCTCCTTGAGCTAGATTCTTAGCTTAAGCTTATCTATGACTGAATTAACTGTCATTTTATTTTATTTGAGAGGATGCTTATTTTAACAAGATAGGCTTGTTCAGTTTCCGTTTCTGAGTAAGCGTATAGTTTCAAATTCGGTGCATGTCTCCTCAGATCTTGAAAATTCAATCTATGAGTGCATGATTGTCCATTTTTTATGTTTACCGTTCTCCTTACTCAATTTTTAGGCGGTCTGTTGGGCAGACCATGATGGACAGTCGGATTTTGGACCAAACCGCTGCTTATCAACTGGCTGAAGCTCAGCAAAGGCTCAGTGCCCAAGGCTTGGCCCAAGCAAGATTAGGAAAAGGTCGAATTCGAATTTAAGAATATGAGCATATTTGTGAGGAATTCAGAGAATTCAACCCTTGAAACAGGCGACCCACGTTTTGACCCTCGTTTGTATCAGCTGCATCAACCTAAATAACGATGATACGCTTTCAAAATGTGCATCGCTTTTACTTTTCATTTCAAAATGCTGCTCAGGGTATTTCCGTCTTCCCCTATATTTCCAACTTAGGCCCGAACTAACTGTAATTGTAGTCTAGTTTCAAACCTTTTAATATTTTCAAATAAGAAACTCGACGGAAGTATTTTTTGTGTGAGTGTGTTTTATTTTGTTTTCTGTATAATAAGTTAACTATTTTCAAGGTTATTCAATTTCGGCTCCAATTTGATTTCAAATCAGTTTGAGTACACTCTTTTCGCGACCTAATATTTTACTTTTCGTAGAGCGTCAGTGTCTCAAAAGGACAAGTCGCTATTTTTATTTCTGTACTCTTCGTTGATTTCAGTAGAAAATCTTCGAAGAGTACTGTTTTTTAAAAGCCAGGCAGCAGAAGAGAGGCCTTTCTGGAGGAACAACACTGCAGAAGCCTTTCTGCCGCAACGGCGAGCGGGCAAATCAGCGCATTCATTTAATCTTTTCAAAATATTTTAAGTTCCTTTTTTCTTCCCCCATTTATTTTCAGTTGACGCTAGATAAGCCCGCTCGCAGGCTTTATCTTCTCCTAATGAATAATTTCCCGAAAATCAAGAGTAAAATTCCTGATAATAGATTTTTAGCAAACCTGAAATTCATTTTCTCATTATCATTTTTCTCAATAAAAAACAAAACAAGTGTTCTTCTACGCCAAACCAAAATTCTCAGTAACCCGTTATTATATCTTTATTTTTTTTTACTTTCAAGCCACAAAGTACAGCCCATGTTCTCAACTAAGATACAGTTTAACTTGTACCTTTTATGACACAGAAGTCATTTACATTCAATTAGCCTCATCTTTACTGATGAAAACGATATGAGTTTGCGTGCTAATACTGCCCATTTTCCTGTTCCGCGAGGAATTGTTCAAAAAACACATTTTTTAAGAATTTTACTTCGAAGGGTTGTTTCCTTTTTTTCTTTTATCCTTTTTCTCTTGACTTGTATTCAATTCAATTTGAATTGTAGAAAAAGTGGAGTAGTTCTGAACCGAGGAACTAGAGAATTGCGGATTTCTTATCGTAATTCTTAGCGGATTCAAACGCTACTCTATTGTCCAATTACACAACTCTTAAACCCTATATATATATATTTATAAATATTTCCTTGCATAATTGCCTCATTCTCGTATTATTGCCTTTATTTTTTCGAATTTTTTCTTTGTTGATTCCTGAAATTCTCGAAACGGGACCCTTTTCAAGAGTCTTACTATTTTAACTATTGCTCTCACTGCTCTTTCTCTCATCTTATTCTATTCTACTATTCTTTATCCTGAAAACCCCTGAAAAACCTTACCCCACTTCCTTAAATGGTCTAAAAATAAAGATACCAAATCTACGTTTTCGTCTCTTGATCCCCCTAGAGTCATGTAAAAATAATAATCGCATATTCTGTATTTCATTTTCCCCTCCGAGTATTATATTTTTTGATTTATTTTCCTTTGATCCTGAAAAATAACTTTCCTTTGATTTTGATTTTTCTCAAATTGAAACAATGTTAAGCCTTGTCGGTAAACAAGCACTTCTCATTCGGAAAAATATTCTTTTTATGTGTTTCCGATAATAAAATTTCAAGTTTAAAAAGTTCTTGTGAGTCTTAAAAAGCGAAATCTTTCGTTTTTTTCTTTCTGACTGGTTTACTATTATTCATTTCTTTTTTGTTCATAAACGAGAATATACTTAAATCACTTGAAAAATATTAAATTGAGTTTCAATAAAAAGAGCTTCGTTGTAGATTTATTCATGTTCCGGGCCGGGCGGCACGTCGTCCGGATTCGGCAGAGTCACAGTCAGAGAAACTATTCGTGGAACCCGCTTAGTTGGTTCAAGTCAGGACAGAGCGGTAGCGCAGGTTAATTCTATTCAAAAATACTCATGAAATCAAAAAGGAAAATCGTAGTAAGCGGTGCAGATGTAGTGTCTCCCTCTCCAGTTGCTCCACCACAAGCACCACCGAGTGTCGTGCCTTCTCCGACAATCGAGGTCACTACCCAGACCCCAGAAACAATCGTACATGGGCTCGCCCCGGAAACTCTCGCTCCAGGCGAACCAGCTGCTACGAACATCTTCGAGGTCGTTAATCCAGAGCCAGAGATGCTAGCAACAATGATCGATGGCTGGGACTACTTCAGGCATGACCGTTTTTTTTTTTTTATTCCAATTATTCTCCTCTTTAGTACTCTTGGCTGCATCAATCCAATAACGTACATGACGCTCGGTCTCGACTACATCCTTCCTTTTGGCGAGGCGAGTCCTTTAGTGGCGATTTTCGCAGTTTGCGTTCCTATCCGAATGGCAGCTAGTTTTGTTAATTTGAAATCGACGGCTGAGATTGTTCAGGCGATGACTATGTCTCGCTTGCGGGAAGGAACACGGTTCATATTCTTATACTTTTATTCTTCAAATATCCTCGAGCTTTTAATTTGAACCTGAAAATGAGCGATTTTCAAGTCGACCCAAGGGATGGCAGAAAACTCCGCCTCGAATATAAACGTTTTGCATCAAGGCGATCGTGGCTCTACATCGCGCATGAACGTCCTCCCTCTTCAGCGCGTCGTTGAGTTCAACAAGTACATGAAAGGCTTCGGCGTTGACTTGCTCGAAGAAGGAATGGAGCGGAACTATTACAAGAAAATGATACTCTCGAAGGCGCCGACGATGGCTTCGTTTTTTCTAATTTCACTTTTTCTCAGAGAAGCGAGGATACTTCCTCTCGAGTGTTTCCAAACTCCTTTTCTTTATTGGGACAATTTGAGGTACGCCCTTTTTGAGCGCTTAATCTATGTAGTTCTCTATATCTATAGTTCCTTTACGGCGTCGAGTGTACCGATCTCTGCGGCATGTTTTGGAAGTGCGTTTTTAATGGCGAACATCTACCAAAGCGCCGCAATGAGCCGATATCAAACAATCAAAATTCCTCTCAACAAGCAGTTGACAAACTATGCCAAGTCCTTCATCCTTCCTGCTGGCGTTATGTATGGACTAATGTGGGCCATTGACATGCCAAATATTCTTCAAGGTTTGTAATCAAGGATGAGATCAAATCGAGTGATTTTTAGCTATTTTCATCGCTACAACGTTTGGTAATCAAGCACTGAATGCGATGGTCAAGACAAATTTAAGCATGAAACAGTTTTTTAATTACAAAACGCAAGAAGAGCTCATCATGGATATTCAAGACTGTAAGTTAAATAAGATGTTTTAGACTTTTTCAGGGTTGATTTTGAGGCTAAAGACAATTCTAGATGTGCGTCAAAATGACAAATACCGCGAGCTGCTGGACCAGCGGCGAGCAAATCAAAACCTCCTCCAAGCTCATTATGGCTGGACAACTACGAAGGTCTCCGAGGATGATAACCTCTCGCTCGTTGAAAAACTCCAGGCAAAGAAGCAGAAATTCCAAGAAAACTCTCTCGAGATGGGCAAAGTAAAAGCAGCCTACGAAGCATTGAGTGGAAAGGACTTCGAATCTGCCGGTCGAGAGTATCTCCAAAACATCTATCCGTATTACATTCACGAAGAGAAGGAGGATGCAGCATCGGATGGAATTTACGACAAAATGATAGAAAATGAAAGAAATATTTGGATGGAAGAAATTAATAGAAATAAGTCGACCTTTCAAGTAAATTATATTCTCGTCGCTTTTTACTAATTGCATTTTCAGGAGATGGACTTTGAATTATTCGATGATGGCATAAATGATAGTAAAAAGAGCGAACTTCCTGTAGATCAAATAGAAGACGACTTTAAAAGTTTCTACCGCCCAAGAAAAGAAGAATCAGATTTAAGGCCTTGGTGGGAACGCCAAACTGCTTAAAGTGTTTAAAATAAAGTTCAACCAAAAATCTTCAAATTTCAAGTTTTTATCTGTGATCTTGAATTTCAGAATGGGGGAGCGGCTTACTTGGCAACGAGGCCGGGAAGAAGCACCGAAGAGCTCCATTCCGTCGAAATTCGAAAACGGGGAAAAGGCCGAGAAGATCGGCTTTCTGTACAACCAGCAGGAAACTGACAGGGAACAGTATCTTACAGGAAAGAAGGTTGACAAGGCCTTCGATGATTACCTGGATAGGGAAAAGAGAAACTTTGAAAATTCGCTCAACCCGTAAGTTGAAAAGTCAACGATTTTATGCGTTATAACAATTTTTCGTTTCTAGTTATAAGGAGGGCGGAAAGGACCGAGAAATAGATGTCGACTACAAGTCAAAAGAAGATCCTCTCAGTTATCTCAAAGAAAAAGAACAAGAAAAGTTCAAGCAGCTGCAAGCGAATCCGCAAAAGATGGCCAGATTGCAAAAGCTGATGAAGGCGTATCTTGGAAATCAAGAGGAAGAGTCATCCTCATCTTCTTCTGAGGACGAAAGGTCCAATAAGAAATTGTCATCCAAGAAAAAGTCATCATCCTCTAGTAGCAGAAGAAGATCCAGAAGTAGGTCGCGCGATAGAAAGAGAAGATCCCGCTCTAGAAATCGCTCAAAGAATCGTTCCAAATCTCGCCGTAAAAGCTCAAGAGAAGAGCGGAGAAGAAAAAGTCGTTCTCGATCGCGCTCTCGTTCTCGGTCCCGCTCTCCAAAAGAGAAGAAATACAAGCCTGGCTATGGACTCATAAGGAAAGCAGATGCTCCGGAAAAGAGTTCCTCGGAATCGACCGAAAAATACGAGTCGAAGTTTAAAAATCAATACAAGCCGCATTGTAAGTTATTTCTCCTTCAAAATTGCTTAAAATAACGGGTCCTTTTGTAGCTTATCAACGTAAATTAAAGCAAGGCTTTTCAAATAAGATGACAGCAGAAGAAAAGCAGCGGAAAATCGACGAGATGATGGGCAACGCGTCGAAAAACGATGCTGACCGCGCGGAAAGAGTGAAAAAGACACGCGCAGTTGAAGAAAAAGAAGAAAAGGAGTTCGAGGCAAATCGAAACGACCACTCTTACTACAGGCAAGCTAAAAACCAAGCTCACCCACTAATTTTATTTTCTATCTAGGGACTTGAAAATGAAAGCTACAGAAAAATCCCTGGAGGAGCGTGTTCGCGCTCGCCGTGATCGAAACCAGCGAACCTCTGCGGCGCTTGATAAAAACTGGACAAAAAGATAGACTGCCACATTTTTCTTTCTCAAATAAAAAACAATTGAAATTTAAAAAGTGAAAAGTGAATCCTTTCTCTCTCAGAATGTATACACTGTCGAGGATAGTGCTAAATCGAACGTTCCCGCAGTTAAATCGGCGCTCAGTCAGACATTTATCCGGAAGCTCCGCTCTTTTTGACGATTACTACAAGTGAGTCGAGTGTATTTATTTCGAGTTGGCTTTTGAAAAAATAAACTAAGAACGCTCGGTGTGTCAAAATCAGCAAACGCGAAAGAGATCAAAAAAGCATATTATCAGCAGGCGAAGAAGTATCACCCGGACGCGAATAAGGACGATCCCGAGGCGGAGAAAAAGTTTCAAAAAGTGTCTGAAGCGTATGAGTGCTTGTCGGATCCGACGAAAAAACAGCAGTATGACCAGCTTGGCGCTGCCGGTTATCAGAGCGCGCAAAATCACGGCGGCATGGGTGGCGGATTCCATGGCGGTGGCGGAGGCTTCAGAATGGAAAACGACCCCTTTGACTTATTCAATTCGATTTTCAAAGAATTCGGTGGCCAGGGAAGCTTTTCATCTTACGCAGAGCAAATGAGAAATCAACCACAGGTTCCTTCAACCTCCATGCTGACTCCATTAATTCTTCTCGTAGCAATATGATGTGACCTTGAATATTTCGCTGAAAGAAGCTTGCCTAGGAGTCGAAAAGCGAGTCAGAATGAATCTCGAAACCGACTGTCACAGTTGTAATGGAACTGGAGCTAAGCCCGGCTCGCAACCAATTGTTTGTTCTTAACGCATTTCAAGCTCTAACTGCTGCTTTTTTAAAGATCTGTCCCGCTTGTAATGGATCAGGAACACAAACGCAGATGCAGGGCCCTTTTATGATGAGAACGACGTGTAGTTTGTGTCTTGGATCGTAAGTTTACCTTTTTCTAGAGCCGAAATGACCATTTTATTAAGCGGGAAATACATTAAAGATAAGTGTGAAACTTGCGAGGGCAGTGGCAAAGTCGATCAGCCGAAAGAAGTAAGGATCGAAGTTCCAGGTATTCAATATCCTCGTCCTCCTCGAATTCGAGACTCGTTTTAGCTGGCATTTCTGAGCGAGAAAGAGTGCGTATCGCCGCTCATGGCCATGAGATCTACGTAAACTTCCAAATTGACCAAAACTCGAAATTCCAAAGACAGGGGGAACATATTCATTCTACTGTGGACATTTCTATATCGCAAGCTATTCTTGGTGGAAGGTAGATAGGCAGCGTAAAAAGGGGACTGAAACTGCGATTTTAGCAAAATGATCGACACGATAGACGGAGTCGAGCAAATCGTAATCAAGCCGGGAACAGAGTCTGACACGCAAATCCGACTTAGTCGAAAGGGAAGCTGCAAGTTGGGTAATAAGTCGTTCCGTGGCGACCATATCTGCCATTTACAGGTACTCATGGCATTCTAACTGAAATATGTGAAGCTGAATTGTAGATTAAACCTCCTAAATCATTGACGGAAAATCAACGAAAAGCGATTTTGGAATTTGCAAAAGACGAGGATTTCAGCGGCAGCGTTAATGAGGAGCCCGGCGATGAATCTCTTCTTGCAAAAGCTAAAAACAAGTTTAACTCCTGATCCGGGTGTTTAATTAAATGAAGAGTTAAAAAGTTGAATAAAATGTTATTTTTAATAATCTGAGAAAGTGATTACTATTTGGGATAATAAAATAAAACACAATTGTCCTCCTTCATTCATAACACCCCTGCAAAGGGTTGGAAGTCGGAAAGAGAAAATAGAAAACTGAATTTTAAAGTAAAGACTCGAAACTAAAGAATGATTGTTTAGAATGCTTTCGAGGGCGACATGGGTAAATGATGAGTGCAAGGCGATCCTCGACGATATGATTTTTACAGAGACTTTAGGTAACTTAAGAGCACTATTATTGCTGCACTGTTGGTTAGGGAACGGATAGTTACACTTTTTAGACATCATTTTTCAAGTCCACAGAGCCGCTAGAAAAGGTTATCTTTGTGAGCTCTACCCAGAAGATAACTCCTCACAAAAGATCTGCACCGAGCTCGGCCGAGACGTTTTCGGCCACTGCCAAAATAAAGTGCAAAAGTTCTCAGAAGACATTGACTGTCCAAATTGTGCGAGGCAGATTTCCACTACCAGGTACTACTGCTAATAAAAAGGAGTATTTTTTACTCAAGTTTATTTAGATTCGCGCCGCATCTCGAAAAGTGTTTCGGTAAAGGACGCACTTCATCCCGGATCGCCTCGCAAAAGATTTCCTCTGCAGAGTTTTCTTTTCCCACGCACGGGGGCCACACGGACGCTCCCGACGATGACGACTGGCAGGAGAAGAAGAAGCGGAAGCGAAAGAAAGATGGTGGCTCAAAGAAGGCGAAGAAGAAACACATCGAATCAGTTTGAAGAGCTGATTATTTCAAATTTGTATTTTTTATGATCTAGGACGCGAGCAAGGCAGCTGAGCACAACCGCGAACACGTCTCGTTCTCGAGTTCGTATCTAGACGAAAAGACCAGCAAACGCAAAAATTTAAAGAAGAAGCGTTAATTTTCAAAGCTCGGAAATTAGAAATTCGACTTTGCTAATAAGTTATTATTCCTGTTCAATTTTCTTTCCGAGAAACCTGTTTTCATGTTCATTCTTATCTATTTCTAATCTTCTTGATTTTCTGACAAGAATTTAGTGCAATATAGTTTTAACTTCTATTTCTTGATCACTTCAATTTTACAGATTCTTAATCAATTCAGAAAAATGCCGAATCCGCTTGTAAAAATGACGCCGATTATGAATGACATCAATCGAACGGATCAGAGAGGGGATGGACTTAGAGTCTTCTACTCTTCCAGCGGCGTCAAAACCGACTTGGGTAAGTCCAAACTAGAGAGTCTGCCTTGTACAGCAAATAGGAAAAAATTCTAATCGAGAACTAAAGACGAGCCCAGTAGATAAAATAATTTTAAGCCTTTTTTATCAAGTACTTGGCTTAAGTCACTTGAGAACGGGTAATCTTCCACTTTATAAAAAGGGCTTCAAAAAAGTTCACCCGTTCTCTTATCAGCTTCATTTCAGCTGAGTGCCGCTTATCTATCCCCTCTTTTTATAAGCTCGAAGCTTCAAAAGAGTTTAATTTAGAATCGCTGGCTTTGCACTTCGTCCACATGGTTCTAAATCAAGAAGGAAACGTCGACGGGATGGAGATTTTCAAATATCTTTGGGACGAATTCGACGTCCGAAATTTGGCTGACTGGCGCGATGTTCGCGTCCGGCCACAGGATCACAAGCAGGTCGAATTCGCTGCGGAAACGAATCGCCTACTCGTCCAGCTCCTCCGAAAACACCTGAAGCTCTTTGATCGAGAAGGAGACCGAGAGTCAAAGACTGTTATTACTTTCTGCTTTTTCATGATGAACGCACTTATTGTCAACAATCAACGAGTGACGAACGGATTTAAGGTTCGATTGCGTTTGCTTCAATCTGATGTTGAACAAATTGAAGAGTTCTTTAAAAAAGAACCCGGACAGGGGCTTATTGATGATCAAGCTTACACTTCTTGGTACCGATTAGGTCAGTCGATGAATCATAAAACTCCTTCACAGGAACATTCAGAACAAAGTGGAGGATATGACATCGTTGCCACCGAATTGCCCTTTGTTCTCGGTGATTTCATGGGCGTACCAAAAACCATGCGTGCCGATAACCACCGGGACCGGGCCTCTGTCGGTCTCAATCTTCCAAAAAACGCGTCGGAAGAGTTGATGCAAATCGGCTTCAAAAAAACTGCACTCGAACTAGTCGATAAAACAATAGAATACGAAAAATTAAAGAAAAGCCTCATCAATACTGGTAATTTAAATAAAACAGTCAAAATTTCAAAGTTCGCCATTTGAAATTCGTGATCCATTAAAGTTTCGAACGACGTGCGCTTAAAATCAATCAATGTCTCGATTTTAAAAGAGCATTTCAGGCGCCCTTCCCCAGCACTGCCAAATCGACGATTACAGTTTCGATGCACTTGTTCGAACATGCACTACAGTCGCCAATGTTTACCAAAAACTCATTGATAACAAAAACAGACCAGAAGGAACGGAGCAAAATCAGAAAACAGCTTGGCAGCTCAAGTAAGTCCTCCGTTTTTCGGTCTTCAAACAAAATGACCTTTCATAACGCAAATTTCATTTTTTTCTCTTTTTCTCACGATGAATTGTCTTTATTAGAGCTGAACGGATCCGGCAAATTAAAGCAAAGGCCACCCGGAGAAAGAGAAAAAATAGCTGGAGCGAGGGAGATAAAGCTGGATCAAGCGGGGCTGATGCGACTAGCGCTAGCCCAGCGAAGAGCAGCAGCGCCAGCGTACTCGTACAGGGAAGAGTTAACCCATCTGCTTAACTGAATTAGCGTGGATCGGATAAATTAGAAGCACCCTAAAGAATGGCGCCTGGGCCGTATTAGTACGAGGGTTAACTCACAAAAAGCAGCAGGCAAGGAAAACAAGAGCACCGGCAAGATCTACAGCAAGCAGGCTAGGGTGGGCGAATTCTAGTGGCTTATTTTTTGCCCTCTGCCTAGCACGCAAACCTCCTCGACAATTTTGCCCATCCTAGAATCAGACGTTTAGTGAGCGAAGCGTTTTTGCGTGACAAGCTTAAATCGGATGTCGAAAAGATCACGGAGAACATCCAAAAGTTTCACGCGCAGCGAGAAAAAGAAATCTTCCGCGAGTCCGAGAAGCTTATCAGAGCTAAAAAAGAGCGTCAGGAGCAGCTACAAGCCGCTGAAAGAATTCAGGCCGAACGAGAGAAGAAAGCTCGCCTGGAGCAGGAAAAGAAGGCGGCGGCGGAGGAAAAAAAGCGGAAACAAGCTGCCGAGAAAGATGTTAAAGCGCGGATAGCGTCACATCTGAAGAAGGCGCGTGCTAATGAACGGAAGAACGCGAGGAGGCGCGAGCAACGTGCGCTAGAAAACCCCACTCTCCTCGAAAAGCGCGAAAAGCGAGAGAACAAAAAGGGCAAAAACAAGATGATCATTGCGCGCGCGACCGCAGACCTTCCTTTCATCGATGGCGACGTCGTGCTCTTCAATCAGTTTGATGAGGAGGACAAGGGACCGCTTGGACTTGGCTTCACCCTCGGCAGATTGATTTTAGACGGCGCAGGAACAGTTGGAATACCATAGCATTCACAATTTTGAATTTAAAGAACCTAAAGGCTTTGGATTTGTTCTCCGAAAATAAGCGAACTAACTCCCTTAATATAACAAAGAGAAAGTTTCATCCTACTTTGGAAGAAAAGTTTGACGGCACTTTAACATTTCCTAATTGATCATTCTGGAAGGCACCGGTGCTGTCCCCTTCATAATCGATTTTATTGCGAGTTGTCACTTTTCTGTCGCTTCCTGTCAAAACTATGCAGCGGGCTAGTAAAGTCGGTCAAGCCAAAGTCATGAAGTCTTGCATAATTTTAGTTTAAACTTGCTCAACAATCTTTTCAATTTTGCCATTGAAGATATCGAAGAAGACGAGTTACGTATTCGAGTAATGAACACGAAGAACTCTTTTTTCGCGCCATGGTGTGAGGAGAAAGGAAAGGGTTTGCATTGAAACAAAAGGGAGGAGCATGAGAACGCGCTCTTCCCGCAATTATCGGACAATCCAATTTTGGAAGCGCATGAAGTGAACTAGGCGCGTAATTGATTTAATCTCCGGCGACGGTAACTCCTTCTAGAATCTGCGAAGATCCGATGCTTGGCCGCGCTCGAACGTTCTGAGAATGTTCTAGCGCTGCGGGGCTAGTATCGATCATACACCGTTCGCTCCTGACAGAGTACAGTTAGCCACTTTCTCACATCATGTGAGCAATGATAGTTGAAAATGCTCGAGGCTGCCGACCCAGGACTCTTTGGATGGAGTTCAAACCGACTAGACTATTCGGTGTGGTCACCACACTTGCGGCGCTAGATCCTCGCGTGCATGAGCGCTCATGATTCCATCACCGCCGTCGTTTTTTTCCGTCGCCTTGAAAACTTGGCGAAAAAGTAAAATAAGAAAAATAAACTTTTAATATTATAAGAGGTTTTATAGAAAGATATGGACGAAGAAGGTTCCTGTCAAACTGTAAGTAAATCCGTGAAACCGATACTTTTTGCCCATTCATTGTAAACCCAAAATAAGACGAGATCGAGGACATTTTTGTATGCAATGAAGATCTTATTGCTCGCGTAGTAAAAGATGATGCAAAGAGAGAGTGGGGCGCTTCTGATTTCCCAGAACTGCTGGAAGCCTACCAGCGCTTTCTAGAAACGGATTAACCCAAAGACAAAAGTCTGCCAGCTGAAAAAATACCCTAATCTTCGTTAAAAACCGCGGCTGGGATCTATCCTCTCCACTTCTTCTATCTTTTGACGCAAAGCTTAAACAAAAGTGACATTTTTAAGCTAAATTTTTTGACATGTCCAAACACTCACGCTAGCGCCGGGTGTCATCATCAGCGTCCTTTCTTATCGCCACATATGGGCGATGTTAAGCCTTTTTTCCTGAATCCGTCCATTGCCGGCGCTGCTTTATCACTTTCTTCTTTTATCTATTCTAACTACCTGCATGGAAAAAGTTCAAGTTTTCAAGTTAAATAAAAGAAACTTTTTTTCATTCAAACCTTCTTTTTCGAGATTATTTTCTCTGGTAGCAAAGGATAAACGAATGTTCTTCAGAATAACTCATATGCGACGGGTATTCCTCTTATCGCAGAAATCGAAGAATGGTTCGACGAGGAACTCAACTTTGGCCTGGTCGAGTCGCACGTTGACGCGAGGAGCGAGAAATCACGTCTGCCATCCCAGGACATCGAGTTTGACTGGCTCCCTTCAAACGGACCGGCCTCTGTGCGTTCTTCGGTGTCCTCCAACTCCTCCGTCGACGATGTCTTCGATTTCGACATGCCGGAAACGCCGCTTTCATTTTGCGCTGAAAATCGGCTGAGCGAAGAAGCACCGCCAAGAAGTGTCTCCTCCGTTTCAAGCTCCGTGGACGACGTGTTTGATTTCGACTTCGAGAGCCTCATGCCTTCTCACGCCACGCTCAACGACCTTAGCCTCGGTAAGTCAATTAGTGACTCACTTATGCAGCTGTCAAAGGCGAACTTTTCAGGAGCGCGCCCTAAATCTGAAAAGCCACCCGTTGAATTTCGTAACGCTTTAAGCAAAACAGCACCTTTCCTCCCGACTCCCGAAACTCCCCGATTTCCATACTAAAGCCTGAATAAGCTTCCTCCCAAACAAGTTCGTTTTCAACTGAACTTGACTCGTGAACGTTCAGAGTTCGGACTCGTTCAGCTGAGTAATGATTTACCAAAAAAAGTCACCATTAAGTTTGGCCGTAAACGGATTAGGTTGTGAGGTTGCGCGTTTTGAGGTTTTTTGCGCACTAAGATGATTATGCTTTTCTAGAACTTGGAATCGACTTATGCAGTGGCGAAGGTAAGCAACCGGCTACTTTCAAACCATTGGTCCCTCCTTCTTCTGCGTCCAAAAGGAAGAATCCAGTTCCGATCGCTATTGCACCGAAGACATCTCGAATCGAGCAGCGACTTGTTTCGGTACAGACGCTTTCCCGTCTCCAGCAAGTACCGGCAATTCCAGTGGAGAACAGGCAGATCCAACAAGATGAGGCTCGTCTTGGGGGTCTGCGTCCCCTACGCCCGCGAACTAGCACCAGCACGTTCACCAATTCGACAGTTCCGCTAACAAAATCGACCCTAAACGAAAAGAATTACGAACCGCCCTCTCCTCGGTCGAAAATCTCCCCGACTCCCGCTTCAAATGAATCGAACTCCTCGTCTCTTATCTTGGCTGGTCCAAAAAAGAACTACAATCAAACTGCAGAAAACGAAGCGAGCTACACTGGCTGTATATTCAACTGTAAAGAATGTGGAAAAGTTTTTACCAGACGAGACGCCGCTCGCGCCTGCAGTCGAGATCATCGATGTAAGTCGAGTATTCCCGAATTTCCCAATAGATTCTATTTCGAAAAGTCAACCTCTAAGTGACGTGCGAACCGCGCTCCAAAATATCACCTCCATGACGTTCGTCAGTTCTAGTGACGTCGTAACCACCTACCCTTTAAAATACTGTGACGTCTTATTTTCTTTTAATTTGAAAGGACGAAGCTCGCATTTTCGTTTTTTTTTTTTGAAAATTTTGTTTAGTGACCTCAAAATCCCTGAAAGTTCTTCAAAGACGAACATGCTCAATTTGCAAGAAGATTTGCTCCTCACCTGTGGCTCTAAAAACGCACATGTTGATCCACAGCGGGGAGAAACCATTCAAATGCTTCGAGCAAGGCTGCAACAAGGAGTGCCGTGAGAAATCGGCCCTAAAGAAGCACTACAAGCGTTTCCATCCTGAGAAATTGGACACGTTTGAATCACTACTCTCTGTACATTTAAAAAAGACACAGACAGTCAGCGCGAGCGCTGCTGCAGCCGAATAAGAGAGAAAATCCTAATCTCAATTTTGCCAAAATTCAAAATTGACAAAAAAATCAAGCAATCAATTTCCTCGTTGCCTCAATTTACCAATTCGATAAATATCAAGATATTGAGTGTTAGCAAAAAAGCAAGAAAAGTAAAAATATAATTTCAATTCAATTTGCTGGAAAATCGTGTCAGCTGAAAAGCAAGCACGTGATGCAAAAATATGCAACAAAATCCAAAGTGCCCAGTTTGTTAAATTCAGACATCGTGGCTCAATTAATAATATTTCCTTATTTCCAAGTTCCACCCTTCTGACTGATAATTTTGATAAAATAAACGGTCACTGTTCAATCAACCCTCGTCTCTTTCTTTCTTTCTTTTTTATAATTTTTCAGATAAATTATACTTTTACTTCTTCAAATTATTTTGTTGTTTGATTCTCATTATCATAAATTCGCAGGTCTTGAATTTTCTCCTCTAGTATTGTTTAAAAGTAGTGATCCATCAAGTCTTTTGTCCAAAAAATCCGGTCGAGTTTCTAAAATATAAGCAGAAATTTAGCCTATCTGTCAAGTATAAGCGGATTTAAGTCAGGCGTTTTAAAATCGGCGAACTTTTCTCCGCTCGCTGCAATGTTCTAAAACGTAGCCTTTTGTAGAATTATGCTTGGCGCTGCTAGACAAATCGCTAGAAACACGCGTCTGAGAAACCATGGCGCCTTGCAGAAAGGTCAATTCAAAGGCAAATTTCAAGGTTACGGCGAAGAGGACCAGATCGAAGACATGTTTCTTCCAGAAGCAAGGACGTAAGTGCCAAAAGGTTCAATTAGGAAATCTAACCTTCAGAAGATGCATATTTTAACGGATTGCTCGTCGGTTTTGACATTCCGAATCTTTAGAGCACTACTGCGGGTAAACCAGGCGGTCAAAATTATAAATTTAGGCTCTTACAGAGATTCGAAATCTATTCAGATTATTTTTCACGCTTTAATTTGGTTCTTTTTGAGTGAAAATTACCTCGAACTGAATCTTTAACATGCGTTCAAAATTTTTTAAGAGGCTGGACGCCTATGGAACGAATAATGCGGAGGCCGAACTCCGCCGATTTTGACGAAGTTTACGAGTCTCATTGGGCATGGAAACACGTGCTAGAAGGAGATGCAAAGAACATCTCGACCAGCGCTACGATCAATACGTGCGTGACTTCGGCTTCAAACCAGAGGACTATTTCGAGCGCGCGGATTATTTTGCCAAGTACGGCACGGACGAGGCTGTCTGGCACAGTTGGGTGCGAAATAATAAACGATCCTGGCCGTCGATGGGCCAGCGCGAGGCTTGCTACACGTACGTTGATATTTCTTAAGCGCTTTTTGACTTTATCTTGAATGAACTGAAAGAAAAAATATTTTTTTTTCTTTTTTAAATTTTATTCTTTAGCTATTAAAAAATTGCTTATTTGAGATTTTTGCATCTTTTTTAGATTTTTTAAAAGTTCAAGCCGCCTATATTTAGAATTCTTTTGTAACGCGCACTTTTAAAGACCTTCCTACACGAGAAAAATTGCTGCCCTCTGCATCGTGATGTGTACCTTCTGCCGCACTACAAAAATACGAAACTTTTAAAACAGTTTATCGACCCGACGACTGGTAATTTAAGGATCAAGCTCAATCACTTGAGAAAATATTTTTAAGGTAACATAATGACAGGATTGCGGACAGGATGTTGTCTTCAAGCTGAAATTGAGCTAGGTGTCGCGCTTCGTAAGTTTCCGGTTTTTGTTGCTTTTTCTTCTTCTAAAGGCTAATTTTAGAGCTCGCCTGGCAGTATGGGTATCTCCTGCAGCCCCTGCATACGTATCAGAAACGTGGGGGCTGGGGATTCAAGAATAACTTAGACTGGAGGTTTCAGCACGAAATGCACTCGGAAAAGAAAGATAGTTATATTGCCAAATGGCTTTTTGATGATGATGATAGTTTCTATTAAATTTTTCAGTCTCTTCTGTATTCCTGTATTGCCCGAATTACAAATAACAAGGGGTAGACATCATGGATCAGAAGTCTAACCCATTTGAAAAGTTTTCTTTTTCAGAGCAATGCCTTCCAGATCGTCGCACTGGAAACAGCGTCTCGGTAAAAGACTGACCAGCTGGTGCATTCCTGTTCGGACAATCGATCAGCAAAATGAGCAAGCGATGCAGCTCTCCCCGACGCCGGAAGGAAATACCAAGTGGGGCATGAGATCTATTAGGTCCCTTGTTCCTCGGCAAACGAGCCGCGTCGACTATGCAGACCAGTTCGATCCGTGCGATTGTACTTGCACGAATTCTAGGCCAGGAAATTTTCCTTTCTTCACTTTGCTTTTGTCCCTTTTGCACATTGGCCTCTACATTTACTACGTCGCCATTGATCCAGACCATAATATCTGGGATTTTAATCCGTAAGAAGTTATTGAGTCTAACACGATTTTAACTATTCATTGTAGTCCGATTCTTTGCTCGCAGTTCCTTTATTCTCCTTATCACAGGGAAGAAGTATGGCGCTACTTTACGTACTCATTTACCCACAGTGGCATCTCCCATCTAGCTTCAAATCTCGTTCTTCAAATTCTTATTGGCATGCTTTTAGAGGTAAAAATATCCTCGTCAAAAAAGTTCACGGTCGAAATTCAGATGGTGCATGGCACGCCAGCAGTGATGGCGATCTATATCATTGGCGCCACTAGCGGCGGGCTCATGACTGGAATCATGTCACCAGACAAGCTTGTTATCGGCGCTAGTGGCGGAGATTATGCCCTAGTTTTCGCATATTTGGCCAATCTACTGCTCAACTGGGACTCGATGAAGGGCGTTTGGAAGTGGGTCCGCCTATTCTTTCTTCGTAAGAAAAATTGAGTGCAAATCAGTAGTAATCAAAATTAAGTATTTTTCATTGGCACTGACATTTACAACGCAGTAGCCAGACAAATGTCCACCCAAATCTCCAGCGGTGCTCATCTTGGGGGCGCAATAGCTGGCCTCGGCGTCGGGCTCATTCTTCTTTGCAATTTCTACGAGACGAAGAAGGAAAGAATCCTCAGAAACGTCCTCTTTGGTAACCTACAGAACATTGCTAGAATTGCCAAATTTATATTATTCTAGGGCTGTTTGTACTTGCTTTTGTTGTCGCCGTGATTTGGTCAATCTTCTGGCCGGGATTCAAGGAGTTTGATGACACGGCTCCACCGTGTGATACATTCGGCCAATGCTCTCAATACAAAGACTGCTCCAACTGATTCTTTGCAACTCAAAACCTAATCAAACTGAAGAACTCTCGCCTGTTTACCTTCAAAAGCATACTTTGCCTCTCCTCTCCTTTCAACTTAGAAATATCATTGTGACATTATATCTGTATATAACTTATCGTACGAGAAACAATCAAGCTTTATTTCCCTCCCTCTTTTCTGAACCCTGCTCATTCCGAAATTCAATCTTCAAGACGACTCTTCTTCTTATAACCAACGCGCAATACCTAATAAACAAAAAACGTGACTCCAGACTCCAGACGAATTTACAATTTCAGATGGGAGAATGTAAATTAGCAGTCGCAAAATAAGAGGAAAATTGTAAAATGTGTGATGCGACTGCCGATAACCTAGGTGGGTTTCAAAATTAGTTGGGCAAATGTCTCAATTGAGCCAATAACAGGCTCGTCTTTTTTAAAAATGCACCCTCTTGACGACGAAAAAACGCTATAACTCGGATAATATTGATGTTATCGGAAAGTCCAATGTTCCAGGCAAAGAGCACCGGATTCTGAACCGATTGATAATTCATTGTATGGGGGTTCTATGGCTCTATTGGGAGCTAAAGCAAAAGTAGTTTTGCCCAACTAATTTTGAAACCCACCCTAGAGCTGCTCGATGCTCTCATGGAAGCCTCCGAGACCGGGGATACCTCCGCGTTGAATGTGTTCAATGATTATTACACAGACAAAGAGTTTCCCTCTGAAATACTCAACACCAATGTTGAAGGAAAAGTTAATCCCTCCGTTTTTCATTCGCGGCTTTGCTTATCATTCTAAAAGGTGGCTTCTATTCTTGGTAGCGACTTTCTTTAACCTCGAGAGGCTTTAACGGGTCGAAAGGGTGATTAACTTAAGAGAGGCAACAGCGCACTGGTGACCGCAGCCCGTCATGGACACCGTAAGGTTGTGAAATGGATGTTAGCACATGGCGCAGATTGCGAGGCGCGCGGCTCCTGCGAGTTCGATGGCGACACGCTTGAGAATGTTCCTGCACTTTGGGCCGCCTCAGCTGCCGGTCACTTCACTATCGTCCAGACTCTCGTGATGGAAGGTAAATCAAGGTCTGTGTCAGGGCTAGTTTAACTGGATTTTCGAACAGGCGCAAATGTGAACGCGCGGACGAAAACCAATTCTACTCCTCTTCGCGCCGCTTGCTTCGATGGACACTCGTCGATCGTCAGCTACTTGCTTAAGCGAGGAGCTGATCCCGAGATCGCTAATCGTTATGGGCACACCTGTTTGATGATCGCCTGCTACAAGTAAGTAAAACTCGATGCCCAAATCGAAACACTATTTTAGAGGTCACAAAAAATGCGTTGACCTGCTGCTAAAACACGAAATTGATATAAACAAGCGATCGAATAAAGGTTTGATTTGATTTGATTAAATACATACCCAATTACGAATGGTAGGAACTACGGCCCTTCATGACGCAGCAGAATCGAACAATGTAGAAATCTTCCGAACACTCTTTCGAAAAGGCGCTAAGTTCTTGACGAACGAACTTGGCGTATCGCCCCTTATCACTGCCGCTTTAGGCGGACACGAGCAAATCGTAAGCTCGGCTGTAAGAAGCAAGGATCATTAATTTCTTATCTAGGTGAATTACTTTGGATGTGGCGACTTTATCAAAGACACGACTCATGGTGGCTATTCTCTGTCGAATACTGTCACAAAGGCGAAAATAGCAGAAGCAGTCGAACTTCTTGGATGCTATTTCGTCGATAAAAGCCGCGAGTTTGCCAAAGGTGTCGAGCATTGGATCTGGGCGAATATGATCAGAGGATCAGGTAAATAATAGGCGAAGAACTTTGACATCTATTTAGTTTTTTCATTCAGATCCGATAGAAATCGCAGAGCCAAAACCAGCGTTTGACAATATGCAAGAACTAAACACTGCCGAGGCATTGCGGCTCGCCCTTTCAGATAGGCATCGGATTAAAATGAATTCCTTGCTCAGTAAGTTCCTTGCAGCATTGCTATCTTAAAAAAACAGTTCGAGAGCGTGTCCTTGGCCGTCGTCATCCAGAAGTTTCGTTTTACATTCGTTACCGCGGCGCTGTTTATGCGGGTGAGCTATATTAGTCTTCCATGATTTCACCAGCGTTTATTAAAAAGATGCTGGATCGTACGAACGATGTATTATTCTTTGGAAATATGCTCTTGAGATGCAAATATCAACCTCTAACAAGCCTGTAAGCTTGCACATTCTTTCAAGTCTACACAGCTTCGTCGACCTCTTCAGGTGTTTAAGCAAATGAACACTTTTTTTGACATTTTTTGAAGTGTGATGGAGGCGAAAAATTGCCCACCGCCCATGGAAAATCTCTTTTTTGTATGGGAGCATTTGATGCAGCGTTTCTCCGAAATCCAGGATCAGTGTACTCCTGAATTGAGCAAAGAAGATCTGGACGAGAGGGAAAAGCAATTCTCGCATCTAAGATGTATCGTTCTTCTTGTCCTTTCCAAAATGATGAAACGACTTAGCGAAAACAACTCTTGTGAACAACGGTATTTTGAAAGCATAATTATTGGCTATTTTTGCTTCAGAAAAGCAGTGATGTCCGATTTGCGGCGGCTTGTATTTATAAACGATGAAAAAAACCAGCTTTTGATTCATCTTGCGTGCCAGGACTTCTCGGATCAGATGCCGGACAAGCACTGCCGCAGTCGCAAGAACTCCACTTCCTTTCCCAACGCTGCTGTGGTCGAGACACTGATCAAAGCTGGGAGCCCGGTCGACGAAGCGACCGGCTCTGGCGATCGGCCAATCACTCTTGCTGCTAAATATGGTTGCCTGAAAACGATTGATGTTCTATTGAAAAACGGTGGGTTTTAGTTTCTGGATCTCGTGTCTATTTATTTTGTTTAGGTGCGCACATTAGCTTCACGAACGGAGAAGGCAATAATATTTTCACTATTCTGCGTTTGACGGCCTCAAGAGCGGACCGACTGAAACTCATAAGCAAGCACTGTCCGTTTCCTTTAAAATGCATCGCTGCTAGAGAAGTTGCTCACCAGTTGATCGCTTCGAAAGACATCAAAGTACCGTATTACCTTGAGCCATTTGTTCTGGCCCACAAGCCCCATGTCCCCAGGTTTGCAGAGTAGAAATTCTGGCAAACTACAGTTTCGACTACTGTCTTCGTGCTCGCTGAGTAAGTTGTTATAAATTAAGTTGTGAAGAATCCCATTCAAAGTTCTCGTTTTCTTTTCTTTTTCTCGATGCTATGATATGCTTAAATACTGTATCTTTTTACCTCTTCTTCGGGGCTTGAATAAACATCATTCTAATTCAGAAACTGCTTCAATTCAAAAAGGCTAAATAAGTTTATCTAGAGTTTTTGAATACATTTTATTCACATGCAGGCGATTCTAATGGCTAAAAGAAAATCATCAGTAGGTTTCCTAGAAATTGGAAATAAATGCGCAGCAATTTTATGCATCTAATGCATGTCTTTTTTTAACACGAACCGCTAATTTGCTAATTGGACTTGATGCTGATCCCGCTGGCAATTAAAATAATCAAGATCTCAGCAGTATTTTTTGTGAATGAATTTTTAATTCAAGTATTTCTTTTTCTGTCTTCGCTGATTATTTTGCCCGCCCACATATGCCTATTGAACGCAACCATCAACGAATATTAATTGCATTGATTGACTACTGCTTTATTGGCACTCCACTTTTTCTTTTGCTAGTAGAGAGCATATTTTGCCGCAAATCGAAGAGAGAAAGAAAAGCGCACACGAAGAAGCTAATTATGGGTGAGTAAAACGGCTTGAATTTTTGAATAGACGCGAAATGGTGGATTTTAAAACTTTATTCCAACTTAGAACGAGAGTTTTGATAAGTAAAGACTTTGAATTTTCGGAACCCGCACGTGTCCAAATTGGATAAATATTATATTCTTTGAAAACACATGTCCGTCAAAGCATAGGAAAGGGATACATATTTAATTGGAAAAGACGAAACTGCGATCGGTAGAGCCCGCGTCAAAGGCAATCGCCAGGGAGGCAGCTAGAGACAGAATGAAATAGAGAAAATTCTCACCATGTCACTAGCAGATGGAGATGCAGTTCCATCGACAATCGACATTGGATTTGCTTTTGTAGCGACGAGAAAATTCGCGAATGAAACCTTCACGAACGGGCTAACTAGCCAACTTCAAAGTGCTATCGGCAGCGAGTGTAAGAACTTGAGGAAAGTGAAGGAGATCTCCGTTTTCTCTTTTTGAAGTTTATTTTTCTGCATCACGGACAGTAGGAGAATCCTTCAAGCTTAGGCTCGGATGGCGCTTTTCTTCCGAAGAAGTCGTTCCTCGCTCGACTGACTTACAAAACCGAGGCTTGCGCCGTGCCCGGGATGAAAGATACTCTGATCAAATATATGAACAACGATATGAATACTTTGAATCTATACCTAAGGCAGGAACTCGAGTACAAAGCGCCCTACCTAGCTCTGGCGTCTTCGAAAATTACCGCTTTCTTCAATTATCTTTCGATTTCTTCAAAAACACTTTCGAAAACGCTGGTATTCAGCTTCCATAGATGATGTGACAAATGGACTCGATCCGTATCTTGTGAATATGATTATAATTACCATCTCGGCAGCCGCTGTTTTAGCACTTTCTATCTATGCCCTCGTGATGACAAAAATTGAGTGAGTCGTTGTAATGAGTTGAAATTAACAATGAGCAAATTAATACCATTTTAGCCCTTGATTTGACCTTCGCATTTAGACAAGAACGAGTACGTGAGAAATTAGCAAATCCAAAGCCACAAAATGGACTTCATAAGCAACAGCATGCTGCTATTGCTACGGATGTTATCGATCCGAAGGTATAAAAAGAACTAAAGACAGGGACCTATTAATCTTATTCAGGAACCGCTCGACAAAATATAATGAAATTCAATTTGGAAATTGATTATTATTTGTACGGCTTGAATAAATTTATTTCACGTTTCTATACAGTGGGGACTAACATACAGTAGCTTTCAGACCAACATAGATAGAACACCCGATATTGTTATCAGCGATAATGGCTTCGCTTTATTGAACTTGTAAAATCTACTTGAAAAATTGTCCAAAATTGAGTAGCACCGTTGAAGGACGTTGAATTGAGAAGTGTGGGAAGAAGGAGTGGCAGGTTCAAAATCAGAATTGTACATAGAAAAAAGTAGTGTCGAGCTCATAAATTATCGATTGCAAGAAAAGGGTCGTGTCCGGTTACGTTTTAATGTAGTCCTTCTCGTCCTGCCCGGCGTGGCACTTGCGAATATGCATCTTCATATGATCCGTCCGGCTGTTTCCATAACTGCAGTGGCGGCAGTGGAATCGCGCGAACTGAATATTTTTCAGTAGCGACTAAATCGTTTTATAAATGGACTTGTATCTATTCACTCCTGTTGTTATCGTCCGGTTACGTCGGACACGCGTAAGCAACTGAAACCTCAATTCCACTCACCTTGAAGTGAAGCTGGTAGTGGCGCTTGAGATCCTCCTTGCGCTCGAAACCTCTTCCATGATTTTGTAGAATCGGGCACACCATGCAGCTGAATTGGCCATTCTCGCGTTTTCCCTTTAGCGGAACTTTTTCAACTTTGAAGTCGGATCTGATTATATCGCTCGCTTCACCTTAGTTCGATTTAAATATATAATTCATATCATTATCGATGATTCTTATCATCACTGTAAAATCGTTATGAACCCACTTAATTTGTAAAAACTTACTTTGTGTCATGAAAGTAAGGTCCTTGGCAGAGCAAAATTTGCGGATGAGTTCGTTGATTTCGTCGGATGTTTTTTGAGTGGGTACCATGCTGTTTTCTATCAACTTTCCTTTCTTTTGAAGAAATGAGCAGAGATCTGCTGTTGTGACCGAGTATTTTTGCTTGGAAGCCGGATGTTCGAGTGTCTGGTGGAAGGAGACGGAATTTAGCGGCTCCAGACTGTTCATCGACGACGAAGCTGGCAGCGCAACCGCAGGCGGGTGTTCGTGGACTAAAAGAAGTTATACTATAATCAGAACAGCATACGCTTTCACATACAAATGTTGAAGGCGTTTTCTTCGAAGGGAACTAAAGATCTGCCCGGAATGCCGATTTCAGGCTCATCCTGGTGCATTGGTTGGTGGCTTGGCTTCAACGAGGACGATTTCTGCTTTGTCATGCCAAAAGGAGGATAAGGCTGGGCGCGATGTGGTTGTCCAAGTCCGAGGAGCGGACTTTTTTGTACAAACTCCGATCTACTTGACGGTAAGACCTATTTTGCGCTATTTTTGATCAAAAATATATGAAATTTCAAGGCGGAATATTTTTAAGTACTATTCATTTTTGAGAGTTGCAAGTTTGCAAGTTGCTTTTTATATAGCACGTGCCTGAACAAAGCTGCTAGACGAGGATGATGACGGAGAAATAGTGAATGGAGGCGAAGGATGATTTGGTATTGAGGATGGACGGGGCGGCGACGGGAAAAAAGGAGAGCTCGAGGGCCCCGGTATTTCAGTATTGGAGTCGATCGGGTGATACTCTTCCTATTTTCCATTTTTATAGAGAGAGATAGAGAAAATCAAAAGCCTACCATGCCAGTCTTGCCCTCCGTCGATTTGCCGGCAACCCAGCTGTATTGCGAGTTTACCTCTCCGTCGTCCATTCCTTTAAAAAAACAATAACCAGTCGTCGCTTTCTCTTTTTCTTACCTGCTTCATGAAGAAACTCGAGCAGCTCTTCTACTTGAATATGCTGCAAAACGTTCAAAGCTAACTATGTTTAAGACTTTATCCAAACACGGTCTGCGAGTCTCCGGTAAGTCTCACTCTGCAAATAATAAAAGGATTGCTGATTTTTTTCACCCTGTCGAGGAGGGAGAGTGAAGCCATGTTTTCTGCCTTCATAACAAAAAAGAAGAGAAAATGGGAGATATTTTCTGGCACATCTAATTCATGTATTGATTCACGCGCAAAGTTTCAAGCATTGGATAATTTAAGATTTTATATTTGACGTTCAAATTTTGAAATAAGATTTTCATGAATGATCTTTGCAAAGAATCAAAAATATTATCTACCTCTTATATTTCGAGTTCTTCTAATAGCTAATAGCATTAAAAATAGACGATGTTCTGGAAATATGGCTATTATGTAATGACTGTATGTTTACTCTGTAGAGGGGCATGTGCTTGTAACGCCTTCCTGCAAGTTCTGTGAGTATTTAGAGGAGGAGTTTGAATAGTTGCTCGACATCATTCGTGAGGTACGTCGTTGAGATCTATCTCTCAGCCTTAGTGCCCGGGCTGTGGCGGATTGTTTGGTGGAAGAAATCCTTGGTCCATTTTCGTCAGTAGGTGGCTCAGCGTTGCCCCTACCATACTCGCCTGATTGGGCATGGCGGCGCAGCGTAAATCGTAACTACACCAGTTCGAAGGTATCTCAAACTTCGATTACGAAGCGCTGAGCGAAGCTCCGCACATATCCTGTCGAAAGCGGTCACAAGAGCTGCGATCAAATATTACGACAATTGCGAATTCTAGATGGGTCCAGTCAAAGGCTTTGTCATTGACAAATTTTATACTGAAATTTATGTTTTCATTTTAACTAGCTTTTGAGTTCGATTGGAAATCGGCGAGTTCAATCAACTGGAAATATTATTACATAGAAGTATCATCATGATATGTATCTTTTCGTATCATCGTGTAAAATAGAGCAAGTGTATATTTGTATATATCTTTGTGTTTGTCGTTTTCGTGATGAATAACTTTATTAACATTATTTGTGAACCTTTTTTGCTCTTGATCTAGGTTTACGAGGTGGCGCTGTGAGAGCGCGAGCACTCCTACTCTAAAGTGGCCGTCAACAAGTTGTCCCAAAAGTTCCTTCCCTCAAGCTCTTTCACTCAGCTTCTATCGCAACTACGGTAACCAGGTCACCCATGGACGCGCTTTCCCTGGTGTGGTATGTTTAACTTAGACAAACACACAAAAGGAAGCAGTCTCTTAGACTTTGTAGACAAGTTCATTGCCTTCACATGCGAGTCTCCGCAGCCTGTGAGCATACAAAATTATGCAAAAGGCAATTTTCTTTATTTTTTGTTTTGAAAGTTGTCGCATTGAACGAAAACAGAGGACGGCATCGTCTTACAAAATTCGCGTGTTTCTTCGGTTGTGATCTTCAGTGCGCGGATTTTCTTCCGCAATGTCGTTAAAATCACTGCGGCTAAATAAATACGCTGTAAGCGATTCTTGGAATTTGCCAAGTGGGCAAACAGATACGAACTGCTACATGCAATATCTTAGCTCAGAACTGATGAGCAAGAATTAACCTTAACATTTACGTAACATAAGGAGGGTCACTCGACAGGACAAGGAACTACTGGGAGCTTCTGCTACTAAATCAAATACCAGAAAGGTGGATACAAAAAAAATTGTTGAGTTTGGAACTAACCTTCGACTGTATTCTTCTCTGCCATCATATAATGTCGATACAAGCCAGCAATTTCCCGAGCTTGAGCTTGACTCAATAGCCTTGCTGAACTATCAGCATCAACAGGATCCAGCCCGCACTGAAAAACCTCGACCAGCTCCTTCACTCTCCATGAAAACTCTTTGTCTTCTATCTCCTCAAGATCTTTTTTGATGCACTCATCTACCGGAGCAATCTTGGCCTCGTCAAAGAACTCGGTCTTGGGCAGTTTTCCATCTTCCTTGAAAATTCGAACGACAAGAACATCTTCGAAGTTTTTGTTTGCCACCTGTGCGAGTTGCAAGTCGCGTGTGCCCGCAAGGAAGCAACAGTGTTTTTTCTCAGCGAAAGTAGACAAGGCGAAAGCAGATAGAACCAGTTTGTCTTCGTGCCGCGTCCCGTGGCCCCAGTTGTCCATCATACAAAGAGTTTTCTTCGTGGAAGAAGATACCGCACAAATGCTTCGATTCAGTGCTTGAAAAATATATATTTACTATTTCACAAAAATCGATAAGCGACTCACCAGCTATGTCTGTCCCGAATTGCGAGATCTGATCAGCTTGAGCGACCATCCTAACGGGGGTAAGACATTCAATTCGGGTGAAAATTGAACAGGCAAAGAATTCTAAATGGTTCAATCATCGATGATCATTTCTACAAATTCTTCGTTGAATTATATTTATGAACCATTCCTGCGGGGACGAATAAGCCCAACTGCGCCAGATAGACGCATGTTGCTACGGAAGTGATTAGATCCGTCTTGCCAGAGTACTTTTCGCCGTAAACAAGAATCGTCTTTCTGAACTTGCTTGTCGTGGCGAACGATTGCGGCCGCCACATAGGATGTGACACTGCTTTCACCATGTTCCAAATGCCTTTGCCTTTGATTACAGCTTCTTCGCTCTCGAACACTGTTGGCTTCTTGAGTTTCAGCTCAACGATTGTAGCCGAAATGTGAAGATACAACGCGAGTTCATCGATAGCTTCCGCAATAGACTAAAAATTAATCACTAAAATTTTTTAATAAGTTCACCTCAAAGTCTGAAGATATTTCTTTTATCTTTGAAAGTAGAATTCGCTGCACCTCGTCTTTAATTTCAACCACCTGTCTTTTTGGATCTCCGATTTCTGACTGAATAAAAATTAAAACATCGTCGAAGCAAATGAGCTTACGTTAAGAACTTCGGTTCTGCCACTGCGAAAAAATGCCGAATTGATGTTTCTTGTGACAAGAGTAAGTTCCGGATAGAGTGTTTGAATTCGCTAAAGGTCGATTTTATAAAAAAAAAGAATATATAGATATATAATATATATTATATATACAGCTAAAAGTATCAGATAAAACCACTGCCCTTTATTTCCTGATCGGTAGCAGGTCCATCAAATTGTTTTTCCAGGTAAAAACCTAGTTCGCGCATATGCTTCAGTACCAAGCCCAAATCGCTATAAAGCAAGTCAATATCCACTTGCCCGTGATCGATAATCGACGGAATGCGAGATTCCATATGTAAAACTCGGCGAACGCGCGCTAGTTCTTCTGATTCCGGGTTTAAAACGATGCATTTTCGCATTTTGCTCTGTTTCTGAGTGTAAACCATTGAAAGATTATTTGTTCTCAAAGACTCTTGCTTATATGATGGCACTTTCCTGATCCAAATCAATCAAGCTCTCGATCGAAGATCCAACGTCTTGGATACGCTTGAAAAGGTCTTCGTTGATTGCAGATATTTTCAAGCCTTTGATATGAGCAGGAATCGATTGTCGACTTATCTGAACTTCTGAGATGTTTCTGACTGCAGTGAGCACTTGTTTCCAAAAGTGGTAGTTCTTTCGCACCATTAATCCTGATTTGGCCATTGCCATGCCACTTGAAATCTTCTTTGGGATTGAAAATCGCTCACAAACCTTCAATAAATCTCGCCTGAGGTAGCCATTTTCCGCGAAGAATTCAAAGATCACTTGTCTACGCTTAATCATGTCGATATCTGCGACTGGAGTTTGTAGAAACCGTCGGAGTCGTTTTTGCAAGCCAATGCCATTTATTCCTCTGAACAAGGCGAGTATTGTAGTCTCGTTAGAAGTTTGCCCACGTTGGCTTGTTATACGAAGATATCGGAGAACATTACTGTCAATTCCGCACGCTAAAAATGTGGTGAACCTCACGCTAAGTTTCAGAAATAATTACCTGTCACTAAAGAAAGCGGCTCAAATTTTATGGGTCCATGTGCGTTAGCCCGTTTGATAAATCCAATAAGCGCCCCAACTGATCTGATGGCAATTGTGCAATCTGAAGGAATCGCGCATCTGGTATGGATTGAGCTCCCTCGCTCAATCCTCATGCTCTCTTATTCGTGCCTGGCACTTAGGAGCGAAGAACTCGGAGTTGTCTAAGCGAATGAGTTGTGGAGGACGATAATCTGCAGCTGCAAAGCGCTCCTTGGAAACTTTAAGGAGGGCAGAAAGGAGAGCATCTTCCTTGTTTCCACAGACGACGAGGAAACGAGGCTCATGCTCAAAAAGCAACGGCAATAACAGATTATCCACTTGATCGTTTTTTGCTATGGCTTGGAGCTTATTTTCACTCCTAGAAAATTAAGATTTATCTTATCCTCAGAGAGAATAACTTACCATAAGATTGTTTGCCTTTCCTCGTCGAAAACGGCAACAGCTAATGAATTCTTCGATCGATAGATACACACAGATTTCTGGGATTGAGGAGTGGGCGTGCCTTAATTTTATAATCAAACTTTCAGCTTTTAGCTTTTGAACTTACCATATGAAGAAGTTCTCGTAGAGCTAGTGGTAATTGTTCTTCCTACTCCAGAACTCTTGGCATTGGACGATGATGATGTCGAGTTAGGATGAGCGGAAGTAGTCTCCTCAGAAGACCTTCCTTTCGTTCCAGAAGATGACTCATGACGTCTTGGCGGGACAGCTGGCACTCGAAATACTGGATCAGCGTCTGCAGAATTTACTACTGGTCGCTCTTCTTCTCTGGCTGAACTAGAGATAACAGGAACATTCAGTTCAGGATTTGCTGGATTGACTGTAGGAGTGATTGTGGAGTGATTCTGTTCTGCAACCTGAGTAGTAGAAGAGGTGCTGTTGGCATTAGTGACACTTTCATCATCGCTTCTGTTTGTTTTCTCGATAGTCGTGCTAGAATTGAGCTCGTTCAGGAGAGATGTCACACCCCTTGAGCCATTGTCTTTTGAATTGCCCAAGCCACAGACAGTTGAATCCCTTGGCCTTAGAATGCTCTCACTCAAACTTGAGGAGCGAGCAGCTTTACCAGGTCGTGGCATCTGTGAATGAACCGGACGAGGAGGTCGGAGAACGTTTTCAGGAGTATTTTCGACGATGTTTTGGACGGTCTGGGTTTGGATTGGAACTGCATCATTTTGGTTTTTGGTTCTGGCGACATGCTCAGCGATCTTGCGTCGCTCGTCTTCGTACAAGAAGTCAATAATCTAAATCAAAATTTTAATCAAATAAATTGACAATCTAACCGAAGCTGGCTCGTGGCTTCTCCGCTTTTTTGGCGATTTAGAGTTGGTGGTATTTATTTCTTCTGAGAAAGCTTCTTCATTTTGATCATTATTCCCAGCAGATGTTTGGGAATCATCAGGCGAGCCTTCCCATCTCAGGGTGAAATTTCCTTCGACTACTCGCTGAGGTGGCTCAATCGTGGTTGTTGTCTGCGACGAGAAACGCAAGTTGAAGTCGTCGTCGTTGGCGACTCTAGTTCCATCGAATCCTTCATCTGCTGGCCCTTTATTCTCATTCATCACACGGTCAAGCTGAGAAGTGGCATTAAAATTCGCTCAAAAAGAAAAATCGTAACATACCTCTTCCACGTCAATATCTAGCTCTTCGTCAAACGTATCATCAGTTGCAAGACTCGCGTTGGTATTTGTCTTTGTGTTCAAATTCTTAACTCCAGAATCTAAATCATGATCAATTACATGTAGCAAAGATAAAAGTTAGAACCTGAAGTGGTGGGATTTGCTATTTTCGGACAATCGCCTAAAACTTTACTTCTGCGTTTCAAATAACGATCCATTTTCTCTTGTGAGTGATAAACGTATCTCTGATTTTTTCTTTTTTTTTTCTTTCGTCTGAGAGACCGCAGAAAAAGTTTCTTCTCTTGGTTGAGCGTCAACGAGTTCTCGCGCCCTTTCGAGCGGAGCTGGTTCTTCTCGAAGTTAAAATACAACGAGGTGGGAAGAAACTAACCAAGGGCCTCGGAATCGGATAGAAAATCTTTCCACGTGAAAGGTTGGTAAGTCACTTCTATCAGAATTTCATATTCAGTATTCTTTCAAAACTCGAGGACAAGCTGAGAGAGACTCATCCGACGATGAAGCCCCTCAAGAAGATGCGAAGCAAGACGACCCGAATTGAATAGATACCACAGTCTTCTACTTTTGTTCTTGCAGTTTCTAGCAGGCGCATTTTTTACAAATTGTAAAGTAGGATTATCCTATTCCTGATTTTCGAGCAAATTGAAAAACGGTGGGGCGCTGGAGTCAAACTGAAATGATAATATCTGAAAAACAATTTGCCTCTTTCCCGGTTGCAGCTTGTAGCTTCATTCGCATTGAGTTAACATTTGTGAAAACAGCGAAAAATGAAACTAGATAAAGAAATGGAGCTGTTCCCTGAGGTAGATTCGGACGTTTCTATTTTCTCGGATGCATCGAATTCGGATTGCGGAAGCGTCTTCTCTGACGAACCAACTACTAGCGAGCTTCTGGAGCACATGTCCTTCTCAGGTTTGCCTCTTTATCTCGACCTGTACAAGTTTAAAATGGATTTTAGAGGAGGATGAGATTGACGATGCGAAAGAAGAGGAGCAAGCAGATTTCGCTGTCGATGAGATCACTGCGCCTCTAGAACTCATTGAGGAGAAATCAACAAGGACTTCTTCGACTCCGATCAGAGAGAATCAGTCGCCGCCGAAAAAAGGTAAAATAATACATTTGTTCGAAACGTACTTATCAGCTTTCGAAAGTTGTAGCTCGTTTCTTTCGACGAACGGTCGACGGAAGCACGAACTCTTTGCCGAAAAAGAAGAATGCAGAAGTCGAACCAGTGGCGGGATTCAAGCTGCGGGCGTCCTCCTTGCGATCTTTCCGCGCTTCGGCCGAGAAAGAAAACGCGCAGGAAGGAGCACCAGCGCCGGCGCCGCGGCAGCGATCGGCAACGGAACTGAAGAGCTACTCGCAAGTTCTCTCGCCGAACAGATTCGAGAACAGAAAGAAGATCTTCGATAACGCGGCGGCGACTAACGAGATCTCGAGAAAGCGCGCCTTCGCGAACAGAAACAAGATTGAACCGCCGCACTTCAATCAGTCAAAAATGGAAATGATTAAAAACAAATTCGAAGGTGAGCCAAGTCCCAACAATATGGACCGCGAATAATGTTTCTAGAGCGGGCTAATGGCGGAGCTGGTTGCAATCAGTTCGAAATGACACTGGTGGAAGAAGACCGAGAAGAACAAAAACGTCGCCACCAGGAAAACATGATGAAGTTTGAGCGGATTTTCAACTAGAAAAAAATTCGTCTTCTCATCGTCATTTTCACTGCCTTATTTATTTTTGTTCACCTTTGGAAATTTACAAAACACGTTTTTTAATAAAATAAAATTTATTTGTCTCTACAATAAATAAATTGATTAAGTGAAGAAAGACTCTCTCATGTGTGTGTTTTTATAATATAAAAATAGAAGAAGTAGATAAGAAAGATGGAACGATTCTGTCTCGTATAAAAATAATCATTTAAGTTAAGGGTATCAACAACTTGGGGAAGGAAGGAGTCTGTACATATAAGTGGCAACCTAAGGAGAAAAGGGCTGCGATTGGCAAGAAACGAGAGTTCTCTCTTCACGAACACAAGAAATGTAAATGTCGTTTTTCTGGGTCTTTGATCTTCTAAATAATGTTTTTTCATTCCTCATTTATGACGATCCTCGGACGGCCTCCTTCAGATAGGCTTGTTTGCGGCGGATTTCCAGGGCGAGTTGATCTTTTAGCGTCGTGATCTAAAGCAATTTTTATTATAAAAATGAAATAATTTGAATAGAAAACATGCTCCTCTCTTCATTGATCAAAAGAGAGTTTTTCGACTAATCTCAGTCGTAATTTCAAGAATCAAAATTAAAAAATACGAAGAACATGCAAAATATTTTCTTTTTTTTTACTCAGTCATGAATAAGTCACTTTCGTCTTTTTTCATGCAGGAATTTATAATTTCCCCGAATACAATAAAAAATATTTATCCATGCGTTTCTGTTTTTCTTTCGATAGTTACCTCGCTTCTGTAGCCAAAGATCTAATATTGAGTGTGTTACAAAATGTGTACTTGGCGATTGAAATGAAGTGCGTGACTTTCAATTTTGAAACACACAAAATTGCGGTTCCAAAAAGGACTTTTTATTTTTACCTGTTCCTCGAGGCCGCGAATTCTTTGGCGATGGGCGCGCTCTCGAGATTCTAGAGTGCGTTCGGCCTGGCTGTGTGCCGATCGGAGTCGTTCCATTTCACTGTCTGCCTCCTAGCTCATGTTTAGCGCTGTAAATTGGCATTTTAAAAGTACCTGTCTGTGACGAGAAGTCAGTTCCAAAATGCGATGAGCGTGCGATTGCTCTTGCTCAGCCAGAAGGGCCTCGAGCTCGTGAGATCGCTTGACAAGAGCGCTCAGTTCTCCTTCGACACCTTTGACAGTCGAATCCAGATTCGCCCGCTCGGAAGAGAGTCGCAGCGCTTCTTCAGCTCGTGCGTTTCGCTCCTTTTCAAGCTAAAACTCAAATTTATCCCGTGATTCAACTAATTGATAATAATTATAATATGATGGTAGCCATCGAAGAAATAATCTTCATTTGAATAAGTTACATGGTTCATGTTCTTCTTGAGCGACTGTTTGTCTTTTTCTAATCGCTGGGCGGCGCGCTCTGTTTCGCGTTTCTTTGCGTCCAATTGGGCAATCGCTCGTTGGAGACCGGTTACTCGTTCCTTTTGTTGATTAATTAGAGCGATTGTAACGAGAGTATATGTACCTGGAGAACTTTCTTTTCCTCTTGAAGCTTGGAGATTCGCTGGACAGCGGCACCTTCATTTTCACGAGCAGCATCCAGCATCTGAAAAAGAAATAAACACTGTTCAAGGAAAGTATTCTAATGTAGTACCTGTTTGTTGGTCTTGAGTTGTGCCTCGAGCTCCATTGTTCGAAGGTCTGCGTCCTCGTTGTTTCTGTTCGCGGACGAGAGTTTTTCGTTTTGCTTGGCAAGTTGTTTCTTGAGCTCGGCAACGCTGGCTCGGGAGGTCTCCAATCGCTCGCCGAGGACGGTTCGGTCTTGCTCGGAAGCTGTGACGAGTTTTTGCAACTTGTAGATTTTTTCCTGCGAAAGCCATTTTAGAATATAAAAAGATGCAGATCATTACCTGTAGATCTTGAGTTTGAAGGTCTTTCGTGGAGATGTTCTTTCCAAGGTCGTTAACTCGTTTTCGCAGCTGCTCTTCTCCCTCTGTAGTTTTGGCAAGACCGGCGGAAAGGCGCTCGATAGAGGTCTAGTTAGGAAATAGGAATGATGAACTGAGATTTTACGCGTTACCTGGAGGTTTTGACACTTGCTCTCAGCAGTATGAAGTTGTTTAGTGAGCGAGTCGCATCGTTCCTTCATAACTTGCACCTCGGTTTCCTTATCGTGGACAGTGAGCTTCATCCTTTGCAATTCTCCCTCGAGTTTGCGACGTTTTACTTCAGTATCGGTTTGCTTTTGCTCCGCAATGTCCAATGTTTCCTTTTGTCTGAAATAACAAAGTTATTTTTACAGAAAACATTTATATTTAGAATATAAATAATAAGCAATAATTACCTTTTTAACTCGGCGTCCATTCGAGTTTCTGCGGCCTTGTGTTTGTTAATTCGATCAAGAAGCTTTCTTCGATCACCATCGCTGTTGGTAGCGTTTCTTTCGAGAGCGATGACCTTCTCGCTCAGTGCCTTCTTCTCTCGCTCGCATCGTCTGATGGTTTCTTCTTGAAGCATGAGAGCAGTCTGAGCTGATGCCAGTCGTCCGTCGGAGCCGCGTTTACCTTCCTCGAGCGCACCAAGAGACTTGTTGAGCGCGGATAGTCGGTTGTTAGCTCGGTCTCGTTGTTCTTCAGTCTCAGCAAGTTGCTTTGTTAGGTCCTGCGATTCAGCTCGGGCGAGATCGCGCTGTTGCTCGGCTTCCTTCAGCTCGCAAATGAACTCGCGGAGGGAAGCGCGGACGACTTCTGGGTCAACATCGACGACAGAAGAGTTCAACTGGCTTTCAGTTTGCTTTGTTCGGTTAGGGCTTGGGCTACGAGAGCGGCCGCGCATCGGCGAGGCGGATCTACCGACACGGCTAATTCCAAGAGTTCGACGGAGTGCCGAGTAGAGCGAGGAAAGCTTGTATTCTACTTCTCGCTTGTCGTTGTCGGTCTTGCTCAGCTCAGTTTCAAGTCCGGCGGCGCGGCCTTCCAAATCGCTAAGGCGGATTTTCAGATCAGTTGACTCTTGGTCCTTGGCGTTGAAGACCTGGCTCAGTTCTCTGATCTCGTCCTTGAGTCGCCCTTGAATGTCTCGGTGATCGCTGACAGCGTTGGAAAGCTCACGCTCGACGGCCTTCAATGCGTCTTCTGTTTCAGTCAGTTTTCGGGTCAAATTGTTGTTTTCCTTGGTTAAGTTGTCGCGGGAAGACTCGGTCTCGACGATTCGCTGCTTGAGGCAGTGAGCTTCTCGGCGAGATTCCTCTTCACGTGCCTCATCCTGCGAAATTCGCTTTTGCAGATCGTTGACCTCTGCTGATTTCTTTTCAGACTCAGCATCGATCATCTTGATCTGGCGGCGGAGATCCTGGAGTTCTCGGCGCGCTTCAAGTCGTGATCGCTCGACTTCACGGAGTCCAGCGCGGAGCTCTTGGGATTCTTGAAGGAGAGCGTTTTTCGATTCCTCAAGTACTGCAACTCGTTGCGATTTCTCTTCACATTGACGTTTGAGCGCGATTCGGTCGGATTGAACCTTTTTGATATCGCCGCGGAGATCTTCATTGGTCTTTGAAATTGCTTCCTTTTCGTGCTTCTCGTCGGTGATTGCTCGTTTGAGTTCCATGTTCTCTTTTCTGTTTCGCTCGAGTTTCTCCTCGTGTTCTTTGAGCATACGAGCGGTCTCGATAAGATCACGTCTCGTGGCATCCTTGGCGTCCTCAGAAACACGGAGTTGCAGCTTAAGCTCCTCAGCTTCTTTGTCGATTTGGTCACGCTCGTTGCAGAGTGTGGCGATCTTCTCGTTCATCTGGCAGATTTCAGCTTCGTGTGATTCAACAGTAGTGGCGAATTGCGATTTAAAGTTTTTAATTTCGCCTGTAAGTCTGTTGATTGCCTCGCGATCTTGTTCTTGTCGAGCGCCAGCTTCGCGTTTTGCTCGCTCGATCGCGACGCGGAAGTGGTTGTTCTCCCGCTGGCTGCTGTTGAGCGACTCCTGGAGTCGGGCTTTTTCGGATTCTTTGATGCTAAGTTCTTGTTGTTTCTCAGACTCAGCAACGATCATTGCCTCATTGTGTTCAGCAACGACGGCGTTGATTTCTTCCTGAAGCTCCTTCTTTTCTTGGGCAAAGAGAGTGATGATTTCTTCCTTTTCTTTCGCGTGTTCGAAAAGAATTTCTTCCTTGGTTTTTTGGAATCGGGCCTAGAAGATTTATAAACTTATGAACATTAGAGTGCAATTATTTTACCAATTGAGATTGTTTTTCTCGCTCCAGTCTGTCGCAGTCTTCATCCTTGATTTGGTTGAGCTTCTTAATTTGAAGCTTGTAGTTCCTCTCATTTTCGCTGATCTTATTTTTGGATAAACTAAATAAGCTACCCTTGCGATTGCCGCCAATTAAGCTCAGTAAATGTGCCATCTCTACAAAATTTCTCTATTATGAATTGGCTCCTCTAGCGGCAAGACTCAAGAAAATCGTGAGAAAACATTATTGTAGGGCAATAATGAGTAGTGTATCCTGTTTCCTTTTGATTCCTAAGCTCAATCTGTTCTCCAAGCTTATCGATTTCGCCTTGTAGCTCGTTACGAGTTCGGGAAACTTCCGCTTGTAAGGCTTCGTTTCTCACAAGAGCCGACTAAAAATGGTATAAAAATAAAAACAGCAACAATATATCACCTGGAGATCCTGCTCAAGTCCAGATTTCTTGCCCTCGAGAACACTGCAGTTTTGCTGCTGCTCGTAAAGCCCAGTTTCAAGAGTTTCTTTATCGGTCTTGAGAACGGCCAATTCCTCGCTGAGTGCTCGATTAGCTCGCTCAGCTGATGACTTTTCAACCATAAGCTGCGCTTTGTCCTTGGTGAGCTCTTCCTTTTCTTTGGCGAGCTTGCTGAGTTGAATTCCAGTTCGCTCAAGGTCCTCCTTGTTGTTTCCAAGATCTTCCTGGAGCTTGGCTTGGGCGCGTTCCAAGGAATTAATGGTCTCCTTGAGGACGAGCTTATCGCGGTTGAGCTCTTGAATCTCGGCGTCAAGGCGGTTTCGCACATTCTCGCCTTCAATTAAGCTCGTGTCAAGGGTCGATTTCTGCGCCTTCAAATCAGCAGCGGCTTGCTCCATCTTGATCAACTCGTGGCGGATGATCTGTTTCTCCTCCTCAACGTCTTGTTTTTGATTGTCCAAGTGTTGGAGTTTTTCCTCCAAATGAGCGATTGTTCGGCTCAATTCAACCTTGTCAGCAGCGAGTCCTTCATTAAGCGCGGCAAACTTAGCGAGTTGGTCGCGAGAGCCTGCTTCTTCCGTTCTGAGATGGTTGAGTTTGAGCTCGGTCTCGTTAAGAGCACATTCGGCTCGTTGAAGAGCTTCGCTTGTTTCATGTCGCTCCTGGTCAGCAACGTCCCGTTCGAGCTCTGATTTCTTGAGTTGCTCTCGGATGGCAATGAGCTCTTCTTTTAGAGACGAGCCTCGTTGTTCCAGAAGCTCGATATTTCGCTGAGAGCGCTTGTCATCCTCATCCCTTCGTTTCAGCAGCGCCTGCAGTTCTTCTCGATCCTCCTCGGCCGATTCTTTCTGTGAAGAAAGCTCCGCGATCTTGCTTCGGAGTTTTTCAATGTCGACTTGGGCACCCTCGAGTTGAGCTTGGAGATTGTTGCGCGTTCGGTTGAGTCCGTCTTTCTCAGCCTGGGCGGTTTCAGCAGAGGCCAGCTTTCTGGTGATCTCGCGCTTGGCATCGTTGTTTTCGGTGATAGTCTCGTCGAGTTTGCTCTTTGTCGCGGCAATTTCACGCTCCAAGTCCTTGACAGTGTTGTCAGCTTCAGCAAGTTGCTGTCTGAGGCTTGCACCGGAGTCTTGTGAGGCCTCAAGCTTGGCACGGAGCTCTTGCACCTGAAGCTGGCGTTTTTGAAGACTTCCAGCAACAGCGTCGTAAGTTGTCATCGCGAAGGTAGGGCTGACGGCTCTTCCTGGTGATCTGAGTCGGCGAGATCGTCGGCTAGGCGAGGTGGATCTGGTTGGCGATCGTGCGCCATCTCCTCGGAGTGATTCCGCTTCGGGAATGGCAACCGACAACTCAGTGTCAGCAATAACGCAGTTAGCAATGTCTCGAAGTGCCTGCTCAAGCTGGGCTTTTTGCTCTTGGAGATCTTCGAAGTCAGCAGGGTTGATTTGAGACATGTTGAGCGCGGAGAGATCAGCCTTGGCAGCAGAGTTTTCTCGCTCTGATCGGAGAGAATCTCGAGCAGATTCAAGCTCTCCTGCATCGTAGCGATTGTACTCTTCAATGCGGCGCGTTCCTTCTCAAAATCGTCCTGGAGTTCGATAAGTTCGGAAACCTTTTCGCGAAGTTGCTGTTCCACCTGGCTCTTTTCGTCGGACATTCGATCGAGTGATTGTCGTGGCTCTGCAGTGCGCAAGTTGGCGTTGAGATTCAAGCAAGCAGCGTGCATTTGACGCTTTGAGCGCGTGATGTCATCTCGAATTGTCGAAAGATCCTTGTCGGTTTCATTCCTCATCTCGTTGTAGTTTCGCTTGAGCATTCGGAAAGACTTCCACAAGCTAGCAAGTTTGTCTTCGTCCGCCATAACGATACCTGAAGAGTTATCAGTGTTAGGAGCAAATAGACAACTGTGATTAATAATCCTCAACGTGTCAAAAAGAAAAGTTTTTTTGACGATAATGTCAAAATTGCAAATTACACTTTAAATAAGGGGCTTACCAGAAATATGCATTTTTTCTTCCCGCAAACGTTCCGCTTCTTCCTGGGCCTCGTCGACCTGTGCCTTTAGAGCGGCGTTGGAGTCGCTCAATTGGCGGTTCTCCTTGTTGCACTGGTCAAGCTGCTCGCGAAGAATCTGAGTCAGCTGCCGAAGAGACTCGGAGTTTTGTTGCTCTGCTTCCAGCTTGACAAGTACCTCGTCCATGTCTCCTGTTTCAGTCTCCAGTCGACGAAGACGAGATTCCTATGGAAGTTTTTGAAATAGGATCGATTACGATGAATTTACCTGAAGAGAAAGCTTGGATTGAAGTCGCGAGTTCTCATCCTCCAAGGACAATCTAGATCTTTCCATGTCCAATTTTTGATCTTTGTTCTGTTGCTGCAAGTTTGTCGCTTGCTTCTTGTATTGAACAACCTAAAAGTAAACATCGTTAGAAATGACTGACTGGTTTCCGAGATGAGACAGCGGGGCTCTCTTATCAAAGTAATAAATATGCCACAGCTCAAATATGAGAAGGTGTATCTGCTCTCATTGAGAATGATGTCAATTCTGCAGAGTCGGCGGTTGTATTTGCTCTCTAATTCGCGAAATGATTTGTGAAGTCTCTTGGAAGCATCTCTTTATGAAAAAATGGAGTCTCGTCGATAATAAAGTATAGTGCCGGCAGGTGTTCATTTGTGGGACTGTGCAAGTTTTTTTCTGAATCCCGACGGGGGAACAAAGACTCCGAGTGGGGAACAATCTAGCCAGTGTCGGATTCAGTTTCGATATTTTCCCATAATCACGTTGAAAGGAAACTTTAATCAAACTCAAGGTCAGATTACAATCGAGAAAACGAAAATTGTTCTCTCGAAAAATTATTTTGGCAATATGCTTTTTGCAATTGTGTTTGCTTATAGAAACATGTGTAGTTTGATTATTCTCGATAGCAATGTTCGATTATCGAACTTCCGTTCAAACAGTTACAATCTCTACTGTCGATGTGTTTCGCAATCTTGATGTTTCCAGGGAGCTCAAAGACGGAAAGAAAAGGAGCTTGATCTTGAAAGACCGGTGACAATAAGCTCCCTGCCGAGAGCGGCATGAATTTTTTAATCCCGCTTTATACAATTTTATAATGATTTTACAAACCTTGGACTGAAGTTTTTGTACGAGCTGGGCTTGGCGAGTTTGGCCTTCTTGGTAAGCCTGAAATCATTTTTAGTCGACTTGATATTTGAAAGTTTAGTTTTCAATGATTTTTGGGCATATCCATAATAAGTAAATATCACTTCAATATTCATTACCTGTAACTTGCGCCTGTACCCATCTCGTTCTTCATCAAGCTTTCTTTTAAGCTCTACAACTTGCATAGAGCTCAGAGATAAAGCATCGTCAGATCTTGTACTCTCCATCTAAAAGGAAGTATTAGAACGCTATATTAAAGAATTCTGATGGTTGCTGAAAAAATTGCCTTGGATGTGTCCGGTTCTGGAAGTGTCTGGGAGACGCTTGAGCTGCCTGCGTTCGAGCGGCGAGTAGAAGACGCCTGAGGCGAGCCTTGAGGAGAGAGACTACGAGAAGACCTCCTGGGAACAGCGAGTGTCGCTTGGTCACCCGACCAGTTTAGCTTTTGCGAAAGATCCTGGTTCGTCGCTTCCTTCCCGAGATTCGCCAGTTCTTCCAGTTTCGATACTCTGGCAGCGACAAAATTCGAGTCCGCCGAGCTACCTCGCGCGGTACCCGATGTACGCCGTTCTCTATCTGTAAAATCGGTTTGAATACATTTCTGGACCATGTAAAATTCGTTTCAAAAATATCTTCTCTTTGGAAATCGTCTTTGAATGTATCAATCAATGTTGCTATTTTTTCGAATAGCTCGATTTCAAATAGCGCTTTTTTGGGAAAAATCGATTTCATCCGAGCGGATCAAGTGCGTGAGAAGGTTGAATTTTTTAAAGTTTAATCATTTTAAATTTAGGATTTTCAACGGCCAAGTTTATTGAAAAGATAACTTGATTTTGGTCGAGTTAATTTTGAGCAATAAACTATTAGGGAGTGTTGTCTTAAATTTACTGTAAATTCATACAGAATGAAATTTAAACCAGTATCTTGGAGAGCGTTCTCCGGACTTGTTCTGCGAGTCCATGGATGTCTCTTTAGTGCGCGATGGTCATATTTTTGTTCAATTTTTTTTTTCACTTTTGAAAGTCTGATCCGTTTTCTGACGAACGCTCAGGTGCAGGTGCCTTCATTCAATTCAGGCAATGTGTGCCCAAAACGGACAAGGGCTCTTCCAAAAGATCACTTTCACAGGCTGGCTCACTCACGAGGCCGGATCATCCGAGAGCAGAAACAATGCCCGCTCAGTGGATCTGTGGAATCGCTGGTCAAACGCCAACGAGCAGGGCACTAGACACTTTCGAGAGTTGACTTTTAAGAACATTATCGGCCCGATTGTAAAAGAAAAAACAACAAGGAGTTCTGAAGACGAAACGAATGACCGATTAAACCGATTCTTGATTTCTACTCCTTAAGAATAATTGTTATAATACGAATTTCCTCCAGTTAATCGTATGAAAGATTCTAGGGCTTAGAATAACTTCCCTCAAAGATATGCAGTAAGAAACTCTGGCAAGCGCGTTTGAATTCTGCAAACAAGGAAAAGCAACGTTGATTGTTTAGTGCTAGGCAGAATGGACTATCGCTGACAGCGCAGTCAACATGATAGACTCTGCCTTTTGTAGCGGTGGAATTAGTGGATTTAGTGATTCGATGGACTGACCGCCACTGGCGCCGGAAATGGTCACCCAGATCAAATACGCCCGTTATTAATGGCATTTTAGAGCGCAATGAGTTACTGACACATTGGCCGTAAATTACTGGAGTGTTTAGACGACAACTGGTCGAGGAAGTTAATGTGTGCCCAAACATTCCTTCTGCGCGAAAAAATGCGCAGCCAACTCTCTAAGTGCCTGACCTTTGCTTTGTCGTAATAAGCGGCTTATAAAGATGTGCTAGTGCTAGTTTAGTGGCGCATCGGCTCCTTGAAACGGCTCCTTCTCTAGCTTCACTTCCACTCGCTTCTACTCGCTGGTGATTATTTCTCGACTACAAGAATGCACTAGCGCTACTTGGGTTATCTCATTTACTTAATGTTTATTGTTTCCCCAAAGCGAGTTCCAGCGGGCACCAGGGTAACCGGCCAACTTTCGCCCAATTGGATCAATCGCTCAAAAGCGCTCTCCAACTAATCTCCTGGCATACATTATAAAACCTTCAGTATTTAGACGCCTTCTATCAATATTAGCAAAAGTTAAGTACTCAGACCATGATTTCTAAGCCAAACATAAACAGCCTGAATAACCAAATAGAATGCTTCATTTTCAACCCTTTTCTGAACCAAAACAGCTTCAAAGTTCGAAAGCTGCAATGAGCAAACACTACCGGAAGCTTGGATTTACTAGAAATCCAGCGCAAATAGCTCTGTTCCGATTTTGGAGACAACAAGGAGTAGGTGTAAACAAAAATATCAGCACTCAAAAATTCTGAGCGAGAATGTGTGAATACAACATTCAGTCACACCAGCAGCGCAACTGAAACAACAAGAAAAGAAAATTTTAAAAAATTCATCGATGGATTAGCCAAACGGAACAACTTGAAAATGGCATGAAACATGTGCAGAGTCTTTTTCGATAATTGTCATTGTGAAAGAAAAGTTACCTCATTATGGCTGAGAGGGCGAGTGTAGCTCATTTCACCGACAGAACCGGACGGCGTGCGCGCTCTTCCACTGGCTCTTCTCTCTAGCTGACTGCTTCGCTCCGAAATCAAATCGCCGTAACTTGTCTGAACGTCTACTGTTAGAGTTGCAAAGGGAAATTTGTTTTCCGTCAGCGGTACATCATTTAGCCACTTTAGAAATCCCCAAGGGTATTTCAAATATTTGAGCTTGAGAGGGTAGACTCAAGAGGGTACCGTCGGAATTTCTGGTTCCTCAATAAGGAACGACACTACTATTGGGAAATTGAAGTTGAAATTGATGCTCTAGTTCTCGACCTGTAGCTAACTGAGACTCTAGTGATTTTCATCAAATAACTGCAAATAAAAAGGATCGAATCCCGATTTTCGACTGGCTATCAAATACCGATGATAGCAGACTCAAATCCGGGGTTACGCCGCCACCAAGAGAATCCTGTCTTGTGATTGGCTGACCGGATAACCTGTTCGCCATCCGTGGCGAAAAGCTTCAAATCCCAGGCGAAGGTCTGCTATCAACGGTATCTTCAATTAATTAAAATAAACTATTTCTTTATATTCTTGTCTTCTTTTCATAAAATCTCTGATGAAATACGGAAAAGGCGGATGTGATTACACACGGAGCGCCAAAATAATAAATGATTTCGCTGATAATTGCTGCGCTTGAATTCTTTCTCTCATATTTTTTTCTCTGCGGCCATTGTTCAGCACTAGCCTCAAGCAAACAAGATTCTTTTCCCGATTTTTAATATTTGCGCAAAAGTAAATCCTCAGGCCAAATCAGCAAACGGGCTAGTTACAGAGAGAAAGACTCTCTTTTTTGTGGCAGTTGTGGCGTATTTGCACTGGGAAAGCGCTTTGATATTAAAATAAAGAAAGTAAACTTTTAACGATGTCCGCTTTCCATTGTTGCTGGAAATTATTTGGCTGGACTGAAATTCAAAAAAATGGAATTCGGATTACCGGTTCATTCCGCGAGCTAGCGGATTGAGTCGAGCTGCGGGCTTTTTCTTCCGGAGTTTTTGAACGGTTGGTGCTTGCTCGGCTCAAGGAGCTGTCCGAGTCTTTGGAGCTTTTGGCGGGCTTGAAAATTTACCTTTTTGAGACTGCTTGGACTATCAGTATCACAAGAATACTTAGGAAGAAAAATAAAGAGTGCTAAGTTCCTATAATATGATTTGAAGTTCACTCAAAATTCAATGTAGTAATTGTCACTTTGTTGAACCTATGAAAACAATCATCCATGATTTTGGATTCTTTTGCTCCTAAGTTCTTAGGCTCCTCTGTAGTCCAAGCTCAAAAAAGGAACTTTCTCGAACATCTGCTGCAGAATGTCTGGTTAGTCTCTCTCTGACCGCTTCCTTTTGCTCTCCATGTTCGTTTGGGAAGAGCACTCGGCTCACGAAAGAAAGAAAAAAGATATAAAGAGAAATTTAACAAGTAAAAAAGAGGCACACTTGCCAAACACTTCTCCCGCGTTGGAATGAAATAGCGCCGGCGCTATACTATCGTTGTGTGCCCAGAAGAGCGTCCGCTCCGTAATGCAGCAGCATAGATGTTTACTACGAATGATAAAGACACCGCCTGAGCAAACACCACCATCGCAAAAAAATAAAATCGCTCAAATCTCGATCATTTGGATGAAAGTAAAAATGAAAGTCAAAAACGTTAATTTTCAAAATCCGAATCTGAAAACTATAAAACAGAAAAATTGATTTTTCAGGAAAAGGAAATCTCTTTATCTTAAAAAATCTTTACCTAAAAAAAGTCTCTTGAAGAAAAAAAATAAAATAGCTTTGAAAAGAGAGAAAGCGTCAGCTCAAGCTCAAAAGAACTCAAGCACTTGTGCACCTTTTTAAAGGTTGAAAAAAGTGAAAAGGCCCTTGCCACTACTAGCGTACTCTTTTTTTTTGTTTTCTGTTTTTGGAATTCTTGCGACTCGGTTCTGCATGAGCCTGACAGCGGATGTCACAGTGAACGCTAGCTGCGCAAAGGCAAAGCCTTCACCATTGTCAGACACACTCGAGACACTTTGAAGGTCAGAACAGTAAGAACTCTCGCAGGAAGTAGCCTATAAACAGAACTTTGTTTATTGTTTCCTGAGAACGAAAGTCGAAGTTGTCTTCGAATAACTCTTCTGTTAAAAAAGGGAAAGATCTTTATAAAAATATCATTTTTACGAAAATTTCAGTCGAATAAATTCCTAAGTAACGTCCATCATTATCGACAGCATTTAAATTAGCTCTCAAAATTAACTAAAGAAGGGCTTGTAAGAGGCTCTAATTTCATTCAATTCAATTTACGAACATTTATTTTTTATATAAATTACCGTATGAAAAGAACTTGATAAACGCCGCTTCTCTATAAAACCGTCGATTGAAAGTTCAATGGATGATTTTTAGAGCGCTGAAGCTCGACAAAAGAGTGCTCAAATAGTAACCGGGAGTAGCTCGCTGCAAAAAAAAGCTATTCGCTACTAAAGCTTCTCAATGAAATAATTCTGTTTGCTCGGATGTCCGCAATTAGCTCCAACGAGAGGTGAAAAATGCTGAATCAATAATCGGAATCTTGATTTCCGAAGAGGCTTTTCTCTTAGAGTTAACATAGTGACACCCTTATTTTATTTTTATATATGAAAGTTTAACCGTTTTAGATGAGCATATCATATGCTGCATATGGGTAAAAATAAGGGTATCAGCATGTTAACTGTAGTAAAGAAGATAACCTCGAAACTCGATGTCATATTGATTTACCTCGTCATCTTTGCGTTCTTGAGCGAGGGTTGATTGGAAAATGTCTGACAGACTCCAACTCAAGTTGTCCATCTTTCCTCTCTCTCTCTTTCAAAAAGAAAAATAATGACGATCTCGATTTTTAGCAAAAAAAGCGCGAGAAACACCCGTTCCAGCGGCCTCCCACCGACAATATGGGCCAATAAATAATTTCGTTCGTTGACAATTATTGATGGCGAGCGGTGTTTCGGTCTGATTTACCTGCATTTTTACTGGCACGTACTGGCAGTAACGAGGAAACATACCATTCTCCATCTTTCTCTTTCTCTCTTTCTCGCTCTTTTCCTTCTATTTCCCGCCGAGATAGATTAGACCGCAATTTCTAAGTAGCCACTTCAAAAGAGCAATTTCCAATTGTCTGCCAGAAAATTTAGAAACCAAGAAATTAACTGCCAAATTGCTTTTGTCAAACTTTTTACTCAAAATGAAAAAGAAAATATACAGTCACAGGTCAACATGAAGGGTTTTTTTAACAGCGGGCTCAAGAATCTTCGCTTGCGATCTGTTTGGTACAATTTGGCCTGAAAAATGAGTTATCATGAGATTTGGAAGAAGAAAAAGAATCTTACCAGGTAAAACAGCTTGCTGATCGAGAACCTGCTGAGCAAGTTGGAAAAGCTCCATCAGCAGGAAACTCAGTGTGGAGGAAACTGTGGCGAAGGATACGTTTCCCCCTATGACTGGCAGCAATTTGAGAAGCTTGGCGAACTGTTCTTCTTTTTGCTGGACGCTGGCTTGCTTGAGAAGTGATTTCACTCCGTCGCCGCTTTTGATCAGTTTCCAGACGGAGAGAAAGTTGTCGTCCTTGCGCACTTTCTTGATGTTTTGCTCGGTGAGGCCGAACTGATCAAAGTAGAACTGTATCTCCGTCTTGATCAGTTCTAAATCTGCAACAATTGCGTACTCGTCCGTTGACAACACCCCGGATGTGGTCGCCATTGCAGAGACAATCCAGATGCGGTCTAACATCAATTCGTATTTAAACCGCAGCATGGCTTTTCGTTGCGATCAACTTACTTGCTGTTATGCTTCAAGTTCGATTCTTGAACTCTGTTAAAAGCTCTGCTTAAAGTTCGACCTTTCATATCTACCCACACCGATTTCATGGAAGCCTACTAAATGACTGTAGTTGTTCACATTCCTATACTCATGGGAAAGAGACTGAGCGCAATCGTACTCGACTTTTCCGATTTCTTCGACGACTTTTTTTTCTTGGACCCTTTTTTCGTAGAACTTGTCTTTATTCTTGCCTGAATAAGATCTGTTGCAAAAGTGCTGGCATTCCAGTTTGATGGGAATTTGGTCGAAATCGCATGGACAGGCCTGACGATGGACAGATTCGACTTGAGTCCGCTGATGCACGATTCCTTTATTTTCAACACGACATCTAAAAAGCTACGCTAGGTGGCGTTTGGCGGGAAATTTGAAAAGGATAGTTTCGCGCGCTGGGAAAATGAAGTAAACTTACTCTCGTCTTTGCTCTGGCGCTCGACAGCGATGTCGATTTTGGTGCGAACGAGGATAAATTCTTTCCCGCGGCGGCGGAGCCAACTTGCAAACCAAATGTAGACTTCGGTGAACCAGCTATCCGTGACGAGAACGAAAACGTCGATGTTCTCAGCGAGGACAATATTTGACAACTTTTCGCGATCTTTCTGATTCTCCAACAGCAAAAGTTCGATACACTGAAAAGAAAAAGTTGAGAATTCCGATTCTAAACAATTTACTCTTCATTATTTCTTTACCTGGACGTTTTGATTAACACTACTAGTGAAGATGGTCTTTTGAATTGTTCCTTCTTGAAGCTTCGATTCTTTTGAATATTCATTGCCGATGATTTGAGCAGCGAGAGATGATTTTCCTGAAAGATATTCTTGAAGCTGTTTCGGCTATTTTCGTCAATTAATTTGTAATAACTGATTTGTGATAAATAAAGAAGAGTAAGCTAATTTAAAATTTGCCGGCGCGTTACGAGCAGAAGAAAGCTTGTTAGGTCACGGCTAAATTTAACTGGAGCTATTTTAAAATTCTCTTGTCTCCCCGGCAAGAGCAACTACAAGATCGAGAGCGCGAGCACTGCTGCTTGATTTTCCACCACTTTGTGCCTGTACCGGTGCCAGCATTTCCAACGATGCCGATTCTGAATGTGCACTTTTTCCACGCCGCCAGAGCCTTGCGCAACATTCTCTGCCCCTTCAACAGTTTTCCGGAATCGATCAGTTCTCCCACCGACTTAATCAGCTTCTTTTGACCAGGATTGACTCGCACGGGAAGATTAAACTTAAAATTGGGTCTTTTTTTGCATCTTATCTTGCTATATTATCTATTACAATATTAAATAATGTTTAATAATATACAAATAAATAATAATAATATTTAATTTTAATTATACAATTATAATTTTAATATACATACATATTACAAATAATATTATATCATAATTAATATTATATATAATTAATATATACATATTGATATTATATTCTTTCAATTTGCAAATTATGGCTGTCTGCTAGACCCAAACCTCAGAAGGAAGTTGATCCGCCTTAGTTGGATCATTGACGTTATCTTCCACTGCTTTCAACTTTTTTTCCTCGATTCTTTTCGCCTCTACTTTTTGCCTGACTTTTTCCAGTTTTCGCTCTACGATAGTACAGTAAGATACAGGCGCAAAAAATCAGTTCTTTCATACTTGCTTTCTCGCCAATGAGCGTCATCGTAAATGGAATTAAATTTTTCTTATGTAAAGTGGTGTAAAAAGAGGAGCTTCTCCAAAAAGCCACCAGGCGGCGCCGGTTGTTTCATATTTTTAAATACGGAGCTGCTAAATGGAGCCTGGTGGAGCATTGGCGGTCCCACTGAAAACAAAATCAGATCGATACGCCGGCCGGTCCACAAAATATATTTCCATTAAAAAATCATCCATACTCACGGACATATAGATATACATGTAGTTGACTAGATAGGCCACGTGACAGAACCGGGCACCCGATTTTCTTCTTTTCGCGAAAGTATTATTTTTTTAAAAATTATTTTTGAAAGAAAAAATATCGAATAACCTTGGGGCCTGTTTTGGAAACGTCAACTTGCTAACTGCAGCTTTAGTGACCTTCGTGCTAATTTCCGAAGCTCCTAACTGTAAGTCCCCGGCGCGTGAAGTCACTGAGAGTCTTCGGCGGGTTGAATTTTTTTTTATTATTTTGATGAGGTTTCCGAAATGGAAACGTCATGAGACGCAAACAACCTTCTCCCCTGGCAGCTTCGCCAGCTTCGAAGAACCAGCTTTTTTCGTCTTGTCAGCAGATAGTAGAAAAAGCTAGAACTAGAAGACGTAATAAAAATCAAGCAATTCAAAACATATTTTGAAGATTCTAAAAAAAGTTTGCTAAATTTGGCAGCGCCAAATTTATTTTAGATAATTTGTGTTTTTAGCGATTTTCAGTCGTAAATTGCGTGTTTTTTTTATCGTAATCGATTAATGATTGATGATAAGAAACATGAACAAAGACAGAGTTTTTCAACTCTGAAAAACAGATTTTTCGATCAATTTTCATGAAAGTTCATGAAAATCGTTGAAAAAAGCTTGACCGCTGGTTTGAGCAGACCAGACGTTCGAGAGAGAGAACAACAAATGTCTGTTGCTCGACGAGTTCGACGAAAACTAGAAGGTTGATAAGGCGAATGTCGAGGTTTCGTCTCTTTCTTCTTTGGTGAGGGCGCGCTGGAGCCGCCTCGGCTCATCTCCCGCTCATTTTTTTTTCTTTCTTCCAAAAGAAAAAAGTGGGCTTCAGAGAGTGAAGCCAAAAGAAGTTAGAAAAGAAGACACTTTCTAGAATTCTTTTTTACGCCTTTTTACGTCTCTCCCGTTTTGGTCAGTTGTCTTCCCTTTATCGCCATTTATCAGAACACGCGTCGCATTTATTTTATCTCCACTTATCAGCGCATTAAACATTGACAGAATTCGAACGAACGATCAAAGAAGAACAGAAAAGGACAAAGGGAAAGAGAGAGAATCGAACATAGAGAGAATGGTGGACGGATCAGACTCTTCCGTCAGCAGCAAGAGCGATAGAGACAGCAATTATGAGGAACGGGGTCAACAAAAGTTACAGCCTAGTTTTTCTAGGGGGCGTTTTTTTGGACATCGAAGAGGGTTGGGGTTAATTTTGAAATACTTATGGGGTTATATAGGGATTTAATTATTTTTTTTTTCAATTTAATTTTTTATCAAAATTTATAAAAAAAATTTCTGTGAAGTAAATATTTTCGTAAACAAATAACTGTCGTGCTCGCCTATTTTTTATCTTTGACGGAATCTTTAACCCGTAGAATTATATTTTCTGTGAAAAAAATCTGAATTGACCTTCTTTTTTTGGTTAATTTTTCGTTTTTTTGGTCAGAATTTGCTATGGTTGCGTAGAAATAGCGGCTCAAGAAATATTTCATCAGAAGATAAATTATCCCTAAGGCATATTTTCCATTTAGTGTGTTGCCTCATTTAGCTACCATTTAGTAGGTTCTACTCTTGGTTTTTGACGCAATCTTACTTTTTTTTCAAAAGTGGCAATTTTTGTATTTTGTGTTTTATTTTGATAGCGCGGGGTTAGAGAATTACGACTATGAATTACTCAGCCTGAAGAGATAAGAAAATAGAGCCATGTCGACCTCGCAGAAGCCGTTTGAACATGTCGCCGCGACATTCTATCCGACGCGGGTCTTTAACTTTCCAAAGGTAGAAAAACTTACTATTTTAAAGATAAGCAATTGTTTTCTTTAAAAAGGTTGAGCTGCATTGCCATCTGGATGGGTGTTTTCGACTTTCTTCAGTGATCAAATTTGCTAAGAAACGATCAATAGGTAAATTCAAATCAATATTGCAAAAAATAGGCATCTTGATGTCTACCCCCTTAAAAACTCAATTCGGGTTTTTTTCTTTTATGTGAGCAAGTGTTAGTTATTCAGGCACTGGAATTCCCCCGCGTCGACCTTTTCGCGTAGCTTTTAAACTTGAATTTCTACGTGTTAATGAGCGTAGTGGCCATAATAGTCATCAACAGATTCCCAGACAGTAATGAGCGAACACGAGTTTATTCCTGAAGAATTTCTTTAATTCTTCCTTTTCAGAGCTGCCAACGTACGATATCAATGATTTGCGGAGTTACTGCTGTTTGGATGCAGACGAAGACTCCTCCCTGGCGCTTTTTCTCAAGAAGATGGAACTTTTCGTCAGGGTCTATCAGTAAGTTTGTTTTCAGCCAAGATAATACAGTAGCAGGCATTGTCAGCTGCTTCTCACTTGTAAGACTACCGTCTAAAGGAAAAAGGGACAGACAGGACGTTATTTAGACGAGAAAACTTCTATTTCAATAATTTATGGTCCTATTTTTGAACTCCGAACTTTCTAATGAATGAACATTCTTCTGCTGTTCATCCTCATTTTCAGCAAATTTGCTGCAGGGCTCGAAAATTAGGCCCCCATAAAAATGGCATTTACCGTCAATAAATTTCATTCATGCGTTATTTATTGAGACCTAAAAGTAAATGGAACAGCCTTTCATGAAAATTATTAAGAGGATCCAAGGAAGCAATCCGTGAACTGACCCTGGACGCGATCGAGGATAAAGTCAAGCAAGGAGTCGTTTATATTGAATTTCGATTCTGTCCTCAGGAAATGGTTTATTTCATCTTCATTTTTTCGCAAATGAGTGAGTTAGAAATAAGCCAAACGGATAGCTTCTTGCAACTGCTCCCGAATACCCAAACGACACAAATCCATGCATCGACGAGTCGCATCCAGACCAGCTGAGTCCGTCAGAAGTCATGGACACTGTAATAGACGCAGTAGAAGAAGCGAAATCCCTGTTTCCGGTGATTAAAGTTCGCCTGATTCTGTGCTGTATCAGTCCAATGCCTGAGATCTCGATGGACGTCGCTCGCCTCGCTGTCAAATACAAAAGCAAAGGGTTGTGCCTAAATCTACGTCCTTCGCGAAGCTTCAAGCTCAATCTACGATCAAGATAATAGTTCAAATCGATCGCGAAATTTTTAGCCGATCAATAGAGGCGCGATTAGGCAGAGCCCCGTAACAGGCGTTGTGGGCATCGATATTGCTGGCGAGGAGGACATAGAGGACTCGCCAGCGTTTAGGCCGCACATCAAAGCTTTCCAAGTGAGCAAATCTTTTGTGGCAAATAAAATATAGAAAAAATCATATAAAAAATTTATACATAGTCTTTCTAGTACGCGAAAGAACACGGGATTCATCGGACTGCTCACGCTGGCGAGGCCGGCAGCGCGGGGTCAGTGCTCAAGGCAAAGAGTTTACTCTCCGCGGAGAGGATCGGCCACGGCTACCACATCAGCCGAGATCCAGATGTCTACAAAAAGATCCTCCGCGACCAGACGCACCTCGAGTGCTGTCCTATCTCGAGCTACAGAACAGGGGCAGTTCGCATCAAGGAACAACACCCTATCATCCAGTAAGACGCCCTCCTAAAAATAAATCTCCTCTAACGCCAAGTCAAGATTCAACCGAGATAAAGTAAATTGCTCTTTGTCAACCGATGATCCTGGCGTGATGCTGACGACGCTGCTCGACGACTATCAACTTGTGGCGGACTTTGGACTCTCGGAGAAAAATCTCAAAATAATGGTTTCCTAACTCTAATTACTCTGTATCTAACTGAAGCTGTTTAGAACCTGAACGCTGCTCGAGCCTCGTTTCTCCCCGAAGACGAAAAAAAGGAGCTCGTCTCGATGTTAAAACAGCATTACGGTCCACTAAACTAAGTAATAATTCAATTCAATCAGTTCATCTCACAACAATTCATATAAATGATAAATAATAGGGTATCAAATACATTCTCAAACCTTAAAACAAATACTGTTCGATACTGTGTTATAGCTAGAATGCTATTGACTTTTTTTAAACTACCATTCGCCCTGTTTTCTGTTTTGTCTTTCTTCTTTCCTTCGAAATCGTAGTATGGAAAAATGTTTCGGTAAAAGCGACCGAAATATTAATCACTTTCAAGGGGTCAAATGTGATAAATATTTCGGCAGGCAGCCGAAAGAATTATACAAATAAGACTCATTTTTAGGAAAAATATTTCGGTACGAGCCGAAATAAAAATCAGAAATTGATGTCTTTTGAGCAATAAAGTTTCGGCTGGTTTTTCCATTCTCATCCTGATTTTCGAAATCTGTCATTTTTTAATGAAATAAACAATGCATTATTATTTATTCGATGTCTGGAGTGAGTTCTGGAGAATTTGGCAGGGGTTAAGTTTTGGATAGTCAGTGAGCCAGTCTTGAATAATTAGTCCGACGGAGAAGATGCCAAAAGCAAGACCGACGAAGACGACGAGTTGATTTGTTCGTTTCATCAACGTTCCGGAGTCTTTGGAGAGCTGTAAGCAGAATAGTTGTTAAGCGAAAATTTTTAAAATATTTTTACCTTGTAATGAAGACCAGACGGCATGACAATCATCAGGAGAGTGGCCACCGTAGCACCGCCGAGTCCAAAGACGTCTTTGATGTTGGGTACATAGAGAACCATGATAATCACGCTCACAAGAATACACACCTAAAATTGTTGAACCCGGAATAAGCGGTGATGTTTTACCATCGTTAGGAGCCATATTTTGAGGGAGAACTTAGACCCACCAGGAAGTGCTTCAGTGCCCCAAATTCCGACGATGATTGCTTTGCGGCAGGGAAAGTGAAGCACGGGCGCGCTCAGGATCACACAGCAAAGAACTAAGATTCTTCCGAGGAGCGTAAGAGGATCGTTCATCGAATATCCTTGATTTGGCAAGGGAAAAGAGAGGTTGATTATTTTCAACAAAGTACCTGAATACATGACAAAGAGTTCCGATCCGGTGGCATCTGTAAACGTGAGGTAGCCAAAGCAGGAAGCGACTTTAATCGAGGATGAGGGACTTGAGACTCTTGCATCAGATCAACGAAATAATGGAACGTCTCACAAACTCCTCCTAAGTACATGACGAAAACGATGCAAATCGCAATAGTCGAAGCTGAGCGCATTCTCGACGAGTCCTGTTTCAACTCTGCGTAAATCGGCAGCACAGAAGCATGACACTGAAAGGCGAAGACCATCGTGGGAATTGCGTAAACGGACGCGAGCGAAAGTGACACCAGCTTAGGTTCGCAACCTAAAAATGGATAAATGGAAAATGGTAAAGGCTCACTCTGGGCTGGAATGTTGAGATAGAAATCAGCGATCGGCTGTTCAAGTTCGCACTAAAATAGATTCTTAGTGAAGGCCGCTATTACGGTGCTTCTATCGAGCGAGTTCAAAGTGCGAAAATATGAAATACCCTCGAGTTCGAGAAATCATCGATTTCGGAATTTCGGAAAACTGTTTCGTGCTTTTCGATCAAATAGGAAGTTGCGTTGTTGATGGCGCAAGAGTCGTTGTTGTGGAACATGAATTGCCAGTACTCGGTTGGCATGCTTGGCTCAAGCGGACAAGGCAACTCGAAGTATTGGACAACAATTGTTATGGCACAGAAGATCATGCAGAGCATTGCAAAGCCAGAGGTGTAGCCGAGAAAGTTGATGTCCTTGGCAGAAGCAAGCGGGACGACGATTGTTATTACAGCGATGACAACAAGGAGGTCAGGCGACGTAAACCAGTACGACACACATGGATCGATTCCGATAAGTGCTTTCACGACTAAAATGAAGGAAGTATATACAGAAAGTGAAGGTAAAGAATCTACCCGATGGAAGCTCGTATTTGACGACCATTAGGAAGCCAACTAAGCAGCCGAATGTATGTAAAGTGATGCAAAGTATAACGAACGTCATCCCTCTTTTTCCGAAAGCAGCGAAAGCGATTTCTTCGTACGATCTATGGCCGGTTATGTCACACATTCGGAGAAGTAGAACGATCGAGTAGAGCGCCACTACTCCCACTACAACAAGCATAATTCCGTAAAGGAGAATTCCAAGAGACTGAACATTCGGGATCCTTTTGGGCATTAGGAGATGACAGTTACCTTCACAGCAAAAGACAAACTTAACATTCCGGCTCCGACGATCGCGTTCATCAAGTTAAAAATCGCGAAGAAATAGTTCTTTTTTCTCTCTCTTCCGGAATCATGGAATTCAAAAACTTCCGTTTTCTCCTCCATGATTTTCTCTATCTTTCGTTATCAATTTCGATTTTCTAAAAAAGACAAGTCTAAAAAACTTTCGAACAATTAAAAAATTCACAGTGTGGGTGTGATAACAAAACCTGATAAGATTTGATAGTGTGTCAAAACTGTTATCAGTGCACGTATCAGCATTTTTAGCACGACGAGCGTGACCTTTTTTTATTAACCTTTGATTCTCAAATGCAATTTCTCAAGTTAGTAGATGAAAATTTAAATGTTTATAGTTTGCAGCGAAAACAAACAAGGGGAGCAAAAGGGAGCAAGAACTTGATCTAGAGAGAAAGAGAACTTTAATTTGACCCGAGTTTTATTATTGACTGCTGTGGATTAAGGAAGTTAAGCCATCCGCATAAAACTACCGGCTATAATTGTGCCTCGGCGCTGCCCTTGTTTGGTGCAAATTGCCTCCATCCGGATATTTTCTTTTCATCATCAAAGAAACTGTTTGTTTCGCGTCTCATTTACGGGGGATTGATTCTGGGCTTGACAAGTCCACTCTTCTTTCTTTACTGTATATTTTTTACTCAAAGTCAATATTTTTTCAATATTCAGAACGGCTGTTTGTAAATCAGATTTTCGGACAGTCCCCTATCGAGTAATAAATAAATGAGCAAGATTCATTATTGACAGTTTTAGTAGTTTGAGCGGAGGGGATTTCGAAGCTCGACTTCTCAGCTCAATATATTTTGACGGAGGAATTTCACCTGTTCCGCTTGTTTCCCAGCCCTTGATCTATTTTACCTCCGCGGCTCTTTCCTTCTTGGAGGGATTTCCTTTGTAAACTTCTTTTGAATGGGTACTTGGATCTTTTATTTCGAAGTTAGAGTAGATTGGTTTAGTTTTTAGGGTACTTTGACTTTCGATTTTGTCGATTTTGTTATTAGAAAAAGTGATAATGAAAAATGAAGCTAGTGGTAGATATCAAGAATAGCCATTTTCCGTCAGACTTTTCTCCCAAAGTTAAAACAGTAACACCCTTATTTTACTCTAGAAACAAAAACTTTAGACCTTTTTCTATTTCCTATGGAAGCCGAAATTTCGAATTTCAAAAAAATTTCAACAAAATTTTTCGGCAAAGATCGCTAACTTTCCTAAAATGGTCATTTTGGCGTTAATCGGAGGTGCCAGATTTGGATTGTAGCACCTCGAAAGCTCAAGAAATCTAAATTTTTGGCTTCCATAGGAAATAGAAAATGGCCTGAAATTAATTTTGAGCAGGAAAAATAACGGGTCACTATGTTAAAAATTTGAGAAAACACTGACGGGAAATCCGATTGTTGATATCTACCCCCTTAAAAATCCGCGCGAAAGAGCCTTGGATGAAAATATAACCATTTTTCTAATTAAAAATGCAGTTGCATGCATTTTTACTGCGTCTTGTTATTATCTCGTAAAAATTTCATTCTTGGCGGAAGATCATTGCCACCTGCAGCCCGCGGCCTCATAAATATTCAAGCATGATTTTAGCGAAAAAGGAAGAGAAAGCCAGTCTCGCTGGTATTTCCACTCGACCTTGCTTGCTTGCTTGTCGGCTTGTTTATTATTTGTGTTCATTCTTTTTTAATGCTAATTTTGATGCGGCTGCGGTTCGAAAACGCCTTGACATTTTTGGACAAAAAGAAGAGTCAACAGAGTCAAGGTCGCCTCAAGAATCACTTCCGGGAGAAAGTCCTCCAAGTTGCGCTTTTTTGAATTTTGAAATTTTGACTGAAAAGAGCACAAGGACCCTAAGTGCTTATGCCGCAGCACTTAGCCGTCTCCTAGGCGTCTTTACTAAGTGTTTTCTATTATGGCCAATTTTGGCGTTTTTTTTCTTTTCCGAAAATGCAATTTTTTCAAAACGAAAATTATTGAAGAAATTATTGTTTGAATATTTTATTGACTAAAGGAAAAAAATAAGAGGGCACAGTAAAAGGAATTTTTCGGAAGTTTCTTAACTCAAGAAATTAAAACAGACATTTGGCACGAACGATTTGGAGGTGAGCTCTGTTCCAAGCACATGCGTTTTCCCAGCACATTCTTTTTAGTTTTACCCGGTCAAAAGGAAAACGGAAATCTTCCTCAAACACACGAATTAGGAGCTTCCAGCACCAATAAATGGTTTTACCCGGTCAAAGAGGCCTCCATCAACTGATAAATGACTGGTAATGAATTTCAAGCTAAGGGGCTAAGTTGCCAAACCCTGTTGAACTTGGTTCGAGAAATCGAAAAGTCCAAATCGATTCGCAAGTAATCTACTTTCCAGCCACCTGTGCAGGTTTTACGCCGTTTATAACGAGCTCGATTTGGTGTTTTCGGTTTTGAACTTTGGATTCAGAGCTTGGCAACTAAATAAAATGGAATGCACAAAGAAAAAAGTTATACAAGTTAGCGGTATGAAAAATTAATGTTGGCAATAAAAGAAGAAGACCAATCTTTCAGCTATAAAACTAAAACTAAAAAAGTCAAAAAAAAAGAACTTAGAAAAAATTTTTCAGTTTCGACTTTTTTAATTTTAGATTTAATTTTAGAGATGAAAAAGTTAAGTAAGAACTTTCGAGGTAAGATGATGTACGGGTCGGTAATCGGTTGTTTGAAGTACAAAATTAAAAAATTAAGAAAATTACGGATTTGAAAGAGGAAATTGAGAGGAAAAGTTAGTGAAGAAAAAATAGCAAAAATGTGATAGTGTTATGCTTCCCCTTACAATCAGGCGAGGGTGCGTCTTCTTGCGCCGGAATTGACCAGAGAGAGGGAGCGGGCCGTGGATCCTCGAGTGCGCATGCCCGGTGTTCCTGGCGAGGAAATCATGATCATGTCGTCCAATTTCTTCAGCGCCAGGGACTTGGGCGAGAGGCGGGTGGAGGTCTTCTTGGTCGGCGAAATGCGCGTGCTTCGGCGGCTCGGCTCGAAGATGTCCGTGATTCGACGTTGCTTGCGAATCGCTCGCACAGTAGTTCGACCAGTCTGATTGACACTCGCGTCGGTGACTCGTCTGTGCTTGCGTGGCTGTTGCTCTTCGGGCTCTGCTGCTTCTTCGGGCACATCCCTGAGGACAGGCACAATTGAAGCAGGCGTTTCTGATCGACGCTTGAGCGAGGTTCGACGAGATGGAGTAGTCGAAGGAGGAGCCATGCGCGATTTGCGAACTCGCTTTTCTGGAGCACTGGGAGGACCATTCTGGACGATGTTCTTTCGGTCGGAGAGGACGGAAGGTCTGAAGACTTTTGGAACTTCAGATTGGCTAAAAGATAAATGTTAGAAAAGAGAAGATGGTTTCAAAGGGCTGGGGATTCTAAGTTGCATTTATCAAACTCAGAGGGAGGCGACTTTATTTGACTAATTGAAGGCTAATTCTGAGGCGCTTTTTGAGCGTGCCGACAACCAAATGGGCTTTATAAATAATCGTAGCGTCAGAAAAGCCGATAACGAATATTTTAACGTTTAGACGAAACAATAGGTTGCCATCTGGCTTAGAATCGATTTCCACTCAATGGAGACAAGCTCCACTCTGGCTCGAGGCCTGTGTCGTAGAATAGTTTAGAAATCGATAATGTTCGCGTTCGCTCAACACACAAGGTCACGTGGACGCAGTCTAATCCCTCACAAGAATAATAAACGCACTTGTCAAGCTTCAATTGAGCCTGTCAAGCTCAATTCCACTTATCAAAATATTTCTAGGGGCGAGATAGAAAAGCTGACAAACCTGACTTCCTCCCACTCGAATTTTTCGTCAATCGACATAATCGGCATATCGTATTTGAAGGAGAAGTTGTACTTGCGCTCCATTTCCTGAAATACGTCGTAAGGCAAAGTAGAGGGGATTTGAAACCGGCTCAAAGAGTAATCTTTCGGGATTTCGAAAATGTTCCAAAAAAAAAGAAGCGGTTTGAAATCAAGGAAGAGGACTGGTGCTTACCTGTCTATCTTTTTCCATTTGTTCTTCGTACAGTTTCGTGAACTGATCTCTATCTTCTTGGGTCGGGGAGCCGAAGAGATTCCGTCGGACTTTCTGAATATTTCCCCGGGGGATGATGTCTTCGCGCTTCATGATCATTTTTGCTCTCTTGTTTTTTGGACTTTTTCTTTCTTTCAAGATATTTTGCTATTTTGGTTATGCGATAATCGAAAGTTGTATTTTTGTCACTGTCTCTGGGCTCTGTTGAGAGGCAGTTATTTCTATCGCAGAGGAGGGAGCTCCCTCCTTTGGCGCAGTGCCAGCGAGAGCCGACGGTGGCGCTCCTGCTCAGCGGCCACGCGCGATATCGACCTCGCCGCCCAGGCAACCAGCTCAGCCGGCTCTGGATCAGCCCTCTTCAACCTTCTTACCCCATGCCACTTCCAAACTGAAGACGCAACAGAACTTATTATCTCTACTCGATTAAATCTTCATTGCTAAATTTGTCAAAATAAACACTTCTCTATTTCTGTTCTCATTTTGATAGAAAGAGCAGTTTCTATGTCAGTTTAAGAAAATATGTATTAGGTTCAGGAGTTCTTTAGATTTCGAAAAGTTCCTCAAGACATTTAAATTCACTCAAAAGAGTTCTGTAAAATAAAACCATTATCGAGAAACCTTTTCTTGGGTTTTCAGCTCATGGAATTGTCTTTTCGTATGTTCAACTGTTTACCAGTAATATTTGTTAGTATTTTACGTTCCTGAGCTCCTGCCAATAATAATTAGAGAGCCGAGTTCAGGGCTTGACAGGGCGCGGCCGAGACTGGTGACGGGCTTTGTCAGAAGAAGTTCCTCGTTGGCGGCGTTTCAGCGCGCCGCTTCGCCCTGTCGGTGCAACTTTGAAGCGACTAATGACGCCAATCACGTGGTTAATTAGGTGGTTTGCCTTTTCGTCTGCGCACACATTCTGACACTGGAGCTAATCCAACGGCTACCCTTTATGGTGGTTACCCTTTCATTGCAAATTTCGCGCTTTGTTAGTCGAAAATGTATAATAGGTCAGTTTGGAGTTTACCGATTTTTACACTTGATCTTTTCGTAAATGCCGAGTTTTGGAGCCATCAAAAATCTGCTTCCAAAGAAGATTTTCATTTTTGAAAGTGTGCAAGCTGAGCAGGAAGTGGAGAAGTACAGACGAAGTTAATTATAGATGCGTAGTTCTCGCTCGCACTTCTTGCAAAGGTCAGATAAGCCGCAACGCAAAGGATAATGTTGTTTTGTTGCGTTATCAGTTTCAGTTGCGAAGATGGAGATGCAATATGGCTGCTCGCTGCGATTGGATCCCTTCCAGATTAATAGAAACGGGTCTATTTTTAGGAATAAGCAATAATCCAGAGTGTGCTGGCAGCCTGTCAGCCAAAAGTATTATTTTTTATGGATAGGCCAAACAAATGCTGCGCGATAAAAAAAAAACTAAAATGCACCTGAAAGGGAAAGCTAGGGATCAGCCACGGATTAGGAATTTAGGAGTTGAGTAGCCGACGAGTTAATATTCTAGCTTTTGTGTGCTTTCACACAGAGAGTTAGAACTCGGGCGATATTTACGTTTGTCCAGCAACTCTTTACTTTTTCTCAGCGCGAATTTTGACAAATTGAGAATATCGAATGTAGACTTGGCAGGAGTTGCCCAATCAAGAATTGTATATAAATAATAGCTCCCCTGTTTTGACATAACACGATAAGCCGACACTAGAATAGACAAATTGGGAATACGCTCGATAAGTCACGAAGCCTCCCAGCGCTAGAACTTTTCCACAGAACTGATGTTATCTCAAATTTAAGCTTTTATTTGATCTTTTTTTCGAGCAGTCTGAATGCCTCATGAAATTTCCTACTGCTCCGATTCCCTTGAATGGCAAATCTTCGATTGTAGACCCTGAGCCTAAGAAACTGGCTAGTTGACTTATCAGAGGCTCGAGCGGCGGGTGCACTATTTATCCTCAAGTATCCCTCAGCTGCCGATCAAACGAGGCGCTTTTTGGCAGTTAGCACCATTTTACACCACCAAGCAGCAATTTCGCGCCGCTCCAGATGTCAACCTATTTGCTCAGGATGATTTTGCCAATACGCAAAACGAAAATACTGCAAAGTCCCTTAATTTCCACAAGAAAAACAAGAGCAAAGTGGGCGTGAAAAGCATTTACACAGCTTCGGTATTGCTTTTCAGCGGAAATAATTTCTGTTTTGATTTCGTCGCGTGCGCCAGTCTTCGGTCGAAAATCTCTTGTTTTCCTGCGTTCTTGGTCAGCGGCCAAGAAATCCTCTCAGCATTCAAACGCAAGCTTCCGGGAGATAAGAATTTCCGAAAGCAAGATGTATTCGGAGAAACGTACATTTCGCAGCCTTACTATTTTGCCAAGTCATTCCTTCATTCCGTTTTTGCTCGTGTTGGTTCTAGTGAAGTTGAACTTATTTTTGATTCCCACGCTTTTTGAGTTCGAGTTCCAGTGTGAGAAATCGAGTCCCTGACGGTGTCAAACTGAGCAGCTGCAGAAATCGGCTCAGATCCGGTTCGGGGTTCACGGGAGAGCGTAACGAAATCGGATAGATTTTCAGGAAGAGCCGGATGGCTACCGTCGAGAAAGAGAAGATGCCTGCAGATGGAGCGCGTCCAGCTCCTCACTTGCTCAAGTGCCCAACAATGGAGCCAAGTCGATTAAACTTTCACAATGTTTTTCTTTTCAATTCCTCCTCTACTTGTCCTCCATCTGTATTTAGAGGGAGCCGGCCACACGTGACCCGCTTTTGTCCATCCCTTGTTTTGGCTTATTAATGATGTGCAGCCGAAGCTGTGGAGGGCAACAACATCCGGAAGACCGGAACATCGTACCGAAGACGACAACCTGGTAATCTGCTTGGACGAAGCAAGATCAAAGGGCTTTACCGCCTCCTTTTTTCTAGCTAATCTTTCTTTCTTTAGCCAAAATGTTTTCTTTCAGAACTAAAAAATATTGTCTTATCCATCTTAAACCCTTAAGGGTGTCCCCAACGATCGAGGCCGAGAATGTCAAAATCGTTGGGGACACCCTTAAAAATATAGGATCGAGAAAAAAAGGATAGACTTTATTTTTTGATATAAATAATAATCTCAATGTGTCAACTAAAGCAGAAAATTCGGCTTGTAATTGCCTGAAACTAAAACACTCAACCTAACCCTAACCCAACCCTAACTGAAAAACTAGAAGTCCTTGCTTGAAGCTTGAAATCTTTTTGGAAAGAGTGATAATCGGAAAACGCAGCGGACGCATTATGCATTCCACTTAAATGGTCATTACCGTCCTAAATGTCGTACAGCGATGACATTTCCATCTGAAGCCAGCTGCTGGGCCATGGCCAACGATAGGCTTCTGATAACAGTAAAATTTTAACGCTTACTACACAGATTCTTCACGCGCCGCTCCCAGATAGCTTCTATCCACCGGAAGTTTAGAGGAAATGAGCGACAGTGAGCCACGTGATAATGTCTATTGAGGGGTAATGGCGCAAATCAACCAACAGCGAAAGCCAATGTCATTTTTTATAAATGACATCCGGTCACTCGGATGTTCATAAAACATCAATCTTGAAAGAAGAAACAAAGAAAGAAAGAAAAGAAAACTCCAAGGATTTTCATCAAAAAGAAGCTTTTAATATTATTCTTTTTCAATGAAAGAAAATACCCTTGAAACTCGTGAAAACTCATAAAAATTGAGAACAGTTGGATTTGCAAACGAGAAAGTACCTGTAAAAAGGTGTTTGCGACATATTTTGCAAATTTCAAATTTGAAGGGGATGCTACTAAGCGCTGTTAATCCCCACACTCGAAACAATTTGGCGCGTGCTTTTTTTGATGCTCCAAATTTTGAAAAAAAAATACTAAAAATTTCGATTTGCCAACTGTAGCCGGGGCACTTCGCTTTGATCGCGCCGCTGTGGGGGCCTCTTGAGGAGTACCTCTGAAATCCTCGCCGTTTTTTTTCGCTCAAGAGGGGATTCGATAAAAATTATTAAAGGACGCGTGCGAGAGTCAAGGGTTTGCTCTGACATTGTCACTGCCAGTCACATTGGATTGATGAAGTTGAAGCACACTTTTGAGAGCAAGAAAATGAATTGAAAATTTCAGCGGCGGAAATTTACTTTTGCAACGCGAAATTGGCTTGTGGCTGGTGGGACAGAGTAATGATGTCAGGATTAGGGCACAATGTGCTCGCGATTAGTAAAAAACTGCGAATTTTGTTATCTTGTTTTCTCGTTCTGGAGTTTTTCCAACTTCTCTTCTCCACTGAATCGGATGAAAAACAAGATATCAATATCTGAATCTTCGCCTTTCGGTGCCAAGAAATGAAGTCATGCTCAATAAAATCCGACTGATAAAAAATACTCTATCTATCTATTTAATACACAAATATTGTATGGATCGGGGCCTATCTTTTTTATTTTTTTCATTGAAGAAATTGCCAAGCTTATGGTTTTAGCTAAGTTTTGTCATTTCAAAATGGCAACAGTATGCGCCCAAAAAGGTTACAGACACGGTAGCCTTCTGGAGCTCGATATTTTTTGAGATCCGTTGAGCACTTTTAGTTTGATGATCTTCACAGCACTTTTCGACTGATCGGTTCTTTGGTGAAGATCCAAATCCGCGGTGCAAAGGAGGCCGCCTCGATTTGGATTGGGATGATCCTCGCTAATGATCCCACTGGGGGTCTGGCTAAGCCCTCAGATGCTTCTTCGGATAATTTAACACGGAGCCTCTTCCCTTATTACGGCTGGGAACAGATTGATCCCCAATTAACTCGTAAACCTGCCACTCCTGCCTCGCCAGAGTGCGAAATCCAGGACGAAAAAAGTAAGTCGAGGATTAGAATATCTCATAATTGGCACAGAAAGCCTGCTACGTAACCTGCTCACTCAAAATCACGGCCAAGGAAAAAGCAGAAATCATAAATATTTGCCCAATAAAGCTATAAAACGTCAAGTTAAACAGGAATTCCGCGGTCAGAAACAACAGTTTGCGTCCCCAACAATAAAACACAACATTGAAAACAGGCATTGACAATTCATCCGGCGGTTCTGGCAAAATATCAAAGTTATGGTTGTTTATTTAAAACTTTTTAAATGGCGGATATGCAAAATTTTAAAGCGGGCGCGGACGCGAAATCGTTTCTGAGCGGATTTGCATCGCCCTTCCGATTCTGAACAGCCCAGTCCAGCGCGTATAAATCCTTTTTAGATCCGCTCTCATCCTTTTCCTTTAAATTTGTTTCTTTCTCAAGAAGTGTCTAAGCATAAAAACGGAGCAGGTGGAGGACATACACACTTCTCGCTTTGACGCGGAATGACACGGGCATACGGTGCACCTTCTGTCGATATTTGGGGTTAAGGATCACATCAAAGACGTTCTAAATGATCATGTCCCGGGGTTCACCTCTTTGAACATCTTTTCAATTTTTCTTTTTTGAAATTTTGGAAGACGCGCGCGCGGAGAGATCGATGCTCATACGAGCTCATACGAAATTAAATCGATCCCGAACACAGCTGTCGCCCGGGTTTATAATTTCGAATACAAAAGTCATCCAGCAGCGTTACTGGCCCAAGATTGGACTTCAATGGCTATAAAATTCATGTAGTTTAAGATTTATACTCTTTTTTTCAAAAGTTAAAAGACCTAACCGATATTTTTCTACAACACCTTTTTCTGAAGCTCACGTAAATTTTGCGAGTTTCTAGTTGAGTATTTTGACTGCAGTAACTGTTTTTTAAAGCTGGAAGACAAATATTTCTTGCTTGGTACTTTCCAATAATCTGTCTTTCCGCGTCCACCTGAGCGTTCAGATTAATTGGTAAATGGCCAAGGAATTTCCCCTCGATCATTTTCAAGAGCTTAGATCATTATACATTGACAAGAGCTACTTATCCATTGACGCGGTAATTAACGCGGCACCTGCCGATGTTTTCGGTGCTGCGTCCATTCTACCGTAATTACCATTCGATAATAAGCCGATTCGTAACATTCTAGCGCGCTCTAAAATCCCCATCATTCATCGATGCCAGAACGCGATCAAAGCGGACCGCCGCTGTCGAAATTTGTCCTGACTCTAATTAGATAATCGGAATAAAAGAAGCTTTGGCGCTGCTTTCACTTCCAGGCGACTTTAGTTAACTAAACGTTATTCTTCATGGTAGTTAGCTATTCAGGTGGCTCTTCGTAAGCCGCAGCGCAAATCCGTTCCGAATAGAGCTCCGATACAAAAGACTTTGATCTCAGTACGTTCTGGCGCGGGGCCAGGTCCTTTCAGAAAGTGATATCTCCTAATACCCGAGCATAAATCTTAAACTACACGAATTTTATAGCCATTGAAGTCCGATCTAAGACCAGCTTGCCTGTCAAATGGATGAAGTGATTTCTCACTACGAAAAAAATGACATCAGAACTTGTTGAAAATATAATCCTTTGATCTCCCTTTTCCGGTCGCTTAATAAAACAATTGTGTATTAAAAAGTGGTGTAATAGTTGTATATTGGTTTTGAGGTGATGAGGAATCTCTCTGGCTTCTCAGATGCGCCGCCACCTTAGATGACCTTATCGAGCCTCACACCCTTAACACCACTTAGCCTACTTTTTGTCGGCTTGGCTCGGCACTTCAACAGATACATGTTATCTGTTAGGGCGAGCAACACTTTGCTCCCGCTCCTCCAAATCCGACTTTTCTCACCATATCTATCTAGGGTGTTTATGGGGATGGGAGAGGACAGATAACGGAAGTCTGGAGGGGAAGTCACTCCACTTTAGTTTTTTTTTTTTTTTTCTAAAAGGTGGCCCAATAGTCGACCGAGTGCCAATTTTTTTTATTATGAATCTTCGTTGGGAAAAAATCGGAGCGCGAAAAATTATGTCCGACACGAGTGGGATGATCAGCCCGTGATCAGATTTACGCTGAACCTGCGCCGCACACCTGAGTTTGTTTAGCCACTCACGTTCTCATGCTCAGGCGCCAAGTTTAAACTCGAGCTGCAAGCGCCAAATGCAGACTTAGGGGGGATCAACCTTGAGTCTCACCACAGAGACAAACATGGGAAAAGCAAGGCGCTTTTGATGTTTAGGCATCATTACAGTTGGCTAACTGGGCAAATATCAAGATTTTTAGGCAGTTTTTGCTTAAAAATATTTCATCCGCGGATCAATTTATTTCGGAACTGACCCACTTTTTTGCCACAAATGGAAGAAAAAAAATTATCGAACATCTGACCCGGGTGTGTGCCCAAATTGCGAAAATTGGCTTATCCCCGTTCGTCTGTCGATTTGCCTTCTGCCAAATTAACGATTTTCGCTGCGTTGATTTCACAATTGGAAAAATTCGCTGGTGAAAGGCTCCATTAAGGATTTAGCCAAACAAAAACGATTTGTCCCGGGCTGGGTATATTTTGTGCTTGGTGGAGCACGAAGCAATTCCAGAGACGATGAGTTACCTCCGCTGCTATGCCCTGCCAAGTGGACGACTATTCAGCCCTTTTTTCCGGCTAAGTGCTTCACACGGCTCCTTTGTCTGGAATGCTGCGATTTTATTTAAGAACGACAAAGACACAATTGGTAAAATTATTTATTTATTATAGATTATTTGGTGGTGAGAAAACGTATTTGGACCTTTCCTTTTGATCCAACGATTCATTACATCTATGAATGGAGATGATGAAATTTCATTTTATAATCATTTTAAATTAATTCATTTTAATAATCAGGGATATTTATATCCTGAAGTTTTTTTATTTAGCACATGTCGTGGTCTGTTTTCATAAAATCGACTTCGTTCCAATTGTTCTTCATCAGTTCACAGTATCAAGTCAAGATTTAGACAGGTTTTTTGAACTAGCTCTGAAGTTCATTCCAGATGTAGAGTTCTTCTGTTGTTACTCGACTGTTCATTATGGTTCTAGTGTCGTTGAGTGATCATCTTGTTACAATTATACACAGCCTGAAATTCTCAGTTGAAACATATATAAAAAAGCTTCTCAAAGTTTTCTCATTTTATTTTTGATGCTTTTTGCTAGAAATCCGCGCATTTATACCCAAAATCAGCTGCTACTTCTTATCACCCGGCAAGGGGAGCGTCAGGGCGCACCCAAAAATTTTCCATTATTCAAGGTCAGCCCCTGTCTTATCGCCTTTTTATACGCCTGTTGATCGCCAGTATCTGCTACCAAAGTCCTCAATTACAAAATTTAAAATGAAGAACAAGTCTTTCATCCTTTGACTCCAAAGAGAAAAGACTCCAGTGAACACTTGCTTTACTAATTGATTACATTCATAAAAAATAAACTCAAAATATACACAAAGAAGAGAGATTTTTTCGAATGATTTATTATTTTTTTTTTCTTCGCAAGCTGGGCCAGAGGGTCTTAGTAAGCGTTAGAATTAAAATTGAAAGAATTTCGTGTAGTTGTTAGTAGATTGTTGTTTTTTTTATTGGATTCTTGTGATTATGGCCTCGATGAGCTAGTTGTGCCTGTGAGTAATGAATGAAGTCGCCTCCTAGTCCAGGGTGTTGTCGAAGGACCTGGATCTAGTACGGTTTCTCGTGTGAGGACTAATTGCGAGGTCAGAGTGCATGTGAGATTGATTGTGCATTGCTCGGACTTCGGCCCCTGGCTTGGCCAGCTCCCCAGCCGCCATCGACGTCTCGTCCAGCATTTGACGCACTTCGGCGATCTTGCTGTTGAGCGCTTCACGATCCATGTTTTGCATCTGCAGTTGCTTCCGGTATTGGTCTGAAATTTGGCAATGAAGAAATAGGAAATAGAATAAATCACAAAATATAAAATCGCCGCTCTCCGGCAGCGCGCTCGTAACAAATTCGCAGTTCCGGTAATACGAATCGTGATTTTTAGTTGTTGGAACTTACCCAGATTCTGACGGAAGTGCTTGATTTCGCCGTGGACTTCGGCTAGGTTCCCGTCCAGATCGCGTTTGCCTCCCTCGTTCATATTCAGCAAGCGGCGGATTTGGACGACTATGATTGATATTTTTGCAATGCAGAGCGTTTATGTTTCCGTACCTCGTTGGAAAATGAGCGCTCGCTCTTTCTTCCATTCATTCATCTTCTGTTGCCGCCTTTGTGCCATTTCGTAGAGCTCAGACACCTGAGCTTGGCCTTGGGGAGGCGGCAGGTCCAGTAAATGAGCGATCATCTGCTCGGCTTTTTGCCCTCTAAAATGCGTATTTGGCGAGGTATTAAATTGTGCATAAAAAGGACGCATTCGAACGATGCAGAGACGATTCTTTACTGGCCTGAGTATTTGCCTTGCAGAAGATTCTTCTACTAAACGTTTAGTAGAAGGAATTCCGTGTTATTTAACCTCCTAAACAAACTACTGCATTCCAGTTACAAAAATCGGTATAAACTTAAATTGTCGAATATCGCTTCAAATATTATTTGCGCGCGATAAGAAGCCAACATGACAAGAAGCAAGCGTCGAAGGAAGTTATCTGTGTGTACCTTGTCATCCAATGTTCGGTGAGCGCCTTCATTTCATCAATGACGCCGAAGACTTGCTCCTTTCCGGCCTTCCATTCTTCTGATTCCGCCGCTTGTCGCGCCCGCGGCGACTTCCCGAAATCGGCGTAAGGATCCGGGGAGGCCATCTTTCTGTTCTTGCTTTCTGCGCTTGCTTCCCGGAAGATGAATTTGAAATACTCTCTACTCGTTTTCGAAATGGCGAAAAGAGGAAAACGCGGCTCGCTGGACAGCTGTTTGCTCGTGCTCTTCGTGCTCTCGAGAATCCGCTCTGAACGGGTGAATCTAAAGGCTCCGGGTGTGTAAAAAAATTTGGCAAATATCAAATATCACTATGCCCTGAGTAACAATTCAAATAGACAGTATAAACATGAGTGATTTAAACACGCAAAAATTGAATTGAACGAATTTCGGGCGCCCCTGCGTTTTTTCTTTTTCTTTTTTGGGGAGATAGTGACAATGAGCACCATTGAAGACCCGGAACTGCTAGAGCTAGCTTATTTTTTTAAACTCTCTGTGGGACGTCCTATTTTTTCTAAACCAGCTAGTCCCTGATTTGGAGATTGAGCATTTCTATTAAATATTGCAAAGCGAAAGAAAAGTGGTATTGATCTCCCCCCGCACCGAGCCACTAAATTCTTTTTAGAGCCCATCTATCACTCCGCTTAAAATATAATAAATTTGCCTCTCTGAAGATATAGGTCCATAAATTAAAAAGAGAAAGGGCGGCGACTCTTTGTTTTTTTTTCATTTTTATCAATTATTAATGCATTTTTCGTAAGAATACCAGTCTTTTAATAAATTTATTCTACAAAAAAACGCAAATTTTCGAAATTCTTCGAAGACCTCATGCTTCATTCTTTTGAGAATTCCCTCACAAAGTGTATTAAGGGAGCGTTTGCGCAATTCTTGGATTTAGGGGGCATTTTATCGACATTTTGAGGCACTTTCGGAATAATTTGAATCGTCAATATCAGTAGAAATGTTACCTAGAAGAGTTTCTTTCTCTGAGTTTTCCTTCGTTTCTGAAATCTCACAAGTAAGTAGCGAAACACTTCTGTGAGCTTGTCCAAGCTAATTGAGCCCGATTAGTCTGTCAAGCACCGCCCGTTCATAAGTGCTTGATTTCAGCTTGATAAACTCGACTTTGCCAATTTCAAAATTGAGTGATTCAAAAAAATGGTTTCGAGGTTTCGAGTTTTGGCAACAGTAATCGAGCAAGGAGCTCGACAAAGTCTTCTTGGCAACACGAATTGACACCGCGAATGTTTCATTTTTGAACTTGAACAACAAAAAAAGCAACAGAAACAGAAGTAGAGCAACATATGGAAAAAGTAGACTCTACAACGGTAATTGTTGTTCAAGGTCGGCGTTATCGAAAACGATGTATCGTAATCGATACGTTTCCAAGCGAGACTACTTCTCTTTGAGCTTGTACTCGATACAGTTCTCCAAACTTGAACGGGATGAAAGTCGGTGCGCGCGTGTTACGCAACGCCCGACGGACTTGGAAAGATCAAAGCGCACTACCTCAAGCTCCAGCTGCTCTGCCAGGCCATTTAAAGGCTTGGATCATCCATTTTTTTAGCGTTTCCAGCGCTGGGAAACTTGATTCTCGTCAAAAAATGTATTACATTTTGACAAAGTGTCCAATTTGAGATCTTCGAAAGTCTATTATGATGAGAAATAATCGAAAAGTTTTTGTTGTAATCTAGTACCTTTCCCAGGGCTAGGCCTAACCTTCTTTACTATTAATCCTTCTTCGAGTGAAAATAAACGAATTCAGCATGCATTGGCGCGCTGCCAATGCGAGGAGGAGGAGCGCAAGAAATTCGCAAAATTCCTATCGCGGTGTAAAGCGATCGTAATGACGGTCGATTACAACTTTCTTCCTGCTACGCTGATTTGGAATCCGTGCGAGCGGAGAGAATCCAGTAAATGTTAGATAAAGTGTCCGATCTGTTAAAGAAACGCTTATCAATCTGCCACGAGCGTTGGCGCCGGAAGATGCTTCAAAGAGGCCTCGGCAGCGTCACGTCCGTAAAGAGAGTTTTCCGTTTTTTAGCACTGGAAACCTGGAAAGAATCCAATTAGTTTGTATAATGAGAAACATGTTTTATTCTTCCGCTGCGATTCTAAGAGCTAAGCAAGGGCCAAAGGGATTCATTGAACTGTCAATTCAATAATCGGACTCTTGGTCGTTTGATGAAGTAATTAGTAGTATCTGTTGAATACTGTATCGAAATCGCAAAATTATGCGAATTCAAAGAGAGCGACGGGAACTTTCCCGCAGCGCTGCACAGCGTGAGAGCCGCCCTCATTCAGATCGAGTTCCATACATAATCTTGAATTAATGTGTGTATTCGCGCAGCAAATATGGCCAACGAAATACTTAAATATTGTGTAACGACTTGAGAAAATACATCTTCGAAAATCGTCGATAATGTCAAAAAAACTCAGCTGTTGTTGCTTTACGGTAGCTCTCTTTTTCGAGTCGGATACTCGAACAGGCCGAGTGACAAAATGTTTGACGGAGGAGAAAGATAGCATCGCAATCCGCTCTTTTATGTTCAAACATGGAAGATTTTTCATCAACGATTTCGAGAAAAGAAGAGTCTGAGAAACACTAGAAAATTCATTTTGACATATGTAATGAAAGTATCAAATTCGATGCTGAATTGGCACTAAAGACGAGTTCCGTGCGCTGGATTTGATTTCGATACATGTGAAGAGCGAGCTTTTCTCATGGCGGTTTTTGATTTTTATTTCTAAAAATGACAATCACGAAACTATAAATAGTAAAAAAACGCTTTCCATGTCATAGCGAAAAGTGTCGGAGGCTGCTTTGATGTGGACACAGGTGAAACCGCGCTGGTGAAACGATGTAAGCGTTATCGCTTCCAGTTTCACGCCGAGCTAAGAGATAAAAAAGACCCTTCTCAACTCAACCCATTTCAAACAAGAAAAAAAACTGCGAAAACGTCGCAATTAGCAGCCTCTAAGTAAATCCTGTTTCCGCGAATGGCAATTATTTCCGTGAATTACTTGGCGGCGTCTTTTCAAAAAGACCACCTTTCTTACAAAATTCAAAAAGTTGCGTTTTTCTCAATTTTTGCGACTCTCGAGAGTCTCGGCAGGCGACTTTTTAATAAAGCGACTTTTCGATGAAGCAATATTCGCAGCATGATATTATTAAATAATATTATTTAATGAAAACGTCAAATAGAGCTTCCCTCAGTGCTCGAGAAGAGGTCAAGCTGGAGTTGGCCAGCTCGCGACTCAGCAGGTGCGCAAATGTTTATCAGCCACGGGACTCTTTAATTTCAGCTCGCGGTCGCTCGGAGTATCGCATTCGGAGTTACGCTACTTCTTCTTGGCAGCTGCCCATCTTCGAACCCCGTATCGCTTGTAGCCCAGTAAATAAGCCCCTTGATGCTGCTGATGCTGCTGCTGCTCGACATCGCCCGGTAAATACCCCTTGTTGTGGTTTAATTCTTGGGTTAACGCCGGCTGACCTGAACTTCGCCAAATTTTACAACTTTTGCAAAAATTGTAATTTGCTCGTAAGGGCTTGTAGCCTAAACAAAGTACCCCACGCGTGAAGCCAAGCGCCCTTCTGTTAACATATGCATCCGTGAGCACTTTTGTGATTACATTCTTACTCCTGCGCAAATTTCAAAATTCAAGCAATTTCTTTGCATCGATTCATGCCAAGAAATCGTCAAGAGTCGTGTAGAGAAATTATTTTATTGCAAAAATAGAAAATGAAATGAAAAAAAAAATAAAAAGGTTATAAATTAAAAATAAAATAGACACAGTAGATTGGTTCTCTTCAATATTTGTAGCAAAGATAAGCGGTAGCGCCAATCAGGGCAACCTAAAATACATTTCCGATAAAAATTTCCTACAATACATCTTACGGCCAGAGCGATCTCGGAGACTTCCTGCCAGCTATTTTCTTTAGGGGCCGCTGACACGGGGGGGATCGCCGGTGGAATTTCAATGGGTTGCGCCTAATAAGTTTTAATTGAAATTAAAAACGATAATGATAAGTTCGATCCATTACTTTCTGGTGACCAGATTCTGGTCTCATTTGCTGTGAGGATCATTACCTTTTTCATTTCCTCGTTTCTGCGCTTTTCTTCCCTTCGTCTTCTTCTCTTTCGCTTCTCCTGTTCGTAATTGTTGATCCTATGAGAATTTTTAACGAAGAATACAAGTCAACCCTACAGTTTGTTCGCTTCTTCCAGCTGTCGTTTCATTTTCGCGAGGTCTTCCTTTGCGGCTTCAGCTTCCACCTCCATTCCATCAATGCTATGAAAAGTGTAAATTGGGATTCAAAATAGATCGTTAATTTACTTACATATTGATCGCTTGATTCAGTTCTTGGGCCAATTCTTTCTGTTCTTTTTCCTTCGTTATTAGCTTCTGCTTCAGTGCTTGATTTTCGTCTCGTATATTTTTCATCATCAAAGCGATTTCGTCCGTTCCTGCGCAAACTCGCGCTGTCGCTTTTTCCATGCTGTCGAGGCTCTGATTCATCTCCCGCTGAAAATATTATTTATTGCTTTATTCATGTTTATTTATTATTAAAAAAGATATGCTATGATTAGTTTTAAGGCGTCAATACAAACTTACCATATTTTGAACGGCTCGCTCAGATTCTCCTTCGAGCCACGAGTCTAGCTCCATGATGGAGCTCTCGAATTGTGTAGCTGGCACGTCGGACATCAATCTAAAGTTCCGTTATCTAGCAAAAAAAAAATTAATGCACGAGTAGAGAAAGTAATCGGAAATTTAAGGTCAAGATTCATGAGCAGAAAAAAATCAAAAGAAGTCGTCTATGTCTGCATTACTGTCTATTTTCACTAATGCTGTTGAAACATATTCTAGAAAAACGCTCATTATGAAACGTAACCAACTGGTTTTTTTTGGGTAAAATTGGAAATATTCTCGCAAAAAATACGATTGCGCCTGCAAACCGCACAAAAAAGACAACAAAAACTCATGTTATATTTGGATTCCTATATTGATAAAGAGGAATGTAAAAACAGTGGAAATGCAGAGAGAAAAGCTCAGTTCTGAGCATCATCTTTGGCAGCTTCGCCCTGAGCGGCTTCATCGTCTTTCTCCGCAGCCCCGTTTGCATCTTCCTCTAGAAAGAAACAAGTATTAAAAGTGATTCTGTTAAAAAGTTACTCACCTTTGATATCACCGAGGATGTGTTGAACGATTTCAGCGCTGTCGACGCTCTTCATTTCTTCCTCGGCGGCGTCGATGAATCCCGGGATCTGGTAAGGAATTTCTTGAGACGGTCCGACCTCGCTTCGAGCTCCTTGGGAGTTCTGCTCCTTGTCTTTTGGAGGCTCTTGAGTGGAGCAGGCAGCTGGATCGCCGGTCACTTCGTCTGAAAAAAATCTCATTGAAAAGATAAAACAATAATTTTCTATTTCGATGAATTCTTACCGTGATCAGCCAAAAAAGACGCAGTCATCTGATGAGCCTTTTTTGTTGGGCTCGTTTCCTCGTCGTCCTCGAGCGGTCGCTTTTTCGTGGCCTTCTTTTCGGCTCGCTCTGAACAAATCATTAGTTTTAGCGCGAAATCATAGAAGAATACCTTCGGGAGATGCATCTCCATTTTCGAACATAACTTCGACCCGGTCCGCAGTTTTAAATTGCTCGTTGAAGAAACTCTTGTCGCCGGAGATGATCTCGTCTTCCTGCGGCTTTTCTTGGGAAGAGAGCTCTTCCATTTTCTGGGAGAGCTGTTTCACCTCAGCTAGCGGCTAGAAAAAGGATTAATTGAAAGAAGGAAAAAAGGAATCTTACCTCAGTTTGGGAAGAAGAATCAGCTGGTTGGGAAGGCTGCTTGAACTGGTCCTCCTTTGGAATCTCCTCCTCGGTGGCTTTGGTCATCTCTGGCTGAGAACCCATCGTAAGCTTTATTTGCCTTTTTTTATTTTCTCAATTTGACAAAATGTGAGCTTCTTCGACGGGCACAGGCCTTTTTATACGGCAGTTTCCACGTGGAAAAGTTTTCGAGCCAGTTTCGGAGTCCCTGGTTGGTTTGAAACTCAACTCCTTACTTTTTTTTTCTTCGAGAAGGCCACCTCCGCTCGAAAGGGCGCGAGAACTGTCCTCGTTGACGCCCGAGACAGCGAGAGAATTTTTTCGCTGTCTCTCAGACAACGGAAAAATGGCTATTCTCCTCTTCTCTTACTATCAAGAAAATGCGCTTGGAATCTGCGAAAAAATGCCAGCACAAACCAACCCTTTGATCATACTATAGATCCAGACTAAAGATGGACTACAGAAAGACTCTTTACTATCATATAATATAACAATATAACAGCTAAACATCTATACTATTATCTACTTCTTCTATTTTTATATTGTAAAAACACACACATGAGAGAGTCTTTCTTCACTTAATCAATTTATTTATTGTAGAGACAAATAAATTTTATTTTATTAAAAAGCGTGTTTTGTAAATTGGCAGTGAAAATGACGATGAGAAGATGATTTTTTTCTAGTTGAAAATGCGCTCAAACTTCATCATGTTTTCCTGGTGGCGACGTTTTTGTTCTTCTCGGTCTTCTTCCACCAGTGTCATTTCGAACTGATTGCAACCAGCTCCGCCATTAGCCCGCTCTAGAAAACTTATTCACGGTCCATATTGTTGGGACTTGGCTCACCTTCGAATTTGTTTTTGATCATTTCCATTTTTGACTGATTGAAGTGCGGCGGTTCAATCTTGTTTCTGTTCGCGAAGGCGCGCTTTCTCGAGATCTCGTTAGTCGCCGCCGCGTTATCGAAGATCTTCTTTCTGTTCTCGAATCTGTTCGGCGAGAGAACTTGCGAGTAGCTCTTCAGTTCCGTTGCCGATCGCTGCCGCGGCGCTGGTGCCCCTTCCTGGGCGTTTTCTTTCTCGGCCGAAGCGCGGAAAGATCGCAAGGAGGACGCCCGCAGCTTGAATTCCGCCACTGGTTCGACTTCTGCATTCGTCTTTTTCGGCAAAGAGTTCGTGCTTCCGTCGACAGTTCGTCGAACGAAACGAGCTACAACTTTCGAAAGCTGATTAGCGCGTTTCAACAAATATATTATTTTACCTTTTTTCGGCGGCGACTGATTCTCTCTGATCGGAGTCGAAGTTTTTCGACTCGAAGTAGTCCTTGTTGATTTCTCCTCAATCAGTTCTAGAGGCGCAGTGATCTCATCGACAGCGAAATCTGCTTGCTCCTCTTCTTTCGCATCGTCAATCTCATCCTCCTCTAAAATCCATTTTAAACTCGTACAGGTGGAGATAAAGAGGCAAACCTGAGAAGGACATGTGCTCCAAAAGCTCGCTAGTAGTTGGTTCGTCAGAGAAGACGCTTCCGCAATCCGAATTCGATGCATCCGAGAAAATAGAAACATCCGAATCTACTTCAGGAAACAGCTCCATTTCTGTATCTCTTTTCATTTTATGCTCTTTTCACAAATGCTAACTCAATGCGAATGAAGCTACAAGCTGCAACCGGGAAAGAGGCAAATCGTTTTTCAGATATTATCATTTCAGTTTGACTCCAGCGCCCCACCGTCTTTCAATTTGCTCGAAAATCAGCAATAAGATTATGAAAAATTCGCCTGCTAGAAACTGCAATAACAAAAGAAGAAGACTGTGGAATCTATTTGTTATATCTCCCTTTTTTATAAAAGAGCGATAGATAGGTATTATAAATAGCAGAAATGATGATCAATTCTGATCGTCTTGCTTCGCATCTTCTTGAGAGGCTTCATCGTCGGATAAGTCGCTCTCAGCTTATCCTGGAGTTTTGAAAGAATACTGAATATGAAATTCGGATAGAAGTGACTTAATTATATAAAACTTAATAATAATAAATATAACAACTAAAAAATCGCACTGCATTATCAAAAATTGAGATGACTTTCGACAAGGAAGACAAGGTCTATGAAAGCATCACATGAGCAGAAAAATAATAAAAGTTACGCAAAGGACAAAAAAGCATCTAGCAGGTTCATTGAGGTCTTCAGAACAATGCCTACTTTTTAGTACCTGAGTCATTAAAAGGCGGCCAAACAAAGAAGAAAACCATTAACAATCCTCGGGTTCTGTTTAGTTGGTCAGTCTTGTCTATCGCATGGCTGTTTTAACCAGAAATACGAATAGAGATATTTTCTGCGACGAAAGTAAAAGTGAATGGTAATTCAAGCAACCCCATTTCCGGAAATCAACTACTTCTGCTTTTAGTCCGTTTGTGACGATCAACAGATTCGCGATCGGAAACCGTTACGGCGACATCTTCTACTGCGTCTTTGCTGCTCTAGGTTTCGGCTAAGGATTGACAAATCTTCTTTTCTACCATTCAAAAGATCCAGAGCATACGAGAAATTAATCCTTTGGCAAGCGTGTTTCTGATAATTTTACTTTTATTACTGAGCTTTGTCATACTGAAATGGAAGCGCGAAAACGACGGTGAAGAGTACGTCCTTAGGCGCAGATCGATTCGCTTTTCCGAAGAATCTCAAGATTTAGAAGAGCTTCCCGAAATTCCAGAAGTTCGCCAGACTTATCCAAGGCGGTCTAGGTAAGATTCAATGACGATAGTTTCAGCTAGACGAGTTTACCTTTTTTTCAGTTTGCGAAACAACAACAGTTTTCTATCAGTAAAGAGCGTTCGCTTCTCTTCAAGCTCACAGGTACTCCAAGAGGAAAGAAATGTTTCTTGAATAATTTTCCTTCAGACATTTTCGTACCCTCGCGATCCAGACCCCTGGGCTCGGCAACCTGTGTTAAAAACCTGAATCAGCGGCTTTGCTGGATTTTTTTATAGATTGTTATTGAAATACGTTTATGATGATGATGCATAACATAAATTATAGCCTATAGCCTGCAGGAAGTGAACGACAAGCAAAAAGTTGGTCGCTCTTCAAAGTTAGAGTCGACAACTTTTTTTTCATTTTGGCTCTTTTTTTGGAGGTGGAAAATTGATTTTATTCAGAACACAGTAAAGTTAGAGGCTTTCTTTAGCTAGATCTCTGTTCTTGCCGTCGAACTTTTCGATGATGAGCCGGGTGATGAGTTCCTCGATTTCCGATGAATTGAGGAGCAGCATCATCCTTGAAGCCTCTTTACGACTCTTCGAATTCCTGAAAAAAATAATTAGTTGTGAAAAAACACATCAAAAAAGTGACTTACCGAAGAAAAGACTGTTTTCGGACTTTCAAACTTCGAAAGTTTCAAAGTGAGCGTCAAATGAACAACAGGCCTCACAACGGGACCGATTCTAGAGACGATTTTCAGTATTTTTCGAAAAATCGTCCGATCAGCGAAAAACACATCGTCTTTCTCGAAGAAATTACTGTAAAGAGAGACGAAAACGATTAAAATCAAATTATTTGCTTAACCATTGAATATATCCGAGATGAAAGATACGTTTTTTGAAAAAGCCGCTGTGCGGATTTTCCTTTCAGCTCTTTCAGACACTGACTGAGGTTTTCTACACAGGTTGCCGAGCCCATCCAGACCCAGGACCGGCCTTCGTGGATCCAAGAGCGCCAAGTCCCGTGGACGATTTCGAAGACCTCCTCGATGAAGAACCAAAGAAGAAAAAGTCCTTGTCGAAACGAATGAGCTCGATATTATGATACTATTTAATGTTTTTACTTTGCTTCACTGCTTCTAAGCTACTAAATAAAACAGTGGAAAATTCGAATTCGTTTCTTTTCGAAAAATGATAACATAATTTGATGATTCTGTCTCAATTTCACGCTCGATCAAGCTACAACTCATCTGAAGTAGAACGCCTTCTTTTCTCGACGATGAAATCAAAGATGCAAAACCGAACCGAAAGTGGGCTGATCCAGGATTTTTGAATTTCATTTTTAGCAACCAGCAAGTCCAAAAAAACTCATAAAAAAGAGTAAACGTCTGAAAGAGTAACGTCTCAACGGTTGAATTACGACCAAAGCTTTTGTCTTTTTTCCGCCAGCGAGAACAAAAAAATCGAAAATAAAACTTATGCACGTAAAGTTTATTTCGTACTGAAGAACCCTACTTATCAGGTATAAACTGGCTTATCTGCAAGCGCTTATTTTTTCAGTGAAACTCAATTTTATGCCTGATTTTCGACACGTTTCTGCTTTGTTTTTACAGAGTCTGGTTCTCATGATTTCGTATGAATATCAATGATTTTAAGCGGGCTGCAGTCGTTAACTGACATTTTTGAATCACAAGGTACTACTTAACGCCGAAACGCATGGCGACCAATTAATTGGTACAACGCCCTTTAATGCCATTTCGACACATTTAGAAATTTGCATATTTACTCATATTAATGAAATAATATGGGTAAAATATGGAGATGAAATTGAAGCTAAGCGTCTAAGAATTATTAATCTCTATCATCTTAACAATAAACAAATCAGTTTCATTGTTAAAAAGAGCTGAAAGGGGCATGCCAATTAATTGGTACGGTCTGCGTTCAGCATTGAAAAAATTTTATGCGTTCCGGCGTTAATAAACTCGTAAACCCTATTTTGGGATTTTGAAATAAGGGTGTCACAATGTTAACTCTCCGAGAAAAGACGGCTTGAAAATTATTCATAAAATAATTATCTCTTTGAAAATTTGATGATTTTGAATGAAAATTATCAAAAGAAAAAGACGGCCTTTCCATCCTTTTTAAAAGCTCGCGGTAATTGAGTACTAAAAGGGGTTAAAAGTAAAAGCAAAAAAATAGTTATTCGCCCCCTGGCGCATCGGCTCGATGATCCGAGCTGAGTTCTGGGCTCAATGAACCACTTGGGTTGAATTTTGACATTTTTGATTTGGAATAGATCGAGCTGCCACCACTATGCCAAAAAATTTTAAATTTTAGAGACATCCGCTTTCACCCCAAGCCCCGATCGCGCTGAAGCTAAAGTTAGAGACGCTGCGCCACTGAAAATATCATTACAAGGCTTAGACGCTAAAAGAAACATGGCCACAACTCACAACAAGAATGTTATTTTTCTTCTTCTCTTTTTGATTGCGCTGGTGCTGGTGGATATCAAGGCACGCTGGACACAAGTAAGTTTCTTTTTATTATTTTCAAAAAATTATTATTCAAATTTAATTGACTGCGTTTGATAATAAGGACCTCTCATTGAGAGGCTCTCAAGATAATAGTCGTCCGTAATAGTCATGATAAGACTTTGCAAAAATACTTTTAGCTACTGTAGGGCCGACAGTAAAACATAATCAGTCGTTCTTTTGTTTTTTTTATAAATTTAATTTTTTTAATTAATTTAGGACTGTTTTGACCTTGAGTACGCAAAAGCAGCAGCTGGTTCCGACAACATAGACGATTTACAACAGAACAACGACGTGCTAGAAACAACAGAGGAAAAGAAAGAACACTCTCCACCTTCAGAAGTTATCTACCATCCAATAATCAAGAGCGAAGAAAATGAAGAGAAGCAAGAAGTTGTTGATGGAGCGACGGCGAGTCCTGAACTCGAAAAGTTTCAAAACAATCACGTCGTCCAAATGACCGCTGTGGTCAGTAGCCCGGTCCTGACGGATGCTGAATTAGAATACGTCCTCAGTAGAGTCAAAATGGGACCAGAGCTCGATGAAAACTGCAAAATCCAAAAAGGAATCGGCTTGAAACGCTCTCATCTTCAACTTTTCCTTGAAGAAAAGGGGGAGAGACAGTCTGTTATATAGTCGCTAGAGATAAGCCGCTTGTAAAAATAACTCATAATTTATGAGATATGCAGACGGCCAAATTATTCTTATCGAAAATAATTCCAAAATACTCTTATCAAATCTCTTTCTATCGGAAGAAATAGAAATTCAAAAGCCAAAAATGAGATCTTTTTTTCCTAAAATCGTCGAAAACGGGCTCTACCACGATGATGTCAATTTTCCAGCGCTTCGGGTTGAAATACAATTCACGCTTTTTGATGGGCGAGAATCGCGGCGGTATGGCAGTGAATTCGCGCCCGGTTAATCTCGAAGATGACTGCTGGCTTGGCAAGAATATTGATGGATTGAAGTTTGACTTGAGTTGCAATCATCTCCACTGGAACAAGACGGTTATCGACGCGCTAATGGTCGATGGGTACAAGAGCATTGGAATCGCTAGAGAGCCCAACAGTCATTTCATCTCCTCGTTTAACTTTTACCACAATCTCATGCCAAAAGTAAGAAATTTCAATCAGTAGGGACTTAGTAGAGATGAATTATGTCGTCAGAAAAATAAGAAACTTATTTGTATAAACAATAGAGGAGCTAGACTGTCGAGGAGGCATTTTTTTATTTTGTGTAACAATAGTTTATTTTTAGTCAGCACTAAGTTCTGTCTGTTTCATAACATTTTTCAGTTCACTTACATGCTGAATCCCAGCGCGCCATACAACCAAAAGCGCCGGCGGGTAAGTTCCCGAAAACAGCTCATGTCGATGAAGCCGTCCAAAGAAGACATCATTGTCGAAATGAAAGAATTCCTCAAAAATCCATGGGTTAGTTCGATGATCAAGTTTGAAATACCATCATTCTTTTAGTTCTATTTATCGGACATGGGGAATAACTCCTTCGCATACATGGCGAACGTTCGCCCACAACTGCTGTTTTACGGAAAATCGCGAAATAACGTCGCAAGCTATGATCAAGGGTTGACGCGCGAGGACGTGCTCGATTGGATTCAGGGTAAGTCTTCCTCCGGCGACTGCTGTCAGCTGCACCGGTGGTTTCTTCTTTTCCCAGAGTTGGAGAAAGTAAACTCGGGTTTAGACATCATGGCTGGTTTCGATCTGATGATGGTGCTTGAGTACTTTGACTACTCATTAGCGATGATGTCGTTACAGTTTTGCATCCCCGTCGAAGATCTAGTCTACATCGCAGTCAACCAGAGACACGAGACGACGGAAAATAGCGCCAAGAAAAAGCCTCCACTTGATGATGAGGATCTCCAGCGGCTCAAGGAGCTTAACTGGCCGGACTATCTTCTTTACCAAGGTAGGATTACGGAACCCGAGACGAGAGCATTCGTTATCCTGAGAGTCTGTTTGTTTAGGAGTTAAATAGTCCCTTTTGTTTGTAAATTTATGAATTTTCAAGCATTGAACACAACCTTCTGGCGACGAGTAGAGTTCTACGGCGAGGAAGTGGTCAAAGAGCGGGCTGATAAGATCATCGAGCTCTCACACCAGATCAGCTCGGAATGCATCGACTTCGAGCGCGAGGGCGCAAACAAACTCGTCGACCGCGTTTTTCTCTTGGAGAACAAGCAAGACAATTCCACCTGTCTCCAACTGCAGTTCCAAGGAGTCAGGGCCACCAAGCTGTTCATGGGTAAGAGTCGAACAAAAGACCGAGCTCTTTACTTTTTGCCTAGTTCATCAAGTAGAAGAGCTGCGAGAAATGACCAACAACAAGTACGAATTCTGCGGGCCAAAGATCGTCTACGGCGAAGAAGCGCACAACTATCTCAAGTGGAGGGACAACTATCTCCGCATGTACAGAGCCGTCAAGGGCGACTTCGACTGAGACGAAGCTGTTTAGAAAAAAGTCAATCACACGAATTATGAAAAAAGCACCCTGTCAATGTCTTCAACAAGAACAAAAACGAGTTTCTAGAGTTTTCAATGAAAAAATTCCTGCCATGCTAATTATAACTTTATTTAACTGAAGCTTTCTTCATTAAGTGTTACAGTAATTGTCGCTCGCTGAAGTAAATAAGTACAAGGAGAGACCCTTAATGAAAAGCTAGGAATATTATGATAATTTCAGAGGAAGTTGTACTGTACCTTTATGCTTTCTCGAATTTACAATAAATCTACGTTCAATTAACCGGGTTGTTTTTGGATGTTATTCTTTATATTGAAGGATGTAATTGATATTGAAAGCATATACGAATCATAAAATAGGGTGAACTATATGTACAGACATCTATATTATATAGACTGTATATTTATAATTTTATTATAAAATATATTCCGGGGGGTTTCTTGTTGATGCAATAAAATTGACACAATAAAGAGGCAAAGAATAAGACTCTAGTCCCTTTCAACGAGAATTGTTTTTGACGAATTTATTGAAGAAAGGGGTTGTTCGGCTGCAGCAAAGTCCAGGTAGAATAAAAATAAAAACTCTCAGGAAAATAAAAACGAGGGCAGAACTTTGAAGGTTCGTTTTAGAAACAGAAAAAAAAATTGGAAAAGGGAAGGACAAAATACTAAAAACAGGACGGACTGGGCGCGTTTTTTTCTTTGTTTTTTTTGAATTAATGCACTTTTGCCAGGCTAATTTTTTTCGCTGTTGATTTTCTTTCGTTCGTTTCAAATAAGTTGGTGGTTTTTTGGTGTTTCTACTTGAGGACGTAGAAAAAGGCTCGGTTCTTTTTGATAAAGTGCATTTTCTCCAGCACGTTCTGGAATGGCTCGGTTTGCTCGCCAAGGTGCACTTCGATTATTTCATAGTCCTGCGCTGACAGGATATTCACCAGCGAACAGATCAGCAACGTCATCGAATGCAGCGACGCAATTTGGGTTTTTGAGCGAACAGCGAAATGCAAACGCGCTACAAAAAAGATATAAAACTACCTTGGATGGTACTACATTGGAACGCCCGCAAAACGACCAACTCGACGAATTAATTGAACACGTACCTTTTTTGTTATCGCGCAGAACAAGGGCAGCACCATGATCGAGCGGGTGAATACTGAGATTGATCGAAAACGAAATTAACTCATCGTCGATTTCTAAGTCGTCGAGGCGTTGAAGATCGCTAGACGGCCAGAGCGTTGCATCATCAAATTCCATGTCTATATAATCTCTATTATTATCTTTTCAAACTAAGGGTATAGTACCATTATCGGCAGAATTTCGAAAAGCGTTTTCCCGCGTTCGACTTGGCTCCGAAAATCGAAGAGTTGTTCCTGGAAACCAAGGGGTCGAGATTTCATTAAGAATGAATGAATTTACTGAAGAAGAAATTCGTTACTCCTAGAAATAAAATGAGAGCCCATTACATTCATTGCGGGGTAGAATAGAGGCGATTTTGTGGACGATAGCTAGCTCTGGGCCGTTCCCATCGTCATCATCGATGTAATCGTAGGACTCCTTTTCGTGGAACTCTTTAACGGGGATGAGCGAGGGGTCTAGAATGTGCCCGAGGTCGGCGATGAATTGGATGTAGGCGATGGCCAGCGTGAAAATATTGGAAACGTCGATGAGGAACGGTAGAAGCATAGCAGCGGGGGAGTCGGAAATGGCGCACCTCGACATGCGATCTTGAATAAAAAAGTTCAAATTTCCTCCTAGTTTTCAATTGATTACCGGCAAGTGTGCTGATTTTCTCGTTAAGGTGCTGAACATTATTAAAGTTGTTGATCCATTGCTCGGATGCGCGGAGGGAGACTTTATTGGCGCAGAACATGAGCTGTTGGACGCAGCGAAACGCGTCTTCTCCATATTCGTAGGGCAAGTAGTAGAAGTCAGCGAGCAAGAGCAAGTCCTCCAGCTCGATACGATCAGGGGATGTTTGAGTAAAGCTGGGCAACCAATCGGACAGCGCATTTACGAGCGCGCGCCGGGGGCAGTAGCGGCCGTGCCTTAGGAAACAAATTGTTATAAAATAGAATTGATATATTTTTTACGATTTGTGCTCTTCTTCGCAAGTACTCTTTTCATCTCCAGACGAGGCGGTCGATTGCTTTCGTGGTCGAACTGTTAAAAATAAGTCTGTGTGTTCTAAGGTTCGTTTTGTAAATTTTTAAAGCGCATGCAAATCATCAGAATAAGTTATTCTGATGATAACTTACCTAGTGAGAACGAGCGGAACCAGCTGGTTAGCGAGTGCATCGCCACGTAGTTGAAGTCGTACTGACAATTCGGATTCGTTAGCACTCCTGCTGTCAATCCGACTAGGTCGGAGTGGCGCCCAGCGAACGGCCTGAAAGTTGGGCTTGAAAAAAGGTGATTTCTAGGTATTGCAACTATTCAATTTTGCCCGAGAACGAAGGTTCTTCGAAGTTTCTAGGATATATCTACTGTAACTTCACTTTAAGACCTCATAGAAGCTTAGTTCTTGGACAGAATTGAGGGGCGGGGACATATTTAAAAGATTTTGTCTTGATTAAATTATTGACCCTAGATAAAATCGTCGTCGATCGTAGTCGTTGGCGTGGATGTTGTCCCAGATGACGGGTGGGCGGCGGAATATCTTTCGGATTTGCTCGATCGACTCCACCGAAATGGTGCGGGAGACGACGCGCGGCCCGGTCCACATCACCAACATATCGGGATGGAGCATCTTGCCCAACGAGCTCAGATACTCAGACTCCTCAACGTTAGGCTTCGCGAACGAGGCGCAATACTCTATTTTAAAAAGCAACGTTAGTCATTTCGCATTATATCAATTAGGAATATAGGGCCTCTCAAAGGTTCATCGTACCTGTTGGGCAAAAAAGAAAGTGTTTGATTTCCGGGCCGAGCTTTTCGAAAATGAAATTGGCGACAGAAGCTTGTGCGTGTGCCGGGCTCTCGAAATTGCGCGCGTCTTCGGGAGATAAGTCCTCGTTGATGTCGTCGAATAGAATGGCAAATGATTGGCAGCCAAGCTCCTTGATGTCCATAAATTTGTTCAAAAGCTGCTCCAGGTCGATATTGCAGGAATAGCGCAGATCCAACCCGGGAGCCATGGAAAAGACAAAGTCTACTCCATTTTCTTTCGAATTTTCAATTAGGCTTCTGAAAAAACAGCAAATGAGTCGTTATTTCGTAGAGATGTTCTGTTGCATGTAGTTCTATAATCCGGGCTACTTACTTTAGATTCTTGAGCTCGTCAAGGTCGTACTTGGATCGCCAGTTATGTCGATGCTTGTCATCGTGCTTCGGCGCGTACATGTACGTATTCATATTGAAGCCCTTCATCTGCTGGAACAAGTTGCGGCGCTCTTCATGAGCCCAAGGGTTGCCGTAAAAACCCTCGACAACCCCAAGTAGATAACTCGACCCCATCGAGCCGTCATCCGAACGTGTCATCCGAGACAGTCTAAAACCACAACAAAATTGAAAAAAACGAAACAGCAAAGGCTTGAAGTTCTAGAACTCGACATTCTAGAGAAAAGAGAAGCAGGGGACTTTGAACTGTAACTTAAACATTTATTGGAGGCGTATTAACTAGCTTTGGCTTTGCACTTCTTTTACGTTATCATTATTTTCCATTAACGATTCTAGTGAAGATGACCGCTCTTCGAGGAACTTCCAAGGCTGCTGGATGGCAATATCCGGCGCGTCAACCAGCTGCACTTGCGTTATCAAATTTCTTTCCTCTTCCTCTATACGCTCTTCGTCGAATTTTATTTCCGCTCGATTGGCAGCAAACTAAAATTACCATTTTAACTGACTCGCACTCGTTTGGACTCTTTGTTGTTTACAGTCTGATGATCCTGTCTTACCTTTAATAAATGCTCGGCAAAAGCTTCGATTTCCATCTGAGAATACTTTTCTACGTAGCATAAGTTCACCGTTTTGTTCCAGTAGTCGTTCTCTGGATCGATCGCTAGAATGGATCGTTTCTATCAATTTAACGCATTTCATCTTACCTAAGGTGTTTAGCTGATAAGAGGAGAGGGAAAACTGCTCCCCATCGAAGTTGACTAGCTGTGCAACGATCGGAACTTCCACATCATCATCTTGAAACTTTCCTTGATAGTGACCAAGGCCAGCAGTCCAAGAAAACCCCTAAAAACAGTGGTGATTTTTGGTGGTGTTTTGAGATGATAGGGCCCCGATAAGGCCTCCAAAAATTATTGTAGCGTTTTTACCTTCGTGTTAACTAAATACTGCTAAATATATTTACAGATATATACATTTGTCTATATACATCAGGGGATACTATCTGGGCAGTGGTAATCAACTAATCATTAATTAAATTATAAACTGACATATCAAAGATGGCCCTTATGGTTTTCAATCTTACTTGATAATCGCTTGCGATTTGAGCGCCTCGTCGATTTCTGACTGTATATCTGGATGTTCTACATCTGATTCTGCGAACCAAGCCCGATTGAACTCTGCGGGCATGGCGGAGACCTGAGTGTGGGAGAAAACATCGGAGCTGGAAATTCCGCGCGTGATTTCGGACAGCTTCTCTTGTCGATTCGCCATGTCGTAGTTTGACAGCATGTCCCCTAAAAAATGATTGAATCAAGGGGCGAGGAGCATTATAAGAACAATTTGTACTGAATTTTCAGTTTTTAAATTTAATGACACGACAACGAAAAACTAGATAAAACTAGAGGGAACTAGATGAAGGTTCAAAGTTTCTTTGAAAACATAAAATAAAAACGTCACTACGGTATTTCTCTCTCAGAAAAGTCAGTAAAGTTGACGAAAATACCTGCGTAAGCGTGAAATCCAGGTTTGACGTAATTGCGCCACTGTTGTTTGTAAAATCGCAGCGCCTCTGGGGAATAGTCAAACCATGGAATTGAACGCATTTTGACCTCGATCTCAAGGGGCAGCACGACGGGCAGTTTTAACTCGTTGACGGAGGGCACTTCCTTTGTGTGCGTCGTAGTCAATTCTTCTTCGCTGCAAAAGGCGCTCGCTCGAGGCCGCAACGGTCGGAGAGGCGACGGAATTCGCGTCTGCTCGACTGGCGCGCAGACTGACTGGAACTTAGCAGGCTCTGATTCCTCGTACTTTTCCTCTGTCTCGCCTGGCGCGGTGGCTGAATAGCCACGCATCCAGAAATACAGTACTTCCGGGCGATCATCAGTTGTAGACGAGTCAGGTGAACCAGCGAGCGTTTGAGCTTGATTCCAAATTGCTAAAAGAGATTATTATACATGCAATAGTCTCTAGATCACTCTTTCAAAGACCACAATGGTCTTTTTTTTTGTTAACAAGTTCATATAAAACTAAATATGGTCCATTCAACTGCCATATAATGTCTTGATGATTGAACGGTGGCTACAGTATCCACTGAAATTTTGAAGGGGGCCTTCGTATATCAAGTAAGGCCCTCAGTTTACGTAAAATCAAGAGAAAGGTTCACCTTTTACAATCTTTTCTCGTCGGACCCGCTCGACTTGAGCCTGTTTTGAGCTTCTATCTGCGTTTCCAGGTTCTCCAAACGTCGCCTGCGCCAATTCTAGCGTCGTTTTACAGAACTGCGCCAGACTTGCCACCTTCTCCGGATCGACAGTAATTTGATTGTAAAGGGCAGGTCTGCCACGAATAAGCCGCGTTTTCGTTACGTGTTGGTACCAAAATGACATATTCGGCAGTGCGGATTTTCTGTAGGGGTGGATTACGTATTTGTAGTCACGCTCGCGTTCATAAAGCATTACTTTCTTCCAGACTTCGGGTTCGTTGGCGATTTCCTGTCTTGTAAGAGGGCTTCTTAAATCCACCCCTTCGACATTATTATGATTTGGATCGGTTGTCAACCAATTGTCCAAGTACTCGTCTTTGACTCTGCGATGAGGGAACGCTGCACGCTCGGCAACGTTGATTCCATAGTCGAAATCTTCTCGTTTCTTCATCGACGCAAAAAACATTTTCTGGTTCTTTTTTGTCACTTCTGTTCGATGCCGCAGCGGGTCGAACGTCTGACCCGGGTGGCTGTTCAATCGGTTGAATTTCGTCGATTCTTCGTCGTTCAATCGCTGCAGCATGAAAAGATCTTTTCGATGGCCCTGAGTCAGGAGCGCCGATTCCCAAGTCGGAGTGTAGGCCAGTTTCGTTTCGGTCCCGGTGATCACTGCTGGATCCTTTCGGTAGTGGCCTCCCATCATGGAAATGCGGTAACGGGAGTTCCATTCGTAGCCTTTTCGTTTTCGCGTCTTTCGGATTCGTTCCCAGCCTACTTTTGAGCCATCCACTTGAACAGCAGGAGAGGTACTCAGAACTCGCTCTGAACAACACTTTATTATAATAACTGTAGCAATCACAAAGAAAATCTACATTTCGTTCCGTAAAAAGACTGTTTTTGATAGTAAAACACCATTTTACTGCATAAAAGGAGCAATTTTACTGGTCAAAATGATTTATAAGTGTGCAAGGAACAGTTTTCTCACTGTTAAGAATTGATTTTGATGTGTAGTGACATTCTTTTATGAAAATATGGCGTTTTATTTAATTTTGCTTTATGCAAAAGTACCTATCGTTTTAGGAACGCGCAAATTTCGTCGGAGCATTTTCGATTTTTACGAAAAGACGACTCGATCGCCAGTTCGCGACTTTCCAAGTTTCAGTTTCCTTCTAGAATTCCTCGGCTGAGCTGCGCGGAGCTGGCGCGCGACCAATCAGACGCCAGATTTCACTCTTGGGAATTTCGCGCGCTGAAATTTCTGAAAAGCGAGAAATCGTAAAAAAGGATGAACTTTGAAGAGATAAAGAAGGTTTGCGACAACAGGAATCATGAAAGGAAGCGTTTCAGTTTAATTTTAGTCAGTCACGAGTGAAAATTATTCAGTATTTAATTAGATTGGAAACCTATTTCGCGAAACGCAAATTTAGACCTGGTCCAGTTGAGCTTCAAAGTTTGCCGACAAAGACGTATTTAGGAAAGTGGCTCCTTTATTCAATTTTTAAAATTCCAGAGTCAATTTTATGCCGTTTTTGTGCAAACTGGTGTTATTGATAGGCTAAGCCAGACCATAATGGCTTTTTATTGGCTGATAACCACATATCTCTATTATGTTCAAAGGCAAATAAAAATGAGCCAGGAAGATGAAACGGTTGTGCCACTGGTGCTTGAAGGGATGAACCTACTGGCGAAGGAGCGACCGGCGACAGAAGAAAAGGCGATCGAGTGGTTTGCTGCCTTCCTCCTCAAAAACAAAAACTACAAAGAAGACATTCGAAAAGCCAAAGAAGCTGAAAGTGCGGCTCCAACACCAGCCCCTGGCAAGAAATGATCCTCCCCTCTATTGTCCTCCTAAATTAGGAGTCCTTATAGCTTTATTTTTTATACAGAACTGAATAATCATATATTTTTTCACATATTTCCGTCTCAAAAGTAGAATGATCGATATTCTAAGAAATAGCGGGCTCTAATTGGCTAATTGTGAAGCATACTGGCGTCTTATTGGGTAAAATATTCAGTAAGAACTCAGTATATTCTCCGCAACCCAATCAAAGGCCGTCGTTTTCAGCTGTCCTTCATTCTTGCGAAAAATGACATTTTCCACTTCATCTCTAGAATTATTTTCGTTTCAGAATGTCAAAGGACTCGAGCGAGTCAGTTCCCAAAATCCAGTTGAAAGATTTGACGGGCAGAAAGTATCTCGAAGAAGCCGTCGTGCCCATTCTTACGCAAGCACTTGAGGATCTCGTCAAGGTATTTTCCCATTGTTTGGTCACCCCCTGAAGGTTTTTAGGAGCGTCCTAGTAACTCCGTAACGGCCCTCGAATGGCTCGCCCAATACCTCATCAAAAACAAGAACTGGAAAGAGAAGCAAGAAAACGAAAAGAAAAAAGAGCTGAATAAAAATAATGAAAACGAGCCAAAAGCGTAAAACCTCTGAAAAACCCGTCCAGACCCTTAAAATATCAATTATTGTTGAAAAGACAATCACGCCTACTTACGATCGACTGCCTCTTTTATAGAAATTTAGCTAGAATTTCATCCATTTTCGAGAAATCCGCGGTAATTTGTTTCATGTTAATTCGAAAACAAAATTTCTTGTATTCTTTATATTTCGCCCACCACTTATTTTGCTCATACCTGTATTTCAACCCTCCTTTGACCAACGAACCAAAACCTGCTTCAACCGACTTCTTTAAAACGTTTAAATTCTCCTTTTTTCAGACGCTAGAGGCACAAAATGAAGTCCGCTTCATGCCTATTTTGAGGAGCTGGAAGAGCTTATGAAAATGTATCCGAAGGTCGGATGCACTTTCAACGGTGCGTGCGAAAACGAGTGCGGAATGCACTTCCTGCACAAAAAACAAATCTCCTCACTGTTGCAGCGAGATACGAAGATAAGACCGCTTGGAACAACAAAACTCCTAAAAACGGATACTTATATTTTCTTCAAACGAATCAGCAGCGTAAACATTGTTAACCTCCAACATTGTAAAAATTGGATAAACATGACTGTAAAGAAAAAGACTAACCTTAACTGTATTTAGACTGATTATAGACATCGAATGTTTCTGCGAGTGACGGATTTTGAGGCGCTTTTCTAGCCGCTGGTTCCGATCCTTCCAAATTGCTGGCCTAGGGGAATTGGCGGCTTGGAAGCGTCGCGGAGTCCTGAAGAAGTCACAAAAGTCCGAAAGCATACGGGCGACAATTTAATCATGGCGAAAATATTTCGCCATTGCGAAGAAGTTTGAAGAGTGGCCTAGTACACTCCCGTACTTCATCAGTCAAAGCATAATGCTTGACGATGATATTTTTACTGGAACTGTCCTGTAAACTTCTACTTATTTTCCCAAACACGGATACTTATAACGCCTTTTTTCAAATACCATTTTCGTTTCTTTAACCAAAGTCGACTCTAGAATGAAATGACATGGCGTCCGTGCCGCTAGCAATTTTTCTGGTGTTTCTTGGATGTGGGGCGAATGTCTTCTTCCTCGAGCATCTCATCAAAATTGACTCGACAAGGTATGCATCAACAAACTTGCACCCGTGTCGAGCTGTTTGTTTCTAGTGGACACTTGATAACTTGTGGCCAGTTTTTGTTGATCTCGTGCAAGCAGCTACTCCAGTTCGACTGGAGCAATGGGATCAAGATTCCCTTCCACCGCCATTTCCTGATCGTCGCCCTCTTCGTCTCGATCTCCGTCATCAACAACTGGGCTTTTTCGTTCGCGATTCCACTCACGTTACACATCGTCTTCCGTGCCGGCTCACTCGTCACCAACTGTCTACTTTCCAGACTTCTTCTCAATAAACGATTCTCAACGCATAAATATTTGTCTGTATTTATTATTACTGCTGGTAAGTAACTGTAGTTTTCGTGGCGTAGTCAGTAGCTAGTAGAGTGGTGCAAATCTAGGGTGAGAATTGGAAGGCCACAGAGGATTAGTGAAGAGCCTGTATCTTTTGCGTAGTCGAATAAGAGACCCGTAGCAAGGAGCAATCAAAAGCTCATATCTTTTGCGTGAGCCCGAAAACATCTGAAGTCTGATTCAGATGATCTGGTGTGCCAGTAAGAAGTTCGTGTCTTTTTAATTTTATCTTAGTCCAGTCAAAAGTCGGTATATTTCGCGTCAATTAGATTCGTAGTTTTAGGAGTTTGGTGGCTAGCATCCATTATCAGTTAATACAAATCAACTGTCAATTAGGAATAATTATTTGTACTCTTCAAACCGCCTCGACAAAGCCTCCCTCAACATCTTCCTCCGACGACTCGCCTCAATTATCCTTCGGCTTGTTTGTACTCAGCATTGCTCTTATCCTGTCTTCACTTATTGGAATCGTACAGGAGAAAACAAGGTACTACAAGGACTTCTTTTTATATCGCTTTTTCCTTTCCACCGCTTTTCTGATTGCTGCATCCATAATTCGGCCTCTCAGAATCGCTGAAAGGAACATTCTTAAGAATAAGAAACGATTGTAGAAAAGAATCTGAAAAGTGTTCTAGGGACGAGTATGGGAAGCACCCGCTCGAATGTCTCTTTCTTCACCACTTCTTATCGTTGCCTATGTTTTCGTTTTTAATCGAGCCGATCAAATCTTCGGCCGCTGTTTTTTCCGCTTCAACAGCGATGGAAATCTTTGGCTTCTCCATCCCCTCGGCCTGGCTCTTCTTTGTCGGCAACTTAGCCACACAGTACATTTGTATTCGCTCAATCTTCGTCTTGACCTCTGAGTGTACCAGGTGAGCACAAAGGAAGCCTCTTTGCTAACCGATTCATCTTTAATTCTAGCTTAACTGTTACGCTTGTTATTACGCTCCGCAAGTTCTTTTCCCTCGTCATTTCTGTAATTTACTTCAAATCAGCCTGGACCTACTGGAATTGGATAGGCACAGTTTTAGGTAACGAATAGTAATAAACCTCAAAATCGACCTAAAGAGTCTCATTCGGTCCGCTAGTAACTTGAGCTTTTAGTTTTCGGCGGCACGCTGATGTACGCTGAAGTGTTCAGCAGCTCCAAGAAAAAGAAAAGACCAGCTAAAAGTCACAAAAAGCCCCTGTAGTGTTCCATCCTATCATAATTCTAGCGTAGAATATTCTAGATTACTATACAGGTGCGAAATGAAAGAAAAACGCAAGGTGTTCTGATTTTCGAATTTTCCAGTTTCCAATTTTAGTTTCTTCACTGCTCCTTTCTTATCTTGCTTTTATTTCAAACAATTTGGGTGTTTCTTATTTTGTGAATTGAATATTGAAAAACTGCTCATGGATAGTTCCTGAAAAAAATGAATAAAAAAGTATCCAAGTCTGAAATTATTTAAGATGTTGTGTTGAACAATGATTCATTTTGTGGTCCTTTTGCTTCTTGAAACTTGCGTTAGTCGCGTCTCCAGCGTCAGATTCGATGCAGAGCATTCTCAAGTCAACTATTCGGGCATTGCCTCGGGAATCACCCTCCCAGTTTACTATTTTCAGCTCAATGTAGGTAGTAAGCAGGACGTCTTGAAATAGAGGTGAATTAGAGGACTGTGTTTCGCTTCCCAATCTTATTGAAAATTTTTAATTGACCATCTGTTACTGGTGGAGCTTTTATTCCATTTGTTGTTGAAAATGCGTAATAATTGCAGAAGATTATTGCGAGAAGACTATGAAATTAAGGGTGTTCTCTCTCAAATAGAATCTTGGTAAAAATGAGTCTTTCCAAAATTCTAGCTTTTCGACAAAAACGGCGAGCAACTAGATGAGTCGCCAGAGAACAATCCAAATGTTGAAGTATTAGGCGCCGACGGAAGCCAGATTCGATCCAAGGTCGAACTCCTCGACACCAAAAATGGCCGCTTCATGGGTCGGATCAAGACATTCCAACTCCTCGAGAAGGTGACCATTCGAGTAACTGATGAAGATAGTGGAAAAGAATTCGGTAACTCGCGACGACGCTTTGAAAATTTGAATCACGACGAGTGTTCCTGTCCTGTTGAGATCGAGAGATTTCAAGAAGCGTTTGAGCTGGAGCATCGAGAAGACGATGTTCTCATTGGATTCGATCAGGTACAGCTTGCTTTTACTTAGAAATAGAAGTAATAACGTATGATCAGATGTCATACGAAAGCAACAACGAGCAGATTCGAGAATATTTCGCTGCTCGTCCAAATAGTTGCGCGCTCTGCCACTATGTCATAAAAGCTGGTCGCATTTACCGCCAGTGCTACGGGAAACATGTCGGTTTCAACATGTTTTCTGATGCGACACTTATCGCGCTTTCAAGAATCGTCAAGCTGCCCGATGTGCAATTCTGGATGAACTTGGGCGACTGGCCCCACTCGACAGTGAACAAGAAACGAAAGGAAGAACAGCTCTTTCAAATGGTTTCATGGGGATCGCATCAAGACTTCAAAGATCTCGTTGTTCCAACATACGATCTCATGGACTCTACGCTAGGTAAAGTCAACATGAATTCTCCAAAATGAACGTATTCACATGTTCGTTTTTCATAGTTAGGATAATTTTAGAAGCTTTGTTCTTAAAAAGTACAGTGTGTACGCGGACTGATACTTCCAGTAGTAGTGGATCTAACGGATTATCTTCAGGGATGATGCATCGTCTCAGCAAGGATCAGTTCTCCGTTCAAAGTACGGGTCGCCAAACACAATGGACAGAAAAGATCGAAAAGGGCTTTTTTCGCGGCAGAGACAGTCGACAAGAGCGTCTCGATTTGGCAGAAATGTCGCAAAAGAATCCAGAGCTCATCGATGCCGCCATCACGCGATATTTCTTCTTCAAAGAAGACGAAAGCAAGTACGGACCCAGATCGGAACACGTGCCTTTTGCTGACCATTTCAAATTCAAATACCAAAGTAAGCATAAATCATTTCTAAAGAGAATCTGAATTGAGCAAGAAACCGGTTTCCCACACAACTATTTAAGTCAACGTTGATGGGACCGTAGCGGCATATCGCCTGCCCTATCTCATTCTCGGCAATTCGGTTGTTTTAAAACAAGAGAGCGCTTACTACGAGCACTTTTACCCAAAGCTAGAGGCTTGGAAACACTTTATTCCGCTCAAAAGAGACTTGTCCGACATCGTCGAGAAGATCCAATGGGCGAAAGAAAACGACGCCGAAGTAGCTGAAATAGCAAGAGCTGCTCATCGAGTTGTAGAGAAAGAAACTGAACCGGTTAGGGTTCTTTGGAGCTGGATATCGCTGCTCAAGGTAAACTCGAAAACTTTAGAATTGCACTAGAACGTTTTGTTTAGCGCATTTCGGAGAAAATGACAGGAGAGGTCGAAATAAACGACGAAATGGAAGAAGTGCAGATCCCAGTATCTCATAGACCCTGCTCCTGTAGTAGTAGACAACACAACGAACTGTAACTAGTAGAAGAACTGTCTACTAGAACTAAAACTAGTGTAGTACTAATTCTTATAGCTTCTGACAATTTCTGTAAGGTTACTGACTGTGCCTCTCTGTGATAAACACTGTATTGAATTAAGTCTATTTTCTTCATCAAATGGCAATTTTGTGATTCTACTTCTCGATTCTAGCGCTGATTTCTTTCAGAATGAAAGTTGAGGATTTGCTGAAGAATAATGATAAGAAAGATATTGGAATTATTGTGCCAGATGATTGGCAATCCGTCAGCTACGACTGCGATCAGTTCGCTCTCCCCAATCATTACAAGAAGGTGAGCCACAGCCATTGAGAGTTTCATCTAGTGAAATTTTGAATTGCAGTATCTCGATCGAGTAATCTTGCCGCGAGGACTCGTCCTTGATCGAACGGAAAAGCTTGGTAAGAAAAAGAAAATCTAAACAGAACCTGATCTCGCTTCTAGTTCTGGATTTGTTTCACAGTCTCGACAGATCTGTGCCCGTCGTTGCTTTGTGCGTGCTCAAGGGTGGCTTCCAGTACTTTGCGGATGTGTGCGACAATTTGAAGCGACACGCAGCGGCTCACTACCCAGAGGCGATTCAGTTCAACATGGATTTTATCCGACTCAAGTCCTACGAAGGTAGCTTTAAAGGCAAAACAGTCACTTATTTATCCATTTTACAGATGACCGTGCGAATGAGGAAGTGCAAGTAATTGGCGGTGACAACTTGGAGCATCTTCGTGGGAAGCAGGTGATCGTCGTTGAGGATATTGTCGACACTGGCAATACCATCCGAAAGCTGATGAATGTTCTTGCCAAGTATGATCCAAAGAGCGTCAAAGGTACCCCCTCTATCGTTGAAATGCGAGTTTATTCGATGATTCTAGTGGTGACGATGCTTTCAAAGCGAACGCCGCTGAATACCAGTGGCTATGTGGCTGACTTCTCGGCCTTCTCGATTCCCGTCTTTTTCGCTGTTGGATACGCCCTAGACTACAACGAGTACTTTAGAGATTTGAACCACGTCTGTGTGCTAAACGAAGAAGGCATCGAAAAATTCTCTGCCAAGAATCTTCCTACTCTTTCTTAACATTTAAGTTCAAGCATCCAGACAATCCAGTGCATCTAGACTCATTTTTATTCAAATAATTCTAGGTTAAAGTTAATATTTAATAAAAAAAAACTCATAAATGTGTCAACTCATAACTAAATATCTCATCCTGTCCAACTCAACAACAAACAGTAACTTACGCTCTTACTTAACTAAAAACACACCCAAAACTCACCAATTAACTTGTGCTTCGTTAGATTTGGGATAAGTCGTTGTCGTCTTCAAATACAAAATCAGAAAAAACATGTCTGTGCCTGCCCTTGTGGATGAACTGCGCCAGATGTGCAAGAGCAGGCAGATAGAGGAATTTTGGAAAAGATGCGGAGAGTTGAGCGCGATTTGGACAGAGGAGGGGAAAAGACCAGCTTCAGATCAAGTACGCTTCGTATTAATAATCGTTTTTGTAAAAAACTTTTAGGCTATTCACTCAGTTATCGGCCAGTTGGACTCGATCCTCGCTGAGAACAATGCAGACAACAGTTACTGCCTTGTAAGCCTGGCGATATTGATGATCAGAAGTAACCTCGAAAAAGATATAAAAGAAAAAGGCGATCATGAGAGGCAATTGCAATCCTGCGAGTTTTACCTAAACCAAATTGAATCATTTATCAACGGAAGTGCACAACTCGAAGGTTTTTCCCCTCCACTGAATCGACGAAAAGTAAGTTTACATCGTCGTTCTTGATTTCAAACGGATTTACAAGGCGATGGTGTCCAATCTCAGCCTCTTACTGGAGCAAATCCGCGATCTTCTCTTCCTCAACATTGATAGGTCTCTGGAACTTGTTGAAAGAGCCCTAGAGTGGGCCCAGACGAACGCTAGCGAGATTACTCCCTTTCACACCCATCTCTGCGTCCTTTCACTCAAGGTACATTACTCGCAAGCAACTCGATAAACATAGATGATTAAGGGCGGCCGGTGGAGCGTGATCCTTCCACATCTTAAACACAGCCTCTTTGAAATCAGCGAAGGTTTCTCGAAACCAGAATCATTCATTTTATTCTTCTACTACGGCGCTATCATATTCGGCGTGAACAGGCAATGGAAATCGATGGAACAGTACCTTATCAATGCGTTCGCCTGTCCGTTTAACCAACACAGCCACATCCTTATAGACGCTTTTAAAAAGTAACTGCAAAAGAATTCTCATCAACTAATGTCTTTCTAGGTACCTCCTTGTCGGATTAATTCTCAACCGAAAAGAAGACAAATTTGCCACTTACATGCACAAAACACGAGCCCAGAACTCTCTTTTCGCGGAAAAGCAGCCCAAGCCAATGCGAAAAAAAGACCGACGTCGACCTAGCCACCAGCCGGCAGACGTTCTCTGCGCTGAATCACTTGAACAAGCGAATCGAATCAATCGCATTTGGCCGTACAATTACTTCGTCAAAGAATGCAGAAAAGACAACGAGCGAGAAGTGATGCAAAAGATGAAAAACGTATTTGAAGCGGATGGGAATCTTGGATTAGCAGAAGTGGCAGTTCAGACGCTTCAAGAAAGACGAGTGAAGAACTTGGCTGGCTTTTATGTTACAATTCCGCTTTCGAAAATCTACGGATACATTAATCTAGAATCAAATGAACAAACGAAAAATCTTATAGGAAAGGTTCATTTCATAAACGAAAGAGCTGTCTTTTCAGAAAACGGCTCCTTGATACTCTTCCTTTATTTCACTGAATCAAAAAATGAACCGATCAAAAAGAGCGTATGATAAGGGAAAACGAGCTGAAAGCCCGGCTTGATGGCGAGAATATTCATTTCTTCGAGCGCGACAAGAAAGAAGAACAGAAAGAGATGTTCGCCCGAATCTCCGAAAACTCACCCGTCCTATTGGATTTGAAAGAACGGCTTGACTCGCTGATGAACGAAAAGGAGCTTGACCCGTCGTATATCCAGGCGAAGATGAGCTATCAAGAGAGGGAGAGTGACTCGACTGCGAAGCCCTACACCTCGCCTGCTTTCAAAGAAATACTGAAAAAGCACCAAGAGCAAAAAGAAAAGTTATGAAAGTTCAAACTTCTTCACCCTTCACTTGTTGAACCTGCCCTGATTACCTGTATTATTGTACAGATATAAATAAAGAACAGTAATTCAGACCAAAGCAACTATTTTCATTTTTCATTCCTTTCGCTTTCAATGAAAAACGATTTGTCTCATTTATTCGCATAAGCGTAAATCGGCATATAAAAAAGCATCATTTCCAGAGCAGTTTCTGTTTCGGCCTAACCAGTGAGTCTGAAATTCGCCCGGGGCGCTGTTCTTGTTTTCGCACCGCTGATTGGTCAGAACTGGCCTGAGCGCGTGAACATTTTTTCTTTTGTGTCAATTTTAGAAAGAGAAGAGATGGTCGTTCGACAGTTCTGGAAATCGGAAACCTGTCCAGTTTTGACTCTTTCGGAAGCGATAAAAATGAGTGACGATTAGGGCTCTAGAATTTTCGCTTTGTAAATATTTGCTCAAGAAGGATTTTCTTCTTGAATTTAGAATAAATCAAGAGTCCTTCGAAGACAGAGGCTGCAGTAATGTGCAGTGCAATCTCATCGCAGTCGTCGGAAACGTCACTGGTCCGAACCACAAAAACAAAACCGGATTCAAAGTCGAGTAAGTCAAAGTTAGATTTCTAACCCATTCATCTTCTTTCTCTAGCGTTGAGCTTTTCGACCGACTGCCAAATGGCGAGATCATCAAGGGCGCGATTAACTTCTGGTCGAACGTTGAAGATAAAGCTTGTTCCTGGCTGTCTCCAGCAGTCAAGGGTGGCGATATCGTTGTTCTCATTGGAGTGTCGGTGCAAATTATCGGCACGAGAATGGGCCCATTCGGCAAAATTCAATACTTCGGTAAGCAAGAAAGCCAGACCGTCAGAGAGACAATTACTAAATTAAGGTTCGAACAGACGACGACATGTGTTGGTCTACCCGATGGAGAATCTCATGACAAAAGATGCCACCGCTTTCAAGCTTGGCTCCGCGACGATCTTTGATCCCCATCATCCCGTTTTAAATTTCAGAAACTTTGCGAGAGAAGAAAAATTTGAGAGTGAGATTTCCAGCCGATTGGAGAAACTTGTGAAGACGCATGGAGAACAAATGAGATCAGCGAGGAAGAAATTCGTAGTCGGAATCGTGGAAGAAGTCATCTACAAAAAGGCAAGTTCACTTTTGGTATCAAGGAAAAGGAAACTCTATTTCTAGGATGAATTGAACGTTCCATGTCTTATCCGCATCAAGACGAAGGACTTGACCTCGAAAATCTTCAAAAAAGATGCACCGGAAACTATCAACCATTTCGAGCAAGAAATTTGGGCGGCGAAGATGCAAGAATCCCTCCGCAAACGAAACTGTCGAGTGGAAACTTCAGCTTCGAAGAAGACCAAGATGATAACTGGGCAAATCTTTTACGTGACTTTGTCGGATTTGGCAAAAGAAGCGATTCCAGCTCTGAAAGGTAACTTTTGGAGCGATCGAAGATTGATCAAGTTTTTTAAGAAAAGCTGAAGCCTGACAATTGCATCATCCTCAACCGCGATCGCATCGAGGCGATGGCTGGCGGAAACATGATCGAGTACAAGATGCGATGGGATAACTACTCCTTTCCGGAGGGAGCAATTCAAACAGCTGCCCTCAACGAAATTTCTTTCACTGCTGGTTAGATTTCCAGTCTTCCTGAAAAGCAAAATAGATAACTCCACAAATTTCACTGTCAAACATTTTCCTGCACTTATCATCACTGTCAAAAACTGTAATACACATTTTTAATGATAATTCAATGTTCCCCGAAGTTATTCTACGCTAAGAACTTTGAATTTGTAGCTTTTTGGAAGGCAATTATTTATGTATGCAATTGGTTTTTGTTCGCGAGAAAAAGCTGTAACCTTTAGCAGGATGTTTTGCATGTTCATTGAAGATCGTTTATTTTGGGACAAGAACTCAATTTCGATCATGCAAGCATTCGAAAGCAATTGATCAGAATTATTTATTCTCCGACAAATATAAGCAGCATCACTTCGATTGAAACCGTCGAATTGAACCTTATCTCAGTCTTTGATCATGAATTTTTTTATCTTTTTGAGCTTTGCAGTCACCGCCCAAGCTTTCACGGGTTAGTACTGATTGAATACAGAGATGGAGACTCCTATCCTTAACAAGCCCAAACGCTGTCATAAACAACTTATCCCCCTTTAGCGAGCAAAGAAGACGCTGAGCTGATGAGCTTTCTTGAGCAAATGGACGCTCAGATCAAAGAAGATTCCTTTGGATTTTTTCGATAACAAAAATATAAAAGATTGCTTCGATGATGTTTGATGAATAAAAAGAAACCAAAAACATGTTGAATTGTCAATAGCAACATACCTATATAAACGCTATTTGTAATAACATTTTTCTACATCTGTCTCGATCCAAATTGGCAGAGGAACTCGAGATTGATAGACACGTGTCCCAAAGGTTGAATTTGAATTCGTTGAACGACTCATTAGAGATATGCTTATGCAAATGACGATTCACGTTGAGCAACCGCAGAAGACATCGTTTGAGCATAATCTTCCGAACAGGGGTTGAATAAGTTCCATTAAGATTCACTTGTCAAGGTCATCTTTCTTTTTCTTTTGAAAACAAATCTTTTAGCTAAATAAAACTCATTTTTATTAAAGAAATTTGTAGGATTTGCAGAAGGTTTTTTTGTGAATCCAGAAGGGATCTTAGTGAAGCTGATGCCAATTCTGAGCGAGCATACAGCACGGCAGATACCAGTAGGTGCAGTAATCCCCGCAGAAGCTAACCTGCTGGATGTTGTATCGCTCACGAATCTGCCATCGCTGAGCCATAACGAAACAGAAACCAGCCTGAATACCGCACCAAAATCCCAAACACCAGTGATCGCAGTAGTTGTGTCCAAGCTTCTCGCCGATTTCTCCGAAAATGCAAGGAGTGCAGCTAATAATTACTCTCACCAAGAATCAATTGAGCTATTCTTACCACCAAGCATACCAGCACATCTTGTCACAGCAAAGGTCGCATACATTCGGGTACTTCCAGCTGCCTTTAGATTGCTCTTGAAGCACCATTGGAGCGGTTACAATTGGCGCGGCCATCATCGGTGTCACCATCGGTTGAACAATACTCATTCGTGGTTGCTTTTGACGGATTTTTTTATAGCTCATGTATAAGAGAAAACCCTAATTCTCAAAAATATTCCCGTTCCTCATGATAGCCATGCTGGAGGGCAACAGGTTGAGTTTGAATAACTGGTTGTTGCATCGGCGCTGGCGCGACTTGATTCACCTGCACCGGAGCTGAAGGTGGGGGAGCATAAGTTGGAGGTTCTTTCTCCAATTCTTCGGTTTTGCCAAGATCCATTTTTGAAAATTTCCTGTCTCTTGAGCGCGTTGAGATTTCAAACTGCGATTTTTTAGAGTCCCATGTCTGCCTGTAGCGTTAGACTAGCACAAGAGGCTATTCTTTTGAGGAATAAAGATGAAATAAAATTATATAGCAGAAAACGTAACTGTGGGAAACTCATTCCCGAGGAATTTTATAAGCTCAGTTCTTTTTGAGCATTCCAATCATTTTAAAATTTGATAACACAATTTTGAATTAGAGAGAAATTAAAATGATGAAACTCACAACTAACACCACCATATTATGCTCTTATAAAAGCGGAAGGGACCTTCTAAAGTTGAAAATGATAATTCGCTGTCAATTCTGCAACGTCATAAATTTGCATTTCTGATGGACGCTAAAAATCAGCGTTGAACTCTAAATTTATCCATTCGCGTAAATAATGGAGCAACTTGTGGCTCATCAATCAAGTTTGTTTACTCGCCATTGCAAAAGACTTAGTGGCGTTTTGGCATTAGGCCGTATTGATTGATCGCTCCGTAAAATCGGCAGAAAAATTAAAAAAAAAGAAAAACGCGCAAAAATCGGCGCACGCGAGCACCTTCTCAACCCTCTGCGCCGAGCGGAAGAAATTCCAAGATTTAAAAAAATATTAATTAAAAAAAAATAAGAATTTAAAAAAAGAAGGATGAAAAGTTCAATATTCTATTTACTTTATTTCGGACGCAACTTTGGGGATGGAAGACAGGTTAGAGACTACGACTTTGAAGATATTTCAGAGCAAGAAAAAGAGCAAGAACTGGAGGAGTTAGTTGATTCTTTTCAAATGAGGCTGAAATCTGCTGGAAATCCGCGAGAACAAATCATGAACAATATGCTAGGTAGGTTGAGGGGGACGAGACAATGACCCGAAGTTAGAGTTCCTAACCCTTCAATGTGTTTCATTTCTTAAATTAATAAAAATGATGGTATCATAATAGTAATAACTTATCCAAGCGTACTCATTACGAAGCAGGGGACTGCTCGAACTTGTTTCTGTGACAGATCTAACAAACTACGGCTGCTGGTGCACAAAAGTTCCCATTGATCGGCACGGTCCTCCTCTCGATGATATAGATCACGCTTGCCGTAGTAGACATTACTGCGAAAAGAAAGGGTTCTTGATTAAAAAACGTTTAAGATTTCAAGATTTTTTATGCGGTTTTCTGATGACAGGATTTCCTATAATTAGTTTCTAATTTTTCGCCTTTTGAATCTGACCAGTGCGTGACATTAGATTCCGCCTCTAATTCCTGTGACCCGGAAGCAACATATTCGGTAACAATCGACGCCAAAAACAAAACACTTAGTTGTGAGCACAAGGACAATGATCAACAATGCGCCAAGAAATTCTGCGAGGTGAGAAAAAATTAATTTCAATGGATAAGAAATGATTTATATTTAAAAAAGTGTGACTTGGATTACGTCAAAAATGTGGTCCAACACGTCGCTGATGAGAAATTTTATCCATTCTACTCGCGAAACGTTCTTGATTTTCAACGATTTTGCTCAAACAAGGAAAGAAACTTTTGGGGCGATTATGGGGACTACTCAGGGAATAAAGGAAAGTCTCAATTTTAGATGATTTCGTCAAACATTCTCTGATCTCTCGAGAACTCCTAAAGATAATTCAATCGTGGACGCGTTTTCTATGACCATCGGCAGAATGAAATCGCCGGAAACAACGCTAGAACAATGCTGCGGTGTCCATCCAAACCGATTTCCTTTCCAAGTGGCCGGAAATAGATCTTGTTGCGGTTCGAAGACATACGATCCAGAAGTGTTTGACTGCTGCCAAGACGAAATCAAAGCTATTGGAGAGTGCTGAGCTGCAAATCTGACTGTAAATAAAAGTATAATCAGTAATTTTTTGTTTATTTTTTGATCATTTGATAAGGTCATTTATTGTCATTTCCCCATGCGAAAATAGCTGCGAGGGTCAAATAGTCCAGGAAGAGGCATGAACGGTGTATAAAAAGAAAGAACTGATTAATTTTTTTTAAAGAGGTATCAAAGATATAAAACATGAAAACGGTGGCTAAAACAAAAGAACAGCAGCTAGAATAGTGACAATCGAGGCCATGAACTTCGATTCGCTGGAATTAACTTCTTCAACTGTAGGAGCTCCGTCGAGAAGGTCTGAATTTTCGGAAGCTTCTGTTGCGACTTCAGTGACCTTAATTGCCAGTGTTTTAATTTTTAGCGCTTGAGAATTCTATCTTACCGCTTGTTTAATGGCGGCCTCGTCGGTAGAGTCGGACTCTCCCTCGATGTCGATATCAGCTTCAATATCATCTCCAGCTTGTCTGCGCTTTCGTCCAGAGACGACGACCTGGCGGAAACTACGGACAACAACGTTCGTGATTGTCATTGTTCGAACACCTAAGAATATAATGGATCTTAATAAATTTAAGTCGTCTTACTTGCAACGGCAGTGGAGCTCATGTAAGCAGCCCTAACCACAGCAGCTTGTGCTTCGAATAGTGCAGATGAAGTATCAGCGAGATCAGCGGACCAGGCGACAGAGAGGACGACTTTTTGAACCACAGAGACAGTGAAGGAAGTTCTAACAGTGAGTTCAACATACTGCACAACAGTAACAGAGCTAATGGTGGTAAAGGTTGCCAAAGTCGCCGAGACCTAAGAAGTAAAAATCAACCTGAAGGAAATTGATTATTACCTCAGTGATAACAGTTTCGACGCTCTCTGTGCTAGTAATACTTATGACGACGGAACATGTTGTGCTGACGAGATCAGTGGTAGTGAAAGAAATGGTTTCAATAAAGACAGACTCGTATGAAACAAAGTATGTCTCCACAAGGGCAACTGCTTCAAGGTATTCTGCCGATCCAGTGATGAGGAGGTTGTTGGTGAAAGTAATCTCAGTAAGAACAAAGCTGATCGATAAAGCAACTCGGGGAACTTCAACTGAACTGGTTGCTTTCTTGTTTTCAATCAAAAAATATTGAATAGAATACAAATGAATACAACGATTAAAAATACGCAATACTTTCCATGATAAATGCAGCCATTCCTGTAGCAATTTCTGTGGCAGTTTCTGTAGACGTAGTGGGCGTCGTAGTTGTCGTTGTTGTCGTAGTAGTCGTTGTTGTCGTAGTTGTCGTAGTTGTCGTTGTTGTCGTTGTTGTCGTTGTTGTCGTTGTTGTTGTTGTTGTAGTGGTAGTAGTAGTGGTAGTAGTAGAAGTAGTAGTGGTTGTCGTAGTTGTCGTTGTAGTTGTAGTAGTAGTCGTAGTTGTGGTAGTTGTGGTAGTAGTCGTAGTTGTCGTGGTTGTTGTTGTCGTTGTAGTAGTCGTAGTTGTCATAGTTGTTGTTGTTGTCGTAATTGTTGTTGTTGTCGTTGTTGTCGTTGTTGTGGTAGTAGTCGTAGTAGTCGTAGTTGTTGTTGTAGTCGTAGTAGTCGTAGTTGTTGTTGTTGTCGTAGTTGTCGTTGTTGTCGTAGTAGTCGTAGTAGTCGTAGTTGTTGTTGTAGTCGTAGTAGTCGTAGTTGTTGTTGTAGTCGTAGTAGTCGTAGTTGTTGTTGTAGTCGTAGTAGTCGTAGTTGTTGTTGTTGTTGTCGTTGTCGTAGTAGTCGTTGTTGTCGTAGTAGTAGTAGTAGTCGTAGTTGTTGTTGTAGTCGTAGTAGTCGTAGTTGTTGTTGTAGTCGTAGTAGTGGTGGTAGTAGTAGTTGTGGTGGTGGTGGTGGTAGTTGTTGTCTAAGAGGGGATACCGACATTTAACAATAAAAGGGAGCTCCGGGTGAGTATTTAGAGATGAGAATTAATATGCGAGAGAATGACAGTGATAGAACGCGTTTCAGAGTGGGTATACGAAATCAAAGATTTGAGTAGAGTCAGTCAGAGTACAGCGATTGAGCATTATGGTTCCATCATGAGCATTATCATTATAACAACTGATTCAGTCGAGGTTCACCGTCGACAAAGATCAATTTATCCACAAAACATGCTTTTTAGAGCTTGGATTCCAAGCTAAGGAGCATAAGTTCACATTCATATAAGTTTTCAGATAAATTTCGGGACCCCTAGTCTCAATGTCGAGGATCTCAACTTCTACTTTGAGAGCTTCAATGAGGACATCAATTTCCATGTAAGATTCGAAAACAGCATCAACAGTGCAGATAACGACTCCATCACGCTCAGAGAAGATCAAAGTTGAGAACTCATAGCTGAATCCGCCAATAAGAACGAGAACAGCGTCTTGTTCAACAAGGTAGAGGGCAGATGTGGCGTCTTCAAGGTCCGCGCTCCATTGAATATCCAGAGTGAAAACAAGCTCCAAAGAGTAAGTTTGGAGTTCTAAAGCAGTGGCAGCAACAGTTAGACCAGTAAACTCAGTCTCGAGCTGGGCAATCAAAGCAGCTTCTTCAAAAGCCGTGTAGAACTCCAGCGAGAAAGAACAAGAGACCACACTTCCAGTTTGAATAAATTCAAAGGAAATTATCTTGAACTCGTATGAGCTAAATCCGGCAAGAGCGATCGCCTGCTGTTCGAGATACAAGGAGCTTTCCAAGTCCAACAAGGCGACGTCCCAGGTGATGTCAAGATCGAAAGAAAGGTCGAGCGCAAAGAAGCTGAATTCAACCTCGACTGCAGTGATTCCAAGTTCAAGTTCAAGAGCAGCATCAAGGTCAGCTGAAGAAAACGCGGACTGGAATTCAAAGACTGCGTTGACGCTGGCAAATCCGCCGGATTCGACAAACTCGAAAGCAATGACGGTGAATTTGAAGGCGGAGAATTGAAGCAAAAAGGCGTCATATTGTTGCACATAGAGGGCTGATCCGACAGTGAGGAGTTCCGCATTCCATGCGAAAGTAGTTGTCTGCGAGAAGCTCTTGGCGAAGACAGCGAGGACGGTTTCGGTGACGACGGCGCCAGGCACAGTTGCGACTACTTTTTCTGTGAGAGTTTCGACGCTCAAAGCAGTCTGGAACTCGAAGACGGTAAGGCACATAATACTTCCGTCGGCTTGAAGTTCGAAAACGAGAGAAACAATTTTGAAAGCGCCGAAAGAGGCAAAGTCGGCTTCTGCTTTCGCATATTGTTCCAAATAGTAGGCAGATGTGACGTCGAGGAGGCTTTCATTCCATTCGATGTCGACGACAATATCAACATTCAGAGTGACAGCGGTTTCGACGACGACAGTTACTTCAGAAGTCATCTTAAGCGCAAAGGACGAGACGTCAATAAGATGAAGTTCGAGGTAATCGTAGCCAAGGATGGTTTCGAAGTTGAGCTGGAAGGAGCACATAACAAGATCACCTTCCAAATAAAATTCCATAGACATAAACGAGAAACTGTAGTCGGCAAAAACGGCCAAAATCAGTTCCTATTAGCGAGTTAAAAGCAGGTACTAGAGTGTGAATAATTAGGCTAAGCAATTGAGGTCGTTTACGAGCCGGCAAATTAACCGTGCATCTTTACTGCTTATTCAACTCTCTCCTTTTTCTCGGTGTAAATTTCGGAGTCAACAACTAAAAGACTAGCATCCCATTCAAAAGTGCATTCGGCTTGGAACTCTACAGCAACAATTTCGACTTCTGGGACAAAGCACTCCCAGCAGAGGGAGAATGGAGAAGCAACACCCTTCTCTTCAACAGCAAGGGATACATCAAAGTCGTTGGTTTCGATGAAAGTGGCATTTTCCGACCACTCTTCAAGGGTCACGTTTCCAATAGTAATATTAGCTGAAAGATATATAATATATCATATATTATGTAACCTGTCAGACAAAAGTATAATTAAAAGCTTATTTAACGAGCCGCTGTCTATTTTTTGGACAAACTATATATTTTATTACTTCAAAGCCCAAGCGATACGCTTTTATCAAGTTTAGCTGCTTAGCTACTGTAGCTTACCGAATTCTGGGAAATCATCAGTGCTGTTGAAGGTAACGTCAACACCAAAGCTGCAGTTGGTCTTGACCATCCAGAAAGTGTTGTAAAGACCATCGTCGGCCAAGCAGCCTTCGGTCTGGAGCTCTTTGCAAGTGTAGTTAAACGCGAATCCGTCGTCGTTTTCACTGCTGTCCGAGGTAAACAAAACGGTGAAGTTAGCGCTCAAGTCGAGGGTGATGTTCTGCTCTCCGGTGTATTTCCAACTGATATTAGCGACATCATCTCGGATCAAAACAAAATCGTGGCCATCTTCGATTGCAAAAGAAGAGGATGTCAGTTCAACGGTGTCACAGGTAGTTGCGACGCACCATTCTACTTTGTGGTGGTCTGGGTATTCAGTCAATTCAATAAGTCCCTAATATATCATTAGTTTTGATCTCTTAGTCTTCGCTGTCTTTACTTTTGAAAAAAATATATATAATATCTCTCATATATAAGCATAGTTCTCTCTCCTCCAGATACACTTACTTCATCCTCTGTAAGTTCGTGATGAACTCCATTGGCAAGGATAGTACCGAGCAAAAACGAGAAAATCTGGGTCCTCATCTTCGTTGTCGATGAGAACTCGGCTATCTGAGGTCCTCAAGAAGCATCGCATGTTGAGAAGAGTACTTTACGACTAAGAAGGAATTTTTATGCACCCTCTCGCAATTAAACCATCGGCTTTTTTTGTAGAAAACGATCTTCATAAAAATGTTTGCGACGTCCTTTATGGTTCAAGTTTGAAAACTAACGAATCATCAATTCACGAATATACATTGTAGGTGTCCACCAGGGATGGAACTATTGCCGATAAAGTCGTCGATATTAATTCACGCATAAATATCTTAATGTATTCAAAATGTATGTACAGTTGATTTACAAATGAGTTAAATCGGCAATCAACACATAGGACGGGAGAGGTGAATTGCCGCTGGGAATGCTCGAGCTCCGTGTTTCACTTTTTGGGAGTTCAGAATATTTTTTAAAGAAAAGTATCGTCTATATAAAACAGACTATATACAAATAAACGTTCAATTCAAAAAAATATGAAATTTTTGAACTGTTTCCTGAAAGGGTTTCTGTCTGGTTATTTCTGTAAATTTGCACTGGCGAGAAAGTGAAGCCGTCTCCGACGATAAATATTCCTCCATTAGGAAGTGCAACAGATGCATGATGCGAGCGTGCACGCATCAATGGTGGCATCGTTGACCACTTTTCCGCATCTTTTCCTAGCATGTAAACCTGTGGCGACTGGCCCATCACTCCAAGGTCAGCGTTAGAGCCGCCGATCACGAAAATATCGCCGTTAACATCATGAGCAGAATGACTTGAAATTCTTTCTGGCAGAGACGGACCTGCTGTCCAAGCGCCATTCTACAGTTCACTCATCAAATAAGCTGTTTTTATCTAAGTCATCTTAACCTGATAGTGCTCGACTTTGTTATTTCTTCCTTCTTTTGGTGAAATGCCACCAAGAAGAGTGAGGCCTCGTTGATTATGAACCATGGCGGCGTACGAATGTGGGAAAAGCGTGTATCCTTCATCCTTCATATTGAAATCTTCGTCGTAGCTCTCGCAGCTGAAAGGATCGTCGCGTGAGCCGCATACCCAGATTCGATCGTCTCGTACTGCACAACTAAGATAACCAAATTTTTATAGAGAGTAAATTGGCCTTTGAGTACCTGTGAACACGATATCTCTTCTCCAAGCGGACTCGGACGGGGATTATGTCACAGCCACGAATTTCAAACACTTGGTTCATCGTGTTCCAACCACCAATCACGAAGATGCGGTTGTTGAAGGGAACCACACAATGAGCAGTCAGAGATAGAAAAAGGTCAAAATATTTTAAATATCTTTCTATTTTTGTATCTTTGTAACTATCTATTTATCTACTTGTAACGTGAAATGACCATTTTGACCCAAAACTGGCATTCGAACACGCGTGCCCAAATCGATCTCCTGTTCGAAGTCGTTCTCGTAGTCGATCAAAGAGACGTTAAGCTTGTGACCATTGCCGCCCAGAACCATAACTTTAATTATTTGCACTCAAAAGCTGTAATTATTATCGCGTTCATTTACCGCAGTTGCACTGTTCGCGCTCATAATAATCTCCCGGGCAGCCTGAGCCGTCGCACTCTCGGAATCGTTCTTTGATTCCGCAAGCCTAAAACATCGTTTCAAATTTTGAGCTTCTTTTGGAAAATACAAGTACCTTTTGTTCTTTCGTGTCCTCGTCAATGCAAGATGACCAGCTTGACCACTCAAGCCAGGATGAACAGGAATTTGTGTTGCATTCTTGAACTTGGATGTTATCTCCTGGTCCACAATCACCGTCACAAGATCGAGTTCTATGGTAAAATTAGATACAATAAACGACTCGTGAAGAAAAGTCCACCTTATCTGTCTTCCACCTTCGCACGAAGCATCACAAGTAGACCAGCTGCTCCAGTTTGTCCAGGTTGGTTTGCCCCAGCAAGTGAGTGGTCCAAGCGCGATTCTCAGTTGATTAGAACTAGCAATTTCCGTCGCACGAAGCGCTTTCATAGGAAGTGCTCTTTTGTTCGTGATGGTACCTTCGTCTTCTCCTTCGGAAACGGCATCGCAGTTGCACAAGAAGCCCCCAGAGCACGAGTTTGTCTCGCCCAAAGCACATTCGCACCCAGAACCAGAATCACCAGAAAAGTACTTGTTTAGCGAACCATCACTTCCATACCACGAAAGTCTGTCAGAGACGGAGGAGGAAGAGCATTTCATGAAAATCACCTGCTCACAGCTTCCAAAAGTTGTCTCAGATGGAGTCATTAAAATTTCTATATAAATTGCACTAAGAAAAATCAGGATTTCGATTAAAATTTAAGATATTTGGAGAATATTATTTTTGCATTTTTGATTCCTTGACTGAATAGAGTCGATTTCTCTGTCCGAAAAACCATATGTAACATTTTTAGGCAAACATGGACTATTGTCTTCTCCGCCACAAGTATCAGCGTTGATAACAAGCGGTTCAAATCCTGCTTCTGCAAATGGAAAGATGGTCTTCCCACTTGCAAAATCACAGTAGACACCAATAGTGTTCTCTGAGTTCTCAAGTCGAATCAGGTATTTGCCAGAATCATCTTCCGATAAACCTCTTGCTTGGAGCTCGTCGCAGCTCGTGGGCAACTGCCACATGACTTTAGCTATGTTCGTGAATTCCCTCTGCGGCATAAAGTCCATCTCTACTTCTGCAGCTGGAGCATTTGAAATCGAAGATCTAGCGAGGCCGAACACTTTTTCTAAGACAGGTCCGATCGTGTCTGAAAGCGATCGTGGTGGAGAAGACTTCTTCGTCGAGGAAATTTTTCGTTCCAAGAAGTTGTACTTGTTCTCCATTTGATTGATTGCATTCCTTTGAAGGGTGAGGATGGACTTTTGCTGCGCTCTGAACTGGTTGAACTCTTCTCTAACTCTTCGCATGTGACTATCGCGCGCTTGAAAAGCACTCTCAACGCCTTCCAAAGCGTTGTTATGCGTCGACAACTGGTCCATCATGATAAGGACGCCTTCTTCTAACTTTGCTACTCTCTCCGAGTTTTCTTCCATCAAACTTGTGTCAATAAACCTTGTCTGAACCTGTACAGGCGCTTCAGTAGTTGTAGTCGTCGTTGAACTCGTGGTAGTCGAGGTCGTTTCTTCAGTCGTTGTTTGCACCACCGCGACCTCCGTCGAAGCCATCTCTGTGAGCTCATCGACGGCTTCCTCTAATAATGCGACGCGCTCGGAGAGCTCTTGGTTTTCTTGAATAACTCTGTTTACGCGTCGTTTTATCAAAAGATTTTCTTCCATGATTTCACGAATCAGGTTTCCTACATCTTCCAGGCTTTCGAACTCTTCGAAATCTGAGATTGCATCGTCCTTCAAGATTATTATAAAGCACATAAATACTCTCACGGATAATATTTAAAAAGATATAAAATAATTCAAAAATAATCAAAATTAATAATTTTGCTAATACATATTAGATCACCTGTATTCTTCTATTTCTGTCCTTCCTATCTCTTTGCCCAGCTGTTCCGAGAATCAAATAAAAGAGCAAAAACAGTCGCATCTCTTAATCTTCTGCGTCTCTGCCTTTCTCTCGCAAGCTGGAAAATTTCCTCTTGCTCTTTTTAGAGAAAAATGTTAAGCTGCAATATGGGATAGAAATCACCATTCGGTCATCAACAAAAACGCGCACGGTGGCGCTACATCTCGTCGCGAGTTATCGCGACCCGTGGGCTCAAAAGCGAACACCATTTTTAACTGCTCTTTTACTGATTTCATAGTCTGACGTCTATGCTTTCACGAAAAAGAAAAATGCATTGAAGAAATATATCAATTTTGCTCTGTACTACTTATTTTGTACACAAGGCAATCACCACGTGATGTTTGTCTTCAATAAATTTTAAATATGAAAAAATACCTTCTTTTATGATCGTATGATTATTTATATACATTATAAGAATATAATATATAAATTATATAATATTATACGCGATCCTCAGGTTGAAATACATTCGAACAAGAATTATACATAGAATGGCTCGCTGCAACTTATACTTGTAACGATTGCACACCATTACCTCAAACAGTCTCAACTTCACTACAGTTGTAGTGTTGTTTATTTTTAGTTTTTTGCCGTAGACTTTTAGGGAGGAAAAATCTCAAAGGTGGCAAAAAGGAAGAAAAGGTCGAGTTAACTTGTGAGCAAATATTATTTCTTATTCTAATTATGATAAATATTGCGTGTTGCTTGCCTCTCGAAAACCACAGAAAGGCTCGGTGGAATAGAAGCTCGCTCCATTTTGCCACTTCCTCGGCGACCACATGAAATAAACTTTTGCCTAAATAACCTCTTACTCGTAAACCTAACGTTGTCTAACTATAACTCTAAATGCGAATTTAATACCATAAACTAAACAAAAAACGAATAAGCGGCCACAAAGATTTGTTAGTTTTTGAAAAGGAGATCGAGTTCAAACATCCGCTTTCTGTCTACTCCCGTCAAAGAATCCCCGCTTTTTTCATCAAGTCTTGATCTCTAAACATTTTCCTTAGGGGATGTGGGAATAAAAAATGAGGTTGAAAAGTACGGGATACATTTCCAGCGCTGCGGGTGATCTACTTTTGACAGGTTTGCTATTTTGCTCTGACCACAAAATAGTCTCGTCGCAAATCTGCTAATGAAGTAATGTGTCCATCATCCAACCGAATTAGAGCTTAACCTTAGACTCCAACTCATGTTTTAGTTTAGATGGTTTTTGGGGGGTCTTTTTTCGAGAAAATCAAGTTTAGATTTTCAATTTCTTCTCAATAATGACTAGAGCACTGAAAGCATCTGTTTCCGTATCATACTATTTAAAAACTAATATTCAACAAAGATTTTATACTTAAAATCGACAGTCACGGTCAGTGTCGCGATTTGATAAGTGCGTGACTTATCTATTGAGGAACTATGCGTTTGGCCTTTTGAACGGTTGTACCGCCCTTCATGGCCAACATTTTAATATTTTCGGTGGCGAAATCTGCACAAGGATTAGCCGCTTCCCAACTGAAAGCGTTGACGTAAGCGTGACCGCTCTTTAGAGGTTAAACCCTGGTCAACAAATCAAAAAAGAAAGTAAACTGACAACTGGGAGACCGATTCGCGCAACCCGCAAATATCAACGGAAATGAAAATTGAACAGTTTGGAGCGGAAACTTTCTCAGACTAGACCTATCCTTTCAGACATGCTCATTTCTCGCATATTGCCAAACTATTTTAATTTGTGGTAGTTTTTATTACAGACAGTGTGTATTTTTCTAAGCAGAGGAAACTTTTCAACAGAAATTTTCAAGTTTGCTTTTCTTCGTTTTCAAATTGTAAGTGGGCGTTTTAGTCAAAGCCGTTCATGTCGGTGTCGACGAGGACTCGGTTGCCGTTGCTATCAGTGCGATAGGTGCGGTAGACGTTCTGGACAACGGGTTGGACAGTTTGAGGCTCACATGGGACGCGTGGCTGGTTCATCATCATGTAGAAAATGAGGTTGTCGTTGGAGGACTCGTTGGAGATCAAAAATAAAGGCAGGATTTGATCGGTCGTGAACGTCGTTCCTGGCGCCTGTGACTGCATCGCCATCATGATGATCAGCAAGTCTCTGTCCATAAAGGAGTTGTCGCTGCTGCTGGTGGAAGTAGTGGAGGAGTCATCGTTGAAATTGTCGAGGAGGAGGAGAGGCAAGAGCATGTTAAAGTTGTTGTCGAATGCTTGCGCGCTATCGAGACCGCCGGTCATTGTGTTGAGCAGCACCATCATCATGATCATTTCGCTGTCATCATCTCCAGTGCTGTCGTCGTCGATGAGGAGCATGAGTGGGAGAACAGCGTCCATTTGCACAGAGGCCCGTCCCATTGTCTGGAACATGAGGAGCATGAGAAGATTCTGCTTGCGCGATTTAGCACTGCCGCTGTCGTTGAGCATCAAAAGCGGCAGCATCGTTTGCAACTGGTTGTTCGTGTTGATTGTGCAGGTCTTTTGGACCATCGAGGTGTAGAGGAAGAGAGTAGTCATATCGAGCGCGGTGCCATTGGTGTTACTGTCGTCGTCAAGGAGCAAAAGTGGAAGGATGGAAGTGCTGTCCGCCAAGTTGCCTCCTTGCATCATCATCAACATCAGCATTTCCGAGTTTTGAAGGGAAGTGTTGTCGTTGAGAAGCAAAATGGGAAGCAGTTGGTTCATCTGCGTCTGTTGCTGCGGATTGTTTGCCTGGTTGGCGATCATGATTGCCAGAAGATTCTCATCGAGCGCAGTCGCTAAGGCGAAAAAAGCGCTAAAAACTTTCATTCTTTTTGCTGATTTTTGGTGTTTTTCTCTCTAAGCTCAAGTCTTATTGAAAATGAGATGAGGAGAAACAGTGTCAAGTGGGTTTTATATGAAGGGATTCTAGTGCTGCCATGTAGTGGCCGTAGCTATCCGGCTGGAAAGTTTTAACTAGATGTTTTGGGAGACTTTGAAAATTCGATTATCCTAAGAAAACAAATATCGGTTTTGATATGGGCTGTTGAGCAGACGGCTTCAGTTCCAAGGAAGATGCTTATTTTCGTTTGTTGCAAAACAGGTTTCGTGAACCAAACTATCCATGCATGAAATCAAGTGTTCACCCGAATTTGCGAATTTAGAAATTCTCATGGATATACTTTACCTAGCTTGGTATCGGTAGGAAAAATGATGCTTCCAACTGACCTAAATTTCAGTTGTTTGAAAAGAAAAGCACGTGGCCACTTTTTTGATAGAGTACTTTTGATGGAGTGTGCGCCTAATTCGGTTGTTATCAGCACGAGTCTAACCAGACCTCGAAACAGAGCTAGGCACTCTTTCACTTTCAGATCCTTTTTGACCGAGTTAGAGCCATCTTCTAGGGATGGATTTAAATCTCGCTGAATCTGGCCAGAACATTAGAGGTGATATTTCACAAAATAACTTTTCAGTAACGAAGTAAATTAGAGAATGGATGCGATTACTATTCGGAAAATGCAGAGTCCTGGCAACTGTCTGGAAGAACTCTCCCGCCAATTTTGAGCTTTTCAAACATGCTTCGTGAAAACGAGCTTGAAAATACCAACCAGGTAACTTTTGAAAAGAACAGCTCCCACGATGGGAATACTAGAATTACATTTCCATCTTCAAAAAAGAAAAACTAATTTAGTCAAAATTAACTTTTGCCAATGAAAAATTTCAGATAAGCTGTCAAAGCCAGATCCAGTACCAGTACAGTATTCCAAATTGCGGCTACCAGCCCCACTGGAATGGTGAGCCGTACCATGCACCTGATGAACAGATGATCGAACTTGTACCAGTGGTGGACGACGGCGTTTTGCATCAAATGATTCAAATGGAGCGCACTCAAGTCAACAAGAGCAAACGAAGCAAGGAACGAAGAACCGCTTCTATTAACTCTGGTAACTTTTCGGAGATAATAAATGTTTAACCAAAGCATTGTAGCTTACAATATTCTCAGAAGCCACATTCCGAACGTCCCTGCCGAAACAAAGCTGTCCAAAATCAAGACCTTGCGCTACGCTGCGAGTTACATCAAGTACCTCATGGACATTTTAAAAAACGACGATGCAGAGCCAGCTGAATTCTCGCCTTCCGACTGACCCAAATATAAAATCCAAATAAAGTAAACATTTACAAAAGCTTCTTCATTCAATTGCGCGAAATCATGGAAGAGAACTTCGTTTTTGAAGAGTTTCTAAAAGAAAACTCAATCAGGTGTTTTTGAGTTTGTGGGTGTTTTCAAAAAATCAAGAGCATACGAATCACATGATTGAATCTCTAGAACATGTGATCCCATCTTGTGTTTTTCACTTTTTTGTCATTAGTCTCCAACGCCAGTTAGGGGAAAGGAGGGTCCGAAAGCGCAAGAATTACAGGTAATTTTCGCGATTTTTTAACAAACAAGGTTTTAACTGTATTTTCTTTTCAGATCATGGAGCTGCCTAATGATCAGCAAGAAATCGAGCTCCAAAGAGGAACCCAAAAGGGGCTCGGGTTCAATATAAGTGGCCATCACGCCATCACCCGCCTCTTGACTCCAAATCGGAGATACCGACACGGAGAAACCAAACCAGAACTCAAATTTTCTGTCAATACCTGAATAAAATCAATTTCTCATTCATTACTTTTTTGGAAGGTTCTAAAGAATTTTTCTCAGATTCGAAAGACCTTCCAAAATCTTGTTGTTTCTTTCTTCGATAACTTACAGTAGAATATTCTGAGTGAGTTATTCTTTCTGAGGGAGTAACTGCCTGTAGTCTGTCGGCAATAGAGGTTGAAGCTTTATCCTTTTTGAGCAGCGCGCGGCGTGGGAGATTTTTGTCCAATCGGCGGCCGTCTTTCTTCAATCCAGAAACTCTCCACTTCTACGTCGACTCCCTCTTCCCAGGTACAATCCCACTCAGCCTGCAACTGCCTGTAATTGCCATTCATTTCTCCTAAACTTAACAAATAGAGAAGGCTGATTCACGCTTCCATCCAAATCAACTTCTATTCAATAATAATTAAACAGAGTCGTCAATTATAGAATATCAATTTTCGGTTGAATTCAATGATTTATCCGCCTTTTCATAAAGTAATCGCTCTTCAAATTAAGAATTTTTCAATAATTACAGAAAGATTCAAGAAGCATCCAGTAATATTCGATTTTCAGGGAGAATTAATCCTCATTCGGGAGTTTTTCTGACGATTTCGACTATTTCTTTCTTTCTTACTTGATTTCGACTTGAAAAACAACCCTTTCTCACCCCCATTTTCTTTATTTCCAACGTCTACTTTTCAGGATCGACCAAAGAAACAAAGAAAAAGAAAATGTTCACGCATCCAAGAATATCCACGTCTCCACATCCGCCAGATTCATACCCCAGAGGCTCCCTAAGGTGCAGTCCTTCTTCAGAGTTAATTCTGTAACTTTTGAATTCAGAATCGACGATTCCTTCTCGCCAAACTTCCCTGCGTGGGATAATCAGCCACGCAACCCGCCCAACGTAAGTTTCTTTCGACTTTTGTATTTTTCTCTAGAGCGCGGCGGAGAGACTGCTTGTTTTTCTCCCAGCCGCATTCTCTCTCTCTCTCCCGCACGCGCAAAGAAAAAGAGATAGAAGTACTAACATGGTTATCCAGTTTCTGTCGATGTCGGAGTCGGACTTTCCGGCGCTGGGGCAACGCAAGGCCGACACTTTTGCGCCCATGTCACGTGCGCCTAATAGCCCTAGCCAGCCAAGCAGACCTCACTCCATGTCCGACCACAACCAGGGCCCTGGCGTCTTAGAAGTAAGTCTTTAAATCATTTGTGGAAACACAACTGTAGAATTCTAGGCCTAGATTATCCCCTAAAGCTTTAGTTTCGCCGTTTAGTCAGAAATAGAAGCAAGTTTTGAATCGCATAAAATATCATAGTTTCCGCTGGAATCGCCCTTCCCGCCGCAACTGAACCTCCCCACGCATCGCGCCTATGTCGGCTCGTTGTCGACGAAGAACGACGAGCGGCCGAGCGAGTTCCAGCTTGACAAGAACGATTTCCCAACGCTCGACCGAGGTAACTCAAGAACCCCACAAGACTCAAGACCACACTCTATTCAAGGCGCGCCCGCCGCCGACATCAGAACCAAACTTCCGGGCAGCTCCGCTCTGGATGATGATTCCAACAGGTAAAAGACGCAAGAGCGGTTTAAATTTTGGCAAGCAAGCCACAAAGTTCTCCAAGAGGGAGATCTTCAAGATGTAAAATCTTATGTTTTAGAGGCACATTTGAAACGACTCCCTTCGACAGCCGGATGCCAGGACTCGTCCCCGGCCTGTCCATCGAAAAAGACACTAAAGCTGATGAAAGATATCGAAATCGTTAGTGCCAACTTACCTTATCTCAATTTAATTGATGTTTAGTTGTGAATCAACGGCCCGCTGTCAATTCAGGAACGTCGATACAATACGATCCCAATACTCAAACCTTGAGTAACGTCCCCAGTTCCATGCTCGCCGATAAACACTCCTTCCTGGGTTGTACAAAGATTTTAAGAGAAGTGTTAGGAGATAAGCAACAAGCAAGAAGTTTACAAGCATTTGACCTCGATAAGGAACGGATACGAATAGTAACTACTAGATTCCACCTTCTTCTCAATTCTCAAATGCTCAGTTTTCGTTCGTCAAGAAATTCTTTGTATCCGAATTCGAGAATCTAACAGATATGGGATTAGCCTTTGTGAAAGGTAACTCGAATCGTCTGATTTACCGCTTCCAGTCGCCCTTCGCGGAGATGCCCTGCCGTGTCCAGGATATCGACATGTTCGTGCCCAACGAGTACTTAACGAACATCCACATACGCGAAAAACTCGCCGATATCAAGGTACTACTCTCTCAAAACAGCTGTACTCAAAACAGAGCAGCTTCAGACAGACAAGTACAGCGAGGAGCTTCTGTTTTGGATATTCTACTCGAACCCCAACGACCACATGCAAATGATGGCCGCCCACGAGTTGTACAAAAGATTATGGAAATATCACATCGAAGAGAAGATTTGGCTCACCCGTCCCCGCAACATTGATGTAAGTTGATACAATACTGTATTGCTTAAGTCTTCGGGTTAGCAAATGACAGCGGAGCTCCCTTTTTAGAGTAGGTCAATGCTAGAGCCTCTAGGGTAAAGTTCTAGGGAAAGTATGCCCCTAAAGTTACCATGGATAACCGATAATAACAGCTTTGACAGTTGCTTTACTCTATATATTCAGGCGCGAGTGAAGAATCAGACGTACGAAGAAGGGACCTTCATGGTCTGGGACACTGAAAACTGGAAGAAAGTAGCTAGAGACTTGAAAGTCGAGTACTCGAAACTGCACCCGTCCGAATACCCCCCTGTAAGTGCCCATTAGACCGATCATCCTCTGACTGTATTTCTTTGTTTTACAGGCACAGCACAGACCAACGTACGCCGAGCCGTCCTTAGGCTCCATCGCCAGGCCACTTTGACGAGGATCACTTTTGAATATTTTTCAATTCTTCTAAAAGTATTGCTACTAAACAAGCCGTTTTTTCGTCAAAACAAAAAAACAAATAATGTTGTTCCTGTGCAAATGCAACCCTTTCTTCTACGCGACTTTTCACCTGTAGCCTCTTAAAACTGGCTACTTCCAGTTCTTTTTGTTTAAATCGTAACAAACTCAAAAGTTGTTTCTCTTTTGGCCATTTCTCTAAGTTCAAGAAAAAACGCTCATCCTCCCTACAGAGTGAGCATGTACCTAAAAAGTAACAAGCCGAGCAGCAGAAAGAAGTCTAGAGTCTCACAAAAAATTTAAATTCCTCTTTTCTCATCATTTGGAACGAACGATCATGATTCATGACGCTCTAGAACTCTTTCTGCTCGGCTGTTTCACTGACCACTGTGCCCTAAGTATAACAACTAGAAGCCCTCTTTCCTCCAAATTATTCCAAATTTCGGTAAATTTTTATCTTTTACCCTGGATTTTACAATTTGCATTCGATTCTCGTCGCCTAATTTAAGTAACAACAATGTTTTTTTATAAAAAAACTCCCTTCAATTAAAAATAAGAACCGAAAATTTAATACTACAAAAAATATACACACACACTTACACTTGAATAGCTGTCTCATCAACTCTCAACCCTAGAAAGACAACAAACAAACAAAAAAAGACGCCCACTCGTTTTTCTTCGGTGTGTTTTTTTATCAACTGCCAAGCAACTGCCGCTTTCCTTCTTTCTCGTATTTGAAATTTCTGAAAATGTGCGCTTCCGTGCGAGATTTTGCTAGATTTTTCTAACCGGCGCGCAGACAAGAGCTTCAGTCACTCTCTCTGTAGTAGAGCTGGTCCCTTAATTCTGCCAGAGCTTTGCAAGAGTCGCCACCTTTTTTGACTTCAATACATCATGAAAACATATTCCATCACGATCTTGAAAGGGTTAAATGATTGTTAAAACATGACGCAGTTCAAGTTGAAAGTCTCCACTAAATCTTATCAATTTTTCGAATTCTAAATTAATTAAAAATATTTAAAAACTGGAGCTACTTTCGTGCTCCAAATTTGAACTATGAGCTAAGTTAAACTTATCCTTTTATTTCAATTCTAAAATTCGAGCTCTTCAATACTTTGATGGAAATTTGGTTCTCTGAAATTACGATCCGCACGTTACGACTGAAAATTCTTACAAAAAATACTTTTTACAAAACAAAAAAATAACTGGACAGAGTGTTCCGGCACTCGTGACAATCCGTGTTTTATTCTTCTGTTATTTGCATTTTTGTTGTTCTATTCGTAAAATGATAAAAAAGACGAACTTCAACATATATCACAAAACAGCCAAATAAATTCAACATACAAATTCAGCAAGATGAGATCGCTAAGATTATGTCGTTTATGCGTTAACAAACTACCGGAACTAGAAAAGGAAAGCATCACAAAAATTATATCATCAGATCAGAATGTGGCCATTGCAACCACCGAAGGAAGGTGTAAGTCATAAGTTCCGGTTGTGGAAGATTGTTATTAGCCAGAGCTCTGATAATGCTTTAGTATTTATGTCTGACAATGGCGGGGCAGAATTCGAAGAAATACCCACAGGAGATCCCAGTGGCATTGTAGACATCCACTTTTTGTTCGACGGGTCGCTTTGGGTAGCGAATGAAATGGGCCAAGTGTTCACAGTGAACGGCGTGGATAGACGATTCGAGGAGATCGGTTTTCAAGAGACGGGCATCAGTGCAGCCAGATGGTCACCAGATGGCGAGTTGTTGGTCATTATTAGTCTTCCTTTGGAGAATGAAGACGCGCTGCAAGTACTGACAGCAGACTTTGAGCCAATTGCCGTACAAGCAGCAGTTACTACTCAGCCAGGGGAGCAGGTCATGGTTAATGTTGGCTGGGGCTCGCGCTCGACCCAGTTCATGGGACAAGCGGGGAAGGAATCGCGCGAAATTGAGCTGAAAGCAGCGACAAAGCTGAGCGACCGAGACAATCTTCAAATCGGGTTGTGCTGGCGAGGCGATGCTGAGCTCTTCTGTACATCCGTTCCTTGTTCTTCCGGGCGCCGCACGCGAATCTACAACCGGGAAGGCGTCCATCTTTCTACCACGGATTCGCCTTCGATATTCCTCGGTCCGATTTCCTGGCGCGCATCTAGCTTGCTTTCTACAGTTGCCGAGTCTATATCCGGACAACTGATCGTCGCGCAAATCGAACGAAACGGACTTGAGCATGGCCAAATCGACTTAATCCTCCAAGATCAACCAGTCACGAAAATCGCTTGGAACGCATCAGGCGTCCTCCTTCTCGTCCAGTACTCTGATTACTTCGAGCTGTGGCGTCAAGAAAATTACCACTGGTATCGACAAGTTCTTCAAAAAATCAATAACGATGGTACAACTTTCATCTTCTGGGATGACTGCGATGCCAATATTCTGCATGTATCTTCCGGTGGAATTCTCAGCAAATATCACATCGAAGCATTCGTTAACGTTTACCAAAGCTCCAAAATACTCGTTGCTGATGGAAAATTTAACAATTTCACAGATTACGAAAAAGCGATCATCCCCCCGCCAATGTTTCAGTCTCAGTTTGACTCGTTACGTTCAAAACCCGCCGTAGTTACAGAAGATGGAGCGCTTATCGTGACGGATAAAGCGATCGTTAATGCACAAGATCAGTCTACTGTGATGGAAGGGGAGTTTTCTGATGTGAACCAGATATTCGCTCTAGGAAAGAAGGCTGTTTTCTTGGTTCATGATACATTGGAGGGAAGTGAACTTGAATACGTTACGCCGGAGACGTCCATCAGGGAGAAGACCTTAATTCAGCCATGTTGGATCACTCATTTCGCTCGAGTCAACGACAATACATTTTTTGTCTCCATGCTCAATCAAGAAGGAGACTACGAGCTAGTCAAAGTTCAAGTAGAAAAGGGAGGACTGCATTACACTCCTTTGGATATAACTCCTTCCACTCATATGTATCGAAGTCTTTTTTGTTCCCAAGGAGAGCCAGTTTATATCTGCAAGAATCAACCATATTTTGGCTGTGATAAACTTCCACTGAAGAACGGAGAAACAGTTTTGTCCCTAGCAGCGAACGACGAGTTTATCGCGGCAACGACGACGTGCCACGAGCTCTTGATCTGGGATCTTTCAAAAGCCGGTCAAGCAAAAGGAGCCGCTGGAATCCAAAGCTGGCAGCCTGTGCGCCGTGGATGCGAGCGTGGAGCTAGTATCGTCACCCTCTTCGGCACCAAGGTCGTCTTGCAAATGCCAAGAGGGAATATTGAAACCGTCGAGCCAAGAGCGATGCTTTTCAAGCAATTAGGATCACTTTTGGATAATGAAAAGGTTGAATGGAAACAGCTATTCAAGATGTGCAGAAGGCAACGAGTCAATCTTAACCTCCTCGTTGATCATTCAGGTGATTTTTCAACTTGTGTTCATTTTTCGATCGATTTTCTAAGGATACAAGAAGTTCCCAGCAAGCGAATTCTTCATCGAGTTACTTCCTAAGACAGCTGGAAAAAATGAAGTCGATGCGTTCCTCAATTTCATTTACGAACTAAGCGAGCAGAACTGCACCCATCCCGGAGGCCTGTACCACGAAATTTATAGAGAGCGTTCAGAAAGGTCGCCAAAGGAGGCTGAAAAAGTTAAGCTCATTTGCAACACAATCGCCGAAAAAGCACGAGAAGATGGAGAAAGACTTTCGCTCTTTTTGAAGATCTATCTGCATTGTCGATTGAAGGTGGTGGGAATGGAGAAGACCTTGGTAGCAATGGCAGAGCTTCGGCAGCAGAAACAGGTCCCAGTGGAGAAGCTATCGGAAGGAATCAAGTTCTTAGCAATCATGCAACAAGGTTATTTTCCATTTGATAAACGCTTTCACTTACTTTACGACTAAGGTGACCATGATTTGTATCATTTCTCGCTGAAGACATTCGACCTTGAGCTGGCGCTAATTGCCGCCCAAGCGATAGAACTCGACCCGAAAGAGTATCTGGCCAATCTCAATAAATTAGACAAGCTTGAAGCCAATTTCCGCAAATATGTGATCCTCGATCAATTAGAATGCTACTCCGAAGCGCTCCTTCAATTAATCCACTTGCACAACTTAAAAGATGATGTCGAGCGAAATATTCCCACGGTAGAAGACTACGTCAATAAGCATAATTTGTTCAACTTCGTTATTCGCCTCCCAAATCTATCAAAACAATTCAAAAAAGACGTCTGTCGAGCATGGGCCGACAAAATGAAGGATAGCAGTCATGATTTGCAGGCAGCAATTCTGTATAAACAGAGCGGAGATGAGGCTCTAAGGAAATGGTGAAGCACGACGACTAGGTAATTTTCGGGATCAGGCTTGAGGATTTTAACTTCTTGCTCTTCTTAGAAAGTCTTAGGGCCTAAGTTCTTAGGCTACGATATCATCCAATTAACAGAAGCAAAAATATCTGAAATGCTAAATAATTCCGAAAGTCCGTCTTCACCAGAATTAAAGTTCAACTCTTTTCTCGAAGCGCCAGCGATGGCGTTTAGCTTCTGACCAGAAGGCGCTACGAAGCGATTTCGACGAGCGTCTGGCCTCCATCCCGACGCAAGACGCGGGCCATGCCTCCTGGGGAGTCAACAGAGACCCCGAAGAGTCCGTCCGTTTGTTTGTTGAAGCAAACCAGTTTGAGGTGAGTGTCATCGCTTTTCGCACTTTGAATTGTGTGTGATGTCAAATTTGACGACTAAAAAGCTGATAAACTCAAGTTCTTTATTCAAGAACGCGCTGATGGTCTGCAACTCGACTGGCCGCGCCGACTTGTTACAAACAGACATACAGCCAGCTGTCAAATCCCACGCTCTGTCGATTCTAGAGCAGTTGAAAGAAATTGTCAAGGCTTGGTCAGAGAGACTTTTGAGGTTAGAAGAATGCAAAGCGAATCAACTCAGGAAAATTCAAATAATGAACGAGGGTTACGACGAGGACCAGGTAAAAGAACCATCTTCTTTTACTGTCGGTAAAAAACAAAATAAGGGAGACTTCGATGATTTGGTTTCGGACTTGGGAAGTGTTCGGACAGGCAGCTCTAGGGTGTCCCGAAGTTCAAGGTCGACGGCAAAGAGTGCCAAATCGAGGAGAAAGAATGAAAGAAAAAAGTTTTCGACAAGAAAGGGATCGCCAACGGAGCATTTGGGCTTGCTAGAAGAGGCCAAGTGAGTAGAAACTACCGAATCTGCCTTTTTCATTAAAAAACGAAACGAAGTTCAATATCCCTTCATCTTTAGATCATCTGTTGGCAAGTTTCAAAAGATCGTCGATGAGTTGGGAAGCTTTTTCGTTGTGCTTGGTTACTGTGGAGAATTTATCCTCGGAGCAGAAATTCAAGATCTCGTGAAGAGATTTATCAATGATTTGGAGCATGAGATCCACAAGATTTGGTACATTTTCTTCTAACGCATTGATTGTTGAAATGTTCTTTTATCTAGGCCTCGGGACGATGAAGGTTTGGTGCTGTTGGAGAACTTCCAAAAAGAAGGCACTTTGAGGGATTTGAGAGACTTGAGCGTTCTCGCTCCGCCGGAGATTCCAAAGCGATTCCATAACTTTTCCATTTTTGACTGAGAATCACTTTTCCGGCGTTAAATTATATTTTCTCATCGTTTATCTCTTATAGAATATAGAATGTCGAAAGGAACGAAAAGAGGTTGTCTATTCTGTGGAATTATTGCGGGAACAGAGCCCGGAAGAATACGAGCAAGCCGGGAGTTGTATACAGTTATCGACGATCTTTGTATGTACCGAGTGAATGCTTGAAATAAAAATGTTTTCGGTAGATCCAGATCACAATCACACACTCGCCCTGCCCAACAAGCACATCGAGAACGCCTCGATTTTGACGAAAGAACACATTCCACTTCTTCTTGAGATGGCGGAAGCGTCGCTTGATGTCCTCCGAGCCACGTACGGGACCGCTCTCGATGAATCCCAAGTCGTCATGGGTTACCACTGGCCACCCTTTAACTCCCAGTCCCACTTGCATCTCCACTTGCTTTATCCTTACAGCGAATTTTCTTTTCTTTACAAACTGCGCTTCCTACCTCGCTCTCCTTGGTTCATTAGACATTCAGATCTGATATCCCGTCTTCAAAAAAGCTAGCAATCAAAAATTTCGAGAAAAGAATCAACTTTACCCTAACCGAAAAACAAAATATCCTTTATTCTTCACAGTAAGGGTTAATTAATTAACCCGTGCGCGCATATCAATCAAAAGTTGATAATTGTGCGCGCATGGGTTAAAATAAAAATGAGCCTATTTTTACAGAATAACCCTATCGTTAAAAACAAGCCCTAGAATCTATCTATCTTTCAACTGTACTATACGTCTCTTTTGGTTACCGGATCATCTTTCTGTAAAAAAAACAGCATGAGCGTCAGATTTGACGCTCGAGTGATTTGAGAATTGTTTCCGCTCAATTTAAAATCGACTTCTTCAGATGAGAAATGATAGCGGCTTGAAGCTACGTGAAACTGCAGACGATTTGATTTTGGATATTCAGTTCGACCATTATGGCACTTCTTATGCCACTGCCTCCGCCGACCACTACCTCAGAGTAAGAAGCCAGCACTAAACCTTATCTTCCCAAAGCCTGAGGGTTCTGTAGTGTAGAGAAGGATGCTTCAATTTTTCCAAGCATAAGGCGGTTTCCAATGGCCATAAGCCCTTTTGTTTGCCCGGGCAATAACTTATCAGAATGACTATTTGAATTGTTTGAGCATTATAACTGAGTCATTTCCCGTCATTATGGCGGTTTTTAGCATCTTTGGGAGCTTTTTTGGCCGCGGGCCACGGCGAATTTCGTGGCCACGCCAATCAGACGAACCTCTCAGCCTATTTTTCCTCTGACTCTTCCTCTAATTTTGACATTGCACTTATTGAAATAGTGACTCACTCGCCCGAGATCTACTCATGCAAAGATTGCCTTACCTTTTACTCCTACATCGGCCCGGGCTAGACGCGTCAGAGAGCTCCCTTTCCGACTAACAGACAAGACGTTTAATTATGCAAAAAGAATAGGAAGAACTAGAGGTTGAGAACAAGGAAAAATGAATACTTGAGTTCGTTTCTTCAAGGCATAAAACACACTAACGATTTGATTCGATTCTGTCACTTTTCTGGTAAATTTCTCCCTCAGAAGACGTTCTATAGAACTTAATCTGACTTAATTTCAAAAAGAAATATGCTACTTTTATGTTCTTTATCGAACAGTTCCTCCATCAGCATTTGTTTCAGATCTACAAGAAAGACCAAAATGGCCAGTACGTCTTTACCGCGGGTTGGATGGCCCATTCAGCAGCGATCTGGCACCTCGATTGGGCCCATCCCCGCCACGGCACCGTCCTAGCAAGTTGCTCCTTCGACAAGCAAGTGAAATTCTGGCTGCCCCCTGCAATGATCCGAAGCGCTTCTGGTAATTCCATTTTATTGACGCTGACATTCAATTTTCCGCTCTTGAAGAAGCAAAGAAGTCAACGGATTGGGTTTGCTTTGACTCGCACGGGGTTGATAAGCGAGGCTCGGTCACAGACGTTCGTTTCTCGCCAGAGTGGTTCATGGCCGATCACGGAGAGCCGAATCCCAAAAGCGGATCCAAAGTCTACGTCGCTTGCTGCACTTCTGACGGACAGGTTAGATAAGAAGAGAATCCCTACTCCGTAAAATCATCAATTTGAGACTTTCCCTTGCTCCCCCTTTTAGTAAGAGAAAAAAGATTCATCCGGGCTGAAAATGACTAATTAATTTATATTTGCTTCTCATCTAAAATCATTTTTAATGACGGCACGGGGCGCGAAATAATCGCAATGAACAATGAGCTTTTTCTCTCTTCAGTGAAGCTGTTTCTTTAGTGACTCAGCCACGGAACAGACAACTCTTATTCACCACTGGCTTCCTCTTTTATTCCTTCTGTTTCTTAAGCTTTTCTGTTTAGGCAAAAGTTTATTACGCTGAGAGCCCTGTGAACAAAAGGACCCAGTTCAAGGAGCTGCGCCCGTACATTATTATCAATAGCAACAACAGCAGCTTTCGATGCACCAGCCTCGACTGGAGCAGGGTAATTATCCCAACTCATAAATTTTTACTTGCTCCCGCTTCATGCGAAATCAAAGAAAGAGAAAGAGAGAAACTCCTCTTCTAGTTACGCAGGAAGTCGCAGTTGATTGCCATCGGTGCCGAAGTCAACGAAAAGAGCACACAGGCCCAGCAAGGAGCTGGAGCAGTGCAAGAAACTGGCAACTTTAGGCTGTACAGATACATGCAAAAATCACCGTCGGAAATCGAAGGGGGACAAGAAGGGGAAAGAGCATGCTGGGACTTACTAGGTAAGCATCAAGCGGAGAATGATTGGTCTAAGCTTTGAACTAGAGGGAAGCTCGTATGCTCCTTGGGTCGACAAAATAGAAGGGACGATCAATTTGATCCGATTCGCGAACATCTTCGGCGGGAATAGCCACACATGTGCAATAGCAGCCAACAACCTCGTCATTATCTCCATACATCCTGATACGTTTCAAGTGACGCCGATGCAGATCGTTCTTCCGGACGGTCTTGCACTCGAAAAGACATGGGTTTGTACTCCTTCAAGTAGGTTAACCCCTGTAAAGTGATGTTTAGCGATTGGCTTGGGATAAATCCGGGCGCGTCTGTACCGTGCACAACGAAAGAACGCTCCAGTGGACGCGTACGTATTCCAACGACGATAAACTTTGCTGGATAGGCAAGGCGATCTAACCAAGTTCATCCGTTTTAACACCACTTCCCTTCTTCGTGACAAAAAAATCTTCTGCCAAACTTCAACTTCAACGCGAAATTACAAATACTGTCCGTCGTTTTTCTTCAGAATGAATTTCCAAGAGCAAAAGCGATGGGACGCGACGACGAATATGACTACCTCTTCAAGGTTGTGCTCATCGGAGACTCCGGCGTCGGCAAATCCAATCTTCTCAGTCGATTCACGAGGAACGAGTTCAACCTCGAGTCTAAATCCACCATCGGCGTTGAGTTCGCTACAAGAAGTATAGAAGTAAGTTATCTTATAATCAAAGAGTAACGGCTACTCTGTAGATGAGAATGAAGCTGAAATTCTCGCCAATTTCCCCAAGAAAAATAACGCTTCATTTGACAATCTAGGTAGAAGGCAAAACTATCAAAGCGCAGATTTGGGATACTGCTGGTCAGGAGAGGTACCGTGCTATCACGGCCGCGTACTACCGAGGCGCCGTCGGTGCCCTTCTCGTCTACGACATTGCCAAGCACACGACGTAAGAATATTAAACAATGGAGCTTTCTTATTGTGAATTGCTAGTTACGAAAATGTTGAGCGCTGGTTAAAAGAGCTTCGGGATCACGCAGATAACAACATCGTCATCATGCTTGTGGGAAACAAATCCGATTTGAGGCACTTGAGAGCTGTGCCGACAGAAGACGCGAGAAACTACGCAGGTAAGCCATATACAATCCCCTTTTTTCTCAACAATTTTCAACTTCAGAGCGTCAGAGTTTGAGCTTCATCGAAACCTCGGCGCTGGACAGCACGAATGTAGAAACGGCCTTTCAAAATATCTTAACAGAAATTTATAAAATCGTCTCCCAGAAGCAACTCGGCGATTCAGATCGGGTAAGTCCAGAATTGACTTGAAGCAGGTTTTATTTAATCACCGCGTTAAATAAAATTACCACTCGCAATTTACAATTACGATAATTATCAATTAATTATATTACAAAAAACACTGATTGTCACTACTAGAAAAGAGCTCGATTCATTCCTATTCACGATATGAGTAATGATAATCAACATATCCAGATAGGCTTAAAATTATTGCTCGATTTCCTGACGATTTCAAAACAAACACACACTCATATACCTTGGCCGCTTCTCATCCTCGTAGAAATAAATTTCAAATATTTTGAATTTACAGGAGAAGACTTTGACTCTGTCAAATTTTGAGTGTAGAGGATCCGAGTTTTATTTCTGCGACGATGTTTAGCGCCTTTAATTCACCTTTATCTTGTTTGACTTTTGGCGATTTGTGGCGTGCTAAAACCAGTTTTGCATTGTGTTAAATAGGACATGCAGGATCTCCAAATCGGCGATGGAACGGTGCCCCTGGACGCGCCGAATCCTCCTTCCAGTTCCAAAAAAGGCTGCTGCTGAAGCAAAAAAATACCGACAACTAAAAACACCCTTCTATATATCTCTCTTTATATTTCCTCACGACCACCTATTCTCTTCACTACGCCTCTCGGACCCTCTTCTCGTGTGCTCTTTCTTTGCTTTATTTTCTTTCTGCTTTTGCAAATCTAATCGTATTAGATCTGCAGGCGCAGTTAGATTCTCCTTAGGCCCCCGTACTCGTAGCTGGTGTTCTCGAAACAAGTCTAAAGCTAACTCTTTCTCTTTCGTCAGGGCGGTGACTTGCCAGACAATGACGTGGTGGACATCCACGTGCCGGACTCGACACCGGGTAACCAGCGCAAGAAGAGCGGCTGCTGCAACCAGGACTGAGCCCGAAGCAACCAAAAAAGGCACACACTGACGTACTGACCTCCTCTCCTCTCTCCCGCCCAGTGGGTCAGTGTCCCCAACAAAAAAAATACAAAACAAAAAATTCGATTCTCGAGGTCGCGAGTTTTCTTTTTCTGTTCATTATTAATATTATTTACCATCTGTCAAAAACAACCAAAAGATTGTACTTCTCAGCATTCTTTCTTGACAAAAACCATTCTACAAAAAAAAAGACTATTCGATATAACTTATTTAATAATTTCAATTTCATTCTCTTTCCTCCAGAGCAATCTCAATTATTCAATATAATAACATTCATGCACATCATCATCACCATCATATTATTCACGATTTTCGCATCTTTCGCGCTTTCTTCAAGTTTAAGACCTTTATAGTGACCTTACAGAGTCCTTCGCATTTTTGAAAATTCTAGACAGCAGCAAAAATATTTCAATCAAAGCTTACTACGGCAAGACTCAATTAATCAGCCGGTAATACATTAGCTCCGGTAAATAAGCACATTTCCCTTAATTCTTTTAGAAACGGGAAGGAAAAACGACCTTACTTGTAGTGGATACTTGCGTTTTCGGGACAAGATTAAAGATTTCAAACTGCGATCCAAGAAAATATAATCCTATGATGTAATGTAATCAATTTTTAAAGGCGATCGATTTCTACTATTTTCGTCGTTATTTGACATTTTTCTGTGGATGAAGCCCCAGGGCTCGTGATTCAGAAGGCAAAAACCAACCAACGCAGCATTCGTGTGAACTTCCTCCTTCTCCCATTTACTACTACTATTCCGCTAGTTCAAAATCAAGAGAGAAAAAAGAACAGACTCCGTTGATTCACCAGGTCACTCTAGGCTTTCTCCCCCTTCTCTTTCATTTATTTTCTATCTCAATACATCACTTCGAGAAAACAGCTCCTCTCTCTCTCAACCTCCTTAAACATCCTTAAAATTTCCGGAAGTGCAAGTGCAATCTGTTTTTTAGATTTCATTTTTGATTAAATTTTAAAATAAACAAAAAAAGTTCATCTTTCAGTTACATCTTCCAATTAATGGGAAAAGGCTGGGTTTTGCCTTTTGTTATGGACAGGGAAAACTGATTCTAGCCGCATAAGAATTAGATAAAGTTCATTTTTTATCGATTTCTTCCACATAGCTACTGGATTTCGCACGGGATTCATAGTAGCTATATAATGAAAATTTAGAGCAATCTTAAAAATTGGCCCTATATTGTAAAAAGCAAATTTCGCAAAAAGAGAATTGCGGTACACTGACGCGCGGGTGCTTTAACTTTAATCATCCCCCCGTTTTAAATAAATCATCGGAGTGCACTTTTCTCTCGAGTAATTGGCTGCCGACTTTTCGGGCGATGATGATGATTAACGCTTCTTTGATTTTCAGATGATTTGATACAAGAAAGATTCGATATTTGATCGCGGAAGAGAGAAATTCGGTATTCTAGAGCGAGCCACATGCCGCACCATGGCGCGGTGCAAGTTTATAGAGGCCGAACGGTGGAAGTATCAACCTGCACCAAATATTTTCTATTCGGCTTCAACACTCTATTCTGGGTTAGTCTTCCTCGTTTCAAATGAATACGAATTTTGATCGTTTTTCTTTCAGCTCGTTGGCCTAGCTCTTCTCGTTATTGGCTTCTGGGCGTGGACGGAAAAAGGTTTCTTCGACAACATTAGTGAAGTATCCGACATTCCCTTCGACCCAGTCGTCCTCATCATTTCCATCGGCATCATTATGTTTACCCTTTCTTTTACGGGCTGTGTCGGCTCGCTCCGAGAAAATATCTGCCTTCTCAAATTCGTAAGTCCCAACAAACGACCTTTTCAACCACATTTTTGTGAAGTTTTCCACGATTTTGGGGATGATCTTTTTCGGAGAACTGGTCTGTGCCATCCTCACATTTGTCTACAAAGACTGGTTCAACCAAAAGTTCAATGACTTCATGGAAACGACGATTATCAAGTACCGCGATGATCCAGATCTCCAGAATATCATTGACTTCGGCCAAAGAAAGGTAAATCCTCTATTTTAACATCAACATCATTCGTTTTATAGCTTCAATGCTGTGGGGGTGTTCAGGGCGCACAAGACTGGGAGAGCAACATTTACTTCAATTGCTCATCAAGCATCGAGCTCAACGGCATCGACTATCGCCCGGTCGAGTCGTGCGGTGTTCCCTTCTCCTGCTGCGCGCATGGTGACATCAATTACGACGAAATTACGAATACGCAGTGCGGCTATGGCGTTCGCAGTAAGAAGGTGCTTTTTGTACTTTTCCTTCTAGTCGTATTCAAGAAATTCAGGAAGCCGACTGGGGCGAAGACATCTGGACTGATGGGTGCATTGAAAAATTCGAGCAGTTTCTGAGGAGAGAAGTTTACCTAGTCGCGGGCTTATTTATTGGCGTCGCTCTCTTACAGGTAGAAAGACCTCAAAATTCAGCAAGTTAAGAATTCTTTTAGATTGTGCCGATCTGCTTCGCGCAAAACATGATATCCGACATTGAAACCATCAAAGCAAGCTGGCATCGTTGAAGCTACTGTATTCCCTTCAATCCATCGCCTTATCAATTTTTACAAGAAGATTCTTCACCTTTTCACTAACGCAAAAGTACCCGCAAATCTCCTGTACATAATTCTTATCCTTTTCCTTTCCTTTTTTACTTGAATCTTGACCTTTTTAACCTGCCGTTGCTCCCGTTATATTTCTTCCGAATCTGTACCAACACATCCTTATCTTTCCTACCCCGACGAATTGCAAATTAAATAACAACAACATTCAAAAAGACCAAAACTCCTTCTTCAGAAACAAAAGACATAAATGAGCTCAAAAGTCTACATCGGCAACCTGGGCAGGGACCCCTTGCCCGAGAGCGACCTCGAGGAAGAGTTCGAAGATTTCGGACCGATCAAAGAAATATTTGTTGCGCGTAATCCACCGGGCTTTGCGTATATAGGTACTGAACAAAGTTCTTCTACTTCTTTTAACGTCGCTAGATTTCATGTCCGAAAAAGACGCGAAGCAGGCAGTGCGCGAAATGAGCGGCAAGAAAAGATCTGCGGGCGCAGGTATGTGAGGGTCGAGATCTCCCACAAGTCGAGAAACAGGAGACAGAGAAAGAGAAGCATCAGCCCGGAGACGTACAGAAAGTATGGATCTCGAACGCCGTCTCCGGAGCTGCGCGAAGAGTCCAGATCCCGCTCCAGATCTCCGATCAGAGTCAAACCTTTGCCACGGGTTCAGCTAATAGATTAATCATTTGGAAATGAGCGAGTCCATAGTGTTAAACCCTGAAAAGAAACCAAACAAGCCAAGAAAGAAGACTAAAAAGGAAAAGAAAGAAGAGCCCGCACGAAAGGCCTCGACCGACAGCGTGACGACTTCCAACTCGGAAGACGCCTTCGAAGTCGCCGTGGCAAAGGCGCTCGTCAAATCTGAGCCTGAGCGGGCTAAAAAGAGGTACAATCGCTGCCTCTTCTTTTCGATTTTTGATCAGTGTGTTTTAGGCGACCAAAGTCCAAAATCCAAAAAGTGTCCAAGAATTCCGAGTACCAGAATTATCGGATCACGATGGACATCACGCCGTTCAAGATCGAAGACAATGATGACGATCACGTCATGGAAGAAGTCGACTGAAATTATTTTTGGCTTTCTGTCTGTGTGTTTTGAAACACTGCCTTTTTTAACGTGACTACGACGCTAACAGAAGCATTTCGCGATCTAAAAACAACGCGCGAAATGAAGAAGAGTTTATTTTTGCAAAAGAACTATTTGCATGCAGGAGCAACTTTTGAAATGGAGATATTTTTCAACTTCGAATTCGGTGGAAATTTTTCCTTTTCGAAAATATACTTACAATCGCCTCCGATGTCTTGTCGTCGAAAGCGTGGTAAATTACTGAAACGATTTTGGTGTTGATAGTTCGAGATTTCGAGTTTCTTACGAATAGAGATGTTGGAGCTTAAATTAATGAGAAATGAAGCCAGATGGATTTTTCGATCGCTGCCCTGAATTTTTAAAAAATTACTGCTTCCAGAAAACGTAGCGAGTTTTGCACCATTGTGGTCTTGGTCGCGTACTGAGCAAGGATGACGAGCCAGGGCGTATTCTATTTTTGAGACCTCAAAAAAAGGCACAAATTACATTTGATCGAATTTATGAGTCCCTTCCAAAAGGACTGTTGAGGCAAGGAATGTTGAAGAAAGCTGGATGTGTTTCTTTCCTCTGTTGCGAATGAAAACGGGGAAGATCAAAACGACCAGAAAAACGAAGCAAAAGTAAAAGATAAACGGCAGTTTGACGAACTGATCCATGTTCGCCCAAATGTGCGGGTCGATGTTGATAACCAACGGAGAAGTGAGGGCGTAGTAGATGTGGCATTGCCAGCGAGTGTGTCTTTTCGGTCTTGAGAGAGCATCGGAAAATAAAAACTCCTTGAAAGTTCAAGCGCTTCCTAAAAGGCCAAATGCTGATGATAAAGCACAACACCCACATGAGTCCGACAATGATCCGGGAGTCCTCTCTTCGGAACTTTTTCTTGTAGTAGTTTGGCGAAACGCAGGCGACATAAGAATCAAGCACCATTGAAATTATCAGGAATACGGAGACGATGCGAGAGAGGAAGACTTCAAATTGCGTTTTAAAACAAAGATAGCTCGTATTTTTTCCTTTTTAGTTTTAAAACAAACATAAAACAGCGAAAAAACAGTTCTCCGCAGTTTCCCAAAGACAAAGATGGCCCCGAAGTACAAGATAATTTTTCATAAGAATATGTGGTAGGCAAAGCACGCCATAAATAAAGTCTAAAGGAGCTTTAAAAAGGGACTTTTTAAAAAGAACTACCTGCAATGGCCATTGAAAATTTGATAAAGTTGCGGCTGTCGATCGGATTTACCTGGCTTACTCTCATTGTTGCAAAGAGAAGGACTTTTCTGAGGATTACGAGAAGGAACGATTAGTTGAGAATAAACTGATTAACTTTCAATCCCTAGCTACACTGACTACACACGTGATCAAGCAAGTGATGGAAAGGTAGAGCATGTAAGAAAGCGTTTCTAGTGGAATGGATCCGTCGCTCGGTGTTTCATACGTCCACCAAAAGCTCTGGTGAACATGATGTCCTCCGTTCATATCTTTGAGCATTTGATTTACATCTATGTTCCTACAGATATGAACAGTACTTGAATGAAGAGCTGCGCTAACCTGACTTCTTGCAAAATACTAACGACATTCATTTCAAAGTTTTTCGAAGCCTCTCTCGCCATCGTCAATAAAAATATATTGGTTTTAGTTAAGCTTTCTCTTTTTATACTGATTCGGCATTTTATAATCACGCTCATGAATACTTTAACTTCGACGCGATTCGTGCTGACAGTTTCTCGTCGCGCGCTCCTAAGCCGTTCCTTCCGCGTTCTCCCTTATTGCTTCTCTTGGTACTGTAATACAAGGCTCTTCCTTGATCCCAACCGTCGTAGATGACAATCTTGGTTCGTTCGGTACTTGTGTCAAAAATTGTTTTCATTCAAAGCTTGTTATTGTCCGCAGTTCAAAGATTCGTATTAGAGTAAAATGGCTTTGCAATTTGAGTCCTATGACGGAGGCAACTTCATGGGAAATCTATACATGGTAAGTGAAGACAGTTTATTAACTTTTATCAAAAAATCAAATAGAATATGCTTGTTGGAACTGCGGCTGAAGCTCTTGAAGCTGGTGATTTCAATGAAGTTGATAGGTAAATATTTTTTATTACTAAAACACAGGTGATAATTAAATAGGGTAACTTCAATCATGTTGAAAGGAGATATTTCTTATCATGTGGCATACAAATTGAAAGGAATTGCATTCCAGCGGATGAAGAGGGAGCTTGATGCTTTGGTCACGTTTGAGGACTGTCTCAAATACCATCCAGGGCCGGAATGATAAGATTAAAAGATCCTCAATGATTTTCAATTATAAATTCCTAAAGAAGAAGACGATGAGCTGTGGGCGCTTCTTAATAAAAGTAGAATTGAAATAGCATCAAGCGAAATGTTGGAGATGTTCATGAAGGACGAGCGTGTGAGAAAATACTACCAAGACCCAGTATTTTTGTTTACGAAAGGGCTGAAGTTTATTGCTGGTTGCAGAGCGAGTAACATTCGATCAATTGACGTTCCTATCTTCTCTAATTGTCGAAAATATGAGTTATCTCTTTCAGCATGAAGATTATCAAATATGGCGAGACACCACAGAAGTTATGCTGGGACGAAAACTGCCGGAGTTCAAGCGAGGCCAAGATATAATTGAAGAATTCGAACGGCTTTTTCAGGTAAGCTCCTACTTTAATTCAGGTTAAACTGGTAGAACCCGTAGGACATAAACAACAGGAACATCGAAAGACGAATCGGCAACGCGTTTTTCAAAGCTCAACGGTATCAATACGCAATCAAAAAGTACGAGGACGCGATTAAACATTTTGATGGTACGGATATCGCCGTGTACAATAACATCGCCATGTGCTACTACAAACTTGGACAGACAGAAGACGCCAGCAACAATTTCGATAAATGTCGAACAAAATGCATCAAGGTAAAATCCATTTACTAATCTCCTTTATGTCTTTAGGCACTTGTGATCGGACAACAACACGGAGCTCAAAAGAAGGACATCTCTAAAGCAATGGCGAGAATCGGAATGTGCTACGAATGCGAAAAAGATTACGAAAAAGGTTTTGTTTCAAGAAATGCAATTTTGACATTGAATTCCAAATTAAGCCATTGAATGGTTTGAGAAGTCTGTTGCAGAACACCCGGACAAACATGTCAGCATTAATCTCGCGAAGGTGAGCGTGGCAGATTCAGTAAATTTAGTAAAAGTCAATATTTTAGCTCAAGAAACAGCATCAAAAATGAAGGTCTACTAAACTTATATATTTCTTTCCCGTTCAATTATTATTTCGAATAAAACCAGAATTACTGATAAAGGCGTCTTGTTATCCCTTTGTTAATTATCAAAGAAGCCTGAAGGCCACCTGCTTCGTCAGGAAGTTCATCCTATCGTCATCGCGCGTTGAATTGAAGCAAGTTCTAAAGGCGAAATAGCGCTGCGGTGGCCTTGGTCTTTCGTCCTTCGCCAACTGTGACAAATGCGTCAAACCGATAAAAAAGCATTCGAATAAATTGTCGACTGCGCAACTTCGGGCGAAGCGCCAGTCCCGCGCTATTTATTCTTTGGTGCCGCGAATGTCCAAGGAAGGGATTAACCGCTCTGAATCGCTCTAAATTAAACGTGCACTTTGTTTTTAAGTTAAAAAAAGAGGCTAAAAAGGAAAACATTCTCTAGAACACGGGATCCCATCTTTGTGTTTTTCACTTTTTGTCATTAGTCTCCAACGCTAGTTAGGAGAAAGGAGGGTCCGAAAGCGCAAGAATTACAGGTAATTTCACGTTTTTTTTTGTGAATAAATTTTAACCCGGAGAATTTTCAGATCTCGAGGTCAAAGATCGCGAAATCGAGCTCCAAAGAGGAACTCAAAAGAGGGGCTCGGGTTCAATATCATCCTGGAAAGGACCGACAGAAAAAAGACAAGTCGAAAAAGTCCAAGAAAAGAAAAGCGAGGAAGTAATCCACGATCTGTCTCTCTCAAACCTGAATAAAATCAATTTCATCTATATTTTTTCAAATTTTGGAAAGATCTGAGGAAAAGTTTTCTAATTCAAAAGACTTTCCAAAATTCTCTTGATTCTTTCTTTATTTCTGCATTGTTACTAGTAGTAGATGAGCTCTGCCGAAAGAAAATCGGTATAGTTCCCGGTTTTCCGCCGAAAAGGGGATGAAAAAAGTTTGCTGTAACCAGGATTCGAACCTGGGTTGTCACGGCCACAACGTGAAGTACTAACCACTATACGATTACAGCGGGGTATATAGCAGAGGGAGGTTTCGATCCTCCGACCTCTGGGTTATGGGCCCAGCACGCTTCCGCTGCGCCACTCTGCTGGAAGCGAAGGCGCAAAATTGACGATATGAAGTAAACCTACATACGTTGCAATTTCCTGCAAAAAAAGAAGAAAGAAACAAGAGAGAATTTTGGAAAGTCTTTTGAATCAGAAAACTGTTCGTCAGATCTTTCCAAAATTTGAAAAAATAAAGGTGAAATTGATTTTATTCAGGTTGGGGAGAGACAGATCGTGGATTACTTCCTCGCTTTTCTTTTCTTGGACTTTTTCGACTTGTCTTTTTTCTGTCGGTCCTTTCCAGGATAATATTGAACCCGAGCCCCTCTTTTGAGTTCCTCTTTGGAGCTCGATTTCGCGATCTTTGACCTCCAAGATCTGAAAGTTATACGGATTAAAACTTATTAACAAAAAAACGTGAAATTACCTGTAATTCTGGCGCTTTCGGACCCTCCTTTCTCCTAACTAGCGTTGGAGACTAATGAAAAAAGTGAAAAACATGAAGATGGGATCCCGTGTTCTAGAGATTCCATCACGTGATTCCGAAAGTAGAAAAAGGAAAAAGGAATAAAGATTCTGGAACATTCGAAAGGTGTTATCAATTTCTGAAATTGCTGAGTTTTGTGTTCGGCCTTACTCTAACCAACCGCTGTGGTATTTCGCCCGCCTCAATAGAGCCCATGATGACGAGAGGATGAACTTCTCGAGTCACTCTAGCGCGGCGGCGAGCGTTTTTGAAGTGACGAGTTGAGGGATCGGCGGCTAACGGGGTTACTTGCATTCAGAAATTTCGCCAAAGAGAAAAATCGGCTCACGAAAGTTCGAGCGTTTTTTCCTATTTCCGTGGAACTGGCGAGGCGCTAATCAGCGAAAATAGCGCGACCCAGCCACAAACATTTTCTAAAGCGATCAGCCAAACTTGATTCTTCGCGGAAGGAAATGAGGGTACACACAATGGCAATACGACGAAACACAAGTTACAGTAGTTGATCTTCATTATCGAAGCAGAGTTCAAAGAGCTTCAAAACTAGGCGGCTTTGCGGCTCTCACGTCCTCGAAACATGGTCGAAATTTCAAGAGAAGCTTGTTTCTTGAACAACTTGGCCTTGAATTATGTCAACTTACGCTCTATCATAAATACGAGTCAACGATCCTAGCGCAACTTTAAAACGGGCTTCTCGCCAGGCTGTGAACTCGGGGATCGAAAGAGGATCAGCTCAAGAAGCATGACCAAAAAAGAACCCTTCTCCTCCATAATCTTATTTTCTGCGACGTAGATGGCATATAATACTTTCTTTTTTCCTTTTTTTTGACGCTTTTAGCCTCTGAAATACTGTAGAAGCGAGACTCTTAGATGGTGTCATTGACAATGGAAAATGAAAGTACCATTTTGGTGCCCTGACGATGAAGTTGATCCTTGCGGAGCAACAGAACAGCTCAATCTCACGGGAAAATACCCCGACTACTTGCTGGTCTCCAAATTTTATCAAAAGTCAAGAGTTGATGAAGACCACGCAGAATCAGACTTGGCGATTGCGAATGATAAAGTCAAAAGGATGAAGAAAAAACTAAATGAAGCAGAAAAGGCTCTCACGAAGGCAAAGGCAAGTGTCAAGGCAAAGAAACAATGGCGCAAAAAAGTTCAAGGAAGGCTCGTTTATGTGGTACAAAATTTGGTTGAAAATGAAAGTGAATCAGAAGACGGTAAGGATGAAGGAAATCTTCAACAAAAGCAGTTTAATAAGCTTTTCAGACTCCTCAGATGATGATGAGCCCCCGGAAAAGAAGGCGAAGAATGATGATGGGAACGAAAAGTCTCCATGCAAGGTCTGCTTCTTCCACTTCGACGACGAGCGCCCAGAAGCCTCCCTCACTTCCTGCGGACACAAGGCTTGCGTCCCCTGTCTCGATGCTCTCCAGCCGAAGACATGCCCAATCTGCCGTAAGGAATTCACTGAGGAGCAGATTCTCAAGCTTTTCGACTGACCGTTACCCTTCTCGTCTCCTACCAATAGAAATTTTGCACAATGTTCCGAGCCACTCTCGTCGAACAAATTTAAAAATAAATGAAAAAACAGACTTAAAATCTTATTTATTGCAGTTGATTTTGCAGCAAGCAGATTGAATTTGTCAAAAACAAATTTTCCATGTTTCCCACCACGTTTTTTTTAACAAAATCATCCTTTTTCTCACCTCAATTGAACTGGACTACGGAATCTAAGGTGATCTTTCTCGAAGCTCTAAGTTCCTAAAAGTCGTTTTCCTGCGTCTAATTGCATAAATCAGAAGATATTGAATGTTCCTGGCGCAGGAGGGCGGTTTGACCTTTCTTATCGGAATATTTCAAGCTGAGCGCGTCCATTCTCGTTCGTTTATCCAATTTAAGTAAAATCCGTCCCTCTGTGGTTTTCTTGCGGCGAGAGAACGAGACTGGAGTAGTGCGCCGCTGTGTGGCGCAGTGAAAAATATAATCAACCGTCCGGTGATTGGAGCCAAAAGAGCTGATTGAGTTAGCTTCTTCGGCTCGTCTTAAAAGAGAGCGCGCTCAGGAAGACACCACAGAGAATCATCTTATAGCGAAGGCTGAGAAAGCCAGTCGAAAAGATAGAAGAAAGCGGTGAACCTACAAAAATTAGCAATAGAAGATAGAGCAGAAAATCTAAAACATGAAGCTTTTCAATCCGTTGGTTTTACCGACGCTGATCGGTATACAAGCAGATTCATCGGTAAGCCTCCATAGTTTGATTTTTATTCTTCATTCTCCCGTCTTAGGTCGAAAATGAAGGCCACAATGCGATCAACGCGCCTTACGAAGAGTCTGTCAAAATGTACGACGCTTTTGTTGCCAACTCGGCAAAAGCGTTTCTCAAATCTTCAAAACCAGGCAGCAAGCTTGAATTTACAGCGAAAAAGGGGATTTCGTTGCCAACGATGTTTATGGCTCGCGAGTTGAAGGAATCGGTTTGCGCTGATACCCAGCTAGTCCCTGAAGACACTTGCCCAGATGTCCGCTCACAACGGTAAATTGAAGTTTCAATAACTATCATTTTTTTATTGCACATTTTAGTTACCCAACAGTAGATGGCAGTTGCAACAATCGAATCGACATCAGCCGCGGAAAAGCTTTCCGCCCACTGAAGAGACTCGTTCCAGTACAGTATGATGACGGATTTGGCAGTATCCGAAGAAGTGTCTCTGGAGTAGATCTTCCATTAGCTCGTGAAGTCTCAAATGTGATCCAAAATCCAACTCCGTCCAAGGATGCCAAAGTCAATCACATGTTCACCCAGTGGGGGCAGTACATCGTTCACGATCTCGTCCACACGCCAGTGGTCGTCACTCCAGAGGGTGATCTTGACTGTAATTGTGAGAACCCCGCTGCCGAATGCATCAACATCCCAATCCCAGAAGACGACACTCAGTTCCTCAACGGCAACAAAACGTGTTTCTCGCTACCGCGCTCTATTCCAACGCCAAACTCAAAATGTCAGTTTTTCAACCGCGAGCAGATCAACCAGTTGAGCAGTTTCATCGATGCGACAACCGTTTACGGCGTAGATGACGAGCTTTTGTCTGATCTTCGAGATCCAGAGTCGGATGCAGGCGAGTTGAAGGTCAACACGAAATATAGCGGTGACTTCCACGGAGCGAATTTGCCTGCCGCATCTGATATGGAGAAATCAAAGAAGAAACCACGCTGTCCGGCAGCTCTTAATGTCGGAATGGAGTCCTGTCCTTTCGCTGGTGATAGAAGAGTCAACGAGAATGCGGGTTTGGTAGGAATGCACACGATCTTCCTCAGAGAACACAATCGAGTCGCCCGAGAGTTGAAGAAGGTCAACCCCGAGTGGAGCTCTGACACGATCTTCGAGGAGACACGGTTGATCATCAACGCCATGCACCAGCTGATCACATACAAAGAGTACCTCCCTATTCTCCTCGGACCCAAGTTCGTCGACCGTTACGACTTAGGAATCACTCCCAATGGCTATTACTATGGTTACGATGCAACAATCGACGCGACAATTTCCAATGTATTCACGACCGCTGCCTTCCGATTTGGCCACAGTATGATTAACGATGAGTTCTCACGCTTTTCCGCCGACTGGGCTGACCTTGAAGGGACATTGCCACTTAGAAACTCGCAGTTCAACCCTGGTTCGTACCTCAACGATACCTCAAACTTGCTCAATCCAATCCTCCGAGGTTTGATGGAAGATCCCTCCTTCGCCATGGAAACTACTTTCCCAGACTCGATGCGAAATTTCCTCTTTGCGCAAGGAGACAAATTTGGCAAGGATTTGCTCGCCATTAACATCCAGCGTGGACGAGAACACGGTTTAGGCACTTACAACGACTACCGTACATTCTTCGGTATGCAGCGTGCCCGTGACTTCAGCGAACTCAAGGAAATCCCGTACGAAATGCGAGAACGACTTCGATCCGTCTATGCTCACGTTGACGACATCGATGTCTATGTTGGAGGCCTTGCAGAAACGCACGTAGAAGGTGGACTTGTAGGACCGACTTTCGCACACATCATGGCTCTTCAGTTCCGGGAGCTCAAGGCTGGTGACCGATTCTACTTTGAACATGGCGCTTGCGAGACGATCTTTACCCCTCTTCAGCTAGATGAGCTGCGTAAATTCACCCTCTCTCACTTGATTTGTTCCTGCACTGATACCGAGTCCATCCAAAAGAATCCCTTTTTCGCCGTTTCCGAAGAGAACCCTCGAATTTCATGCGATGACGAGTTTTTCAAACTCGATTTGTCAGCATGGAAAGAATCATTTGTTCACACTAAGTCGCACGAGGGCTTCATGGACACTGGAAAGTGGTCTGAATGGTTCCCACCAGTTTCTAAGCCAAAATCGCTCGACCTCGACGTCATCAACAAAGAACGTCCGGACGATGTTTGCCTAAACTCGATCGCTTCCGAACTTCGATTTGTCAATGACCAGCCTCAAATCCGATTTATTTGTCCCGCTGGCGAAATTTTATCTAATGACTTTCCCCCAGCCTGCATGGACCGGGGCAGATGGACCAGCTGGTTCGACCACTCCAATCCAAGCGGACACGACGGCGACGACATTGAGGAACTTCGTGTTCTTAATCGAGAACGTCCTGGTGAAATCTGCGACAATCCACTTTTTATGCAGGTTACACTCGGCAATTATTTTTCTCAAAAACTAACAAAACCTTATTCAAGGCTCAATCAACGGATGAAATTCCAGCTCGCGAAACTGGCGACGTTTTTGCCGTGTTCGATCCCCGACGAGGTCTCATCTGCCGCGGCGCCCATCAAGTCGACAAGAAATGTCACGATTACAGAGTCAGATTCTTCTGTCCTGAGGGATCGATTGAGCCGCCTTCCTCTCTTTCAAAGGATCTGGAGGATGCAATCAACGAAGAATTCCTCGCCTGGACCGAGTGGTTCTCCGCTGATGAGCCGGACGAAAGTGGTGACATCGAATATCTTGTGGTAAGTTTCATTGTTTATCTTCTCAATAATGATAATCACTTATGCAGGCCGCACGGGAAATGATGCCAAGCATTTGCATCCATCCTCATGCGATCGAAGCTCGAGCCATTAGCGACAAGAAGCCTGCCCACGAAACTGGCGATGTTTTCAAAGTCTTCAATAAAGACAAGGGATTAGTCTGCCAAAATACCGACCAGGTGAGCATTGAGTGATTCTGTCTAAAATATATATCGTTCTCAGAGCGACGGCAAATGCGACGACTATCAAGTTCGATACTTGTGTCCCGCTTACGAAAACGACATGGAGGACTACTTTGAAGAGTTTGAGAGTATGAACTCTGAAGCGTTTAATCAATACCGAGTCGATGCAGGTAACTCTCCCGCCAAGAATTTGGCGCGCAAGCTCTGTCACGAGCACGACCTCTGCTGCAATGACGAACTTGGCGTATTGCGAGGCATGTCGTTTAGCGGAATCTAAAGTCTCCATCGGAGAGCTTTTCATTCCAATTCGGTTTCATTGTAAATAAAAAAGCAATAACGGAGTAAGTAAGACCCTGTATTTGACAAAGTTCAGTTCATGATTTCTGCTGTATCATAAATTATCTCTCAGAAATAAAAATCTTCTAACCTAAAAAAAAGAGTTTTGTGTATACTTGCAGGATTACAGTTGCGAAGATGATTGAATCAGATGTTAAAGCTTGAATTGGCCGTCACAACAGCAGTGAATAATAGACTTGGCAGCTTATTAAAACTAACTGAGCTTTATTAGGAATTGGTAACTACGAATTAAGTCAAACTGTTTCTATTGTTTCCTCTTCCGGAGCTTTTTCGAAAAACCATAGTCACCGTGGAGACAAAAATTCCCGCCTATTTAATCGCCACAGTTCTCCACTTTTCTTCAGATTAACTCTCAGATAACCAGATAGCGAAAAACCATCTCCAACACAAAAAAAAAGAATGAAGTTGTTCACCGGTCTCGCTTTTGCCTCTGCGGCCTTTGCTGCCTATTCCGATACCTGCATTGGTGTGGATTCCGCTAATTGCGATGGAACCTGCTCTGCTCAACTTGAGACCTGTGCTCCAGCAGGTGGACTTACTAGTTCTGATTTGGTCAGTTTGATTAGTTTTTTCCTTTTTTATTCGAGAAATTATTAGGCCTGTTGCACCGCCGCTGATGCCGATTACGTCTGTGGCGCTAACTTGTGCGGCAATTTGCCATCTGCAAACTTTAACCAGAGTAAGTTTTAATAGAGACTGGCGAGTCATAGAATATCCACTTTTTAGTTGCTTGCTGCGCTGACTCTGCCGAGCCCGAGGTTCCCGGTATTCCAACTGACGCTCCAGTTGAGCCAACCGCCGATCCAAACGTCCCCACTGAGAGCTCAACCATTGATCCATCTCAACCAACTCAACCCACCGATGCCGCCTCTTCCACTATGTCCCCAACAAGTGGTGCCACTGGAACAACAACAGGAAAGAGTTTTTTTTTTTTTGCTCTGAAACTTTAGTTTCCCCACAAAAAAACGCAAGAGTCAGAAATTTAAATTTTGTTTTTTTTTTCGAGATTTTCCCGATGGTAAAAAATCGTAAAATTACCATAACTGTAGTCAAACACAAAAAAACTCTTCAAAAAGAAACTACAACTGAATCTGGTGCCAGCTCCGTAGTTATGGCCTCTGTTCTCGCGCTTTTGGCTGTTTTCTACCACTAAATCACTTTTCTTGTTCTCCTGAGTTCTCCTGACTGTCAGACAGGAAATAAAATAATGACGACAGTTATCATCAAACTTGAAAATTATCATTTATAAGGCATTTATTGAAAGGGCTAGAGTTCGTTCAATTCAAGCGTGAGTGGCAAATTCATCCGTTATGTGATGAATGACTACGTCTGTTCTCCAATACGTCTGATTTTTGGAATAGCTTCTTGAATACTTTTTACGAAAAAGACATAGCAAACTATTCCATTCCAGAAAAGAAAGCGCGACGATAAGGGCGAAAATCGTCGCATTCGCCAGCTGGGGCATCAGGTCGGAAAGAAGGGGCGATCGCTCGGGCTGAAATTGCTGAAAGAATCGCAAAAATAGAGGGAGTACTGTTGGAGGCTTCCAGTCAGTGTTGAAGTACAGAAATTGCAGATATGTTTGGATAGCAGCGACGAAGACAAGAATAAGGTAAATTATACGGAGTTCACTGAATCAAGTCTCGTTAAGTTTCGCTTATGGAAGGAAATGCAGCTATGAATAGTAAATACTTAGTTTCCCAGCTTTCTGGAGCGGGGCCAACATTTTATTATTTATAATTAAAAGTATTGTTGTTGGCAAAGCGAATTCGCACAACAAAAAGTCAGATTCTGACTATTTCGAGTTGAAAGAATTAATATTTGATTGCTGATGGATGATGGAAATCAGATGACGTCGGTAAAGAGACTTTCCTTGGCAGTATTTGTTGATCTTCTAAGTGCAGTTGCTGGGAGAACGTTCCCAAGACCATAAGATTCGTAAACAAGCAGAGCTTCACGAAATTTGTTATCATCGAGAGACCAAAGTCTTTCAATTTTGGAACACTCGTGCTGGATGATTCGGAACTGTGGATGCGCGAAAGGGGATGGAAAACGAATAGATTGAGGAGAGTTAGAAGACATATCTGACGAAAGCTCTTTTTGTCTCTTCCGGAAGTAGACCAGCTGAGCGACAACCAGGCGAACAGGGCGATGAGAAGTGAAGCAGCGATGATATAGATCGGGCACCAAAGAATCGCTATTAACTTGGCCGATTGGCTCCATGAAATCATTCCAGTTTTCGGCCGTATTCTCAATTGCGCTAAAACACTGTTCGCGAGGTAGATAAATAAGAGCCCTAACCGAGTGCGATAAAGGTGAAGATCTGTAGACTCGTCAAGAAGGAGAAAAATAATGCTTGAAGGAAGGAGGGCATGCTTCCTGAGATTTTTTCAAAGTAGTAAAATTCGTAAGTCGTCACTGTATAAATCAGAATAACCAACGAACAAGATCAAGGTTCCATCTTGAGGGAGAGATTTGTAAATAAAATTAAGGGTTTTATTGGAACCTATCAGAAGGGTCCCGAATGGAAGAAGTCAATAAATAAATAAGTTTCTAATTGACTTAAAGAAGTGGACCCAATCTTGCCTGCAAACAGACGCGAATGGCATCCATTGACTGTAGTCGAATCTGTAAAATTGAATTTAGTTGAATACTGTACTTCTACTGTAATTGGCTTCTTACTGGTCGTGGTTGATATTCTGAAGTGCGGATTGAGTGCAGTCTTTTATTTCTATCGATGAATTCTCCGACTGCGGCTCGTAATACCACCTGAAATGGCACTTCGACAAAAGAAAAGAAAAAGCTGAGGGATGACCTTGAAGCGTCTGCCAAATATCCACAGCCCAAGATCACCTTGAGGTCGAGCTCAAGTAAAGATCTGCCGTGAAGAATTATTAATTCCGAATTTGTTCCTTCCATCATGGAAGTTCCATGGTTAAAATGCACGGAAATATTTAAGAGCTAGTCCTGAATTGAATCTTCGATCAAAACCATGTAAAGCTTGTGGTAAAGAATGGCGAAATCAGCGGATACCACGGCGTCTTCACGTGTTCCCTCTTCCGAGTCAGCTAGGTTCTTGCGGTCCAAGTACTTAAATATTCTTCGTTTTCTCTTGGAACGCGGTATTTTTAATCAGTTAATCAAATTTCTTATTCGTTAATTTAAGACTTCGTTATAAAGAAGGGAATTAATAAGGCCCGTAGGGAGCACTCACCTCAAGATACAGCTTTAGGCATCTAATTGTCAGCTGAAAAGTAAATTAATTTGGAGAGCTCGTGAATACTGCGCTAATGCGGTTTAGAAAACGAGGGAAATAGTCTTTACAAATGATGTTACCTTGATTGGCTCGAGCACAAGCTTAAACACGGCGAATAAAGTATGGAAGAAGCCGCCCGAGTGGCAAATGCAGAATACTAATTAACTGGGATGAGCATCAGCAGAGAGGGCGTAGACGCCGTAATTACTCGCTGGAGCTTCTCATCCCCGCCCATCGGCAGCAGGATCATCATCCCAGCGCCCGCCAGGCCATATAAGTTCCTCAAATATTCTGATACAGTATCATTCATACATGCGAATACAAGCTGACAGTAAGTGTCGCTATTGATGATCAAAATTGAGAAAGACAGGGACGTCAAATATCAGACTTGAAGAAAATACCTATAAAAGCAGCTAGATCTTAGGTGAAAGTATAAATTCACAATATCCATCGTTAGGTCCACAAGGGGAAAGATGATCCCAGATAAGACCAGGATGATTATGTATAAGAGCGGGGGCATCTGCCGTATCCGCGTTTTCGCCGCTTCTGGCCACTGGAAATTACCACGAGGCGAGCTTCTTCAGTTCAACTTTTTTGTTAAATTTTGAATTGGACTCGTCGAAAACTATGCACTAGAAAAACTGGGGGTATGCTTGTCTCCGATTTTCTATTCATTAATGACGAAAATAGCTAAGTCCTTTCATTATTATTTAATTTGTATTCTTGGGGCACAAAAGATTATCTTCTTAGTAGGGTTGGAATCAAGATTACACCCAGGAACCACTACTAGCACATTATAAATTAAATATACTGTTATAATAATAATTCGCATGAGCGTTCAATTATTTTTGGAAGACACTCATGAGGTCTTCCATACGCGAATAGACGAAGTACTCTTTCCTAAGTACTTCCTAATAAAAAATGCAATTGCTGAACCGCTCCAAGTAGAAACCCGTCCTCGCTGATTGACATACGTGGCGACTGTCTCATGCCCCTCCTCCTTGATGTCATGAAAAATCATAAACAAGCGGTGCTAATTTATTAATCGCACAAGAGTACTATTCGATGCTTGCTCTATCCTTTTTTCGTTTTCTGTTTATCTCGAAAGTGAAGTGCAACAAGTTTCTTGCACTTCTTTAGTTTTAGGCACGCTGCGAGCTTGCGGGCGCCGCCGTCTTGCATTATATATTCAAAAATGCAGAAATCATTTAATAGTCGATTGAGTGGAACTGATTCTTCCTTTTTCAGGAAATAAATCATCCTATGGACATCACAAGAGGATCCCAATTAGGCACACTAATAATCTTAGGATTTTAGGGCATAAAATAATTGAATTTGAAAGCGAGTTAATTTGAGCATAAAAAAGTGAGCAAAATATGCTTTAAAATTATAGAAATTTTAAAATTTGGAGACACGAATAGACAAAAACTCTTATTTTCTTATGAACCCTAGCTTATCTCCTCGGAAGATGCGTGCAATTAACAGATATGCTCCAGTTACGGATACGCTCTACTTTCCAATGGCAATAAAAGACACTTCAGCTAGCATGCTTGAGAGACTTCCAAAAATAACAAATGCTATCACAAACGAGCAATAGACATGATCAGAGTTGAATTTGATTTTCTTTATTAAAAATTAATTACAGAGTTTGGAAAATTGAACAGGTGAGACGGGTTTAACCCTGGGCAGCGAGGAATGCTTCTCGGTTGAAAGTTCCTGGGCGCATTCCCATGCTTCGGGCGATTTGCTTGGAATTCTTCTTCGCTTTCTTGGCTGCTTTCTTGTGGTTCTTCTTGTTTTCTTTATCAGCTTTTTTGCCTTCCCGCTTATTTTTCTTGCCTTCCTTTTCCTGTCGCTTTTTATTTTTCTTGTTTTCCTTGTCGGCCTTCTTTTTGTTCTTCTTGTTTTCTGAGAGAATGTTAATCTACAAGTCTAATTTGTCTAATTCTAACCTTTTTCGCGTCTCTTGTCGGCCTTCTTGTCCTTCTTCGATGGTTTTCCTCCCTTTTTCTTTGAGTCACCTTTTCCTCGCTCTTGTTCGTATCCGCCGTAAGTAGGCTCGGAATATGGCTCAGGTGCGTTGTAGCCAGAATTGTAGCCTGAGGAGTATCCGGGGCTGGAGTTGTATCCGTTGTTGTAGCCGTTGCCGTAGCCATTGTTGGAGTAGGCAGGGTTCGCTTAACGGTTTTTGTAAACACTGAAACACTTAGAAAACCGGATCATGGATCAAAAACAGTCACGACCAGCCAAATATTGGACTGACCCGAGAAAAAGACGGGCCGAGGTGACGTGCTAACACTCGGGGAAACCGGTATATGGTTCGATCTTTTTCTCGACCGGGATGTGCCGCGTTTACCTTGATCGACCATGTGATCGAGCGGGTTGGAGACGACTGAGGCTGCCTGGACGTCAAGAGCTTGTCCGTTGTAAGCTGATGTGCCTTCTTTGTAGGTCGAGCCGGCAGTGTGGATGTTTACCTCACCGACGTCACCGAAGGTCTCTCCATTGGCAACGCTGCCATTGTCGGAGTAGCCATTTGCCTGTTGATAGCCGCCAGCAGTTTGCATGTGATGGACTTGCTCGGAATAGTGAGTGTTCAAACCAGCAGGTACAAAGGCAGTAGCGGTGTACGAAGGGTCAGCATGGTTATCGTGGACGTTTGTATATCCACCATCAGATTGGTAAGCTGGTTGGTAAGCAGGGGCTTGGTAGTAAGTTCCTCGCTCTTCGAAAATCAGAGTTCGAAAATGAGCTAAGAATCAAGTCCATAGTTGTTAAGGGTTTCAAATTTGGAAAAATTCCCACTGTGTAAAATCTCACGGGCCGTGAGTTTGCACGGTGGAATTTTGTCACGTGCAGGGGAAGAAAATTTTTCAAGGTACTGGAAATCACGTGATGTGACTATCAAAGGAGATAATCTGTCAAATCAATCATAAATCAATCGCTGATCGATTTTACGCATCGCCGCGACCCAAATCATTTTCATGTCAAAGTTGATTTACTATAAATGACCAATGTCTGTGAATATTCTCGAACTCTTATCAGTCTCTGTTTCTGTCTCTGCTTCTTCCCGGCGGAATCGGCGTCCGGCGGTGACTGCTGAGAAAAGCGCAAATCCTGCGAAAAGCTTCATTTTCTCTTTTGAAAATTATCTTTCCTTTTCTTTAGTTAGTTGTCTGCAGAGTTCGATAGACGATTTTATGTGTGCATTTTGTTTAGGTTAGACCGTTGTTAGATAAATTTGAGGGAAGCGTTGGGATCGGGGCCAGTTGATTCAAAAACGTGTATTATGTCATTTATTTAGCTCACTTTTTATGATTATCAGCATCTTTGGGCTTTCTAGGTAAATAAGGGAGTGTTTCTTAGGGACTTTCGTAGGGGGCTCCAACGGCCATTTCCCTAGCTATACTAAAATAGCAAGATAAGAACTGAATCTCTCAACACGTAAAGGCATTGAAAAGAAAGTTTCTCATGGTGAGATCTAAAATGGCGGCTTAGTAAAAATCTGCGTTCGAAAGAAAGGAGGTAAAAATAAAAGTGACAGCTGAGATTTGAAGGCCAACTGTCAACAGGAGAAATGACAGGACATCACTCGCCGAATTACCCACAGGATAGCCGCTTTTGGATTTCACGGCGGTGGAAGATTTTTTATCTAGATAGCGCTGCAGAAGCTGTACCTCAGCTGGCGCAATTGAACACGCTGTTTGGCGCCGGAAACAAAAACATAAGAAGTGCCGTGAATTTGAGTTTATCCAGAAATCAAAACAGTCACATAATTCGCGGACATCTATCTTTTTCGTGCCACACGGAGATCGAAATGCGACTTTACGAGATAAGCAGGCGAGAGATTGGAAGAAAGCTCTATCAGGTCGGATTCCTAACTCCTGGTAAAGAAACCAACAAGAAAATCGAGGAGCACATGAAGAAACTGGCGAAGATTGAGTACGAGCTGCAAGAAATTGAGAAAGACATTGAATACAACAGACGGAAGCTTCTGCTGTCAAGAAAGAAGGTGACGAAGCAACCATCGGCAAAGATTTTCTTTATGAAAGTGACGCTACGACAGGAAGAACAACAAAAAAGAATAAGGAATCTCGATAAGCTACGCAAAGACAGAATTAAAAGAGAAAAATACAAAATTGTGGTTGAATCGAAGCTTTACAGACTCTTGACGACAACCGACACTGAATTGCTCCGAGAAAGTCCATTGAAATCAAATTAAAAAACCTTTCGTATCTGCCCTTAGATCCATGTAAATACTCTCTAGCTTCTTGAATTCTACAAACAATCCCTACTGCCTAGAAATAAAATAAGACTGCAAAACTTGTGAAGTCATGAGTTGAGACAAATTGACTCTTGACGGCACTTTTTTCTGTGATGTGAATGTTTAATTAAATTTAAAGATAAAGTAAGAACAGAATGGTCTACTTAATTTCATCGGCAGTGGAGTGTATCTTAAGGATAATAAGCTACAGTGTTCCTAGTTTCCTGGATCCAAGACCCCGCTTTATTCTCACGTTATACGGGCCATTACCATAAAATTTCACATATTATACTCGAACTTTACAGTGTTAAGTTCGCACTTTGGAATTTACACTTTTTGAGCCGCGTATTTAGACATTTCACCGATTTGTTTTCGTAAAATTTTAAGATAAATAAATAAAGACGCAAATGAGACGGTTGCTTTTTATATGTGTGGAAGTTTGATTGGCAGTCGATCGAGTGCACCAGTAAAACCGAACTAGTGAAAACTAGGAATAGAAACAGGGAGCGCTTAGTGGATCGGCACTGGAGATATTAAATCGCCTGGAGCTGATCCTCCACGCGCTCATGTAGTGGAACTAACGAGCGAAGCTTTTTGGGCAGTTGGTCGAACCGGAACTAGTAACTTTCGTACTGAAGTATATATATATATAGAATGTGCTTCTTTTTGTGCTTGACTATAGGTGCTTTTTATCTAAAAGAATTGCTCTTAGGAAAAAGTATTAGAATTTAGCTTACCAGTGAATATTAGTGAGTATGAACATTTCGGCGAGCCACATTATTAGCCACTGGTCTGAAAACTACTGTCAATTGAAATATTTACCGGAGAAGTTTACCTGTTGTTTCGGGCATTTGAGAAATGCTTCTTGTGAAAGTTGGGTTGATAGAATTGGCCAGAGGACGAATTGTTTGGAATGATTGAAGGCGGGAGTTGATGATGATGAAACCGTGGCGGTTCGATGGGAATGGGCTTGTGCTGGTTGTGGAGCAGCGCATAGTTGCGATTCTGCAAACGCATCTGACGCAGACTTTCTTGCTTCAGATGATTGACTTCGTTTTCGCGACGCTAAATAAATCGGTTTAGTGTTTACGCCTTGATGTTGAAGATGGCAGACTTACAAGTTTCTCAGCGAATGGGTTCTTTTCCTCGGGTGTGGCGATTCGTACTTTCATGATAGACTCTTTGGGACTGGCCGGGTCGAAGGAGCTTTGATGGAAGAGCTCGATCGCGCTTCTTGCATCTTCCGAGTTATAGTAGGTGACTGTAGCGCAGCCTGTTTGTCGTTTTGTTCTTCTCTCTAAGAAGAGGAAGACCCGTTCGACGCCTATTTAAATATATCAGTTAACAAATAAATATTTACTGACTCGCTATGGATAATCTTTTAGCAAAGATTTTCTACCTTTGCTGACTTTGATGTTTCCTGCTTCTTTGAATCTGGAGATCAGCGCCTCCTTCGAGATATCTTCTGGTAGCCCTTGAATAAAGACACAGTCAGAGCAGTCTGTGGGAAGAAAAGAGTTGTTCCAAGGCTCCATAGGTTGAGGTGTCTCGATCACATGACCAGCATGTTCGAGAAAAGTGGGACCGAAGAAGGGACTCCCGTATCCCTGAATTGGACCAGAGTAGAACATATTTGGACTGAAATACTCGCCGCTCAAGCTGAAAGAAGATTTTTAGTCTTTGAAATCAAGGAGGACTCTCTTACCCGTATACTGTGCACTCATCTGTCGGAAAAGCCATGAGTGGTGGCGAGGGATGAAAGACGGGCGCAGTTATCGCAGTCGATTGGTCTGGAGAGATGTAAGCCAGGGGAAGTTGATCTAACGGCTGAATTTCATAGCAGCCAAAGGGCACGTGATGAAATCCCTGATTTCCAGGATTCATCTAAATAGCTTTTTTTAGGTTATGCAATTGCATTTGGGTAACATCTAATGTAGGACTGTGTTCACAAGTAATAAAATAATCCCTTGAAGAATCTCAGAAGAGGTGTTAAGTATAATAAAGATGGCTTGAAGGATTTTAGGTTGGTTGGTGTTCAGGTGGATGCGGTACCTACTCAGTAATACGACAAATTGAATGGTAAAAGAGGTTAACAGTAAACAGAGAAGGCAAAGTTTCAACTAGTAGCGCCTCGTAGATCTTAGATCTTATTGAATGCGACGATGTCAACCGACTGGACCTAGAAAAATAGATGAGATCTAGAAAATTATGAGGTTTACTTACGAAGTCCTCAATCGCAGTGATTTCTTCTTCCAAAAGTCGGTTCCGACTTTGTCATCCTCAACGACGCAGCAGATTTGGAGCTTCTTGATTCCGTACCCGACAGGGACGAGTTTGGCAGTTCCCCAGAGAAGCCCGTCCTTCTCGATGGCTCGGACAGCCTTCTCCATCTCGCCAAGGTCGGTCTCGTCATCCCAAGGCTTGACGTCGAGCAAAATGTTCGACTTCGCAATCAAGACACCTTTCTTATCCTCCTTTGCCTAGTAAAATATATAGGACGCAATTATTTTATTTTTCCTACCTTTTTCTTTTCATTGTAAGCGGCGATTCGCTCGGCCTTGAGTTTCTCTGCTTCTTCATTCTCATCTTCGTCATCGGATCCGAAGAGATCAATGTCATCATCTCCTTCGGCTTCTTTGGCGGCTTCTGGATTTGCATTGAGACGGGCCTCCAGTGCAGCAAAACGTGCTGTAATCTCTGAAGAAAAATATAGTCGTAATCGTAGCTTATTAAAAGTTACGTTCGAGTTGCGATTTCAATCCTCTGTTCTCTGCTTCTATGAGAGCGATTCTATCTTCGAGGGCGGCCTGGGTGGTGTTGGTCTTGGCTCCCGCCGCGTTGGGATTTTCCAGAGCGACCTTGATCGAATCCCGGGCAGCGCCAATTCTTTCCACGATCTTTTCCGCAGCTGGAGCGGCTGTTGTATTTGCGGCAGCCTTTGTAACTGGGTTTGCTGTGGCAGGGGCTCCAGCCTTAAAAATGGTTATTATTCTCTTCCTTGATTTCAGTGCTTACAAGAGCTGTCTCGCCAAGAATCGACTCGCGCAACTGACGTGCTGAGTATTCATGAAACCGCTCAAGCGCCCTTTCATAGATCGGATGCTCGATCCACGCCTTCTCTGAGACAGTCAAGTTTTTGAACAGCTCCATAATCGAAAAGACCAATCTAAAAAAGGCCCAATTAAATCTTCTATTTTTGATCACCAGTCGAAGGTTACACCTCTATTGTCAGATAAGTGAGGTAAGGAGTTGACTAAAAATTTGACGATGATAGAAACTTCTTCGTTCTTTGGCTGACTGTCTCCTTTTGGGCGCTCTAAAATCATTCCTGATGAGCCTTCACACATAGGTTTGAGTGGATCTGGCTGATCAGTCTCTTTCTTGTCTTCACGGAATCCTTTCGTTAAATAGATTTCCCTTACGGCAGGTTTTCTATCAATTACTAAAGACAAATAACCCAACTGAAAAGATGAGTCAACAGCGGAAATTGTTTATAATTCATAAAAACCCGCGCCTTGCCGTTCGTTCTTTCCACCCATCTCGCTCTATTTCCGCCCACCAAACTACTCCGGTGATGTCTCCAGGTCGAAGCTCACATTGGTTGCGGAACTGAACGCCTCTTTTCGTAATGGACTGAGAATCAAGCGTGAAAACTCGATTGATAACTTCACTTCGCGGCTCAAGATACTTGTCCCAATCAACCTCCGGATAGAGTGGATAGCTTGTCATTTGGAAGGTGTTTATAGCGTTTTCCATCTTCATACCCAATGGAAGATTAGCATCGCTATTAAAAATATTATTTTAATGGTTGAAATAGGAGGTGGTTTATTCTTACCTTGCGATGGCGCGTTTTTCAATTTCGGCAGACTTCACCAGTTGGAAAAAGAAATTCACGTTGACTGGTTTATCTAGCTCTTTTCTAAGAAGATCATCGACTCCGGAAAACAGCTCGCCGGAAAGATAAGATTGGAGTTTTTCCCAGTCGACGTGCGAGTTCACGTTCATGAACGGAATACACAACTTGACCATATTTAAGGAAGTGTCCTTTGGAAGAAGTTTTTGAGCGGCGCTGAGCGATTTCGCCACATTAACATTTTGAGCTTTAATTCCGGACTTGTCCATCGAGAAACGCTCCATTGCCTGAACTGTATCTGACTTCGTGCTGCAGATGATTAATTCCGTCTTAGTCTGCATGGCTCCATAAAGAATGTCGAATTCTCGCTTATTGCTGCACAAGATCAGGATTTTCTTTTTGTTCATTTTCAGATGTTCATTTTTTAAGACAACCGATATAAAGAAGAAAATGTGCTTATGTTTAAAAATCTCTGAAAACTTGCCTTGTTGTCATCGAATAGTTTGAAAACGTGCTGTCTTCGGAGATCAGAGTTAAACTCGTAAACAAGTCTAGAATGCACCCAGAAAGGAGTATCGTCTGGCTCATCTCCAATCTTTTCGAGAATGGCAGCGTCGTGTTCAAGGCGGAAGAGCGCCTGGAGTGGTTGTTCACACTCACCGTAGATCGGATAGACGGCCTGCTCCCAGCACCCATTTGAGTCCACACTGTTGCTGATCTGGATCTTTCGATCTTCAGTTAGATCGAGTTCGAAGGTGACAACGATGGCGTTCATTTGTTTCTTTTTGTTTGCGAAGTTTACATTCAGGCGCTGAACATCCGACCCGCGGGCACGGTGTTTACGAAGAGAGTCAACGTCATTAAAATCGATTTCCATCATAAGTTGCCGCTCCCCAAGTAAGGCAGGATCGTATCCTTTCAACATGTTTATTTTCTCGCCTTCGTACGGTTCCCACTTGTTCGGGCTCTTTGGCTTCTTACGAGCCATGAACGGGGCAGCGACAATGCGATCTGGGCGATCAGCTTCATCTCCAAAAAGAGCGAAGCTTTTTTTCTTGATTTCAAAGGAGTAGTACTCCTGGCAGTAGAGGCGGGCGCGGGCAGGGATGACGGAATGTTCGGGTTTCAGTAAATTTTCCTATTGAGGGATCGAATGATTCTATCATTGATACAACGGAGATACTATTTCACAAAAATGTCCTACTCTAGAACTTGCAGTAAATCAATTCATCCCTTTCCTTTGCATGAAGAATGGAGTCAATGGCGCTCTCGCCAAGGAGACCACAGTCGAAAATCTCTGATATCAAAATATCGAATTGGGAAGACAATGCGAGTTTGTCAATCGAGGTTGATAACCTTGACTCGACTTTGACTTTGGCTTCGTTGTTATTGGCGATTTCGAAGGAAAGATCGGCGAGGGCTGATCGCACTCGATGCATTTTACTTCGCTTGCATCTATCAATCAAATATATCTCTAAAAAAAAGCTCTCGAACCTAGCTTGGCAGCGGCGATGCCCAAAGGCCAGTTCCGCTCCCGAGATCGAGAACTGAGTTACTTTTTTCTTTACTCTTCTCCACGAGTATCGATTTAAGCGCGTTGACAAAAGCATGATTCCTCCCAGCATCGTTGATCATCAGTATGTGCCAGCTAAAGAATTAACGTAACTTTATTGATCCAAGCAATACGAAGCTTTAAAATTGTTTTTTTTTCTTTTCAAAATTTACCTGTCGCACAATTTGCCGGCACATCTTAACAAAGCGTTTCTGTAAAAGAATTAGAGATGTGTTTTGAATAAACTCCTTGTTTTAAGTCTGCTAACTAAAGACTCAAGATCAAATATCTAGAATCTAGATCCTTTCCTGGAAGGGAGATAGCTGGAATCGATCATCAACGCCTTTCGCTGATGCCGGACCGCCACTTTGATGTACTTGTTCTTCTCAAGCCAGATTCCGTACACGTAGTGAATTTCGACACTTTCTCCATTGGGACAGATAGACGAGATCTGTCGATACGCATTTGCTCCGTTGTTTATACCGATTTGTCTATTTTCCATTCGTGTGTTTACTTCCAACCATGAGTGAAAAATCGGAAGAATTTCTTTTTCAAAAGGTTAACTTTCTCGCCACTTCTAGCGAATATCATGGCCAATTTTTTGGCAAACGTTGGAAGACAAAGTTTGGCAAAGAGTTGGCCAAGATATCGCCAATGGGTTAAGAGGGTTAACCTTGCCTTTCTGGAGCTTGGTGTACAAATCCCTGCGCATGGTACAGAGCATAAGATATGCAGCAAATCTGGTTCCAGCATCTCGATCGCTTTCGCGTGCCTAAACAAAATCTCTTGGTATGAAGCTGAAATTTTCGTAAAACGGAAATATTTTTTCCGGAAAAAAAACTCAGGCTTTCGTTACATTGCCCAACGGCGCAAAATCGCACTTGGCTTGTAATCTTTAATTTTTTCTTTTTTCGAAGTTTGAAGGGACCTCCGAATAGCCTCGGGAACTATCACACTTCTCGGACATTCAAGTGCGCCGCAGATTCAAGAGCTGAGCTTCTATTTTACTTTGAACAAGGTCGCGCTCTTATTTTCTTTTTTGCAGCATATCTTTCTGCTTACTAAATTCCAATAAGAATTGTATAAAATAAACTATATAAAGTTCTAAGGCAACATATCCAAGTTGGAAATAAAAGTGTAAATAAAAAAAACACTTTAATAATATTTGAAAAAAAAACGATTTCCCTCGCAGTGATTGAACTTAAATCACATGAGAGTTTCGCCAAATTAGTGCTTGTTTTAAATTATTTTTCTTTGGCTGAAAATTATATCTCGAAATTAGCTAACAAGCTCGCTAAAATCAAGGCTTACCACCAAATTGGCTACTACGTGGACGGGTGTTAATTGCTTTGACGCAATAAAAATACCATCATTAGTTCCTTTGAAAAATGGAAGATATTTAATTGATAAAAATTATTTGACAAAATTCAGACTTGAAAAATGATTGTTGAAGTTTTAAATTGGCGCCCCTTCGAGTTGAGCAAATTTGAGTAAAGAAATCAACAACGATCAACAAAGAAGGAGCTTACCATCGTCAGAGCCTGGATTTCACTCTGCGGAATTCGAGGCGACATATTTTCTCTTTCCGGCACGTTCTCTCTGACTCCCAGAATCGTCAGGAAAGACGACTGCACGAATCTTCAATCAGGAGTGAGAGAAGAATCAACCAAGCGTCTGATTGGTCAGCGCTTGGAAAGCCTCATGGAAGGAGAATTTGACGACTCGCTCCTACCTTTTTCGACTCAGAATAATCACAATTTCACTATTTACTCCTGAACTATTCCTCAAATACCTAATACAGTCAACATGCCCTGAAACACTTGCTTGATATTGATAAATAAGCTGTTTTTAGTCCTTTTTGATTTCATTTTTGAGTTATTCAAGAAATGAATCGCGAAACTATTTGAATGTTTGAAAAATTTATTTCTTTTTATCGAAAAGACTGAATAGCTGTCGAATGAAGACAGATTTTTGTAATGGCAGAGTATGAGTGAGGTATGAATCGTGTCAATTTTCTTGAAAAGTTCATGAAATATGCTTTTTTGGAATCTGGGCTCAATTTTGGAGTCACAATGATCCACAGTGGTGAGTTCCAGTTTAGTCTTCGTCGCCTTTTTCATGGTCACTTTTTGATTAGAGTTTTTGCTTATGAAATTTTCAAAAAAGAATGAACGGTTCCTATGGCGTCGTAGTTTGGATTGTCATCTCCTTCTTCGAGAATTGGCTCCTGATCATCATCGTCCGTGGGGAAAGGCTTCTTTAGGACGTACTTGTACCAGGCTTGTCGGATGACCAAATCGTTGTAGAGACATGTTCCGAAGATCAGGAACATGAAGCCAAACACTTGTGGAATCGTATAAATTGAAACCTAATTAAGAAAACGTTGTGTGTCGATAATGGGTCAAACTTACAGTTTCCCACCCGACAGCGAGCGTGAAAGCCCAAATGACGACCGTACGGATCGAGTCCAACACCATTCGAGTAGTGGCAGATTGCGTCTTTGTGACGGAGAGGCCGAAGTAGTTGAAGAATGCGATCGACAAGATATTCATCACAACACCGGCAACGATGATGCCGTTATTGCCCATTTGCATCAAGCCGTCGATCGCGTCTTCCAATCTTAAAAAAAGTCAGCTAGGGAACGATCGAAAGATCAGGTACCTGCAAGAGCCGTTGAGTGCCGGTTCAAAAGGATCAGAGCAGAAGTTAGGCGGCAAGATAATATAGTAGAAAGGAACCAAGAGAATTGATAGGATACAAGCCCCGAAGAAGCCTTCCCAGCCGACTGCTCTTAATGGATGGATGTTCTTGCCATTGACGAACTTCTCCTCAATGACCATTTGCGCAGCCACGATAACCTGTGCAGCGATGATCAGTCCGTCTCCGATTAAAACGTGGCTGAAGTCGTTTATTACTTTCCATCATTGCGCGGAGAAATTATTTACCTGAGGTCTTTTCCACCACCATTGTGAATTTCCTTTAACATGTCGGAAACGCCAACTGCAGCGAGACCAACGATGACGACGCCGATTCCAGCCCAACGAAACATTTGGATTATCGCCTTGAGAAAGATGACAGAGAAAATCGCAGTGAAGAGCATGACAGCGCCGCGCAACATTTGAAACGAACTTGCAAATGTCAGCGTCAAGCCGAAATACATTGTTGATGTCCCGAGCATATCGCAGCACGCGGGGAGGCAGAGCAGAAACGGACTGAAATCAACGATGAAAACAACGAAAAACAACAAGATTCCTCTGACTCTTGTTATCAAAGTCTCACAGACTGGAGCGCGCAGTAACTCAGCGCCTCCAGTTTGATCAAAAAGTAAGCACCATAACAGCATGGCCTGTTCGCCGTGTAAGTATTTTTAAGAAAAGCGCTTTCGCAAGAGAAAAATTGCCAGGCGGTGCTGTTCGAAAATTGCCGACGTAACATTCCGGTGATGAGCGGCATCGTCGGGTTTTTGAAGTGAAAAGTTCTGGATTTTGAAGCCCCCCAAGGGGGGCACTGAGGCCCAAACTGACTGAATATCCAATGAAAAAAAGCTACCTGAAGTCGTCGGATCCAACATCGATTTCGCCTTCCTCGACTTTCTTCTTGTTGAACCGTCTCCAAATTTGAAAGGCGATCAAGCAGGTAAATTCTCCAATGAACATGCCGACTGCCTGGAGAAAGGGATGATCGAAATCGTGCTCGGGAAATTCGGGTTTTCCGATTGCTCGTTGGTTGTCCGCCCACTTCGTCGAGATCGTATTGATCGAGCCTGTTATCACCATTCCCAAGGCAAGAAATAATTTGTACCTGAAAATTATTTGTTCTGTACTGGTGACCTTTTCCTCATTTTTACTCCTTATTTTCATTTCGCAACAACATTGCTGATTTTAAACGCCAAAAATTGGATGAGACGTGTCCTACAAAGTTGTACGATACAACTTTTATCATCTTAAAACCTTCAAAAGGGCTATTCTGTAGAAAATTCTTTTAATTTCAGATCAACAAAAATATAGTAAAAACAGGTATTCTTTACCTTATGAATTGATTGAATCATTTTTAGATAAAGATTTTTGGCATTTAAATTTATAAATTGAGATAATCAACAATATCCCAATAATTAGTAATGATGCTATTTTTTAAAGTGTCGTTCTTACTTGTCTTCAGCCCTCATGGCGATATTATTTGTCTGTTTTCTCTTCGACTATTTTCTTCTTCTTATTTTGGCGAGTTTCTCGCCACTGCGACAAAACGCCATAATGCGCTGCTGATTGGCCCCGACCAGTAGACAAACCGAGAAAGTCAAGAGACGCGAATCCAGCAACTTCGGTATTCTGTCTGCATGCAAATATACACTACATTACTCAAACAAAATTTTTGTTTTTTTTTCCGTGAAATTAGAGTTGAATGTGAGAACTAATTGCATATATTTCGATTTTATCTTTTACAACGATGTTGTGATCGAGAAGCCGCTTACGGCTTTGAGAAACGCGACTGAAGCCGCACTCTCTGCGGCTCTTTGTTTTCTAATGCTCGAAGCCGCGATCGGCTTCCCGATCGAAGGATTTATCAGAAGACTATTAGCAGTTTTTTTAGGGTAATGAATGATTTATTTTATTAGATTGTTAACAATACCGCTGCGCAGATGATCGCTGAGAAAGATGTGCAACAAGACGAAGAGCTTGGACAACTACTGACACGCGAAATCGCACGGAAACAGGCCCACACGGCTGCTGAGAAGAAACGGCGAGATGCGATCCGCCGTGGCTACGACGACTTGGGCGCTCTAGTGCCTACTTGCGTCCAAGCAGGAAAAAATCAACTGTCAACAACGAAGTTGTCCAAGGCCACGATTCTCTCCAAAACAATCGACTATATCGAGTTGATCAAAGAGGAAGAAGCCGCCCAACAAGAGCAGCTCAGCAAGCTCCAGTACGAAGCACAAGGGCAAAAAATAGTCCTCCAAAATTACGAAACGATGATCAAGAACCAGCGTCTCAACCCAAGTCAGCAGTCGATTTCGAGCAACGACCAGGTGAAAGTCAACTACTTCAAGTCGTTGTGCGACGAGCTGTTCAAGAGTTTCGACGCCGAAGTCGACTGCAAGAGCTTCGCGACGCTTTCTCGCGGGATGCTCCACTGGTCGGAGCGGCATTGCCAAAAGGAGCACATTGCGCACCTCTTCAACAACATCGCTTTCCAAAGCCACATAGAACTGACGCCTCAAGTCGGAAACGGTCACGATGCAACGATTGTACGAAGAAACAGTGGCCAACAACAATACTTTCCCTAACAACTCAATTCTCTCTATTCCATGATCTCTACTAAACTTATAGCCCGGCATTTCTTTCCAACCTCTCAAAATTGTGATTAATAAAAGCTTTCTTTATAACTTGACGATTATTTTTGTTAAAGAAATAATGAGTCGATATCGAAAATTACCAAAGTTCGGCCGCGAATTTGCATAAAGCAGCAAAACGAAAATCCGCGAGTTTTGTAATACGAAGATGGACGGAAACGATTTGTTGGCGAGATTCAAGGTGAAACACCTCGTCTGGATTCCTGTGATCGGCTTCATTCAAATCTACTTTCTGTGGCACTATGCGAACAAGGCCGAGCACATAAGAAAGGCGAAAGATGCGTTTTTGTCGAAACATTTCGAAGATGCAGAAAAATGGAGAAGCGAGTATCTTGTGCATTTTGACTACGCCGTTGGAACGTACGAAACAGAGGCGGGAATTGAAGTGAAAGACGTCACACTTGTTTCTCAATGCTCTCCAGGAAGGTTAGACGCACTTTTTTCCATTCAATGTTAGTTTCTGTCTGCTAAAATTTGTCTGTGTTTAACTGAGTGAAAGACAACCTGCATCACGTAGAAGGACTTATGAAGGCTTGGAAAGGGCCTATTTCGATAGCCGTCTTTGCGCCCGATCGTGACGCTGTTTCGGCGATGTTTGGCATCCAGATATTGAGAAAGTGCAACGCAGATATCAGAAGACACGTTACCTTTCATATCATGTATCCGAGTACCCACCCGCCGCGATTTGATGAAACTGTCGAAGATTTTACTGAAGAGGAATGCATCCTAGGCCCGGGTTTTCGATATTTTCAAAATTTCTGATTGTTCTTTTTGAATTAAAAATTTAAAACCAGATAAAAGCAATGGAACAGCTAAAAGCATGGGAAGGAGCAAACTACGCTCGTGGCGAGCTGCCTTATCCCCAAAACTCGCTGCGAAACATCGCTCGGGCGAAGATCAAGACCGACCTGTTCTACCTCGTGGATATAGATACCGTGCCTAGTGGAGACTTGCGTTATCAATTCACCAAATTTGCAAAGAAAAGAGGCCTCTTTGATCAAACAAGACTCGAAGCATTTATCACACCTGCATTCGAAATAAGAAGCCATCATCGCTTGCCACAGAACAAAGACAAAGGTGATTATTGACAATCAAGTCCACTGGCAGAACTTCTGCCGGAGAAGTTTGGATCGACCCTTTCTTCTGCTCTAAACGATGGCCCATACCAAGTTTTTACCCTAGTTATTCGATTGGTCGACGACGGAGAAATGCGTCCCTTCCACTACGATACATGTCCTTATTGCCACAAACCGACGGAATTCGACCATTGGTACGGATACCGCGGATCTGACGAGCTCGAGGACGCGTACGAAATCGAGTACTCAAATTCCTTCGAGCCCTTTTATCTCGCCAATACTCACGTCGCTCCCTTGCACGATGAGCGATTCAAGGCTTATGGCTTCGATAGAATTAGTCAGGTAAAATCCTGATATTGATCGTCGTTTTTAATAGTTACTTTATGAAGATTTGCGAAATGCACGTAAAAGGATTTACCTTTTATGCACTTAACAACGCCTTCATCGTTCACAAAGGATTCAAATTCAAGAAGAACTTCCACGAAACCAAAGACTACGAGAACAAGAAGAACGGCAAAATTTACGAAAAGTACTTCAAGCCAGAGCTGAAAGTTAAGTACCCGAATTCGCAGCGTGAATGTCTCGAGGAGTCAGCCAACCGCAGAGGCCATGTCCAAGTCAACGTCGATAATCTGAAACAAATCCTCAAGAGGGGCGTAGAGTAAGTCTGCGAAAAATAGACAGTCGCATATTTTTTCTTAGGCAGCACATTCAAACTGAAAACAAGAGAGAGAAGAGGAATGCCGATAAAAGATCTGAAGAGCAAGGCTTAAAATCTGAAGAATCGGAGCAATTAGAACAAGATATTCAATCAGACGAGATTCTAGAGGAATCACATTCACCGGAAAATCTTCCTGACGAGAGCATTTTATCTAAAGACGATGAAGTGCAAGAAACAGACAAAGATGAAGATTCCGTGTCAGAAAGTGAAGAAACCGAAGATCGAGAAGAGGAATCTATTGAAGAAGTTGGTGAATCAGACGAAGAAGCTGCACAAATTGAGCCGTCCCACAACTTCCTTTCCGAGAACGAAGAAGCTGAGCAAGGAAATCTTCAAGAACCTTTGGAGAATGCAGAAGTTGAACCAATAGTCGAAAAAGAAGAAGACGAGAATCAAGCCGAAGTATCGGATGAAATCTCCGAAGATAGTGAACAAGAGGATGAATCCGAAGACGCACCTCAAACCGGTAAGAAAGTCAAGAAAGGCTGTCAAACTCATAAATTTTCTTCAGAGATAGAAACACGTAATGTACGTCTTCTCCACCGCGAAGAACTAGATTAGGAATGCCTTATCAACTAAACTATCAATCGATGCCAAAGAACACTTGCCTTTATAAATCTATTTTACTATCCTCTGACTGATAATATTTCTGTATAACGAGTAGTCTTTTTTCTGTACCAATTTAAACCATCCTATTCGTTCATCAACACTTCCAACCTGAAATTGCAACTTGAAACCTATTTACCTTCTAAAGAAACCCACGTCTGTATTTTCTGTATAGTTCCGAATATTGCTATTATATCTTCCGAGCTCGAGTTATCACGATAATAATCGTAGAATGTTGCGAAAAGCTACTGTTCGACTTACTCGACCTATCGCTGCTCGATCTCTTACATCTGAGAATCGATGGTCTGGAGACTTTATTCATGTCTCTCACACTGACGCCAAGGTACTACCTTTTATCCCTTTCTCCTTCTTATCTATCCACTATCCAGGTCGGATTGATCGAGTTGGACCGACCAAAAGCGCTCAACGCTCTCTGCGACGGACTGATGCTCGAAGTCGCCAAGGCCCTCGACGAATTCGACGCTGACAAGTCGATCGGCGCTGTGATCATCACCGGTCGAGGGCGAGCCTTCGCCGCTGGTGCTGACATCAAAGAAATGCTTCCTCTCAACTATGCCCAAGTCGCTGGTGGTGATTTCTTGGCGCATTGGGGTCGCGTTTCCAAGAATACCAAGCCTGTTCTTGCCGCTGTCAATGGGTTTGCTTTTGGTGGTGGTTGTGAGCTGGCGATGATGTGCGACATCATGTAACTTCTATCAGTAGTTCTAGCCAGATTAGGATGATCTAGGTACGCTTCCGACAAGGCAGTTTTTGGTCAGCCAGAAATCAAGCTCGGCACCATTCCCGGCGCCGGCGGCACTCAGAGATTAACTCGCGCTGTTGGAAAATCCCTTGCGATGGAGATGTGCCTTTCTGGCGAGCCAATCAAGGCTGATCAGGCACTCGTCGCTGGACTCGTTTCCAAGGTCGTCCCTGGCGACCAGTTGCTTGACGAAGCTCACAAAACTGCCGCTAAAATCGCCGAAATGTCACAGGTGTACTTTGAGCGTCCCTTCTTTTGTAAACTCTGTTTTAGCTGACTACTGCCATTTGCAAAGAAGCCGTCAACGTGGCCTTCGAGTCGACTCTGGCCGAAGGTGTGCGATTCGAGAGACGCATGTTCCACGCCACTTTCGGCACTGAAGACCGCCGGGAAGGCATGTCCGCTTTTGCCGAAAAGCGAAAAGCCAACTTCAAGGATTGCTAAAAGCAGTTCTCTATTTCACTGTATTCCAGGAAAAAGACTTCAAATTAGAAAATATTTACCTTTCTTTTCTCCCTGGAAAAATAATATTTATAGCTCTCTCGAGGATCTGTAATCCCACAGAGAATTCCTTCAAAAATGCCTGTTATACTCAATAAATACTTGTAGATAAGAGTTGCATTGAGAAATATGTCAAAATATGCAAATTTGCCAGGATATGATACGTCATCCAAAACGGTTTACGGGGACAATATCGATGACAATATGAGCATGCCCGAGGAGGATCGTGATTGGAAAGGTAGTCAAGCAATGAGCAACGAGTTTTCTGTATTGAAATTTTTCGATAAGCAGCAGCAGAAGGAGAAGGGGAGGAAGAAAACGAGGAGAACGTGGAAATCATTACTTGTGAAGCAGCTGAGGCGATCAAGCGCTTCCGCGAAGGTGATATTGATCAGATCGGGGATGTGACTGGAAGACAACTGACAGGTCTTTATCTTTCTCATTTAAACAGGAAGTTTAAAACAAGCGCATTCAGAATCGGTAGAAACAGCGAGAAAGATGATGGACAAGCTGACCGACACCGGTGCAAACACACAATCTCTTGACGTAGAAATGGTCGCTCAAGAAGCGTCGAAGCCGGATTCAAGCTACAGAATATATTCAAACGCAGAAGCGACAATCTCACAGTTGCAGCAGCGCATTTCGAGACTGGAAGAACTAGGTAACTTTTGGAGCAACTTGCGTTCTTCCGTTGACAGAAGAAGGCGTTCATGTTTTGAAAGCCCAGTTCTGAAAGTTTACAGCCTTAGCGCTATCTCTCAAAACTACCAGACTTCTGGGCTAGAAATGAGAAATCCGTCTCATATGAATGGAGAATTTATCGTCATTTTTCTAGTAAACAGTGTTCCCGCTGATCCACTGCAGCCAGGAGGAAGCCTCTCCGACATTGCCCAAACGATTTCTCAGAAGATGGCTCTTTTAGAAGATGATAAAGTCAAAGCCGCGGACGCCAGGTTAGGCTCGCTTCTTGAAAAATACAAGGAGGTGCCTGAAAGTCTTCAGAAACTTCCGGATCTTCATAAAGTAAGTGAATATTGAATCATCCTGAGTCAATTGCTTATGATCTGTTTATCTAGTGGGAGCCTGTTTTCACAGCTCTTCCAGCAATTGTCGAACGATTGGAATCTCTCGCGCCGGTTCACCAAGTTGCTGCCCGTGTAGCCCAGAACTTCGTCAATTTAGAAAAATGTCAAGCAGCCATACAGGTTCATACAGTCACAACCGCTCTTTTGAAGCGCATTTTCAGTCTCAACTGGATCGTTCGGAAGCGACACAAAACGAACTGCACAGCGCAATGAATCAAAACCTAAAGATCGCCGCCGAAAACGCCAAAAATCTGACGGCCAGATTCGAAAAACTTCAATAACTCCTCGTTGCACCATCCATCCTAAAAAGACAAAATTCCCATCATACTATTACTTTCAAGAACTTAAAAATTCAAGCAACTTTAGTTTTCCTAAAACGACTTTCAATGAAACAAAAAATGTGCGCGTCCACAACCCGCTGTACAAAGTTATTATTTACCGAAAACATCTGTAGCTCCCGGGCCGAGGTGCTTTAAAACAAATAATTTGTAATTAAAAATTTTCAAAAATGCATGTCGCACTTTCATTTTTTCTAACCATCCCGGCCCTGTGACTATTTTCGTTCATTTCTTCACGTGACCTGGCGTAAATATGTTAAAAGCAATGTTTAAGATTACTCCTGAATGCAAATCAGCAAAAAACATGATGTCAATTTGCATTCATTTCACTACTCTTTATTGCGTCTATCTATTAATTATATATATTTTTCGCTAGAATGATCAGAGGATCAGTAAGAGGATGGCGTCCCTCAAGAAGTTTCTCTATCTCCACTGTTTTCTGCTCTGAAACCAAGAAAGCAGGGGTGACCATTTGGGCAAAAAAATCATCGTCGGGCCGACCAATTGCCCGCCCAATACCAAAAATCAAGACCCGGGCCGACCAAATGCCCGACCAGTCCGATGTGCCCAGAATGCCCAATCGGGCAATTGGGCAATTTTTCGGGCATAAATTTACCCGACATTTCGGGCTTGTTAAAACTTTAATTTTTTAAATTTCTCTTAATAATTTATTACAGTTGAAGATTGGGAAGGTTTGAAATATATTTAAAAAGCGGTTAAAAAATAATTTTGTAAAAGATCGATCAGGTTGTCAAGAATAGACAGCTAACCATTAAGGTCCACTTCACACACTCTTGCATAACCGTCTCGAAAAAAGGGGTTCAAAAATGGGGTTGGAAAAATGAGTGATAAAAAGGATTTGGAGGTCAAGGGTAGACAGCTAACCATGAAGGTCCACTTCACACACCCTTGCAGAACCATCTCCGCAAAGAAGGGGTTGAGTTAAGGGTAGAGATAATTTCACAAAAGGATCAAGAGGTCAAAGGTAGACAGCTAACCATAGAGGTTCACTTCACACACCCTTGCAGAACCTTCTCCTTATATCTTTTTTCTTGTTTATGAGCTTAACGACCAATAAGCGGACAGGAAAACGCCCACGTTCATGATTTTCCCCGGTGGGCATTTGCCCAACTGCCCGATGGTGTCCAACTGCCCAGAAAATGCCCAAATGCCCGACTTTTCCAATGTTGCCCAGCCTATTTTCAGGCGTTGAGCCGACCAAATGCCCGCCCAAAAGCGTTTTTGCCCGAAAAGTGCCCGATTTGCCCAAATGCCCAATGCCCAAATGGTCACCCCTGAAGAAAGTCGACAAGACAGTCAACAAGGCGAAAATTGGAATGGACGAAAATGCGCTCTTCAAATACTTTTCTAGCGGTTGCTTCGGCCTCAAAGATTTCTTCCGACCTGTGGAAGATTGGGAAAACATTGTCAGTCTTTCTGCCAATTTTTCTGGGGCCGAGTATACTCCTGAGATCCTGAAGGGCTTCAAAAACGATCAGCTTCATGAGCTTTGGTATGTTCTTTTGAGGCATAAGAATCTTATCCGAACGGAAAAGTACGAAGCATGGAGAAAGAAGAAGGTATTCAACCATAATTGTTCTTCAATGATAATCGTTCTCAGACCTATGAATACAAAGTAGACCCAGAAGAAATTGTCTCTCATAGTATGTTCAATATCAAAGAAGAAATAAAAAGGAGGAATCAAACTGTCGAGCGGAAGCGAAGAAGACCGCGGAGAATGGAGATGACAACTCTTTACGATACGTCTGGAATCGGCAGTGGTAGTGAAGTCGAGCTTGATGCTCATGTTCTGCCCCCAACGTAAGATTCTGGCGAATTTCTATCTTTATCTTTTTGTAGATCAGAGTCTCCAAAAGGCTATCCTGAGAATATGGACACGCATCACATTAATAACTACTATCCAATGGATGTTGAGCAGCCAGCTGCGATATCTTTCTACGACAAGAATGGCAAGAAACAAACTCTTATTCACTTTAAAAAATTTGAAATTTTAGATATGGATAAAATGTCACTTCAAGAAGACGCGGCGATGCAGGAGCACTACTTCTTCGCTAAAATTAATAAAATGTGGACACATTATAAAGGCAAGCAGTCGCAAATCCTTTCGCCCGAAGAGTATCAAAATAGACTTGAAGATGGCTATTATCCAGAAGAAGTTCCAGACGTGCGTATTCCTCAAAGATCTCTGATCATATAACATAACTCTTTCAGTGGTTCCGCGATATGTTCATGCACGATGATATGTGGACGTACGGGATCTGGGCGCAGCACGGCGTCCTCGCCCACAAAGAAGTCTTCTCCGGCCAAAAAGAAAGACCTTTCCTTGCTCGAGACTATGCTAATGAAAAGCGCCCGTATAACTAAAAATAAACTAATTTTGCAATTCAAAATTTGTTTGAATCCCTGCTTTACAGAAAGCATCAAAGATAGATTGATAGAATGGAAAAGTATGAAGTCATATCGAAAATAGGCTCTGGTTCGTATGGGGAAGTGTCGCTCATTCAGGACAAGAAAACGTCGAAGAAATATGTGGTGAAGAAAGTGAGCTTGCTGGGCACGTGGAAAGAGAGAAAAGCGGCGATGCTGGAGGTGAAGTTGTTACAGACACTCAAGCATCCGAACATCGTCTCGTACCACGACTCGGTTCAGAGTCAAGACGGCCACTTGCAAATTGTCATGGCCTACTGCGAAGGCGGCGATCTCTGCAGATATCTCAAAAAGCGAAAAGAGCCACTGGACGAGCAGCAACTTGTCGAATGGCTCGTGCAGACCTGCATGGCGCTACAGTACTTGCACAGCAAAAACATTCTTCACAGGCTCAGGTTCGAAAACGCCACTACTCCGATACTCCTTGTTGTCACCAAACTACCAAAACAACCGCAAATTACCAAAGAAAAAGAAACTGAAAGAGTGAAAATCATCAATTGGAAGGTCACTCTTTCTTAGTTTTTTAGGTGATAAGTTTGGTTCTCAATCGATGATCAAAAACCAAATTAGTTTATTGTGAAAAAATAGAAAAGAACGAACAGACAAATTCAAAAAGATCTAAAATAGTGAAATTTAGAACAGGAAAAAAACAAAACGGGAATGAAAAAATCGTGGCTACAGAAAAATACATATGAAATTAAATCTAAGACTACAGTAAGAAAAAATACGAGTGAAAAACATAAGCTAAAAAGTGACAGAGTGAGTAAATACAGAGAGATTAAATACAAAAAAAATATAAAATTTTCAATAAGGTAAACGAGAAGGAAAAAATCTGAAGAGCGCTTAGAAAGCGTGTTGAGTTTCCTCTTCAGTGTAGACAAGCTCCTCGTGGACAACTTTGGTGATGGCCAAGTCAGCTTCGCAGTCGCCGGCGACTAGAATTGAATTTTAGATGGAGAAGTTTTGAGACTGAGAGTGGCTTACCGTTTTCCTTGTCCTCTTCGTTGTCTTCAGTTCGAGAGCGCTTGACGTTCTCCTCTGGGGCCTCGCTCTTTCGCTTTCGTCGGAGCTTGGTGGGGTCACTAAACAAAATGCTTTAGAATTTTTGAAGTCTAAGAGGAGATCTTACCAGACAGAGTATTTCGGCTTGTACTCGGTGACTTGAGCGCGAGCGGTCTTCATCTCTTGCCATTTCTTCTGTCGCTCGTTGACGTTTTGCTGCCATTTGGCGGGAACAGCTGCGCCATCGAATTTTGGAACTTGGTCGACCTGGAGAATTTCGATAAATTTAAGGCCCACTATTTACACTCAGGTCGGTCCATGTTTTTTACCAAGAAATATCAAGTGAACCATCAACCGTGTGTTTATTTACAACAAAGAACCCTTTACTAACCTGCTTGTCCGTCGCGAAATCATAAAAGAAGGCGACAGGCTTCTCGATCGTCATGGTATTGGTAGTTGAGGAGTTCGTCTTGTCTGTACTGTCGAAAAGTGAATCTGAGCCCTTTTCTGAAAAATGGGCTCAGCTCGACAGATCCTCATAAACATTCTAGAGAAAATTTTTCAACTCGAAAACAACTTTTGCCGGAGATCGCGCGGTTACCAGTTTTCGGCGGATAATTCGCATTTTAAGGCTTTTTGAACCTGCAAAAGAGATCTAAAAACTCAAAATATATTTCTGACATCTAGTGAAGTTATAAAACTTGGAGATTTGGGGATCGCAAGAGAATTAGGAGCGGTTTTTACACAAAAAAATGGCGATTTTGAGAGTTTCTCTCTCGAACGCGAAATTCTAGAAAAATTTGTTTGTTTTTCGGGATCAACGAAAATTTTCTCGTTTTTTCTCGCCTTTTTACCCCTTTTTCGAGTGTAAAAACCGAGTTTAGACTCTGCTACTGATCTTGCAACAACTGTAATTGGTACTCCCTACTACATGTCGCCGGAGCTGTTCAGTAGCAGGCCTTACGGGAAGGAATCCGACGTCTGGGCCCTTGGTTGTTGCACTTTTGAGATGATGACGCGCAGGCATGCATTCAATGCGCGCGATTTGGACTCTTTAGCCATGAAAGTCTTGCACGGAAAAGCTCCTAAAATGCCACACACTTATTCAAAGCGACTAACAGACCTGGTTCTTCGAATGCTATCTTTTGAATCTGAACATAGGCCAACTGTATCGGAAATACTCCAGCAACGTTTCGTTAGGTAGAGTCCTTATTTCCAAGGAATTATCATAAACTGATTTTCTGCTGAAATGTTCATCTTGGGAAAATAATTGTAATCATTTTTTATAAAACAAAGCTGATGTTTAGTGAAAAAGCTTACTTCAAAGCATGTCCGCAAAAGCTTTTTTTTCCGCATTTCGCATGGAAAATATTTTCCACTAGTCCATATCATAAGTAAAATGTGGCACAGACCCAGTCTAAATACGAAAAAATGATGCTGGACCATGGAAAATATAACTCGATATATTTTATAATATGAACTCTTGTAGGGACAGGATCAAAATTTTCCTGGCGCGACAACGTCCTCACTCTGGAAAGTCTTCACGGAAATCTTCCTCTCGACCTTCATCTGGTAAAAGTCCAGTCTCTCAAGGATTGGATGTCTATATGTTTACACCAAGTAGATAGTTGCAAACTCCTGAAACCTCCTTGGTTCCCGGACTTTTAGCATCATTTTCGTCATCTTTCATAGCTCCCGCACTAAGCCAACTTCACGAAAACGCTCCCCCTGCTCCTAAGACCGAGGAAAAGCCAGCAGAAACGGAATTTAACACGATGGAACCACAAATAGGAACAGTAGTCTTCCAGAACGAATCCGAACCGGTTAGACAAGCAAAACCGCCATCAGAGAAGGCGAAAAACGCCCAAATGAATCAGTTTATTTCTGATGTGGCACTCAACTACGCTATGCAAAATCCAAACTTGGCGGAGAACAAAGAAACCTACATAGGAAGGGATGAAAATGCACTTTTAGATTGATTTCCAAGCCAAAAAGGCCGACCACGGCTATTTTCGAGAAAAAATCGCAGAAAAACAAACAAATTGCCTCAAAAATTCTAGAATCAGCAGAAAATCTCTTCAAAGTCGCGAAAAATGTCGGAGTAGCTCCCCCATCACATCCAGTCGTGCAAAACGTTAAAAACGAGCGAGTTCCGAACTCAAACAATTCTTCTCTAAACTCGACGTCAACTGCTCGCGATCGACGGCGAAAAGCGAGACTGGAGCAGATTGCAAAAGAGCGACGTGTCTCACTTGCCAAAGAGCAGTCCTCGATGGTCGATCTGATGACTTCCACGCTCAATCAGCTGCCTGAAGAGCTTAAAAGCCCTCGTTTGCCCGAGCCGAGTTTGCTTGCTGCAGATCGGACTCTCAACAGGTTTCGCAACGATTTCAAATCAACTGATACAAACGCCATCATTTTAGTGACTATCGAAGTGCGAATAGAATGGTTACTCTGCATAAAATGCTTGAGAGGGAGCTTGGAATATCCAATCTTGTCAAGGCTCTAAAAGCGGTATTTCTTCCTTGCAAAGATCCTCTTTCTTAATCTTAATTCTAGGTGAGCAATCCGAATAAAGAAGAGATGTGGAACCAACTGAATAATCTTCTCCCGACCTGGAATCGTGACATTTGGGCGGCTCGAGTCTACACTCTTCATGTTCTCAGAGGCCTTGGTGATCATGCCTACTAACTTTTATTCTACCTAACTTTCAAATGCAAATCCCTGTACATAATTCACTTACCCAAACTTCCAGTAACTGATCTTCCTGCTACCTTCTTACTACCTTCGATAACCACCATTCCCTCTACAAATTATTTTTATATTTTAATCATAGCTTCTACTTTTATATAAAAAAGAACTCTTCCTAAATCCTCTATCTCAAATAAGAATGGAAGTGGTCAAGTGCTGGAAATGCGAGCTACCCTCTGAAATAACAATCCAGGCGTCGGGCTTCTTTTGCTCCAGCTGCTTTGTCGAGTACTTCAGGCAGAAATATCGAAAGATCATCGGTTAGTAAATTCGATCTTAGCAGAATGAACGTAATTTTCTTTCCAGGTGCGTCAAAGCTTATACGAGACAGAGACCTGGTCGTGTTCGCTTTTGACGGAAGCGCGTCTGGCTGTGCAATGCTCAACGTTATTTCCACTTTCCAGCAGCACTTTGCCAAAGCTAACTCGGAGAATATGAATTATAAAAGGAAGAATCGCTACATCACGAAGGCTCTTCATATGACGGATTCATGGTATATCAATATAATGGTATATTTACTCATCATTCTTCATTCATGCCTGAATCTTAAATGATTAAACAATAAAACTTTTTTTAGCAACGAAAGAGTTAAAACAGCATTAGAATCAAGTGGAATTGAGTATGTAGTTTTCTCTCCATCTGAAGAAATGAAAGAAAAATATGAGAAGCAATGCTTCAAGATCGAGAGATTCGGAGACGAGACGGAAAATGAATTCAACAAGAAAAGTCTCCAAATGGAGCTACTCGTGGACAAGGCGAAAGAAATGAATGCTCAGTTTCTCATGCTCTCGTCGCATGTTGAAAGCCTAGCGGCGAAAACACTGAGCGTCGTGAGTCTTGGATTGGGAGAGGAGATACAAGCTACTGCTGGTCTTTGCCACACTTACAATGGGCTCAGGATACTTGTAAGTTTTCGTTTTCTCTTCCTTGATTTCATCAGGCAAAATAAAGAAGCCGTTCCGAGAGATGACGAAGAAGGAAATTGATTTCTATGTTAATGCCACCTGCGGAGAAGGTATTTTACCAGAAGAAAACAAAGAAGAAGAAGATCAATCAAGTATCAAAAGTATACAGTCCTTAGCGGCGAAGTTTTTGTCCGATTTGAATAGTCAAGGAAAGGACTCGAATCCAAGCGCAATCGTTAGACTTTCAAATAAACTGAAAATGAAAAGCTGAAAGGAGAGTTGCTAAATAATTGTTGATTTAAGAATGAGATCGCGGAGTTCTTCGGTGACCACGAACAACTCGGGATCGGCTCTAACGAATGACGAAATCGGAATTTCTGAATCTTCTGGTGGCCTTGGCCTTTCTCGTCCACAAGAGTTGAAGCTTGCCATCGAGTGTCTCAAGAAACGCGTCGTCGAGGCCGAGAACATGCACCAACTCGAGCAGAAAGCGTTGCTCATCGAGAAGCTAATCGAACTTCGCACTGAATTAGAAGATCTGACATCGGAAAAGTCCTCTGGAGTCCGAATAACGCGAAAGTTGGGGCACGAGTTTACGCATTTACCGAAATCGAGCGAGAACTATTGCGAACAGTGTCTTGGCGCGTGCTGGTCCTCGAAAAACGTGGCTAAATGCAACTTCTGTGGCTTTTTCGCGCACGAAAAATGCTTACGTTCGATCTCGAAGCGCTGCCAAGGACAGGGCGGAAATTACGTCCTCGACATTTGCCCCGAGCGCGGCCTTCATCTTCAAAAGTACAGGTGTAAAGATTGTCGCTGCAAAATTGCCGTGAACCCGACAGAAGCGAAAAAGGGCACTGCAGAGGCGAGACTGTGCAGCTACAGCGGTTTCTACTTCTGCGCAGCGTGCCACTGGAACGACACTCGCGTTATTCCGGGGAGAATAGTGAAGAACTGGGATTTCGTGGAGTATCCCGTTGCACGGAGCTCGTTTCGCTATTTGAGGAGCGCCGAGAAACGCGTCTTGATAAACATCGAGAAGGAGAACGAGCAGTTGTACTCCTTCGTTGAGGAGCTGCAGCAGATTCGCAAACTTCGGGACGACATTCTCCGCATGAAAGTGTATCTTTCCTGCTGTTCGGACGCGACAGAAAAGCGCTTACTTCTGCGCCTCCAAGAGCGGCAACACTTCGTAGAGAGCGCAGACGACTTCACCGTCCAAGATCTTTGCGACATTTCCTCTGGGACGTTGATCGACACGCTGGCGGAGATTCACGCGGACTACGCATTCCACATCAAGCTCGATTGTCTCCGCTGCCAAGCAAAAGGTTCGTCTATTTACGATCGAAAGATCGCCGACCGTGAACTTGGCTATTTTATTAATCAATTACGTTTTACGTCAAATTGACTTCATTTCCGCAAGAATTCAGTGCGCTTATAAGGTTAAAAGAAAGAGTATTGCCGGAGCGTATAAATCATTGTTAAGGCTTCATTTGCGGCATTTGTAATAATGGAAATGAACTTTTCCCGTTTGACGCATTTGTTTCTAATTGTGGGAAATGCGGCGCCGTATATCAGTAAGAATCCAATGTAGAAGCTGGCTTTTTTAAAACCCTCTTTCCTAGCAAAGAATGTTTCAATCCGTTTTCTGCGAATGCAAAATGTCCCCGGTGTGAACGACTCGCCAAGAAAGATCGCGAGAAAACGCCCTCCAAGCCGGCTCCTCCGCCCAACACTCGTGGCAATCCCTTTATTCGCGTCGACGATCATTTACCTAGGAAAAGGTCGCCAATTCTCTTCCTTGATTTCGGTTTCCCTATGTCACATAGGCTATGTGGCGACCTTGAAATAGTACTGGCTCCCCGTCGTTTGCATAAACATTTTCTTACAATTCATCAAAGTCCATTTTTCTCTTTCCTTATGATTTCTCGCCTACAGTTGCCTTATTTCTTCATCTTCAAGAGCAAAATTCGAATTCCGCTCGTTCATTCACATGCCTCTTTATTCTAATTGATCGTTTTTAGAACCTGAACTTGTAAATTGTTGACGGAATCCAAAATGTCGGATTGGGAGTCGAGGCGAACTGTTTGGGTGGGGAATTTGGAACCAAGAGTTACCGAAGAGATCCTTTTCGAGCTTTTTCTTCAAAGTAAGGAACAAGTCTTATCTGACTGACTTCTAACGAGCATAATAAAATCTTCAGTTGGCCCATTGGAAGATGTTACAAAACCGAAAAACAAGAACTTTGCCTTCATTCTCTATACGCACAAAAGAAGCACAGGGTACGCTGTGAGAGCCTTGAATAACATCTCCCTCTTTGGGCAAATGATACATGTAAAATTCCGCGAAAAGAAGCGCAACGACGAATCGAGAGGTAAAATTTCACCGTAATACTCCTTTCTATCGTGCATTTTTCTCTAGAGAGGATGGATCGACGATTAGGAGATCGAAGCCAAAGTCGAGGTCGAAAGGGAAACTTCCGCGATTACGACAGGCCACGTGATGACAGAGACGATAGACGAGGAAGAGATAGAGACCGAGGAAGAGATCGGGACTTTGACCAGCGGCGAGGCGACGACAGACGACGACCAGAGTCGTACCACAATGATGATCGACAACGCGGCGGTAGGCAGGTGCACATGGGCGGAGATCCCTGGCAAGCGCGCGGAAGGTGAGCTACTTTCCATTTTTACCCAAAAATAAACTCAAACTGAAAGAGAGCGGGGAGGAAACCAATGGCGCGGATACGACGAGGAATGGTCGAATCGGCACTTGGATGAATTCCGGCCACCACCGCGGCGTGATATCGACAACCGTAGCCAGATGATGCCTTCCCGTTCTAAATCGGCATCGAACAGACGAGGGGATCCTGGATGGCGTTAAAAAGTTTTTTCACTGCCTTACTTCGCATTTGAAAATAAATAAAAAAAAAACATAGAAGACATTTACTGATATTCATTTGATACAACTTTTCAAAAACATAAAGGCGATTGTTTGACTGTTTTTGATAGGCAGAGATCAAGGGTCGATTATTATTTCTAGCCAGGCAGGGCACTCGGTCACTTCTTGGCGGCGGTACTTGCGTCCCCAGCCTTTTATCAACGAGATGGTCAAACAACGAGCAGCTATTGGGACTGGGATACATGCGCCCGAGCAGACCTAGACATAGATACGTTTGAATGGGAGAAGTCCACGGGGATTTACCTTGAGAGGGCCCTCGCCAAAGTGACTCGAGTGGACAAAGATGGCACAATCGTTGTCGCGGTTGTAAATCCAAATGTATTGTAGCGATTTCCACAACGTTAGTCCGCCGCTTACTGAATAATTCACGTTACTAACCGCGTAAAAAGTTCGACCAGATACAAAGCTTTTCTTTGGAATAGAAAAGCTTTGGAGCTGCGATCTAAGTTATGTTTTTTCTTGGCAAGGAGATCCGTCAACGCGGCGCCCTCCTTAGGTTGCAAAATCGACCCGTAAATAACAGAAACAATAAAAATCGTCCTCGGTGGCGTCTGCCCTTGGCGCCACCACGTGAGATCCGGTGCCAGATAGATTTTCAAACTCTAACTTTCAATTTCGCTTTCAATTTGGAAAGTAGACGTTTCAAAGAGGATAGCATTTGTGTACTATACTTATAGAACGTATTCGAATATGTATCAAATAAAAATATAATTGCAGCGAATATTTGGGCACAAGGGCGATCTGGCGCCGACTTGTGGCGAATTTGAAACATTTTGGCGGTAACTTAAGTGAGCAACGGGGGCAGACTGGTTGGCGCCCTTGCAAAATGACCCCCCGATTCATATTCCCATGGTCCCCGAATCTGGCGCGATAGGAATAGGTCATTTTAGGGATTGGTTTCGTTTAGCGGTCGGGTTCCGCGGAGTCCCCGTGAATACAGCACGCATCGACATCAAAACTCGGAGCGCGCTCATTAATTTCTCTCCTTTCTGAACTTACTTTTCTCACGTGTGGATAATTGCCTGCTTCCGGAGGGAAACTCGCCACACAAGCCATTTTCGTCCATTGAGTTCGCGAATAGATTGAAGTAGCGGCTATTTAATTATGAGTTGAATTAGATAAGAACGTGGATTGTTTGATTACCTTTCTAGTGTTACGGGTGGACCCACGCGTGTTTTCTCTTCCCAAAACATACATAGTCCCCATTGAGTCGTGTCCCCGCGTGGATCTTGGGGAAGAAAGTCTGATACTTCGAAGGGTGTGATTGGCGAAGGCAGTGGGGGCAAGCGCGTGCTACTCTCGTGGGGCGAGGAGTCGTCTTGATCTTCTTCATTGTAAGATAGTCGATAGTCTTTTGTTGGTTTATTTACGAGGATGAACTTGGAGAATATATTTTTACCTAGAGCGAAGTGGAAGGGATTGATGCAATTGAGGCAGTAGCACCAAGGAAGCTGGATCAGCGGCTGCTGATGCTTGATGTTCTCCCAGCGAAAGGCGCGAATTGCCAGTACACGCGCGGACTCGACCAAATCCGCATCACAATTATCTTGTTTATGCAAAATACAAGATGTTCGGTGTTCGCCACGTGAGGCAATCGCTATCCGCAAGTTTTCAATTTGCTCCTCTTCTAGGTTTTTCAATAACTCCTTAATTGACGTGCTCGTTAAACAAGTTCCCCGCAATTAAATAAAAACGAAAGTTTAATTAAGAAACACTTGATATTCCTTGTACTTACTTTTAGTGCGGGCTCTGGACCAGTTTTAATGGGGCTTATTGACTTTCGTCGTCGGTACATATTCTCTTGTTGAAAACAATTAATTGCTCAGAGCTCTTGCAAGCTCGAGGTCGAAACTTCGTCTGGATGGTCTTTTTTGGAATTGGATTTTTCTTTGAGATTTGAGGGAGGGCGCAGGTTACCTCTACAATGAAAAAGACGAAGAAAGATCGGTGTTTCTGGCCCCCGCCGCCGCTGCCATTTGGCGAGACGAGCGGACGACACAACTCTCCAAAAATGAACAAACTCAAGACGCACTACCAACTAACGGCTGGCTACCATCTCCACACTGATACAAATTCTAGCAGCTTTTGCTTTGAATCTTTTCAATACGACTCGGGTTGAAATACAGTTATTTTGTCGCGCTGCTTGCATGTTCCACCACGCGAAAAATTTTCATTCATCAAATTAACTAATTTTATAACCAAAAAAAAGAACAATTTGAAAAAGAGTCTTTCTAAAAGAGACATTCTCAAAAGACAGCTTTTGTTTTCCAATAAAATTTCCAAGAGCTGCAAAGGAAAAGATTAACAATTCTATTTTTTGTAACTTTTATTTAGTTTTTTTTTTGTTGGAGTTGAAGTTATAGAGCTTTAATTTATATAATATAATATTACTTTTTTATTCTTAGTTTAATTTTAAGTATTTTTTTTTCACCTGGAATATTATAACGAGGTGCCTTTGTTCGAGTTTATGATGACACCCCGCGCTATTGTTATGCCAACTGTTCAATTAAACGAGTTCTACAACTGGTGGATTATTGTCTATTATTACAATTGTAGTTTCATGTTAAACTATTCTGATTTCTAGCGTGTAGAAAATAATTGACTCTATAACACAATTGTCAATGACGAGCTATTTTTTTTTTTTTAATACGTATCATTCGGTACGCGGTTTAACAACTGCTCCGGTAACGAGAAATATACTCAGTAATTTGAAATGATTTCCAATCTGTAATGATGATCACAGATGCGGCTCCAGCCGAACTGCCTGGCGGTGCGGCGCCGAGCACCAGGCGCCGTAACGTGACTCATTTTTTTTCTTGAAGAATTTCTGCTTCGCCGATTTGACGCCGACCAACTGGCAACCTGCAGCTCCTTCTTATTTGTGTTTGTTGAACGTGGCAATAAATTACCCCAAATGAGCATATGTATATTTAGCTCAACAGCTACGAGTAGACTTCAGACGAGTTCCAAATTTAGATGATCCCCGACAGGCTGTCGGCTATTTCAACCTTTTTTAATGGTTGATTTATCGCAGAGCTACGTCATGATCTAGATTTATAGATCATTTCTCTCGTACGCTATGTACTACAGTGTCAAGATATTTAAATCTTCCCTGGGAGCTTCTTAAGGCTTCCACACCTGTTCAAGCTGCACCAGAAAACGCACGAGTCAACAGAGTCGTTTACTTAGTTTTACTTCTAAACTGCATAAAATGCACGAAAGAGGTAGCGCGGATTATCTCCTTCTGAGGTCACTTATCATCGTTCCAGAGCTCAGCCGAGGATCAATCATCAATTTCCTAACACGTCTCGAGCTCATAAAAGCCCCGTCTACTCATGCCTACTTTTTAATTGAAAGATTCGAATTTAAGAGACTAGAAAGGCTTTCCAGTAAAAAATATTACTCGGGTGAGATTACAAATTGTAAGCGTAGTTGATTATTTCAGCAAATAAAAAAAAAACGAAATCACCAAAATTATTTCCGACGAAATTGATAAATTTTCAGCTAGATAATATTTGCAAGTATAATTTTGAAATGAAGAGTAGTAGCTAACAATAAACCAAATTGAAGAATGATTTCTATATCATATAGACTATATGTTTTGATTTGCTGAACGTTGTTAAATCTGAAAAGCCTGCTTACAGACATTTATAGCAGGACTTTTGAGGCGACTTTTTGATTGATAAAGCCGGCGCTTTAAGAAGAGCTTGATGGCCGTCCGACGACAAAAGGAATAGGTCCTCTGAGAGCGGCAGTTTGACTCTAAATGCGTCGCGCAGTCGCCACCACCACGCCAGCAAAGGACTCCCGGTGGACCTTGATAAGAGCTTCAGATCGGAGGCGACGTTTGATACGAATCGCCGCTCCTTTCTGGTAACCACTTTTCAAAGCACTTTATGACCACTGCTGCCATTTTCAAATTCCAAAAAGACTTTAAAAAAAAAAGAAATCTTCCCAAATCAAAATTCAGCTTTCTGGGGAAGACACCGACATTTTAAATGCTGTTGGGACACTAGCAGAGTTACCAGACTTCGAGTTCTCCGGGCGACGCTGGCGACGAATCGTCGATGTCGGCGCGGCAAAAATGGACTCGGTCAAAAGCAAGCTCGACGGACAAACGGTCTCCGTCTCATTTCAGCAAAAAATGACCATTGCCGACAAAAACGGCCATGATCGCGAGATCGTCTCCACCAGCAATAACACCTTCGACCTTCCACCAAACGTAATGCTTATCTAACAACCGCATTTTCTATTACAAATCTACAAATTTAGACAATTTCCAACACTGTAAAGGCCTCCCTTGCCCCTGGAAAAGTGACTGTAACTGGCGAAGTCTCTCAATTCAAATCAGAAATCACCTTCGTGCCCAAGTAATAAAGTATAACAGAGAATACTATTGAACTCGTGGTTTTTAATTGAGGTTTTGTATCAAGTGTAAACACCGTTCGGTGTCGGATTTATTTCCTCACAACGGTGCTCAGCAGGAAGGGTGTTTTTGTATATGCACATAAATAGTATGTTTCGTCTTATTAGTTCATGTGAGGCACGATCCAGTCCAAGAAAGCGGAGACTTTAGTCCACACGCCGGGTGAATTTGGCTCAGCGCATCCGAAGCCCCAGCTTGTGACTCCGACCACAACGGGTTGGTTATCTTTGTCAGCGCAAATCAATGGCCCTCCGGAGTCGCCTTGGCATCCGTCCTTACCTCCTTGTGGCCAGCCAGCGCAGATGTGCTCGTCGCTGCGGACATAGCCAGAGTTTCGAGTTTTCGCACACTCGGCGTCCGAGTAAATCTTTTTGACGCGCTCGATACAAGTAAACAGAAATAAACACTGCCAAACAATGATTTACCTTATTTATCGCCTAAACAAAAAATTCTGATATCACTTTTTTAACTAGATTTTTGTTACTAGTAATTGTTTCGATTTTGATACTCGGCTTGTCTATCAGATAGAACACGTTTCCTGTAAGTCAACTTCTTGTAACTCCTGTGGGAGGGATTTGAATCCCGCTGGATGGTTCACGAGTCCCCAACCGGCAGACCAGCATCGAGTCCCATGAGCAGGCATCGAACCCGCCTCTGGAAGACACGCGGGAGCACCATTATGAAGCTTGAGGTTAACAGCGCCGTTTCGATTAAATTTCAAAATGCAGATGTCATTCACAAGCCCAACTTGTTTATATTCTGGATGGACGATCACTTCGTCGGCTATAAAATTAATTACAATTATAACTTTTGCGTGGCGCTTTTCTTACCAGAAATTTTCTTTTCTCCTAAATCGTATTTCCACCTGTGGTGATCGCCAATTGTGATGGAAATAAACTCTGGAGTATCCATTCGATCCTTGCAGCAATGAGCCGCCGTGATCACTGTCTTGTCGTCGATGATTGTTCCGCCACAGTTGTAGCCAAAGAAATTGATGTTGACAATCCACGGCCAAGAGTTTTTGATCGCAGTCACTCCTCCGATTATTCGTTCATCGTTTAGCGGGCTCCATGGTTGCTCCTGCTTCTGCTGCTGCTTACAAACAAGATTTGGTGGAATTCGGAACACTGGTGGCTCCTCCGCAACTTCCTTATTATCTTCTTCTTTTTGTGGTGGCGTTTGGCAGTACCAGTTTCCATAGTACGTCGACAAACTCGGTTCATCGACGATTTTGGAACCAATTCGCCAATGGCACTTGCCGCCTTTGTCCATTCGATCTTTCGGCCAGCTGATGCACTTGCAGACTGCTTGGATTTTCGTCTTGTTGATCGGCTTGATTGCTGTCATTTTCTTGGGATAACCAGGGCATGTGATTTTCATGATGCGCTTGATGCTACTTCCCCATTTGCGATATAACTCCTCAGCGTGTACATCTGAGGCGTCTGTGTTGAAGTCGTCGCAAGTTTTGCACTGAGTTTTGTTTTTATGAGCTCTATTTGTTCCATAAACTTTGTGTCACTAAGTTTACAAGTGCTCTTGTTATTTTTCTAGAGGCGCAAACAGTAACTATGGTCTAATTATAAAAAGGTGTTCTGCATGACATCATGTATATGATAATAAGACAGGGTAATTACTTTTAAAAACATTCCTCAGCAAGTTCATTCATGAACTGGTAGTCCCACGGTTGTGGCCCCCACCATATACGTCTGCACCTGGCGAACTCGTGACCGCCGTAAAAGTGGTAACCATCATCGCAGATGACCTGACAACGGTCACCACGACATCTGACCTCTCCGTTGCTGACTTCGAAAGTACTCTGGCCGGCAGCGCCTATTTTCGGCAAGTTGTCCTCTTTGAAGCCCTGCGATACGAAATTTCCATCTTCGAAGCATCTCTGATATTCGCCACTCGCCGCGGTGGACGCCACCAAGAACGAAATCTTCATGAGTATCTCTATTTTTTGAAAAGCAACTGGCGCTGCAGTGCCGTGGAGAACTATTTATAATGGTGCTTTGGTTGTGCGCTGTAGCACCGCAGTTTTGGCCGACCAGCACCACTCGGGAAATTATGCGCCATTGCGGTGACGTGCGCCTGCTTATCATTGGATTCGCCCTGCGCCCTGATCGTGTTTATTATCGTTTAGTTGTATTATCGTTGAATGTGATTTTGAGAGAACTTTTACGAACTGCTTGTTTTGATACCAGAATGTTGAACATGCTGAGACATGCTTCAAGATAAATGCTCAATTAATTGGTCCTCTATCATTTCAAATCATATCATTTTGCAAATAATGAATGATGATATTCTTGGTTTATGCAGCATAAAACCAATTATACTCTACTCATATTCGTTCTTCTTATTTAGGGCTTGCAAAGAGTAGTCTGCTATCTCTTTCTCCAAGAGTAAAAAATGAAATCAACAGTCGCTTTGCTTTCATAAGACCTTACTGTATTGAAATATTGCTCTGCAGAAATCTTCAAAGACTTATATAATATAAGACGTATATTTGATAATATAACTTTTTCTTTATCAAATAATCTGAGATGAGGGTTATTTTTTGTAAATAAATATATATTCTTTATATCAGTCCAGAAAAAAAAAATTGATAGAACACTCTTTGAATAAGATGGAATGTGACGTTTTAGCATAAGTTGAATTACGTTTGTAGATTAAAAAGTGAAGAATGTGGAAAGGAGCCATTGTTTTGTACAAATATTAAAAGACATGTCACGTTTACGTTGAGCACTAATTAGTACGGGAGTCTAAACAGGTGTTTTAGGAAGTCAAAAATAGCCTAATTTTAATTGAATCCGAAGAATTATTGACATTTGTTTGAGCTTCATAAGTTAGTTCAGATGATGTACGCTCCTTCTTGGTCCTTGATTTGGTTTTCTTTGAAGAAGTAGATGAGGTTCGAAAGTCGCCACTTTTGGTGTATCGCTGGGAAGTACTGCGTTCCCCCACGACCGATGGTTTGGAAGTTGAGGTGAAGCATCAGACACATACTAGCAGCACCTCCACTGCAAAGAATGGTGCAAAGCATTTCGAAAGCAGTCCAAGGCCTTAAAAAATATTAACACATTAAAAAGAGGGGCTCGAATTGAAAGGCTATTACTAATAGCTAGGGGAAACCACTAATAATTGAGCTTTTTTTTGGGCTTAGTAGAGTAGGCACTTACGTTTCTCTATCGACGATGCACAGTGCATAAATATATCCGAGCTGGTTGAGCACCATGGTTCCGATAAAGATTACAAACAGCCTGTGATTTCCACGGGCAATAGTTCTTTGAAGAAAAAGGCAATGATGGTCAAAGTCAAGATAGGCGGCGTTGGTGAGTTTGCAGTACTTGGCCTTTGGCGGGAGAATAATTCTCAGCTGGTGACAATAATTCGAGCTGTGGGCTAAAAATTGTCACGTAATTGACAATTGAGGGATTTGTGGTTAGCCTACCGTCTTGGTCGATAATGCGCTGCAACGCGGCATTGGGCTTCTGAGAAGTAGTTGATTGCGGAAGTTTGAAGGGATGGGCGGTTAGGACCTCTTTGGTAGCTTTGGCCATGCAAACATGGAGAAAAATACAGAAGATTAGGCTGCTTTTGAAGTGGCCATCATCGCGCAAAATGGGACGCAGCAGCAAGTTGATGTAGAATGAAAGGAAACAGGCGAGAACTGTAGAGAGGAAAAATCCTTTGAAGAAGGGATTGGGAAGGCCGCTGGGGTGTTTGATCCGGTGTCCGTTCTTTTTACCCAGAAAGACTAGCATTCCAATTGCGAACAAAAGGAAAGGAAGAACAGCGAAAATACTTTTGATTTCGTAGTATTCCATTAAAAGCGAAACGATAAGAAGACCAACAACCAGTTTCATCGGCTGCTGCATATTCTGCGCTTTATATCGGCTCGATACTTTAGATCTACTTCAGCCGGTCAAAGCGAAGAAAATTCTGAAGCCAATCCTTGAATTTTTGAGCCAGCGAATTTTGCTTTCTTATTCCAGGTGACGTCAAGAAACTGGTCGCTAAATGGTGACGAGGGGGTAGATCCCGGCTTCATCGGATTTCCACGGCCTCGATCTTTTTCTGACGCCTTATTGTCCGCCAATTGAAGGGGCAGAAATCCACCTCTGTCTCTTCTTTGGAGCAAATCCCAGCCTTAGAAATTCAGTTATAATAATTGATAAAATTGTCTATTTGTAGTTACCTGCTGTTTCGCAGATTTTCCATGTTATTTGCGTGTTTAAACTTTGGCAAGAATAATGGACGGCGCTTTGAAGTTCCGAGTCTTCTTCTCGAGCGCTTCGGGGAAAATGATCCAGGATAACTTCTGCCGTCTCCATTTGATTCTTGTGCAGACTCTCTTGCAGCGGCGTTCGGCCATATTTGTCCTTTGCCGTTGCGTTGAAAAGGTCCATTTCTATCAAATAATGAACCATGCCCACGAAGCCTTGTCGCACCGCGGAATGGCTGATTGAACCGTTCCCGTTGTCGACGGCTTTTACGTTTGCGCCTAAAAACTCAAGTTATAATTTCCAAAAAGCCAATTCCATTTCATCACCAGATTCAATGAGCAAATCTACAATAGGCAAGCTTCCGGCAAGAACGGCGCAATGAAGAGGCGTCTCGCCATAGTCTGTTCTGCTATTGACATCTGCCCCTGAAGAGAGTAGTTTCATCGCTAGTTTCATGTCCGACTTTCTGGAGGCGACATGCAGCGGTCGTTGACTGAAAAAGAGAATATGAATTCTGAAAAAATGATTTTGCTTACCCTGCGTATCCAGGTGCGTTTATTTCCCCATCGAAGGTTGGATTTTCGATAAAGAAGTAAATCTTCTCCTGGTTATTCTGCCTGAGTGCATGGTCGAGACACTCTGGCTCGCTCAAATCTACGGGCGGCGGGCCGGCGTACTCGGGTATGTAGCCCTGCTGCTTTGGATAGCTCATTACTGCTTGTGCATAATTTGCTCTGAAAGGAAAAGCTGCATTTCGAGAAAACGGATATATTTTCACATATTCAGTATTAATGAACAGTAAAATGAACAGTCACATAGAATATAATAATGGTAATAGAGTAGAGTTGAGGTGACATCGGTAGACAAATCGCTTTTGAGATTGTAGGGATCTGGAGATTGTCACAAACAGAGAGACAGTGCATAGTTGGCCGAAGAACGATACTAGCTCGAGTACGAGTTGATATCGTTGATTCTTGGACGCGTCATAATCTTGAAGTGAAGCTCAGTTTCGCTGGAAAATGAAAAACCATCCCTACCTTATTGATGCTTTCAATAATCGCTCCGGCTGGGGCCTTTTTGAGGTCTTTTTCGGTGAATAAAATACACGAGTTGTTGTTTGGTTTCTTTGCAACGAGTCCAAATACTTTGCCGCTCTGGTGCACTCTGCTGTGAGGATCAAAGTCGCAAAAGCTCACCGTCTCGGCGGGGAAGTGCTTGCGGAAGAACTTAAGCCGCTGCGAGTCAGTCACCGTCACGCCTTCCGATGTAATCTTAAGATGTACTGGACATTTGACGTTTTCCCGCAACGAGAGATACTCCGCCATACATCGCTCCATGGCAGCCCGCCCTGTCAGCATTTCCGTATCTGTTAACAATATTGAGTAAAATGATATTCTTCGCAAGGATTTCTTGCTATTAAATATTCAGTACCGGTTTCGTGGAGGAAAAAGGTGCAGAAAACGTCGGCAGGCGGCCTCGTTCCACCATCAACGACGATTTTTCCAGACGTCTGTGATTCGCTTCTGTCTGTAAGATCCAAAACAGGAATATTTAGTTTGACAGGCAGCGCCAGTTGCATGTGGCTGTGTTGATGGGGAAGGGTGCTCTTGTGGCACTGTCTCTCTTGTGGCACTTTCTCTCCTGTGGCACTTGCGCCCGCTGTGGTATACCACTGGAGAGACAGTGCCACAAGAGAGACAGTGCCACAAGAGAGACATTTTCAACTATCAGATTCTCGAAATGATAATTTTAGGGAGTCCACCGACCCGTCTCCATGTGCGCGCCTCGCTGTTTTCCATTTGATAACATTTTCGATTCACATAAATTTTTGGATGGACTAAACTTTCAATAGACGATTGAGTCATGTTACTATGTAACAGTTACATAAGTTCTGTATGATACAGACTGTATCCTTGATATCAAGAATCCAAATTTTCGGAAAAACTCACCGTAAGTGCGAGATGTGATTAGTTGACGAAATGACAATGAAAGGTCAAGGAAAGTTTTGTCCACGTAGAAAAATAAATTTTAATCAGAAAAAGTTATATCGGCAAAAAAAGAAACTAAAAAACTGCGAGCCACGCGCGTGGAGCTGGGTTGGCGGATTCCCTAGGAAGATTATCATTTTGAAAATCTGATAGAGAACGCTTTTGAAAATGTCTCCCTTGTGGCACTGTCTCTCTTGTGGCACTGTCTCTCCTGTGGTATACCACAACAGGCGCAAGTGCCACAGGAGAGACAGTGCCACAGGAGGCAAATATGACGAAAGTGCCACAAGAGCACCCTCTCCGTGTTGATGAATAAGAGCAGCCAAAGATGGAAAAAATGGCTCCCTTCTAGAAAATACGTAAGCATAGAGTCTCCCCATTTGAGAGTCATTAAAAATACAATCCGTCATGGATCCATGGAATTCTTACCTATCATCGCCCGATATTCTGACTCCTTTCTCCTTCACAGACTCAATGAGGAAGTGACGCACAAGCTCTGACTCCGGATCTTGATCTGGGCGAAGATTGTCGAACACAGATTGCGGAACCTAACCGTTCTTTTAAGCTAATTTTGAATCGGCAATTATTACCTGATGTCTATCCACCCTGACGACGAGTCCAAAATTGCCGCTGTAAGTTTTCGAGTCTCTGACCAAAAAGTCGCCGGCTTTTCTATCACTTCCTTTTAGCAGTTTAATCGCTTCATCACGTGACATTGTCGGTTTATACCAAAAGCTCTCTGGAGTGCGGTAAGAGGAGGAAGAAGCTTCAACAGTTTGTCCACTCGTGCTGGGCATCGTCAACGAGAAATTATCGCGCGAGAAACTGGAGCTGAAAATGCTCGCTGAAATCAAGGAAGAGAACCGAGGTTCTGAATCTTTTTATCTACCTCGAGTGTCGGCGAGGGCTCACTTGATGATATATGCTCGTATGTTGTCTGCCTGCGGTAAAATGTGACTGGGAGCTCTTCAACTCTTCAGATTGAAATTTCTGCTCCGTCGGTTTCGCCTCTTTCCCCGACTCTGAAATTCGAGCATTATCTTTTTGTGTAGACCCGAACAAAGACCAGGTATTCTCGCCATTATCTTGTGTTTGCCTCTCGGCTAATAACGAATAACTAGAGGGTTTTACTGCTCATTTCAATAGAGAACGCTTGGCGTTGGTAGATATTCCACTGGTTAAAAAATCCAAGAAGTTTTTAGTACTTGATTGACCTTACTTGATTAGTAATGAAAGGTATTTCTCGTTTTGAAAGTTTTGAAAGTGGAATTATGCCGTGGTGAGTAAATTCTCTTTTATCTCTCCCTCGGGTGGTGATTCATCAGCTGAAGCCAGAGTCTTGATGAATCCGACACTAATTGGCCCTAAAGAGCCGCCCCAATTAGCACCTCTATAGGTTTAATGTCGCAAATCATCTTTTATAAAGACCATAAAAAGACTTCCGTTGCCTTTTTTTCTTCCCCTAAATATATCCTAGCGCTCTTCTTGGCTCTGGTACTCGCCTGGTGATTAAGAAGCTCTGGCTATCTTTTAATAACGACAGTAATCTTGTTTTGTAAAGCCAGATAAGGATACACTTGTATTTAGAGGGCTGAGACAGCATTATCTCATAACTAAAATCACGTCCTTTCATAAACAAAAAGCTCACGTGAAGATCTTGATCGACCTAAGGAACATGTTCTTTCTAAAAGGCGACAAAAAGAGGGGTGTTCAGAAAATTCAAATTGAAATCCACGAGTACAAAAAGTTAACCTTTCAACGAAGACCAGAGTCTTGGCCTTTTCACGCATCCAAGAACCATTTTCGCTATCTCTCTTATTTTTTCCTCTCTCACAAATCTCTGTCCGTACTCGTGATCAAAAAAAAGTTGCACCCAGTGTTCGCTTTTAGGCTAATTTATTTCTCCTGCTGGTGGGAGGTTATTAACAAAATCCTCTCCGCTGCGAGAGTACTACTCCGGGCCGGACATCACAAAAGAGATAGTGAGAGAGCGGATTGTCGAAAATTTTTACGAGTTCTGACGAAAAAGTGACACAAAGTTGGCTTCCACCGAATCGTTAGTTATAAATAGAAAAAGGTACTTCTCTTTGTTTTAAATAATTAATCAATTTCTACTACTCTTCGAGATAACTTGAGAGCAAAAGATTAGCACCCTCTGGAGAAACTTTATTACTACCAACATAGAAACTGAAAATACGCTGAATGGAATCTCCCAGCGTAATACTTAATTTAGAGAATTTTGGCTAATTTATTGGTTTTCATTTATCGCTTGAGTTTTAATTAAATCCAAATCAAACGTAAAAATGATTATTGACGAAAATTTAAAGAGGCTGATACGTTTGGCTTGAATAGTAATTAGGCCGATGATTGTTAAAAAAAACATTTTTCATCTGGAAATCATTTGATTAACGCTCAATTTTAGATGAATGAACGAGATTTTCCGGGCTGAATTCGAAATTCTGTAAGCACGGAGATCCTTCGACCATGTTTTTTAGTCGGAAAATTACGCTAAATTTACGATTAGCGGTTCTATACTTGCCATTTTCGGTGATGAGCTGGGATGAATGCGAAGCTGTGCGATTTGCATTTCCGTTTCCGGGATAAGCTGGTGGCGGAGGAGGCGTGCTGAATCGCTGCTAGATGACTCCTCTCTGTGTTAGGCTTACCTGCTGTGAATATTGCCGACGAAGCTCATCTGATTCTCGACTTTTGATTCTACTGAGCTTGCATGTTCTGTCTATTCTCTTGGGAATAAAATGCCCACCGGGCGGTGCCTACTCTCGAGCATCTAAAAATGGCGATCTCGCGAAAAAAGAAAAAGAATTCATTCTACTCAAATATTTAGTCCCTTACTCATGTGATAGAAATTCGGGCGCAAGATCTATTGTTTCGACAGTTTTGCCCCCGAGCGAGTGAAAAAAGGAAAGTAGCCTGAAAGAGAATTTTAAGAACAATGAAATTGCTTGTCAAGAAATAAGGCGGTACTAGCCCCGGTTTTCATCGTTTTTTTACGCCCGAGCTGGGCAAATATTTTTGTATCGATCAACGCGCTGTGAAAACAAGGGATTTGCTTGTCACATCTACGCCTGTTACTGAACTCTTGCTCTTTTAGCTGTAGAAAACAACGAGGACTAGACTTTTGAGTTTTTGTTTCTTTTTTTTTTGTTTATTTATTTTTGATTTGAAGAATTAAGGCATTTTTGAATTGTGGAAGAGAAGAAGGGTAGAGGTAACATTGTTAAAGTAGTAGCAACAGTGGAAAAAGAGGGTAGATCTTTGCTTCGTTCGGAGTACAGATAACAGTTAGTCATTTGAAATTTGTCTTGTTTAGGTAACATTTACATGGATTTTCGTTTATAATGTCGATATTGTTGATTTCAGCTGCGTTGCAAGAAGTCGCTCTGGTAGTCGGGAGACATGGGCGCTTTGATCAGCCTGAACACGGAAACAGAGCCGTGCCAAAATGTCGGTTCTTTCAGTCTATTTACATTTTTAGAATGAAATTGTTTAACCAGTACTGTTACCTAGCATATTCCGACCAAGAGTCCGTTTGAGTGTCGTACTGCTCGATTAGGTCTGTTAGACCTGATTCAGAAGCGTATCCTCCAGAAATGGTAATTTTGCCGCCGAGCACTGTAACTGACCCGCCCAAATGGACCTGACTGGAATTTGCCAGAAGGCTCCAACTCTTCGATAGCGGATCGTAGCTCTGAAGATTCTTTGAGTCGTCTCCTTTTAACTGGCTGACAATTGGAATTCTAGTTTTGCCATAAAGGCTGTGTACTTTAACCTGCTCAAAAAGGCTGATCTTGCATTGACGCACACATGAACATAAAAACAAGTTAAGATTAATATTCTTCATACGCTCCTACAAGAGGAAGGGATCGCTAATCGTAGACGGAAAAAAAGTGTTAGCCGTGGCTAGGAAATAGAGGATTCCATTGAGAGACGTCATCATTGGACAGACAGACCAGGGCTCTGGTGGTTCGAGTTCACATGAATTCCATTCATCCTCATCCGGATTGTACACATAGAGTGAAATGTTTCCACCCTCGCCGTCCTCGTTCAAAGGGCTGGCAACGACGAACAAGCGACCTTTGGATCCGATCGCCTGCAGATTCTCGCACTTAGTGGGCAAAGCTGCATAGGGTCATAATCATAGTTAATCTGTCTGACGGATGTCTGGCGGTAGGACCCTGCCTTTTACAGCTTTCCACGCTGATGATTCAGGATCAAAAACTTCAGCGCCGGAATCACCTGATACACAGTACAACTTACCGCCTAAATAGAAGTTACCTCCGAGAGTCGTGGAAACACGCAATCATACCGAGACTGGCGGAGCAGTGGTACTCCCTATCCTGAATCATTCCATTTATCAGAGACCAACTGTCGATTTGAGGCTGGAATCGATAGCATCTATTAGTCACTAGCCCATCTGAACTTCGTCCACCGGAAATATACAGATCTGTACCCAAGGCGCAAACCGAATAGCCTCCACGGAGCGGCTCGCCAAGTGGCTCCGACAGTCTTCTCCAATGATTACTTATTGGATTGTAACCTTCTACCACCGAAAGTTCATCCAAATCAGCGTTTGTGCCACCTATGCGCACGTAGATCTCGAAGATTCCAGTGGAAGGCCGCGGCTTGAATCGGTGATCATAAGCGAAGTCGGACTGAATTTAAATATATGAATATGAACAATAAAACATGCATACTGACCCTGTTAATTTTCTTCGCCTGAAAGTCCCTCGCTTCGGAAATGTAATTAGCACACACTTTTCCCGACATCAATGGAATACTCGAAATTTGCATCAGATAGAATCGTCGCACAAAGGGCAGCTTCACCAAATGAATCAACCTGTCCAAGAATGGCATGCGTTTCTCAGCATCGTACTGAATCCAGCTCAGTATCAGTTCGAGAACAGTTTCTTCTTTCGGCACCAGTAAATGTTCACTGTTGAGGATTTGCTCGAAGTCCTCAAGTGGGAGCTTGAAAAACGAGGGGATTGATTTCGCAACTTGTCCAACATTTTCCAGCAAGTAAAGTCGGCTCTTTTCCAGTAGATCCCACATTCCGATGCTCTGCGCCAAGTTCGACATATCTTACTGCCGCCGTTAGTGAAAAAAACTGACTAAACAAACTACCTAAACAGTTGGAAGGAGACAATTCGGTAACGAGAAACTCGGAGCAAAGTCGGCGGACGGAGTCGAATTGAAGAAGATCGGCAGTTTTGAGTAAGATGAGCACGTTTTGTTGATTGACGTCGACTTTACCAGTGTACGCGTATTCGATAAGGCTTTTGAAGGATTTACTGTCGACCTCGTTTATTCTGATCTTCTCGTGCGACCAGGACTCTTTCAAGGCGCCGGCGAACATTGACTTGAAATAATCACTGGCTGCGGCCAAAACAGCCCGATGGACTTTTATTTCTTCATCGCCGAATTCAAGAGTCGTGTCGACAAATATTTCATTTCGCCAGAGATCTTCAAGTCCCAGTAGCAACTTGGGACTGTATCTCTCATCAAGCATCTTATCAAAAATAAATAAGTAAACCAACTGTCTTCAGTTTTGAATAACTCGTATTTATCAATAGTAAGTGGCAGGAGAGGCAGTTTGTCTAGAAAGTCCACAATGAAGTATAGACTGTGAAGTGGAGAATTCACATTGAATATGAAATGTAATTTATAAGCTCGAAAAAACGGCTGAAATTACCAATTAAAATTTCAAGTAAGCCACAGAGTAATTGAACTACGTGCAGGCTGCGTAAATTAAGATATGCAAGAGACGAAATGGCAAGGAGCTAATCCGAGTCAAGGCAGATTACTTCATCATTGTCTGGTGGAGGAGCGGCGGCACGACGGCGTTGTCTTCGATTCCGCGCTTCGATTCGCCAGCGTTCGTCTTCGTCTTCCTCTGAGCTTTCTTCTTCTGCGACTTGCTCGTTCATGTATTCACCGAGGCCGTGTTCTTGGTATCTTTGGGCAAAAAGTTGTCCTATCGGCATGTGGTCTTCCTCATCCTCAAGCGCCATCATTCTTTCGTTTTGCTCCTCTCTTTCAAGCCATTCTGGATAAGTCATGTTAGTCCCTTCGTAACGACCTTGGCGATTCCACGACTCCCAGTGATGGATATTCTGTGCATTGATATTGTATATATTCCAATCTTCGCCCGAATCATCACTGTCGCCTTCTGGATCATCACCGTACATGTCCATGTTATGCTCAATTTCGTCTTGTGTTTCTGGAATAACGTAGACCTCGTTTCCATTTACAGTACTCTGCGTTTCTGGAACAAAGTCAACACTATCCTGAGATCCCTGAGAAGACATAACGTAAAAGCTCTCTTCCTGAGAACTTTGAGAATTATCCAAGCTGGATTTTTCCTGAGACGAGGCTTCTTGAGAAGAGGTAACTTCTCCCATTTCATTTTCATCGTGCATGTCAACTTCAAAACAGTTCTCAGAGTCATTCGTCGAGTCATTTACAGCAATAACCTCTTCTTCAACAACTTGTGCCTCTTCCTCTACATCGTCCCAAAAGTTCATCGGATCCTCCTTTGCACCTTCTTCCACTTCCTGGCTGTCCGGAACAGAAAAGTTTTGAAGATCGTCATCTTGATCTTCCACAGTAATGGTAGAATCGTTCAACTGCGAGCTATCTTCTTCGTCGTCGTTCGTGGATTGAGACGACATAATTCCAAGAAGATCTCGAACTTCATGCGGTAGAAGCTGAGGACCCTGGGGAACTTCTTCGCTGTTCATATCGGAAACGGCATTTTGAGTCGGTGATTCTGCACGTGTACTTTGCGTTTCAGGAATGACTGATTCAGAAAGGATGCTTCCCTGACTTCCTTGAGTCATTTCAGGATCCCAGGGCTTTGGTATGTCAGGGTGTGGCTGTTCTTGGCTATCAGGAGCCAGGACAGGCGCATAGACCCACTCTTTCCGAGGACTAAGTAGTTCATCGTTTTTTGGGAAGGAAACTGAGCCCATAGATCTTGCTCATCATCGTCTACTTGTGAGGAAGGTCCAGGCTCGTCCTGCTCGGCAGTGTTCCTATTATCGCGCTCAGAATCACTCTCTGATTCTGAAAGTGCCATTCTACTCTCGTCTTCATCTATAAAAGAAATTAATGGAGAGCGCGCAAATAAGAAACATTATACCAAGTCGTTTTTTCGGCCCAGAAATTAGAGGATTATCGTAAATACGTCCTGGTGCGGCACTACATTCGTCATCCGAAACAGCCATTCCGGCGGTTTTGTCTCGCGATGGCTTGAAAGAATCGCGACTATCGCCAGCGAAGAGACCATCATTACTTTGAGCAGCGTCGGAAGCCGACATGCCCTAGGAAATAGAGTTAGAAAAACCTTTTCTAAGAACCAAAAAAAGACCTCGTTCAGATCGGTTGGTCCTTTAGAGAAAACATCAGACATATCCGAAGGCTCAAAATCGATCGGCTCGTTATCTGGCTCCTCAAGGTCGATCATGTCCGACGGGTCAAAGTTGACTTCTTCAGGTTCCATATTTTCGTACTCTTCTTTGATTTTATCCCGGTGTTTCTTAGAAATCGCAACCATTAGCTCGATCTCGGTGAGTTTAGTGTCGAGCTCAGCTTGAAGGATCTTTTTCTCGTGCTCCATGAACGTCAGATCTTTCGGTCGTGGTTTCGACTGCACCATTGCTCGCAATGTCTCCATTTCTTGAACAAAACGGTTAAAATGAATTGTTCAAATCTAAGCTGACCTTGGAAGCGCTCGAAGTCTTTCTTGAGTGTGGCAATAGTCCCCTTCGCATCAACAAGGGTTTGCTTGCTCCTCGAGATCTCATCCTCGAATTTAGACTCAACGCCCTTAAAAAGCGTTTCAATCGTAACGGCTGTTTTCATTTCATCGACAGACGTATCCATTCTTTCCGAGTCACTTTTTGCGAAGAGATCCGCCGAGTTCGTAGATGATTGTATAGAATTTTTACTGGTAGTTTTTTCGACAGCGGGAGGAGCTGCCGCTTCTAGTTCCCGGGGCTTGTGGAAGCCGTACTTTTTGGGCATTTTCGGCGACTTTCTCTCGATTCGCTTTAACTCTTTCCTTAAAGATCTTATAAAAACTGCCACTGAGCAGAAGTAATAAAAGTACCTTACTAAAGGCAAGGGTTGATATTTTCTGAAAAGACGATCGTCGACCGTCACACTCTCCCGCCCTTCTTTGACGAAGTGCAGTCGCATCAGTTTACTCTCGACGATTTTCGAAATGATATCTGACCAAGGGAAGATCTTTTCTTTCTCGAAGCCTTCTTCCTGATTATCATCGTTGAATTTACGATTGAGAACACGGGAGATTTGGACCTGCAGCGTTGTTGTAAATAGCTTGTTCTTTTCAAGGTATTTCCAAACGACGCTGAGGCACGATTCTGGATCGCGCTTTTTCGCACTGCTATCAAGGCTGATTGGCGGGAGTTTCAAATCTTTTAAAACTAGAAAGATGTATAAAGAAATGCGATGGTGATGGATGAATTTACTTGAAATGTGTCGCGAAGAAATTGTGGGGCCAAACACAAGGCCTGTTTCAACAAGTCGCTGAGGGTAGTGGAGATCGAGCCCATCCATGCTCATTCGTCGGATCATCTGCTCAATTAGGTTGTTGTACCAGGCAAGGACAACTTCTGGCTTTTGATTGATGCGGACGTGGCTGTATCCTTTTACCAAACCGTCCATGCATCTCAGTCCACTGTCAGTATCGACAATGACTGAAAATAGGTGTAAGTGAAACTGCTTTACTTGTTAAAAGAATTTACCTCGTTCGAGAAGCTTGACATAAGGCATTCTGGTGAAATTCTTGGGCTTTGTGGAAAGAAGGATATCAGTCAGATGCGACTCAATATTCAAGTTCGTTTCCTCCTCGTTGCTAAAGTCGACGACGATATCAGCTTTGCTCGACGTTCCAAAGTATACTTCTTCGTCGAAAACAAGACCCTCTTGAGGCCCAGAGTTTGCAAGCTCGAGATAGATGAATTTTGAACGGCTAAATATAATATGAGATGAAAACGAAAATAGTGAAAATCGTACGTTCCAAGAATGCCAGAAGTAGGGAATTTCTTTTCCAAATAGTTGTAGACATTTTTGTCATCCGTATAAAACGAGAAACTTGCGACAAAATTGTTCAACCGGGGATTGATGTTCTCGACCAAATGCTCGAGGTAAAACTTTGAGACATCCATATCAGGGTAAACGATCGCGTACAAATGAGACTGTCTAACTTCCTTCTTGCAATTCCTCCGAGCTCGATCAATCGTCATTTTCATAAACTCCTCGTTTTGTTGAGAAATTTCTTTTAAGATGTTTCGTTTGCCTATTCTGGGCGTTGCAGCACGAGCCTTACGTTTACTAAAGCAACACTTGTTCGAAAAAATATATAAAAATCATTACCTAATCGCAATTCTGGTCCGACGAAGCCACCAAAGGGCCGCTTGCTTCGAAATTCGATCGCGTCTTCTTTGCCGGACAGCAGCAACTTTTTCTCTATGCACTCTCCTGACTGTCGCGATTTCTTCAAGAAGCATTAACTTGACATCTTCGGCGACAACTTCTTCCATAATGTTTTGTCTTTCCATAAGCGCCGTATTTTCGCAAATGGCTCTATTCCTAGTGGCGATTGCTTCGTCTACATTTTCCTCAACAAACGATGAGATGAAATTCCCGATCGCATGGTCGACCATGTTCGAAATGCTTCGCTGCAGAAATTGCTCTTTCCACTCTTCCTTGAGTTGGCGAATACGCTCCTTCTCTTCCGCGATTTGGTTCTTCATCTCTTCTTCTCGCAAGCGCTCCTGGAGAAGCATATTTTTGTAAATACGCGTTACTTCCCAACCGATGTGATCGTCGATTATCAAATTCATAGTGTCGTTGATTTGTTTAGCGACGACTTTTTCTTCGATCCGCACTCCGGAAGCGATTTCGCGCAATTGCCCGTCGACGACATCGTTCGTAATCTCTTCTTCCATCTCCCTAGCAGCGATATTCTCAGGTAGGTTTTCCATCATGTCGCTTCTATTTTGCGCGTCCTCTTCAAGCTTGGCTCGGACGTTTTCAATGATGTCATTTGCGCTCTCTATCAGCCGATCGGAGCGGGGAGGAAGGAGGAAGAGGGTTTGTAATTCCTCGACGACCATGGCTTCAGGTGCAAATCGATTCCCCAGATCAGCTGGCCTGGGGTCCTGTTTGCTGAGAGATCTTCCATGATGTACTTCGATTTCCACTTGGGAAGAGGGACTTCCGGCTCTGCAACAAAACTCTTTGCCATTTCAACGATTGAGACTAGGCCATCGTCGTTCGGAAAGACATTGTGCGCCGCCATGTATGTCTCAAAATTAGGATCACTTGCCTTGAAAAAGAGTGCTTTCTGGAAACACTCCATAGGCAGAACGTTGTTGGCGTAGCCTCGTCGCAAGATTTGCATCGCGTGGTAACGCACGTTTCCCATGTATCGATGCAAGATCGAGGCTTCCAGCGCCGTGCACTTGCTAAACTCGTTCCAAAATATGGCATAGTGCCTGAGCATATAAGCGGAAACAATGCGACGGGCGCGTTTGATCAGTGGATGCGTCTTGAAGCGTATGGGCACACGAGAAAGGTATTTCATCACAGCACCCGAGTCGTTCAGATTCAAATAAATCATGTACGCGCGAAACTCTGGCTCCGCAGCTGAGTACTGGCCTCGGACGGAGATGTCCTGGTAGACGTGCTCAATTGAAGTGAGCGTCTTTTCCAAGTTTTCATCGTTGATCCGCTGGTCCCAAAAGTCTTCAAGAACCATGCTATGCGAGCACCAGATGTGATATCGCGCCACGGTTTCAAGCACCTGCGCCGTTTTCAAACAAGACATGTGCTGCTGCGTAATGTCTTTTCGAATAGCGCGTGTGCGCTTCCACATGAAATCGTACCAAACATCAGCCCCAATTTCCTCAATGACATCTTCTGTGCAAACTTCGGAGCAAAAATACCAGCAGCAATCGAGCAACGTGCTCGCTGGGCGCAACTCGTTCGGAAGGGACTCTTCGGTATCTGCAGCGGATCGCTGGTAAACCTTGATGCACTTTTCGATAGCGATTTGTCCGTGCTCGTTCATTTCCAACACGGAGATATCCTGCTGAGTCCATCGTCGATAGATTTCTTTTTCCGGACAGAGATCGGCGCAGATTCCAACCTGCGCGCCTTCTCGCAACTCCTGTATCAACACATCACGGACGGTTTTGTCACGCGTTTCCAGAATTTTGAAGCGCTTCTCGGCTAGGTCAATATCAATCGCGTCTGGGTTCTTCGCCAGTGACGCGGCTTGGGAGCGTTTACTTCCGTCAGCTTTAGATTTACTGGATTTCAAGAACGAGGCAAAGCCAGACGGTTCGGGCGAAGCGCGGTTCTTGGTTTTCTTTTTACGAGAGTTGATGATTATTTCCGACTAGTTTCCATGAGGAATGGATTAAGCAGTGGCCCGCTGGAGCACAGACGCTTTATAACTCATGAAATGTCAACTTATTCCGATGGAAAATTGCCCATCATGTCTCAAGCTTTGACGCAAGAACTCTTTCCTGGCCAAATGAAGTCACCGGAGAATCCAACTGTATTTCGGAGTTCAACGGTTTCTTTCCAAAGATATTTCCTCTATTTCTTAACGAGCTCAATAAGCAGTCGATGAAAATTATTTCACTAAATTTTTCATGAAATAAATATATTTGAATAAGTTTTGGGCCCGTTCCTTGGATCCGATTCTGCTGTTTCAGGTGCATCAAACGGTGAGTTACTTCGTTCATTTCTGTCGATAGTTCTTGTTATCTTTACTGGTTGAAGCTCCTCCTCCGATGATTTTTCCATCTGTCGCTTCTTTTGCTCATTCAGTTGCTTGGCATATACAGCGTTCGTGGAGCTTCCAAATGTGTCAAAAGCAGCGTCGGAGGATCCTGTCATCCCAAACGGGTCGGACTCGGGGACAGAAAAGACATTCTCGCTAGATATAGATTCCAACGATTTTTCCTCTTTTCCTCCCTTGTCTCGCCCAAAGCGAACTTTTAGCGACGGAAACTGGTTCTCGATCCTAGCTCGCGCGTCTGCCGCATCTTTGGTGTTACGAAAGAACAGCTTCAACGCTTTCTTGAGTGGAACTGGAGCGACTTTTTCCAGGCCAGGTGGCTTTAGCACATTTTTAGCAAAATCGCGCATGATGTCTGAAATTTTGAAACTTGGATGAATTGAGTGTTATTATCAGTCAACTACCTTTGTTGACGCACACTTTGGGATCGAGGTCTTTCACTAGAAGAATAGAAGAAGTATGAACTGGATCAAACTTCTCGGCAGGTTGTTGTGCCGCAGCTTTAGTTCTTTCAGCGCCGGAGAAGCTACCAAATACCGGCTTCTTTGTCGCTTCTTTGCGGAAGGATTTATATAATCAAAAATTTGAAAGAACGGTATAATAGAACGTATGATGCATGTAATATGTAATCATAGATAGCACGGTAAAACATTTCTAATTTATCAAATTAATGCTAATTTCTAATATCCTGTCGAAATATATTATAAATAGAAGAATTTTTTCTAAGGGAAGTTAGAATCTATTACATACATCGTATGTAACCTTAGATAACAAAAGTATGAAGAAAATTCTCCTCCATCCCTTGTTTCCCTCCGCCAAACGAGCTGCGCAACTGGAAAGATGTTGCTTTGGGAACATCCGTTCTTGGTTGGCCAGCGGAAAATGACGTCTTCGCGGCGAAAGGATTGCTCTGGGCTGGGGCGGTAGACTTGAGGCTGAAGGTCGAGGACGAAGAGGATGGCGCAGAAAATGCTGCTTCTGCAGCTTTTGTTGTTTGCGGATTAGTACTGAAGATGTTTTTCCCGTTTCCGGCAGTGGAGAATTTCAGCGGCGTCTTTGAAGGATCCTCAAGGAAGGATGAAGTATCAGTGGCGATGGTATCATTTGCAGGCGCGTTACTTCCAAATATAGATGTTGGGCGGAAAGTGAAATCGGACGAAGGTGCTTCCTTTAGATTCATTATTGTTAATCTCAAGATCTTTTGTCTAGTCTTTCTATACCTTTTTAACCTCCTTCGCTCCCGCTGTACCGAAGCTACCGCTTGGCTTGAATGAAAAGCCCCCAGATGGGCCACCAGTAGCACTGGAACCGAAGGTGGAAGAAGCTTTCGCAGAAAACGATGAGCTTGAAGTTGATGATGATGGATTGCCTACACTGGCAAATGGATTGCTAACGAGCCCGGAAGCGAAAGAAGCTCGCTTGGGAGGCACATCTTCTTCGTTTCCCGAGTCTTCTTTCGATATCCGCTTGCCAAACGTGGCACTAGAATTTTGAAAGGTGCTTCCCGAAGAAGCCGCCTTAGCAAAAGGATTCGAAGAGCCAAACATTTACTCACGCATTCTGAAAAAAGGTTATTGAAGACTCAGCATCATTAAATTAATTAAATTAGGCTATTTCTGAGCTTCAGAGTTGGGTTTTTCAGGATCCTCTTTAGGAATAGCGTTCTTATCTTCGATATTTTCCTCTTGTTTCTCGGTTTCTTGAGACTCAGAGACTGATTCCACCTTCTCGCCTTCCTTTTGGATTGATCCGACTTCTGCATGTTCCTTCGACTCTTTTTCTTGTTTTTCCTCGTTGTTTTCTGCAACTTTCGGAATTGTCGAGATCGCTCCAGTTTTGCGCTTGTGATACTCTTGCCAGTTGTACTTTTGCCGTGGGAGCCAATCTTTGAAAATGCCAATGTAGCAGTTTTTCTTCAAGACTTCGACAAAAATAACATCATCAGTTTTCTTCCAGTCGATGGTCATGTCTGGTCGAGCTTCTAAAGCACACTTTAGCATGATTTAGAGCAGGTTTTTTTTAGGTCAGCATTTTATAACTCTTTTTTGGCGTGACGTATCTTCAAAATTTAAGTTGGAGGATGTTCCTTGGCCGAAAACAAAAATTTCCACCAGACCGGATTTTTGAACCGACTGGTTATTTCGCGGTAAATTGCGGTTAAAAATTTTAGACCCTCGGGGCAAGTTGTTGGGCACGCAGTTTTCGTGCCCAAAAGAAAGAGTGAAAAATTTTTAGTCGAACAAAATATATATCAACTAAGAAATATAAGAAAAATGATGTTAGAAACTCCCATAAATGGTGCGTATAAACAGCTGATTTGAGCATATTTGGGTTCATTTCCGGTGATATTTTAACCGGTTGCTAGCTCTCATCAGATCACGGTTTTAGTATTGATAAACTCAGAATTTCTCGCGCTTTCTTTTGGGCACGAAAAGTGCGTGCCCAACATCATGCCCTGAGGGCGTAAAAATTTATAACCGCGATTTACCGGGAAATAACCAGTCGGTTCAAAAATCCGGTCTGGTGGAAATTTTTGTTTTCGGCCAAGGAACATCCTCCAATTTAAATTTTGAAGATACGTCAAGCCAAAAAAAAGTTATAAAAATGCTGACCTAAAAAAAACCTGCTCTTAGTTCATTAACAATCTTACCCTTGACGACTCCAATCACCATCGTTTTGACTGCCTGGCTATCGAGGCTTGAATGAAATCTCGCTCTCGTCATCACATGATAATCTTTCACATCAGCGGGCATTTCTTTCTCGAGAACGTCCTTGATCGTCTCGGTCATGATTTCTTTTGTGGCAGTGCAAACTCGTTGAATCGGTAGAAGACGCTCCAGATGTGAGGGAACACGAAAATTATCCGGCACCTTCTCTGCCAGAATCGTCTCCCACATCGTATTCAAGATGCTTTTGGATTCTAGCTTTTCATGGCGAATATCCATGAACTAATTCATGGTCGAAAACAATCCAAAAGATCTGGTTTTGTAACCAAAAATATAATGATTTCGACCCTTCCCAAAGATTGGCTGACTCCCGTTTCGTAAATATGAAAAACCCGATCGTTTTTATCCTCCGAATTAGCTTGAGACTCGGCAAGTAGTTGCTTCTCAATATCAACGTGTTCCTCTTCAGTTTCATTATCATCAACTGGCGTACATTCTACCACTCGGTCTCCATTCTGGTCGACGAGTTGAGGATAAACCTGATTGGTGAAGTATTTGGCGATGGAAAATGCCTCTCGGTGGCATTGTTTCAGACATTTTCGGCGGTAGGACATGAGAAAACCATGGGTAGTGTCTTTTCATTCGGTTTTCAATAAAAAAATACGAAAAAAAAACTGATGAATGGTGCAAATTGACTGAATATCCGCGAAATGCATCGAGATCTAGATTGACTGGTGATTTAAAACCAATATGCCTTTTGGGTCAACAGAATTGCCAGAATACTTGCATCTTTTAATGTCTTGCGGATCTGTGCCCCCATAAACTTGCTTGTAGTTCATCTTTCTTTTTCCATTATTCTTTCCCATGTTTCTGAAACAATAAAAAAATCAAAAATTGAAAATCAAACTCCTGGGAACTCATCGTTTTCAATAATAGAATAAGTAAAGTACAGAATTAAAAGTTTCAAGTAAGGGCAGTTTATTCAGAAAACACATCGATTTTTTTTGTTCACATTCAGAATTTCGGGCAAAACCGGTAATTACGAAAATTCAAGCTTCAGGGACTTAATTTCTCGGACCAGGTCGTTGATTTTTTCCGATGTATCGGTCAGTGGCCGCATCAGCAGACTTCCCGAAGCAGCACTGCTCTTTTCCGTCTCCTGAATAGGACATGTTTTAAAAGATCAGTATGAAAAATGACCAGTACCTCTTCCGGAAGAGGAAGCTTATTTGACATCTTCTTCAGTCGACTGATGGTCTGTTTATGGACTTGCAATTGCCGCTCCGATTCGCGCAGTTCTTTCGCGGCTTCTTTTTCCGCTTCAGTCATTCTTCCTTGTCCCAGTTGAACCATCACGTTCATCAAACGCTCTTCCAGCTCGTTTTGCTTGTCGATGATTGTTTCTACTCGCTCACCTAGCCAGAAATACGTAAAAATCGAATAATGATATTCAAGGGTGCCTGGGTTCGCCGGTGTCCAACAGTTTACAGTACCTATTCGCTCTGCTGATGATCTAACGTCTTTCTTCAGTGCTTCGATATTGCTCAAAGAGTTCTTTTGCTCCGTGTAATCTTTCTTCAGCACAGCTACATGTTGGTTAATCGCTTCTCTCGCAGCCTTTCCACGAGCCAAATGTTCTGTCTTCATTTCTGCGATCACTTTTGCAACGATTTTGATTTGTTCCTAGATTTTAATGCTCAGAAATGGCTGATTCTGTAGTCATTTTTTACCTGTGTAGAGAGAGAGGCTCCATTCGCTGGTAATAAATAAGTTGGAGGCTTTGAAAGGACGAGTTTCAGTTTGTCGATTATGCTCTCTGGTATTTTTGGCGGTTTTCTCGATGGGTCAGATTTGGCAACGCATAGTGCGCTTGGCAGTGAGAGTAGCTAGAATTGAGCGAATCGAGAGAAGATCAATTTTAACAACTCACGGGTATGAAAAAGGCAGATCCATTAGACATTGAAGAACAGCAGATTGGTCCGTCGAAGCTTACTGAATTGGGAGCTCTGTCAAGACAGAGAGCGGACCCAGTGATCCTGGCTCCTCTTTCGTTCGCAGTTGTGACGAGAACTTCAATTGTGGAAGGACTAGAATCCGGAATGCGCCCGCTTTCGCGCATTTCATCCACCCAATTGAGCGAGATACAGTTCAAGCCGCTACAATCACCGTTAAATACAGTCAGAAAAACTCCATCTACTCATACGTTTGGCTAAAGATGAAATATCTCGAATTGCAAGACGCATCCGAGAGGACATGTATTTGGTCGTCGAATGAGTCGGAAACAGCCAGTTCGACTTTCTCCACTACAATCGCTTCTTCTTCGATAAACAAAAAGTGCACAGCCATCTTTTCGAAAAAATGAATTATCAGAAAAAGTTAAAATGGAAGGGAATTACCTCGGCTGTGGCGGCGACGAAAATGTCCTCCTGGATTTGTTGCAACTGGATGTCACCAGCCAATTCTACATTGCAAACGATATCGTCGTTGATTCTCACGAAGCCGTTTGAAGACACGGTCAGGATTTCTTGTTCTCCAAGCGCTACTATGTCCGTTAATTTGTCTCTTACTGAAATTGAGTGCTTCTTAAGATCGAAATCGCTGGAAAAAGACAAACTGTAGTTCTTCAGCGGTATTTTGCTAGAAAAATGGAGCACCATTCCTGAAATATTGGGCATTATGACAGGTCGTTGTTTTGGGTCGTCGTATAACAAGACTTCGTTGTTGGATTTGAGGACAATAATTCTTTGGCCGTCCCACTTTGCTTGAAGAATGTACTCTGATCCTAGCCGTTCTTGGATCGTTACGGGCTGAGTTTCTGGCCTGACTGGGTAGTTGATTGCTGACACTCCAGTACTGCTCCACATCAGCAGCGATCCATCCTGGTAAAGAGTTAGAAGATAGACAGTTACAGTTAGTTTACCTCTGAAAATGTCAGGTTCGTAATTCCATGCAGCGGAATATCGCAAATCTTGGATAATGTCTAAAAACATTCATAAATAACATGTGAGTTGGGGACTTTTTAATGATGTTAAGGTCCTTAACTTAAGGGGGAGGTCGACGAGAATCGGGATTTTTGTGACCAAAAATGCGCAAAAACCTGCTCAGATAGGCAAATTCTGACTTGTCAGGTAGAAAGAAAAGGGTTTGAAAAATACAGCGGCGAAAACTAGAAAAAAAAATTTTTTGAAAAAATTTTCAAAAAATTCGGTCAAAGTCGGGGTATCTCGTAACCAAAAAATCTCGAAAACCGGATATTTTTTCTCCATCAAATACAATCAAAAGTAAGTTCAAACCCTTAAAAATACAGCGGCGACAATGAAAAAAGATATGCTTTTCTTGAAAATTTTTTTTCTTTTGATCAAAAATATGCGATTTTCCTAAATATCGTCATTTTTACCCATTTTTCATAGAGAATTTCACCAAAGTCGAGGAGACTCGGATTTTTTTATTGATAATGATTAAGAAACAATAAAAAACAATATCTAGCAAACAAAAGTCAGATTAAAGTTGTTTTTTGGTGAAAAAACTAACTTTAAAATTTCGAAAAATCTCGAATTCCAGACAGAAAATCGAAAATTTTCTTAAAAAAAGTTAACCAAAGCGCAAAAAGCTGGAGACCAAAAATGCTCCTTTTTTATGAAGGAATTCAAAAAAATAAACAAAATTTTGAAATAACGAAAAAATTTTTCTCGTCGACCCCCTCCTTAAGGAAAGTATTTGAATTACCTGTCGATTATTGAGAGACAGTGAAACAACTGTCTCTTGTTCATCAGAAACGCCGTAAAGAATGCCTCTGTTGCAGGCAAGAATGTTCGTCTTCGTCTTCGATTGAATGTCCTAAGCCGAATTTACCAATAAGTAGATATTCTAGGATTTTTACCTTGAAAAACTGTGACGAGGAGAGTTTTCTCCTGAGCTCTTCGGGCGAGATCATCTCTCTGAAAATAGAACTTTTCTTATCTGAGTTTTATGATCCCTTTTATTAAGATCTAACAGTAAATTTAAAATATACAGGCAGAAATAGGAGACATTTTAAAGTATAAGTAGTCGCTGCCAAGTTCAACTCGAACTGGGGAGCAGAATACACCTGTGTTTATAGAACTCGAGTTCACGGCTCCCTCCAGAACCTGTAAAACGGAAAGACTAGCTAATAACTTGAAGAAATTGAATCTTCTCTCGAGCTCTTCTTGATTATAAACAACATCTTTTGAATAAGCATCGGCATGATCAAAGCATTTCTTTAGAGGATACAGGCAAAAATAGGCGAATTGACTGAGCGCGTATAACCAATCAACGCCCGTGGAAATTTGGCGAGCGCCTATTTTTCGGATAACTCAAGAACGAGGGCCTCGTTACGAGGCGCGAAAATTGAGAAATTTTAGAGAAAAGTGGCGAAGGGTTTCGTTGATCCAGTAGAATTTTTCACTTACGAGAAGAATAGATTTCGTAAAGATGAATTTAATAATTGCATAATTTAGAATAGGAGCATTAATTTCCTCCCTTTTGTATCATTTTCCCAGCCTTAGGCTGCGAAAAAGTCTTTTGAAATCTGATTAGTTAGAAATCGTTCGTGAAGGACCGTTTAGTTAAAAATAGGAAAAAAACCGGCCGTGTTGTTGAATTTTTATGCCCAAATTAGGAAAAAAACCGGCGTTTTTCGAATGCAGCTGCATTTCGAGTTTTCGTCATTTTTTTTTATTTCTGGAGAGTGACGCCTTCATTTTGTATTTCCTGATTGAGAGGACCAGAGACGGGTTAAATAATAAAATATTTACGAGGCTTCAAGCTTTTTTAATTCAGACTGCGATTTCGGAGCTACGAGAGCTTTGTTGGCGAGAGACTATCTGTAGTTAAAGTTTTTCTTGCAGGTAAGTGTGAATTTCAAACTTGGGCGCCAGGTTGAAAAAAGCTATTTAAAAGTTTTGAGTTCCTGAAAATATTTTTAGATCGCGAGCGAGAGAAAGACAATGCGGAGACTGGGACAGACCGAACATGTCGTCCAGGCACGAAGATCTGCGGTTACTCCGGCGAAGGCGCGGCCAGAGAAGTACCACGGTGTTGTGCGCGAACTGTACGTTGCACGGGTGTTTACTGTAGCTGCATGCCGCAGCATGCGGATTTCCCTTGCTAGTTAATTTTTAGATTTCGATTTTTGTGGTTCTTTCAATCGAAATCCAGGCTTTTTTTTAATTTCCGATCCTCCTGCGCGGGTATTTTCAAAGCTCAGACTCATAAATATCTGCTCAGGGGTGGAAAGATTTATTCTTGTTTTAAAATTTGTCTTCTTAGGCCAAAGGTGGATCTCGACCGAACAAGCGGATCCAGCGGAAGCAGCTTCAATGCCTCAACCCTTCTTTTTGCGAATCCGGAGCCTGTGTCTTACATAACGCGGGTTGAGCAATGCATCAAAGACAATCTCCGAACAGTCGTAGCTGTCTTTGGATTGTAAGTCTTATGTAGAGAAAAATGGGCTGTTTCTAATGTTATTTTAGCTTGCTGATCATTTGCGTCGCCGCGCAAATGGGGCGCTTCGAGGAGACCTCCTCCCCTGAGCCCCATTTTGAAAAGATCGTCGAGACGCAAATCGTCCCCGACTTTTCCCCGATGCAAGAGCAGCTCCAAGAACTAAAACTCTTGATCGCTCAGCTCAACGAAAAACAAGCGGCGTCTGATGAGCTCCTCGCCGCTCATCAACTGCAAAATCAGAAGCTGTTGGAGCAAATCGCTGCTCAAGCCACTACACCGGCCCCAGCTACAGTTGCACCACCGCAAATTGATTATGAGCCGTGCGATTTCAAAGAGTCTGAGGAGAGGATTCTGGCATCGCTGGAGGATCAGCTAAATGAGTTTCAGAAGAACCAACAGGTGATTCAGGACGATTTCGAGGGCAAATACGACATCTTTCTTTCGCAGGTAAAACCGATTAAATCAGCGGCGAAAGTGATGCTCTTCTATGTCTTCAACTGTCAATCATTTTCCTTTATTCAGATAGCGGAAGTGTCCAAAGCCCTTCGAGAGATTCCTCCAGCTGCGGTTACATCATCTTCAACTGCAAATCCGTCTCTTTCGCCGCCTCAAGAAACGATTCCGGACATTGCTCAGATGCTCGATGAGAAGCTCTGGAAATTCGATGCTGATAGAACTGGACTGGCTGATTTTGCGCTTGAATCAGCTGGCGCTGAAATCATCCCAGGTAAATATTTTTGTTTTGAATTAATTAAAACAATCGATTTAGAATTGACAACTCAAGGATTGAAGAATAACTCGCCGATCCTGTCGATCTGGAAGTTTCCAGTCTTCTATCAGACAATGTCTCCTCGCATCGCCATCACACCAGGCGCGTATCCGGGCACCTGCTTCGCCTTTGCTGGTGGCTCGGGAACACTTGCCATCAAGCTTTCCCAGCCAGTCGTCGTCCAAAACATCACCCTTCAGCACATCCCAAAGGTTAGCGTTTTTCCGTCATCTCCAAACTCATCCTTCTTGAAGGAGACATCACCAGTCGGGCACATCAACAGTGCTCCGCGCGGGTTTGAGCTCTTCTCCGTCGACGGACGAACCGAACAGCCCCTCGGAGAGTTCGTTTTCGATGCAGAAGGGAAGCCGATCCAGACGTTCCAAGTGAAGAGCAACTCCCTTGTCTCTGCTGCCGTGAAGTTCAAGTTCAACTCGAACTGGGGCGCAGAGCACACTTGTATCTATAGAACTAGAGTTCACGGTTTGCTCTCGCACAATGTAGTCTAGGATTTCACTTCAACAACAACTAACTGACCTTCACTAACACTTTTTCACGCCCCATGTAAACTTTCTTCCGCTTTGTATTCAAATTCTATCCACCGAATAGTTTCACCTTACTGCCACCTTCAACATATTCAAACATTCCCTGCGCAAAAATAAAACTAATAAACGAGTACATTTTTGTGCTTCAGGAAATTATCACTCGCTTATTTCTATTTCTTTTTGAAAGCAGATATTTTCTTGAGATTAGAATTTTCGAGCAGGGTATTGAGTTGTGCAAAGTTTTCATCATCTTTACAGACAGATTAGATCCTAATGACGCATTACTGGAATGGAGCACTGTCAGAAGCTCTTTGGCGCTTTGCAGGAAGCACAGGCACGCCCTCCAAATGGAACCAGGGCGAGTTTTTGCTGAATATAAGGAATTAGCAACAGTTCTGATATCATTTCACTGCCAAGGAAATCAAAGAAGATAATGAAACTCCTGTTCATCCTCTTCTCTCTAGCAACTTGCTACACGGCCACAAGCATGCATTTGAAAATGCTTCGCTCAAGAAAGTTCGCCACTGAACCAAGAAGATCAACCATTTCAAATGAAACCATCAAATCTGTCGAACTTAGACGTCAAATTGTTCTTCAGTATTTATTATAATTCTGAGCCAATTTTGGTCAAACATTTTGTCAATAAAGAAAACCTTTCAATTTGAAAATCGAATTTGTGCATTTTTCATAATGATCATCCCTTGTTTGCAGCATCTTTTCAACAAAAAGAAAAATATCTTGCTCGTTGTTCGGCGAGAACGAAAATAAAAAGTTTGTGTGAGCGACATCGCTCATTACTGTTGTTGACCGTAGCTCAGAGCGAACCTAAAAGGTGCTGTACGTAGTTCTGATCTCAATTGTTTACCCTTTCTCTCAATAAATCGAGAGTTCAAGATCCGCCTCAGTTAAAAGAATCAAAATGAAGATTTTCAAGAGTCTCGCATTGCTCTTTTCAGGCTCAAGTGCCCAAGAGAGTCCAGATGACACGATTAGAAATATGATTATTATGGGCCAGGTGAGAGGATTTGATGAATTTCCGCTAAAACAAAAAGGGCTCGTTTCGTCCGCCGAGTGCAATGCTGATCGCCATGGTCAACCAGAACAGTCACAGCGAGAACAAGGAGGCAGCAGTTGAGGCACTGCTCAAAGGCTCCGAGAAGTTTCATGGAATCGACATCAACTCGAAAGACTACATGGGCCGTTCGGTACTGATGAACGCGGTCAACAACGTCGACATCGAAATGGTCCGACACCTCTTCAAAGTCGATGAAGGTAAACAAACGGCACCCGGGTTGTGGAATTCCTATCAGTTCTATCTATGTTTAATTTAAGAAAACGATAATGTCGGGCCCCTTCGAATTGACGATACAGATCACTGGGGCGGAACTGCGCTTCATCTTATCGTCCGCGCTCCTTTCAAGGTACTCTTCCTTGATTCCAAAGAAACTTTTTTTACTCAACAAAATCAAAGCCATACGGTTTCGGCGAGACTGTTGAAGATTGGCCACTCAAAAGACGATTCGAAAAGGCAAACACTGTTTTGCGAATTCTTCTAAACAAGGGCGCCAATGTCAATCAATTAAATAACTATGGCCAGGGTTATCGTCTCAACTTATTGAACTGAGAATGTGACTTAGATAACCTGAGACAGACAAACTCCTCTTATGCTTGCTGCGTCGAATGGATTCTCCCCTGGAGTTGAGATGGTTTGATCATCGCATCAATAAGCCCGGTAATGATTTCCCTCATTTAGCTTGCTGGAGAATACGGCGCCGACGTCAACGTTGTTAGCCCAGATTCATTTTCAAACGGCCTCCCGAATCGCAAAGCGGGATACTCGGGTAAAAGAATTTCATCATCAAATGCAAACAAGCTCTATTAACGAACTTTGTGGCAAGAGTTTTTTTGGACAAATTCCATGTTTGCTCACGAGCAATTTTGAAAAAAAAAGTCGACAATCAGTAGTTTATCATCAATTCAGCTCTGGACATTGCTGTGGAGCAAAAGGCCTATCTGACTTCCTTGGAGCGAGATGTTTATTACTACGACATGGTGATCCAATTCCTCTGCAATAATGGAGGGCAACAGTTTAAGACTGAAAATGTTTGCTGATCAATAAACTTTTTACTTTCTAAAGTTAGTGAGAAAAAACCGTGTAACGCAAAGTGATTGACCTTTGTTAAAGCAGGTGGCAGGGATCGAGGGGAGCATCCGGTGGTCAGATAAGTGCGGTTAACTATCGATTCGCACCGTAAATCTTATTAAACATTGCAGGGCGCGAATGAAAAGTCCGCCTGGCACTTCAAGCGCGACACCTCTACTTGAGTAGCTCGTAACGTGCTTTATATGATGAAATCGTCTGTTTGAGTAGTTCATGTTTGATAGACACTCTTTCTCAAAGGCCCCGCGTCCTATAACAAGTGTAATAGCTCTTCGAAAGGCATTTTGAGCGACATGATTCGATGGGTACTTGTCATTGCTATCTAGTAATCCTGTCAGATTCCGTCTCCACGATGTTAATACAGTAGTTTTTGCCTGCAATCTATAAAATATGGTTCAGCAAAATAGGAACTGATTCACCATTTTCTGATGTTGAAAAATCGGTTTGAAAAAGGAAATTGACGGAGTATTTTGTTTTGAAGGCAGGAAATTCCAAATGAGCCATCAAACAGGATCAATCTCCGCCTAGGCCAAATAAAGCACTTGATGCTCACCATAGAGATCTTGATGAAGTGCCTATGCAAAGAAAAGTAACGAAGTCAATATTGAACTTCTGTCATATATAGCCGACTGTCGCCCGCTGCGCTGCGACAATGAGAGATTTCATAAAATTTCTAATTGGTAAGTTAGAGTTCCGCTTCGTTATGATAAGATTTACTTAGCCGGCCTGGTCGGTTCCGGCCTGGCCCTGGTCATTGCCCTCCCCATTCTACTAATTGATAACTCTGACGATGTGCCGGCAAACGACAATGGCGACAACGATTCCTCCTCCAATTCTGGCCAGGTCTTCCCTGACAACGACTTTTTGAAGTTCGACGACGTCTGGACTGGTAAACTCTCTTCCAAATCATTCAACCCAACCTTCTCCGCTGTGAACCCAAACCAGTACATTTGCACCTCAAGAAAACAAGACGGAACTGGAACTGATTTACCAGATGGAGAATTCGAACTCTACCGGGTCGACATCGAACTTTACGATGCTGTTCAACAAGGCGATTGTGCCAGTTACGGAGAGCGAATCACCAACAGTACCAAGTTTAGCAAGGAATACAAAACTGCCGGAGGCCAAAGATATTACCTTTCTCCAAATGAAAAATACATCCTCTACAGAAATAACTACCAAAAGCAATGGCGACACTCCTTCTTCGCTGACTATTACATCTGGGATATTGAAGCTGATCAGGAATTGAAAACTGCTCACATTTCTACGCATAAACAAGCTCAATTTGCTGGCTGGTCACCAAATGCCGAAGGAGACACCAAGCTCGTTTGGGTCACCAACAATAAGGATATCTACTACAGCACTGACAATGACAAGTTTGCCACTGGCAATCGAGTCACTAACGATGGTGGCTGGTGCTTGAAAAAACATCACTTGCTCGGCGTTGAATACGAAACTGTTTCCGACAAGTGCATGTACAACGGAGTGCCTGAGTGGAATTACGAAGAAGAAATGGTCAGTTCAACCAACACGATCTACTGGGCCCCTGATGGTTCTCACTTCACATTCGTTGCTTTTGATGTTACTGACATTCCCGTTCTTGAATACAGGTGAGAACAGAACACTTAAGCAAGTCGTAAAAGTTAAGTGTGTACCCTGAACATGAAACCGCCTCGAGTGCAAAGGATATTGATGAAACAACATTTGAGCAGTTCCCACGAGTAAACATACTTCAATTCGCAAAGACTGCCGGCCCCATTGCCAAGACTAAGTTCTGGATTGTTGAGGCCAAGGTGAGAAAACCTCACATATATATGAGCTCATCAAAATCTTAAGCCTACTGGATTCAATATCAACAACGACAAGCTCGAACTTGTTCCAACTAAAGATAATACTCTCAGATTTGAGCGAGGAGTCGGAAATGATCAAGAAAATCGATATTTCACAAGAATTTCCTTCTCTCCTGATAGCTCAAAGTTTGTGATGACCTGGAGCAGCCGAGCTGCGACTCAGTCTAAGTCTATTGTCTGCGCCGTTTCCACCACAGGTGCTGGCTGCAAGGTATATTTAGAATTAGAGATCGAATATTAATGTTTATTCAGCAACAAGGAGACGGAGAAGTTGGAGGTGTCTTCGGTAGTTTTGACAACAATGGGGAATGGATAAATTCCGCCAACAATGGAGCTGGTCAAGAAAATAAATACCACGGTTGGGTTGGATCTTTTGGTCCCTTCAGCCCTATCATGGCCGATAATGGCGAATTCTTCACGATCCATTCCAAGAAAACTACCAAAAAGTCAGCGGAACTCCATCCATTTGGAATGGAAATCCTTGATGGATATTGGAATGTCGTCAAAGTTGCTGCTGATGGCACCCAGACTTTCCTGACTGACAGCGTTGATGGAGAATGGACCGTCACTGAATTGAACTTCCACGATACCAAGAACAATTTCTTGTACTTTACTGCCGCCCGTGGCGCAGATATCAAAACTGAGTATAAACGACATGTTTATCGAGTCAAGACGGATGTTAATTCTCCTCAAGCAGAACCCGAGTGTGTTACCTGCAAGCTTGATCAAGAGGATGCCAACGGAAACAGTCACTGCGGATGGGTTAACTTCAGACGTAACTGTCAGCAGACAGTGGACGATCCACAGGCAAGTAGAAAGGACTGCGTAATGCGATTTTTGCTAATTGCCGAGGAGACAAACGCCCGATGACCTATCTATCTCGCGTCGGTCAAGATTTTGGTACTGAAGTCAATTTCGACACGTACGAAGAGAACGATGCTCTCCAAGCCACACTCGATGAGATGAAGGGTTACCCCACTGTCAAGCGAGGAAAATGGAATAACTCAAAGTGGGGCGGTCTCCAGCATAATTATGAGATTTATCTTCCAAAGAGCTACAGCGAGAACAACGACCGAAAGTACCCCGTCTTCCTCGAAGTATACGCCGGCCCAGAGTTCCAGAAAGTTCAGCAGACCTTCAAGACCGGTTGGGCTCAGGTTCACATGCCCGCCGCTTACGATTGCATCGTCGTTTCCATCGACGGTCGAGGCAGTGCCTTCCAGGGTGATCTTTTCATGTTTGCCAACTACAAGGCACTCGGTCAAACCGAACGAGTCGATCAGACTGACTTTGCCTACTGGCTCGCCAACGAGAGTGAATATGCCGCACGAATCGACAAGAGCCGAATGTCCGTCTACGGCTGGTCCTACGGTGGATACACTACCACTCACATCGTTGGCTACGGCGGTGGCGAGCACGGGCGGGTTTTCACTAGCGGTGTTGCTGTTGCTCCTCTTGCTGACTGGCGATTTTACGATGCTATGTACGCTGAGCGATACATGGACTACACAGGAGAAGCCGACGAGATCATGCAGGTAACTAAAACTCACTAAATTCAATCACCCACTCAAAAAATCAAGCCCCACTGGAAGAACGCTTCAATGATCGAACGACCTATCCTTGAAAACGAGATGCAACACTTCGATGGAGGAAACTACCACTTGATCCACGGAACCAACGACGACAACGTCCAGTTCCTTAGCGCCGCTCGAATGGAAAAGGCCCTTGTTGAGCGAGGAATCGACTTCGACAACTTTGTAAGTTTTTGATATCAACGATGAAAAGTTACTTTCTTTCTAGTTCTACGCCGACGAAGATCACTCGATCCGATCGACTCAGACTGTCCAGCAGCACGTCTACAGAAACATCATCACAAGAATTATCAAATCCTGGGGTTACGTCTGGAACGGCGACGGCGAAGGAGCCACTCGACTTTAGACATAATATAAATCCAATCATGAGATGACTGATCTGCTTGCTTAAGAAATGAAGTTATCTTTATGAACGTGAATAATATAGAACAATGAATTTGCTGCAAAACGAGAATAAATTGCTCGGGTCAAAAATAGCTCGCAAGCCTGGATTCAACAATTTTTTTCCACTAAGCTGCATTCGCAGATTTATTAAGAACATCTTCTGCCTATCCACGGGCAGGAGTCAGCCTTTTTTAATCTAGCCCTCTTTTCAACCTCAAACATGAAATTAATTAGACTCAATCTGCTTTAGAACCACCCTGCTCAAATAAGGACACAAGAAACGAATTTAAAAAAAATGATAATTTATTTTCCGTAGGAAGCTTGATTTGCCATCGCAGGATTAAATCGTACACTGTTACACAATCGGGATGAGTATGAATTCGCCGCAGTGTCTCGCTCGCTGTTTTCTTCCTTTCTCTTTTTCAAGAGGAATGTGAGGAATTCACTCTTTGAGATCCTCAGTTTTTCAATCGGCGTTTCGGGGAGCAAAATGGCAAGCAGAAGATATACGACTGCCGACCATTAGACTCCATCACGAGGTGCCCTCATAATTTTATCTGAAAGAGAAGCATTTAGTAATTATGTGAAAAATAAAGTTGCTTGAAATTATAAAAGAAGTGTAAATGACAGCAAGACGAATCTGCAGGTGATGAAGAACAGTGAATGTTAATATTTTGAGCGGAGTTTATACTCATGTTGTCTCTGTATTGCTCCTTTTGAAGGTCGTACTCTTCCTTGGTTCTTCCAAATTTCTTAACCATTCTCGTCGATGGGCGGGTTCCTCTTTTTCTGGTTTCTCAGAAGCCGAGACCATCGACGATGGGTTCGACCTTCTCTCCGGATGGCGGGGTTGACAGTCAGAACCAACAGACAAATAGATAGGCTAACCGCGGTGTTTTTCGATTTTCAAGGTTCTTTTGAAAAATCTCCCCATACTTTCTGAACATATGCATCAAGACAAGCCTTGAAAAACTGCACTTGCAGAATTTTCGATATGAGTCATCTTACCTCTTTTTTTGGGGGATTTTTAGCAAGAAAAAAAGCACTAGTTTGATTAGAAGCGGCTTTTGAGTGCGTGCTAGATCGATTTTGATAATTTGATGCCTACCATGTGAAAGATAAGCGCAAGACGCGTCGATACATATGAAATTTATTATTGCGGAGCGCTTCCTTCATATGATTCTAGAGCTCCAAAGTTTACGCAAGCGGCCAGATACGAAAATCCAATATTATCAACTTCTGATATAAGTATGCTATGATGATGTTTTATAGCTCAAATTAAAGCTTATGAATCACTGAACAAAATGGCGTGGTATTTTTTTGACCAGCCGGTGGTGCTTCCGGTTCGTCGCGGTTCATACCCGGAAATAGGTCAAAATGTGGAAATATGTATATCAAATGAATTCATTTTCAACAGCGATTCTTTTAAACATATTCAGAAGTTCAACCGCCTGGTTACTCTTGCGGTTCATGGTGGTTCATGGTGGTTCAAGCGCAGAAATGAGCAAAATAGCAGCAATATGTATATCAAATTGAAACTTATATTAAGTACATTCATAAAATCATTAAATAAGCCCGAACCAACCGGTAACTCTCCCGGTAAATGGCGGTTCAAGACGGTTCAAGCCGGTTCAAGCTAAAAACATGCTCATAATGGTTCAATATGGTTATCAAATGTATTCATTTACAAGAGCGAGTCTTTAAAACACATTATGAAATTAAACCGCCCGGTTATTCAATATATATTTATATATTTTATATATTTATCAATATGTATATCAACTTGAATCTTGTATTAAGAACATTCGTCGAATGATTGAATAAGCCAAAACCACTGAGAAAGTCTCGTGGTAAAAAGCGGTTTCTGACGGTTCAAGCCGTTTCAAGCCCAATATATGCTTAAAATGGTTCAATATGTATATCAAATGTAAACATTATATCAAATATATATTAAATATAATATATATATATTAAATATATATTATTATATCAAATGTAAATTATATTAAACAACTCTTTTGAATCTTTAGGGAGGCAAGGCCCGTTATAACAATTCAGTCTGAGACGGGGCCAAGCCGACCCGAAGGGGAGGCCAGGCCCGTTTATACAATTCAGTCTGAGACGGGGCCAAGCCGACCCGAAGGGGAGGCCAGGCCCGTTTATACAATTCAGTCTGAGACGGGGCCAAGCCGACCCAAAGGGGAGGCCAGGCCCGTTTATACAAATCAGTCTGAGACGGGGCCAAGCCGACCCAAAGGGGAGGCCAGGCCCGTTTATACAAATCAGTCTGAGACGGGGCCAAGCCGACCCGAAGGGGAGGCCAGGCCCGTTTATACAATTCAGTCTGAGACGGGGCCAAGCCGACCCAAAGGGAGGCCAGGCCCGTTTATACAATTCAGTCTGAGACGGGGCCAAGCCGACCCGAAGGGGAGGCCAGGCCCGTTTATACAATTCAGTCTGAGACGGGGCCAAGCCGACCCGAAGGGGAGGCAAGGCCCGTTTATACAATTCAGTCTGAGACGGGGCAAAGGCGACCCGAAGGGAGGCCAGGCCCGTTTCTACAATTCAGTCTGAGACGGGGCCAAGCCGACCCGAAGGGGAGGCAAGGCCCGTTTATACAATTCAGTCTGAGACGGGGCCAAGCCGACCCGAAGGGGAGGCCAGGCCCGTTTATACAATTCAGTCTGAGACGGGGCCAAGCCGACCCGAAGGGGAGGCAAGGCCCGTTTATACAATTCAGTCTGAGACGGGGCAAAGGCGACCCGAAGGGGAGGCCAGGCCCGTTTCTACAATTCAGTCTGAGACGGGGCCAAGCCGACCCGAAGGGGAGGCAAGGCCCGTTTATACAATTCAGTCTGAGACGGGGCAAAGGCGACCCGAAGGTGAGGCCAGGCCCGTTTCTACAATTCAGTCTGAGACGGGGCAAAGGCGACCCGAAGGTGAGGCCAGGCCCGTTTCTACAATTCAGTCTGAGACGGCCCGTTTATACAATTCAGTCTGAGACGGGGCCAAGCCGACCCGAAGGGGAGGCAAGGCCCGTTTATACAATTCAGTCTGAGACGGGGCCAAGCCGACCCAAGAGAGAGGCCAGCCCCGTTCATACAATTTAGTCTGAGACGGGGCCAAGCCGACCCGACGGGGAGGCCAGGCCCGTTTATATGATTCAGACTTTGACGGCTCCAAGCCGACCCGAAGGGGGCCAGGCCCATTTAAACAATTCAGACTGAGACGGGGCCGAGCCGACCCGAAGGAGAGGCAAGGCCTGTTTTTACAATTCAGTCTGAGACGGGGCTAATTCGACCCGAGGGGGGGCCAGGCCCATTTAAACAATTCAGACTGAGACGGGGCCGAGCCGACCCGAAGGAGAGGCAAGGCCTGTTTTACAATTCAGTCTTAGACAGGGCAAAGCCGACCCGAAGGGGAGGCAAGGCCCGTTTATACAATTCAGACTGTGACGGCGCCAAGCCGACCCGAAGGGGTGGCCAGGCCGATTTAAACAATTCAGACTAAGACGGGGCCGAGCCGACTCGAAGGGGAGGCAAGCCTGTTTACACAATTCAGTCTGAGACGGGGCTCCTTCGACCCGAGGGGGAGGCAAGACCCGTTTATACAATTCAATCTGAGTTTGCTGGTCGACATGGCCCCGTTGCTTCGGGTCGGCTTGGCCCCGTCTCAGACTGAATTGTATAAACTGGCCTGGCCTCCCCTTTGGGTCGGCTTGGCCCCGTCTCAGTCTGAATTGAATAAACGGGCCTGGCCTCCCTATCGGGTCGAATTAGCCCCGTCTCAGACTGAATTGTATTAACATGCCTTGCCTCCCCTTCGGGTCGGCTCGGCTCCGTCTGAGTCTGAATTGTATAAACGGGCCTTGCCTCCCCTTCGGGTCGGCTTGGCCCCGTCTCAGACTGAATTGTATAAACGGGCCTGGGCTCCCCTTCGGGTCGGCTTGGCCCCGTCTCAGACTGAATTGTATAAACGGGCCTGGCCTCCCCTTCGGGTCGGCTTGGCCCCGTCTCAGACTGATTTGTATAAACGGGCCTGGCCTCCCTTTGGGTCGGCTTGGCCCCGTCTCAGACTGATTTGTATAAACGGGCCTGGCCTCCCTTTGGGTCGGCTTGGCCCCGTCTCAGACTGAATTGTATAAACGGGCCTGGCCTCCCCTTCGGGTCGGCTTGGCCCCGTCTCAGACTGAATTGTATAAACGGGCCTGGCCTCCCCTTCGGGTCGGCTTGGCCCCGTCTCAGACTGAATTGTTATAACGGGCCTTGCCTCCCCTAAAGATTCAAAAAGAGTTGTTTAATATAATTTACATTTGATATAATAATATATATTTAATATATATATATTATATTAAATATATATTTGATATAATGTTTACATTTGATATACATATTGAACCATTTTAAGCATATATTGGGCTTGAAACGGCTTGAACCGTCAGAAACCGCTTTTTACCACGAGACTTTCTCAGTGGTTTTGGCTTATTCAATCATTCGACGAATGTTCTTAATACAAGATTCAAGTTGATATACATATTGATGCTATTTTGTTCATTTCTGGTCTTGAATAACTATGAACCACCATGAACCGCAAGAATAACCGGGCGGTTTAATTTCATAATGTGTTTTAAAGACTCGCTCTTGTAAATGAATACATTTGATAACCATATTGAACCATTATGAGCATGTTTTTAGCTTGAACCGGCTTGAACCGTCTTGAACCGCCATTTACCGGGAGAGTTACCGGTTGGTTCGGGCTTATTTAATGATTTTATGAATGTACTTAATATAAGTTTCAATTTGATATACATATTGCTGCTATTTTGCTCATTTCTGCGCTTGAACCACCATGAACCACCATGAACCGCAAGAGTAACCAGGCGGTTGAACTTCTGAATATGTTTAAAAGAATCGCTGTTGAAAATGAATTCATTTGATATACATATTTCCACATTTTGACCTATTTCCGGGTATGAACCGCGACGAACCGGAAGCACCACCGGCTGGTCAAAAAAATACCACGCCATTTTGTTCAGTGATTCATAAGCTTTAATTTGAGCTATAAAACATCATCATAGCATACTTATATCAGAAGTTGATAATATTGGATTTTCGTATCTGGCCGCTTGCGTAAACTTTGGAGCTCTAGAATCATATGAAGGAAGCGCTCCGCAATAATAAATTTCATATGTATCGACGCGTCTTGCGCTTATCTTTCACATGGTAGGCATCAAATTATCAAAATCGATCTAGCACGCACTCAAAAGCCGCTTCTAATCAAACTAGTGCTTTTTTTCTTGCTAAAAATCCCCCAAAAAAAGAGGTAAGATGACTCATATCGAAAATTCTGCAAGTGCAGTTTTTCAAGGCTTGTCTTGATGCATATGTTCTGAAAGTATGGGGAGATTTTTCAAAAGAACCTGTGAAATAGAAAACACCGCGGTAAGCCTACAAATAGAAGATATACAACTATCTGCCCCTTGATTCTTTCGTCCTCATATATAAATCTGAATTGAAAAGGTCAGCTGCCGGGTTAAAAGAGGTTTTAAGCAGGCACAGTAAAAGCTGGAATTGACAGGTGGGTCTCTAGTGTAAAATCTCGAAAAAAGTCGGGAGTGGCCTTCCGGGACTCTCTGAAAATGCAGACTGACAAGTGCCAGGGAGAAAGTGGAAAGCGCACGAATCTCCGCGCGCGACTATTGGCTCGAATTTGACGCGTGGGCGGTCGTCCCGTCAGATGATTTTCCGGCGGTGGCGTCGACCCTAGCTGGTTAGGAACTCGAGCTCCTCGTGGATACCCTAGCCAGATAGAGCGAAAGGGGGTCAAACAAGGTCATCTGATCAGACCAAAGAACCTTCAACCAAAATGGCCGGTTACGTCATTTTGGAGCAACCGACAGAAAAATCTCGCGGTTATCTATTTTCCCTTCGCCCATTTTCTTTCAGTCAGAATTAGAAAAGTCGATTGGGATATTTTTTTGTAAGAGAAAATGGGAGGTGACCGACAACGAAGTAGAGTTCAGGGGAATTATATGATGAATGACCGGGGCGAAGCTCGAAGGTTGGGGTTAGAATTTTTGGTGCAGATTTTATTGTTTTGTCTGAACTTCGTCGATGCTATAGTTAAAATTAGATCTAATTCTAACCTCTGTCAGAAAGAAGCCTGAAAAATGGAAGCAAGGTCTAAAACAACAAGAAGCTCCCAAAGCTCCAGCTTCGATTCCAGCGCCAAACTCGGACCACTGCCTCACTCAAGTGATCAAAAAGATCCTTCCGTCTCCGTCGGACAAAATTGCAGTCTTCATTTTTCGCCGAGATCTTCGAATCTTCGACAACACGTCATTGATTGCTGCTGCTGCTGATGGCTTTAAAATTCTGCCTGTTTTTATCTTTCCGCCAGAGCAAATCGAGGAGAAGGAAAATGAATATTTCTCGCATCCGTGTGTCCAGTTCATGTGCCAATCTTTGAGCCAAGTGCACAAGGAGTTGGAAAAGCTGTCCTCAAAGTTGCACTTCATCAAATTGTCGAACAAGGACGCCCTAACGGAGTTGAAGAAAGAAGTCAACTTTGAAGCAGTTTACTCGAATGAAGACTACTCTTTCTACGCGGTTTCAAGAGACAACGAAGTCCGAAGCTGGTGCCGCGAAAATCGAGTCAAATTCGTCCAAAAGGAAGACTACGGGATGATGAAACTTGACGAGAACTTGGACAAGTTCAAGCGACCGATTAGGACTCACGCCGCATTCATGCGCGGTTTTAGAGCGAATTATACAGTCAGGCGGCCGACAGAAGTGCCTTGGACTGGAGCGAATTTTGCCAGCTATGATTTAAACTGCGAAATTCCAGAGGAGAAGATACACACCTTCTATCAGAACAACCCTAAACTCGCTGTTCGTCCAGGTAATAACAATGATGTTAATAACTGATTCAAACTTGATTTAGGCAGAACTGGGGGAATGGAAAATCTCAAATCCTTTGAAAAATTGGTCGATTACCGAGCAGTTCATAATATGCTCGACTTGGAAACATCACGAAGCTCTCCTCATACGAAATTCGGAACAGTTTCGGTGAGCATTTGAAATCAAAGACATCCAGTTATAATTTGAAATTCACATTTTCAGGTCCGAGAGACATATTGGCGAGGATTCGACTTGTTTGGCGAAGACTTTCATGTTATCAGACAGCTGGGCTGGCGGGAAATGTACTTGAAAGTTTACGCGGCCCGGTAAGACTTACAGGAGCAAGTTTCGATTCAAATTCATGTTGAAATTTAGTCCTGAATGGCAAAAGGGACAGGCTATTCACAAAGTACTAGACGAACACGTCGACTGGAGCTACGATGAAGAGGTCTTCCAAAAATGGTGCCTGGGCGAGACAGGTTTTCCGATCGTCGACGCTGGAATGCGAGAATTGAACGAGACGGGATTTCAGCACAACCGCGCGCGAATGAATTGTGCATCTATTCTGACCAAGATCTTGCTGATCGACTGGCGATGGGGATACAAGTACTTTTATCAGAAACTGGTTGACTCTGACATTTTCAACAACACCGCTGGCTGGGGTGTGCTCAGTTCCACTGGCTTAGGTAAATTGCCACTCGGCGTCTATCTCTCTCATTCGCTATTTCAGGCCAAGGCTCGGCTGGACCCGACAATCCGCCGTACATCAACCCCTTCAACCCGTTCATGCAGAGCCAGAAATTCGACCCGAACTGCGAATACATCAAAAAATGGGTGCCTGAGCTGGCTAACGTCCACGCCCGCGACATCCACAAATGGCAAGATCAAGCTGTCCGACGAAAGTACCCTAACTGTAAATACCCCGCTCCAATCGTCAACTACAGTCAGGCGGCACAGCGCTGCCACGACATTTTTACCAAAGCTGCCAGCATTGCAAAGTCTGTAAAATAAATCTCGTAAGCAATTTAAATAGGCAAAATTGGTTTTTATTTGAAAGTCTATCTAAGATTTAACGCTTCATAGAAATTTCAGTAATCTTCGTCGTCAGATGGCAGAAAAGTTTTCGAACTTTTTAAAACTGAACCTGACCCTTCGGGGCCTTCAGCAGCCACTGTAGTTTCTGGGCTTTGCTTCTTCGCAAAAATTGTTCTGTTTGAGTTACTGATAAGGGATCCCTCCGCGACTTTTTCGATCAGTTTTTGGTTCGATCACTTTTTGAGAATCTAATTTGATCTAATTTTTACTAATCGCAGAGGGGTCCCTTAGCGGTATGACGGTACAATCTTCTAGTATCTTACAGTATTCCTGTTCCGCATCAAGAACAAAAAAGGAACACCAATCGGACTGGTCGCAGAGTTTCGGACACTTTTCGAAGTTGTCTGGAATCTGATATTTTCCACCGCTACTCGTACAACTCGCCGAGAGTGAGTGAACTTCGAAAAGAGGATGTTCAATCGGCGAAAGTTGATCCGTCATGTTCTTGCTGCATGCAGTACAGCACGAGCATAAGAGCTGGCCTAACGAGGAATCCCAGAACCACTTCGTTCTGAACGTCGTAGTTGAACCTGTTTTAACTGTTCCGTACTCACTCGCTAGGGGTTGGTGTTTTTCCTGTCTTCAGATTCTGCGGCTGATCCTTTCGATGAACTCTTTAAATATTTCAAGGTGGAAATCTCCTGTTATTCTAGTTTGGAATTGGCGGAAGACCACTGCCACACCTACTAAATTTAAGTTCCTTTCCTGCGGTTCCGATTTTCCGACGATTTTGACGATGATCCATGGCGTTGAGAAAACGAGCGTACCGATCAAAAACGGCACTTTTCAGAAGAAGTTGACACAAGCGCGCGTTACTTTTTCTCTCAAGTCTCTTATGCAAATATTTCCGGGCAACTTTCCTAAAAAGGCCACCAAGTAGCCGAAAAACACCGCATCTCCTCTACACTCGATCTTCTTTCTCCTGTCGGGCTCCTCCAGATCGAGCTAAAATTCAACAGCTCAAAACATGACTTTGCTCGATGCTTCACCTTGCCGATGGTATAAGACATTAGCTCTCTTTCTTTCTTCAAAATGCAAGGTCGGTCACAAACGATTGCGCGCGTGTTTGATCAGTCGAAGGAGTAAGTTCTATTTGGAGAAGCCAAGATTTGCGCTGACATGTGAATATTTTAACCGAAAATTAATTTTTCAGCATGGGGCTCAAACCGTCCATCATGTGCCCTGCTATATTCTAGAGCACATACACTCCAACCAGTCAGAATACACGCAAATCCTTTTGCGGTACTCAACATGTGGCCACGCCTGCCAAGAGAACACTGGCAAATTTGTCATCACAACTTTAAATACAAGAGGGTAGACAAATTGTCTAGTAGACATCAGTATTAGGATTTTCAAGCGAACTTTTTCCCTGAACATATCCTAGTGGCCGCATTTTTATTATGAAAACAAGTCAATTATTTCTTAAATGATTGAAGGTTTATTTATTCGTGGACAGTGGAAATTTTAATCAATGACTTTTGAGCTTGTGGAAGTGACTTGGCTCTCGAGAATCCATTAGGTTCTCCAGACTGACGATTTCGTCTTCGCTAAATTCAATAATGAAACAGCTGCAATTCAGATTCTAGCTTACTTGATGACAATAAGTGAAATCTCCCGCACCGCTCTGAATTCACCACAATTGTTGAGGTGCTCGTTTTCCAGCCGGAAGAAGTTCCAGATGAATCTCCTTATTAGCTCGATAAACGCGAACAAGGACTGCCACACTTGTGCTAATTGGGAGCTGCTTAAAGTGCTGCTAATTATGCTTGTGCCAAGGAAATATTTCGCGATCCAGGCAAATCGGAGAACAGCGTCTTGAATTATTGCCACGTAGTAGATCCAATTTGTCTCTCCGTGGCCGTAGATAAGTTCGTCCCGGAGAATCTGTTTCTAAAAAAATCCTCTTTGATTCCTTTATTTGATGTTTTTTTTACCTTTTGGAAGTTTAACAGGCCCCAATCCATACGCAAATCCCAAAAGAGCGTAAAAACCGAAGCAATGATATTCGCTAGGATCCAAAAAGCAAACGAACTGCTGCTTTTACCACTGTATGCGTATGCATAAGCAAGGGCAACTTTTAGGAAAGAGGTTGAATACTTGGCAGCGTTTTGGAGATGATGAGCGCGACGCTTGGGACTGTCAATGGCTCGACGAATGCATTGGGCGAAACGGATGTAGGCTGGTAAGACCCAGAAGATGAAGCGGAAACCGTAGTCGATGCTGCTGGGTGAACAGACTTCGATTACACTTTCTGCTTCAGAACGAGGCTGCAAAGTTGTATTGACGAAACTAGCGGGGTCGTTTATGTCATCACTGTCGATTCTGATCGCTGATTCATTGACGACTTAAATTTCTACTTGTTTCGCTCTACTATAAAGAAAATTACCTGATGGAGTTGGAATGAAATTTAAAGGAATCTTATTCGTAGAAATAAGACATAAAGTCTGCTCGAAATCAAGGAAGACTTGACCTAGGGAGTTGAGTTGATCCGCAAACCAGAAATCGACGAATGCAACAGGGATGAAGCCAGCTTTGAGTTCACGAATTAAAAGTTTCCAAAAGAATTTTTGTGTCGTCCAAAGTTCGGTGCCTTTCGAAGGGAAGAACGCGAACAGAATGAAGAGGATGTCAAGCGTTATCGGGATGTAGTTGACGTAAGGTCGGTAAGAAATTGCGATGATGTTGGAGGAAAGGACGAGGTAAATCCAGAGAAAAATGAGCCAGAGGAGGAGGAGGCCAGTGCCAACACAGCCCATTTGGACGGCAGTGAGACGATCACGCGGATTGATTTCGAAAATGAGGATATTGTTGACCCCAGCACGGGCCCATCCATACATGTTAAGCGAGAAGAAAATAATGAACAGCGCAATAAGTAGTGTCGGACGAAAGAGTACGATGGTCGTGGCTAGGTTCTTGTCGACGTCGAATTCAGCATTATTCAAGTAGAAAATGCCGATAATCGCAAGTAGGAACATCAGACAAGTGCCAAAAAGAACTCCGAATATCAGAAGATAATGATTTGTCTTTCCTTCGACAATGTCTGTTATTGGCGGTACTCGAAGTCTGCCCTAGATTCTCCCTCGGTTATCTACGATAAAAAATGATAGCTTAGCAATAGAATTTATATTATATAAAGCTATGGTTGAATCTTTTCCTGTTCATGGCCTTTTTAGTGTCTCCATCTTCCAAGGTCGTCATTAGTGACTCTAGCTCTCTGACAATATTCAGTGTCAGGGATCGAATATTAAATCTGAAAGATGAGCTCTAGAAAATCAGAATCTATTTTACTCTCTAGTAGAGAGTCTCTACCTGGAGTTCTTGATTATATTCATAAAAATAGCTCCATCTTCGCTTTCCATGATTTTGTCGTGCTTCTTGTTGATTTTTCGGAAGGCGGTGAAGTTGAGTTCTTGATATGCCTGTAGTTTTTTGACGAATAAATAAAATTCGCATATTGCTTCTTTCAGTCGTTTCTGTTCCTTCTTTGCGTGCATCTGTATCTCCTCGACATTTCTGCTGATATCCGCTAGATGTCTATTTGCATAACTAATCTAATAAAAAAAATAAGCGAGATGGAATAAAAATCAAATGCTTTCCTACTTTTTCATTAAAAAATAAGTTGACTTTCGTCTCTTCTTTTTCCTGTTCGTCAAAAAACTGCTCCGAAAGCTTCATTTTTTCTCTCTGAATAAAGTCCGTCGAAATCATCGACTTCATGATTCTGAACTTGACTTCGTTCTCTTTGCCATCATTCAGTCTCGTGATTATTTCCTTGAGCTTGACGTAGTCGACATATTCCGATCTCCACTCAGAGGTGAGTTTAGTTGCGAGTTCTTGGGCGAACTTCATCCTCGCCAATAAAATTAAATCTTGGCTTTGTTGGGTGACTCGATTTCTTCAGCGAGAATTAGCGCGTTCTCGATTGACTGGTAAATTTAACTTGGAAAAAAAGCTGAATGTTCTCTTAAATATGGGATGGGTGTCGGTTTCCGGTCAGGTTCCCTCTGGCGTCTATACACACACCGCCATTTTGTGTTTGGAGTCCTTCTGATTGAGGTCAGGCGATGGATGATTCTCTGATTTGTTTTATTGGATGATGTCTTCCCGGTGAGACAATTAAGAATCAAATCTCATAAACTTATCAAAGCCTGAAGTCCTGCAATACTAGATCTGATCGCCTTCGTGATAAGAAAAATCCTAATTAGCTTTTGGAAGAGCAAACAACTGGAAAATTGGATATTTAAGCTTTTAAAATAATTGCTTCCTGCCCCGCCCAGCATTTCATAATTCGCATAAAAATAGTAAAGTTCAATATTAATGGCAAATATCTCTAATTTTATTAAATTTTACAAGATTCTATTTTGTTGTTTTTTACGGATTGTTTGTTTATTCAGTTTGACTTTTCCGCGATTGTTTTCTTTATTTCTTCGACGGAAATTGGGTTGACTAATGTGGACGTGTCACCTAGTTCTTCGCTCTCGACGGCCAGAGATCTGAGAATTCTGCGCATGAGCTTGCCCGATCGCGTGACCGGAAGCGCTTGCACCAGATAAATTGCACTAAATTGACGCAGGATTTTACGAGTTGAAAACATGGGCGTTTCTGTACCTTGGGACGGCGAATTTTGCAATTTGCAGGGATATATCTGCGGTTAAAGCTTCCCTCAGTTTACTCTCACTTGAACTATTCATTTTGGTGTCGAGTGGTACGACAAAAGCGACTGTAGTTTCGCCTTTGATTTCGTGTGGAATGGAAATAACAGCGCCTTTATGCAAATTAAATGTTTCCATTCAAAAATATTTCGATTTTCCTACCTTCGGAGACATTTTTGTTTGACAGAACAACTTCTTCAATTTCCTTCGTCGAGATCCGGTGCCCAGCAATGTTGATGATATCATCAACTCTGCCAGTAATTTGCAATCGGCCTTTCGAATCTCGAATAGCCGCGTCGCCAGTTTCGTACATTCCCGGATATCGCTTGAAATATGATTTGATGAAGCGCTCCTCATCCTTGTAGATGGCTCTTGCCATTCCAGGCACAGGGTGGCGAATGCAGAGATCGCCCTTTTTCTCATTCGCGGAGATTTCCTTCCCTTGTTCATCGACAAGGACAGGATCAACACCGTAGAATCCTCGGGTGCATTTGCTTGGGGCTAGTGTTTCCCCGACAGGACCTGGCGAAGGCGTGAGCATGCAGTTGCCGGTTTCTGTTTGCCACCAGCAATCAATTACAGTAGCTTTTCCCTCGCCGACAACATCGTGTAGCCACCACCAAGCGGCTTCATTGCACATTTCTCCAGCAACCATGATCGTTTTGAGACTGCTTCTGTCGTACTTTTCCACCCATTCATTTCCCGACTGCATAAGCATTCGGTAAGCAGTCGGCGCGGAAAAGAACTGGTTGATTTTATACTTTTCCACCATGCTCCAATATCGCCCTGGATCAGGAAATGTCGGCAAGGACTCGAAAAGAAGTTCAGTCCCGCCTGATACAAGATTGCCATAGATTGAGATTCCGTGGCCGACGGCCCAGCCAATGTCGGCCATGCAGCCGAAAATGTCGCCCTCTTTCCACTGGTAAGCGTGCTTATGAGCGAGAGCGCAGTGAGCTAGGTATCCTCCCGTTGTGTGAACCAGCCCCTTTGGCTTTCCCGTGCTGCCGGAAGTGTACAAGTAATAAAGGGGGTGCTCGGCATTGACGATTTCAGGTTCACATGTTGAGTTGGAAAATCTTAAATTTGATTTCTTTCCATTTTAAACGTAAACCTTCCCGATCCGATGAATTTAATGAAAAAAAAATCCGTTCCTTATTGCATCATCCATGTCAACATCAATTTTATTTTTAAGAAAGGCTCCAGTTTTCTTTCCAATGCGATTGAAAACAAAGCATTTTTCCAGCCCGGGACAGTTTTGAATGGCACTGTCGGCGATCTCCTTCAGCGGCACTGTTTTTCCTCCTCGCATGCTGCCGTCCATTGTAATCAAAACTTTCGCTCCGCAGTCGTTGATTCTGTCTGCTAAAGCATCAGCTGAGAAGCCGGCAAAGACGACTGCGTGTGGAGCACCGATTCTTGCGCAGGAAATCATCACTGCTGCCGCCTGGATTTTTAAGTTCTCATTCCCACGCCGGAAAGTAGCTATTTTTCACCTGAATACAAGATGGGAGGTAGATGGAAACAGCGTCGCCCTTTTGAACACCTGCGTCTTTCAACACATTCGCGATCTTGTTGACCAAAGTCAGAAGCTCTCCATAGGAAATTCGCTCCACTTGATCGGGATCATCCCCTTCCCAAATAAAAGCCGTCCTTTCTGGATCCTCTTGGGCATGTCTGTCGACGCAGTTCACTTTTCACGTGGCTTAGGAAGAATGCAGAGGAGAATAGAACTTATTCCGACTTTGACCAGTACCTGAAGCATTTAGTTCTCCATCTGGAAACCATGAGATTCTTCCTTCTGAAAAATTCGAGTTCCCAGCAATCGTGAACGGTTTCTCCCACGAAAGGGAAGATCTTTCATCTGGGCTCCTTTTCATGAAGCTCAATAAACGTACGCATCAATGGAAAAGCCCTGTCCTTGCTACAGTTGCCCAAAACTCTTCGTGGTTGCTTATCGAGTAGTTGTAAATATCCTCATACGATTGAAGATGAGAAAACTCTGGAAATTCCTTCAAATGGCTTCAAAATTTTGCGCAAACGTTAAATCGTTTATCGGTAATAAATCATTAACTTCAAACGCATAAAAGTTGATGCTACTGGTAAAATTATTATTGAGCCATAAATAAACTGGAGGTTTGGCAGATAGACGCCTGAGCTGCGCAGCAAGTCTCTGTCGGCTCATTTACTGAAGACGAAAAAACAACGTGTTGAATTTATTTTATAAGTTAAATAAAGCGCCTTTTCCCCGGGTAACCCCTTTACGGACTCGTGTGATTGGCTGAAATCTCGCTACAGCTCATAACCGAGCATTAAATTTCAGTCCATTTTTATAAAGATTACGTAACATTCAATTCTAGCATAAAATAATCAAACTAGAATGAAATTGTTATGACGACTCTCTCGAAAAATATGCATTTTGAAAATAATTATTAGGCAACTATCTTTTCCCGCAAAAACTTTCAACAATCAATTTGCAGGTTTTAACTTTTAGTCGAAACATACAGTAAGACATTCATTTTTCTAACCATTAGTCAAGTTACAGTGTATTTTATTGGTGTGTTACAGTGATGTTGTCGTTGTGTGTGAGTGATGAGTTTATTTCTAGTAGCTGAAAAGAATGTTCGTTTTACATCGCGGAGGAAATGTCGAACTTGCAGATCGGACATTCTTTGCTCTTCTTCAGCCATGGATCGATGCAGCCTTTGTGCAGCACGTGTAGACATGGAAGACGTCGAACAGTGTTGTCGGTCGACATTTCGTCCATGCAAACTGGACAGGTGTCGCCTGCGAGTGTCTCGTCCAGCGACTGGGACGGAAGGCGCTTGATCTGGTCTTGACGAAGTCCGATGCTACTGTCATTTGTTGGAATAAATAAAATGACTGTCCACGTACTTGTGACTCGAAACAGTTGCAGAACAAGCGCCGCTATTCGAAGTGACGGAAGGAGGAAGTAATCTATTTGATGCCAAATTATGTTGATGTCTACGAGGAGCGCTGGGGAAAGGCTCGATTCGACGCTCAGCAGCGTTCCGACGGAATATCCTCACCGAGGGACCCTGGAAAATCTTGATTTTCGATCCTTATTTTTTAATTTACCTGTCGAGATGTTCCGGGAGTCGCTGTCTGAAGCGCTGCTTGACGAAGCCCGATACTAGTGTGATTTTTTTAGAATATAAAAAGTGGCTATACACGTACTTGTTATCTTGAGGATCACTTTGACGATCTGTGCGGCTAGTACTTGGGCGTGTATCGTGTTCTACCGGCTCTTGCATCATTCGCCGGTTCATGGCATTTATCCGTTGGATTGGCCTTCTCCGTTCCCAGGCCCTGGCTTCCAAATTCTCTATCTGTGCGTTGGACGCATCAGATTCCGCTGCCGTATTGTGACTTATGTCCGTCGACTCGTCCTCGTCTTCTTCATCGTCGCTTCCTGTCAAATCAATAACGCCCTCATCTGAAAAGGAAGTTATTTCAGATTATAACATTTTCAAGTAGACTTTGCTTACTTATTACTGAATACTTACTTATCGGCGGCAACTCCGTGGTAATTCGAGTGTTCCCTCCAAAACCGGTCCTTGACGAACTTTGAGCCTGGCCTGGATTTTCAGAATTCTGAAGTTGTCGGGCGAGGGCCTCATCCCTTTCGTACTGCTCGACTAGACGAATCGCATCTTTACGGGGTAATTAATTTCATAGAAGATTATTTTACAAAGAAACTAAATAATTAAACAAAAGCATAAATATAATATAAAACTTATTGATAAAATTCTAGTTCTAATCCCTTCCAATTGTCGAATTGAATAAGCTCTGACTCATCTCTCAAAATTCTCCGCTGAAAAGGAGAAAATCCTGTCTTCTGAAAAAACTGCAGGAAAGTGGACTGATTTACGAAATGGGAGCGCCAACCCACTTCATTTTCAGGCGCACTTTTCTGATTTCCACGCAGATTGCAATATTGTTGTTTTCAACTCTAACGTATTTCAGCGCATTTGCGGAACAATCCAAGTTTTAAAACAAAATGCTTCAACAATGCCTATGAATAACATTATTTGCTTCATAAATTGTTTCATAAAGAGTTTATTCATTTGAACTTGGGACGATTTCGAGAAAACACCAGTAAGATTCCGGTTGTACAAAAATGTTGAGCAGGATTGAAAAAAGTATCTTGACACATAAAAATCATTCATTTTAGCGTCATGCACGCGAGGTTGTTAATGTTTTCAGGTAGGAGTTCTTCGGAACGTCAGAGCCGTAGATGCGATGAGAGCTCTTTCATCGCAAGATCGAGCTCGTCTTTTAGGTTTTGGCGGATCTTCTCGGACTTACTCGGTCTCGGGGCTTCTTCGAAAACTTCGTCGTTTGCGTGAGTTTCCTCAGAACGAGCTTTTGGCGCGGCTAAAATCAATGCTTGAAATCAAGGAAGAGAAAACAGCGGTAAAGCTTCTTACGTTGGATGGGCTCCACGATTTTTGTTAAATAGTTGGCAGGAATGATGCCGGAAGCACCCGTCGAGTTTTGCCCCTCGTACCAATTCTTGTCGATCTTGCTCGTCAATTCAAGAGTCTCGCCTTTTGTCAGCCGAAGATGTCGCTCAGATTTGGCTTCCAGATCAAAAGCCGCCACCGCCGAGCCTTTCTTCAGCGGCGAAGGAGAGCTCACACTCGTCAATGATGAGCGATCACTGCTTCGTAAGTAAGAAAGCTAAAAATTACAAACTTAGATTTCCTAGAATTTGAAATTTACGTGATTTTTTTCCTTCAAGTTGAAGACAACAAAAAAGTCATCGACAATCCAAATCGTAAAATCAAAGCTGTTGATACTCAAAATTTACGAAATCGTAAATAGCAATCGATCACGATTTTTAATTTCGAGTTTTTCATAAAACTTAACCATCCATGGTTAATTCTGAAAACGTACGTGGCATTTTAACGCCTAGATATGAGCGTTGTTTAGTGAGAGCTTTATGATCTCTACAAAGGTCAAATAAATCAAAGTGGCGAGAACTTACCGGGACCATTCCGGTCATGGATCCTTTTCTGCACTGCGCCCATTGTTCATTTTTCACTTCGTCGACAGTAATTTTATCATTTCGCGAGACGGAGAGTTCCCGCTCGTTTCGCGCTTGGAAGTCGAACACTACAGTAACCGACGAATTTCGCCGAGGAGATTTGGAGTAGACTTCGAGATCAGAAGTGCTTGACGGAATCAGATTTCGTCCCGCAGTCCGCAGAAAAGGACCCGCGCTACTTCGGCCTTCAGGTGCATTCGACCCGGAAAGCTTCTAAAACTGGATAACCAAAATTCATTCCGTTAATTGCTGTACCTGTCGATTTTCTGAAGAGCTTCGGCGAGATGCTCGAGCACTGAGTTTCTCCCTAGTCGAGCTTTTTCGTAATCTACTGGCGATTTGTTCTTCATCTTCGAAAAACTTCTCCCATGGTTGTGCAACGATTTCGGAGATTGACTCCTAGAATACAGAATTGTTACTGTCATGTTAAGGTGCTGATATGAAAAACAAAATCTGCGGAAAAAAATAGTTAAAGTTGTCAATAATCAATTTTGAGTAATTATTATTTAACATCTATTTCACTTGCGCGCAAGATCAAAGTCATTAACATTAAAACATCTTAACATTTGATCGTTTAAAAAGTAAACCTCTTACAGCACCTTTGCCGCTTCTGCTCTGGCCAGGCTCATCCTCTTTTCTCTGCTGGAGTGGAAGACAATTTTCCTCTGAAATGAAATTAATTCGGTCCTGATGACTCAGCAGCGACCCCAATTATCTCTAAAGTGGCTTTCTGATGGCGACTTTACAATGCCCATCTTCCCTATCATTCACTTCCCGACAAATGAATTGTCATTGACCCGCAGGAAAAAAGTATCACACTTTTCAAGTTCATCAATTTATAATTTCCGTCAATAAGGCGCCGTTAAACGTACTCCTCAATGACATTTGAATGTCATCTACTCATCAATTATTAGTCTCGAAATTAGATAGTAGAAAATCTAATTTACGAATGACTTGAAAAGTTTACCTCGGAAGGTTCATTTTCAGCAATATATTCAGGCGCGGGATTCCACTCGTCAATCTTCCCTGGCCTTGGCTTCTCCATCGCTTCGGAACGGATGAAATCAGGATCTCTACGTCCAAAAGAAATATTTCATGGCGCGTGGGGTGGTTCTGGTCACTTCCGCTCTCACTGAACAAAGCCTTGTCAGAAGCGAACGATTTAAACAGTTGTTGTGACAGGAACTGGGCACACAAGAAAAAACGAAGCACGCAGAATCGGAATCTCTTGATTTTACTTAAAACTTTAATACTTCCGAAAATGGGGAAAGTTCTGCTTTTTTTTGAAAAGGAAATTTTAGCCTCTGGATGCACCGTGGCACCTGGCCAAGTGTCAGTGATCGCCCTGGAATAAAAAACTAAGGATAAGCTACCGCATGGACTGATGTAGGAATCGCGCCAAGGATACATAGGCAAAATTCGCCTTCGGGGAATTTCACGAATAATAACAAGCAACTAGCGCGATAACATAAGTATGCCAAGAATGATAAGCTCATCCGCTCGATCCGTAATAATCCAAATAAAAAGTCAGCTTCAAAAGAAAGCGCTTTGAAAATTTCGAAATTTCAAAATTTCAAATAAGCTTGGCTGAGTTGTATTAGGATGAAAAATCACTGTAAAGGAGGGAGCTGAAATCAATCATCAAGCTTAGGAAATTTGGTGATGGAACGCATGACGCGCGTGGCGAAAATCCTCAAAAAGTCGGTGAACATATCCGAGCAACATCCATGTCTCGGGATTATGAGTCCATGTTCTTGTGGGGTATTTATACCAGCGTCGATGCCACTCTAAATCAGTTCACTTGAAAATTTAAAAATTTGTCAGCTTTTCCAATAAAAAGAAAAAATATCGAAAAAAATGAAGCTTTTTCTTTCTCTCTTCAGTTTTTTGACTTTCGTGTCTGCTGGAGGCTTTGACTTTGGATTCCTGAAACCAGAGCAAATGCGGCCCAAAAGTCCGGTGCAATTGAAATCCGTCGAAAATGCACATCAGAGACTCGAAAAACTGTGCGATCATTTGCGAAGGTTCAACGCAGCCCACTTGATATCTCACAGTAAGTAGCTATCAAAACAGGCAGTCTGGAGTAAACTGAATTTTAGAAGGGTTTTTCGACAATGTTTTCAAAATCAACCGAATTTGCGGAAAAATGATGAACAAACTAAGCCGAAAATGCGCCGATTTAACATGGCCCCGACCTCTAGAAAAAACCTCAAGAACACGGCGAGAGGAAAATTTGAATAAAGATGAGAGTCGGCACTCAACTGATCCGTATGAAAATCCAATGGAGCAGCTTCACAAAGTACGCACAAACGCGTTTTGCGAACTCGAGTTAATTTCTCAATTTAGAGCGGTCGAAATCTGTTTGACTGGATCACGGCTCATCTCGGCGAGTGCCCAAATGCAGAAGGACACCGAAGACGAATCCAACTCAGAATCGTTGATCGCTTTTCCCGCCAATTTTCAAAGCTCCAAGATGAAAACTTTCAATTATAATTTTTCGGTTAATCTTTCTATCTGTATATTCGAATCACGATGAAAAAAAAAAATAAAGAAAAAAAGGGAAACAAAAAGAAAAAGAGGGTCTTTGATCGTGCGCACGCTTCTTTGGTAGTCTTACAGTACGAAGAGGAAATAAAAAAGCTTTTGTTCGAAACTAGTCAACTAATCTTTCTCTAGTGGTTTCAGCCAAAACATATCATTAAAAGCCCCTGATACCGCAAAAGCTTTCGTTTTCTTTCTCTCTCTTTCGTTTTGAAAATTGAATCGCAAAAAGGAGGAAGGTCAAGAAGGTCCCTGCTGTGAAAAAGCAATTTCCCCTTTGACCATTTGTACAGGTAGTGCCAGTTTTAATTTCTGACACTTTCTCTTCACTAAGAATATTCAGCTTCCGCTAGAGCTCATCTGACGCAAATTTAGATTGGAGCAAGGCCAGCAGCCTTTTTTCAATTATGAAAACACTGACAACTTGCAATGCATTAAAACTTAATGCAAAAAAATGGCCGGAAAAAATATAAATTTTTCGCCTTCGAACAGCCATAACTCGCGTGATACTTTATGAAATCAAGCGATGAAGATATCAATCGAAAGCTTAGATTCTGAGGATTGGGGCAACGTAAAAATTATTATGTAAAATCGACTTTTCTGATTGGCCGAAAATTTGAAATAATTATTTTTGCCAGTGAAAATAATTTTTTTTCAATTTTTTTTTTCTTGCCCCATTTGTCAGAAGCTGAGCTTTTCATAGATATTTTAATCATATGATTTCATCAATTCTAGCGTGAGATATGTCAGTTCGTAGGAATTTCAAAAAAATGTTCGTGGAATCGCCTCAGGCTATGATAAGAGGTTTTTTTCAGGTAATTTCGGGAGCTCAATAAGCCATGAAAACAACCCTATAAATGATTTCTGTCAAAGACGAAATTTTTGTCAAAATCGAAAATTTATATTTTTTCCGGCCAATGCACATTTACAGGAGTCCTTACCTTCTATTAAAGAAAGCAAGCTCTTTCTCTTGTTGAATTCCGTGTCCTGGTATCTCAAGGGTAGTGAGCTCGCCCAGCGGCGAGAGAGGGAGAGAAAAAAAAACTTCTAGGGCCACTTGATGACGGAATTAGTCGGTAATTACAGACTAATTAAGTTTCTTCCCAGAAGCTTTTGTGCGCCCTTGTCTCTCTTTGTCGCCCAGATTGCGCTAAAAACACAAGAATTCGTCGCAGAGTTGTAGTGTTGCTAGAAAAATTGATTGTTCTCTCTTTCTCTGTCTTTCCGTACTGTAGTAACTGTACTGGAGAACGAGGCGTTTACCAGGAGCGCCGCGCTCTGACAACAAAAAGCAGATTATCGATTCAGGAAGGGCTGAGGATCTCACTGCGCCGCCGAGTCAAGTCGAAATGAAAAATGCACAAATAAAAAATTAACTTTTTTTTAACTCTTGGGCGAATTGGCAAAATGGGAATTGAACTGCCTCTCGATGGACTCGGCGGCGCACTGCTCGACCGTGAAAGGAAAGGAAAGCCTAGACTATAATTGGAGTCTCGCGAGATGACCTTGATCAAGGATCGACGCCATCGCTTATCGTTTTTAATTTTGAAGCGAAGGAACCGCCTTATCGCTAATTTCAAATTTGAAACACTTTTTCTCCGGATCATTTTGGAATTCTCCCGGTCGAAAGATTTTTACGAAGAAACGCAAAATGATGTTCGATCACAAACTCAGCTGAAATCATGGAGGAAACAGGCAGTCTGAAACGGAAATTTGGATTCTGCGAGACAGCGGAAAAAATTTTCTCGCTGTCTTGGGCGTCAACGAGGACAGTTCTCGCACCCTTTCGAGCGGAGCATTCTCGAAGAAGAAAAAAACAAGGAGTTGAGTTTCAAACCAACTAGGGACTCCGAAACCGACTCGAAAACTTTTCCATGTTGAAACTGCCGTATAAAAAGGCCTCTCCCCGTCGAAAAAGCTCACATTTTGTCAATTTGAGTAAATCAAAAGTCGGCAAAAAAGCTTACGATGGGCTCACAACCAGAGATGACCAAAGCCACCGAGGAGGAGATTCCAAAGGAGGAACAGTTCATGCAGCCTTCCCAGCCAAAGGAGCTCGAAGCGAAGTCGGAGCGTCTCAAGAAATTCCTTACCAGATCCCGGGATTCATCTTTTTTTCTGCAGGCGCAGTGTGTTAGTGTGTAAGAATATTTCGAGATCATCTCCGGCGAAAAAGGATTCTTCCACAAGCATTTCAAGACTTTAATAAACACACTTTGACATTTAATTGTTTCACCGACTGCTCACTTCAAATGAAGTCTATCTAAGAGGGTCTAATCATTCGAATACGTCGCGTTTTCAGCAGGCAATAGTAAAGTTGAGAATAAGTTCTCAAGAGACTTTGTTATTAGTAAGCTTATTCGTATCGTTCATCTAAATTATTATCGCACCGAATTATTCTTTTTTTTTTCAATCAAATTTGAGCGAGCATCCAGCCTAAAGAGATCTTCGACGCGTAGCCAGCGCGATTTCGAGCGTAGTAGCGCGCTTTTGCGTGGGCGCCGCGGAGCCAGTCAGCGCCAAGCAGTACGCACACGAGACCAGAGAACGCTCTTTCCAATTCTCTCATAGTTTTCCCACTTCAGGAGACAATCCTTCGTCTTCGCAGAAAAAAATGTCTGGCAACAAAGAGAAACGTCGCAGCCGCAAATCTCTCCAAGATTGCAAGGCAGAATTCAGAGTAAGTTCCTTTTCAACTGAGTATTCTAATCCTCTTTCATAATTATCACTTCTCAAAAGTTGAACTTTTCTATAAACCTCGAATTATAGGTGAGACGAACAGTTTCCGAACCTGAGCTAGAAAACCAAGACCCCCTCGCTTCCAAAGAGGAGATCTTCGCCAAGAAATATGTTGAGCCATTTGAAGCTAAAAAGGCCAAAATAGCGGTGAGTTTATCATTCGTCGGATGAAGTTCTTAAAGTTTTCTAGGAAAAAACTGCTCAATGGACCTCGATTCAAGCTATTCCCCAGCTTCAGCTTCCGGAAATCACCTCAAACGTTAGTCTAAAAATGAGCGAAAATCTGAATGAGGCATCCCTAAGGCTAGTCCCTCAATTTTTACATTCAGGATTTCAACGGCTGGGACCCGAGTCCCTTTGAAAACTCACTTGCCGCTTCAAAGATGGCGATTGAGAATCATCTCTTCAAAGAAAGATCGAAAATTCTCATCGAGCAAGAAAACGAAAATTATCAGAAGTTCATCGCCGAGCACGAACTACTAGGGCGCAAACACGCAGCAACAAGTGTTCCAGAATGAGAAGAAAAAGCGTTTCAAATTTGAATTTTTATTTTTAATTTTTTTTTTATTTTTTAAATTTGGTGCGAGGTCCAGATCTGTCGGTATCTTTAATTAAAAAAGGCTGTTTTTTCGTCGGAAAAGCAACCTAAAATTCGAGAGACCGGCAGTTTTGGACAAATCTTTCTGTCCAAATCGGACAGAGCGACTAATCGAAAAACTCGATTTCGTACCTTTTTCAATTTCTGTGTCCCAGAACCAGTTTATTATTTTCCTCATTTTCCCTCCGTTTTATTTTTTGTTCACCCCCGTTTTCCCCCCACTGCCTTTTACACTTTTCACATCCCACTTTCCCACAATCACTTCAAACAAGTTTTTAAAATAAAAAAATGACCTCACTGTAAATTGCTTTATGCAGTTTACTTTGAGGCTCGTTACTATTCTCACAATCACAAAATATAAGTTATCCCCTTTTTATTTCAGGTCTGTAATTTCCAAAATGCGGGAAATCCATTCTTCGATGCGATATAATACGCATCGTATGATGGCTCGGAGCGTTTTCATTTCTTTGATTACCACCGAGTGAGTTATTATTAATCGCTATTTTTTCAGAGTCGGATTTCTTAAATACCCTTTCCTAAAATGGTAAGCCCTTTTCCTCCCATCCCCTTTCCTCAACTCCTTTTTAGCCAAAAGGAAAGCAATCCAAGGCCCGACGAGTGGCAGCCGCTCCCTCCCTCATCAAGAAGAAGAAGGAGGTCAAAGAGCAAAACCCTCTCTTCGAGAAGCGAGCGAAGAACTTCGGAATCGGTAAGAAACTTTAGATTTCGCGGGATTACTTGCAGCCTTTAGTCACTAGAGTTTACTGAAGATAACGCAGTCTTCAAAGATTAATTTATTCCCTTCTACTTCTGATCTTTTTTGTAGGCCAGGATATCCAGCCCAAGCGAGATCTTACTCGATTCGTCCGATGGCCAAAGTACGTCCGACTTCAGCGACAGAAGGCCGTCCTCCAGAAGCGACTCAAGGTCCCACCAATGGTCAACCAGTTCTCCAACGTACGTAAATCCGTTCCCTTCTCCTTTTCATCAATTTTGTAGACCCTCGACCGACAGACCGCCGCTGCTTTCTTCAAGCTCGCCGAGAAGTACCGACCAGAGAACCGAGCCGAAAAGAAGGCCCGACTCTTGGCTCGAGCTGAGGCTAAGTAAGTTGACTTTTCCAACGCTAGAATTCACCCGTTTTTCCAGGGCTGCCGGCAAAGCCGACTCTGCTGATGCCCGAAAGGCTAGCTTGACCGTCGGCGTCAACCGAGTCACCACCGCCGTCGAGAAGAAGAAGGCTTCCCTCGTCGTCATCGCCCACGACGTTGACCCAATCGAGGTTGTCATCTTCCTCCCCACCCTTTGCCGACGAATGGGCGTTCCATACTGCATCGTCAAGGGCAAGTCTCGACTCGGCCGACTTGTCGGTTTGAAGAACTGCTCTTCTGTCGCCCTCACCAACGTCAACGCCGAGGACCGAAACCAACTTGCCAAGATTGTTGAGTCCGTCAACACCAACTACAACGAGCGAGCTGAAGAGATCCGACGACACTGGGGTGGACAGATCATGTCCCAGCGATCTAACGCCCGACAGGCCAAGATCGAAAAGGCCCGAGCCAAGGAAGAGGCTAAGAAGCACATGTAAAAGCTTATTTTCCCTCCTTCTGTTCAAACTTCTTTTTCGCTCAAAATGTTTTGTGAACATCGCTCAGGCTGAAAAAGGAAGCAACTCACTCTCAATTCCCTTTTTTAGATCTCGGATCAAAAGTAATCTCTCGCCATGGGCCGTGTTCGTACTAAGACTGTCAAGAAGGCTTCCCGCCGAATCATAGAAAAGTACTACATGATGCTCAACTTGGATTTCCACACCAACAAGCGAGTCATCGAGGAGATCGCCATCATCCCCACCAAGCGACTCCGAAACCAGATCGCCGGATTCATCACTCACTTGATGAAGCGAATCCGAGCCGGTCCCGTTCGAGGCATCTCCATCAAGCTCCAGGAGGAAGAGCGGTATGTCCTTCTTTACTCGAACTTCGTTTTAACATTCTACCATCAGAGAACGACGAGACAACTACGTCCCAGAGGTCTCTGCCCTCTCCGACTCCAACCTTTTGGACGTCGATCCAGCCACCAGCGCTATGGTCAAGGCTCTCGATGTCGAAAACAAGGAAGCCCTCGTCGACGCCCTCAAGTGCACCGAGTCCCGAGCATAAGTTCTCTGAAAATAAACTGCAGCATCGCGGGTTTACCCTGCGAGCTCAGGAAATTCTGTTCAATAATTGGGTGTTTGGTTTCCCTGCATAAGTACACTCGTGTACCTATGCTTGCGTCGGCTGTAGCCTCGTCTAGCTACCTAGCCGCTTTTACCCGATCGAACTAGTCTTGTTAAACCCCAACTTTTTAGAATGAATGATGCTCTCCAGCTCCGTGCGGAGTCGCGTTCATCCTTAATCGCTGTCGTTCTCGATCTCAACCCTCTCGCATGGGGGTTCAAGGCCGCTCAAGATGCTCAGGTCCGGCTCAATCTTGTTTAGTATGATCTCGAACGAGATAAAACGGAGTGTGCCCAATTATTAGTTTACCGCTTTGACTCAAAATTATGAGTAAATCTTTGCTCTTTTCTACGATTTTAACTAAAGATTGAGCTGTATAAGAGGACATCCAAATCAGAGTCATTTGTCCAAGCACTTGATGCCACGCTCACCTTCATCAGTTCCTACTTGCTTATGACTCATGGGAATCAAGTCGTTGTTGTCGGAGCGCATCCCCTTGGAGCCGAAATCCTCCACCCGACGAACGAATACAGTGGTAATACAGCGAGCATGGTCAACCGCCAGATTGAAGCCAAAATAAACGATCTCTGCCGGAGCACTCTCCTCGATGATTCCATCACCGACGTCTCGACCTCGCCATCCTCTAGATTCAACAATGCCTTGTCCAAAGCACTGTGCTGCATTAACCGAATGAAGAGCGATAAATCTAACATGCCTGCGCGATTGCTCGTCCTCAAGTGCGGCGGCGACTTTCTCTCGCATCAGTACTTACCCTTGATCAACTGTGCTTACGCCGCTGAACACCTCAAAGTGAGCATCGACGCTGTTGTATTGGAAGCAGAGGTGGACATACCTGTCTTCCAGCAAATGGTTGACGTCACCGGCGGCGTTTACTCTCGAGTCACCGAACCAGCCACACTCCTTCAAACGTTGCTGACGTATCATCTTCCTGACGACGATGCACGGAAGATACTGTCAAAGGTTCCCTCCACTCCAGTCGATAGCAGAGCTGTGTGCTTCAAAACGCGGACTGTGACCGACATAGGTAAGTGCTAAAAATTGAAAATCTGGCTTCGCAATCTTTTACGATGAATTACCATAAGAATTTTTTGGCCAAAAATTTTTTTTGCGAGTTATCACTTTATTCTGAAAGCCCATATCAGAATTAGTGGATTCCCAAAATTCTAGCGCCCGATGACGTCATTATGACGCCAGAAAAGATGATTTTATCATCAAGATAGGCAAAACTTTTTAACCGTTTTTGAGAGGGTTCTTGTTTGAAATTCGTGTTTTTCTTTTCAGAATATTGTTCAGCATGAAAAACTGAATAATCACCCGACCTAGGTCTAGGATGGGGGGTGATCGCTGGAGATCCGAAATGAGGCGCTCGAGATGAATCACCGATGAGTGGAGCGCGGGTTGTTTGGATCTCCAGAGCGCGGAGATCGAAGCTCGATCTCCAAATCAGTCCCAGGGATTTTGTCGATCTCCAGTTTTCGGTGATCGGAGCTTTAAATTTTCTCGATCATGGATTTTTCTCGATCAAATTCATATTATGCACGGACTTTGCGGGTCAGTATCTCAGAAAATAATAATTTCTACTGCTAATCTTCAAGAAATTATCGCTCACCCGCCGAGCCGAGACTTTAGAAACAGAAACCGAACCAATTTTAGAATTATGTGATTTCAAGTGTTGAAAAATTTTGAAACCCATCTTATTGAGAAAAATACTCGAGCAGAGATAGTAAATAGTACATTTTTTATCCGAAATTACAATCAATGTACTTGTTTTGACAAAAGATTTGAAATCTACAGTGCAGAATTAGTATTGTCTGATATTTTTAAGTTGATCCCGTCAGTCGCTTCTAATATCAGTAGCCTGGCCGAAGATTGTTTTAAAGTGACTCATCCGACTTAGGGGATCAAAAATTTTTGGATCTCCAGGAAGTGGAGATCGAGAGTGGTGATCGATCACCGCAATTTCGGGGTGGAGATCGCGCGGATCTCCACGCAATCGGAGATCCAAACAACCCGCGCACCACTCATTGGTGATTCCTCTCGAGCGCCTCATTTCGGATCTCCAGCGATCACCCCCGATCCTAGACCTAGCACCCGACATTAACCCGTTGCCGAGCGCGTAGCATTCAGGATGCTACTACCTGCCCCGAGGCTCGAAATCCAGCCTTACTATTGGTGTAGACGGCCTCTATACACTTAGCGCTCGGCAACGACCGGTAATTTCGCTGGTTAAAAATAAAACCGTTCGGTTCGATGAAATTTTGCTGGGTGATTGTTCAGTTTTTCATGCTGAACAAGATTCCAAAAAGAAAAAATGAATTTCTAACAAAATCCATGTCAAAAACGGTTAAAAAGTTTCATCATTTGGGGCCTTTTTTAACCTTAAATCATCATAAATGACGTCATAATGACGTCATTAGGCGCTAGAAATTTGGGAATCCACTAATTCTGATGCGGGCTTTCAGAATATAGTGATAACTCGAAAAGAAATTTTCTGCCCAAAAAATTCTTATGGTAATTCATCTTACTCCCTTTACTTATAATATCTTTGAAGGTTATGTCTGTAGCGTCTGTCTCTCTGTGTATAAGATGCTGACTCCAATCTGTATCACCTGTAAAACAGTGCTCAAGCTTCCGGGAATGCCGCCAAGTCGGAAGCGGAAACGCGAAAAGTAGTCACCCCTTACGATTATAAAAGAAACTGTTCAAAACTCACTCTCCTGTAAATACTTTGCTGCTTCTGTTTGCTAAAATATACTGCCAAACTTGAGATATACTTGAGGCTACTCAGCGATTGACTCTCTTGTTTATTTCAGGAAATAAAAAGTGATAATGGAATAGCCCTAGCTGTAGTAGCAGTAGATTCAGGGGCCAGCAAATGTATTTTGAAAGAACATGAATCTTGCTGAAACTCTCGCACGCGTAGACTTGACCGATGAAAGGCAGCAGCAACAGCTCTATCACTGGTTCGAGCAGTGTAAGGACGATCAGAGTGCGATTCAATTCGCCTGCGACGCCTTGACCAAGCGAACTTACGGTGATAGGGATCAGGTACGCAGCTGGGATGTTCTTATCTTAGCTTAGCCAGCAGTTAACATTTGAAACGCAGGGAAGAAAGGCCGCAGGATAGCTTCACTAGCGTACCCTCACTATTTTGAAGAAGCTATCTTGCAGCTTTCTGTAAAAATAGCATGATAATTAACCTGGATAAATACATCTACAGTGGTGTGTGGAGTTGCTGCACCCTTAGCGAGTGCTGCGTTGCTGCACCCCTGACCCGCACTTTTTCTATTGTTTTCTTCTAGAAGTAGCAAAAGTGAGTGCTGCGTTTCTGCACCTTTTACCCGCTGTCTAGGGGTGCAGCAACTCCACACACCACTGTAGTTTTTACCAGAATGTGAGCCTTAAATTGATAACGGCCAGTGGGTCGCAAAGTGCAACACATTCTATCTTTGTTCAAAACTGTCTCCACAAGGTGTTCTGGGATAAACCTTATGTGACACCTTATGTGGTATTTATCAAGGAATTCTATCGTGCTATTTTTCTAATTTTCTTACTTTATCTTGCGGCTTTTTGCTTTATTTTGTTAAAAAACTTAAAAAAAAATATATTTCAACGATAGCACCTCCTCTTATGTCCAACTTTGCCACCCACTCATCATCTTTAAGGTCGTCTTCTTCCTCTTCCTCGTTCTGGAAGCAGAGGCCAAACGCCTCGACACCACGGATGCTCTTGTGCCCCTCGATAGTTTCAAAATCACCTTGGTAGAAACATGCAAGTACGCAGCTCTCTGTCCCAACTTCGTCTCCAGCAAGATCGCTCAAGTGATGGCTGTTTCCTTCACAAAGCTGTATCCAAAGCATTGGCCGGACTTTTTTGAGTGCCTCATTCAGTGCGGACCGGACATTCTCCTCTCCACGTTGATTCAAATCGACGGGGAAGTAGTCAATCGGCGAATTCATCACACAAAGGTAAACGAAAACAGCGTGCTTATTTTGCTGACTCGCAACTTTAAGCGTGAGCTCGACAGAAATACAAGACTCAAGGATGAAATGCGAGTGAAGGATGTTGGAACGCTAGTGGCGACGTGGAAAGAGATTCTGGAGAAGGTAGTTGAGAGTAAATTGTCGTCTGCCATCGGATGCAAGTGTTTGGAAGTGGTTGGACAGTACATTGAATGGATTGATATCAACTTGGTAAGCGCATTTGTTCACGGGTGTAAGAGGATAGATTTTGAAAGGAAAGATCTTGCACTTTAAACTTGCCCAAAGTCTAGAAGTCGCATGACTTCTACTTTGCAATTCTTTTTACTGGAAGCCGAAAGCTTTATTTCTTAATTTATCGGTTTTCTTCAGGTTGTGAATGATGGTTTCATGGGCAAGATCTTCGAGCTTCTCAAAAGAGCAGATCTAGCCGAGTCTGTTTGCGATTGTTTAGGAGAAAGTAAGTTGTTGCAAAAAGTGCTTGAACATAGAATTATTTAGTCGTTCAAAAAGGAATGCCACCGAAAGAGAAGTGTGTTCTTGTCGAGTCATTGTACGGCGCGCTAGAAGCGGCCGGACTCTTTGAACTCCAAGACCACGATGACTTAGAAAGTGTCGCAAAGCTCATCTGTACATGTGGATCGGAGCTCATGCACCAGAACGAAAAGTTTCTGCGTCTTGACCCGCCGGATCAGGAGGGCGCGCATCAGGCGATGGTCGCCGGTGAGGTAAATTGTTAGTTTCGCATCCAAAGCAGTCAGTAAAAATGCTCTTTAGCGGAAAGTCGAGCTCGCTATTCGACTTCTTGCTCACGAGGATGACGAAGTCTCTGTTGAGACGTTGGATTTTCTTCAGACATATATCGGCCGCGCTCGGTCGTCAAACCACAAGATCCCAGACGAGCTGCTCAATAGGTGCATTCGTGCTGTCGTGGCCAAGTCTACATACTCGTCCGACTACAACTTCGATCGTCCAGGCCAAGACGAGGCCGAGGCCGACGAGTACATGACCGAACTCAAACAGCTCTTCGAAAGTTGCTGCCTTCACTCGCCCCAGGCCGTGATGATGATCGTCAAGGAGCGACTAGACGCGCTCAGCCCTCACATATCCATTCCAGAAGCTGAGGTTACGATCAGACTGCTGTACAACCTCGGCGAATGTCTTCCAGTCAACATGGCAGGGAACTCGTTTAATAAAGACAATCCCAGTGAGCTCCAGCAACTTGTACAAATTTTTGTCGGCTCGAGTTCACCCCAGCACCATGCTGTCGTCAGACTGACACTCGAAACGATAGGTATTGCATTCCCTTCCTTTATTCGTTTTACTCATTCATTAGTTCGCTACAGCAAGTTCTTCCAGTTCCACGCCGAGCATCTGGGTCCTGTCTTAGAGTTCATCGTTACCTCTGGCGGCCTGCTACACTCACACGGGATGGTGCGATCCCGCGCTGCTTACCTCTTCTCCAAGCTTGTCAGGGAGCTGCAGCCTGTGATGCCGACCTTCTCACGTGACCTGCTTCAAAACTTGCAGAAGGTCCTTTTCGAAGGAGACGAGGAATTTCTTTCCGAATCGGATCGTTCGTTCGTCTTTGAAGCCGCTGGATACTTGGCTGTATGCGCTCCTGTCAGTGCCGGGGAAAAGGCACAGCTGTTTTCGGAACTTCTTGGTCCTTTGGTTGAGCGATTCCAGATCGACGTGTCGAGTTTGGTGGAAACGCCGATGGAGCCAGAACAGCAGCAGATCATTTGCACCCGAGTAAGTCAATACATCGCCTGGGCTGGGCGAATAACAAAGTGCTGGAAAGGTCCCGACGGTGTCAATGCGTCCAATGCGCAGCCGATTTTGGCTGAAACGCTTAAGTACTTCATGAAAGGATTGCAAATTCCAAGCTCGATCGAGCCGCGTGCCGTCGTCATGCAATCTGTGCGAACGTTTTTGCATAGAATGCTTATTTGCATGGGACAAGACATCCTCGTCCTCCTGCCGGACGCACTGGCGATTTTCCTCGAGCGCGTAGAATACAGAGAGCTTCACGAACTCTTCCCATTGATCAACCAAATCGGCGCAAAATTCAAGGAGAAGACAGTGCCACTCATTTCAACACTTCTATCACGCATACTTGGCAACACGTTTCAAATGATCGAGTCCAACACCGGCGACAGGGAAGAAATCAAAACGATAACCAGAGACTTTTACAATTTCATCAATCAATCTGCAAACAATAACTTATTAGCGATCTTCACCACGGAAGAGAACCAGGGTCACATTATGAAAATGCTTTCCAGTGTCGAGGCTGGGGCGAGAAGTGGCGATCCTGTTGCGGCAAAGGTAGATGATCAGGGTTGATTCAGGGAGCGATAAAGTTTAGACAATAATTGCGTGAAATTTTAGCGAACCAAAAGCGGTTGTTTCGCATTCTAGCCAATCAAAAGCCTGTATTGGCCTGTCTCTGAATTAGTAGCATTTAGTTTAGCCCGCCAAAATCTTGTTGCAACTTTGTTCAGCAATCGATCATGATGATTTCTAGAGCTTGATATTATTGTTCAGACATGTTTCACAATTTTCGCAAAAATCGCGAAAGAGTGGGGCCAGCAGCCTTGGTTCGGCGACATCATCCAGAACCAGATCATACCTGCGTGTATTCTCGGCCCGGCCTCGCCAAACTACGACCTCAAAGACGCACAAACGCAGATGGCAGTGGCGGAGTCGGCTATTTGCATGAAGGCCCTGTACGAAATGCATGGTGAAGGATTGGTCGAGTACTTGCGCAGTACATACTTGCCAAGTTTGTCGATTAGTGGTGATATTGGCGCAGAGTACTGTGAAGCACTGATGAAAAAAGAAATTAAAGGAACCGGTCATAAGTTGAATTTCAGACATCGTTAACTCTACATACTATGTACATAGCCTCCACATGATCTAGCCATACATCTAGGGAAGTTTTAAGAAATCTGTAGACATTTTTATAGACAGCTAAATTTGACAACAAGTACTTCTTTCTTTTATGACCAGTCTCAAAGCTTTCAAGTGTTACGTTAAGTGTTTCTTTGGCAGATCACATCAGCCCTCGTGACAAAAAGTGAAGTCCGACTCTTATACCAATTAAGTTTATTATTGACGCATTTGAAAGAATTGCATTCTCCAATTTATGATAATTTAGCCATCCAATTTTCCCTCTTCTCTTCCCCCTTTGTATAGTAACATAACTTAACTAACTCACCTCTCAGTAACTCACTCAGAAAACTCACCCAGGACAGTCGACACGCAACTGCTCTCTTTTTGCTGCTATCTAGACAAAGAGACCCTCTCCCTAGATCAGAGTTCGAAATTTGTTGGCAGTACTGCCACGACTGCCACTGGCAGCTGCCAATTTCGGCAGTCACTTGGCAGTGGCAGTTACATTTTTCAAGTGCTGGCAGTTACTGGCAGTGGCAGTTGCAATTTAAAAAAGGCTGGCAGTCGCTTGGCAGTGGCAGTCGCCATTTTCTTTCAGATTTCGAACTCTGCCCTAGATCAATTCAATTACTATTATCATCACTAGAATCAATAATTATTATCTAGTGACATAAAGAGTCCCACAAAGTTCAAATATTTATTTCCTTATCCTCGATAGCTCAATCTTCTCTAGTTCTCTTCCTTGATTTTAAAGCTGTTCAAAGAGAGTTAGAAATCCGTTTTGCTGACATCTAACAGGCTCTATTACATACAAACCAAATTCTGTTAAGCATTATTATATGTAAATTTCTTACATTTATCGCCAATACCGGCGGTACAGGCAAAAAAAGCATCTCGTTTCTTTCCGTGACGTCCTGGTGCTATCACAGAAATTAATAAATACAGATTAAACATTGATCTAAATCTCTAGAATCAAACAATTTACTTTTCAGAAATCGGACTTGGTTGAAATCATGGAAGTGACAAATTACTCCCGCGTGATCGACGCTTTGAGCAGCATTTGCTCGGCCAATGCAGACATGAGATCAGTCGTGATGGACATCAACTCCGGCGAGCTCGTTTCTTTTTATAACCTGGATTCGGATGGAGAAGCGTTTCGACAAGCAACCGCGATCACGGCCTCGTTCTTCGGCAAGCTTTGGGCGGGTCAAGAAGAAACTGCCAATCAACACGATGATAAATTAGAGGTAAAGAACCATAGCTTCGTCTCGTTGGTAGACCCTTTTCTGTTAAGATACTTTTCAATGTGAATGAAAATGGAGTCAATTCCCTGACGCCTTTCTACTCGAGGAGTTCCAATAGTGGCAAGAGGGACGGCCTTCTGCTGGTGATTATGGCCGGTGACATCGAACTAGGAGCGCTCAAGGTACACCCCTTCATCTCCTTCAGGGTGAGTAACAGTATTTTCAGAGAATATCGGAGCAGGGGGCAGAAAGGCTGTGTAAAATCTTTTTCGACGATGGCAAAAAGAAATAGAATGAAAAGAATGCTCGAACAAACTAACTACTAACCTGTCTTCTACTGCTCCTGAGAAATTCTTCATCTACATTTACTCATTTTCATCACATTTTCTTCTTTTAGTGACATTTTTATTATTTTAAAAGGCCAATTTCATGTTCATTTACGATCATTTTATACATTTAGACTTATAATGAGTCATGTCGATCGGAAGAAGATTCTTTTGCTGCGCACTAATTTCGGCAAAGAAGTGTGGGATCATCTAGAGTTGGTGATTGGAGATGAGTCTATCGCCAATGATCCCAAATTGAGACACAACAAAAAACACTGATGAGTACGTTGAGCAAGCTGAGCGTCGAGGTTGGACTGTGGTTAACGTCTCACCCATCGTCCGACGTCCCCTGCCCATGGAAGACCTCGAATCCAAGCTAAAAACGGGTGGATACGGGGGCGTCATCATCACCTCGTCGTTCACGATCAGCTGCCTCCCAAACTCAATTGTGGAGGAGCTCGCCAGCATTGGCGGGCCGACGTTTGTTGTCGGGAAAAAGACAGCCGAGGTTGCTCGCCAAGCGGGTTTCCAGCAACTTATTGGAGAAGAAATTGGCTCGACGGCCGAGCTGTCTCCAATCGTCTCCAGCTGGCAAGAAAAGAATGAAGAAGACAAGGTGCCAAGGCTGCTTTTTCCCGGGGCCAGGACCCGCGCGCGGGGACTGGCAGAACTACCCGCGATCGACGAGGTCGCGGTTTACGAGACAGTTGCTAGAGAAGAAAGTGTGCTAGCAGCTGAAATAATGGCGCAGGCGCCATTCGACGTCGCCGTCTTCTTCTCCCCAAGCGGAGTGAAGGCCGCACACGACATCGTCGCGCGACAGAAGACCACGAGGATGATTGCTCTGGGACTTACAACAGCGAAATCGTTTCCGGATGGAAGCGATGTGTCAGCATCATCAAAACCCACCGCAGAGGGGGTCTTCGCTGCCATTGAAGAAGCGCTACACGCTTACTCAACTTAAATTCTATCCTTGCACTGTCTCAACACGCAATTTTCTTTTTTATAACTATTGAAAAGAACAATTATAGAGATAGAAAAGAATGAGCTCGATAGGATCTGGATATGATCTCTCGGCGGACATGTTCTCCCCTGACGGACGCGTCTTCCAGGTCGAATATGCGATGAAAGCCGTCGAAAATGGATCGACAATTGTCGGCCTTAGATGCAAGGACGGCGTAGTTCTGGCGACAGAGAAGCTCATTTCCTCTTCACTCCATGTCGCTGGTGATAACAGCCGAATTTTCAAGGTGAACGCCGTCTCTCTTTCTGTTTCTCTTATCCCTCTTTTAGATCGATGATCACATTGGAATGGCCGCAGCTGGTCTTCTACCCGACGCCCGCTCACTGGCTGAGATTTTGAGAGACGAAGCCACTAAGTTCCGCCGAGAGTACGGCCGCCCCATTCCCCTCAAGGTCCTTTGCCACACTGTTGCTAGTTACGTTCATCAATACACTCGCCATTCTTCTATCCGGTAAGCACCTACAGCATGAGGTGATTCTTTCGTTCGAACTTCGAAGCCAGTAAGAGAAAGAGAACTGTATCAATAAAGCTAGAAGAATAACCTCTTAAAATTATCTTCAGTCCATTTGGATGCACTCTTCTTCTGTCGTCATTTTATCAAGGCAAGGCCGAGCTCTGGACGATCGATCCCTCCGGAGCAGCCTTTGGCTTCAAAGGTGCCGCAGCTGGCAAGGCAAAGAACAACGCAAAGACTGAAATCGAAAAGCTCGACCTCGACAATCTCACCGTCAAAGAAGGCCTCAAAGAAGCTGCTAGAATTATTCACTCCGTTCACGATGATCTTAAAGGTACTGAAAAACTCCTCCGAAGTCTCTAATTGTTGGATAGACAAAAGCTTCGAGCTGGAGCTGTCCTGGGTATCAGCCGACAATCCAAAGCACAACCGCGTTCCCAAGAACGTCGCTGAGGAAGTCGAGGCAGCTGCCAAGGCGGCACTAGAAGATTCAGACTCCGAAGACGACATGTAAACGAACTCTTCTCAGTCAGAAGATACACCACTACAGATACGCCGTGCACATCACAATTTTAGCTCAGAAAAAAATCGATAAAAAAAAATATAAAAATTTCGCCTACTCTCTTTTTATCACTGAAAGCAATTTACATGTACATGTTAAACTTGTCTTTGGTTACTTCAAATTCTTAAAAATGGACCTAGTGTCAACTGCTGAAACTGTCCACTTCTGTCCAAGTTCTAAGTTCAAAGAAAAAAAAGAAACAACTACAATAGTGTAGAAACTTTCTACTAGAAAGAGAGTCGTCTTTTTTCAAAGTGTTGAATTGTTAGAATGTCGGAGGAAGGAGCAGCAGAGAAGAAGTTGACTGTCGATAACGGACCGGAAGTCCTCGACCGAGTGCCAGAGCATTACTTGAAAAAGGTTATCTTCCTTCATTTTTCGACCGTGTAACTTTTATACAAAATAGTTCTGTGTTCTATTTTAAAAAGACTATTTATCAAGCTCGGAAGCCTCAAGCGGTTTCCTCGCTGGTCGCTTGCTAAAGACATCTTTTGTTTGCTCTTGAGTCGTTGAATACAAGGTTGCTACTGACAGAGATTCCCTTGCTTCATGTCGAACCGCCCCTTTTTTAACCACTGTTGTAGCGAAAACGATACAATGCAGTGCAGCGAAAGCAGAACGAGATCAACAGAACGACACGAACGAAACGGGCTGCGCCGACGATCGAATTCAAACGGGCTGAACATTTCCTCCGTGCTTCCAAGCTCGGCAAGCGTGACGAGGTACGAGTCAAGCGGCAAATGATGAAGCTCGTCAGAAATATCGGAACGAAAAGCAGTGGTTACAAGAAGGACGTCAAACTCGTCCTCGTCGTCAGAATCAGAACAGCAGATGGAATTGGGTGGGTCTGACTTTTTCAGTTGGATTTTAACTCTTTCGGTCTTTAGAAAGATGGCCATTCGAGCCATGCGAGAGCTCAGAGTTATGGAGAAGTATCATGCAGCATTTGTCAAGTAAGTTCTAGCGCTGGGAAATCTGAGGAGTGGATCATCCTCGACTTTTCCGTTTCTCAGTTAGAAAAATTAGATTTCCCATCGAAATTGACGAAGTTTTACAGAAAATCCCTTATTCCATGCTAAAACGCTAGAATTGTTGCGAGAAACGTTCAGTGCTTTTTTGTCAAAAAACCAATTTGTTTGAAAATGTTCTATTTATAAAAAACTGTATAATAAAACTGATTTTAGGTACACAGAGAAGACTCATCGTCTCTTGCGAGTTGCAGAGCCGTACATCACGTGGGGCGTTCCAGATGTCACGACAATTCGAGACCTTTTAACGAAGCGAGGCTTCGCTAATGTGAACGTGAGTCATCGCGCGCGATGAGTAATATCAGCTGAACGACGCGCCACTCCGCGCGTTTTCAAATAAATTCACTACTTTTCCAACTTTCGCGATTTTCCCGACTCGGAATATATTTTTCAAAGAGAAAAATCAAAGTTAGAGACTTACTGGTTATCTGAGCAAGCCTACAATTATTCTGGCTAGAGAGATTTACGCCAAGAGCAAGAAATAAGAGAAACACTCGGAATTCTTGGGATTTTTTTAGAAAATTTAGACTTTCTCTAATTTTTGTTTTATAGATTAATTTACTGGCTATAAAAAGAGCAGTCACGCGCATTTAAAATGAGAGTTCTGATTGTTCTTATTTAGAAAACGAACAAATTTAACAGAAGCGCTGAAAATTAATATTTAAAAGCCGCGTGCGGCTTTTGTTGGAAAAAATCAACGCGAATGATTTTAATTGGCTGATATTCCCACGTGAGAGCGTTCTGATCAAAAATTTTACAGTAAATTAGGGAGAAAGAATGATCCTGAATTCCAACGCCGCCGTCGAAAACGCGCTCGGCCACATTGACATGTTGGCGATCGAAGATTTGATTAAAGAGATCATCTCGGTCGGCGAGAACTTCGACACCGTCAACAAGTTCTTGGCCCCCTTTGCCTTGAGTGCACCCCCTGGCGGCGCCAAAAAGAGCCACATTGCCACGGCCAAGGGCGGCCAAAACGGCGACCGAGGGGAGGAAATCTGCGCTTTTGTCCGATCAATGGCCTAAAGGCTATTTTTAGCTCTGTGAACTGACTGACTCTCTCTTGAACTTACTGAAGGATACATGAATGAAACGTGGAAATGTTTACTCTCAGGTTTTAACGGCTTCTTTCTTTTAGACCGAAAATGGCTCAATCTGTCTCTACCGCCAAGATCGTGCGAAAGCGCAACAAGCGATTCATTCGACACCAGTCTGATCGGTAAGTCTTTACTTGCGAAGTTTTTACTAACCTAACCAGATTCTGGTCGGGAGAACCAGTCTGTAGAAGAGAGCATTCTGTTGCCTCTAGTACAGAAGGACCAGACTCATTGCACCTAATTTTGCTGTAAATTCCAGGTTTAACTCATTTTTAGCTTCATGCGTGTCGATGCCTCCTGGAGAAAGCCAAGAGGTATTGACTCCCGAGTTCGACGACGATTCAAGGGACAGTACATCATGCCCTCGATCGGTTACGGAACCAAGGCCGCCGACCGACACCGATGCAAGGACCAGAAGAACTTCAAGCGATTCGTCGTCAACAACGTCGCCGAGCTCGAGGTGCTCATGATGAACAACCGGGTCTTCTGCGCCGAAATCGCCGCCGCCGTCTCTGCCAAGAAGCGCAAGGTACGTTCGCCTGTCCATTAGGGCCCACCGTCGGTTAGGGCCTTAAAATCTTAATGACGCTCTTTTCAGGAAATCGTCGAGCGAGCCGCCCAGTTGGACATCCACGTCACCAACAAGAACGCCCGCGTCAGATCCCAGGACAAGGAGTAAACTCCGTGACTCTTTGTACTGTAATAAATCCGCCGGCAAAAAAAATCATTTATGTTGTCATTTTTTATTCGAAGGAAAAATTTGCAGGAACATTTCAGCATGAAAGAGAAAAGCAAAATAGTGACGATAATCAAGGGAAAATGAGATTTTCGTTGTCGTTGTTCTCCTGAAATTTTGTCTTGTCGATCTTCTTTTTTGAACAAAATTCTCACTTTCAAGAATGCGCGGGAAAGCATAGAAAAGGAAAATGGACGCTTTTGCTACGTTCGGGGCTCTGAATGATTCCCAGAGCAACGGGCCCCAGAAGCAGCAATTCTTCGAAAATGAGCTCGCGCAGGTTGATAATTTGACTGGCAGTGGGTCCGTTCTCGAACCATCCCTCGATCCAGCGGCTTATGACGAAGGAGCTGTTGGCGGACAGACCCAAAAAGAACTCGACCAGGTGCGCGCGCTAAAATTGCAGAAAGACGCGATGGGAGCGCAGCATTCCGGCAAGATCGACGAAGCAGTCGCTCTTTACCACAAGTTGCTCGACACTGGCTTCGTTCGAGATTCAGAAGATGGCCATCCGGGGCACCGAATGAAATACATCGCGTTCAAAAACATTGCGAAAATTCTCCCGCCGGACAGGGCAGAAGAAAGCATCAAATTCTACCTGAAGGCGAGCGAAATTGACAGCTCAGAAACGCAGCTCTGGTGGAAGCTCGGAATGAAAGCGCTGGAAATTGGAAACGTTCTTTTAGCGCACAATTCTTTCGCAAAAGCCCTTACCTTATCCGACCGGCATTGGCCTAGTATCGACAAAATTTTATACACGGGGCTGATTTTAAACAACTTCCGGGACATAATCAGACGGGCTCTTGCTGCACTCCAACTTGACCGGAAATACGGCACCGCTCGTCTGGCGTTGCTAAAAATCCGCGACTTTTATCCGATAATGTTCGACGATCCTGAAGACTTAGAGACTGCGGAGTCGTTCGATCTGGAAAAATGCACCGAGCGAGATCAGAAAACATTCGACAAGCTTTATTCGAGATATGAAAAACGATGGATTGAGTACTGTAAATTCACCCCACTAGATACACCTCCAGAACTACTTGAAACTCCGAATTATAACATTCTTGATGTTAAATGCAACAAGTACTCGTTTTCGAGCATCGGGAAGAGTCTCATAAGAAGTTTGGAGAAATTCGATGAAAAGGATTTCGACAGGATTTCTGTTGCGCATTTAGCTGGAAAGAAAAGACCTTTCAAAGCGATTGAAAATGCTCAAATCTATCATATTGACACGAAAAAGAGAAAGAAAGACAAATCACTCAAGCTGCCGAAGAAAGACAGAAACAAGAAGGCGCTGGAAATAACTGAACACAGCTCTGCCTTCTCCCTCGTCATTCCATATTTACTGCCTCACGAATACCGTGTTGAGTTCAACGATTGCCTCGGATCATCCCTAAATGAATCGGCATTGGAGCCCGAGCTGATAATTTCGAATGCAAAAGTCGAATCAGAAAACGAGCGTCGCTTTATGGTCGTTTTGAGGGAGCAAGAACCGACGATGCTTCTCGAATTCTTGAGCTTCAAATCTTCGAATCGCCCTTTAAAGATATTTACTTTCATTCGCGATTTCTGTCTCCATCTGACTGGGTTGACATCGAATCAGTGGAGTAACTCATTGAAAAATAATTTCATCACGCTTTGGAAAGCGCTTGAATCGCGGCGCTTCGTGGAGATTGTCCTGTCGGACAATGTTCGTGCGGATATCATGGAAATGAAGCCGACAAAGATTGTTAGATTACTTCAAGATTTCAAAGGATACCTTCTCTTTGCCGAATTGGAAGTGGACGCGGAAATGGTCAGGCGAGGCTTGCGCTTGGGGCCGGCATGTCTCTCACCAGGAAACGACGGGAAAGATTCGCTGGACGATCCAACGAGGTCGAAAAATCAAAGACTGGCTCGGTACATCCGGCAGATGTTCATGTATCCCTCGGAAATGTACAGTGGAAACTGCACCGAGGTGCGCCTCCGTCTGATGTGGCTCGATGCGAAAATGTGGGTGCTGAGAAATGATGCGAAATTCATGCTCCAGCGGCTAATGGACATTCAAGTCTTTCTCGTGAAAAACGATCACTGGGAAGTCAATATTCCTAATATCAAGGAAGCCCCTGTCATTTCACTGGCAGAAACCGAGAAGCGAATTCAAACGATTCAACGAGCAGAGCAGCGTGAAGAAGTCGAGCGACTCTACCAAGATGGCAATTACAAACAAGTCGCTGAACTGCTCTGGGTGACGTTGAGGCTAAAGCCGAGCACAGCGGAGATCCAGCCTTTTCCACAAGAACGCGCGAATCAGCTGTGCTTGTTATTGAACTCGCTTTCCTTCATCGCGCAGAATGACGAGTTCGGCTGGAAAACCTGGGCTCAGGGCATCGAAAGAGCGTTTGCCGAAGTAGCAGCTCGGATCAGAGTGCGGCATTCCTTGCCAGACTGGGTGAATGCAGCCGGCCAGTTGTGCTTGAATTTTTTGGAGCTGGATACAGACGATTATTCCACTATCTTCGAAGGGATGAGCAAAAGCGAAATGGGCCGTTTTCAGCGTTCTCTTGCTACATTTTCCGCCGCTCAAATGGAACTCGGGCCAGAACCGGCTGTCATTCGCCGCTCTTTAGTTCCAGTTTGGCTCATCGGCTACCACGCTCTAAAGTCCATAAACGAGCTAGAAAACGACGAGTCAGACAATCGGAAAATCTCTTCTGAATCAAGCGCTTCGGAAGAAAGCCAGAAAGAATTCGATGAGGCGACATTCGATATGAAACAACTGCGCTTTTATCCTGATCTGGAAATAGCCCCTTGTGTCCAGTTGTTGATTACGGCGCATTCTGAGCTCGGGAGTTGCAACTGGTGCACAGACGGAAACGGAAGTCTTTTGAAGTTCATCATTCCAACTTTCAACGCGCTCCGGAAAAAATTAAAAGCCGATCCGGATGGGCTTGATTCGGCCAAACCAAAAATTGTGAATCTTCTGAACAACGAACTTCAACAAGCAATCTACTGCTTCGTCCAGTTCCCTGCAAAAAAACCAAAATCAATTACGGATCATCGGAGTACGAAGATCCCGCTCAGCTGGCAAAATGTCGTTTTAGTTTTCGACGTGTTGTTTCCCGAGGAATTGCCCCAGTTTGACTCGGTCAAGTCGAATTCCATTTCCAGCGAGTTAGCTTCTTTTATCAAGAAATGCATTCCACTGATTCCGGATTGCGAGTTTTCGAAAATGAGACTTGGTTATTCAAAAATAATAAGGGCGACTCACGAAGCGGCTTTGGACGATTCTTATGGCGATCTAAAGTCGTGGCTGGAAATGAAATCGGCAGATTCGCCGCTCGAGAATTTCTACTATCTACTTGCCGATTACTGTATGAAGAACAACTCGAGGGACGACGCGGTCAAGTACTATTTCATGGACATTGGCTTTAATCCTCAACGAATCGACTCCTGGGCGGCGGTGGCTCTTTGCAAAGCGGCGGAAATCGACGAAAAGATGCGATGTTTTGATTCCAAGGGGCAATTCCTGCCGATGAAACTGATCCACTGTGCGATTTTCTGTTTTGAAAGAGCGCTGGAATTGGAGAGAAATGGCAAAATCCTAATTGAATTTGGCCAGATGCTTTACTGGCTCGCCGGATATGACTCCGAGCAATCTCACGCGTATTACCAGGTAAGAAAATGTAACAGAATTCAAGTCTTGACTCGTTTTTAAGAAATCGTATGCATTATTTGAAGAAGCGCTGGCAGTTGCTCCAGAAGAAGCTTGGCTGACCCACTACATGCTCGGCAAATTGTCCGAAAAGCTGAGAAAAGACACGGAATGCTTGGATCACTACCACAACGGGCTCGAGTGGATGCATGAATTTGCCAGTTATCCAGCTAAAATTCAGTCGAAACTGAATTCTGGTTCTTTCAATCATGAGACGTTGGAAGTCTTCTACAGAATAACAGCATTTATCACGAAGAGATACGAAGCTGGAGAAGACGTCTTCGAACTGCGCGGAGTTGTTTGGGGCCTCTTGCAGATGCCAGTTTTCACAAGGAATGGAGAAGAAAAAGTCGACCTGAAAAATGTCAAATTCGAGACTGCCGCTGATGTGATTCAGCAATGCATCCGCAATTACGAGCTGATTCTCAAACGATATCCGCAGCATTATAAATCGTATTATCGGCTTGCCAAGTTGGCTTACCACGCTGATAATCCATCGCGTAAGTCTAGCACACACATATTTTTCTTTAAAACGATTCTAGTCGCTAAGAAAATAATCCTCGTCGAAAAAAATTCCTCATCAGACAAGAAAGAACAGACAAAAGCCGGAAAATTTATCTTCAACGATGTTGGCTCCCTCTTTGGCGAGCGCAATCGCCACAATTTCTTCGGAGGAATCTGGAGAACTCCCTGTGAAGATATTGAGAGGCCCGGAGCGTTTTCCAGGCATTTGGCGAAATGCTGCCGCTTGGTTGTATTGTGCGCCGAGAAAACTCATGATATTGTTTTGCTGGCTACTATTTTTAGGTACACTCATTTGCTGTGGTGATACGGCCTAATTCTTCGGCTTGGAGGCCGAAGGATTGATGCGTGTAAGAACACTGATTCTTCGGCATAAACCGAAGAATGAGTGATAAAAGATGCACTGATTCTTCGGCTAAGATGAATTTATTCACAGATTCCTGTGCCCCTAACCACGGGGCTCCGCCCCTTAGGTCCTAAAATGCCGGGGTCTAGTCTATGGTTACTTAGGGTTACCTTCGGTAACCCTAACTAACCCTAGCCTATCCCCCTCGGGTGAATTAGTTCTGTCATTTTGCCCAGTGCCCCCTAACACTAACCTCAAATTATAGAAAGTACTTATTGCTAAAATGTGTTTTTTTTTTTCTAGAAAATGTTTTTTTTCATAAGGGATGACTCATAGGTTGAAATCAAAGATTTATCAAAAGAATTTTATTAATGGATTCTAGAAAATTTGCCGAAGAATCACTCTCAATTTTATCATTAATACTTCGGTTCAAGGCAATTCTCAATTGCCGAAGAATCAGTGTTATTGAAAGCATCAATTCTTCGGCCTTGCCGAAGAATCAGCCCATACCACGTTTGCTGTTTATGCATTTACCCAAGAAATTTTAATTGATCGATGCTATTAACAAGACAATTAAGTGCGCTGCAGAGAACGCCCGACGCGTCCAAACGATACTTGAAGGAAGTAGACCGGGAGCTCATTTACAAGCCGATTATTTCGACGATTTTGAGCTGCCAGGAACTTATGATCAAGCAGCAACTGTCGCACATTCCTGCTCGGAAGCGCTTAGTTCAATTTCACCGAATCACTGAAATTTTACAGAAGAAAATCATCGGCAGCGAGACTTTTTCAAAGGTTGGAATTTTAAAGTAAACTTCCTCGAAGTAAAATTCTCTCAGCTTCAAGAATTTATGAAGAAAGCCTTTGCGCTTGCTCAGCCCAGCCAAACTGAAAGTAGATCAGCCACTTTGGAAACAATCAACAAGTACGTCAAAGCAATCGTGGCGATGGAAAAGGCAATTGCCGAATCACCAGATGCATCTGATGATGTACAGGTAACGAGGAGGAAATATGAAGTGTTATTAAACGCTCCCTTTTAGGCCTACTTGAAAAAGAAACACGGCGACCAAATACAGACCTCCATTTCAAAAGTGACACCACTCGTGCCTGCACCAGCACTGCCAAAACCAACCATACCTCCAAAAGTAGTTCTTATTCCTAATAACCAAATGTAAGAGCTGCTTTTTAGAACGAAACGAGCAGGCAAGTCGTTACTGTAATTCAACCATCAACAGTCATCGATCTCACCGGCAGTTCGTCTCCAAAATCATCGACCGCAGCGACGAGTGTAAAACAGACTTCAACTGCCGGCCCGATAAATCCGCCACTCGCAAATCCAACTCCACACCTTTCCCCTTCCAGTATAGCCGCATTGTTTGCCGTCGACTACAGCAAACTTAACGATCAACAGAGGATCCTTTTCGAGAGTCTACGAAGACATCTGAGCAATTCTTGAAGGAAATACAAGAGAGCGTTTGCATCTTCCTTTTGGCGCAAAATTTTTACTGCCTTATAATAAAGTTCAAGTTTATTCAGCGAAAAAATATGAACATTTTGTTGAAATAAGCTCAACAAACTGTCAGGGTCACAATCAGGCTTGCATAATGCAAGTTGCATTATTTCGTGGGCATGAAATACAGAACCCTATTTCACTCAATTAAATAGATTAGACTTTCTTGAGCATTTCAGGGTGCAGACGACATAGGCTAGGCCAGCCTGCTCTGCTAATTTTACTACTGATAACCACAGTTGCATTTGAACAATTTGAAATCAAGGACAAGTGCTTAAAATATTAATAAAGTTTATTAGATAAAAAGTGATATGACGGGCTTGACAATCAGGCCTCAACAGAACAGTGATTGAAAATATATAAAAATCTGGGGCAGAAAAACTCATTCCTCAAAGTCTTCATGTCGCGGTTTCTGAGCTTGAGGAGGCGTGAGACATTTGATGACAAAGTCGGCGTCTGGCTGGAGCATCATGTCGGCGTTTTTGATGAAGTTGTTCTCGTTTGGGGCAACTTCGGGTGTTGGCTGGGTCACTCGGCGCAAGAATACCTTCTGGAGCGTGGCCCAAGGATTGATGACCGGGTAGAATCCTCGCCGAGAGTTGAAGCTAGGATCGGAGAAGAAATACATCAGAGTACCAACCATTGATGTCAGGAACATGATAGCAGCGGTGATGGTGACTCCGACGTCCTTCGCGAGTTGCATTTCTGAATTTCGTTGAAAATATTTTATTGAAAAAAATCAATTACCTTTGACTCCGAGAACTCTATCACGTTCCTCTTGCGTCGCGAATATATCTAGAAGCATTCCAACGTTTGAAGAAGGCGCCTTGTTTTGTAGATCCTCGACGCTACGTTTTCGCCTGTTCTCACACGAATCGCATGATCCTGCTTCACAGGGTCGGACGCTGCATGCGTAAGTAACTTGTTGGTGCTTCTCGCCTTGCCGGAAAATAACTGACTGCCATTTGAAGATCTTCAGATCATCTTCCTGAAATTTTGAAATTGAGAGAGCTGTTATCAATTGACTTTGTTCTCACCTGTTTGATGTACTCGAACATGAAGGTTTCTTTCCAATCTTGATGACTTGGGCAAGCGCCGTCGAGCATCATGAAGACTTGATCGTCCGCGCCGATGATTTCACAGCTCTCGATTTGGAATGGACTATCTCCAGTGATTCTAGCGTAGACGAACTCGCCGACAACCACTGTAGCTGTATTTGCCTCGGCATCCAGTATAGTGCTGAAGTCTTCGCTCGTCGAAAGATCGAACTCGACGTTGACAGCGCCTTCTGCAAAGTCGGTGAAACGAGTTGCTTCGTAATTTGACATTGCGCGTGCGTCTTCTTCCAAATCGGCTTGCCAACTCTTGCAGTTCAACTCGGCAAACTCGCTGTGCGTTGAAACCGTTTCAAAGTAGTTTTGCTTGTCGACGAAGATATGCGCGTAGAAAGACTGCAGTTTGTTGTTTTCGATGTTTAACTGCACGCCGCACTCTTGTAACTCTGCACGGCTAAATGTCATTGGCAAGTCGGTGTTAGGTTCATAGTCTTTGTAGCAGGAAGGGTTGTCAGCATTGATGCCGTTATTGCTGGGTGAACCGGCGATGAAGAACTTGATTGATCGTTGGAATCGAATGTCGGGAAGGTCGAAGCCGATTTGGTGGATGAGCGTGTTCGAAATTCGCATTACTTCTACGTCGGCAGCTTCGGGATCGAAATGGCAAATTCCAGCGGGCGAACAGGGACAAGTGTTTGCGAGGACTTGACAGTTGAAGTCCGGACATCTTGTCTTTGTCGATGGAGAGAGACAGTTGTACTCGCTCGCCAGATAATTGCATGGGTTACATTCATTGACCTCAGCAGATGAGCAAGTTGGCAGATCCGCGCAGCAGTCAAGTTTTTTTCCGTAGACCACGTTTCCAAGACGGTCTTTGCACATCTTCAATCCAGAGCACAAGTTGGAGTCGATGTGGCTGGTCAAATCGCAACTAGAAAAAAAAGTTTAGAATCTTCTAGAACACGGGTTGAGGATGAGTTGTTTTTCCATTTTTTCATCACTTCACACTTTCAGCGAAGTGAGAAGGTCCGAAAGCGCGAAATTAAAGGTAAGTCAAGAAGGATTGTAACTAATTGATTAATTGGGTATTTTTAGTCATGGAACGGATCATATCTTCCGGCCAAAAAGACAAAAAATGGCTCCAAGAAGAAGAGTCGCGGAAAAAAACCGAAAAAATCGGTTTCTCTTCATCCTCTCCGAAATGGAACAGGATGAAGAAGAAAATAACCTGAATAAAATCAATTTTATATTAATCAGCAAAAAAGAAAAACTGACAACGTTATTGTTAGAATTTCTTTGTTGTCTTCCATTCTTTCTACCGCATTGCAAGATTAGCTTAGTACCTTTTTGTGTCGCTGTGACAGCAGCTCTTGCTATCCGGGCCAAGACATTGTTCTGGTTCGCATGGAGCATGTACTTCGCAGTATCCGGTTTTCGGGAAGGAGTTCGACTTCAGCCAGCAGATTTTCGTTGGTTTGAAGCCGTTTCCGTTCTCATCGACCATGCAGGGCTGTGGATCAGTAGAAGATTCTTCGACGCATTCGTAGAGGCTCAGATCACTGGGGCACTGACTGCACTCAGTTGTGTCCGTTGTTGTGCAGAGTTCAAGGTGAATAGGTGCGTGAAACTCCGTCGTCAGCGCTTTGCAACTTGATTTCATGTGCTTAGTCATCAAGCCTGCTGAGCATTGATGATCTGTGTTGCAGATTGGAGGGTTCTGATTCACGGACTCCATCAGAGAGAACTTCGTACAGCAATCGGCACATTCGACGTGTTTAATACAATTGTCGTAGCACTGCTCTTTGTTCGACGTGTACTTGCAATTGGCATTACGGTTAGAATGGCACGAAGTACAGGATTCCAACTGCACTTCTGCATCAGGAGTGCAGTCGATTTCGATTCCAAGGTTCCAGTCGCATGTTGGTGGCGAATCTTGACAAGGCTTCGTCTCTGTAGTCTGAAAGTCAACAGGAAGCTTGCAGTCGAGAGCATAAAGAGCTTCCAGTGTTACGTCACGCGTCCTTTCTCGTAGACAAGTGCTCTTGTCACACTCGCTCCACTCCGACCACGGAATGTCGGTGCATGCCGGTTTACTACATCCATTTGGCGGGCATCCCTGCACAGCTGGAAAAGCCGTTCCTTGTCTGCATTGGTACGAGATAGTGTTACATTGATCATCAGCGCAACTGCCACATGAAGCCCAGTCATCAGGAACATAGTGAGAAATAACGACTCCACTTGTGGTAGCACAAACAGGATGGTTCGTGTAAGCAGTTCTGTCATCGATTTCAATCTTGGAACCGAAATCGAAGAAGGTTTCGGGATCGCAAACGGCCTCGCTAGAACTGCATTCTGGACATGTTCCGGTGGTCTCAGGACATTGGGCGATTGCGGGACAGGTGTCGTAAAACCAAGTATCGTCGTCAGGAAAGCTCGTCTCAATATTAGCGTCCACTGACCAGAATTTTTCATCTTTGAGTGTGATCGTCTTCTCTTCATGTTTAAGATTGTCGCCATCAACAGCAAGATACTGAAGCTTGGTAAGGGGCCATGCGCCGGGAGCGAAAAGAACTTCGTGCGACTCGAGAACCATGTCACTTCCGTAGTTGTGAAGATTCAAACATCGGTCGATAGGACTCAGCTGCTCAAGCTCTAATTCAGAAAGGAGGAAGTCATTCTCGACGAATGTGATTGTGAATTCTCGAGGGTCGACGTTGTAATTGTGGCTGATTTCCTCGTTGATTTTGATCGAATTCGGCCAGGCGTAGATAGCAACACAAGCGCCAGCATCATTTCGAACCCAGAGTCGGACGTTTACCTGATAAAATTTAGAAAAGAGATTTGAGTAGATAATTATACCTTTCGCGTGTCCTTTTTCTGAATCAGTTCTGCCGGGTATCTACGAGTCTTGAGCGCTTTGAAAGAGATGATTTTTCCAACAAGAGATGAATCCGCTACATCGCGCGATAAGTAGTTGCTTGGGAAAAGAACTGGGACGAGAGTGAAGCCGGAATCGACTTCTTCAAAACAACCAATCTTGTCATTATCGGCCTCGTAGGCGAAGCCAGTTGGACAATCGGGTTCGGCCGTGCTCCTCCTTTTACGCAAGCGAATTTCAGCGGTTGCAGCACAGCATTCCACGTGAACAGGATGTGTCTCGCATGGAGTTGATCCTTCGAGTTCTAAGATTTTAAAAATTTGAACAACGATTTCTATTTGATCTTTACCGTCATCATATCGGCAGCCTCCAAAGCAAGTCTTAGTTTCAAGCAAATCACCAGGACATTTCTCCTTCCAGTCAGAATTCAAGTCCTTAAAAAATTGATATATCTATTAACATAAAGTATTTCGTACCCGATTCTCACAAACTCGAGTTCTAGTTTTTGTTCCATCGAGTTCGCCGGATGAGTATTCAGGTAGGACGCAGTCTCCCCATTCTCCCCAGTTTGACCATCGCGCGGGCTGTGGTGTTATTTGAAAGACTTCTTGGACCTTGGTAACTCCATTTTCCTCGAACGAGAATTTGAGCTTAAAAAATGTTTTTATAACTTGATTTATAATTCAGTAGTACCTTGAAGATATAGAGCGTGCCCATATCTGACTCGATCCTTTCGCGAGCGCTAAACTGGGTCCAAGTTTTGGAAATTCGGATCACGTCTCCTCCGCCTTCGACAGCAATGTTTTCAAATCCAGGAGTTGGATCGGTCAAGGGATCTTGCGCTAGAACCTGTTCAGCAGGGGTTGAAAGCCACGTCGGATTTCTGTGGAAACAAGGAGGACTGACACAAGGGTAAGAGTATTCGCCAACGAATGTCTGATCCGTGTGAAAGAAGCCTTCCTGTGGTTCGGGGCAAGAACACGAAACTGCTGCCTGGAAGATTTTGCCCGATATTTGAAGGTCAAGAACGAGTTCGACTAGTGTCAACTTCAGTCCTCCAGCTTCGATCTAAACAAACTGAACAAAGAACCTCATGTTTTTAATAAATACCTCTTGAAGCTTGTTATCAACGTAAACGACCCCGCAACTTGGCTTGACAGTGCTAGTGATGACCAGATACGTTTTACTAGCTTCATCAACAACTTCAATCGATCCACAATCCGAAAAGCGCTCTCCTAACTTGGCCTTTTGAAGCTGCGTCAAACCGTACGGGAAATAACTTGCGGGAGCCTAAAAAGCGTTTATTACCTGAATTTACGGAAGAGGATTATTAATTACCTTCAACTTGACGGTTCCTTCGTCTGCGCACTCGCAGGTTGAAATTTCGAAGAAATTGCCAGCAGACCCATCTCCGGCGGGATAGGTCATTTTAGAGCACTCTCCGGAGGGAGAGAGCATCAGAAGAATGAGTATCATCAATCTTTGCATTTTTGCCAATTTCTTGCATTTGCTTTTTAAAAATATTATTCAAGAATGTTCAAATGACTTTTCTCTCTAGCTGAGTTTAATTCGAAAAAAATTAAAAAGCAGTTCCTGAAGCGAGCAGAACTAGGCGACTGAGCAACCAGTCGGTCGAAAACTTTCATAATGAGAGCGCGCAGCTGCGAAATTTTCGCTAATCTTTCCATAAAAGGAAATTTGAGAAAATAAAAAATACGAAAATATTTTTGGGTAATGCGGGTTTTCTTTTTGTTTTTGCCGTTAAAAGTTATAAGTCTATTTTTTGATAAATAATAACATCTTCGCGATATAAATTTAAGTGATTTTAATTTAAACTGACATGATGTCAATTTGTTACAGCGTCGATTTGAAATACAAATTGGAACTCTTCCTTCATTCTTTCGAAAGTCCATTTAAAGAATTAAAAATAAAAAGCTTTGACGCATTAAACGCTGTTAATCAAGCTCAACAATTTTGGTCTATTATTTATAAACTATTAACCTTTTCGTCGCAAAAGTACGAGATACAGTACTAATTCAAAGACTTCTTTCAATGCCCGACAGATTGCCATAAATTAAATACTAAGGCTAGATGTAGTGCTGAATCTGAAAAGACTTTTATTTTTATATACCAGTATAATTTATTTATATGAATGAAATGAGAAGGCACGGAGAGTTCACTTCTCCTCTTCAATTTTTTCGCCGACGAGGCTGCGCAGTCGCTCGAGCTCACGAAGTCGTTGCGAATTGAGCAGGGGTTGCGTGTCTTCGATGCCAAGCAGCGAATTTCGTCGCTTCTTCAGGCCAATATCGGCGTGGGTCACCTTCGCGTTGGCGATGTACTTGAGGGTGCAGCCGTGCACCACCATTGTGGCCAGCGCGGTTGTGATCAGGCTGAAGTTGATGCATTCGGCTGGCTTTGAAATGTCCGCTTTTGACTGAAAATCGTTTTTTAAACTTTTAAAAAGGGTAAATTAGCTACCAAAATTCGAATAGAAACAGCACCCTGGACAACGCCCATTCCGATGCCAGACATGATAATCCGCAGTGTCAGCTTTCCTAAAGCCGGATTCTGAATTGTCGGAAGTGTCCACGCAACGACAAATATTGTGTACCAACCGCTAAAATACCGGATAATCTGGGCTACATTAAAATAAAACGTCGCATTTGGCAGTTCTTATATGATAATGCGCAATCTATAATTCAGAAAAAAGGGTGATTATATTTGAAAAATAAGAAAGTCCGTATTTATACGATTAAAAAATAAGGTAGACTCTTATCGTTCATAATTAGATCAGTAGTCATTTTAATGGAAAAGTAAGGTGCTTACCTCATAATGCCGACCCCGTAATCTTTATAATTCGTTGCTCCCTTGGATTGCTCGACTTTTAGATGGGTTTAGCAGCTGTCGAATTAGAGTCTTGCTTGATTAACTTGTATTACAGGCGCTTCAGTGATTAGTAACTCAAAAGAGCAACTACATGTAACTCATCATAAAGCTTTTAGCATGCATAAGTAAACCCTTGCCCAATGCTCCGCTATTGTTGCTTATCGAGACTGTAGCTAATGTCATTCCAGCTGTTACTAACAGGATCGCCGCCTTTGGCACGCTCCCCCGAGACTTCGTGGTTTCCTCTTGGACGCGGAAAATGCGATAATAAGAGCAGCCCAGAGCTACTGTACTTGTAAAGAACATGATCAAGTACAGAAGACGCGCTTCGACAGATCTGTTGAATCGTCGGTGTTCCCAGTCGATCACAGAGTCCTGAAAACGCATCAAGTTTGATCCTCTTTTTTTTCGAAAGACAAACCCATGAGTTGATCTTGCCGCCAAGTTCCCACTCATCCCAAATCGCCCGCGGAGCCCATCCGTTGAGATGAACTTGAACCATTATATTGAAGACCGAGAACGCTAAATGGATGATCTTGCTTGAGCTTTACTCGTTAATTAAAATTGCATCCAAAAGTGGATCTAGCACGGAGTTTCACCTGCTGAGACGGCTAGGGGAAGGTCCACTTTCCATTTATCCTTGAAAAGGCGGCTGAGAATAAGATGCACTAAGCTCATGAACGTCCACACTCCAGCGGTCCAATAAGCTTAATGGATTTTTGTCAATGAACTTGGCCTCCTTGAATTTTTGCGGTAGAAATGCGGCCTTACCTTTTATAACCAAAAGATTTCCCTTTTCAGGAACGACTGTAAAATGGTCTGGAAGGTCGTACTCTTCATTATTGTGGACGGCATTTTTAAACTCTTTCCACATTTTTGTATACTCAAAGTCGGGTTGTCGATGTTTTTGCAAGTTCTTGAAGCTTATTAAATTTAAAATCTGCTGATCCTATAAGAGTCCTCTTAAATTTTGAACCCCAAGTTAAACCCTAACTTGAAATAATAATTGAATCGATGAAAAAAGTCTCTTGAAGATGACATGTTGTATTTTTCTCTTACTTCGGCGACATCATACTCCATCGTGAAACTGTTGACAACGGCGTTGGACGAGATGGCGATGATGCCAACGATGATGTCGAGCAAGTCATTGCTGATTGAAGTGATCATTGAAGTGATATTCTTGCTTTTTTATATTTGTTTATCTTAAAGTCTCAAAATACGAGATTCAAAGCGGATAGACAGAACCAGAAGTTTTTAAGGCTCGCAAGGGTGATCAACCGCGGCCTGACAACGCTAAAAATAGTAGATTTTAGACGATTAAACTCAAAAATAGAAAGAAACGAGTTGCACAGGCTTAAACTATTTCCCGGATGATTCTTATGTAAGATAAAGCCTTCTCGATTAAAAATAATTAATAGCTTAAAAATTATGTCTAAAAACGTCTCCAATCAATTTTCGCGTAGTAGAAATTTATTCTGTCTGAAAAAATCTTGGAAAACTACGAAATTTATACGATGAGTCGGATTTTTAGCGCAATAATTCTCATAGATTACGCTCTTTCCTTTTAAAATGATGCGAAAATGATTGAAATTCTGATTGCCTCGACGATAGATAATCTATCAAAATTTTAAAAATTTTAAAAATTTTTAAAAAATAGATTCAAGGAGTGCTACTGTTTTTCATTCAAGGAGCAGGCTGTTGAAACAAATGTCCAGAATTTAAACAGGAGGCTCACGTGTTCTTTACTGATAACACTTTCTAAATGCATAATTGAGAATTTAAAAACGGCACCAGCATATACCTACTTTTCTTCATCGCTGACAGCTGTGTTGATTAGGGGAGGGCGCCGCTAGTTGCTGGACAGTAGCTGGATAAAAGGAGACCGAAATAACATGGTATATTCATTAGTCGTGCACATTTTTTTCGCTTGACCCTTTGCGGCTAAATTTAAGCGCAGAGAGTTTCAGAAAGAAACTTTACCACTCAAGAGGATGGAGATTTTACGGTAAACATTCAATTTCGATTGATTTTTGATGATTTTAGAGTTATTTTCATTTTTGTCCTGCAAACTGAAGCTTTTTCTTTTATCCGGCCATTCAATGCAAAAAGTTTTATTGGTGAGTTCCTAAACATTTCGCACTGAAAATTGCTGAGCGAGATTAAAATAAATATTTTTTTATTAATATTTTATGTATGAAATACTTACAATTTATATGCCTGTAATGCTGAAAGTAATAATTTTCAGCTAAACGATCTGAAAATGGAGGAACATGGGAGTCCAACACGCCCTGGCTAAAAGATTCTTTACACTCTATGCCCGGCGCAAGTCCGATCTGGTCCGATTACATGTACTAATTGTTGGAATTTGAAAAACCATCGGATCTAAAAATATTTTTTTTCTGTGGCAAGAAGATTAAGAAAATACTGTGCCAAATAATAAACTTATTTTTTAACTTCGTAAGTTGAGTTGATTGTTTGCAGAATCAGAGAGCTAGGAAAGCATTTTCGAGCAAAGCAGTTCAAGAGTATTCTATAACGCCGATTTATCATATAAGCGTAAGATATATTTGTGCTCCGCGTTTAATGACTTCGCACCGTTACGAGTAAAACTCAAAATGCACCACAATTTGGCTTCATTCAAAATATCGCCTAGATAAGGCAGATGATCTTGTTTTTCATTTTATATTGCGGCTCGGGCGCTGCCGCAGATGATAATCCAAAAATATTGAGCAGAGATGGAAGGTATGATCTCGTCATCGTTTAATATTTGATCATACTTTTTGAAATCATCGATACTTACTAGTAGGTCAGTAACAGCTAGTAACTAATCCTTCAGTTTACAATTTCTTGCTGGCACGGGGAAAAATATTTCATTTTCTGCTGGTGAGGGAGCCTCAGTTTGGGTTGGCGAAGAAGACATTATCTCCGCTCTTGACGATTTTCGTCGAGTTGAGCAAAGCGTGAACTCCTTGAAACAGAAGCTAGAAACTGATAATTGCGGCAACAACCCCTGCTACAATGGAGCTGCGTGTGTCTCTGTCTATGAAGGCTACTACTGCGATTGTCCAAGTTACTACACCGGGAGAACATGCAGAGAAGATTATAACGAATGTGCGGATTCTGTTATGGCTGAAAAACTCTGTCTGAACGGTGGCACGTGCGAAAACCAAACTCCTGGTTATTCCTGCGCATGCACAGCAGAATACGACGGCAGTCAATGCGAACGCGCCTTCGACGATTGTGCCGATGATTTGACGAAGTGTGACAAGGGAATTTGCGCGGATGGAATAAGAAGCCAGGCGGATGTTGCCAATTTCACATGTATCTGCAACGCGGGCTGGCAAAAGACTGACGACGGCATTTGCTCGGCAGATATCAATGAATGTTTGAGCTCACCATGCTCTGTTGGTGTGCAGTGCTACAACACACCAGGCAGCTTCTTTTGCGGCCCCTGTCCTCACGGATATCAAGGTAAGTTTGAATATTTTTGATGTTTATTCGCACTTTTTTGCACAGAATTTAATAAGGGCGTTGTAAATTCGAACTGTGTTCAAGTTCCAGTAATCGTACTTGAGATCGTCGCACATGCGGCAATACTTAGTCTGGCTAGCAAGAGCACAAGAAAAGAGCAAAATCAAGACGATTGCTTTTTGAATCGTAACCTTCATCAGAAAGGGAAAAAACTCAGATAGCCATCCTCCGATCAAGCAACTGTATTTGAAAAGAATACCAGTGCATGATATTATGGCGATTCCAAGAGCCTCTTATGATACACTGACAAAATCTATAATTTATTCTTATTTACGTAACAAAAATCGATCATCATCTTATCTTCAGGCAATGGCTTGCGATGTGATGATCTGAACGAATGCCTTACCAACAATGGTGGATGTTCTACGTCTCCACTTGTCCAATGTATCAATACAGTCGGTTCCTTTTCTTGCGGTCCTTGTCCACCTGGTTATACTGGCGATGGCTTCACTTGTGATCCGACGTCTCCTTGTATGGTCCAAAATGGCGGCTGCTACCCCGACGCGACCTGTACGCCCGCTCCTGAACTCGGGCTCAACGGAGTCACTTGCGACTGTCCACCCGGGTACTACGGTAATGGTTTCGGACCAGAGGGCTGTCAGCCTTTGCCACCCTGCGCAGAGACTTGTCAAAATGGTCTTTGTTTCATGAACGAAGTGTGTGTCTGTTTCGAAGGATGGACGGGTCTATCCTGCGATGTAAATATCAATGATCAAATTTGCGAGTCTAGACCCTGTGCTAATGGAGGTCAATGTAGATCCAGTGAGCTTGAATGGTGGTGCGAATGCCCTGCTGGATGGGTCGGTGAAACTTGCGAGGGACAAGCAAACGAATGTGGCGGAACATACACTGTCAACTCTGGCAACATTGGATATCCCCTCTCTTCTGGCAATTATCCACACAATGCTGAATGCCTCTGGACTATCCAAGTCAACAGAGGAGTAGGAGTGCATTTCCACTTTGATCAATTCTCTCTTGAAGGGCCTTACCCCTCGTGTCCTTTTGACGGACTTAGAATTTATGACGGACCAAGTGTCGAGTACGGACAGCTTCTTGGAGTTTGGTGCGGAGATAATGCCCCTGTGGATGTATTTTCTTGCTCGAACTACGCCTTGCTAGATTTTTACTCTGATTCATCTGTGAACGCTGGAGGCTTCCGAGTTCTTTTTGAGCAATATGATCTAACCGGTGAGGATTGCGGTTGCGGTGGCGCATTCATCGACGTCGAAAGTGGTACCTTATCATCACCAAACTATCCTTTGGGTTATCCGACCATGGCGGAATGTTTCTGGACAATTTCTGTTCAACCTGGGTTTGTGTTGAGCCTTGCTTTTGATGCCGTGCAGCTGGAAGTAACGACAAATTGTATGAACGATTGGGTGGAAATTCGCGATGGCCTGTTGCCATACGATCCTGTTTTGGCGAAAGTCTGCAGTTACGATCAAGTCCCATCCAATTTGATAACTTCTGGTCCAGCAGCACATGTGCATTTCCATTCCGACGATAATCAAGCTGAAGATGAGCAGGGATTTGCAATGTATTGGACAAGAATAAGTGATCCTGACAACTGTGGTGGTGTGCTTACCGATGGCGCAGGTAGTATTATGTCTCCGGGATATCCACAAACCTATGGAGTGGGCCACACTTGCTATTGGACTATTGTTGGAGTTCCAGGTGATCAGATGGCACTTCAGTTCACAGATATCGATATTGAAAACAGCGCGAATTGCCAATTTGATTACGTTGAGATCTTTGATGGGCCAGCTGAAGACTCGCCTACTTTAGGAAGATTCTGCGGATTGACTATTCCAAGCGAGCTTGTCACATCTCAATATCAAATGTTTGTCGCTTTTGTCACCGACGACAGTATTCATGGCCGTGGATTCTCTGCCGATTACTACACAAAATGTGGCGGTACTTATACTCAGAACAACACTTATATCAGCAGCCCTGGTTTCCCGGGAGTTTACGATCACGAAGTCGACTGCATTTATAATATCATTGCTCCAGAGGATTTCGTTATTACTCTGACATTCAATTATTTTGACGTGGAAGGCATCGATAATGGCGGTAATAACATTTGCTTCTTCGATTGGGTGGAAGTTAGAGATGGAAATACGGCGACATCGCCAGTTCTCGGCCGCTTTTGCGGTCCTCAAACACCGGAACCACTTCAATCAACCGGGCAGTACATGTACATTAATTTCAAAACCGATGCTTCTCTCAGCGGTGATGGCTGGCAAGCAGTTGCGACCTTTGACGATCTAGGGACTGGTGGTTGTGGCGGTGTTTTCACAGCTGAAACTGGTCAAATCTCCTCTCCTGGGCATCCGAATCCCTATCCTCATGGTGCCAACTGCACGTGGTATATAAACGCGCCTTCTGGAGACGTCGTTCAGCTAGAGTTCAACAGTTTCTCATTGGAAGCTGCAACTGACTGCCGATGGGACTATGTGGCTGTTCATGACGGCATGCATCCGACAGACGATAACGAGATTGCCAAGTATTGTGGCAATGACATCCCTTCGCGACAATACTCGACTCAAAATCACATGGTCGTCAGATTCGTCAGTGACAATTCAATCCAGGGTTCGGTATTTTGAATTCGCAAAATTATTCGTTTTTCATTTGAATTTCTATTTATTCGTTTACGAATATTCTCTAATGAGCGAATATGCAAAACGAATGAAAACGAATTCTCTCGGCGAATTTTTCAGAAATTCAGCGAATTTCTCAAATATTCGCTTTGCCGCGCGCTCTGATTGGTCGGGCTTTGACGTTGCGCAGCCTATAATTTTATTTTCACCGCCCAAATAACCTTATAGCTCGCGGGCGCCACCCTTTTCTCGCCCGCGGCCCTGGAGTTCAGCCAATCCAGGGCTGTACGCTCAATTTCGAGCGAATATTCGCCCGAATAGGCGATTCGCGAACAATCGCTCATTCGCTTAAGAAAAGAGCATATTCGCTGCGTGTATTGGCGAATTTTTCGACGAATTCAAAATACCGAACCCTGATTCAATCGCCAGCATCGGCTTTCAGGCTACATACACACTTCTGAACGCTACTCAGCAATGTGGAGGAACTATTGACTCTCCATCAGGCGAGCTAGTTACTCCTGGATTTATCTCAGAGAGCAATTATCCGACTTCACGAGATTGTACCTGGCTGATTAATGCTCCAGCGCAGCAGCAGATTTATGCCCAGTTCAATTATTTCCAGCTCGAAGGTGGTGCAAATTGTCCTTACGATTACGTTGAGCTGCGAAACGGCGAGTACGAGGATTCATCACTTATTGGCAGATTCTGCGGCTCTGTCTATCCACCTAATATCACCACGACTCACAACCATCTCCGAGTCCATTTTTACTCCGATTCGTCGGTCACTTATCGCGGTTTCCGCATGGCATACGATGCTACAATCGACGGTTGCGGCGGAGACATCGTCGCTTCTATTGGAGATCTTCACTCTCCAAACTATCCATTTGCATACAACCACGCCGCCGACTGCTTGTATCATATCACAACTTCTGCCGGAGCAAGAATCAATTTCAATTTCATCGATTTCGATTTAGAAGCAGCAAGCTGCAGATACGATTGGGTCCAGATCTTTGACGGCCCTACGCAGGCGTACAATCCGCTCAGGAAACGTGCTCAATTTATTGAAAAACATAAATTTCTATTTATATTCGAAACATTATTTAAACTCAGCTGCCATTATTCGTGGGTCTATTAAGAAAATAATTATTGTAATTGATAAATTTATTATCACCAAATTACGTTTAAAATTTATTTTGCAAACATAAATTAATTCTTCGATTATAATTCATAATGAAGTAAGTTTGTTATGAACATGTCTCCAAGCGATCGTCTTTGTGGAACTGGACTACCGGATCAACTCATGTCAACTCAAAATCAAGCAACTGTAGAATTCCGAACAGATGCCAGCGTCTCTGGACGAGGTTGGCGGCTTCACTTCGATACGACTAACAACAATACCATTGGATGGCCGTTTAATGGTTACATCGAGTCGCCAAACTATCCCTTTGACTATCCAGATAATACAACATACGAGTGGAGAATCTACGCGCCAGTTGGAGCCACAATCACGTTATATTTCAACGCGTTCTCTATTCACAACATCGCAACAATCGGCTACTGCTCTGGAGACAGATTGGAGGTCTACGAAGGAGATCAGCGAGATAATGACAGCAGAATAGCAATTCTTTGCGGCGCACAACAGCCACAAGCAATCACTTCTACTGGCCAGTCACTTCTTTTACGATTTAAGTCCAACGAGCTTTATTCATCAAGCGGATTTAGAATCAATTACGTTATCGACGCTTGCACCGAGGAGCGATCGGCAGTAAACGGACCAGGAACCATTCAAATCAGTAAAAATGAGCCATCGCAATGCTACTACAGGATTTCTTCTGAACCAGGCACCAAGATTCAATTGCGTCTCACAGCCATGCAGGTCGCTAATACTGCTTGTGAAGCGTCTAGCCTCCGTGTCTACAATGGCGATTTGCCTGTTAGTGACTTTCAGCTCTTAGAAATCTGTGGAAACCCAAGTCTGCCGAAACAAACTCAGAGTACTGGATCTGAAATGATTGTCGTATTTACGACAGATTCTGGAAGTAACTCTATGAGTGCTGTTTATCAATCTCTTGCTGGTGGATGCGGTGCGCATTACATCAAAGAAGAGGGAACTTTCACAAGTCCTAACTATCCAAATACTTACCCGCACAATTCTGACTGTGAATGGCTGATCGATACATCAGAAGGAAACACTGTCAATCTCTACTTTACCGATTTCCATCTCGAAGGCTCTGGCTCTTTCTGCTACTTTGATTACGTTCGAGTTTATGATGGTGCAAACAATACTGCTCCTCTGTTGGGAACATACTGTGGTAACTACAGTCCCGAACCAGTTCGAGGAACGAGCAATGAAATGTTTGTTCATTTCCAATCCGACTCAAGCATCAGCTACGGAGGATTTTCTGCTTCTTTCAACACAGAAACTTGTGGCGAAATCGTACAAGCTGATGAAGGGGCTGGCTCCATTTCATCAAGCAATTATCCCGACTTCTACGACTTCAATACTGAGTGCAGATGGACCATCAAAACTGTATCAACGGAAAAAATCCTGCTTGTATTTAGCCATCTGGATATCTGGGTAGACACATATACAGGCAATACGGACACGTGCCAGAGCGCTGATTATATACAAATTTATGAAGGGCGAGAACCAGACAGCACAACACCTAAGTATTGTGGTACCAGGATTCCTCCTCGATTCGAGTCTGCAGGCAACACAGTCCGTGTCTATCTCAATGCGAAGACCTCCCCGAACGGCCAACAGCGGCATGGTTTTTATGCTACATACAGTACTGCTGTTGATACTTGCGGCGGCGAGTTCTGGGCAGAAAGTGGAGCCTTTACCTCCCCGGGATACAGTAGTGGGGCTTATCCAGTTGGAACAACATGCGAGTGGTTATTGACATCATCTCCTGGTAATTGGGTGGCCATCAATTTTGATGATTTTGATCTGCAAGCACCCTCGATATCCGGAACTTGCTACGACTACGTCGAGCTCCGTGAAGACAGCTCAACTGGAAAACTCATCAATAAGTTTTGTGGCAGCAACCTTCCGGCTAATGTGACAACTTACTCGTCACACGTGATCTATGTGAAATTCTACAGTAACACCGCTACTGTTGGCCGCGGATTCTCCGCTTCTTGGTCTCACAGCTACGGTGGCTCCCTTGTCGGCTCAGGAACTGGACAAATTGCTAGCCCTCTTTATCCGCACTCGTATCCAGTCAATCTCGATGTGACTTGGACACTGTATGTCCGCTACAATCATATTATTCAATATGAGTGGCTTGCGTTTGCTACAGAAGCAGGAAGTGGAACTTGTGTGAATGATTACGTCATTCTTTATGATGGCCCAGATCGTTCAGCGAGCCAAATAGGACGATACTGTGGACAAGAAATTCCCGAAAATGGCGTTACAGAGACGGACACTCTTACAATTTACTTCAAGAGTGATGCTTACTTTACTGATAGTGGATGGTGGATCAACTGGACCGACGCTGCGACAGGACACATTCCTGATGATGCTGATCCACCAGAGCTAGAACCTAATACTTGTGGAAACGACTATGTAATTGCTCCTGACCATCCGATGCCATTGATCATGAATTACTCTCCTAATAAATACCCTGCTGGCATGGACTGCTATTGGAATTTGTATGCAACGAAAGGCTCGCGAATTCTTTTCACTGTTACTTATCTCGACTTGGAAGGCACAACAGGCAGTTCCTGTTATTTCGATTACATTCAGCTCTTCGATGGGCCGAGCAACAGCTATCCTGAGATTACCAAGATTTGCGGTCGAACGACGAGTCTACTCCCGATCAAGGCTTCTTCAACTTCAGATATGATGACAGTTAGATTCCGCACCGATAGTTCGATAAACTACCAAGGATTTAATGCGACATACGAGCGAATGTGTGGTGGAACGAAAAATGCTCGCTCTGGAACAATCATGTCACAAAACTATCCAAACGGCTATCCGGATAACACGGACTGTGAGTGGCTTATCGAAGTTACTAATGGACTCACTGTTGACGTCAACTTCAACAGCGTCTTCAACATTGACTCTGGAAACTTGGCCTGCAACGAGTCTGCTGACTACTTAGAGCTGCGAAACGGAGCTGACGACGATGCTCCTCCTCTTTCGCCTTCAACACGAAATTCGGGCGACGCAGATGCGTATTTCTGCGGTAGTACCGCGCCAGTTGCAATGTCAAGCAGCGGTAACCAGATTAAAGTTCGTTTCATTTCCGACGCAAACCACACTTCTGATACAACAACATATGCTGGTTTCCAAATGTCCTGGAATGCTGTCGGAACCGGTTGCGGCGGAGAATACGAAATCACAGACGAATCGCCAACAGGCTGGTTCACCACGCCCAATTATCCGGACAACTACGACCTTAATGATTTCTGTATTTGGACAATCAGAGCCGGTTATGGAAAACAAATTCAACTCGATTTCAGTGGCGATTTCGATATTGAGGACAACTCAGCTTGCGTCTTTGACTATGTGAAAATCTACGATGATGAGTTTAATCACGACGAACCGACACTTGGAACATACTGTGGTACAAACCACCCAGATACTGTCAGATCGCTTGGAAACGTAATGGTTGTCAAGTTCCGCTCAGACGTCAGTATCACGGGACGAGGATTCAACGCGACATATTCTTCACCAAGATGTGGTGGAATGTATACTGGCATGGGCGGAATAATTTCTTACGATGACTACCCTGATCCTTACCCTTCGGACGCGTTCGACTGCGAGTACGTTCTTCGAGCGCCTCTCTACCACAATGTCCAGGCCAGTTTCTCAGGAGAATTTTCCGTTCCTGGCAGCATGTTTGCCCAGTGCAATGGCGGGGACTACGTTGAGTTCCGTGACTATCGAGACGCTGGGTTCTTCTACGTGAGAAATCCTGACTCAAACTTAGTTGTTACTATCAATTCGGCGGTTAATTCTGACAATGTAGAGGCAAATACACATCAAGGACTTTACTCACAGCTCTGGCTCTGGGATTTCGACCACATTGTTTCAGTTTACGATAACACGAAAGTTCTAGCTGCTGATGGCGCCAACCCTGATGCAAATACAAACGTCCACGTTGAGTCATTCACAGGAGCAGATTATCAACGATGGGAAAGAACAAGCGATGGAAAACTGCTGAACAAAAACTCCACCAATCTTGTTCTGACCATTCTCGGCAGTGGTAATGCAGGTTCGACCTTGGGACTGAGAGCAAATGCCTCAAACAGCGTCAATCAAGTATGGGAATTCGAACACACTTACATCGGTAGAAGACTGGGCATTTTCTGTGGAAACAACATTCCAGCTGCGACGATTTCCTCTGCCGAGCGGGCGATGATTGTTCGACATCACTCTGAAAACGGGAACTCCGGTCGCTGGCAAGTCACTTGGGAAGCTTCGGAGGATATCTGCGGCGGGCCAACAACCGGCAGCAGTGGTATTATTGCCTCTCCAAATTTCCCGAATCAGCCGGATTCAAATCGTGGCTGTACGTGGATGATAACTGTCAACAGTGATCGCTCCGTGAAACTGCAGTTTATGGACGTTAATCTTGGAATTATGTCCTGTTATTATGATTATGTCAAGGTTTACAACGGTATTCGGGATCAATCGCCTCTTTTCTGGGATGGAACTATCTGTCAAAATCGTCTTCCTACTCACCCGTTCATATCTACTGGAAATACAATGAAAGTCGAGTTCGAAGCCAGTGGCTTTGGCTATAACGCTGGCTTCCGCGCTAACTATACGTCTGACGAGCCTCGTTTCTGCGGAGGAGAGCTCAATATCGCCAACACTACAGATATCGGCTACATTGTTAACCCCGGCTATCCGGATGAATATCCCAACAATACCGAGTGCGAATGGTTGATCAGCACAGCCGCGAGAGCAAATCAAACCATTTACTTCGAATTTATTGAGCTCGATCTGGAGGACCACGCGACATGCGAGTACGATAGAATTGAGTTCAGTGCTCCTTTAATTGACTCTCTTGCTGTTTACAATACCGTCTGCGGGCGTCGCCGACCTCTACCGTATTTCGCTCTGCCGACAACCTCCGTCGACGTGGTTTTCCAATCAGATGATTTAGGCCACGGTACATTCAACATGTCCTACGGTATCAAGCCTTGCGGTGGTTATATTTCTGGATCTACTCAAGGAACTATTTGGTCGCCCAACTATCCCGACACATACAACCATGACGATTACTGCGTGTGGCTTATCGAAGCAGAGCCAGGTCATTCCATTTCCGTTCAATTCGATCTTAACTCATTTGATGTCGAGCAAGGCGGCAGCGATTGTCGCTTTGATGCCGTGTCTCTCTACAACGGTCCCAGCATCAAGTCACCAGAGATTGGTCGCTACTGCAACAACACCATGCCTCCATCAACAGCTGTTCATACAAGCTCCAACTATCTAACGATTCTATTTACGTCAGACTTTTCAATCTCTCACGGCGGCTTCGTCATCAACTGGGAAACAGACAACTCAGGCTGTGGAAACCAATTGATTCATAGCGAATATGGCTCACTTCAAAGTCCGAACTATCCAAACACCTATCCTGCTAACTCGAACTGCTTCTGGACGATCTTCACCAATCCATCAGACCATGTTAAATTTACCTTCACGACATTCGACCTCGAAGGAAGTATGCCATCTTGCTCCTGGGACTATGTCACTTTCCACAGCGGTGACTCTCTCGATGCACCAATGATAGGAGGACGTATTTGCGGTAGTGCAACGCCCGAACCCATTGAATCTTCACAGGATAAACTGTTTATTCGATTTAGAACGGATGGCTCTGTACAGAAGAACGGCTTTGCTGGAAATTGGGAAACGGTATGCGGACAAACAATCGAATCTACCGGAGAACCTGGCGAGTCGGGCATGATCCTGTCACCGAATTACCCAGTTGATTATCCCAACAATTATGACTGCGAATGGAAGCTTGTTGGTTCCGACACATCCGATTTCGTACGCGCTCATTTTGTTGCCTTTGATCTTGAAGGTGGCAGCTCCTGCCAATACGATTCCGTCAGCGTGTACAGAGGCGATCAGAAGGTATCTTCTCAGCTTCTTGGAAAATACTGCGGTACCGAGATTCCTCCTTCGCAATCGGTTCATGGAACTATGCTCATCAATTTCGTCTCTGATTTTATCATCACCAGCACTGGTTTCCGAATCGACTACGACTTCGAGTCTTGTGGCGGCACAAGATCAGCTCCCAGTGGCGAGATCAACGGACACACGCCGACTGACAACTGGAACGAGCACAGAAATCTCAACTGCACTTGGACGATTGAAGTCGATGAAGACAAAATCGTTGAGCTTCGTTTCACACTCTTCGACATCGAGTTCGATACAAATTGTAACAATGATTATATTGCGATTTACGACGGACCAAGTAAGGTCGGTTATCAGATGATCGGAAAGTACTGTGGAAGTGTTCCTCCTGCTTTTGTGAGAAGTACAAGCAGATATATGACTCTTGAATATGTCACTGATTTTTATGAAACAAAGGTAAATTCATAACTATCCTTCAGTTATTCCTCTAAATAATTTTAAAAGGATGGTTTTATTGCTGAATGGCGACAAACGATCGGCCCCCTTTCTGGCTGTGGTGGAGAACTCACTACTAACACTGGTAGTTTCTCAAGTCCGGCCGAAAATCCAGGGGATAATTACGAAAATAATCTCAACTGCAACTGGAGAATCTCGGTTAGCGACAACAAAATCATTCAGCTGGAGTTCAGTGACTTTGTTTTGGAAAACCATTCTTCTGGAGGCGGGTGCTACGATTACGTTGAAGTCATTGACGGACAACTACTCACAGATCACGTGATTTACAGACAATGTGGCAATCAGACAAATATCGGTGTTATAAGATCGTCAGCTAACTTCATGATTGTACGATTTAAAACTGACGCTTCAATAACAGGTGCGCGATTTTTGATGATTTTAAATTGTAACAGTGTTTATTTCTAGCTGCCGGATTCAACGCTTCTTATACCGTTGCAGATCGTGACTGCGGTGCAACCTTCATTGCCAACTCTACTCTTACCGGATTTGGCTACGATTTCACTGGAATAGCGGGTAACTCGCAGATCTACCGCTGCAGCTGGATCATCTCGGCCTCAAGTGACACTCGTTTTGTTGACATGAGGACCCTTTCTCTCGATGTTCCCGGCTCTAGCGATTCAAGATGTGCGGATGGATATGTCGAGTACCGCGATGTCGGACTTTCCTCCCAATATGGCCAAGTGCTGCGATACTGTAATGCCGATGGAGGCACTGTGCCACCCGAGTTCTTTTCGCTCTCCGAAACAATGTCCATCACTTTGAGAAACGCGAGGAACCAAAATTCTTCCTTCACCGCTCAATTCTCAGATGCCGACTGCTCACGAACCTACACCGCAATGAACGGACGCATCTTTTCCGCCGGATGGCCTCACCACTACGCGCAATATTTGAACTGCCAGATCAGGATTCAAGTGCCAGAAGGAAACAAGATTCAATTGTACTTCAACGAATTCGACGTCGAAGATGCTGAGGACTGCAATATGGACACGTGTGACCACCTAGATGTCTAGTAAGACTTTTTTAGTGCTCCAAAAGTAAACTCAACATTTCAGCAATTCCACGACTATCCAGTCTAACAACTTCATCGGTCGCTACCACGGCAATCGCTTACCCTCTCCAATCTTCCCCAACACGAACAACGTTCTCCTCCACTTCGTCTCTGATCAGCTCGTTTCTGGACGCGGTTTCGATATTTCTTACGCGGCCAATATCCAGGGCTGCGGTGGAAACCTTACAGGCACTCATGGCAACGTCTATTTGACTGGCTATCCAACTGATCCGTATCCAGCGAACCAGGTCTGCATCTGGCACATTACAGTTCCGCAGAACAGACAGGTCACGATTCACTTTAGAAATATCAACGTCAGGTAGCGACCAAATCGAATACTCGCGAAATATACATATTTCTTCCCAGGTACAACATCGAGAGCAACTCTTGCTACAATGACTACGTCGCCGCCTACGAAGGAATCACAGACACTGGCCCTTGGCTACGCGCTTACTGTGGGAGAGGAAGTGTCTCCGATGTTTCAGGTAATGATAAAAACTGAAAGCTGACAACTCCATGTTTCTAGCTCAATCAAATCAAATGACGCTGGTCTGGCGCGCCGGGGACTCATCGGACTCAGATCGAGCTGGCTTTACGGGTTGGTGGATCGAGTGGGAGTCTTAGTTTTAGTATTCACTGTAGTACTGACCCTATTGTACATTTTGTCCTTGCAATAAATACGCCTAAGTGTAAGCTTGAAGATGAAAACTTTATTTAAAAAAAAATGATAATTCTTCGAACAGGGCATCGAAATATTCAATTGAAAGGATGATTTTTTCTTCATCTAAACAGAAATAGTTATATCCAGCGACACTCACCTTAGGCGATGATATCATTGGGCACGTCAGGAAAATCGGAAATGGACATGGCTATTGAATCGCGCTGCGTTTTCTGCTTTGAGGATCTTTTTCAAACAAGGAATCTGAATATCGAATACGCGAGGGGAGAGAGAGAGAAAAGGGAAATTGGTTATCACGCCCTTCTTTAAATTCCAGCGGTCTCAACTTCTGGACTTAAAAAGCGCGTCTCCTTGCTGATAAGCATTGGAACTTTTGCGAATCTGGGAGTAAGGAAAAATTGCATTTAGGAGGAAATCCTTTAGATCGTGATAATAGCATTTTTATTCGCTATAATTGAGTGACTACGGTACTTGTAAAAGGGCCGGTTTGTTTAGATTTCTAAAAATTCGCTAAATTCAAATGAGCTTCGTCTTAGCGCGTTCACCTCCGTTTCCACAAAATCTAAATGCGTTACACATATAGCTGGCTGTTTTGAAAAGGTGCAAATATTGATAAACTCACATCGCGAATATAATTGTGAAAAAAAGTTAATTGGAGCGCTGGGCGGATCTCAAGTCGCTTAAAAATTCACAAATTCAAGGAGTAAAAAATGTCTCTCGACGAAGCTAGAATGCGCGAACTCAAAGAAAAATGGAAATAGCTGAGTTTAGAAAAAGTTTAGCGACCGCGAAATTCGCATTTTGTGCGTTCACCACTCCGCCAAAGAAATGTTTGCGCCGGAAATGCGCCTGTGTTCGAGGCGGAGCAACTTGCTCGGTGCTCATCAGAGTATGCGAAATTTAAATTTCCGAAGTCTTCCGACGTAGAGTTACTGTATCACCTTCGAGTCAAAAGATCAGGAGTGAGCTCAGTACTCAATCAAAAAAAGGAGCTCTTATAATTCAGATTTTCTTGATAAAGGTCGCCCGATTCCACCCTCGATTATTATCATCATAAATCAACTTGGGCTAGCGGGGTTAGCGCTCTTCCATCCGAAAATAATAGGGACAGATTTTAGAAAGCCTCTCTTGCGATTACTACAAATAATCGCACCCTACTCACTCTATTTACGTTAATTCTGGTTCCTGTTTTAACATCGATAACTGTGTATGTTTGAAAGACCCCTTCCTTCTTTCTTTTGTTGCTTCGCCCGGTCACTTTCGAGAAGGCGCGCTTGGCAGAGGCTTTCAGACTGAATCGGCTTTTTCGAATGGGCGTTTTTGGCAGTTCGGGAAAGGGTTCCAGTCCAGCATCTTAGCAGCTACTGTTAGTACTACTGTAGACGCGAACCGGTTAGTTTACCTAATACTTCGAAGCTCAGTTCTTTGACCGCTCTGCTAAATTCTAAAGTCGCTTCATCGAACTGCTCTGAACATTTTTTGAAGCAACGAATTTCCATCTCATGGACTACCTGATTCTCCCGACGACGATCTCTTCTTGCTTCTCATTTGCTCTCTCTCTTTCAATCTTTCGCGCTTGAAATTTTCAAAATCCAAAATCAACTCGCTTCTTTCTCTTTCTGTCCCTATCTTCGTGAGTTGTTCTACGTTTATCAAACTATCCAGAGCCGGAGCTTTTCGCACCAGAAGATTTTCTACTAAAGCGTTCCTATCAGCCCGATTCCGAGTATCGGAGCGGTGGCGCTAGGAGCCGAGGTCGCTGCTGATTCCTTTTGCGCGCTAAACTTTCACGATCTATATTGTCACGTGGTTATTTCAAACAAGAATGAAATATATTTAGACTCCTAATCTAAAGATTGTAAATTATCAATGAATGTATTGAAAATATTGGAAGAAGAATACATGGATTTCATTTGATGAAAAATTGCTAAAGGGTGTCAACAACGATAAATAAATTCTCAACTTTACCTTCAAACACATTTCGTAGTTGGCATACTACTGTGAGTTTTCACGAGAAATGCTGTGGAATATGGAAAAGATTCTATTGGACTTTCGAAATCAAGTGCCCATTTCTGGCGTCCGAGAACTTGACAATCTAAGTAGGGATTTGGATATCTCCTATTTTGATTCTCAAAATAACAAATTACGACAGGCAAAGAGACTTCCTTTGTGATGACAACAAGATAAAAATCGAACACGTCAGTCAAAAGATTTCATTTCGGTCAGTTTTAATAAGGGCACCTCATGTGCTAAAAGTGATTGTGGTTGTTTGAGGGATCAAACGATTATACGGTAGACCTGCACGGAGAAAACTTATATTACATTACACATATGTTTGTTTATTGGGTTTTTACAGAGGAAAGTTTCTTTTTTATAGAAGGAAGAGCGAGATAACGAGAGCGACGGCAAAAGCGATGCTTGGATTCGCTGCGCTAGAGTCTGCGTTTTGAGTCGTAGTTGTAGTCGTTGTCGTAGTTGTTGTTGAGGTAGTTGTTGTCGTCTTAGCAGTTGATGCGCTGGAGTTGGAAGTCGTAGTTGTTTCTTTAGTGGTCGCTGTTGTGGCTGTCGATGATTTCGTTGTCGAATCTTCTTCACGAGCGAGGTTTTCTTCGATGAATTCTTGAGCTTGCTGCTGCTCTGCTTTTTGAGCAACGAATTGTTTAACCATCGATTCTCCGTGCACAAGTTTAATGCCTAGAAAATTTGATAATTGCTGTTATCCAACATACGCTTTCTAAAGTCACAACAATGCAGCACCGAAGAGCAGTGCCCCTTATTATCTTTAAATTTTTATTTTGATCGGTTTTATCGCTCCCCCGCTAGTTTAATTCTTCCGAAGATAAGCATCAGAACCCTTGGTTCTTTGGGTAGCCTAAACTTTAGAAACTTCCCAGTAAATAGTATTTTGGAAGCAAAAAGCGTTAATTACCATCGGGTAGAAGAGGTGCTGAGCCAAACGCAACAGGTGGCTTCCATGCTTCTTGTTTCGGCTGTGGCTGTGCTGGCGGTTGAAACTGGTCCATCATGCTTTGCCCGTGAACGAGCGAAATACCTTCTGGCAGTGGAGGAGGTTTTCCAAATGCAACTGGTGGTTTCCACGATGATTCCTCTGATGCCGTGTCCACAGAATCTAATTTCGGGAACTGGCGTTGCATCGACTCGCCGTGCGTCAGTTGAATTCCTTCCGGAAGTGGAGTTTCTCGTCCAAAAGCAACTGGCGGCTTCCATTTGCTCTCGGTTTCTGGCTGAGGCTTTGGTTGAAACTGCTCCATCATCGATTGCCCGTGAACGAGCTTGATGCCGTCTGGAAGCAGTGGAGCCTCGCCAAAAGCAATTGGTGGTATCCATTTTTCCTGAATTGGTTTCGCTGTTCTCATAGACTCACCGTGGACAAGGTTAACCCCATCGGGGAGGGGTGTTTCTCGACCAAATGCGACCGGAGGAGTCCAACCGGACGGACGCCCAGAAGTACCCTGCTGCGTTCGCTGATAGAAGCCACGCATACTTTGACCTGGGAGAAGCTTGACTCCTTCTGGCAGCGGAGTTTGTCTACCAAAAGCAACTGGAGGTTTCCACCCATCTTTATTTGCATTCTGGAACCGAGGAGCCATCGACTCTCCGTGGACGAGTTTCACGCCATTTGGTAATGGAGTCTCACTTCCAAAAGCCACAGCGCCTTGCCAATCTCTTCCATTGTTCTTTTGACTGTTATGCAACTTGGCTTCAGATCCTTAAGAGCCTCCCTTTTTAGATAACTACGTACTGTGGAATGAATTCCTTCTTATCTCCGCCTTCCCCACCGCGTCGGGCAAGCTTTTCCGATGACCCCAGAAGTCTAAGACCTCACTTCTAATTGTATCTTTACACCGTTCTGTCTCGAGCAGATACAGCTCGTTTTGATTTCAAAGAAAGGTGAAAACGTGTACAAGTAATCGTGTCAACTACATCTGGCACGAAGTTTCGACCGAATTAAGTTTTTTCTCTGAGCTGATTAGAAACTTGGACGGGCTGAAAATCCGACCACAGCAATAGCAGCTTCTTGCGGAGAAAATGTATTTGTAAATATTTCATTTTTGTTCATGGAGTCAAAGAGGGTGCGTTCTCTTTTTAGGCTACAGTAGTTTCTCTCTCTCTGTATTTCGAAAACATAACAGTTGATTGGCGGGCAGGGCAGATGCAATGGTGAAAAGTCCGCTCAACTTCATCGCTCAGTCGGACAGGAATCGTGAAAATAACGCTTCTTGGGTTGAACTCATCGTATTTATGGAGGAGACTTGCGCGCTAGAAACGTGCCTATTGGCTAATGGGAGTTGGTGGAGGAGGTGCACGTTGCGTCAGGCTCTCAGAAGTGACGCTCATAGTACCCAGAATTAATCCAATTTTATGTTTATTCTGCATAAATCAGTTTTAACGCGAAAGCCGTCGCAACTTCTAAAAGCAGCGAATATATAATAAGCTGGAAGTAAATTCAATGATGTTTATGGCAGATTTCTTGTTGTTTAGAGCGCGTTTCGTTTTTATCGGGATTGACTTCCTGGAGTGTCACTATCCTCACGTGCCACTGACAAGCTCTCCGAAAGGATTATCCCTTATTCTAGGGATACAGTACCTTTGTGGAGATAGCTTATTATCACAGGAGATAAAAACAGACTCGAATTGGATCATTTTTATCAGCGAACATGAGTTCAAAGGAGGATACAGCTACTAATAGATTTCTTTTAGTTAGAATCCAGGATCAATTAAAGGACGACCTTTATAAGCCAGCCAAGTAGTGGTCGCTTCTACCGTTGCAAAAGACAATCTCAAGAGGTTTCCCGCGGTTCGTTTCAATTTCCAACGTGCTGCCGCCCGCCACAAGGCCTAATGGACAAGCAGAGTAGTCAGAGGGACATGCCGCACTACTGACCTAAAAACAACCAGGTTTCATGTGGCGCCCGACGAAAATACACGAAATAAATTATTTCTAATGACACTCTTCTTTTTCGTAGAATCAGAATCCAGGTCGAATGAACCAGTCTTTCCTGCATAAAATTATCATTGTGACACCCTTATTCTATTTCATCAACGGAAAGTTAGATCCTTCTTTCTCTCAAAAGGATGTTTATTCAATAATAAGTACAGTAACCTGCTCATGTAGGTATCACAGTCGGTGCGAATGAATGAAAGCGTGCTCTTACGCAGCCAGAACTGCCTATCCATCATCGTAAAATTCCAACACAATGTTGGACGCGTAAGAGAAGCAGCAATTTTCAAGCTACTTTCCTTTAGCCCCCTTTTAATTCCCTAGCGGTCGCCCTTTTTTAAGTCGGGTTGTACAGGTAAAGAAAACTGTTTTCGCGGTCGAAAGTGGAGAATAAAAAAAAACGTGCGTTGGTAATTTCGAACATGGAATAAAAAATGTTTCTTGGTAAAATATTTGAATGGCCGAAAAAAGTCTGCAGTGCAAAAGTACAACGAAACAACAAACTAAAACGTGAAGGCGAGAGAGCGAGTAACAAGTCTGGCGTTTAGAGTGATTTTATGTTGAGAGCGCGAAATCGCCCTTTTCGTGAAAATCGGTGACGCACTGGAGTAAAGGTTTCCCTTTCTCAGCCCGGGCTCAGCGGCGAAATCACTTTTTGTGCACTCGCGATTCTAGCTCATCCACGTTCAGATCAAAGAATTTCATTTTTGATTTTTTATTACAGGATAATTGCTGTAAATAATAAATTAAGGGAGTGGCAGATAAAAGTGCGCGCGCTTATTTCAGCGAAAAACGATCATTCGTCATCTGGCAGCAAATGAAGCTCCACATCCCATCGTCCAACTGCGCCTCCTTTCCACGATGAGTGAGAGGCAGTCTGGACGATGCCATTCCGTTCATACATCGGAGTAGACTTGTATGTCTTCACCTCGAAGTCTTCGATCTCTTCGTTGTCGTAGACGGTTATTGTCGCCGTAAAAGTGAAGGGCTTTTTGTCTGGACGCTGCATCTCGAAACTCCAGACCGTCGGGACGAGCGGGTAGTTGGACCGGATGTCGACTTGGTAATCTCCCGCGCCTTCGACAAATTATGTGATCCTGTAATGACGTGACTGTAGTACCTGTGAGGATGCAGTTGTACGCCTCTAATTTTACGTTGAATCTGGTAATCCTCGGATTCCTTTGAATTTCTCGGAGAAGCAGTTTCACATGTTCATAAGAATGCGTTTTCGATTTGTAGTACCAGACGCTCTTGTCTTTTCCTAAATCAAGAAAGAGTACCTTTTTTCGATTTTTTAATTTGCTTACTTTCAAGCGGTTTCACCCAGTATCGCCTGTCGAGATTGTCCGGCTGTCTCTCCGTAAACAGCCCGATCATGTCTTCCACCTCGCTTCGTTTGAAGGCCTGCGAAAGATTGCACAGTTCCATGTAAGCTTCTGACTCTTCGCTCAAAGAGCTACTCGAGCGTTCGCCTTCTGACATCTTCCTATTCCACCAATCTTCAAATCAAAGACAATCAAACAGAGTTCTTCGTTTCTTGTATAGGAAAAGGAGCTAATTAAAGAAAGACGCGAGAAGATATGATTGAGCTTAGTGGTTAACTAGAAACTGTTTAATAGAAAGCGGAATGAAAGAAAACCAGACCAAACTGAAAAATAGCCAAAAATGGACGAGAAAGACGATTCAAAATCGGAATTTCAAGGAGGATTCGATACGTCGACATGTGCTTGTAATGGCATGAAAAGGGCGACGAGTTACTGTCTGGAACGCGTGCGAGTTTAGCCTTGTGATTGGCCGAGCGGCATAGAGCGCATAGATGAGCGCCCAAAACACGTCCGACGAGACAATAAAAGTGACCCGTTAGCGAGCCGAGTTGACCTCAACTTGAGTTGAAAAAATCGTGAAATTTCAAATTATCTTCATAATCGGCGATCGAAATCCACTCGAAGGACGAAGATCTCCGACTTTGACTAGGCACATCCGAACAACATAATAGAATTGGAAATATCGCCTAAGAAATAGAAGCTTTATTAATTTCAAGAGAAAAACGCTGAAGCAGAAAAAAAGAAAGAAAAACGAAAAGAACAGTTGAGGAAAAAAGAAGCTTGAAAACGAAGAAAATAGCATGGCTACACCTGCTGAGGTCGAGGAAAGAGTCGAAAATAACTTTTTTTACGGGAAAAATGAGTAATTATCAGAAAACGAATATTGAAAATATATTCAGCAGTTTTTCAAGTTGAAAATTATCATGATAGGAGTTGAAATATATTGATATATCCAGTGGTTACGGTTTTTACAAAGAATGTTTTTTTGCATAAAAGAAAACGAAAAATATTAACAAAGAAAATCATTTTTTTTTTCGAGAAAAATAGACGAAAACGCACAGCTTTTTGAGAAGGTTTCTAGAATATCATAACCGGTTCGAGGTAAAAAATAAAAGCTAACCGGTTAGGAAATCTGGCATTTTTTTCAGTGGCAAGAAAGGTTCAATGACGACATTCGATGCCGAATCTACTTTTAGGGTTCTCTCGCCAAAGGATAGGAATCGTAATGGGTTATCTCTAGATTTAAAAAAAAATCTCGAAAAGGCCATTTTCTCGTCGCTTGAGAGTTTTTGCAGAAGAAGAAACGGGAACTCGCTAGAAGTTTTGAACAAAAAGCAGCTTCTACCGAATAAACCATTTTCTTCAACTGCGATTACTCGGATTTTCTAGTCTAGAGGTGATTTTTTTCTCTTTGGACGATTTTGCGAAAATGTCCAACTTGGACCTTGGCTTACCTCAGCAGCTTGTTTCTTTCTGCTAGGATAACCCAAGCGGCCCTTCTTGGACATTCGCTTATACTAAAAGCAGCACGTAGTAGCTTGAATTTCCAATTTTCGGAATTTCCGAATTCAATACTGAGTCGAATCTTTCCGAACATTTTCCATTTCAAACATGAGCTCTAGAAAAGAAATGATATTTGATGTAGACAGATTTAGGATAAGAAGTTTTTCTTTACAGAATCAAAAGATTTGAAAAATTGACGGAAAGAAATAGTTACAGTAAGATAGAATTTCTTTCTCCATCGTAGTATTTGCTGGATTGGACTGTGAATGTGCTATGATGCCGGATTTTAGTCATTTTTCCACTAAAAGTCGGCCCACTTTGCATTCACAGCCAGTAATCCGCATAGTCAGGAGAGTAAAGACATTGTAGTCCCTCTCTTTATCTCTAACAGTAGAGGGTCAGATGAGGGTTTTGGTTGGGTTCGGGTGGAGGAGTCTAGTCGTTTTTGCCGGATCCTTCTCGTTCTCCTTACGCCGCCTTAGACGAAAATTTTAGAAGAAAGAGTCTCCTCTAAGGCAGTTTGTGAAGACTGGAAGAATCCGCTCTATAGTTTATAGAACTCTAGTGGGAGGAGATGGTTCTCTATTCTTGAGTCGGTTTTTTGCGTCGCCCAAGACGGCTATTTGTGTTACCTCAGCAGTTTCTCCATTTGTACACTGCTCTGGTAGCACTAAAACCGTCACGGACAAAATGCAATAGCTCAGGGAAAATTCACTTCTTCCATTATCTCTGGTTTCGTTTCGTGGAGTTGGCAGATGAGTTAGTAGCCAGAAAAAAACAACCAACTCGTTTTTAACGACGTTGGATGTCTTTCGAAAGCTACCGTCGTACCCGCGACAGTACTGTCGACAACACTGTAATACCAATAGAAGTGTGGGGCCGGGATCATCGGGAAGGAAAAAGTGCAATCTAGCATTCATTACAGTCATTTAAAAATGACAGGCTAGTTTAGCCATGTTCTCTTCCTCGTTTTCCAAACCAAATCGCGAAATTTTCTCTTGTTTGCTCTGTAGTACTTTATTTCGTCCACATTTAATGACTGTAGTTGAGGCTTATTATCGAAAAATTAAGAAAAAATTAAAAATTATGATAATTAAAAAAATTATAAATGGTAAACATGTGCGGGCGGATGTGTGGCGTTCTGAATCGGTAGAATTCGGGAGTTTTCGAGCCATTCTATTGGCTCAAAAACTTATGTCCCCTTCTGACCAATGCCCCATCATTCCTCGTTATGTCATTTACCCATTTTTACTACGACTCAGAGAGGAGGGAATTCTGGGAAGTTGAGAATAAGTCGCGACTTTTACTTTTTATAAGACGGACTTAATCTTATACACTAGAATTTCTCCCCATTTTTTTTATTCCTAGTCGCCCTCGAAGCAGTTAGTATTGATGTACAGACAGAAAACGAATCAAAGTCTACGGAATTACAAACTAGCTACGAGGTCACTAGAATACTCGACTTTCTCCTCATTCTTCGAAATCCAGAGCTCTAGAATTTTCTCCTTGTCCGTTTAATTTCTGAAATTTTTTCCAACTTGGTTTTTTCGCTAGAATGTGGCACAACGACAGCTGGTCTTCCAGTACGGATGACCATTATCACAAAAATCGGCGTAATTATCACCAAGGCTATCGGAGAAAGCCAAAAAAGTCGTTTCGGACGCCGAGGCTATTCAATCTCGCCACGCTCGCGCGGGTCAATCCAAGAAGGAAAGACGCCTGGGAGCTTCTTCTTCCCGCTGAAGCCCCTCCTTATCAGGGCATTGAAAAGCCTTTGCCTATGCCTCCAAGGAAAAAACTGGGCAAGAAGTATAAGAAGGCGATTGAGGTGATTAACGAAGCCCCTTACTAATTTAAAAATACAATTGGTAATTCTTAAATCGTGCTCAGAAGAGCACCGTGTTGGGACTCAGCCGAGCCGTCCCATTTCAGGATAACCCATTGTATATTTCCATTTATCAAGCATCAATGATCATCATTGCATATGCGTTCCTTTTAATCTTAAAAATAAGTATTCCAATTTTGATTCTTGAAAAGGCTCGTGTCAATTTGAACTCGCTGCGGCACCAAGATCCGGAGGTGGTGGAGATCCTCGACCATGCCGTCTCGGTTGCGCTGTACATGTGGGATGTGGAGAACAACAGCTGGACGAAGCCGGAGATGGAGGGCACTCTCTTTGTATATAGCCGTCGGGTGGCTCCCTTTGCCGGCTTCACGATCATGAACCGTCTCTCGATCAACAACCTCTCCGAGAAGATCACCAACAACATGAATGTTCACATCAAGGCGCCATTCCTGCTGTACCAGTCGGGCGACACGCGCACCGTCCCGCGCGGCATTTGGTTCTACAACCAGTACGACTGTATCCGCATCACCAAACTCATCCAGAAATACATAGGCGTCAAAGAGCCAGTTTCGAGTAAGCTTCAACGAGAAATCATCACCTGTAACAAGTTTTCTTTAGATGCAATGTCCGTCGAGCCCGTGTTCGAGCCGATCTCGACGGAATCGTCCGAAGACAAAGACAGTCTCGCATCGTGCAAGGAAGACTTGATGCTTATTATGGGTAAATCGTCAAAATCGACGACGCCCAAAACGAAACCCAGTGACTTCAAAATGACAAACTCGCGTAAATCACCGCACTCCCCCAAAAACGTCCCCATTCCTCCCCTCACGCCCGGAAAGAAAGTCGATCTTAACTTGCTCTTCAGCAGCAATTTCACACCGATAAAGGTAAAAGTAGCTTTCTTGCTCTCTGTCTTAACCCCTCTTTTAGCCAGCCACTCCAGTTCAAAATCTCGAAAGCTCAATTGAGCACCCTTATCCATCAACTTTCCCCGGCGGTCCTCAAACCCCGATCGACAAGCGCAAAACCGACGCGCTCAAGAGTATGATCGGCATTCACCATGGTTCTGCTCAGCAGGGAGCAACCTCGTCTAGTTTCATGTCACCCAGTTCGATGTCTCAGTTCTCCGGCATCTCTAAAGCCTCCTCGCGCAATCAGGACGTGTTCTCCTTCGAAGTGCTACAGAATCAAAACAGCAGCGCTCAAAACGCAAGTCAAGTAACTGCCGTTAGAAGTGACTTGCTCAGAACACCGCCGCCGATGAAAGGAACCGGCTCGCTAGGTGGTCAAAAGTCGGAAGATACTGACGACTCGTCCGAGTTCAACCAGCCCATGTCTTTCGCCGTCATTGAAAGCGGGGATGATGTGAATGTGAGCCCCAGCTCTCGGCTCAGCCCGCCTTCGAGAAACATGAGCTTCAATACAGTCCCAAGAAATTTATTCGGCAGAGAAGGTTCTAATCCAACTACTCTCCTATCCGTAAGTCTTGAAATATCTCCACAGGCACCTTTATCAATAAGAGAATACACCGTTAATCACATTTTTAGCCTGGTGCATTTGCTTCGATCGCTTCTGACGGACGAAGCAGTATTTCCTCCTCTCAAGAGGGCGATATGTTGGTCCCCTCTGTGAAGGTACGCAACGGACCACTATTCAAGCCGCAGACAGCTGCCGGAAACAACACTCAAGCTCCTCCTGCTCCTCTTCACCAGTCGACACAGTTCGAGCGAGATGTCATGAAACGCACGCTGATAAAACTCATCGAAGAAGACAAAGAGTTCATGAATTCCTTCCACGCCGCGTACATGAGACACATGGCCCAGCTCAGAAGCTAAGAAAAGATGAAGAAACCTGGCTTTATAATCAAAACGTAGCAACAACAAAACAACAACACGCTCAGAGGAAAAAAGAAACAACGCACAATTTTAATCTTAATCCAATAACTACTGATCTTAATCTTGTATTCTGTTTTAATACTGTTCTTTCAAAATCTATCCTATACTGCAGTTTCATTGTGTAAACTCTCAAATGAAAAGAAAATTGAATTCTTCCCAATCGTTTTCCAAACAAATCTAAATACAGATAAGTTCAATTCTCAATTCTCTCCTTTTCGTACTCGTTCAAATCAATATCTAACGACAGAAATACAGTTTATTCAATATTACTTGAATTCTTATTACATCAGTATTTACTTCGCAAAATTTATGCTTCATCGATTTGTATAGTTCTATATTCAACAAGAAAGCCTTGAAATAATCTGATGCAAGACTAAAATTGATCAAAGTTGGCAGCGATAAGCGTAAATGTCCCTATGAAAAGCACAACCGATGCTGATGTTTTTGAATTACCCCCCTAAGCAAGAAGTCCTGATAACTTCTCCCTCTCACCGCCCTACGTTTCATAACTTTACTTATCCGCCATTTACATGCGCCATTTGGCTTCAATACTACTACTCAATTTCAATACCACTATAGTATCGGTCTCCAGAAACCCTTCTTGAGTATCGAAAAGAGAGTAGTATCGTAGTCAAGCAATATTTCCATAGTTTCTTTTATATTTTTGCGTTTCGAACTGTTATTTTTCAAACTTGCCAAGGAAAAAAGTTCGTTCTGAAGAACGACGATTACTGAACCCATGTCGCCTTCTTCAGTCTCTATTACAGTAATCTCATGAGACTAACGATACGAGTGACCACTTGTTATTCTGTAACTGTCTTCAAGTTCCTCCTCGGTGATTTCCCACCACCTTTTCTGTGATTTTGATATTCAAAATATCGAATTTTGTTGATTATTACAGTCGGTTCTACTATTCTGCTATTTTGGATTTGCAAGACAGTAAATGGACAGAGAGGCAGACTGTCTGCCCCGAGTCTGAAATGCTCGTCTGGGTCTCACTAAAACGCTCATCCAATCTAGCTCCCTCCTAGCAGGAAGCAAATCCTGCCATTGAAAAAAAAGAGTAAAATTTACCTCCAAATTGTAACTATTGAAAACAACCGTACTTCCCAAATTTGACCTTTCCTGACGAGAATAATTAGATATCTTTCTTTATTACTCCCGTTCAGACTACCCTATTATTTGATTTCCGTTTGGCACAAACAAAAAATTGTTAGGCAAAAAAAGAACTTGATTACTAGCTATTCATCATTTCAGAAACAAAAGTGGGACGAACGAAAAATGAATGATTACGACGATCGGACGAGTATCACTTCAGCGCTGTCTTACAAAAGCACCAGCGACATCGTAGAGGGGATCAACCCGCGCGAGACATCAACTCCGTCGAGGAGCCATCAGCGCTCGCCGATGAAGAAGCTCACCCTGATTGTCGACAAAACACGTTTCATCTGCAGTACTGCCATTTTTCAAAGTCATCCAGAAACGCTCCTAGGGAAGATGTTCTCCGCTGGCCTTCTCAAACCTGGTAAGAAAACTAAGGAAAACGTCCAGGTTTCAAGACGAAGTTTAGGTGTTGTTTCGGTCCAACTCAACGAACATGGCGAATACGTTTTTACAGAGAATATATCTGCACCCGTTTTCAAGGTTTTTAACCAGCTTTGGCCTTGTTCGAGAAAGGAATAATTTCGTTTAGGCGATTTTGGATTATTACACTGGCGGAATCATCAAATGCCCTCCTGGAATATCCCTCGCTGAGCTGCGAGAAACCTGCGATTATTTCTTAATACCGGTAAATACAATTAAGAAAAAGAATGATTCAAAATTTGAAAAAATGAAATTGAATTTGAAATTAGTTCTCCGCTGATACTGTTCAATGCGAGAATTTCGCGGACATGATGCACGAACTTTCGAATCTTGGTGCGCGGGATGAGTTTTCCAAACTGTTGAAGACGCTGATTATGCCAAAGCTGGTTGAGGCATGTTCAGTTGGCGACAGAGAAATCAGACTAGGTAAGTTTCACGCCGAGATTGATCAATAATTCTTGACCGTTCAAATTGAAGTTGTTCTTCACGATGACGACATCATCGACTGGGACAAGGACTTTCCGCCTTTGAGCGAGGAAGAACGCCAGAGCTTGTACACCGTCGTCTCGAGCAAACTCTCCCGCTTCGCTAAGTACATCGAAAACAGAGAGGTAGCGAAACAGGTGCTCATCGACCGCGGTTTCAAAAAGATACGGCTCGGTATAGAAGGCTATCCGACAACCAAAGAACGTGTCAAGCAGAGAAGGGGAAAAAGCCACGTCTCCTACAATTTTGTTCAAAGGTAACTAACAGATATCATTATGAAGCCCAAAAGAAACCCTCCCAGACTCCCTGTGCTTCTGCACAACCAAGATTTAAAACCTTACTCTAAACTTTAGGCCATTTATAACCCTATCATGGGAGAAGGAGGAGCACCGCTCGCGGCACGTCGACTTCCAGTGTGTGAAATCAAAAAGCTCGTCTAATTTGCCAGAAGTCGTCAATTTGGAGAACAACCAAGAGGTGGAATTCGTCATCCCTCCAAACCTGGTTGACGTCGTCGACGGAGTAGCTCCAAGAAACGACGATCATATAGTTGAAATCGACTAAATTAAAAGATCAAAAATAATAAATCTGATTTTGTAACTTGCTTATACTCGCTGAAAATGAACTACTACTAGATTCGTAACATACCCTTAAAACTAGAGCACTCATCATCAAGTGTGTAAAAGTCCTGCTGTATGATTCAATTTTGCAACAAGAAAAATCAATAAGAAGCCAATCAAGAATCTAAACTCGCATCATTCTGTAAAGTACTAGCGCTGAATATCCGAAAACACAGACCTTTTTTCGTCATCCTCTTTTTTTCCGTAATCTAAATACCATTCTACTATTTTATATTTTGCATCGAAAGACAATTCCACTTTCTAAACTCATAAATGATCAACAGTTTGTCAATTTTGAATATTTTAAAATCCGACTTGCCGCAGTAAGGAACTTTCTCATATTTTTTATATTTTTTTTTCTGTTCCTAGATTCCATCCTCTCTTGTTCTCGTTTTCTTCACGTTATGGATAATTTATTTTAACAAAAAAAACAGTTTGAAAGAAAAATTAAATTTTAGACGATGAAATCGCTTATTCTATCGGCACTTTTGGCAGTTTCTAGCGCATGGGAGGAAAAGACAGAGCAAATGCTTCGTTGGCAGTAAGATAAAAAAATGATGCTCGTTTTGCTATTTTCTTAGGCGAAAGCGCTCCGACTGGGTGATCAAAATGGGTCAGAAGGACTTCGAAGACTACGTCCGCCAAAAAGGCAAGGAGTACTCAACCCTCGTCATGTTCACGGCGCAGTCTCCGTCACGTGGGTGTCAAATCTGCGCCGAAGCAAGTGAGGAGTTTTCGATTCTGGCAAAATCAACACGGTATACCGCCACGGAGAGTAACTACGCCAAGATGTTCTTTGTCCTGGTCGATTATGATGAGCACGACGGACATAGAATTTTTGACGCAATGCGGCTCAAGTCGGGTTTAATCTTGCGAGTTTGTAGAAAAAAGTAGCTCTTTTTCAGCTCCGGCGGTTTATCTTTTCAACGAGGCCGGTCGAACATCGAAAAACGATCAGTTCGACATTGCTTCGCGCGGCTACATGGCCGAAGCAATGGCACAGTTCCTCAGCGATCGATCTGGAATTCATTTCACTGCTTACCGTCCGCCGAACTACGGCGGCTGGTGGTTCATCTCCCTCATTGCCGTGTCCGCCTTGGCGATTATCTACATGAAGTTAGATAGCATAAAAGAGCACTTGAATAGAGACACAATTGGCTATCTTTGCGTCGTTGCGTCGCTCATTTTCACTTCGGGCCAGATGTGGAACTCGATCAGAGGACCTCAGGAATCGCTTCCAATTAGGACAATCTTCTTTTATGAAATTAAGGGGGTGGACATTAAGAATTGGATTTTTTCTCAGAGTGTTATTTTCCTAAAATAAGTAAGTGCCACTATTTATGATACTTTTTCGAGGATCTTATGAGAGCGTTTGAAAAGTATATCATGCGCGCGCGTGGCGGCGGGATAGGCTTCGTCTACCCAAGTTCAAACATGCAGCTCGTCGCGGAGACACATATTGTGATGATCCTTTACGGAGCAGCGACGTTGGGCTCCATTTTGTTGATCAAATGTAAGACTCAATTGTTTACGGTAAAGGTTGATGCGTGTCCCAAGTGTCGTAGATAGTATTTGCGATACAGTAAGCTGGGATTAGGTATCCAGACTCACGAGCGGGTCTATTTTTATCTAACGCGTATCAATTAAGCCGCTCAAGCGAAAACCTCCCTCGCCGACCGTCGCTTCTTCATGTTACTCGGTGGCTCTCTTCTATTCGCCGGCTACGGCCTCACACTCAACGTCTTCAAGAGAAAGTACCGCGGATACCCTTATTCCTTCTTCCTAGGCTAATTTTGTATAAGCCCGCAATTATTGTGTAAAAAGACTGCCTCTGAAATTCTTCAATTACGCTCTCGAAAAGCCCGGATTTGAAATCGCTATTATTTTAGAAATTACTCGGGACTCCTGAAAACTGAAACTTGAACTTTGAGAAGATGGGTTTGCTTTTCACGAAACTAGTGAAGATGTTTATGGACGAGGAACACAAAGTTATTGTTGTCGGATTAGGTGAGTCTAGTCCATTAAAATATGGCCACGTGAGGGTATAATCCTTTTTCTCCATTAGTCTGTGAGTCGATGGAGGACTCTACCCTTGCTCTCCATAATAAGGGCAATTCCAGATCATGTATTTATTGCCACTTCTTTTCTATGATCTTTAGTAGTAACAAACTCAGGATGTGGAGATGCCCTATTTCTGAGGAACAAAAGTAGACTCCTCAGACTCGGAGACTGTGAGAGAGAGTAGGATGATTATGTTCTCACATGTTCCTTAACTCGAAATGGCGATTAGATACGCAGTCAGTGACGCGTTATTTATTTCAGACAACGCTGGGAAGACAACGATTCTATATCAGTTCCTGATGAACGAGGTCGTTCACACGTCCCCAACAATTGGCTCAAACGTCGAGGAGATAGTATGCAAGAATGTGCACTTTTTCATGTGGGACATTGGCGGGCAAGAGTCGCTGCGAACGAGCTGGAATACCTACTTCGCCGACTCCGACTTTGTAATTTTCGTCGTCGACAGCACAGACCGCGAGAGACTTCACATATCCAAAGTAGAGGTAACTAGACGCTTCTGCTAGTAATTCAGTACTAGCTTTACACTCCCTCGAGCTAGTACTAATCCCCGCGTTTATCTACAGTGACTTTCCAGAGCTAAGCCCTCCCCTAAGATAGTAAGCCGATTTTCAGCTGAGTAAAATGCTGAGCCACGAAGATCTGTCCAACGCCAGACTACTAGTATTAGCGAACAAGCAGGACGTAAAGGGATGCATGACGGCGGCTGAGATCAGTCAGCAGCTGCAGCTGACGGAGCTGAAAACGCACACTTGGAATATTCAGTCGTGTTGCGCGCTCACTGGCGAGGGCCTTTCCGAGGGTTTAGAATGGATGACGCAGCAAGTTTCCGCGAGGTGATAGTTTCTAATCCACTCTTTTAACTCCACTCTGATGCTTTTCTGCCAAACTCTTCCTTCATCTCTTCTTTTTTTTTGTGTTTCTTTCTAAAGGTTCTCTATAAAGTTTGTAAAGTCCTCCCTTTATGTCTCACACCCGTCCTGTTTTATATCTTGAAGCGGGCGAATATTACATGCGCAAATATTATATATTTTCTTATATCCTTAAAAAGTTTTATTATCATGTTATCAAATTCGTATGGTTCAACATTTCAATATACAAAAAGGGCCATAAAATAGTAATAACTTCAGTAGCTTGTGATACCAGGAAGGATATGATCTTCTAGAGTTTTATTATTCTAGTTTAATTGAGAGATACTGACCAAAGTACTAAAATAAGGGCTGGCCTAAGCTATAGCTTCTCTCCAGGCACTAGTTTACGCCATCCACTTTTTTACTCGTTTCTCTGGTCCATTTTTTAATAATAAAGGTCCGTTCCTAAGGCCCGTTCCGAATATTCAAAGCTATAGCTTCCTCTTCTTGGACATTTAAATATTTCAATGTCTGCGTACTAGTACACTATTTTAAAAAAAAAAACAAGCTAGTTTCTACGGTAGTTTTCCAAAGTAAGCAACAATAACCGTTACTCATTATAACCAACGCATTTTCCTATATAAGTATTCTTCTGAACTTCGCATGAATCTTTATCTTGTGCATACTAAATCGTGTGCTCCTACTATCTAATATGCTAATTTAAATTTCATTTTTTGTTCATCATCAACTTATTTTTTTTAATATTTCTAAGTTCGCGACTTTTCCGTTTTCTCGTTCACGCCATTTTTTTAAGAATATAATTTTCTCGGGTCTTTTCTTTCAACTGCGAATTTGAATAATTTTCTGGCTGCCACCACTTTTGTTTCAATGAGAAAGTTCCATCAAGCCAAGAGCGTCAAAATGTAAAAATCTCACCGCCCGAGTCAATTATTTCTCTTTTCAGATCTTGATGAACTTGCTCTTTTTGTTCGTTCAAGCGCTGCTCCCCTCGGCAAATGCGAAAGCTCCAAAAGAGAAAGATTGGAAGATGAAAGATGGATACTATCCGATCTTGAGCAACTTTTTCGAAGGTAATTATTTCCGCTCTTCTCCTTCACTCGTCCCTGAAGCTCGGCAACCTGAATTTAACTCATTCATTTTAGGAAAACTTTACGTGATAAAAGTGCTCGGCCACGTCGCAAAGGACGTCGGTTCGGTCTGCATCCCTGACAAGAAACAACGATGGCGGTACGCCGATGCCGCTTGCAAACGACTTGGCTTCCCTGGCGTCGAGAAAGTCGCTAAATTCAGCGAGTCGAGTAGCTTCAGCGGCCCGGGCGCGATTAAATGCGGCAAGACTCGAAGCGACTGCGATCTTGACTACTACGTCACGGGTGCGAACTGCTCTGCGGATGCTTCATGGCCAGAGGTAGCTCAAACATGATGGCGACAATAAAACCAAAGTTTTTAGTGCGACGTGAAAACGATTGTGGACGAACAAGGCGAGGAGTGTCTCCGCGATAGGGACGAACTGTATGTTCGATGCAACTTCAAATTGAATATTACTTTCACTGGAAATCAAAAAATCACCAACTTCATTGAGGAATCATTTCAAGAACTAGAAGTTGTCAAGAACGGGCTGTGCTCTCACGGTAAACTTTGCCAAACCAGCTCATCGAAATGTTGCTTTTTCTAGGGACGAAAATCAAGATCAACATTTGCGGTCTTGGTCGAACACCACGAATCGCGTCCACTGGCAAGGAACCCCACTGGCAAGGTTTTCCACAATACTGCCAAGGAGCCGTCATCAAGCAAACATGCTGTCCAACAAATAACGACCCAGTCATCATTCCGAAATTCAACGAAAGCTCTCAAAAGCATGATTTTGAGTACCGCCCGCCAACTGCTCTCCAAAGGTATTGGAAGAACAAGCGATTATAAAATTTGACTGAAACTTGAGTGATTCTACTTCAATTGACAAATTGACAAATTGTGATCCAGATCACCAGTGTAATATTGTTCACTGGAGTCCAGGTGATCGCCTATCTTCGCTCTCATCATCGATTTATCATCCTTTATTCTAAATAACAGCTCCAATCATTCCTAAGCCACTTTTTAACACGAAAAATGAAGCTAAAAATTAAAGCTTTAAATTACAGCATATTTTCGATTTATTTTAACAATATTAATTTTAGCGGAAGAGCTTGAACTTAAATCAAGTCAATGCAGTTTTCCAGTCAATAATCACAAAAAAAGACTCTTTCTTTTCAAAAGAGAAAGCCAGAAAGTGCCAGAAATGCTGGCAGAGAATGTAAGGGCAGCGACAGATCTACTCTCGCAAACTCATTCAGCACTTCAAGAGAGCAACGAAATCAAAGACGAATCGAAAACTTCTTCATTAATCCGAGTTCTCGACGCATTCTCATGTACAAATTGCCTCAAACTTTCCCATTTCTGCTTCTTCATCATTTTTGCACTGTACTCGTTTGGATTCTAACCCTTCTACTTCCTTAAATGTCTGTTAATCAGATGAACGACCCTTCAAAATAATTAAAAATGATGCGCTTTTATTCTTACATAAATAAACACATTCTATTAGTAGCTTTTCTAGTTGTTTCTCACTGCCAAAAGCTTCAAGACTAAAAGAGTTTACCTTAGTTCAAGACCCCGCGATTACTAGTCTATTTCCATGTAAGAACGCATTAGTTAAGACTGATAGATGAATCGTTTGATAGCCATTTTCTTTTCCGTGATCGCCTCCCAGGATGACTACCTGCTGGATGACGGGTTCCACCCGATTCTGAGTGATTTTTACAGAGGTAACCTATCTGTCCATAAGTGAGGCTGATGTGCCTTACCCTACTTACAGGAAAACTCTACTTCGCTCAAACTATCAACAACTTCGCAGAAAACATTGGCTCAGTCTGCGTTGGAGACGGAGCTTACTCGTTAAAAGCACATCGTGGAAAGCGCTTTGCCGATGCAGTTTGTAACAAGCTTGGATTCAAGGGAGCTAAATTCCACGGCCTGCGAGAGGAATACGAGGCTGGCAACAGAACAAGGTCAATCGAGCCGAGCAAGACTTGCGACTTTGATTTCATCGCCAACGGAGCAAAGTGTAATGGAACAGAACTTGAACAAGTAACTAATAGCGCTAGTTTTTGATTGATGGATTGATTCTAGTGTCATCTGCGAGAAATCGTAGCTTCTGGGAAGCGTTCTTGCATCAACGGCAAAAGCGAGCTCTTCCTTGAGTGTAAATACGAGGGCCACTACGAAAATGAGGAGCTTACTGAAATTATGACGCTTGGCTGCGAGGACGGTAACCGAAGGTTGCCACTGCATTCGCTTACTATTAATTCGCATAGGAGGTGATTTCGCTACTACTCTTCGCATGTGTGGCGTTCCAAAAGAAGAGGATGAAGGCAAACGGGGACTTGCACCGAAGCATTCCTCAGTAAAGCGCTGCTACGGAACTTTAATCGAGCGAAAATGCTGCGAAAAGGAGCCCACTTCAAATTACAACGCTGAATACTACAGTTACTCGGACTCGAACCCTTTCTCTAACTATGAAAGTAGTTACGATAAGTCCGCTTACGACGATGTTGATCACTTCATAAGGTATTTTCTATACAATAGTTTTCTGAGCACTGACGGTACCATGATCTAATCGAGTTGAAGAGGCACCACGCCCAATCAAGTGTGTGAATGTGGCAATATAGCACAGTGGAATAGAGGTGATCGAGTGATTCGGCATTTTTCACAGCTAACACGAGGCAAAAACATACTGCTCCCATGCTTAAAATAATAACAATGTGATTAAATTAATTATTAATAACTGATATCCACATTCTGGATAATCCACTTTATCTCACGATAAATATAAATACCTTACTAACCTTTGCATTTTAGTGCACATGGATGAGGTAAACTCTTTCTCGAACGTTTCACCTAATCGTGAAGAAACAATAGACACAGAACAAGGAGGAATCGCCGGTCAACCGTCCACTTCCGGAACGGACGAATTCCTGGAGGAAGACTCTGACTTCTACTCAGACGGTAAAACTGTCAAATTATGTTAAAAATAAAACTCGAATCTAAAGAAGTTGGAAATTCTGAACGCCCAACCGATCATTCCAACGACGATCATGGAGTCCAGAATTCGAGTCAGTCATCGCCGAATACGAATCTCGAAAACGCAAAGCCCTCGTCAGCCATAAAACTTGCTTTTGGCTTTCAGATCGCGCTGTGCTTGTTTTTATTCTATTTATTATAAAGTCCCATTTTGCCTTTACCTGTCGAAGCCCTCTTTCTTTCTTCAAAAGGAAAAAACCTACTTCCGTACGAGAAACTACCTTGTTTCTAGTAGAAACTACCTCCCAAAGATTAATTCATGACAAAAGTTTCAAGTTCAATAAAATTCAACGTTTCTTGCTCTTAGTTGCGTTTTTATCTGATCGCGTTGTTTGTAGATCGAAAGAGAGATCATGTCAGAGGAACAATTCAAGCAGAGATGGCTATACACTCCTTTTAACGCTCAACTTATCGACAAAACCGTTTCGTTCTACCCCAAACCTAAGGTACCCGCCTTACAAAACTAGTGCGCCATACATACCTTTCATTCATGTAGATCTCTCCCGATGAGCGACCGGAGATCCAGGCTCACCTTGCCGACTCTGAGAAGCAGCAGCTTTCTTCTCTCCACCGAGGACACCTTGGTATTCCAGAAGAAATTCTCAAAGCAGGAGCTTCTCAGTACGCCACTATGTGCTCTAATATCAATAATAAGGTACTGATCCAGCTTAATTGCATTTTACATCCCATTTTTAGTTTATGCTTTGCAAGCAAGAAACTCATGGTGACCCCAGAGCCTGCCTAAAGCTCGGCAACGCTGTGAGGTAACACGCTAGAATGTTTCAAATGAATATTAATGTTATTAAACAGCGATTGCGCTGGTGAATTCTTCCGAGAAGCGCTCAACCGATGCAACAAAGAGCTCCTTGACTATTCTGACTGCATGGAGCAGGATCCAAGAAGACGTCCCGTATTCTGTAGACGAGTTCAGCTCACCTGGGACAAATGCGCGCTTGAGAAACTTGGCTTAGATAAGGTTCGCTGTCTTTCTCGTAGTATTGAAATAATTTGCGCTTTCAGCAATTCTGGACTTCTCCCGCTGGCCCAGTAGTCGAAGGCACTGTCCCCGCCAAGCCCAAGAACCCTCTTCAACTCAAGCCAACCGTCCGAATGGACGACCCCGTTGAGGCCGGTTTCGCAACAAGATTTAAAGTTTTGTTTTTCTAAAAACAACGACGTTGCAAAACCAAACGCAGGTCAAATTCTAGACCAATTGACAATAGCCGTTTAATTTATTTTGACCAAGTCGACACAACTCACCCCTGTTCGATGATTTTGGTTGTTCCTCTGTTCATATTCTAATTTCCTATAATATTTATCTGTTGGATTCTTTTCCGTCCAACAAGCCAGGACTGATCTTTTAACTTATCGCTTTTTAAAACGCGTATGGTGCTTCAGAGAGAAATGGCCGGCGCAGCATGTGTTGCTCAACCGACAAATAACGACTTACAGCAACTTTACCATGACCTTAATTCTGTATGAACGATAATGTGAGGATTCTACTAACCCTTCTCTTAGGCAAAAGAGCGCTCGGACCAAGAGACAATCCGCAAAAATGAGGCGAAGATCATCGAGCTCGGCGAGTGGCTTCAAAAGCAGGGCAATGCCAAGGAGCTCGGTGAACTCGTGAAAAACGTGCGCCCGTATTTGGGTTCGCTGAGCAAGGCCAAGGCTGCCCGCCTTGTTCGAACCCTCGTCGACTTATTCCTTGATATGGATTCAGGTAGACCTTACTTTGAATCCCCGTCTTATCCGTTTCCCAAAAGCCATTGGAGTGGAAGTCGATCTGTGCAAAGAATGCATACAATGGGCGATGGAGGAGAAGCGCACATACCTGCGGCAGGCTCTTGAAGCCCGCCTAATGGCCCTCTACTTCGACACAAAAACTACAAGGAGTGTCTTGGCCTCGGACAGCGCCTTTACTCCGAACTGAAAAAGCTTGATGACAAAGCTTTGCTCGTTGAAATCCAGCTTACTGAATCAAAGGTAGCTTCAACGTTTAATCCGTATCTCACCTTCTCAGGCGTATCACTCAATCGGCAACCTTCAAAACTCCCGTGCCGCGCTTACTTCCGCTAGAACGACCGCCAACGCTATTTACTGTCCTCCACGAACGCAAGCAAATCTCGACATGCAAGCGGGTATCCTCCATGCTGCCGAGAACAAGGACTGGAAGACTGCATTCAGGTGCAATCAGGCTTCGTTTTGCTCGAATAAAAGGTGTTTTCAGTTACTTTTACGAAGCATTTGAGGGATTCGATTCTTGCGACCTTAAGAAAAAGGCTGTTCAGAATCTAAGGTAAACGAAAAGTGAAAACAACAAGGTCTTACAAAAACTACCCCACATAGATACATGATTATGTGCAAAATCATGAACAACAACGAGGAAGAAGTGTCGAATCTGCTCACAGCTAAGCTAGCAATCAAATACAAGGGTCCGGAAATTGAAGCAATGAAGGTAAATGCTGATACCGTTCTTTACTGAACTTAGAGCGAGTTTAAAACCAGTGGGCCCTTTCGGCGGTTGTTTTAATGCGAGTAAAATGTCAATTCTTTTTGTAGGACATTTGCAAAGCCTCCGCTGACCGTGATGTTCATAAACTCGAAGCCGCATTTGTCAAATATCAGCCGCAGCTCAGCGACGACACAGTTATACAGGTGAACTGTTTGGACCGAGGTCGAAGTCTCCCCGTCTCATGACTAAAAACTCTTTCTAGGAACACTTCGAAAGTCTGAAGTCCAATCTCCTCGAAAAGAATTTAAAACGACTGATCGAACCGTACTCCCGTGTGGAAATTTCCAAAATCGCCAAGCTTATCGACCTAGACGAACTCGAAATCGAGGTAGAAATCGTTCTTAAAAATCGAATGTTTATTAAAATATCTAGCGAAAACTTTCTCAAATGATCTTGGATAAGAAGCTAATTGGTATTTTGTCCCAAGAAGATCGTGCTCTTCAAATCTTCGAACCATCAGAATCGGATAAAGTTTATGAGGTTCGTCCGTCCTTTCCTTTCCTAAAGGGCTATCCTTTCACTTTAGGACTCTTTGGAAATGATCGGTGCTCTGGAAGACGTCGTTGCATCTCTCTACAAAAAGCTGAAAAATTGAAGTAACCGCAATAAGAAGAATAACAAGCTCCCGTCTTTATTTCTCCCTCGAAAAAACACCAAGGATAAAAGCATTTCTAATGAAAAAACACTCTACGCTTGTACTGTAATAACTAGTTCAAATTACAATATAACATGTAAGAATCAAGACCAGCTTATTTGTTTCAACGAGAATTACAGAGGACAGGACTGGAATTCTTTATTTGACGTGTCTTCCGATCTAAGAAAAATTTTTCCAGGCACTGCGGAATTTTAGTGGAAACGCAGCAAGTGGAAACTCACTCTGCAGGCTCATAGGAACTCGCTTCAAGCACGGATAGGAAAGCAAATTATTATCTGTTGACAGGGGCAAGAGTTGTGAATTGCTAGTAAAATTTCAAGAATTCCTCCGCTTAAAATATGATTAACGAACAAGAATCTAATTAGACTTTTCTATTTCCAGATTTCTATTTCCGATTATCCAGAAACCTAATTTTACGTCGATTTTATTGATGGCCAAGTTGTTGGTATCCACGGAAATCCAACTTTTATTTAAAATTTCATTAAAAATTCTTGCCGATAATAAAGATGTCGGGTGCTGTTCCAGAAGACTCTTTGAGCGCACATTTTTGTCGTATGATTCCTGTCCATTCCAACAAGTCATTGCTTTTCGACCTTGCTTTGATGAGTGAAAAAGTTCGCTGTGGTGAAGCGGTACTCTACTTTCTAATTACTTGTCAAATGGCAAGCCAGAAGGAAGAACTATAAATACGAACGTCCAGCTTCGTTCATTATAAGCAAGAAAATCCAGAGTTAGAAAACCAAAATGACTTCCACAAGTAAGGACATGAAAAGGGATGAAAAGAGCACCTAGAGCTCGCTAACTCTGCACAATCCTTCCAAACTGAGTGATAGTTACTACAGCAAGATTAACTATCATCGAAGCACTTTTCGCACGAACCGTCTCTTCTACTTTTTATCCTGAGTAATCACGCATGAATAACTAACTATCTTCAGGCTCCAACAACTCCTTGACACCTTACTCTGGTGGTGGGGGTCGCGACGGTCGACGAGTGGACCAAAACAACAACTATTGCTAATAATTGCAATACGCTTACACCCTTCATCTTCAAAAACTATCCTCCAACGATTGGCGATCCTGATCGTTAAGAATAACGCTTTCGAAACTCTTCTGTTTTGAATAAGAAATTGACACTTTCCATTGGAAATAAACTTCTCCTTCTTCAGTTCTGCCTTTTTGAATTTTCAATCGAATTTCGCAGGAAAAAAATGAAACTTGTTAACTATCCTCGATGTTGACAAAATGTGCAATACACATAAAACGAGGTCATAAATCATCGACTACTCAATGTATTTCCTACTGTAATTGCGAAGCGGTGACATTTTGCCAAAGGATCTGAGCTGTTTACGAGGAGTTCTGGATGTTTTGAGGAAACAGATTTATGGCCGTGGCGCCCGAACTGCTTGCTGACGGCTACAGGCCGCAAAAAGGGGGTTGAGGGGTCAATCTGAGCAGAACACGACAGAGCGAAGACAAGTTACAAACCATTCAGAGCTTTTTCGAAAATTTCGGTCAATACACATGGTCCTCAAACGATCCGTTTTTCTTGAAGGTAAATCGTGCTATTTCGTGCAGTTGCTCGAGTCGGCGCTAATTTAGTCCGACGAACTCAAGGACGATTCGGGCAGAAGTCCTCGTCGTTCTTGGAGGAATACGAGGAGAAGCAGAGGAAGCAGAAGAAAGTTGACTTCTCGAAATATGGCTCCGAAACAAGAAGTGAGCGGAAGCCAGCCAAGGTTTGATGCATGCTTTCAAACGGTCAACGACTTATGTCTTTAGGAAATCGACATTGATGAGATTATTCGACAAACAGAAGAAGACTTCCCAGATAGGAAATTGGTTCAGCTAACATTTTAACTCTAGATTATGATCAATAAGATGAACCATTTTACAAGTAATTGCTTCAACCCTTTGCCGGAAAAATCCGAGCGATTGGAGAAAGAATCGCGCCTCTTCTTCGAAATGATTAAAATTCTCAAACACCAAGGTATTCCTCGTTGATTTCAACTCGCCTAAATTGAAATTGAAAATGCTCAGATAAGTTTGGGCCAAAATGCAAGACTCCCACCATCAAAGCAAACGTCGATATGTTGAGGAGCTGCGCTAGCTATATGCAAGAAGATGAAGGTGACAAAAATATGCAATAAAAGTATTAACGGGCGGTAATTCTAGCGCTTCCTTGCTGGATAAAGAACGCGATGACGTTGATTTCCGGTGACTCAAATTTTTGTAAAGCAGCGAAGAATTATTGGACAGAAATGGAAGACGATGGATTTCGGGTTGAAAAAAAAAGATATTTTCGCTCTTCAAAAAGAAAGCTTCACTTTTAAGAATTTTTTTCAACCTTGTGCTCTGAGATTACGACTTCTCCTTTGCAAAAGAAGAAATGTATGGAAACTCGGATATCCGAAGAAAAACCGTTATGCTCGACGGTTTCATCAACATCAACAATCCTATCGATGAGAATGAAGCTTCCAGGACATCCACTCTCGTGAGAACTCGTCTGTTCTTTTTCACAGTAATATTCGTTTGTTTTCAGGCAGATCTTGGTAATAGACTTGAAACTGGTAAACGGGGAAGTATGACGAAAGAGCAGATGATGAAACTCAACACTAGAAGAAAATCGATGATTCTGATGGTCAACCAGGACAAAATGAACGCCTCGGATCACCGGCGAGACTCTTTACAAGCGTAAGGCCTTCGTAATTTTTTTATGCTTTTTATAATTTTTATACTTGTTCAAAGTGATTAATTCTTTTTCTAGCGCCGGCGCAGCGCCACCTAGAGGCAGAAGATTTGCAGTGTTGGCGAAAAAAGCTTCGATGATGTCCACAGCCTTCAAATAATCTCTGCATTTCCATGTGCACTCAATTTTGTCTGTATAAATGTACCTAACTTGTGTCACAAGTCGATTAGCGCAGTCGAGATTGACGATGGATTAGGCGGCCACAGAGCACAGAGAGAAAAAAAAAAGAATTGTGCTAAGTCTTGTTCTGAAACGCTGAACTCGTCATAGAGAAAAATCATCATGGGCAAAAGATCAGTCTTTGTTGAAGGTGGCTATTCGATTCTACTTGATCGTGTATTGCATTTGCGCATTTCTCTTTTTTTTTCGAAGGCTTTTTAGAATTTCGCGAGGCTTAAAATATCTCAATATATAAATAGCGTTTAAATTTTATTTTACGAAAATTATGCATAAATAATCAGTGTTTAGCGAGAAAATCTCAGGGACGACAGGGCCTTCCAGCCCTGTCTGTTCTCCAAGAAATCGAAGAAAAAGAGCGAGAATCACGTGTATCAAAGATGAACTCCATCATGGCTCGGGCGACTAAAAACGCAGAGGAAGGAGGAGCAGGTCGAAAACCTATTCTTCCTTGGATGAATGTCGACTACGAAAAATATAAGGAAGAGTTTCCAGTTGAGATCATGTTCTTTTCTCAGGTTTAGAAATTCGACATCGCATTTTATTTTGAAAACATGCGTTTTAGGAGGATGAGGAATTCATCGCAGAGCAGTACAAGAAATTCGAAGAAATGTACAACATCCTCGACGACATGAAGGACAACAGAGCGAATCTCTCCAACCGAAAATTGGTCGCTGAACAAGAACTTATCCGAACAATGTACAAAATCTACGCTGAAGGTGTTCCCCTTCCAACTTGGCTCAAGGGCTGCCTTGGCCGAATTCACAAGGATCCCAAATTTGGCGACTACGCTCGAGTAAGAATATTTCTGCGATTTTCTGCTTTTTGCTGATGTCTCTTTTTAGAATTACTGGGAAGAGCAGGGCGACGAGGCGGAACCAGTCGACTTCGAAGACTTCGTCGAGGCTGAAGACCCAGCAGAAATCGCCCGTCGCTCGGGAATCTTCAAGGAAGCCAAGGTTGCCTCGCTCGACACTTCCGTCAACACCTCGGCCAAAATGTACGCGGCGCCAATATTTATACAGTTTCATTTATTTTCACTTTTTCAATTGTCAAAATTTGATTAGTGACGAAACTAAACAAGGTCACTACTCTCTCTTCTTTGACCTTGATCGCTTTTAATTTATACAAAAATTGCTACTGTAGATTTCAAAAAAAAACAAACAATTCTCTAGCCACTCTGCCGAGGAGCAACAAAAAATCAACTCCCGAAAAGCGTCCGCCATGCTCACCATCAACAAAAAAGACATGGCTCGACTTGACAGCCGTAAGCAGAGGTAAAATCGACTGTAGTGTCATGATCAGCGCACTGATTTTGTTCCTACCTGTAGTCTCGAAGGCGGATCAGGAAACCGACGAGCATCGCGAAAGCTGTCCATGGCCACTGTTGGCCAGGCATTGATTGGCATGAATCGCAAACGCTAAAATGATGAACAAAAAATAATTCGCAGTTCTGTTTTTTACAACAAATAAAACATGAAAAATTGAACAAACACACGCGTCTTTCTCGAAAGCTAATACAAAAAAAAATAAAGAAAAAAAAGAGAAATATTTCGTGCTTTGCAGTAAAACGATAGATTCCGATTAGAGAATGGAAGTGCACGTGATTCGCCTCGTTCCCGGCGACAATTTGCAAGAAAAACTGGTCGAATTTGTAAAAGCGAAAAATCTGCAAAACGCGTTCATCATCACTTGCGTTGGATCATTGACACAAGCAAAGATTCGATTAGCGAATGCAAATCTAACTCGAGATTTCGACGGGCATTTCGAAATCGTCTCCCTCGTTGGAACAATCGATCCTGATGGAGGACATCATCTTCACATTTCGATTTCCGACGACAAAGGCGATGTTTTTGGAGGACACGTTTTCTCAGGTAAAAAAAGAGGAGTAGGGAATCGACCATGACGGTGATTATAGATCATATTGTCTACACAACGGCCGAAATCGTCATTGGAAGCGCGAAGGGCCTTTCTTTCTCCCGAGAACACTGCGATAAAAGCGGCTGGCCGGAACTTGTCGTCAAGAAAACTGAGTAAAACTGATCATTCAAATTTCTTTCCCTCCTTTTTTGGCAATAAAATAAGAAAATGCTGGCATAGAAAGGAGCTGGTTTCTAAAGATGCTCTCTTTGTGCATTTTAGAAAAGGATGACTCCATAGAAAAGAGTTCATCAATTAGAAGGTGTCTAGAAGAACGTGACTTGATTTCACGGCGGCTCAAAAAGGCGTCAAACTTCGCGCCAAAGTAAAAAGTATCTGATCCCTTTGGTTTTATTCCTTTTCCTCGTCGGCTAATCTGAGAAGGATTAAACGCTCCTCATCAATTCTAAAGATTCTAACTTGACGAAATAACTCGAAATAACTCTGATCCACTTTCTAATTCCGTATCTTTATTTTACAACGAAAGGATAATTTTCGAATTTGCAGTAGATAGGAATGCAGTAAGAGATCAACATACAGTTCTTGATCAACGCAAGGGCAGATCGACGGTATCGTAGCCATCGACAGCCCCGTTGGCCCAGATCGGCAAGTTCTTGATGGTGCCCGAGAGATCTCCATCAAAGTCCTGCATATTTTGTTAATTCTTCAAAATATAAATCTTCAAATTGACTTACGATTTTGTTCAGGTAGAAGTTGGGAGACATTCTCCGGTTAACCGATCCATGGGCGAGGCAAACGTTGCCGTTCTTGTAGCAATCAGGGACGAGCCATGCGAACTGCTGGTCGAAGAATCCATTTAGTGGACGAGTCTGGACGGGATTGGGTTCAGAACAAGGTTGATCGCGCCATAAACGACCAGCAGCCTGTTTCTGAAATAAATATTTTTATTGGATACGCACTTAAATTATTAAAGTATAATGTTATATGATAAATGCAAAATTATAATAACTATTATAAATACTTACTCCAAGGCGCTGGTAGCGGTACTGATCCTTGCAGATGGTGAAGAAAGGTTTGATTCCCGATCGCATGGTAGCCAGATCCTAAATAATGAAATAATTGAAAGTATAGATTCCTTGCTAAAACTGACATCTTTGAAGTTTATTTCATCGTAGTTGACTTTAGCCCAGAAAACGTCTTCAGCAGACTCCCAGCAGGAGATGGTGCAGACAATGTCAGATGATCGACCGGGATTGGTACCGTAAACGTTCAAGAAGATCCCTTTGACATTCTCTTTGCTGTCTTTCAAGGCAAAAATTCGGCTCATGTTTTTGGCTCCTCTGAAAATGAGCGAAGAAGTGACAAGCGCAGCCTTTTTATAGTCCCGTCGTTTGGATCGGGCGGGAAACATCGGTGGCTAGAAAAAAGCCTGTCTGGTACCATTCCATTTCTACAAAATTTCTAGAAAAACAGCACGTCTCGATATCAGGTTATGAACTAGTCACGTAAGGACCTCCTTTGCTCGGTATCAGTTAGCCGCTAACGGGGGATCATCTCCGAGGAGCGAAAGTGATACAATACTTTCTTTCTCAGCCTGCAGTCATGAACAAGAAATGAATTTCAGATAGATAATCGAATATTTTATAACAAAATATTTTGTAAAAGAGCTTCTTTTTTATTAAAAAAATACTTTCCGCAAACTTTCGTCATCACAAACAAAAGAAATATGCTTACAAGCAGAAAACATTTAATTAACATAATCTGATCAGCACGAGACCATCCTCAACGATCAGACGATCAGTTGTTTTTTGATAAAGTTGCAGAGAAAAATAAGATGTCCAGAGATGATCGAAGATTTGGGAAGTTATTTTGACGATGTTTTTTTTCAAGTTGAAGTGCTTGTCTTTATCGAAGTTGTATCTGTCTGAAGCTAGCTAGATTGGAATTCCAAAAACAAACACGAGTACCAAACGCGACCGGGAAAGTGGCCAGTTTTTTGGGAAATCCTCGAAAAGATCCTTCTTTGTCGAAAGCTAAGCATTTTCCACGTCACTCGAGGAGGGCATCCGAAACCAAAATCGTTTTTGCGCAATCGCCAGTGTAGCGAGGTGTTTCCGTTAATTCCGCTAATTTCCCGTCGGGATTTCGCGGGCTCTCGATTTCGAAACTCACTCTCTCGGCTTACTGAATTTGGATACTTTAGAAAGGGAGGAGAGAAAAGTCCCCGGGATCGACTTTTTCGGACCTGCCCAACACGTGCACCTGCAAGTTATAATCCGTCATCTCGCTTTTCCAAGACATCCGGCAGCAGAAGTACCAATAACTTTATTTCCCATTAGCGCGGGTCTTGAAATACAGGTAGTATCCAACACTGATGATTAATATTAATGCTCGAATCTAAAATTTAATCTTAAAAATCAGCAATAAAAGGAACAGCTTTATTCTGATTTCGTTGAAATAAGGGTATCACTCTGTTAAATCTATCGAAAAGCTAAAAGAGCTAGAAAAGCTATCGTACCACTTTCGTACTCTTCTAGCTTTTCGATAGATTTAACAAAGTGATACCCTTATTTTAACTCTTCGCAAGGCGAATAAGGGCGTTACCTTTAGAAGAAAAAGTCAAAAAACAGGACAATATGACGACTCCAATCCTCATGAGATTTTGGCTCTTACGATCAACTAACGAATTGAGTTTTGGTTTCGCTTGTTCCCTGTAATATAACGAGCTTAGTACACACGTTCCTCCAGAACCACCATCGCTCACGTTTAAATTCATGGGCCTTGAAGTTGAGCTCCTGGCGATTAAAATTTTGGGCGTTGTTTAATCCCTTTCCGGCGGAAGCTTTGGCTGGGACCTTGGCGGAGAAACATGGAATTGCACCTAAATCCAAGATTATTCCTAAAGAATGACTTGCTGCCCTCGCGTATTTTTTCTTCAACCGGCATCTCATGGATCGTGTTGTGAAAGACGAAGACGTCTTTTTCGAGATATCGCACACAACAGCGTCAATGATGGTGCTGCGGAATGCGATGAAGTTGCTCAGATCACGACATAAAAGAAATCCCCTTCTCGTTAATCTTCACTTCGAGAAAATAAACCTCTGAGCTGCGGGAAAAATGAGCAAACCTTCGAAAACCAAAACTAAGAATTTCAAGTACAAGGAAGCTCTCTTCGCAGCAGAAGAAGGTGCAGTCTATTCTCTTTTTTCTTACACTAGCTTCGCTGGATAACGAATTTTTTCATCAACTTTCATCAATTTTTTGGATGGAAAAATTCGCTATCCTAAGAAGCAAATTTGGATAAATTTTCAGCAACGCGCAAGCGAGAACTGGAAAGGATAGTGAAAGACATTCCCCCAACAAAAGGGATGGGTCACTACCTGAATCGCGTCGATCGACGGCTGATGAGCGAGCGTGAGCTGATCGAAGTCATGTGGCTGCTTGCCCTCGGCCAGCGAGACTTCAACTTCAAGGAACGAGTGCGCGTGACTCATTTTCTTCCTCTAGTAAAGGAGTCACCAAACTCGTACCAGATCCGCATGAGCGCGGCGATCGACATGGAGGAGTTCGGCTGGAGCTTGCGCTACAAGATCAGTCGCAAGCGGGGCGAACACTTTCACAAGATCACCTTGAAACGAAAAGGTAAAAATTAAGCTCCAGATTTATCTAAACCGTCCAAACTCTTTTCCAGTCGGATTGACTCCACGCTTCAACTTGATCTTGGAGGAGTTTGACGCGGTTGAGATGCGAAATCTCAACGAGGCGACGAGCATCGCGAAATCCATTAACCGACAGGTCGTCGCGATCAAAGTCGGCTCCATCGTCAGCGGCATGAACAATGGCTCCATAAGATTCAACTTCTCCTTGGATCCCATTCTCCACAGCCGAGCTTCAGAGCTAAAAAACCACCAAGAAAGAAATTGAATTGAAAAAAAAGTAGCTCGAAAAGAGCTAAGATCAGTAATTTGACCTAACTTCCGCTAAAACCCGTCGCATTTACTAATAAATTCGCAACTAATCAAAAACAAATATCGTACTTTCTTCTATTTCCAATCTGGTCCGCAGCGGCAACTACTAAAAGCGCTATCTTCTGGAGATTGTGCCACTTCCGGAAACGTTTCCAATTCCAAGAGTAGCCACTTCATCGATTATTCGGAGGCTTTGTAAGATAAACTGACCGGTGATTTAAGTTTAAAGCCCGTGAATCCTTGATTTTAACCTGTTCCTCCTCTTGCAAGAAAGCACCTTTTTCTACGACTATTTTTAAAAAAATACGATGCTATCTTTTATTGAAGGAAACTCTTGAGCAGTTGAAATCTTGTAGCGAAAAGTACTGAATTCGAAAATGTGAACGTCTCGCTTTTCGAGCGGGATAAAGTTGCAAAACGGTAGAAACGCGTGAAAACAACGAGGAAGTAAATCCGGCGGCCAGATGGGCGGCTTTGAAGCTTCGCGCAAACTCATTTGATTTTGTGAATAGGAGCTCGTCCTCCTGGAACTTTTCCAAGCTCATGCAGCTGTGAACGGCTCCAGTAGCACATACGCAATTGACTGGGCACCAATGCCAAATGCACGTGAGCATGAAATCGAGTGCGAAAGACACTCCACGCCGGTTTTTTTTCCAACGAATTTTGCTGAATAATTCAATTCAAAGTCGCCGCCTAAAGCGTGAGCGGCTCGATTTCGAAGCTAAAACTTTCTTATCTAATTGGCTTCGATTATTGTTTCGGTGGACAAATCAAATTTCGCGATTTTGCGAAAGGGGCGTGCGATAGAAAAAGAGAGCCTTCGTTTTCTAGAGCGTTTTATTTAAAGAGATCTTCTTAAAAATGATGAGTAATAAATTCAGCGTAGTCAAACAGGCGACGTAACGATTTGAAGCTTAGAGAAATAAAAAAAGAAAGAGTTGCGTCGTAAAATTGAAATTTTACTCTTTCCTTCATCAAAAAAACGAAGAAGATGAAAAAATGACTAAGTCAAAAGATGAAAGTATAGCACTCAAATTTGGTCTTGGCCTCGTCGCTGGTCAAATTTCGATCTTTTGGGTTCACCCCTTCGATCTTATTAAAAATCGATTACAAACAAGTGGAGCAAGCCTTTCTCCTATTTCATGTGTTGGCCAAATCGTCAAAGAAAAAGGTAAATCAAATCAGCTATTTGAAATTATTGGTAATTCCGTCAAGGCATTCGCGGTTTTTACGATGGATTTTCCGCGTCGATGATGCGCCAAGCAACTTACACCACCGGTCGCCTTGGAATCTACAGTAATCTCTTGCACCAATACAAAGTTTCTACTGGAGTACAAAAGCCGAACCTTTTCTGGACAACTTTGATGGGCTCCACGAGTGGGGGCTTGGCGGCAATAATTGGAAACCCTGCTGACGTTGCGATAGTACGAATGACTGTCGATTCTAAATTGCCAATCGAGCAGAGAAGAAACTACACTTCCGTTTTCAATGCTTGGGCAAGGATAGTAAAAGAGGAGGGAGTTCGAAAACTGTGGGTTGGATGTAGACCTACTGTTGCTAGAGCAATGGTCGTCAATTCCTGCCAACTGTCGTTCAATACTCAGACCAGATACTTCATAGGTAAGCTGAATAGAGTCTCCATAACAAGTTGTTACTTTTTTCAGAAGGAAAAGTGCCTTCAATAAATCCCTACTTGCTTTCGATTCTCTCTAGCTGCTGCTCTGGGCTGCTAACAACCACGATAGTGCTCCCGATCGACTTTGCAAAGACAAGAATTCAGAACGCAAAAGGACACCAATACTCAGGCTGGCTCGATGTTTGGAGAAAGACAGTCAAGAATGAAGGATTTGCCGTTCTCTGGAAAGGATTTGGCCCTTACTTTGCGCGAACTCCAATTACGTTATTTATAATGGATATTTTACTGTACCAATTTGGAATGTCCAGATAGCAAATTAGAATTCGGCATTTTTCTTTCAATAAAATAGGAATTTCAAAAAGGATTTTTATTCACACATTTTTTCAATGCAGGGTCAAAAGTAAGGTTGAGGTCAGTTTAGTTAGCAAAGATCACTCGAGAATCATTTTACTCGGAAGTGAACATTTTCATGAAACCCTGACGAAATTCTGTGATTACTGAAGTGCCGATTTCTTCTACTTTGTCTTCGACATTGTCGAGACTCGATTTGAGGATTTCGTCTGTGCGGCGGAGATCGCGGACGGTCTTGGAAGTCGAGTCGCCGATCGTTTTTAACGATTCCTTCCAATTGATGAATATTTGAGTCGGATAATTAAAACAAATTGCTTTTAGAAAATTTCACCATTCCTGTTGGTAAGAGATCACGTGATGCATTACGTCCAGTTCTTCCTCGAGTTTGACCAACTCTTCGTGATCAGCTTCAGAAGCATTTCGATCAGCAATTTCACTATTTTAAAAATCATCGTTTTCATTTTGTCTCATTTTGGCCACTCACGATATCCTGTTTTCAAGAAGGGCCATTCTGTTGAGCACTTGGAGATTCATCTTGACAATTTTATCCTCGATCTTTTCCTCCCTGAACTCGTCGAGCGACATTTGCTTCTGCATCATTTGCAGACTCTTGCGAAGCATGCCGAGCTCGACATCTTGCGCCTCGATTTTGCCGCGTGTGTTGTTTTCAAAGTTTTCGATGACCTTGAGCTGGGCGGAGATTTCGTCTTCCTTCCGCTCGAGCGATCCGAGCAGTTGAGCGGATTTTTCGCGTTCAGCAAAGAAGTTGCCAAGTTTGAGCTCGGTGACACGTTCGAACTCGCTCTGCGCTCGCTCGAGTTTCTTCAGCTGCTTCTCGAATTCTTCCACTTTTTCAAAAATCTCTCTGAATGCTCAATTATCAATCGTGCCTTGGTCAAAGTGTTCTTACATTTTGTCGTCTTTTAGATCGAGCGAAATGTCCTCCAAATTATTTTCTAATCGCGTGGCCAGCTCTCTTTGCTCTGCATTACTATTTTCAATTGCTTCGGCATTGTAGTCGGCTTAGAAAATTATGATTTGATCAATCTCTCGCTTCGTACCTTTTTCAGTGATCTTTTCAATGATTTCTGATAGCGATTTCTCGATGAGTTTTTCTTTTAAAATTCCTTCTTGCTGTCGCTCATCGAGCTCTTTGATGCTGTTTTTCAAGCTTTCCACAGCTTTTTCGAAGTTTTCGTTTTTTCCCTCTAATCCGTCGAATAAGTTTTGGGAGGTCTTTTTGATATCCGAGATTTCAAGAAGCAGCCGTTCGTGATTGTCCTTTTCAAGGATTAATATTTCAAAATTAAATTCTTAAATCTTCAAGATTTGAATTTATCTGGGTCACAGATGCAAATTTGCTGAGCTGAGTGAGCTGAACAGTCGCTCAGCTCTGACAATTTTCACTCAGCTCAGCTCAGCTCAGCTCAATCATTTGAACAAAATTTTACTACTAAAAACACAGTAAAAACAGCTCAGCTCAACAAGCTCAGCTCAGCTCAAATACCTTAAAAAAAGTCTGCTCAGCTCAGCAATACTGAAGCAAAATTTTCAACTCTGATCTGGGCTAGGGTTAAATCAATAGCTCTCAATACAAATTATTATATGCATCCTCTCCTGACTGGAATGCTTATTCCGCAGCACCTGCTCATAGATCTCATTTGCCGCAGGCGTGTTCGCCAAGGATATCGCTTCAACGCTCAAGTTTGTAGCAAAGATCACCGTCGAGATTTTCATTTTTCAGAAAAAAAATATATAAAAATTGGTAATTCGAAAAGTCGAATGCTGATTGAATGTCTGCAGCGCACGTTCTATTCACGTTAGATGTTATAAGTCTGAAGCGTTGGGCGTAAACAAACAAGAGGTTTTGCCATACGCAACAACGTGGATGAAAATTTCATGAGTAATCGACTCCAATGGATTTCAATTCAGAATAAGTTTTATTATTAAAAAAAGATCACCGACTGAGATATTTTGTACAAGGAGAAACGCGTTTTTCGAATAAGCGGCACTCCCACTCATGCCGCAATTCAAAAGAACGCGCGAAGCTCTCACAAGATGAGCTCTAAATGAGAGTTTCTGAGAAGTAAAAAGTTGTAGAAAAAAGAAAAGAAAACAGAAAAGAAAGAACAGATTCCCTCGTCAATCAAAAGCGCTGGATCGCTTCGTGTGTTTTTTGATTGGGTTTAGGGAATTAAGAGTTGAACTGGCTCGTATCAAGCAGCCCGGATGAGAATGATTCGTTTATTGTTGAGCTTGCTTCCAGATGTTGAACTTTCGGGCCATGTTCTGATTGTCCTTAAAATCGAGATGTTAAGAGACGCAATTTTACTTTGAGCGTACCTGGATGAGGTGCATTTCTGGGCAGAGGACGTCGTAGTGCTCCTCAAGCTCGGCGTAGAAGGCAAAGAGCACCTTGTTCTTATCAGCAAGAGCTCGCTTCTCGAGTCGTTGTTGCTGATAAAAGAGTAAGAAACAAATTCAATCGAGGTTAGACTCTACCTTTCTGAGTTCCTTGAGAGCCTTTGCGGCTGCCTTGGCGTCTTTCTTCTCCTGTTTTCGCTGGGCTCGTTTGGCTTCGTTTTCCTGTCGTCGGTTCTCTCTCCACGATTCCCAGTCGGACTCTTTCCATGCCTTGTTCTCGCTCTTGGCTTTCTTCTCGGCGAGCTTGTTGACGATCTTGTCGTACTTGTTCTTTTCTTTGGTCAAGTTGCGAGCGAGGGCGGCGGCTTCCTTCTCGGCCGCTTTCTTGGCAGCTTGGATCTCGGCTCGGTTGACGTACTGCTCCTTGAGCTTGAGCGCGGTCTTGTTCCAGAAGCCGGCCTCGAGGTCGTCTGTTCCCGGGCAAGTGGCGTTGTCGGGCACACACTGCACCTTGCAGTCCTTGCAAGCAGCTGCCCGTGGGTCGGCGAACTGAGCGTAGTCACGTGGGTGAGTGTAGCGGGAGCAGATGATGTTCGACTGAGCGTGCCACGCGTTGAACTCGGCGATGTTGGCTAAAGTTGTCAGTTAAGAAAAGCCGAGAGACCGAATCTCTATTTTTCTATAGCTCTCTGTTTCTCTCTATTTACCGTCACAGTCTCCACAGACGTCAGCCGAAGCTAAACCAGCAAGAAGGGGAGCGGCGAGTTTCATCTTCGGTTTTTATAAAAAGACCCTTATCGAGTTTTTATTTGGTTGTTTGTTGTCCAAGTGAGATTCTTGGGATGATGAGATGGGAGCTGAAGATGGTATATATACCCTCTTGAACTTGGAGGACACCTAGCGTTTCAAGTTTGGAAACTTGGAACTTAGTAATACTGCACCTCAATAAGCCAGGCTTAGGCCGCAGATGACGACTCCCGCGCGGAGTTAGAGCTCAAAGCGCAATCGCCATCGGAAAAAAATATCTCTTCGGGATACACTTGCACTTTAGATATCTGCGCAAGAAAAACCTGGCGACAAGAAATAGCTGAAACATTTTCGAGTTCATTTCTCAAAAATATTATAGAAAAAAATTGATTGATTTTATTGCTATTTTTTTTCGAACTAAGAATAAGGATATTATCGGGTTATATCTTTTATTTTCAATCTAATGCAAAAGCGCAATACTAGTATAAAAGAACAAAAATAGTCCGTAGCTAAGTTGTCGATCATGTCAAAGATAGCTTCCCTTCGTTTGAAATGTTATAAATCAACACGTTTAATATAAATTCGGATGACGTTAAAATTCTTTAGATACGCCGGGATGATAATATCACAAAAAAAGACAATCGTATCGTGAATTTGTTCTAGTACGCAAGCGTTCATTTGAAGCCAAACCTATAGGCTATTGTTTTTCATATTCAGTGCATAATGAATTGATGTGGATTTATATTCAATTTGGCAGGTACTGACAATGTCACGAATGTCACGAATGTCACGAGTTGACTGAAAATGTCACGAGTTTCGAAAAATTGACTTCCATCTTTTTTCGAATTAAGCACTCCGAAGGACCTAACGTCCTTCTTCGTGCATTTTCTGGTAGATTACTCATTGTGTTGGCGGGGCCCAACTCTTACTACACGCAAAACTCAAATTTTTCGGCCGCTCTTACTGACGATGTCACGAAAATAGTGGTCAATTTCGTGGCATTTGTGACATTCGTGAAATTTTCAGTGCCGTCGTTAGAGTTCATGCAAGCCTGACAAGAAAAAAAAAATAAGAAAAGAAGACTAATAGTTTTTTATCAAACATGTATTTATTAATGTCCATTTAGTGTTTGGCATCACATTTTTTTCTACGAAACAATTCACCCTAGCATTTTAAGAACTGTACAAGGAGAAATCGAATATTCGGCACTCCCACTTATGCCGGCATTCTACAACTCTCAGAAGATCTGAAGATTTTTGATGTCGATCGTCTCAATCGTCGAGTATATATCGATATACAGTTTTAGTACAGGAATATATTTACTGGAGCGGAGACCATCGGAAGGCCATCAGATGCGACTTTACTGGAAGGTTTGGGCGCGTTTCCAATTGGCGTACTTTCTAGCTTCAACTTCGTTGTCCTAGAAAACTTTAGCAATGTCTCTCGTGAAATTGCTTCTACCTGAATGAGGAACATATCGGGACAGAGGGGATCGTAGTGCTCTTCAAGATCAGCGTAGAAGGCGAAGAGAACCTTGTTCTTCTCGGCGAGAGCGCGTTTCTCCAATCGTTTTCGCTGAAAGAAAAAGTAAAATTCTGTCGAAGTTCCCGAGAATCCAATTACCTTAGCCTCCTCCTTGGCAGCTTTGGCAGCAGCCTTGGCTTCCTTCTTAGCTTGCTTGGCCGCGGCTCGGCGAGCCTCGTTCTCAGCTCGTTTTTCTTCTCGCCACTTGGCGTAGTCCTCCTTCTTCGCCGCCTTGTTCTCAGCTTTGGCCTGTTTTTCTTCCATTTTCTGTTTCATCTTGTTGTACTTGTCCTGTTCTTTTTGCAGCTTGTTGGAGCTGCGGAGTGCGAGCCTGGCAGCAACTTGAGCAGCGGCCTTGCTTTCGGCTCGCTTGATGTACTGCTCCTGGAGTTTGAGCGCGGTCTTGTTCCAGAATCCGGCTGCGAGATCGTCAGTGCCCGGGCAGGTCTCCTCGTTGGGAACGCACTGGACCTTGCACTCTTTGCATGCAGCACGCGCGTCGACGAACAGATCCCGTGGGTGTTGGTATCGAGAGCAGACGATATTGGACTGACCGTGCCAGGCGTTGAAATCGGCGATGTGGGCTAAAATCATCTCAAAACTGAAGCGATATCAATTAGAATTACCATCGCAGTCACCGCAGATATCTGCACTAGCCAAGGCGAAAAAAGCAGCAGAAAGTTTCATCCTTTCCAGTTGTCGTTTGTCGTTCTATTTTGTCTTGGCTGACTTGACTCTTTTAAACTCGTATCGAGTTTTTTTAGTTTTTCAACGCCGACTCGAGGTTTTTCGAAGTTGCTGAATCAGTATATTTTGCGAGCAATTTATATGCCACTTGGACTTGGGACTCCAGTAGGAGGCGATAGCGCGCGATGCCACGCCGTCCGGTAATCAGACGCAACCGCGCAGGTTGCAGTTAAGCTACGGCATTAGGAGCTCAAAGGCGCACTCGCCAGAATAGTATCCATGCCAAACGTCGGGGACCGTGGTGACGGTAAGAAGCACTTCAGAATGGTGCAAAAATCTCATCAGTGGAATAAAGAGGAAGGTAATAGGGTTAGGGCATTCCTTGTCTTGTTTTACAGAAAGAACAATGCAGTAGATACGCTCAATAGAAGGATTCTAGAGCAGTGGGAATTCGACCCTCGGCCCAGGGCCATCTCGGAGTTGAATTGTTCCTTGAAGCATTTTTACTTCGTCCTAGATTAGTGAATTAGTAATTAGCTTTAGATTATCTATTATATAGATAGATAATAATTTATTTTTTCCTAAATTTACAGGGCCAGTCAGCTGGAAGTGGATATACTTGTTGGCGACTTTGTGGTTGTTGCAGACAAAACCATGTTTGAGACACGAGGGATACATCCAGGACGGCAGTCCCTCCTGGGCCCACTCTTGAGGAGGAAGCATAAGCACCATTTTTTGGAAATCCGGGAGAGTATCCATCTGAACACAGGGAATGTCTCTCCAGAGAGGCCCATTCTGGGACGCCGCAGCTTGAGAGGCAGCGCCTTCCGATGCTGCGCCTTGGGAGGCAACGCCTTGGGATGAAGTCCCTTTAGAAGGTGTTCCTTGAGATGCAGGATCCTGATATCGTTTTTTTTATAAATTTATAAGCAAGCATTTCTTACCGATGTGTCTGAGTTAGGCGCTGATTGAAGCTTGAGTTGATCCATTGCTCCAATTAAGAACGCTTTGATCAGCTCGCGCATATTGTCGTTCTAAAAATTATATCGGTTAGATTCCTTCTTATATCAAGTTGCATATAGTCTATATCTATGTGATATAGATTTTGAAATATTCAGTATTTACCGCCCAAAAAATAGAATCAGAGACGATGCAATGAAAATCCGGTCCTTCAGAAAACATGATATCGTTCTTTTTACCCGTCTCTAATTCGCGGAAAAGCATATGGCCGATGTCGTCATTGGAAGACCATTGAAGTGTTCTCTTTGTTCTAATAGATACATCTAGCCTCGCAACGCCTTCTCTACATGGAACATGGCGTCTGGCTCTCGGAGCACGGGGCATCTTGGAAATGAGCGAGGAAATATCGTGTGCACGCGTTTTTATACTCCAATTTCGAGCGCGATTCTCGAAAGTCAAAATTAAGAAACTGGAGAAATCTATTTTAAAAATTTTCTAGAATAAATTAACAACACCAACTTCATTCCTCGAGAAATTCGTTAAAAGAACAAACGTTCCATAAACCTTTTTTAAGTAACACGTCATACTCTGTTCCATCGTTGAGTCAGCTCCAGCTAAACGATACTTATCGAAAGAGACTCTCAATACCAGTCGGTTTAGGCAGAGCTTAGTAAAAGAATACACTACTGCGTCAAGCTTTCTATACGCGTCGACGATTAGCAGCGCCATCTTGAGGTCCCTCAAGTCCAAGGCGATATAAATATGGCATATGGGAAGAAGAAGTCATCAACCAAACAATCATTCAAATTACGAGAAGTTTTACCTCGATAAGAGTTTTTTTCACTTCTTGCTTGTTTTCTACAAAAGAACAAAATGAAACTCACTGGCTCCGTTTTAGCTGCTATGGCTTCCGCCGATGTTTGCGGCGATTGTGATGGTAAGAAATGACATATTTAATATATTTAAAAAAATATATTTTTAGCCAACATCGCCGAGTTCAACGCGTGGCACGCTCAGTCGAACATCATCTGCTCCCGCTACACTCACCCACGTGACTACGCTCAGTTCGCCGACCCACGGGCAGCTGCTTGCAAGGACTGCAAGGTGCAGTGTGTGCCCGACAACGCCACTTGCCCGGGAACAGACGACCTCGAGGCCGGCTTCTGGAACAAGACAGCGCTCAAGCTCAAGGAGCAGTACGTCAACCGAGCCGAGATCCAAGCCGCTAAGAAAGTGGCCGAGAAGGCAGCCGCCACCCTCGCTCGCAACTTGACCAAAGAAAAGAACAAGTACGACAAGATCGTCAACAAGCTCGCCGAGAAGAAAGCCAAGAGCGAAAACAAGGCATGGAAAGAGTCGGACTGGGAATCCTGGAGAGAGAACCGACGACAGGAAAACGAGGCCAAACGAGCCCAGCGAAAACAGGAGAAGAAAGACGCCAAGGCAGCCGCCAAGGCTCTCAAGGAACTCAGAAAGGTAGAGTCAAACCATTGAACGATTTGTTTCTTACTCTTTTACCAGCAACAACGACTTGAGAAGCGAGCTCTTGCTGATAAGAACAAGGTGCTCTTTGCCTTCTACGCCGAGCTTGAGGAGCACTACGACGTCCTCTGCCCAGAAATGCACCTCATCCAGGTAAGCTCAAAGTAAAGTTGCGTTTCTTAACTTCTCGATTTTAAGGACAATCAGAACATGGCCCGAAAGTTCAACATCTGGAAGCAAGCTCAACAATAATTTCCAAGACTACTCTGTTTGATGAACTCAGTTCGCGCTGACCCTTTTTTATACTTTTCAAATGGTTGATAAAACCTTTTTTACTTCTTACTTTTGGCGTTCTTGAATCGCGACATTAGTGGAAGTGTTTTATATTCAAGACTTTACTGTACAAACAAGCACTCTTTTTTATAAATAAATTCTGCAAAAAATACTCAAGCTTGTCCAATTTTATCAATCACTTTCATGGAACAATTTATTTATGGCAGTTGCATTCTTAATTTAAAAGACACTCATAGTCATAGAGCTCTTCGAAATTATAGTTACAATCAATTTGACAGTTTCAAATAGAAAATGCTAAAATGATGAGTTAGAAAAGGAATTCCATCGCAAATAAATTTAGTTTGTAAAAATATTTCCTGCATGAAAAAAGAGAAGACTATTGATCTCGCTTTTTGATATTTTTATTGAAAACACCATGATTTTTGTACAGTGTAGCTCGAGGTTTAAAATTGGCACTCCCACATATGCCATTCAGATTGTCGTGCCAGCAGGAATCAGCATTTGAGAAACAGTAAATAAAGAAAAAGAAGGTAGATGTTAAGTCCACATGTTATTAGTTAGAATATTTATATCAGATTTTTTGGCTGTTATCCATTGTCCCAATACCACAAATTATTTTCGTGCGTATTTTTTTCGATAACATTTCCTATACTTGAGAGTCTGTATTATAGGCAGGTCAGGGCTTGGCGGGTAATTTGACATAAATAGACATCGTAATAATCGAGGAGGTTTTATATAAAAAATAGGGTCGAGTAAAAGTTAAGATTTGAATTATTTACTGGGACTCGACGAGTTCTTCTTTTATCTGCTCGTACTGGTTCATCATGCGAGTGGACACGTTCTCATCAGCCTAAGGAAAAGGTCGCTTTGAACCTCTGTTAGAGTTTGGTGCGCTTACGTCAATGAGATGGAGATCAGCGCAAATGGGCTCGTAGTAAAGTTCCAAACTGGCGTAGAATGCAAACTTGGCCTTGTTCTTCTCCGCGAGAGCTCGTTTCTCGAGTCGTTGTTGCTGAACGGATCATAATTAACTAACTCGGAAGGGACTGAGTTTACCTTTCTAAGCTCCTTGGCTTCCTTGGCTGCCGCCTTGCGCTCCTTCTTTTCCTGCTTCCTTTCGGCGCGTTTTGCCTCGTTTTCAGCTCGCTTTTCTTCTCGCCAGGCTTGCCAATCTTCCTTCTTTTGCTGCTTATTAGCTGCCTTTTCAGCCTTTTCCTCGGCTTTCTTTTTCTGTTTCTCATACTAAACAGCAGTTAGAAATTATTAATCTCTTATTGGCTGCTGAAAAAACAGCGCCACCAAAAATGGTATATAACCTTTTCGAGTTCTTTCTCCAAGTTGCGAGCGACCATTCTAGCTTTGCCCTCAGCAAGGCTTTTTTCGTACTTTTCGAGGTACTGAGCGGTGAGTTTCTTCGCGGTCTTGTTCCAGGCAGCGTGTGCGACTGCGCTGACACCTGGACATTTGTCTTCACTTGGAAGACACTGGATTTTGCACTCTTTGCAAGCGCCACGGGCGGACAGAGACTCTCGGGGGTCAGTGTACCGGGTGCAAGTGATGTCGGAGTTACCGTGCCAGGCGTTGAAGTTGGCAAGCGCAACTAGAAATCAAATTTCATTGATTTGTTGTTGTTTTTTTATAACTCGAGGCACTGAGTTAGTCGTCTCTAAACTTACCGTCACAATCTTGACAGACATCAGCGCTAGCAAAGGCGAAAAGTGATAAGGAAAGCTTCATTTCTTTCTTTTTAGTTTATCACTTGTTGCTCGAAAAAGCAGAGTTCTTTAATCAAGACTGTCGCTTGATAATTTTGATGACCAAAATGAGATGCGCAGTGTCTTAAATAGCTTTGTCAGGTTCCAAAGAGTGGAGCTCCGGAGTCGGAGTTAATCCAAGGGAAAAGTAAGCAAATACCTAAAATAGAGGGCCAAAGAGTGAATGCCATTTTAAGCCCAACAGCGCCATCAATCGCCTTCAAAATAATTTTATTATCATCTTGAATGTTTTTACAATATTTCTTTCGCACTTTAAAACGTAGAAAAAAGAACTCCTTCTCTAAGAAAATACTGTATTTTTAAATAGATCATATCTTAGTTTTCTTCCGTTTTCTTTTCTCCAATTTCTTAACGGTGGCTTAGATAATTTTGAAGATTTGCGATGAAGCTGTTTTTGGAAAGATAGAATTGGAAAATACCAAAACAATCAGAAAAGAGTTCTTCACGGCGGTACAGCTGCGGAACTTCTAGTCTATCTTGATTAGTGCAATTTCCATCTCCGATTTTGATATCCAGCTGAGAAGCGCTGCGCTCTATCACCATCTATCTGATCGTCGGTGGTATAAAACTCCCACTTGCTTTGGACAACACAGCAAATTCAAAAATCATTCTACAGAAAATCCTCTTTTTCCAACAATGACCAACAACCGCGAGTTTCAAGACGCCTTTGTCAAGTACATGCAATCCCAAGTCGGAAAAATGGTCGACCTTGAAAAACACGACGCCATGATTCGATCCTTTGGAGTAAAGCGAACCAGCAGAACGATTTACACCTTACAGGGCTGCAAGTTTAACTTTGAAGACGAGGACGTACGTCCAGCGAGCTTCAATGACGACGAGTCTCCAACGATTTCAGAGGACGACTTCGAGATCGATCAAGAAGCAATTGATAGACACGAACGTATGTACCATGGTTCCAAACCTTCAACTCAGAAGAAGCGATCTTCTAAGAAGAAAGGTTCACTCAAGCCATCCAGACCACTCACTGACGAGGAGAGAGACGCATTGTTCGGCAAGCCAAAAGACGTGACTACCAAGGTCAAATTGCCAAAAACTAAGAAGTCAACACAAGAAGAAGGCCAGCAGAAGAAGAAGAAAAACAGCGGCAAGGCCCCGAACGCTATCCGAAAAACGAAGAAACCGTCTCGACTCTAATCACCAACTGACATTTCTGCTCCTTTTGTTATTTCTGTTTTTGCTTATGAATTCTTGAATAAAACACTTTAATATAATTTGCTTTTCAATCTTTTTATTTTTTGGATTTCCAGTTCGAAGACTTAGAAGCAGGAGTCAGGAAAACGGGTTTATTCAAACCTGACACTGACTTCTATTTAAGCTCAAGTGTGTACCTGGCGTCTTTCAAGAGCCAGAACTTTTAGAACTGACGGAGTATCATTTTGAGCAGGAGCAGGCTCCACGCCAGCGCAGTTTTGGTCCTTTTCGTTAATCCTTTTTCGTTATCTCCTTACCAGTATTTGGCGATCCCGGTGGCGCTTTGGTTTCATCTGTGCAGCCCATAAATAGCCGCACGAAAGTCCAAGTCCAAGCTTCACATCCAACTTGGACCATCATTCTTGAATTCTTGCGATACGCAAAATCAAGCCCTTCTTTGACCTTTTTCGATCGAGCATCAAAAACATGAAGTTGAATCTTACTTTTTTGGCACTCGCCTTCGCCGGAAAATCGGATAAAAAATGCCGCGCGTGTGACGGTAAGACAGAGATAATAATACAGAGAATAAAGAGAGAGAAACGCAAAAAATTAAGATTTGATAAGTCGGTTTAATGATTGGCATAAAAATCCAAATATGGTGTGCGATCGGTACACTTCTCCGAAGTTTATTGCCAAAGGAAATCTTAGAGGAGCTTGTAAGGATCGGTTATTTCACAAAAATAACTGCTTATTTGTAATCTATTTTACTTACAATAAAATTGAAAAATTGTTAACCGAAGTAAGGAATGCAAAATTCAATGCATCCCTAACGAGGACAAGTGCCCAGGAATCACAGACCTTCCAGCCGGATGGTGGCACAAGACTGGTGAGAAACTCATGAACCAATACGTCGATAAGGCAGCAGAACTGCACCAAGCTCGCCTCGATTTGCGCGCCGCGAACAAGCTTGAAAAAGAGCTCGCCAAAGTGAGTTTTTGATTGAGTCCTTGTTGATCTCGAAAATGATTAATTTAATCATTTTGTGCTAGTACAATAAGCAGAAGAAGAAAATTGAAGAGCAGAAGGCGAAGGCTGAAAATAAAGCGTTCAAGAAGGCTGACTGGGAAGCATGGAGAGAAGACCAGCGACAGAAAAATGAAGAAGCTCGTGCCCAGAAAAAACAGGAAAAGAAAGAACGTAAGGCAGCAGCCAAGGCCCTCAAGGAGCTCAAAAAGGTAAAGAAAATGGCGAAAAATAAAAGCTACAATTTTGGATGTTAGGAGCAACGACTTGCGAAGAGACTGCTTGCGGATCAAAATAAGGCACTCTTCGCGTTCTATGCAAGCCTTGAAGAGCACTATGAGCCAGTCTGCCCGGACCTTTACCTGATTGAAGGCATCCAAAACGAGGTAACAAGTACTCAATGATAATCAAATTTTACAATTCTTATTTCAGACTGTGGTTGCAAGAAAATACGAGAATTTTCTCCGAACACTTGCGTAAACTGATAAAGAAATTTGCGCATCTCTGTAAATATCCTCGAAAACGACTCCAGTTTGGTGATCTTCTGAACAACTGTTTTTATCCTGTAGGGCCTCTTATACTTTAATAAATTAACTTTCTAAGCACAAAGACTTTGCAAGACTTTCATAGTACGATGCATCGCTTATCGACTCAGCTAAGTGTTGCTAAGCAAATACTCTAGGCATGTTTTCCTGTTGACAGTGAATCTGTTATCTGAGTCCGTTTCTCCAATTCCGCCCGTGTCGCATTCGATAAGCTCTTCGAGCAATATTTATCTTGTGTTACCAAGCAACAGTGCTTAGTTCCACCTTTTATATTGTCTCTAGAACCCAGTGTGTGCCCAAAAGTGCTTAACAAAGCCGGCGCCTTGGGCCCAGAGCGAAACTGGTTGATGGAAGAGAACGTGTCCTCGGCAAACTGAAAAAAATCAACAAGATTATCTTTCTCTAGAATCTACAAAGAGTCCTTTGTTATCCCTGATAACGAGAAAATCTCCAGTTTCACGATAAAATGAGCTCCGATGTGGAGCCAAAGTCGGGCATACCAGGTTTGTTATGGGCCAAACAAATCATAAAATCAATAGCTATTCATATATAAAAAAAATAAAAATTAAGCAGTTATGTCACTATAAGAAGACTTTGATTCTGTTTTCGTGTCTTTAAAATAGTCTAGACTCGCTGCTCCGAACATTACGGGCGAATTCGGAGTCCCACTTCCGCCCGGCGCAAGAAGAGCTTGAGACTGGCTCCCTAAAACCTGATGGCGCCTGGAATTACAGAAGTCAGCGCTCGAAGCTTAGCCACCTTATCAAAGCTCCTCCTAGCCACAGTGGGCAGGTTGGCAGCCGCGACATTTCCTTCCTCCAAGACAAAGCAAACATGGACCACGGCTCTTCAGCGAATATCGACGATTCTATCATCCCAAAGAACTTCCATGTTATCAAAAGCAAACGTGTCATCGGACTTGATGCTAAATCCGGTCCCTACAGGTTAATTCAAATATAGATTCAAGCATAGAATTGATCAAAAATTAGAACAACTTTGGAAGATGGGCTCAACCGTCTTCGCGTGTTTCCTTCTCTTCAACCTAATCGGCGAGTAGACGCAATAATGCTCAACGAAGCAATGGATAAAATGCTGGCCGAATTGACCACCAAGCCAAAGACAGCTGCTGGCGAAGGCAACCAGGGACATATTCACGACGTTCTTGACACGATCAAGAAGGAGCAGGATATTTACGACGTCGTTTTTTACGAAATCATTCGCCAGGTGACCGTCGATTGCAAAGAGCGTGGCCAACTCTTGTCAAAACTGAGGAGGGCCTACTCTGATCTGCTTGGAAGGATTCCGGAATATGTCGGGGGAATTCACTCAGAGTGTAAGTAAAATTATCTTTCTCCCAACATTTTCATTTTGATAGTGATCGCTCAAAGAGTTTTGGACGGAAAACTGACATCGCAAATTCTCTTTTTCAAGAGCGAAATCGACCGACTCGGCAATGAACTCCAAATTGTCAAAGATCACGACAAGTCGATCAGCGAAGAAGCGGAAACTAGTAAAAAAGAGCTTCAGTACGCGATGAGCGAATCGGCCAAGAGTGCTGCAGTTTTGGAGGAGTATCATCAGCTGTACGAATTGCAGAGAGAACGACTTCAGAAACATATAAAAAAGATTACGACGGAACGCGAGATCTGGAACACGGCTGCTTATTCACTGGCAATCAAACTTGTCGATGAAAATGAGTTGTCTGTTGCGCGGAGAATTTACGTATCAGAACGAGCTTGGTCAAAACTCGCCCGGCACTTTGCCGTCTTTTTGGCAGAGCGAGATTCGAACGATTTGAATCTTCTGCAAATGGAGGTGCATAGATGGCGCGACACAGCTTCAAATTTGAAGAGATTGAGCCAAACGAAGAATAATAAGGCTCGTGAGCTTGCAAAAGAGCTTTTCCAAGAGCTCGCAAAAGTGATGGAAGAATTTAAGAAAAAGTTCATCTACATCGACTTTGCTGGTGGGCGTCGAGCAAAAGAGCCCGATCTAAACAGCGCAGATCAGCTGATCGAAGATTTTGAATTTGTTACCATCAAACTAGGCAAATTCATTCATACATTCGACAACTCCGATCCATTGGCAGGCAAGTGCGGGAAGTATCTCGAAGACATGGAGCAGCGGCTAAACAACTGGACAGACATCGCCGTTGAAATTTACTCTCGTCATCGATCGCCTACGGATCAGAAGCATGCACAGCACAATATCATGACAGACTTGAACGAAAAGATCATTCGATATCACCATCAAATGGTCGACAAAAACACAGGGCAGGATTTTTCAATAAATAAAAACAATATTGACTGAAAGTATAATTTAATAAATCCGAAGCTGAGGTGAAAATGGCATTGTCCAGCGAGCATCAACGATCAACACCGGCTTGAATTTGTTGAAAGCTAAGATTGGACAGGAGTCGTTCAACGAAGAAGTTTGGCTTGACATTGTTGACACTGCAGATGGATTCATCGATGTCTTCTCTGACATCATCCAGTTTATTGGAAATCTTCGTGGCGCGGAAGAGCCTGCTGTTGAGGTCGACTCAATGGAGGCGTTCAATGATGTAACGAAATGGATGAGAACATCTGTGGATGGAATCGAAGCTGAAAACACCAAGATCACAGCATTGATAGATTCCCTTAGCAACGATCAACTGCTGTGGATGTCGTCTAGTCTGGTTAACTTGGTGCCTGACAGGTCTAACTGCACGCTGCTACGCGATATAAGCTGTCCAATTATGGTAAATCATTCTTTCTTTTGAGTGAGAACGGTCCATGTTCTTTTAAAGCTTAGGCACTTAGGCGAGAAGCACTTTAATTTTAACCAAAAGCGATACTACTTGTCTGAAAATGATATGTTAAGGCGACGCCTGAGACACTTGTAGCGGATCAACAGGAGCTATCCGATCGGTGTTTAGACTTGACAAGCTACTTGGAAAAGTGCGTCATCGGACTCGTGCTAGAAAACACGCGTATCAATACCCAGCAACAACGTTTAAGGATTTGGATACTTATCTAATAAGCAGATTTCTGTCTTACAGTGAAGTACTCGAAATAGAGAAATGACTGAAATGGAGAGCGCCTTATCCGACGAACATTTAGATGGCAGCGATGCCGAAGGAGAATCCTTTCCAAAGCAGGAAGCTCCGCCTGTTCTCGATGATTTACCCGAGCCCGAAGTCCAAGAAGAAGAAGGGGATAATCTAGAACTCCAAATGAAAGCGTTTAAAGGTGCACTAGTTATTGTTTTCTATTCAAACTCTTATTCTAGAGGAGGCTATCGAGTGGGAACGAGCTGCCGTCTTCCTTGCCGAAGCTTTGCAAACACTCATCGACGAGAAAAAGACAAAAGATCCGTCTTTGGTTCTCGAAGAAGGTACGTTTTGAAATTTTTTCTGATTCACAAGAAAACCAAGGAAAGTTGAACACAATCAACTACAATTTCGAAGAAGCGGAAGCTCATTTTGCGCGCAATCTCTACATTGTTTCCGGCAATGAAAACATCACTCTTCGGTAAGACTAATCGAAAATTGCCATTCGACTTAGTTCTCAGGGATGTGGATAGACCTGTTGGTACACATGACGACGGCCTTTCCAATCCAAAGACAGAGGAATCAGACAACAAGCTCTCAGCACTCGGCTCAGTTGAAGTCCTCCAACAGGAATTAATGCTTTCCGAAGAACGAGCACTACGGGCGGAAGAAAAAGTGGAAGAACTTGAGGGAATTCTACTAGCTATTCGTCAAAAAGAAACTGAGGGTTTTTACTTTTTGTCTGATGATAAGGTAACGAAATTTCAGAAAAACGAGAAGCCGAAAGAAGTCCGGAGGAGAAGAAAAAACGAGAACAAGAAGAAGCCAAGAAAGTGGAACCTCCGAAAGCGCCTCCCGTTTTGACTGCTCCTAGAATCGCTAAGCCGACAACAACAGCCTCAGAGGTAATAAAATGTTTCTGTTACTTATCAAAATATGATTTCAAAGCTCGTCGTGCCCACGAGTACTCAAAGGCCCCGATCGCCAGGAGGAGCCAACTCGCGGCCTAACTCTGCGAATCCAAAGAAGGGCCAACCAAAAAAACGAACAACGACGAGAAAATGAACTCGTCGGATGACCTTTTCTTCAACATCTGTATTAATAAATTAAATTGCATGACTACGGCAGCGTTTGTCTTCAAAGTATCTATCTAAGCAAAGAAATCAACAAGGATCAATCAAGTGGTATTTACTCACTGAAACAAGTAGCATTTTGAAATTTGAAACGGTTTATTGAAATTTAGAAAATGTTTTGAAGAATGTTACTGAAGGGAAAATTTAGAAGATGAATGAGAAATTAATGGTCAGTAAATTAGAAGTGTCTTTTTTTTAATTTTTTCCATGTTTTTTTTTTCTCAGCTATCTCAAAGAGTCCACTGGGGTCGGTATCGGTGTTCCGTGCACAGGACAAGTGCTCTGACCCGCTGCTGCGTTCATTGGCTGGATGGTTTTCATCTTCTTTCTATCCTCTTCTGTAGCTCTTTGTCTGGCACGGGTCATCTCGGCTATTCTAGCTTCTCCTCGTTGCTGTTCTCGTCTCTGTTTGAATTCGTCAAAAAAAGATGGATTGAAGATGAAGTCGCAAAGGACAAGTGGAAAAGCGAATCCAAGGACGACAGAAACCAATGTGATGAAAATGGAAAGACCAAGTCTGAAGCCTTCCGCAAATTCAGTTTGAATTGAAGGATAAGTCGATGTAGCAGGTATCATAAACATCTCTCAAGCAAAATATCAGAAGCTTTCAAAAATGAGTTTTTTTAATAATGCGTGGAGTGGCGCATTTATATACGCCACAAATATCATTCATGAAAAATATCCATTCCATTGGAAAGAGCACGACCATAAACGATCACGATTGAGAACTCCCAATACTAAAGTAAGTTATCGGCAATAACTAAACATTCAGCTTATCATGTTTATTCTCCTCATTCAAATGCTTCTCTGGGTTCCTTGATAAATAAGAAACGTTAAGAAGAAAAAGCCCTTCAAGATAATTTCAAGGTCTTTTGCGTAAAGCCGCGTTTGAACTTTCCTTTATTCAATAATGAAAATATTGCAAGAGTTTTGGTGAAGATTAAGTCGTTTCAAAGGCGATGTCTTTTCTTTTTCTTTCATTTTCTGATATGACAGTCGCTGCAGAAGTTGACGCGATGATACCCACTTAAAATCGAGGCTAGATGAAAACAAATGCGAGCTAAGTTACCTTCTGTAATAGCAGCAGTGACGAGCGAAGCGGGTATAACATCTTGAACGATATTGGCGAAGGTAATGTGTTCGTTGATAGGAAACTCGCGTATCTCGTTTTTAATGTCGAGCGCGTTGATTGCACAGCGGTCCTCGAACTTGTATGTTTCGCAGCAGACAAGTACCGGCACTAACAAGACGAATAAGTCATCATAAATCGTTAATTGTGATTAACCTTGGTCCTCGTTTGCCACGCAAGCGACAGTTCCGCAACCCTTTGCACCAACAACTGATCCATTGGCTAAAAGAGAGCGTGCTCCAATAATGACTACATCGGTCTGCTTCATCATATACGACAGGCCAGCAATAGTTGAATACTTTGTTTGTATTCCAGCCTCTATAATTCCATTTAGCAATGAAATCTAATATATTATTTCTCTCACCAGTAAGACACTGAAGAACTCTCTTCCCACTGAAACTCGGCTCTGTGTCGACTACAATGACCTCAAACTTCCTCCCCAGTCTGCTTGCCTTCTCGAAAATGCGCACCATGTTCATCCCGTCGCCGAAAGTCAATACAGTAGAATTGTCAGTGATCAAGTTGAAAGTCTCGTTGGCGATTGTCGCCTCAGCCTCATCAACGCGCATTTTCCAGAAGAGCTGCAACTCTTCGTGGAGAAACTCTTTGAACTCGGCCAAGTTCTTGTCGCGCGCCTGTCGAGAACGAGCGGCTTCCTTGACGATGTCTACTAGACAAGCCTCGCTGCGCGTCATCGGGTGGCACTTGGAGATGAAGTTGATGTTAGGATTCAACTCGGAGATGAAGTTCTGCTGAATAGAGACGCGATGATGTTGCTTCAACTCGTCGTTAAAGTTACGCCCGTCGAAGTCGTCGATGAATAATTCCAGGGCGCGCTTCAATTTCTCTGCCATCTCCCGTTCGTCGATTTTGGACAGATGAGCTGCCTTGAAACCGAGGCGAACGATGGCTCTGTGCAGCTGATTCGGCGCTATAAAACATGAAAAACTTAACTTTCTGTAGCAAAATCTCGATTCGTGATTTCTTAACCTCTAAATATTGTTTATAACGCCTCCTGTGTTGGATTTTTCGTAATGCCGCGGGAGAACATGTCTTTTCTGCCAAAACCCATCGTTTGAATTGTGTCTTTGATTCCTGCCGTGTTGCGCATGTAGGTAAACAGTGGCTCAGTAAGCTCAACCTGCGACTGTTGCGTCTTAGTCGTCTTCAAAAGTCGACGAGGGTCAATGGACTGAGACTCGGAGATCTTACGCGTGCGGCCGGGGACTCCTTCTGCTTGGAGCGCTGCAACTTGAGGCACGGGTGATGCCGCCTGTAAATGAAATGAGCACAGTGGGTCGAGTTAAAAAGCTTTCCTTGGGGACAGGTGATGCCTGACGCACTGGCGCTTCTTCTTGCTTCTTTTTCATCGCTTCTTCTTTCTTCCGCATTGCCTCGGCCTTTTTCGCTTCGACGTCGACACCCTTGTCTCCAACAACTTTTGCTCGACGAGCCGCCTTTTCCAGCTTCTTCTTTTCTTTTGCACTCAATTCCTTCGTCATTTTCAGACTCTAAAAAGGATAAAGAAAGATTAGTTTTGTGTTTCGTGCGTCTGTTTATCCGTATTGAAAGCACATGGAAATGTGTACGAGTATAATGATACTATCATAAAAATGACAGTATTACTGTTAAAATAAATGGGGCATGGTAAGTGTTTTTGGCAATTAACTTTTGTTCATCTTTTAACTTAGATAATACCTAGATTTTTTTTATTTTATATTTCGTGAACTGTTTATCCTTAAAAAATAATGGTGTGCGCATGGTGGTAAATGAACTAGATATAAGCATAACTTGTTCTTGAACTTTTGGAGCATCGATGAAAGAGATAGATTCAGCAGTTTTTGTCAGGGGTGTTAGGCGTCAAAGGCAGCGGGTTTTGGGGGAATATCAGCTTTTGAATGACTTTTTTCGGCTCTATCTCCGGACCATCTGCTTTAGTGTATGTCGAAGGTTTATTCGTAGCTACACTGGTATATTTGTAATTTTCAAGTTGTTCCAAAGTTGGCAGAGGTTTCGTCTGAGGCGCTGCAACTGGAACTTTTGACTTTCGTGAAAGCTCGTATTTCTTTGGGTATTGAGCTTTAATCGCTTCCTCGTTAATCTGTGGAGTTGGAAAAAACAGCTGATCCCCGGAGCCAGCTAAGTACCGAAGTTTAGCATGACGAGTAGACTCTGTAATTTGTGCCTGTTTTCGGGGATTAAATTGGGAATCAGGAACGATATTTTTATCTAATATTTTCACACGTTTGGTTCTATTATCAGCCACAACATTAACTTCTTGAATCGTTTTCCGCTTTGATTTAACAGTGATTGGTGGGCTTGCGATGCAAATGTTGAACGAGTCGCTTTCCGACTTGGGTTGCCAGCGGGGTGGAAGCTTGGGGTCCAGCTTTGGGTTGGGTGTCGACTTGGGCTGGATGCAAGTGAGCTTTCTTTTGGTCTTTTTTGATGAATAAATTGACTGAGCGATGGGAGATGGAAATAATGGGCTTTTCAAATCCCCACAGCTGATATTTTTTCCGTTGATGGGGGAAAGAGAGGGGATCTTCTTGACGGCTTTTCCATCGATAAGACTCGGCTTTGGCTGAATGTAAATGTGTCCAGGCATTTTCGCTAGTCTTTGAGGAGATAGATCGCAGAGCGTTTGACTATTGTGCGTGAGGATGAAGGATTTACTTGGTGTTATAAGAAGCTCTGCGTTCTTGTCGATAACTTGTTTTTTCGAGACTGGCAAGCTTGAATTAATAAATGTTTTGTCGTCACGTTTCGATTGGAAATTTTGCCCGGCGTAACCGACTTGCAGCTGAGCACTTCTGAGAAGCTCATCAACAACGTCCAAATTGCAGACGACGATTTCAAATGGCTCTGGCCTAAATTTGATTCATTAAAAATTTGCGTCTCCGAATCTGACCCTACCCTTTGCACGTGAAGTCCCAGATCAATTTCCAATCAGGCTCGAATATTGTCGATTCCGGACCTCTAGACAAAAGCAACATCCTCGACGTCGGAATTTCGCCGAAGCCCATATTTACAAATGCGTCGTTAATTCGATGCTTGAGGGAAATGACCAGCTCGTCTCTTCGATAATCAACGCGGAATCTGAACAACGCATGATTGACCATTACGTTTTGCTCCATCAAAAGTCGTTCTATTCTTGTGCTTTTCAAGGGGGCCATTGGATAGACCAGTGTTTTTGTGAGACTTTCTATTCCAGATTGAATTTCGTCGATTTTCCTTCTTATATAACTTGATGGATCTTTCAAACTCTTCGCGAATATACCATTTCCTTTCTTTGCGTTTTCGAAATCCAGGTCGGTAACTGAGATTTGCTTCAATACATTCAAAAAACTGGAAACTATATCATTCTTCGCAGAGCTTTCTGCTGGCCTCTGGTTTGTCGACATCGCCGACATTTATTCCGACTCCTGGACCAAGTATAGCTTTCCAATAAAGCTAAAGTGCCAGTTTTCAGCCCCGATTTTCTGAATGATTAAGTGTTAAGAGCTTCGTGAATCTCTGATCTGAGATCTATCGCTTATCTGTGATACAAAAATAAATAAGTGCTAATCAAGGCAGGTGAGAATGATAAAGTTGGTACTCAAAATTGCTTTCGAACTTGGGTTCGAATGGAATTGAAATGATTTCTGTGAAGCCTTCGTTTCGTGCCGGAGCGACGAATTTCTTCCGATGCGAGTAGAGAATCATGTCTTTTATGACGGCTCCGCCTGTTACTGCGCGATATCGACAGTTGTGCTATAATTTATCGTTAATAAAAGGAGCTGTGGAGAACACACCATAGCTAATTCAATTTCTACGTCGAATAAAACGGAAATTATGGCTTCCAAATTCTGTTCGTGCGCTAGTTTGAGATATCGCTGTCTACTTGCTACATCTGGATTCGTTGCATCAATCACTACGCTTTTCTTCGCCTGCAGTGCTTCCTTACAGAGCCTAAGACATTTATCCGTTGAGCCAACGTCGTCGCGACAGAGAATTTCTATTTCTGGATGGCTTTTCTTCACCTGTTTAGCAAACGAGCTCTTTCCGCAGCCAGGATAGCCAGTAAAAATTACCAAGGACTGTTTTTCGCTGAGATGAGAATTTAGAATGTCTACATTCTTCTGAAACTTGGCCGAGTTGTCTTTAAGTTTCGCCGTGGCATGTTCTTTAATCTGGAATTCCTCCGCCGGCCTGTCGAGAAAGAACTCTTCAGGTGTTCGGAAATCTATTCCGCAATTGAGGGCGAAGAGTCGATCGGACGCTGAAAAGTCTTTTTTTCTTCCAGATATTTTATTCGCCGGGCGGCCGGCTGCATCGCCCACCATTACACAACTCCTTGGATCGAGACGAATGAACTCTTTCAGAAAGAAAAAGATGCCGGGTGATGGTTTTCGGAACATTCCACTGCCGCTGGCGACGCAAACTTCAAAGAGGAAGCCTAACTTGTCTTGTATTTGCGCTATCTTCTCCTGAAACTCTTCTTTCAACGTTTTATCCGTCTCCATGCTCTTTTGGTTAGAAATAAAGATGATTCTCGCCCCGTTTTCATGTAGCTTTTTAAGCGTTTCGGGCACTTTCTTGTCCCACCAAATCCAGTCGCTAGCGTTTTCGGGAAACTTTCCACCGGACTTTGGCTTGATAATCGTGTGGTCCATGTCAAAGAAAAAGACGCACGGGCTCGAGAAGCTGTCTTGATCCTCGGGGCAGAAATACATGAAGCCCTTTCCGACATCGTTCCAGCCTGTGAGTTCTACTGGAGAATCGTCTTTTCTCTCCTCTGTTCTGACCCAATAGCCGGTCGAGATCTTCATTTTTTTCGCGGAAAAGCGAATTTCGTATTCAATCCCATTCACGGTGAATTTATCCTCGTTCTCTAGAAAAAGCGCTATAACTGTTGAAAACGAAAAAAGTACCTAAATGAGTGATCTTTTCCTCTTCCTCTCCGTTCATAGTATACTTGGCGCCGCTCAGGGCTGCTGAATTCGGAGCGTTTGAGTTTACCCGCGATTTTTTCGGCGGAAGATCCGTTGGTTTTTCACGGAAAATCCGCAGTTTTTTTCACGTAAGATCCGCCGGTTTTCAGCGGAGAAAAGGGCACGGAGAATCGCGGATGATCCGCCGAAATTTCTGCTCAAAAGACGAAATTAAAGGGTGTTCCACTCTTTTGATTGGCTAGAAAAAAAGGGTAGCGGGTAATCGCGGGAAATCCGCGCGGCCGAGAAAATCGGACGATCGGAGGATCGGAGGACAGCGCGGAGAAACGGAGAAAATCAGCGGATTATCCGCCAAAAAAATCCCGGGTAAACGCAAATGCTCCGAATTCGGCAGCCCTGGCGCCGCTAAGTGGTGAAATCGTCGCCGCTTGAATTCGAGAAAAGCGCGAGTCTGAAGCTGAAAGACAGAATCTTCTGATCTCCTGATCTTCTTCGGGAACTTGAGTCATGATTTCGAAGCGCTCGTCCAGGACTATCTCGCATCCTTCTTTCAACACAAAATAGAGCTTCCCTTCTTTGAGTATTTCAAAGCTCCACATTCTGAAAATCAAAAATCCTTGATAATAAGGGGGAACATGTAAATTTTCGAAATTTTGAAGACAAGGAAAAGTGAAGCGCTCTTTCTTCAGAGCTGCTCCGATTTGTAAAAGTCAGAAGTCAGGTAAATGACGACGCCGATAAAGTTAACTCCCGCCAGCGCCCAAATGAACTTCCTTCCGTGGCGGAGACCCTTGTCCCGTCGAGCCACAGGGTCAACGACTTCCACTGGCTTTAGGCGCACGCGTTTCCCGTCGATGATTTTCGTTCTCGCGGTATTCAAAATGCAGCGAGACAGGCGCATCGGCCAAAATTCTTAAAATTGTCAGTTTAAATTCTTGGAGACAAGATTCTAGTCACTTGAAAATACAGTAATTACTGAAATTGGTTTAAAATCAAAATTGAATTTTGAAAAACTAAAAATACCGCGTTACACGAAAGTTTAAAGGAAGAAGGAAAGGGTTGAAGATTGCGATTGAAAGTTTCGATTTGAAACAATTAATTTGTCTAATGTTCTCTCTTTGAGTTGGACTGTTCTGAGTTCTGGACGGAAGTGAATGTGTTTCATTTTCGCTCATTTGGGAAGGCTCATCGGCGTCGGATTTTGAAGATAAGTCATCACCACCGCCGAGATCGAAAGCATCAGAGACGAGAGCACTGATTCGCGATTATTTCTAGTCGAGAAACAAGAAAAAAACTGACCTTGACGAGCGTCTTCGGTCGATCTCGAGTTGGCGTAAGAAGTCATCGAGCAAAAAATCGCCGCCCAGGCGCACCACTTGATCTTCATCAACAAGCCGCACATGCTACACGAAGAAAAGCGTAAAGAAAGATCGAGGTAGAGCTTGTTCTACCTGAAGGCCATTGTGAGAAGATTGAGGTAATCAGGGAGCGGATCTGCTGCTTGCTGAGAAGCAGTAGTTGGAGCGACAAAGCGGAAAATGCGCTGTTGCCTTTTTGGGCTGACCCATTTGAAAACGTCTTCTACCATTCTAAGGACAAACTTTTGTGGCTTCGATCAAGAGGAACAACAACTAACAAGAAGTAATTTATTTTATGTTGCAGAGTAATCAGCTGAATTTCTCCTTTTATCTCGAAGGAAAAGCTTGGGTCTTCATTTTATTATTTTTTCTTCAATAATTGCTAAGAAAAGCATTAACTCTCTCTCTCGTCAAATTATATGGAGTGACCGTCATAAAATCTTGAGTCACAGCGCCAGTTATGACTAACAAACCCCCGAAATTTACAGATTTTGATTTTAGATGGCAGAACTGATGGCAAGAGTTTTTTCTTAGCGAACCGAAGTAAACTTTTACAAAGTTATTTGTTGTTGCTATCAGTAAATCTCCGTAATGCAGGATCTTTCCGAAGACAAGTCGAGTGGACCAATAAGAGGCCAGTGGCGCGCGCTCCACCTACGCATTCTGATCATTTACACCAGAAGAAAGAAAAAAGGATTCAGAACTGCCATTTCCTAGAGATTCCCTGTCCGTTTTTACTCTTCCTCAACGACTAACTGTGATTTATTTCAGAGCCTAACATGTCGACCGAGCGAACCTTTATTGCCATCAAGCCCGACGGTGTCCAGCGAGGACTTGTCGGCAAGATCATCAAGGTAACGTTTCCATCCCTTCCCTCTTCTTCATTCTTTTCTCTAGCGATTCGAACAGCGAGGATTCAAGCTCGTCGCCATGAAGCTCTGCATGCCCGGCAAGGAGCACCTCGAGAAGCACTACGCTGATCTCTCCTCCAAGGTAACAAGAAAGCTTTCAGCGGGTGTTAACGAAATTATAGCCATTCTTCGCCGGTTTGGTCGAGTACATGAACTCCGGCCCAATCTGCGCCATGGTCTGGGAAGGCCTCAACGTCGTCAAGATGGGACGAATGATGCTTGGCGAGACCAATCCCCAGGCTTCCCTCCCTGGCTCCATCCGAGGAGACTACTCCATCCAGGTAAGCTTGAGCTCTTTCGTCCCTCAACTCATCCTCTAATTCCCAGGTCGGCCGAAACATCTGCCACGGTTCCGACGCCGTCGAGTCCGCCAACCACGAAATCGCCCTTTGGTTCAAGCCCGAGGAACTCATGTCCTACGACTCTTGCACCGCCAAGTGGATCTACGAATAACTTCGCTCAGCAAAACTATTCATGTTAATCTAAACTAAAAGAGCCCGCTGCCAGCAAAAAAACTAGGAAAATACCAACAACTCCTGAACTCTAGTCCGACCTTTCTCTGTGCAATTCAGTTCGAAGCCTGTCCTTCTTTTTCGTTCACCTTGTTTTTTTCGCTTGTTTCCTAAAAGAATACAAAGACAAGAATCGTAAATTTTCAACCGAGTCTTCTATGTCTCCAGCCATTTCCCGAAAGCAGGACGAAAGTTAGTAGAATGGTTGACCCGAACGTAGCACGGTGGTTCGAGCAAGTAGATAAAACCAGAAGGGGGCGCCTAAACGCGGCAGAATTGCAAGAAGCCCTCAAGAATAACAATTACAGCAGCTTTGACATAAACGTCGTCGCAGCAATGATAGGCCCGTGGCTCAGTCTGCGCTTTTTTTCAGTATTTTTCCTCCTCGCGAGCCCGTGTTAGAAATGTTCGACAAAGACCGGACAAAGACAATAAATCTGAACGAGTTCAACGAGCTGTGGAAGTTTCTGGGCTCCTGGCGACAGTGCTTCGACCGGTTCGACAATGACAGATCCGGACAAATCGACGCTGGCGAACTTAGCACTGGTAATGAAAACGATAGAATTCAGCTCAGTTCTTATTTGGCTCCTTTATTCAGCTCTTCAACAGCTGGGCTATCGATTCTCGCAGCACTTTGTCCCAGTTCTCATGCAAAAGTTCGATTACAGTGGAAGAGCTTCTCATCTTCAATTCGACGGTTTCGTCATGGCTCTTATAAAAATCCAGCGTCTCACTACCGCCTTCCAGGATCGGATTCAATTTGTTCTTCCTTATCTTTTAGTTAGCAAACATGTTTTATTGATCTTCCATAAAAAGCCATACGATCGGCAGCGAAATGGCACCGCGCAGTTCACTTACGAGCAGTTTTTGGCCACCGTCATCCAAAACACATAGAAAGCATCTATCGCTCAAGACTCCCGCAAGTCCAATTTTGAAGCAATTTTTCGCCAACTCAAAGTCCTACTCAACAATCTCCAACTTGAGTCCTCTCAATTTACCAAAACTTCATCCTCATTCATACTTCAGGAAAATATTTTTTTTACTATTTTATGTTTTTTGTTCAATTTTACTGGAAACTTGTCGCAAAACGTTACTTGCATGTAAACCTAGTATTTAAAGAAATCCACTAAAATATTCAATGATTCTATCAAAGTTCTGATCTTATTGAACGATTTCTTCTTCCTTTAGAATGGCGACTGCGACAAAAGGAACGATTACGCTTCAGGGCTCGGCGCAGATGATTTCCGAGTTTTTGGACTTTGGAATCAACTCGATCTTGTTTCAGCGAAACATCTACCCAGGTAATGGGTTTTTTCATTATGTTGATTTAAATTCCTTCGTCTCTCATACATAAGAAATCAAAAGAAACTCATTTTTTAGTTTTTTGAATCATTTTTTTTTTCAGAAAACGTCTTCATGCCGAAAAAACACTACGGGCTGACTGTATACATGTCGGAAGACGAGGAGCTGCGAAAATACCTCGACACTGTCCTAGCTCAAGCCAGGTCTTGGATTGAGGTAAAATCCATCATCGCTTTTCAAGAAGATTAAAAATATTTGAAGAAAGGACAGCTGCTGCAACTTGTTCTGGTCGTTTTACACGCGGATACTGAAGAGACCCTCGAGCGTTGGGCATTCGACATTGAAAAGGTTAGAAAAAAAGAATAAAAGAAGACTTAAAAATGGCTAGGGGGAAAAGTTCGAAGAAGGAACGAGCGGAAAGAAGGTCGAACTCGACCACAAGCAAATGCAAGAAGGGATGAAAGCGGTCGTAAAGCAGATCGTGTCGACAAGTAAGTATAGAACTGAAACGCCCCTTTTTTTAGCGCAAGTCTCTAAAACTTGATTTTCAGTTACATTTCTGCCGCTGATCGAAGCTCCAGTGATGTTTGACCTCCTTTTCTACACAACACCGGGCATAGAGGTCGAAAACTGGGACCCAACGAAACCGCACATGATCAAGGGCGCCTCTGACTCGGTGAAGATTCGCTCCTGGACCTCCAAGATCCACACCATTAACACTGCTGTTACTTATAAAGCGGAGAGCTGAAGCTTTCGCAACCAAATTGAAATTTTTCAATTCCGACAATTTCCTCAATTCTGAGCTTATTAATGTTTGAAACATTCCTAAATCACCGTGCCTGACTATTATTATCACTATTGTCACTGACTTACTCACAGCCAAACTGTAACTCTAGCTATTTTTGTCTCTTATTCAATTCCAGACATGAGTGTTACATGTTCCTCGCCTTAAATAGGTCGAAAATAATCACTTCCGTTCTGAGTTCACGACGCCTCTTATGTAAGATTTATATCTTAAATTATCGCATTACCATTGAAATCGCTGCTTATTACTTCTTATAGCTTCTTCCAGTAGAATGGTGAAAATTCTACCGACGCCAGAGAAATCGCCAGCAGACAAGAAGGAGTACAGAGCCATCCAGCTCGAGAATGGTTTGACTGCGCTGCTGATTGCCGACTTGCAAAACGAGGGCGAAGACGATGGATTAGAGAGGTACGCTATTAACGGAAATTACAAACCAATAACTTTTCTAGTGAGCCGCAGAGCCCGGAACGGGAAGAAGAAGAAGACCTGAGCTCCGATGAGCTCGAGGAAGACGAATGCGACGGTGAAGGAGACGAAGAAGAGGGCGAGGAGAAATCAAGAAAAATGTCGGCCGCTTGTATGGTCGTCCATGCCGGAAGTTTTCACGAAAAAGTCGAGTGCCAGGGCCTAGCGCACTTCTGCGAGCACATGATTTTCATGGGCTCGAAAAAGTACCCAGACGAAAATGAGCTGGATTCGTTCCTCTCGCGCAACTCTGGCGGAACAAATGCGTACACGGAGCTCGAATACACCAACTATCATTTCGACGTGGCGCCGGATAAGTTCAGAGAAGCGCTGGATATTTGGGCGCAGTTTTTCATCGACCCGTTGATGAAGGAAGATTCTGTCGATCGCGAAGGGAAGGGCTAGAACTTATTTTCCTTATTCTTAAGATTAGATCTTTGTCCACACATGTCTAATGATGATCTTTTGATCGTAAAACAATCCCTTTGAACAGTAACCGCCGTTCATTCGGAATTCGAAATGGCAAAAACCGACGACTATTGTCGCAAGTTCCAGATCATGCAAGAGGCAGTGATGAAAAAAGGCCATCCTCAGAGCGGCTTCTTTTGGGGAAACAGAAAGAGTCTTTGGGAGGATCCCAAGAAAATTAGCAAAACAGCATATGACATGTTGCACGATTGGTATCCGAGGAATTACTCGTCGAATTTGATGAAACTCGTTATTCAGGAAAAGGTTGATTATTGAACTTATGTTGTCCAATCTTACAGTATTATCAACTATGAAAAAGAGCCCGCACTCGCTGGACGAGCAACAAAAGTGGGTCGAAGAAATATTCTCTCTTGTTCCCTCCCGCAACTTGAAAAAAGCCCTGGACGAGCCAGACTGGTCTGTCGGATCTGCATATAAAGGACAAAATGTTTCCAAGCTTATCAAATACCACCCAGTTTCGGACTTCCACACCGTCGATATCATGTGGAGTTTGCCCCCTCAAAAGGAGTTTTACAGAGTTAAACCGCTGCACTTCTATGGCTGGTTGATTGGTCACGAGGGAAAAGGGAACGGGTAAATTCATTGTTGGATTTTAATCGGTCTAAAATGAGTGTCAATGGATTTTTAATGGGTCTGTTCACCAATTCAGTCTGTTCTAGTGAGTTTTAGTGGTAGATTTACCCTGAAAAAGGCTCGATTCTTTCATACTTGAAGCAGAAGGACTGGGCGCACGAGATCTACGCTGGAAACTCTGGCCAAGCTTGCGAAGAGAACAAGTACCATTCCGAACTGTCGATCCAATTCCGTTTGACAGAAGCCGGACTCGAAAACTGGGAGAAAGTTGTCGCCGCTGTCTTCAGTTATCTGAAGATGCTGGAAGCTCTTTCCGAAGACGAACGACTTCGGATCTTTAATGAGATTAAGAAAATTGAGGCGATCAACTGGGCAACAAAAGAGGACAAGAAAGCGCAGCAGAATTGCATCGACGCAGCCGAGAGTATGATAAGCTTTGAGGACTCAGCCCGATGGCTTGATGGAGATGACTTGATTTTCGACTACGATTCGGCGATGCTCAAGAGCATCGTTGATCACATGAAGGCAACTAACTGCACGGTGATCCTTAGCTCGAAGAACTTTGAAAACACCGTTGATACTGTCGAAGAATGGATGGGCGGGAAATACTGCCTCGAAGACTTATCAGAGGACACGATCGATTCGTGGAAGAACGCTCCAGTCATGAACGAAGTCTTCTTCGTCCCCTCAAGCAACAAGTACCTGGCAGAAGACATCAAGGTGAAGGAAGACGAGCCGAGCATCGAGTGGGAACACGTGCGAAAAATTGAAGAAGCGGAAAACGCCGAGCTCTGGTTCAAAGGCGATGGTCAGTTCAAACTGCCGCGCGCGTTCATCTCCTTCATCATCCGCTCGCACCTGCCCTACGAAAACGCGAAGAACAAGGCAATGTACGAGTTCTTTCCGTTTATTCTCATCCGAACCATGGCGGAAGTCGCCTATGATGCTGAAACAGCCTTGCTGCACTACAGCATCGATCCGGATACAAGTGGACTCAACGTCAAAGTTAACGGACTTAGTGACAAACTAAGGTGACGTCCTAATCTAAAACTGTACTGGTACATGGTTCTTTTTAGCTTGCTCCTTGAAGAGTGTTTGAATCAAATCATCAACTTCGCTCCTTCGCAGAGCGAGTTCGACTCGTTAAAAGCCCAATACATTCAAAACTTCAAAAGCGTCATCCAAAAGCCGGATGAACTGACGAAAGATTTGCGACTGTCGCTTATGCAAAGCACGAAATTCCCCCTGATTGAAAGAAGAAAGGCCTTTGAAACAGTCACCAGAGAAGAGATGATTCAGTTTATCAAAGATTTAAGGATCCAGTCAGAGCTTTATTTTAGAATATAAGATACATTGGATAGTCTTGAAGCGCCTCTACTTAATCTTAAATTTGAGCACTGAGCCCCTCACTTTACATTACTTACTGTAACAATCAGCAATAACTGTCGAAAGAAAGGAGTGTTTCCTGACGATGCATGTCCAAGGAAACTACTACGAGAGCGACGTCCGAAAACTCTTCAAAGAAGCCATTAATCAATTCACAGGTATGTATAAACCTCCCTGTCTGAAGCATGTAATTGTATTTGTCCGTCGCATCAGGAAAGCCGCCGGTGTTAGAATCCCAGAAAAGGAGAAAAAGTAAGAGACGAAAAATTTCAGAAAGCAAGCCTCTTGCGCGGAGGTTCACGACGACGGTGAGGCTGCCGGAAAAGGCGACCGTTCTCAGGGTCAGAAACTGCAATCCGATCGACGTCAACACCAACTACATTATTTACTGGCAGATTGGCCCGATGGCAATCAAGGACTATGCACGGTAGATGTCCTAGTTCTCAATCAGCGCTGATTTTATTTTTAATTAGAAACGATTTGCTAGTGACGATCATGGAAGAACCTTGCTTCGACATTTTGCGCACGAAAAAGTGCCTCGGCTACTCGGTTTATCCGACGCTTCGGGACACTTTCGGCATTGGCGGCATCTCGATCTCCATCAGCTCGCAGCAGAACAAATTCTCTGTGAAAGAAATTCACGAGCATTGTCTCGACTTTCTCAAACAGTTTGAGGAGATTATTGGCGGCATGACAGATGAAAAATTTGAAGGTAGCGTATTTACTAAATGACTGAAACGGACCAAAAATGAAAATCTCAGAGCATCGGGCCGGGCTGATCGAAGCCAAAAGAAGCGACGACACAAAGTTGAAGCAACTTTTCAACCGTTGGAATTCGGAAATCGCCTCCAGCGAAGCCCGATTCGACAGGCTGGAGACAGAAATCGGATTCCTCGAGAAGTTCTCAAAGAACGAAATCATCGGCGCCTTCAAGAAGAATATTCTTGAGAACAAGCGCATCTTACTCGTTGTGACCCAAGGAAACGAAGTCGACGAAAAAACGGAGACGAAAAAAGCGAATATTGAGAGCCTGGAACATGTAGCGGCGGAAGACCTGTTCGAGGAGTACGAACAAGTTGAAAACATCGACGAGGCACGGAAGCGATTTGGCTTCTTCCCCGTTTCGCATATCAACAAAAATGAACTATAATTTCTATTTTATCATCTGTTTCTTCAATTACCCTGTTTTTTCTATATTTCTTCGAAAGATAACATGAAATGAGATAAAGTGAAAATGTCGCATGTAAAATGTGTTGTATCTTATTCATCGCAGCGATTCAAGTTCCCGAAGCAAGAAAAGAAGCAAAACAAAGAATTTTAAACAATTTTCAACTTATCTTATGATTCAAGATAATAGATAATTCCGGTTGAGTTTTGTGGGTCGTTTTTCTGTCACAGTTGTCAGTTGGTAAAAAAGAAATGACTGAATAATAAAAGATAGAAATGGGATTTTTAGTTTTGGTTGTTTTGAAGCTTGACGTTGGCGAAGAAAGCCTTTACTTTGTTCAGCCATATTTGGGCGGTGGAAAGCTTGAAGTGAGTTAATTTGTATGTTGAAGATGAGGTACCTTTAGTTCAATCCAATGATCAGTTTCCTTGATGTAGTTTCTTTCGTACTTTTCTCCATACGGTTGGAGCGAGATGCGTATCACACAGCGGTGGTACATTTTATTCAGCTCCATTGTACAACGGGCTATTTCCTCTAGCCCCGTCGCGTGGATAGCGGAAGTCATCCTCTCAGTAGTACGCTGAAAGAAGCAAACTCATGAAGACTGTAGGAATAGCTTCTGATACATACATTCAGTAGATCCGCGTAAATCTCCAAGCAAAAGACATAAACGGGCCCCACATTCGCTCCGATTTCCACTACAGTTGCTTTGTGCTTATTCATTATCTCGTTGGTCACCCAGCCCTGATCATGTTTAGCAAATCCTCATGTACCCGTCTACCTGGGTGTAGATCGAAAAGGGACTGTGGTTCGTGATAAATACTTTTCCACCGTAGTAGTTGAATTCAATGTTGAGGGAGTTAACGAGCATAGAACGGAGCGAGAGTGACCTGTTTGGTAACTCGGAAATATAGAAATTCTTCTGGCAACAGGAGCCACCTGGATCGCGCTTTTACCAACGATCAGAAATAGATCATACTCTTCGCTGATTATATTTACTGAACCTGGCTTGATGCCGCTCACTAGAACGCTTCGTTCCCGGGCACAGAAGGCTTCGCCAATTTCGACATCTCGCTCGTAGAATTGTATCGTCGACCAAGGCTCGTTATCCTCTTCTTGAGCATTCGCGTTCTTCTTCTCTTGCCTTTCCTTCTCCTTCTTTTCTTCTTCCTCCACGTACTCTTGATTTTTTAAAAGTTCGCGTTTAGCGTTAGAAATACAACAATTATCGATCTTTGTAAACAATTGATTATGATTACATGACATTCACGATTTTAGGTACAAGTTCTCACGTTTTGGATCACCAGCTTTAGAATCATCTGAGCTCTCTCCAGGATTCTCCTGTAACTGACAGCCCAGGTTAATATGGCTCATCAGAGTCTTTTTCAGAAATCAAGAGGGGTTTAAAAACATTTTTCATTCAAGAGTTAAATCAAGATGTTGAATCCACATCTTGATTCAGAGGAATTTAAATGATTGAGGGAAAATTTGATTGGGATATTGAATACCTAATTTTATCTCCTCGATTTTCATAGTTTCCAATTTAAGGCTGTCGAACCTTTCCTTGACCTCGATGAGGATACATTTCTGTTTCTCCTTAGCTAGAATCTCCTCGTTCATCAAAGTCTAAATTTTGCTGAATACAACTCTGAATTTATGTCTGAATGAGAACCGCCAACACTTTCATTTCAAAAGAAAATCGATGCCTGAGTAATACAGTAAATTTGAGCATGTTCTGTCTGCGCGACGTTAGTTCTTCCCACGCTGAGAGGCGTGCACTATAACTTTTCTTGCAGTGCCACTTACTCTCTTTACTCTCATCATGGGACACTTGCAAATAAATACAACATGGACATAACAGTTGGATTTATCTGTAGCACAAACAAAGACAAAGGGTTACTCCTTGTTGATCGCAATCTAGGACATCAAGATGTCTACGCAAGATTATCCGGAGTCCGTTCTCAGTAGTGAAACAAAGTCAATTACCTGTTATTTATGACATTAGAAGAAAACAGGATGATGAGGGGATTCGTTTCTAATTTTTCAGCAAGTAGTTGAAGCAGCCACGCGCCTCTGGGGATAATACTAATGGAAGAATCAGGAGCGGAAGAGTTTTTCTTGCTTTCGGGAGTCTTGAGACTTTGAGATCGCGCCCGCGCTACGTCGGCAAGACTCAACGAAAAGGATAGGCCACTTTGGACTGGCCGACACTCACACTTGCCCCGTTACAATTAAAGGCGAAACTCAATAGGCTATTGCTGATCGAATCTGCGCGGGCTCTCGGATGGCGGAATCCTCCTTTTTCTTCTTTTAAAGTTTCAGCTGCCTGCTTTTCTGCGAATGAGGCAGGCTACTCGCTTTTGGATCGCGCACGTTTCAGTACTCATTCATGCATGCACTCACCCATGTGATTACTACTAATTATCTCTGCAAGAATCATGTGATTTCCAAAATAGACAGAATCGTATCAAAATCAACCTCCTTTACAAAGAAGACAAGTTGAAGTGGAAACTCTTCATTTCATACCTTTACTTTATTATCCATAGTGTATGTTCCACTTTGTTGGGCAAGCAAAGAAAAACGCCTAGCCAACACCAACTCAGATCATGAGAAAATCAACGGTGGTGGACGTTGTTTTAATGATCCTGGATCTGGGAAGGTGTGGAGTCGTTTTGCGAGCTTTGAAAATATTTACAAAATTGAAAGTAAGACTCGAGCTTATTTTGGTATTGACCTGCCAGAGGGAAGGGGAAGGTCCTAGTCTGGTTTACCACAGAAAAGAAGAAATATTGAAAGCGATCAGTTTGGAAGATAAGAGTTGGAGAGAGCTAGGAGATGTAAACGACAATTTTTTACAAATCCGAAGGGGACAGCAAGTCGGAAGTAGAGCGAAACTAAATGTGAAATAAGGCATCAATAAATTGTTAACAATAATAGGGGGAGTAGTTTTGATATTTCTAGGCACGCGGTGGGAGCGACACGGCTTTGGAAACTGGCTTGAATTTGAAACTAGAAGAGGCCACAATCGACGAGGTTCTTCTTGATGATCACGTCGGTTACAGCGTCAAACACGAACTAAAACGAGCATTATTTGTATTAATAACTTGGCGAGCGCGTACCTGGATGTTTGAAGTGTCGGTAGCACACGTGAAATGGGTGTAGATTTCCTTCGAGTCTTTGCGTTTGTTCAAGTTTTCGAACTGAACCTGGATGTAGGGCGCGGCGTCTTCATACGTGTCAGCGCCTAGCACAACGTTGAATTTTTCTGCTTCTCTTTACAAAATTCTTACCTTTGTAGTCTGGGAAGCAAATGGTGAGAGGCGAGGAGGTAATTTTCCTCTCGAAGAGATCCTTCTTGTTGAGGAAGAGAATGATGGACGTCTCGACAAACCACTTGTTATTACAGATCGACTCGAAGAGCTTCATCGACTCGTGCATTCGATTCTAGTGGAGATACGGACGCTGGGATCAAATAAAGGGACTTACCATTTCCTCGTCTTCCGCCAAAACGAGATCGTAAGCAGAGAGCGCGACGCAGAAAATTATCGCCGTGACGCCTTCAAAACAGTGGATCCACTTCTTTCTCTCCGATCGCTGTCCGCCTACATCGTACATCCTAGATTATATTGGTGTTTTGCTATTTAGAAAATGGGCCTACTTGAAACTCAAGTCTTTGTGCGTAAAGTAGAACTCGACGATTCCTGTGGTTTTAACTCGTGTTCGGAGGACATCAGCTTGATTGGGCACGTAGTCGGGCTGCGTCAATCGATTCAGGTTTTCCAGGAAGCTAAGAAGGAAGCGTAATGGAATCGCACTTGGGCACAATTACTATTGAGCGGAGTCGTTGAGTTGGTACTCTCTGGAGCGCGAGAAGCACGTCTGGACGCCCTTGTCTTCCCACAGCTTCTTCATGCAATCGCCAAGTTCGCGGGTCATTTCCCCGTCCTCGAGTGTAGCAGCGAGCGCGAAGAGTTGTCTCGCATCATCCTTAATTTTCATTTCTCATCTTGGCGAGGTGAAATGATCTTGACTTACCGCTCGGGAGGCGTCTGAAAATGAGATTTTCAATGCGCCCATGGCCTTCACGATTGCGATCATGGATTGTAAGGTGTTTGAGTAGACGACGGCTCGATATTGCTGGCAGTCCTCGGCCGAGTAGCCGTTCTCGTGGATGATTCTTGAGGGAAGGAGTTAGTTTGATGATTAGGAAGATAGAGACTTACTTCATCTGTTTGACGATGGTGGATTTTCCGGACTCACCGGCTCCGAGAAGGAGCAGTTTGACTTCCCGCATCGCTTTTTCATGATCATCCTTGAGCTTCTGGTCGATCTTCTTCGACACCTTCTTCGCGTCCCGGTCGCCATGGCTACACCACATGGTTAGGGTTAAAAAGGGTATCCCCTGCTCTCTAGTTCATTCAATTTGCTGATCCCGTAAAGCCCTACTCCGCTGCAGGCAGTAGAAATTTCGAAGAAAATTATTGCGTCTTTGAAAAAAGGCCTCTCTCTGTCGAAAAATTGTAAGGAGGGGTCGATTTCGCTTTCTCTCGCAGAGTGTAAAATTACCACCGGTTCTGTGACGCTTCCACCGGTGAGGAGAGACACTAATAACTGCGAATTTACGCTCTTTACTCGATTTATCTCTCTTTGTAGCCAGCCAAGTTCACGGCAAACGCGAAATAGAACCACTTAGCGTACCTAGATCTGCGCATCCATCGGAAGTACTTCCGCATTTATGAATAATTGTAATTATTAAGAATCGAAGAGTGTGGAGCCAAATAGTATCTACGTGAGGGAACACAAGAGCTGATACCTCCCCACTGACAAATACTACCTCGGCGGAAAATCTAATTCCAACCGAGCATCTTTTGAAAAAAAAATGATCCTTTCAAAGTAGATTAATTCTCAGAAACTATCAGAAGTATCTATTAAAGCAAGTTTTACCTTTGCATGCACCCCATGGCGCTAGCTATGAACTGACGAAAGGACTTCGTGCCTGTCTACTCCCAGTCTTGAAAATGAAAGAAAAACGATCAGTTTCAAAAAGAAATTTCTTGTTTTTTTGTTCTGTGTGTGTTTTTTTCTCGCAGTGTGTGCTTTCTCTCTGTATTTCGAGGCGCTTCCTTCGCTCGCCCGGGGCAACTCTGGCTCTCGCCTCGGGGAAAACAAAATTTCGCACTCGCTTGTGAGATCAGAAAGAGGAGGAAAAAGAACAGAGTTTTGGTACTGGGAGCGCGCGTCCTAGACTGTTGATTGCTCGAGTAGCTTTCAATGAGTTTTCTCTGGCTACACTGTACTACGACGCCGAGTTCAGCCACTCGTCTCTCTGTTTGGATTGGCTGAATGCGCCACGCATCGCCAAATGTGCGCCAAATGCGCCTCTTCGAATCACCCGCCAAAACGAACGTTGCCTCAAGGCGCGCACAGACGGCGCTAACGAGTTCCCAGAACGAGGTGAAAAATCCCTCTTCTTTGTGGGAGCATTTTTTCTTCGCGCCGTTTTCCGTCTCAAATTGGCTCCGGCCAATCAGCGAATGGGCTCATCCCTCCGCACACTTTGCACCACCGCCACCTTATTTACATGCATGTCTACGATCAGCCAAAATCAGCAGAAAATTTCCGATGATCAGACAGTTTCTCATCATTGCTGTTCAAATAAACAGATTTCAACAACGAGTTCCATTTAATAGCATGTTCCAATAATTTGTGAATTGGCGTTGCAAATTCTGAACATCCCTCGGCATAATTTATCCTTAGCAGGTAGCTTTGGCAAGTTTAGCGAGGCCGACAGTTTGAGCTACAGTAATACTGACACAAAGACACAAAGTGTGAGATGATCTTCCTCTGGATGCTCAAAGCGATGGCGGCAATTCAAAATATAGAAACGTATTAGATATCAGTTGAATACTGATTTAAATCAAATGAATAAATCAAATAATTGCACACGCGTGATAATATGAAGATCTTTTCGCTTTTTCGAAGCCTCGTTATGCCAAGAGAAAAACAAGTTTCTTATAAAAACAAGTACACCGATGCCACTCCCAGTGACTATGATCAGAGTTCGTAAATTACAAATTGGATAATCCTCGATTAGGAAGTGACGAGTGAAAGTGACCTTCCCAATCGAGGATTACCCAATTTGTATTGTTAGACTCCTGGCTAGTTCAATTTCCTCGAAGATTAGTTTGGAGAGATTTTACGAACTCTTGTTTTTGACTTTCAGCGATTTCCGAAGCATTCCATTTGTTCAGCCTGTTCTGATAGATAGCGGGGTTTGATTTTTTCGCTTTGTCGAGTAGAAAAAGAGCAACTGCGGTTGGAAAACGAGTACCTGTCAGTCGCAGAGTAGCCGATAGACAAAAACCATTCCATACCTTCCATTCTGTAAGTCAGAAAGCAAAAAAAGCGAGCAAAAAGACGATGTTGAGCATGATTTTCAAACCCCACGGTGGCTTTCATAGGCACAAGAGAATGGAAGAGCCCAACCCAGCGCCTCCACCACTGCGAAAGAAGTTCTTCTGGGTGCTTTTTTATATTGCCGGGTGCACCTTCACGGTCATTTACTGGAAGAAGTCCATTGAGAATTTTTACTCTTATCCATCATTAATATCAGAAGAGCAGAAAAGTTCCAAAGAAAAACAAAGTAAAAAAAAAAACAGTTTTTAAATCTCATTTTCAAAATCAATCTTTTTTAGCATGGACGTTTCCAAATATCAACATTTGCGCCAATTCCATGCACTCAAAAGAAGTTGACAAAATCATTTTTATCAAGTTGTTTTTCAGCTTTCATTTTTGTTAATTTCGACAAGCTCAAACTAGAAATGGCGGGACTTAATCACACTGTTATCGAGCAACTTTACGGAAGCTACAGTACTCTAGGTAAATGACACCGGGGAGGGGGGAAAACTAAAAGATACACGCAGGTGGCTTTCCGAAAACAGTTTGGAAGGATCTCATCGACAAAAATGTTTACAATGAGAGAGTGCCGGACAATTTCAAAGAGCTGAATGAGATCGATCTTGCGGCGCTTTTCGAAAACACGCGCTCTTTTTACTTTGTCGTTCAGCTAAGGGATAGCACTCTCACTAGAAATGGAACAACTACCGTAGCAAAAGCTCGAATCCCAATCCAAGTGCCAAATAAATACGCACGACTGCCGAGACGAGTGGGAGTTCAAACGGACCATCGCGGGCACCTGTCTCCAATACAACCCTCAGAAAGCGTTCATGGGCTCTGGAGAGCGATTCGAAATGCCGAAGCGAGTAACTCTTACGCTTTCAATGGGCTACAATTTTAGGTACCGCAACTAGTAAAAATCATTGAGAATTCATTGCCCAGTGACACTTCCTTTGGATGGAATGGGTACAACGAAGGTTTCACCATTTACTACCCGCATTTTTCCGAACTGATTCCGAGCCAACACAGTTCCTTCAGTTTATCAGCCGGTCTAACTCCGGGTATGAATCGTTTGAAATCAACGAGGACTAACAGTTCTTCCGGTAGTCATCGATTTTCAAAATGTTGAAAGAACTCTTCTTGGTTCTCCTTATACGAAATGCAAGCCGACGGATACGTCAAATTCTTATCTAAACCAAAAAGTCGATTACTACCGAAAGGAAACTTTTGAAATTCAGTATTTTTGCCGGAGAATTTTTTATTTTCGAAAGAGTCGATAGAATCTATGCGAGTTTACGCGGCTGCTCATAGATATTGACAAGAAATGTCACTGCTATCCGAGCTACATTGACAATATAACAGGTGATTCTTCCTTGACATCAACGATTGCCTTTGACCATGGCCTTTTCTGATAGAGCTGTTCACTATTGAAGAGTACGAGACTGAAAACCCGCCATGCAACTTCTTTCAACACGCAGTCTGTGTTTCCGAAATCATTGACCACTTTCAACTTGTTTCTGCTGGCACATGCATTCCTGCTTGTACTGAGCACTCATTCAAGCCTCAATCAATTCAGGTTTCATCATTTAAAAAACGCTCATTTTTAAAGTCAAGACTAAGTACATGCAAGTGAGCGAGCGAAGAAGCAAGGACATCCACGAGTATCTAAATATCCCCGATGACATCTACATTGCGTCAATGGTTTTAAAGGTTTAATTTTCAAGGCAATTGCATATTCATCATTTTAAAGCTCTCTGACGAGGTGTCTGTTGTATATAAAGAACAGAGCACATATGATCCGTCCAAATTTATCGCAGACATGGGAGGAACTGCCGGAGTCGTCCTAGGTGACTAAACTTTTGAGAACTTTTAATAAGCTGAAATTAAGGACTCAGCCTCTTGAGCATCCTAAAACACATAGAAAAGATGTATCTCAATTTACTTGATAAATTCCGCTCAATATTGATGAATTACAAGCTCAAAAGAAGCCAGACAATGATGGCCAAAACACAGACAATGAATATTTCCCAGAATTTTCCAGAAAAGGTAAAAAAAAATTTGACTTGAAAATCTCACTTCTGAAATTGCTGGATGAAAAAATGCTATCTGGGCACTACTTAGAACACGACTTGCTGCATAAATAATGAACGTACTTTTCTATGGCTTGTATAATTGAATTCTGGCTAGGTGTTAACTTTGTGTGTTGATTTTTTTATTGTGTTGCATTATAAATAAACAAGATTGCAGATTGAAACTTTGAAGAAAGACACGAGTTTGAAAGAATTCACCAGAAAAGAGGACAATGGGATAAGCAAGTTAACCTGACTGGGGGTCCCATTCTAGGTCCCCGCAGGGTCCCGGGGCGGGTGCCCCCTGCCGTCTAATTCTTTCGAAATGGTATCCGGACGAGACAAGACTGTCATAGATTCAAGTACAGTAGTAGTGCGCTCTAAAGGCTTAGTGGTAATATACCACCGTCAAAAATACGTTGATATATGTGAGTACAAGTGCTAGAATCACTGAAAGAATCATTTTATACTCAGATATTCGTGATGGATTGGGTAGAAGGTATTTACAGTTTGATAGGCGGAGAGTATTGAATATTTACTTGTTGCGAAGATACGGAATGGGTCTATATCTGCCAGTCGAAAGTAGCTGAGGAAGGTTTAGTATCCCCAAGGAAAACTAGAAGGGACGGCGGCTGGGAGGGGCTGCTGCGACGACGTTGAACTTGGATACTGCCCTGATTGATTGTGTGTGTAGTAGTTTGGAGGGAAGTAGTTGTGGACGCCGTAGTTGCTCGCGGAATAAGAGGATTCGTTTGAGGAAGTGTACGAAGAGGGCTGGTAGACAGGGAAGCCCGCTTGTCCTAGTCCTGCCTGCGAGACATCTGGAGGGATGAAGTTGCTTCGCAGGGGAATGTTGGGTAAGAAGTTCGGCAAAGCTGTGTTGACGGAGAACTGGTCGTCATTGGTTCGCGATTTTTTGAGCTTGTAGCGGTGGTTTTGAAACCAAATCTTCACCTGAAATAATTATCAGCAAACCGCGACTGTTTGTAAGGAAAACGAAAAGGTGGAGAAAAGCGCTTTTTAATTTACGAGTTTGGACTATGGCAGCTTCCGCTTCCGTAGTGAGAACGGGGACGATATGTGTGTGCCCAAACACCTCTCGCAGAAGTCAGTAGGCCCGCCAGTTGGGTCATAAATCTATCGGTGCCTAAATGGCGCGGTAAATACGCGGCATATTTTATACACACCTCCGCCCAATTACCCTGTCATACGGTGCAAATATTAATTCCCAGTTTCCACTTTTGAGGGGTAAAACAAAATCGCCAGTCCCGCAATACACACGGTAAACAGGCCACTTGACGCCCTCGAAAGGTCAATGCAACTGTATGTCTGATTCACGCTCAGGTACGACGACCCCTGTAATATAGAATTATCGCATCCGATTTCTTGAGCAATGGACCGCCCATAATGAAAATTTATTACACTCAAATTGTGTCCAAATAGGGCAGTAAATATCTCAGCTCGATGCTCCTCGCATATGTATTTGCATTCACATGCATTTCGCAGGCATCAAAGGCAACAGCCGAAATTTATGCCTTCCGAATTGCGATGCCAAAGGCGCTGCCGGCGGATGTGGACCCAATTAGGGATGCTGACTGGGTACCGTAATGTGACAAGGGCACAAATAAGCCAAACGCTGGGAACCTGCCACCGGGCGCGTCAGTTCTCTGCGCAGCTACAATTAGAAAAAAAGTGATGAACAAACAAGTAGCGCTGCATTTGGCAGTCGATAAAAAGAACTTGGGGCAGGAAATCCGCGCATTTTCAAAATTGCTGAATCATGACTTCCATCTTCTCAAAAACAGGCCTTCCATCATTTTTAACAAAACGATTTTTGGATGTAATGTTTCCCAAAAAAGCGCCGGCGCATCAAAGAAGCTTCGGAGTGATTTATTTGTGAAGGGGATTATTATGGAGAGGCGGTGTTCTGTGTCCCGCTGGAATCACTTCCGCCTTGCTCCTTAGTTGCGTCCGGCCGAGAATGATCATGTGACATAGATTTGTCAAAGCAAAACATTTTTAAAATGGAAAATTACCTGGGTAGGAGTTAGGCTGATAGAATGGGCAAGTTGTTCGCGTTCGGGTGCGCTGAGATATCGTTGTTGTCGGAATCTGCGCTCGAGCTCGTACGTTTGTGCCTAAATGGTGATGGTGATGATTTGAGGAGTTATAAACTAGCTTTAAAACTGTAACAGCTGGGAAAACGAGCAGGGGGCGAATAGTTCCGGCGAAAAAGGTCAGAGAACCGTGCGAAAACAAGGATTCAATTTGAGGATGTATAGGAGAATTATAAACCGCGAGCTTGTAGTGTTGCGGTTCCCAGACTGACTAAGTCCACTACATATACAGTCGGCCTGTTTGCTAGTCAATCAATTTTACGTTTTCTCCAACACATTAGTCTCTCACGAGAGTTAATTTACTGATTTGCGCGCGGTGAGCGGGCCCATTCTCACAAGCTGCTGCTCAGGAAATGCTTTGTCAAGAAAATATACTGTCTTGCTGTTTAGAAAGGGGGTACAATTGGTAATTATTGCGACAGAGCGTGATTTAAGAAAAGCGAGCTGAAGAGAACATAAACAAGCGTTCGAGTTGTGTCAGCTGGAAACCGCACACGTAAATGTGTAATAATTATACTAGTCGGCCTTTGTCTCTGGAACTTGGACACAATTGGTTTCCGTGAGGCGGGCTCTCTGAAGTGGAGAAAAAGACGGATGTGCGCGTGTGTTCCTACAGAGTTCCAGTCTGGAACTCGGCCCAGACCACTACTGTAACTCAGCTTACCTTTGTAAAGAGAATTCGGCGCTTCTTCTTCTTGCTCGGCGGTCCGTCTTCATCCTCTTCATCTCCCTGCTTCGCGTCTAGAAAAGAAGAGTCAATTCTAGAGCAGCTATATTTGCGAAAAGAAGAATCGGAGAAAGCTAAGCCCTTCTGATGTTCTCCCTTTATGAATTGGTGGGAATGGAAGTGGCAAGTGTCACCAGATGACAGAACACATACGGCTCCGTAAATTCAGCGAAATTCACGCGGCCGCTTTGAAGCGCTTTGAACTAGGAGGAATCAAGTTGATATATTTGAACACCTTCAGTTTGTGTTACTTTCACGAAACACGAAGAAAAACACAAGAATTAGTCCACTGGGGTGTTCAATCAAGGTGCTTGATTTACCTTGCAAGTGATGGTCTGCCTGGTCGGCCCAGCTCTCGACGCTGCTCGTTCGGTTCGAGCAGTCAGATCCGATAGTTTCGTTCGTCTCGAACCCTCTCTCCCCTGGATATCTTCCATCGACCGCGTCGTACGGTTGATCATTGTGGCTCTCGCTGAATTGCTGCTCGATCTTCTGAACGACCGAATTGAGTTCGACGGAGAAGTTCGTCTTGCCGCTCTCCAGCCCGACTGAATGTCTCTCGTGCTCTTTGTGCATGTCTCTGCGGATGTTAAGATCCATTGCGACAAAAAGGGATAAGTGTTAGATAGATAGATTACAGTTCTCAAGAGTACGTCAAGTGTAATCCGGCGGGAATGTAATTTCAAGTGATAACTCTTCACGATGATGAGGAAGGCCGCGGCGAGAGGGAACGCGCCCGGACACAGCGCCGCCCAGCGCTCCTCTCACAGCGCCACCGGATAGTGTTTGGCAGCTTCCGCCGATGAATTTCGGTTATTCTAAGCCAGCTCAGAACATATGTTATCCGGTGCAATTCCTTACTAACTTCATAGTAGAAGAACTTTTTAATAAAAAGATGCATCTTACTTTTTTATGAAAAGAGTTTGAAAGAGACCATGATGGCCACTTCAAATTAAAAGATAAAATTATCATTCTTGAAAAAAAGGTGGAATTTTCGAAGAGGAGAAACTCAAATCGGAAAAATTGCACCGACGAACGCTCAAAAATTGCTCAAAAGAGGAGAAAAACGGGTTCTTTTTCCTACCCAAATTGCTTTTAAAGATGGTAAGATATTCAGAAAAATCTTGAACAGCTTTCACCTTCAGATGATGAGCCTGCAGCAAAGAAGGCAAAGCAAGATGAAGTGAATGAGAACCATCAGTGTCGAAGCTGCCTCAATCCCTACAATGACGAGCATCCCGAAGCGATCATTATTCCTTGTGCACACAAGTTCTGCTTCAATTGCATCTCAGCTCTCCCAAAGAAACATTGCCCAAACTGCCGAAGGAAATTCTTTAGCAAAAATGTTTACAAGACTCATTGAGCCCTTCTCTGTCTTTTAGTTCACTCTGACAATCGCACAACACGATACACTGGAATCTTGTACCGTCGAGAAAACAATAAAAAATACAAAAAAAATCAACATCAAATTTTCGTTCGGTATCTAGATTTTATCACGTGTTCTTGTCTGATAATCGAATGATTAGGATGATAAACGATGTTCTCCAGCTTTTCTAGAGTGGGCTCAGTCGTCTTGATAAATCCGCAGCACTTATAGAGTCACTGGTGTGGGATTTGTCTTTCCGCGATGATTAGCAGACTTGGGTGGCAGGGCTTATCCAGCACCGCCATTATTTAGTGGAGAGAGTACTCGTGCAGGCACTTGGAGAGAGCGCTACCGAATTCTTTCGCTGTCAGGCGACGCAGCAACTTCCACTTCAGGGGATCCATAAACCCGCCAGCCTCGAGAGCTGTGGAAACCTTCATCGTCAGCGAGGACAGTTTTACTTGACAGCTCGAATTGCTCATTTAGCCCAATTCACTGGCAATAAATTCGAACCGCGAGTCTGGAGAAACCCCAGTTCTATTCATCTTCACTTAAGAGCCAGACTTGATCAACTAACGTATTTGTCATATGTTTGCTAGGACTGGTAATGCAGCGCTGATGCGATTTAGACATGTTCCAACAGCGAAGTGCAATCTGTTAAAGTTAGGTGGTGTAATGCGCCGGAACAATTTGCACCGCGCACACGTTTCCTCGATAAACGAGGACGATTATCGCCCCACGGGGCGAGCTGGGCATGCCCCCGGGCGTGAGCTTGAATAAATAATAAGTCGGTTGGGCGGAAGCAGATGAGCAGTCCAAAACTTTCCAAAATCTGTCGAGCCACTTTTACTGTAGTTTTGAAAGATAGCAACAGAATTTTTAACATTATATTTTTTATCTAAAATATTTTTAATCACACTACTAATTCTGATATTCATATTTTTTGCGTTGAGAATGATTTATTTTACATTGATGAAATGGAAGTGTTGCTTTGCATTTGTTTTTAGTAGTCGTCTAACAGATCGCAGGACTGTATGTTTTTCTCGTCTGAGAAGCCGGAATCTGAGAAATCCGAGCAGTTTGTTCTGGAGCCAGCGACGCTTCCGGCCTCGCCCTGCTCTTTCTCCCACACCTTCGCGGAATCGCTGCTGCGTGGGGACTCGCTGTCAAACTCGCCTTTCTCGCCGAATATTTGCGACGACGGCGCTACAAATAGTGCGTAAGAGCTAAATTATGAAACTGGAATTGCGCTGATATTGCCCAAAAAATGTATTCAAAAAGAATATTTTAATTAAAGAAGTTTGGAGAGCTTCTACTTTTGAATTCGAGGTGATTTACCGGGGCATCACTATCTGCGCATTTATGGCGGCTCATCGTTTATTATCAAGATGGGGCGAGTGTGGGATTTTCCTATGTTTGCTCACCACTGTGTTGACGCTGTGTTAAGGATGCTGAGAACATGTCGTCATCTCTGGACACCTTGAGGTGGGTAGTGAACGTATCTCGGGACTGCCGTCGCGAGGAGATTTCTTTATACACCGACTGAAAGTGAATCAATGAAAACAAGGAAGAGGAGAAAAAGGTGGCAATTACCTGGATCTCTTTGTGCACTTTCCATCGTCTCATGATTGCATTTTTCATCTCCGTCGAAGTGAAGCAGTAGAGGAATGAAACTATGATACCGTGTGTAGAGGAAAATAGGACTGACAGCGTGGTGCAAACATTCGCTATATCCCGAGGAACACCATTTTCTACAGTGAGATAAGGGACAATACTGTACTGCGCGCCGAGGAGTGGTATCATGGAGAGAGTAGCTTTCGACATCCTTAATTAGTTGTTATCATTTCACAATACCGTATTGTATTTAGAATATTAGAAGTATATCCAGGTGTATCTTTTGTAAAACGTTCCGATTGTCTACCTGATTGTGAAGTTACCAGATCCCGCGATATGCTCTGGTGCTCGCAATTTTTTGATTATCTCGATAATCAAAATGAAGAAAATGATCAGCCCCGTGAAGACAAAGAAGTTGATCGGGTAGTTGAGAATTTTCTTAAAATAGAATGATGACGCGCTCTTTTTCTTAGCATCAGCCACTTACATCGTACTTTTCATCTACTGAAAAGCACTGGAAACTTCCATTTTCCCGCGTGTACATTTTATACACCCATAAGCCAACGACGCAGCCGGGGAAGCCCCAGGAAAGCGCTATAAACCAATGCATCGGGTTGAAATTTTTGAAGAGGATGGTGGGCTGCTTCTGGAGCAGGACAAGGTAGAGCCCCTCGCAGACGAGCCATGCAAAGCAGGCGATGATCGAATAATTGATAAGAACTGGGTAGATCTGACACAGGAAGGTGAACTTCTTCTCGTTCCTTATGTGAGCCACGCAATACTGTTCGTAGTGCGCTTCCATCTGCGCAAGATCCTTCTGTTCTAGTTTCGAGAATTCGTAGTTTTCAAGATCGTTGATCAGGTCTGGCAGGTAACTGTATTGTTCTTCCATTCTTGGCGTTCTCCACATAAACGTCACTTGCGACCAAATAAAAAAAAGTGACCTAGAAGTCCTCATTATCTCAAAATCTCTTGAAATCGCACTGACCTCAACATGAAGGTGAAAAGGAGATTCATGTGAATGTAAACTCGTGTGCATTTTCGAAGAAAAAAGGACATAAGCAGGAGCGAAACAATTGTTGTTATGAACGATAAGATCGAGAAGATCATCAGCATCTTGAGCAGCACCGTCAGGGTGCCCAAATCGTACGGCTCTTCGGAATTAAGAATCGGACCCGAAGAGTAGTCGTAGTAGAAGTCGTCTTCGTAAGAAGTCGAGTTAGAGGCAGATTGATTATACGACGAGCTGTAATCCGCGGTGTAGTCTGGCGCGTAGAGGCTGCAATTTTGCTGCAAATACTCTGAAAAGTGAAAGTTTGAAATCAGAACTCCAATGACGAGACGGAAAATTTAACTTCAATAAAATGTGTCTACCTAATGAGAGTCAAAATAACTCACGTATGTGTGTCTCGCGGATGCTATGCCAGCCAGCAGGGCGTTCAGGATCAGCTGTGCCATTCTGAAAGTAGCCCTGAGGAGAGCAGTCCCTGTAAGTAGTCTCGTTTTGTGTCTGAAGGAGAGAGTCAGTCGGACAATCGGTCTCCAGCCTTTGTCCGTGCGGCGTTTCCGTCCAACAATGGCTCAGCTCGAAGATGGTCGGGCAGGCAGCTAAAACGCGAAAAGTTAGTTTTCAAAGAAGGTCATTTAGAGAACCGCACAGGTCACATTGAGCCTCGTCGCAGAGGCCAGGCAGTTGACAGCCCTTTTGAGCGAGCGACACATAATGGTAGCATTTGTAAATTTCAGTTGGTATTCTGTTGTTTCTTTCAAAGATCCCATTATGTTTTGCGTCTAAAAACCGGGCTCCGAAACTCATTTTTCTTCTAATTTTAACGCCTTGTTTATATTTATAAAACGCAAGAATTTATCGTTTTAATAATTGATCTGCGTTCCTTCACAAATGGGGTTAAAAATCTTCTCTGGGCAGTTTTGGCCCATCAGTAGCTTGCTTTAAAATCTCGACAATATTGAATATTCGTAAAGTCTTTTTTGGATTTTAGGAAAGCGTTTAAATTAAAAAGGTTTCGGATCCCGGCGCTAGTGTGTTAGATACGGCGCCATTCGTAATTTTAATTGATATTGTTCTATACACATCTATCGGTAAGCCATTTCTCTATCTACTGACCATAGTGGATAAACTAACGGCCAACGAGTTAACCAAACGGTGAATAACGTGAGCAGAAAAGCCTCCGGGGGGAGGCACTCAAGAAAAATTTCAGAACTTATTTGTCAGAACAGGGGTCTAAATATCAGCCGAAATCCTAGTGCGAAAGCGAAGCGAAAGCGAACGTTTTTTTCAAATTTTTTGCGAAGCGAAAGCGAAGCGAATTCTTCGCCCAAGTGCGAAGCGAAAGCGAAGCGAAATATCATTGAAAATTGCGAAAAAAAGGCGAAAATTTTTTCGCTTGAATTGATACGCATTTTCTGGCAAGAATCTTTAGCAATCAGCAACTCAAAAGTGATGATGATTTCGAAAACTATTTTTGGGCAGAAAATTACAAAAAATCTGTTACTGTACTTTTCAGCTCGTCAATATAAGCCGAATGGTGGGTCTAACTGTTGATAATTCCAAGGTAGTAATAAACACTACAGCAGGGGTGACCATTTGGGCATCGGGCAGTCGGGCAAAACGGTCAATTTTCGGGCAAAATGTGTTCGGTCTGGCATTCGTTCGGCTCAGCCCCTTAAATTTGGCGGGGCAAAAGCGGGCATTTCGGGCATTTGGGCAAGTTGGGCACTTTCGGGCAATTCGGCGCTTTCGGGCAGTTGGTCAAGCCCGCGCCGAGGAAAATTCCTAAATTTCGCATTCTTTACAACTGTTTTTGCTCTTTTGCTCCTCTAACTGAATCAAAAGCCCCTCGAAACTTATTTTTCTAGCCCTTATCTATCGAAAATCCCATCACCAGTCCAATTCTGTTGACTTGAAAATCGAAAATTAATGCCCAACTGGGCGGTTGAGGCACTTTGGTTGCCTGCCCGGCCGGGCATTTTCTGGCGTTTCGGGCATTTCGTCCACTTGCCCGACTGGGCAGTTCGGGCACCTCGGCTCGGACGGGAATTCGGACGGCGCAACTCTTGGCCCTTGATTTCGGCCGGGTATTCGGACGGCCAACCGATTTCTTGCCCGAATGGTCACCCCTACTCGATAGGAGATAACTTATCTCAGATATGATATGGCGGTCATCTTCGATTCTAGATAAGCCCTGTTCATAAAGATCATTCTTATCATTCAAAAATTATTCTAGCATACTTACAATAAAAACGGCTGGTGACAACGAGATTTCCGGTAATTAGCTTGCTAACCGGTCACTCCTTGGATTTATCAAGAGTTTGACCCACCATTAGACTCGTCTTGACAAAATGGAGAAAACTTGAATTTAAAGCGGCATCAATAATGCCCCTCTACAAATCTTTGATAAAGAATCTTCCGAATAACAAAGCCGCTTGCTGTGCGAAAATTAAAGCGAAAATTTTGGAATTTTTGCGAAGCGAAAGCGAAGCGAATTCTGCTCTCCAGTGCGAAGCGAAGCGAAAGCGAATTCGCTTCGCTTCGCATCGCTTCGCAAAAAAGCGAATTCGCACTGCGAATTTAGACCCCTGGTCAGAAGATACTGCCTCAAGAGACATTGGCGGGAGGGGCCCAACTTTTTCAAACGCTCTGTAATGGTGACTTCCCTAATCCCAGTTGTAAAATAAAAATGCCAGCGGAAACACTTACAAAATTGATTGTCAGACGGCGGTTGTTTTAGACAGGCGATTCCTCGGGAGAGACTTTTTTAGGTTACGCAAGAAGAATTTTTATAAAACTATTTTCAACATACAAAAATGTAGTTTCATTGAATCAGGATTGATTTATCTTTTTCTCTCTCTCTTTCTTGGAAGCATAAGTTTCAGGAGGTAGATATCAAGAATTGGGATTTTCTGCCAGACTTTTCTCCCAAAGTTGAAATAGTAACACCCTTATTTTACTTTGAAAACAAAAAATCAAGACCGTTTTCTATTTTCTATGGAAGCCGAAATTTCGAATTTCAAAGAAATTTTTAACGAAATTTTCGTCAACGATTGCTAGTTTAAGAAAATTCCTAAAATGGTCATTTTTGCGACAATCGAAGAAGCCAGATTTGCATTGTAGCACCTCGAAAGCTCAAGAAATCTAAATTTTTGGCTTCCATAGGAAAGAGATAATTGCCTGAAATAAATTTTTAGCAGAAAAAATAAGGGGGTCACTATGTTAAAAATTTGAGAAAACACTGACAGAAAATCCGGTTCTTGATATCTACCCCCTTAAGGGGGTAGAAACAGCTTTCTCGATTTTGGACCGTAGCTACATAAAAGAAAACATTAGATTTACTTATGTTAACGGTTATTCCTCATAAATGTTCCTAGAAAAAGGCTTGAGATTAGCAAAACTGTGAATGAAATTTGTTTAACTATCAGGTGACTCGAGATATTCGTGTTTGAAAAGTGGCGAAAATCGAGAATTTCGGAGAGATGAGTTGCTTCTGAGCACGCTTACTCAAAAAATTGATGACTAAAACAAATTTTGAGGGAGATGCTCCTAGATCTAAGATGTTTTTATCTAAACCTGAAGAGAAAATTTGAAAATAAAAGATTCTCTTGTCTGTAGCGCCGGTCAAAAATCGCCGTTTTCGGAAAAAAGCTGTTTCTACCCCCTTAATGATAATGGTAATAGCTTGTGTTAACCGCTCCTTGAACATATTTTTGACGCAAATCCAAATATATCGACACTTCCATCCTTATTACAAAGTTTTCAAAAAGTTCAAAAGAAGCAGGAGTCTCAATGATGACCTACCTCAACACCGAAAATATCATACGAAGACCTCGTAAGTTTGTTGATTGAGTTGCCGACGTCTAGGTGGATTTTTCTCTCTTGCATATAAATTGAGATAACTCTCGCTTCTGCTCTCTTTCTGGGTGTTATTACGAGCAGCTAAAAATAGTGAGCATTTGAGGCAGATTAAGAATGTTCTGTGGCACTTCCGATTAGCGCCTAGAGTCCCTTGCACGGACGAGAAGCCATTGACGCACATGATAGCACGTAGTCCAAAGGTCCAACTTGGCCTCCTCGTAATTCAGGTTCTGAATACTTTCAACCAAAATACAGCCAGACTTTGGCCCATACTGTAGTCAATTCAACTCCTACGGTGATGAGACAATTTCGATTTCTCAATCGTAATCTTTACTCGTTGTGTTTTTTCTCAGTGTATGAATATTTTTCATGAAGAATTTTCATGGCGTATATAAAGGAGCCAAGAACTCATATTCTCAAAAAAAACAAAAACTTTTGAAAAACTACGAGATTTTGGCTCCGAAGACCGAAGAAATGGCTCCGACACAGCTTCCCGCTACATCAACTCATGCTCCAGTGCTGGATGAAATTGCAGACGGTGTAAGACACGGCTTTCACTATTTTTTCGGGATCGCATCGCCCATTGTCGGATTTTTCTTGGCAGTGTTTCTGATAACGGCGGCTATTGCAGTCGTTATAGGAGTGCTTCAGGCATTGTGTAAATGGATGGGAGCGGGGATTTCGGAATCTGGTTCTGATGAAACAGAACGAGAAGGAGAGCGACTTGAACGAGAACGGCTTGAACGAAAACGACTACGACTAGAACGAGAACAAGCAATTGGTAAAGAAAAAAACAAGAAGACAATGAAGCAGAATATCGTATAAAATTCAGCTTCTGTGATTTATTCAAATTAACTGTATCCTCCCACGTGTAAATCATTACTTCTTATCCATAGGAAAATACGTTTACAGATATACACTATAAAAATTAAAATAAATAAAAATTTACAAAAAAAGCATTAAGGGGGTAGAAACAGCTTTCTCGATTTTGGACTGTAGCTATATAAAAGAAAACATAAGATTTATTTATGTTAACGGAAATTCCTCATAAATGCTCCTAGAAAAGGGGTTTAGGTTCACAAAACTGTTAATGAAATTTAATTAACTAACAGGTGACTCGAGATATTCGTGTTTGAAAAGTGGCAAAAATCGAGAATTTCCGAGAGAAAAGTTGCTTCTGAGCCCGCTTACTCAAAAAATTGTTGACTAAAACGAATTTCGTTGGAGATGTTCCTAGATCCAAGATGTATCTATCTAAACCTGAGGAGAAAATTTGAAAATGTAAGACTCTCTTGTCTGTAGCGCTGGTCAATAATCGCTTTTTTCGGAAAAAAGCTGTTTCTTCCCCCTTAAACAAGAAAAAAAATGAAAAAAAAAATACAAAATAGAAAAATACAACTTATTTCCGAACCATAGTTGGTTTGGAAATACTGAATGATCCGCTCTGTTACTTTCACCATTCTCATATCAAATCAACCAAATTTCAATAAACCGGACTCTCTTTGAAAAAAAACATCTGTCTTTGTCATAATGTTGTTAATATTGAAAATAGAATGCCAAAATCCTGCATTTTTATCATGTCAGTTTTTGGCTGACTCTGCAAATTGCTGCAGATCGGGCGACAGAGAAGGCTTCCGTCGCTCAGATCTCCCTAAAGAGCTCAACTCCATGGTAAAATAAGGGGTCCCCGTGTTCATTCTTGACTTTCAGCATGTGGTTCCCTGGTTGATCCTTGACTTATAACGTGTGGTTCCCTAGTTCATCCCGTTGAAAGTCAAGGATGAACTAGGGGGCCCCCTAATTTATTTTCGATGATCAAATTGATCATGAAACTTTTGAGCAAAGCAGAAAAAAGGGAAAAAAGCAAGTTCACCATACCTGCTATGATGAGTCATTGACTCATCCGGATGATAAGAAAGGATGCGCAATCAAAACAAAAACCCGTCTTCGTCGCTACGTCTTAGGTCTCCAACTAGGGGAGTTTTTTTATCTTTTCTCAGAGATTTTCTTGCCTGAAGACGTCAAAGACGAAAGAAGTTCAACGAGAGGCAGTTTTCCGCCGATTTGATCGAAAATCGCACGCTCAGCTACGTATTCGAAGACCGACTGAATTGGTTAAAAATAGAACTTCAAGAGCAGGGATTATCGCGCCGAAGGCGAGTGTCCTAATTTCCAGAGTGAGTCGGAGTCGACGCGGGGCGCCGGTCATTCCCACACTCGCGGCACGAGAACCTCGCTTCTGCCAGCAGAAAACTCAAAGAGAAACTGACTCTTTTCGAATAGAAAAAGCGACAGACCAATCAGGTCCTTCGAAATTGTCTGGAAAGCACTTTCTCTCACCTGATAAGCTGACAACTTTTGAAAATTACGAAAAAGCAGGAAATCGAGAAAATGTCAAGAAAACGCGAGGGGAGTTCGAACACGAGCGCATCGAGAAAGCCGAGATACGAAGATGTGATCATGATCGCGGACAGCAGTGACGATGAGCAAAGCCAGGTTCCTCCTGCCGGTGACGACGAGTGTATGATTATCGAAGACAAATGCATCCCTCCAGATCGCCGATCCGTCAGTGTCGAAAGTCGAGAAGTTCCTGGCAGTTCGAAAGAGACAGCACCAAAGCAATTGCTTCGTAAGTAAAAAAAATCAGCTTGCCTGAATGTTATAATGAAGTAAAAGGATGATTATTTTGAATCTTGTGATAATATTCCTTTTTTAGATAATTGGGCGTGCCCAATTTGCGATCAGAAGTTTGGCATGGATTTGGTTTCGCTTGAAATCCACGCTGCATTATGCAACGGCAAGCCGATAGTTCCACATTCTCCGAACTTGAATCACGAGAAGCCATCAACAAGCCAGAACTTAGGGTTGCCGCAGCCTGTGTTACAGATAAACATATGGCCGAAACCTAAGCCACCTTCTTTGATTCCTAACAGAACAAGGACTGTTGGTGATGACTTACTGCCATGCCCACTTTGCGGAAAGAAATTTCACCTGGAAATTCTTCAAGTGCACGCAGCAGAATGTACTGGAGCACCAGAGGAAGAAGTTCCGCCATCGACAAGCAAGCAAGGTACACCAAAGCCGTTGGAAAAGGTGGCTTGCCCACTCTGTGGAGAAGAATACGACCTGGTTACTCTCCAAGTCCACGCAGCTGAATGCAGCGGAGCGCCAGAACCTCCACATTCATCAAACGTCAACCATAAGAAGCCCTCGACAAGCAAGGCTTTGGAGAAGGTGGCATGCCCACTCTGTAGCGAGCAGTTCGAGCTGGAGATCCTTCAAATCCACGCGGCGGAGTGTAATGGAGAGCCAGCCAAGACGGGAGAAGCTCCCTCTCACTCATCGTACTCCAATCCAGGGCCGTCCACAAGCCAACATCCAGACATTTCAAAGCCTCCTGCAAAGCCCGTGAAAAAGCCTGTGAAGAAAAACGCCTCAGAGACCAGAAAAATTAGAAATGAGAAGATTTCGGAGATCACACAGCCTGTTAGTGATGATGTACCTCTTTCTGATCTTGGAACAGGAAAGGGCTTTAATTTATTATTAATTATTTTTAAATTCATATATTATATATAAAAATAAATCAATCGAAATAAGTTAATAAGCCCATCAAAAGTTCACTGTCTCGATGCTCCAAGTCCGACCCACGCTTTCTACGACTCCAAAACTCGCCACCCGAAGACATTCCTAAAAATCTACAACGCCGAATTAAAGCGACTCCGCACTTCGATGCCAAAAGGAATTCACCTGTGGCATTATGAGAGTCGTCTCGATTTGCTTTCATTTGCCATCGAAGGTACGAATGATTTCGTTGTTGTTACTAAAAACCTATTTTGAAGGCCCACCTGGCACCCCTTACGAGTTCTGCATTTTCACCTTCGATGTGTTATTACCAGCCGGATATCCGCTCACGAAAGCACCAAAAGTCCACTACAGATCAACCATCGGCGATGGTAGAGATGGCATGGCTCACAGGTAAATTAATCTTTTCATTCGCAATTTGATCACTTTTTAAGAATCAACCCGAATCTCTACTCAAATGGAAAGGTCTGCCTATCTCTCCTTGGAACTTGGTCTGGAAGTGGCTGCGAGAAGTGGAGCTATACTTCGAATATTTTGCAGCTGGTAGTGTCGCTTCAAGGTAAACGAAAACCTCATCAATAGAACTTACACAACTCAGGTCTCACACTCAATGCGGAGCCGTATTTCAACGAACCTGGATTCGAGGCACACAGAAACACCCCCGATGGTGTAGTACGCTCAAGGAACTATAATGAGAACCTAACAACATTACTTTGCGATCACGTGGTCACAACAATCAGGTAGAATATTTTCTCAAGAACGAGCTTTTACGAACCATCCTCTTAGAAATCCAGGAGCGCCATTTGAGGAGCTGGTAAGGGAAAGCTACTTTGGATCTAAGGAGAGCAACAAAGAGGGAATGCTCGGCAAATTCATTCAAAAGATGGAAAATCTAATAGCCAACCGACCAGACAATTTGCCCTACCCTTTACGTCCATTCACGAACTCTAAGAAACCATTTCTCACAGGTTCATACCGTTCATTAATTCCGTTTTTAATTATTTTCTAGGAAAATTACAACCGCTGAAGAAAATCAAAGCCGAACATGATAGAAAAAATAGCATCTTCTTCTGCCTAAATTATTTTCATCGCTCATAATTTTGACTGCCTCTGTAACCAACAACTTCAACGGAAAAAATCAACCAATTTTCAAAAGTTTCACGAAATGAAAAAAACAAAAACAGCTCACTGCGCACTTTCCACTCACAGCAAATAAACTCACTTCTACGAAAGATGATAGTTCTCTTCCTTGATTTCCTGCAGGAGAAAAACAACTCTTTTGATATAAATTTTCGGCATATCAAAACAAGTATTTCAGAAGTAAGAATTATATATTTAAAGTATATGACAGGAAATAAATACAGAATAGCAATGCAGCACATTTCCTTTACGAAAGAAAAAATAAAGAAATGCGAACTTAGAATAGAATAATTTACAGATTATTGAGGATTGCAGAAGGAGTAGGAAAAGAAGAATAATAATAATAATGAAGAGAGGAATAATTATAACTTTGTAATTGGCGAAGAAATTTTCGAAGAAAAGGATTGACGGATTCGTTTCAAAAATAAAAAAAAAAACAAAAGAAGCTTGCTATAAAACTGCCGGTAAGGGGAAGAGTCTAGTTTTTCGCTATTCTACGAGTGCATAAGTATAAGAACATGAAGTATAATGGTGTTTCGTCGGCCAGAGAAGAGCAAAAAAGAGAATAGTAGTAAAAATATAATAGAATGAGCGAGGGTTTTATCTTTGTGGGTGAACTTTGATGAAATGATTCAATTATTCGATGAGGCGATTGAATTTTTATTTAATTTTCTATAAATAACTTTGTTTTATCCGTTTTTTAATTAATTAAATTGGCTGTTCGCTTCGCGAAACCGAGTCACCGTCGTCTATGTGCGCGTAGTTACTGTAACTTGTCGAGAAATTCTTCACTGTATCACTCCATATGTCCCGCGTATTGAGCACATTTCTATTTTACAGTTACAAAGCTGTTGATGAACAAAAAGTTTATTAGTGTCGAAGATTTACGGCATCAAGTTGATGCAATGAAAGAGTATTTCAACCTTTTATCAAGTCATTTTACGCTAAATATTTCAGAAAATTTCGCTGATTGTAGCTTCTTTAGGCTTCAAAATAGATAAAAATATAGTTATTGAAGATCATAGATCCTTATTCATCCGAATAGCCAGCTTTGTTTGCAACTGTTTCCTGAAATTCTCGGATGCATTCGTTTCAGAGACGACTCCAGTTGTTTTACGCTCAGCGTAAAGTTTGTAGGGGAAAGCATATCTCAGCATAATCGCCGCTAAAGTAGCGCTAGAATTAGCAGAAGAGCATTAAATACCTAGAAGAAACTCGCAGCAAATGAGAAAATTTTGGTATCCGCCGGCGATGGCACCAGAAGTGTATTTTTCCTCGCCATTTTCATCTGTTACGTTGCCAATGACGTGTATGGCTTCCAAGACGGCGAGAGCGACTCCTTGCCAGAATGACAGAAAAATCACAGACTAGAGAGGTTTTAGCGGCGTCTGAGACAAGTTGGGGTCTTACCTTGACGCAGAAGAACTTGAGGATTGGATCGTAGGGGCGGAGGATATCAGCAGTGGCAGCGTAGAAAGCAACAAGGGCGTAGAGAGCAAGGGAAACGGAGATATTGTAGATGATACAGATGTAGAGATACCCTGGGAAGAACAGTAATTACAGAAGCGAAATTATCGCGCTACCTTCTTTGGGAGACCAATTGCCCTCATTGTATTTGTCTTGTGAAGCGAGAATGATGGTAATGATGGCCATTGGCGGCTTGATGAAACAGAATTGGAGGCAGCTACGTTTACAAAATCGTAGAAAGCGCAAGTCGTACTCCTTTTCTTTCAGGCAGCAATTGCACATCAACCAACTTGTATGCATCGGTTTGCCCTACAAAAAAATGTGATTAGTGGTGGTAAATAACGATTGACACTGGTACTATTATAGCTTTCGAATAAACGCAATTCAAGCATCTTGCCAAGACTTTTTTATCTTACCGATATTTCGTTGGCAATATTATTCTCGCCGCCCAAGTATCCATCGTAACAAAGCGACAAGAAAGAATAAATCACAAATGCTTCGTAACAATCTCGCACCGCATTGAAGTAGACATAATAATCGTCAGAAACTCCAAAGAAAAACAAACTGAAAAGTCACGGTTTTTAAGAACTCAGAAAGTAACGGTTACCTGAGCCAGCTGCAGAAAGTGTACATTGGCACGATAAATAGAACTCGGATGATCCAAGATTGTTCTTTTGGCGTTGTGTAGTTTAGAACATGTTTGTAAATCTGGTGGCACGTCAGCGCTAGAATCCAAAATAGAAAAATAGAGAGTGCGAGTTTCGAACCTATTGCAAGGACGGTGCAGATGCCAGCGATGAAAGTGGAAGTCCAATGTTCCAAGAAAATGACTCCCTGTTCATTCGTCGTGTGATCTTCGCCAGTCTGATTGCTCCCAGTTGGAATAGCCGAGGTATTTGAAGAGAGAACTACCCCCAAATCTGGGGGCGTCGAGTCCGTTTCCGACATCTATCTCTACAAAGAAAAGGCGGTTATAAATATAGTCTGAACTAGAATAGTTAAACTTTGATTTGAGGAAAAGACGGAATAATCTTCCGATACAAGGCAAAAGGCAATTCACAGCAACAAGAAAATCATCGAACGCGTCATCAGGGGTCAATAAGTAAGAGTTTGATAGGTAAGCATCCGGTGGTCAGGCAAACGTAAATAATCGTATTTATAAAGGAGAGTATTCGTATTGATGCAGTTTTCTCTCTTTCGCGTCTGGGTGAAAATAATAAATATAAGGAGGGTGGAAGATCTTGAGCGCGGCGGCCCCGGCAATGTTGGACGCAATCAAGTTGATATTGAAAGTCATCAAGACGAGCATGCTCAGCTGCGAGAGCAGAAACGACAGCGCATTCGCACAGGCGAGCCATAGGTAGCGGCGATTTGAACTGATGAATGAGAACTGGCGGATTCTCTTCAACTCGGTTTGGCTGCGCGAGGAGCTGCGCCGCCCGTGAGCGTAAGATGCCACGAAATCTGAAAGAAACTGATTCAAAATTGGATCATTTTTCAGTGATTTATTTTACGAGCAATGAATGCGAATCCGATGATTACAAAGCGCTACAACATTGTCATTGGATTAGCGTTACTAAAGGATGTAACCAATAGTGGTTAAAATTCAAGTTATTCTTGTTGTATTTACCATTTTGGTTCTTGTGGAGCCACTCGGCTGCTAATTCGCTGATGATGGAGAGTGCAAACACAATGAAGCAACCCAGCGCGAGTGTGGCTCGATCTTCGATGAAGAAGCTTTTGAAGAGCAGATGAAACTCATCTACTCCGCTCCACAAGTATTTGTATGATTCTACGAAAGAGGAAAGAAAAGTTACATAAAGTTCGAAGTTTTCTTAATTGTTCTTACTTCTTGGTCCATCCTCGTCTGGATTCATCGTCAGCAAAAGCACGTCAATGTTCACGATAATGTACTGTACATTGGGTTAATCGAGAGAAGCTACAGAATTACTGTTGTTTTGCTAATTACTAATTAGTAATTAGTTACTTTGAAATTCCGCTATTTTAATTCCTACAATGCTGTTTTGAGCTCTCTGTTTTGTTTATTATTTGGCAATTAAACTTGATGACATTCACCGTCGCTGGTGATTGTTTTTTACGTATTTCTGGACGGTTTGTAACCCTCTCGTAAAAAAGAACAAAGAAGAAAATCCTTCTTTCTTTCATTTCCTACCAACTAAGAGGAAAATTAAAAGCTGCTCAAGTTTCCAGATAAATTGCTAAATAATTTATATAAACAGTTAGCTACTCAAGTAATAAAGGTGTTTTTGTCGAACTTTTCAATTAAAGGAATCTATAATTCAAAAATTTATTCTTTTCAGCGATCAAAACTGCCAATTTTTAACTAAAATCGGCGCTAGAATCTTTAATTCAAATTCTGGTAGAGCTAGAATTTACAATTCAGTTAAAGTTCGACTCTGGAAACCTTCCTTTCTCATTCGTTCAGGACTATCTTCGTTTCTAGCAGTTCTCTTGGCGGATAGAAGATTCATCAGAAATTCAATTCAGAAGAAAAGGCATTTTTGTTTTTTTGCTTTTGAATTTTTTGCGCGTTTTTCTTGCGTTTGCGCGTCGCAGCTATTGACTCTTTTCTCTCTCTTGGTTAGTAATGAGTGACTCACGCTGGCGGTGAGTCATTTCTGAAATGAAAAGAGAAAAAAAAACGAAACGCGATTAAATTTTAAAGTTTGAAGAAATGAAGAATTTATGAATTCAAGAAAGCTGAACTAAGAAAAAATCTACGAAAAATATTAATTTATTTAAAAAAAATCAATTTATAAAATGAATCAGATTCAGAATTTGGCATATTAATATTGATTAGCCCGTCATCGTTTTTGTGAGCACAAAATACCAATTTGTTCCGTCCGAATACTGTTAAAATAATCCTAGTTGAAAACTGAGAATCTGGGCTTGGCAATCAGTGTAGAAAACCTGAGTTAGGTTCTCAAGAGCTCCAATGAAGAGCGGCGTAGCAAGCAAAGCAGTTTGGATAGAATTTTAAAATAGAATAAAATGGTAATTTTCATTAAGAAGAAACGCTTTTAAAAAAGGCGCTACGTGGCTTTTGATTTGGGCTCTTCAGAATCTGACTCAGGTTTTCTGCACAGATTGCCGAGTCTAGCTGAAAATCTAAGCTGAAATATAAATCGTTCAGAATGGTGAACGAAGGAAAAAGTAAAAAAGCGGCGAAGCGGCTGGCAAAAGAAGCAGATTTAGTTTTGTCGAGCTGGAAGTTGGCAGATCAGCTCTACACGAGTTTCTACGGCGATTGTTGGCCAGGGCCAGGGATTGATTTATGATGAACTTGAGCCTCAGTTTCCAGCGACCCTGGTTGAACCGGGCACTAGAATCCGTTCCCATGAAAATCCTGAGTTGAGATCAAAGAAGAACTTTTGAAGCCTCGTGAATTGGCGCTCTGCTCAACGACTCCGAAGCCAGAAGAAACGCTCTTCAGGAATAAACTCTCTTACCGACTCAGCTCGACAATCGAGGATCGAAAAGAAGGAGAGTCTTCTTCTTTCGACTTTTGCGTCGATCAAGAAGCACTTTTCTTGTTTGAAGTGATGGAGCTTTCTTCAAAAGACAACTTTCTCGGTGAGCATTTAATATGCAATTTGAATAAGGGACTGAGTAGAATATGCTTTCATGACAATGGAGCCGCACAGCGGCTTCTCCCAAATAACTTTATCATCTTGAAACTCTGTCGAAAGCTCTGTCAAGACCCTGACTCAGGTGTTCTACAGGAACTGCCGAGCCCAGGCTCAGATGCTTTAATGGAATCAGCCTCTAATTTTTTGATTAAGACATGTTCGGATACCCCGGCTACTTGGCAGTGCTAGTCAGTCACATGCTAAAAAGTATGAGTTTCACAACGAACGGGTCAACTCCGAGCACACACCAGAAACTGCGCTCCAGAATAACCGAAGAAGCGGCTGGTGGAGGTGAAAGAATAAGAGTCACCGGATGGGATGCGGTGAAATTTGGCGTCGCGGAAGCATCCACTTACAGTAAAGTCCTCCTCGTCGCTCCGTCGAGTGACGAAAAAGCGACGTTCTCCGATGAGAAACAGTTGAAAAAGTCTAGGATCGACAAATGCCCCCGAAATCCGGATCGGGTTTTCGTCGGATTTTCTCGAAGTCTGATTTTTCCGATCGGGTTTTCGTCGGGTTTTGTCGGGTTTTAATCGGATTTTCGTAGGGTATTTTTCGGGTTTTTGTAGGGTATTTTTTCGGGTTTTTATCGGGTTTTTGTCGGGTCTTTGTCGGGTTCTTGTCGAAATGTTACAAAACTGAAGTTGAATCAAGTAAAATGAATCCAAATCGGGGAAAATAGACAGAATTTTTGGCTAACGGAATTTCGGGTACTCTCATTAATCAAACTGATGAGTAGATCCGAAGAGAAACCCGACGAAAATACCCTACAAAAATCCGATAAAGGACCCTATAAAAACCCGATTTTGTAGGGTCGCAAAAATTTCAGCATCGGGTTTTTGTAGGGTCAGCAGAATCCAACAAAAACCCGACAAAAACGTCGGTTTTCGATCGGGTGTCGGGTGGGACTTGTCGATCCTAGGAAAAAGTGGACGGATAAAGTGACCAGGCAAAATGCGAAGAAACAACTCCTCAATTTGATTTCAGCCCTTTCCGCTACCGCTCCCGGTGGCACAGGTAGAGCCCTTATTTTACAAAATCAATGCATTTGACCAATAATAACATTCAGTTTTCTACGCCACTAGATCCATGTCTCCCTTCGAAAACGACGAAGTAGTGGAAAAAGCGCTCAAAAAGTCGCGAACGGAGCCTGTGGCGATGAAGATTTCAAGCACAATCGGAAGAGCGACAAAGTACGGAATACAAATTCTGCCCAACGAGGCGCCCTTTGGTCCACTTTATGTTTCTAAACTGAAAATACAGTCGGAATAAATTGCCATTCTCGATTTTAAAGCATTTTTTTTGAAGAATTCAAGTTATTTTCAAGGCAATTTGCAGCATTTCTTAGCTATTTATCGTCGTTTTTTGGCTATTTTTTGCATTGAATTCGGGCAAATCAAATTTTGGTTGAACAAAATCTCTGTATAGTTTATTTGACTAAATTACGTTGAAGGCAGACATAGAAAAAATATTTGTTTGACTTTTGGGTTGAGTTACGCATTAGCACCACCCTACAGACAATTACACCGTTTTTTTTTGTTTAATTATTTTTTTTGTACTTGGCAAGTTTAAGTGTATTTGGTTGAAAAGAGTGTTTAATATGGCGTTTTTAAAATTGATGGAACTGTGGATAGTATTCAGGCCTCCGTCTTGAGGAGCTCTGGCTCGGCTTTGCTTGCGCCGGGCATCGTCGTCTCAGGGTCGCAGGATTTCGGCGGAGATGTCTCTCCTGTTTCTTTTGGCGCTGTTTCGTCTAGAGCCGTCGGTTCAACGGCTTCTGCAACGGTGAGCAGCTTGTTGGAGGATGAACTTTCGGATTGGCACTAAAAACAGAAAATAAGACCCTTTTCTTTATCTCCGAAACTCACCAAAGACGAAGGGGTTTCAACAGAGTTTCCAAGCTCTGGCTCTTCTCGATTGAGCAAGCCTTCGGACATTTTCAACGTTTCCAGTTCGAGTCGCTCTTCAGGAGTTGGTTCTATTCCCTCCTCTTCTGCTTTCTTTCGCTTAGCTTCGAGGAAGGCGATTAATCTAACAAAGATAGGAGTAAGTGAAAGTGGCAATTTTGGAACAAAAGAAGCAGCGAAAAAGTCACTAGCCCGCGGCCGGGACTTGGTTGTTATTCTCTTTACCTCAACCGAGAACGCCGTCTAGCGGAGGGCGACGGCTTCTTCTTTTTCACTTTTCCGGCGTTGGATCCTGATTGGTCACACAAGATGGCGCTCGCTGCATTCCCGAAATTGCCTCGCGACTGCGTGTTTCGACCAACCGGTTTCGCCTTACGAAAAAATGCAAATAAAAAGTGCAAATCAACAATTTATTTTCGGAGTATAAAAACGCACACATCCCGCCCCCTTATCTTAGATCGTAATTTGAGTTATGAACTTGGGATAGAGAGTTTCTCCTATCCGCTTAAATACGGTATTCAATTCCACATTCATCAAAAAGCTCGACTTTCAAGCTCCAGATATTTCAAAATTTGGAGTTTTTCCAGATTTTTTCTTTTCCAAATTCGCGAATGGAAATTCGGGAAGGAAGGTTTTTTAATCCTCAGATTTAGTGGAACTTGATCCGCGTGCGGATCGCATTGATTAATCCAACGAGGCAGAATTAGGTTATCACTTATTTTTTCACCCAATCAGCGCAAGTAAGATTTTATGCGTGTTTTTATACTTACGGGGGCCGAGGCAGCTCGCGCCGCTTGCACTGGAAAGGGCTGGATCAATACTGGACCGAGATGGGACATTCCAATCTGGCCGAATTGGGAAGGAGCCATTTGGATGTAGCCCATTCCGGGAGCAGCCATCATCATCTGACTTGGCATCATCTGAAGTTCAGGTTCAATTTTCCTGCGTGTTTAAACGCGAAGGAACTGTATTCTGCGATATTCACGTCAATACAGGATTCCTTCAGATTTGAATTTACAAAAGAAAAAGACTCGAAAGCGCTCGGGGAATTCAAACAATGAATTTTGAGAATTTTCAACATACCTGTTGCATAGCGATTCCTTGCTGAAGCATCGCTTGCTGGGCCATCATTTGTTGACCATTCGTGACCTGAAGTCTGGATAAGAAAGGAGGGTCATCTCTCCCTTTTCTCTCTTCAAGAGGAATTTCATGATCTCGAAAAGTCTCACGAGCTTCTTTTTTTAATAGCACTTTCGTTTTTAGTAAATAGCTGATGAATAGTTTCCTTCGCTGTTTAGAAAACAAGGAAAATATCACACCCTGTGCCCAATTCATAAATGCGAGCAAAAATTGAAATAATCCTTGTTTGTTTCTTGCTCAACGCTCTTTCTCACCGAGAAACGAAATCATTTCAATTTTGAAACTCAAGTAGGAATTGAGAAAAAAAAGAGGAAGGATGTTATTGTCTAGTGCTAGCGTTATGAACGATGTCGTTCGCCGTTTGCTTGGAGATTAAACTGTTTATGTTAGAAACGATGTAGCGAATATAAATACTCTAGTACCGGTTTACCACGTAATCTTCTTGCAAGAAGGCCTTACTTGTCTCGTTTTGTTAAGACATCATGTTAGACTATTCTTACGAAAATGTTCTTCTTGAAAGAGCCAAGGTTTCGAGTGATTTTTCGATCAAAATCTTTAGTAAATTGGCTCCAGGGTTGATATTAAGCCCTTTTTTTATCGCCATTGACGCCCTTAAGACGCGATCAAATCTTAAGAACCTAGACCGTAATTACGAAAACCCTCGTCATCTTCTCTCTTCCATTTCACTAGATGAAAAAAAATACTCTTGAAAAAACGAATTTTTTAGCTCGTGAGTTTTCTTCGTTAAATCTCTTGAGTGAATTTTCTCTTACGTTGATCATGTTATCTCCTAGCGGCTGAAGATTCTGCTGTTGAAGTGTGTACATTTGCTGGTAAGGAATATAGGAATTCGCCTGTTGGCCCTGTTGCTGTTGTTGTGCTGCTGCTTGGTGTGCTGCTGCCGTTTGAAGTTGTTGTTGCGGAGTAGTGGTTGCGAAAAAGTGCTGGCCGGGGTTGTTCGCCGCGGTGGTGGCGCCCGTCGCTGCTCCAAGGGCCACCGTAGCACCCCCTTGCGCGATGCCTCGCTCTTTACTCGTCTCTAGAAGCGTCACAGGCACGACGTTCGAGCTCTTCTGCCCAGTCACAATGTCCACATAGTTCGAAAGGCCGAAACCCGACGATTTTCCGGTCGCCTAAAAAAACAATTCAGTCAAAATAAAAATCGATTATTCACAAAATCAAGACTCGAAAGACTCGAAAGAAAATTCCCTTTTCGACAGCATGATCACTCTTGATTTTTCAACCAAGATAAAAAATATATCATTTTCACCTTCAAAATCAAAATTCAAAAGTTCAAAAAAAGAATAACTCCATTTCCCTCTGAATCATTTTAATCAGACTCTATCATCCTCTATTCTCGTCATTGATTTCAAAAACGATCATTTGATTTTGCCAAAATGCTTTTAAAATTGACTTGCCTCTGGTTGATTCTCTGTTGTTTCAATTGTCTCTGTTTTGAAAGAAAATGAAATTGAAATATCGAAAAAGAAAATGGACCGAGTGCGCAAATATATAGAATTCGTTTCGAATTCGTTCGCTTTTCGAATGTAGAAAATATGAAAGAACAAAAAGGCTGCGCGTGTGCCCGAACAATGTGCTGGCGGCACAGTTTCACTTTTTTTTAATTTAGACGCACTTTCAAGAGTTGGGCAAAGAGCAGACGACCCTATTCCTCCATTATTCGTGGGAAATAACGATACAATATTCATTAATCTGGGATGAGCGCGCATACATGATGGAAATAACTTGACCTCCGTCTTCTTATCACTTTTGCCACTCGCGCTTATCGCCGGATTTTAGTGCACGTTCTAACAAATTGATTATGATTTTAAAATCTCAAACTCATAACGGTTTAATACGAAAGAGTTTCTCTCTTTCGAATATTTGGATATTGAAAATGAAGCCATTGGCGAAATCCAAATAGTATCGTGATAAATTGAAAAATTTCTCGCTATAAAACCACTTGAAAGGGCGATATTTTCTATCGATACCGAAAGAAAACACAGGCTTTTTCAGAAAAAATATTTTTAGAAATTTACAGAAATGTCTTTTGTTATTTAAGTAATTATTGTATAAAAATACCGTTCTGGGTAATATCGTCAAGCACCGGGGGAGCGTACGGCCTCGCGGAACCCCTTATCACTTCCTACTTAAACGATAAGAACATATAAGTTGCCTGAGTTCTTTTTACATTCATTGTTGTCTGTAATACCTTGCGATTGTACGAGCGAGCTGGAAGAGTTGGAATGAAGGAAATTCTCTTCTCTTGATTACGGATCTTACGGATTCGATGGAGCTGATACTAATTTGATAGAGAATGTATGTTTTAGTGTGTCGGCAGTGTTCTGCGCTGCTCAAGAAATCACCCTGCGGCAGTTTGGTGGTGCTGCTGCACAACTGCCGAGTTCCAAGCACGTGTGTAGGTGCTACGATCTGGGAAAAAAGGAAGTACCCCCGAGGGAAGTACTCTATCCTTCCTGTACCTTTTCTCACTTTTCAGACACTGGGTATCGCGATTTTTTCTGTCTTTTTTCACCAAACCTATTTTTTTCTTCATTATAATTGCTGTAAAATAAGGGTTTAAGTATGCTTAGTTGGAGAGAAAAAAGACTGGAAAAAAACTAGTCAATTGAGGTCTACCCCCTTAAATTTTTTCCAAGCCTGAAATCAAGGAAGACATTTTTCTTCTCAAAAAATTGAACTAGAAATAGTAGATCGAATTTGAGACCTACGTATACCTTTTTCTTTTTTCTGGTTTGCCGAGACCAGTACTTTCTTTTTCCCTCAAGTGGTAATCTCTAATTACAGCCGTCTCAAAAAAGCTAATTAAGTTTTTGGAAGTGAGGGTCAACAGGCACAAGCCGCCCTGTGAGTTTGGTGATGAGTCGATCAATCTTCATTTTATATGTAAATTATTAAATAAAATAATTAATTTAGCTTTGATTAAATCGCCCCGGCGTGTTTAGGGCTCGATCATCTCTGTGAATAATTCAACAGAAATGTCTAAGGTCCCAGGGATTTGGTTCGACTTTTGAATCAATCAAAAGAGCCCTACAGCTTTATTTCCCCCTCATCCCTCTTTTTTTTTCCTGTACCACTTTTCAATAAAGCCCTTCGAATTAAAAACCACTCACTTGCTTGAAAGTCGCTTTCTTTCAGAATTCATTCCTCTAATTTTCAATTTTCAATTAATTTTTTTTTTTCTAATAATTGTTTCTTGTTTTCGAAAAAAAAGCGCTTAGACTTTTCGATTATTTTGTTCGCAATTGAATTGTCCGAGTTTAGCAGAGTAAATTGAAAATAAAAGTGGCTACGCAGTGCGCCATTCGTGACACGAGGCTAAATAATTTATGATCATTATGATATAGTCTGCAATTCCTGGCGCCTCATTTAAGAGGGCCCTCTGTGGAAATTCGCCGATTAAGAATTTATTAATCAACCGCACAGACCTATTTCGGATGCATGCAACAGGGACCCTACTGCCATTTTTTCTAAAAACACTCGAGTCACTCACTTTGTGGTGCCATTTACAGTGATAATTTTTTAACTCATTTCGACCTCATTTTAAAACAAAGCAGAAGTTCTTTGTTCAGTCGTAAGAAAATAGATTAAAACTACTTTGAAAGGTTTGCCAGCCCCTTAAACTGTCCTCAGATCCTATCAGTTGATAGGACTGTAAAGTAGGAAGCTACAGTATGAGTAAAAAGAAAAGCTTGAAGCACTCACCTTGAGCTATTTTAATTACTCGGGAGAGCAGTTATAGTTGGCGGCGCGTTCACCATCAAAACTCTGAGTTAAGGGGAGTAGGGACGATTAGTTATCTTAATGATCTCTTTGTGATGAAAGACAAACTTCACCTTCGCTGACAATTTAACAAGGATCTGTCTCAAGTTGATTGAGCGGATCGACTAGCACATCAACGGCTGTCCCTAACCCGTCCCTTCCCTTTTCACGCGCTCATTGGGCAGGTCCTTAACCCAAATTTTTGTATTTCAATGAATGAATTAGCAACTTTTTCCAGTGGCAGAAAAAAGGGACGACAACTAAAGCTAACAAAAAAGCTGATATTTTGGTTCCATGATAAAAAAATATAGAGACCTTTGGAACCTTAAGCGATCTCTTATTTTTCGAGTGATACCCTTAAATATTTCAGAAATTCTTTCTGAAGAAAATGGCTTGTTTGCTGCGCGAACATTTCAAAAACGAAAAGCATATTTGATAGAAATTTTGATACTTTTTTTAGCTCAACTTGCCTTGTACTTTTAGTAGAAAAAATGAGTCAAGATTAGCTTCTTTTGCGGCGTGTGTGCCTGTTTTTCTCGATCGTAATCAAATGACACTGTCCGCGACTTGATGAGATTGCCCCTTTCGACAGGTAGAATTAATCAGGTACTAATTAACACACCACGCACAATTTACTCTTACTGCATTCTTCTGTCCATTCTTTCCCCTTTCCTCAATATTGCTTTCCCAATAAAAATAAAACAATTTTCAACACTGATTAAAATTTTTTTAATCTGATGAATTTTAAACTTTGTTGTTTCAAAAACCATTAAAGTCGCATTAATAAAAATAAAAATCCACTTGTCTCGTAAAATAATCAATTAGCGACTTTTAGATTTGGAAAGAATCAATGGCTGAAAGAAACATGGTGGAATATCGAAGAGGGAATCCTTCACCAAAGCGAGGGACAATAATCAACATTTGCTGATTGCCTATAAATCACTGTCTACTAGAAGGCCGCTTCCACTAAAAGATAAATGATTGATTCACGCACAGTACAGATTCTTTCAGCTTTTCAAAAACGAAGCTGGACAATTTTCAATTGATTATATGAAACTGGACAATTTGGGTAGATCTGACAATGCGCGAATGTGACCTTTTTATTTTAACTGCGCCCGCTACTAGTTTATTACTAGACAATTTTATTATTAGTCAATTTTGACTTCAATTTAATTCGGATCAAAGATGATAACCCTTTCAATCAAGGGCCAGATAAACTTTTCTAGGGTTAGGGTTAGGGCTAGGGTTAGGGCAGCCATTTTTCATAACGTATATCATATACGGTATATGAGAGAATTTGCGACGCTATTTTCTGTTTTTTTATAAATTTCTTTTGGCTGTTATTTTTCGTCATTTCTTTTGGTTTTCGAATCAAAAGAAACATCAAGCTCAAAATATTTGATTTTCAGGGGTTGATGTTATATCTACCATTCTTTCTGTAAGTTTTCTAAAAGAAGTAAGGAAGAAGTAAATGAGTCGGTTATTTAATTTTTCTGGCTCAAAAATGCGGCCTGGCCGATTTGATTCGGAACACAATCAAAAAATGACTAATAAAATAAAATAAAAAGCGTAAAAATGATTTAATTACCGATGTTTCTTCCATCATGATTCGACAAAACTGCTCGTGATAGTAATTGAAAGTGAATTCTGCAGAAAGGGGAGTTTTCCTATTTTCTCTGTTTCGTCTTTTTTTTCCGTTTTTTAAAGACAGCCAGGAGGAATGTTCATTTGATCATAAAATTTACGGCGCAAAAGGCAAATAGCTCTGGAAGTTGCGAAAATCGCCGAAACATCGCAAGTGCAGCTCATTTACGACACGACAGCGCAAAAAGTAATTCCGCCCAGAGTTATTACGCCTCTTGCCTCTTTTCCCGTTTATTGGATAATTGAGATTACTGACTTTTACTTTACTCTTCGTAAATCATCAGAATCGTCGCGGGGAGTTGAAGAAATTGTGCTCAGAAGACTTTCGACTCAAAAAAAAATCACCCCTTTTTGACTCGAAGATCTTTTTTTGCAAAATATTTATTGAAGGCACTGTTGAAATGCAGTATATTATATACTGTATTATATACAGTGCCATCAATAAATATTTTGCAAAAAAAGATCTTCGAGTCAAAAAGGGGTGATTTTTTTTCAGTTGAAAGTCTTCTGAGCACAATTTCTTCAACTCTGTATATACAGTATATACACTGTATTGTTTATAACACTAACCCTAACCTTGATTCTTTCCTAAAAAGAGTTGCGAATTATATGATTTTTGGTTGAGCTTTTTCTTAGAAAATTGGTCTTTCTTCATATATCTTACTGTAACTGTGATAGTCTTTCCCAGGCATGTAAAAAGACAAAGAAGTTTATCGCTACGAGTAAATTTGTAAAAATATAAATCAAAATTTTACCTGCTGAATCATTTGTTTTCCTCCCTTCTCTCTGCTGGGAAATGGACGGGAAAAGGCCTTTGGCAGCTCCAGTTGCCGATTCTAGTGCCGACCTTTTGCGCAATTTTCTCCGCTCCGGGTTAATTTTAAGCGCGGAAAAGGTGAAAAATTAAGAATTTGAAAATTCAGGAAATATTTATTTTTACTCCCTTTTTTGAAATGCTTCTGGCGGATCGTTCGAATGCGATGGTTTGACATGGCAATTAGCTTTTCCAATCATGCAGATTAATTACACACGCCAACATTTTTATATGGAGAGTGATATATTACACTTGTCAAGCGCGTGCCCAAAATGCCAGATGGAAACTGCACCGCTCAAAAATAATCGACCTTTTGTTCATTTCACTTCAACACGCCACAAACCTGTCGGCTACTTCGCACTGTACATCGGCAACTCCTGTACTGTCTCGGAACAGATAGTCTCCGACCAGGCTCGGCAGCCTGTGTAGAAAACCTGAGTCAGGGTCTGAAATAGCTGAAATGAAAAGCCGCGCAGCGGCTTTTTAAAAACGAAGCCGCAAAGCGGCTTCGCCAGAGTTTTTCTAGATTGAAATTGTTATATTAGTGAAGCCGCTTTGCGGCTTCGTTTTAAAAAACCGCTGCGCGGCTTTTCATTTCAGCTATTTCAGACCCTGACACAGGTTTTCTACACAGGCTGTCGAGCTCAGGTCTCCGCTAAAGGGAAACAACAGTTTTGCAGGAGCAAAAGTATTTCCGGAGGCCGACTTGTTCAATTTGCTGTTTTTGAGCTATTTTTTTGAAGTAGCTTCCTACGACACATGTTTTCCGGAAATCATAATAAGCATAAAGTGCGTAATTTTATTTTCTTTCGCCGGGCAGATAATAATCGTCAGGGGCAGACACACAAAATGCAGTTTTATCGCTTCGGAAACAATGAACGGTTTTAGTGTAGGTAACTTCTGTCTTCCGAAAATTGTAGTAAAAATCATTGATTTGCCAGACGCAGGTAGTCTTCGTCGCCAAGAATTTCGTCTTCCGAGGAACTGTTGTGTCCATTTTCAGTTCTTAAAATACTCTAAGAAAAAAAAATGAAGAAAATTAAAAAAAATTCGAAAAAAATTAAAAAAAATTTGAAGAAAATTAAAAAAAAAATATTTAAAAAAGTATTATTCGAAAAAAATTTAGTGGAAACAGCCTAATTCTCGGTGAACAAAGCAAACCTGTTGCTCTGATCCATAAGATTTTGAGATGATCCACTTCCAAGATCATAAATTCGTTGCTCTCTGAAACTTCTGAAAAGAATTTCGCTCAGACTCGCCGCCAGTTGATGATGATTTCCCGGTATCTCCCAGTTATTGCTCTCTGCTTTTCTAAAAAAATAACTTTGTCTTTCAAATAGAAAAAAGTGCTTACTTGAGTTGGCGGAGAATTTCTTGAAACTCGGGCGTATTCTTTGTTGATCTCGTTAGCCCTTGTGGATCCGTCAAATTGCACGACTTGAATGGGTCTGAAAAAAAAAGTAAAAAAAGCTTCTTTTTCCGGAGTTTTTTACCGGAAACTTGGCGGGATAAAAGCAGTTTGTGTCCTTCTTTCTGTCCTTGTGAAGAAAGAGATGAGCTTGCTTGTTGCATTGTTGATGATTCTGCGATTGAAACAGCCGTACCGCCATTTGGAGCTAGATCGAGATTCGGAGACTGAAACTGCTCGGAAGAGTGATTCGACGAACAGGGTGACGGAGCTGTTTTGAAAAGAGGTTTCTTGAAAGTCGCCAAGGAAAAATAACGTTGCTTACCTGGTGCATCGGAAGAGTGGGTAGACATAGGAGAGTTTTGGAAAGAATACACCGAGGGCAAACGACTGCTTGAACAGGAAGATGGAACTGTACTTGGATTGGGGAGCTGGGAGGGATAATCGAAGAGAGAGTTGCTGCTCGTTTGATTCGGATTGAAAAGCGCGGAGAAATCGACCTGTGCCGGCATCTGCCCGTTGTCGATAGGCTAGTAGAACGGAGATAAGCTAAGATCATCAGCGCGCTTTTGTTTACCTTCAGGATTTGCTCATAGACCTCCTTGTATGCACCGGCAATCTCGGCCTTTGTTGGGCCAACCGGTCGTTTCGCCTCGGGCGCGTCCTCCAGAGCAGCCTGAGGCGCGGGCCGTTTTCGCTGGCGGCCGAACTCTGACTGAGCCGGATTCGGATCGATCGTCCAGTACCCACCCTTAGAATCATCATCATTAATGGGTACTATGGGTTATCCAAAGACGGGCCTTTCTTTTTGTGCCCAACTTTTGGACTCGATCGAGCGTAATTCTTGAAATATAATTTACCTTTCCAGGATGTCCTTTTGGCCGTTGAACCTTTTGAAAACAAGCTGATAGACTCAAGTTGTGTCGGATCGAGTTTTTCCAGCCGTGAGTGGCGCTTCTGTAGTAGGGAAAGTTCTCTAGCACGTATTCGTAAATTTGATTGAGCGTCATTTGCCGCGTCGAAGTGGATTCTATCGCCATTCGGATGAGATCAGCATACGAATGCGAAGGTTTTTTATTTCCATTTGCATCCACTTCAAAAAGTTGTTTGAAAATTGAAAATTGAAAATTTAATACCTTTGTCTTCTTTTTCATGTTTCCTGCTCATCACACTTGCATTGATGTCTAGTAGCCAGCGCAGCGTGGTGAGACTCTTGCCCAAATTGGTCGACGAGCTGCTCTCGCCCTAGAAAGCAAAAGTTAGGGGACATTTCACGCCGACTCGTCACCTTGACAGACATCTCTCACAATTTACCCTTTTGCACTTTTGGAAGTCTCTGTGAATTCATATGTTCGGTTGCCAGGTTACCAAAATAAATAAAGACACCAGAATCGCGCTCAGCGGCGTTGAGCAAAGGTCACCGCATGGTAATGCTCCCCTGCTACTGTTTAGCATTCTGATCATTTATCGAAAATAAAAAGTGAAATCAACAAGGATCCTGCATGAAAATAACAAAAGACAATTTTTGATTTTTGATTGTTTGCTATTGATTTATAAATTAACGCAGTTTGAAAGTAAATACAAAGTTTTAGGAAAGTAGATTTTTCTATTTTTAAGATTTCATAATGAATTTCTGAAGATGGCAGCAATTTCTCTAGGTACTCAGTTGCTCGACGAAGAGGAGGAGGAGGAGGAAGATGGCGAGTCATAATCGGTATAATCACTGAATTTATATATTTAGTCCCAATTTATTAAAGTAAATCAACGGTAGTAGGGGGAAATGATTCCGGCTGCCCCTAACCCTAACCCCCCCCCCACCTAAGGCCTTAGCCAGGGGGCTTCGCCCCCGGACCACTCCTAAGAGTTCCCAGTCCCTAATCCTAATCACTAGCCTAGATTCCAGAGATATTAGATGGCTCGAATCAGAGGCTCGAATGATAGCCCCTCTCTACGAAATCAACTGACCTATCGATGTCCCCTGCAGTGCAGCAGGAGTTCTCCAACTCTCCTATCCTGTCTAGTCCTTCTTTGAGGAATTTGGATTGATTGTTGAACCCTTCGATGATTCTCTTCTGCTTGTTACTTAGGTTGCTCACGGTGATTCCCAGCCGTCGCAATTTACTAGCTACTCCTGGGCTAGAATTGAAGTCATCATCGTTATCTCCATTTGCGTTGCTGATGCCTCCTCTTTCGTTCTTGGCATTTTCAACTGCCCTTTTCAGATCGCTCATCGCCCTAGAAAACGGTATTACTTTTTGTGGAATTCGTACTGCAATTTACAGGCGATTGGTCGACTGGAATCGGTGAAACTTGTCTTGTATTCCCTTCACACGAGTCGAGAGCCTTTCCAGATCGTTTCCGACGAGCATTTCGCTTTGGAGCCTTGTCAGGGTCGATGCTAGCTCTTGAACAGTGTCACTAAGGTCGCTGTCACTGACTGCGTCTCTCAAATCCTCCAGGTCATCTGCAGAAGCAGTTTCAGAGCTGACTTTAACAAAAATTTCATTGATTCGTCGCGAATGCCTCTCCACTATCTAAAACCATGTTTAATTTCAGAATAATAGAATTTCTAAAATACATTTTGGAGCTGCTGCAACTCGGCGGACGGGACCATCGATCGATGATTCGAGAATCTGGGAGAAATGGTGTCTTCTAATCTGTAGAGCTTTTCAGTTGTGTTTGTCTCGAGCTCCTCAATTTTATCGTAGAGGTCTTCTGTCGTCGAGTTCAAGCTTGAAATTGCACTGTCGAGACTGTCGATTTTGTCGAGAACTGCGTTGTAGCTAGTAGATTGTCGGGACTCCTTCATTTAGTTAGAATCGAAGCGATGATAGAAAATGTGCTACCTGTACTGTAGAAAGCATCTGTTGAATCTGCGAGTTACGTACATTCAGATCCCTCAATGAGTCGACGATTTCCAAATATTTTGCTGCGAAATCATCGTAAACTACTCGCGCATCCGCCTTGAGTTCCACCTCTTTCGCGAAAATCGTTGTGTTCATCTGTTTTAGCCTCTCATCAAAAACACCAAATTCAAGGGCTCACAATATATAAATAATAAAACGCGGAAAAAATGAGATCTATGATCCCTACTCTTAAATCAGGAGCACTATCATCACTATCGCTGGTTTCGACGAGAAGGACTCGCTCGAGAATCGTATTTTGTTCGTTTTTGATGTCTGAAAAAATCATCCCGAGGTTGAAAATTGGATGAAAACAGACCTTGAATAGAGCTTCCTTGCGCACTAAGCGTAACTTGCACTTGATTCAAGTTGCTCTTTAAAATCGTAATCTCGTCCGAGTCAGAGGCGAAATTAGTATTGGTCGCCAAGTGATGCATACTCTGCTGGATCCGAGCAACTTCTTCTTCATTCAGCGAGAATCCATCGGCGATTCGACTCGTTAGCGCGCGTAACTTGTCGCTCAATTCACCCTGTTCAACTTGGACTTCTTGGATCGTCGAGGAAAGCGAGTCTTTTTGCTGCTCTAATCTGTTTTTATTAATTTTGGCAATTGGGTTTTCAATCTACCTGCTCTTCATTTGTTGAATATCTCTCGAAACGGAGTCCACAGTTTTGTCGTGAGCGTACAAATGCGTAAACATGGTCAAATTCATGTCACTCAAGCGGTTTTGGAAAACGCCTACTTGAGACTTCAACGTCGATGCTAGAAAAGTCTCAAATTGCAGAAAAGGAGACGAAAAAAAACCTTGAATGATCGCATCGCGACTGAGCTTTTCTAGCTCACTAAACTCGTCGGCATAGTTGTCGGCATAGTTGAGCTTGGAATTCAACGAAACAAGCTTGGAGTAGTTCTCTCGGTATTGATTGCGCAAATTCGTGTTTTCGTGGTCAAGCGAGGTGATTTGATTTTGGAACTTGAGTGAGTTGCTTTCCGTCGTGGATCGGATCTTTTGCGAGTTGAAGATTAATGACTCCTTTATGGTTCTTATATTATATTATATTACAAAAAATCCCAATTTGCGATTTTTTAAGATCGATTAACTCCTTCCTGGCTCATGTCAAACTGCAGCATTGAGAGCATTTTCTCCCGTTGCAAATCCCGATCTTTCATGTCGTCGATATTCTTCTGCTGCGCGACGATCTGCAACGAGTTCTGGTTAATTTTATTGTTTAGGAGGGTGCGATTTCGGAAAACGTTTTGAACCGTCTCGTTCAGGTCGTCCTCGAGTTTCTGAATGACGCCTTCTAGATAGGAATGGGAGTGGGTGGACTCGGCGTTGTTGAATCTTTCATTGAGATTACATTGGAGTTTGTATTTTTATTTTTTCAAATAGTTTTTTGTTTCCTAAATCTTTTCCTGAAGTTTATTCTTTCATAAATGTCTCTGATTTTGTCATCAATGTCGCTGAATTTTTCATCGTAAAGATAGTCCGCCGCAACTGGCTCAGCTTCTGAAGGGTCTTTTCTCAAGCAGCAGTCGTCCATTTGAGCCATGGAGAATTTCACCTCGTTGATTTCTCGAGTCAGCGTGTCGTTCAGCCTTGATAGTTCCTTGCTCACGTAGAATTTTTGTGCATATCCTTCGCTCATGTACTGCCCAGGGTTGAATTTAATCTTTATCAATAACGACGATCGTTTTTGCTTTCGAACCCTTCCTTGGACTGCTCAATAAGTTTCTCGTAATTGACTTTTATTGAGTTTTGAGTGCCTTCTAACTGGCTTAGTCGATCACGCATTGCTTGATACTTTCCATTGTTGACCTCATTATTTTGAGTAGAGCTCGTTTGAGGGATTGATGAAATATTCTCCTCGACTTGTTCGATTTTGATCTCCATTTTTCGAAGATTCTCCGTTATTTCTGGCTTCAGAACTTTCTCTCGGTAGTTTTCGATCATTTCGACGCGGTTTTCCAACTCGGCAAGAACGCTCATGAAGTCATCCTTTTCAAAAATTGGGTTTAAAATTTAAAGAACTTTTTGAAGAAAATCCAACTTGCAGAAAATTCCTCAATTTTAAACCCCTTATCAATATTCGGGAAGATTGTACTGGTCTCCAAACGGTCAGTAGAACTTCTAGAGTTTGCTTCGAGCGCTAGAACTTTTGTTTCCAGACGATTGATCTTGTTATTTATCATCTTGGTCCTAGTAGACTCTCCTTTGAACTTGTTTCGAATTAATTTTCTCAGCGATTCTTGTGCGTTTCTGTTCGATTTTCCAGCTTCGAGGCAGGTTTGTAGGCCAGACTCAAGACTCTGTAAGTTCTTCTCGAGATTGATAAGGCGCACTTCGTTCTCGTTTTTCTGATAATGAAAATTGTTCAGATCTGTTGTTTGTTGTTTCTGGTTGTTGCTGATCTTGGCGATGTTGTTTTCTGCTTCGAGGAGTCTGTCAGCCAAGGCCGTAATTGCATCTCTCGAATTTGCGCGAGGTTCTCTGCCAACTTCCACGACAAATGGGTCAGCAGCAAAGATAGAGCTACTTTTTGTTGAGATTTGAATAAGGAAATAGTTCTAGGTTTTACCTTAGAATGCACCATAGAGGGCGTAGCAGCCGCATTTTCTCTCTTTCTCTCTATATGTTTTTGGTCTCTATTATGTATAATTTCGTCGATAAACGTAAAAAGTTAGTTAAAAAGTGGGCAAGTTTGGAACCCCTTTGAGGAGCAATCAACTGGATGAGCCAAATATTTGGGCACACAATGGCCTTGCCGCCACCACAAACACAAGTTAAGGAAGTGTTTATAAAATCACTTTTTCAAATTCTTTCGGAAAACTTGGAGCACGTCCAAAGCCAAGTGTAGTCCTCTCGCCCGAATGAGCGAGAGAATGAGAGAGAGAGAGCGCGAGAAAGGAAATATTTTTGAGGATCGTTTGATTTTGAAGCTTGAAGTTTCTGAACTTGAGTTTATTCTTCTTCTTATAGTAGCATGGATTAGCGAAAAAAAGGGAGCAGTTGATAGTTGTAGTAATTAAGGCGATTTAAAAGTTCCCGCGGAAGTCGTCAATGCCGGATTTTAATGAATTCAGCGAGTCGTTCATTTTCTTGTCAAAACCCATCGCATGCACCCAAGTAGCTGAAAAGAACAATTCAATAAGCGCGAAAGAAACAAGAATGAAGATTTTACATGTAAAGAAAAAGACCATGAAAGCATTGCGAATTCCGTAGACCATCATCACTTCAGGAAGAAAGCCGCGTTTGAACATCAACATGGCGGCAACGGTCAGGGAGAAGGACAAAACGCCGGCGAAAACGCAGAGAACCACGTGAGCATGAAGCGCCCTGAACAAAAACATGCATGATAGAATAACCTAATGATTGATTACGTTGGACTTCCTCCGCCGTTTTCGTGATCAGCCAAAGCGCAGCTGCCGATTTGACCGACCATGTACTAAAATTTTTCATAGAAAATTCTTATAGAAATTATTATGGAGAAATTTGATTCTGAGATTACCTCAAAAAGGGAGATTCCAGTCATGGTAAGAGCAATGTAGAGGGAAAATCTTCGTATCTTCGAGACATATGCTTCGTGAGAGTAGTATGTTATCTAAAATCAAGAATTTTTGAGAGGTGAAATAGTTTTTTACTTTTTCTGAAGCTGGTTTGCCGACGTACTGGACAGGGAAGAAAAACTCCATCATTTCGGTAGCGACGTTCATTCCAGTGATCAATCTATCAGAGCCGAAAACGTAGGGGCTATTTTAATGAGCTCAGAAAAAAAACGGAGCAAATAGAAGAATCTCTAGAGCTCTGGAATTGCTACTGTTCCCATAGAGGGCGATAACGACGGCGAAGATGATGGTTATCCAGGCAAAGGCGATTTCCCATCCCGCATTTGAGCTCTGAATTAGCGTTGTTTACCGCGTAATGAAGGGAAAATGAATGAGTTACGATTGTGTTTCGAATATCCAAGTCCAAATCCCACTCGACGAAATTCACTTTCGATGTCTTCATTTTTCGGATAGTAAAATATTTCTCATAAATTTATGACAATCACTTTTTTGCTCTTGATTCTATCCGACTTTTTCCTGTGTTGCTGCAATAGAAGTTGCGTTCGTAATAAAGTCTTCACTCCCTGTGGTCGTCAAGAAAGCTTCAGTCGGCATTACAGTCTCTGGAATGACTGGAGAACTACTGTTGAGTTCCGCCATCGATTCGGTCAAAATCACAGCCGCCTATTTCCGGATCTCTCTTTCTCTCTCTCTCCGAAGAAGTCAGAGAATCAATCGTAAAGTAAATGACTCGTTGTCGAATCTGAGGAATTTGAGAGATTGATCCGCGCCTGCGTAGTGCTCATAAAACCGCCAGTCGTAGGTTCTGCCATTTTTTCTTTGCGCTCTCTTTCTCTCTTTTGATTTCTTCTGGTTGAATCTCTCAAAATCTGAAAAGTTCGATTTTCGATTTCGATGGAGCGTGGAGTGTCTTTTGCGACTGAACTGGGGTCGCTCCCTCAGTATCTCCCTAAATCAGTATTTGGTAATCTCGACAGTCCCACTACAGACAGTACTCTTACTCATTTACAGAGCGAACTCAGTTATGGGGAGAGCTAGGCACCTTGCCAAAGCCAACCAAACCTCAGACTCCTTCAGAAGAGCATCCCGTGGAAGTGCTAAGCCCTGACGATTCTAGAGCCACTCGTTTGTACTGCAAATCAACGTGGCGCCGCGCCAAATAAACTTTTAACGACATTAACGATGAAATTAATAACTTTCTGCAGCTGTTCTTTAGTTCGACAATAAAATCAAAGATCAAACGAGAATCCAAATTTAATCCAGAGCGAAGTGAGAAACGGTCAAATACCAGGGTTCTGAACGACCCTAATTCTTTGACGTATTTGTTTTTCCATGAGACCACAGAAGATTACCAGAAGTCGACACCTATCGAAACAACTTGGGAAAAAACACTTTTGAATTTCTTAAGACCCAACTTCTATAACGAAAATTTCATGAAACAAAAAAAAATCTAACAATGCTCAAACTTTCTTTGCTTCAATAATATCATTCAATAAAAACATATATTGTTGAAAAATCAGCAGGTGCGCGAATAGAACTCAATTTTCTTTGTCTTCATTTTGCCAAACTCCTTTCATTTTTGTGATTTATTCTGAAAGAGAGAAGATATGCTCGGAGAACAAGTTGTATTCAAACATCAAGTTGAAGGAGGAGAGCCTATCAATTTTGTATTCAAACACATGGCCATAGCGAATGCTCGTGGTTGTCATTCCTGTGACCGGTAAAATTTAATAAATTGCGCTTACCTATTTTACGTTCTCGATTTAGCATGTTTCTAAGGTAGCATGACCTCCAAATTCGGCCAAGTAAAATTTGATTTTTTAATTTTTCCTAGTCCTTCTAAGGGCCCCTAGGTGAAAGTGCGCAGTTCCTAACCCTAAGGCCTAACGTAGGGGGCTTCGCCCCCTTGGAACCCCCCTAACACTATCCTAAAATGAGGGTGGCCGAACTTCGAAGCCATACTACAGTTCCTTGTTTTGAGGCAAGAGCGTCCCGATTTTAACGGATTTTTGACTTTCATCATTTAGTCATACGATGAAAGTAATCAAGATATACAAAACCACTGCTAGTGTTTACACCACCTGTCAAATTTGCTTTCTCCAGGAGTCGAAAAACGATAACAACGTACCTACGCGAGAGCCAATCGAAGAATATAACAAAAAATTGTTTAAATGTCCAGCGAGAAAGTGCCCAATACATCAAAGCTTCAACGATTTCGTGAATGGTAGATGCTGCAAAGATGCAGTTAGAAAGATCAATTACGGTAACAGCGCTTTTTATGCATTTTAAATAATATTTTACGAAGAATTGCGTCGTGAGATGTGCAACTCGCAGCGGGACTACCAAAAAGAAGTAGAAGAAGAAATCAAAATCGAGAAGAAAATCGAAGAAGCTGAGATTAATCTCAGAAAAAGAAAGGGCGAGGATGAGGTAGGATTCCTATTTTAATTCTATGTTTTGAAAGGTTGATAAGCTAAACATCTGAGTTTAGGAGGCCAAACAAGCATTGAAAAAAGCGACGATTGAAGCTGAACGAACCGAGGAAGCGTTAAAAACTGCTGAAGAAGAATTGAAAACACTGAAGACGTCGCTTTCTTCTATCCAAAAAAAGGTTGATGCCAAGCAACAAAAACTCGATGCCGCTGTCACTTGCGCCGTCCCAAATATAATGACCTTTCAACAGAAGAAAAAGCAGAGTGAGAAGGCAGCTCACTCAGGCAAAGCTTGAAGCAAGGCTCTTCAGAATAGTGTCAGTTCATTTCTTCATCTTCACCTCACTGTTAATATTCTCGACATTGCCAAGTCGGAAATTTCTTCGTCTTTGAATGAAATCTGTTGCTTATTAAGGTCTCCACAATAAAAAATTTCTACTAGATAAAATTATTGAACAAAAAGTAAGGGGTAAAAGGACTAGACTTTTGTTCACAAGCTGAGAGGAATGATTTCACGTTCGCAGGTTCCTTTTCTGAAAAACGTTGTGTCACGTCAGCCATGTCTAATTCAAAAGTTGTTCCAATTCGTTCAGCCATTCTAAACCGATCCAAATGATGATATTCGCGATAAAATAATTTCTTCTTCAATCATTTCTCATTTTTTCTAAACGAGATGCGCGTTTTCACCGGCGTTTTTTGTTTTTTACTGAGTTTTACTGATTTCGCTTCAGCGGCGATCAAATACGGCGGCTACAAAGGTTGAAAACTCGGAATTGAGCTTCTTTTTTGTTAACATTTGCGTTGTAGGGAGCTATTTCACTGCTGATGGAGAGAGAAAAACCTTTGAAGGAGGTTATCGGATCAGAGAAAAACCGGCTTGGAGGCAGAGTCGAGAGAACAAACCGAAAAACAATCAGAATTGGAAGAACAATGTTTCCAAACCGTTTGAAGAAACTCGGCTTTCAAATTTAGACCCATTTTTGGGGTCTTTTGTGAATTCATTTCAAAGCCATTTTGAGCGCTTTCTAGTCAGCGAAGTAGAATCGAACCCAAACCTCTTTTTGATTACGAGTATGGCGCGTCCGTTGTGCCACTAGAATCAGTCATTGACGTCGATCTCGACTACATGGAAATGGACAAAAAGATCTTTGAAGAAAGCGGCGTTTTTACGCGCTTTTTGGGAACTGAGCTAGAAAAAGAAGTTGATGGGCAAACTGTCAAGTACAAATTTCCGCTTCCGGTGGAGAAGACGGAAAACTCTCTTCAGCGGCAAATTCTTCCCGCGGACATGGTTCTTCGGTAAGCCCTCTTTTCTTTTTGTGACTTGATTGGATGTATTCAGCGACTTTTCAAATTTGACAACTTCGTTTCAAGAAAAAATTCTCAACGGGAAAGGAATTCCGGTCATGAACGGCAAGTTCTTGGCCATTTTCATGTGGGATACCAACTGGGGCCAAATGAGAATGAATTTATCGTCAATTACAAAAGGGAGTAGAATCGAGCAAAAAGAAGCGTTTGAGGGTCGAGGAATGGATTAAATTATGAATTTATTTTGTTTACATTTTTTGAGAAACGGTTGAACTCTATCTTTAATCTTTGTAAAGGCAACGAAGTTCTTGACGGATCAGACATAGATTCAACAGTAACCAACGGAGCCGTCTTTCCTGATGGGACCTGGCGCATGGATGTTTCCTTTTTGACAGGGCAAACTTTCTCTTACTGGGGAAAATCGAAGAGTGGCTGGATGCTAGAAGGGTGCTTTACTTGTCTTGGATGCGCTTTTACTGCCAATCAATGTCTCGGAAGGTACTGGAGAAGCTTTAAAACCTAGTGTTAAGACTCTGTATTTAGAGTCTTCTTGATGCCAGACCAACTGACAATGGAGCAATCAACTCAGTTTTTCATCGACAGCGCGCTTGAAAAATTCACTCTTCCGGAAGATCAAGAACCTACGGATGAAAGAGACCTCTCAAAATACAAGTAAGAGCGGCGTTCAAACAATTTTCAACTCTCCTAGGAAACATTTGATGAAATTAGAACGCACTTTGAAGCAGATGGGCTCACTGAAAAACCCGAAAGGAACGAAGCGATCAAAGAAATTCAACGGTGGGGCGAGTGACCTTTTCTTCAATGAAGATTTTGGTGTCGAGGCGTTTTACGAAAAATTGAAGAACTTTATCAACGAACGATTCGGAGAAAAGGAGAGGCATTCAAAGCGCCAATGGGTTTGCTTCTGAAGCTATTTAAATAACTTAATTTTTTTCCTAGAACAAAATGATGATGAAGATTATGGCTGTCTGCGAGTATGACATGAAACGATGTCCAGAAGAGCTTCGCGAGTTCGAATCAAAGGATCAAATCCGTTTGATGAACTCCCGCTTATAAACTCTCCTGCTGATTGTTTTTTGCGGAATAAATTTTGTATTTTTTCTTGTCATGTTGTTTTTGCTTGGAAAAGAAAGCGTGATACCTTGGGAGAAAAGGCGAATGCTCCGTGCTGAGAAAAGAGGCACATTTTGTGATTGAAAATGTCTCTAAAATCAGACGAATGCTGTCATAACAAGCTCTTGGGAATTTCGGAGTAGCTTGACCGGATGTTGTTTTCAGAGGGCAATTTATTCGTGTGTAAGTTTGGAATTATCTTACGCTCAATTCTCACAGTTGAAACTCATCTCTGCTCGCTGATTGTCAAATACTTCTACGAAAAAAAAACTATAATTAGGTTCTACTGAAGCTACCGAATAGTAAATTGTTTGTTTGAAAATCTATCAACTGTAATAACTTTCTATTCAAGGACAATCAATGAATCTGGTTGACCAAGCATTCGAGCTTGTTTTCAGAGAATAAATGACGATTATAGCTAGCTCCGATCATGCTATCGCTTTCTTTTTTTGTTCCTTCAGAAGTTCGATGTTCCAACTTTCAAGTATTTATTTACTTACTGGTCAATTTTGACACGTAAAGTGCTTGGAAGCAGAATCACGAGGAGCGAGAGGAGCAGGAAGCGGCTGGGCGCTGCTATTATTTCCGACATGATAATGTTTATCCACGTGGCTTCTACTTTCGACAGGAGCTTCACTTTCTTTCCAGCAATAGAGCAATCATTGAGGAGTCTTTTATCGACAGAAAAACGTGATGGGCGTGTAAAAGCCACTGAAATCACTGCTACTTTTTTTCTTTCGTAATTACGCGCTTGTTTGGCACACGTGCTTCTAGGGCCACGAAAGCTCGATCTTACTGTCATAAGATCAAAAAGGGCACGTGAGGAGACTTCTTTCAAGGTCAGCAATCGCACTTTAACCTTTTTATGTCTCAAAAAAGGGAAAGATTCAATTATACTCCTCGTTGATTTCAACGAAAAAAAATGATGATTTCTCAGCTCTGAACGATATTCCACGGCAAATAACGATATTATTATAAATAAACCAACTAACGTATACGATTAACTAGTTAGAATTTCTTATAAATAATCAGCTTGAAAACTAAAAAGCATGATTCCACATGAATGGAATTCTCTTGTTTAGGGAGCATCATTAAAAAATCTTGTCGAAAAAATGTAATCATAGCGACCATTTGAATTTACCAACCACTGAAACGAAGAAGTCTTCAAGATCATTCCAGCTCTATTTGCTCAGTCGGAAGATTACGTATTATTCTACCAGAAAGCAGCGGATTCGATTCATATGATGCTTTCTAGTTTTCAACTCTAACTTTCTTTCCTTTATTTAATGTTTGATAATGAAGTGAAGTGTCGCTTTCCTAAATTGACCATCATCGGACAGTATCTATGGCAATCTGGGCACGCGCAGAGCATTTGAGTCACCTTTTCCCTTATGTTTCCTGTTATGCAAGTGTTGCGATGTTCTCCTGTCGATTAGGACCACAATGTGATACATGTGACCCCATGCGCCCTCCCCATGCGGCCCATAGGTAGGGGATCCATCGTGATTCCATAGAATAGTAGAAATAGACTATTTGCTTACTGACTTTATTTGCCCTACCAGAATGGTGAGCCATTATAAGTGGCGTACCGTAAAAACTCACTCACATTTATCAATCGAATCATAGTAATCGAACAAAAAATAACTCTTTTTTCAAAAAGTTATGAAAAATGATCCCTTCGAGAAATCAACCACGAAGCATGTCAACCAACAACGAGAATAAAAATAGAATGAAAACAAGGTAAGATGCGCTTTTTTTTGCTTTTCGAATGAGAGAAATTTTAAAGATCGAGCAAAAGAACTGTGTCAAGAGTCAGTTCCGTCAATTCCGAAGATCTCCAGGGCTTCGATCCTGAAAAAGACGTCTTCCTCGAGGAGCATGAGGTAGATGGAGACTGGACGGAGATAAAACGACGAAGCTCCGCTGACGAGATTCGTCAGGCTCGAGAAGTCAAGCGCCACTGTAAGTGTTTCCATCAAAATCTCTAATTTTACTGAATTCGTAGCGAATGAAATCATCACCCGAGTGAACCCAACCCTCCGTCTCCGCCCAGTCCGGGCCAATACCACCTGCGGTAACAGCTCTTCCCGAGGATCGCCCTCAAGTGGAGGATTTCGTTCTAGAACTTTGTAAGTAACACCGATAGACAAGTCTGCGGTTTTCCCTTTTTTGACGAAATAATCCGAAGAAATACTAAAGCTAATATTAGCACTAATCACGTAGTAAGGGCGCGCCTGACTTGGCAAATGTCTCATGTCTCGCTTTTTCTTTCTTGAGAAGAACTCAGTAATCATCCAACCTCATAAATATTATTATTCTAGCTCTGCGCCAAGCCCTCGATGTCTCAACTCAGTCAAATCAACAGCAATCTCACTGGACTTGAAGAAAATCTCCCTCGAATGGGAAAAGAAACGACTCAACTCGATACCGGAGGAAGAAAAGAAGCCCAAGAAACGCGCTCACCGGCTGAGGGCGCTGCTTTCCAAACTCAAATCGCCACGAGTACTTGCGCCAATCGTCGTTGTCGTCCTTGGCACCATTGCGAATCGACTGCTTTGATTAAATCATCGTTGACCATCACATGTTATAGACTTTTCTGATAATTAAAACTCTCCCCCAGGTGGGGCCTTCCCAAATATTTCTGGTTAAATATTTTTCTCTTTCAACTATCTTTTCTGAAATAAAGGCTGGACCTAATGTCATGTATTCTTTGTTGGTGTGAAACTAAAATTGCTATCTTCTCTAGATAAAACTTATTGAAAATTTATTGTTATCAAAAAACCTTCACTTTAAAAACTCCTTCCACGCAGGTAAAGTTACTATTTCCAATCCTCTCTTTATTAGTTTTCGCAGAAGATGGTAGATCTTTCTTACGAAGAAAAGCAAACATGCAATATCTCTGAAAAAGACTTGCATTGGCTTCGTAAGGGAAAGGACCCTCAGCTAAGCATCCCCGTTTACGCTGTCGTTCTGAATCATACTGGTAAGACTGAGTACGGTGCTCAGTGCCCAAAGCAGAGTTCGAAATTTCCCGCGCCGCAAGGTCCCGCGAGCCCCCGCGGGAGCGGGGGAGCAAAATTTCTCCCGCGCCCCCGCTCCCCCAAGATATTTGGATATTCTTTCCCCCTCCCCCGCTCCCTCGAGATTTTCTCGTGGTCTTTCCCCCTCCCCCGCTCCCGCCGTAAATTGTTCTTTCCCGCCTTCTTCCCGCCCCTTCCCGCGCCGCGAAAACTCAAAAATGCTCCCGCGGGGCTGCGGGAGCAGCGGGGAAGAAGGTTTTTAAATTTAAGGGGCTTGACGGCCCTTCGGGCCGTTTCAGCCCCGTTCCTTGGTTTTTAAATTTAAGGGGCTTGACGGCCCTTCGGGCCGTTTCAGCCCCGTTCCTTGGTTTTTAAATTTAAGGGGCTTGACGGCCCTTCGGGCCGTTTCAGCCCCGTTCCTTGGTTTTAAATTTAAGGGGCTTGACGGCCCTTCGGGCCGTTTCAGCCCCGTTCCTTGGTTTTTAAATTTAAGGGCTTGACGGCCCTTCGGGCCGTTTCAGCCCCGTTCCTTGGTTTTTAAATTTAAGGGCTTGACGGCCCTTCGGGCCGTTTCAGCCCCGTTCCTTGGTTTTTAAATTTAAGGGGCTTGACGGCCCTTCGGGCCGTTTCAGCCCCGTTCCTTGGTTTTTAAATTTAAGGGCTTGACGGCCCTTCGGGCCGTTTCAGCCCCGTTCCTTGGTTTTTAAATTTAAGGGGCTTGACGGCCCTTCGGGCCGTTTCAGCCCCGTTCCTTGGTTTTTAAATTTAAGGGGCTTGACGGCCCTTCGGGCCGTTTCAGCCCCGTTCCTTGGTTTTTAAATTTAAGGGCTTGACGGCCCTTCGGGCCGTTTCAGCCCCGTTCCTTGGTTTTAAATTTAAGGGCTTGACGGCCCTTCGGGCCGTTTCAGCCCCGTTCCTTGGTTTTTAAATTTAAGGGGCTTGACGGCCCTTCGGGCCGTTTCAGCCCCGTTCCTTGGTTTTTAAATTTAAGGGGCTTGACAAAGGCCGGGGAAGTCTTAGTTGATCAATCTCAGTTTCGTCCCCAACCCCACCAACCACCATTCAATGTGAAATTAATATAGTTCATGTTCTTAGCTTTGTTATGGTTTTTATTTATTTTTTTCAATTTTATTTCTCAATTGTCGAATTATCTAAGGGGCCTGACTCAGGCTTCTTCCTTAGTGAAGACCTTTTTAAACCAGCCCTCACGTTGATTTTTCTTTCCCGCAGGCTCCCGCGGGAGCAAAAGAGAGGGGGAATCCTTCCCGCGCCCCCGCTCCCGCGCAAATTTTCAGGCCTTTTTCCCCGCCCCCGCTCCCGCGCAAAATTTTTGGACTTGCTCCCGCTCCCCCGCTCCCGCGAAAAATATTCGACCTTGCTCCCGCTCCCCCGCACCCGCGAAAAATTTCAGTCATAGTTCCCGCTCCCCCCGCACCCGCAAAAGTTCGCGGGAATTTCGAACTCTGGCCCAAAGGACTTTTCCATGCTTGGCATCAAGGAGGACAAGCTCCGAGAGATCTTGGATGAGCTTGCCGATGATGGTATATTTTTTCCCTTCAACAATTTTTTCAACTTTTTATTTTAGGATTCGTTTACAGCACCATGGACGAAGACCACTACAAGGCTACTGGGCCACTTTAAGTTCCTCTCTGCCTTTACTGACAGACTTTTCTCACAAACATGCATTTTTGAAACTGTAATTCTGAATAAATAAATTTCCGATAAAAGCTTACATCATCGTTTCTTTTGTTCAATCAAATCAGTCAAAAGAAACAAATGAGACAGTTAGGATTATTATCCAATGTCAACTTTTTATTCTCGGCAAAAATTAGAAATTTTACTTCTCAGGGGCAGTACTGTCGTCAGCCGAGTACTCCGATTGCTGTTGCCAGAGAGAGGAATAAGTCCCGCCCAAAGCAATGAGCTCAGAATGCGTACCTTCTTCTTGAATTTTTCCTTCGTCGATGACCAAAATTTTATGCGAGTGAATGATGGTCGACAATCTATGAGCAATCATCAGGCAGGTCACTCCTTCCACAGCCTTCAATAACTCCTTGTGAATTTGTTTTTCCGTCACTGTATCAAGCGCCGAAGTTGCTTCGTCCAAAATGACAGCTTTCGGTGCTTTGAGAAGGAGTCGCGCGATCGCTACTCTTTGTTTCTCGCCTCCTGACAGAGCCAGGCCTCGCTCGCCAACTTCGCTCTGCAGCCCGTTCTTCCATTTTGAAGGAGTGAGATTAGCAACTTCCACGGCTTTTTGAATCTCTTCTTCATTCGCAGTCAATTTCGAATACTTGATATTTTCCTCAATAGTATCGTTGAATAGTGTTATGTCTTGCGAAACAGTGCCAATGAATTTGCGCACTTGTTTTCGCCCCAATTGGCTGATTCTCCACCCGCCGACTTTGACAGCGCCATCTGTTGGTTCAACCAGACCAAGGAGAATCCTAGCAATGGTCGATTTACCACCACCAGTTGTGCCCACAATCGCCCATGTTTCGCCAGGCGGAACAGTGAGGCTGATGGAAGAGAGGATTTCGCGCTCGTCTTCGCCGTACCGGAATGAAACATTTTCGAGAGATAGTTCTAGCGGCGCTTGTTTCAGCTATAAACGCAAGTTAAAAAAGTAATTCAGAAGAGTCAACAACCTTAATTGGCTCTTCTGGATCTTTTGGCTCTGGTCGCTCAGCTAATAGATCCATGAGCTTCTCGGTATCCGTGATCGCTGCTTGTATAATTCTGTAATAAGTTCCAAGAAAATTCAGCGGCGTATAAAGCTGGGCCATATAAGTGCCGAAAAGAACGTAATCTCCGACTGTGTATTTTCCATCAAGAACTGACTGGACGGCGATGAGGGAGCCGATCGCGAAGCCAATATTGTTCAGAACATTCTGTACTGTATTGAGAACTGTGAGACTGTAGGTGACTTTGCGCTCTTCTTTCTGGTAGTTTTTGATTTTGTCTTCATACAGTTTTGTCTCGTGCTTTTCGTTGCAGTTGAGCTTTACCTGCTCGAAGTTGAGCAACGAGTCGATGGCTCTGAAGTAAATGTCAAATAACCAGCATTGTAAGATGCTTCTCTGACCTTGAATTCTGCGAATTGGACATTGCGATCATCTTTCTCCTGTATTTAGTCCTCCTCTCTGTAATTCCAATTGTTGAAACAATGTACAACGCTGCCGTTACAAGAACAATGATCGAGAATCGCCAGTCGAAAGCGACGCCAAAGAAGATGATCGCAATGAGAACGTCGAGCAAAGTCGGTCCAATCTTGAAAAAGATCCAGTCGAGGAGATTCATCACGGCTGCTGATCCACGCTCGACGTTTTTAAGAATGTCGCCAGTTTTGCGCTACAGTGAGTTTTCTACAATCGTTAGCAACTAACGAACTTTCTCAAAAATTAACTAACAAGAGAGAGGTAAAAGGGCTTTCTCAGATTGTTGTAGAAAATTTCCTTGATATGCCATTCGTAGGGAAGATTATGCAAATGCTCGAAAAGCGTTATCTGTATATTCCTCTCCGATTCTTGCTCCACGTGAACATAAAGAATGTCCTTTAGCTGTCCAAAAAGACCATTGTTCCCAGTAAGCACTTTGAGAACGATGATAATACCGACATTGACCGCGATTTCTTGAAAAGTTTCCTCCGTCTGCGTCGTAACAGATAGCTGGTCGATCACTTTCTTCGTGAAGATTGGAAGGAAAACAAGAGTTATTCGGGTACCAATCATGATTGAGAAGCAAACAAGAAGTGACGATCTCCCGAAAATGCTCTTTGGCCAAGTAAATGCCCACATGTAACGCAAGCGATAGAAAAATTGACGGAATCGCGACTCAGATTCTTTCCAAGGATAAATAATCAAAATCAACGTCAGATGGAAACAGAACTTTTACATTCAATCTAATTAGTAATTACCCTTTCCTAAAGGCACATACAGCCGGCCGTCTTCTGAAGGTAGAATCTTGATCTCCAAGTTAGGCCCAATAGTAGCAATTAGCATCAAACTCGAGAGAACAATCTCCACCACCCAAAGTGTGAATTCCATCTGATCCGCCGGCCACGAGAATTCCCCATCTTTTTGAAAAAACCACTCTTCATTGTTCAATCCCAAAAGCGCAGAAATTCCATACAGCCAGTTCAGAACTACGAAGATAACGACATCGTTGTGGACAAACTTGCGCGTTTTCAAATTGATGAAGACAACGCTGACGAATCCTTTTATCACTGCAAAGTGTGGAAGAAAAATCCAAGGAGTGAAAGCTTCGTAGACTTTGATCAGCAAAGCGCATACTTTGACAAGCTCGAAGAAGGCGATCAAAGCAGCGAGAACGGTCGTTATTTGCATCCGCTGTGAGTTTTTGTCGACAATGCAATTGTACCTGTATCAGTAAGGGAAATAAGAGAACAACGATCATTGGGGATTACCTGGACTTGCAGCAGCATAATTTTACTTGAAGATAGAAAGCGCAAATGATCAAAACATTTGCAAAAATTAGCGAATGAAGACATCGGGGCAGCCCTTTTTGAGATTGAAATTTCTTATCCACTATCTTATCGGTTGCTCAAGTTTCAAAATATGAATTTAAAATCCTTCCTTGTTGTTGACCCCAGTCCACGGTCCAGTTTAGCGGCGCGCAATATTTCTCCATGACTCCAAGACTGTCTCTTTTCAACTCATTTAAAATGCTTGTTAAAATTGCTGGAATATCTTATTTTTCGAACTTTCCAGATGAGGGCTCAAGCTCTTCCCATTGGCTCAAAATTGCGTGGGAGTTACGAAAAAATGGGTTTGAAGACATAAAAGACTCATCCCTTGAAAAACGGGAAACATGCCCTGCGATTCAAAATTAAGAATTGATAGATGAAGATTTGAGATTTTTAGATTTATTATAGAATTTGTATAAATTATGTGAATTTTAAGAAGTTGAAATAAAGATCTGAACAGAAAGTGAGAAAGGGCATTTTATCAATTTGAAAGGGAAGAGTAGGAGAATTTGAGGGTGAAAATGGTACATGTCAGATGTGCGGTGTTTTCTTCTTTTTTTTTTCATGAACTTTCGATTGCATTGAAGTGAGCTTTCCAGTATCTTTCGGATGCTCGCGGGGCCAGGTGCGTCGCATCGTCGTCGAAGTCGCGCTCTGTCAGTAGCGGAGCAGCGGGCGAACAAGGGTAATCTTTTAGCTGAAACCACGTCATTCTCTTATTTTCATTAATTTGGACTTACAACTTCGAGCAGTTCTCTGTACACGTCCAGCGAGATCTGTCCCTCTTCCCCTTCGAACGCCCATCGAGGCACTTTGATCGGCTGGACGAAGTGGAGACTCTTCAGTTTCGGCATACAGTATTTTATGTCTCTATTCAGACACTGCAGCAGTTTGCGGACGTCTTGTTTTTCGAAACCAGCTTCTGAAACTAAAAAAATTTCAAAAAACAATTCATTTTCAATTGAAATTGTACCTTTGAGCGCGTTGTTAAGGCCAATCCCAATTATGAGCCGACCGGTGAATTTCTTCATGCAGTTGGACTCGCAGCACGGACAGAAGTTTGAAAGAGGCATCATATTCTTCTTGATCCCGTTGTCGAACCTCTCTCGATTCGACCTTTTCGCGAATGGATTTTCGTTGGTGAACTGGTCTTTAAGCGCGCCCGTGCGGAGGATGTAGATCAGCTCCAGAATCTGAAATAATCGTTTGATTCTCATTCTTGATTTCTTTATAAAGGACTCACGTCGCAGCCACTGAACGAGGTAATATTGTATCCATCTAGGTTGATCTTGCTCTTTCCAAATTCTTTGAGCTGCGAGTCGCCAAGGACGACGACTTCGTAATTCTCGAAGCAAGGCCTTTCCCACCTCGCTCGTTTGTCGCCAGGAAACCAAGTCGAGTTCGAAGCTTTGTCGCCTTCTTCGACGACTCGGTCGGGGCTCGCACTCTCTAGCGGACGAGAACGACGCTTTCGAGAATCTCCTTGCGATCTCCGATCTCTTCTTTCTATCTGCACTTCGCGCTCGTCAGTGTCTGATTTGGAATAGTTTTTACAAATGACGAAAGGAATTTTCTCACCTTTGATGGAGAGATTCTTGACTTTGTCATGAAAATCTTCGACGTTTTCTTCCCACTCAACGTCTTCCTTCTTTCCGTTGATTTTGCCCCTTTCTCCGCGAGATCGACGATCTCGTCTAGTTTCGCCGTCTCTTTGGGGCTGCCGCCTCGAGTTTCCATCCCCGCGTGGAGTAATCTAATCTCAAATAATACTCATTTCATCGTTTCTTGTTCTCACCGTGTGTTCCTGATCTTTTTCTCCTCTTCGTCCAGGTTTAGGACGTTCTTCGTTTTGCAGACTTCGTCTATTTCTGCTGCTAGATTTTTCGGAAAATAATTTCTCTGGAACTGGACTGTCGGAGTTTTCTTGAGACCATTTGTCGGATACTCTGGAGGAAACTCCGTTAGGCTATGAAATAAAAATCAACGACGATTTTTTAATTTAATCGATAATTTGTATTTTTAAGAATCAATGCTTCATAAATGAATGTCTGTTTAAAAATATGGCGTACCTTCTTTCTTTCTCTGTCGAGAATGAGTTTGTCTTTGAAGTCTTCTAGTTGCCTCTGCATGGAAGTGATACTCCTCTCGAGTCTCTGATTCTCCAGATTGGCCTCTTCAAGCTCCTTTGCCTTCTTCTCGTGCTTCAGTAGAACTAGCTCTATGGCTTCGAGAAGCTGCTCTCTAGCACTATCTGCTTTGGCGTTTTTACGTTCGGCTGGTTCAGGAGCGAGCCAGTGCTTGAAATAGTCGCATCCCCGCTCGTTGTCGAATTTCATCCGAAACTTCATCTCCATCTGGCACATGCCGCCGAGGACGTATTCCAAATGCGCCAGATATGTCTCAAATCGAAGTTCACTTTACCATCGAAAAAATGCTGATTTACCTTGGCGGCCCGTGATCCCTGTTCAACGAGAACTCTATAAGCAGCGTTGGTGACTGCTTTGGCATGGTTCAACTGTAGATCGTAGACCGTGATCGTTGAGTCTTTAGCCGAAACTTCTTTTGATCTAAAGCAATTCATTTCAGAATTCAACAAAATAGAAAAAATATCAAGCCGTACTATTGAAGGCTTTAGTTAATAACTCTTATCAAGAAATTCCAGCCTATGACTGACCAAAAAAAGCTCGTTCTGACTCGAAATTCTTGATGAAAGTTCACCAAAATCGACTGTAATATGGTTAATTTTGACGCAGAATCAGAAAATTTTACAGAAAACACTGCCTGTTTTTGGTAAACTGGTTAATACCGCGGTTAGGCTGGTCTCTCACGCCCTGGGCGGTAAGTGCGTGGGCTGTGATGACTCACATTTGGGCTTGGTAGAAGTCAGTGAACACCTGGGAAAGGTGGTCATTGCTTTTTGCCATTCAACAGGCGCTTCTCTCCGATTCCAAAAAGCCTCTCTCCCGAAAGCACCTACCAAAATCACACGAGCCCATTGGACGGCGCCACTGAAAGTGACTCACTTCGAAAGAACGCTTGTTTTTCTATTTAAAATCAATTTCAAAGTTATACCGTAATCTTTATTGCTTAATTATTATCATGATCATTTATCCGAATTCATTAAATATCATAAAACTTTTTATTCTGAATAGATTTGTATTGTTCAGAAACTCGAAAACATCGTAAAGTTAACGTCCAATTCATTATGCAACTTGGGCTCTGTGGTACACTTCAACTTGCTCAACTCAAGTTAGAAGCACGTAAATACTTTTTCAAGAGAGCAGGAAATGCACCGCCACGACCATCCGGAAGATATCGACCCTGACGGAACTACTGACCTTGATCTAGACCAGCTAAACGGCGACCACAATAATACGTAATACTTACGGCTAGAATACAGCTACCGGTAACCGGACAACCTGACTGAATCGACATTGACTTTTTTTCTGGAAAATAATGTAAGGCTTATGTTATTTTCACCCTCTTTCTTATCTCTGACTAATATTATTAATTATTTTATTCCGCTCTTGAATAAATTACTATTCCCAAAGCAACATTAGGACATCTAAGCATCCTTTCTTTTGGTTTAGGGTTGAAATTTCTCACGTTGGAGAAAACTCTCACTGTGTGATAAAAGCGATACTGTACCTTTCATGAGTGGTTTTCGGCACCTTACTTTCTTACCTTGCTTTTCTATTCCTTGTTCTTCTGAAAGGAGAAGTTCTGCTTCCACGATTGTAGCTTTCTTCTTGTTTCTTCATCTGGGCCGAAGTTTCTTCTTTTTTATTTAAAATTTCAGAAGCCGATTTTTCTTTTACTTCTTTCGCAGTAGCAGCGATTGGGTTTTCGGGAGTTTTAGTCTTTTCGCGATTTCGTCTCTTTTTGTAGGCCATTTTTATTTTTCGAAGCTCCGGAAAAAAAATGGAATGGAACCGGGAATGGTTACCGGGTCTTTGTTTGGTCAACAAAGAGCTCCGTTCAATCTAACTAATACAACCTAACAGCTGATCGCAAACAGCCTATCGCTTTATGCAATCACTGCGCACTGAAATGCATGAGCGAGCGATTTCTTTTTGTTTTGACAAAATATTCTAGCGCTTCCTTTTTTGTAATAGTCTGTTAGTAATAGATATAGTTTATAATACATTTCATGGACTCTTTGGAGCTCAACTTTGCCGCATTGAAAATTTTGATATTTAAAAAACTGAAAATAACCAACCCGAAAATTCAAAGATAGAAGACAAATGAATAGAGTCTAGAATGACCGGTCGGATCCGGTCCGATCTTGCACGAATTTCTCCCTTTTTTTTACGTCAGATGAGTTAGCCACCTCCGCCACTCCATCGCAACCAATCCGAATCAAACTCAGAACAACGGTCGAAAGCCAGCACCAGCGGAAGATATGGATCATTGACTCCGACGTTAAATTTTAGAGAATTTTCAAATTTCGAATTTTCTAATCAGAGGATGAAGATTGGCGCTCTTCTTTTTGGCGCAGCACTGGCGCAAGGTGAGTTATAGAACCAGCAAATTTGGAGAAAAATGGGTCAAACCTTCTTTTTCAATTCAGGCAAAAAATCGGAGCGGGAACTTAATGACGACGTACGAGATCATTTCCGAACTGAAGAAGAAGCTAATGAATTTCTCAAGTGGCGACGGTAGAAATACAATTAGAAAGGGCTATATATCGAACAACAATTTCCCCAAAAAAATGAGAAAAAAATTTTGTCCAAGTGTTGCCAAAATTTCTGATTCTTCTTCCAACTTCAAAATTTTCAAAACGAATTCTAGCGAGAAGTACCAACGGGAGAGACACGAAGAACGCCGCGATCAAAAGTATGAAATCATCGAGGACCAACGCGAATTCGAGCGCTCCAGAGGCGGAAACGATCGCAGATCCAGAGAGTATCAGTAAGATAAAAAATCAACTGCTACGAATCATCTCATCTTTAGAAAAGAACGAGAAGAGGAGCAATACGACAGGCTGGAAGAAGAGCGCGAATACCGACGAGAAGAAAAGCGCCGCCGAAACCGAGACTTGTGATTATAAAATTCCGGAATTGCTGAAAAAATATTCGAACTGCACATTTATTTGCTTACAATCACGTTTCATGATTGGCATTACAGTGAATTCATCATGCAAATGAGCATTGGCAGGTGCATAATAGAGACGATTCCACGTGGACGTGACCCCTGTAATCCCTCTTGTTCGAGCTTGTTTTATGCAAATCTAAAAAGTATAAAACTCAGGCGCACGACTTTAAGGGCATCACAAAGTTAAGGATTGAAATAAATCTAAAAAGAGAAAATAAGAAAAAAATGAAGCTTTTTGGATTTCTCCTCCAGAGCCAACTTTTGAACGCCCAAAACAGCGCCGACGAGTTCGATTTGTCGCTGGATCCGTTCAGCCCGACATATGTCAAGGACGTGCTGAGCTTCTTGGACCTGTTCGGCCCTGCTGTGCGCGAAGACGAGGAACTTGCCAAAGGAACAGGGATGAAAAGAGATAAGCAGCAGAGCTATGTCCCCGTTAGTGGGCCGGGCGCCAGCTTCGAGAAAATAAGTTAACGGAACGCGCTGATTGTTTCCGCCGCTTTCGCGTTTTATCCCTTTCAAGTGTTGCCGAACTTTCAAAAGCAAAAAACCACCCGCGGTAATGAGCTCGACAGTGACCCGACGCGCGGCCTTCGCCAACTCAAGCTCATGGTCGTTGCGATGATGGAGTAAGTGACTCTTCATTTTTATATAGTAGTTATTCCCTTAATTTTATAACAAGGAGGCCACTCTAACAGACTCAAAATAGTCGGAATTTGGGAAAAAGGCGGCATAAAGAAGGTGTTGGTTAATCAAAAATCGGCATCATCAAGTTCTCCGGCCCTTATCAGTGTCGATAAGGCATTTTGAAATTTTCTCATAGCGGAAATAGCGGCCACTCCGAAAATAATTCTTTTGGGCACACAGTCTGGATGTCTGCCAGCTGCATGTATTTGCGAGCGAGCTCGGAAGGAATTACCCTTTCTGAAAAATTTCACACAAACAAAACAGTTTTACTTTTCACACAATTAATTTCTTCAAATCTTTTCAAATCTGCGTTTTAGCCCGGCGATTTCTCTGGGTTCTACTGGAACGGGATTTGGAAGATATTGCTACTACGGTTGTCACTGTCTACCAGATGCAGATCATAGCGAATTTAAAGTTTTCGGAAAGCCAGTCGACAATATTGACAGAACTTGCCGCGACTTTGGAACTTGCTATCATTGTCTTAAGGATCGTGTCAGCGAAATGATTGCTTCTTCTTGAAAAAATTTTGTCCAAGAATTTTCGCGAGCACTGAAAAAGCTCAAACACCCCAAGTGCATTCCCGAAAGGACGGCTTACAGGTTCCGCCTGAAGAAGAACAAAAGACTGGGCACGCGTAGCATTGATTGTCAACGCAACAAGGTACCAAAAAAATGCTTTGCAAACATCCTGATTTCTTTTTTCAGGAAGGAAGTTGTGAGCGGGACACGTGCGAGTGCGACAAGTTCTTTGCCGAGACCGTCGCGCTCCATGAGCGTGAATGGAACCAGAGCTATCACATCTTCCGCGGCGGTTTCGACCGGGATGTAGGATGCCGTGCTGCTCCCGCGCCAGCTATTCAAGCTGGAAGCTTCCAGCACCAAGAAGTCGCCACAGTTTTGGAAGAAGGGGGAGAGCCCATCAAGGTCCAATTCAACGGCGGAAACGGTGGTCTTGGGGGCCTTCCAGAGCCGATCTTCAATCAAGGTAAGAAGAAGAAAGAGGAAAACAAATCTTTTCGAATAAAAAATTAGAATATTAAAGGTTCAAGGGGCCTCTCGAACCTGAATTTTCTATTTTTTAGAATCATAAAAAATAGTTGAATTTTCAAGTGCGTCCGCGGCCGCTTCCTAGCGGGGCTATCTTGGCCGAGCTGGTTGATGATTCCGAACCTGCGACCTGCTGCGGGATGGAGACTTTTCCGTACGTCTCGATCAAGAAGCCCGGGCAGGCGTGCTGCCGCTCCGAGTCCTACAACCCCTTTCTCAAAAAGTGCTGCATGGGCAAGCTCTACGACTCCAACGAAGTCTGCTAGGCGCTCTACGCTGTCTCCTGCTGACTTTTACTTTTCTACAATTTTTTTCTAGGGATGTAAATAAAGCTTTCTTCTTTTACAAAAACTGTCTCGCCCTGCTGATAAACTCGGATTAGCGATCAAAGTGCGCCTGTCAATCAGAAGCGCTCTCGATTTTTTACTACTTCTTCTGATTTAGCGATTTTCTTCTTTTGAATTAATATATTGAAATAAATCGCGTTTTGACTTGGGTATGCTTCCGCTGGGGCCAGTGGCGCCTCGCCGACGCCGAAAACCGAGGCCGCGGACTTGACCGGAGAGTTTGATCGATGATGTAAGTTTGTAACTGCAATTTGAGCAATTCTTTAAATTGCTGTGCTCGAAATCAAGTTACAAGTCCAAGATAGCGCTTGTGCTGTTTTGATATTGGCTAATCTGCTTCCGGATGTCCAATTAGAGTGGCAATATTTGTTAGTAGCGCGAGTAATTATTTACTATCGCCTCCGCGGAAAAACTCTTTGAAGGTGGCTAATCCGTGAAATCATTCTGGCCTTGGCCGTGCGTTTCCCCATGTTTGGGTTAATACTAGTGGCTGATCAGATATCGTTTTCGAAGTTTGAGAAGCTTTGTCCGGCGGCGGCAGCTGTCCCAACTACAAAGTGGCCTTCTCTTTAATTATTCGAAATTTATGAAATGTTGAAAGCGAAGCATGAACACGCGCATTGGGAGCCTGCCAAAGCCAAAACCCAACTGGCGAGACCGAATAAGCTTATCAGTAAATAAACCAACGACAACATTCTCAGCACATACACAAACCGAAAACCGCAACCAAGAACACTACTTTTCAGCGACATAATAAATATCGCGCGATTTTCCAAAATAGAGCATTTTCAAAATCTTCGAAATCAAGGAAAAAACCATACGCTAGCTGCATGTCGATGAAGCAGAGTTGCAAATTTGCTGAGCTGAGCTAGCTGAGTGAGCTGAGTAGGCGCTCAGCTCAGTGATTTTTGAAAATGATCTGATCTGCTCAGCTCAGCTCAGACAATTATCACTTAGCTCAGCTCAGCTCAATAATTTTAACACAATTTTACTACTGAAAACACAGTAAAAAGAGCTTTGCTAAGCTCAACCAGCTCAGCTTAACTACCTTGAAAAGATGGTCTGCTCAGCTCAGCTCAGCTCGGCTCGGCTCAGCTCAGCTCAGCTCAGCTCAGCTCAGCTCAGTGACCTCCGAAATAGGCCAGCTCTGCTAAGCTCAGCTCAAAGAAATTTTCACTCATGTCAGCTCAGCAAAAATAAAGCAAAATTTGCAACTCTGCGATGAAGAATTATTTTCTTTGTCATTGTATTTCAGACTCTGTAATAGGGACTATGTAGGGTTGAAAGCACTCAAAATTCGAGGTGCAGCTTTTCGGTGCTTTTGGGAAGTTATAAGGGCGGGTTATTTATTTTCATTTTGCGCGAGGTGTTGAAATTTGGCGCAAGTTTGGAGCGCTTGTGGCTGCGAAAAGCAGCGAATTCGAACAAATGTTGAGATAGCCTTGGCAGTGGGCCGACGGCGCCCCAAAACGCGAATTCGAAAATGAAAGAATGTGGTCAATATAATTATACTAGGCGGGAGTAATTTGTTGATGTTAGTTTTTCAGCCCAAAGTTCAAATCGAGCGTGTTTATACGTTTACAGTTTTTAGCTGTTTTATTATTGGGAGCTGTCAAAGCGCTTGATTTATAGCGATTTAAAGTTGGTCCTATCGAAATTTTCGACTTTATTGGGAATAATTATGACACCGGACAATTAAAACGCATATCGTTTACTGCCACATTAGGTCAAAGTCGATGCCAAAAATAAATATATCCGATCGTCGCAATAAAAAATAAAACAAAACTCAGATTTTCTAAATTCTAGTAAGAACATTCTAAAACTTCAAAATTCATCAGCCTTCTATTGGTGCCAAATAATTGATGCTGGGCTCGGCAAACTGAGCTGTGTAAAAACCTGTCACAGGTCCTGTTTCCTGTTTTTGGGGAACCTGTCTGAGTACCTGTGTAAAATCGGGTAATAATTTGGGCCTGTCCTGTGTACCTGTGTAAAATTGGGGGATAAATTTTTCTTTTGCTGTCCCTGTTCCTGTTTCTGTGTTAAACAGACCTGTGTTTCCCGCTCAGGTCCTGACCATAGACAGGTTCCTGTGTAACCAGGTCAGGAACTGCATAAGTCAGGGAAAATGTATAAAGAAATCAATAGCGAAAGACGTGAAAAAGAGTACAACAATCAAAATAACCGATAAATTCGCGTCTTTTTGTTTCTTTGTAATATTTTATCTTTGAAATTTCCTGTTTTTTGTCCTGTCACAGGGCCTGTTTCCTGTTTTCTGACCCGCTTAGACCTGTTCAGGCAGGCCCTGACCTGTGTAACCTGTTTGATAAGCTGTGTGAAAAAACCTGTCTGAGTACCTGTCTAAAATCAGGATATTTTTGCTTCCTGACCTGTGTACCTGTGTAAAATATGGGACAGAATTTTTTTTTCCTGTTCCTGTGTCTGTTCCTGACACAGTTTGCCGAGCCCAGAATTGATGACCTACGAATAAATATACGATTACGGTAAATAATTTCAGGGATTAGAAATGCCTCTGAAGTCTGAGCTTTTGGCTTTTTTGAAGATCATTTTTGGAAGATAAAAATAAGGGGCTAGACACCAATAACGGCACAAACCAAGAAAAGGGAGTATATTTTGGAAGACCAATAAGATTGCTGTATTTGGCCTACAGGCCAATTAAAACCCAGATCCAGATCAAAAATATCATTTTTTTGACTTAATAATTTTGATTATTGACGATTCACTTTTTAGATTTAGAAATGTTGAAAAAGAATTCGGATCTAAGAAAAAAGTGACTTCCGGAAACGGGTGCGCTGACAATGAACGATCGAATATCATTATTGTCAAGCGTTATTAAATTTAATCAGAATTGCCTTTTTTGTTGATTCGCGCGAGAAATTTTGCGCGGCGCTCGGGCGCACACTGCGGGCGCTACGGCGGCGCTGCAACTGGCGTGGACCGTGGCCGCGGCTCTTCCTTCTCCGCTGATCGACTAGAATCCTTCTCCTTTTAATCCCTTCCAGACAGACCCCGAGACTCAGAGATCGCCCAGAAAAAAAGAGTAGATGAAGCTGTTCTCTCTCCTTCTCGTCACAGCCGAGTGCTACGGCGGGCACTTCCGACGCCCCGGCGTCAAAGATCCCAGACTTAATAGGTATAATATCAACGTCAATATTTCAATTATTTCATGATAATTCGATTTGTGTTGAAGAGATGAAAGCGTGAGTCTTTAAAAACAAACGCTTTCACGAGGCCTAGGTACAGTACTTTTACAGAAAAACCCGAATATACGATCAGTAAAAAAAGGAAGTATGCAATTTGAATTGGTACAGGACCAATTATTCTAAAATTTGGCTAGAATTGGTATGATGCCCCTAACCCTAAAGCTTAATCCAGGATGCTACGCCCCCCCCGGAACCCCCCTAGTAAGTACTCCGAGCCCTTAGCCCTGATCCCTAACCGAGAAAAAGGTTTGGTATCTGACCAATTCTAGCTATATTATGGAATAATTGGTCTGTACCAATTCTAATTGCAACCTTCCAAAAAAAAGAAGAGTGTTCCAAATGTTCGCACGTCAAATTAGCTCTGCTGAACACTTCAAGATCGTGATTGCTTTTGATAAATATTTGGGGCGCATTTCTTTTGATTCTGCGACTGAATGATGAAGGGTAGTTCAGTCTGAATTCTGTACCCTTCCTCAAACACGAGTTGTATAGACGCAGCTTGGAGCGGAGGAACCGGGCTTCAGATAATAAGAAGATAGCTATTTTCATTTTGAAAGCGCGCGCGATAAAACGCTAAGTGACGAGCTCGACAAGCTCGAAAAGCTTCTTGATGAAGTATGTCTTCGCAGCTCCTGTCAAGTCCAAGGTCACAACATTAATTATTTATTGGCCCGTCGAGCAATTACGCAGCAATAAAAAAAAAACGAGAAATTCCAAGTGCGAAATTTCGCGCGTAAATTTAAAACCAATATTGAAATTTAAAAAATTAAATGAAATCGAGCAAATAAAGGGACAAAGGGAGTCTGATTTTAGACGGTTAAAATTGAGCACTAGAATTTCCAACTTGGCGAAAATCCATCTGAATTCTTGATCATCAATTTTCAACAGGCTCCGACTAATCTTTCCATGATGGAATGTGAAGACGAGTTCTCTTCATTAAATTGTAATAATCAAAAACAACGACGTCATGATAAGCCTCCAAGCTCCGCTCCCAGCTCGAGAAAAAAGATGAGCTAACCGTCTGGTTCTTTTCGGAAGACCTAGATATCCACAGTTGCGTAATAAGCGAATAGGCGAGAAAGCGCATTTTGGAATCTGGGAAAGTTGCTTTTCTTTTTGCCGCAGAGCAGCTGGGAAAATTTCAAAATTTGGATTTTACAAATTTGTATTTACTCTCCGCGCCCAGAGTGCCAGTCAATTAATGAGGTGACCTTTGGGCCTCGAAGTCCGGCAACTCGAGGGCGGAAGCGATTTGCCCCATGTGGCATATTGACTCTTCCGTCCACTGTTTAGAGCGGACTTGACCTTGTATGGGCTTCAATGGCCAGATTAACATCTGCCAACAATGGTCGCATAAAAGCTGAGCTTGACTCTTTGCTCCATTTCTTTTTTCTACGCTGTTTTGAATTTAAACTAATCCAGCAATTTTAAATCTGCAGAATTTTGTTTTTTTTTTCAGTTTCCAAGTCAACAAATGGAAATTCCAACAATTCTAACAACTTAAATTTCAATCAACTATGTAAACTATCTAAGCAAAAAGATTAAACTAACTATACTAACTATTAAGGCATACGAGATTCCGCTCGTACCCTCGTGAGGACAGAGATATTCAAGCTAGCAGTAGTAGCTGCGGCAAATGCTGGAACCCATACGCCAGCGGAAAATGTCTCTCTCCTTGCGAGTTCTCCTGCTTCGAGAGCTGCTGTGACAAAAGCTATAATAGAAAGATCCGACCACCGAATACTCTCTATATCCCGCCGCCTGAAAAGTACTTTTTCCATATTTTTTTTAAAGAAATCTCTTCTCTCGGCGCTAGACATTTCTTGCGCTTGAGAGTTACTGAGATGATCTGGTGTTAGATTAGTTATGTAGTCATGGAATTGATTCTTCACATTTTTTTTCGGAATCCCGGGTCAATTACGGGTGCACTACTTATTAGTCTGCATGCTTAGTTTACCTAAAGCCAAGAAATAGGGCGATTTACGTCTGGCTTTGCTCCAGCTAAAAATTATTTGGAGATTTGAATTTCCGCCTGTCGGTGACGGACGGCGACACTAAGTGGCTTCCACTGCCGACTTCACAAAAAACACCATCGTTGTTTCTCTTTTCTTTTTTATTGATCAAGTCTAAATAAAAGCAGATTCTTCACTTCTTTTCCATCGTAGATGTTAGAGTAGTCACATAACCGGTAGTCGGTGATCCAGTAGTGGTGTTCAATTTGATAAGTGCAGATGTTCGAACACGAGCGCGTATTTTTCAGAAGTCCGGCGGCACCAGAGGGCAACTGGTGCGACGAGTACGTCGGCAACAGAACGGAAATTGTAGAAGTGCCGACTGGACGCTACACAACCACCATGACAAGATGTGAACCTGGCCAAGCAAACTGTCAGCGACATCTACGGTAAAACACACAACGACTTTCCTGAGCGATTTTTTCATCTTTTAGGCGCATCGCCGAAACCCGAAAAGTAGAAAAACAAGTGCGTCAGTACGAAAAACGTTGCTGCGTGGGATATACTGGCAGTGACTGTACTGAGCGGGAGCAAATCGCTAGCCCTGTCTCTTCAGAAAACTCCGGCGCGATCGTTCCTTCTGAGAAATCACAAATCTTCACATGTGCCGATTTCCACAGTTGTACAGCGGGTAATAAAGAGAAACGTCAATCAGTCAATCAAAGAAGCGTCCATTTTCAGACATTCGGAATTCAATTATCGAGCTTGAAGCGGGCATCAGAACAATAAGCAACGAACCTTACTCCCGTTCGCAAATGCCGTCCGAAATTCCGGGTCCTGAAGGGCCTCGCGGTCCAGCAGGCCACCCCGGTCGCGCTGGTCCTACTGGTCCGCCAGGGCTGCAAGGAGAAACTGGCCCTCCAGGACCTCCTGGCACTTGCCCTCAAGAATGCTATGGATCGGCCTCAAATAGTAATCAACAGGTTGATTCAAACTTGATTGAAAGGTGAGAGAAAAAACTATAAGATGAAATTTTAATATCTCTTCATTTGCATCCAATAAACAATTATTTCAAAAGTGAAAATTCAGTATTGTCCAGGAAAGAGTAGATATTATCTCTCGACAATTACAACAGCAGTTCAATCAACAATTGGAACAATCAGTTAAAGCCATTAAAGATCAGGTACTATCTTTATTACACATTTTTCAATTACTTCTTTTTGAAGATGGACGCCGTCTTGTACAAATACGATGGAAAAATCATCGACCTACAGATGCTGATCCAGCCGCAGTTGGACGAGAGCAGCAACAGCATCGAGATGATCAAGAACAGAATACAGATGAACAAAAACTCGATTGACTCGTTGAAGTGGAAGTGGGATGATGCCGAGCTGGTGTCGCGCGTAACAGTGCTCGAGAACGAAGTGCTCGGCACCGACGGTATGTTCAGCATGCCAATGTACTAACACCGACCTAACTTACTACTCCTCACTGTACATTAACTCTGCTCTCTGCTGCTTTCCACTTCTTGCTTGTACTTGACTCTCCTGTCACTTTTTCTCTCCAGTCACTCTTAACCGAACCGGGCACACTGTATATTTAGGCGAGGAGCGAGACGAGGTACAGTACCCTTAAAAAGTAACCCGGCGGTAAAATCACTCACCCACTTGGTGAATTTTAAATTTAAACATTTCTTCATTTTTTTCCATTTCGCTTGAAACTCAAACTGATATGCGCACGCAAAATTACTCATATCAACGATCATTCGGTTCTTTCATTGAAATTGTGTGTCTTGCCCACTGTATGATGATCACTCGCAAATTGTTGCATACAGTTTTTTTTTTAACTAGATCACTCATAAATGGCATTTCGTAGATTTTAACTGAGTCAAGGTTCAGGTTCTGGCAATGGACAGTCCTTTTCCGACGACGAGGACTATGGTAAATATCAGCAACTGTTTTTCTTTAAAAGAGACCTTGTTTTTCAGGCATTTCCTTTCCATCAAGACACGACTAGAACGCGCCCGCGGCGAATTAAGGGACGCCACTTCTCGAAACGCCGCGCCTGGCTCCCGTGAAATCAACAACGACTCACTCTCTCTCTTCAGTCACTTTAGTAGCCTCTTCTCTTCGTTCAAGATTGCAGTTTTAACTTCACCGAGATTCCCTCGCCGGGCTCTTTATTTCAAATAATAGAAGCGTTCTAGACCCTCTATCCCTTTTTTTGTTGTATTATGTTTCTAGCTGTGAAATTTTCTCTTGTAACTACTACTTGCCTACGAATTCTTGAAAACTATTTTTGCCCACCATTGTGTTATTTTGTTCAACAGCATCATTTGTTCATTTTCTGATCATGAATTTCAATAAATTCGGTCCTTGCCAAACTTCGTATTAATCCTTGGGGAGTTTCTGAGGGCAAAAAGATGTGATTAATAGGAGTGATAAGCGTATGAAAAATAACGTGCCGATGGACAGTAAATTTATGAGAAGCATGAGCACATCAGTGTTTTTCAGCTGTTGCTCGGATACAGGTAGGGGTCCCCTGCCTTGCTTATCGGACCCTGGTCTACTTCAACCAGCCGCATTTTATCAGCATTACCCGTGTCGTTCACTTTTATTGGCACGTGCTCCTGATCGAGCAAGTTTACACGTCTTCACTGTTCTAAGTTCAGTATCGAACTAACATTTTTGGCCCTTGTCCGCACGCGGTGCCTCTGTCATAAAATTAGCTCAGTTACGTGTCATTGCTTCCAGGGGTCAACAAATAACACTTACAGCAATGTAGATTGGCAAGTGCTGACCAGACTGCTACAGGTTGATTTACGATATACTTTCTTATAAAATGACATCTGGGTCTTAGGTGGCAATCACTTGTGGGTGCTGAATGCTAAAACGTTCACTTCAAGTTTAGAAAGACTCCAAATTGAAACTCCAAATAGAGTATCAGCAGAATGAGCGAAGGACAATCCAACGGTATTCGAATATATTTTCAATAATAAATATTTCTTTAAATAAAATAGAAAAGGATCGAACTTCTGAGGAAGAAATAGCGATGACAACTGAAGAACCAGCAAAACCCGCGCCAGAAGAACTCAAGGAAGAAAAAAACGATCAATTGGAATTATCCTCACCTTCTTTTGATGGTAAAGGAAATGGATTATCTAAGTAGATAATCTCACAATTAAAATATCAATTATTTTAATTGAAAAAAAATACTTGAATAATTTTCAAGAAGCTTTATTAAGAAGGCTCACCAGAAAAAGATCTCGAACCCATTCCTAAAGTAAACGATGAAGTCCAACTTTTCGGAAAGCCTGATGTTCCGGTTCCCGAAGAACCAAAACTTGAAGAAAAGGTCGAAGTAAAAGTTGAGGAAGAGCCCTTAGAACAGGAAAAAAAGGTTGAAGTGGTTTCCGAGAAGACTGAAGAACAACCAAAAACCGCTTCTGCAAACATAGAATCTGTTAAACTGGAATCCAAGAAAGTAGAAACTTCAGAAGCAGAAGAATCTGAGAAGGTAATAAGCTGAGAGTCAGCTGCATAGATTAAATAACAGATGGAAGAGTTTATTTTAAATAATTTTCAGCCGATTGAGTTCAAGAATAAATACAGTGACGGAGATCAACATGACGGCTTCTCGTCAGTGCTGGGAATCTTTCTGCCGCGTCCGACCATCCAAATAATTCCCGAGTTTGCTAAGAAGCTTAAATGGTTTAGAGATCCGTCCACCAAGGTGAGTACCTAACAAATCGAACCTATCAATCAACTTGTCTTAGCAATGGATCTCCGCGAGGCAGATTGCAGCGCTAAACATTTCCACTTCTGCCTAAATCTTCATTTCGCACTACGTAAATTCCTACTGTAAAACTTTAGAGAACATAAACACCTTTCCTTCTTGTCTGAGCAGCCTTCCCATGCCAATTACCGTATGATTTGTCGAGTGTAGACTTACCAGGATTCAGGAATTCACTTTTGTGGCAAGTGAAGCCATCAATTTTATATATAGAATGAGCTTTTCAGAGTTGGGAATAGATATAACCGATTATAAATCATACTTGTTGTAGATGGTGCTTGGCATTCGTAGCTCTGGAAAGTGTTAACACACTGAAGTCCAGCCTCGCAAGGAGAAGCAAGAGTCTCGCATTCGTTGATATCTACGCATGTTCCTGCTGCGGAGCTGTATCTCATTCCAATGCTACAGAATCGGCACTGGCAATCTCCGCACATGCAGTTTCGAACACCGGCGCCAAAGATGGTGGTGCAAAGATTGACACAATCGGCATCACTGCAGGTGGAGCAAGTTGTAGTTGTGGAAAAGATTGAAGTGGTTGTTGTGCCCATCGTGGTTGTTGTAGAGGTTGTTGTTGTTGTGGTCGAGGTGGTGGTCGTGGTGGTGGTCGTGGAGGTCGTGGTCGTGGTGGTCGTGGTCGTGGTGGTCGTGGTGGTCGTGGTCGTGGTAGTCGAGGTGGTGGTTGATGTTGTTGTTGGAATATCAACGCATGCGTCCAAGCTCAGATCAAACTCTTCATCCGTTCGGCAGAATCGACAGCCTCCATTTGAATCACAAAATGCAATACGAGCTCCAGCGCCAAATATCATATCCGCTGTATTTTGACAATCCTGAACGTCACAATTGTTAGGAGAGGGGGAGGTTGTTGTTGCAGCTGATGAAGAAGTCGTAGTGGTTGTTGTTGTTGTAGTTGTTGTAGTCGTTGTTGTCGTTGATGTTGTAGTTGATGTTGTAGTTGTCGTTGATGTTGTAGTTGATGTTGTAGTTGTAGTTGTAGTTGTAGTAGTAGTAGTAGTAGTAGTAGTAGTAGTAGTAGTAGTAGTAGTAGTAGTAGTAGTTGTAGTTGTAGTTGTAGTTGTAGTTGTTGTTGTAGTTGTCGTAGTTGTTGTTGTGGTCGTAGATGTGGTGGTAGGATCAAGGCATGAATCTGTCGACAAGTCCCACGTCTGATCAACGGCACACCATCTGCAATTGTTGCTTGAGTCGCACCATCCAGTTCGGGATCCACCAAAAATAGCATCAGCTTGGGCCTGACAATCTGCATCGTTGCATCCAGCGTTCGTCGTAGTAGTCGGAGTCGTGGTTGTCGTGGTTGCTGACGTTGTTGTTGTAGTCGTTGTACTTGTCGTAGACGTGGTTGTTGTGGTTGTCGTGGTTGTTGTTGTAGTTGTTGTCGTGGTTGTTGTCGTGGTTGTTGTGGTTGTTGTGGTTGTTGTGGTTGTCGTGGTTGTTGTGGTTGTCGTGGTTGTTGTGGTTGTCGTGGTTGTTGTCGTGGTTGTTGTGGTTGTCGTGGTTGTCGTGGTTGTGGTGGTTGTTGTAGTTGTTGTTGTAGTTGTTGTCGTGGTTGTTGTGGTTGTCGTGGTTGTTGTCGTAGTAGTCGTACTCGTTGTGGTTGTTGTAGCCGGAGTAGTAGTTGGTGGAAGTGTTGGAACTATTCCATCAATCCAGCTGTAAAGTGATAAAGAAATTGTTTATACAGGAAAAGTAAATAACGCAATTACGGCGTAAATATGATTATCCCTTCCTGATAAATGAGGAAACCTTTGCGTATACTCCAGGATTGTCGGCTTCTCCGCATCCAGATCCCCAGGAAGTGATTCCATACTGAACTGGCTCGCCATTTTCAACACAGACCAATGGCCCGCCAGAATCATAAGTGCAAGTATCACGTCCTCCAGTGCCAATCCAACCGGCGCAAAATTCCTTACCAGGAGCAAAAAACGCTCTAGTCTCAACTGAGACCTGAGAGCTCATGCACCACGCGTCATCGTAGATCTTAACTCTAGCAGACTTAAGAAGGTTGGTTTTAGCGCCATTTTCTGCTTCGAATCCCCATCCTGCGACGAGACAGTTATTAACTGGATTGATAAGGTTGTTATCCGCCGCTACATGGCCGTTCTGATCTGGGAGGCAAGCAATATCAACGTCAGCGTTCAAAGTAAGTTGCTCAATTTTGAGCAGACAAAGGTCATTCTCTTGTGCATCTGCGTCGTAGCTTGGGTGAAAATGTATTTCCAAAATATTGGACTCTACTCGGTTTGGAGACGCTGGGCTATCATTCTGGGCGTGGTGTCCAGCGATAATTTTTGTAGCTGAGCTTACTCCCCAATTATTCATAGTAACTTGAAGAGGAGTACAGCAATGCGCAGCGGTGAGAACGTACTCGTCACTGATCAAAGTGCCGCCACAGATGTTATTGCTGTTTCGGTGGAGAGAGACGATCCAGGGCCAGCTATTAGCAGTTGCTTCAACACCTCCAACAATTCGACCAGCAGCCTCAAAGCCATTGGAATATTTATTGCCGTTGCATTTAGTTCCAGCTGGAATTTGATCTTCACTCGACGCGACAGTTGTAGTGGTTGTAGTCGTTGATGTAGTAGTCGTGGAAGTTGTCGTTGTCGTCGTTGTCGTTGTCGGAGGATCAACGCATGCATCTGTTGAAAGGTCCCATGTCTGATCAACAGAACACCATCTGCAATTGTTGCTTGAGTCGCACCATCCAGTTCGGGATCCACCAAAAATAGCATCAGCTTGGGCCTGACAATCTGCATCGTTGCATCCAGCGTTCGTCGTAGTAGTCGGAGTCGTAGTTGTCGTGGTTGTTGACGTCGTTGTCGTAGTGGTTGTGGTAGTCGTTGTCGTTGTTGTAGTTGTTGTCGTGCTTGTCGTCGTTGTGGTAGTTGTTGAAGTTGTGGTTGGTGCAGTTGTGGTTGTTGAAGTAGTTGTCGTACTTGTTGTCGTTGGCGTTACACAGACATCAGTAGAAGTGTCAAAAGTCTGATCGGGCGCACAGAATCGGCAATTATTGCTTGAGTCGCACCATGCAGATCGAGCACCTGCACCAAAAATTGCATCTGCCTGAGACTGGCAATCAGCCTGAACGCAGGGATAAGCGGTGCAAGCATTCAGGTCAAGATCAAAGTATTCGCCAGCATTGCAGAATCGACAATTTCCACCTCCATCACAATCGCAATTCTTATCCGTGTCCGCCCCAAAAATAGTCTCGCAAAGGTTCTGGCAATCTTCGTCGAAGCATGCTGGAACGGTTGTTGTTGTCGTCGTTGTAGTAGAAGTTGTTGTAGTTGTTGTGAGCTGAGGGTCGCAAGTATCAGCAGTCCCTTGATCCGTGGCGACCAAGTGATTGTTGAATGTTCCCAGAGGGCAAGCGCCATCGCCCAGAATCAGGGTGGATCCATCACCAGCATTGATCTGCCAGTCGCCCGAAACGTCGATCATGATAGTTGTGCTAAAGAAAGAATTACATTATATTATATAATTTATATATTATTATAATTTATATATCAGATAAACTTTTACCTGTTGTCTGAATCCATCTCCCAGCCCATCGTATTGACGGAGAAGCGGAGATTGGTTGCATCTGTCCACATATTAGTGAACTTTCTGAATGTGGGCACAGCAACATTCCAGAAATGAGGTTCGTTGTTGTTGCCTGCGTGGCTCGGCTGATACCAGTTTGTTGCTCCGTTGCCACAATTGGCATAGCCAAAGAACCAGCGGCCTTGTTCACTATTGGGCCAGATAAAGAAATCGCCTTCGAGAGACTTATACGATGGACGACCATCACTAACGTTGGTGCACCAATCCGCAGGGTCCATTTTGACGAATTTACCCTGGTTAAATCCATGAGAGCCAGCGTCGTCAGTTGTACTCAGATCGAACGAGGTGGGGAACTCCGCCGCTGCGATCTCTGAGTAAATGCCAACGAATGGACCACGCTCGGTGAGACAGTCGTTCTTCGACACGTACAGGTCAAGCGGGTCCGTCTCTGGACAAGTTGTATTGTCCCCGCTTCGTCCTTCCATACGGAGGGGATGATCAGGCTCGAGGTCGATCAGATGGTCTCTGTTGATTCCTCGAGGGTTGTTTTTTCGCCACTTATTCCACTTTGTCTTTTTTGGTTTACGGTTGCTTCTTGCGAAACCAAATAGTCCGAAACCATCATAGTCAGGCTCAGGCGTGGTCGCAACAAAGTGGTCCGCGAACTGTTAAGATTTAATCAGTTAGCTCAAAGTATATTACATATACATCTCCTTGCTCAAGAAGGTAAATTATAAGTTATCATATAGAAGTCCCTTTATATAAAATAGTAAAAAGAAATGGTATCGAAATGATAATCTCCTGGTGTTTATTTTCGTGTTGATATCTCTCTTGAGTGCTTTTTGAAAAAATCTTTCCTTGACAATGTTCGGCGCATTGACCGGTATGGGCCCGTTCATGACCGGAGTTTCGACTTTTCAACGTCTTCGGCAATGAATGAGTTCCGACACCACAATTCGGTCTGATTTCAAATCAATGACTTTTTGAATGCATCAAAGCCGAATATTGACTTACTGCCGATCGGATGCATTATTCAGCACGGATTTGGAACAAGTTTGCATTCAGCAGAATAGAAGGTCTAGATTTATATCTTGTTTTCCGGTAAACTGGTTATGTAATACTTTTTCGTATTTTTTTTTGCCGGTTATAAGCAAAAGGCCGACAGCTGTTGTGGCGGAATAATCGGAAAATCAGGAGACATAGATGACAACATGAAAACAAACTAGTGGTCTACTAGAGACAATAACTAGATTAGCTTGAGGAGGAGGATGAAGTGAAAGAGCGTAATTTGGGCACATCGGTCTGGCGCATCCGACGCGAAAGTCGCTTGAGCTGACGTTAGAGCACCCTGAGTCGTCCCCAGGGGAGCCAAGTACATGAACATAGAAAGGGCTAAATTTCCCGATTGCAGACGAATCAAGTCATTAAAGCACATCATAATTTAATAATACAGAATCTTAAAAGTAATTGCGCCCAGTTTTAGTTGAAATAGATCACTCGCCCAGAGAGCTGACACGCAGCGAGCAGAGAGAGCGAAAAAACTATTAATGAAAATGATTCCGAAAATGTATGTTCTTAAACGGCCAGGACAGTTTTGAATATTTGAAAGGACCCTGCTGCTGCATTTATTGAGTGGTAAGTATAGTGAAAAGCTATGAAGTGATCAAATTCGATCAAAACAAAACACTTATAGCCGAGAAAAACGCAGTATAGGGATTAAAATGTGTCTTTCAACTTCAAATCTAAGCAAGAGTACGGAGCAGCGCTTTCACCATGGATGTGGGTATTTATGGGATTGGCTGTGATTTGTGGAATAGGTAGCTTTCGCGAAAATTAAGCTTGAAAATTAGTGGTTTCTTACTTTAGCGTTTCCGCTGTTAATTCTCGTCAACTGCAAGATCGACAGATTCATCAACTTCATCCAGGTTGTCTTCGGAAAGGTTCCAAAAGTAGTAAGTCCTGCCGAGTTCTTGTGAAATGATTGGCTCAAATACGATTTAGAAGAGGCCGCATTGGAACAACATGGAAGCCAACGAACACATTCACCGAAACAGTACTACTTTGGCGGTGCTACCGTCTCACCAATACAATTTCTTCCGAGAAGGCGCGAGCTCGAGAATCATTCCAAATTCAAATGCCCACCTGTAAATTCATCATAATGAAAATTATTTTCCGCTGTAAATGAAAGACTTAAAAAAAAATTCAATTTCACTTTGAAATTATTAATTTATTGAGAACTGTTAGAGAAAGCGAGTTGTGTTGACACGAGATTTTATGTAACGGTGTTTCTGTGCACATTTTTTTATATAATCATTTTGACTTTTAAAAAGCGAGTCGCGTTCTACTCTTCCGGAACGACTTGCAGCGCAATTTGAATCAATTTTGTGACTTCTGCGAATTTTCCTCCGCTGGCATTTTGGTCCTTCTTGTTTCCTAATACTGAGTAAAGCACCACTCCCAGCAAGATCCAGCCAAGAGCGATCATGAAACCCCAATCAAAACCCTAGAAAAGCAAATTTTAAAGGGTAAAAGAGAAAGAACACTCACGTCAAAGAAGGGAACTAGAATAAGAAAGGTGCCAATGACAGAGATAATGTAGGGGAACGCTATTGGAACTTTGAATAATCGAGGATGTTGTTCGATTGGCATTCGTTTTCTGAGCGTGATGGTGGCAAAACAAGCGGATGTGTGGAAGATCCACATGCAGAACGAAAAATAATTTACCAGCGAGTCGAAGTCATTCGGCCAAATCATCAGCGTTGCTAAAATTGTCCGTTTCTCTCTAAACATACGCCAAGAATTTTACCAATGATGCCATTGAACATGACAGCGGGGACGGGAGTCATGCGCTTTACGTGGATCATTGAGAGCACATGAGGGTATTGACCCTTTCGTGCCGCGCAGTAGGGAACTCGAGCGGCGGTGAAACAGGAGATCAAGCAGGTACCAAAGACAGAAGCCATCACCATGACAGGAATGATCTTGTCCAGCCCGGGGAGGAATGTGACTCGACTTGCGAAGGCAGTACCGACTGCGCTGGCATCGAGGAGCCCATTGACACCCAGGACGGAAAGATACGCGTAGTTCGTGAACAGGTAGAGGATCGTAACTGAGCTCATGGCGATGATGATTGCGCGGGGCAAGTTCTTCCCTGGGTTGACTACTTCTTCGGAAATGTAGTTGAGCTGGTTCCAACCGTCGTACGCCCAGAGACCTTGGTAAAGCGAGAGGCCCACAGCGCCGATGGATGGCATCGCTACCTCGTTTGTTTCATAGTTGACGAAGGCCGTGGCCGGGGCGAATGTTTCTTTAATTGTTTGGCCCATGAACGTCAGCACCAATCCGGCGATAATAATGATGCCGATGGAGATCACTTTTCCATAGCCGAAGATCTTATTGAAGAAATTTTAGTTCAATTGTCGAACAAATAAATTTGTACCTTGAGAATTTGATTGGTGAGTTTGACAGAAGCACAGTTAATCGCTACAACGAGCCAGATGATACTCATGGCGAAAAACTTCTCCGCGTAAGGAGACAGTTCCCCACACAAATTGTATCCCATGATCGACTCTATCGAGCTGAATATACGGATGATAATATCGAAGACAAATGATAGGGAGTATCGCAAGACATTGCAAGAGCAAATACCTTAGCGTGTATTTGGCGCATGTGAGCGACAAAATCGCGAACGAAGACGGTTTCAGGATTGTCGAGCATGTCCAGGCAAACATGAACGCTGGCCACTTTCCGCCCTTGTATCCTTTGTACAGGATGGGATACTCACCGCCTGACTCGTTCACTAGTGTGCCAACTTCAGCGTAGCACAGGGCGCCTATGGTTGCTACAACTCCAGCCAGCATCCATGAAATCAAGGAGAAGCCGGCGGATCCCGTCAGTCGCAAAACACCTACAAATCGAAGAATATTTAGGGTCGTTAGGCCAAGATCTTAAATAACCTTTAGGGGATACAAAAATACCACTTCCAATTTGGCTTCCTATAATAACGAAAATCGCTCCAATGAGATCCACTTCTCTTCTCAATTTAACAGTGGAGCCTTTTGGATCGTCGGAATCGTCATCATCACTCTCGCCTTTCTTCTTCTCTGCATTTTCTCTCAGTCGAATGCTCTCATCAATCTTTCGGTTCATCTTTTCGGCCTTTTCGAAGAGTTCATCTTCTTCCTCCGGCGACAGATACTCTGAAACAATATTGCATCCTCTGAGGTGGCAATTGCACGGCGGAATGCCTGTTTGTCAAGTTCAAAATCCCTGTTTTTCCAAAATAGGGAATCCGAAAAAAAATTGATTATTTTGAATTTTGTTCTCTACGGGCCCGGGGCGAAAAAAATTTTCTTTTCTTTTTTGAACATTTCCTTGGCGACCTTCTGCCAAACACATTTGATTTTTCTCTAGTTTTTTTCTGACAAGTTTGACGAGTTAGCCTTGCTTTTATCGAGCTGGGAAAAAAAGGACAATCTCTCAATCTGAGACAGGATCAGTTGATAGTCAGATAGTGGAACGGCTCGCAAAAAATATGTGTCTGCGTTTCGCCCCGCCCGAGAAAAATCTCCTGAGTCCGGATATGACGCAAAATTGGCGAAGGCGAGTAGGCGGCCCCTGCTCCACCAACTAAATACTCCACCAGATTTTGTAAAAGGAAAATCGCGTACTATGCTTTTTAGGTACAATCAATTAATCAGTTGAAAAAACATTACTAGTGTGAAAAAGTCTCTAGAAATCGCACTTTTCCAGTCTTTCTGACTGATTTTTGTCCATAATTTCATGTTCTAAAGGCCATTCTTGACAGTAACAGATATTCCTATTGTCAAAAAGCATACCTTTACTGTCATTTTTATCCGTTCTTCCTAAAGTAGCAAAATTAGACTCGCTAAGCTCCACTTCGCTTTGCATCCTTCTCTTTCCCGGATACCTCTATTGTCCAGTTTATTCTTCTAACATAAACCTGAAGAGAGAGGAAAAAAATCTTGTGCGGGCCCATGAGGTCCCAGGAGGTCGCCTCAGAAAAGTTACGATCAAGATGGTGAGGCGGACGCTTGATGAGCTTTTCTTTATCACCAGAGGGAACTTTGATATTTCTTTATTACGATGATAATAAAATCTACAATAAATACTTTCTGATTCTATTTATGCGCCTTTTTAATTAAAATCATAGCTTGAGTAAATAGACAGGCAAATTGATGGAAAGAACACTTTAGAAATTTGTCTCTAGAACCGAAGTTGTTGTCAGGGCTTATTTTCAAATTTGTATCAGTTCCCGAGCTTCTTCGGGTCCGAAGCTGCCGAAAAAGAGGTAATATTCAATTTCGTTGTATTTTTATAACTCTTGTTTGTAGATAAGATTTCCGAAGTCGAAGCTGGCTATGAGGACAAGTACTTCTCTAAGACAGGAGATCTATAAAAAGTAACAGAAACACTGTTCTACCAATTTATTTTTTTCCTTCGAGGAAAATTGAATACACACTTGTCGGATTTTTTAAAATTTTCTTGTCTTATATTCTTTTGCAGGAGTAAGTTAGGTTAGATTCGGTTGTTTTGGATGTCATAAGTTGAAGGAAATTGGAATATATCTTCTGGAGGGTCCGTTTATTTGTTTGCTTGAACAGAAAATTGCACCGGGTTTTATGCTTTGTTCATTTTGCCAGGTGCATTAAGTAGATTGTAGTGCAGCAGAGTAATAGTTTTTATTATCTGTTAGGAAGTTACAGTATTCATGGGTTGACAGCTTTCACGAGCATACTGGCGGGATTGAGTTCCAGGAAGGTGATGGTTCCGGTGACATCGACGACGGGACAGGACTGGATATCAACTCGGTAGGCGATTCCGACCTGAGTGAGCCATTCGAGAGCTTGGAGAGAGATGGCAGAGGCGGTGTTGGAAGTTGGAGTGTTGGCCCACAAGTCAGTGATGTCCAAAGTACCGTCGTACTCATTGACGAAGCCCCAGCCGGGAGAGACACCAGCTAGAAAATGTATTTGAGGGTGTTTTTTAAACAATTGGAAAGGTACCTTCAACGTTGAAAGTGACGGCGCAGTTGACTGTGAGGTCGATTCTCGGAGCGGCAATGGCTCTTGAGGGTCCGATGTGACTGGCCGGTTGGATGTAATCGGTCAAGTTGACGATTCTGTTCTCGGTCCACTCGACTGGTGGGTAGCTGCTTCCAGATGGCCATCCAGCAAGTGGTTCGATGACGGCAGCCTCGGTAGTTTCTACGATGTAGCTGTTGTCGACAGAAACAGTGACATCAACGGCAGGATCGGTGAAGGAGCAGCCGGCGTAGTTGGCGCCAGAAACGTAGTAGTGGAACGCTCGGATTGGGCCAGAGAACTGGTTAGAGAAGTGAGTCTGGGGGAAGACGAAGATTCGGTGGTTGTCAGCGATGCTGGGATCGGTGTAGATGAAGTTGGGGTCAACGTCAGCGTCGACTCGAATGGATGGACAGCCGGCGGGGAATTGCACTTTCACAGCTAAAATTTTTAATGAAAAATTGTTCATTTTTTTAATGGTGGCATACCGATGACGTATCCGAGAGAATCAGCGGCAGCGGTAGCTCCAACTGCGCCAGAATCAACCCTGACGAAGTTTGCGTTGGTGAAATCAGTTGGAAGAAGAATCTGTCCAGCGAATCCTCCACCGCCTTCGTAGAGAGCACCTGGCTGGTGAACGAGGGTGCTTGTCGACGATTGAGCGAGAACTTCGGAAGGTGAGCCGTAAGCGGCACCAACAGTCGGGGTGATCTGCCATCGGTAGACTTTGTTTCCTGCGGGTTGAGCAAGGGCGAAGGTGGTAATGCCGTTGTTGATGGAGCTCTCGGGGTACCAGAGAAAGGTTGGTAGTCGGTAACGTTGGCGTAGTTGCCGGCAAGCTCTTGATAGGTAAAGGCGTAGTTGGTGTGGGTGCTATCATAAGTCCAGGAGAAAATGAAGGCAGGTGTAGTTCCATCAGCCAGGTAGCCAAGGGAGGCTTGGACGTCGTAGAGAGAGTTTACAACGGTGCCGCCACCGGTTCGACCGGAAATTCCACTTGAAAGAGATCGACCACCAGCGAGTGGGTCGAAAGTGGACGGTTCGGCAGTGCCAGCTTCAGTAGTCTGGAAGGTGTTTGGTCGAGCAGTAGTCTCGGCAGGGAGCTCGGTCTCGAAGCCAGCAGTGGAGGCTGTTGTTTCAAAGCCAGTGGTGCCAGTAGCCATGGCGATGGTGGTTGTCTCAAAGTAGTCCTGCGCTCTGGCGAGAGCGCTGAGAGCAAACGGGATTATCCGCATTCTTATTCTTGATTTTTACTCTTCTGAGTCTCTTTGTTTGTCCGGCTTGGTCGGACGTTTTTTGACTGACATCTTCTCGGCGGTGGCTTCTTTTTAAAGCCTAGCGGTTCGCTGCGGTTGAGCGCAGTGGGGGCGCTAGAATTTTCCCATGACTACGGTTCTCGCTAAACCATCCAGTTTATGATGTAATTAGGTGCTGATTAGGGTTCCACTAATATGTCGCTAATGGTGTGCTGAGTGCTCCTCAAGTGCGCCTTGATAGCCATCGCAGTTCTAGTTCTCAGCACAGTTCTTATCTGCGGCTTATTGCAGGGTTATTTCCGGACGTTCAATTCTCAATCACGAAAAAGAAAACCTCAATAATTGCGTCAACACCCAAGTTTCTCTCCAAAAGCAGAAGAAGCGGTGATTCTCATTGTGGAATCTGGCCATGTCTAAAATTTGACCATTCCAGCCGAAACTATGTTTGCGATGTGGAGCCTAACAAAATATCAAGAAATTCTCAAACAGTTTCAAACGGCGCAATTGGCCCAAGCAGAATTTGCATTTTTCAGCTTCCAAAAATACTAAAATACTTCTGACATTTTCGATTTTTATATATATTTTTTTTAACTAAATTTGCGAAACTAAATCAAGAGAGAGAATAATTTTGAATGGATACGTAGCTTCCTTCAAGTCATGGTTCCTACAGAAGAAGACGAATATGAATCGATCTACTCATACTCGAGCTTTCAAGTGATCCTTTGGGGCCTAACCTGTTTTTATATGACTGCAACGCTTGTAATCTGCATTTGGCCGCTTTGGGGACTGATGAATGCAAGCGCTTCTGCCTCAACTTTAGGGCCCATTTTTGGCTTCAAAGGTATTTTCATTTCATTTCGACTCTCCTGGTCATTTTCTTCTTTTAGGCCTCTTTGTACAGTGCATTCAATACATGTCCGGACAATACCAGTGCGACAACTATTTACATGCAGTATTTAAACAGCCGATGAATTTGGTATTTATCCGCACCTTCGGGGTCTTGTCCATGATTCTCGCTTGCATCGGGACCGGCCTCTGTCTCCTTGGCTTAGATTGCATCCGCGTCGCTGAGACAAATGAAAGCAAGTAGACATTTCTTATCATTTTAATATTCAAAACAGCACATGATTATTATCATGTGAAGAACAACAATCCAAATCCTTGATGTCCGTGAGAGCTGACCTAAATTCTTTTTAGAAAACAAGAAAAAGCTGCAGCGAGGAGGACTCGGATGCATCTTCTTCTCCGGCGTGTGCTTGTCCTCCATAAGCATCTGGTTCGCAGTCGTCGTCAAGAAAGAATTCAATTGGTACGATAACGTTCCAGAACTGGCCGTGTCCAGCGATTTCTTGAAATACGAATATGGAGGCTGCGTCTATGCTGGATTCATTTTATCCTTGCTTTGCTACGTTTTGGTCTGGTTCTGGCTACAAGCTTCTTTTGGCAAGAAGAATACTGCCATGTCCATGGATTATTCAGGAAAAGTTTAAAATTTACCTCTTTTCATTATCCTTTCGAAATTCATATGAAATTAAGGGTGTCAACAAAGAAATTATCAATCGATGTTGACAACCTTTATAATGGCTTTGGAAAGGGAATGATTTTAGTTAGGAGTCTATGAGAATATAACGAAAACCCTGAATATGTCACTAATGTCACGAATGTAACGAAAACATGCCTTTTCTTCGTGACATATTCAGGGAAATCGTGACATTCGTTACATTCGTGTCATTCGTTACATTCATGACATTCGTGACATAACGTGACATTCGTGACATTTGTGAAAATGAGATATCTGCCCGCTGCGGTCAAGGGAGCATTTCTCACGATTCTAGCACGGGCTTACATGTGATATGTCAAAGATGAAAATTTTAAACTGGTAAAGAAGAAATGGAATCAAGTGGCAGTGGAAGCGAAATTCTGTCGCAAGAGGATCAAGAAATATTGAACAAGTTCCAGTTTAGAAAATCACATGGCGAATCTAGACAAGTAAGCGTCCCGTTAATTGACTGCAAATCTTGACTGACAATTGCAAATTCTTATTTCAGACGCAATCTGTCGTGAGGACGATGAGTGGCTTTGGAAATGACGCCCAAGCAGAAGCGAACTCGTACCAGGGACGCGGTGACGACATTTTCTTTATGTCGTGCTAGTGAACTTTGCTTAGTCACCGTAAAAAAGTCGGGAGAAAGTCGGACTGCTTTTATTTGAGGCGCCAATTCTAGAATTTTTGAAATCCGGCCAGCTGTTTGTTGCCAACTTGTAAACTTACTTTCCAACCTGTGAACTATACTGAAGCTTACACTGAAAATAAATTCATGCAAAAGACAGACAGTCTTTTCTTATGTAATGATTAACAGAAAATGATGATCATCGTGAGAAACGATCAATTACACTTAGATGTTTGTGAGAAACCGGTCGGGACGATTTCTCGCAGACAAGCGAGCTTCTTTTGAGCCAAAAAGCTCGTGTAAAACGAATCAAACCCACTCCTTCTCTTTTTTCTAGACCACAGCATATTTTTTTGAGAAAACGACGCAAAAAATGAGCTAAACCTAAAAAATAGAAAATGAGCTGGAGACCTCCTTCGCGAATTGACCCACGGAAACCGGCCAGAGATCAGACAAAGAGTCAGCAAGAGATTTACCAAGGAACGGTTATCAGAACTTTTTCATTTCTTCCCGGATTTTCGTGACCAAAAATAATAGAGCGAAATTTGGGACGGCGCGAAAACGGATACGCTCTTCCCCGAGAGCTACATACAAGAGTTTTTAGGGATGAAAGTTCCTCGACGATCAACAGCTTTTCGACCAGGGCTGATACGTTTTATCAACCTCCATCAACAATAGGAGCGCGTTCACCGAGTTCCAAGGCTATTTCCTTTTTTTCCTTTCGTGAATTCTAAAAAAGTCGATTTGGACAACTTCGAAGATCGAGCAGATTTCTCTCAATTTTCAAATTTGCCATCTGGAATCGGCGCCCGTCCTGGCCGCATTTCCCAAGCCGCGACGTATATCTCAGACGGGGAATTTTCGCTTCCAGATCCGATGTCGCAGATGGGATACTCTCATGCTTCGATTCCCAGGGATGGCAGATACCAGGGGCAGCCATCCTTGCCCGTGTTTGGGAGTCGAATTGGCAGCGAAAACTCATTCCAGCGAAAACGGTAAGGAATAAGAGGAGCTTTTCATTTTGAATTGATGTTTATAGCAAAAATTCTGCTCCGATCAGCACTTGCGTCATCACTGGCAAAAATAATAACAGAAGCCAGAATGTTAATAGGAAACGGAACAACCATACTCATATAACATGAATATTAATAGTATTAGTAATGATAAACAATGTCAGTTCTGTTGAAAGATCAGCATCCTCAAGCTCCCATCGCATCCGGCTAGATTTGACGATCGACAATCATAATCATAATGCATCAGGTGTCGCTAGAACTACTTCCAGTCGACTGATTCCTGGTTATTCTTTCAGAGTCAATCGATTTGACAGGCGACGATGAGGAGGAGGAGGAAGAACTTCGCTTCATGGAAGACTATCCGCCAGTGCCCGAGACTCCCAAAGACCCTCCTGGGCCAATTATCCAGCACGAGCGCGTGGACCCGATGAAATTTTTGCCCTTTTTTGACCAAAACCTTGGCGTCAGTTCCGTCCTCAAATCTAAGAACAAAAATATTGTGAAATTCAACGAGCACGACGAAATCAAAATTAAAGTTATTATGGCGCGAGGAAGAGTTCAAAATTATAAACAAAAAAAATAACTACCGTTATTCAACAACTATAAGTATTGAACTCTGTAAAAGTTGAAGTGATCGACGGAACGACCTACTTGCGCGACCCTTACAGTCTGTCCGACACTACAACAACTACTATCATTGGTTCGTCGGACTAGTTATCATTAGGATTATCATTCGAGCTGCCCCTAACCCAAACCCTAACCCAGGGGGCTACGCCCCCTCCCCCGGAACCCCGTTTCCCCCACCTAAGCCTGGGGGGGCGTCACCCCCCCCCCCCCGTTAAGAGTTCCCAGTCCCTAACCCTAACCACTAGCCCAGATTCTAGACTCTAGAGATACTGGATGGCTTGAATCATAGGCTCGAATGATAGCCCCTCTCTTCGACCAGAAACTTATGCAAAATTTCAGCCACTTTTGATGATGTAAAATACTGCCTGCGACACCAAGACCTTGTCATGCTGACCGATGTGAGAGCAGAAGTATGTTTTAAATTTAATTACTATTTCGCAGCATCGCTTTTTTAAGTACAAGTTGGCGTTTGATACACAAGCAGAACCAACGATGAGTGTTCACAAAATCATCTTCTTCATTCACGAGCAAAACGTTGTTTTCTCCGCTTACGGTAAGTGCTTATCTGCGTTGAAAATTAACAAGCAATAAATGAACATTGTAGCTCAGCCGTTCGAGTGGAAGTTTGAGCCTGGGCCAGTGAGTCCCCAATCCTTCTCTCGGTACCAGGAATCATACGATGACGAGCTACAACTGCCAGACGCAAAGAGCTTCAACGAGGAGTTTTCCAAAACTCGCTCCGCGGGTTCAGAAGGTCTCTCCTCACCTGGCTCCTCATCCGAAACTCAAGAGCAAGGGGAAGAAACAATTTTGGAGAAGAGCACTTCGAACGACTTCGATTTGAGCTTCAACGATGCTCATTTAGGCAATGACAATATGAATATTGGAGAAATGGAAACTAATTGATTCTTCCTTGCATGATTCTCAGTATCTTTTGTTTTTAATAAAAAAAAAGAAAATGCCAATAAAAAATAGGTCCCAAATTCAAACTTTAACGGATTGAGACCCTTATTTTTCTTTTTGTTTTTTTTTCTTTTCGATGAAGACGTTCCACACTGACGGATAATTTCGGCTTCTGCCGTTGCGCTTGACCTCCGGCAATTCGGTAAAACGAACCCACAAAGCATTTTATTTCTGAAAAAAGATCGAAGCTGGATTGAGAAAACTCAACCCTTTTCTTCAAAAAGTAGAGACAGGAAAAACAAACTCTCCGGTAGCTACCTGTAGCATAAGCATTTCGCCGAATGCAGCGAGGAAAGAAGAAAAGAACATGGACAGTGTGAGGTAGAGTCCGCATTTTCAAATCTAGGCTAGTCAGTGTGGGCACTCAACACCAGGGTTCGGTATTTTGAACTCGCAAAATTATTCGTTTTTCATTTGAATTTCTATTTATTCGTTTACGAATATTCTCTAATGAGCGAATATGCAAAACGAATGAAAACGAATTTTCTCGGAGAATTTTTCAGAAATTCAGCGAATTTCTCAAATATTCGCTTTGCCGCGCGCTCTGATTGGTCGGGCTTTGACGTTGCGCAGCCTATAATTTTATTTTCACCGCCCAAATAACCTTAAAGCTCGCGGGCGCCACCCTTTTCTCACCCGCGGCCCTGGAGTTCAGCCAATCCAGGGCTGTACGCTCAATTTCGAGCGAATATTCGCCCGAATAGGCGATTCGCGAACAATCGCTCATTCGCTTAAGAAAAGAGCATATTCGCTGCGTGTATTGGCGAATTTTTCGACGAATTCAAAATACCGAACCCTGCTCAACACGCGTGATACTCTCACTTCTATGCTTTTTAAAAAATGACGAAGAAAAAATAATTGATGTTTATTTGATTCCTAGCCCATCTGTTAACGAAGAAGTTGGTTGATTTTTTTTAATTTGGAAGGGATTTTTTAGCTAAAATTTAAAACTTCCAACAAAGAAATAACTTTTTCTCCTCGTTTTTTATGAAAATTGGGTTATTTTTAGCCGTTAGAGAGAAAGAGTGTCGCTCTATTTTTAGACTGGGCTCGGCAACCTGTGTAAAAAACCTGACTCAGGTTTTCAAGAGCTAAAATGAAAAGTCGCGTAGCAATACAATCACTCTTATCAGTATTAAAATATTGGCGAAGCCGCTTTGCGGCTTTTCATTTTAGCTCTTGAAAACCTTAGTCAGGTTTTCTACACAGGTTGCCGAGCCCTGTTTTTAGAGTAGAGCTGGAAGAATATCCATACTGAATAATGAAAGAGTCAAAGAGTTCCAGTTGGAATAGCCTTTACTCAAATATTTATTCTTTTTAGCGTCATTTCTTACCTGAAATATTTAAATCAAAGACTAGCTAGAATACAGATTTTAGTTCTGAAATTAGCTGGCTCCGAGCGCTCAGCTGGATAATTATGATCGCCAAAATTAATCGGCGGCGATGCGTGACGATTCTACTGAAAAAGATCCGTTGCTAGAGCTCTATTCATTCGCTCTATTCATTTTATTCGTAACGTAAAAACTACTCAGCTTTTAATTGTGCTGGAAAGAAAATTTTCATATAAGCTCGGTTTCTGTTTCAGAGAAGTAAGAAATTGAATTGTGAAGCTCAATTTTAAGTAGCTCCATTCTTTTTTCTCCTTTTCTCGAATTCAAGTGTGCTTCAGATTCTTTAATATTCATCGAACGTGGCCGAAAACGGCTCGGATCACTTCACTAGAAATTTGAGATCAAATTTATTTTGGAAAGAAAGGTTTTTTTTAATTCTAAGAGTTTTTCTTTTTCAAAAAAAGGTATTTGAGAAAAGAGAAAGAGAAACTCAATTTTTGGGAAATCAAATTGAAGTTTATCGACTTTGATTACTTTAAAAAAAAATTGTTTAGCGGCGGGAGCACGGGGACTGGAACTCGTCGAGGTTCTGACTTATCTCACGTGCGACGCGGCGGGCTCGAACTCCGCTACCCATCGCAGTTCAAGAAAATCGACTCGGTCATAATCGAAGAAGACGAGTACCGCTCGACCAAGAATGACCGCACGGTCAACTACAGAAAGTGCGTCTGCCCCTTTATCGTCGGCGTCGTCTTGATGATCGCCGGCATTGTCCAACGTGAGTCATACAGTCACCTACAGTTGTTTTACAACGTTTTTACAGTCGGCGTTGGCCTCGCGCTGCGGGATACGTTGGACACGTTGGGTTATTCCGGCGGCATCAGCATCCTTTTCGCGATAATGTGCATGATGCTGTGGTACGCCTGTTCGCTCGAGGTTGAGGACCGCGAAATGCCACGGGTTTCGCTCCCGAAGAAGTCAAAGGGACCGCCAAAGGTGAGTTGCTTCATTTAGAGCGCGTTTTCTTTGAAGCCATTTTCTGTCTACTTTTGTCTTCACATTCCGTAATTCGTTATGCTGATTCGATTTTTTCTCTTTTTCTAGTGGCTGAAAAACAACGAGAGCAGGACTCAAAGCCGTCTCGTCGCTCCCGATACACCTGATCAAACCTTTGCGTGCTTCCCGACCAGATCCAACAATTTAGAAACGTAATTCATGCTTCAATCTTATGAACAATAATTTGACTGTTTCTTCGTTAGGAAAGCTGTAGTAGAACTGGACGAGCTTTCAACGTCGACCTCGCACCAGAACCAGAACCACCAACACCTCGACCCTACGACGCACGAGAAAAAGTACGCGCTGCCAATGTACGAATCCCCTGTCCCTCGGCCGGTCACGCTCGAGCTGGGCGGAGAAAGCAACCCAGCCTTTGTGGACGAATGCAACGACACCCCATGTTAATTCGTGATTTTACACTTCTGACTCAAATGTACATTACTGCACCGAATTGTTCAAAAATAAAGGAAACTAACTGTTTATCAATTTTTCAAGTCTAATTTTTCAAGATTTCTCAGATGCGTATTTTTGAGCAGGCTTTTGACAATTAAGGATTTAACATATTGACACCCTTATTTTTATTAGAGAGAAGCTTAGATTCGTGACATTACTTGATTATGAGTGTTTGATTATGGTCTAGGCTCGAGAGAGAGAGAGAGTGCAGTTCAGTATTGGTTCCATGTCCCTTGGACCGGGGACGAAATTGCCGCGGGCAAGGGTTCGTACCATTCTGCTGGCTCTTGCAGGTTGATACAACGTAAACTTTACTAGAAAGGCTAGCCGGGCGTCTAGAGAACGTCGCGATGCTTGCCTGAGGAAAAGGACTAGAGATAAAATAGCAGAGAAATGGGTGATTTTTTCAACAATATCTTCTGGGTCGTGCTCGGCGGGGTCCTCTTCTTCTTCTACGAGAATATTCAAATCGACAGGAGGTAAGATTATATGCAAGGCGATAAGTTAAACTTCCGAAAAGTGATACTTTGCTCAATCATTACACAAGCCCTGCTCTCTAGAGAGAAGAGTAACATTAGTGGAACACCGCGATTGATACGCTTATTAGCGGGCAGCCAGCTCTAGCCTTACAAGGGCATCCTGCAACTATCGCACGTGTCGATTGCAGCGCCAAAATCAAAGTGAACATGTGTTCACACAGAGCCCTTGAGTGCAGAATTATGCAGCCGTTGAAACGTTACGTTATTCGTCAAAATAAAACGTGCGATTTCGATAATTCAAAAAGCTAAGTTGACACCCTTAATTCTATTCCGTCGAATTTGCCAGATCATAATTGAAGAATTGCCAATTTAAATTTAATCTAAAATTAGTTGAAAAGATAATTCAAATCTCTCTTTTATCTTAATCGCCAAAAAGAAAAAATGGTAAAAAATGGTGTTCCATAAATCCGCCGGGCGGTAAATGATTGAGCCTTAAGAAAGGGGAGCGTAGACGGGAATTCCGGAATCGGGCCATCAAAAGGGGCTTGAATGCGAAAATGCATGCTCCTGTCATAATTCGGACCCTGAACTTAGCCCGCGTGGTGTATAAGCCCGGCGCTCACACGTTAACTGGATTCTAGCGTCTTTCATTGAGGTCGATTCGGGTTAATACTTTTTTCGATTCAGAGCGGAGTTAGAGGCGGCACATGGATATCACGTGCAGCGCGCTGGCATTGCCAGCTTTCAAGACTACATTCAGAAGCAAGAACAGGATAAAGATTTGGCTCAGGGCGACTTTGTATTGCAGGTAAGACTTTTTATGCTGTTCGTTCTGCGTCCTATATTTGCGTGTTATAGGATCGCCTGTCAGACTGGAGGACGTGGATGAAAAACAAGGATGAAAATGTGCCTCACGAGTTCGCCCAACAACCCGCCGAACGACAATTAACTCCGATAGAGGGTACTTTTGCTGCTTTATCGCATGTTGTCTTTACTTACTTAAATCCGTATTAGAGGCACAAGCGCGATTACGCGAGCTTGAAGAGTCAGTTCAAAAAGAAGAGGAGCCGGAAGCGCGAACGCCAGTGCCGATCGTTGATGGCAAGCCGCTCAGCATGAAAGAGATACTTGATCGGCAGGGAATCGAGGTACTGGAAATATACAGGAATAGGGACTTGTAAGGAGCTGTTCTATTGAAGGTTGAGGGCGGCAAGGACGAGCCACTTATTCAAGTGCAGAAAGAAGCAGAAACAAAAGAAGCAGCTTGGTGGGATCATAGTGACGATAAGAAGGCAACTCAAGAGGCGACTGCTGGAGAAAAACTCCCAAGTATGGACGAGCTATTTGCGACCGGAACCAAAGAGGATGATACGAATCAAGAAGAAGGAGAAGCTGCTGTTGAGGAAGAGAAGCCAAGTCTCGACGATCTCTTCTCTCAGCCTGCTCCTCAAAATACAGAGGAAACTTCTGATTCCAAGCCAGCTTCTCTTGAGTCTCAACAAAAGGAAATCAAGGAAGAAACCGCGCAAGAGGCAAGCCGCCCGCAATCAGCGCCAACGTCGATATCAGGAGAAGAAGCAATGGACGAACCTCTGCCAAAATTCCTCATCATTGGGTCGACGAAATGCTCCACCTCCGCTTTACTGCGTTTTTTAAACGCCCATCCTCAATTGCGCAGCCCTGGAGAGACGTATTTCTTTAACAAGGCAAGATTGCGCGTTTTTTTAAATCATCAACTAATAATTTTATAGCATTATGATGAAGGAATAGACTACTACAAGTCGTTGTTCGAAAAATTCAACCGTCCAGGAATGGTGCTTTTCGATAAGACGCCGACTTATTACACCTGCGTCGAGTGCCCTAAGAGGGTCAAGGAGCTCAACCCTGAGATGAAAATTATCATGAGCGGTAAAATTACTAAATTTTAGTTTTAAACTGACACTTTTTCGCACGAGATACTAACTCGCCAACGTTCAGTTTGCGATCCAGTTCACAGAATCGTCTCGCGATATTACCACGCGAAGGATATCGGCGGGCCGAGGGTTCTCGAGCTCGGCGAGAACTTCGAAGACTATCAAAAGAACATAATCCTGGCGGAAAGAAACGCAACGGAAGAATTTAACTCGCTGGAGCTAAATGGACGGGATAGAACCACCGCTGTTTTGGAAGATCTTTTTGTAAGTCTTCTTTTTTTTTCCTGGATTTTGAATTACTGACACTTGAAATAGATTCCACGCAAATCGCCCTTCAAGAAAGCGACTCTTCCTTTTTCCATAACGTTGAATTCGGCCTATGCGATCTACATGCAGTACTGGCTCCGGTACTTTCCAAAGGAGCAACTCTATCTGGTCAATGGGAACAGAATGAGTAAGAATCGGACCATTTTCGAATTCTTGGTAAATTCTTTTTTCTCAGGTGGCGAGCCATTTAACGTTCTTGAAGAAATAGAAGAGTTCCTCGGAGTTGAGAAATTCTTGCTAAAAGAAAAGTTCGTCACAAACGAGAAAACAGGCTTTTATTGCTTCGAAAAGGACCCTGGATTGGAGCCGATATGTCTAAGCGACGACAAGGTGAGCGTTATTTTTTCAGTTCAATTTGAAAGTGCTTTCTAGTCGCGTTCGAAACTCGAGGAAGCAGGCACAATCGTCGATGCAGTTGCCCAAGAGCTGGAGAAATTCTACGCTCCTTTTAATTCCGATCTGCGCAAGATCTGGCCTGACTTCGATGCCCCCTGGATCAAGTGAACAAACAGACCCTCTTCCATGGCCCCTAGAATTGCTCATTGTCCTTACGAAAAAAAATACTAAATTACTGCCAACTGAAAATACTCTCTTGCATTTACTTCAAACCTTTCACATCTGCGTATTATTGAACATTGATAAACTGAGCGCGAAATGATATTATACAATAAAAAATAAAATATATAGAAAACAGTCGGTACTGAAAATGGCACGAATGTCACGAATGTCACTAAGGTCACGAATGTCACGATTTTGCTAAAAATGTCACGAAAAAAGAAGCATGTTTTCGTGACACTCGTGACACTCGTGACACTCGTGACATTCGTGTCATTCGTGACATTCGTGAACTTTTCAGCAGTATCGAAGAAAACAGTGGCAATTTTTGACTGTAGCTGGAAAATAAGGCTTTGAAAATCTTTCCTTTCAATATTTTGATCGTCGAGCGCGATATGATCAGGCACGCTAAATGTGCAGATTTGCGCGCAGTCGTCGGGTCCGTGTTGGTCTGGATGGACACGGGCCCGCCCGGCGACCAACCGGTCTCGGGTTCGAATCGTCACAGGTGAGTGTCGTCCGAGCTGAGCCGTATACTCAGCTCGAACTCTGAAAGTCGATTACTACAAACAAAAACCAGCTCAACGGCGATGCCCACCGCAGAAGCCGACGAGTGAGGTTCTTCAGGCGCAAGACATGGCCTGGAGTTTTTGTCAAAAATTTTCAATGAAGAGCTCTCTTGAGTGAATGGAGCATAAAAATAGTGCTGCGGTTTCATTTGTTGTTATGATTTTCTATGTGAGAAAGTATTTGTTGTAGCAGCGTTAAAACATTCCGATTCAAGTGATTTACGCGCGTTTCCATGAAAAACTCTAGGGACCTGGGCGCCAACAGCTCGAATTTTTTGTGTAATAAAAAATTTTTCACCGCTTTATAGCGTCGTATACGTCAGTGCGTCACGATTTTGGACCGTCTTCTATTCCAACCGCAGAACATGGAATGCTCAATGCTGCTTTGGCTTCTATTCATTCAATGAATGAATATATTATTATCATTGAGGTTTTATACAAGCTGTTCTTACAGTTGATCTGAGCGGTGCAGATTCTTTTCTGGAATTCGCGCCGCTGGAGAATGTGTCCTCGGAAGATTGGCAAAGTAGAAGAATGGGTAAATTCATAATAATAGTTCGCCCTTCTTTCAACGCACCGTTCTTTCTTCCTTTCATTAATCGGGATTATCTTACAGTCATTAGCTTGGATACACGGCTGTCGGCTTTGATTAGAGAAGCAAGTCGAGCATTAGTCATTTTAGCTTCTCGAATTTTCCAAGGACGAATGCGACCTTGGAAGGTCACTTCTATTTTCGAAAATTCAGTGTCGAAATTAGCAATATTTTATTTGTTGAATTTAACGATTAATATTTCAAATATTATATTTGCGAACTTGAAATAACTAAACTAAATAACGCGATGAGGAAAATCAACGGAAGTTTTACGCAAAGTTTTTCTCTGAGCATAATTTCCATCGAACTTGGCAGGAAAGATAGCGCGTCAGGAGAAGCACCTGCTCAAAGACATGAAAACTCACACTGCTTCAATGTTTCAAATCTGCCCCAAATTGACGCATAATCTGCCGCCTTACAAGTGGAAACTGCCACCGGGGAATGCAGCTTCCAACTTGGCTAGAACTTGTTGGAATTATTTTTCCAAATAAGTGGCCGATTGTTTTTCTTGCTCTGAGAAAAGAGAGACTAGTCTTCTATTAGACCGTAGACCGTCTAAAGATAAATCAGCATCGACGGATTTTCAAGCTTCATCTTCAATTTTGATAATTCTATTTTCCAGACAGCAGTTTTCCGGCTAGCATTTTAGACAATTAAATCACTCTCCGAATTAAAGAGAGAATTTAATAATCTAATCGACAATTCGCTTTGCTTATCATTTTTTTCTGAAAAGTTTAACCTCACGACGCATTAAAAACCAAAAATATGGTGTTTTTTAAAATTTCCATTTTTCGAAGGGGTGGTCCTTAAAATCAAGTCTATTTTGATTATTTTATTTTTCAAGAAAAATAGCCAAATATCCATTTCAATCTGCAAGAAATGTTGGCTACTGTAAATATTTATTTTCAAAAGTCGTAAAAATAATATTTCGAAAAAGGTAGAGTTGGCCTGGCGTTCCAGGTTAATCTTGTCTAAACTTGTGAGGTAAGCTTCTAAATAGAGATTAGGAGTCTCTTTTTGTTGGTTCGTTTTGTGGTTTCTTTTTTCTGAGGAATGAATGAATGGAAAAGTACATATCAGAAGGAGTTCAGTTATTATTCAGCGAGGGAACAATCCCAGTACGTTACATTCTTCTGTGACGCCTTCTTTTGCTCCGCGTGCCCAAACTTCTCGAGAGCGCCCCCTTCTACCCTCCGATAAAAACTCTTTCCCCTAGATTCTCATCACAGAATTTGAATCCGATACTTGACAAGAAACTGCAAATACATTAAAAAAAATTTAACCCAGAAGAAGGAAAAAAAGAAGAAAAAAAAAGAAGAATACCTTCGAGAGAACTAATTTCCAATTTACTTGCTAAAGGTACATTTCTTAATATCATATTGGACATTCGAACGAGCAATCAATTGAGCACCCAATTTTTATAGTCCGATTACTGTAGGTTAGCGGTTAACAAAATTGCTTGGCAACTCCTATTTTCTGTAGATTTTCTTCTGGACCTAGTTTTAAACCGATTTTTAAGGGTGTTACAGTAATAATTGAGGGTGTCTGACTGGGGCAAAAGAAAGCCCGGGTTAGGGCAAGGGTTTTCTCCAGAGCTTGAGGAGACACCCTTAAAAATTGATTTGAAAAATAGGCCCAGAAAAAAATATACAGAAAATAGGAGCAGCAAAATTGCTTCGATTTTTTTATACGGGTAGAAAGAAAATACGAGAGTTTTAAGTTAAAATTTTTAACATAAGCCTAACCCTAACCCTAACGATTGATTTCAATCATCCAAAAAATGGTAGAATATTCTAGCGGCATTTTTTTTGCAATTTAGATTCGTGTGAGTAATCAACGATAAATTATCGTTATCATTATAATCATGTCTTAGTCGTTACGTATTTTAATTGCCGTCATAATTAGCAGTGCTCAGGAGAGAGAAAAATGCCAAATGTCGATTCACATAAACGTGGTTTCTACTACGACTAAACTTCAGACCTGGGCTCTTGATTAAACATTTAGCTTCAGAAACAAAAAAGATGAGAGTTTTATTGAAACTGTGCGTTCTTGCCTCAGTCATCTCCGCCTCCGAGTGGCAAAAGTACTGCGTGGATACAGTCTGCAATCGCTGCAGGTCGTACCTCGTCCGAACCATGGATGGTAAGCAAAAACTCACACTTGCTCTATTTATTCCAAATTCTATTCAGAAAACGCAAAGCACTACAGACGATGCTTGGCAATCACAATCAATCCCGAGTGCTGCCAGTTCGAGACCAATCTCCATTTCAACGTATTCCCGGTAAATATCGTAGCAGCACGTACTAACATTCGAATCAATAGAACCTGCGCGTGTTTCCGGTGAGACTTCTTTTCACTTTCAACAAAAAAAAAAAACTGAGTCGGGCGCACAAAAATTTTTATTGAAGCAAAAAAAAATATTGATTACAGCACATTTTAGGCTTCATATTTTGGCAAAACCTCGCCCTAACCCTAACCCTAAGCTTGTCAAAATATGAGGCCTGCGGTGAAATATTAAACTTACTTTCTCTTAGTAATACTGTTTAATTACAGGTTACGAATCCCGCTTGTCGCGATGAAGAACCAGACTCAAAGCTCAAACTCTCGAAAATGACGCAAAGCGAGAACTGCACCGAACATACACTTACCTTGAAGCCGAATGAGACCGATTCGGAGTCAAACCAGTTGGACGACTTTTTGAAGGACTTCGACGAAGAAGTAAAGAACTCAACAAAGTTCCAAGAAGAGTTGAACAAGATCCAGCAGCAAAAGTACGGAATCACCATCAACAGTAAAAAGTGCGAGATCATACTGAACGAGTACAAGACTTGCAAAGAGATCCGATCCGATCAAACTTACAACAACACCATCCACGGTTAGAGACCTGTCCAGAGAATCGTTGTTGGTAAAGTAACTGTATTTTCAGTAAGCAAGTACGTTATCATTTCGCTCTGCTCCTGCGCCTTTGGAATCGCGCTTGTGCACTTCTGGAGATGGTCAAAATCAGACACAATGCGACGACAAAGCAATTTCGTCGAGCGGCAACGATCACAAGTCCAGAGTCCTCAACTAGCTCATTCCGCAACCCTCACTTCTGTTGATGTTCGATTCTCTCCTTCAGAAAAAGATTCACTTACCAAGCATGTATGACGCCAAAAATGAAAGAAAAAGAAAGAAGAAACGAATATAAAGATAAAAAACACTCTGCTTCATGTAAATAAATATTCCCACTGAAATTTTTCTTCTATCGTCTTTTTATGTGCCAAACTGCAGAGAACATCAACGAAAATTTTCAAGTACCAAAATGATTGAATATACGGTATATTATATACCCGCTTTTTCAAAATATACGGCATTTTTGAGGGCGAGACTAATGCTGAGTTTCTGGCTCAAATAAGATTATTATCGGTGCGACTTGAATTGAAAGTGTTAATTTAAAGAGAAATCTCTTCATTTTGAAGATCAATAATGGAGAGTCGAGAAATTAAACCGTAGATAAATGGTTATTATTGAGATATTAAATATGTGATATTAGAGATGCTGCTACCATCGTTAAGCTCGAAATCGTTTCTGAGCAAGAAGAGTGTCCAACCACTCAAGGAATGAATTTAGAACAGAAGATGGCTATTTCTTCAGTAAGTTAACAATTTTACTTTTCGAACGATTTGATTTTAGTTTTTACTCGATGAGAGTAACCGCGAAAAGCATACGACGGAGAAAAAACAGGAAGAACTCAGTGAAGGAGATCCTCAGAAGATCCTACTTGAGTGTGAAACAGTACTAAAGTTGACTATCTTTTTAGTGATAATTTGTCTTAGTTGAGAAAGACTGTCGATGCAAAGAATGCCGAGCTCCGGAGCAATGAAAATCAGCTTCTTGAACTCAAAGTTTTTTTTTGTCGTCAAATAATTATCCTATTTGAGAATTCTTTTCAGGGTCAAACCGTAGCGCTGAAGGCACACATCGCCAAACTCGAAGAGGACAAAAAAGTTCTTGAGGAAAATTGTTCTGATAATTCGGTAAACTAACAAATTTAATTTCAAAAGTTTGGATTATCATTCCTAGTTGAGCAAAATGATTCTGGGCACTCTCCAGCCAATAATAAAAGAGTTAGAATGCAAGGTCAAGCGTGTTCTGGCGATTTCTGGTAAGTATCGTGAAGAAAACAAAGAGCTGAGGGAAGAACTTGCACAAGATACCACGAAGGCGGAAATGAAAAAGATGAAAAAGATGTTCCAAACAAAGATTAAGCATCTTAACGAACGGCTCGAGGAGGAAATGCATGCACGACAGTCCGCGGTCGAGGCGCAAAAGAAACTGCAGGCGGAGATGGACATAGAGTTACAAAAGTCGAAAGAAGGCAAATTCCGCCTCAGGAAAATCGCTCAGCAAAATGTCCTTGCGCTCAAGAAGCAGCTCGACAAAGAGAAAGCCAAAGCTGGTGATATCACGATTTCTTCATCTGTCACCATGGTCGCAGACTCTAACCAACTGGACCGGCTAGCTGTGCCCAGAAAACGTAAGCGCTTGTTCAATAAAAGTTATATTTGTGAAGATTCGTGACTATGTTATGATATTTATTCACTCGTGCAAAAAACATTCCGCAACTGCTTATTTAAGGACCGTTAGAAGTTCTCTCCACGAACGAAAGCAAGAAGAGTAAGTGCACTGAGGTAAGCTTTATTTATATATTCATATAATAAAATCTAGGATGGAGCCACCAGATAGATTTCTTCTTGTTTTCAATTAAGTTCAATTATATTTGTCTTCTTTTCTAAAATTGAAATACAAAAACAACCACAATTTACTTCAGTAAACGTTGATCTTTGACCAATTTTTTAGACTTTAGCAGTTAGGGTTTAGATTAATGAATTGCAAGTTTAAAAATTTCATTCACGCTGCATTTTTTCGAGTACTTTGACAAGCCCCGCGGGTTCGAGAGTGCCGTTCTAATTCTTCCTTCGCGTAACTTCTGGTTACGTTGAAAACATTCAAGAGAAAACAATTTTCAATGAAATTGATCAAGTCGCTTTTAGTGGCTCGGCTCGCCGCAGACTCTTGCTCGGACGTAATCAGCAATTGCGCAGATTTGCTGCAGAGAGCCGACGAGGATCAGAAAGAAATTCTATGCTCCGTTTCCTGTCAACAATCCTGCGCTAGATGCGGTACAGAAACGATCGGCATTGACCCGACGCTGACGAAATGCCAGGCCAATGCACAGACTGACAAAAACGTCAAATGCACTGAAAGTGGATTATTCGAAAAGACGCAGTGCTCGGTGCTCAATAGCGTCATGCAAATTCACATCTGTAGATGCGTTGACGAAATCTCCGGAGAAGATATTCCCCTTACCGAAAAGCCCGTTATTGGTTTGTTATAATCACAAATACTGAAATACTGAAATACAATCTTAGGTGAGGCGAAAATGGATTGTGGTAAGGTGGAAGATAAAGAAGAAGACCTCGAAAGTTTTGGTTAAAAAAAAGAGCCCAAAGAGTATTTTTTCAATCTGCGATAAGCCATTTCAACCATAAAAAAGCGAATACATAGAACCGGAAGAAAATATCATCCCACGTCTTTACAAGCCTTCTCAAGTCTACAGCTCGACAAGCATCCGCCCCTGCGAGAAAGAACTTGCGCTAATCGGAAAAGACGGTTTTAAACCATCTTGCTCAAATGATGGAAAATTTAAAGCGATGCAGTGCATGAATACAAGGAACTGTTTTCTATTTCATTTTTTATTTCTTAAATTTTTAAAAACAGTGCTGAAGTTGCTTCTGCGTAGACAAAAAGACAGGAGTTGAAATAGATGGCTCAAGAGGCTCTTTTCCAACCTGTGATGACTCAGATGATTCCGAAGACTCTGAAGATGAAATGGAGCAGCAGCCAGCTGTCACTCCAAAGAACTGCCTTCGAATAAAAGAAGAAGCACTTGTCTTCAATAAAAAAGTGTCGGATGCTGGACCATTTGCCTCGTCCTTCGCTGATCTAAAATTTGTCCCAAGCTGCAACGGGGATGGATCGTACAAAGCTCTCCAGTGTGATGAAAAAGCAAAGAGCTGTTGGTGTGCGGATGCGATGGGCGTAGAAGTCCACGGAACGAGAAAGGCAACAGGAGGTGTTTTTAAATCTGCCCCTCCAGATTGTTCCGCACAAGCGCAAGTCATGAAAGAGTTCGTCAATACTCCGCCTTGTGAGAGGATCAAGAGCCAGGGAATGCAACAGAATCTTGCCTGCGACAGAAAGGGTTACTTTGAAGAAGTACAGGTCCGAACCGATGAGAGCGGCAATGAAGTCAAATACTGTGTCGATCCTGAAACTGGTTATCCAAGAGTAAGTCACCAAAAGTAAATTCATGAGTTCATTCATCTTTCAAAAGGAAAATTACAATTTTAACTTGGCAACGCGAGAATGTCTTTATCGACCGCCAAAAGCAGCTGTTGGTCCAACAAGAAGTCCTGCCGAGTTTATGGCCATGCTAGGGATTGAAGACGATTCAAGCTTTGCCCAGACGGCTTCAGAAGCTCCAGCGGCTCCAGCGGCTGTAGCATCGCCAATGGACAATCTTCGACAACAACTTTTGTCGAAATACGGATTGGACGGTGGTGCTTCAGGCGTAGCAGCATCTGGAGCAACCAATACTCAAGATATGATCCGTAATTTGGTGATGCAAAAACTCACCGGAGGAAGCGCTGGAAGTGACGCAGGTTCAAGTCCTCTTGCCGGACTTGCGCAACAAATGCTCGCACAGTCGAGTGGCGGAGCTTCTTCCGGTGGATCGTCGATTCAACAGATGCTTGCGCAGAAAATACTTGGAAACCAAGCACAGGAAGCTTCGCAGCCACAGATGATGGGTGGCATGACGGCGGATAATGTTCAGGGAATGTATCGAAAACTACTGATGCAGAAGCTCGCTGGGGAAAACTCTGCGGTAAGTTGGATAATTTTTTATCAAGAACTTAAAAAGGGTCTTTCACAAATAGGCGCCAAATGACTTGGCAAACCAAGTGGCTCAGTACAGTGCTCAAGCTGGCACAAGTGGTCTTCTATCCAACCCTCTTTACCAGCAACTGTTGAACAAAGATGTGCGACTCAGTCAACTCGCCCAAGCATTTAATCCTTCTCAAACTGGTTCTTCGGTGGCCGACTTGCTCAGTCCCGAACAAAACGCGAAGGCTAAGCAAATGATGCAACTCATCAACCAGCTCGGTTAACGCCGAAACGCAGGGCGACCAATTAATTGGTACAAGGCCCTTTAATGCCTCATAACTCAACTTTTACTTAACGCTAGAAAAAAATGAACCCCCACTTATGGAGCTACTTTTTATCGAGGAATTCGATTCCGGTGTCAAAAAAATTTTTTTTTTGAAAATTTTTGATTTTAGCTATTGAACGAAATTTTGAACTCGGATACTTTTTAAGTCTTTGAACAATAAATCGCCATTACGTCGTCATTCGACACATTTGGAAATACGCATATTTACTCATATTTATGTTATGATATGGATATAATATGGGGATGAAATTGAAGCTAAGCGTCTGAGAATTATTTATCTCTATCATTTATTCAGTAGACGTATCAGCTTCATGGTTAAAAAGGGGTAAAAGGGGCATACCAATTAATTGGTACGATCTGCGTTCAACCTTGAAAAAAATTTTATGCGTTCCGGCGTTAAATCGCTCTTTTTTCTTTTTCGCCGAATTTATTCAATAAATATACAAATTGACACGAACTACAGATCGTTTCTAATTGATTCTACTGGTATTTGCAGTAATTTCTTTGTACGTCGGCAGCTCAATAAATCAAAAGTGATATTTGCGCGGCTCTTGTCTTTCTCCATGGAAATGAATAGTTTATGGTCCCACGCGACAGATTCAGATTTTCGAAAAGAATCTTTCATTATTTCGCTTTTGACCATTTTGGATTATGAGCGCAGCGGTTAAATCGACATTCGAGGCATTCGCTCTCCAAGTATGTATTTTCCTCCTTGATTTCAAGAGAAAGAAATTGCAAATTTGTCATTTTAGGGAACAACTGCCACTCAGGCCAAGAGCGCAAATGAGATCAACAATAAGAACTTTTCGAAATTGTGCAAAGATTGCAAAGTGATTGGGCAAAAATGCACGTCCACCGATGTCGATATTGTCTTCAGCAAAGTCAAGTTTGTGCTTTCCTTTAAATTCTATCCCTCGAATAACCGACTTCAGGACCAAGGGAGCGCAGAAAATGACTTTCGATCAGTTCTGCCAAGCTTTGAAAGAGCTCTCACCGAAAAGATTTCCAAAGAAAACGAAAGAGGAAGCCGAGGAGGCAATCTTCAAGCTTGTTGAGGATAAAACACCTGGCACGAATGCTACCACTGTATGTTCTTATTAATAGCGTTGTTCTAATAAGGCACTAGAAAACAACAAACACAAAGAACGTTGACCGAATGACTGACGCGTCAAAGTACACTGGAGCCCATAAAGCTCGATTTGACGCTGAGACAGGAAACGGTTAAAATGAGTATCAATGGGTATCTTCCTGAATAGGCACATTTTAAATCGATTAATAGGCAAAGGAAAAGGGATTGAAGGACGAAAAGACATCGACAAAAACACGGGCTACGTTGGTGCCTACAAGGGCGATGGAACCTATGACAAAACACATTAATTTCTCGAGATCTCTTCTTCTGATTTTTCTACCACTCAATATATATTTTCTTTAGTTATAAAATAAAAGCAAAGTTTAAAACATCTGTCTGTTTAGTTTTCCCAGGAAGTCACATTTTCAAATGTCAGAGGAGAAAGGCTCAAAAGTCAAACTAAATCGAGCTCTGAAGCAAATCTGAACCAATACACTAAAATCAGTTTTTGAGAAGAACAGTATCAGAAAATTTTGCAGTCATGCCACGAATGATGGCCATGTCCAAGGGTGTCTCAACCATGATCCATAACAGATCAAAAGATAGGAAACATATTGCGACTCGCAATAGAGACCCCAGTACATGGGTTGATGATTTAATCAACTGTAAGTAATGCAATAAGGTCTTTATCAAATTGCTTAACGAAGTTTAGTTTTTCTTGAAAATCCAGATCTGCCTCCAGATGTCCCGTACGTTTACCCATCGAAAAGGAATTCAGAGCTCTCCACGACATTGTCTGAATCATAACTTGAATAAACGTGTCTGTTTTTGAATCGAGAAGTGTTAAGGATTTCAATTAGCCGCAGTCCTTTTGTACAAAGTAAGCCAACCTCGGGCTCTTTTGTGCTCCCTTCAGCACACAAAGACGACCCTTCAAAATCAGGCCTTTGAAAGCCTCCTTTCTTAAATTTGAAGCCAGTTGAGTTGATAATCAAAATCGATCCCACCGAGAGAGCGAAAGAATCGATGGGATTTTCCGTCACTCTCTGCTTCAGTGATTGATTCTGAGCTACTGATAAAAGCCGCCGGGCATGCCGGCTTGGGATCTTGTTTCCACCCCGCTACTCGAAGCTTTCGAAGTCCGTCAGCCGTAAAGAGAACCACTTTTACGAGCGTAATAAATACCAGAGACGAAATCAATCATCGCACATATTTTAGAGAAACACAATTCGAGATCGCTATTCAACCATTTTTTCAGTTTTCCTAAATCTTTTTCTTACAAAATGTTTTTTAGAAGTAGATATTCGAAATGGGTAAAGCAAATGAAACAGATGACCTCAAGAAGGAGGTCGAGATGGACGAGCACCAGATTCCCGTTGAGGAACTGTGCCAACGTCTCGGTACAAACGCTGATTCCGGTTTGACAGCTGATCGTGCGAAAGAGGTAAATTTAGCATTACTTTTCTTTTTTCTTGTTGTAACTCCTTCTTATTAAGCTTCTTGCGCAAAACGGATACAATGAGCTTACTCCTCCCAAAACTACTCCAGAGTGGATTAAGTTTTGCCGAAATCTTTTCGGTGGTTTCTCCACTCTTCTCTGGATCGGTTCTATCCTTTGCTTCTTCGCGTACGGAATGGAAATCGCCCGAGGTGCTGAGAACCCTCAGAAAGATAACCTCTACCTTGGTATCGTCCTCGCCACTGTCGTCATCGTCACTGGTTGCTTCCAGTACTTCCAGGAGTCAAAATCTTCCAAGATTATGGAATCCTTCGCCAAGATGGTCCCGCCAAAAACTCTGGTTATTCGAGATGGAAAGAGCATGGAAATCGAAGCCCGTAACCTCGTTCTCGGCGATCTTGTCGAAATCAAGGGTGGTAACCGAGTCCCTGCCGATTTGCGAGTCATCTCCGTCGCCTCGCTCAAGGTTGACAACTCATCGCTCACCGGTGAGTCCGAACCGCAAACCCGAGATGCCGAAGTCAGCAAAGTCGAAGCTCTTGAAGCCCGAAACATCGCATTCTTCTCCACCAACGCTTTGGAAGGATCCGCCCGTGGTATTGTCATCCGATGTGGTGACGATACTGTCATGGGTCGAATCGCTGCTCTTGCGTCCAACGTCGATTCTGGTGATACTCCCATCGCTCAAGAAATCGAGCATTTCATCCATATCATTACTGGCGTTGCCGTCTTCCTCGGTGTTACTTTCTTCATCCTCTCGCTCTTCCTCGGCTACCAATGGCTCGAAGCCGTCATTTTCCTCATTGGTATCATTGTCGCTAATGTCCCAGAAGGTCTTCTCGCCACCGTCACTGTGTGCCTCACTCTCACCGCCAAGCGAATGGCAAAGAAGAACTGCCTCGTCAAGAATCTCGAAGCTGTCGAAACCCTTGGTTCAACTTCCACCATTTGCTCCGACAAAACCGGAACTTTGACCCAGAACAGAATGACCGTCGCGCATTTGTGGTTTGACAACAAGATCCACGAGGTCGATACTACTGAAAACTCATCTGGAGGCGCCATTGCTTACAAAGACGACCAATCGTGGCGCGCTCTTGGCCGAATTGCCGCCCTCTGCAACCGAGCTGTTTTCCTTTCCGGGGAAGAATCGAAGCCTATTTCTCAGCGAGACACTGCTGGTGATGCTTCTGAATCCGCTCTGCTCAAGTGCTGCGAGAAATCGATGGGCAACGTCGAAGCCATCCGAGCCCAGAACCCAAAGAAGGCCGAAATTCCCTTCAACTCAACAAATAAGTGGCAGCTTTCTGTCCACGAAGTCGACGGTGCTAACCTCCTTGTCATGAAGGGAGCTCCAGAACGAATTGTCGCCCGATGCAGTAAGATCCTCGTCAACGGCGTCGAACAGCCTAAACCTGACGACTTCCAAACAACATTCGAAAACGCCAATGCTCATCTTGGAGGAATGGGAGAACGAGTTCTCGGCTTCGCTCATCTTCCTCTTGACCCAGTCGCCTTCCCTCTCGGATTCGAGTTTGATACCGACGAAATGAACTTCCCCAGCGAAGATCTTGTCTTTGTCGGTCTCATGGCTATGATTGATCCACCTCGAGCTGCAGTTCCAGATGCTGTTGCCAAGTGCCGATCCGCCGGTATCAAAGTCATTATGGTCACTGGTGATCATCCCGTCACTGCTGCCGCTATCGCTCGACAAGTCGGCATCATTTCCGACGGTTCAAAGACCGTCGACGAAATCGCCAAGGAACGAGGCATCGCCAAATCTGAAGTCGATCCCAAGGACGCTCGAGCTGCTGTCATCACTGGCGCTGAACTTCGAGAACTTGACGACAGCGACCTCGACGAAATCTTGCGAAATCACCCCGAGATCGTCTTCGCCAGAACATCGCCCCAGCAGAAACTTATTATTGTCGATGGATGTCAGCGAGCTGGTCAGGTTGTTGCTGTCACCGGTGATGGTGTCAACGACTCTCCTGCTCTCAAGAAGGCCGACATTGGTGTTGCTATGGGTATTGCTGGTTCTGATGTCTCTAAACAGGCTGCTGATATGATCTTGCTCGATGATAACTTCGCTTCCATCGTCACTGGTGTTGAGGAAGGCCGATTGATCTTCGACAACTTGAAGAAATCTATTGCCTACACGTTGACTTCCAATATTCCCGAAATCTCTCCATTCTTGATCTTCATCCTTTTCTCCATTCCTCTCCCACTCGGAACAGTCACTATTCTCTGCATCGATTTGGGTACCGATCTCCTTCCAGCCATCTCCCTCGCTTATGAAACCGCCGAATCCGACATCATGAAGCGTGATCCACGAAACAAGTTCACCGACAAACTCGTTAACGAGCGACTGATCTCCATGGCTTACGGTCAAATTGGTATGATCCAGGCTCTTGCCGGCTTCGTGTGCTACTTTTTCATCATGCTTGACCATGGATTCTTCCCAGGCGATCTTCTCGGTCTTCGAGCATTCTGGGACGATGCTGATTACCACACCATCACCGATTCATACGGACAACAGTGGGCTTATTCCCAGCGAAAGATCGTCGAGTTCACTTGCCATACTATGTTCTTCACTGCTATTGTCATCGTCCAGTGGGCCGATGTGATCATCTGCAAGACTAGACGATTGTCGATTGTTGAGCAAGGCATGAACAACAAGGTTCTTATCGCCGGTCTCTTTGAAGAAACTCTTCTTGGTAAGAACCTCCTGTTTTATTTTAGATTAAACGCTGTCCTATTTTAGCCGCTCTCTTGGCTTACTGCCCTGGAACTGACGCCATGTTGCGTATGTTCCCCGTCGAGTGGTATTGCTGGCTTGTGCCCATGCCCTTCTCGCTCATCATCTTCGTCTACGACGAAATCCGACGATACCTTCTCCGAAAGTCACCCGGCGGATGGGTCGAGCTCGAGACCTATTATTAAACTCTCGTTTTCTCGTTTAGAAAATCTTTTGCTGTACATAGAATTTTATGACATGTTCCTTTTTCGTTTAACTTAATTTCAACTTTATCTTGCTCCAATCTTGCTAAATTGGGGGCGCAGTTTCCAAAGCTTCTTTATGAGATAAAAAAGCTACACTGTAAACGGGGGCACAATAATAAATTTATTTCGGCACCGTGGGAACTTACCAAATTTGGGCGAAAAACGTAGCCACTTTTTACCTTCAATAAACTCGTCTCCAAGCATTAAATTTTTTGTTTTTGTTTTCTTGCAGCGGAACTCAAATCGGAAGTCAAATCAGTGTATTCAAGTGAGCATATAAAATCCTAGTTGGGAAAAGAAGACTAATAAAAGCATAATTTCAAATAGGAACTGACATATTTCATAAGAATCAGTAAATTGATAGTGTGCAAATATTTAAAAGCAGACCATAGCCAAACAAGACGGCTGACCCTACAGGAGGACTTTAGGATCAGGTCATGACTGTTAGATTCGTTAAATATTATTAAATTAATGTGCCTTTCATGCATTCTTGACACCGCAGAGATCCCACTTGAAAAATAAAAGAGATTTCTATATTTGAATTTTATGAATTTAACAGACAATTTGACTGATTACAGAGACCCGAATTGTATAAAATATGACCATGTTGTGCAGGTACTATAATTTATTTTATCATAAAAGAAGCAGCTTGTAATTAAGTCCGACTACGAGGAAATATTCTGGGTGGGAATCGCGACCATCGGCCTCAACGCTGTTTATTTTGGAAGCAAGGCGCTTCATATTCTGGCAAAATTACTAGAAGTCATGTGGGTTTACCGGCCGTATAGGTTTGTTCCGATAAAATACCGTAATAGCGTGGGACTACTTTCTTTCCCAAACTTCCAGAACTATGAAAACCCGCACGTTTTCTTTTCTTTTGATAAGGAAGAAGACTAGTCCATAAATATTTAAAGTCTCAAAAGTAAATACGAGCAGGAACAGGAGTGCATGTGAATTTTGCTTTAGTACATCGAACGATCGGAAAAAAGGAACGCGCGATTTCACCATTGCGGAAGGAAAACAGTCTGTCCTCGATGTTCTCAAATCTTGTGCATTCACGGAAGTTCACTCGGACCATGTTTACGCGCTGTGCTATTTCATACTCGTCATTCGTGCGTTTATTGGGCCCGTGATGGAGTTTGTCCACGTTTATGTTGACGTGAAACTGTACTTTTCGATTATCGACTGCGAAGAGGATGTGCCCATTGATAGAAGAATCGATGTCAACTGGGTCGCCTTGCTGTGGATAAACATTTTCATAGGTAACCATTGACAACTCCTACCTTTTCCCAAGATGTAAAAAATAATAGTTCTTGGGGTTATGTTTCTGCCCGTCAGCGCCTCGATTTCATATCGACGCCACAGGGAGCAACTCGGAAGCAGAAGAATAAAAACGTTTGAATTGGTGAAGAGTGATGTCACTTTATGCCTTGCATCGATAAGGGTACTATGCGTACTTTCCGTCGTCGATATGCCGAAAAACTTTCTCATCTACTTTTATATCGACAAATTCATCACGGAGCCCGAAAAACAAGGACGCTCAAAAGAACTCTTTTTGCTGAAGGTAAGCTAGGAAACAATCCTATCAAAGTATAGCTCTAAGATTTTCAATTGATAACTAGAGACAAGATTGAGAGATAAGAAATCAGGGGAGATTTTGTGATCACCCACCGAGAATTTTTTGACAAGATCTGCTCGCGCTGTGCGCCATCTTTCGGCGCAGATACCCATATATAAAACTAGAATTCATTGCGAATAGCACCATTGAAAATGAATCTCTTAGAAGAGTTAGGAGTTGAGCTTGCTTGACGATGTTTTTCTAAGAATTATTTGTAAAATGAAACCAAAACCATTCTGAATCTCCAACGGAACGCCAGGCGGACACGCCCCATTTATTCTGAAAAATAAAATTACATTCCTACCCTTATCATTCTTTCCTAGAACGTTTCCTTCGTGCTGATCTGGTCGCTAGCACTGATCATCGTATTTGCAAGAACAAAAAGGAACGCAAGCGAGCGATTCTTCTCGTGCAACAACTGGTACATGTTCCTTTTCCGAGTCTTGATCTTCATCGTCATTCCACTGATATGGTTCTTTTCGAATCTTCTCTATTCCATCGGCGTCCTCCTTCAGCTTTACAACAATACTTACGCCAACACTACTCTCAGCAATTGTGCCAAAAAGTGCCATCTTGCCAAAGGAATAACCAGCGGAGAATTCATCGATTTCTGTTGCTTAGGTAATCCACGATTTAGACACAACTGGGAAAAACTGAGTTCAGACATCGGCCAAGATGATTTTTTCTCAAAATGCAACTCGAGCTTTCACCACGAGGACCACTTCTTCTACGAACAGCAGCCTTTTAACAATCAATGTCTATACATGCTCGACTATTTTTTCATTGCATGTTCGGCGGTTCTAGCTCTCTGCTTCCTCTTCTTTGTTGCTGGACTTCTCTACATTACCTTCCGATTCAGATCAGCTAGACTTGCAAGGCTCTCTGTGGAGGGTACTAAAATTGATCGGCCTTCTTCTAGCACTACTAAATTTTCTAGGAATGATCGACATGGGATATCCAAACGAAATGAACCTCCTTCACGTCGCTGCTTATTATGGAGAGACAAACTTGGTCAAACAGCTTTTAAAAAATGACTACTGCGATGTCAACACGTAAGACGATATTGCCCAAAAAGTCGAAATCGAAATTCTAGCCCGATGAGAACTGGTGATACTGCTGTGCATTTAGCTGCGTCAAATGGATTTTCAGAAGTAGTTTATCTTCTTGTCAACAAGTTCAAGTTAGTCGTATTTTTTTTTAAAGCAAATATTGGAGTTTTCAGCGCTGATATATCCAAACTGAACAAAAACGATCAGTTACCAGCGGATGTTGCTGAGTTGGAGGGCTTCGAACTCATAACACAGTATCTGAAAACGAAGAAAATGAGGGAAATGCGGCGAAAAACAATCCGTCGAAAACCGATCGACAAAATAAATTCTGGCAGTGGAAGCTCATCGCGAAGGAGAAACCGAGTTTCGTCCAACATGTCAACTAGAAAAGCGGCCATTCTGAATGATTCTTTATCGCCGATCAAGATGGAGTTGAAAGACGAGCCAAGGAAGCGACCAACAACGCTTAATTTGAGCAGCATTCGTGTCTCAAAAGCTTCAAGTCTCAACACTTTTGACGAGCTATTAGACTCGCCTACGGAGGCTAACCGCTTTCACTCAGTTATAAGCGAGGATGTACAGTACGAGCGCTTTTGAAAATAACTCTGCCATTATAGTATACAAACCAATCTCATTCTACCATATTCTGTAATAAAACTGTTTTATCTGGTGTTTATTAAAATGATTTCACAAGACATGAAAAGGAATTAAAGTAAGCTGAGTTACTATCCAAAATTTTACTAGTGGAATTCTTGTAGATTCTGAATTGTCTACTATTGATCGGACTAACCGATAAGAAAAGAGCAAGAGAGACGGTCATCTCCCACGGAGATCATTTTCAATGATCGGCTACTAAGCACGTTGCGCCCTCCTTTGACGGACATGAGAAATAAACTCAAAATCTTCGGAAGCGATCCCAGTGGCAGAACGAAAATACCTTTTTTTTTAAATGAAAACGAAAGCAATTTTCGACGAATCGACAATGTCATGGTGATCCTACTCTCGTCCCTGTTCGATGACCGGATGATGGTGTTGGGTTTTACGTCCGAGGCCGACCCATTACAGCTATTCTCTTACTTATTTTATGATGTCGAATAAATGATCCAAATTCAAAAATTGCATAATTTCGGTGGTATTATTTGCTATTGGTCGAAAACTCATCTGTCTGTGATGTTCTGGCTTCTTCTTTCATCCAACTTGTCTGCCAGACAGACTTAAATATGGCCAGATCTGAGTCAAAATTTACGAATTTAAAAACTACTGCAGAGTATACAGAACTCAGTCATCCAGAGATCGCTTCTGAAGGCATTAAGAGCTGCAAGAAAGAAATAGAACTCGCAGCGATGAAATCCGAAGTCATTTTTTGTAGCGCTCGTTGTTGTTTTTGAGTTTGCCACTTTGAGAGAATCGCGCGGTTTCTCTAGAGCTCACCCGGCGCCGGCCATGTTTTTCATTTTTCGGTCACTTCAGTCCAGCACGGAGTTGAGAAGGTCCGAAAGCGCGGAAAAAGAGGTAATTACGACGAAAAGAGATAGGATTTAACAATTCTGATTTTAGAATAGAGGAATGCAAATGACCTGCCATACAACGACTACTGGTCAGTTGCATTCCCAAAGTCAGTAGAGAACCTACTCTGCACTGCTCTCAAAAACATTCCTCACTGGAACTTGATGTGCGATATTACCTGAATAAAATCAATTTCCTGGCAAAAAAATTTTAAAACTAAGCTGTTCTTACTCTAACTTCGTAACCTTATTTCAGAAGTGCAAATGTCGAGCGTTGAAGATTTCTCCTACATCGCCGACTCTTGCCGGGAACAGGCTAACACGACAAGCAGAGACTTGCTGGACTCGCCACCAGCTGCGAAGAAGAAAAAAGTGATCAATCTCCGTCAGTATGCTCGTCAGCCTGGCGAGGGGATCAAACAGGAAATCAAAGAGGAGTACAAAGAAGAAAAAGGTAAAAAAGAAAGTCCTGTTTTGGTATTTAACGTTCTTTCAGAAACAAGCCCCAAGAAGAAAATGAAACCCAAGAAAGCAAAAACACTTTATGAAGACAAAAACCTCGCCTGGAGAAAAGATCCCAGCGACTTTGAATCGTACCCATTCGTAAGTTGGCCCCTTCCAAACTATTTTCAAAAAATGATTCTCTAGTGCGCGTACTTCGGCGATCAAGTTCCTCCAAAGAAGAAAAGCGTCATGGTTCATGCTGGCCGAGCACTTTGGATCAGAAAGACAATGGATCAAGACCAGCAAATCTAAAAGACTATTTCGAACACTATTTATCCCTGCCTTTATCTGCATTTACCTTCAACTAAAAATACATCTTCTAAAGAGAATTTCCGATTGTTCTTGGTACTAGATTTCTTATGAAGTCTCTACCAGACTCGTTTTTGCCGTTTACTTGCAGGTTTTCGCTAAGAAACTTTCATGTCTTCCAGAGTATTCGATTAGAAAGCTAAGGACTATTTACAGCAAAGTTGCAGACTAGAAGACAGTCCTTCAGAGCCTGAGGACAAGAAAATTCAACTTTTCAGGTGTCTGCGAGACGCTGTCAACATCGCGCGGATTCTCTAGATGTCACCCAGCGCCCGCTACATTTGCTCATTCTTGCTTCACTTCGCTTTTTGACTTTACGAAGTTGGAAAGGTCCGATGCCGCGAACTAAGAGGTAATTATAGAGACAGAGATTTTTCGACTACAGCTGACGTACACCTCCTTCTCCTAGGCAATTTTTATGTCCTAATAGGTTTTTCAAAGGATGAATAAGGGTTTATCTGAGAGATTAGACTAGTAGCTTTGAATTTATTGACTCCAGACGGAAGATTTCATCGTGAAATTCAGCCATGAAGCCTTTATTTCAATGAATTTTTATATGACGCGCGCTGATTGGCTCGAGCGCGCGCACGTGTCAACAGGGGCGCCACCCCTGGCTGAACATGCCGATCAAAAAGGGGACTTTTCATGGACATTTGTGGTCGCATTTAATTTTAAAGCATAAATTCTTGCAGCTGAAACACTGGGCTTTCTAACGATACCTTATTCGTCCCTCTTTGTTTATACCTAGCAGTGTCTCAAGGATTTTTAGATGACGATGAGGACGAAATGGACGACCTGGATGGTCTTCTACTAACATCGTCCCCGAGTCTGCTGTCTACAGGCTCGGAGAGAAAAAGATAAAGGAGAAGACGAAGACAAGGCAAACTTGTCACCGATATCGTCGCTGATATCGGTAAGGCTTCCACATAGGAATCTAATGTGCGATATATCCTGAATAAAATCAATTTCCTCTTCAACTGACAAGAACTGCTACTGCCGAAGTTTTCGTCTTCTTATTCTAGCTGTCCTAGAAGCTCTTAGACTTGACAACTTAGACTGACAACTTTGAAATTGGAAAAAATGTCGACCTCGCCGCCTGTCGCGAAAAAGTTGAAAATGACGCTCCAAGCTTCGAAAGAAGATAGTGGCCCATCGTCCAGTAAGACATTTTTGATATTTTAGAATGCAGATTTTACATTTATGCTTTCAGGGACTCGATCCAAAACGAAAAGTCTGGAGAAGCCCGACAAGTCCATCTGGGGTCGACATCGGTACACGGTGCGATCGCACTGACTTTTCGGTACGAGGTGGTGCACATTCTACCGTTGCACCGATGTCGACCCCAGAAGTCGATCATAAAGGTTACTAAACCTAGGGAGATTCTCCTAGAAGAGGCACCAATCAAGGAAGAAGTCGTTCGCGAACCAATGGACAGGCCAATGGAATTAGTAATGGACGTATCGAGCGTCGAAAAGAAGGCTCCTCATCCAGACGCCCGAAACAACAACTTCGACTTGGATGAGTTCGACGATAGAAACAATACCCAACGTGAATGTCCGGTTGTCAGATTCTAATTCTTTATTTCCTGATGCGCATGCAACGGACTATTTATTTATCAACTTATGTATTTCTTTTATTCTGTTAAAATTATCTTTAAATAAAATGAAATGCTAAATATCAGTTTTGATGGACATGTTTGTCCATCAAATTGGGCTCTCTTTTGGCCTTTCTTTGCAAGTATTGTTATATTGGTAGAATGCAAGCAATAATGCAATAACAAGAATATTTCATGCCATAAGCAGACAAAAAACATTTATAAAAATTTGAATGAAATACATGTTTATTACTCAATGCCATGAACTTTTTTGGAATAGTCGTAAAACGGATCGTTGGGATCCTCATTTTTGAACAGGTCTTTAAGCTTCTTTGCCATCTTCGGGTTCTTTTGATAAAAGCCAGTGAGGAAGTATCTTGTAGCTGATTTCCAGGCGCCAGAGCCGCGGAGACGGCTTAGCTTGCCAAGAATGGACAAGCCTTTAGGCTCGTCTCCAGAATACATGGCCAGCAATCCCTCAAAAAAGCGGCCCATCGGCTGGGATCGCTCGTAGTCACTGAGCTTCTTGAGTAGAAGCTCACTGATCTCGATGCAGTTTTCCTTTTAGAGTTTACAAAGAGGCTATTCTCAACAGTGATAACTGGTAATTCAACTCAAACTCTTTCCTTTTCATCGCCTCCGGCCTTGATCAACGCCATTGCTTCGACAAGAACCTCAAAAACTTTATATTTGTTCGCTTTGGAAGCATCGAATCCAAGCAGATGTGCTTTTAACGCTTCTTCTGGCATGTTATCCGACTTTGCCTTGGTTGCTGAAAAGGATATTATGTCTTTCGGGTTCATTAAGTGACTCTTACCCATTAGATCCGGTAGCCAGTTAGGAAGATTTTCTTCATTGTCTTCCATGAGCATCATGATCGTCGTAACATTGATAGGGGTGTTTTGAAGGACCAGTTCCTCGCCTTGCTTTGCTAGAGCGGCTAGTGTCGCTAGAACCGGTATGTGCAGCTCCTCTGCGATCTCGTCATTCTCCAGTCGACGAGCTACTTCCTTTGAAATGTCAGAATGCACACATCCCGATATTCGCATCAATCCACAAAGTGCCCAGACGTTCCAGGCATCATATGGTCCAGCGGCGATTTCGTTAAAATATAGTTCTTGAACTTTTTCGACGCGAGTAATGTTCTCATTGTTTACTTCCCTTCCGAAAGCTCGCAAATGTTCCGCTGCTTTCACATTGTCGAAGCTGGCAGCAAATGCGTTTTTGATCTTTACGTCCCACGGGCACTTGTGTCTCGCAGCTGCAATTGCTTTGTGCGCTTTGAAACCGGCTCGCCCGACCATCGCGAGTTTCGTCGAGGAAGCGATGGAAATGTTCTTCGGGTTCGTGTCATCGTGGATAACAAATGGAATAGCTGCATTTATCTGCTCGTGTTTCAGCAAAAGTTTCGCCAGAAGAACTCTTGGTTTCTGATTCAGTGGATTTCGAAGTATCGCTTTGCCACACAGCGCCTTTGCTTTATTGAGATCGCCACGGACTACCGCTGCTCGGACATTGATTTCTACAGCCACATCTCTATCTTCGGGGAGTTTTGAAGCTTCTTTCGCGACTGCATCCATGAGCTCTTGGTCTTGTTCAAGCCAGCCAACAACAGAAAGATACTTGATCGCCTGTTGCTTGATAAAAGAAGGTGCTCTGGTGAAAACTTCGAACAAGTAAGTCTTCGCTTCATTGATCAGGCCTTGCTTCACATGCGCTAGACCACAGTACAGCTTCGCCAGCTGATGACTTGGATTTTTGGCGAGAACTTTTTTAAAGAATTCCCCAGCCAAAGCAACCTCATCGCATTGCATCAAAATATTACCGATTTGAAAGTTTTCTTCCTCGACTTCGGAATCGTCGAATTCTTCGATTAACTCCAGCGCTTCAGCTAAATAACCAGCTTTGGCATAGTTCCTAGCGCTGTGAATTTTTTCTCCAGCTTGTTTCCAGGCTTCTGCAGCGGAATGGTGGTGCTTGAGTTTTTCAGCCAAAACCGCGTGGACTTTGTGTTCTTTTGGAGTCAAGGGGTAAGTGTTGGCGGCTTTTAAGATGTGAGTTAACGCGTTGACGATTATCTGTTCGCTCTGGTTATGAATGTTCTTGGCGATGTAAAATGCATACGCCAGGGCAGCCTGGCGAGAGGCGAGCTCTGCAGAGTGACGTGACAGATCGACAGAGTCTGGATCGGCGATCGCTCGTGCAATTTCGGCCTGGCCATTCCAAGCCTGTGCGTTTTCCGGATCTGCACTTTGTGCGCGGCTGAACGCTTGATTCGACATGCGCAGATTTTCCTGGTTGAAGTACAAGATGCCCAAATTCGACCAGGCTTCCGTGAAATCGTGCTCGCTTTCGATCGCGTGGCAAAATGCGTGCTGGGCGAGTTTGGGATCTTTTTCTGAAGAAATAACTCCTAGTCGATTCCACAGCTGTGCTCTTCTGCTTAAGTGAAGCTTGCTAGAGAGAACGATTGCCTTCTTTGCGAAGAACAGAGCTTTCTGGCCATCTCCAGCGCGATGGTAGGCCATAGAGAGGTCAGAAATAGCTCGCGGCTCATCAGGCAAGATGATCAGTACTTTTCTATAGCATTGAATTGCCAGTTGGGCGCAGTTTTTCGATTCGATTGAGTCGCAATCTTCGGCCAAACTTTTGTTGGTAAAAAGAACAGGGACTTTTAGCTCGATTGTTTCAGTGTTTGACGCAACAAGTTGAAAGATATCAGCTGCTTTTTTCCACAAAAACGCAGAGTTTTCATATCCAGACTTTAATGCACGGCTGATAGACTCAAGCGCGTACTGGGCGTATTGCCCACCAAGACCAGGTAGCCACCTCTCAAAGTAGTCCTTGACCATGCTCGTCCAAACTTGCGCCTGTTCTATGTACGCAAGGCGGTATTTCCGCTCGACGAGGATATCAAGCGTTTCCAGAGCTCCAGGAAGGTCCAAATTCGCCTGCTGCATTTGACTTAATCGAAGGAGAATGTGATTTTCTTGTTCTTCGTCTGTTGTCAGTTCTAGCGCCTTCTGAAATGCTCGTATCGAGGCGGAAAAGCTGCCCATTCCAGCGTAGCAGTTGCCAAGACCGTCAAGAAAAGTTGGATTTTTATCCTTAGCGATCGTTGACAGCTTCTGGTAAACTCTCATCCCTTGCTCGTACTTCCGAAGCTCCAGGTAAGCAATCGCCAATCGCTTCATTATAAACGGTTGTTTCTGGTAGAATTCAGGCGCAGACTCTAAAAGACTCAAGGATTCGGCCGGCGGGAGGTACTCGGACAGCAATTCGAAGCTCGCAAGGTTGAATTGAAGCTGGTTGCTCTTTTTGAGACATTTGACTGCTCTGACATCGTCGTTTAGATCTAGATAGGTTAAACCAATGTAGTAGAACGTCTCCCAGTCATTCGTGTTCTCTTTCGCCGATTTTAGCAGGAGTTTGTTGGCGGCTTTGATTTCCCTATGTTTGTATGCAATGATGCCCTCGAGTTTCGTCTTCAGGTAGCTCTTCGTTGCGTCTTCTTTTAAAAGCTCGGTGGCGACGTCCAAATAGTTGAGCTTGATCAGCCACTTCGCTTTGATGCATGGCAGTGTTTTACTATTAATGAAGTCTTTTAGTTGAAATGGGATTGTTGGGGTGAGCTGAAGAATGAACTGTTTGTAGTCGATCTGTTTTTGATCTTCGTTTTCTAATGCACCTTTTTGGTATTTAAACTCTGTGCGGTAAACGTCATACGCAGCCTCTTCTCGGTCTTCTTTTAGAATCTCTTCGGCAGTATAGAGGTCTGAAAATGAGTTGAAACAAAGGAAATATTAAGTTAGAATGATCACCTGTAGATCTAAAGAGAGTCAGCTCGAGAATAATGATTTTCAGCATCTTTGCCATTTCCTTTGATTTAAAGAAGACGACAAAACTGTTATCGATATCTCTTCCCGCCAGATTTTTTCGCGCAATGATAAAGTTAAATTTTTCAATAGCTTGGAGCTCTTGACGACATGTGACAGCGCATTTATGGTAGTCGACTTCATTGGTAGGATCTTTTAGACTTTTGAGCATTGTGCTGACGCGTTTCAATGTGTGCTCTGATTCCAGGAACGTTCGTTTTCCGTTTTCGTACTCGTATTGTTCCATCCATTCAGGAGGGATGGCTTCTTCGTCGACACTTCCATTTAGCCATAGTGAAAAAACTGCGTGTTTCTGAAAAGGAAGCTGTTTTTATAAATATTTTAACAGTAAAAGACTCTCGCACGCAAATAAACTAAATTAAGGATACAACTTTCTAAAAAAAATGTTGGTGTCACTATTCTATTTCTTTTAACGATTCGAAATAAGAAATTAGTCTGTTCGAAAATTCGATTCTTGATGCTGTTCCCCTTCCAGTTTTACCTTTGAGCGAGCAGTTGGAGGCATGACGCCATTCTCCGTGAGAATCTGAAACGGAACCCTCTCCCATGTCTCGTGGAGCAGCTCAAGTCGCTTTGGATCTTCGAGCTCACGGTAAACCCGAAAGTACACAGGCCAGTTCTCAAGGCTACTCGCCAAGTCCAGCGAGTCAGCAAGCAGCGCGCTTCGTCTGTCATATTTTCCAAACTTGTCACTTCCAAATAAGATCGCGCAGTTTGCATCGAGTAGCTTTTGGAACTCCTTGCTTGCTTTGTAAAGATGCGTCAGGCCGAGATAAGCTTGGATTTTGGAAGGTTCTTCTTTGATTAAGCTTTCGTAGATGCCCTCTGCAGCCTGAGTAAATAAACAGTAGAATTTGGACTTACGGAAAAGGCAAACCTTGTATGATTGCTTCTCGGTCAAGATTTTGCCTTTGAACAATCGGGCGACGTAGTTTGCTGGTTCAAAAGAGAGCACAAGGTCGACCTCTCTGAAGATTTTGTTAAGAGTTGGTCTTTGTTGACTTCAACAAGTCGGTTGCTTTTTTGAATGTGTCTGCTAGTAACTAGAAGTTGGAGTGTATTCTCCCGTTAGATTATGTACTATTCTATTTGACATTTGCAGCTGGCTTACTTTAAAAGTCACTTAGACAGAAACTAACCTCGTGGCGTCTACCCATTCATTGTTCGAGATCGCATCCTGGCAGCGTTTGAGAGCCGCCTTTATCTGAATAGAAAATAAAGTTTTAATAATGTTACACTCTTTTAAAAATCTTAAATCGAAATCGATGCCTTTCTTCATATTTATCGATCTCTTTAGGTCGATTTATTTGGAAATGATAAACTACCGAATTAGAGAAACTTTGGGCACTACTGTATTCAGAAGCTATAACTTTCTCTTCGTTTTAGGAACAAAGTGCAGTATCAGCCAAACACTTACAGTCTTGGAGGCCATGAGCCGATCTGGAGATCTCCTGCTTCGGCGCAAGGGTCGATATTTTTTCTCCACGCGTTATGATTGGTCGGGGCTCGTCGGGCGACCCCGGATTTCCAGAAATAAGCAGGAGAGAGAAGTACTTGATTGAATACGTGCGGAACTGCTGAAGGATGAGAGCGAGAACTCTTCAACTTTACAAGAAGTGTCTGAAAGTAACGAAAGAATTAAAAATGAGCGATCAAGCTTGGGCGTACAGGAATCGTGGATATATCCTTATTACTATCAATGCAGCTCTGTTTAAAACAGTAAATATCCAATAAATTACAGTCGAGTTCAAAAAGAATTCCGGCAGCGAAGCGACCCGAAAAATATAGAATTGCTGCTTCAAAAGGCTGAAATCTTCGTCACGAAAAGGAACGGGGCAGAAATTGATCATTGAAGTTGTGCCAGCGCTAGAATGTCTATATCTACTTGTGTTAATGATTAATCAAGCCCCTTTGAAAGGCCTTTGCTTTGAATATTTTATTAAAAGCGCAACCGTTTAACTTTCCAAGAGCAACAATCAAACAAAAATTCTCTAGTTTTGCTTTTTTAGATGATCGTGAATCGAATTATGAAAAACTTGACGAAAGCGTGAATTTTAACGAAACGCAGTATTTATGAGAATATTTGCCAAGCGACAAGGAATCGGTTGAAAACTCGCTAACGCAAGAATTAAGTAAGATTGTTTATATCGAGAGAGATTCTGAAACGCAGAGAGCGTGAATTTTAGTTCCCACGCACTTATAAACAAACTTAGAGATAGTTACTAACTTGCAGCTCGAACTTGAGTATCTAAGTGAATGCGAGGAATTTACAACCGGGGTCAAGTCTTCCTTTTCGTAATTCTTTTCACAATCGTTCTGTGGAAGGTCTACACAAACGATACAGACGAAAAGGTACGCCACCTGCGCAATGCGATCCAAGATATCGAGCGCGTGCAACGATACACCTCCTCGAAACTAGAACTCATTTCAAATGGACTCGACAAGCTCACTCGCCTCAATCACACGAAACTAGAACTCAGGGGAATTCAGAACCTCAAGTCCTCGCTTTCTTCTATCTCCTTTCCTGGTAAGTCTTAAATTCTTGAGTTCTATCCTCTTCAACCATTTTAATCAACTAGGGCCGGCGGAGTTTCTCGATCATCTGCCCTCTGAGTTTTCTTTCACTCCCCTCGTGGATCTTGGACCAGACGCAATCGATGTCGACTACTTGCTCGGCATTCCGACCGTCAGCAGAGAAATACATAGCTACTTGCTAGAAACGCTCGACTCAATCGTCGAAGGAACGAAAAACTTCAAAGGGAAGTTCGGCATCGTCATCTACGTCGGCGACGAAAACGAAGAGCTGGTGAAGGGGATTTACGCAGACATTCAGGCGAGGCTTCCTGGGAAGCCGATCAAGGTCATTTCTCCGCCGGCTGATTACTATCCGAACTGGGCGGAAATTGATGAATCCAATATTAACTCGTTCGGGGATGGCCCAGAAAGGAAGAAATGGCGCAGGAAGCAAAACTTAGGTTCGAGGCTCGAACCTAATACAGTACCCATATAACAGCCCAATTTACAATATATAAATTCTTCATTTTTTAAATCAAAAAAGTAAAATAATGATTTTGATAGACTACCTCTTTCTATGGAGCTATTCACTGGGAAAATCCAAGTTCTACATTCAACTCGAAGATGACATCATTGCCAAGCCAGACTTTTTAACCTTCATCGACAAATCAATCATGAATGAGCCTCGAGGATGGTTCATGCTTGAATTCAGCAACTTGGGCTTCATCGGCAAGTGTTTTCGCGACTCTGACTTGAGGGTGAGTTCTTTTGATCTGTTGTAATTAAAACTGTGTGTTGCAGGGATTGGCGAACTTCGTAATGCTCTTTTACAAAGAGAAACCAGTCGACTGGCTGCTGGACAATTATCTTTCCACGAAAGTCTGTAGCCCGGAGAAAAGTGACAAGGATTGCACAACAGCGAAACACAAAATTAAGGTTAGCTTTGTAAGGTTTAAACATCAAGATACAGATTTCCCCAGGCAATTAGGTACTTCCTTCGCGTTCTTTTGGTAAAGTAAGATAAGGGTCTGGCGATATCATTTGGCCTCAATTTTCATATTTGCTGATTATTGATGTTTGCGCCAGTCTATGTTTATGATGATTCGACGGATCGATAATTTTTGATTTCAGCGCACGAAAAAACCGTCACAATTCCAACACGTCGGCAAGCATTCCAGTTTGAACGGCAAAGTTCAAAACCTAAGAGATGCTTCCTTCTCGCCAAAGAAGGGCAAAGTGACAAGCAGCCGCAGCCCTGAACTCTCATCCATGCTCACAAACATTCCAGCTTACAAGAAATTCACTTTGGAGCGTTTTTGGCAAAACAAGGCTTATTTTTGGGGAACCGAGTTTGACGACGGTATTTCGCGCAAAAATCATATTCAGCATTGAAAATATCTTCTTTTCAAGGTTCTTTTATTATTCTCAACTTTGCTGATGAGCTCGACGTCTCCCAAATAACCGTTCTCACTGGAGGAGAGCAGAATCCAAAGTAAGCTAAATTAATCTCGCTGATTAAATATTGCTTTAGTGACATAATGCCTGAAGAGTCGACAGTATCTCTTTTCGACCGTGAACTCGCGGAATACGACGCCAGAAATACACGCGCGGAAGATGGTGAGCTGCTGGGAAGCTTTGGTAGTGATGGTCGTTTTACAAAAGCCCTCGAAAAGCCAGTCCGCGCAAAGTCACTCCTGTTAAAAATCCACTCCACTTCGTCTTACTGGCTTTGTATTTATGACATAACAGTCACTACTGTATAAGTTGCTGTCTCAGTAAGCAACAGTGCCAAAGTTTTACCGTTGATCTTTGTTTTTTTTCAGCCGAAACTTAATTGTTGTATATTTATTTAATTTTCATTGCAGAATCAATTCAATCCACTTTCTTCAACCCTCTTTTTGTCTTCGAATATTGTTTTTAGTTTTCGTTACATTTTTTTTCTATTTCCCGTTTTTATTACACATTCTTGCCGAAATAGAATTTTTTCAAGTTATGTACGCTTTAGTTTTCAAAAAAGAAAAAACTAAACTGCCCGTTCCCAATATTAACACAACCACTAGCTCCTGCTCTGTGAAAGTTCTGGTGCTCAAACCCTTGTCCTGTACAATAAGAAGTCTTGAGACCAAAAAAACTTCATTTTCTTTCTGTAGAGTGACAAGGCAACGTGTGTATGGACGGAATATGTGGCTTCCCGCTATGGCCTCCCTGGTTGGTCTTGCCCTCGCAAGTCCCGAGCAAGACACGACTCTAGAATCGTCGCAAGTCAATCCCGCCAACGAAAAAGACACGAACCTGCTTGTATGCCGCTGCGGCATGGACAGCTCCGATCCAAAGAGCAACGATGCCAATAGCAAGTGTCGTCGAATTCAGTATCACAAAGATTCGAGAGGCATAGAAGGCAATTACAGCGGCGTTCACATCGTCAACGACACTGCTTGCGCGATCGACCTGAAAATTCATCCCAAAGGAGTTTGCAAGAAAGATGTCTACGTTGATGGTCAATCATCCGGATTCGTAAGTAGCTTTGCAAGACGTTTATTAATCGTTCATTTTACAAGAATAACGTCTACAACGCGATCAAAATCACGTGGGAATGCACAATCATCGACGACAACGAAGACCACTTCCCCCAGACCTGCAAGTCACTCAACAAACGCGACGTTTACTGCTGCAATCGAACTGCAGAAGTGTGCGACGATGCAAGTTGGTGCCCCCGAACGGATGAAAAAGAAGATCCCCAGTTTTGTAATGATTTGAAGCAAACCAAGCTCGAAAGTAAGATAGTCCCTTTGTCTTTACTTCCTTGATTTTAATTTTTATCAAGGTTTGTTTTGGAAAGACCGTCAATACAAAAACGCGAAAGACGCACTGTACATAATCGTCGTTTCCATCCTTCTCACGATCTTCCTCTCGTTCTGTACATATCGGAGATACCCAGATCGCGCAAGAATGCTCGCTCTTTCAGTCTTCGGCACAGTAAGTGTTTCTTTCTTTTTCCGGTTTCAATAAGAGCCAATTGAAGTGCTGCAATATGATTAATTTGCCGTCTACAAACGGACCTTACAATCCCGTCGACATGATTTCTGGCGAACCTGGTGACTCCGTAAGTACACTCACAAAGATCGTCATATTCTATTCTCTTACTAATACTGCATAAATTAGAACGATCGAACAGACATCACCATTCTACACAATGGAAGCCACGAGGAAGACACGTCTGGATCAGGGCAAGGTGCGCCTGTTTGTGTCCAACGAACTATCGCCCGGGAAATAAAGCAACTTGAAAAGTAAGATCGTTTATTCTTGCGACAAGGAATGTAACTCTGCAAAAATCAGGCTGGCGAAGGGCCGATACGGCACTGTGTACAAAGGAGAGTACAAGACGCAATTCGTCGCGGTCAAGAAATTCCACACGAAAGAAGAAGACTCCTGGAAACGCGAAGTCGAGCTTTACAACACCCAATCGCTGGCGCATACGAACATTTTGCGATTCATCGCCGCGGACAATCGAGATAACGGCGTCGCTGTAAGTTTTGTTTAGTTCAATTATTTGCGAATATGAAAAGCATGAACAACAAAAAACTAGACCGAACTCTGGTTGGTGACTGATTATCACGAAAATGGCTCGCTCTACGACTTCCTGTCGAGTAATGTTCTAACCGAAGAAATGTGCGTGAACATGGCGTTTTCGATTGTCTCTGGTCTTCATCATCTTCATCAAGGTTCGTTTAGAAATTGGGATTTTTTTGGAAACTGAGTGATCTGTAAGAAATCGACGGGCTTGTCACGAAAAAGCGAACAATTGCCCACCGCGACATCAAATCGAAGAATATTCTCGTGACGAAGGACTTCCAGTGTTGCATCGCTGACCTGGGCCTTGCCTGTGAATGTGGCCCGAATGGGACGATTCTGGCGGGCTCTGTCGAGTCTGAGCTGACCCCTTCTGCTGTTGCTCAAATGTCCACTGTTGGAACTGTTAGGTAAGCAAGAACTTGAATTGCGAGCTTTGAATTTTGAATTGAGGTACGTGGCGCCCGAGTTTCTCAAGCTGGAAGTGCAGAACGAGCTTTTCAATCCTTTTATGGATCTGACGAAGGCGGACATTTACTCAACGGCTTTGGTGCTCTGGGAACTGCTCAACCGAACAGTCGGCTTCTTCGGCTCTGATGCAGAGTCCGTGCCCGAGTACCAGCAGCCATACGACGGAATGGTCCAGTCTGAACCCACTATTCCTGATATGAAAAGGATCGTTGTTGATCAACGCCAAAGGCCCCCCATTCCGGTAATTGTCCAATTTACGAATTTACGTCCTTTCAGAAGGGAAGCCAGCCTCGGCCGCTGATTGGCTAATTAGCGACATGATTCGCTGCGACATACAATAGAAATGAAATTTAGTTAGTCAGAAATGATAATCATTTCATAAATTGGCTTATAATTGCAAGAGAGTAGCGACTAATTTCAGAGCACGATTTCGGAGAGACTCTCAACTGGTGCAAACGAAGCTCCCTCCTCCGAAAACCGGCTCGACATTCTGGTCGGCATCGTGAACGAGTGCTGGACGGAAAAGCCGGCGACGCGGCTCAAAGCGCTCCGAATCAAAAAGGATCTCATACCTCTGCTAACTGTAAATGACCCACTTCAATCGAACCGCTAAAGTGTTCATTTTATCACGTTTCTCAACCCAAACTGCCAAACCGTGAAAACATCTTCTCTACAAGTCTCAAAACTTTTAAACTTCTCAAAAAAAAAAACTTCTGCTATACTTTCGCCTCTTCTTTTTTATTTTTCTTGTATGTCTCTCTTTTTCGCAAAACAAAAAAGACCTTAAAGTTCCTAGCTTCTGCTAGAAATGACTATTATTATTTATATTCTGCTTCCCTAAAGAGCCATTCTCTACGTTTGTTCAAGCATTTATACATTTCATTCCCACTTTCAGGAAACAAAAAACTTTGAAAAAAAAGACTCTAGTGATTTGATTTGATTTTCTTATTTTCGTTATACAAAAATTTAAAAATTTAACGAGCGCTTTTTCATGATTGTATTTGAAAAAATACCTGCTCCTGGGCTCGGCAATCTGACCTGAGAAAAACCCTGAGTCAGGCCCCTGAGTACTGAGTACACAGGCCCTGACCTGTGTGCCTGAGTAAAATCGAGGCTCAAGAAAAAAAAACCCTGAGCCTGACCCTGACCTGAGTTAAAAAACAGGCCTGAGTTGCTCACACAGGGCCTGAGTTGACGAAAAAAAGAACATAAAAGGGTCAATTTGCATGGTCAAGGGGGTCAAAATACAGCTATTTTCAATCTTATGGGGATTTTGTGATTATAGGACTTTAAGATTGTAAGTTATTTGGGAAAAATGAAATTATTAAAGTTTTTATGTATGGAAAAAACCCTGTGTTTTGGCCTGAGTCAGGCACCTGACCCTGACCTGAGTTCCTGAGCCTGAGCAGGCCTGACTGAGTACCCTGAGTACCTGACTGAGTGAGAAACCCTGACCTGAGTTCCTGAGAAAATATCGAGAAAAATTTTTCGAACCCTGACCCTGAGCCTGACCCTGTACTCAGGTTGCCGAGCCCAGACCTGCTCTTTTTGCTCATGATGTTCCACACCCATCCTTCCTGTAAAATATTTATAAATAGACGCTTCAACTCAGTCAGTCACCGTTATTTCTATTTAGATGGCGCTCGGAAAAAATCGAGGAGGATGAAAAGCGCTAGAATCGCGGAGCTTGAAAAACTTGAGAAAAGTGAGTTCAGGGTTTTTGAAAGGATTTTACTCGATATTTAGTGATGCGGAAATCGACTCGACTTTTGGAAGGAAGACACCAAAAGTAGAAGTCGATGAGAATGAGGTCAAAGAAGAGGAAAAAGGAGAATGCTGAAAGCATGGAGGAGTGCACTAATCAAGAGCGATCGGAAACGAATGATGCGAAAGAAGAGAAACCGCCGGCTAATGAAGACACTGAGCGAGAGCCAGAGCAACGAGAAAGAGAGTGTGCGAATGAGACTACACAAGTCGTAGAAGTCAAGAATGTTGCGTGCGAGGAAGTGATCGTCATTGACGACAGTTTCGAAGATGAGAATACTGAGGAACAAAAGCGAACAGAAATTGTTGAGAGCGCTTCATCGGAAGAGAGAGAGAAAGAGTCTTGAAAAGACAAGCCAAATTGAAGGAGATCGCAGAAGAGCGAATTCGATGTGAACTGGCCTGTCAAACCGAAGTCAAACTCCAAGAAAAGAGCGAAGAGAATTTCAAGAGCGAGAACTCAAACTGCATACTTTCTTTTTTCCTCTGAGAATATATTTTCCATTTTACTTTTCCATGATTTCGACTGACTTCGTATTTTAAAAAAGTGAAAAATCGACTCTTTTGTTTGGTCTCATTCTGGGATGGATTTCCCATCGTAGGTGGCACTTACTAAGTGCGCTTTTTTATTTGACCTTTGCGATAGAAAACTTCCTTCTGTGATTTTGCGCATTTTGAGAGATTTTCCCATTTCGCCGCGATCTTCTAGAACATCCCTTATTGACTGGGCAAAATTTTCACTTTTCAGTCACAAATCTAAAGAGCTCCAGCTAACACAAGGTCGGTAAGATGCGTTTTTCGCTCGTCAATGTCTATGTAGTCGATTTTAACGTAAAAAAGTGGAAGAGTGATGTCTTCATCGAGCATTTTAGCGTCATAGAGAACGATTTTTGATGTTAAAATCTATTTTTTATGAACAGAAATTTCGGATTACCATTTTCATTTCGTTTTTAATGGTATTGTTTTATACTCGAATATTAAATAAATAAGAAATCGATAAAAATATTCTAATTGAAAAAATACTGGAGAAAACTGAAAAACATGGTTTTTGTTTTAGTTTGAAAGTTTGAACCGGTTAATATTCAGATAGGCTCAATAAAACGTCATATAATCTGAAATTAGTGAAACGATGGTTTATTTTCTGGCACATTCGATTCTCGAGAGATCGAGTGGGGTAAATCTGACTGTAAGAATCAGGCGAATTTTCGCGCTAAATGCGGCCGGCGCGAAATGCGCGTCCACTGAGATTCTAGAACAGGAATCCGCCCACGCAATATTTTCCCATTCGATAGCCCATCACAGCACTAGAGCACATCGCCGCCCTCCCAATCCCTCAGACACTTTTTTCAATTCGCGAGATTTCAGAAAGAGAGAAAGTTAACGAAAAAGTTAGCATAGTAGCGACCTTCGATTTCTATCGTGTTTTCGTCGGATCGAACCATTTTTTCGCGTCGAGCGCAAACTGCCTCGCCGAACCGCCCACGCTCATTGGTCGAGCTCGGGTTTCTGTGCTGCCTCCCCGCTAATAACCAATTCAAACAGCGTATTCTTTCTATTTTCCTGGAGTAAAATTCTAGAGCTCGAATCGTGGAAATTCCTAAAATGGTTCGGGATGTCACTTTTTATTAATTTTTTTTTCTTCGGTCATTTTTACCCAAAAATTCTTGTCCAATAATTAATAAGAGACGGCGCCTCTTAGAGATTCCTCGAAAAAAAATCCTGTGCTATGAAAATTTCCAACCTTCAGAAAATTAAAAGGTGATTTTTATAGATGTTGTCCCGATCGGTATCGCGCGTTGCTCAGCGCCACATCACTGGCCAGGTCGTCGCCGTCATCGGTCCCGTCGTCGATGTTCAGTTCGAAGAGGGACGACCTCCAATTCTCAACGCCCTTGAGGTTGAGGGTAAGCAAACTTTCCAGGCCTAATTCTTACCTTAAGATTTCTAATAATTTCTGATTCATTATTTTATTCCCATATTTAGGCCGAGAATCCCGACTCGTCCTCGAAGTCGCCCAGCATTTGGGTCAGAACACCGTCCGAACCATTGCTATGGATGCCACCGAGCGACTTGTCCGAGGCCAGAACGTCGTCGACACTGGTGCCCCAATCAAGGTCCCCGTCGGCCCCGCCACTCTTGGCCGAATCATCAACGTCATTGGTGAGCCCATCGATGAGCGAGGCCCCGTCAACACCGAGCACTACGCTCCCATCCACGCTGACGCCCCCGCTCTTACCGATACCGAGGGTGCTGCTGAGATTCTCGAAACTGGTATCAAGGTAATCCATTCAAAACAACTTATCTCGTTTTCAACCCACTTTACAGGTCGTCGACTTGATCGCCCCCTACTCCAAGGGTGGTAAGATTGGTCTCTTCGGTGGTGCTGGAGTCGGCAAGACTGTCTTTATCATGGAACTGATCAACAACGTCGCCAAGGCTCACGGTGGTACGTTTATTAGTCTTATTTCTGCTCGCCCACTATTTCATCTTTCCAGGTTACTCCGTCTTCGCTGGTGTCGGTGAACGAACCCGAGAAGGAAACGATCTTTACCACGAAATGATTGAAGGTGGTGTCATCAAGGTCGATGGACCCGGCTCCAAGGTCGCCCTCGTCTACGGTAAGATCTACAACTGAGTCTTCTATCGGGATATTTATTTCTAATTTAGGTCAGATGAACGAGCCCCCAGGAGCTCGAGCCCGAGTTGCCCTCACTGGTCTCACCGTCGCCGAGTACTTCCGAGATCAGGAAGGCCAGGATGTGTTGCTCTTCGTCGACAACATCTTCCGATTCACCCAGGCCGGTTCCGAGGTAATGCGAAAACGCGAAAAGCTTGAATATAACGTGTTGACTCGTTCAGGTATCTGCCCTCCTCGGTCGAATCCCCTCCGCTGTCGGTTACCAGCCAACCCTCGCCACTGACATGGGTGCTATGCAGGAGCGAATTACCACCACCAAGAAGGGTTCCATTACCTCCGTCCAGGCCATCTACGTCCCTGCTGACGATTTGACTGATCCCTCGCCCGCCACCACTTTCTCTCACGTAAGATTTTCCACTCAAACCAGAATCTAATTCCAGCTTTAGTTGGACGCCACCACTGTCTTGTCCCGAGCTATCGCCGAGTTGGGTTTCTACCCCGCTGTCGATCCCCTCGAGTCCACCTCCCGAATCATGGACCCCCACGTCGTCGGTGCCGAGCACTACGACTGCGCCGCCGCCGTCAAGAAGATCCTCCAGGATTACAAGTCCCTCCAGGATATCATTGCCATTTTGGGTATGGGAGAACTTTCCCAGGAAGAGAAGCTCACCGTCAACCGAGCCCGAAAGATCCAGCGATTCCTCTCTCAGCCCTTCCAGGTCGCCGAAACCTTCACTGGTACCCCCGGCGTCTACGTCTCCCTCGCCAACACCATCAAGGGCTTCAACCAGATCCTCGCTGGTGAGCTCGACGAAGTTCCAGAAGGTGCCTTCTACATGGTCGGTGACATCGATGAAGTTATGCAGAAGGCTGAACAGCTCTCTGCCTAAGTCTGACCTACTGCGTTGTTAACACTTCAGTACCCTTTTAACAGACTGTTTGTTCAGACCCTCATTATTTATTTGTAACCCCGCAACGTTCCCCATGTTTCTTTAGCTTACCTTTTCTAACTGTAAGCCAAATGTGACGACTCATAAAAAGTAATCCATCGGTCGAGTAAGAGCGAGATCACACACCTCTAGGATGATTTTTATTTATTAAATGTGCGGCAACGCGCTTAATGTGATTGTTGCCGCGCATCTGTGTTCCAAATTCGTTCAAAAAACGCTTTTCGGAAAGGGTTTTCTGACTTCATTACCAAAAATAAACGAAAAACCTTCATAAAAACCTTCAAATCAACGTCTCTTTCTTTGCAAGTTGCATTACCGAATTATGAATCAAGAATGAGCAAATGAAGGGTGGAGGCATCCGGGTTGACGAAAGTGTTTATCTGAGTGTAAGGAACTGTGAAAAGCAAGTAGGGTCACTGTAGTCAATCATCGGTAACTTAAAATCTAGTGCGGGGTGCCAGATCTGCCAGAAAGGGTCACAGAGTTGCGCCGTGGACAAAATATATTTCGAAGGCACTGTTCTAGCAGAAAATCACTTCTACGAGCACTTTGGTCGCAAGGAAGACCTTGTTCTAACGCTTCATGCGATTGAAGTCCTTTACCTCACTCTTGTGAAAGATTGCCTCATCTTCTTTGATTCCAAACAGATATGCGTTCAAGCATATTTTGACCTTTTCTACAAGGAATTCGGCAATGAAGGATTGGAGCATTTCTTGGTTTATTTTCATTTTATGCGGAGAGGATGGAACGTTACGATCGACAGGATCGGTTCAATTTCCAGATTCATTAGATAATTTCTTTTTTATTAATCAACCGATTTCGAGTTCCTTCGGAGTAGACTTCCAACTCTATCCCGGAAGTCCAGAAAACTATCACTCCCTCTTTGGAGTTAAAATCTTCCGAGAGGGTGAAGACACTTGGCTGGACTTAATATCATCAGCTCGTGTCGCCGAATCCAACAAGAAAAATCTTATCTACGCAAAGGTTGAATATGACAAGCGACATGGGCAAATTTCATGTCTCAGCAAGTTGTTACAAAGTCTGGTTGTGAGAGAATGTGTTGTCGATCGTGTTCAGTTGTGATTAAATTTAGTTTAATCTGGAATTGATGAGTGAGTTGTTTAGAATGGACTACTCGTCGGATTCTTCCTATGGCGTTGACGACTTCAAAGACTACATTCACACTCTCATGTCGAGAAAAGGGACGAACGGGAATCTCAGGTCGAATTTGCGATCTCAAATCCTCAAAACTGCTCGTAGCGATGGCTACGTCGGCGCCGATCCCATCCAGTCTGGCTTCACGGTCAACGAGCGTGTGGCCATAGCTCTCATCGCCCAATTCATGAGAAACAAGGGGATGAACACAGCAGCGTCGGTTTTCCTGCCCGCTTGTGGGGCGAAACGTGAACGGGACATCCTCTCGCCCGTCGATTTGTCAGAACTGTTGAATATGGAATCTAGCGACGAGTTTCTCATCGATCTCATTCGAGAAGCAAGAAAGGCCGAAGAGAGACCAGCAATGAAGTCGATCAGGACTCAAACTGATGGCACAACGGGACTGTCGATCGCAGATCGAATGGGGATGATCGACGAAGCTTTTTCGAAGCCCAGGAGCCCACAATTCGACAGCAACTACCTCGAAGAGATCAAGAGCGCAATACAGGAGCAAGTCGAAAGAGGATACAAAAAGCAGCACACGGACGAAATGGACTATCACAGACAAATGATCCGGCAAGAAGAACGGCTAAAGTGCGAGCGAGAAATCGTCAGAATCAAAGATGAATGCGATCAGAAAATCTCACACATTAGAAAAGAAACATTCGAAAAAGAAAAACGTCTTGTATCGGATATCCACTCGCGTAACGACGAGCTGGAAAGAGCAGGCTACGCGCAACGACAGCAAATGCTCTCTGAACTTCAACGAATTCAGGAAAAAGATGCAGAACTCTCAAGACGCGAGCGTGCGAGTCTCCAAAAAGCAGCTGAGGTTGACGCGAAAGAAGACTCAATCAAACAAATCATCAAAATCCAAGTTGACAGTATCATATCGCGATATGAAGCGGAAAATGCAGCTGAAAAAGAGAAAACAATATTGGCGAGAACGAAAGCCGAGGGAATCCTAAGACAAGTGACAGATCAACAGACCTCTCTCAACGAAGGTACTTTTTGAGGAAAAATATCTGACTTCATAATTGACAATTTGTGTTCAGACAAGGACACAATTTCGCGCCTGCGAGGAGAGAATACAAAGCTTGTAGCAGAGCTAAGTGCTGAACGCGCAGCCCATTCAAGGTAAGAGCGAAGTTACTTTTCTTTTGTAAATCTTTATCGTCAGTGTCCAGCGAGAATCTGGAGAGCTACAAGCTGCTAGATCACAAATAAATGAAATGCAAGAAGAGCTTGCAAAATTGAGAGCACAGGAGATCAATAGTGGAACATATCAAGCCATGGGTTGATCAAAGTTATAATTGCGTCCCTATAGTCTCAAGCATTTTTCAATCCTGAAATAGCTCAGGCTCGGGAAGTACCGTCGCTAAGGCAAACTATTCACACTCTTTCGGCAAAATGCTTGGATCGAGAAAAGGAACTAGCGCGATTGAAGTTCCAATTGGAAACAATTCAATCAACTGGGGTTCTTCCATCAAGCTCGCTACACGATGTCGATAGATCAAAGAGTGATGGAAAAGACGACTCATTGATATCGAAAGCTCGTTCGCGCTGGGCTGATCTTGAAGGGACCAAGAACGAGGCTCCATCTATCGCTGCAGAACGCCCGAAAGCATATCCGTAAGAAATGAATTTTAGTAACACCCGTTAACGTATTTCACAAGACAAAGTAACGTGCAGTTTGCTGCTGAGGTGATCTCTCCGCGGCCGCAGCATGCTCCCATGAGTTCCACCCCTCTGCCATCTACTCAACTGCCACTTGATGATGAAATCATTGCGATCATTGCTGAAAATAAAGGCTCCATCGAGGAGGAGGCTCCAGAGCCCCTACAGACACCCCGTGACGGTCATTCTACTTCAGAACTAGAAGAGAAAATACCATCTGCTTCGGTCTCCCAAGTTTCGCTCCGCAGCGGGTCAAAAAGCTTCAAACCCAGCCGTGCTTCCAGTCCCCGATCTTCGCCTATCTTTTACGATCGACCGGTGGAGGAACGAATGGAAGAGCTTAAACTCTCTGAGCTTGGGGAAAATGAGAATCAAGAGGAAGAAATCAATAACGAAGATGAAGACGATTACCTTGACGAAGGTAATCTTCAGAAACTAGAAAGAATCCACCGCTCAAATATTATTTTTAGTTGGCGATTTCGAGGATGTCCCAGCGCTTACTTCTCCAAAGTCGAAGTCAGATACTCTTGATCGAATTTTATGCGAGAGTTCGGAGGGTTTCCAAACGCTGCAGCATGTGGAGGCCTCTCCTGTGACTGTCAGACAAATGACTCCAGTGGAAGAAAAAGAGAGCTATAGCCACAGCCAGAGTTCTCAAATAAAACTGAGCACCCAAGATTACACATTCAGGCATAGGTTTGAGCAGTTATAGTTGAATAAAGATCCGACCAACTGAAATGATAGTTTTTTTTTTCTTGACCTTTGGAAAGATCCTCTCAATCTGGCGCCGATACAGATACAACTCTGTCCGAGATAATCGGCGAAATGAGCAACAAGTCTGTCTCCTTGACATCGGAATACGACTCGTCTGAGAACGACACTGGAATTCGTAATTACGCCGCTGACGATCGATGGAAACAAGACGAAGACAATCCTCACCCAACTGCCGGCGGAGAAGCTACTCCAACGCCACGGGAAAGTCAAAACGACTTTTTCGCCGATAACGCCGACGACAGTTGGTGAAAAATTTCGAGCCCGCGTTTCATCAATTTGATTTCTTTTGTATTCTTCTCTTCATTCCGTCTATTTTTACTTGAGTTTTTACTTATTGCCAGTTTTTTAGATAAAAGATTTCTTATTTTCTTATCCAAATTTTAACTTATAATTTTCAGAAAAATGCCGCCGTTGGAGAAAGATAATGTACAGAAAACGCTTACAGTTCCGGAGATGATGGCGTTGACCACAGCCGAAATCGTAAAAGTAAGTGATAAAGACATTGAAACTGGTTTTAATTAGCCATTTAGGAACTGATATCAGCTCATAAGCAGCGAAAAGATGTCAACCTCAACAAGCTCAAGACTAAAATCGCTGCTCGATACAAGCTTAAGTCCCAACCGCGTCTGGTAGACATCATTGCTGCCGTTCCAGACGAGTACCGCTCTGTTCTTGTGCCAAAGCTCAAAGCGAAACCAGTACGTACCGCGTCGGGCATAGCCGTTGTCGCTGTCATGTGCAAGCCTCATCGCTGTCCGCATATCAACATGACTGGCAATATTTGCGTGTACTGTCCTGGCGGTCCAGATTCTGATTTCGAGTACTCGACGCAGTCCTACACTGGCTACGAGCCCACGTCCATGCGTGCTATTCGCGCGAGATACGATCCGTTCCTCCAGACAAGACATCGGGTAGAGCAGCTCAAGTCTATTGGACACTCAACAGACAAAGTAGAATTCATCGTCATGGGCGGAACATTTATGGCTCTCCCAGCAGAATACAGGGTCGGGTACTTTAGAAGATAGCTCTTCGAAACTAAGGAGTCGAGTTCTGTAACCCTTGATAAAGAGACTTTTTCATCCGAAATTTGCACGATGCTCTTAGCGGCCATAGAAGTCACAGTGTAGATGAAGCTGTTAGATACTCAGAACGGAGTCGTAGTAAATGCGTTGGAATCACCATTGAAACTCGCCCTGATTATTGCCTCAAAAAACACTTGAGTGATATGTTGAGTTATGGATGTACGCGGTTAGAAATCGGGGTACAGGTACATTATAAAAATCTCTCTATTTTCGTTCTCTTACCGTATGTTTAGTCTGTATATGAAGATGTAGCGCGAGATACAAACAGAGGACATACAGTAAGAGCTGTTTCAGAAAGTTTTCATATGAGGTAAGACAATTAGGAAGATTGTATTTTCAGTTTTCACATGCATTTAGTAAAGATGCAGGGTTTAAAATCGTTGCCCACATGATGCCCGACTTGCCAAACGTCGATCTGGAAAGAGATCTAGAGCAGTTTGTCGAGTTCTTTGAGAATCCTGCTTTTCGGCCTGATGGTTTGAAGATTTACCCCACACTGGTGATCCGGGGCACTGGCTTGTACGAATTGTGGAGGACTGAAAGATACAAATCATATCCTCCTTCAGGTAGAGAAAAGCCTTTTCTTTACTCGTGTTTCATCGACAATACTCAGTGCTGATTGATCTTGTGGCGAGAATACTGGCACTGGTCCCTCCCTGGACGCGGGTCTACAGAGTTCAGCGAGATATTCCGATGCCGCTGGTCACTTCCGGCGTTGAACACGGAAATTTGAGAGAGCTCGCCTTGGCACGAATGAAAGAACTTGGAACGAGCTGCAGAGATGTCAGGTAATAACTATGATTTGAATTTGATTCGTAAATTTACGTTGAAGAACGCGAGAAATTGGAATCCAAGAAGTGCACAACAAAAACATCAAGCCAAATAATATTGAGTTAATTCGACGTGATTATGTTGCGAATGGTGGTTGGGAGACCTTTCTGGAATATGGCGACCCAGAACAAGATATTCTTATTGGTCTACTTCGGCTCCGCAAGTGTTCTCCTCAGAGGTAAATTCAAGGCTAGAATTGAGAAGATACATCTTTTCTAGCTTCCGGAAAGAGCTCAAAACAGAAACTTCAATCGTCAGGGAACTGCATGTTTATGGATCCGCAGTGCCCGTTGGTGGACGCCATCCGCAAAAATTCCAACATCACGTAAGAAGAACAATAATTTGAGTATAGTTTGATGAATTCTAGGGTTTTGGAATGTTGCTTATGGAGGAAGCAGAACGCATCGCTCGCGAAGAGCATGGTAGCGCGAAACTAGCAGTTATCAGTGGAGTTGGAACTAGAAACTATTATAGAAAGCTGGGCTATGAATTGGACGGTCCTTATATGAGTAAAAGTCTGCTTTGATGAACAAAAAAGTGTGATTTTGAAAATGAAAAAGGTGTTTATTTTCATCGCTTTTTCTGTTCAGAGTTACTTTTGAAAATGTCGTTGAAAGGTCCGGGAATGAAGACGGTCAAATTCGACATTGATGACTTGTCCAACAAGGCGACCAAAAAACATATCCAGCGGATCAACATAGCCTTCCTAACTTCTGATACGTTGTCAGAAGAAGCTCTGAAGGTACTTGTTCGTGATGCCGCATTATGAAACATTACTGATGCGAAAACATTTGCTTCACCTATTCTTGTAGAAATGCAATACCTTCTCGCTTCAAAGGATGCTCAGAAGCCATCTCTCGGTGGGCGAAAATCACTACACGAAATGGGTTCCAGACGATAACGAACCCTACATGCAGATTTCGAAAGTAATCAACAGCTGTAATAATCTAATTGCTGACGGTAAAGCTGAGAAGCATTAACTTTCTTTCATTAACTTTCTGTAGCTGGTTTGAGAATCGAAAAACTGAGACGAGAGACGGATGGAAGTTACTTCTACTGTATGTACTCGCAGACTACTGACTCGTTTCCTAACGGAAAGAAGGATAGCTACTCGTATGACGACGATGACACTGAGGAATTCGCCGCTTACTTCAGAGGTATAGACCAAAAAAACTTAGGAAAAAGGTTTGAAAATGTTTTCAGGCGTTATCTTGGTTTTCATGATTGAGCACAATGGTCGACTAACTGAAGTGGAATTCGGCAAATTGCACAGGGTCCTGGAAGAGACTGGAAACAAGAAAGGAGGAAGCAAGATCATCAATCTACTGAGTAAATCCACTTGTAAAAAATCTTTCTTAATTTTAATCTCTTTAGATGACAAGTTCATTGAGAAAATAGTCGAGCACAACAAGGCGTACTTCGTCCTGAAGCCGCGAATGCAAATCGAGCTCTCCGACTCGATTCGCGATGTGCTCAAGAAAAACAAGCTGGCAAGTGCACTTTGGCCTATTAGTTTCTGTTTTTATTTGAACGGTTCAGAAACCAGAGTGCTTTCGATGCTCCGAACTGGTGCTCCGCTGCCGACACTGCCCAAGCTGCAATGCTCGCTTCCACCGATACTGCGTCGAGAAAAACTGCGCCAATCCAAGATGTGGAAAGCCCTTTCCCGAAGAAATCAATGTTAACAGTAGACTACTATCATTCTACTGTTAACATTCCTCAAGAAAAGTTCATTTGTAGGCCTCAGTGAGCGTAAAAACAACTCTCGTTTGTAAATCCGATTTTCGAATAATTATTGAAAAAACTTATCCCGTACCCATCTACTGACGGCTTGAAATGCAGTTACTGCCACATACGGAAAATGCACACCTATCACCTTCAAAATAAGTTGAAATATATAAATATATTAAAACTGGAATGATGACTTGATTTTTAGTGGATTTCTATCGAATTTCACCAAAAGCCGTCCATTTTATTTGCAGGCTTTATTATCGGTTAACAGAAGCTTCCCTACAGTGAACTTTGTTGTCTATGTTGAAAGATCATGGATATCCTGGATAACGTTAAAATTGGTTATCAGCAGTAACTTATGTCTAAAGGATTGAGTTTGAAAAAGTGACACTGATTCGACAGGGATGTCAATAAGAATACTGTTTCTTGCGTTTGATGAAAAAGAAATTCCATCTGTTCTCTTCCTAATTGTTTAACGCAGCCTTTATTCCGCGTGTGCGACGATGTGGAAGACATCAGAAGGCATTATTAAAACACGAACTCGTGTGTCTGCCTGGCTATCTGAAAGATGCATTCGTCGCGAAATTGAATACAACAAATATCAGTCGGCCTCTAGTTGACAGGAACGCCCATAACAATCAACTCTGGGTCAGCGACGATGATATCGCTCAAGATGGCCAATTTCATTTTCCGCAGAAGGGGATCGTGTAGTTGTTGTTTATTGTGATTGATTGCGAGCGGATTCAATTACTGGAATGATCAGAGGTGGTTCAATTAATTAAGCTCCGCCGCTGATGGCAGATGAGTGAAGCGGCGCGGGGTGACGAGTGTGAGCGCGCTCAAAAGCCACACTGCCACCACCGGCCGCAGAAATGCAATCGACGACCACAACACACAATCAAAATCAGAGACGACGAGGAGACAAGAAGAGATATCAATAGGAAACATCCAGAAGCAAGTATCAAAGAAGGAAGATGAGATGGGAGCGCCCAAGCGAGAACTCATAGCTGGGCTCGCCGACTAACGCCCGCTGAAAATAAGTTTTGCTCTTTCTTGTTTGCATAACTGGCAGGAGTGCTGTGGGTTCATCTCCGTGATTAATTTCCATTGCCGATTGAATTTTCTCGAGTTAATCTCGATCCACATGCTTCGAGTGAGAGAGAAACTGTAAAGCATTGTTAACAGGCGAAGAGAAAGTAATGTGCGTTAACAAAGCGCGAATGGCGATTTATTCGGATCACATGTTCCCAAGAGTTTTCGTATTATTGTCAGATGGGACTAAAACTCCGAATAGACGATACTTGCTTAATAAATATGTCGATTTTTTATTGCTTCTCAGATTAGTAACCAAGAACGCAAACGCTCGAGAAAAGTCAAAAGAGGGTTTAGCGCGAAAATGAAACAGCTATCCGAGAAAGAAACGGGCTCTTCTTTCTTCAAAGCAGTTTAAAAGGGGATAAGACTTGTTTCAAGAGGAAAAGCTAGTTCTGAGCGAAACGAACGTCCCTTATTAAAATATAAACGCTGACAAGTAGTTTACTTGCGCGCTGAGTTGATGTCCAGCAATTCTAAATAGCTCCACATAAGCACTGATGGGTGGAGTTTAGTTGGCGAGCCCAGTTGTTAGTATTCAGAGGTACAAACCAGGCTCCTTTTGAAAATGGAGCTGCTACTTATTAACCATTTCCCGGAGTGCTCTTATTTCGGTTTCTTAGATGAATATGCAAACACCAAAGTGGAAATAGAGAACGACTACCAGCCGATTTGCCTCGATGAACACCTGATCCATGAAAACAGAAGATACTCCAAAGGGCCGAGTTAGTCGAGTTAGTTCTTCTCAAGGTTCACCAGCAACACAATTCTCGTTGAATAATTGATGTTTAATCCTTCAACAATTTATTAAATAAGAATTATTGAAAGCTAAGTGCCCCTGCTCGTCATATTCGAATATCCAACATCTTTTGAATCTTTTAGCGACTTTTTGAATATTTTGAGCAGTTTTCCTTCGCCCTCCCGGACAAAACTGACAGCGCCCCTTGACACGTCGGGATCCAGTTCTCGTGCCCAAAGCGTGTCCAATCTTGCCCGAATGCTCGAGGGCAGATACTTCCACAACTTTTTACGAGATAATTGACTTGAATTTTTCACTTGAAGAAAGAGAGATACGGAAAAGAACACTTCCCGAGAGATAGAGCGAGAACACTCTTACATGGCCCAAACGTTTGTCACTTTGGAAATCCCAGAAGAAAGCGAAACCACTTCTTGCTTTTGTAACGGCTTTATAAGTTGACTTGAATTAGTAAAAGTAGCTCTGGGCAGTGAGCGTCCTTGATCCCTCTCATGAATTATTCCGAGCGCTTCATTTGAAAGTCTTGAAGGAATCTTGAAGAATTAAGTCTTTAGAAATATTTCCAGTGAATGTCCAGTCATGTTTATTTTTTTCTCACGTGGGGGATTTAAAGGGCGGCTGGAAGATTCTTCAAGCTGCTTGATAATAGAACTGAATCTTGTGCATTTTCTGCATTGCTTAAAAATGAAGTGCGTCTTCGCCAGAATTGGAAAATTAAAGCCCGTAAACTGCTGCAAGTCGCAGCGAACCAACTCGTCTAACTCGAACAAAGTTGGCCTTACTTCTTCCATACTGACAGGGGTGCTACATAATCTGACACTTCCTTCTAATTAATTCACAATCGGCGACTTATGATCAACCTATCCAGCATATATAAATTGCTAACTACGTCCAAATATTATCAGAATAAATAAGTCAGCGCTTTCTCGCGGTTTGTTGCAACTGGCGGCAAACTAGAATCAAAGATTCAGTAGATTCAGTTCAGTAAAGATTCAATCAACAAAACAAAGTCAGTTGCACCCCGGCGCTCCGATAGTAATTGGCTCTATCAGTTGCATCGCAGCTCTTCCTCTCGGCCTTTTCTGGCACATTCGCCAAGCGCTGCCCAGCAAAGATGATTCTGAGAAAACTCAGGTACAACTACTTGTGACTTTAATTATCGACCTGAAATAACATCAGTTGGTGGGAGACATTATCAACGCGTTTAGGAACCACACGAAGTTGACTGGAGGACCCGGGCGTCGTATATTCTTGTGCTCAGGAAAGGCTATTCTGCTCGAGCAAAAATACGTTCGGGAGGAAGATTCGCCAGCCTTAGTGAAAGTTGCGAGATGGTAGCGCTCGTTGCTGTCTTCACCATAACCATGGCAAGAAAACTACTCAAGAAATAACCTCTTCCATACTGTCTTTTCCCTTCTGCTGCAAATAAATTTTTATGATTATGAGAAATTTTCGCTGTTTTGAAATTAGAAAAATAGAATGATAAAATTTTTATAAAAAGAAGCAGGAAAGAACATGTAAATGAGGTGTTTCAAGCAGATGCTCCGAATGTTAGTGTACGATGATTTTGTTTTTATTATTTCCAAATTGACTGAGAGACGGTTTTTCCAACGCAAGAGTTTTGATCTTGAAAAAAATCTTTTCCCAAAATTATTTCTTTATTGAGTATTGTCATTTTCTTATAAAAAATTACAACATGGGGTCTTTTTTCAGCTCCGCGCTCGTCCGCTGATGGCGCGTGTGGATAAGCCGACATCACGACGCGGAAGCTTAAACCGAAGGTCCGATGTTCGAATCCTGAGAATCGCTTGGCGAAGATAAGCTCTCGTCCTGGGAAGCGATCAAGAGTCTTGAAAGAAAATCGACTTTGAGAAGAAGTGCAATCTAAGAAAAAAGAACACAAGAACACCAACAACTTTTTTTACACCGCCGCTGTGCTCGGTAACCTGTATAGTAAATCTGAGTCAGGTTTTTAAAACGGATTTTCCAGCCCAGGGAGCTAAACATCAAAGAAAATAAATTTTTGTGATGCTCTTTATTGTAGCCGTAGTTTTAAAAAAATATTGAAATAAAAGTTCGTAGTGTTTATTTACTGTTTTGAACTGAAGATTGCACATTTGAAAAACGAGGAAGGCGGTTTTCAGAAAAGATAGATGATATTGTTCGAGTGGAAAGAAACGCGGCAGGAAGGACAGTGCGACTTTTTCGAATCTTTGAGCAAATCGAGCAGACATTTTACGCAGAACTGCAACGGGTCTTGAATCCTTCGACTTGGAGTCAAAAACAAGCGTGATTCAGGACTCAAGACCTTTCCTGGTGGCCACACAAGGAGATTCCACATCTTCTGGCTTCTTCCGAGTCGAACTGTTCCTGACAAATTGGACACGAGTTCGCCTCCTCGAGGGCTTTTAACCTTTCCCGCAGCGCCTGCAGCTCGATTGTCAAAGCCTCGTTTGGGTCTTCTAAGCTCGAGTCTTCTTGATTGGCCCTTTCCGCCGGTTTCTGCACTCTTTCTGTAACAGCCGGCAGTGGAACTTCTTTCCCGCTCGCTTCGCAAAAATCCGACCACAACGATCTCCGCCGCGCATTCAGCTCATTCTGCTCCTCGTTGATTTTCCCCAGCTCAAGCAAAATGCTCTGCGAGGAAACGAGCTTTTTGTTTTGCTCCTGGAGTTCGAGTTTTTCGCGCTCAAGCTCGTCAATTTTAACGTGCAGTTTTCGCTGCTTCTCGTCGAAAGTTTCTCGCTCGTTTTTGAGTTGGGTGACTTCGGAGCTCAGTTTTCGCACTTGCTCGATTTTGCGGCTGATTCCTTTGAAAATCGTTAAATCGCCGCTTTTCGAATTCTAGAGCTACCTTTGTTGAGTTGAATGATCTCGTTGCGCGACTTTTCGGACTTTTCTTTTATCGCTTCGAGCGTGGCTCTTTCGCTTTCGAGCTCTTCTTCCAGCGTTTTGACTTTTTGCGCCATCTTCTGATCCGGGCGCTGTTTCTTCTGCTCCTCCAGCTTCTGCAGTCTCGCCAGTTCGACGTTTTTCTCGACGAGCGTGCGATTTTGAAGCTTCATCAATTCGACCTGCTCCTCGAGTTTTGAAATAATTGAAGATTTGGTGATGATGTTTTTCGTTAGAAGGCGATTGTCGTCCAGATATTTGTCGTTTTTGGACTCGAGCGTGTTGATCAAGTCTTGCACTTCTTCGAAGTTGATTTCGGGAGGCGCTACTTTGCCAGGAAAGTGAGGAGACGTCACCAGAGCTGGTTCTGGCGTTGCTGTATAGACTTCTCTCTTTGAAAAATGAATGATTATTTTCGACCGACAAATGGCCGTTCCTATAATATAGGGCCTAATTTTATAGGCTATATAATATAGGCGCTGGTTTTTGAAGCCCTTCCTGGTAAACTCTTTGTGACAACTGTCCTTCCCGAGGAAATGTTGGAGCAAACTGAGCGAGACCTCTTTGGCGGAACTGGCGGCCTCGGTGACAACTCAACGTCTGGCATGGATTTGGGCGTCAGATTCTCCAAGTTTCGAATTTTCGATTCTAGCTCGTTGATAACAGACTCCTTCTCCGCTAGATTGTTGAGAATCTCGGCCATCGTGTCATCTTGCTTTTTGAGGTCGTCTTCTTGTTTTTGGAGCATCGTCATCAAGAAAGTGTTTTTGTTTTCGTGCTCGTCTTGTCGTGTGGCGAAAAGCTCTGAAATTTGCTGATTCGGGTTACTAAAAATTCTAGAGCTCGATGTTCTCCCTTTGTTCAACCCTTTCCTGAACTGATTCATTCGCCTCTCTGAGAGCCACTTTTAGACCTTGGTTCTCTTTTTCATACGCGATGATTTCTGGGTCTTTGACTTCGTACAAGACGCCCGCAGTTGAGTCCTGAAAGTTCATGTATCTCATGATTTTCTCGTAATCCCCATTCAGCCGTCGGATTGGCTTGAATCGCATCAGCTCGTGCTCGAGAAGATATTTTCCGAAATATTGGAAGTCGAATTGATCTCGTCGGTGATTTCCAGTGGAATATTCGTCCTGTCAAAGGTTTATTTCTTTATCAAATAATGAATGAACAAACTACTGAAGATAATGATAAACTCATTCCTTGAAGCAAAAAACAAAGGCAAAGGAAGACGAGTTTCTCATGAATCCAATGCCGCTGCATTCCGGAAATTTATCCTCCTCGGTAAACTCTTGCACCAGCCGCACCCACAGAGTCGAAATCGACTTGTCAATCAGCATCGTTTCTGATTTCTGAACCTTGCACGCTTGCATCTTCTGGAAATAATTCGAATAAACGAGCGGCGGAATGATGCTTCCATCGACCATGATTCCGTCATCGCCGACTTCTTTTATGATGAAACCTGCTTCGTGAAAACAACACGAAAACTTCAACTCGTCTTGGAAGCGCTTGAAATCTTTTGAATCGTAGCAGCAGTTTGCTTCCGCAACGAGCTCTGGTACTTCCCCTGGATTCAGACTCGAGTCATCAAATGCTGCCCGCAGATATCTTCAAATGTCTTTTTACATAAAGGCTTTTGAAAGCTCAGTCAAAACGAAATAATAAAAAAAATATTGAAAATTTACTAATCGATTTAAAAAGAGACCCACCGAAATTTCGTCGATTCAGATTCACGAATAAAAGGATCGTCATCAGACAAGTGATCAGAAATGTTATCCGGAGGGACGAAGAATTGAGGCAATTCCTCTTCCGGCTTGCGAAACTGATCCCAATTGTGCGCTTCGATGAAGTTTCTATTTGTCCTGAAGAAGATTCGCTCGTTGTCGGAGAGTTCTAGTGAATTGTAGATTCGTTGAATCCGCTCAATTTGATTTTCCTGAAAGAATAAAATTGATTTGAGTGTTTTGATGTTTTTCTTACTGACCTGCGACGCCTTCTGAACTAAAATCGCGAGGCTGTCAAAGTCATCCTCTCCGGATTTGCACCTTTTTTTAGGTGCTCGCGCGTATTCTACGCAGAAGAGTCATTGTAAAGGAATTCTAGTTATCAAGATCTATCGCTAGCACCTTCCAGAATCCTTTCACTCCATCAATAAAGTTGTCGTCGTTCATCGCGAGGAGGACAAGCTGGATGAAGCGCGCATCCAGATCGTTGCTCCTGTGGCTCTGAATTTGGCACCAGAGAAGATCCCTGTCGCAAGCAGAACTTTTCAAAATCACGTCGACGAGTTCTTCTTCCGCGGCAAAGAGCTGTCCACCCGGGAGCAACCGGGACGGTGCCAAACCTCCGCTAAAAAACCGATTAAAAATTCAAACAATAGTCGATTTAATTTTCTATTTTTTTCGCAAAAAAATAGTTAAGAGTCAAACCTGAAAGAATCAAAAAGAGCTTCGACGTCTGCTGTTGTTTTCCGATGTTCAATCTGCAGCGAGTCTCTATCGTTTGAGAAAATGACCAAGTCCCAATTGAAAATCATCTCGCATTGACAGTTGCGTTATTTAAGGTATTTCGGGCAGTACCCACTTGCCCTGTGCGTATATTTTCGCAAGCAGCTGACTCACGCGCCCCTGGCGACTCATCCCCAAACTCATCATTCTTATCTTGACCCTTCGCATTGTGGGAAATTTTTAATTTATTTAAATATAATTTTGTTTTTAGAAAGCAAAATTCATTCGATTGGGACAATTTTTAGGCGTCAGAGATAAATTCTAGCGAAAATGCATTTTTATATTTATTTGTTTTTTGCATTATAAAAACTTCAAAAATTTAAACAATGTTCGCTGGATAGATAGTTTATTGGTTATTTCATTTTCAGTGGAGAATAGAACTGAGAGCATAATTTCAATGGTAGAGATGATAGTTTGACTGTAAAGAAAAAAGATAATTGGAAAGTTAAAATAATTCTGGCATGGTTTGAATTGTTGGGTAGAGAGATTTTTCATTAGAAACCAACGTAGACTGGTTCTTTCTCGTCAGTGTCGTCTTCACCAAGGCTTGGTGTTGGAGAATCAGACTTTTCAGACTTGGTTGACTTGGCGAGGCGGCCGGAAGCGCTCGATGCGTCGTCCTTCTTGTCGTCATCTTCGACGGATTCGGGGGTCTCTTCGGCGAGCTCTTCAATCCAATCCGGAATTTCGGCATGCCCGCCCTTGTTATTACGTTAAATTTTCAATGTCTTACAAGATTGTTTTACCTTCATGATGTTAAGTAGAATGCGAGCTTTTTCTGCATCCTTCTTGTGCAGGAAGGTGACTGCAGTGCCCGGTCGGCCAACACGTCCAGTTCGACCGATTCGGTGGATGTAATCGTCGTGAAGCCAAGTTGTGTCGGAGCAGTCAAAGTTGACGACGAGGTCAACGGCGGGAATGTCGAGTCCTCGAGCGGCCACATTGGTCGCAATCAAGACTGGACATTTGTTCGTGGCGAAAGTCCAAAGAGCGAACTCTCGTTGTTGCTTTTTCGAATATTACAAACTTGTTCGGTTGAGTGTTGTCTTACCTGAGATCGATCGCCATGCATGGTGATGCATTTGTGTTTGAGTTTCTCGGAGAGTCTGCATCCCAAGAAGTCGACTGTTCTTTTCGTATTCGCAAAGACCAAGGCCTTGGCAGGGCTATCTTCCACTCCGACGACGAATCTCTCAAGGACCTCATCAAGCTTCGAGTATTTATCGCTTATGCCTCCGATTTCGACCACTTCTTGGGTCACAGTTGCGCTAAAAATCAGTCAATGCCTTATTCATCGAAAATAGTTTTACCTAGGAGCATTGAGCATTCCGCACTGGGCGTACCAGTAGCCAGGTCGGAGAAACTTTCTGGCGAAAGCCTGGATTTCCGAAGGAAATGTTGCGGAAGTCAAAACCTTGGAGATTGGGTGCGTTTGTTCGCCCCTTTTCAAGGTAATTCTTTCGATGATATCCATACTGATCCCGCCGAAACCATCGTCGAGCATTCGATCGGCTTCGTCGAGCACAATGAAATCGCAGCTGTCAAAGTGTTGCTAACAATTTTTGTTTATAAAAACTCTTTTATTTCTTGAATTACCCGAGTATTACCGGCAACATCCGGAAATAAGATATCTCTCACACGTCCAGGTGTTCCAACGATGATATCCGCGCCAAAAGCGTTGAATCGTTGAGTTGATCTCTTTGTACCGCCGTAGAGGTTGCAGACTTTGATGCTTTCACCTAAATTGAGTTGTTAGTCATGCATTATATTCAAGAGGGCATCAACTTACGTCCAAGTCCCCGAGTCAGTTTGACAGCTTCCTTGGCAATTTGAATAGCCAGTTCGCGAGTGGGAGTCAGAATAAGAGCGCGGGGGTCGATTCCCATGATTCCACCGACGCCAGGAATCTCATCATTCGTTTCGCCGCGTTCTCTCTCTTTAGCAAACTTCTTGTTTCTTGAATATATCTTTAAGAGTCATAGTTAACAACCTAGGATTTACCGCGTGTTCTTGAGAATGTAGTTGACAATGGGGATCAAGAAGGCTCCTGTCTTTCCAGATCCAGTTTGAGCATTGATCAAGATGTCCTGGCGATCTTGAATCGGGCGCATTCCCACTCGCTGCACAAGAAGAGGTGCTTCCCAGCCATAAGCCATCAAGTTTGCTTTCAACATCTCGTGTAGTCCAAGGTCGTCATAGTCTTCGCTCAGATACTTCTCCTTTGGAATTTCTTCGACGCTTTCTATTTTTTTGCTATCATCGCTAGCATTGTCTTCTGCGTCATCCTCTGCACCCTCTCTGGCTTCAACTTTCTTAGCTTTGGTGACACGGTATTCGATACTGTCAATCTTCTTGAGTTCCTCTCCTGGAGCATTGATTTTATGGAGGTCTTCCTCATTCTCGAGAGCATGGCAAATGTATCCACTGTAAACACGGTTGCCTAAAAAAGGCTTGTATAATCTATTGACCACAAAAATATTGCAGAAATCCTGATAAATCCTTATCAAAATACATCAATAAAAATCGTTATCTTACAATTGAGTTCTTGCCAAATTTTTTGTTCCTCTTCATTCATGTCATCCGTTTTGAGTGTCTTTGCGTCGCTGTCATCTGAGTCAACCGAGATTTGACCATCATCCCCGTCGTCATTCTCATTCTCATCGCTATCCTCATCTTCATCTTTATTTTCTTTATCCTCAGACGATTTATTTGTTGGGCTGCCGAAGCCAGGAAATGCCTTCTCACCATTCTCTTCGTCCGAAGAGCTGTCATCCCCGTCCTTTCCGAAAGTCGTTGTTTCTCCAATATCGCCGACTTCAGTGGACTCGCCAGACTCAGTCTTAGCATCAGGATTCATCATCTTCCTGACGTTATCAAGAAAGTCATTTTGCTCTTTCGTACGAACTTTCTGTCCCTCGAATCCCTCAGCTTGACCGGGCGAATCTTGTTTCTCTTCCTTGTCGTCACTTCCTTTCATTTTCTCGCCGGCTTCTCTGGCGGCTTTCTCTCTCTCTCGCTTTGCCTTGATGTTTTTGTGAAGCCTGAAGTAGACAGAATCGACTTTCTCTCCAGCGCCGTCACCATCTTCGTGTTGATAGGTGTACTCTCTATCAAGATTGAATGATTTTCCGTCATCCTTGAGTTCGTTGAACTTTCGCTCAAAAAGTCGTCGCGGCGGAACCCTTTTGGCTTTTTTTCCTCTAAAGAAAGTTTAGAGTTAGTATCCTGCAAAAAATATCTTACCTTCTTCATCATCCTTCTTCTCCGAATTCTCTTCCTCGAGTTCCTCCACAGTTGCAAAGCCGTCCTTTTGAATCCATCACCATGACCATTGGACTGCTGGACAGAGCTGCCACTTTCTTGAAAATCAGTAGTGCTCGAAGATCCGGCTGTGGACATCACATCTTCAGGCACTCCTTTTCTCAGGGATTTTCCGTCTCCGTTGTTGTTGTTGTTGCGGTATGGATCATAGGAGTCCTTTTTGAAAGGAGTGGTATCCGGGCCAGACTTGCTTCGCTAAAATTTCGTGTAAAAATCATCCAATCAACTTGCAGGCATTATCTCTCGAAGATATTCTCTCTTGCACTTACCGACGAAGCTGGAGTAGCAGTAGCTGGAGTACTGGTAGCTCCAGTCGGAGTTTTAGACGATGCCATGGAGGAAGTTATCTCAGGAACTCCGTGCATAGTATCGTCTAGTCCAGTTGTTGAAGAAGACGCTACCGAAGCGTAAGCCGCCATAATTTGCCCTTGATGAAGTGCTGCTTCCGACGTGGTTCCGGTGGGAAGTCCATCAGCAATCGAGTTTTCCTCTGATTTTGTCATTTTTGCCTTTTCCAAAAGTGACTCTCCGAAGTGTGTGCCTCTCATCGTCCTGCCCCGCTTTTTATTCGGCATTTTGAAAAGTCGCGATGAAAATAGCTCAATCTCTCCGAATCCTTTCAATTTTCAAATTGTCTCTTTCTCTCTCAATAACTCGGAATTTGAATTGAGAAATCTGGCCGATCTGGCTTGCTTTGGCCAGCGTACTTTGCTTTTTACTCGCTTCCGAGTAGTGCTCGTTTGGCTTTCGAGCAAAAATAGCAATCATGGAAGAGCCTGCGCGGGCAGTTTTCTTTTTGAGTCTAAGTTTGATTATTTATTTAGTTCTTTCTGGGTTTCATTTTGAAGTTTTAACATTTGTGCATTTTTGTCAACTGTTTGTTTTGGTAGTTCTTACAGAAAGAAGCTCGTCGCTCATTTTCTCCTTGTGTTTCAGAATAGAGCAGCCCTAGGGCTGCTAGAAAACTTGTTACCCAAAACGCTCCGTCCAGAATGCCAGCGCTTGTTGTGAATGGTCCATTTTTTCAGCTCCTTTAATAACAGTTCAAGTGTTCACGACTCATAGTGTCCGGTGACATCTGGAATGTGTTATGTGAGGATAGGCGCTGGAAAACCGAACGGAACACGGCTAGCCTTGTTTGGGTGCCGTGCAATTGGGATTTAGACACTAGAGTCTACACATGGGCTGAATACCCGATTCTTACAAAAACTCCGATTGATAAAGGTAATTAGGGACTTATGGTGCCCAAAAATTTCGACTCGAAATTCTTGAAAGAAGACAACAAGGTAGATAGTGATATTTTATTGTCATAAAACACATGTTGCACCAAGTGTAAAAGGCAAAATAAAATGTGAAAAGTTTTCTTGTCAAGTAAAATTGTTTTTTTTTTGTTGAACTGATGAAAAGAAAGAAGGAATAGACTCACTGAAATGAGACCGAAAAGAACAGGATAGTTGTAGGGTCCATTTGTTTGATATCAACGAAGAGAATTCTCCGGAGCAAAGATAGGTTAAAAAAAGAAGCATCTGAAAGGTTTAAAATCCGAAGTGGCGGAATGTTTCTTCTTCAGATAAAACGGGAATCAAAGGTTTTTTTGAGATGGAAATTAACATTTTTGGATCAACGATGAAAAGTTGTGAGTTGCTACTTTGAATGAAAAATAAAGGAAGATTTTTGAAGAGATTTTGGCGGTAGCTGGTAGAGCCAGGAAATGAATTTGGATTTGGGGCTCACTTTTAGTTTTAAAAAGCGAAATGGAAAATTGGCTGTAGAGAAGATGCAATTTTTAAAATAAAAAAGAAATTGGCGACGCGAAAAGGGTCGCGAATTCTTTTGAAAAGAACCTTTGAAAAGATGAGAAAATGTGCGTTTTACTGGTAAAGTCCGACTTGGAGGGGGATAGGCTGCAGCGTGTGGGGGTCCATCGCCATCTGGATCATTTGGTTTGGATTTGACCCTGAATAGTTTTAGAGTTTTGCAAGCTTAAGTAGTTGCACCTTGAGGTATTTGCATGTACTGCATCAGTTGCTGTGGATGGAGAACGGGCTGGTTAGCAGGCACGATCTGACTTCTCTGCTGCGAGTTGAGAGGGTGCGAGCCAAGCGGCGTCTAAATCGTATTAACCTCCTGTAATGTCTTTGAAGACTCACCTGATTGGCGATTAAACTCGACTCGTTGGTGATTCCGAGCTGCATGAGCGCCGATTCCGCCGCAAGAGCTTTTGCTTCTTGCTCAGAAGGGGCCATTTTGTACGCCTAAAGCTATCTTTACCTTGAAAAGAAGCCGATAGATTACCTGTATGATCATTCCCAAGTTATAAAGCGTAACGCTGTACAGAAACATTGTCTTTCCTTCATGAACAGCCGTGGAAACCGTTTGATAGAACGGCTTCGTCCAGTTGAACTTTTGACAGACCTCTAAAAATGCGTTTTACGACGACAATGAAAAGAAGCTCTTACGTTCTAGCGCTTCGACGTGATTTACTGCTGACGCATCCATTCTTTCCGCCTGTGTGTTTTTCGTGTAGTACCTGCATTTCACGAATCAGTAAAGAATTCTTACGAGAGATGCTTTTTACCTTCCGTAAGTGGCTTTTCCGGCTGAGTAACCGAGATAACTTGACCGGGCTCCAGCGCGATTTACTCGAGCTTTTTGACCTCGAGTGGGGCCGATCGGAGACTAAAGAATCAATTTATTCTTCTGCTTCTTTTTCTGTTGAATGATTTGAAGGATGTCTTTTAATACCTTTGGAAGACTACCAAGTTGATGCTGCTGGCTTTGATCCTGCGCTATAAGCATTGGAAAGCCGTTAACTCCGGCGTAAACCAGCATTGGTTGATTCATGTTGGCGTACTGCGCCATTCCCGGCTCCATTCCTTGCTGCTGCGCGGCGAGGGCCTTCGCTCCAACCTGAAAGAAAGAAGTGAATTTGACGACTTTCTAGGGCGCTCGAATCAAGTACCTTTGCAAGCTGATTGTGATTATTCTTATCAACTGGTTTTGCAAAGCTGATTTCAACCATCGCACCTTGAATTGCATTCAATTTCATTTTGATTCTTTTTTGATGAATTAGAGCCGAAGCAGCGGGGGTTTATAGAAGGAGTTTGTTGATTTTCTAGTTCTGGAAACGCATTTTTTATCCTTTTTGGCCCCATGCACGAGCAATGAACAGTTTTCTTTTTTACAAAAGAATTCAAGGACTTGCTCAATGCAGGTCTGGGCTCAGCAGCCTGTGTAGAAACCTGAGTCAGGGTACTGAAAGAGCTTAATTGAAAGCCGCAGAGTCAAATCTACTATCTCAATATATTTTTTCTTCTTTTTAAGGCTCTCTCAGGACCCTGACTCAGGTTTCTAAACAGGTTGGCGAGGCCTGATGCAGGTGCATTTCAAGTTAGCATGAAACATCAAGCGACAAGTAAAAAATTTTTGATTATCAAAACTGAATCAAATATTTTCTCTCAAATTATTTTCAATCTCCTGAGTTCATTACCGGTAATCATTGTTTTTACATGGAGTGTGACTTACCATCTAAGCGCTGGCTGCTCCCCGCCTTCATTGCTGCTTCGGCGGAGTCGCGCTCAACGAAATGGACGAAAGCATAGTCGCGGATCTTTTTCACCCGCTCGACTTTGCCGTACTGCGAGAAATGGTTGCGCAGAGATTCCTCAGAAGTTTCAATCAGAAGATTTCGCACGTAAAGGACTTTGACTTCTTTCATGATGTCATCGTCGACGTCTTCTTCCGGCTCAGCCCAGTCGACAGCGATTGGGTTTCCTAAAGCACGATTCAAATGAACTCACAATTGAGCGTATTTTATATTTACCCAAAGCTGGACGCGTCCACTGACGAGCTTTCTCCTGGCCATTGCGGCCGCCCTAAATCGGATTTACATTTTGTATTGTTTTAGGAATGCTCTGTGAAGCGAAATTCCGCTCTTTTTGTCGTCGAGATCCGATCGCCTCAAAGAGACTGTTTTCCCTGTTCAAATACTATTTCATAAAAACGGGCCTTCCTTTGTCTAATATTGAAAAAGAAAGAAATCGGGAGAAATGAGTGTCTTAAAATTGGTGATTTCTTGGTTGGATTTTCGTATAATTTACATATCGTATACATTTACATGTACCTTTAGTTTATTGCTCAAATCTGAACTTTCTTTCATTTAAAAACCTGGCTTTAGCGCACAATTTTTTACTTATTTATATTAGCCAAGTTCGCGGAAACAACGAAAATGCGCCGGATTAGTTGTGGAATTATCGGTGACGGAAAGAATAATTCATTTCTGAATAATTCATGGGCGTCTTTTGTAGCCATCAGGATTTAAAGATTCACGTGCAGCCGTTATAAAGTACTACTCGGCGATCTATAATTCACCGGCTGGTTCACCGAGCAGCAGTTGCCTTCCCACTTGAGCGCTTACTGTATTTTGCTTACTTGTGGGTCTCGTACTCGACGAAGGCGAATCCCCGGTTCTTGTTCTTATCCGCCGCCGAGGGGTAAACAATCACATCCGCCACTTGCTCGGTCACCTTCTTCAGCTCGTGCATGATTTCCTCTTTCTTCCGCGACTTGGGAATGCCCCCGACGAACAGTCGGCAGTTGTCAACAGAACTGCACACGCCCAGCGTTCGCCCTTTTCTGATTTCAAAGTTGTTGAGCCTCGAGATCGCCTGCCTGGCGTGCGCTCTCTCCGTAAACATCACAAAGCAAAAGCCCCGGTTCTTCCCGTCAAAGTCCATCATCAGCCGCAGCTCGTAGATCGGCCCGATCATTTCGAAGACGGGGAAGATTTCGTCCTCGAACAGGTCGCGCGGGATCTTGCCGACGAAGACCTCGCATCCTTTTGTCGGAATTTCACCGTGGTAATCTGGTGGTGGTCCCAGCTTTCGCTGGCCATTTTCTTGAATCTGAAGTTTTAATGTTTGAATAACTCTCTTCGACTTTTCAAGGAGTTGTTGTATAGAAAAAGTTATGCGAAAATTTAGCACTGTAAAAAACGCAACAACCAGTAGTCATCTTTCTAGTTGAGCTGAGCTGGCTGAGCTCAAGTTGATTTGGCTCACTATCTTTTAGATCTGAGCTGAGCTGAGTCAGCTCAAAGCTCAGCTCGCACTTATTATGAGCAAACTCGGTTCAGCTCAGCAGAAATGAGCTGAACTGAGCTGAGCTTTGAAATTAAAGAATGAGTTTACTACTAGTTTATTTTTATTACAGTACTAAATTTTCGAAAAGCCAGGTGGCCCTGACTGACTCGTAAATTTTATTTTGAATCTTGTTTACGGTTGATAATAAATATTGAGAGTCGGCTAGGCAATAACTAGGGCTTACGATTGGATAGTTGATTCGTTTGATCAGCTCTCTAATTTTGTCTTCATTTTGGCAGTCCTTGATGCAGTCAAGTCCCTTTTTGATTGTTGTGATTCTTCCGATTCGTTCCATTTGCTGCTCAACATTATCATTGAGTTTGCGTTTCATTTCATATCAACTCGAAAGGGACTACTCTTGAAGTGAGGGTGGCACACTCCGCCACCCGCCTCGGGCAAGGCCAGCAGCGCCCGAGAGCGCGCTCAGCCGAGTACTCTGGTGTTTGGCGGACGAATCTTGAATACTCAATTGTTTCCTCCGCCAAAAGCCAAATAGACATGAATTACGCGAGCTAATTTGTTGATTCGATTTTTTGTTCTTCCTCCCGCCGTTGAAAAATACGTTCATGAAAAGAGACGGTAAGAAAATGAAATTATTAATCGTTGAAATTTAATTATTTAATAATAATAAATTTAATAATATATAAAATTATAAAATTTAATAATAATAATAAAATGCAATTTTTATCTTTGTAAAGACCTTTATCAGAAATCAGGTTTTCCCAAAAACTGCATTTACCGAAATCCTGGATTTCCCGGAATCCCGGCTTTGCCGATCACAAAGGCAAAACTAGGATTCTGCGAAATCCAGGATTTCGGGAAAAATAAACCAAGATGATTGTGAAAAATGGGGTGCAATTCTAAAGCGGATGTCCATTTGCTCTGATTCTTACAGTAACTCTTACTGTACCTTTTTGCTTGGAATCTTTCGTGGCGAAGTTTTGATTGTCATTTTGATTGGTATGATTTAGATTAATGATTTTGGATTATATTTCTCTGGTTAAAAAAAATGCGGGACGATTTCCCCTTTACAAAAAAATTGAGTTACAGATGAGTGAGTGGCAAAATAAAGCCAACAAGAGATGAATAAGATAACGTGAATAATAAATTAAAGGAAAGGAAAGGCAAATTTCGGGCCCGGACGCGTCAAAATCCAAGAGATTAATCGTTTCCTGTTATTGGTACTGACGCGTTCTCATGGTCGAAATGTTCTAGTGCTGAGCGTCACCGACCGAGCGGTTTTTTTTTCATTTCTTCTTTTAAGAAATATTTTCAAGGCAAAGTTAGGGTTAGGGTTAGGGCCAGAAAAGACACTAATTCCAACCCTAATTTCAACCCTAACCCTAACCTTGACCCTGAATCTAAGGTGACTTTTGACCTTTTTAGTTGCCTGCTAGTAGCTTCCTGTATTAAATTTTTATGTGGGTTTATTCATACTAAGGCATTTGATTTTGTATTTTTAAGTCATTTCTCGTGACAAGCTGCTTGAATAAACCAAGCGCGAAATAAACGAAAAGCACTTTCTATTCAAGTCCAGCTATAAAAAAAGGCGAAATGAAATTCATAAAAACACACACAGACCAATTTCCAGCTCTATTCAAAACTCAATCTCGCCTCGACTTTGTCTAATTCTGTCTCTTATCCAAGATTTTTGGCAATAATATTTTTTGAAAAATTGATTTTTATTCAGGTTTAGTAAGAATTTTCTTTATACAGTGTTTTGATCATACAGTATCTCAAATCTCAGCTTCAACTTGTAGAGCACACTAAGAATCGTGCTCGTAATTATGGGCGTCCCCCGCGGTACACTAAATGTTTTGAAACTCAAAATTATTTCGAGCAATAAATCCTCATCTTTCTCAAAATTGTCATAGTAAAAATTCATGTCCAAGTACTTTTCTCGAGCTTTGAAATATAAAAAAGAGTAGTCCCTTGAAAACAGTTGATTTCTAGCGCGGGAAAGTTGCAGTACTTACATTAGAATTTGTTAACTCTCTCTACAAACTGATTAGTTACAACTGGCGAGTGAGTGATTAAATAGCCGAACGCGGTCGTAAAACGGAACCGAAAACAATCAGCGCTGGCTTTAACGAAGAATACAAGTACCGCCAAGCGTGAAACTGCTACTACTACCGTTCGCCGACTCTAATCAAGGTTTATAACGCACAAGTCAGATCTAACCATAAAATCAGAAAAAAAGAGAACGCGACCATGAGTAGCCCTGCTTTGTGAGAAGAAGCCTTCGTGGTCTCCAAAATAAAAAAGAAAACAATTAATATCTTTCCTAAAATGAAAACTCTTTTAACCCTATTATTCATGAGTTCAATTTCTGTATTTCTCTTTTTTTAACCAATAAATATAAATAAAAGAAAGCAAAGCCGATTCTAAAAAATGTGTTTTTCAAAAAAATCTTCTTGAAATCAACGAAGACTGCTCCATACGACTTTTATTGAATAAAATAATCGAAAATATTGAACATCCTTCAAAACTCATTTTCCATCAAAATAATTGCAATTCGTAAATCATAAGTTATGATACTTATTGAATAACTTATGATTCATAACTTTCAGAAAAAATAACTCGCGAAATCGTAAAATCAATAATAACGCAGGCTAATAAACCGCTTCTTTAGTACTATTTTCTTCAATGATATTTATCTAATTGCAAACAGAAGCGTTCAAATAATAATTTTATTAAAAAAAAGTTAAAACCGCTGTCGATTATTTCCTTGAGCTTGCGAGTACGACCAGAGTTTGAAATGCTCGCAAATGCTCGCGAGCGAAAAGAGCGAGAGCAAAAATTTATCATTGCTCTGAGAGCAGGGGAGCGGGAGCATGAAAATGAGTTGGCTCGCGAGCCCGAATTTGAACCCGCTCGCGAGCGCAGAGAGCACGAGCGCATATGTCAGAAATGCTCGGGAGCTAGACGAGCGGGAGCGGCTGCTCTCGTGCTCGCCATGGAATTGACTCACGAGCGGCTCGCGAGCAAAATTAAAAGAATAATTTTTTCGCATAATTATTCACTTTCATAAATAAATTTCTTTGAGGATCTATTTTTGGTGTTTTTGGTTTTATGTAAGCTTCATTAGGTCCGTAATCTCGGCAGCAGAATGCGAAAAGCCGAATGTAAACAGATAAAACATGCCCACCGCGAGGTACTAACTCCTGTGACAGGGACTCATATGGAATTAGTCACGGGGCCGCCGAATCATTTGAGACCCTTGAAGGCTGCTCGCGAGTCAGTTTTTCAGCTCGAGAGCCGATCGAGCGAGAGCACAATTCGACCAGTGCTCGAGAGCCAAGAGAGCGAGAGCGCGAAATGAAATGCGCTCGCGAGCGCAAAGAGCGCGAACTCTGAAATAAATGTGCTCGGGAGCACAAAGAGCATCATGCTCGTGCTCCTCGCTCTCAAGAGAGCCGCTCGCGAGTCACGAAAATTTCAAACTCTGAGTACGACGGTGGCTGATTTGGATTCGTGTTCACAAAGGCAGCATTTTGTACTTGTTGTTGAGGGACAGTTGGCAGGACAATTGCTTGCTGATTGTTTGGTAATTGATAGACGATCCCTGAAAATTTTCTGAGGGCAAAGATTAAATTGAAGAAGTTTACTTCGAGGCTGAGTCTGGATATTCGCATACTGAGGCTGAGAAACCACTTGAATTTGCTGGGGTTGAATCTGTTGGCCGATTTGAATGGGTATAACTTCCGGCAGAACGTCGAGAACTGCTTCCGTGTAGCAGCAAGAACTCTGGTCGCAGCACTTTTGAAAAGATGATTTTATTTTTTGAGTGAAAAATATTGTACCTGACAAGGGGAGCCATAAATGTTGATGATATAGAAAAGAAATCCCCATTGAATCGCAAAGCAAATAACTTCCCCAACCAGCATTATTGGATAATAATACCGAAGCCATATCCCGATAGCCGCGACAACATAAAAAAGCACACAGAAGGAGAAAGAAATCGTAACATACGCCTTTGATTTATTAGTTCAAACAATTAAAATTTAATTCTTTTTACCCAAACCATGACTGTTTTCATTTCCATCTTGAAACGAGTTTTATCTTGTGTTTTTGAAGAAGAGATGCCGAGAGACGCAGTGGTGATGCCGAGAACACCAGTGAAGATACCCATTCCAAATGTATAACGCCATAAGCCAGTAGCGGCTGCATCAGTTCTTTTGGGGGATGTTAAGACTCTTCTTGTTATAAATAACCGATTGTAAATATTTCGAAAACTTTGCAAAATTTACACCCGTTCATTGTCAGGAAGATCGAAATTAGAAGCAAGCCGACAGAATAGTAGTGCACAACATCTTGCAGCGTCTTTCTCTTTCCAAAAGGAGTAGGTTGACAACACATTTTGCATTATTTTACAAACGCTTCTACATAGGTAGTTGAGCTACGTCTAGCTAAATTCTCGTATTTGAGATGATACTGTTTTATTTATTCTTCTGAGGAAGGTAAATGCTCAAGTGCTTGTATTAATGGCTTCCATAAATGTAGGAGGTCTTGGCATGTTCATAGGAAAAGGCCTGCAAGTGATTATTTCATTCTGTTCCTTGTGGATTTTATTAAGAAAGTGCGCTTATTAATAAATCGAATTAATTTAAGAGTGAGTAGGATGGTGGCTCGTTTGTGTTTTGTTGATCTTCTTGGTTGACCACGGTAGTAGTCGCCGTCGGCTGCTGCGCGACTGGTTGCAAAAGGAACCCTTGTTGACCGCTTGGGAGCTGGAGAACTAAAAATTTTCAATGAGGATGTAATAATTCAAGAGTCTTTACTTCGAGGTTGAGTTTGGACATTTGTCAATTGAGCTTGGGGCTGGATATTGATGAATTGAGGTTGAGGATCATGCACTTGAATTTGCTGAGGTTGAATCCAGGGTTCCAAATTTTCTGAGCGATGAGCGGAGTTTGAGCGCGAGCGAGCGATCGAAACTCCGCTCAAATTTTCTGTATTAAAAATTTGGAACCCTGGCTGAATCGGCATTTTTGGTTCAACGATAACATCAAAAATCGGCTCGGTGTAGCAGGGAGATTCTTCGCTGCAGCACTGAAAAATAGAGCTAGAAGTTAAATTGATATAGAAATACCTGGCAAGGAACACCATAGATGTTAATGATGAAGAAAAGAAATGCAAATTGGATCATAAAGCAGAGAAGTTCGCCAGGGAGAACATATGGATAGTCTGGGGAATACCTATCATCAGTGAAAACTCCAACGACAATGACGACATAGAAAAAGATGACGAAGCAGAAGCCCATAGTCACAGAAGCCTAGAATCTTTTGTTACTTTGAAAAATGAGCTTATCGATACCAGAATCATAGCAGTTTTGAAGGCTTCTTTGAACTCATCCATTTCCTTTTTCTCGAGCAGAAAATTGCATGAACCGCAGTAGCTATTCCGAAAAGACCGACGAGCGAACCCAATCCAAAAGTCATTGTCCACAGGAAAGTTGCATACACATCGGTTCTTTGGGCGAATGTAAAACTGTGCCTCTTTTTTAACTGTTTATTTTGCTTTTTTACGAACAAATAACACCCGTTCATAATCTGGAAGATTGAAATGAGGAGCAACCCGACGGAATAAAAGAAGACGACATCTTGAAGAGTCTTTCTCTTGGCGCTGTTATCAGTGGTCTCAGGTGGACAGCCCATTTTTTATGTAAAGCTATTCTGCTGCGTAAAAATTAAAAATTGCAACACTCCACGGAGCGGGCGACAACGAAGTGAGGAAAAAAGAAAGGCGCTTTACGAAAATACGTTACGCGCAAAAACATGATTTTGATCATTATTTTCTTCAACGAACTTTATTTCGCAGATGAATATCAATTTTTTCCTCTTTGTAAATTTTATTATAAAATGAATACAGGATGATACAATAAATCAGGAAGATAAGGATGAGAAGAAGGTTTATTTCAGCACTAAATATAAATTCTCTGTTATAAAAGAAGACGTTCACGTCCTTTTCTACCTTCGTCGTTCTTGAACGCGGCATTTGCCACTGGTGCCGCATGGGCGAGTGGTGCCTGCGCAATAGGTTGCAAAACATATGCTTGCTGCCCACCAGGTAGTTGGTAAACGATACCTAAGAAATTTATCGCTAAAAGAAAATTTTATTGACTTTACTTTGAGGTGGAGATGCGATGTTCATGATTTGAGGTTGTGCATTTACTGGAATTTGTTGGGCTTGAAAAGGTCTCGTTTCAGGGAGAACGTCGAGTATCGCTTCAGTATAGCAGCAGGAGTCTTTGCTGCAGCACTTTTAAAGAAGATATCTGTCAGTTGATGCCTAGAGTAGTACCTGGCAAGGAGCACCATAGATGTTTATAATGTAGAAAAGAAAGCCCCATTGTATCATAAAGCAAAGAAGCTCGCCAACCATCATTATTGGATAATAATAATAATACATAAACGTTCCTATACCCTGAACAAGATAAAAAAATATGCAGAAGGACCAACCAATCGTTACGTAAGCCTGAAAAGTTTGAATATCTTACTTAGCCGAAATTTTAAGCATCAAACCAAAATAATAACTGTCTTGAAAGCACTTTTAAAGTTTTCGATATCTTTTATTTTCGAGTACGAAATGCCCAAAGATCCGGTTGTGATTCCAAAAATACCGACGACGCAACCTAGTCCAAATGGATAGCTCCATATACCAGTTGTCGCTGCATCACATCTTTTTATGGATGTTTCAGCAAGGTTTATTTAACTCTTTTGAATTTTTAGCACCCTTTCATAATCTGGAAAATTGAAATAAGGAGTAAACCTACAGAATAAAAGTGAACAACATCTTGTAGTGATTTTCTCTTCCCATTATTATTAGGTGGACAACACATTTTGCTTTATGAAACTAATCTCTATTTGAGCTTCTCCTAGTTCTATTTATTTTCGGAACTTGAGTAAATGTTCCACTGCTTGTAAATGGCTTCGATAAGTGTAGGAAAAACTGTGTCTACTTAGGATGAGAGTGTCCATTTTTTTTCGCGAACTTCCGAAAAAAAATTATCTGAACTTTATTTAAAACTTTGAAGGCTTATGTAAAGATGCTCGAAATTTGGCGAAATCGATTTTCATAATAAACGGATGGAGAAAGCCTTCGGTCGCTGAATAATTGAAAGCGACTTCCTGCGAGGTGACGACTTTGTTTAGATTACGATATTCTGGCTTGCTTCTGAGATGTATTTCTTTTCCTGACAACTACCATCCCTTGCATCATGCTTCCGTTGAATTCATCGCAGCCAGAATTTTAGAGGCGATTCTAACGCCGTGGAATGAGCAAATTTGGGGGCTTATAGGTTTCATATGGATTATGGAGGTCTTTGATTGGCTTCGGGAAGGAATACGGGCTTTTTATTGGCTGAAAAGGCAAAGCTTTCTCTGATGATTGGAGGTTGATGATTTATTCAGTTGTTTTCTATAAAAGGTCGTAATTTACAGAGAGATACAGTGACTAAACGTTTTTTTCCTTCGATAAGAATCTATTTTATACAAATTGAGACGTATACAAAATCTGCAAATAGATATTTTTGCGATAGATATTTTTGCGAGTTAACAAGCTCGCAGATTGTAGCGGCTCCGATTTATCTCAATGTTTTTCAATGTTGTTTTCCGCTAAAAATTGTCATCGACTTTTTCTGCGAAGGAGAATGAGGGACGCAAAAAGTGCAAGAGGTGCAATAACTTTTGGAGTTGGTTTTCTACATGATCTTTGGATTAATTCAGGGGCGATTGGGATTAAGCTTGCGCGCCAAATGTCGACTTAAAGGGTTGAAGCCATTATCATTTATACTGTGGATGCAAAGGGATCAGCCACTGTGTAAACGGTCGTAACGATGGATAAACTCTGTTTAGAGCTGTCTACGACGCATCTTGAGAATGTGATACATGCACAAATTGAGCGACTTCCAACCCCGATCCTAAAAGTCTTCGTCGCTCCCCACTGGATGACTCGGCACGTCTGGAAAATCGTCGAAACAGATTTCCGCTAAAATGGATCGCTGAGTACAGTTCTAGCCCCAAAAATAAATTCCTTTCTACAACAAGAAAAGAAAGGCTCCTTGTTACTTACGTTGGATATTTTCCTGAACATTTGGCGAGACGATGCTTGGGCTGATGATTTGAGCTTGAGGTGTCTTTTCTAGTGAGGCTTTACGAGAGGCGGCGGAGGAGCTTGAGTTGCTCTTCGTGAGAGGAAGTTTGCCGAGGAGTTTGGAAACGCTTCTTCTGAAACTGCGGCCTGAACAACAAGTTTGGGCTATGCTTTTAACTTCAACTTTGAAAGAGAAGCGATCTGGGCAAGGGAGATGATCCAGATTGCCCGTGACTGACAGAAGTTATTGAAGCTCATCTAAAACCCGTCGACGATGATCTGCGCGGCCATCTTGTGGCCCAATATTAGAGAACTGGTGTTATCTCATTGCTTTTCCTTCACGATTTCAGAAGATAAAAAAGAACGAAAATGAAAATACTCCAGTTCGCGCTGGCCTTATTCAACTGCAGCTACGGGTATTATTTAATTTAGAACCTAATCGAAATGAAGCTAACTGTAATTGACAGGCAACGAGAGTCACACAGACTACAGAGATTCTTTTCGCCAGTCATTGCTCCTAGAAAAAGACAAGCTCTAGGCCTGCATGATGAAAAACATGGAAGAGGTAAAACTCGGCTCGGCAAGCTGTGCAGGAAACCTGAGTCAGGGACTGAAAGCGGCTTTACATTTGAGCTCTTTTAGACCTACCTGACTCAGGATTTCTGCACAGATTTCCGAGCCCAGAAAGATCGTATAATAATATACGTAAAAGCAAATTTTTATTGAATATAACATGTAATAGAATTTCTCGTTGCTTATTCAGTCGTGAGAGTCAGTCAGATTGGATCGAAAATCACTCGTATATGAATCTATCTTCTATCAATAACTGATGTTTATTGAAAATGCTCATACCGCAATTTAACATAAATAATCTAGATCTGGCTGTTAACCTATTTCAGTATACACTGGCAAAATTTCTGCTCACGACAAACACGACAAAATTCTCCAGCTCTCTGACATTATGTAGGAGTTTGATAGCTTCGAAAAACAATGAAGGAAAGACTCTTCAAACTCCGGAAAGATACCTATTGGAAAATTCGCACGCGCCAGAAATGATCATTTACAACAAATAAGGACGAAGTAAACGCTTGCTTTTTTTAATAGAACTTCTAATAAACGCTTCTCTTGTTTTGGAAAGCTTCTTATTTACCTCTCTGCTCTTGTGCCATTTTCAAAAATAAACCAAAAGAAGGGCGGAAGCTCCATAATCACCGACCCCTGAGATTTCATGATAGCGAGGGCGCAAAGGAGCTAATCGGCATATCATGAAGAAATTACGAAAACTTTCAGCGATATATTATATAAGACTTAATAATTAGTGATTGAGCTTGGCTAAAAGATAAAAAATCAGATCTTGACAAAAATCTGCGCTGAATCTACCGGGGCCCAGTGTAGCCAAGTGGCTATGGCCCCCTCAGCTCCGGTTGATCTTAGATCCCGTCGATAGCGAGGGCGCGAGTTCGAGACCCATTAGAATCAACGACTAATGTACCAGAAAAGTGGGAAGTCGGATATGGGTGTCCAGAATAGGACCAGAAATGAACTCCAACAGAAAAAAACCGACAGGATCCGGCCGGCCTGGGTTTCTTGGAGTAGCGAGTTGGCCATTAGCACTCCAAGTTTTTTTTTCTTGAAATCAATAAAATCTTTGTTATAAAAAAAATTCACTATTTACATTGTTTAGCCCTTTATAATGTTAAAGATAAGATAACAGTGTTTTAAGAAGAGTATTTGACACAGTTTTAGCGAAAGCCTTTGCACTGTACCAAAAATACGATCATATCGAAAATCTCCACCGCACCTTCCGGGGCCAAATAGCCGAGGTGGCTTGGTTCCCCCGCCCGACGGCAGGCTTATGCAACCAGGCCACCAGATGGTTGTATTGTCAAATTGACAAAGACTGTATTACAGTGTTGAAGCCGAGCCCAGTCCTAAGAACAGTCCGGACCATAAGTCTGAGAGGCTTGACTTAAGGGTATGGAGATCTGGGAGAATTCCTCCTCGGATAAAGGAGTAGAGCGGTGGAGCCGCTTTGCTGCTAGCTATGCTAGTAGGAATTCGTGGACGACTTTATATCTCAAGCGAAGTACCCAGGGTTCCGTTTCGGCTGAGGAAAGCTTGAGATTAAGTCGGCCTCAGACAAAATCAAGGAAAAAAACTCAGTCAAAGCCGGATTCCGGAGTTCGGAGAGGCTGGGTTTCTTGGTGTTCGCCTGGCCAATGAACAGTTCAAGTTTTTGACCAAATTAAATAATTTAATGCATTTTGGATGAACTTATTTACAGGAAAAGAAATGTCATCTCTAAAATTGTCTGTTGGGAAGTTCGCGCTGATGTTTGATTCATCATCTACGGCGGCCGAGGATGAATATTTCACCGCGTGTTCGATACACAGAGATACAAGGCAATTACAGCCCCAACATATTATTTTTTTTCCTAACAATGCGACATGGATATGGACGAGGACGGCGAAACAGACAACGAGATATGAATCGAATCAGAGAGAGCTTTTTTAAATTTACGCTTCTTCTTCCTCTTTATATTAATTTTTATGAAAAGAAACATTTTTCAAGAGCTCGATTTTTAGCGAGTTCAGTGTTTTTACAATCAACCATTTCAACACTCGGGAAAAGAAAGCAGCCGATTTCGTCATTCCAGGTTTTGTTTTTCAAAAGCAGGCGACAGAAAAAACCTTTTCTAGCGGCGGTGATTCTAGCGCTTTTATTCTTCGTCGCCGTGTTGAATCGCATCGCGAATTTGGACGACACTTTCTGCGGCTGTGTGTTTTGCAAGTTGCAGAATAATTCCTTCTGCGTTGGCTTGAACGATGAGTTTAGCAACATTTCGACAGTCAATATTTTATTCTACGGCATCGTTTCGTTTGATTGAATCGTTTTTTTAACTGTAGCCAGGACTCGTTATTCCGAATTCGTGCCGTTTGCAACTTTCACCCTGAAAAAAAACCGTGAAATCGTCGAAATTCTAGCGTAAGGTCCAATAAAAACTTTCGCGAGGAGAGTTCGTGGGGACCGAAAGAAACCTCAGGGCTCGTGCTGCCTTTCGTCAATTTAGGGTTTTTTAGAACAAACTTTTCTTTCAAGAAAACAGACCTTCGCGTTGTACCACTAACGTTTTACCACTGAAAAATCCTTTTTATAACGCGAGTTTTTATGAGAATCGACCCCGGGACTCCCTCCTCCGAGCAGCGACACACGACCACTACGCTACCCGTCCCCGGTAGACTAACTCTTTTCCCATTTTACTTTCTTCAACTTTTTTTTTCTTGATGAGTCATCAATGATGACATTAATTGAGTGATTCAAGGTCAGCGGCGCATTACTTGTTCCTCAGAGACAACCCTAACCTTCTTCCTGAAGAAAAAAAGGTGTAAAAATCGGAATAACTAGCCCTGACTGCAGTCACCAAAATACAGATAAGACCGCCTAGTTATGGAAATGCTGTCACAGTTATATTTTGAGAAGGATTTCCGATCTGCAAGTGGCAATTATTCTCGCTCGCCAAAGTGTTGAAAAAGGTCGATGAGGGCGGTCGGAAGGAAATGGTGAAAATCCAGAAAGCATTTCCGCTTCCCATCCGTTTATCGTTTCATATAAACACTCATCCCTTCCACGTCGGATCCTTTCTACCCTCGTAAAATGAAAATAATCATGCCGTATAAGCAGATTTAATAATTACGTTACTTTTTACGATTTTTTAGGATTATAGTTTTGAAAAAAAACATGGAAATAATACTTCCCCACCGATTTCTGACGTTTTTGTTCTTTGGAAAACGTATTTTGGTAGCCGAGTGGGTATTGTACAGTAGGCCACCATGGACTTTGACAGTAGTAAGCGAGGTGTTAGTCCAGATTCAGCTGGGGAAGGTTATCAGCTCGGTTGCTCCAGCTGTGCTGCGCCAGGCGAGATTTATTCCATTCTCGTGAATAAGAAAGCCCAAATCAGCATCACCCAGCCAGTCGACGTAAAATGACGATGACGGAAAAGACGAAACCTGTTTCCACTTACAGCTACGACTTCCCGCCCCAAAACAGGTAGGATAAGAGAAACACTCGCTTACAGTAATCAAATTATGCTCCACAAACTGTGTACAGCATTTCGGCTCGAGTTTTTAGGTATCTTGATGAATTTTAAGAAGCTACAGTAGGTCATAAGCAGTATTAGGACTCTATCGTTAGGGTTTAGTAGTCAAGTCCTGAATAGGAAGTGATCTTTATTTCAGTTTTCCTGTCAATTAATCCAACTAAAAATCTATCTCCTGAATATTTATAATCAAACTTAAAGTTTTTAATAAATAGGTACCTTAATCCACTCAATCGGTACTCCCTCGACAAGAAATTAAGGATATCATCTATTAAAATTTAATCTAACGAACGATCCTTAGATGGCAGAACGCAGACGACTACTGGTTTCCAAATGATAGCAACTCGATTGGCGGCTCAAACTATTCCTCTGCGGATGAACTTTACCGCCTCTGCGAGTCCTACCAGAACAACAATGAGTATTCCTTCCAGCAAGTTGCCTGTGTCCAATTTCCCTTTCAAAATTCATACAATACCAAGTGCGATGAACTTTGTGAGTGGTCCTGTAAACAGTGTAAGGTAAAAGCGATTTTTCTTTTGATGAAATCAAGGAAGAAAATTTCTGAATGACTCCCTAAATTCATTATTAAAAATACTTCGCCTCAAGGTTAAATTCGGTCTTTATTTCCGTAAAGGTAAAAATTGAGCGTTTGAATTTCAATTTCCTAGAATTAAGCCTCTAAGAGTCTTAGAGTAAGACTGTAATAAACATATTTTAAGAAACGTGATCCATCAGATCGCCGCCGAAACGCAACCCTTCGGGAGAGAAGACGCCTCAAGCGAGTGAACGAAGCATACGATGGCCTAAAAAGATGCGCTGTACGGTAAGAAGTTGATACAGTCGCGTCGTAAACAATTGCGTGACCTGTTGTATTTTCAGAAATCCCTCGCAGCGCCTGCCAAAAGTGCAAATTCTGAGGGCGGCGATCCAACGCATTGAGCAACTGCAGCAAATATTGTACACGGACGATCAGCTCAGAGGCAAATTGCTAATAAATAACCGTTTAATAATGCATTCTAGCACTGAAATCACGCGTGGAAGGGAGCAAAGTCAAACTCACTCCATATTCGCGGGTAAATAAATAAAAAGCTAATAAGGAATGTTAAAGCAATTAGTCCTCAAATTCACTCGCTCCTTGAACCTCTTTCTAGCCCTCAAAATACTCTACCAACAACGCTAGCTCTGGAACCGAGCTCGGCAGCCTCAACGAACTAGTCAAGAAACTCGGCAGCCCATGAAAAAATAGGCCGACGATCAATTTATTTCTTTCTTCAAGTCTCTTTATTCTGATATTTCTTTGTTCAATTCTCTCTTGCCCTTTTTTTGCATGCCTTTTACTAACATGCTAACATTCATCAATCTATATAGTCTATATAATATAGACTATACAATATAGTGTGTTAACTAATTAAAACATTTTTTTTATCAAATAAGTGAACATAAAAGTATAAATAAAGTGAGAACAGAGATTACCATGTTCGTCTTTTTATGATTGGTTGTATTGGCCTTCCAAGTCGGGTGTTCGTCGGTTGTCGGTTGTTATTGTTTGGTGGAGTAGGGGCAGCGAAAGTAAATTTCGGCACCGGTTTTGGGGCGAATGGTGGCGTTGGTGAGAACTGAGTGGTGTTGAGTCGTGACTTGAATCGAGCATACACGTAGCCGGCGATGAAGCCAAAAACGATGAAGCCAATTGTGAGGACCAGTAGACCGCCTAGTGCGACGAGGACTGCAGTGAGATCAATGACGATGATCGGGTCCCGGAATATCAAGAACCCGGAGTCCGGGATCTTAATTATATTATTATTTTAGCAAATTGGTCAAAGCTTACCTCAGCCGCAAATGTGAGAACGAAGAAGCTCACAATAGTCGCTCTAAAAACAAGGAATCTCTGCATTATCGCCTATTTCTAAAATCGCTTTTCAAAAAACTCTCTTTTTGATAAATATTAATCATAAAAAATCGAAAAGCTTTTCCTGGGCGTCAGAACTAGGCGAATGAAAGACCGGTCGCTTGAAAATTTTCAACGCGGCATGGCGCAGATGGCAAATTTTCGAAGCCACTTCCTTAAAAGGAAAGTTTGGAAAACGAAATGAATAAACATGAAAACATAGGTGATGCGGGTTTTTCTGTATTTGCCGTTGAATGTCTATTATGAAGAAGGTACAGCCAGTTCCTCCTCTCGCCGATTTATTTTTGTTCTGGGCTTCGTGCCCAAAAGTGCTTTATGAATGGCGCTTGAGGCTACTAAGTAGATGGTTGATCCAGAAAGACAAAATCGAATTTCAGCAAACGATAAGCTAAAATTTTTTCAATAATTCTTGTTTTATGACGCTCAGCGAGCAACTAGCAACGATTTATCTGGGAAGGAAATAGACGATGAAGAGTCAGACTCTGTTTTGATGTCGTCGCAGTCAGAAGCTTCTTCGGTCCGTTCAGGTGCTATAAATGTATTATCTTTTGTTTTCTAAAAAAGAGAAGTGACTCCGAAAACGTCGCTGGATCAGTCGCTTAGGACTATTCCTCAGGACTCCTTCGTGACGGACGGGAGCAGCAGGACAAAGTGGGACAAGAAAAATGAAAACGAAAACATTTTGAATAACGACGCATCGAACGCTACGACATCCGCTCTTGCTAATTTGGGCGAGTCGTTCTCCTCTTTTTGCAACTCGAGTATTTTTGCAGATGTCACCATCAGAATAGGATCAAGCTTTAAACGCTTCCTAAACCTCTTTTTAGCCCTCAAAATACCAACACGCTCTACCAACAACGCTAGCTCTGGAACCGAGCTCGGCAGCCTCAAGGAACTACCGCGATTATCATTTCTAGATGACTATTATGTCCGCCTACGCTCCGTCAATTAACATTGTCAATTTTTCGTTATAACATTTTTCCCATGCGAAAATGTTAAAATGACGAGCGTAGGCGGACAAGAATAGTCACTCAGAAATGATAATCACGGTAGTCAAGAAACTCGGCAGCCCATGAAAAATAAAAAGGCCGACGATCAATTTATTTCTTTCTTCAAGTTTCTATATTCTGATATTTCTTTGTTCAATTCTCTCTTGCCCTTTTTTTGTATGCCTTTTACTAACATGCTAACATACTGTAAAGTACCTAACTGACCATTTAACATGTATTTGTAGGGACTAAGAGATGATTGAATGAAAATTAAAATTGCAGTTTTTCGTAGATAAGTTGGCTCAAGATGAATTCTTGACTCCGACTGTAGTAAATTTGTAGTTTTGATTATTTATTGAAGTGTACAGGTTCAAAAAAGCACAGTTAGTGAGCAGATAAGAAAAAACTGAGCTGATTCGTATCATAAGTCGGCTAATAGGAGGGCTTTCCGTATCCATTGTCAGGGCCTCTATGAAAAATAGTAAGAAAAACACTTGGAATGTGACTTACGATTGATAAGATGGAACTGGGCGGTATTCTGGAGCGCGGCTGTTCTGATAGCTGGAGACTGACGAAGACTGGCTGCGGGAGTACTCATTGCGGCGCTGGTCCCGCGAGTCAACCATCGCTCGTGGAGGTCTGTCGTAAGGATTTGGGTGTGGGGTCGAGTTCGAGCGCGAGTAATTTTGAGCTGAGTTGAATTAATAAATTATGCATTACTAATCGAATTATTACCGGAGCTGTAAGGGTCTCGCGGCGCTCTGGATTCACGAGAAACCGGTTCCACTCTTCGTTCTTGCACTGGCGATCTGTTCCGGCTTCGGTACATGTTTCTTTCTCTTTCCATTCGTTCTCTATTCAAAACAACCGTTAGTTGTATTCTTCTAACTTTTAATATCCGACCTCTCTTCAGCAAAGCGCCTTCTCTCCTCGGCCAACTGTCGTCGCTCGAGTTCGAGCTTCTCCCGCTCGCTCTGCTCTTTCGTCGTCCTTCTTTCTTCATTGACACGCTTGAGATCGTCCTGGACGCGTCGCAGCTGACGGCGGTCGTCTTCGAGCAATTCCCGCTCCGTCTTCAGCAGCGACTTGAGCTTGTCCAGGTCTCGTTCGTAGTTTTTGCGCTCATCGCGCATTCGTCGACAATCATCGCGCACGCGGTTCACTGAGAAAAGACATCAACAACGACAATTAAAGAATTAGAAACTCACCATTGTCCCTCATGCGCTTAATGTCTCGTCCGAAATCCTCGATATCCCTCCTTGATCTTTTCTCCGCGTCTCTCAGTTTTTCTAGCTCTTTTCGGTCGTCTTCGATCGTTTTTTCTCGTCGCTTCATGTCCGCTTCAATTGATACTATCTGCTCGGCTGTGGTTTTCGGCTTTTCCTCCAGTTTCTAAATGAATAAATTGAAAGCCGTGGATTCTTATAGTGCTCTCTTACCGATTTCTTGCTATCCTCGTTTTTATTTGGTTCGGAAGAATGAGATCTCTTCCGTTCCTTGTACTTGGGATCGGAAGCTGATACAGTATCATCTCCGACAGTGCAGCCATTTTTGAACTTCGTCACGAAGGCGGATTTGCTCGAAACGCGGACCTCGATTTTGTAGTTCTTTTCGCCGATTTCTTTGCAGACGAAATCGCTGGGATTGAAACCCTCGAGAACTGCGAAAACTGCTTCTTCTGTTGGAGCCGCTCTAAAAAGGAATAAGTATTTGGGGAAGAAAAAGGGATTCTTGTCATGGATATACTCTAGGATACTCGAGGATGGTTATTGAGGGGTTCTTGCAAATTGAGAAGTCGATTAATCGAATCTGCGAAATAACACTCTTCTGAAATGCAAAGCATTGGCAACATTGGACCGATTAGTTAAGAGAATGTGGCTGTGTTAATAGAGCGAATACTGTAACTAAGAATACGTGCACTCAGTTTCTAGTCTTCGATGCGCAGTTTTTCGATGGTATTGATCTGAATCTCGATCTCTTCGTCTAATTTAGGGTTTGCAATCTTACATCATAAGGTTTTATCTAAGTTTCCCTGGCGGTGTTTTATTTTGAGTTGGCAACCCTAGCTATTCGTTTTCTCTTTCGATCTCTATAAGCCACTCTCTCTAACGCTCGCTTCAAACGACGTGTTTCCTCTTCTTTCGCCTTTTCCATCAGTTTTCTTTGATATTCTGATCGACGTTCTTCCTCGTATCTTCTCTCTTCTAACGCTCTTCGTAACTTTTCTCGTTCAGCATCCCTTAGCCTCTTTTCAGCTTCTCTTTTCTCTTTTCTTTTCTTATGCCGATCGTACGCCTCTTTTTTGATGCACCAGTTTTTGTAGCGTCTTTGGTGAGCGGCCCGCCTTCGGCGTCCTTCGATCTGCTCCGGCGAGTAGTAAATATGGACGATGTCCTCTGTGGCCATGTGTACTTTCTCCTCTTGAGCATCCTCCTCTTCCTCGTGGTCGCTTTCACAGTCGTCTTGCTTACTCTTGTCCTCATCAGCTTGCTGTTGTTTGTCTTCCTTTTCTGAAGCTCTCACTGGGTGAGATTCCTCTTCATCCTCATCGCTTATAACTATGATTTCTTCTTGATCACTCGCATCCTCTTTTTCATAACCTTCTCCGTCAGTATCTTCTTCATCACTATCTTCCCCCTCGTTTTCTTCCTCTTCACTGTCTTCTTCTTCGGAAGCATTCGGCGTAAATTGGTCGGCATAGACTACGTGTTTGTCAAGCTCCTCCTCTATCATCGTCCAAGCGTTATAAGAGGCCCGTTTGTAGTTGTGTTCTTCTCGATAAAAATAAATCGACGTAGCTGATCACAGGATTTATCAAAAATTATGACGGAATTTTTTCGCGAAAAACTCGAAATGTTTAAAAATCCTAGCATTCAAGCATTGGTACCATGCCCTCAGCCTTGATGTAGTTAATTCTCTGATAAACCTCCTCTTCGCTACTTGATGATTCTAAATAAAAGGAAGGTTGATAATTGATTTCAACGAGGAAGAGCTACCATAACTTCCGGATTCAGAGCTGGAATCAGACTCAGAGTCAGCGTCCGAGCTGCCTCGAGAATTGGGATCAGAGTCGGAAATCGTTTCCCAGCCGCTTTCAGAGTCATATTCGTTGTTGCCGCCGTTGTTGCCGCCGTTGCTGCCGCCGTTGCTGCCGCCGTTGCTGCCGCCGTTACTGCCTTCGTTGCTGCCGTCGTTGGTATACGGAGGCGTGTATGGATAAAATGGGATAGGCTCATCGTCGCCGCTGTACAACTCGTCTCCAGAAAAGTCTTCAGAAAATGAATTCATCGAATCGTTTGTGTCTTCGTCTTGAGAGTCACTTATGAACCCTTCGGTATCAGTGTCGGTTTTTTCGTAAACGGGCACATAGTGTTCACCAGTATGAATGACTTCTCCACTGGTTGTGTGCGTTTTAATAAGCTGCAGAATTGAGAAAAGAAGCATGCAATTAGTAAAAGATGAAAGACCAAGAGTTAGTCAAAGATAAACTTCGCAGATTCGATTAATTTAAAGTGTAATTGAGAGACTTTGGGGATGGATGGTTTCATGCACGAAACATACCTGAAGCCTGTGAGGACCACTGTTCCCGGGTCAGCCTGCTTGTCTTCGGCTTTCTCGATACCAGATTGAGTTATCTGCTCGAGTTTTTCTTTATCCTCGGTTTTTTCCTCCGTTTCTTGTTGGAATTCCATGCCTTGATCTTCCTTGGCTTCATCTTGGATCTTTTCAGATTCACCCGCATCTTCCTTTTTCTCCACAGATTCGGTCTCAGTTAGTTGGGGAGCCAACTCTTCAGTTTCTTTTTCTATCTCAGTCGCCTCTTTTTCATTTGTCTCCATTTCTTCAATAGATGGTGCATCATCGCCAGTTGCTTCTGCAGCATCCTCAGAGGCATCCTCATGGATGGTCGTTGAGAGTGAATTCTGCTCGTCTTGAGAATCGTATTCTTGTGACGATTGGCTGGAGTTAATCACGATCGGGTCGTCGGCCGTGCCTTAAAAAAATAATTCGAACAAAATATGACAGTAGTTAAATAGAGCTACTAGAATACCAAACAATACTGTTGACGACATGAAGTGTTTACTCATGAAAGTTTCAAAAATTAAATAGCGACTACTACGACTTTGTTTTTAGCGTTCGCTCTAAAATAAAAATACAGATGATTGATCTGAAACATGCCATCCTTTTTTTTCAAAACAGGAATTTTTGGAATTGTGTGTTATGTGTTTTTGCGCGTTATCTACAGTACCAGCCAACGGGATCTTCATATCAATTGTAGCAGTCAATTCCGCTCGTTGCTCAGCAGTCAGTGGCTCGTCGGTTTGGTGGATCACCTGCGCTTCTTCATCCTCTTCTACCGCTGCAGCCTTTGATTCCTCATCACTTTTTCTAGCAGTAGGTGGATTTGAAGAAGTGTCTTCGCCTGTTTGATCCTCTGCCGCTGCCTTTTCGCTCGTCTCTTGCTCTTGCTCCTCGATTTGATCCTCCCCCTCCTCTGCTTGAGAAGTTGCTTTTCCAATATTTGCCAAAGCATCAGACTCGTCGAAGTCTACCTCCGCTGGATCGCTGCCCTGCTCGCGGATGTATTCGGTAAGACGCTAGATTTTACATTCGAGATTTTGATTTTCCTATTTTTTAATTAAAAAATACTGCATCTTTCTCTCCCTCTGTCTCCTGCATTCAATACCAAAATACAATACTTGTATATAAAAACTCGGCTATTGCAAATTCAATTTCAGAGCGCATGTAAAAAATGTAAACCTACTAACTGAAAATCGTGGCTAAACTTACCTCCACAAGCTCGGCTTTTTTCCCTTTCTTTGAAAGGCCCAACTTCGCTAGTTCATCGTGGAGTTCATGTACTTTTAGGTCGCTCAGCTTTCGCATTCTGAAGTTGCCTCTTAAAATTCCCGAAAAGGTAGTAAAATAGTATGAACTTGTAGAATACAAAATAGAAATATTTAAATAGAAAAATAGAATTCTGAAATAGAAAAAGAAGGGGAAGGGCAATTAAAAACTTGGCAAAAAAGATTGAATAGGAAGCACGTGAGCATATAATTGAAAAGTTGAACTGAATGATAAATGCGGAAGGTTGATTTTTAAGTTAATTAAATGTTAATTAATTAGCATTTCGAAGCAGCTTCGATCCACTGTTGACAATGCTGCGCGTTTTTCTGGGCGAGTCGCATTTCTTTCATCAATTGCACGATTTCAGAGCAGTTCTGAAAGGTTTTATAAATCAAATAGACCTCAGTTGTTTAGAAATACCTTGAATACTGACGGGGAAAACGAGTCATCCTTTTCAGTTGCTTGAGCGGCAGCTATTCGCTCTAGAACTAGCTGCGCGGCGCTTGGAGAGGGTGGTGCGCAAACGCTTCCGCCGTACATCTTTGCCACTTTCTATAAAAATTGATTTCATTCAAGGGAGAACGTCTACGCTTTTCTTAGATCTGTAGCATTTAAGGGATCCCCCCCCGATTTGCCCAACTTTGACCCCTATCTACTTTTTACTCGTCTTGCGTGTGGGGCTGTATAGGGGCTCAAATTAAAGCCCGTTTCTTGACGAGCAAATGCATGCATGATAAGCCCCTAGTTATAAGATTCACTTATGCATAAGAAGCCGTCAAAGTGACTTACGTTGCCAAAAACGGTCATTTTCGGTCATTTTCAAGTTGTATCTACTTTTTTTTGGGGCTATGGGTTCCTAATATCTCTTCATTTTTAGAAAGATTGGACCCTTGTCTACATTTGCATGCATGATCATCAAGTTTGGCAAAGTAGAAAAAATTTTTCTTATTATAAAACTTTCAGCCGTCATTTTAGCGATTTTTTGGAGTCTTTTTGCTCTCTAGCGCCGCCAAATGATGAATTTCTTTCTCGAAAACTGTTTATTTCTTGATAAGGGCGTTATATGCTTTCAAATAAGCCCCTATTTGCCTCGTTATGAAGACCTTCGAATTCTGAAAAAATCGAAAATTTTTGCTAAGTATAGATTATAATGCAACTTCAACACGCTCTCACGAGAAATCACGTGATATGAGGGCCTTGACATAATGGTAAAAAATGACGCTCAGATCATGGGGAATCTAAATATGCACCGCTCGATACTTTTTGGGAAAATTTTTCGGATCGGGGGATCCCTTAAATATACGTTTCGAAAAGTAGTACCGATCATACCTTGATGATTGCCATCATTTTATCAACATTGGTCTTCAAACTGGTGTAGCCATAGAACTCGTGGTGCGGCTGTCTGTATTCTTTTGTCGGCACAATAAAGTGCAGTGGAATCTGCTCTCTGTTCGCGTCCATTATTTCCTGGAACGATGAATTGTTAAATGGAAAGTAAGAATCTCTTTACCTGGAAGACAGTCTCAGGCGCGAGTTCGAACTCGGCATCGGAAACGATAACGATTCTGCTCGCTCTGCTCAAAAGAGCCGTACGTATTCCATGAGAAAGCTCGCTCGTCCCACCGTTTGGTCTCAAGCATTTCATCCACAGCGCTAGATCGTCGCAAGCAGCGTTGTTCATCGCGTAACAGCTTGACTGCCACGATTTGACTCCATCTAAAGAAGCAGTTTTCAAAATAACCGGTTTTCTAGAAACGGCCAAAATTACCGTTGAAAAGGATGACGTTTAGTTTTCCCTTGATATCTCTCGAAAGTCCTCTCATCGCGGCAATGAGCTCGTAAATCCACTGTCTAGATGAGTCAGAACCGTCAATTAACACGACGGTGTTTCCCCTCGCCATCGCCGGATGAACGGACTGGAACCACAGTCGATGGGGCGCTTCGAGGTACCACTGAATCCGTTTCAAATATCGCCGCGCGGCTTCCAGCGACAGAACTTGCAGCTGCTCGAGCTCGGCTACTTGCAGTTCGCAGTGGCGATCCCGCACAATCGGCAGTACTCCTCGGTATACTTTGGAGCCGGGAGTGATGCGACGCTCCCACCTTTCCAAATTTATTTTCAGACCCTAAAACCACTTTATTGTTGGTTTTCAAGGACTAAGCGGCTATTTAACTATTCGCGCTGACATTTAATAGTGAACTGAACTAACCTTGAGTCCATTTCGCTTGAGCCAATCTTTTGAAGAAAGATGCTCCTCTTCTTTTGGTATTTTCAAGCAAGAAGGGATCACCGGCGGAGGCTTGACAGAAACATCTAAGTACATCGTTTGGCCTTTATCGAGACACGTGCCGCCAGTGAGGTAGAACTGCCTCTTGTGGAGCATTGCAGGCGCTTTGGACCCGCGAAGCAGAAGGGGATGTTTGGTTCCAGCAGTAGTGTTAGGACGGTTAGTATGGTACGACTGCTTGATCGCTCTCTGATACGCTTTGGTCTTTTTCGTATCCTTAGGCTGGATCCATTCGCGTGACTCGATCGAGGACTTGCTCTTCTCGAAGTTCCGCGTCGAGGGAGACGCCGATTGGACGACGCGTGGTTTATCCACTGTTTGAGCTCCTTCGGTTTTCAGTGCAATGAGAGTCTGCGATTGCGCCACGGTAGTCGCCTCTTCGCGATCGATTAGATCGAAATCGGAACTCCCCCGAGGGATTAGGCTAGAACACTCACTGTTAAATAACTCGATAAACACTTCTCAATGGGTCGATAAAACGCAAATTATAAATACAATAGCAAACCCCTTCAAATAAACCCCGACCAAACTCACCTATTTTTCACAAGTTTGAGCTCGACTCTCGCCCCATTTGACTCTTCGGACAGTCTCTTGACAAACTGATCCATTTCCACATCAATCGACACTGCACTTATCACCGGCTCAAAGCCAGTCGCACTTGCATCTTCAATCATCTCCACCAGATTCTCGCTGCGTTCGATGATTCCATGATGCACGAGACAGACTTCGGCCGAGTTCTCGGTCTTCGCGACGCGTAGCGCGACGCTCAATGCTTTCGGCCACGATTTAAAAAGCTCACGATTCTGAATACTTTCGGCGCCAAGGACCGCGCGTTTTCGTAGAATCGTAAAAGTGTCGTTCAGATTTTTGAGGAAAGCCCCCAGCTCATCTTTGTACGAGCACGAGTAGGTGCTCACCGAATTGTCTTCCCTCACCACGCTGGAAACAATGTTGATTTGTTGCATTGAATTCGCGAAGGTCGTCACCAATCTCTCCATAAACGCCAGCGTCTGAGGCGACTCGTCGATAACGAATGTAACCTGTTTCCTTGGTATGAATCCGACTCCAGTACTTTTTAGCGCGTCTTTGAGTATTTTCAGCATTCGCAAATGATTGCCCAAATGCTCCAAAAGATCGTCGAACTTTCGCTTGTCATAGGCGACGAATCGGGAGACGCCGTCGGGAAATTCTAGCTCCAAGAGACCCTTTGTGTTTCGAAGAGTTCGCGCCTGCACTTCTTTATCCAGCACTTTGACATAAGTGCTCCCTTGTCGGCCGATGATGTCTAAGGCTTTAAAAATGTCGATTCTCTTCGCCTGGAGATTGTTTTCTTTCAGCCAGGTGAAGACGTCGAGTTGGAGCGGTTGTTGGGCCGGTCTAAAGCTCAGCATCTCACCCTCTTCCTCCTCTTCTTTTCGCAGCAGTTTCGTGCTCGAGCAAGTTCCGTTTCGAATTTGCTTGCAGAACTGCATGATTCTCTGCGAATCCGCCTTGACTTTCCGCACGTCGTCGAGCTCCACAGAGCTGTTGCTTGAGACGATTCGATTGTACGGATTCTGGTTAAGATTGACGATCTTCTCGGCCATCTTGCGATGCGATTCGTCAAGAAGAGCTACAGTTAGATTCACACGTGATCCGACCAAGACATCCTCCAGATGCTGCAGCTGCTCTTCGCTCAACACGGGTTCTTCCATTTCCGGGCCGAGGAGGACGACGATCTTTTCCAAGAGCGAATCCTGCAGAGCCGATTTGAAGCTTTCAAAGATATTCGCTGGCCACTCACCATTCTTCATAAAATCGTCGATTTTTCCACGAACAAGCGCTGCTTGCCCTTGAGTAAAAGGCTGGTAACCGTCAAGCACCGGCTCGTTTCCGACCAGAAACTGGACTTGCTGCTGTGTCGTCTGAAGGTGCTGGAGGAGGGAGAAGACCCGTTCGTCCATGACTTGGAGAATGACGGAGAGCTTGACATTCTTAGGAATGACGCCAAAGGTAGCAGCCGGCTCTGATTGTAGAAAGTTAAGTCGTTCTTCGCAAGCTGCTAGCGTGGAACTTGTATGTCGCTCAATAGCAACAAGCTGGGAGGGTTCTAGAAGCGGCAAGTGCATGTAGTACTCGACATCCCTCTGAGGACGATTTTGCTCCAGCCAGACAGGCCCTGGCAGGTCCATTCTGAGTCAAATAAGAGCGTTTACTTGTGAATTTGAATGTAAGATTCAGAACTTTATTTTTAGTCTTTTGGTATAAAATACAGAATTTTATCCTGAATCAAGTTTTTAATAGCAGGGAATTTAAATAGCAATTTTTATTATTTAAAATTGAGTCTTTTTAGTCTCTTTAGTCAAACATGGTGAGAAGGCATTTGAAGAACAATGAAGTAGTAAAAAGAAAGTCTGGAGAAGTCCAGTGTTGAAGAAATTGAAATTTTGGAAATATTTGGAGAGTTTTGAAATATCAAGTCATCTTGCTCGGATGGGGCACTGCTGAATCGGGTAGGCTCGTTTTGGGCTGGATAGAAGAAAGCTCTTTCTCGAGCGAGAGAATCGCCGAATCGAGGATCTCTAGCTCAGAAATGCTAGAACGGGACAAGGCGTCGTGTTTCAATTTTATCGACCTAAACATTTGTTTTGACATCTCTCCATATTTGATCGTTTTTAGAGCTTCGAAAACTTACTTGACGGTGGAATTTTTAAGTGCATGAAGTTCGCGTTCCAAGCTTTTGATCCTATTCGTGTATCTACAGTCATTCTGCGAAATCGTCCTCAGCAAGTTGTCCGACTTCTCTTGCAGCAACTCGTTGCTTCTCTAAAATGAGCTGTTCAACTGTAATTGAGCTTTGTTGCTACCTTGAGAACTTTGCGGCGAAACTCCAGTATTTTACGCTCGGCCGAGATCTCTCGCAAGAGATCATCTTTTGTCTCCACGTGCGGTGAACTTGATACTTTCTTTGTTTCAGAAAAGGGCTCTCTGCTCAGCTGACCAACTTCTTCTTCCAGTTCGCCACTACGAAAAACAAATTATGTTTAATCGACTCTGCATCATATTCATATTCGACGGTAGAAATATCGAATCAGGATGTTCTGCCAAATTAAACATGATGAGACCCTTATTTTATCCCACCAAAAGAAGATTCATGGTCTCTTGTAAGCAGGTTGCCAAGCCCAGACCGAGCTCTATACTTACAACGTCGCATTGAGCAGAATCCCTATCGAACAGAGCTCTTCCAGCGGTTTCGGATAGCCGACAGTAACAGAATGCGACAAGTTCATCTGCCGAAGACACGACTGTTTGATCAAAGCAGCGCTCTTTTCCGCTCGCTCCGTCGCCCCGTTTAGATTCTCCCTCCTCGATTTGACGTGCACCAGCTGCGCGGAAAGGAGTTTTTCTTCTTTCGCCAAGTCGGAGAGGCGTTTTTCTTGAGCTTCTTTCTTTTTCGCGAGTTTCTCGAGCTCTTCAAGGCGTTTTTCTGCGGCTTCGATCGACTCTTCGAGATTCTCTAGTTTCGAACTTTTCACGAGGCCGAATTCGCAATCGCTGCTTATTGCTGAATTTTAATACATTAGCGTTATTCTGAAACTGCTTTACTTACAATCGAGCGATTCAGATTTTGGAAACTTGGGAGATGAAGCTTTCGACTTTTCTTTCACAATTTGCTTCTTGACACTTTTTGTTCTTTTTTGAAAATACGGAAAATCGGAAGAATGATGTCCTTTTTCTTAAAAAGCTTTCCTGAGCTGCGTCTTTTGGTTTTCAGTGAGCACGTGATCTGCCAGCTGGCGGTCTCTGAAAAAGAAAGTGAATAGGAAATTCGATTTTCATTTGGTATTTAATGCTCTGGGGTGGGCAATATGTGAAGAAAACCAGAGTCAGGAACCTGAAGCGATTCGAATGGCTACACGACGTTTAGACTAAACCGATGTTCTCGCTAACCGACGTTTTCGCTAAACCGACGTTCTCAGCAAAAGTCAAAACGTCGGTTTAGTCAAAACGTCGGTTTAGTCAAAACGTCGCTTTTCTTTAAAAATGCGGGGGCAATCAGAGCGAATGAGAATAGGCTCTTCCTGGATTAAAAATTCTGTCTAAAGCCCGCCGTCTTACTCAAACCGAAATTTTTAACTTGGAAAAACAAAATATATATTTTATAATTTTAAAATTATTATTTGAATAACAAAATCAATAATTTTAAAAAATATTAAGTCTGCATAATTTACTGATCTTTTTACATTTTATCGGTCTTGAGATCATTTTTAAAAGATTTTTTTATTTATATTAGTTAATTTAAAGAAGATATTCATTATTCTTATACATTTACTCTCCAAAAAGATCTTTCGAAAGGTAATGAAAACGTCGGTTTGACGAAAACGTCGGTTTCCAAACTGAGTCTTAACCAAATTCGAGGCGCCCACGCATTTTTAAGGAAAACCGACGTTTTGACTAAACCGACGTTTTGACTAACCCGACGTTTTGACTTTTGGTGAGAACGTCGGTTTAGCGAAAACGTCGGTTAGCGAGAACGTCGGTTTAGTCAAAACGTCGTGTAGCCGATTCGAATGGAGAAGGTAGTCTTTGGTCAAGACTCAGTTCTTTTCTCAAGCCCTCTCTCAAAACCCTGATTCAGGTTGCCGAGCCTGGTCAAAAACCTGTTTGCCAGGAGCTGGAATTGGATGAATTTTTCGTTTTCTTCTTTCCAGGATTGCTCAAGCGTTTCGAATTCATTCTTCAGTTCTTTGAGAAGTTCCAATTCTTCTTCCGATTTCTGAATGACCGACGATTCGCTCATCTCATCCTAAATCATTCCATCTGATGTCGCTGTTTTGTAAATTCAGTTATGAAAGACAGTGATAATTGAAGCATTTGATAGTGAGATAAGTTCTCTTGACCAGTGGTCAAAGATTCTTGTAATTTCGCTCGAAAAATCGCGAAAATCGAGAAATCTTTCTTTTCCAAGATGCGCGAGCAGCCAATCAGCGCGCGCCAATTTCGAATAATCCTCGTCAGAAGCTTTTGAAGGGTTTTCTCGTCAATAATCATGTCTAAGATCATCTCTAAAGCTTAATTACAGTAATTCCGACTTATTCAACTATGTTTTCAAAATTTCCTGCTCGCGGGATAAAAGCGCGAAGGTGAAAACTTAGCGCTCTGGTTCTCTAGAACAGGGGCGGAGCAGCGCCTGTTTTCGCCATTTTGTCATTCATCACTTTCACACCCCGAGTGATTGAAGGTCCGAAAGCGGCAATTTTACTGGTAAGTGCTTACTTTTTTTATTTTATTTTTGAAATTAACACTTTTTTTCAGAGCTCAAGTTTGAGAAAACTTCCAAAAGGAAGAGCCAGCGGCTAGAAGAGAAGGGAAGACTCTTACTCTCCTCCTTACACCCTGGACCAACAATAACCCTGAAGATGCAGGCAAAAGCCTGGCATCTACCGGCAAAGATCACGCAAAAATCGTGCTACGCTCTGTACATTTCCTGAATAAAATCAATTTCTTCTCCCTGCAAATAAATGCTTTCATAACTTTAACAATCTTTCTCGATTTTGGGATGATAAAAATACAGAATCATTCCAAAATCTTTCGTCTTTTCGATTATCTTAGCAGAGTTTACAGCATTTTCAAGTACTGTAACTTGTAATTGTACTTAAAATTGATACCAAAGAGGAGTCAGCCTTAGAATTCAAGATCTGAAAAATATAGAAATTCCTATTCATTTCAGGATCAAACTTTGAAGCTCAAAGCGTAAGATAAGGGTTCAAAATGGTCACTGATTCATGATATTGCTGATTCATCGGGATTGAATTGTTGGTTTGTTCCTGCTTTCGATAAGGACATTCGGAAAGTCGCCATTTGATAGGTTGCATAGATTCCTTCATTTTCCCTTTTTAGCCCTTTTGAGGAGAAGCTAAAAAATTTCATAAAAACTTTTGAAGCGAGAAAGAATTCAGGCCCTTTGGAAATGAGCTACGCCCAGTCGAAATTCGAGGTAGCAGAGAAGAACTTCACTGAAGCAAGAAAGAAGAAAGAACATCTGGCGAAAACGCTCGAAGGCCTGAAAGACGCCTATGCGGCCGCGGAAAAAGAACTCGAAGAAGCTAGACGAGCAAGATATTGCCTGAAGGCTCTCAAAGGTAAGATTCACGAACAAGAGCGGAAATCGATTATGCATTAGACGAGAAGGAGAAGGAAGAGCCCTTCTTCTGCCTCAAGTGCATCACCAACGCTCCTCGCTACTGCTCTGGCTGCGGCAAGCCCTTGGCTGACGACAAGATCCTCAAGCTCTTCTGAAGAAGAAGAAGAGTCTTCTGTCTTACATATCTCAGATTGTTAGAAATCATCGAGAATAAATAGAAACAAGACATTTTCGTTTACTGCTTGTTTTCTTTACTCATTTGCTCTTCCTTGATTTCAAATTCTCTGCTCACTTTTTTAATAACCATCATTTTTAGAGCAAGTAATCGTAAGCGGAAATCAAAAATGTCGAATGGGAAGTCGAAGCGAACAGTTTGGGTGGGGAATTTGGAACCGAGAGTTACGGAAGAAATCCTTTTCGAACTTTTTCTTCAAAGTTAGAAACATGTTAAATCTGACCGTTTAACCGACGTTTTAGTTGCTCCATTGGAGGATGTTACAAAGCCAAAAAACAAGAACTTTGCCTTCATTCTCTTCACGCACAAAGAAAGCCCAGACTACGCCGTAAGAACCCTCAACAAAATTTCCCTTTTTGGGCAAAAGATTCATGTTAAACTTCATGAGAAGAAGCGGAAAAGAAAATCGAGAGGTAAACGATTCAATGACTTCTTTTGTTTTTTCATCGAGTTTTTTCAAGAGATGGTGGATCGACGAGTAGAAGATTGCAGCCAAAGTCGTGGTCGGAAGAAAAACAGTCGACGAAGCTCTCCAAGCGGCTTTGATGATCGCGTCAACAACTCGTCTTCTCGCAAAGATGAAAACGAAAACGACACTGGAGTCACTTGCACTGGTCCAGCCTCTGAGAGTGTCAACTTCATCCATGATTTCAATAAAACAGGGTTCAATCGCAGTCTCCGCAAAACTCTAAAGAAATTGAATATTCAAACTCCGACTCCTGTCCAAAGCGCTTCTATCCCGGTAAGAAAACATTCAATTTTCGTCAATTTATTTAACTTTCGTCAATTTTATTCAATTTCAGGCGATCATGTTGAAGCGTGATATCATAGCGTGCGCTCATACCGGTTCAGGCAAGACTGCTGCCTATCTCTTGCCCATTGTTGACGATTTGATGAAGCAGAACATCAAAGCCGAGTCCGCTGAGCGCCAATTTCCCCAAGCTCTAATCGTCTCTCCGGATCGTACCGAATGCCGCATGATCTACGAGCAGTGCTGCATGTTCGCAAAGGGCACAGGAATCATGGCCCAGTGTCTCCATAAAGGAATGGATATTAAATTCGCTCGCAAGGTAAGCTTTCCATTGTTGTCAAACAGAGCTAACTTTTAACTCCAAGAAAATACAAGAAAACGGGTGCAACATTCTGATTGGAACGGCACAACGAGTAAATGATGTCTTGGAGAAATTAGATTTTCTTGAACTCGGCAAGCTTCAATACTTCGTCATTGATGAAGCCGAACTCACGCTTGACGTGCGTTTTGGACCGATTAAGAAGCTTCTTGTAACGGGTCGTGTAAGATTTAATTGAAATTATGAGCTTTCTATGGATTCGGTATTAAGGAAACGCCTGGTAAACGCCAAACACTCATGTTTTCCGCCACCTTCTCCCCAATTCTCCAACGATTCGCCACCGAATATCTGGACTCGGAAACCTTGTTCATTAAAGTGGATTAAAATTTTCAGCTGCTTTCGATATCTGCCTTCAAAACTGCATCCAATGCAGACACAATTATTGAGCTCGTTTTTAAAGAATAAAACGGAATCGGTAAAAAATGGACTTTTCCTTCGCAAATTGCAAGGCATCATTTTCGAAAAAAGGATGACGTCCAAGACTCATATTTTTTATAAACAAGCGTGAATGTACAAAAGCGTTTAATCGAATACAAATTAAAAAGTATTAACAAATAAATAATGAATTTACAAATTGAAAATGGGTTTCTTCCGTTCTGAGCAGGTGGATTTTCAGTTAATGATTCTTCATGCCGACCATTTCGGAAATGTTGTTCGCAAGGCGTTCCAGCTTCTTCTTTTTATCGTACTTGGATCGGTCGGACTTGGCCAGTCGAAGCACAGCATCACGAGTACAGTCAGCTGTTTCCGCCTCGATTCTGTAGCTTGGGTTTCGTGCTTTCAATTTTTCCATGTACTGAAAAAATTTTCATTCGAGCTACAATCGTAAACATTACCTTTTCTAAATCGCTTTTCTGGAAGACTTCTTCGACTTCGACCTCTTCCGTCAGTCGGTAGGCCTTGTTTATCCTTCGCACAAAATTCTCAACTCGCAGTCGGTGTTCGTCAGATTTCTTAATTGTTGTTCATGGAGACTAGTGTGAAGGAATTTTAAAAACCTGGATGCAGAAAGGATCTCCTCTGTCTGCCTTGATCGGTCTATCGAGTTCAAACTCGCTGGCGAGACGAGAGGCGAGTCGCTCTTGAACTTCTGCGTTTTCAAGCTAGGAACAAGTAATTAAGTTTAGTGCTTTCTCGAATGAAAAATATCCTACCGCTTTCTCGGCAGTCTCAGCGGCCAAAATTTTTCTGTCATTGTCGGCGCTCTTTCGCTTGTCCCACTCGCGGTACATTTTCTCAATTTCGACCGAATAGTCGTGCATCAAGTAGTTTTTGACAGAAGGTTTTGTTCCTTTCCAGCCAGATTTCTTAACAGATTTAAGAGAAATTCCCTCTAGAACCGAAGTACCTGGGCGGATTTGAGCTTTAGCTGCTGAGGCCGCTTGTCTGTCTTGAAAAGCTTGTCAATCTGAAAAAAGAGATTTAATAAATAAACATCGGTGCTTGACTCACTGTAGCATGCGATTCTTTTTCGTTGAATTGAGCAGTAGCGACTAGCTTTTTCTTCTTTACTGGAGCAAGGTTTTTCTTTGCTTTTGTTGGGACAACGACTCGCAGTTTGACGGAAATCTGCTCACCGTCTTCCGTTTGACAGGTGAACGTTGCTGAATCGTTCCATTCAGCTCCTAATTAAAATTTCAAGAAAGATACAATCAAGATTTGCTTTACCCATGATAACAAGGACTCGTTTGAGGCCAACGGCGATGATTTCATAATGCTTGCCAACCTGACATCTACCTCGGCCTCTCAGCCACGTGACTTCCTTGGGATGAGAGAGATCAACTTCGAAGCGAACGATGGACCCTTCCCGGACAGTCTGATGCTCAAGCTCGTTCAAAAACTTGAAGGGCGCATCTGGTGGCGCCATTCCGTAAACAAGGCTCTCATTGATTGGCGCTGGAGGAGTGAAGAAAAGTTGTTCTTTTCTCGCTAGCTGGCTTAATCGCTCTTGGACGAAGAGAACGTCTTCGTCGAGGGTCTTGGTGATGTCATCTCCTCGTTCGAGCCTTTGTTCCCACTGAATTACTTGCGATACACCTGAGAATTGCGTAAAAAGTTTTAATAAAAAAGAGAAAAATTGCCTTCGATGAAAGTATTGACGAGCATGATTTCGGACTTTCCAAGTCTGTCGGCGTTCGAGATATCCCAAATGCCTCCGACAGAATCAGAGTCGACTCCAGCACCACCTCGGGCCTGGAGACCAAGTCTCGCGAGGATTTCTTTGAAATCGTCTCGATCGGAGAAGAATGGAATCTGGACCATCGCTCCAGCACGGAGACCAGTTCCGAGATTGCTTGGACATGTCAGAATCCAGCCGAGATGATCGCTGTGCATAAAATCGTAGCCTTGGGATTTCAAGCATTCTTGAATCGCCTTGGTAGCAACAGCAAATCGCTCGATGATTTTTCGAACATTGTCGCCCTTTTCCATTGAAACGATTCGCAAGTGATCTTCTTCATTGACCCAGACGAAGAGGTTCTTGTCGTTGTTGTGGTAAATACCTCGAGCGTCAGGCCAGTGTCGACCGCAACCAGATGCAAGCAACAAAGTACTATCAGGTTCCTAGAAGAAAATAAACAAAAGTCGTTTTGTAAAATGCTTGCCTGGAATAGGTTTCCATTGGATCTAAGTTCTTCTTCCTTCTCAACACTCATGCCAGTGGGTTTTTGTTCAAAACTGCGGGAGCCATGGAGTGGAAAGTAATCTCCTTGAAGGTCTCCTTCGAGCGCCAGGAGAGACTTTGTTACTGCTGCTTCGAGTTCTCGTCTTTCCTCAAAACTGATGCAGGGTGGGAGCTTGAAACCGCGCACAGATCTGCCAGTTCTACAACGCGTTGTCAGAACGAAGCGGCCAGAAACATCAATTGGTGTTTGCGAGAGCTGTGAGACATCCAAGTTGGTGATGTGTTTGGCGTCGGCTGCGTAGCCATTGTGGCGTGCTGAAATGACTGGATCGAAAAGATCCTCGAAGGTTTTTAGAAATTTTGAAAACTAGAGTCTTGGTACCTTGAAAACAGTGTACGAATCTTCATCGCCCGCGACCATACCAACAGTTTTGATATGAGGATGACCTGGATTGTCGATTCCGGTTTTGATGCAATGTCCAAGGTTGACTCCGGAAGCAGTGGTTTTCGATTTAAGGGAGTCGTACAATCCTGGGTTGGCCTTCATCGCTTCGGAAAAAAAGGAATTGTGGGCGGCCAAACTTGGCAACTTGGCGGGCATTTTTTCGGCTGAAAATGTCGCACCCTTTTCGTCAGAGTAGTATTCCGCATCGCCGCAGCCAGCTTGAATCCACTCTGGCAGCTTTCGAACAGACTTGGCGAGGCCAGTTGGGGGATAACAATCCTCGTCATCATCTTCTTCCTCGTCCCATTCCCCTTCTTCGATCTTTCGAAGTTTTTCAAGCTTCTTCTGCACCTTTTGAATATCTTTGTCCAAAGTAAGATCGATCTCCTGCTCTTGCTCAAGTCGTTTCTCCCATCGAATGATTTGCGCAACGCCTTCAATAAAAATATTGACCAAAGAAATTTCTGATTTTCCAAGTCTGTCGGCATTTGAGATGTCCCAAATACCGCCGACGGAATCTGAATCAACACCTCCGCCGCCTCGAGCCTGGAGACCCAACTTTCTCAAGATGATTTTGAAATCGTCTCTGTCCGAAAACAGTGGCACTTTGACCATGGCGCCAGCTCGCAAGCCCGTTCCAAGATTGCTGGGACAAGTCAAAATCCAGCCGAGATGATTGTTGTGCATGAAATCAAAGCCTTGCTCTTTCAAGCAGCTCTGGATAGCCTTTGTAGCGAGGGCGAATCGCTCGATGATGGTTCTGACGTTGTCTCCTTTTTCCATTGACACGATTCGCATGTGATCTTCTTCGTTGACCCAGACGAAGAGGTTTTTATTATTGTTGTGGTAGATACCTCGAGCATCGGGCCAGTGTCGGCCGCATCCGGAAGAGAGAAGCAGAGTACTATCTGGTTCTTGGAATAAATTTCCGTTTGATCGGAGCTCTTCCTCTTTCTCGAGAGTCATTCCAGTCGGTTTCTCCTCATAACTTCTTGAGCCATGAAGTGGAAAGTAATCACCTTCCAAATCGCCAGACAGAGTTTTCAAGCTCTTAACAATTGCAGCCTCGAGTTTTCGTCGCTCATCAAAACCCAGACATGGTGGCAATCGGAATCCACGGACAGAGCGACCAGTTCGGCAGCGAGATGTCAGGACATATTTGCCGTCGGGATCGATCGTCGTGGTGGAAAGGTAGTCAACGTCGAGGTTGGTTGGATGAAGAGCATCTGCTTCATAGCCGTTGTGGCGTGCGGAAATGACCGGATCAAAGAGTTCCCGGAAAGTCGAGTAAGATTCTTCATCACCAGCGACCATTCCGACAGTTTTAATATGCGGGTGTCCAGGGTTATCGATTCCAGTTTTGATGCAGTGGCCAAGAGTGACACCGAGCTTCGTTTTCTTATCCTTCAGCTTCGCATAAAGCTCTGGCTGGGCTTTCAATGCCTCTGAGAAGTATGAATTGTGTTTTGACAAGTCGGGACATTCTTCTGGAGCAGCTGCTCCAAGGAACGTAGCGTTTTTCTCTTCGCAAAAGTACTCATTGTCACCACAGCCAGCTTGAATCCACTCTGGTAGTTTTCGAACAGATCTTGAAAGACCTGTTGGTGGGTACTGGTCGTTTTCAACTTCATAGAGATCTTCAAGCGCTAGAAGCACTTTCTCAATGTCTTCTTTGAGCGTTTCGTCGATCTTTTCTCCATCTTCGAGCCTCTGTTCCCAACGAATAACTTGCGCAATGCCCTCGATAAAGGTATTGACAAGCATGATTTCCGATTTTCCAAGTCTATCAGCATTAGAAATGTCCCAGATACCACCAACAGAGTCAGAATCGACTCCACCTCCACCTCGAGCTTGGAGACCAAGCTGCTTCAGAATGTCCTTGAAATCGGGCCGGGCCGAGAAAAGCGGGACTTTGACCATAGCTCCCGCTCGAAGACCAGTTCCAAGGTTGCTAGGACAAGTTAAAATCCATCCCAAATGCTCGCTGTGCATAAAGTCAAATCCTTGCTCTTGAAGGCAATTTTGAATCGCTTGAGTGGCATCGGCAAAAGTCTGGATGATTTTCCGGACATTGTCGCCTTTTTCCATTGATACGATTCGCATGTGATCTTCTTCGTTAACCCAGACAAAGAGATTTCTAGCACCGTTGTGGTAAATGCCACGAGCATCGGGCCAGTGTCGGCCGCAGCCAGAAGAAAGAAGGAGGGTACTGTCTGGTTCTTGGAAGAGATTTCCATTCGATCGGAGCTCTTCTTCCTTGGCAAGCGACATTCCCGTCGGTTTTTCCGTGAAACTTCTCGATCCATGCAGAGGGAAATAATCACCTTCGAGACTACCCTTCAACGTCTTCAGACTTTTGACAATAACGCCTTCAAGCTTTCGTCTCTCTTCGAAATCGAGACAGGGAGGAAGTCGGAATCCGCGCACCGAGCGGCCAGTTCGACATCGGGTCGTGAGCACGTATTTTCCCGTCGGATCAATGGGCGTTTGCGAAAGCTGATCAACGTTCAAATTTGTTGGGTGCTTGGCATCGTAGGCATAGCCATTGTGTCTTGCAGAAATGACTGGGTCAAAGAGCTCCTTGAAGGTTTCATAAGATTCTTCATCACCAGCTACCATTCCAACGGTCTAATGTAGGGATAGTTATCTGTCTTTCTAATACTACAGAATCAGGAATTGAAATGTCTACAAATGGTATGACAAAAAAAGCAAAGGCGATGTCTGATCCCAATCCTTAATGTGTGGGTGTCCAGGGTTGTCAATACCAGTTTTGATACAATGACCTAAAGTAACTCCAGCTGCTGTTTTCTTAGACTTCAAGCGATCATAAAGTCCAGGATCAGCATTCATTGCTTCGGAGAAAAATGAATTGTGCTTGCTCAAATCGGGAAGAGTATCTGGCATCTGAGCTCCGAGGAAAGTCGCGTTTTTCTGAGCACAGTTGTATTCCGCATCCCCGCAGCCTAGTTGAATCCATTCAGGCAGCTGTCGAACTGATTTGGAAAGTCCAGTTGGTGGATACTGATCGTTTTCTTCTTCCAGCAAATCTGCAAGCCGCTTTTGCACTTTCTCAATGTCTCGATTGAGGTTCTCATCGATGCTTTCTCCGGTCTCCAACTTGCGCTCCCAGGCGATCACTTTGGAGATACCCTCGATGAAAGTGTTGACGAGAGAGATCTCTGACTTGCCGAGTCTATCCGCGTTTGAAATATCCCAGATTCCACCGACGGAATCAGAATCAACACCACCTCCGCCTCGCGCTTGAAGACCGAGTTGTTTCAAAATATCCTTGAAATCGGGCCGGGCGGAGAAGAGAGGGACCTTGACCATGGAACCAGCTCGAAGTCCAGTTCCCAAGTTGCTAGGACACGTTAAAATCCACCCCAAATGATCGCTGTGCATGAAGTCGAAGCCTTGCTCTTGCAAACAATTTTGAATGGCCTTGGTCGCATCGGCAAAGGTCTGGATGATTTTTCGAACGTTGTCGCCTTTTTCCATCGACACGATTCTCATGTGATCTTCCTCGTTTACCCAGACGAAGAGGTTGCGATTGTTGTTGTGATAAATGCCACGAGCGTCTGGCCAGTGTCGTCCGCAGCCAGAAGAAAGAAGGAGAGTGCTGTCTGGTTCTTGGAAGAGGTTTCCATTCGATCGAAGCTCTTCTTCTTTCTCAAGACTCATTCCACTTGGCTTTTCGGAATAGCTTCTCGATCCGTGAAGCGGGAAATAGTCGCCTTCTAAGCTTCCTTTCAGAGTTTTCAGACTTTTGACGATGGCGCTTTCCAGTTTTCTTCGCTCTTCAAAGCCAAGACAAGGAGGCAGTCGGAAGCCTCGAACGGAGCGCCCAGTGCGGCAGCGAGTCGTCAAGACGTACTGGCCAGTCGGATCAATGGGCGTTTTTGAAAGCTTCTCGACGTTCAAATTCGTTGGATGAGTGGCATCAGCTGCATAGCCGTTGTGTCTAGCTATCAGATGGGATGAGCATAACTACCTCTTTGCTTCTTGCATATTTTATGATTTTTTTAATCATATTTTTCATCCTGTCCTGAAATGACTGGATCAAAGAGATCTTTGAAGAGAGTGTACGATTCTTCGTCTCCAGCAACCATTCCGACGGTTTTAATATGTGGATGGCCGGGGTTATCGATGCCAGTCTTGATGCAATGACCCAAGGTGACCCCTGATGAGGTCTTCTTGTCTTTTAGTGACGCATAAAGCGCGGGATTAGCTTTAATCGCTTCGGAGAAGAATGAATTGTGAGCCTCTAAGTCAGGTAGCTCCGCTGGAACGTTAGCACCCAAAAACGTAGCGTTTTTCTCTTCGCAATAATATTCGTTGTTTCCGCAGCCAAGTTGGATCCATTCTGGCAGCTGGCGGACGGAATCAGACAATCCGTAAGGTGGATAATCCAGTGGAGGTACAGTCAGACAGCAGCCAGTGTAAACGCCAGTCTTGGAGTCTCGGAGCTGGATTTGAAAAGAGAGATTGACGAAGTTTCTTCCCTTCAAGCCGAGTTGCAAAATTTTAAATTTGTTAAGAGCTAGTTAAGCTGAATCCAAAGTCAATCAATCGAAATAAATTATAAATGTGCAACTTTTCCTTCAACAATTTCAGGCTCCTTTCTCCAGTCGTTTTGTCTTCCTTGATTTCAACATCGTCACTAGCTTCAAATGGCGATTTTCCAAAGAACCACGTGGTCGCACGAGTAGGGGGAGAAATAACAGCCTCCAGAAAAGCTTCGCCCTCGGGTGTGATTGTTTGGTCCTCGAGAATCTTCGTGAAGGAAATCTCTGGAAACGTAACGATCGCGGACGAACGGACGGAGTCAGCGACGATGCTGACTTTGAAGGCAAGGCTGACGAAGTTTGCACCATTTTTCAGAAGAAGTTTTCTTTCTCCAGTTTCGTTGTTGCTCTCAAAGACGACATTTTCCCTGGCTGCCAACTCAGAGCCACTATTGATATTCTTAGTTCGCGAAAATTCTAAGAAATGAATATTTATTTTCCAATTACCCAAAAAGCCATTGAGTCTGCGCATCACAAGGAGAAACAGTAGCGGAGAATTGGGCGCTGCCATCTTCCCCAACAACAGCGTTTTCCAGAGGACTCGAAAATGAAGCCTCCGCAGGTGGAAAAGTCAATGAAGCGGAGGTGGAAACACCGGCAGTTCTATCAGCCTGGAGGAGGATATTGAAAGAAAGTCCAACAAAGTTCTTGGCATTTTTCAGCTTGAGAGTTCGCTCGCCACTTTCTGCGTTTGAAATTATTTCTACGTCTTCTCCTGCATCAGAAATTGCGCTTTGTCTGAACACCGTTTTCTCATCGCTTTATCTGTTGAGTGACAACGCTAAGACCTGCTTGGTCATAAAAAACACTTATCATCAAATTGAAAGCCAATTTATAACATAAAACGAGGTGAAAGCACTTAGTCTCAAGATTTTCAAACAATAAGAATAGCTGCACTAAAATTATTTTACGAATTTTAGCGTAAATTCATTTAGAAATTTATGGGTAAAAGAAGTTGACTTGGACTTTTTGGAGTTAGTTGAGTTCGTTGATGAAATTTTTATTTATGAAAATATAGAAAATTTATTGAATTACCCAAAGAACCAGGTCGCTGGCCAGTCAGCTGGAGAAATGACCGCGGTGAGGATGGCTGAGCCATCGTCATTGATGCACCCGTCGGCCAGGGGCTTGGTAAACTCCACCTATAGACACGAGTTACACCAAGTTCGCTAATCCTCTCTATCTGAGTCAAACCTGCACTTCGGAGGCCATTCTCGAGTTAGATTGGACCTTACAGCCATTTTCACAGCCTGGATCAAAATTGATCAAAGGGGGATTAGCGCTAAATTCATCCCCCGGCCTGACCATGCCTTAGTAACTTACTACCTTTTATACTTTTTATATCGAAGTTCAACGAATCATCTTTACAATAAATTGATTATTTTTTACTGAGCGCAAGACAATAAAGCCTTTATTTTTGATATCCAATAAATTCATTCTTTGTAAAAAAAAATCCTTGATGCTTAGATTCTAGCTCCCAGAGTGGGAATCTGATTGCGCTAAATCTGATGAAATGGTTTATTGACAAAATGGAACGGACGGCATTTTTTCTTTGACTGTTTGGACGGATTCCGTTCAACTGCCTGTGCAACTGTATTAGAACTTATGCGAGTATTTGAAAAGAAAAGAGTGTTTTCCAATTATCTCTGCCAATTAGGCCGACCCTTGTCAAATTAAACCTAAAGTCAGCGCGGAGGACAAAAAGTTATATTGATCTCAGTTTAACTAATAGTAATACAGTACAATCTGAATGCAAACTAGAACACTGTATTTTCTGAAGAAAGAACTAGAATCCTTGTTTATATTGTCAATTAGATATGATATCTAAGATATCGAAATCGTGGGCCATTATTTCTAGTTGAAGTTCGACCCCAGATATCAGTGATAATTTACTGATAATTTGAAAAAAATGGAATGACTCTGGAATTATTTTTTACGCGACTTTCCAAAATTATTTGGAGGGGATTTTCTAATTGAATTTTTTGAAATAAAGAGTTGTTTGAAGAGGCGAGTTAAGTTTGGTCTGCTGCGGCGAGTGAGCAAATTAACTGGATATTTTTTTCTGGTTGAGTAGGGTGCGGTCGGGTGGGGGTTAGGAGAGTGCTCCCCTGGGGCAGCGCCTTCGAAATCCTCTTTTTCTCCCAATCATCTTCAATCGATCTTTCGCCAAAGCGAGAGCATCTCTACTCCCCAAGAAATAAGCACGCCCTGTACGAGTAGTGTGTTCAACACTTTCTCACTCCGCTTATTCTCCAAGAGAGATATAGAAACGAAGAAATCAAGGAAGACAACGAAAACGACGGGAGTGCGAGTTAACGCGCAAACAGAGCGACTTTCTGTTCATGACCCACCGATGGAGAGAAGTTTATGAAGTGGTTCGGTTGGTGCTTCCTTCCTTTAGGCGCGGCTCGGAAAAACATGCAGTTAGAAAGGGACTGTAATGATGTGAACCCATTTCGAAAATAATTTTTCAAGATAAAGTAACGTTCGTAGCGGAATAAACAGACTAGAAAAACAATAATATCGGCACCCCACCTCCTTGGTTCTTGATTATTTACAGGACTTTTGATAACGAAAGACCATGCTCATATAATAAGAGATACAGTTAGCTTTCGGAACTGAAGATGAACTGGGAGATGAATAAATAATACGTACCCGTTCCTGTACTCGTGTCCTTAATACGTGTCCCGTACTGTATATTTAACCATAAGCCTAAGAATTCCTCGAGATATTCATTTTTATTTGTGAAAGTAGTGTTTTGATTATCGATTACTCTGATTACTCTTGAGGTCAACTGAGTTACTGGAGTTTGATTAAAAGTTATTTTTTATTTCAAAAATTCTTTTTCGAGCCCCAAATAAGCTCTTTTACAGAAGTCAGTCGATTTTGAGAGCGCGTGGGACGCAGAAACTGCACTACTCAATGACATTTTCGCTGTATATAACAAAGTAAGTATACTTTGCCAATACTGTATTGCCTGCTTCTAAAAATGACGGCTCATTTTGTAAATTAACAAGGAGCAGGCGGCGGATCAATTATCTATCACTGGCGAAGGGACACTTTTGTTAAAATTATAACAAATTATCCGCGATTCAACGCGCTTGGATGTATATTTCAAAGATCTATTGACTTTCTGTCACATTTGGCGGCGCATGCGCATGAGTTAATTCGTTCAATTGTGTCGACGTGCCAATCGCTTCCTGGAGCAACACCCGCCCTCATCAATTTTTCAGCTGATACGACCGGTCAACAGCTTCACAGAGCCGGTGGTGGTGACGCTATCGCTAGAAATTACGCAGATACTCGATGTCGACGAAAAGAACCAAGTCATCGCGGTCGAGTGCTGGCTCAGGCAGCAATGGAGAGATGTACATTTGCAGGAAACAGACTCACAAATCTCAAATTCATTTTCAATAATTAATATTCATTATGCAACGGCAGATTTGTGAGTGGCAAAAAGTGGAACCCGGAACAATACAAAAAGATCGAACAACTTCACATTCCAGAAGATCTAATTTGGAAGGTAAAATAATCCATGTCTCGTTCGAACTGGAACATTTCATTTCGAATTTATGTAAAGTGGACATTGCAAAGTTCACAAAAAAAAACATTTGATAAGATAAATCCCAGAGGAGCCTTAGTTTGAGAAATTAAGAAATAATGAAGATTTAATCATCTACGCTCTCGATCTCCTATTGTTTTAAGCTTCATAGGAGTTACTATGTTCTCGGTAACACTCAAAGATTCCCCAATTCTAGCGCCGCGGGCTTAGAGTAATAACTAAGGTTCTAATTGAAAGCTCTTTGGAAAACCTTTGATGAAGAAATTGTTCGATTTCTATTTTTATGTAGAATCTTCAAGAAATATTTTTCTGTCGATAAAATGTCGCTGCTGTCAGAAAGCGCCATTTCAGTGCTACAGTCGAGCGTGTAACAGTTGTTTCGTTTAGCCGGACATCGTCATGTTTCAAAACGCAGATGGCAACTTCACGGGACAGTTCGAAACGAAGGCGATCTTGTCGGCGAACGGGCAAGTGAACTGGGAAGTGCCCATGATATTCAGATCCTCGTGCAAAATCGATGTCACCTACTTTCCGTACGACACGCAGAACTGCTCGCTCACGTTCGGCTCGTGGACTTATGACAAAGAAGGCAACGGAGAATCCGCTCTTTTTGAATCAATGAACTTTCCGTCCCAACGTCAGACTAAATTATTTGCTCAAAATTAAATTTTTATCAACACAACTTTTAGAGTATAAATTAGACTCTATCTGATAGACTTTCATCAAGAATTCCGACTTTAGAACAAACTTTTCTCCTAGACATAATGTTGCACTCAACTATAAATGCGTATCTCCTCAAAAAGAAGTGGATCTGATGATGGGCGATGTCCAGGCAGAGTCAGTCCTCGCCAAGTTTGTAAAAAACGGCGAGTGGGACTTCCACCACGTCGAGGCTGTTCGACACAACTCGCTCTTTGCCCTGCACGACAACGAAAACGACACTCGCAAAGCAGGTACAATCGAAACAAACGCGTTCGCTTATAATTTCTTTTGATAGTGAATAAGTTTCGTTATATTTTATTTTTTCGTTGCATAAATTGATGAGTGTGTTCAGGGCACAACCATGAACTGACGCAATTCGACGTGTTCGATCATCCAGACATTCAATTTCGGCTGGTGATGCGGCGCTACCCGCTCTTTTACAACGTCTTCCTCATCACGCCATGTCTTCTCATTTCATTCCTCACCGCGCTGGTTTACTATCTCCCGTGTTCTTCGCATCAGAAAATCACCTTTTGCACCTCAGTTCTGCTAGGTATCTTTATATATCCTTGTCTTAACCTCGTACCTATCCTTTTTTCTAGCGCACACTTTCTACCTTATGGTGATAGCAGAAATCATCCCCTCTACTGGCGACACGATACCTCTGATTGCCGAGTACTTGCTCCTCAACATGATTTTCATCACGCTTTCCATCGTGATCACTACTCTAGTTTTGCCAAGGGTTTTCGATTCTTCAGTTTTTTTTTGGGAACTTGACAACACGGGCGCGCCTGCAATTTTGGATTTCCTACTGCACGGGCTATCAATTAAACTTTGCTTTTTATTCATAAAAGAATCAAGATTAAACCCTGAGTAGAATATACATTACCGCTCGCCTTCCTCTCATCCACCACTGCCGGTGTGGATGCGCCACTTCTTCCTCCGCTTGCTACCGAGAGTGCTTTGCGTGTCGCCGCCAAATGACGAGCTTGGGATGCTCCTCGCCAAACACGAATGTCAGCTTACACTACATCTACTTATAAATGGTCTTCCAGAGAGGTAACAAGAGAAGAAGGTCTCATAATTATCATCTGCTTCAGTGAAAACATCATCCGCGACCAGGCGAGGCGGCTCGCCCGGGCCGACCACATTCCCGAGGAGTTTGTCCAGACCGCGTCCGACATCGACGACATTTCGCAAAAGTACAAAGACGAGATTCGAAACCAAACTGTAGGATCCTTTTCCTTGCTCAAAATAACTCTTTTCTAGGAAATCTCCGAGTGGCGTTTTGTGGCAATTTTGATGGACAGAATCTTTCTCTATCTTTTCCTGCTCGTGTCGTTGTTTGGGATCGTGGTGCTCTTCCTGCCTGCTTGGGTCGACTACTCTTCCAAAGCCAACAAATAGATTAACATATTATTTTTGCACAAACAACTTTTCAAATAGCCATAGCAACATAATATTGGTGAGACCTTTTCAACTTCTTCTGACCCTGAAATGCAAAGCCTAATAAAATTCAATTAAATATTCTTTAGCCGTCTTTTTATTTATAATTTCAAGTTGAACTAGGGAGACATCAACGTCAAAAAGTTATTTCGGGAGAAAATTAAAAAGGTGAGTAAAAAAAAAGAGAAAAATAAAAGAATCATAAATTGGAGTCATCAGCTTTGCTCATCTCCTCGTCGATGTATTTGATCTCCGAATTAGTAACAAGCACTTATGATATAAAAGTGAATTTCAAAATCTGATTATTTTTAAATATTTTAGACAAAGTCAACTAAAAATATTTCCATCAGATAACGGTCAAGAGGCCCTCTACAGGGTAGTTTGGTTCAACCCCCCGCTGAGGAAGCAGATTCTGTGGCGCCCTCTTTCGGTTGATTTTGCAATAAAACTGAGAGCTACAGGCTACATGCACATCAAAATATAAAATGGAAAAACTTTTTCTAGCGCAGTAGGAAGAATTTGCTGAAATCGTGCAAGCACTACTTCGATAAACAATAAATAACTTGCGAAAAAACCTGCCAGTCTTATAAAAAGAATGAAAAAGAATCGTGAATAAAAAGAAGGACTTTTGAAAATGATTATCTTTATTTTGTCTGAATAATAGAAATGTAGAAGTAAGAAGGCACATCAAAAATGAAAATCGGAAGGAAATGAAAAGCTCTATATTTAAGAGCTGAACTTGTTTGTTTTTAGCTCGTAATTCCTGATGTTTTTTTTTTCACAGAAATCATGGAAGAGAACACTTTTGGGTAGGCTTCAATTTGAAAAGATTGAAATGCGGCCGGCGTCGTCGCCAGTTGCGATGAATAAAGTTGAGGAATGTAAAGGAAGCGTAGAAGGAACTGATACGGTGTTTATGCTTGAAGTGTGCATCTGAAATGACTGTAAGTTGCGTTCACGATTCGAGACCTTTCTTACCTTGAATCGTTGCCATTTCGAAGCGCTCTCGTGTCGATCACTAGAAATGCGCCAGCAATAGGTGGCCCCATCCTCGGAGCCGCAAAAGATCAACTTCTGGACTGGAGAATATACAGCCGAAATTATCAGATGCTCTTTTATTTGGACGCCTTTGTATCTTGACGTCATTTGAAAACTGTCGAGCGAGAAGACGCGAATTCTAGAGTCGCCAGAAGTCACGAGAACTGATGATTTTTCGTCAACAGTTGAAATTCCTAAAAAAAAAAACATAAAAAATCATCCCTCTTCACTTTTTTACCTGTAACTGGTTTTTCCGAAACCACAATTTCGGTATAATAATTGAGCTTCTCCAGCTCTCGTTCAAAAATAATAACTCGCCCGTCGAAGGTGCCAACAAGAAGCCACTCTCCAAATTTGACAAATTCAACGCAGTTGATCATCTCTCCATTTTTCAATCGAGGTTGCAGATGAGCATAGGCCATGACTTTCTCGGACATGATGTCCCAAAATCGAACAATTCCGTCGACACTTCCAGAGGCGAAGAATGTTGGGTGTTCTGGGTGGAAACAGACGCACTAAAGTAGTTTTAAGAAAAAAAATTCAATTCTTGATTTCACTATGAACACTAATTTAGAGGTCAATTGAAGCCATGTGATTTCAATAAGCTCAAAAAGATCACTGGAGGAGTTTATCAGCGTCTGGCCTATCTGTAAGTATCGAAACGAGAGGATAGTCGAATAAGACCATTACCTTGACAGGTTCAGGATGTTTCAGTGTCAAAATCGCCTCCATCTTGCTCATGTGCCACAAGCAAACCGAACAGTCACTGCTGGCACTCAACAGCCAATCATCCCCAGACTTCTTGCTCCAAGCTAAGTCGAGTATATCGCCGCTATGGCCAAAATACTGGCGGAAGGGCACGTCGCAAAATAAATCGTCCGAGTTTGAGCTTTTACTCGTCATCTTGTATTTTTCGCTGTTCGAGGCAGCGTTGAGGATGAACACGGTGATTTGCGATTCCTTTCCTCCAGCAGCAAGGAGGGTTGAATCGGCGTTGAGCTTCAAAATGTAGATCGGAGACGATTTGCTTTGGTGGCTCAGCTCCTGGACAAAGCTCAAATCAGACAGTGGCAAATTGTTCGAGCTTGCCCTCAGCAGCTTTTTTGAAGATTTGAGCTTGAGGCTGCCGCTAGAATCGCTCTTCTTACTCATCGCGCAATCCAGATCAATGTCCGATTCTGGAGGGTCAACGGAGAGTTGGGAGGATTGAGAGTTTTGCTTCAGCGGGTTTTGTCGAGTTCGAAATTTGAGAAAACGAGACTTGAAAGTTTGGTGAATTCCTTTCACTTTTCGCGCCATGGCGGAGGCGGAAGAGGCAATTGAAGACATTTCAGATGAAAGGGATGAAATTGAATCGCATTTTTCTGCAATATTTTTTTTAAAGGAAGCAATTGTAAACCAATAGGTTTTTACCTAAATTTGGAGGCGATTGGGGAGCAATGAAGTTATCAACTTCGCAGACTCGTTGAGTTTCGGCGCTAGTTGGAACTTCCGATGAATCAACTTCATTCAAATCGTTTTCTCTGTAAGAATCGCGGCGCAGACTCAAGTTCGTTCTTGCCGCCATTCGAGAGTGAGTCGATCTCAAAGAGCTTCGGATCGAATCGTCCCTAGGTTTAACTTACCTCAAACGAATTAATGAATTGCTCTTTACCGTTTTAATTTTGCATCTCCGTTCAATTCCTCGACAAGTTCGGCACAAGAAAAGTATCGGGAGTTCATTTTTTCACTGTCAAGGCTGGATCTCTTAGAGTCGTCTTTTCAAGGATATTTTTGGCAAAAGCTAGATTGTCTATTTGCTAATGCTAACTTCGTGTTTATCAAAAATCTCTGGTGAATTAACTCTGTTTCCCTCGGGTATAAATTAATAGGGGGTAGGGGGTCGTAAACTTGATTTCTTACTAGCGTTTTTGATCAGAGTACACATAGCTCGAAAATCTGTGTAATTTACAGACCTTTAAGACCTGAGAGAAGATCTTGAAAGAGGCCTTTAAAAAGCGACTTCGGCAGAAAAGAATAAAGATGGTAATTTCGGTGAAGGTGAATTTTGTTTACGCGGCTTTTATAAAGTCTCTTTCAGGATCCTTGAAATCAAAAATATATCCTCTCCTTCAAATTTCTTTCTTCTCCGATCCAACGAGGATGTCTTTGACTTATACGCGTTTTCAAAAACGGATTCAACAGAGCTTGTGCCAGAGTAATCTTCTTCCAAATTCTTCGGAGCAAACAGCCTCTTTTTTCAGCGTTTTGAAAAAGAAGAAAAACCGACGCCGCTACTAGCGCGATGGACAGAGACACGGGAAAATATTAAATTTGATCCGAAGGCTGCGATCGATCGATGAAACCAGATCATCCTTTCGGAGTAAGAATAAATTACAATTTAAAACGCGAATGTTTCCTTTGTGAATTCGGCTGTGATCGAGTCGACGGTCGAGTTGGGAGTCAGAAGAGCATCGTCTTGTCCTAGTTGGTTACTTTCATTTGATAACTGTTCTTGTTGATAGATTTCAAAACACCCGAAAGGAAAAGTCTTACTTGATGCAGAGTCTTTACTTTTGAAGTTGAAGCCTGAACCTAAACGGAAATTCACAGGAAGCGTGTTTGGACGAGGCGCGGATTTCGAGAGGCCGAATTTTGGTGGAGGAGGTCGAGGCGGTTTTTCTTTTGAAGGAGTTGCTAGAGAGAGAGGATATTATTCAAGGGTTAGATGTTCTTAGGCCCGACAAGATTGTGACCTCGATTTCTACTAAGCTGTAGCCTACAGCCTGTAGGTCTAACAAAACTCGCAGTCACCTGATTCCTTCGAAAGCCTCGGCTTCGGCAAAACTTGGCCATTGTCTCCATCACTAGCTACAGGAATGAAACAACCGTTTGCTTCTACGGTTGGAGTCTCGAGATCTTCGACTGTATCACTTTCGGCATCATAGAACTCGTCGCTCGAGCTCATAAACAACCTGAATTGAAATTTGATTGAGCAACGCTTTTTTTAAATAGAAAAATATTGGCATTTAAATATATAAAAATAATTTGCATAGATGAAGATGGTTTTGAGCGAAAAAAAGGGGAGACGACTGTGTCTCCCAAAATTCAAGAAGAACGGAAAAGAACAGTTGAACTCGGCTTGGAAATGATATCTTCCAAAATGATCTCGGGAGCAACGAGACTCTTTTGCGTCAGAAGATTCTTCGTCGTTTTCTTTCTCAGTCCTCCCGTACGAACGTCCCTGACAATCTGCTGACCCAGCTCTCTGTAGACCTTAGCAGCCATCCCTGCTATCTTCTTTTTTTCTTTGCAGATTTCGATTTCGCGGAGCATTTGGGCCTTTTCATCCTTTAGTTGCTGGAAGAATTTTGGACCTTCGCATTCTTCAAGTTCTTGGAGTTCTTTTCGGACAGCCTTTGAATCGTCGTTTTCTTTCATTCTTTTTATCGGTTATTAAAAAGGGATGCATCTAGATTTGAGAAATCGGTTGAGAAAATCAGTTTATCAATAATCAGATTTCAGTCATACCTACAGCGTCACTTTCGAAAAAGACCGTTTTTGAGAGACTACCGGGAAGAATGAAGGACTACTACAGAACTCTTGATGTTACGCCAGAAGCATCGACGGCTGAAATTAAAAAAGCCTACCACAAGATGGCGAGAAAGTTTCACCCGGACAAGAATAAAGGTTTGCTTTTATCATGACTTGAAAAGCTTCTAAATAATAAATAGATCAAATTATATAGTATAGTCAAGACGGTAAAAATGACAGTTTATTTAGCGAAGGACGCGCACGAAATGTTCATCCGGATAAAGGAAGCGTACGAGGTGCTCTCTGACCCGGTGAAACGAAAGCAGTTCGAAGCTGCACGAGCTGGACCTCGTAACTCTCGACGACATCGCTCGACAAAAGCACGTCGACCACATCCATACAAGCGTCCAGCGCAAGAAAAGGTTTGTCAAAAGCACTTCACAGTTTATCTATTTAAACTTTTCTTTAGGAGCCAGAAAAGCGAAAGGGAACTTGGATTGAGCTGACCCTTTATTGGGTCAATTACCCTGGTGGTGAAAAAGTGAACATTCATAAGCTTCGAAAGGCGCTGAAGATGTGGTGGATCAAAAAAGAAGGCGACTATGTAAAAATAAACTATAGGTAAGTAGATTTCATACTATTTTACACAATGACACTGTCAACACTATCAATGATTATTTCAGTAAGCATTCGAAAGCCGAGAGAGATGCTGCAGTTCTACGAGACCAGTTTCCTAAAATCGTCGTCCGCTGGATCGATAAGTCGGACTTGATAAACTGAGGCTTTTAATAAAACTTACTAAAAACTAAAAAGTCTCATTATTTCAAATTTATGAGTAAAAATAATGAAATCCAGCAGGGCAGAAACTTTATATGGCAATTTAATAATCCGATTTCCTATCAAGCTCATCCTCAACTTCTCGATACGAAATGACAAGATTCTGCATGATTTTCGCCTTTTCCGAGTTTTCCTTTCTCAGCGCCATGATTGTCCCATCGACAACGTCGCCAGTTTCGTTGTGATCTTCAAACGTCTTCATCTCCATTTTCGCGTTCTGAAAGGTCTTCCTCTGCTTTTTAAAGTCTTCAATCGCATTGCTCGCTAACTGGTCCGAAATGGCAAGATGCCTGGCAAGAGACTGGTTCTTCTTGGTCGCGTCATCGTTGAGAATGGCGATTTGCTCGATCGACAGCTCCTCGAATTCCTTGTGCAGATCTTTTACCCGGTTGATCATCTCGAATTTGTTCGCCTGGCGTTTTTGAATCGCTTCCTTTTCTGAAAAAATCTTGATGAATAGGGGAATTCTCTTCTATGATTTCAAAACCCCAAAAGCCGCAGATAGTTTTAGTCTGAATTACTACGGAATCACGGTGATGGATATTGCCAAATTCATTTAATTGCTTCAAAGGAGTAATGATTCGGAAAATAACCGTGAATATGAAAAGGGAGTTAATATAACGACTGTTATTTTTCAAAACAAGAGTCATTCAAAAATCGGGTCCAGCAAGTGCTAGGGCTCGTCAGGTTGCTTTTTCTATCCTTTTTAATCCTCTCTGACATTTTGATTATTCTCTTTAGGAAGAAGTTATTCACCTTGTTTAGAAAGCTAGTAAATAGAAGAAAAAATATTTAGAGAAAATCGAAAACTAAAAATGTCGACTGAAACTACGGCTAATCCAGCGGCGACAACAACGACGGCTAATCCAGCGGCGACAACAACGACGGCTTTGTCTAATCTATGCAAGACGTCCAAATTACTGCTGGATGTTTATAACTCGAGTAAACTTTCAAATATAATATCTATTTTCTATTCTATTATTTTTTAGAGTGCGATTCATTCAGCTATGATGACCAACTTATTTACAACGAACAAATTGCACTTTTTGGACCAGGGACGGACGACAACTGTGATCTCGTAAGTAAAATGATAAGCATGCCAGAGAAAAGAATAGTCATTATTCTAAGGGTATTAAATATAAGGGTCTCGCACGGGTAACAATCCTCAAGACAGACCTCTTTGATAGAAGCTCTATCACCTAATTATATGCTCATTAATAAATTTAGCCGGAGCAAGTTTGCGAGCAGGTAACTACCACAAAATCAACAACAACCACAACAGCTGAGCCAACAACCACAACGACCACAACAACTACAACTATCCCGGAAGAATGCATCGAAGTGCTCGATTTCTTTGCCGCTTATGAAGACAAGCTCGGCCATTCAAAACAAGAATGCGAGGCAAATCGACTCATTCTTCAATCCCATTACTCTAACTGCAACTTTGATGGCAAATGCGACCATCTTGAAAACCCCCAATTCAGCGGAACTCAAAACGCTTTTCCTAACTTCTTTTTGACCCTTGCCTTTTTCACGAGCTTCTTTTTTAAATTTTGAACTGCAAAAATCAATAGAAATCATACTCTCTTCCTCGATATCAAAATTTCCGACTCAATATCCTCAATTCTAATCAATAAAATACCTAAGTCGTATAATTTCTCGGCGAATGACTTCTTGTCTGCTTGAAGTTGCGCTTCATGATCGGCAATCTTCTTCTCCAAAACCCTCTTGTCGTATGAAATTTCGCTCATTTCGCGAAGCACGCCCTGTTTTTTCAACTTTTCAAAGTCCAAATCGGCCAATTCTGACTTCTGCTTCATCTCTTCTCGGGACAGCTGATCGTTTAGTTCATTTATCCGAGCTTCGTCGAACACAGACTTCAATTAATGTTGGTTAAAATGAACGGGAAGAAAAGTATAGCGCTCACGTTTTTCTCCTCTGTCATGATGTCAACTTCTATGTCTTTGTCGCGGATCATATGTTGCAGATATGATGCGATGTCATCTAAGGGTTAACAGGTTTGTTAGTAGAAGTTAAAAAATACGAAACTGAGAAGGTAAAATCACTTCTCAAGCTCAAAAAAGTGGTTAAGATTATGTAGAACTGGATCTGTTCGAAGCCGTTTTTATCAACGTTAATCTTGTGACACCCGTATCAATATTATATCTCTCCGAGAAAAGTCTTAAGGGACCCCGCCGACCGAGCTCCGCGCGCGCTTCTCGCTCTTTTTCACTCTCACTCTTCAGCTGGTTTAATTCTTTCAATTATCGTGATTTTTTGTACACGAACTAATCTTTTGATGCTCTTTCATCTCCATTTCTTAAAATTTTCATAGCTTATTGCAACGCTGAGTTAGGGCGAAAACATTGGCGCTCGATTTCAAGTGTACATAAGTACTCGAATTATTCGGATTGACACTTCGAGACTGCCCTCATTGAAAAGCCCGTGCCTTCTTGCATAAGGCCTACTTATTGGGATTTCCCGGAAGAGTTTACTTATCCGATTATCGTGGGATTAATGCGGGTCACCTGGAGCGCTCGGCGTGAAACACGGGCATTTTATACTGTTGGCGCGGGATTCCGCTGCGCTGGTCAGAATAACCTTTATTTACCGCTCGATTACGAAAGCTGGATAAATTATAATTTAATCTCAATAAGTAGGCCTTATGCAAGAAGGCACGGGCTTTTCAATGAGGGCAGTCTCGAAGTGTCAATCCGAATAATTCGAGTACTTATGTACACTTGAAATCGAGCGCCAATGTTTTCGCCCTAACTCAACGTTGCAATAAGCTATGAAAATTTTAAGAAATGGAGATGAAAGAGCATCAAAAGATTAGTTCGTGTACAAAAATCACGATAATTGAAAGAATTAAACCAGCTGAAGAGTGAGAGTGAAAAAGAGCGAGAAGCGCGCGGAGCTCGATCGGCGGGGTCCCTTAAGCAGATCAAGTTCTACAAATCTTCCCACCGTCAAAAAACTTACTTGAGAGATTCTTTTCTTGCTTAAACTTCGCCTCGATTTCCTGCACCAGAAAGGTCTCACTGTCGCGTTTATTTTCCAGCTCTCTGAGATGATTCTCGAGCTCTTCAATTTGGTTCAGATAATACGACCGCCTGAATCCATGATTTCAAAGCAGAGTTAGTTAACATAGCGACCTACGGAAACGAGGGTTTCTCATCCTTTGCCTTCTTCTTGCCCTTTTTGCCTTTTCCTTTCGGCATTCTTCAAAGAAAAAATGATCAAAGAAAAGTGCCTTTGAATATCTTTTATATTTTATTGAAAGACAGAGAGAGAGAGACAGTATAAACAGCGATAAAAACACGATTCCGATACTATCTTCTTCCCCTTCCTCCTCCTCCTCGTCCACCTCTTCCTCCACGACCGCCTCTTCCACCTCGACCTCTTCCGGACTGTCTGGCCATTTCGCGATCTCGTTCTTTTCGTTCTTTCAAAATCTGCTCCGGTCGTTTTAGCGCGCCCTGTTCTCGCGCTTGTGCCTTCTTTCCGCCTCCACGCGTTCTTCTGTTGATCAAATTCGTCAAGTTCTGACGATTTTGTCGACTCTGGCTTTGATGATTCCTAAACGAACTTTTACTCCGAGATTAGCAGAATGAAAACGAACCTATTAGCATCTTCGTCGCCAGAGTCCTGGTCAAGCAAGCCGGCTTTGCTTTTTTCGAGGTATTCTGTGTATTTTCCGGTTTTGAAGCTTTGCTTGATCCAATTTCCTGATTCCGTTTTGATCTTCTTTTCTTGCTCGATTTGATTCGTTACAAACTTCTTTTTCTTTCGATCCCATACTCGCCCGACTTTTGGCTGAAAGCGTTTTTTAGGAAGTGGACTTCGACTTTTTCTCGGTAAATAAATGAAGAAACACCCTTATTTTCCATTCGAAATTCGAATACTACCTTTTGGCCAGGTTCTAGTTGTTTATTGAGCATAACTTCAGCAGCTTCTGACTGGAAGGCGTTAATTCCCAAATGCTGATCTGCTGCGTCACTTTCCCTCACATACGGAATGTAATCGTCTGACTTCTCAGCCGCCGTCAGTGTGTTTAAAATCTTTTTCTGTTTGATGCTTTTGAATTTTTCGATCTGTTCTGCGTTCTTTTCGCGAAGAGTTCGCATCACATTCGCGGCATAGGCTGTTTCAGAGACATTTCCTTTGCATTTCTTGTCCCTAAAAGAAATCTTAGTATGTGGAAGGCGCCATCTCTTTTGCGCACTGGAACCCTTTTTTAAACCCTTTCTTTTTCAGTGTTATTCAATTCACTGTTGTTCAAATTATATTGAGAACATTGTTTAGTGCTTGATAACGTAAAAAAAGCTTACTAACTTAGAAATGACGGAGTGGTTCGGACCTCTACGTCCCGCTGAGGGATAACTACCGTAGCGTCCTTTACGACAACGATTCTTCATAAAAGAGCTTTTGCCTGCGTGGAAACGTCATCTGTAAAATGAATCGAAATTTTCCATAAAGTTTTCTATTTCTTCATCATAAGTTAATAAATTAAAAATAAAATAAAAGGGATAAGAGATGAAATTAAAAAACTTCACTTGAGGCAAATTTTCATTAAAAATTTTTTCGTGCTCAGAAGAAAGAGCAGAGAATTCTGAGCCGAATAGGCTGGATTTAACCCGAAAAGTTTGACTTTATGGCCCCGAAAATTGCGTAACAAAGTCCAGATTAGGGCATTTTTGTTATCTTTTGGGGAACTTTTAAGGGGTTTCTGTTGGACTTATTCGACGTTCTATAGCTCAAAAGAATCGCCGTCGAAAATTGAGGGGGTTTTAAGGGTTTTGAAAAATCTCAAGAAAAATTTTGAGCATTTTTAATTTCATCAGAAAGATTCACAGTCGTAACCATGGATTTGCTCCCAATCTACGAGTCGCCCCCAATTTGACGACTCTGCGAGGCAATTTCCCATATTCAGGCATGAGGGGTGCCTAGGTCTGGGACTCGAACCTCGGACCTTTGTTTCCCCTCTGCCTGCCATCGTGATCTCCATCACCGCTGGGCCAGAACCAGCTGAAGGGAGCCCCAAAAATAGATAATTTATTCGATAAAATTGGTCGCGCGCGCGTTTTTATAAAAAAACCTGAGTGATTTTTTCGAAAACACGTCATATAATAAATTCAAAAATAAACTATCACTTGATAACTCTTTATGGCTCTTCGCAGTTGATCCTCAAAAGCTACATACCTGTATTCAAAAATAGTCTGTTTAGGTTTTAGCGTCGCAATCTTGTCCAAAATCGACTGTCTTTCTGCCGCGCCAGAGCCAAAGATCGGATGAACTGCGCAAGTCATCATGTCGATTTCTTTGAATTTATTGCAGCTCTCCGAGCTTGGCTTTTCTTTGTGCCTTCTGAAGCCTCTGTAGCCATTTTCCGCCGATTTCATTTGGCTTTGAATATCTGCCGATTCTTTGACCGCTGTGGAGATTAAATCCGCTTCTTCGTCGATTGCTACTTGAGGATAGCGGCCAATTTTTCCGTCCCAAGTCGTGTCACCGTCCTTACAAAATCCAAGGCTTCGGCCGAGGAAGACGTGCAAGTCGAGAAGATAGGGCATTTCTTCGTTTGAAACGATGCTGTACGCGTGTCCAGGTCGACCAGCACGCGCGACACGGCCAACTCTGTGGATGAATGTCTTCGCTTTCGCAGTGAAATGAAAGTTGACAACTGCGTCCAAAAGAGGAATGTCGATTCCTCGAGCGGCAATGTCGGTTGTGATTAAAATGTTTGTCGTTTTCTCTGGATCTTCGTCTTCGTGACGGAACCTAGATATAAGATAGTTAATTTCAAGCAGTATTATCATCAATTTCTGGCTAAAAAATGACCAAAATATCACTCTTTTGTATAAATAAATAGCAAAAATCGAGGAATAATGACTGAATAAGTGGATAAGTGGGGAAAACACAACTTATTTTAAATAAAAGCATAAGTAATCATCGAAAACAGCGAAGAATTCTTAAACTCTAGGTCAATTATCATCAGAAAAATGACAGAAATTATCTAAGATTGACCGAAAAGAAGCTCTATTTCGAAAGAAAGCGGTTTCTTAGCCATATTTTTACCTTGAAATCATCATCTTTCTAGCAAAGGGATCCATTGAGCTGTAAATATAACACGGCTGATAATTGTATCGCTCCAAGAACAACTTGACAAGCTCGACATGATGTTTGGTGGCGACGAAAATGACGATTTTCTGATCCGCTTTTATGACGTTTCCCATCAGATGCAAGAGCGCTGCCATTTTGTCTTCATGTCGCGCGTGGAAGAACGTAAGTTGCAGGTTTTCCGGGAGGCGGCGTTCTACATCGAGACGGATTAGCTCCGGGTCGCGAAGGCCTGCTTTCGCGAATTCGAGGATTTTGTTTGGAAGCGTCGCGGAAAATAGAAGTGTCTGAAAAGGGCGATTTTAGTTAGTAGGTGCTGCTTTGGGAAAGAAACATAAAGGAGACAGGACAGTACCTGTTTGCTTTCAGGCAGTCGTCCTAGAATTTCATTGAGTTGTTCAGCAAAGCCGAGTTCGAACAATTGATCCGCTTCGTCAAAAACCACCATTTTCACAAAATTCAGTCTTCGGTCCATTTCTACGAGCAAATGCAGCAATCGCCCGGGAGTGGCAATAACGATGTCCGGGTTTTGATCCAGTTGAGAGAACTAGAATCATTAAAAAGTCAATAAAGATGGCTGAGGATTACCTGATTGTCCAAACTGTCTCCTCCGAGAATGACCGCAACGGATAAGTTGCAAAACTTGGACAAATCGTTGGTAAACTTCGCTGTCTGAATCGCCAATTCACGAGTTGGTGAAAGAATGACGACTCGTGGGCCTCGCTGTTCTCGTTTCTTCAATCTTTCAAGGATGGGAATCAGAAAAGCAGCGGTCTTTCCAGAACCTGTTCGGGCCATTGCGACGACGTCTTTTCCGTCAAGAATTCTAGTTTTAAATGTAAAACACACCTCTAGGTCAGAGTGGCTGCTTTCACGCAATTAGATAAAAAAGACTTAAATTGCCAATCTTCGGGGTGGAACTTACTTAGGAATGCATTTTCTTTGAATAGGAGTGGGTATTTTGTACCCTCTTCTGAAGATACCCTTGAAAACGCCGTGGCTGAGCCCCATCGATTGAAATCCTCCTGACTTTTTGCCCTTTCTATTTTGCTGCTGGACAAGTTTTCGACTCTCCTCTTCGTCAATGTCCGGCTCTGAGTCTGAGCCTTTTCTGAGACCGACATTCTTTCGTCGTCCGACATTTTTACGCTTTCTTGAAAATGTTCCTTCTTTCGATAGCCTTTTTATTTTGCTGATTTTTAAATTGTGAACAGAAATTCTGAACGCGATACTGAATTCTTGAAAAATAAATAAAATAAAGAAAGATTAATTTTCTTCTTCCTCTTCTACGGTCTTCGAAATAGGCTGAGCGCCGGCTGCGGGGACTTTCTGGTATCGGAGACCGCAATACGGGCATTCGTGCACTTGCCCGTCGTCAAGGTTGATCCAAACTCGAGGGTGACCCTTAATTTCCTGTTAGGAGTGGCTCTATGAGAGCTAGGTTCTCGGCTCTGCAACCCCTGTGAGAACCTCAGTCTATTTAAAAATAGATTAAAAACGGTACTTCGTGATCTGGGCTGTCTAAAAACCTTAGTCAGGTCCTGCTTCTAGTTATAGGGACACTATTCTGAGTTCCTGACTAAAATCGATATAAATTTGCCCAGACCCTTACGCAGGCTTTCTACAGAGAGAGCTCAGCCAACTCTAGAGTGACGATTTAGTATTACTTACGACAGCTTGATTAAGACCTCCATAAGTTCCATCGCACATGTGTCGTCGGTTAGTAGTCATGATAACTGGCTCTTCTGCGATCATATCAATCGCCCATCGAGCAGAAAGTGCCTTTTTCTAAAACAGAGGTGAAGTTCCAAGTTTCTTTCTTTTTCTTTGCTTTTTACCTTTCCGCCGAGATATCTGTTCATTCTGAAGTCTCCTTCAGGGAAGGCCTGGCCAGTGTGCGTCACTTGGTTATCGACGGTGGAAACTTTCTGAACAGCTGGAGCTTTTTCCGAGCTCAATCGGACAACGCTTCGGGAGATGCTCAATCCTCGACGAAGCATCCTGAGCAATTTCTGAAAAAGAGAAAAGAATTATAATCATTATAAAAAATAATAGAATGAATTAACAATTAATTGAAGTTAATAATTGGAAAAATTTCTTCTTGGGGCCAAAAATTCTAGAGACGTTGACTTTTCTCTTGTTTCTATTTTTTCTCAAGACTTCCCCTTTTCGGTTTCTTCGGATGCAGAGCTTTCCTCAGCGGGCGCGCGCTGATTGGCTGGGCGGCGCAAGGGCTTCTCCTTCGAAGGAAAACAAAGCGTTGCTGGAAGATAAATGGTTTTCTACACTCGGCAACTGTGTACAAATACTTACTCGGGTGAGAAAGATAAGGAAATAGATAATAGGAACTAGAAATAGATCTCTTTTTCATGGACCCTGACTCAGGTCCACTTTAAGGGTAGAACATGAAATCGGCGCGCGGCGCCTCGCTCGCCCAGCGCCCCGCCGTGCCCTACTTTTCAGAATGCCCTGAAATCGGAACGGATAAATCTTTTCCAAAATTTCTTCGGATTTCTGATCATCAAAGCCTTACCTTTTCACAATTCAAAAATGAGCAGAATCGTCAAAGAATAAGTCGGAGAGAATGACATAAGTCGGTTAAACTCTATCTTCTCTCGCAATTCTTATCCGATTTTTCAAATTTAGATAGGTCAAAAGTGCTCCGTTAGACCTAAAATTTCGTAGTCTCAGAATTAATTTTGAAGCTTTATGCAATTTTTTATGAGCTTTTGAAGTGAGAGCTGCACCGTCGTGAGGCGCGCAGCGTGAGAGAAAAGCGGCGCGGCGTGAAAGCACTTGTTTTGAGAAGCCGTGTGGAACTTTAGGAAGCTTTAAAATTAATTCTGAGACTACGAAAATTTAGGTCTAACGGAGCACTTTTGACCTATCTAAATTTGAAAAAATCGGATAAGAATTGCGAGAGAAGATAAAGTTTAACCAACTTATGTCATTTTCTCCGATTTATTCTTTGACGATTCTGCTCATTTTTGATCTGTGAAAAGGTAAGGCTTTGATGATCAGAAATCCGAAGAAATTTTGGAAAAGCTTTATCCGTTCCGATTTAAGGGCATTCTGAAAAGTAGGGCACGGAGGGCGCTGGGCGAGCGAGGCGCCGCGCGCCGATTTCATGTTCTACCCTTAAGACACAAAAACAAAGAAAATGCATTATTTGGAAATTCATTGAAAGAAGATGGCATTCATATTAAATTATAATATGAGGGTGAAGTAGCCACCGGCTTGTCCATTAGTTCTTGTTTTGGTGACCAAATTTTTAGTTACTTTTATTCTTTGTTAATTAAATATATCATTTGTTAAGTACTCTCTTGAACTGCTCTCCGTTATTCTCAGCTTATCGAAGAAAATGACATGTTATTTACGCTGGACCAACATGGAAGCTGTTTATAAGAAGCTGTGACTATCTGGGCGTGTGTTCTTTCGGAATAATGAGACAACTTTTATTTCCCCTTCTTTTAGGGACTTCATTTGCGAGGGATGAACTTTTCACTAGAGAATCGAGCTTTGAAGATTTATTTTTGAAGATCAGCTTGGACAGGAACCTTTTCAAAAATAAACAGTTTTTTTCTAGCTTTGAGCTAGCTAAGCTATATCATCTGGGATCGGCAATCTGTGTCCACGACCTGAGTCAGGGGTCTGAATGAGCTTTGCGCGGCTTTATTTTTATACAAAGCCGCTTTGCGGCTTCTTAATAAATAAGACCACTACGCGGCTTTTATCAAAGGTATGTCACGACCCTGACTCAGGTCTAAAACACAGCTCAGGAAATTATTTCATTATAAGATATTCGAAGCTTGAGCACCACCCTAATAGCATTTTTGAATTTGAAGAAGAGATAATTTTGTCTTTTAAACAAAGTCGAGGTGGAACTAGAGGAAGGGACCCTTATCGGTTACCAGACAACGGGAAAACATTTTGAAGTATTCAAACAAGTACCTTATGCGAAATCTCCTGAAGGAAAAGAGTTTGAACTGAAGTACTTTCCTGTTTGCTTTTCATAAGTAAACAGGTCACTCCTGTAATGACAGTAGTGCCAACTTTTTCAAGGCAATCTTCGATTTCGTAAGCCGGAGCCGATCGGGACCTTTGCTGGCGGAATTCATGATTCTGTCGCTGTAGGCATGGCTCTAGAAATCATTAAAAGTCACTAGGTCTCATCTAGGTGCTGAATTGTAAATCATTAGAATTTTCTAGAGCTGTTTGAAAGGCGACAATCTCAAAGCTTGCATCGGAACAGGCGTTGGCTCGAATGACCTACAAGATGCGCTAGACATGGGATTTATTTCCGAAGACTGCCTCACAATGGATATTTACCGACCAGTGAAAAACTACCACACGCGTCTCCCGATTTTCGTCTGGATTCACGGCGGTGGATTGACTAGTGGAACATCAGCTTATTACCACTTTTCCAGACTGGCAAGGGAGGATATTATTGTTGCTGTGGTTCAATATCGCCTTGGAGTGCACGGCTTCTTGAGCTCCTACAGTGCTGAGGGACTGACCGAAACTCCAGGCAATTTTGGTCTGCTAGATCAACAAGCAGCAATTGAGTTTGTTCATCGAAACGCGCGTAATCTCGGCGGCGATCCAGAAAAATCACCATCGGCGGCGAGTCAGCGGGCGGCTGGTCTGTTGGCTGGCACATGTTGAGTACCAAGTCAACAAACATGATCCGCACGGCGATTTCACAATCTGGCATGGCTTCTTTTGACATGTCGCCGCAAGACTCTGAGCACGGAAACTTGGCGATCAAGCATCTTTGCGAAAAGACCAAGGCGAAAATCAACTCGACCTTGGCTTGCTCCGGAAGCAGCGAAGACATCCTCAACCGTTTCAGAACATTGACGAAGAACGAAATTATTCAGTTGGAAATTGCCGATCGGGAGAGCAGAAAAGAATTCGAGAATTATCCAGAATGGGCTCCAGTCCATTACGATGGCGAGTTTTTCAAGATGAATGCCAAGGAGGAGTTTGAAGGAGGACATATTGTTGATGACGTTACTTATGTGATTGGGTCGAATTCGTTCGAAGGAAGCTTGATTTGGAAGTGGCTCTTGAGAGATGTCAAAACTTATGACAAGGCATTCGAAAACAGTTTGAATAAGACAAAATTCTAAATGAAGTTGGTGGTCGGCAATCTGTGCAGAAAACCTGAATCAGGGTCCTCTAAGAGCTTTCAGGACCCTGACTCAGGTTTTCTACGCAGATTGCCTACACAGAAGTTCGCTAGGAAGTTGACTTCGAGTTGAAAGTTTGAAAGTTCTTTTTTCGAATGCTGGGAAAGACGACCGAATGAAAGTTTTCCAAAGTCTTGAAGGCGCGCTGGTTAGAACATCTCCCCTTAGCTTATTAACATTCTCGCCCGCACTTTCACGGAATTTTAAAGAAATTTGAGAAAAGCCAAGGTCAAATTCCAAACTCAACATTTTCACGTCATTCTAGCATCGCTTAATTTTTCTAACCAAAGAAAAAAAGGTTACGGAGAAGGAACGAAAACCAATGGAAAGAGGCTGCGATATGTTCCTGAAAAAGATCGAGAGGAAATTTTCGAAAATTATTTCAGGTGGAATTTTATTCAATTTTTTCTTTTGCAATCTTGCTTTTTAGAATTTTAAGCGACGAGCCGTGGCTAAACTGCACTGATATCAAACACTGCACTGCTCTAGAATACCAGCTGCTCGCTGAAAAGATCTGGGCGGACATGGCTTTCGTTTTACCAGCTTTTGAACACGCTCTTCTTTATTCGGATAAATCTGCCTTTGTCGCTGTTTATTACTTGAATGTTGATATGAAGTTTGATCTTCTAAGGGAAGTTTTCATTTTCTAAGTTGGGATAAGATAAAATGATTTCTGAAAACAAGAAAAAGCCAGATTGAATATCCAATTCCCGGAGCTGGCCACGCCGAGGACATAATGTTCATGCTCGATGTTCCCAGCATGGAGCTCAAACTCAACGGAAAATCAACGTCGCTTTGGGAGATTCTTCATAGTCCACCTTCAAACCCTTACAGGCCAGAAGAATACATGTACCACATGGTGGATATTTTTGTCAATCACTGGGCCTCCATCATCAAGGTAAAAAGCAAAAATAACGATAATAAAAACGATGGAAATTAAGCATGGTCATCCGGCCTCGCCTTGGCCTCAGTTTGAACGAGAATACAAGCATTTCGTCGAATGGACGAATAACGCCACCCATGCGATCGAAAAAGTTCATTCTAAACTCCCGCCAACGATCGAATTCATGATCGATACTTATGGAAGCCTGGGAAGCTCGGCAACGGTGATTTCTTCTTCTCTTTTTGCACTTTTCTTCGCGCTGCTTTTCTAGCTATTTTTTCATTAAATTGTAGCATTGAACTGTTCTGAGTTTTATTTGAAGTGGGGAGCCATTAGAGCGCTCGTCCAAAATCGTCTCAAATTAAGACCGGTACTTATAGAGCCCGTTCCTTCTCAGCAAAAGAGAAAGAGAGAGAGAAGGAACCGCGCCGTTGCGAGCATAATCATAACTCCCGTCGTAACGTACCATCACTTCTAATGACTTCGAAACAGTTAGAAAATGTCTCGAGAAAACCCCAGTTCAAGTGACACGTGATCGAGCGTGATCTCGCATTCGAATAACGAGCAAAAAAGAATGATGACCTGAACTTTTGAACTATTTTTGTATCAACTAAGTTCGACTTTTCCAGCTAAAGTGAGCGGCTCAAACAGCTCGAAAACCAGCTCGAATTCCGCTCAATTTGAGCTGAGCCAGCTCAACATTCAGCTCAAGAAACCGCAATTGAAAATGATGAGCTCATTATTGAGCTCTACGAAATTTTACAACATCGGGCAATTTTCAATCCTCTTGACCTTTTTTCATCGACTTTTTCCCAAGAGCACGTCATAATCTGTCCTCGCCGAACTCTGCTCGCTTGTCGTACTTCATCAATGTTTCTTTGTCGCGAACGAACAGGGGTTACCTTTAGCCGGCGAGAAGAACGTTGGGTTATTTCGACCATTGAAGGAGCTTTACTTCGTGTTCGTTTTCTAACTTTCTGCTGCTTGAGTTGAGCGAGCGAATTACACTTGAGCGCCAACTGCGAGAGTCGTTAGAGATCGTTCGTAACTCGCGAGTTAGACTCTGGTTTTGACCGCCTATTCCGGACGCTACATTTTACTAAACTCAAAATAAATATTACAAAAAAGGAAGAGGGAGAAGAGTCTTCTTGAGCTTGTTCAATTCCGAAGCCAGAAAATAAGAGAAAATCAACGAAGAAACAAAAACGGAAAAATCAACTTCATAAGCAGTATTTTCTGACTGATTCAAGAAAAAAAATATCGAAATGAAAAAAATGAGGAGTTTAATCCTCGTCGCCCAAATTGCAGAATCCTGCAGAAGAAGCGGATTTTCGAGAAAAAGAAGACAATCAGGAAAGCGTTGAAAATTAATTTCATGAAAATTTTCCAAAAGCTGGTTTTTTTCTGCAAAAAAAGTCGGTCATAAACGATAGTCATAAACGGCGGTTGTTGGTTTCTTAGTCAGAAATAGACGGAAAATAGATGCTAGCTACAGTTATTCCCTGAAGATTATTTGGTGATTTTGATAGCCAAAAGTACTGTTCGTAGCACGAATAATTTGTTGGCTATAAGTTACTGCCTTTAAAATAAAAACCTTAAGACCTGTCTTTTGATATGTCAATATCATATTGTCAATATGGACAAGCTTCATATCGTATAGGTATTTACTCAGACCCCCTTAAAGTCCAAGGGGCCCATAATAGACAAGACATAAGAAATAGTTGTGAATCAATAAGGGGAGATGGCTCGGAATGTTTTCGTGGTGTGATGCTAATCCGGCCTTATTTTGCGGTCTTTGTTCTAAAAAAAGATCAAAACTGGCAATTCTGATCGGAGATGTAAAATCATAAATTCAAATAAAATGTGACAGCTCGCAGAGCACCACATGATGATATATTGCGTCAACCCGATCAGCAGTGACAGTTTGGACAGCTTCACCTTGTTAAGCTTATCTATTTTTATTTTCGGTTTCGGACTTTCACGTGACTTATTCACCCAAGAATTCGTTGTTTCAATTACCAAGGGTATCTTATTCAATAATTATAAATTCCTACAATGCATTCTCTCGATAACAACTGTCGCCATCATGCTCCTGATTGGCTGATCTCAGACTATATGGAGCTCAACCAATCAAGTGTTTGATGGCGATGAAAAAGGCTGGAAAATGCTCTTTTGAAACGCTTGAAAAAGGAACTCCAGTTGAACTGGTCGAAAATGCCATCATCCCTTTTGCCTACTGTTTACAGGAAAAGGTCGAAAAACGAAGCAATGATTAGGATAAATAATAAACTCGCCTGTCAGAGAGAGAGAGCGATGACTTCACTCAACATTTCTTTTTTATCGCCAACGGATACTAAGACATCTATATTTTACTCGTTAGGCTTTATTAAATGCTCGTTAAAACATCCTCTCTCTCTTTTCTTTGTCTTTAGTTTTTAATCATCGAAAATGAAAAATTACTTTTCGACCGAAATTTAGAAAGATCCAGTTGTGCTAGAAGAAGTCATCTTGGCTGGACCAAACAGTGATCCTTCAAACACAGATCCGTATTGTTACGATGAATGTGGACCCGATGGTCTTGGAGAATATGATGTTGATGAGTGTGTAGCATGTTATAAAGTAAGCATGAAAAAGTACAAAATTTAAAATGGTATTCGTTGACAAAGAATCGTTGGCATTTCAATTTTGATTAATTTTAATTAGTGACACCCTTAACGGTTAGGGTTAGATTTAGGGATTGGATTGACCAATGATGATCAATTTAAAATTTCTGAAGATTGATATTACAACGATTACTGTCTTATTGTTTAGAGGTTATCATGTTTTAGGGTTACCCGCTACTAAAGTTTGTCTTGAGAATGGCCTGCTACTCACAATAATTCTTTTTCAGGATGAAGACAGAATCGAAGACATAACAGAAAAATACATCGCGAGAGGAGGCTTCAGCCGAATGACTCCAAGTATACAGCAAGTTCAAGACTGTATCGACTTCTATCTACCGACAATTTTAACCTCCGAAGAACCAGAGCTATTCATCGAGAATACGAACAACCGCCAACTCGCTGGTCGAATCGAAGGAAGGAAGATAAACTTGAATTTGATTCTTTTTGTCGAAACGTCAGACAGTTCTTGAGGGCGCAAAGGATTTCCGGCGCATCTGGAGCGACGCGCAATTATTTTTAGAAAGCGGAAGCAATAACCCGTCACCCGGACATTAGTACTCGTATATTTATTTCAAACATTCGACCGCATTTTTATGATGATTCCGGGCAAGAATAGAAATGACATCACTCACCGCGCGATAAGTGTAAGGGGTAACCTTGTTCTCCGCTCGGCAACCTGAGTAGGAAACCTGAGTCAGGCTTTGAAATAGTCGCTGAATGGTCAAGTTAACAGAGCTGTCATGTGGCTTCGTTTTTGTGAAAGCCGCGAGGCGGCTTTTTATTTAAACTATTTGAAATCCTGACTCAGGTTTTCTACACAGTTTGTCGAGCCCAGTCGTTGTTTATCCATTTTTCCCAATTTTATTGGTCAAGACCTAGATCAAGATGGCCTTTTGTGGTCCACTATTGGAGAAATAAGGTTTTGGAGAATCCTTAAAAAGTATAAAACTAATAACGGGGATTAGGTTATTCTGAGCTGTTTAACTGCCGTGCTTTATGCACGTCATGATTCAACAAAATGCACGAAAATGGCCATTAACCTTCTCGCGACGGGCTACCCGGAGCGGGCTGGAGGGACAAAAAAGGTCACGGCCGGAAGTTATCGGAAGTGAGGGTTAACCAGCCTGGCTCGCTTTATATCCGGCCATTTTCACGCGATACATAAGTTCATTCGCCAATTAGACACTCGTAACTACTCGAAGTCACCATTTTTACGACCCTGAATTCCAGAACAATATTACGTGTCTTAGGAATAAAAAATGCTCATTTTTAAGATTGAAAACATTTTCTACCCGTGATGCCTATTTTAAAGTTACTTTGGCTTGAAATATAATCAGACTGGCCAAAGTAAGCGTCAGAATCAGGGTTCCTGACTCAGGCACAGGTTCGAGAAATGGTTAGGGTTAGGGTTTGGTCAATGGTAGCTCTGTGCAAGGTGACTTTAAAATGAACGTCAGGAGTAAAAAATTTCTTAACAAAATTATCTTCTTCGAAGTGCCGGATATCATAAAATACGAATACGATTGTGATACATCTGATCCTTCAAGCTGCGATGCTGGAAGCAACTTTTGGGAAGGCATCATTCGCGTTCCTGAAGATTCTTCCGAAAATAGTCGAAAAAGAAGAGACGGAGAAAGCTGTTTCTTCGAAGAATTTAGGTTTGAAACGAAGCTGATGTTAATAACAAGGTTTCATTTGATGATTTAAGTTTTGAAAACGCAGCAGTGCTCGGACAAGCAGATGACAACGGTATCCGGTTGACATATCTGAGAGAGGCGCGCGCCGACATAAACTTCAATGTTACTCTCTCAGAGCAATGCGAGAATAACCATCTAGTTCCAGGGATTTTTCATCATCGTCCGAGACGGTCTCTTATTCCTGATCGATCCTCCTTGATTTCGTTTTTCAATCATTAATTCTGCTGTTTCCTTCTCAGGCTTTTATACAGATATTTTGAGAAAATAAACCTTTTGAAAATCCCTCCCAAGAATTCATCTTCAAACAGAGAGTACCAGCTGCCGTTCTTCCGCGATTCTACTCCGTCGATCGACTTACTTCCAAAAACTACGAGATCGAATTCGGCTGGGACTCGATCGGATACCTCTACGCATACGGCGATTTGGAGAACGTAAGTGTTCCGCAAACGATTCTAGCGACGCCGCAAGCTTTTAATCTTACTGGCACTACTTTCATCAGCTACAAGAATGGTAAAGCATAAGGGTATTCTGTAATTAAGTCTTCTTTAGATATTTTGGTGGATAAGCAGAGTCCATCTTCTTACGCAATTTCATTCTCTCCAAACGGTCGATCCTACGATCCCGGCGTTGAAGTCGCAACTTTAAACATGGAGACGCTGGCTGCTGATCCCATTTCTCCTTTCCAATTCCAGCTCAAGTCGGTCTTGACACCCGGCTTCCGCGAAGTAGAAAGCGCTTCCACCGAAGCGCCAACGAACAACTACGTTCCCTGTATCCCGAATCTCGTTGATCCACCAAAATGCAAAACGATCACCAATATGCCAGTGAATGTAACACTCTCCGAAAATCGATCCAACTCAATGACGGTAAGAAAAAGGACGCTGAAGACAACGAAGACCGCTTAAATTTTACTAAAACAGGAATAACTCATTTTAAGAAATTTAAGGTGAAGAAAAAGGTTAAGTCTTGATCAGTTCATACAGTGATACTCATGAATTAACAGCAAAACATACAGGGAATATCTTGTAATCTCGGACTCATGTAGATCTTCATTTCAATTCATTAATTCCGTCTTAGAACAGAGGCTTTCCATTGTCGACCAGCATAGATCTTGTCGACAATTTAGATGAGGCACTCTGATGAAACTGATTTGACAGTCATGAAATTCAACTAAAGTCATTAAAGTCGCATTTGATGACTGTAAATAAACCCTCAGTTTCAAGATAAAGTGCTAAAAATCATTTTAGATAACGAAGATGATCCTCAATCAAGCAAACAAGTTGATCAAGCAAGAGAACAAGAACCAACTCGTTTGCGAAGATTATTCAGTTTGTCAAATCAAAATCAAGTACTTGGACTTTCCAGAAGGACGAGCCTGCGATGAAGGCCTCTGTCACGATGCGCTGATTTCAACTGGCTGTGTTGGATGGAAGGAGGGAAATGCCTGCCAAGCTTATATTGATAATTCCTCAGATGCGATCTTCTATTCCAACAAAAGTAAGTAACAGAAACTTCTTACTGACACAGGGCCTGTCTCCTGAGTTTATAAGGCTTCTACCAGAGTTCAAAAACCCCGCGATTTGCCCGGGCACAGGCGGGCGCGGGCTCGGAATGGAAAAATGGTCGGGGGCTCAGGCGGGCACGGGCACAAAATTGATGAAGCTCGGGGGCTCAGGTGGGCACGGGCCCGAAACTGAAGGTGCCCGCGGGCTTACGCGGGCGCGGGCAAAAAATTGAAGGTGCCCGCGGGCTCACGCGGGCGCGGGCCCTTGCCCTCCTGCTCGCGCCCGGCCGCGCCCGCGAGCACAGAGGGACCTACTTTCAATCGGTATTTTCAGCTTCAATTCGATGACTTGAATAAGTTTGCCGTCAAAAAATAAGCGAAAATGGTAAAAAAAAGTACGGAAATTCGCGAGAATCTTGATTTTAGACCAAATTTTGAGCCAATTTTTGGAGTCTTTTTCGAAGAAAACTCTTTTACGGGTTACCGAAAAAAGTCTTAATTTTTATTTAAATTTTCAAAGTTTTCGGCGAAAATTTCTTCTTCTTTTACGAAAACTGGCCGCGGCCCTGACGGGCTCGGGCGCCTGAGGCCGCGAGGCCCGGGGGCTCAGGCGGGCACGGTGTAATCATAAAAACTGGCCGCGGCCCTAACGGGCTCGGGCGCTTGAGGCCGCGAGGCCCGGGGGCGCAGGCGGGCAGCGTGCCCGCGCCCGGCCGGCCGCCGCTCCCCTGCCCGGGAGCCGAAAATTTTTGAACTCTGGCTTCTACACAGGTTGCTGAACCTAGCGCTGCGTATAATTAAAAACCTCAGCAATAAGATAAAATTTTTCAGAGGGCGAATTTTTCTATCACTGGGAATCGTCGGAAAACCAACTTTACGGCACCGCATCGAAAAACAAAAAGCCACTAAAACTCGACGGCAAGAAGGACATCGTCTCGATGCTTCAGGGTAGAGTGTAGCTAAACATGTTCCATAAGCTCCTTGTCTAATTATTACTATGCTTGTATGATAGATTATCTGAAAAAAGACCCCATCCATTAATAGTTTATTTCTCTGCCCAGTTCAACCCTTTGCAACTCTCTTTACTTGTTTCTTCGGAAAAGTGAAAATTTTCAACTCGCAAAATTTGCAGGTTTCAAAAAACAAAATGGAATTGAAAAAGTTAAATTTTCACTATCCCAAATAAACAGTATTTGCTCTTGAAAACGTTTTATTTATGTCTCTGCTGTTTATATTCCCAATTTAATAAATTCACTATTGAAAATTGTCGCTCCGAATAAATTTAAAAGAAAAATTATAAATCGAATTCATCACTAAATATGAATTTTATCAAATTAAAGGGAGGAAGAATTAAGGATATAGCCGTTCTCAAGGCACTTTCGTAGCGCCGAAATGGGGCGATAAAATTTTTTCATTTTAAGACAGGTCCTACCTAAAATTATGTCTAGAATTCGATTCTGATGTTATTGAAAATTTTTTTCAAAGAAAATTTATCTCTGGAGCGATTTGAAATCTTACGATCACTTTTTCTCGAAATTTTTCAATTAAATCGCTAAAACTAAACCGTGTTATATTATAAATAACTACGTATCTATCTTCTTAGGGCCTCAAAATTTCAAAACCCGAGCAAATTTTCATTCTAGCGTCTTCTTCTTTTTGGCTTTTCTTTTTCTTAAATGCTGCGTTCAGGGCGCTCGACCAATCAGCGAGCACTTTCACATACGCGCCTCACCGCGCGATGGAGGAGGGCGCCCAGCGCAGCAAACCAGAGCGCTGTCTGACGCTTCGGCTTACTCAAGTAAGCCTCATAAAAATGGCTCTAGAATCATAAATAATTGGAATCTATTAAACTTTAGACCCTAGGAATGTAGAGAAAGGTCCAAATTTTTAATTTATCAAAAAAACTCGACCAATTTAATTGAAAATTCTCGAGAAAAAGTGATCGTAAGATTTTAAATTGCTCTAGAGAGAAATTTTTCCATTAAAAAAGTAGAAAGAACACTAGAATCGGGTTTCTTAGGCAATTTTAGGTAGGGTTCCTTTTGAAATGAAAAAAATTTATCGTCCCCTTTTGGCGCTACGAAAGTGCCTTGAGAACGGCTATATCCTTAAGGGAAAGTGTTCAATTATTGATCTTGCAGGCAAAATTTTGTGATCATTTTTATCGAAAGTTGAAAGCTTTCTCGAAGCGCTGTCGAAAATGAAGGACTTTTTTTCCAGAAGTTGGCTCGGCGCGGAAACGCGGCGAAGAACGCCGGCATTTCAACGCAGTCGAAAATTTTTGAGAGTTTTGAGGAGCAGCTAGAGAATGAGCTTCGCCGATCTAGACTATTTAGTAAAGTTAAAGATCTGGCGCTTTTTGGACGATAAGAAGGACTCCAATCAAAAGATTTACCTAGGTAACTCTATATTGATCGAATCATAAAAGTCGATGGCCGGAAAAAATATAAATTTTTCGCCTTCGAACAGCCATAACTCACGTGATACTTAATGAAACCAAGCGATAAAGATATCAATCGAAAGCTTAGATTGTGAGGATTTGGGCAACGTAAAAATTATTTTGTAAAATCGACTTTTTTCTGATTGGCCGAAAATTTGAAATAATTATTTTTGCCAGTGAAACTAATTTTTTTTCAAATTTCTCTTTCTTGCCCCATTCCTCAGAAGGTGAGCTTTCCAAAAATGTTCTTATCATGTGATTTCATCAATTGTGGCGTGAGATATCCGCGTTCGTAGGAATTTCAAAGAAATGTTCCTGAAATCGCCTCAGGCTATGATAAGAGGTTTTTTTCAGATGATTTCGGAAGCTCGATAAGCCATGAAAACAATCCTATAAATGGTTTCTGTCGAAGACGAAATTTTCGTCAAAATCGAAAATTTATATTTTTCCGGCCAATTTAATCCGTTAATTAATATTATTTAAGGGTTGCTCCTTGTCGAACACGATTATGTAAACGAGGTCGAAAAATGGATTGTTGGTAAATTGGAGGGCTTTTTGTGGTCCCCTTGTGTTCTTTCGCCATTTCGAAAACTTTCTCCGGAATTGGCATTGATGCTCTTCAGGTACTTTTTTTAGCACATTCTAGGGGAGGTGGTCGATGACTTTTTGAGCGCTTTTCAAATTTTCGATATTATTATTTGTGATTTTGATATCATCCACAGGAATGGAATAAAAATAAAGAGATAGAATAAATTAGTCCACATAATACCTTAGTACTGTATTTTCTTGCAGATACAAATAGAAATAGAAAAATTCGATCCCGGCCACCTGAACCTTAAACATAGGTTTAAAACTGCGGAGGAAGATGAGGAGCTTTGGAACGTTCATCGGAAAGAGTATGGTTTGGACTTTCCTCCAAGGATTCTTCGTATTATCTGGCGTTGCCCTGATCTCCGGTATTTCATGGCTTATCGCATACAAGATTGGGCCATTTCCTTCCGCGACTCTTCAAATCTGCATTGTGAGCTCGTAAAATTGGTTAAAGCATGGACAGAATACGACAAGGAGGACAAGATGTTGAATGCTTTCGCAAAGAGATTTGGTAAACACTACGTATTGGATGCAGTTGTTCCAGTCATTCGATGTCTTTTCTCCCCACTACCGACTATTCCAACTAACATGGTACTCAGCTTTTTTAAGTTTTTAGCCTAGTGAAGATTTAATCACATCTAAAATTTGACATTTACCTTAAAAATTTTATACAAATGGTAAATTTGGTTATTTACTTTAACTTCGAGGGGATCATTTGCGTCGTCTAACCCCTGTCATTTTAGCCCGGATCCGCACATCGAAAGGAAGTCAAAGAAATGATGAAATCAAAAGACTTTCCTCCTCTCCGAAAATCTGCGAAAAATCGGCGGCGAACTCTTTCTTTGTAATCTGAACATAACCAGCCATTGATCTCGAGGAATAAAGTACCGAAAAATCTACTTGCTTTTCTTCATTTTTCTTCCTTGATGTCCAACTTCCAACTAATGAATGAGTCATTCTAAATGTCTTACTTCTCGGATGATCCAATCGGGAAGCCAGCTGCGACTTTTGCTAAAAGTTCTCTAGACTTCGCGAAAACATAAATTCTTTTTTCACTTTTGTTTTTCCAAAATAAAAATCACCGAAAATGGAGCCTCGGATTCTAATTAAACGAGAGATCAAAGAAGAGAAGATTAAAAAAGAATTTGAGCCTCCAGAAAAAAGTTTCTTTAAAAAAAGGTTGAAAAAGAATTTCGCCCCGTTCTTCTGACACTTTTTAGGGGGGAGGAGATTAATGACGTACTTATGATGAAGACAAACGAGTATCTGATAAATGCTTCAAAATGTCTACAGAACAGGTTGGCTTTAAAATAATGGAAACAGAGTCTCTACAACTTTTTGTAGAGAATATTTCTTTGCTCGAAATTTTTGCGACTCAGCACGCTGCAGGAAGATGCACCAAATAATCAGGCATACTCGAGAGTGTCAGGTCGGGCTCGGCAATAGTAGCTTTTCCTGAGTCAAAACCTGAGTCGATACACATTCCGGTGTACCGGCCTCGGGAACCTGTGGACTAAACCTAAGTCGCGGCGTAGCGTCTATTCAAGACCCTGACTCAGGTTTTGCACACAGACAGTACTCTGATTGCCGAGCCCACATATGAGCTGGAAGCAAACAATTGTGACGAGTGCACGGGCTACTTCGCCATGGTGGCTTACCACACGAAATATCTCTGCGAAGACGGTGACAACTGCCCCGTGCCAGAGTGCAAGCGCTGCCGGCAGATTCAGAAACAGTGCAAGAATATGATCAAGCCGCAGCGGATCAAAAACAGTTTCGTAATCCCCCAACCTAGCGCCATTCTTGAGTTCCAGGATAGCGAGGAGGAGAGCGAAGACGACGAGGTGGAGACGGAACCGGGAACGGGCTCCTTCATTCCTTTTATAATTCATTTTTGATGAAAGAGAAAATAGCCGTTTTGAAAGGCAGCCAGGATGTGGCTGTTCAATGTTCAGGCGAGGACTTCTTCGATGGTAATAATAATTCACAATCCCAAGATGGCCCAGAATCCCAAATGGACGGCGAAGAAATGGGTCAAAAAGAAACACATTAGAAAACAATTTGCTGTTTTACTAGGGCAGGGCTCGGCAACCTGTGTCCAAAATCTTAGTTAGGGTTTCAGATAACTTCAATGAAAATGCACTTTTTGCGGCTATTTTGAAAACGAAGCCGCCAAGCAACTTCACCAAAAGTTCCATCTTGATTTATTGCGGCTTTTCATTTAAGTTTTCTAAGCCCTGACTCAGGTTTTGGACACAGGTTGACGAGTCCAGTACTTAGGCAAACTAGAACTGCGAAAATAAAATCTTTCATTTTGAAAAATCCATTTTGATCAATTATGCTTTATTAATTCAATCAATACTTATTTATCAAACACATGATGTCAGCATTATCACGTCATTTCTAGTAAAGGAAATCCTAATTATTCTCATCAAAGCGAAATAATTAATGAAAAAAGAGTTTTAATTCGGCCGAATAATCCAGCTCGATAATACGACATTGCAAAAGCTAAAGCCTTTGATAGCCAATTGCCTCCAAATGTAATCTGTTTTTTTCGTCTTGATCAGCAGAGCTTCATCCATCAACCACGAGCTAAATTGAACCATCTAACTGAAAATCGCGCTGCAGAAGAAACCGCTCAAAGAGAGGATTGGTTTAGTTCGAAAGAGCTGCACTTGAGTCAGACTGACTGGGTTCCGCAACATGTGTAAAAAACCTGAGTCAGGGTTTGAAAATGCCAAATAAATCGGAGCTTAATATTTAGCATTTTCAAATCCTGACTCAGGATTTTACACAGGATACCGAGCCCAGAGTCCCGTTGATCCAAAAATAGAGCAACTTTTTAAGGGGGTACAGATCGAAAAATCAGTTTTTCCAGTAGACACGTATTTAGTGACTGACCCTCATTTGAGCCCCAAAATATATGAATAGACAGTAAAACAGAAGTTAAATTTAATTTCACTTATTGTTCAACGCGTGAATAAATAATCACTCCCGTCAGATATGGCAGATGAAATTATCGTTTATATCAAATTTCGATAATCAAAGCTGGGCTCATTTATATTCGATAAGTTCTGCCTTTACTCTTCGAGAAATTTGTCTCTATTTTGACATCGATGAAAAAAGGGGAAAGTACTGTTTAAGATTTTTTGCTAAATGGGTCAATTACGTGTGTCTGTATAAATTATGAATTAATCGTCGACAAACCAAAAACAGAGAGAACCCCGCGCCACAGCAATCAACAACGAAAACGGATAAAGAGAAACTCGAAGAGAATGATGCGAAAATACAAGAACTGCGTGATTTTCCTTGTCTACTCGATCGGAATGCTTTACACATCGCTAGGAAATCCAGTCAAAAATATGATTCTAGGAAAATATGATTTCATCCGTTGATTTTTCTGGCAAAGATAAGTTATCTTAGATAACACAGTGAGACCCTTAGTTTATCACATCATATTCGTTTCTAAAGCCTTTATAAAGGGTCTAACTTCATTTTGAGGTTTCTATTTTTTCAATATTTTGACAAGGTCGTAATAGCAATTGTGCACAACGTGACAGATTTCATGAAATACCATTCATCCTTCAAATCCGATTTCGTGAGCAGTGGCCATCACCGACCCGTGGTCACTGTTTGTTCGGATAGTATGCATTCAAAAATGCTGAAGAACAAGCTCTATCCAAATCTGACCGATCTTGAGCTGCGGCATTTTTATGGGCACAAGTACGCCGGCCACGGTACTACACAGTACGCGTACCCGGATTTGAAGCTCAAGGAGTTTTTCCGTTCCACAATGCCGTTTCTCAAAGTTGTCTACTGCACATACGGGAATATCAAATGCAAGAACAACTGGAAACGAGTCGCTACGTTCGAGGTACGTCAAATTATTGGAGAATCAAGAAATCGAAATTGTTGTTTTTTTGGGGGAGCTTATTCTGCTCTCGAACTAATTTAAAATAGATACGGGTTCACTAGCTAAACGGTTAAAAATTAATATCATGTAAAAAGGTCTACTTTGTGACATAGTCGATGTCTATTCTTTTCTTGGCTCGGCAACCTGTGTAGAAAACCTGAGTTAAGGTCCTGAAAAAAATATGCCTTTGCGACACCCTTTCAAGACCCTGACTCAGGTTTTAACACAGGTTGCTGATCCCAGACTCCTATATTTCTTGATTTCTAGGGTGTGTGCTTGCAATTGAATATGCACGAACTGGACGTTTCGGAAAATGAAGGCGGTTTCGCTTCAGAAATGACCGTCTCTTTCGCCTTCAACGTTTCCGACAACACTTACGGCTGGAACGGGATGCAGAAAAATCTCCGTCTGCGGAACACAGTTGCTCAGGAAAAACTCCAAGTACGAAAGCCACGCCGACTTGTTCTAACACGGCTTACTAGGTGACGGATCTGCATTTGCTGCGCGACGATATTCCATTATCGAGCACGCTGAAGCCGATCGTCATGCTCAGCGTCGAGCAAATCGTCTTCCTCGGCCACCCGTTCACCAACTGCAAGAAAATGGAGAAAGGAGATAGCTGTAAGTCCTTTTCGGTCCTTGTCGATGAGCTTGAAAAAGTGAAAATCAATCAAATTAAAGCGGAGACAGGAACGGTCGATAGAACTTGCCCCAGTTTGCATTTCACCCCGGTACCGGCACGCATCGAATTTCCTCGTCAGTCATCATCACGCATGAACCTGAGAGCTTTTTAGACTACTCGAAAATGTGGTGCGAGGCAAAAGCAAAACTGGAAGACATCATTTACAAGTGCCGCTGCTTGCCAGACTACGTCGACGAGTTCAAGGCATTCAACATTAGTAAGGAAAATTTAAATGATAAAGAAGCACTCAGATTCTTCTCTAAGGCGCGCCAAACATCACCAACTCGTGTACATTCAAAGACCATGCTGAATGCATAACGAACTTGTTCACCAGAGCCGAGTGGCACACAAGCTGCGAAGACGCATGCGAAAGTACAAAGCAAAGAAATGCTAATATCAGAGTATGCCCTGCCTTTCTCTTTGGATAATTCTATTTTATTTTCAGTATCAACAAGTTGAGCCGATTCTGGACATTATCATTCGAAAAAAGCTGCACTACTCATCGGACATAATTTTGAATCACGTGACTTTGATGCTAGCGCCGCCGATTTTCGAGCGAAAGATCGAAGTTGCCGACTATCCGATTTCAGCGCTGATGGCGGATATTGGCGGCGATTTCGGTCTTTTCTTGGGACTCAGGTAAATTGAAAAGGAGCTTTTGAGACAAAATCTAACACTATTTGATAAGTACAATCAAGCTGCTGAAATTAATCGGCTACTTTCTGATGCAAGTGGAAAAGAAACTGTCAAAAGCCTTCACGCGTTGTTCTTCTTTCGGTTACAAGATTTAATTGCAAATAAAAATCCACAGTACTAGAAACGAGGTTGACCAGCAGCCTGATTTTCGTTGTTATTTTTTGGCAGAGCTCAACAGTCAAGGCAGCGTCGAATCGTAGAAATGCTCCTCTTTTGACTCCAGCAGCGGCGCTTGATCCTCTGGCTTTGCTTTTGCAGGTAGCTGCTTGAAAATAAAATACACAGCTTTTGATCGGCTTTAGTTGAATTTTAAAAAGAGAGATTTTACTTCCCCCCTTTTGGGTTAAATATTAAAGCCTTGACAACAACGCCGACAAGTAGACAAATGAACAGGACTCCTTGTTTCTTTGATGCGTCTGAAAAAAATTATTGAGCTTAAAAATAATAACGGCTTCTTAGTAAAACAAATATATTCATCAGGTTCCTTACAATCGATTCCTATTATAGCGAATGATTTCATCAAGAGCTTTGATTGGTCGATGAAAAATACAAGGATTTTTAGAAACCAGTGCTGCTAATTATCTTTATTTTTCTATCGATAAAACTCAATCCAATGTTTAGTTAGCCCGTTATCATTAAAAAAAAAATTCCCAACCACAAAAATCAGAAAGTATGTGATCTCTTACCGACGTAGTGCGGGGTCTGATCGGGCCCGTAGATGACTCCTATATTGCTCTTATCGTGGTAGTATTCCTCTGTCTTTCCCATCGGGTTTATATTTTGGACTTGCGCGTGAAAAAAGAACGAGGTGCCGTGTGAATAAATGTCTTTTTGATTGATTAGCCTAAAATATTATATTCTTACGCGTCAACAGCGACACCGTCTGATTCAAATTTAGCTTCGCTCCTCTTTTTCCAACTCTTGAAAAAAAGATTGTCCAGCGTTAATTAGTAATATGCACCTTTAAAATTAACAAACGTTTATTTCAGAAGCCCTGAAAATAGCTGTTTACTGCTTATTTAGGGGTACTATCTTCGATTTCCAGAAGGTGACCTTTCGAAAGATTTATAAGAATCGGTTATTAGAGATGGATTCTTCATAAAATTTTATGATTATACCTTATTGACAACTATTCAAAATTATCAATATATCTTGAGATATGGCCACTATAAGTTTTTTCGAAAAAAAATTTTTAACTTCGATTTTCTTGATCAACGGCTTGTTCGAAAGCTCAGAGCAAGAGCAGTATGTTGGTAGCTGTATCGATCGCTACATCAAGATATTTTCGATTCTAGAGTCAAAAATGTGTCGCAAAATTTTAAAAATATGCTCAATTTTCGCAAAATCTGCGAGACACAATTTTCAAAAAATTATTTTTGGTATTTTTAGTTTTTCAATGAAAAATTCCTTCTGTAATTTTAAAGATTAAGGTTCAAATTACATATAAAAAATATAATAAGGCCAAGTTTTCAGACTTGTTTTTGAGTTATTCAACCGTTTATATAGGCCATTTTGGCGAAGATGACCACTTCAAGCCAAAATTTAGCCGCTTTTGGGTCAAGCAATTAATAAACCCCTCTGTAATAGTTAAGATCTAGGACAGGTCTATTTAATGAGACCATATTGACTCAGCAATCATTTACAAGTTCCGAGTTATTCAAGGCTCAAGTTGGGGAAATCGAAGATAGTACCCTTAAAGCTTTGAACGTCTACCCTAGCCTCCTTAGAACTTGTTTTGTTACTGTTGTATCACTGTAAAATCTAGTAGAACTACTGTTGCTAGTACTTTTCTAAGACTCTGTATAAACCCCTTCCTTTGGCAAATACGGCATCATTGGCGGTTTTCTCTCACATTCGTCACTTTCTTTATCAGAGACTGAAATTTTAACTCGCGTAGAAGACTCTAAGTTGCTCTGAAGATAAAGCATTCGCAGCAAATTGCCTCTTTTAAAATTCAATTTACGACAAACGAAACAACTCAGGCCAAGAACAGACATTCTTTTGAAGTTCAAAATTTGAACCCTTTTTTTTGCCCACCCTTCTAATTGTTTCCCAACTATCCAAACTTGAGAAGGTACTTTTCTGATGTCAAAATAAACTTATCTTGGCAAATTATCTTTTTAGAGAAATATAATTTGATAAGCAGGTCTTTAACTCTTTTCTTTTAATAGAACGAATCGAGGAGGGCCTTTTAACATTCGTATGATTTCAAAAAATTCAAAATTTGGGCAAAAATTGCAACTTTACGGGAAATTTTAAGGGTGTTACTTTGAAGTCAGAAGAAAGCTTTTAATGTCATTTCTGTTCAATATGACCTAAGGTAACAGAATCTGAAGAAAAACTCTAAATATTCTGTCTCAGGCAAGACCTAGGTCTACCCCCTTAAGGACCCTTCCTTAATTTGCCATTCTTTTGATTTAGACAACATTAATTGCTTCCCGAAGCTTTTTCCCCAAATTATCTCAAAATTGGAAAGGTCCTAATCTCCTGTCCAAATTAACTAATTATCCCAAATTATCTTCTTCTAGAGCAATTTCAGCCTCTCTGCCTCAATTGTAATCACCCAGCCGTTCGCAGCAAATTAAGCCAGCACCCTTTTTCTTTCTCAACTCTTGGTTCAGTCTCTTTGTATCTTTTTCGACTCAGAAGAAAAAAAATCCGAATTAAGGATTCCTTTCTTGAATTAGAAATGAGTTGATATCATCCCAGCATTCTCGCACTCGTCCTACTGGACTCTCCGTTTTTCCACATACCGGAGTTGATGAATAAATTACACTTTTCACTAAATGAAAGCGGCAACTAATAATCGATACACAATATTATCTACTATCGATACAAGCGTTGACCTCCAGAGCTGCAATTTACGCATCCTGGCAATTAGCTAAATTTGAAGCCATAATTCAATTTTAAAGGCCCCTTCACTAATTAGAATATAGACAATGATATAGTAGTAATAGCTTTTTAAGGGGGTTATTGTCGAGAAACCGATTTCCCTTTAGAATAAGTATACTGATGCCCTTATTTTCTACTATCAAAAGAAGCGCGTTTATTTGGTAGCTTCTCTTGAAGAAAGAAAAAATTGAAATAAGGGCGTCTATACCCTTAATTCATTATATAAAGAGGGGGTTGATAAAGGTGTAATAGTTCACTCTTGAAATAAGGGTGTTGCCATGTTAGGTCAGATTTCAAAAAATCTTTGTTGAAAATGTCAATTTGATTAAGTTCTCGTTCACATTCAACTCTCGAACTTTGAGTCATTTGAACGCCCGTTCGTCTAGAATTTTTTAGAACAAAGTGGCTACTTATTGATAAGGAGGTTAGTTCACTCAAAGTGGGCGAAAATGCAACCGCGAGATTAACCACACCGCGGCTCGGCCGATATTGGATCCGCATTCACAGTAACTAAGGATCCACATCAATTTAATATGATACAGTATCGTTTTCCGTATATTTTTCCAATAAATACAGAAAGCGGGATTGGCGTTATGGTCAATTTGAGTTATTTTATCGGAAAAATTATTTCTTTCTTTGGATTTAAAAATTTGGCTATTAGAAGGAAGCATTGAAAGTTTTTTAGAAAAATAATGAATTATTCAAAGTGATTTTTGTTGTGTATTAATTATTGTCCTGGGATGTGTTTGCGGTGGGGGCACCCGTCACGTGTCTTTCAGGGATGCAATGTGTGGTACGGTACTCCACTCGACGTAAACGAGGTAATGATGACGTAAACACGCATTCTAGCGGCGCGGCGCTAGAGAGACTAATCAAGACAACTCACTAATCAAACGCGAAAGAACAAAACAGAGAAATAAATGCGCTAAGAGCTTAATTTACAATTTTACAGAGAGAGTGCGCTAATTCAACGAAAAAAAAAATCAACACGATGCAATTAATACCACTCAAGTTTGTGTTATTGCCTTTGCTTGCGAACGGGCAGCCACAAGTTGGAGCTGCTGGGGTTGATTCTTGCACAGGTATTGTTACTTATTTATTACAGTTGATACAGTAATACATTAATGATTACAATTATTACAGCACTTTCTTACTAAAGCAACAAAAAGTAGTTATTTTTAACCGAATTATAAAGCTGAGATTTCTGCATGAATTAAGATAGTGACCCCCTTATTTAGTCAAATCAAAAGTTCATTAAAATCTTCGTCTTACTTTTCCAAAAATATTTTTTCGAAGGCACCAATTTATGATATTTTTCAATCTAAGTATTTGTTGATTATGAGTCGTTTTACCTGTAATAGTTGATCATGCTTGTAATTCATGATTTAGGCACCGGTTTATTTTATAATAATTGATCAATTTTATTGGACCATTTAATATTTTGGTAAATGATCTATTTGTGGGCTAAATGCGGTAGAATCAGTAGAAAATTGCCAATTATTTTTTCGTAAGTGTAAAAGTATGACTAGGAGGGGACATGGTCGATTGGAGCAGACGAACGCTTTTCGGTCATTTCTGGAGCGCGGACTGTCCAAGCCAAGCGAAGATGCTCACTGTTTTCATGGGTCAGCGAAAGTGCAAGAAGAGCTACACAAACTGGCACAAGCTGCGAGGAAGCACCTGGTGTGAATATGTAAGAATGACTTACAATCAATAGTTCGCAAAAACAGGCTTTCTTTTTTGTCTATTGCTTGCTTCTAGTTTTGGCATTAGAAAAAAGGGTTTCTTTGGCGTTATCCACCTTGTGTTTAGGGCGATGATGGAGAATTGGACTACCGCGGGCTCGGAAAATCAAACTGCGCGTTCGAACTCAAGCGACGTGGAATCGAGACCCTCAGCGATGCCGAGCTACTGGTCTTCTGTCAGTCCTACCTGAAACTCAAGTGCGCCAAGATGCTGCATTAAGACCCTCTCCTGTAAAATTGCTCTACTGTACTAGAAACTGTGTCAATTGTTTATTTAGAACCTTTCTTTAAAAATGGGCGTTCAGATTTTACTTTCAAAATCGGATGTGGATAATTCAAAAGCTAACGCTTCTAGCAGCCTTTGCAAAGTCACAAATGGCTGAGCCGGATTACTCAAAGACACTTTTTCCAGAAGTGCTCCTCGACGACTGTGATCACCAAGAAGCTGTTCTCAAAGCTCTCTTGAGGTACGAATCCAACGCCCGCAACTCTTTCTAACTCTATTCTTCTAGCACAAACAAGGATTGCGACAATGACATCCGGTGGAAGAACTTCCGCCGGCTGCGTCGCATCCCCTGTCCTGAGAATCAGGCCGAGGTAGACCTCGCCAGTTTGAACTGTGTTGCCGAACTGCAAAAACAGGTTTCAGATGACACTATCGCTACTAGAAACGTCAGTACTAAACTTAACCACTTCACAAGAATTATTCGTTGGTGCCCGCCAGAATTGGATTGTTCATATCAGATTCAATTCTGGAAATATAAATGGTGTTTCATTCTGGTGTTATTTTATTGGATTAGACGTCAAAAAGACAGCTCTTTGAGCAGGCTTTTTTATATGAATTAACATATTGATACCCTTATTTTATTTGGGACCAAAAACACTAGAGTTCTTGGTTTGATAAAATAAGGGTATCAATATGCTAACTCTACGGGAAAAATCATGTTGGAAGTTGCACTTTTGGACGTCTACCCCTTTATCAGTGATTCTAAGGATTCACCTGTTTCGTTTTCTACGCAGCTTGACTGATATGCAAAAAGGACTTCCTTTTTTGGTGTGTTCAAGTTTTTACGGAAAAATGTAATCGTTTAGAAACAGGGCGTTTTAACATCAACTGTGACAGTCGAAGACATGACGATTTACTGCAATCTCTATCTCAAATTAAAATGCGAAAAGGCCCTTCCCTGATTTAACCTTTCCCGAATCTCTGTACAAAATATACAATAAAGGAATAAAGAAGAATCGTTTATTGTTTTTGAAAAAGAAGTACAAAAGTAGTAGAAACGTACAAAAACGGTCGGCAGCGCACAGTAACTTTGTTTTGTCTTTTTTAAACATTTTGAAGGAAGAAGAGAAGAGAGGGTCGGAAGAATTATCGACGGCTGTCGCGAGATCTGCTCTTCCCGCGCGCGCCTAGGTTAAAAAGGTTAGGGGTTAGGGTTAGCGTTTAGAGCTCATTATTAAAATAAGAGTTAATAGAGTGATTCCCTTATTTAATAATCTGCAGATTATATTTATAATTCCTTTAGGAAGAACAAGATAAGCGTTGATGCTTTCTTTTGACTCGAAAAATAAGGGTGTCACCAAGTAATTACCAGGAGAAGAACAGCTTGAAATAAGACTTACCAGTTTGGACAGGAATCGGAAGCTTGGCATTTGGATTTCCTGTTTCTTTTTCTTTCCAAATTGCAGCTCTTTGTCTGACCAAAGAAGACTAAAAAGGGGATTAGAAAAAAAGTTTAAGAAAAAAAAAATGCACACTGCAAGAAGCGATAAATTCGTAATGTTTTTGGATGAAAATGATAAGTCAGTGATATTGCGATGAATATTCAGAAAGGGATGAGACTCAAAAACGGACTCAAAATAAGGACTAACTTCGCGATTTCGTGATAGGGAGCGGCATTCCCGGCTGCGCGAGCGAGACTCTCTAGTGCGACCTCGAGCCTAAAATCATATTCGGATCATCTTCATTTTCTTATGATAAGATTCTAAGAATTAATTGTAAAGATATGACCGAAATTGATCAGTTTTTTTTTGCATGCGGTAATAACAAAGTTTTTGACCGAAAATTTTTTAAAAGAAAAAATGTATTTTTGAGCAATTCGTGTGCATTGGACCAGAGGCCTTCCCCGAGATTTCTGTTCGTTAGGGTCCTAGAGAGTCGATTTTGAAAGCTAAGGGAGGGCCTCCGGAAGAAGGGATTAGTAAAGCGCACCTCTGTGTTTGAGGAAATCTCGTCGAGGTTAATGACGGCTTCCTGACCGACTGGCACAACTTGATGCGGCGTCACAGGCTTGAGCCCAGTGTCGAGCAAGATCACGTGAGTTCTCTTCAACTAAACAACGAAACACTAGACTCCTCGAACTCTCCCGGGCGGGCAGTCGCATTAAGAACACTTTCAATGCTAGTTTTTCCTATGTGAAAGTCAGAAAGGGTTCTAAATGCAACCTGGTCCAGCCCAAAATTCAAATTAAAAAAAGAAATTGATCCGTAAAAATAATTATTTCTTGGGATGCAATGAAGAATAATGAAAGAGCGACTATTTTTGATGCTTTCCAACTTCAAAAGTTTCAACTGCCGAATCAAGTTTTTTCTTTCAGTTTGTGCAACTTGGTTAGAGTTTTGTGGAAAAACAGTTGATTTTTGCGGTGAAAATCAGTAAAAAGATTCATGCATTTCTTTTCACTCAAGCGAATAATAAGCGAGCGAAAATATCAAAAACGCGAAAGCGGGAAAAATAGTGGACTTACTCTTGAGGAAGAATCGGAGGAGACAGAGGCTTCTGAGCTGATCGAATCTTCTGAAAAACGACGTCGAAGTTCACCAGGAGGGGGAATATCGTCAACTGGCACGTCTACCGGAATATTTTCTTCTTTGTTCTTAGTTGAACTCTTGACTTTTGATATCTGAATCAATAAATTGTGCAAAGAAAAAGCCTAGTTGATTACCTTTGATTCTGAAGATGCTTTCTTCACTTTTGATTTGGTCGTAATTGTATGACCGAGGAAACCTTTATCGGTGGAGTTGACGCTTGTGCTGGTTTCTAGCGTTTCGACGATGTTTTCAATCTTTTCGATTTTCTCGACTTTGGACGGCATCGCCTTTTGCTCTTTTCGTGGGACTTTTTAAAGGGTCAGTTTTTCCGCATTGAAGGGTAAATTAAATTAAATTACCCTTCAGTATTATATTGCTTGATCAGGCTTTTTGGAGTTTTCCTGCAGTCAAAATCTATAAATAACAAACCAATTTTATAGTATCTTTTCTGGGCTGATATCAGACCTGAATATCTTGAAGAAACATTTTATCGTCGTAACTAAAACTCTACTGAACAATTTTTTTCGGGGGAAAACTCTTTTATGGTGCCTTCTTAGACTTGGCATAATGTTAAAATTTGAAATCTTTTCGGACCCATGCCTACAGAAGGAAAAGACTTGGAGATTGATTTGATCTGGGACTTTTTCGTTTTTTGAGAGTTTTCCAATTGGAGCTTTTGCGGTTCGGCAATTACTGTGTCCAGTGCGCTCGAGTTTTTGGAGGGCTGTGTTTGTGGCTTGCTGTCTTCCTGTTTCGGCGGTTGGGGCTGTTCGTTCAACGTTTTCGCCGCGGCGGTCTAAAACAAGCCATTCGGCGGTTGCGGAATACAGGAGCTACCTACGTTGCCTTTCTTGAAGGAGAGCGCCGGAGCGGTACTACTCGCCTTTTCGAACATGGAGCGCTTCTTGCGCACCCGCTCCACTTTGGTATCTAAATCAGCCGACTCACAATCAATTGACTCACTGTCCTCGGCTTCGTCAGAATTGCCACTCGGGATAAGTTCATACACAAACACTAAACAATCCATGCAAAAATACTGTCAATAAGCTTGATCATAAGTAGCGAGAAATCAGAATCACAAAAGTGCCCAAGCCGAATTTCTAGCGTTTCTTTTTTTTTGTGCGAGCGAGCGAGCAGTTTTGTGACTTACAAGGTTTTTTAGGACTCTTTTCAACAACATCCGATGTTCCGTCTGAAATCGATGTCGCGTTTGTTCAAGAAAATTTTTGAAATGCGCAAAAATTTAAATTTATAAAATGAGAAAAGGAATAAGAAAGAAAAAAAAGCGTTGTAAAGAGGGATGAGAAAAGAAAAGCTACTTTCTCAAATGAAATATTATACCGGATTTTTGGCGCTGTTGCTCTTTTCCTTTCTCCTCTGGCTTTTCTTCTGGTTCAGCTTTGAGGGACGTACTTGATTTGGACTAAAATAGAGGGTTAACGGGGTAGAAATCGTTAATTGGATTGCCAAGGAGCCTTTTCTATCAGAAATTTTACAAAGACATCCCCTTATTCTCTCGTTTGATTTTGTAAAATAAGGGTGTGACCGTGTTAACATATTAGCTTGAAAATGCGTTTAAGGTTCTCTACCCCCTAAAATAGAATACCAATGGAAGCATGCGTTGTTAGTGATTTTCAAACCTCTCTAAGGGTGGGGCTAATAACTGACTCTTGCTTATCTCGAGCGAGCAAAAACTGAGATAAGGCTCGAACTACTGTTAATAACGCGTAACCTACTTTGGAGCGGAAAGAACGGTTTAGAATGGCGGCAATTATCCCCACCCCGCGTTTAGTAGAAGCCTGATTGGAAAAAATAGCGCCTGCTGCTTGATTTTCCTTACCTCGGAGTTGCTTACTTTGACGGTGGAGTTCTCGGACGAGGATGAAGTTATGAACGGTGCGCCGGTTTCTTTGTCTATCAGAAAAGATTGAATTCAAACGATTTAGGGGCTACTGAGACAACAACGATTTCTACCTTTTGAGATCTTGAAGACTGTCTTGGCAGTGGCGGATTGTCCGTGCTCGGCGATAAAGCTCATCTGGACCTTCTCATTGCTCGCTGGAAGCTTGATTCGATTCTGATTCTTGATCGAACTTGGCCGCACCAAGGACTCCTGGCTCATTCCTGCCGCAAAGTTGCATCCCTAAATCCGCTAGAAAAACTATACAAAATCTTGAACGAACCTTGAAGCCGCCTGGAATGATCCTGTGCGAAGCTGGACCGTCGAAAATGTGCACAGCGGGTGACATAGCGCCCAATCTACTCGACGGCCGCGAATGAAATGCGAAATCATCATCTGTCTGGACCTGGACGGAGGAAGATTTACCAGATTTCTCCAACTGCTTCAGATTTCGCGTCGCTTCCTCAAGGGCCTTCTCGAAGCTACGTTTTTCGCGAACTTCATCTTCCAGCAGGGTCTTGATGTCTGCAATCTGTCTGATTTTCTGGTTGAAAACATGGAAGAGTATTTTGAAAATAATCAGTAAAAAATATCTCCTAAATCGCTAATGAGCATTTGCGGTTGAAAACAAGGGAAAAAGCATTTTCAATGTCAAAAAAAGTCTGAGTCTTGAGTCGACCTTGACGAATATAAACAGTTGTCAACCTTTTCCTATGATAGCTTTGAGCCTCAGTTTGCGCCTCATTTTTCTTCTTGAGGGCTCTCTTGAGCTCTTCCTCGACGTTTTTGTATTTCTCCTCGCGTTCCTCGAGCTTGAACATTCTGTCCTTCATCATCTGCACCTGCAGCGCCTGTTTCTGGGTCTTTTGCTCTTCCTGTTTCAGAGCAACCTTGACGTTTTCGAGGTCTTCTTCCGTCGCGAGCAGTTTGATTTCCGAGTCGGAAATTTCATCCGAGTTTTTGGACGATTTCGAACCCTTCTTTGGAACTGGCGTGCATCGTTTCAGCGCATTGATTTCATCCTCCAAAGCCGCTACGATCGACTTCATCTCCAAGTTCTCGTTCTTGAGATTCTCAACTGTCTCGGAATCGAACTCGATTCGGGAACTAGAACGCATGATGTCACGGGATTTCTCGATTGCCTCTTCTTCGAGTTTCTTGCGTCGAATAGATTCGTCTTCAAGCTTCGTTTTCAGCTCGTCTCGCTCGGCAATAATCGTGGCCATCAACGATGTCTTGTCAGAAGAGTCTCCTGATTTCCGCTAAAAAATAATTTTATGAAAAAGATAAAAAGACTTTTAGAGAAAGTTGCCATAAAATTTTGAAAAAGGAATTAACCTTTAGTTCTTCCTCAAGAATTCTGTAGTCCTTTCTCAGCTCTTCTTCGACAATAATGATGTTCGCAGAAGTCGAGTCAAGTTCGCTAAAGCCCCGTTTTATTTCGGCCATAGAAACTTCCATCTCCGACGTTTTCTTTTCCTCAATCTCGAATCGCCCGCCAAGTTCCTCGAGTTTGAACATCGAGTCTTCCACGAATCGCTCCAGTTGCTTGTGGATCAAGGCCGTTTTTCGCAATCGATCGAGTTCATTTTCAAGATCCTCCATCGCCTTGAGCTCGTTGGCGACCTGTCTTCTCATATCCGCCTCATCAGAAATTCCTTGCGCCGATTCTTGATTCTCGAATTCGGCCACTTTTGCCCTGAGCTGCGTGATTTCCTCTTCCAGATCTGCCCTGCCGCCATCTTTCTCCAACTTCTCCTGGAGTTCGAGCAACTGGTCGTCGGTCTTCTGCAGGTTGCGATGCAGACCCTTGAGTTTCTTCACCTGTGCAATTTTGCTCTCGAGTGTGTCTTCCAACTCAGCGACTTTTTTCCTCTCCGCCTCGAGTTCCGCCATCGCATCTTCCAATTCTTGTTGGTGCTTGTCGCAGAGCTCGTCTAAACCACGCTCCAGCTGGGCGGAATGCTCCTGCTCATTTTCCAACTTTTTGAGCAAAGTTTCGAGCGTCTCTTCAAGCTCGACGATTTCCGACTCTGCCGTCTTCAGCCGGGAAAGGTAGCGCTCATCCTTCTTGTTTTGCGCTTGTTTTTCCTCGACCAACAACATGGAGAACTTCTTGAGCTTCTCGATCTCTTCCGAAGAGTCTTTCTTCAATTTCTCGTAGTTCCTCGAAATCCCGTCGTATCGAGTTTTTTCTTCTTCCAGAAGAAGCTTCATTTTTTGCCGGTCAGCCTCTAACAATCATTTTTTTTGTCAAAAAAGCAAATTTTCTATTTTACCTAAAAGATTTACAAACTCATCAGATTTGTCCATGTATTCTTGATGTTTTCGTTTTTCTTTTCCGAACTCTTCCATCAGCTAAAAATTCGTATGAACATCTTTTTTGCCTGAAGAAAAACGGAGTCTCACTTGGTGATGTTTTTGCTCGGTGGAGCACATTTCCCTCTTCAATTTTCGCATCGACTCCTTTTGGTGCTCAATGATGCTCTTGAGTTGACCAACTGTGTTCCCCGTTTTTTCGTCATCTGAACCAGTTTTACCTTCAACAATCTTTTTCTAGCATTCCGAAGCAGCGTCAGTGGGAGGGCGATGATTTAGCTTACCTGATGCGTTGATAAATTCATCCCTTTTTAAAGCTTCGCGTGCTGTATTCACTTGGCGCAGCTGTTGCTTCAGAATTGTTATTGCTTGGTCCCTTAATAAAATCGACTTGGACAGTGTTCTTCTCAAGAAAAACTCAAGAATAAAACAAGGATGAGTACCTAGCTTGTAGTTCTCCTTCGAAGACGGAGCATAGTCTTAAAAGCTCATCGTGTGTAAGTTTTCTCTGTTTCCCCTTTTGCTTCTTTTCTGACTTGACTGGATCAACACTTGACTCGGACATTTCTTCCCCCCTAAATTTTCCAAGTTTCTTCGCTCTTCTCTGTGATTTTTATGAGTTAATTAGCTGCTGGAATTATCAATTCAATTTTTCATTTGTGAATTTTTTTTTTGGGAATGTGAAATTTTGAATTTTTGTCAAGAGCTGCGCCCGTGTCAGCTGCGCGCTGCAGGTAGTTTCTGCCATTTTGCCATAAGAGAAGAGTTACTCATCCTGCGCTACCTCCCCCACCTCAACCAAGGAGCTCGCGCTCTGTTCAGAGTTCAGCCCTTTTTTCAACTAATCTGCATTTTGAATTGAATAGAAATGTTACTTACTAATTGAATAATGATCGAAGGATACTTTTAAGCAGGTAAAATAAGGGGGTGACTCTGTTAACTAATGTTGAAGTTACAACCCGAAAATTGGGTTCAAATTGTCTGACCCCAATATTAATGAAATGATTTTTTCTTTGTTGATGAAGCTCGAATAATTTTTGTTAAAAACGCTGTTGAATTACGTCCAAATATTTTCGTTCATCGCAAGCAAACATTGACGGGGATGCGGTTTCACCGACGCTAGAGTTGCGCCACGGTGTAATAAAAAGGTTTCGCCTCGGTCAACAATTCTCAAAAGAGAATTTCAAGCTGATGAAGTTTGCAAAAGCCCTTCTTTTCAATCTCGCCGCAGCAAGGCAATGGGACTTTTTCTTCCTTGAGCCAGCTCCGGAACCCAATTCGTACCCCGAACCAGCGCCGGAGCCGAAACCTGAGCCTGTTAGAAATTTAGGAATTGCGATAGAAATGAACTTATATTTCTATTTTGCAAGGGTCTTACAGAAGAAACTCCATCATCGAGCAATGTTTGACGTCCATAACTGGTTAGGTGGTAACTTATAAAGATTGTATGATTTATGTGTAATTATTAGTGTGTCTAATTATCAAATGATAATGTTATTAATAATGTTATTAGTAGGTGTAACGGTCTAAAAATCAGCTTATCCTTATCTCTTTCTAAGGCTTTCGTTTTTTCTTTATTATGAATCGCAAATCATTTTGATCACTGGAACCTAACTTTTTGATAAAGATGAGCTGATTTTTAGACTGTTACACCTAATTATGAGTCAATGAATTACTAGTAGAACTTCAATTCTAGATTCTCTTAAAAATCCATATCGAGCTTAATTTTCGAGTAGTTATGGTTTCCCAAATAATCCGGGCCAAATTTCACTTTTCTCATCATTTACCGGATAAAAATTCAGATTTTATGACGTCTGACCCTCGTAAGGTGGTTACTTTTTGTTGAAGATTGTTTGATTTATGTGTAGTTATTCATAGACTATCTTATTATCATTCCCAGAGGATTAAGAACTTGGATATTGCACTTGCTATTAGTTGATCTTCAATTCTTGAATTTCTTTAAAAATCGATATTGAGCTTGATTTTTGTATAGTTATGGTTTCCCGAATTTCACTTTTCTCATCATTCGTTTTTTGTGATTTTTAATAGAAAATCAAGTTTTACTAAAGATAACTGAACAATTATTAATCTGGTTCGTGGAGGCATAATTTAGCCGAGAAAATATTCATTTTTGCTAATTTCTAGCAAATTTTCTATCTCAAAAATAGGTCGAGGAAAGTTTGCGAGCCGGATACCTGCGGCGCTAGAATACAGGAAGAGCTTGTAAAACTTGTTCTTTCCCACTCTGAGGAATGAGGGTGGCTCCACCGCGGCACCGCGCGCAACTTACTTCTCACGCTGGGACTCAGTGATTCCACCAACTGACGGAGACCCAGGGGAATTGAACGATAGTTAAAAAAGCTCTTAAAAAAGCTGGCCACCATTCGACTGCAAGGTCAAGAGCGACTTTCCCGTGCCGGACAATCAAGGACGTTTTCACTGCAAACAACGGGAATTCAAGGAATTCGGACTCAAGGCGGCCGGTTTACAAAGATCCAAGGTCTAGTTCTTTCTTCTGTGGGAAAAGTATCGTTTTTTAAAGCTTTTTTAAATCATTGTCTAGGAGTAAGGAACGTTGATTTCTAGCGCAAGGCGTTTGGGTATGTGACCGAGTGCGAGCTCAGTTGTCCGCCGTCGATGGTGCCTGCTGCAGGGACTTTGAAATACAGTTGCTACGAGTACAACAACCAGGAGCGCTGGAGTGTACCCCTCGGCGGCTGTACTTTTCCCAAACTTCCTCCGAGTTTGGAGGGAACCAATTTCGGCCTGGTCTCGAAGGACTACACCGAAATTCTACCAGAAGATTGCAGCCGAAAATGTAGAAGAAAAATGAAAAAGACTGGCGAACGAAGATACAAAAAGGTTCACTTTACTATTCTATATCTGATATTTAATGCATATTCTTAGAGTAACAAGCGTGCTCGGCGTCATTTGAAAATGCGAAGAAAACTGTAAAGAACTGACTGTAACTTGAAGAACTGAAAAATGCTACGAGCATTTCACAATTTCTTGAAATATAGAACAAATATTCAAGTGTATTACAAAGGATAGAATATGTAAAAGTAAAAAAATAGAAAATGTTTCTGTGTGTCGAATTTCGAAAAAAAGAGAATTACAGGAAGAAAATTATCTTGGGTCAACGGCCTTGCCGGCCCAGCTGTTGATGAAGGCGATGGTCTCGGTCAGCTCGGCAGTTCCGTTTCGAGCAAGGGAGGAGAGGAGTCGGTAATCGGCCTTGTTGGCGGCGCGTCCTTTTCGGAACTCGACGCAATCATCTGCCTGGACAGGGTAGCCTGTTTTCCGTGTGAACAAAGTATCTCATCAAATTTGGTGTTTACGAATTGTAATTTTTGGCACACGTTCCTGTAATGACACACGCTCGCCCAGTGTGACCAACGTCGCCTTCGAATCGGCCGCGGCGGTCTCTTGGCAGTCCCGTGGCGGCCGTTTGTTGATCAATTGACATGCTCAACACCCAGTTCCGGATCTCGTCAACCTCGACTTTGGACATGCAAACTTTAGCTGGCAATCGGAACTCGAGTGGGATTTCTGTGTCTTCGAAGCCTTCTGGGTCCAAGTTGTGGTCGTCCGATTCGATTGCTTCGACGATATCAAGGAATCTTTTGTTTGGCTTTCAAAATCGATTCCTACACGCTTAAATTTGATAAAGGAAAGAGCACAATAACCGTTGAAGATGAACTAAAGTTTTCGTAAATTTTAAAGCCAATTTGCCTATTCATGAACATTAGCGCCATATCAACCCTCTTTGCATCTCTGCAGTCAACACCAGCATCGAAGAATGCTCGATCAGCAGCAATGGTGTTGATGTATCGGAGCAGAGTGGTGGAAATCTTGGCAGTAAGGGATTCCGCACCATTGAGCGTCTTCAGCGCGGCGCGCAACCCAATGTAGTGAGCAATCGTGGCGAAGTTTTCAAACTCGCCCATTGCCGGGCTGCCCGCTTGTTGCAGCTCCTCGGAGACTTTGGAGAGCACTTTTCGAAGATCCGCCCAGCGCTGGTACTCTTTCGCAGGGTTGTTGTCAGGAGGCGCTTCAAAGGCTTCTTTCGCCAGGAACCGGTAGATTTTGAGCACATTCTCCTTTATTGGCGTGCCATACTTGGCGAAAACAGCGATCGCTTTTCCATTCCGTCCCTTTTTGATCATTTCTGCGGCATAAACCGCGACGTATTTGTGGTACAACTGGACAGAGTGCGTCTTTGCTTTTTCAAGACACTTGTCCCACTGGCCTCGCTCCTTGTACATTTCCAAGGCGGATTGAAGATCGCTTCCGGCGAGTTCGTCTGCATTGCCCTTTTCTTTCAAAAACTTGCGGTGTTTTTCTTCGACGTGGGGCAGCAGCGCGGGCTCCATTTCCTTCGCCACCTTTTTCGCCTTGTTCCACTCGTTGCCCTCCATCAAGCATTTGATAGCAGATTTACTGTCGTTGATCGAGAGCAAAATCTTGGCCGCACTAGTGTAACGGCCGATTTCTTGCAATTTTGAAGCAACGTGGCTGCTGATTTTGGCGGTCTTGTCCGGCAAGAACTTTTCAGAAAGCTTCATTGCTCGAGTCCAGTACTTTTCTAGGGCGGACTTGTCTGTGCTCATGTCGGGCTGGATCTTGAGGTAAGTACTGATCGCTTGGACGTACTCTTGCTCCTTTTCCCAACCAGTGGCGGATTCGACAATCGATCTCAAATCACTGGGAGCATGGTCAGGCACGGATGGAACTCGGGGTGGCAGTGCTTCCATCGGACGCCCTCCTTGGTCGCGATACTCTTGCTGAAGTTCGCCAAGAAGCTGCGAGTTTGCACAGTATTCAGAAGCAACCCGGATCGCATCTCGAATGTTTCCAGATTGTCGGTAGAGATCAACAGCAATCTCCGGCTTCTCCGCGCGAAGAAGGAAAGCCTCGGCAGTTTGGTAATCCTCCTTGGCAAACGCTTGGGAGGCTTGGCCGATGAGAATGTCCTGGAGGGAGTTTTTATCGCCAGAGTCGTTAGCCACGCGCTCAGCGGAATCCCAGTCCTTGTTATGGACGTACATTAGTACAGCTTCACGATGCTTTTTCGCCTTGACAAAATGGACCTCTGCGGTGGCGAAATCGCCCTCGTCTTCGTGGTGCATCGCCACTTTCTCGTGTACGTCGAAGGTTTTCTGAGGATTACCACACGAGCGAGCAAGTTCAAAGGCAAAGTCAAACGCACCGTTCGTCGCAGCAATGTCGATCACGTCGTCCATGCGGCGCAACCTATTGAGCAGTTTTACTGCTGACTCGCCGCCCAGGGACTTGGCCCATAAAAACGCGAGTTGTTTTTCGGCAATGTCGCCAGCGTGCGTGCGCGCGATGCGGTACGCGTCCTCCCACATATTCGCGCCGCGATACATATTGATTGTTGACTTCCAGTCGCTGCCCTTGATGAAGTACTTTTCCGCCTGCGAGTAGGCGTTGTCCTCGGCGAGTGCTTTGCCAACAGCAGCATACGACTTGTCAACGAGATCTGGGTGATATTGCTCCACCAGACGGATCATGTCGTCCCATTTCTTCAGCCGCTTGTACATCGAAATCGCCGAGTCCTCCTTCTCGCACAGGAGCAACAACTCCTCCGCGACATCGTACTTGCCCTGGTCGGCCATCTCGTCCGCCTTCCCAGTAAATAGACGATCCACCTCAGTATTCGTCATGCTCTGCGAAGCCATAATGAACGCTTCACGCCACCTGCCAGAATCGAGTAACAGAGTCACCGCGTTCCTTTCGTCTCCAGATTTGATCATCAACTCAGCCGCCTTGTCTACTTCTTGCGTTTTGCTGAAGTGCGCGGCGATGACCTTGAAGTACTTGGCATACGAAGGATCGTCGGCTACTTCTTCGAGAATGTGCTGTGCTTTGGTCCATTGACGCGCGTTGATTGCTGCTTCGATCGCCCTAAAAAAAAAGTTTCTTTGTTGATTTCTGGAGAATTTCTTACTTGTGAGATTCTCCAGCTTCAATGAAGTGGTTGATCGCGGCGTCGTACTGCTTCAACGAGCAGAGATGATCGCCCCAAGCGTTCTCGAGCTTCGTTACGTCCTGGGGATTGTGTGCCCGCGCGAGTTCGACAGCACGACGATAAGCGTGCCCACGTCGGAAGCACTCCATGGCGCGGTCCGCCTGGCCCACCGCTTCAAACATTTCGCCGGCTACTTCAAACATTTCATTCTTCACCAGTCCGGTGGCGACTTGATTGAACAAACTCGCATCCGACAGCAGGTTCTAACAATAAGATTGATTCAAGTGCCAGTGAAAGTATTAAATCTAATTGAAACTCGCTAGGGGGTCAATTAACAATAAAACAAAACCCAATCTGAAACTCTCAGATTAAAAACTCAGTAACTTAGAATCTCAGAAATGTCTGTATTCACTCAAATGAAAATTCAAACTTTAAAACGCTAGAAAATGACTAATTTATGAGTAAAAATCTCGAAACCCAAATTACTGCCGGCTCAGAACAGGGGACAATTAGGGCGCGATTCAGCAGTTGAATCTGACGGATCATCTCGGGCAATTTCGACAAAGTCGAATCGAGATTTGCCCAATTATCTTGTCAGACAAGTCAAACCACGACCTTTATAAGCAGCTTCCTATTTATATAAAAAACGACGAGGATAATAGAATGCTGCAATTTCAGAATTCAAGGGCTACTAAAGCTATTGATCTAGTTAATCCCATGTTCGATCGTGCCCGCCAACCCGCTATCATTCATCCAGCGCATTATCAGCATTCAATTTAAGCTGGTCAGGGACATCCATTAATCATGCCACCTGTTTTTTGCTCAGAATTCAATATTCATACGAACTATCTTCAAGTGACTCTTCTGAAAAATATTGAAAAATGAAAATATCGACAAAAAATATGTTAAAAAATTCTCCACTGGGTCTTTAATTCTAACTTTAACTATTTAACTTTAACAATATTATATTTTAACTCTGTTTTAGTGATAAATTCAAAAAAGAAGACGGCCTTTGCCAAAACTACTTTCGAATAAAACTGTAACAAGATCGATGAAAGCTTATGGAATTCAGCCTCGGAGGAAAATTTCAGCATGTGTAGAAAATCAGTCTATGGCTAGACTAAAGACCTGTCTCCAAGCTTTAGAGAGTGAGTGTTGCGCGCGAGGGCAAAAAACGCGGCGCTCAAACGCGCTCTCTCGCTACTTTTTTTCTTCTCTCTCTGCGAGCTGGGTGTGTATGCTTGGACCCAAGATGAAACAGTGAAACCCAACGCGGCCTCTTTAATGAGTCCACCCGCGCTAGAATGAGATAACAGAACCTGCTGAAGAACGCGCGAAACTAAATAAGAGACAAGAAAACAAGGAAGAAAAAAAAGAGGATCGAAAAAGGATGCAACCACCAGAGTTGGAAAACAAGCGCTGCGCAGCGTGTGGCGAGCGTTTGACAAGAGAAGATAGCGTTCTCCAGTGCAATGGCGAGTTCTTCCACTCAGAGTGTTTTGTCTGCGCCCAGTGCTTTCAGGAAATTGTCAATCTCACAAACTCATTATCCAGCGATTACAGATCAACCCAACTTCAAGTTACTCAATTTTACTTGCGTTGAAACTGAAGTCAACTTTTTACTCAAAATTTGAAATTTTCAAAGGTAGATTCAAAACAACTTGAGAACTTAGTAGTGATTCCTGATCTCACTTTTTATCGAAAGCTACTATATTTGTCCGCCTCTGGAATGCAGAGGGAGTTTATCCGGAAACAACTCGCTCTTGTGACAAAGTAAATAGTCCTTTCCAGATAATGAATTTTATGAAAACCACGGAAAACGCTACTGCCCACACGATTTCGAAGTGTTGTATGCTCCCCAATGCCACACATGCGACGAGTTCATCAAGGGCGAATTCGTCGAGGTAAGCATTTTTATAAACACATAATCATGCGTAAAAAACAATCATTTCTAAGTTGATGATCTCACCAACGCTTTTAATTTCCTTGTCAAGTTTGACAAGAGCTTAACACTCTATAAAACTTCAATAAAATTCCTGAGTATTTATCACTGTATGTAGCAAAATTTCCTTTTAGGCGATGAATCATCACTGGCACAAGGAATGTTTCAATTGTAACAGGTGCCAAAAATCGGCGACGGAGGTATTGACATTAACGACTATCTGACCTTTTACTTTCTGATGAGCCGACGCCAGCTAGGTTCATCCGTAGATGCAAATCATGCTCAATCAAAATCTTGAAAAGGATGTGATTGCGGAAACCAGCTGACTTCTGGCCAAAAATTTTTTCTACACATGATTTCTAGTGGAAAAAGCATAAATACAGTTTACAAGATGTATTCTCTTCGATACTATTTTTTCGTTTCAGTCGTTTGTGCCATTTCGAGATAACAGCCTGAATGGAGAGGGATTCAAAATAATCTGCGGCGAGTGTCATCAAGAGATTCTCAAACTCCGCGGCGATCGAGACATCTGCCAGGCATGTTGGCAGCCGATCGAGGCCGTCGAGGAGAATATGAAGCTCAGGTACAAGGTAACACTCGAACAACAAAAGCAAACAGTTAAATTAACGATTTTTTCTTATGCCAGGGTGACCCGTATCACTCGTATCACTTCAACTGCGCGCATTGTCAGCGGGAGCTCACCTCCAATGCCAAGGAAAGGGACTAGCACTGATAACTGATAACAGTGCAAATATTGATTCAGAATCAGTACTAGTCCCTTACTTACAGGAACACAGAGGGAAGCTCATGTGCCGCAAGTGCTACGATGAGACGGAGACTGAGATTTGCGCCGCCTGCCACCGCCCTATTGATGGACGCATACTCAAAGCAATGGGAAAGGTATTTTTTCGGAAAAGCTCCCCTTTGTCAATAATCAAGCACCGCTAAGTTGTATTCACTGGAACAGACACTGTTCCACCTTGAAACTAAAACCCAAGCACTTTTACTCAGAAGGCAAATTTGAGCTGGATAGCTTCGGAAAGCAAAATTTACAGTCATTTAGGCCTGGCATCACCACCATTTCGTCTGCTCAACATGCGAAAAACCCTTTGCCAAAAACTCGTTTTTCGCTGGCAACGATGGTCGCCCATATTGCGAGGTAGAAAATTACTCACTTTTCCCGCCCATTTAACGATTATTTCTTTACAATAGTACCATTTTAACAAACTTTATGGGTCGACGTGCGCGTTCTGCGATCGTGTGATAAAGACACAGGTAAAATGCTATTCTAACTTTAGCAGTTCTTTGATGCGACAATTCAGGTGGTGAGTACGTTCGAGAAAAAATGGTGCGAGCCGTGTTACAGGTGCTACTGTTGTAACAGGACGCTAAAGTCGAAAGAAAAGGTGGTAGAATTCGATATGAGACCCTGTTGCAAGTCCTGTTTTGATAAGGTGAGCCTCTTAGACCAATTAATTCTTAACGATTCTAACGAATTCTAAATTCTAGTTCCCTTATGAATTAAAGAAGAGAATGAAGAAGGCACAAGACGTTTACAATAAAGATTGCCAGACACAGCTCAAGAACGAAAAAAGGCAAAGAAAGAAAAGCCACTGGAAAAACACTGATTCACCTGCTTGAACCGCAAATGACCTCACACAAAACTCGACCACGCATTGACTTCAAAGCTTAATTCTGTTACAACCAATTTCAAATCCCATTTTCGTCCCCAGTCGTCCGCCCGACGCGTGCCCCTTGCTCAAGTTCAAGAATAATAAAAAAATAAAACCTCAAAAAATAACGATAAAACACGAAAAAAGACCGCTCAGCTAATTAAATAAAACTGCGCATGAATGAAAGATTGAGCAAAAGAAGCAAGTTTCAAGAAGTTTAAAAAAATGAATGAGTCGTTAGTTGGATTAAAAGATTCTAGCGAATAGGGTTATGAATGAGACTCACCGGATTACGGAGCATTATCTTGGCAGCCTTGGCAGGCAGCCCCGCATTCAAATACAAATCGATCGCTTTCTGGATATCTCCTATAAACAAGGGTCAATATAAAATGCCGCTTAAAAGTTTTAATTTTTAATGCACTCTTAATTCGCCCTAATTAAATGGATTATAAGCGGGTGAATATCGAAGAAAAACTTTTAGAGAAATAAGTTATTTCAAATAACGCAAGGATTTCATCGTACTTTTTGCGAGATCGAATAAAGGTGTCACCGTGTAAAATTAACTGCAAAATTCTTGCGATGTATACCCGATAAATTTATCAGGTTATGAACTAAAGTGAAATCATGGAGGAAATCGGAACTGAACATGACTAGTTATTGCCGGCAATAATAAGACCCTATCCTTCACTTTCAACAAAAGATCCAGCCAGGCCCATTTGGCGCGTATCTCTGAGCCATGTCAGGTAGCGCTGTCGAAGGTGATTGACCGTTTCGGGGTTGTATCGCGTCGCTAGTCTGATTGCATCTTCCCATAGATTCAGCTCCGTGTACCTTGAAAACGATAATCATCAAGGGTTGCCTACTTCTATCTTACATTTCAATAGCTTCGTCATGGTGATTCTCCTCGATGAAGAACTGCTCCGCGAGTGAGTAGTTTCCATTTAGCTGTGCCATCATCGCTCTAGCTTTCATCGAATCCGATCGTGGCCGACCTGTCTCTTCTTCGTAAAAGATACTCTCCACTTGAACTCGGTGAAGATATCTGATCTTCGCCACATCGCCAAGATATCCGAACGCTCTTAGGGCAATGTCGACATTTTCTGCTTCTAGGGCTAGTTTTGCCAAAGTCGACCACATGATCGCACCGCCCTGGTGCCCTTCTGGAAGCGACTCCAGATATTCACAAGCTCGATTGAGATCGCCATCTTCTACTGCTGTTCCGAACTCGATCAGCTCCTCGTCAAGTTTGTAGCGATTCTGGAAGGCGCCTTCTTGAACGATAATGTCGGTCCGACTCCCACTGCGCTCAATGCCTGTTACGTCGCCTTTGATTTGGATGTTGATCATTCGGTCGACATCGTCGATGTTGTACCAAACAGAGACTTGGTTTCTGTTCTGTGCGACGACTACGTCCGATCCAGGCACCCACTGGGAATACGTGCAGTTGCCGAGAAGCATCACTGTCTTCTGCGCGGTTATGTCGTGAATCCAGAGTCGGTAGCGGCGATCGCGGAAGAGCAGCTTCGTCGCTTTTTCGTTGAGCTCGAGCCAGTCGAAGCGGTTGTCGTGGGGAATGTGCGCGATTGTCTGTCGAGTATTCAAGTCGTTAATAACGACGGATTTCGGGTCAGCAAGATACGCCAGCATGCGAATGTTCGATTTGCGTTCGCCAACTCTGGCGGAGATGAGATTTCTGCTCATATGCTCTGTCCTCACGCACTCCAAGATCTCCTCGGCGCCGTACTCGACGAGCGACAACTCCCCAGCGTTGAACACGACGCAGACGTTAGCATTGTCGAAGGAGTATCGTTCATTTCCAGATCCTTTCCACTCGATTTCCGAAAGACGAGCAGTTACCAGATCACCGAGCAAGAGCGTATTCTGTGTGTGGGAGACGATGTAACGCATTTCGGCACCGAGAATTTTCACGTCCTCGATTTCGTAGCCGTAGTTCGACTTTAGTACCATGCGACGACCGGAGGAGAGATCTTTAATAATTGCTTGGGAGAGACCGACGTAGGTGATTTCGAAGCGGTTTCGGTAAATTTGTCGTTTCAGGGAACAGTCGAAAAGTGCCACGCCGCCGAGAAGCGTGCCTGCAGCTAGCTTTGATCCATCTGGCTTCCAGGTCATTGCGGTGACTGTATAAAGATTCTCAATGTCCTTCGGGTCGCTTTCGATCCACTGGGATTGACGACTCGACCAGGTGAACAAGTGGAAGCGGTCGAAGCTGCCTAAGACGAGTGACTGGCCACTGGGGCTAACCGCAGCACTGGTGAATTCTTTCTCGCTCTCGGGGTACTCGAATCGTTGCAGTTCTTTACCATTCTTGCCGTAAACGACAACACGCTTGTCTGAACCGGCACAGAAATAGCCGTTTGGAGTCCAAGCAAGAGCGGTTACTGGGCATGTATGAACGGCGAGGTTTCCGTTGACTTCGCTTGTATGGACATCTTTCAGGGATCAGATAGCTTTATAACTGGTACCGTGGGCGAGAGATTTCACGACGGAGGGCGAAATAGATTGGGGCATTTGCGCGTGTTTTTCTCGTCCCAATCTTTTTGCTCTTTTGGCGCGCATCTTGTGGGTCCTCCGCGAAGAACCACAACAACCCCCCGTCTAGAAACATTTTTCACAATTCACCTCTCTCAATAACTGACCTAAGAAACTTCTTCTTCCTTCAATTATTATAACTTTGATTTTGTTTTAATAATAATGAATAAACTTAATAATAATAATTTGTAAATAATAATAAAAGGAAATCTTTAGATTGAAAAAATATATTCAAAACCATAACATAATTGAAAACTTTGTCAATTTGAATTTTAAAAACGATGGGTGTGGGCGGGGTTGGGGACTGAGATTGATCACCTCAGAGTTCCCAGCCATTGTCAAGCCCCTTAAATTTAAAAATCATGGAACGGGGCTGAAACGGCCCGAAGGGCCGTCAAGCCCCTTAAATTTAAAAATCATGGAACGGGGCTGAAACGGCCCGAAGGGCCGTCAAGCCCCTTAAATTTAAAAATCATGGAACGGGGCTGAAACGGCCCGAAGGGCCGTCAAGCCCCTTAAATTTAAAAATCATGGAACGGGGCTGAAACGGCCCGAAGGGCCGTCAAGCCCTTAAATTTAAAAATCATGGAACGGGGCTGAAACGGCCCGAAGGGCCGTCAAGCCCCTTAAATTTAAAAATCATGGAACGGGGCTGAAACGGCCCGAAGGGCCGTCAAGCCCCTTAAATTTAAAAATCATGGAACGGGGCTGAAACGGCCCGAAGGGCCGTCAAGCCCCTTAAATTTAAAAATCATGGAACGGGGCTGAAACGGCCCGAAGGGCCGTCAAGCCCTTAAATTTAAAAATCATGGAACGGGGCTGAAACGGCCCGAAGGGCCGTCAAGCCCTTAAATTTAAAAATCATGGAACGGGGCTGAAACGGCCCGAAGGGCCGTCAAGCCCCTTAAATTTAAAAATCATGGAACGGGGCTGAAACGGCCCGAAGGGCCGTCAAGCCCCTTAAATTTAAAAATCATGGAACGGGGCTGAAACGGCCCGAAGGGCCGTCAAGCCCCTTAAATTTAAAAATCATGGAACGGGGCTGAAACGGCCCGAAGGGCCGTCAAGCCCCTTAAATTTAAAATCATGGAACGGGGCTGAAACGGCCCGAAGGGCCGTCAAGCCCCTTAAATTTAAAAATCATGGAACGGGGCTGAAACGGCCCGAAGGGCCGTCAAGCCCCTTAAATTTAAAAATCATGGAACGGGGCTGAAACGGCCCGAAGGGCCGTCAAGCCCTTAAATTTAAAAATCATGGAACGGGGCTGAAACGGCCCGAAGGGCCGTCAAGCCCCTTAAATTTAAAAATCATGGAACGGGGCTGAAACGGCCCGAAGGGCCGTCAAGCCCTTAAATTTAAAAATCATGGAACGGGGCTGAAACGGCCCGAAGGGCCGTCAAGCCCCTTAAATTTAAAAATCATGGAACGGGGCTGAAACGGCCCGAAGGGCCGTCAAGCCCCTTAAATTTAAAAATCATGGAACGGGGCTGAAACGGCCCGAAGGGCCGTCAAGCCCCTTAAATTTAAAAATCATGGAACGGGGCTGAAACGGCCCGAAGGGCCGTCAAGCCCCTTAAATTTAAAAATCATGGAACGGGGCTGAAACGGCCCGAAGGGCCGTCAAGCCCCTTAAATTTAAAAATCATGGAACGGGGCTGAAACGGCCCGAAGGGCCGTCAAGCCCTTAAATTTAAAAATCATGGAACGGGGCTGAAACGGCCCGAAGGGCCGTCAAGCCCCTTAAATTTAAAAATCATGGAACGGGGCTGAAACGGCCCGAAGGGCCGTCAAGCCCCTTAAATTTAAAAATCATGGAACGGGGCTGAAACGGCCCGAAGGGCCGTCAAGCCCCTTAAATTTAAAAATCATGGAACGGGGCTGAAACGGCCCGAAGGGCCGTCAAGCCCCTTAAATTTAAAAATCATGGAACGGGGCTGAAACGGCCCGAAGGGCCGTCAAGCCCTTAAATTTAAAAATCATGGAACGGGGCTGAAACGGCCCGAAGGGCCGTCAAGCCCCTTAAATTTAAAAATCATGGAACGGGGCTGAAACGGCCCGAAGGGCCGTCAAGCCCCTTAAATTTAAAAATCATGGAACGGGGCTGAATTTTAAGGGTCTTCCATGAAGGCCGGTCTTCCACCAGAAAAGGTCCTCCAGGGGTCCTCCAAGAGTCACATGATCAAGATTTTTCAAAATTATTATCTATTTATTAGTTAAAGATTAATTTATCTTAAATAGCCTAGGTTAGACCTTTCTTCCATCAATGGGGTCTTCCACCAGATAAAAGTCCTCCATCAGCCATGGGAAAATACTTGAATGTGCGCGAAATATTCAAAACCCCGGCCCGGGCCCTCAGACTCCGTCGTGATATCTCTCGCCCACGGTATTCTATGGATTCTATAGATACGTGTGTACTCTCAGTTAAAAAATATCGATCCGTTCCTTGGTCGTTGAGAATATATCTGACAATTTTACCATCAGCATGGCTGGACATGATTCCAGAGCCCCGACTATTCGCAGTCAACGACATCGTGAAACTGTTGACATTGTAGACTGTCGAACTCTTTCCAGAGCGCATGTTTCCCATTCTGATTTTTCCTTCCGAAAGACCGAAGAAAATCGCGTCCTGCTGCGGCCAAATGAGGCATGTAACGGAGGAAGTGACGATGAACTTAGTCGAAATGGACTTTTTGTCGCCCCAGTTGTTGCCGATTTTGTAGACGAAGACGACGTTGTCCGATTGTGCAATCGCCAATCTACTGCTATCTGGAGCAAAGGCGATTCCAGTGATGACGTAGCTTTTCTTTCCATATTTACTGTCGACCGGTTTCGTCGAGAACTTATCGCGCTTTTCGCCAGCTTCGTCGAAGAAATAAACAGATCGCTCAAGACAAACTGCAAGTCTCATATTGTCCGGGCTGAAGGCCAGTGCCGAGACCTTGTTGATCCCCCGCTAGGGACGGATTCTATCAACGATTGTAGATAGCGCAAATGCATTGCTATCTAAAGAATTTAACAAATTAAGGGGGCAGGGGTCGTTAACCAGAAAAACCTTCTCTACTCTTTCCTTCCAGGGAAGAAAATGGTAAAGAACGATTTTGGGTTTGCAACGAGAAATAGAAAGTTATTTTTTATCGAACTCCGATTATTTAAAATTTGAAATAAATAGTGAACTAGAAGGAGAGTTTCGTTTTTGTTTGTTCAAGGGTGGAAAAGAACGCAGCAGCAGACAGAAGCTTCCATAATGGCAAAGGCGAGAAGCCAGACTGCGTAGATGCCGTTGATGTACTGCTGGATCCACATGCAGCTCAACTCACCCCAAAGCAACATGGCGAACATGTCGGCCGAAACGAAGAACATTGGGAAAAGAACCAACAAGGCACCCAGCGATCGTCGAGGAGCAACCTGAATTGAAAGGTTTAGGCTAAATCCTTTAGTCCAGAATCTACGATAGAATTGAGCTCTTACATCTCTCAAAGCCTTTCTCGTAACAGTAAACCTTGCTCAAAATATGGAGAAAGTACCGTACCTTTGTGACTGGCTTGGTAAGGAGGGTTCGCGCGGAAATGTTCTGCTGAACCGGGCGAACAGCGAGTCTTCGAACTGGAGCTGCCAAACGATTCATTTTCTGAAAGATACATTTTATATGTGTTATGTTTGAAAGGCTCTAAGATTCAGAAGGCTTCAAGATTTATTTTTCTTAGAATCAAATAATAATTCCATTTCCACGTAAGCATACAAAGGCAACAGTCATTTTTCTATAGAAGGTAACAGTGAGTACCAGTCATCTGGTCTTAAAAGTTTTTGATTTTTTTCTATTTGACTCATTTTATAATATTTATAAAAGTTATAACTAGTAAAATAGCATTTCTTCTATTTTCTCTAAGCCCCGGAGGCTAGAATTTCTCCATTTCGAAAAAAGGCTTTCTTGATTCAGCGCGGCTGTGGCCAATCACGCTCCGCCATTTCATTTCTCTCCGCTAATTTTCCTCGAAAAGACAAAATGTCCATTCATTAGTGATTTTTATTGAAAAGGGAAGAAAAATGCTGCCACAAGAGAAAGAAATACGCCCGTCATGGATTGGCCGCCTCATGTCCTGGATTTTGAGGTTTGCGTTTTCTACTTTGGGGTTGCCCTCAGGCGCGTTTCTAGATAATCGCTAGTGCTTTTGTAAAAAATTTGTCCTCGGATTAGTTTTAGAGAGAGAAAGAGAGTTTTATCTTATCAGCTAAAATGAAGTGTTTTGAACTAAAATTAAGGACTTCCAATCGATAAATTTAGCGCCCTTTACTGCCTACGAAAATTATCCTTTGGGGTGTCCTTAAGAACTTGGGGTTCACGCTGACTTCTGCCGAATCAACCATTTATTCATTTATCGTTTTTCCATTGAGAAAATCGCCGTAAAAAGACACTGTAAATCAATGGTGGTCTTAAATTGAGTATCCTCCGTAGGAACTCTGTAGGAGCTAACACTAATTCGACCTCACTGCCAAGTGAAGACACTCCTTTATCATTATCAATATCATTTACGACAGTTATCATTGAATCTACTGCCAATACGGGTACAGAAATAACAATGTACAGAGCCTCAAAAACTAAATTAACCTTACCTAAACAACTTCAAGGCTAATCCATATGCTGCCATTTTGTTCATGTCTGTAACTGTTGAATTGTAGAGCAGGAGAAATACCTCATCATGTCGCTTTCATCATGGACGGAAATCGCCGCTTCGCACGAAGATCAGGAGAAGCACCCATTCATGGACACAAACAAGTGAGCTAAACTTCTAGAATTTCACCTTCCATTTCTAAAATTTCCAGGGTTTTTCAAAGTTGGCGGAAGTTCTGTCCTGGTGCGAAATGCTCGAGATTCCTGAAGTGACTGTTTATGCCTTTTCTGCTGATAACTTCAAGCGGCCACAAGCTGAGGTCGACGGCCTCATGAGTTTGGCAAGAGAGAAGTTTCATCAGCTTCTATCTGAACAAGCGAAGCTCAAAGAAAAAGGTGTCAGGAAAGGGTCCGAATCCTTCTATTTTGAATGCTAAAAAGAGGAATTCTCTTTGTTGATTTCATTTCCACATTTTCCTTTCTGAACGAATAAGGACCCATTGAAAAGAATACGAATGATTGGGGAAATCGACCTTCTTCCTTCCGATGTAAGGCAACCTGCAGCAGAGCTTGAACAGAAAACGCGCGACAACAAGACCTACACCCTTAATATTTGCATCGCTTACACTAGGTACAATATCACAAACTGAGTCTGCCTTCAATTTTTCCTCAGTCGTTTGGAATGCGTCAACGCTGCGAAAAAGCTACTAGCAGCGTCTGAAAGTTCCAAGGGACTGGCAATAGATGAACAACTCGTATCGAAGTCGATGTACTTGTCTTCCCCGCCGCAGCTGCTGATAAGAACTTCTGGAGAAGCTCGACTGTCCGATTTTCTTCTATTCCAGGTACTTTTTTCAATTCCAATTACACAACTCAAATTTTTTTAAGTGCCAAAAAGCGCAAATCTGCTTCGTGAAGCCGTTCTGGCCAGACTTCTCGCTCTACGATTTCCTCGGCTGTCTGCTCAAGTATCAGAAGGTGGACCCAAGATCATCTTACGAAGAACCCCTTTCTGCGAAACAAGAAAGCTACCTGCGCAAGCTAGAAGAATCAAGAGCAAAACAACTGCAGTCTTATTTAAAGTAAACTTGATTTCGATTAATCCTAGCCTTTAGAAATTTCCCTTAGACGAATTTACCATTAGCTTCCTCATTCTTACCACGCGTTTTACAGGTTCAATTCATAATTATTCAAAGTGCAATTCTCCCTCCCTTTCACACTGTATAAAATAATGACAGTAAATAAATATGTAAATAAAACACTCCTATGCTCGTCTATGAAATGCAGATGCGATGAAAAGTTGGACACACAAAAAGTTGTTAATGAATAAACACTAACAATTTGTTAGTAAAAGAATATTTTTATAAAATTTATTCGACATGTAGTTGCAAGCCTTGCACTACATACCTTTATCTAGGCCTCGGACATAAAAAATCAACTCCTACAAAGCGCTTAGGTACCACATTTATTCTCTATCGAGGTCGTAGAGTAGGTCTGGACAACCCCGAAAACCGAAAAAATCTAGATAAAAAATAATTCGACAGAGAACAAAAATGAGACCTAAGCGCTTTGACGGAGTTGATTTTTTACGTCCGAGGCCTACCTAGATTAGAACGTGTTGTTGGATGGCTCGTGAATGGCAGCAAGCTCATGGACAGTGACGGCGGACCGATCTTCTGTTGTCTGAGAGGGGTCCGAGGCATGGCAGTTCGAACGGTTCTCGTGGCATTCTTGTAGCTGATTTTGGCTCTTATTGAGGCGTTAAGCTCTGATCAAAAAATCAAACAGCCGATCCTTGAGGTAAAAGAGCTCATTGAATCGCGATGTGTTATGTTGAGCAGTGCGGGAGTTTGCAGATCCTGTGACCTGACCGACCGAGATCCTTCGCATCGACATTACTGAACTTAGAACACGTTATCTAGAATTTTGATGAAAGATGCTACTAGAAAGATCCGATCATAACTAAGCACGTGATCATTGCCGTTTCGATCGACAGTAACTACTGTAAGTTCTTTCTTGATTCCGACACCCATTCTAAAAATAAAAAGTTATCTCTTCTGAAAAAAAAAAACCTAAATCGCAATCTGCCGATTTTCCGAAGGAAATTTTATTGGCTGTTCTTAAAATTTTGAGACCGTGACTCATAAAAAATAAATAAAACATTATTGCATTGAAATCTACATAAATATATATTCACGAAACGTGTCGGTAGAAAAAAATGCAACAATCTTAATACTTGAAGAAAGGCCTGCTCAGAAATTGCGATTATCGCAAGTTATTAACTGATATCTACTTGAAAGAGTCGATCTTGCAGAGGAGACTTTTGAGGGTCAGAATTGGTGATCAGTGGCTGCTCTGAAGAAGCTCAGGCTCTGAAAGGTGAGGAAGTCATCGCTGATTATAAAAGAATTCAAATTTATGCCAATTTAGATGTGTTAGGGGTCATTAGATCTTGGTTATAATTTGTAAATAGCAAGACTTCGTTTAAATTGCCGATTCGATAATTAATATTGAACTAAAATGTAATTCGGAGAAGTAAATTTTTTACTCCCTTCGAAGATGACGGCAACCATCTGGTGTTATATAACTGCTAGCTGCGAGTGTGCGCTCGTTTTAAAAGCGACTCGACCGAAATCGATTTTGTTTTCTTTCTCTAAGCAAGGGCCGGCGTCTTCGAAAAAAAGGGAGGGATGGATTGACCAAAAAATTTGTCTCCTGCCTTTTTTGCTGCGTTTTTCAGCAGAATTTCCAATCCAATTTTTCGACAAGAGAGAGTCAAAGAAGAACAGAAAGAAGAAGGTTGAGGTCTTATGCTTCAGAGATATGAGCAGCTGAGCAGCCAGAACCAGAATGGAACAGTGCAGAACGAGCTCATGGCAACTCACTCTTTGGCCAACACGGTTGAGAACAATCCAGGACAGAGCAGCCAAGTGCGCGTTTATTTAGGAAAAGGGGGCAATTTTCAGAATTTTACAAGCCTAAAATTTGTTCCTTTATTTTTTCGACAACATCTTCTTCAATCAAATTGCCCCAAAAAAGCACGATACGACTACAATCCCTACGATGGACCAAACAATTGCCCAGAACTTGAGCTTTTTCTTTCAGCAGGTAAGACTTGAAATCAACAAGGAGATCCCCATATTTTTCTTCAAGAAATTAATATTAGAGTATGTTCCAAGAAAGACTAATTTTATATTATTCCAAGTGCCTTTTTTTGTGCAAGCTGACTAAATGCTCAAGTTGGACAGATTTTAATTTGAACGAGTCCAAAATCACTAATTAGGCGTATTCGTATTCGGCGCTTTCTTGGCCGCGTTGGTATTATGAGAATGTATGGCATTAAAATTGATCTTTTGCTTGCAAGGATGCGATATATACCCGAGTAGGCCTTATAAGCTGCTGGGCGAGCTGCGTGCTTGTATTTATTATTAATTTGCTCTACTTTGTTTCTTAGCTTTCTGCTCCTTTAATCTCGCCTAATATCGGCCTTGCTAATATTCCCTACTAGTTAAAGTCTGGCCAAGTAATAACTCAGTAATCAGCCGCCGATGCTTTATTTTTTCTTTCTTTCTTTGGCAGCAATTAAAAGAAGCGCTTGAATAAAATACTCAGAAACACCCGCTTTATAAATAATTTAGTCTTCTAATAATTTAAGGCGAGTATGTCTACGTCTCCGGGAGCGCGGACCAAGACGGTTTCTACTTCGGCGAAACCACAGACGGACGAAGGGGACTCGTTCCTGGCAACTACCTCGAACTCGTGCCAAATCTAGCCGCTCCTCCTTACCGAACGGCCACAGCAGAAGTCGCTAATGGAAAAACCAACCTTACCGTGCCACATACGGACAGTCTGAACAGAGTCGGTACCGGAATTGAATCGCCAGTCTCCAAAGCCTTTGAGCTCTTCGAACTTGACGGAAAGGTTGTTAAAGGCATTAAGAATTTGCGCATTCTGATTACGATTTCTAGGCGATAGTTCCTTTTCCAAGGCAAATAAGAGTCGATAAAAAACTACAGCATTCATTGCTCATCAGTTGGGTTGCTCCGAAACTTTCTGGAGAAGAAAATGTCATAGGTATGCACAAAGCTCAGTTTGAAAATCATAGTTTGAATCACTTTTTTCTCAATATCAATTTATCATTTTAGAGTACCGAATCGACGTTAACGAGCAATTAAAAACCATTGTGGATGGAGAAAAATCCTCCGCCGTGGTTGAAAACATCCACGACTCTGGAACGTATCGTATTTCTGTTTCAGCTGTTCTCGCTGAAGGCGTCAGGTAGCATCCAAACAGAAGGTGTCGAGTCTACAATTTTCTAGCTCTGATCCAATTCGCTGCACGTTACTGTATGGAACGGATGTAGCAGAACGAGCCGCACCGGTTTTACTCAGATTGGAAGCCGTCAACTCCTCCAGTTGTGTAATGTCCTGGCTGCCAGTAAACTCAAATTTTCGGTAAGCCACCACATGGCCGTATTGATACGCAATGCTAACCCTTGTTTTATCCTCTGAGATTCATTTTCGTCAGCTCATTTCTCGGATAAATCAATAAAGACGGAGACCTGCGTCAAATTAACAGTGATTCGTTTCACAGCTCCACATTATTAAAATCGCCTTAGCGCGAGTTTACTCTGTTACTTCTTCGCGAAATTTGCATGTCGCAATGTTTAGCCACCGAGTTTCTGTCAATGGAGTGGAGCGCGAAACACTGCCCGCCGGTTTCTACAGGACGCGGCTGACTAATCTGGAGCCGGACAGGTAAGAGGCTCTTGGACTAAAAGATGGGCTTAATCCACGACCACAATAAGGCAATATGTGATGATGGTGGAGCCGGTCGGCACTGACGTCAACCAGCAATCAAGCAGCACTTCTTCAGCAGGCGGGCAACTTGCCACGCTCAAGGTTCGCACTCGCCCGCCAGGACCGCCAGACCCGCCACAGAGCCCCGTCATTGAAGAGGACCAGATTAACCAGAAAAACGTTCTTATAAGGTAATCTCCCGTATTTTTTCGTACAAGCTTATTTTTATTTTTTAAACTAAGATGGTTGCCTGTGACATTGACAGGGACGTCAAATGGGACGCCAATCCGCGGCTATGCGGTCTATCAGAATGGAAAGATGCTCGATGAAGTGGTGAATCCGTCGGGAGACAGGATCAGTGTCCTCCGCAGCCAGATCAAGCCCGGATCAAAGATTACTGTCAGGACTATTACTGTCGACGGGGAGATGAGCATCGACTCCGGCCTCGCCAAACCCTACTCTGAATGTGCTTCCGTCACTCCTCCAAACTCCAAGATGAATTTGCCAGGAACAATGGCCGGCGCGTCCCATCATCCGAGCTTAAATCATCCCGGTGCAACTGCAGCCCAAAGGCTGATAGGTCCCAATTCCGCGCCTTTGTCCATCCAAGGAAGCAGTTCTTATTCGATAAAAGTGTTAAATGCATATATAAATCTCGGTTTTCTAGCAATAGAGAATGGTTTCTACGAGAAACCATGTACATGTAGTTCTGAGATTAATTAAAGCCCCGTCCATCTGTTAATTGGCGGATCATGTCAGAACTGTATTGAGGAGGCCTCCCAGCGGGCTTCAACGACTCCCTAGGCAGCAGCTACTTTGCGAACGGGGTGCTAATTGGCCAACATCGCCCAGATTACGGAAAGAGGCAATTAATCAATTTGAGTAGGAAGAGTCCTTTAGCACCCCAAAGTGGCACCCGATCACTCTCGGCGAGACCCTCTTCAGAGCCGTACCACCCCATCAAACTACTTGTCATGGTCAAGGTCCGAGCAAATGCCCGGCCAGGCCCCGCTACCTGGCCAAAGAGCCGGCCCGAACCGTCAACGATCGCCAAATTTGCCCCCTCCGATGCACGTCGCGCGCAACAGATCTTCCTACACAATTGCTGATGAGCCAAGGGTTACACGAATATTTAAATAACAAATGAACAGGCTTGAAACTGTATCGAACTGTGTAGTAACCCGGTCCTAAGTTCTCAAATTTGAATATGGGCCTGAGTCACTATCCCGACCGGCGAATTCGTTCAGCTGACTTTGAATCTGAAAATGACGAGTGGCTTAGGCACACGATCGACAGACACATTTCTAGAGCCAGTGGGAATCTTCCTGACGCGCAAAAAGAAAGCTGGAATAGAAGCTTAGGTATATAGTTATTAATCAGATTTGACACTGGTTATTATATTTTTATAGATCGGCGACGGGCGCACTCGATGCCACGAAAGGCTCACATGAACCAGGGCGTCGGTCTATTAGGTATTCCAGCAATGCATTTTTTCGATTCTATGCGCCATTTCAGACGCGTATCCTGACCACATCCCCCGATCGCGAACGCAGCAGCGCGGCCCTACATCGCGGCCGTTTATGGGTGCCCCTCCGATGTACGACTACGAGCTTGATCCTCGCGAGCAGCCTTCCTATCTCAAGGGTATTTTACCTAAACAGAAATAGTCGATTCTGTCAATCAGTGAATGTTGAAAGTTTCAACTTAACCGCGTGGGACGAATCCCCGCGTATGAGCGCGGGACGAACCGTACATTCGAATGTCATTTAAGCAAAAACTCGAATAACTCATGAACCGCTCGTCCGATATTCCTCAAATTTTCAGATAGTACTAATCTTTATGTCGTCTTTCATATCCTGATGTCAGAATTCATATTTTGGTTTCGTCAGAAATACTTATTTTAAAGTAAGTATGAGAGTGAGAAATTTTAATTCTCATCGTCTGTGCTCTTTTCACTCGGAAGAAGTTGCAGTTTATGAGATTTCATCAGAAATATAGATTAAACTTGCCTAAATAGCTCAAACAAACAAATTGGTTCGTTTTTACAGTAAAAATCTCAGCGGGCGCTCGAGTAGGCCAGACTTAATCCCGTGTCAGGTGCAACTGAGCCGTGATAAAATTTCCACATTTGCACAAGTTACTGAGAAGGCATGAATCAACCCACATTTAAAATTTCAAAGTTATCGGATTTATAGTTTGGGAATACCGAGCCCCTAAAGTCTTAAATGACATTGGAATGTACGATTCGTCCCACGCGGTTAAAACTAGTAATAATAGTAGCATTTATCCAACTGTGCTTTTTCTTCCTTAGTGCGTCATTTCCCACGCAACGACGCCCTTTGCTTATTCTTGTTTTTTAGTCAAGAACAAAATTATGGCTTTCAGTGAAGCGCCAATAAATTTTTTTTTGGAGTCTCATATTAAGAATTTAGATATTGGCTCATCGTAATCTATATCCCGAATACCGAGCAACTCTTTAGATCAACCAAACGTTTTCGAACGCCTGCGTACTTCTGAGCAGTACTCAGACTACATCCTTTCCGACTCGGAGCCCTCACTTTCTTCCATGTCTTCGTGGGGCCGGCGGAGTCCATCCAGCTCCAAGAGACGCACTCACGCCCACCACAGCAGCAGCAATCGCCACTCAAATTCCTTTTCCATGCATGATATTTCCAATTCATATAACCAGGTAATTTCCAACTGTATTCCTTGATTGCATTCGATTTCAGTTCCCATCGTATCACCAGCCCCGCGGCCGAAGTCCGACCGAGAAGACGCACCACCGATCGCGCAAAAAGGAGCTCAACCCGCAGGAAAAACTCCGCCGCCAAAATAAACCTCGACTGTTTGTCGCGCTTTACGATTATGACCCTTTATCCCAATCGCCAAATGATGATGCGGTTGAGGTAAGCGAACATTAAATCATTCCTGTCACTGAGCTTTTTTAGGTTGAATTGAGCTTCCGTGTTGGGCAATTGATAAAAATATTTGGAGAAAAGGATGAAGATGGATTTTTCAAGGTACCTTCCTCTATTTACTGTTTTTTTTATTCAATTTAGGGAGCAACGCGGGATGGCCACAGAGGGCTAGTGCCATGCAACCACATTGCCGAAGTAGATGTGCCAAATTCATCAACGATGGAATCGCTTTACGAAAAAGGATTTTTAAACTCGGACTCGGAGAAGATCTCCACTCGCCAATCGAAGCCGAAATTCAAAGCGCCTCGTGGTCAGAGCCAGGGCAGAAATAAACAAGTCAGTGGCTCGCCTCTTTCCGAGCGCAACAAGAAAATGTAAGTACAATGGATGAATATCAAATGTTGAAAAGTCGATCTTAGGAATCAGGGCAAGAAGGGAAACAACGGCGTGGGGGACATTTACGTAGCAGTTTATGATTACAATCCATCTCTGACAAGTCCGAACGTTGACACGCGCGACGAAGAGCTCAAGTTGCAAAAAGGGGATGTCGTTCGCGTGCTGGGCCCGCTCGATTACGACGGCTTCTTCTATGCCGAGGTCAACGGGCGCCGCGGCTTCGTCCCTTCCAATTTTCTCCAGCTCCAGAACAAGCCCAAATCAGAAGCGAAAATGAACAAATCTGAGAAAAAATAAATTATTCATCCCTCTTCTTTTCTTTCTTCAGTTTTATTTTTGTAGAATTATTCAAGATCGTCAAGGGGTTTAAAGTACAGAAGCTTTGTGAGTTGTGACTGTATTTGCGGCATTTCCTTCTTTTTGTCTGATTGCACATTGGAAGTTATCGAGACAAAGTCTTGTGCGACTGAAGCATTCACTCGTATCAGCGTTTGATGAAATTCTAAGAAATTTATACGAAAATTCTCCGTTGCAAGATTATACCTTCAGAATAGGTCCATCTGAGGCAATCGCAAAGTGTAGAAATGAACCAGCTTCCTTTTGTAGGACTTCTCCATGAAAGATGACCCTCTAGAATTCTGGTTAATCAAAATTGAAGACTGTGAGCACCTGTTGTAGCGTAATGCACTAGAACATCGGCATCAATCGGCCAAGTTCTTGGAGTACGAAAGGGCTTGGGCTCCTCCTCGACATGTTGAATTTGAGCTCCAGCTCGACCCCTCCAGCCCTCCATGTAGTCATGTCCTCGGCAAGCTTGGACAAAGAACAGCTACAGTAAAGGATGAAAAGAATGAGGAAAAATTGAAGATTTACTTTTGGTTTGCCAACAAGGGTTCTGTTTTTTCGAATTGGATTGACGAACCCACGAATATTCATGCTGCCGCTTTTCCGCCCTCAGAAAAAATATCATTCAATTGAATAAAAAATTAATGAAATTCTGAGAACAGTTCCTGTGGCAGAAAATCTCTCCATTGGCTTCTCCATGCGCTAGAATGGCACACCCGAACATTTGGTACTCTTCCATGTCTCCCTACTCAAAATCGAATTGAACTAATATTTTAAAAAATGATGTAACCTCGCCATATCTTTTGAGTTTGATGACGGTTTCTCTCATTGTCAAATCGTCATATACTTTGACCAGAAATCCCAACTCCGTCATGATTTGCTTCAATCTCTGGACATCCCGTTCGCTTCCTCGTCTTGGCTTTCTGAAGTCATAAAATTGTATGAAATATGGCTTTTCCGAGTTCGTACCCGTAATATTTGCTTTTTTCCGAATAGTGCTGATAATTGAAAATGACGAAATAGCCTCGTTTAGTAAACTTGTTGCTGTAGCTCAACTCGGAAAGATTAATTTCGATGTCTGGGTAAGTTTCAACAGCTGTAGCGTCCGACTCGTCGAGGCTGGACTTCTCCAGCCCCTTGTAATCATCAGGTAAGCTGTGTTCAGTCACCGAACGCGGCTCAAAGTAATCTGCATCTATCATTATTATTTTTTCTCTTTGACGTAGCTTTATCCCGCTTGACTTAAATTTAACTGCTCAGGAAACGCGTGACTCACACACATTTACACGGAGAACTGTATCAGCAAGAACTTGCTGTAATTTGCTTGTGGGGTTTAAATAAAGCTCAAAACAAGCCACAGAATTGTATTGATTCGACGTGCGGTTTTAAAAGGGGTCTCGGGGAAGAAATAAAGATGGACGACTTTTCGAACTTTTGGGTCGAAATGAGAGTCGATACGTACAGTCAGTCGGTTTTTCTGTAAAGAGAAAAATGATCTTTTCATTTTGTGGCCCTTGTAAGATGTGCGTTGCGGGAGTTGAAGAATGGTAAGAAATTGAATGAAGAATTTTTAATATTTTTCGAAGCACAATAATTTTGACCGAGTGCAGTATAATTTGCTGCCGCAAGAAAAACTCATCAGTGATCATGAGCGCACCAATTCGTCGGCTTGGAAGACTGGATCTTCGATCCAAACAGTCGGACATGGAAGAAGATCACCGTCGACAAGCGCTGCTCTTTGCGCATTATTCTACTGACGAAACAGCTAGGTTACAATTTATGGCGGAGACCTACAGAATGAGGTAGATTCTTTCTGATTAAAAATACGACGACTTTTGAAGAATGGAGCAAGGATTGATTCACACAGAATCTTTCGATGAAATTAGCTCGGATTTGGAGGCGGCGCTGGAAGAGGATCTCGACGAGCTCGATGACGACCAAGAAGAAGACAACGAAATGGATGATGCGGACGAGGCCGAGCTACTTGGGATAAAACAAATGCGTTAGATATTTCTGCAATGAATGAGATTAACTCGGTAAAAGGCTGACAATGTCGACGTTGGGGACATGGATGATGATGGTGGTGATGCTAACGATGCGGGAGATGACTTTGCTGACTGAGCAACCTTGTTTTGGAGTAAAAATCGAAATCGCAAATTGCAAAAAATAAAGTGAATTCAATGTTTTTCTGTTTTTAAATTTATTTAAATTTATATTTTCCGTCAAAGATTTCAGTACGTCATCACGAAGTTTTGAATTTCATTTTATTGTTTTATATATCTTTGACTCGAGTCTGTCCCTTTTAAAGAGGGCTTCTAAAGAGGGCAGCAGAGGCACTTAAACGAACCATTGTAAATCTTAATCTTTATCTATCGCTATCTACTTATTCTCGTTTATCTAACTAGAACATCGCTCTGCCGAATGAACCAAAGAACAATTTCAGTAAAATTATTGTAAAAAAATTCGAAAAATGTAGCTACAAAATTGTGATCGCGTTTCTCTAATTGCTAGAGGCGGGTCTTTCTAACTAATTGTAGCGATTGGGGTGTCAATCATCTATCGCTCTCCAATTCAGGATTTTTTGATCTTGACTTCGAAGCTAAAATGCTCTTTATTTTTCTGAAGTTCTTTCTTTTCAAGAGAATTAGCGGAGATCTGGAAGATGTTGACATTGATATTCTCAAATCAGTCACGAGCGGCGTCTACATTGAGTGCAAAATGGACAAGGTAACTTTATCAAAGCTTTTTTCAATAGAAAATATCAGAAAAGTCCCTTTTTAATTGTGTAGATGTGTGCTTGGATGCCAGAAAAGTGGCTTGCAGAAAACGGAATTGAAGAAGAAGATGTTCCCTGGTTGGCATTCGCCGAATCTGAAGACGAAGAGTGTCAAGCGAGAGATATCGGAGCGCTAGAAGGTATGCCTGAAGATGCGCATTACTGGCTCTGGTGTTCGAGAGAAGAGAGTGAAGAGGAAAGAGAGGCGTATGGAGACGAAGAAGGTGGATTGGCGCATTATACTTGCGGCACGGAAACTTCCATTCATCAGGGCAATGCTGATCCAAATGGACCTGCTTGGTTGGAAGAACCGCACATTAGACACAACAACACGATTTCAACTAGCAATCCTTTTCTCATGAAACAGATCTTCCTTCCAGTTGAGTGCGAATGGCCGACAACTTCTGGCGGCGATGAACCGATGGGTTTTCCTTTCGCTAAATCGAATTCCTACTTCGCAACAAACAACAAGATCGACATGACAGTTGGGATAAGTCTCTATAAAACTGCTGCATTCGACGAATTGTACAGTGAAAAGCCGAAATACCTCCTTGGTGGATCGAACAAAGACAATGTCTTCCTTGCTATCAAATTGATTTCTGATGTGCCAGATGACGTGGGAATTAATGTAATTCATCTGTGGGCTTCTCCAGGTACTTAAGAAAAATGTTCAGAGATGTTCACTCTATAAGCAAGAATCAAGAATAAAAAATTTTATTTCAACCATGAGGCACTAAAACAGCATTATGAGAAGGGTAATGAATCATTACGGATACTAGCGGTGAATCTCGAAATTTTCTTCGTGTCTTCATTTTTTCGTCATTGTAAAGAAATTATCACTTGAAAGTTTCAAGTTGAAACTCGAAATTTTTCTCGGCTTTTTATCGGTACCCAAAGGAGGGCCGAAAATGTGATATTTAACGATATCCCGTTGTGCGATGGCCACCATTTGGTCTATTTCCCAAGAGCGAACCAATATTAGAATATTGGAATGTTGTTAGAAGAATGTGTTAAACAAGCATTTCAGCTGCGAGCTCCAGTCAGGAAATCTACTACGCTTGGATATTGCAAGGCTGCCAAACTCACTCCCAGGTTGGTTTTTGATCTCTTTTCATAATTTACCGTTTTTTAGGTTCAATATCTGAGCTCCCCAGTCGAAAAAGAAGTCCGTATTTCTTTGCCAGTTTTTATGTTCGAAGGTAAGCGTAAAATTTCAAAGCTCGGGTAACAATTGTTTCCAATAGATTCAAACGAAGTCTACTTCCACACAATCGTTCAAGCCTGCCGCGGAGCTGACTGTTCATCCAGCACGTGTTCATCCCCTTCCGAGCCTTCCTGGACTGATTTCAACCTCGACAGGCAAAAGTTCTCGCTTTCAAGAAGTCGAAGGGTAACTCATGGCTTCCTTCTGCAACTTTACTGACTAAATTTTTAGAGTAACGCAGCTCCAGACTCGTCGCTTCTGACAATTGGGCCAATTTTGATTCAACCTCAGCCGCAAGATTTCAGATCAAGCGGAATCAATCACATTTTCCTTTCATTCGGCTTCTGTCTTTTCGTATTTTTGGTGATTATCAACTGTCAAATCTTGATCCTATAGATTTTTCTATAAAGTATTGATAAAGTATTGATAAATCAATGAAAATATAATATAATCCGTTCAAGGTCGTTTCTGCTCTTTCCTCTCCGCCATCTCGTGACAAAAACATCGCGCTTTATCTAAAACAGGCACACACGCGCATTTATTCTTTGCGCTTTGATAGGAGCTCCAGAAAAATATTGAAATCGAGGAGATGATAGATAAAAATACAATAAAAGATTGGCTACATGATTTGCTTCCTAAGTTGAAAAGAGAAACAACGAGATCTCAAAAATGCAGATTGATTCTTTCGGTGGAAAGAGAAGTTTTTGGGAATGTTGAAGGTGGACCTGGCTACTGGGATTTTGTTGTTATGAGTGATGGCCAACTTGCCGATGTGTATAGAAATGAAGAGAGTTATCTGGGACCCTTCTCGAAGATGGGCACTTTTCCAATTACTCCTTTTCAGCAGCAACTACTTGAGCGGAATCCTCATTTAGTTAATAAAAAAATAAATCGAGAAGAATTGAAAGCTGAACTGGGTAGATGGGATTCATCATGCGGATTTATCTCTGGTAAATCTAAAAATATTTCTCATTTGTTTATGATTTACTAGGAGGAGAAGCAGCTATTGGCGAAGAAAATGGAGTTTTCTATCGGATTCAACCGTTTGATTCAAGTTTATTTACTCCAGAACTACCTTATCAAGATTTGAAATTTGTCATCCACACTGCTGACGGTAAAATTCAGAGTCCTTGTAAAAAAACCTTGCTTATCATTATATTAAGAGTTCATAAAAGCAACCGATGACAAGAAGAAAAATGATAAATCGATTCCAATTCATCCAAATGTCATCAAGCATTATGCAAACATCGAAATTTTCCTGAAAACTGATCGGCTGAACGAAGATTGCTTAGGTTGGATAACATGTTTGGAGGAGGGAGATTCGAATTTGAGGAGCAATCTGCGGTCAGAGTCACTTTCCATCGATCAAAGAAGAAGCAGTTGGGGTGCGTGCTGGTTTCGAATATCTGTCGAGTGTTGGAATAGCGCATTCCGATCAGAAAATGGAAAATATTGTTCTTGTTGGATCAGATCTCACCCCAAAATGGATAGATTATGGTCTCGCTTATGACCGAACTGGGCGTGAAAGCTATCGGAAAATGGGTTACGCTAGAAAGGGAGGAAAGTTTCGATACAGTCAAACTCTGTATGCTGGATCTGCTGGAACGTGTACAGCATCTCAAATTCTTGGCGGTCCGAAATCAGCAGAAGAATTGTGGATGAAAATGATTCCTGATAAAGGAAATCTTCGACTTTGTAAAGAACTCTTCTACTTTATATTTTGCGATTGGAAAACTGCCTGGGATCTTCTCTTCAGACCGAGAAACAAAAACGAACGAGAATCAATTCTTCCTATAATTGATGCTTGCAATCTATCTTGGCTTCACCGTTCAGCGAATTTCGACTCAAAAAGCTTAGCGGATGATCAACTTGAATCAGTCTCCTCAATCCTTTCCATTGACAATACCGATCCGGAATTCATTCTTGATGGAAATATCACAAAATCCATTCAAATGTGCATGCTAAAGCATAAACTCGAAAAGAACTACCGCCAGACCTTCCAGAACGCTACAAGAAATGTTGTCGATCAAAAAGACTCGAATCTATGTGTTCCGATTGCCGTCACGTCGTTGCTTCGAACAGCAATTGTGAATTACTCCAATGAATTGACAAATCATCCTCAGTTCAATGTCGTCGTAAAGGATCAATTCCTCAAAGAAGTGCAGTCTGCATTCAGTTTTGAGCGAATGTTCCATTATATCACGATGAAAATTTATCCACGGAGTTTGGCTGGATTGAATTTGAATCCGAATGATGATGAGGTAGAAGTACAGTATTCTGCTTGTGTAGAAGGTATTCTTCAATGTTTGACAATTCCAACATTTGAATATGAATCTGGTTGGTATCGGATAGAGCGTATATTCAAGCGCTATATGATGGTGTGTACTGATTTTCTTCTTGGAACCACTTTGGATATTAAGAGAGGTAATCCGAGAATAATGTAGCTCAAAATGAGATTTTGTAGTTGACTTGCACGAAGATTTTGTTTTCATTCGCCCAGTTACTGTAACTGCTATAATCAAGATTCAAAATGTGATTTTGAAGCATCAAATGAACATTGATCGAGTCGAACATGGCGAATTCGTCCTTCAAAATACCCAACCTGACAACAACAACGATGTTGAAATACGCGTTCCACTTTCTCGCCCTTACTTCTTTGATAATAACGCTAATCGAGGCCTTCCACGACAGTTTATACTCGAAGAAGATATGCAGATCGATACATGGTACATTTATTCTTGCGGCTACACTATAGAAATAAAAGAAGGTCAATGATTGATCCTTCTTATTACTCCAATAATGAAAATCTTTCCGTCTTGTTTGTTATCTTTCTAGTCAGAAAAAAGCATAGTTCGAAGTTAAAAATTGATCTCTTTATTTTAATAAAATACTGTTTGCATAAATGAACGTTTATTTTGGATGGAAATCCAGTGCCTCTTGTATTTGTAAAGGGATATTTTCTGCAAGAAGGCGAAAAACAAGCGATTTGAGAGTGTCAATCAAACTTGATAGCACTGAATGCCCCTCGCGATAGTACTGAAGTCCGCGCACGATAGAAGCTCCCACTTGTCGCGATTCTCGGCAGGAGATAGTTTCGTTTTTCTTTCTTTTTTTGCGAATGAAGGACGATAAATCAATCACTCATTTTTAAATTATATTTTGGCCTTGAAAATGCAATCGAAATAGCGATTTTGAAATCATAGAAGAGTGCATTTCTCGAATTCATAAAAAGAGTTTTCTTAATTCAAACCCTAACCCTAACTTAGTTAAGAAAGATAATTTTTCTCAGAGTAAGCAAAAGAAGTTGCCCTGGGACCTTCTTTTTTCGCGAGGAATCGGAGAGCTGGGATTAGCAGCAAAGGCAACGCGCCGGTGGTGAGAAAAATCTTGTCAAAACTTTCTATACGCGGCTTGATGTTTGATTCTAGCTCCAACAATGGCACACGCCACGGGTCATTCTCACCCAGGCTTCGTCCCAGCAACAAATCTTATCAAAACTACAGTTCGTAAACTCGATGCCTTTAGCGGGCCCTGGAGAGTGGTTAAAAAGTCGATTTATAGCTTCCCGAGATCAGTGGCGGCGGACTCGCTGCTCTCCATAATCTTGAATAAATGATAATTCACCGGAGGTATCTGACGGACAGATCATTACCGGGCTCAGCTTTGGCGCGACCAGCTGTCAGACTCCAGTTCCCACACCGGAGCAGCTAGAATAACCGACGTGAAGAAACGTGAATAACAGCCCACCAGCTAAGCCAACACCACTTTCTAGGGAAGATGATAGGAGCATCTTGGGTTCAAAAAATGACGAAACTCGTCGGAGATCTTTTGTTGAAGTTTTAGGATTTATTTTAGAAAGACATAATTCTACGAGGTTTCAATTTCGTTCCCACCATTGGTAGTAAAAAATTGATCTTCATGAATGAATCCATCAAAATCGCCATTTCAGTTCATTCTCCCGTTGAATAAACACACTCATTCTACGACTGACACTTAGGGATTAAAGAAGTGAGTGCCTTAAAGCTTTGTGATGGACGTTTTTGACTTCGCGATTATCCATGTTCCTGGTCGTCCTGACGCCGCTTGGCCAAACAGTTTACCGCAAATGTCACTTATCGGTACCTTTTTTGACATTGCCAGAAGAAAATTTTTTTTTTAAATCATCATCACGGGAGCGAACACAAAACGAAAGAAAAAAAGCTCACCCTGCTGAGCGTGAATAAAGCTGAGAGTGGCTCTCTCTCGGCTAAGCTGCGGCTTTGACGAGCAAAAGCAAGCTCGATAGTGTTTCGTTAGGGCTTTTCTTTTGATCAGCGGCGCCGCGGGGAACTCCCGTCGCCGACAATTTACATTTCCTTCGCAAACGACCAGCGTTACAGTAATAAACGGCTTTAGTTACCACCGGAGGTCATGGACGAAACTAATCATTTTCGATTAACAGCACTCTTGGGAGCCTTTTTGCAATGAAATTTCTCTAGAAAAAAACGGTTTCTTTAGATCTTTTATGGCAAAGAAATTTAGGGGTTCACTAGTTCAATTCGTCGTCAAGAATTTTTCTTAAGAATTTAGGAGGCGAGACCCTTATTTTATTCTCCAAAACAAAGATTGAGTCTTTTACCAGAATCATCAAGTTTTTATGCTATTCAAAGGCAGATTTTGTTAACTCTAACTTACGAAAAAGAAGAATAAAGCTAAAACCTTATTTTGAATAAATAAAATAAGGGTGTCATTAAGCTAAGTTTTTTTTCAACAAAACTGTAGCGAAAAATTAGGTTTATCAACAGTTTCTGTCAGAAGAACTTTTCTTATAGAAAAAAGGGTTGGATAGGACCTTATTCGAGGAGCTACGTCTGCCCGTCTGGGGATGAGGAGAGTGTTTTTGGGAAGCGCTGCTTACGACAAGAATTCCGATCTCTTGATTAGACGCGTTCACATGCGCAGTAAATTAGACTTACATTTCCGGCCAGTGTGAACAATCTCAGCTCCCGCGAATAATCTTCATAAGCTCGAATTTAACGATGAAAACTGACTCAATTTTTATTTTAACGAATTAATCCTTTCGAATCCGATCCTGCGAAAACTCAATCAACACGGCTTTTTGGACAAAAGTAGGTTTTTATTTTTTCGTTTTTGCTTCTTGAAAAGCTAGTTACAGTCAGAAATAATAACTTAAGGATCAGTGGGGCACAACTTCGTATATTCCGTAATACTTTTTTTGAGTGAATATACTTCTTGGTATAAATAGAGATATAGATATTCGTTTATACAGAGCAAAAGCAATATGCATATCAATATTTGAATCTTACGAATGTTTACGATACGGAATACGAATTACTACATGCACATGTACAGTCATAGTAGCGATAGAACAGAGTTATTTACAAAGTGAGGTACTTTCGAAGGGTCTTGAAAAATGGTGAAGATGAAAGGGATGAGGACGCTGAACTGGACAGGAAATATTTTTTAGCTTTACTGGCGCTACGAGACAATGTCTTGAACTTCGACCTCGGCAGATTCTTCTGCTTCTTCCGCCTGTTCTTCTTGTCGCTCAGGGGGCGCTTGAGGGCTTTCCACGGGTTGAGAAGGGCTTGGCTCGACAGTTTCGGCTGAGGAGATGCTCACTGCGGGCTGAGTACTAGCTGGCGCTGGCTCAGTTGAGGGCGAAGAAAGAGCTGCTTGTGAGGAATTGAGCTGGGCTGCGGTGCGCGTGGCTAGCCGCGCCCTCGCCTCGCGATAAAGGCGATCAGCGGTCTCAGACACTAAAGTAGGCTTGTTAGGGCAGTGTTGATACGGGCTGGAGAATTGCGAGAAGGAGCAATGATCCCTCGATGTGGAGATGATCTCCATTATAGCTCCTTGTTTACTTACTTAGCGGGTTTAAACGCTGAGCTTGAAACAGCGGGTTGTAGCTACTTCCAGTGGCGGCGGCGTTGAGCAGCGGGAAGTGGGGGAGCAAGTTGTGCAGGGCGAGTTGTGGATGAGGAATTTGACCAGTCATCGCTTGGTTGAAGTTTAGACCCGTTAGGGCCAAGGAGTTCAGTTGGTGTGTGAATTGTTGTGCAGCGGCCGCAGCGGCCTGCAGATTCCGATGATGAACCGCGGCCGAGTGCAGAGTCGGATTGGAAAACGCAGAAGCACTCCCGCTCGCAGAGGTGGCCCCGCAATCGGGACTCTTTGCTGCGCTCTCGGCGAGACTGGAACGAGGCGAGGAAGAGACGAGATTCGTGATCGAATGTGCTAGCGTTGCTTTTGTCCCGGCTGCAATAGTAGATACAGGCTGCGCGATTTTGGGGGTTTCGCTAGGCGATCGGGCACGGCCGGAGTCGGATTCGGAGGTACGACTTCGTGGGGATTCAGTGCGAGCCACGGGGGAGTTGGCAGCGTTTGTCGAGTTGCCAGAATCGGCCGAGTCCCGGCGGATTTTGTCATCGGCGTCTACTCGGAGTTGCTTGGACTCGCTTTCTTCGGCGCAAGGCAATCGCGGTCTAAATTATCAAGTTAAAATTGATTACTCTGTTGAGCGACGCTATGGGAAGCGCGCGTGTTTAGTGTTTCCAAAGCCGCGTTTCCTATTCTAAGTGCGAGCCTAACTGCCGGAAAGTCGTTTCCCCTCTCTACCACATCTGCGACTTGGTCTTTTACCTTTTCTCGCGCCGTCCGCAGCCTGTGTCGCGGAATCCCTTCGCGAAGGGGTTATGGTTGATTTTGAGTTGGGTGATCTGAAAAGCGCAGTTAGATTTCCAGTTTCCAGATGATTTTCCGCCACTTACTTTTTCATTTTGATACGCTGTGACTGCGATAAATTCCATCTCTGGAAAGCACGTAGTTCGCCACTGCCGGGAGTAGATTTGACTTGTGTCGGAGCATCGTACGATGTGGAAACGAGGCTGGTACTTGTGCATTGAATTCAGGATTGCCTAGAAGAATGAACTGAGCACAAAGAAAAAATAGTTAAATCTTATTTGGAGGAAAAATAGGAGGAAATAGAAACTTACGTGGCCGTAAACATGGGGATCAGCGATGTTGTTCGTCAATTTACATTTGTGGAAGCTAATGCTGGGCCTGTTCATCCACTGCTCTCCTGTAGCTGGTGAGTCGGGATGAATATAAAACCTGAATAGCGAAGTTATAAGCTGTGGGCAACTCGTCACAACTCACCGTCGAGGAAGTTCCGGATCGGCTTTGCCCGCCACCATCCAGCATGAATTGTGATACTTGTATCGACAATCATCTTTGGGTCGTATATCCATCACCATACAGTACTTGGCCTTTGGGTTCAGCCCGGAGACTTTTGTCTTGAAGCCAGGAAACATTCGACTGAAGAAAAAATGATTAAAAATTGCCAATAAAGTTACAATTCTAGCCGCTATCCTAGCTTATTTAGGGTCAAATGAAGAATACTGGGATTCCTCTTTAGAGTGATAGAAAAAGGCTTTGCTGCCTGGGAACTGATTGAATTCAAGTTCGCGCGAAAGTGTTTCAATGTTAGAAAAAATGAACGATTCAAATTCCTTTCCCCACTTTCATCAAAGCCCTCCTTTTTCTGATAATCACTTATCACCGAAAAAACGCGTGAATTACCGCTGTAAAATGCTTCAGAACTTACCGGCCGGTCTTGGTGATCACCATTTCTGTCCCATTTCGATGGAACTCGTCCCAGAGTGCTTTATCCACGAGTTCTACTTTGGGATCATCAGGCTCTAGATTCTCGTCGATCTCTTCCGCATGTGCGGCTGCGGCGGCCTGCTGCTGCTGAAGCTGGTGAACGAGGTGGTTCAAGCCAGGAGTGGAGAAGGGACCGTAGGGGTTGATGCCAGGTATCCCTGGCAGCCGGTGCATTAGGTTGAAGTCCAACATGGGGTTTTTTCTCGAGTTGAGTCTTCCTTGATTTCAGCCTCTTTTTTTTCGTTGTTTTCTTTTTGGGAAAAAAATTTATGAAAAAGAGTTTTGGGAATTTAAGCCGAAACTTGGATCTAAGTCTCTGCTGCAGAAATGAGCTCTTCTCAAGCACGGATGTAGACTATATCTCTGGTTGGCCAACAGTGCATGGGGTGGCGCGAGAGGGAAGAGAGACGAGCAGCGAGCAGGGAAAATCAAAGACGAGGCCGCTCGCCGCGCGTGTTCAGCGGTGGCGCACTCCTCCTCGCTGGCCGCGGCGCCCGAGGGGTGTCGATCTCTTCGCTTTCTCGCTGCTAATGGGATCGACCCGCGAGAACAGGACCACACCTGTTCAACAGACAGATAGCATTATTGCAGGAATGCTTCTATCGCTTGTTTTGCCTATCAAAACTACCAGAAGCAAAATCACCAAATGAAAATGAATTGGCACTCAGACGGAAGTATTCGAAAACGATTGATTACAATCACTTATCGACGAATTTTTCAATCAACGATTGCATTTTATACTTATCATCGTCTTCTTCCGATTTCGGAATAGAGCTGAACTGACTTTTTTCTTAATAAAATATTCGTTTTAGTTGAGCAAGAACTATGGTTAGAAGAAAACGCAGCTGGAAATGATAATTGTTTTGGCTCGCTCTTCAAAGATTGGTAGTAGGAGATATTTTTTCACGAAATCACGAGTCGCTTCGAGTTACTTCCGATAATAACTGGAGCCTGCGAAAGCGGAAACAAGGAGGAAACAGCTATAGTTATTATTACCAGAGTGGCTGTTTCTTATTGTTTCTTAGCGCAGCTAGAAGTGTCCAACAAGTGAGGCGAGTGTGTGTTATTAGTACAGCAGGCAGCGGCTTATTTGTACAGTGGAGCCAGTCGGGCAGGGATTGACGCTCCCCTCGACAAGTTCACTTACTTCGAAGGCGACAATGGCCAACTCTTGTCTCCCGTCAACATCCACACGGACAGATACACTTAGATTGTTATTTCGAACAAGTGATTGGGCCACACACTAAAATCACCAAATTCACGGCCACTAAAAATCACAAGAACACAAAAAATGATCAAAAATCATCCCAAAAAAGTCGGTTTCCAAGTTTTTTTTTGTCACTGGAATTGATGGATAAGTCTTTCGAGCTGAGTTATTAGAGCTGAACTTTGAAAAACAGTTTTGGCTATTGCGTTTTTTTTTGTTTTTCCATGTGAGCGAGCTTGTTAATTGTCTGTCCGCGCTGTGATCTCGGCGCTTTGAGCAAATGAGGACAAATCCAAATAGTGGTGCCTAAAACAAGCATTCGATCAAACTCTGAGTAGCTAGGTGCATTTTCGTTTTTGATGATTATTGTTGTTTTTTGGGCAAAGAAAAGCGAGAAAGTTGAAAGGCGGCGCCGCCATTTTCTGGGGAATTTATGAGCTCGCGCTGAAAAACTGACAAGTGCTGCCGAAAATAAACAGAAATTTTTATTTATATCGGTAACGCGTATTGTGCCACTAATTCTGGCCGCGGCAGCGTGTATTTACCGCGCTCAGACGTAGCTGTCCGGAATCTGTATCCTTTGAGCATAAATCCCAGCCATCACTTCCGATGACACAAAACGACCGCTTATACCAGCGAAACTTATTTAAAAACGCTTTTTTTTCGTGATATTGGGGGTTAAAATGTAGCCTTTGATTTCGGTTACTGTAGCTAATACAGTGACTTAGTGCTACTTACAACTGTAATCTGGGCGTGACATACTGTCACTGGTTCAGGTTCAGGTGGAGTGTCGGTTGTTCCGTTGGCGAGTATCGACAGAACGGTACCGCTGCGATAAATTTGGTAAGTGAGCCGTCTAATCCCTCTCCAAGTTCGCAATCTGGCCGGGTATTAGATTTAACGCTCTGAGCGCTGCTTTAGGCACACGTCCACTTCCGGCCGAATCAATACGCAACACAACGAGGAATAGAAATTTCACACTCTTACATGTCATTACACGACAGCTACTGTCATGCTTGTTAGCGAGTAAGAAGGCAACTGTAAGTTTCGATTAACTGTAAGTCCGTTTGCCTTACTTGCCTTCAATCAAACAAGTGATCCCCCTCCTACAGCTAGGGAGATAGTTCGGCGCCACGTCTGGGATGAAACTTCCCATAAGTGCCTCTCTATTCATGCTCATTTTAAACTTATCCCGTCTCATTCTTACTTCCAGCTTCTATTTTTTGATTGATGACAGACGAACACAAGGAGTTTCAAATTTGTACCATTTAGGCACACACAGCCAATTTGAATTTTTGCCGCAAACAAAGCCGAAAAAAGAAAGAAAGAAAAACTTCCAACAAACAAAGTTCTTGTCAAGTTGAGGGGATCGACAAAGTTGATTCTTTTTTTTCGTAAAAAAGGGGGTGGACATCGTTAAATAGAAGAAGTAACACCCTTATTCAAGCTTGAAGCGATCTGCAGCTCAGATTTGGTAAGAGTTTTAATACGAGATGAAGCGCTAGAATATCCGGATCTGGGCTCGGCCTTCCTCTTTTCCAACCCTGACTCAGGTTTTCTACACAGGTTGCGGAGGCCAGATTAAGTTTTTTGATGAGCTTTTCCTTAGAAAAAGCTTTCCTGTTTTGACTCAAGTGACTGTTTACTCTTACTGTCAGAATTACAATTAGGTGATTGAACGGAGCTGATCAATTATCGCTTTTGATCCCTTCTGGTGAAGATACTTTGCGTCGTTGGATTAACTCTTGAGCACTTAATCCGACGGTAGTTTCTTCAGATCGGTTTTGATTCTCAGCTATTCATTAATTTATAATTAATCAGCGCCATCAAGACAACCATCAAAGAGCGAAAGTTGCTCCTCTGGGCTCTCCGGGGAGCGGATAGAGTAACTCAACAGGTGCCCCGGCGAAGAACTTTTTAATGGACTGAATATGCGAATAATCAGACCGAATTTACCAACTTTAAAAGCTTCTTTTCATCCTTTTTTTCTGTTCCTTGAAATAATTTATTTATCAAATTGCTTGAAAATTGACTGCTAATGGCGTCTATTCACGCACCTGTTTTGCTGCATCCTAGGTCTGGGTTCAGCAACCTGTGTAGAAAACCTGAGTCAGGAAAATAACCATCTTCATCTGTTTCTGAATTCTAGCGAAGCCGCTGTCTGGATCCTGCGTTAGGTTTTCTACACAGATTGCCGAACCCAATCCAAAATCTCAAAAGAAAGAACTTTCCTTATCAGGGATTCTCAATCCTTTTGCGAAATAGTTTTTGGGGGTGAATTAACGGCCGGATATGTTTAATCTATTTTAGTCGTCCTCTGGTCGGAAACAAGAGCAGAAGTCGCAAAACAGTTATAAAACAAAAACCGGGAGAAAAGTGGCGCTTTTGAATCATAAATTTTCAAGTTTGGCTTTTGAAAGTGACTTCCCCGCACCAGCTCCGGTGATACTTCCGACAAGGTGACGCCCGTCAGATGTTCAAAACAGATCCTCAACTGAATCCTGCACTTGACACTTTCTATCAATTTTAGTCCACTTACAAATTTATAACCACTTTATTGCTTCCTATCGATGATAATTTTTGGTTTCACAAGAGATTTTCAACAGAAAACGTCATTTTTAAAGCTTCAACTTTTTAATTACTAATTTTTGTTAATATTTTTTTTGAGTTTAAAGATCAACAAAGAATTTTTTACCGAAGATATCAATTCTTCACTAGAAAAATTAGTTCTACAATTAACTCTTTGAATAAAGAGTCTTTCCATCAACCATCAAGCTTGCTGATTGGCTGAGCAAACAAACCAGAGGTTTTCTATTGATTTTGGCCAATCAGTGAGCTGAAAAATCGGATTGAAGAGTTTGTTACAGGAAGAAGTAATAATAGTGGATTGTCTCGTCCCACTGTATTTCGCGAAAACTAGAAGAATGTTCACTTTATGGCCATTCTGCGCGGAGGGGTTAACATTCCGCGTGGAGATTTATTGTTGGCCCGAGGCGCGCGCGCTGAGAGCAGTAACCGTAATTGTAGAATTTTGTCGCTGCCTGTGATGTGAAAGTCAGGCTAATTAGTGTTGAGTTGATCTTAATGCAAAACTAAACACATTTTAAAGTCACATTTAACGAGCGGCGGAGCGTTTTGCCATTTATTCACGTGGCACACCAGCGCGTGTGCCCAAAATACTCGCGCGGCGCCAAAATCGAACAAGCTGAGGAGAAATTTTTAGCGCTAGATAAAGGTCGCCAGCTTTTCAGGTGCCACTACTCTGCAATCGACGAATTTACGGACAGCGCCTTTGAGAGTTATGGCACCGCGCTTTTTACATCAAGAACAACACTCGGACACACTCAAACACAGTCACCACTGCAGGCACGATCAATGACATTTTAGCCACGGTTCCTTCAAAATAACCGTAATAATAATACTCCTGCCATGCCTGATTATAACGAAATGACAATACAATTTCAAACCGAGAATGATATACTGTATATCTTATAGATAGCTTATTTATTTCACAATTTTTTCTGAGAAGTTTTTTTAATCAATATTTTATATGAAGTTTAGGATTTCGCGATTTTTATCCAGGGTGGTCGTGAAAAGAATTCATTTTCAATTTAAGTTATTTTATCATGAACAAAAGAAATATGAAATAATATGAAAACAGGTCCACATGGTAACAGGACTTGTATTTAAATCTTGTAGGATTCAATTTATAATTCTTGTGGAAGAGAGAATTTTATATCGGAAATCCATCTATCATTAGTACCATGAGATTTTTTTAGAGAGGGAGAAGGCCCGAGGCGTTTCACTCTCGGGGAAATCTAGAAATTTCTTTCAGCTCCAGTTGGGCACCTCAGAATAAAGAATTTAGAGTGCGGCGCACTACGGAAAAATACAGTCATTTGATTGGCTAGCCGCGCTAGGCGCACGCGGCTAAACTGAGAGTCCCAGAGGGCTTAGGACCCTCAGATTCTCAGATCTCCCTTTA